GTGGCGTCGGTGAAAGTGGTGAGCGATTCCCAAAGCTCACAGGTGTCGACATCTAGGAATCGGCAAGCGTGTTTCTTTCTTTCTTGTTCGTCCCCTACCGCAGACCGACCGAAGTGGAAGTCCAGATCGGAGAAATATCGTCTCAATTCGCGGGGTTGATGGGGGTCAAAGGTCGGGGCCGTTCGATCTCCACGAGCGGGCATGGATGGGGTCGCCATAGTGAGAAAGTCAAAGGTGGGGGAGAAGGTATTGTTTTCTAAGGTGATCGGGGATGGAGTCGCTGGTTCGAAGGAGCGTTCTAGTGAAGTCGGTCGGATGGTCGGCGTCCAGAAGACGGGGCTGCGTGAGATTAACGGAGAGATGGAGTCGTGGAGAGATGGGATAGGAGACGGGGGTGATTGTTCTAAGAGTGCAAGGTCGAGGATGGGGGAAATCGGCGGGAGTAGCGATCGGTTCGGCGACGACGGTGGGGTTAAGAAGAAAGTGGAGTCGGGTGGTGGCGAGAGCGATGGCGAGGGTTCAAGATCAAGATAGTGATGGTGGGATAGATGCTCCGGGACTATATCGGCGTCTCCGAACAAACTTCGGTCGGCAGATGTTTCCTGAGTATTGAAGCTATCGATAACTGTTTGTCGTTCTTCGCGCTCCGCTGTTGGTCGGGACGAGCGACGTAGATTCCTTGAGGTAATTTTGAATACTAACCCCTCGTGGTGGGCTCCAAAATGATACGCTAGAGGTGGCTCTAAGTGCCGAGCACAACACCAAAACAACCTCTAATGCAGGGGGTGCTGGAGCTAGTATCTAATACACAAGGAATTGTTAGTGATGACTTTAGAAATCGATGGCGTACTGAGAAGCAACGGGGAGTATGAGATTATAGCGCCCGAGCGGTTTCGGGACTGCGCCGAACACCGACCGAACGTTCGGTCGGTCGAGTCGGGGATTCGGTCGGTAACGAGAAGGTAGTGTCGCGACCGACAACTACGTGCTTCAAGAGCCACACGGGACTCTGACAATATATGAGGGAGGATGGGGGGTACGAGCGAAGAGACGAGTACGAACGCGAATGAGGCCGAACGACGAGGATGACAAGTTTTCGGGAGTCGATGAAGACGATTTTGATGGTTGAAACGAGTGCGAATGAGCTCTGAACTGTGGGGTGCGAAAGCTGGTTTATTCCAGAGTTGTATGTAGGTTTTTATAGTAAACAGAGCCTCTAAGTAAAATATTAAACAAGAAATGAGAGTAGATGTCGAATGGGCGCCAAGCCTTAGCAATCAGAGAAGATAAGAAGGTAGGTGAGATGTCCATATGGGTTCCGAAGGTGATAAGGTAAAAGTTAATCAGCGATGGCGAAATCCCGAACGTTCGGGATCCATCGCCCGAGCGTAGGTAGACGGAACAGGCGTTGGAGAACCAATGAAAAATAAAGAAGAGGTATCGTACGACCAGGGTGGCCAAGTAATGGTGCAAGATCGCGTTTGACCGACCATGCGGAAGTCGGGAAGATAAGCAATAAGGACCGACCGACTCACGGAGGACATCGGCCGATACAGAATACTGGCTCCGATCTCGTAAACACTTATCGTAACACTCCTATGCGGTCATGGTAAGTACGTGAAGTGTGGGCGAACTGACCCAAGTGCTGCCGAACGTCCTTCGGTGGCTTGTCGTCGGTCGGGTAGGGACCGACCGTGTTCGGTAATAGTCGGCGTCTTCAGTACTTGTCTAGCGCTGTTCGGTGTCTCCCCAAAGCTTCCCGAATACCTCCCTCGGACCCTAGCGCGGGTGCATGCTCATCATCGGCTATGACGAACGAGGGCTAGCCGAATCATCTCGCGACTTCACCACATTCCAGACCCCATTCGGCACCCACCGACTCGTCACCCTGCCCATGGGATGGACAAATTCGGTCCCGATCTTCCATGACGACGTCACCCACATCCTCCAGCCCGAGATCCCAGACACCACCATTCCTTTCATCGACGACGTTCTGATTCGGGGCCCGCCGACCAGATACGAACTTCCGAACGGAGGCTTCGAGATGCATCCCGACAACCCCGGCATACGACGGTTTGTGCGGGAACACTTTCAAGGCCTCAATCGAGTGGTTCAGCGGATGAAGTATAGCGGAGGAACCTTTTCGGGACACAAGGCGACACTCTGCGCAGCCGAAATCACGGTGGTCGGCCATTGGTGCACGTATGAAGGACGATTACCCGACGAGTCTAGGGTAGAGTCAATTATGAAGTGGGGACCTTGCAGGGATCTCTCAGACGTTCGGGCATTTTTGGGGACAATCGGTGTCATTCGGATCTTCATTCGGAATTTTGCACACAGAGCGCATGCACTGACAATGTTAACACGCAAAGATTTTCCATTCGTATTCGGCCCCGACCAGATAGCGGCCCAGGACGACCTCCGGTCAGCACTTCTTGAATCGCCAGCCCTGCGACCGATCGACTACGGGTCGGCGGCCAACGTCATCCTCGCCGTCGATACCTCACAAATCGCGGTCGGCTTCCACCTCTGTCAATGCGCACTCGACAATCCACGGGTTCGGTACTATGCCGATTCGGCTCCATCACCCTTAACGACCACAAATCGCGATTCTCCCAACCCAAGCTCGAACTCTACGGCCTCTTCCGCGCCCTCCGATCACTCAAAATGTATCTCATCGGCGTTCGGAACCTGATAGTCGAAGTAGACGCACGCTACATCAAGGGCATGCTCACTAACCCAGATCTCGAACCCAGCGCTAGCATCAATCGGTGGATCGTCTCCATCCTTACCTTCCATTTCACACTTGTCCACGTCCCCGGCACCTCTCACGGTCCCGATGGTCTCTCCCGACGACCACCACAACCCGCCGACCGACCCGAACCCAAAGACAACTTTGACGACTGGATCGACAATCTCTACGGCTTCCTCCATCAGATCAACAACACGTTTCCCACCTCCATCTCAACCTCGACAACCGCCATCTTTACCTCCTCACTCATAGGCGACCTCCCGACCGATGCCGACTCCGACGACGAAGGCCCAACTATTGACTATTCGGATATCCCAAGATCGCAAAAAGCTTTGGAAGCCGAGGAACGCCTATGGTTGGTCCACGACTGGCACCGAACATTGGTTCGGCCCCCTTCTCTCTCCGACTCCGAATATGCCACCTTCCTACGATATTGCACTGAGTTCTTTATCACAGCCGACAAGCTATGGCGAAAAGACTCGCACGGTCGACACAAGATCGTTGCAGCCCCCTCTAGTCGGATCACAATTCTCACTGCCGCCCACGACGACGTCGCTCACAAGGGTTTCTACGCCACAACTGCCTTGGTCACCGAACGCTTCTGGTGGCCGCACATGAGGCAAGATATTTCTTGGTTTGTTCGGACATGTCACCTTTGCCAGATTCGCCAGACTCGCAACGTCCTCATTCCCCCAACCGTCGCCACGCCTGCACCACTCTTCACGAAGATGTATATGGACACCATGCACATGCCGACTGCTGGTGGTTTCAAGTATCTGGTTCAAGGTCGCTGTTCGGTATCGCACTACCCTGAATTCCGGATGCTGTGACGCGAAACAAGCTCCGCACTCGCCGACTGGATCTTCGAGGATATCCTGTGCCGATGGGGAACACTGGTAGAGATCGTCTCCGACAACGGACCAGCGTTCGTCAAGGCACTCGACCAGTTAGCGAAAAAGTACCACGTTCGGCACATCCGTATTTCGGGCTACAATTCCCACGCCAATGGCATCGCCGAACGACCTCACTTCGACGTTCGGCAGGCTCTGTTCAAAGCCGTCGATGGAGACCAGGCCAAGTGGAATCGTGCTGCTCATTTTGTATTCTGGGCTGATCGCATTACTGTTCGGCGCCGAATGGGTTGCTCGCCATACTTCGCAGCGACCGGAACCCATCCCCTCCTGCCCCTCGACATCGCCGAAGCAACATACCTTCTGCCACCGCCGACCACAACCCTTAGCACCACCGACCTCATCGCCCGACGAGCCATAGCCTTGCAGAAACGCCGATCAGACCTCGCCCACCTTCGCAGCTCAGTTGTCGACGCACGCGTCCAGGCCGCCATCCGATTTGAACAACAGCATTCGGCCACACTTTGCGACTTTAATTTCCACCGAGGCTCACTTGTCCTGATGCGCAACACAGCCATAGAAAAGGCGCTCAATCGGAAGATGCGACCACGGTACCTGGGACCATTGCTGGTGATTTCTAGGAATCGGGGAGGAGCGTATATTTTGGCCGAACTCGACAGATCGGTCTTTGATATGCCAGTGGCAGCATTCCGTGTTATTCCTTATTTTGCTTGCAGGTCTTTGAGGCTCGCCGACCTTGAAGCCCTCCTCGACATATCACAAGAACGCCTTCAGGCCATGGAAGATTCCCGAACAGGAGATGACGACGCCGAAGACGACAATACCGATGAAGATACTGACACCAGCTCAGTCTGATCGGCGGAGGACGATGACATGGCTTCGGCGACCTCCGACTAGATCCCACCCTCCCACCCTGCGCTCTCTTCGGTCGGTGACTGGGGACAGTCACGATTTCAGTAGGGAGGAGGATTCACAGATATACCCATTCCGTATTTCATTTATTCGTCACAGACATGGACTGACACCCAATCATTTCCACATCTTTTAGTACTTTTGCCACCGACCGATCACCGACCGAATATTTGGCCCATCATTTTCCCATCATTCCTTCAAGTACCAAGTCGCATTGAAGAATTTTTCCGATTTGCGCAAAACCATAGGGTTTTATGCCTGTGATGACATACTGAGGCTTCCCCTAAATATTTCAATTTACTTTCTTAAATTCCGCCGAACGCTTCGCTTACAAGTACACACAGTCATTTCGCCAACTGATTTCCCGAACGACGCCGCGGGTTGGCCCACGGGCATTACTGTACACTCTGGACAAGTTCTATTTTACATTTTAAATTTTTCTACACTAAAAAGTTCTACAAAACTCAGTCATCGGGCACGAAATCACCCGACTCCGACCTGCCAGAATCATCGGCCTCCGACAAATCCTCGACCAGGACAACGTCTGAAGGTGCTGAAGGACCCGACCGAGCCTCAAGGGCCTCCAACTCGGCTCTCCACATTGTAATCGAGCGCGCCAAGAAGGTGCGCGATCCCTCAGCCACGGCAATCCGATATCTGATCTCGGACACGACACCACGGGCAATGGACGGTGACAGGCGTAAAAGCTCGGGGGAAGGGGCGGCGGTAGAGGTCGGGCGAGTAGGGCGACTGGAGCGAGAGGGGACAGGAAGGCGCTGAGTAGTAGTCAGAAGGCGCTTGACCGGCTTCCTACTCCGAACGGCTGCACAAGGATGAGCTCAATTACCATGATCACCAAACAACCACTCACCTTTTGACCGTGCGATGCTCTCACCAGCCGACCGCTCAGGGACCAGTACCTCCACCTTACGCTTCTTCATCGGCCGCTCATTCTCCACCGATTTCGCACCCGACTTCGCCTTCACCTGGCCTTTCCCCTTCTCCTTCGACGTCCACCCAGGCTGAAAGCTACACCCCTTGCGATCGTCGGCGCACTTGAGGCATGAGACCTGGCCCGGTCGGGTGTAGCACCGAGGGGCGACTGTGGCGAACTCGGTCGCGCACCGATGGCAAGCGTACTCGGCCTGGAAAAGGAAGAGTCAGCAAGCAGTAGAGGCGGCAAGAGGGAGGGGACTTACAAGAACGTCACCCGGCAACAGGCCTGGGGGATCCTGAAGAAGCTTCCCGGCTCCGTTCCGCTCTACAGGGGACCGAACGGTTGACATTCGGCCCGCTCCAAGACGAAGCGGGAGGACCACCCGACCCTCGGTTGGTGTTCGCTGCCGAGCGAACTCAACGATAACGGCGCCGGCGCGCTGCTTTCCCTTCGAATCGGCCGACGGAGTAGGGAGGGTCGAGTCCACGCTCATGCGACCCAGGGCCTCAGTCGTGGAAGCAAGGCCGGCGTCAGCAGGGAGCGGGAGGAGGGAAGATGAAGCGGCGGGAGCGGGAGCATCAGAAAGAGTGGGAGCGTCAGAGGGAGAGGGAAGGAAGAGAGGGAGAAGGCCGGCAGACTCTGCCTCCAGCACGGCCATTTGGCGGTCCCCCTCTTCCGGATCCATCGATCCATCAAACATGGCCTCCACCAAGGCCTCCCGGCGACGCTGACGATCCTCTTCGGCGACACGCAGGGCAGCAGCAGCCCGCGCCACCTCAGCCTCCTCAGCCTCGCGTTCGGCAATAGCGACCCGTGCCGATTCCTCCTCCAGGGCCTGTGCTTCGGCCGCTTGTCGCTGTTGCTGCGTGGCAAAGCGCGCCGCCCGTTGAGGTAGGATACGCGTTCCCCAGGCCAGCCAGTCATCGGTGGCCATGTGGTCGAGGCCACGCTCGGCCTCGGCAATCCAGTCAGCGAGTTCGGGAAGGTCTTGCCCACGCGCTGAGCGATCTAAAACAGCCTGAAAAGACGTCAGCGAGCAGCAGGGACAAGAGAAAAGAGCCGACTTACCACTCGCTTGGCGAAACCTCGCGCCCAGGCCTCGTAGTCCTCGTATTCGGCGGCGCCATCCGGAAGGGAGAGCATATACTCGCCGAGTTTTGTCTTCAGGGCGGAGAGGAGGGCGGACATGTCGGAAGAGACGAAGGAATTGAGCGGCAGGCAAGCGGCGATGAGGGACTTGGTCGCTGGAGAATCAACGATCGGCACGTGACTGTGGTCACCTGACAAAGCCACGAGCCACTGCGCGCGGCAGTAATTGCGATACGCGCCACCGCTCCTTGCCGACACGCTCTCACACCACCGTCTAGTTGGGACACGCTAGGCTTTAGCCACTTCCTCACCTAATCAGTTGCCACGCCACAGGACTTTGCCGACTCAGCCCCGGTCTCTCTTGCGCGCCGACCCGGTCCTTTCTACAACATCTCTTTGCCGATTATTCACCTGTGCCACATCCCTCCCACGCACCCACTCCTTTCCACGCCACCGCTCATAGCCGATCTTTTCCCACGAAACTTGCCACACCGCTCCATTTTCCACGCCACAGCTATTCTTTCCACGCTATCGCTTGTTACCAACGCTTTCCCACATTTTCCACACCACTTTTTCCGCTCCGACTCATAGCTGCCGACCACTGACTGGGGACAGTCAGGATTTCAGTAGGGAGGAGATGATGAGCATGCACCCGCGCTAGGGTCCGAGGGAGGTATTTGGGAAGCTTTGGGGAGATACCGAACAGCGCTAGACAAGTACCGAAGACGCCGACTATTACCGAACACGGTCGGTCCCCACCCGACTGACGACAAGCCACCGAAGGACAATTCGGCAGCACTTGGGTCAGTTCGCCCACACTTCACGTACTTACCATGACCGCACAGGAGTGTTACGATAGGTGTGTACGAGATCGGGGCCAGTATTCCGTATCGGCCGATGTCCTCCGTGAGTCGGTCGGTCCTTATCGCTTATCTTCCCGACTTCCGCGTGGTCGGTCAAACACGATCTTGCACCATTGCTTGGCCACCCTGGTCGTACGATACTTCTCCTTTATTTTTCATTGGTTCTCCAACGCCTGTTCCTGCTACCTACACTCGGGCGACGGATCCCGAACGTTCGGGATTTCGACATCACTGATTACCTTTTACCTTATCACCTTCGGAACCCATATGGACATCTCACCTACCTTCTTATCTTCTCTGATCGCTAAGGCTTGGCGCCCATTCGACATCTACTCTCATTTCAGGTTCGATATTTTACTTAGGGGCGCTGTTTACTATAAAAACCTACATACAACTCTGGAATAAACCAGCTTTCGCACCCCACAGTTCAGAGCTCATTCGCACTCGTCTCAACCATCGAAATTGTCTTCATCGACTCCCGAAAACTTGTCATCCTCGTCGTTCGGCCTCATTCGCGTTCATACTCGTCACTTCGCTCGTACCCCCTATCCTCCCTCGTATATTGTCAGAGTCCCGTGTGGCTCTTGAAGCACGTAGTTGTCGGTCGCGACACTACCTTCTCGTTACCGACCGAATCCCCGACTCGACCGACCGAACGTTCGGTCGGTGTTCGGCGCAGTCCCGAAACCGTTCGGGCGCTATAATCTCATACTCCCCGTTGCTTCTCAGTACGCCATCGATTTCTAAAGTCATCACTAACAATTCCTTGTGTATTAGATACTAGCTCCAGCACCCCCTGCATTAGAGGTTGTTTTGGTGTTGTGCTCGGCACTTAGAGCCACCTCTAGCATATCACCGCCGTCACAATCAGATCTTTAACAAGCATCTTCCGGCGCTCCTTGCAGACAAACTGACTAACGCAATGATCGGGGCTACTTCTGGACAGCTACCCCATCATCGGCCTTTGAGTGCCGGAGAGTATACTTATGTCTTGAGCAAGGGACGTCTCTACGTCGCAAAGGGTGAGAAGACCATTTTATCATGATTTATCTCTCACTAACAAGCTCCCTTACATTTATTGGCAGTCTTCTCCATCTATTCGCAAGGCGGAGGCAAATCAGCACCGCATGCCTGGCAACGGAGCTCAATAAGTATCGGCGCTGTGTCTTATATTTCTGCTCAACTATACAAGCAGTCTTATTCCTCAACATTCCAAGCTGTCCACATGTGTTTGGCAGTACTACAAGCTTACCGGTATGAGCACTTCACATCGGACACACTTTTGTGTCTAATGCCGAGTGCCCCAACCTTCGACCAAGATGGCCGACATCTTCAACTCAATGAAGTATCGCTGGTTACCTACATATACCTAAATAAGTATGCTCGGAACCTTGCTATAGCAGTGAAGGAGTTACAGACATTGAGGCACTGATGAAAGCATGCAGCGGCGACGTAGGATAGCTCACAGACACTCTCACATATGCTCTCTTGTATATTATCAGTTCAAAAATGACTTTCTAATGTAGATTCTAACAAAATTATGTCTTTAAAGGCCTGATCTATGTTGTCCGGCGAAAAATTGGCTCTTTTGAGGCCTGATCCCAGCAATCCGAACATTTTGGACATCCGGGATGCCTGATGCCTCCATCCGGCAAAATTATGGATATTGGCCCGAAAACCAGAGGCAAATCCGAACATGTTGAGCAAGATTTGGCTCACTTGTCCGAACTTTTTTCAGGATTTACCAAAAATGTGACTCAGGCATACCCCCCTATTTTCGGGGGTCCTCAGCAGCACCGGCACATAACCCAAACAGGAAAGTCACGCCCCCTGACCAGATCGGCGGCTTGAACCCAACGTTCGCTGCATTGAAACTCGACGTCACTCCCTCGAACAACATGGGATCGACATCGAACGCCGTCAGCGAAGGATATGAGGACTACATGTAGGTTATGCGACTGCGCTCAGAGACTATTGTCTACTCGCTGATTGCTTGGTTCAACAGTGTGAACCACGTCAAAGAGTGGATTGCGAACGACCTCGAAAAACATGAGAAGTGCAATGTCGATGACATGCTAGTGTATTTTCTCAGGCAATGTCTTCACGGCCAAACTCCCGCTTCGAAGGATACGAGCTCGACTTTCTTGCAACCATACCTCGAAGCGGTGCTTCCAATCTGCAACAATGTCCAGATAATGAACCAGCTGACAGAATAGTGCGTCCTTCGTCCACACTAATTCAATCAAGGATTGAAAGACAATTACATAGTTGCGAAATTGGAGGCACCGAACAAGACAGATATCGACCTTTTGTCAAGCTTTTCAATTTAGCGCTCCAGAAACTACGCAGCGTCAAGGTGCCCAACGTTCGTTCCGCGAATGACGATCTTGGGATACTCTTTTATAGAAACAATCTAAAAAGGATAGAGGGATACCACAATAGTGATGTGTCTGATCGTAGCCCCGATGTGGTTGTGGTCTCCCTGGCTGCAGCTCGGGACGCAAGTGACTCTATTAAAATGCAATGGCGGCATGCCACTGGGCCCGCTCCTGAACAGCTTCGCACCGCGTTCGAGTGGTCGCAGATTCTCTGTGTTTTCGAGTTCAAGCGAGTTGCAAAGACGTTGACGCCGCCGCCCCTCAAATACTCTGGTTTTGGGGCCGTCCGTGAACCTCAGCAAAACATATGGAACCTGTTCAATCCCGTTCTAGATCCTTCCGGAGCGACCAGTGCGGAAGCTCATCCAGATGGCGACAGATCTGAAGCGACGGGTGTGAATTCAGGTGGCGGTGGAAAGAGGCCTCGAGCGACAAGTGCGAGCTCGAGTGCACGCGCAAACAAGAAGCCTCGAGGAAGAAGTGCGAACTCGGTTCCACCGAAGATGCACAACACTCGTGGTAGTAGTGCCTTAGCGAATCAACCTCTGAGCGCCTCATCGGCACCCATTGCGCAGGAAGTCGAAGTCAGAATGGAACACGTGGAGCGTCTGGAACCGCCTATTGTCCAGTGCGGATTGTATGGCGTTGAGATGTTGTCACGGGGGCCATGCGTCAACCACGCCATCAATGTACTTATCATCGGTGAGACACGATGAATCTTGTTGTCGCGGGAGGTTTCTCATTTTTCGCCCCAGACGATGTTATGTGGATATGGTGGTACGACAGACAAGGCGCGATCCAGACTCAGGGAATCAACTTTGTTCAAGATCTTCCGCGCTTTCTGATTCTGCTCTTCGCGTTTCAGAGGTTCAAGCTCGAGGATTGGGGGTTCAACACCATCCTAGACCCCCAGTCCAAGATCGTCCATGATCTCAAGAAAGTTCATCAAACCAATCGTTCCCTTCCAAAATCGCATTTCGTGTTTCCGCCACCTGAACTGTCTGTCAGCGCACCGGTTGAGACCACTGTCCTGACGAAATCTCCAGTTTACCACGTATATAGCCTGGTGGGACGAGGCACATCTGTTTTCAGTGGTACTGCGTGTACGAAGGCTCCTTCGACCAGAGGTTCTGGCATACCTCAAGGCTCTGGCAAGGGACCCGTGGCTGTCGATGATATATCATTCGCAACCCCTGACAAGGATGAGAAAGTGGTAGTCAAGATCTATTGGCCGGAAGAATCACGCTTGAGCGAAGGCCGCATTATCAGCGAGGCGTATAAACGAGGGGAGGGCAATCTAGATATCGTGGAACATCTTCCGAAGATGTACCTCGAGCACGACTTCCCCGAACATTCGACAAACCATATCAGGGACGCGCTTCGACTGACGCGGCCTGATGGACGGCGGGCTACTCGTATCCTTCGGCTTGCCGTCTTCCTCAAATTGGACCCTATCATCGCATTGGGCGGGGAGGAGTTCATGAAAGCATATCTGGATTGCGTCCGCTGTGCGTCAAGCTTTAGTCTCAGTGGCGACAAATACTGACCCAAAGGTGCAGGCCACTTTGCTCTTTGGACACTGGGTATTCAACATAGCGATCTCAGCCTGTCAAATGTGATGATCAATGACCAGAAACGTGGTATCCTGAACGACTGGGATCTCGCCACGATCGAGGGAATATCAAAGCACGACGGGTGCGATCGCACTGGGACAGTGCCCTTCATGGCTCTGGATTTGCTGAAGCCGTCCTATTGGGAGGGCAAGATCAAGCGCCAGTATCACCACGACCTCGAAGGCTTCCTGTGGATTTTGCCATATGTATGCTTGCAGTACAAGGATGGTAATATGGTCACGAATCCGCTCAAGTCGTGGAACACGGGACATTACGCCATCTGCAGAGAGAAAAAGAGCGATTTCTTGAGGAATCTCCGCACAAAACCTCACCTGATACCCAAGGCGACCTCTTCGTATGAATGGGAATGGCTCGTATTTCATCGATTTGTACAGCGCATTGACAATAACTGGCGATCACCCCTTACCAATGAGGCCATAGCCGCAGCCATCAAGGGAAATATGGAACTAGCAACGTCGGTACCCACCCCGATGGACATTTATGCGGAATTTTGGGCCAACATCAGGATAACGGCAGAGGACGACAGCGGACACTTGTTGTATCTAAAGAAGTATGTGCCTGACGGCTTTTGAGCAGTATCCTTCTTACTGCCCTAGGCATGACGATTGAATTGTAGCTTGATGCTCTCCTCTGTTGACTTGAAAGTTTGAGCAAAGGCTTTGCAACCACCTGCGACAGATTTCAATTTGTGGCGGTATTCGAGAAAGTTTGGACCAATTCCTATTCTTCAGTGCAGGCTGTATGGCGTTGAAATATTGTCGCGAGGACTGTGCGTCAACAATGCAGTCAATCTATTCCTCATCGGCGAGAATTCTCTGGTCTGATTCTTCTTGCATGGTTCGTTCAAGTTGCCATGTCCTGGATCAGACAGATAAGTGTCGATGTCGAAACGCGTGTGCCGACGTGAATCGATATCGACCTGCACTTCTGTGGCCATCTGTGAATTCGATATATGTTCGATTTCGCCGCCTGTGAGCGGCGCTAGCCGGATGTCCTCAGACCACGACAATTAGTCTCCCGAAGGCAGGAACGTTGACGATTCTCCTTCAACCTCTGACGTGGTCCCTGCATGTCAATCAATACGGTATGCTGCGGACCTGCAGTGCACCATGTAGTACACGTACAAGCGAGGACGACGAGAACTCGACGTCTCGATGCAGTCTTGTCTTTGCCATCGATCGATAGTAGACAGCGTGCGCCGGCTGCCAACGACCAGAGGTATAAAGGCCCGGGGAGAACCTCCCTGCTCCTAACTATCCGCCCCCCACCATCCGCTCCTGATCGGCCTGACCATCGACATTCTCGGACCTCCGCTAGCACACAATATCATGTCTTCCGCCGTGCACTGACTTAAAACGAAGGCAGGTGGGAGTCCACATAGGTGACAAGCGAGTGTGACAAAGTGACCACCACCGATCTGTCTCTCATCTCCCATAGCCTACTTCGCGCTTTTGTACTTTCTTTCAGCATCTGTACCGGTTGAGGATTCTCCAACAGCTCCCTAGAGCTTATTGTCAATGGCATCGTCGTCTTCAAGCTCTAACAATGCCCCCCCAAGTATCATATCTGACGCTGAGCTAGAGAAACTGCTCAACCGCGAAGCCTCTGCCTTCCAGCGCGAGCTTGAGGTAGAGCGGATTCTCCAAGCTTTCAAACTTAAGTGCGTTCATCTCCATCCGGTCGAAATACAAGTTATCTCATCGAGTATCCACCAGTCCATACGATATCCTAGATCTAGACGAGACTGCCAAGCCTGAGGATGTGAAGAGGAAGTATCGACAGCTCTCGCTATGTGAGCATCCGGCGTCCCGCCCCCTCGTCTTGCAATATACACTCTGGTGAATGCATGGCTAATGGATGGATTGTCATTCGTACGTTTTCTGGCTTACAGTCATCCATCCTGACAAGACCCCACATGCACGCGCTCCAGAGGCTTTTGACATATTGAAGAAGGTGTGCATATATCTGCTTTTGCATTGACATATTGACGCTTATCGGACTTCCTCTGTTTCTTAGGCTGAATCTGAACTCAGTGATACTGCGAAGCGAGAGGAGCTGGACGCCACCATCACACAAGCGCGTTCGGTTCTTCTGAAAGCCCTCTCTCTCCCTACCAATACTCCCGATGACCATCCCAAATTGAAGGGACTCGAACCCACATTCAAAGTGCAGCTCAGAATAAAGTCGAAGGAGCTCCTCATCGATGAGGAAGTAAGACGACGAAAGTACGCGCTTGAATCAGTCATCTTCAGCCTACACCCGTCAAATCTGACAATACGGGTAACTCGTTCTGTAGAGCGGTTAAGATGAATCTGGCAAATGAAGGGTTTGAAGCACGCAAAAAGGAAGAGGAAGTCACTGCAAAGAAACGCAAAGCGGAAGACGATGCAAAATGGGAAGGTGAGCACCTTGCATCTTCTCACTCCCCCCGAACCCTAAGTTCACCGCATCATATCATGAATTCAGAGACTAGGGAACAGCGTGTGGGAAGCTGGCGCAGTTTCACCAACAACTCGAAGAAGAAGAAGAAACAGAAGGTCAATATTCTGGGGTGATGTCCGCTGTTTTCAACATGGCCCCTCGCATATTTTCCTAGTCGACATACCCATCTTACTTCGCCCTGTGATACTAATAAACAATAGACATAGTTGCCTCTGATGGCAGGCGTAGTCGCTAATCCGAAATATCGATCACATCTGTGTCGATGTATTCGATGCGTCGTCGCACGCGGCGCGTCAGTACAGGAACATTCTCTTTATCGCCTTCCTCGTCGTCCTCTATTGTGATGACATCTCCACTGATTGCAGGCGGCAACCTATGAGCATGTGAAGCGGACAGCGCATTCGAGGGTTGCACTTGCGTGTTTGCGGCGCTCGCCGATTGGGACTGGGACTGATATTCCTTCTCTATCTGATCCATGAATAGGAATATCTCCTCGTTCATAGGATCATCCCCGAATTCATATACAGTGCTTCCATCGGACCGGATCAGTGGCTTTGGTCCCGACCTAGTCGATGCAGCGCTGCCGCGCGGAGGATGTGATATGTCATCATCAGTGTCTCCAATAGAGTACAATGATATAGTACGCGTTTGTGATAGTGCCCTTGTTGTGGAAAGTTGGTTGACTGCGCGTGCGACAGAAGATGAGGAGGCTGCGTTAGACGTGCTGCCGAAATAGGAGGATTGAACAGCGGTCGAAGTGCTGGTGGACGCAGACGCGTTGCTTGGTTGGCTGGGGATGCGGCGGCGACGAGATCCTGGCTCATCGCCATGGTAGGATGGTATCAGCGTTGGAGAAGGGGATCTGGTGAGTTCACGAAGCGGGGAGCGTGGTTCTGGTTTTGGTGGCGTTTGTGTAGGTGCACGAGGGGGTGCGGGAGCTGTTAGAGCAGGAGGCGGCGCCAAGACTGGGTTGGTAGCATTCACTGGAGCTATTTCAACAACTTCATCCGGCGGTTGCTCGTCGGGTTCGGGAAGATCCTCGAGACTAGAGCAATCAGCCAAGTAAGCTAGAAATCTGACCGTCACGTAGAACATGGACCAACCCCATGCGCGAGCGAAGGCCCCTCACAAAATCACGGTCCTGGTGAGCTTCGAGATCCTCTGCTTGGTGCCCCTTGAGTATGGCATATTTGGGCTCTAGAAACACAATACCGCGCCTGACGAACGCATTTTTAAGCACAAGCTATACACATTTCCACTCAGGCCATTTTCAGCATATGAGGATTATGGTACTCTACCTTGTAACCTAGAGGCGTTTCTCCGAGAATTAAGTCAGGCAACTTGCGAAATTCAATGGCGTTTATGGTAGTAAAGCCGTCGCTGAGCTGTAATCGCAGCATAGACCGTGGGTACCTCAGAACGGGCCCCTCATCTTCTGCATCGTCTCCTCCAAGGCCCGCGAGGTCGGCTCGGTCTATACGAGTCTGTCTGATGTTTTGAAGGGTGAAGGCGCTATGGCCTATCTCTGTCAGAGAGGTAATTTGAACAAGAACAGGAGGGCCTGTGAGGCGACCGTCTTCCATTTCCCCAACGTTCAAAGGGAGCCCCGTTCCTTGGAGCATAGAGTCTTGAAGGTCGGATTGTAGGAGCTGTGCTTCAACGAGTTGGTATATTTGGTCCAGATCGGTCGTGGGTTGCAGCTGGTGTTGGTCTATGACCCATTCGTAGCAAGGTTCTAGCCATTCCTTACTCCAAAGTGTGAGTAGGTGCTACTTCGAGCCAGGATATGAACCCACCGGATCAATCTTGGGTTTAGGATAGAACCGACTGAACCGCTGAATCAGTTGTGCAGGAGGAGGCATTTATTAAGATGCCAGCAGCCTGGTATCAACACAAAAGGATTATGCAACTTTTTTGAGGAGAAAGGCGTTAAATGAGCTCGATTTATTTCTTTATTGAACCAACTCGAAGGCGAGAGTCAAGTTGAAGCATTTGAACGAGAACGATCCCGAGATGCTCGCGTCGCGTCGCGACCAGGACTACCAAAGGGGACTGTGACGTCACCAGCACGTGATGCACTCCGTCACGTTCGGGTGATTTCTTTCATGAAGTGACTCAGTCGCCTGCTTCAGTGAGCTTGCATCGTTAGCCTCGCTATCTTACCTGCTGTCGGGGGCTAATGAACCATTGTCAGACATGTTCTCTGGATTTCAGAGCACATTAGCATGAAACTCAGCCTTTTACCATCTGCACGGCATCATTTCATATCGGCGAGTGCTCGTTCCATGCGACGAAGCTCGACTGGCGCTGCCGCCCCGCGCTCTCCTGCCACTCTTCCTCGTCTTCCAGTGCCGGATCTGCATCAAACATTGAAGAGGTACACTCAGTCTTTGGTACCGTTTTTCCTGGAGCAAGAAGCCCGTGGTGGTCCTTCTCATCATACCGCTTTAAAGACAGCAGCTGAGCGCGCTGACAAGTTTGAGCAGGGGCTCGGACTCACATGTCAACAACGTCTGATTGGTGACTTTTCCCACTATCACTCAACGATGCTTACGATGTACTCATAATGTCCATGTTTGTTTTAGCATTAGACAAGGCTTCGCCGCGAAATTGGCTCGACGACAATATTTGGCTTAAGAAGGCCTACCACGAATGGCGCTCACCTCTTCTCATCCATTCAAATTGGTGGTTGGCGTTCTTCAATGATGTCACAGTCCCAGACATGGTCCTTCAAGGGCGCTCAAGCTCTGTACTGGCAGGAATCACTCCTTGGCAAGTCAGACGAGCCGCTTGGTTGATTCATAGAACACTTAAATTCAAGCATAAATTAAACCGGTATGTCGAAGACTTTGCTCCTGCGTACTGCCTTCGTTGATGTCATGTTGCTCATAGTCAAGACCTATACCCTGATACAACGCATACCGGTGAGTCTCGTTACTGCTTAGAAAGACGCCCAGCTAGCTCATCTGCCTTCTTACAGGCGTATGGTTTCGGGAGACAGTATCCAAGATGTTTAACGTCTGTCGGATTCCTTGTTCACAGTGCGATACCCTCAGTACCCCTTCATTATCGGCCTCGGATAGTCGGAAGGTTCTCGTTATGGTACATGACTGGTTGTATGCCATCGAAGCATACGACATTGATGGGACGCCCATTGCACCGAATGAAATAGAACAGCGCCTTAGGAGAGTCGTTCAGGATGCGGCTAGCCGCATACAAGGGGGCGAACGCGCCGTGCCTGTCGGGTTGCTAAGCGCAGATACCAGAGACCGTTGGGCTGAGGTACGTATAAGCATCGCGATGGAGGGAAGCGTGCTGATGCCTTCATGTTAGAATCTTCAATACATCCTTTCCCTCTCGTCAACAAACCACAGCACTTTTGGCACAATCAAGGATTCGCTCTTCGCCCTCAGTCTTGATCACTATACCTACACTCCCAATGTTTCTGATTCTACCTTACCACCTGTGACGCCTGCCGTTGATTCCCCAGAAGAGATTGATTTTCACCTCCATAATATCCGGTCGTCTTCCAACGCGCGCAATCGATGGTTCGACAAGGCATTCACCTACATCGTCGAATCCAACAGCAGGGCTGGCGCAATGGGCGAGCATTCGCCCTGTGATGCCTTGGTGCCAAGCATAGTTGCCGAATACGCTATCATTCAGAGCATAGATGAAGCGTTATTTTCTGCTTCTGAACCTTCGCACGACTTTTCACAGGCTGACGGTGGAATAGGATGGCAGCGTCTAGATTGGGTTACTGATACCTGCGTTGAATTAGAGTGTGCACAGGCAGAAGAGCGGGCGAAAGGTATCATCGCAGATTCGGATGACAGTGTTCTTTGGTTTGACGCGTACGGCGCAGACTGGATCAAGCGGACAGGTGAGCTCTCGTTGAACCATTGTCTCGTGTCATCGCTAATAGTTGCTCCTTTTCAATCAGCTCGACTGTCTCCCGATGCATATGTGCAAATGGCTTTACAACTAGCTTGGTTCAAGACTCGCGGCACATTCACAGCAACGTACGAGACTGTGTTGACACGTCTCTTCGATCGTGGTCGGACGGAGACAATTCGTACTCTAACTGCGGACAGTCGTGCATTCGTTCTCGCCATGATGGCTCCTTCGAGCTCTGTATGTCCTCTATATTGCTCTCAATAAGGCTCGCCTTCTCATCTCATAGCGCGCATTGATTAGCGTGCTGAACGTCAAACGCTACTTCGTCGCGCGACTCACACTCACACCACGTTGACGCGTGAAGCTGCCACTGGCAAAGGCATCGATCGACATCTATTGGGCCTTCAGCTGATGCTACGTCCTGAAGATGGCGAGCGAAGTCCTCTGTTCGAGGATGAATTCTTTCAAGAGAGTAAGGCTTGGAAACTTAGTACCAGTGGGCTGAGCGCTGGACATCTGTTCAGGGGAACGGGGTGCGTGGATGGTGCTCTACATCAAATGCGATTAGGTCTGATGGTCAAATTTTCGACAGGTTCGGCGCGGCGTATAACGACGGCTACGGTATCAATTGTGAGCATCTTCCCTTTCGACGAAAACATATGTTCTCATTGCGCGTTCAGATCTTGTGGGCCCAGACCTCATAAAACTCGGAATCGAGTCGAAACATTCATGTCCTCACACATCGACTGCAGGTTTGCAAGCCGCCATAGTTGAAGCTTTACGAGAAATGGAGTTGGTCTGTACAGAGGAGCAGACCATTGCGGATCACCCTCGTCATGCTCGTCTCTAACATCGTGAGCTAAATAGATTTGCATAGAGCATACTATAGAACTCTACATTCGTTTCGCGCGCGCGCATTGCGCCTCTGGTCTTATGTTCCACCTCATCAGAAGTTCCCTCCGACAAGGTCCCTCCAGGATATCCAGGCACTCTCACCGAAGTGCGCCGCCATCTTTCCTACAAGGGAGCTTGCGCCCTTCCCGTCCAAAAACTTCTTGCTCGAGGCAATGTACATGCCTCGCTTGCATCGCGTGAGCATCACATTCGTGCGCCGGAGGTTTGAGAGGAATCCAAGATCCTTCGAGCGCACGACTGAGATAATAATGTAGTCCTCTTCGTTTCCTATATGATTGCTTCAGACAGGGTATCTCGACTCGCTACTGAGTTGGCTAACCTTGGAATGAGTCGACATTGAAGCATTTGTCTGCCCACTGAAGTCCTTGCTCTTTTAGAGCACTCTCGATAAGGCTCCGCTGGGCATCGTATGGGGTAATAATACGAAAATTTCTTCCCTCGTCTTGAAGGCGCTGAGCAAGAAGCATGATGGCCTCTATCTCTTTAAGATTCTGAAGCCATCATCAGAGTTGTCGAGTGCATGCCCCTTATATGGAGCTCACCTTCCAACTTGTGCCGTCGTGTTGTTCAAACCCGTCTTCGACATCAATAAATTGACAAGCAATTGTGGATGATTTAACTGGATGGAGAGGATTTGAGTCAAGTTTATTGTCATAAACTTCTTGAGAGATGAAGCTTCCAATCTGAGGAGGCATCCGATCTGGGGTACAAATGTCCAGTTTAATGAACCAAAATTATGAGCATAAAATGCATGCTTACACTGAGTATCCAAGAAATTTCTCTGTAGGTGAGGTTTCTCAAAGATACTTTGCAGATTTTGAATTTCCTCTTGTCCATAGGGAGGTACTATTGTAATATGAGTAAATAAGTTAATCATATGTAAGAAGAGATAAGATAATGCAAAACCTACATTGCTTATCATCCCCAATAAAGCAAACCTTACGGATTGTGTCAAAAGATGTAAAGATAGAAACATAATCTCCAATCTCAATCTGACTAGCCTCATCAATAATAAGGGTAGTTAGAGGTACTGCTCTAATAAAGCCAACATCTCTTAGACGAGAATTGGAAAGCATGGAAAGTGTGCAGAGAAGAACTTGTGAGCCATCCAAGGTTTTGCCTAGTTGAGTGGGTCCTCGAGGGAAATCAGAAGATGGAATAAGGTTGCGAGAAATCTGCTTATAAAGATGTTCATGCCTAAAGCAAATTATAAATAAATTTGAACATTTAAATTGAAATTTCCGCACCAGTCAAAATGAAAGTCCTTAGAGACTATAAGTCTCCAATTAAAAAACCCGACAGCAGCCAGCTTTTCAGCAATATTTTTGACAGCTACATTAGACTGAGCAACTAGCCAGATACCCTTTTGCCCAGCTGCAATGGCAGATAAGACATAAGTAGCAATGACAGTTGTCTTCCCTGTACCAGGAGGCCCTTGGATCAAGGTGATAGGTATGATGGGAAAGGGAGTAAGCATATCCTTTACTGCAACAATCTGTGAAGAATTCATAGGCCGATCAGGATCAAGAGAAATAGGGATCTCAGCAGACACAGGAAGAGGTGTGAGATAGGATTCTGGCCAGACCACATTCTCAGACATATCCCAGATTAACTGCAACCAAGGATTATCAGAAAGAGGCTGAATACCCTGTAGCATGTGAAGAACAGTTTGAGAGCGCTTTGTCTCTGCCTGAGTCAGACTTTGCCGACCAAGAGTAGTAATAGATCTGACAAGCTTTTGATCAAGATTACCTTCAGTTTGAAGAGTGGCCTGACGGCCTGAGACTCTGGAAGCTTGTCCATAAATGGCATAGTTGCCTCCGGAAGCATCTTGTACTTCAACGCGGATCCGCTCGAAGGAAATCAGAATTGATTAAAGAAATCTAGACTTTTCTTCATACCTGATCACCATTCATCACACGAGACTGGAAACGTTCGGATTTGACCTGAAGCTTCTTCTTCTTCCTGTCCCACTCTGCGGTGGAATCATGGGTAACAGAAGTGGCAGCCTTGCTGTTGAGCTGCTGAGAATCAGAAGCAACCTTCGACATAAAAGCAAGTTGCTGAAGAGAGGTATGCAATGGGTCGTCAATATATCGAGCAGTAGCGGAAGGCTTACTTGTTCATTGAATTTTTTTGTGTCAATTTTCGGTGCTTTATAGAAGAAATCCTGCACAGAATCTAACCGAGCAACATAGGAAGCGAGCCATGCTCTCTGAGCCAGATCGGTAAGCTGTTTGGGGTCCCAGATCATTTCTTCGAAGAAAATAGATATGTTCTCAGAATTCACGGGGACTAGATCACCCACCGCGAACTTGACCGCCCCGAGAGGACTCTGGGATAGAATGGGAAAAGCGGACTGGATGTCCACCCCATTCGTAAGATGGAGTTGGTGGTTCCGATGGAGGAGTAGAGCAATGGGACCTAAGTCAAAGGCATAGATGTGAAGCTTATCGCTGCAGAGGATGTCGCTCTCGATCAGACCCCTGCCAGTCAGATCACGCGCCGAGCGCGATCCGTTCTCGGGTTTCGGGCTGTAGAAATGGACGATAAGGATGAGGTGATCGACGCTGAGAGCGATAGCAAGGAGGCCACCGCTTTTCGAGAACGCGGGCGCGATCCCAACAGAACGAGGAGAGTTCCCTGCGCCGACGCGCAGCAGAAATTCGATGTCTTCGGAATTGACGTCGGATTCATGAATGGAATGGACTGTGATGATGGGATGGAATTCGTCGACAGCATTCTGGTGGATCTGTTTAGTAACAACGTTGCGAGGAGCCATCGCGAATGAGGACGAGAGAGAGCAAGCTACGAGGCGACGATGGGCGGTGGTCAACAGTAGAGTGCCAGCTTATCGATGGGTGGCTCGCGCAGTGGCATAAGGTCAGAAATGCGATTATGTCTGAGACTCGGAGTTCGGGACGAACAAATTGGCAGAAAAGAAGGCGTTAGACAAAACAAGACGAATACAAAGACTGACTACGACACGACGAAAGGAACAATGTACCGACTCGATATATCTCTACCACAGCTCGCAACGGAAGTTGTGGGCATATAGCGCAGGTGCGGGACATTCCCAGCCACAAAAGCGTTGTCTTCACGGGATTCACGTCAAGCCGGTTTCGATGAGCTGTGGTCCTTTACGTCGATGGATTTGATCTGGAAAGTCGAAGACATTGGTCACAGAATCAAAAACTAGTATTGGTATATGATATGCAAGGGCTGAGTTGTAGCAGGCGTGCAACACCCTGCTTGAGATGCGTGTACGAAGCATGACGAGCATACAACAATCCGTCAGTGGCTCGTCAAAAGATCCGTGACAATGAACGACTGACCTGTGGTTATGCATTATTTCAAAGGCGAGATACAGACTTGTTGAGAAGGATTGAGACAGCGGTAGCCAGATTTCGAAGAGAAGCCCAGCGTAGGTTGCAATTAGGTACGGTCGATGACAACTGGATCTCGGACGAATGATAAAAAGTAGATGTCAGTCGTCGACATAGATTCGGAAGGTAGGCGTACCATGCATTCCGCTTATACTTATATCTTCGTGCACAAGTTTCCTGTTCGATACGGCTTCAGAGAGGGTCTGAGGATTAGTCTCAAAGCTTGCAGATTATAGCCCAGTATTTAAATCGTGGAAAGGTAGTCCCTCAAGCTTCAGGTCCCATGGCAAGGTTGAAGGAGCAGGGACATGAAAGGCCAAAGAGTCTTCGAAGCAAATCAAAATTATCAAGAAAATAGGTTTCAGCTAGTTGCGATTGAATGACTGGAGGTGCCGGTGACTGGCGGTGTCGGTGAGCGGAAGCAAGAGAAAGAACGAGGTTTGCTGGATAACTCGGCATAGTTCCCACGCTCACTTAATTCCTCCCTACTCAGTCGGCCACACATGGCGACCCCGGTCATCTTTGGTGTTGGTGCTGTTGCAGCTGCATTAGCAGGACGTCACCTCTTGCGTCGTGGTATCATCGGAGGAAAGGGAGCTGCAGAGCAATGGGTGAAAGGGGGGTTCAAGGCCAAGATGGACAGGAAGGAGGCCATCGCGATACTCGGTCTCAAGTGCGCCTCACGTTTGCTTGCGGTATACCCGAATGCTGACCTCCAGGACAATCAAAGGGATGGCCCACTGTTGAAGACAAAACTGAAGGACGCTCATCGTCACATCATGCTTGCGAATCATCCTGACCGAGGAGGTGCACCTTACTTGGCCAGCAAAATTAACGAGGCCAAGGACCTCCTAGAACGCGAATTGAAACGATAATATCTGCTCTCATCTGCTTTGGTGCGTCTATTGTTTCAACAGTGTCTCGTGCCATGGCTTACCGTTTTAACCTCGCAGACCGCGCCTTGTAGTACTTATGTATTCTATAATGTCTTGCATTCCTCCTACATTCATCTCTCCTCACCTACATCTCATTCTCTGCCTATTGAGAGCAGAAACACTACTTCTTCCAACGCACTGAGCTTCCGACATTCGAGAACAGGCTACAGCCATTCTTCGGAGTCTAGAGAGATGGACTATCTGCGTGTCGCCGGGGTTTCCCCAACCCTGAATGCTTATCATGAGTGAAGAATATACACCGATATCATGCACGACAGTTGAGACGTTATTGGGCTCTTCCTCCTCGTCGTTTAGTGAGAAACCGCCTACAAATATGTGCTGACCAAGCCGAGGATGCTATCTTGTACCCTGTCCGCCATGAGCGCAGACGACCTCCAGCCATCGAAGCTGGGCACGAAGCAGCAGTGAGTTGCGGCAGCCTGCGATATCTCCCAGTATCCCAACCCGCTCTCCATAGCTGGGACGATGTCTACCAACGCGAAGTCGCGAACTTCACAGAGACGGGTGACGAGGGCGAAGTGTGGTGAGCTCCCCCTCCCTTCAACGACGCAGCCAAACCCCGCCGCCCCATCGCTCACCGCGCGGTGGAAGATACTCAGGTTCGGCGAAGACAGCGTCGAGAAAATGGTCGACTGGGCCGCCGAGCACGTCCCTCCCGCATCTCAGCCCTTCGTGCTCGAAGTCGGCAGCGGCAACGGCGCACTCCTGTTCTCGCTCTCTGAGGTGGGGTACGACGCCTCGCGGCTTGCGGGCATCGACTACAGCCCCGACGCCGTCACGCTCGCTCGGCTGGTCGCCGCGAACCGGGGGGCGGAGCGGATCACTTTTACTGTCTGCGATTTCTTGGCCGACGTCCCTGTGGGGTTGGACGGCCGGCCCGGGTGGAGTGGAGGCTGGGATCTCCTGTTGGACAAGGGAACGTATGACGCTATTGCGCTAGGCGAGAAGGATGAGGACGGGAAGTCGCCCGTGTCGGGGTACCCTGCGCGCGTCGCAGCGCTGCTCAGGCCAGGCGGACACTTCCTCATAACATGTACGTGCTCGCTCTAGGTCGTATCGTGAGAACAGGGTTCATCCCTGGACAGCGTGTAACTTCACAGAAGAGGAGCTCAGAGCCGGTTTCGCTACTCCGGAAACACGCCTCGTGTACCAGTCAGTCGACCCACCTTCGTTTTATCCTTCGTGCAACTCTCACACACTTATGCAACCCAGCTCTCGAATAAAATTTCCCTCTTTTTCCTTCGGAGGACACAGCGGAAACGTCTACTCCAGCGTCGCTTTCCAAAAGGCTTCCCTCCCGCCATAACACGCCGAGATTCTCCATAGAAAATGTAGAGTAGCAGTGGGTGTACCGAGCCATTGCTCAGAGTGTAGAAATAGTATCCAGCCCCATCCGCAACGTATCCACCGCGACATCTCTCGCCCATGTCACAAAGTTGCCGTCGCCGCCGCCGCCGCCCTCTCCGTCAGCCCTGCGGAACGCGTCCGTGAGAAAGTACACCAGGCCGACCGCGAGCGCCTGCACCCGCGTCGCTCTGGCGAAGACCTCTTGCAGAGGGCCTCGATTCCGCGTCGACGGCATGTTGGCGACGTGGGCGGTCAGGACGGGGACGGACGACTGGCTGCTGACGAACAGCTGCATGCAGAACTCCTTCAAGAAGGCCCGCGCTTGGGGCTTGATCGCCATGAAATCAACCGGCTGCAGCGCGCGACGAGTCATCAACGGGCGGTCCTTCGCCGCCACGCAGCGAGCAGCAAACGCACCTTGAACACGGCGAGGGTGATCGCATCCTTGGCCACCCACCACGCATAAGCCCTCGCCACGTTCCGCATCCTCGAAGACGAGATCTTCTTCACGTCAAAGCCGACGGCGGCGTTGTCGTCCTTGAGGTTTTTGATGACCTCCGCCCCGCCGACGTTCGTCTCGCCGAGGTCGCGCAGAAAGTCCCACAGGCAGAACTGCATCGTGACCTTGTACGAGTGCGAGCTCCGGCAGAGATGCTGGCCCACGAACGTGTAGTAAGGGTTATACGACTTTTCCTGGAGTTCGTCACGAGCAAGGTGAGGCGAAGTGAGGACGCGACGTGAAAAGGCATTCGAAACGCACGTTGCCGCAACAGTGTAGCAGGACGCGGACGATTTCCCTCTGCTGGATCTCCGTAAGGTTGAGCTGCGCGAGCCGCTCGCACGCATCGACGTAATCCTACAATCGTCCATCAGCGATCCTGAATCGGGCCACTCTAATGACGTCGCGGGACTCACGTCGCTGCTCATCAGCACGACGAAGACGCTGCGCCGAATGTCCGTGTTCATCCCCTGCTTCCTCGCCAGCTTGACCAGCGAGCTTTCCGACGCGCTCTCCGGCGGCGCGGCGCCCCCATCGCGGTTCGCGCTGGCTTGCTGCTGCTCGAGCAGAGGGTCGCCGCCCCACGCGGCGCCCACGAGCCACCACTTCCCCTTGGTCTCGGCGGAGTGGAGGTCGTTGAGGCTCACGCGCAACGGATCGTGGGCCGCCACTGCGTGCCCAGCATCGCATCCTGATTTGAGAACACCGAAGAGAGCGAGAAGAGAGACGCGTGCGCACCTTGTCGTTTTTTGCTCAGTCCCGCGAGGAACTTTTTCATGCGCTCGACGGCGTCGCCCCCCGCGTGCTGCGTCGCCGAGCGCTTCGTCTTGTTGTTCTTGAGGTTGACCAGGGTCTCGACCATGAACCGAGTGCGCGAGCTGCGCAGACGTCACGCGTGGTCAGCTGGATGCACATGTGCCATCGATGCTCCGTCACGCCCACCTCGCAGACTGCTGATCGCCCGACGTCTTCCCTTGGACGATCTGGATGATATCCTTCAGCGCAGACGGATCGTCCTGGCGCAGCTGCTGCCCCGAACCTAAACCCACCAGGAGCGCGATCGAGCGATCGAGCGAGACAATGAGCGTGAATCGACGAGACGACGAGAACGCGTCACGCACTGCGCAGGAGCTTCAGCAGCAGCTCGACCCTGAACTCGTCCAGCGCGCCGTCGAGGAGGTTGCGGATGACGTCGTAGACCAGGACGCAGGAGATCACCTGGAAGTTGTACAGCTCTGAGAGGAGCACGATGAGGTTCGAGCACTCCTTCCCGCGCGTCTCGGTCTCGTCGCCTGGGCCCGCCGGCGCGCCCCGCAGCGCGTCGTAGTGCCGCTCGTAGAGGGCGACGACGTGCTGCACGAAGTAGGCCGCTGGGGGACGGCGTCAGCAGGCGACGGCGCTAGCATGCGGAGCGCTATGTAGGCGTACCGAATTCGACGCCGACGATTTTGTGGAGGCTGGACACGAAGGCGGCGTGGAGGACGACGTACGAGTCGAGCAGAATAGAGTGAGCCGCGATGCCCTCGGTGATGAGAGACGTCAGGCAGGAGGTCACGTCTACATGCATGCATGCATCAGGCATCTATTAATATGGCACGCATTTGACATACCGTGCCGTCGATGTTTTCTGTATGCTTCTTCGACGTCGTCCAAGATGGCCGCGATATTTTGTTCGCTCATTCTGATCGGGGACATATCCGTGTTAGGAGTGCAAAGAAACGCGCGACGCGTGGGAGGTAGGACTCACCGGTTGAGCAGGCCTTTTAGTTGCCTGGTAAGTTTAGTCAGAGCTTCTGATTTTTGGGCATCCACCTTTCGGAGGTGCGGGGGTACATAGGCGGAGCCTAGCAGTCGATGTGAGCGATTTCAAAAAAAGAAGAGCATGCGCAGGAGCGACGGGCATACATACCTGCTACAGGGGCGGGGTTTGAGGTCGCTGGATCTGGGAGCAAGGGGGGCGCTTCATCGGTGTCCTCGCCCGCGCTGTGCTCTATAGACTCTCCGAATCCGCTCCATTCCTCGTCGATGATATCTGTAGATTCGGCCTCCTCCAATTCAGCGCCGTCTTCATTCTCAACTCCTTCGTCCTCTTCGTCCGCAGAAGGACTTTGAGGAAGAGCGTCCAGTTTCTGAAAGAAGCATCAGCATACCCGAAAATAAGAAAACGACGCGCATACATCTCGCGAAGAAGACGCGCCGATCGAGTCGAGGTCCATCAGCAGATCTTCGAACCAAAGCGAAAACCTCAGCCTCAGCACCAGCACCAACGAACGCGACAACCACGAAAAAGGCCCCACGCACCGCCAAGCCCGTCCTCCTCGAACTCCTTCGCGAGCCCCGCGCCCTGCCGCTTCCCCCTCTGCTGCGCGCCTAGCTTGCCCTCCAGGAGCGCGATGTACCGGTCCTCGTGCTCCTCCGCGCGCGTGCGGAGCACCGGGCCCGTGCGCACCGCGAGCTTCTCCAGCTTCGTCTTGGGGGGCGCGCGCGCGGACGACGCGACCTTGGGGGCTTCCTTCACTTTCTTGCTACTCGCGGGGGGACTGGCTGCGACAGCTGCGACAGCGGCGAGCCGCGCATCCTCATCGCGGACCACCTTGGCCTTTTTTCGCTTCGGGGACGCCGCGTGCTCCGCCGCCGGCGCGGGGCGCTTCGCCGCGCTGCCCCCCACCGCGCCCGACGCGGACGATATCGCGGCGGCGGCAAAGTGGGTCGCTTTTCTCTGCTTCTTGGCATTGCGGTCCTGCTTGCGCGCCTCTTTGCGCGACGGGCGGGCGGCGCGGTGCGGTGCGCGGCCGGGGGCGGATCCGTAGGTGGATTCTGGGAACGTGAGCGTGTGAGCGTGGGTCGAGGCGCCGATCTGGGCGAGGAGGCCCTGGGGCAGGCGGAGGGACGTGTGCGAGGCCATTGCAGGCCGGATCGAGCGCCACACATCTCTGCGAAGTCTCTGCGAGCGCTGACTCAGGCTCGCTTCGTCAGCCGCGACTCCCACCCAGCATGGCACGTGGGCATGCGTCTTCATTCACTCCCCGTCGACGATACGGTTCTACATTCCTAGCTTACAATGCACGGCTCGCAGCCGCCTCTTTTGCCCGACCCACCACCCACCACCCGACACCGCGCGCCCCGCGTTCACACCTCCCGCCCAGCGAGCTCGCTCGCGAGCGCGAAGGTCGCCTGGACGAACTCCTCCACCCGCCGCCCCTCCTCGTTCCTCTCCAGCGCGCCGTCCCCGCGCCGCGCAAACAGCACCTCCGCCCGCCGCCCCTCGTACGCGCGCCGCACGTTCTCGCACACGTGCCACACCCACCGGCGCACCCGCATGCCCGCCGTGCGGTGGACGTGGCCGAGGTACAGGAACCAGTCCGCGTCGTGCGGCGTCGAGCGCGCGTGCGCGAGCGCGAGCCCGGCCGCCTTGGCTTGCTCGTGTTCGCCCGCGAGCGGCACCGCCCAGCCGAGCGAGAGCACGAGCCGCCGCGCGTGCGGCTGGAATGTCGTCAGCGCGTGCGTGCGCAGCGTGCGGCAGGTCGAGGTGAGCGCGAGGTAGGTGCGGACGTCGAGGTGGGGCAGCAGGTGCAGCAGCACGTCGATCGGGAGCGTCGTCACGCGGTCCGTCGTCGCCTCGGGCCTGCCGACCGACCCGAGCCGCTTCTCGCTCACGGTCGCGAAGAACCTGGGGAATCTGCGCACGGCGCGTCACGTCAAGTCTCGCCCCCCCCCCACGACACGACGCGGGAGATGCAGAAGAGCGCACGCACACGTCGGGCCTGTTGAGCGTCCACGCGAACTCGCTGCCCGCGAAGCCCTCCCAGTCCCAGTTGCGCCCCTGGTACGGCGGCTTGGGCAGCCAGAAGCGCCGCAGGTCGACCGGCGCGCGCTCGCACGCGACGTGCTCGTAGTCGACGTGTCGGAACCGCCCGGCCTCGCGCCCACCCTGCGGCTGCCCGAACACGGACTCGAGCTCGAACAGGCGCACGAACGTCTCGACGGTCCACGCCTCTGCGTCGAGCGCGTGGCGCAGCAGGTCCGCGCAGGTGGTGTGGAAGAACATGCACTGTCGCGCGCGCGGGCGGCGTGGCGGCGTCAGGTCAGCCAGCGGCTCCGGGTCGTAGGAAACTCGCGACTCGCCGTTCCGCCGTCCTTCTCCCACGTGTGCACGATGGGCATCATGCCGAGATCGGCTCCGAACAGGTTGTTATCTGGGTGCGATCAGCTCGCCGCTCGACGTGCGGTCCGCGATCGCGATCGCGGGCGGCGCGAGCACGCACCGAGGTAGTTGAACTTGAGCAGGAGGGTCATGATGCTCTGGCCCCACGCGATAGCCGTCGAGTGGTAGCTCGTCTGCGCGGCGCTCAGGATCCCGCGCGGCGGCGGGTGGGGATTGGTCGACCTCTGCTCATTGGGGACGAACGGAAGGCGGCAAAGGGAGCAGGACATCGGGAGGAGGGGGGATAAGAGGAGAGGGCAGGTGGGCCACCCGTTTTATACGCCCGTGGACTTTTGTCGTCGTGCGCGGAGTCGCGGATCTATGCGAGCGTTCCCCCGTTTTGTGGATGTCACGCCGTGATGCGTCACTCGCGAGCACTGCGACTCGAATAATCGTACACTGGCTTGTACTTCCGGTACCATTACAATATACTTACATAGCATACGCACGGATCTGTCCACCACCACCCCAGCAGCTCAACAGACCCACCACCACCACCACCAGCAGCAGCAGCAGTTGTTGTCCCCAGCGCGCTCACGAGAATCACGCAGCAGGGTCCGCAGAGTGCTCCAGGACCTGCGCGACGGTGTCCAACACCACCTTCGGCTTCAACAGCATCGTGCGCTCCATCCCGTCCTCGCTCACGCTCACGCCCACGAGCGCGAGCGCGTGCTTGCGCGTCGCACACCGCAGCCCGAGCTCCGTCGTGCACAGCACCTGGCCGCGCCCCGCCCCCGCCCCCGCCCCCGCCTCCGAGCCGAGCCCCGCAAACGCGTTCGCCATCGCCACTGCGTCGAACGCGCGCGCGGGCTCGGCGAGGACGACCTCGAAGCGCGTCGACATGATCTCCTCCGCGGTGACGCGCGCGAGGCGGCACGCCGCGAGCGCGATGCGGCGCATCTGCGCCGCGAACTGGCGCTTGAGCGATTCGGCGGAGGCCGGGTTGCCCGCGCCCGCGCTCGGGCTCTGGCTTGGGCTCGCGTTTAAGTTTGGGTTCGGGCTCTCGCCGCCCGCGTACCCGCAGAGCAGAAAGACGTCGGCGAAGGACCGGGCGACGGTCTCGATGAAGTCGCCCACGGTGTCTTCTTCGAGGGCCGGGTACAGCTGCCGGAGGTGGCTCGACGCGAGCGCGCGCCAGCGGGACGACGTCGCCTGGGGCTCTGTTTCGCGTCTCAGCACAGCAGCGGCGCGCGCGACGCAGGGAGAAACGCGGGTGGGAAGCCCGCGGGGGACACGTACCGGTGGCGTGCATGTGCGCGTGCAGCTGGCAGAAGAGCGCGTTGGTCGGCGCGGGGAGCCCGACGCAGAACATCGCGAGCAGGCGCGCGGCGTGCGCGGCGGCGCAGGCCTGCAGCGCGCACTGGATGAGGACGGAGTCCTGCGCGTGGTCGCGCGTCGCGAGCAGGCGCGCGAACGGCTGCCCGAGGCGCGCGACAGTGTCCTTGGCGGCGTGCGCGAGGCGCGCCGTGGCGGCGGCGGCGGGCGACGGCTGCGGCTGCTGCTTATTGGTGCGCTTCTCGGTCGCGGGGACGAGCTCCGTCGCGGCTGCCGCGAGCTGGAGGATCTCGGAGTTGAGGTCCTGGACGGCGACGAGGACTTCGGCGCCGGACCAGCTGTCTGTCTTGGTGAGGAAGGGGTCGTTTGGTTTGGTCGAGGAGGAGAGCGAGTATGAGGTCGAGGAGGAGGTCGAGGAGAGGGTGGTCGAGGAGGAGGAGGACGGCGGGGAGGGGTCTATGGTGCCGGAGAGCGGTCTCTGAGTCGGCGGGGTGGACTTGTGTCGACGGCTGGGGAACGGGCTGCGGGGGCGTCCGTGACGCTTGTCGTCGAGATCGAAGGGCGCGTCCCTGCGCGCGGCGGGGCGATCACCCTGGCGCGAGTCGGGCCTCAGCGGCGGGGCGGGGCGATCGGGCGGCTGGGCGCGAGACGGGCGCTCGGCGAGCAGCTGATCCAAGTCCTTGCGGAGCTGATCGCGGTCCTGCGCGATGCGGTCGCGGTCCTGCGCCAGCTGGTCGCGGTCCTGGCGCAGCTGGTCGCGCTCGCGTGCGAGGCCGTCGAGGTCGTTGTCGCGGGCGCGTGCGGCGTCGGCCGCGTCCTTGAGCGCGCGGTCGAGGGCCTTGCATCGGTCTGCGAGCTTTGCGGCGTCGGCGTGGGCACGGGCGAGGTCGGCGCGGGCGAGGTCGAGCTCGCTGCGGATGGCGGCGATGGTGGAGGGCGGGGGGTCGGGGCGGGGCTGGGGCGAGCGGTTGCTGGTGGGGGTGGGGGTGGTGGTGGTGGTGGTGCTCGCGGGGCGGCGCTCGGCGGAGCCTGCGTCGGGCTTGCGGCGCCGGGGGGCACGTCCGCGCGGCAGCTTGTCGGGACGGAGGGGGACGGGGGCGATGTTGCTGTGTGTGCGGGCCTCGTCGTGGGAGGCGGCGGGGGCGGTGCGGCGGGGGTCGTCGCGGGGATGTGAGAAGCCCTGGAAGGAGAGGGCGGGGCTGCGGAGGGTGAAGAACTCGACGGAGGAGAGGTGGAAATCTGCGGTGTGGGGGAGGGCATCGTCAGCGACGGGGGGCATAAGAGGAGGGGGGAGAGGACGGTACGGTCTGTTCAGGCAGGTGGCTGGCGACGGGACAGCGCGCACACAGAACCCTGCCTGCAGGCACAGCACGTTCCCGGGCGAGTGACGTATTACGCGCTCCTGCAGCCCTCGCTCGTGTCCGCCTCGTGTTGGGCCGTCCCCCGCCCAGGCCACGACACGCCCCGCAGGCTTCTTATCCGCCGTCCTCGCCCCTGCCTTTCCTCTCTGCTATTGTCCCCCTGTCTCTTTTATCTCTGTCTGCTGTCCGTCCAATCTGTGTCCATGACGCTCACGGGCGACACTCGCAAGCCCTATGGCGGGTCCTCGCGCTCCCTCGTCCTCGCCTTCGATCTCGGCACAACCTTCAGCGGCGTCTCCTACGCCATCCTCGAGCCCGGCGAGGTCCCCAAAATACACGGCGTCACCCGGTCCGTTGCTCTCTCCTCCTCCTCCTCGCACAGCGCCCCGCCGCCGTTCTGAACCCCCCCGCGACGTCGACCGCGACGACAGCTTTCCGGGCCAGGAGCACGTCGCGGGCAACTCCAAGATCCCCACCCTCATGTACTACGACAAACACGGCAAGATGACCGCCGCGGGCGCAGAGGCCGACACCGCCGCAATGGCAGACCTCGCCGAGGACGACGGCTGGCTCAAGGCAGAACTGTGCGTCGTCGTCCCCACCGCCGCCCGTCCAAGCAGCCCCCACTGACCCACCCACCCACCCACCCGGCGGACAGGTTCAAGCTGCGCCTCCGCCCAAAGACGATGGCGCTCAAGATGAACGGCATGCGCCTCCCCGCCCTCCCGCGCGGCAAGAGCTCCGTGCACGTCTTTGGCGATTTCCTCGGCTACCTCTTTCGCTGCACGCGCAGCTTCATCGTCGACACCCACGCGAACGGCGGCGCGATGTGGCGCGCGGTCGAGAACGACCTGCAGTTCGTGCTCAGCCACCCGAACGGCTGGGAGGGCGCCCAGCAGACCAAGATGCGCCGCGCGGCCGTGTACGGCGGCCTCATCCCCGACACGGACGCGGGCAAGGCCCGCATCCGCTTCGTCACGGAGGGCGAGGCGAGCCTCCACGCGTGCGTCCTCAACGGGCTCGCAAACGACGTGCTCTCGGTGAGTCCCCGCCCGATCGCCCCGCGGTCCGTGCCCGACTGAAAGTGGGCGCGGGAACGCGCAGAACCCCTCGGGCCACGGGTTCCTCGTCGCCGACGCCGGGGGCGGCACCCTCGACATCTCGTCGTACGCGATCCGCGGAACCTCGCCGCTGGTGATGGAGGAGATCGCGCCGCCGGACTGTGCGTCCTCCGCCCCGCCCGGCGCTCGCTGCCACTGATGAGAGGCTCGATTAGGTGTGTTCGCCGGATCGGTCTTCGTGAGCCGCAGGGCCCGCGAGTTCTTCGAAGGTAGGCCGGCCCCCGTCGTCCGCCGATAGCAGTTCACGATCCGCCCCCCGGCAGAGAAGCTGCGCCACTCCAAATACGGCGCACCCGAAACCCTCGACCACATCGCCAAACGCTTCGACGAGACCACAAAGCGCTTGTTCCGCGACCGAAACGACCTCCAGTTCGTCCCCTTTGGCTCTCCCCTCGACAAGGACCTCTCCGTCGGCATTCGCGCGGGCGCGCTCAAGCTGACCGGGTAGGTCCCGCCCTAACTGCGTCTCCGTCGATCTATGTCCTCATCGTTGTCAGAAACGAGGTCGCCGCCTTGTACGAGCCATCGGTGGAGGCCGCCGTCATCTCCATAAAGTCTCAAATCGAGGCCACAAAGGGCTTCGTCAAGGTATCGTCGCGTCCGATCCCGCCTGCGCGTCTCACACTCAACGCGGGATGCCGCTTTTCAGTCCGTGTGGCTCGTGGGCGGCTTTGCGGCAAGTCCCTGGCTCTTCAGCCAGCTTCAAGAGCGCCTCAGCCCTCTGGGCGTGACCGTCAGCCGCCCGGACAGTCAGACGTCAGTGTCCCGCCCCGCTTGCTCTCACACTCCAAACACTCAGATTTTCGCTCGCAGCTCAAAGGCAGTCGCCGATGGCGCGATTGGATTTTACTGCGACCATCACGTCTCTGCGCGCATGTCCAAGTTCATGTACGGTGTAGAATACTTGCGTGAGTTTGACCCACAGGATCCAGACCACGCGGCACGGAAGGACAGGCTGTGCGAGTTGCCGTCTGGCCCGCGCTTGCTGCCGGATGCCTTTGACTGCATTCTCTCCAGAGTGAGTGCGCGTCTGTCACGGCGATCGCACAGGCTCACCCCGGCGCCGTGTTTTTTTTTTTTTTAGAGCGTCCGAGTGAAGGAGTCGACCGTGTTCAGCCGGAAGTACTGCACCGAGGTCACCAGCCTGTCGACGCTGTCCGTGTTCGAGGTGGAGGTCTGGTGCTTCCGCGGCGGGGACATGGTCCCCAAGTGGATCCTCCGCAAGGACGAGAGCTTCTCGACGCTCTGCGTCGTCCAGGCGGACCTGTCGCCCCTGAGCGGGAGCGCGCAGCCGAAGCATGGCAAGAACGGGAAGACGTATTGGACGATCGTGTTTAGCGTCGAGATTCATTTTGGGCTGACGGAGTTCAAGGCCAGGATCAAGTGGGTGGATAACGTGAGTGTCTCTTCGCCGCCTGGTATCCGGGATTTCGCTGAGCGCCGCGGTTCCCAGGGAACGACGCGATAGTCAGTGATCTTTTGATTTTTGTTGTTTTGGCGCGCGCCCTAATCGTTCACTTGACGCAGCGGGCCGGCCTCCATCGTGTACAACGAGAGCGGGCATCGAGCCGATGAAGACGAGGCAGACAGCGGCGGCGAGGAAGAGGTGGGGCGCTCCGACAGTAGGCATCGATCTTCTCGTACCTCCCGTGCCCCGTCCCGCGACGAAAAGATACCCCCACAGACTCGAGAAGTCACTCTCCCAGTAGCGGAACGGGTCTACCGCGACGTCCCCAACACCGAGATCCGGACCCCGAGCAAGACGGCGTCCCGCTCGCGCACGACCTCGCAGACGGCCTCGCAGGCGACGGCGACGGCGTCCCCCAGGACGGAGAGGAGTGATAAAGGGAAGCAGAGGGAGAGCGGCGCGTTCGGGGGTGGGGCGTCGCGGCCGCTGTCGGGCGCGAGGGGCGTCGGTCCTGGCTACGGCGTCGGCTCTGGCTACGGCTCTGGCTCGTTCGATCTACCTCCCCCAATAACACCGAGTGAATCCTCCTCTTCGCGGCGCAGCGGCTCCGCCCGCCTCGCCGAAACGCTCTCGTCCGTCTGGGGCACCGCCACCGCCACCACGACAGCGACAGCCACAAACGCGTCGTCGGCAAACGCGTCCGTGCTGCCGTCCCCGCGCGAGGAGCGCGCATCGTCGGCTGGAAGGAGCCGCCTGCCGTCCGTAGCCGAGGTCCCTGCCGCCGCCGTTGCTGCGAGAACGCCGCGAGCCGAGACCCCGCGCGCGAGCGCGAGCGCGTCCGCGCCGCGCGGTGCGTCGCCGCTGCAGGCGGGCACGCCTACGCAGGCCGAGCCTCCTGCCGCTGAGCCTCTGGCCGTCGCTCCTGATCTTCCGGTCGCGCCCGCCGCGCCCGAGCCCGAGCCCGAGCCTCCTGCTCCTCCACCCGCGCCCGAGCCGCGGCCCGAAGTGCAACCCGAATCTCAACCCGAGGCACAACCCGAGGCACAACCCGAGTCACAACCCGAGCCGCAGCCTGAACCGCAGCCCGAGCCCGAACCCCCAGTCGTGGAACCGCCACCGCCGCCGACATTGGGCGCTCCCACCTCCAAGAAGGGCTCCAAGGCCGCAAGCAAGGCCGCGAGCAAGGCTGCCAGCAAGGTCGCCAGCAAGGTCGCCAGCAAGGCCGCTAGCAAGGCCCCGAGCAAGGCCCCGACCCCGACGGGGGTGAGGACGCCCAAGCCCGAGGAAGCGCCCGCAGGCGAGCCCCCTGCGCCAGAGGCGGCGCTCGCGTCTGTCGCCGAGGCCAGTGCGGCTGCCGAGTCTGATTTGGCGGCTCCTCTCGAGCCTCCTGTCGAGGCTGCGGTGCCGGCTGCAGAGGTTGTTGCTGAGGCGAACCCGGAGGTTGCTCCTGCTGAGGTGCTAGAGCTCACCGCGGAGGCGGCGCCGGCTGTCGAGGTGGACCCCGCCGTCGTGGGCGGGTTCGATGTCGTGAACCCCGCGGACGCTGCGCCGGGCGGGGACCAGGGTAATGCGGGGTCGACCGGGAGCGGGTTTGGGTTTTCTAGCTGGGGCGGCGGATGGGGTGGTGTGGGTGGGAAGAAGGAGAGCGCGGCGGGTGGAGGATGGGGGAGCACCTTTGGCTCGCTTATCGGCGGTGCGGGGCAGGATGTAAAGGCGGATGGCGTAAGCGCAGGCGCAGGCGACGGCGGGGGATGGAACACGTCTGGAGCGGGCGCGGGGGCCGGGACGGGAGGGACGAGCTGGGGGAATCCTGCGTCGTCGTGGGGTGGAGGCGTGGGCAGTGCCTTTGGAGGCGGGATCAGCAGCTTTTTGGGCTCGTCGGGCGCGTTTGGAGGGCCGGAGGCGATGACGGAGTCGGTGCCCCTGGAGGATGTGGTGGCGCCGCACGTCGAACCGCCGGCGGTGGAGGTACAGAGTACGGAGGAGCTGGCGAAGGTCGAGGAGGGTGCGGAGGGCGCGGCGGCTGTCGATGCCCCTGCTGCTGATGATGGTGGTGGTGGTGCGGCTGCTTGGGATGCTGCGCCTGCTGGAGAGGAGGCGACCGCGGCGGATTGGCCGTCAGTAGAGGCGGAGGCTGTCACGGAGGCGGCGGCGGCGGCGGCAGAGACGGAGGCGGTGGTCAAGGGAGAGTTGCATGTGGAGACGCAGCTGGATCCGGATTCGGCGGCTGCTTCTGCGGGTCCGACGACTGCTATGGAGTCTTCTGCGGCGACTCCGCAGGCTGGTAATGAAGAGGAGGGAGATGGGAAAGAGGAAGAGGAGGAGGTGAAGGAAGACGCGAAGGAGGAGGGAAAGAAGGGGAACAATAAGGGGAAGAAGGGTCCTAACAAGGATGATCCTAAGCCTCCGGTACAGGTGCAGAAGAAGAAGGGCAAGGGTAAGAAGAAGTAAGTAGAGACTCGAGCTCGGTTGGCTTTGAGGGTTCGTGGACTGTCTGCCCCCGCGCTCAGAGGCCGGTTTCCGCGTGTTGCGATCTTGCTCTCTGTGATATCACTTTCCGATCTGGACTCTGTCTCTTTCTGTGTGTGTGTACAACTGCCATCACCATCTACGATTTGTCGATATATCCTTACGATCTTATAGCCTATGTTTTTTTCGATTGCTTGTACGATACCTGTTTTTGTTGTGTTAGATGCGAACGCCGAGCCGGTGTTGCTGGATGGAGGCTCGCTTTGTCGAATTATTCTTGTTTTGGTACCAATGAATTGATAAACAAAAGCGAGAGCTGAGTCCTGCCTGAGCCGATGATCATATCACACATGCTTTGGAGGCATGGGAGCGAGGAATTGGCGCCTGCAAGCGCCCACAAGCGGGTGCGGCGTGATACTATAGCAGGGTGACCGAGCTGTACAATGTACAATGTTCACCCTTTTTTTTGTCATGGCTGCTTGTTCTCTATAGGGAACGGTGTCGTCGACTACTCATACGGAGGCTCGTTGTTCTCGCTTTTGGTCAGACTCGTGACAGGTCTCTTTTGCCTCCGCCACAGCCCGCTTGTCAGCACTGTTCATGGGCTTGGAACGACGATGAATTTGGTTCCATGCGCGCGTCGCTGCGCGTCGTCTCTTGGACTCGGGGTTGTCTGTCCAGTGGCTCAACGTGGCTTGATGTGGCGACTGGTCAACGAGAAGTGGCAGGGACACCGTCTACGTACTCGTACACCCTGGGTGCGGGCATGTTTTTGAATAAAGTTCATGGGCATGGTCGTGGCGGCTAGGGCGACGGGCCAAACATGGGCCAAACAGAGGAGATATGAGGACGTTGGAGAGCACGCGCCTGCCACACCGTTGCTCACATCTCGAACCCCCACCCGACTCCCGCGTGCACTCTCCGTCGTCGTCGTCCTCGTTGCCAGCCCATTTTCATGTCCTTCTCGAGTACACCGCTCGGTCAAGGCAGACGTCTCGATCACCACACTTTCCTCAACAACAAGGCCCCGAACCCTGCCGCCCACGCGCGCGCACCCAACGAGCCCCCGCGAGCGGACCGCATCCCCGCCTCTTACGCTTACGGGTGCGTCACACCCCCTTTTCGTCCTCGGCGCGTGTCTTCATCTCACCCCCCATTCAACCCAGCGCACCCACGCTCACCACACGTTCTCCGCCAAATCACCCCGCCCGTGATCCACGCGAGGAAAACGCAGAGGACGGCCAGGACGACCCCGCGCTCGTCCGCTTCGCTCGCCTTAAACAGCGCGAACAGGCCCTCAGGGCTACCGATTCCGCACCTCGAACCATTCCCGACCCCCCCAACCCCACCAGGTGGGCCGTCAAGGACACCTCTGTACAGATCGCGAGCGCCTTCAACCAGGCCGCCGCGACCTCCACCTCCCAAGAAATGAACCCCAACGACTCGTGGGCCTCCAGCTCACGCACCTACGTCCCCCGCAGCACCTCCGTCGAGTACGAAAAGGAGACTCAGACGACCGCAACGCGCAGACTGGCGCCCCCTCCCAATCGATTCGCGCCCCCCGCCCGCTCAACCGGCGCTGCGCGCCGCGGCGTCGTCCGCAATCACTCCTCGCAGTACGTCCCGGACTCGGAGGAGGAAAACGCCCAGCAGGCGAACGGGGACGCCGCCGGCAAGACCGCCTTTGACGCCGTCGTCGACTTTGCAAAACGGACCGCGTTCTATCTGCGCCAGCCCTCGCAGGAGCCCGAGGGCCCAGAACCCCCCGCCGCAAACGGACACGCGAATGGCCATTCGAACGGCGCCATCGACCCGTCGTACGATTATTCCGCCGAGGAACGCGAGTTCCAGGCACAGCAGAGTCAGAACCAAAACGGTGCATCGCGCAAGCCGAACGCTACCCATCGCCGGAACCGCATGTCCATCGACAACAAGGCGTATCGCCCTCCCCAGTCCGATGTGGACGAGTCGGACGAGTACCTGTCGGAGGATGGAAAGAAGGGACGGAAGAAGAAGTCGAAAAAGAAAGATACCGCTGGAGGCCCGCTCACCACGCTGCCAGTCACCCAGTATGATAAGAGGCGGAAGCGGAGAAAGTCTGGAAAAGGCAATGGCGCTGGGGCCGAGGAGGGAGAGGGAGAAGGAGAGGGAGACGAAGGAGAAGAAAGCGAGGGCGATGAACAGGTGCGCATCGGCTCGCGTTCTTTTATCACCTGGCCTCGTATTCACCATTTTCATAGTTACAAGAACGAGCATCTGTCTCCCGCGTGTCGCTACCGCCTCCATCGCGCGCTTCGATCGTTCGCGGATCCGTGCCTCCTGCCCCACCGTCACACTACGATCAGCCCGTCAACGATGCCTCCTTAGAGTCAGCGGAACAGGGTCTCGACTCGATAGAGGAAGTAGAAGAGCGCCATGACTATCAGAAGAGCTCGGACGAGTACGAATACGAGTACGAGCCCGCTCCCTCCCGCGCTGCCATGTCCATTGGCGGTGCCCTGGGCAGACTCGTCCACTTTGGCTTCCGATCCGTTGGATCCATCGTTGCGTTCTTCCTCCGAGCTCTGGCAATGGTCACGGGTCTCGCTGGACGAGCTTTGGGGATCACCTTCAATATCCTGTTCAACCAGCCGGCGCGATGGCTTTCTAGAGGACACCTGGGCCCGTGGTTGAAATACGCACTCGTGGCCTTTGTGCTATACGCGACATGGATATCGCTCCGCGGCGTCGACTTTTCCAACTTTATTCCATCCCTGCCTTCCCTGTCCTCGTCTCAGCCCTATAAGGCTCCCGACACCCCGCCCGTCGATATTTCTGCTCTGTCTGGCCGACTCATGGAGCTGGAGAAGCAGCTGCACGATATTTCTGTGCGCGCGGCCCAGACGCAGCATGGCGATTTCGAAGCTCGATCGCAGCTCTCGTCGCAGATCCGCAGACTGGAGTCGGAAGTCAAGACGGACCGCTCGCGCGTCTCCGAGATGGAAGTGAAGCATCGAGAGACGGCGAGCCGGGACATCAAGGCCGTCCACGTCGAGATGCAGCAGCTGAGGCATCAGCTGAAGGAGTCGCAGAACAGCCAGTCGGGGCGGGCTGCCAACGACGAGGAGGCGCGGGCGAAGCTGCTCGCCCTCGAGGAGCGGGTGGGGAGCGTCGAGGGTGGCGTGCGGGAGGCGCTCGAGCTCGGGAAGACGACGGCGAAGGTCGGCGGGGTCGCGGCTGGCAGTGGCGCGGCGTGGTGGAACAAGCTGGCCAACGCGGTGACGATCAAGTCGGCGGACGGGCAGGACGTGACGGCCCTCATCGGCCACCTCGTCGAATCGGCCGTCGCGCGCTACTCACGTGACACGATCGCGAAGCCCGACTTTGCGCTCAACTCGGGCGGGGCAGGGGTCATCCCATCGCTCACGTCGCCGACGCTTGAGGTGCGGCCGCACGGCCTGCGGAGCTCGCTGCTGGGGATGGTCACTGGCAGCGGGTACAGCACCGGGCGGCCCCCGATCACAGCACTGCACCATGAGACCCGGAATGGGCACTGCTGGCCGTTCATGGGCTCGCAGGGGCAGCTGGGGGTGCAGCTTGCGCATCCGGCGCGGATCGAGGAAGTGACGATCGACCATGTCGCAAAGGACGTCGCATGGGACATGCGCTCTGCGCCGCGGGAGATGGAGCTCTGGGGCCTCGTCGAGGGCGCGGAGAACCTCGAGAAGATCCGGGTGTGGCGGGAGGATCGGCAGCGGCGCAAGGAGGCTGCGCGGCGGGAGGCGGAGGAGAACGGGCTGGTGATCGTGTCGGAGGAAGCGGAGGCGTACCCGGCGACACTGCCGCGGGACGCGCCGTACGTGAAGGTGGCGGAGTTCGCGTACGACATCGAGGCGGAGGCGAACGTGCAGACGTTCGCCGCGCTGGAGGACGTGCGCGCGCTCGGGGTCGACTTTGGGGTCGTCGTGCTCGTCGTGAAGAGCAACTGGGGCCGTGAGTTCACGTGCCTGTACCGGCTGCGTGTGCATGGGCAGCGCATCGAGCAGGCGCCGGTGCCCGCCGGTGCGTCTCCAGAGGCGGGCGCGAATTCCGAGTGAAGAAGGGGAAAGTTGAATCTGGCGAGTGCTGTGATCTGCCGTTGTATGCTGGCGTGCTGTAGCTAAAGCGTCGAGTCTCTCGTCTCGTGGCCCTCTCTGGCTACCGTTCGTGTCGTTAATCTATTTCTGCTCTCTATTCTAATCGTTATTTGGGCGTCTGCTGCTTGTTACATGCTCCATTTGCTTCTGCTGCGTCTCGTAGTAGGATATCGCGCGTCCGTCTGCTTCTCATTTGCGTCTGCTTCACTGTAACTCATGATGTGAATGCCCCAGTGTAGTACCATGAATCGCTCGGATACATAGACGGTTACCCTGTTACTCTCAATCTTGTACATATATTTACATTCCTATCTCGCTCGCCGCCAAGATTTAAAAAAAAGTAATTCTTGGATGGCCGCCTGGCGGTCGCCTTGCAAGCGCCGTCATCGCGCGTCTCCCTGATTGACATCGTACCACTATGTTGAGCGTCGATCATGTCCCCCTCCCACGCCCCGCGCTCCCATACGATGCGACGCGTCCCGGCGAGCTCACCGCCAGCCAGGAGGAGATGTACGCAAAAATGCTTGCGCACTTCGACAGGCCGGACTACGCGCTGCCCCGCGCAGAGAAGGGAGAGCTTGGCGAGGAGGAGCAGTTCTGGCTGGTGAGTGCCTCTTCGGGCTCGCTCGCTGTAACGCGTCTGCGAACTGTATTGTACTGGGTGTGCTCACTGCTCGTGCGTGGGTGAGGGTTAGTCTCGGGAGTGCATATTGAGGTGGGGTTTCGTTCGTCTGTGGCCGCACTGTGCGCCGTGCACTGACGCGTTTTGGGTTCGATCGACCGGCCGGCGATTAATTGCGTGCAGGTACTTGCGGGCTACGAAGTGGCACCTTGAGCCCGCAATCGTGCGGTTGGAGGACACGTTGAGGTGGAGGCGCGAGTTCGGGCTCTATGATTTCGCTCCTGCAGACGTTGAGCCAGAGGTCAGTGCCGCAAGTCTACGAACATCTGTGCTTTGCAGTCATTCTGAGGGATTTTTTGTTTTATTTAGGCCGTGACTGGTAAGGAGATCGTGTTCGGGTACGACACGCAGCGGAGGCCCGCGTTGTATATGGTTCCTAGTCGGCAGAACACGGACGAGTCGCCGCGACAGATCCAGTACGCTGTGTGGATGCTGGAGCGCACGCTCGACCTTGCGGGGCCTGGCATTGAGTGAGCATCTTGTTCTTGCCACAGCCCTTGCCTTTGCCCTTGCCCTTGTCCTTGCCCTCCCATGCATTGGTGATCGTGTATATGCATTGATCACGATGTATTCCTCTCCCAGGTCGATCGTGCTCATGATCAACTTCGCAGACCGAGCGAAGAATCCGTCTTTGGGGACCTCTAAAACGGTATGCGTCCCTCCTTCCACCCCCTCGCCGTCCCTGACGTTCCCGTTCCATTCTCACTTCTGTCGATGACAGGTCTTGAATATCCTCCAATCGCACTACCCCGAGCGCCTTGGAGCCGCGCTGATCCTGAACGTCCCCTTCCTGATCAACGCCTTCTTCAAGCTCATATCCCCGTTCATCGACCCGCTGACGCGCACCAAGATGAAGTTCAATCCGAGGCCGGTCGAGGACGGGCTGTTCGATGCGGCGCAGCTGATGAAGGACGGCGGATGGGGCGGGGACCGCGAGTTCGTGTGGGACCATGGGAAGTACTGGCCCGCGCTGCTGAAGATGTGCGCGGAGACCCGGGAGGCGCAGCACGAGCGGTGGAAGGCGCTCGGCGGGAAGGTCGGGATCAGCGAATGGGATTTCAAGAGGGGCGCCACCGACGGGACAGGAGAGGCGGTGGACGTGTTTGCGAGGGACGCGCCGGCGGAGGTGGGTGCTGCTGTCTGAGGTCGTGGACTTGTGATACCGGGTTTTCGCGCGGTATGTTGTTTACTCTACTGGATACACATTTTTTAGCTCGCGGTAATAGATGTAGAAGGCGCGAAGAAACGCCAGCCGCCGGCTGGTTGCGTCCTCCTCTTGCTCATGGTCACATCATAACCGCGACACCGCCGTTCTGTTCTCGGAGGAGTTTTTTTAACTGACTAAGACTAAGATCCTGGAAGGTGAAATTTGACGGAGCAGACACAACACCCCATGGCCTTTCACCGATTTTCGGGTTCCATTGTGGTGTCTTAGTAGTCATGCTGCTCTGAACACGTCGTGCAGGTGTCCAAGAGCTGTGTTGCCCTGACGTACATATACACAGGCTCCGCACCACCGAAGCGTTTTGACGGAGAAAATGCGGGAATAATGATTCAAGGTGAAGTGGCCCCCACCTTTGCTTCCATTGTACGTACCGCTATCCTAATCATAGTTTCTACAGCTCCGTCGAACTTCAAGACGAATTCGACTTGCACATCGAGGCCCTGCCGTTAATTTTGTAACCGATGTTCGATATGCTTCGTGAAGACAAAGAAGTGCAAGCCATTGGTAGTAGGAATACGACTTCCATGTCCGCCACCTTCTCGTCGTGTCTCCGATATTACCACTTACAGCGCCGTCTTTTACGGAACGAGAGGCTCCGTAGGTTGAAATCTGAAAACTATAATGGGGCATTTGAATGGCATGAAGGAACAATTCTAACTAATTATAGTGCCTTCGTGGATCTTGGAAGGATCAACTCGATTCTCGGAGGGCTGCACAGAACTTTATTCGGATATTTGGTTATGAGAGGAGTATTGTGACGCGTCGATGTACGTCGACGCGCCGAGGGAGGCCCTCACGTGAGCAATTTTGCCGATCATATGTCTCTTCGAGTTATGCAAGTATGTTCTTTTGTTAATCCTCGGTAGCTCTTCGGTATTTGGTGTGCGTACAGACTTTCTGGCTCGCGACCGGACCGTCATCGGTAACATCCAACATCACCAGTCGAAGCGACTCGATCTTCTCAAAATTCTGCAACCGGATACTCGTCGGTCACCAGTTCAGTACCACACGATCCGAAGGCATGCCAAACCTCGAGACTCAGCGTGCTCATCAAATGGGTGATTTTGTCGAGGAGCCAAGGCAGAGCCGTCGCTGACCACCAGATATCTTCCGAAGCATATTTGCCGAATGCCAGATATTTTCCGAGCCGGCGTGGTATATAACCTGCGGCAGGTTGTCCAGAATCTGCATCGACTCAACCTCGACACTCTTCGACCATGTACCGTTCGGCAGCTCTTCTCTCCTTCTCCCTCCTCGCTGTTGTCTACGGCCAGCAGGTCGGCACACAGACGGCGGAAAACCACCCCAAGCTCACCGTCTCGCAATGCTCAGCGGGTGGCAGCTGCACGACCGAGTCTAGGTCTGTCGTTCTTGACTCGAACTGGCGCTGGCTCCACACCACGAGCGGCACCACGAACTGCTACACCGGCAATACCTGGGACGCGTCTCTGTGTCCCGACCCGGTAACCTGCGCCCAGAACTGTGCGCTGGACGGCGCCGACTACTCAGGTATGTACTACGACCGCCGTCCTATGTTCCACCTCTCACAGTAGAATAGGTACCTACGGTATCTCGACCAGCGGCAACGCGCTTACCCTCAAGTTCGTGACGAACGGCCCCTACTCCACCAACATCGGCTCACGCGTGTACTTGATGTCGGCCGACGACACCAACTACGAGATCTTCAAACTCAAGAACCAGGAGTTTGCCTTCGACGTAGACATGTCCAACCTGCCATGCGGCCTCAACGGCGCTTTGTACTTCGTCGAGATGGACGCCGACGGTGGTCTCTCCAGGTTCCCCAACAACAAGGCCGGTTCCAAGTACGGAACCGGTTACTGCGACACGCAGTGCCCCCAGGACATCAAGTTCATCAATGGCGAGGTATGTTTTGCGTATGTTCTATTTGTACGATCGCAATTGACACAAATTACTTAGGCCAACATCCTCGGCTGGACCCCTTCGTCCTCCGACAGCAACGCCGGAACCGGCCAGTACGGCTCGTGCTGTAACGAGATGGACGTTTGGGAGGCCAACATCAACTCGGCGGCTGTCACCCCTCACGTCTGCAACGTCCAGGGCCAGACCCGCTGCTCCGGTACTCAGTGCGGCGACGGTGACGAGAGATACGACGGCATCTGCGACAAGGACGGCTGCGATTTCAACTCGTTCCGCATGGGCAACCAGACGTTCCTCGGCCCGGGCAAGACGGTCAACACCAACTCCAAGTTCACCGTCGTCACCCAGTTCCTCACCTCCGACAACACCACCACCGGCACGCTCCACGAGATCCGCCGCCTGTACGTGCAGAACGGCAAGGTCATCGCGAACTCGAAGACCAACATCGCCGGAATGAGCCAGTTCGACTCCATCACGGACGACTTCTGCAACGCCCAGAAGACCGCGTTCGGCGACACCAACTCGTTCGAGAACCTCGGCGGTCTCAACGTCATGGGTCAGGCCTTCGACAAGGGCGTCGTGCTGGTGATGAGTGTCTGGGACGACCATGAGGCGAACATGTTGTGGCTCGACAGCGACTACCCCACCACCTCGTCCGCCTCCACCCCCGGTGTCGCTCGCGGCACATGTGCCACCACGTCAGGCGTGCCCGCCAACGTCGAGTCGCAGAACCCCAACTCGTCGGTCGTGTTCTCTAACATCAAGATTGGCCCCATCGGCTCGACATACACCGCCTAGAGGCTGGATGTGAGCGTCGGATGCATTCGCCTTCTGACCGTTTGAGCTGACGACCTGCTTCGGTTACAGTCCCTGATTTTACGCATGTCTCGTCTGTAGTTGATCGTATCGCTTGTTTCTGCTATGTTTGTTTGTTGCAATTTCATCATGGGCTCGCATCAGTACATATGTACGTCCCTCCTTGATGTTTTTCACAGCTTCACCATTGTCGCTAATTTTTCCCTACTTCTTTAGCATGATCGCTCATTTGTGACTACGTGCAAAAATAAAATGGGTATGTGCATTGTCTTCAGTGTCTTGAAAATCCTTACTCATTCAGTGGTTCTCTGCAGTGTACCATGCATTCTGATTGCCAAGATTGTGAACTGTGTGAATCATGGAAATGTTACCAACTAATTGCCTCCTTATTGTGTTGCTGACGCGAAGGGCTGAGCGCTGATAGCTTACAGGACGAGAGTCTCGCAGTGAAGAGTGTCTCTTGTCGGTATTTATTGGGATGTTCCACTTGAATCGTTTCTACGATATACAACATCGGATTGTTCATGATGTCCGCGCTCTCCGGGGTCGCTTTGGATCGAAGTGCCCACGGATGATGTCTGTGATGATGTGGAGTTCGTTTTTCGGAGGATCGTCAGTATGACACCGCCTCGGAAGATGCCGTTGAGTTTAACTCCAAGTGACAGACGATGAACCCGAGTCGATGAACTTGTGGGGATCCTTCAACGTACCAATGCTTGCTCTTAAATTTTGATCAAGGCCGCTACTGAAAACTGTTGGCTCACTGGCATGGAGCTCCCGACCTTTATCGCGAATACTATCTCTCTGCCTGATCCAAGGTTCCGTCACCCAGCGACACCCGCAGCACTACTCCCTGTCTTCGCCTGCTACTATTTGCACGCCATCCTCGTTCTCCTTCCTCAGACATCGGCGCTCAGGTTTGCTTTACTCCCTGTGACCGTATGGCAAGCATGGTATGTGGCAGTGCACTATGACCTTGCTAAAGGCATAGCTGGGTTTCTTGGAGTATCCAGTCACGAGAGAATTGTCTGCTGGAATTATGCGTACGTTGTGAGTGAGCTGCGTCTTTCAGCTATTAATCGTTAGGTGCTCATCCTCAATTGTCAAACTTGAATCAGATTGCCATGTGTGTAATCGTTCTGCGGGCTATAGAATGGACTTCCGTCAAAGGAACACTCAAGCGTTATAGAACTCCAGAGGATGTAGGAAAGGATCCCAAATATCCCCCAACTATACATGGCGTCCTTCTCGATGCTGTCGATCTTATCTTTAACCAACGTGGACAGTCATGGTCATGGTCTCGGCATCCATTCCCCAGCAATTCGCGCGAATCACAATCTATCCCCCGGCTCCTCAGCTCGCTAGTGTTTAAATCTATCGTGTTCGATGCTACACACTATGCGCTGCAGTATTTTTGTCCTTCCCTGGATAGACCAGAGGGTGATACGGTATTTGACACCTCGCTTCCTCCAGCTATGCGCTATCTTAAAGCAATCTATCTCACCATATCTTCCGCCATAATAGTGTATACAGCGGTCGACCTCTTATATTTGACGGCCGTCATTCCTGCCCGGCTTTTGCTTAGACACGATGCGTCCCGCTGGCCTTCTCTTTCCAATAGACCCTGGTTATCGACGTCCCTCGCCGATTTCTGGGGGCGCCGATGGCACCAGTTCTTCCGCCATATTTTCATCGCTGTTGGCTCGAGGCCCTTGTATCCATTGTTCGGCAGACCAGGTGCAGTCCTTGGTTCCTTCTTTGTTTCGGCTGTGATACATGATTGGGGGCTGTGGGGGCTCGGCCGCGGGACGGAGTTCCTCACCGTCGGCGGCTTTTTTGTGCTCATGGGTGTGGGTCTAATCATGGAAGAAATTTGGGCGAAGGTCTTGGGGAGAAAGGTTGGTGGGTTCTGGGGCTGGGCGTGGACGATGACGTGGACGGTCGGTTGGGCAACAATGATGGTAGACGCCTGGGCGCGGAGGGGCCTTGTGGGAAGTGACTTCATGCCTCAAGGTTACAGACCGGGAAAGCCATTGGTTGATGTTATGTTAAACCTTGTACGCGGGACGTAGGTGTTCATGCAGCGCACTACCTGTTCAAACTTCAATCGCTGTTTCCGCAGTTGACACAAATACATATTCTTGGTGAATATCCGCTAGAGCTTGGGGTCATTGTGGAAAGACTCGTCAACCGTGTCTTGTCCAATGCCATCATTCTATCAGTTTATGGATAAAATGCAGTACTTTCACACTTTTATACGGGATTTTTTGGGAATGGATTTCTACGGAAAGCGCGAGCATGACGTCTGTGACTCGGCGTCGGCGTCACGGTCGCGAAAGTCACTTCAACGCGTTGCTGAACGCGTCGAGCACTCCAAGCGACTCTGCAGGTAAGCCCTCCACAGTTTCGTGTCTTCTACCCCGGGGAGAAAAACACAGAGTGAGTTGCACGTTTGCACAATTGAACTTCAGGGTCCTCAGCTTGTGCTCGCAGGAACTTGCTGTCTACATCCACGCAGTACCACGAAATGCCATCTACACCCCCAGCACACAATTATGCCATACCCCCGATTCCTCGTCTGCCTTCACCATCCAGCTCGCGCCATCCGCGGACCTCCATAAACAACTCCTTCTCCTTTGGCCCTCAGTCCCTCGTCAACTCATTCCTGGAGGCCAGTGCCTCCGCCGACAATCATAACTCACTCGCACTCGATCCCAACCGCTCTATCCTCCCTGCATCACCTCTCCGATCGTCTCCGCGTACGCACAGGCGAATAAGGGAAGGCCCGGGACGCCACCCTCTTGCGAATGACAGGACGAACATATTCCAGGACACAGACGACGACGATGGAGAGGACAAGGGCAAAGAAAAGGAGAAGGACGAGGAGCCTGAGTGGCCGGCGATTGATCGCATGCGCCTGTGGAGACACGATGCGCTCATGCAGCATCTGTACGACACCGCTGCCTTTTGGGGAGACAAGATCGTCTCTTGGACCAGTACGTCGCCAATGCGATGCATCGGGCGCACATGTTCAAGTCTCGATTTTATTCAGATGATCCCAACGACGCCTTCTGGCTCGCGCAGACCTTCTTTCTGACACACCAGTACTCGCGCGCTGAGCGCCTGCTCACACGTCCTTTCCCATCGAGGCCACCGTTTCGCGGCCCCCCCAGCTCGCGCTCGCAGTCTATGACCAACGGATTCGGTTCCCCACCTCACCCTTCCAAGTTTGCCCCGCATCATGCCACCGGCATACCCTTCCCTGATTTGAAAGGAAAGGGGCGCGAAGAACCCCGTATTCCAGTTGGTCCGGCAGCTATGATTGATGTTGCGGCAGAGCAGCAGGAGGGCATTTCCAGGCTAGTCGACATGAGTGTTGTCTGTCGATATCTGGCCGCACAGTGTTTGGTGAGGCAGGGAAAATGGGCAGAAGCTACGGAGATGTTGGGCGAGGCGAACCCGTTCAGAAACACAGGTCAGCCATAAACTCGCGCGCGCTGCGCGTTCGACCTCTTGGACTGACTGCTCACTTGTTCAAGGTCGAAGCGGTCCAGCCGTGCCAAATGTCGACGGTGGCATAAAGGTTCGGCGATCTTGGTATGCTGATAATCCAGTGGTTGATCGTCATCCATTCCTTACAGGTTGAGGCGTCAATGTGTCACCTTCGTGGTCTTTTGATGCTAAAACTTAACCGTGGAGATCAAGCAAAAGCTTGCTTTATGGAGGCGCTTGCTCTTGATGTCAAATGTTACGACGCATTTGATCAACTGATTAGCGGTGAAATGATGACCCTTGAAGAAGGTCGTCCACTCTCTTTTGCTCTCAAGTTAGTTGCTGATTGATCAGCTTTTGTTGCCGACGGTCATCACAGAGTGGGAATTTGTGCAGTCTCTCGCGTACAAAGAACAAACGCCGGAAGACGCAGAGTTCATTCGACTCATCTACACCGCCCGTTTGCGGAAGTACAAGCACGCCAATGAACATGCTCTCACACGTCGTCGGCTCGCAGAGGAGTTTGGGCTGTCAGACAATCCAGACGTGCTATTCAGCTTCGCAGACGCGTTATATGCGCAATTTCGATGGGCTGACTGTTTTGTCATCACCTCTCGGTACGGCTTCCATTTCGTCCTTCATAACACCACGCCATGCTAAATACGGCTATGGAACACAGAATATTAGGCTTGGTCTCAGTGCACGCGCCGACGATGCCTTTGCACATCGCGTGTTTACATCATCTAAAACATCTACATTCGAAGCTGTTCGTTTTGGCACACGAGCTCGTAGAGCGGGAGCCCGAGTCCCCAATCAGCTGGTATGCAGTCGGTGTGTGGTATTTGACTCAGAAGAAATGGTCAGATGCGCGAACGTATTTCAGGTGTGTAGTCGTGTAAAGTTCGCTGCTCGCCGTGCTGTACACTGACGGGCAGCCCTATATCATCTCGGATCTTGGATAGCAAAACATCGTTAATGGATCCGCGGTTTGGGCCTGCGTGGATTGCGTTTGCGCACACGTTTGCGTTTGAGGGGGAGCATGACCATGCTGTAACCGCGTATTCAACATGCGCGCGGATGTTCACTGGGTACGTACCTGTCGTGGATCGCTCCACTGACCCACCTCACTATGTCATTGATAGATCGCATTTGCCACTCATGTTTGTTGGCATGGAACACATTGTGCTTTCGAATTACGGACCTGCGGATGAAGCTCTCAACGCTGCAAATTCGATGTGTGACGGCGATCCATTGCTCATCAACGAACGTGGTGTCATGGCCTTCAATCGTGGACAGTGAGTGAACAAAAACTCCTCGTGGCTTCGAAATTGATAGCATCGTGGCTAATGTGATCGTTCAAGGTACGCAGACGCTGCTGCGATGTTCAGACAAGCGCTAGATTATGCGCATGTGACACAAGTGTCGCAGTCGTCGTGGGCAACGACATATCTCAACCTTGGGACGTGCCTACGCAAACTTGGGTAAGAATCCCGATTCTCTAGAGGTGTGCATACTACATGCTCATGATATGTGCAGGCTTTTGGAAGAAGCAAAGGACGCGTACATCAGAGTGTTGGAAATCGACAGCCGTTCGGCAGCGGCACTTGGGTTTCTCGGCCTGGTGTACCATCTTTCAGACCGGGTGCACGATGCGATCGTCAAATACCACGAGGTCCGCTGGTCTCGTCTGCTCGATTCTGGATCATGCTCATCACTCTTGTACGATTGTAGGCACTCTCGATCAACCCCCTCGATGGGCATGTCCTCGATCTTCTCAACCTCGCGCTCGAAGCTACCCTCGACGAGGGCATGTTTGGAAAGAACGGTCTCCCGGGTGGCGAAGCCGTGTGGGAAGCGCAGATGAAGGCCCACGCGGACAGAAAGAGGAAGGCAAGGATGACGCGCAGCGCTACTACGCTGCTGACGGGCGATTCAAGTCGTGAGACGGACTCCGTGTTTGGGAACGGCAGACTACGGCTCTCGCCAGGCGAAGAGAGCATGACTATAGGATGAATGTGTTTTTTTTTGTCATTAGCTCTGTTGTATTGATTTCTGCCAAGCCTTGGACGAAGCACTCGCGATAGATTATTGCGGACAATGCAAGAACCCTTGCAGAATTTTGTTAACCAAATTATTATTACGCATTTCCTGTACATGCTTTAGAAAAGAAAACACAACCCGATAGGCAGGTTGCACCCTATGCTTGATAGCATACGAACGTCCAGGGCTGTCGAATGAAAGACCAGAACTGGGCGCAATGTATGGGCTTTTGTAATGATAGCTTAGAAGCCACCCTGTTAGGAGACCTTCATCAGGGAAAAGCTCCACATCAAATTGACCATAGTTAAGCATAAATCTAGCTAGATTTTTGCCAATTAACTATTAAGGATTTTTAGCTTACCCCCCCTCTAATCCTGAAATTATAAGGTCTAATTAGAGCTAATTATGCTTTATTGGAACTCACATTATCTCCACAATTATTCTTGTCTATCCTTCATACACTTACTTAACTATAATCACAGATTGTTCATTTGATTTTTAGCTTCATAGCACACACAAATATGTATATTGGAGACTAAATTAGAAGTAATTTATACTAATGCTCATCAACACCAAGTTGTTTGGCATTGGCTCCATCCCATCCTCTGCCCTATCCTCCTTCAACATGGCCAGCTTGTTGCCCTTGCCATCAACCTCCTCCTTCTTTATCTTATCCAGGCAGGCTGTTGTTATCCTTTCCCTCTACACCATCCCCACATGCCGGGTAGTGCTTGTCTATGACTGCAATGATCTCACTGCTCGTGCTACCTCTACACCACATGCACATGCATGCACTCCTCCAAGCCTTGCCTCTCTAGATTCAATCACTCTATTGTGCCCCTTCTCACCAATGCTGCATAGCCACCCAGTGCACCACCAAGCACTACCCTCTCAAACATGCTTATCAATGGCTGCAGTATGGAAGTAGATGTGATTAGGTTCTGAGGTTAGCAAGGGCAAGTGTAGTATTTACTAATTAGGAAATATGATCCAGTATCTGCAATGTGTGTAGCCTGATTAGGGAATTAGACACTATTAGATATGCTAGAGTCTAATTGCATTTAAATTAGGAAGGGAGGTTTTCCCTGATGCTTTTGTCTTTCCTATGATACATTCCTCACATATCTTCCAAGCAGGTCCACTATACCTTTGATATATTAACAATTCCTGAATAGTATGCTTTCCAATTCTAGTCCCGCCTTCTTTCTTTTTGGTATGAATAATACCCAACATGCAGGATTACTCTTATCTAGAAAATGCCCTTCTTGTATTAAGCTCTAATTATTGATAATTTTATGAAATTTTACTAAAATAGTATCAGCATTTTTTTTTGCTTACGCCCTGTTATGAACTGCTTGTTTGGTAACCCTAAGAGTAGGAGGTTATTCCCTAGGTCACTTGTGGAGGAAGAGTGGAACAATGGTCTTGACTGTATGTGTAGCACAGGAGCCAGACATGTATTGCAGCATAGGCAATAAAAGTGAAGTTATGTATGCGAAGATACAGGAGGGGCGAAGAGTACTGTAGGAAGATAGTACTAGAATGAAGAGAATAGACTAAAGAACATTAGCCTATTCTATGGGCCTTTTATACTACTTTGAGAAGGGTGTGAGAATACCATATATGTATCTATAGGTATTCCTCTAAGTTATTGTTCTCTTTAAAATGACTATTCTTGCTTCTCTGATTGCCTCTTTCTGACCAAGAGGTCAAGGGGTTCCATGCCCATGTGTGAGTAGTTTGTAAGGCAGGGAAAGTTGCCTGCTGTAATAGGCCTGGGATACTTGACCAACGATGGGTGATCCATTAGGAGTAGATGACCAAAGGTAATATTTGTACCTTCATGTATGCCTTGGAATATGAGGCCACCTAGTAGTTGTGATGATCCTATGGGAATAGACCGCTGTGAAGGCCCAATAAGTCATGATCATAACAATAACCTTATAACTATACACACTCCAAATAGATGCTCTAAGTTACTAAGCCATAAGATTTGAACTGATATCTTGGTAATTCAAATATATTGACATAATTTCAGGCAATCCCAATATTTCTGATCTTATTACTCACTTATTTTTGATCTATTTTTGATCCAAAAATATTCAAAAAAAGCAGGGCTTTTATGATCTCAACTTATATACTAAATAAGGATATGATATACTAAATAAAAATAAAGAATACACTCTATGTAGGGTAAAAAAATATTCTGGCACTCACCCAAATTATGGAGTCTATATTATTGTACTTGAGTTGTAAATTTTGAGTAAACTCTAGAATCATAATCAACATGGTGCTTATTGCAGATTTGATTGTAAAGATGATTATGGATGATTATTTATAATACATTCTAATTATCTTAGATAAGCATTATCAATAATTGGGTATAATTTGGATCTAATATAGGGGGGGGGGGGTTTCCAGATGTAGGATTGCAGTGTGTTGAGATAGGACTCTGAGTAATTGTATGCCAAATAGTGAATAATAGTATGAACTTGGGACATGGTACATTATTGGGTAGTCTCTGGGGCTAACCTTTACACAGGAGACAGTCATTATATGTAGTTATTGGGTAGCAGGTGGGTTGAGGAAGACCTGGGAAGTGGGGCTCTGACATCTTTGATCCCAAAGAAAGACGGTCTCTAGTATGACCCCAAGGACTTCACATGACTTAGCTTGGTACTATGATAGTAAATATGCTCTCACAAAACATGAGCATGAAATTGCAGCCTACAAGATGAGATAAGGCTATAGGCAATGCATGTGGGATAATAGATGAAAGTACAAACTGAGGTGAAACATGGTCACCCTGACCACTATTTTCCTATTTCAGACACAGCCTATTCAATACTCCCTTCTCCAGTCCTAGAATTATTTCCTTCGCCATTCTTCCCTTTTTTCTTCTTCTAAGGGTGCCCTTCATGAACATAGAACCTGACAAGCCCACATTTCAGCAGGCACAAATCGTAGTGAGCAGCTTGACATACAAGTCATCTCAAGGCGAAGAGGAGACTGAGGCTGTTTATGCACAGCCCTCTTTCTCCCCACCCCTGCACTCACGGTTGTCTCCTCCCACGATGGAGATGCCCTAAACCCCTATCCCAGCTGGCTTTGTGGAATCACGCAGCCAAACCCCCTCATTAATGAGTAAGGATCAAGAGAATAGAGATGTTATGATCTCCATCCCCTTGTTCCTTGCCAAAACTGATGCTGTTGACCAGCAGGCTTCCATGGCTATCTCTGCGCTCCACACAATCTCCAACTGGCTTGAAATAGTCGACTGGAATGATGTCTTTGCCCACGCGCCCATCGAAACAGAACAACTCAATACACTCCCCCTCGTCAGTGCAGCCAACTGGGCTGTATGATATCTTAACAAAGGCCTATCAAGCCAAACCCAAAACATGGCAGAGGTAACGCCCGCCGTACCTCAGCCACAACATATGCACATGGCACCACCGCTTATGCACCCCCAGCCAATCCAAGCTGCTCTGGCCTGCTCTTCCTCTGCCATGATTGTGGACGACTCATTGACAATCTCTCCTGCACGCACTTATGTGCAAGCTGCTGCACATCTGTCTTCTGTAAGCCGAGGCAAACATCCAGCCATGCTAATGCGCTTGCAATGGCTCTGCATGCAAAAACACAATACAAAACACACCATTAAACACAGGGTAGGTGGGGAGCTGACTTCACTATAAATATCAAGAGACCCTTGTAAGTTGCAAGACAGGGTGTGAGATATATACTGCAAGATATCGAGGTATCTAGCAAGGTGATGCGAGGTCACACAAGAATACTCTCATGTGAAACAAAGTGGTGGACCGTGGGCCAAGGCGTGAGTAACCAAGGCAACTTTAAGGGCAGTGACAAAGGCCCTGATGATAGCAGCAATGAAGGTGACAAGTGCTAAATTGAGCAAGTGCAATGTCAGTGCGATGCAATATAGGCAAGATCTTTGTGCAAAGTTGAGCTCTAAACAGAGGGGTGTTTGAAACTAGTGTATTGCAGTGTTGTAGGCAGGTATTTATAGTAAGTTGAAGTGAGTATAGTAAACACGAACTCGTAAGGTAAAGTAAATCAATATTGCACCAAGACCATGACATAGAAAGATAAAGAGAAACCATGCGCAGAGGTGCTTGCAAACCATGAGGTTCTGTCATGCCACAGTCGAGAGACAAAGCAATATTTAGTAAAGAGGTGTAGCAGTGAGATGAGGTAAACTCTAGGAAGGTGGAGAGGCAATGGGTCATAGGACCTGTATTACCCAATAAGCACATGCAATAAAGCTTTTTGCAATATCGTGTCACAGAGCTATTTGCAGTGCAGTCCGTGCGGTCAATGCTTGTGAGGCATATGGCGAGAGCTTGGTGAGGTCTTTGTGGGTGCAGTAGGCTTGAGGTTGTTGTGCAATACGCGTGGGGGCTAAGTGAGATGATGCAAGGCGATGACTGAGGGGTGCAAGACAAGACCATGTCGGCCCAATACTGTAATGCTGAGGTCGTAGTGGGCATTGGAGGGAATTCTCTGGGCTGTGGGGCTACCTGGTGGTATCTGGGGTATTCCCTGAGGTCAGCATGCTAGTGCTTGTAGAACTGCGAAAAATGGGGTCCCAGCACGTAGAGAGGTGGCATGCTCATCAACATGCTCCCCTTCCATCCATGCCTCTAACAGAGACGGTGACGTGGCCAAAACCCTTTCCTGCCTGTCCATGGCATTCCCCAAGCTCCTTCTCCCAGAACTCCTCGATATGCAATGGCGCATCTCTTCACCAAGAGCAGCCAAGAAACCCCACACCTCCCTCCTGAAAGGAAGGAACCGTACCACCATGGCCTCCTTTAGTGAACATTGGCCAGACCCGGCTTCTGTTAATATCAGAGAGTCGACAATCTGGCTGAATGTACAGCTCGAAGCCCTCTCCAAGGGGCTGGAGTCTATGCACTAGACCCTTCACAACAACATCACCCTGTGATTCCTTGAGCACCCCTCAGACAAAGCATTAGAACTCGCACAAGCCTTCCTTACTGGGGCATTCCCAGCTACTGCTAGTGACAAGATTGTTCTCACTTGGCCTCATATTACCTCCTCCATTGTCTTCCGCAAGCTCCCGCTACGCAAGCACAATAGCTCTGCCATCTCGCTAGATGACCTTGCTAAGTGCCTAGCAGACAACCCCTTTTGGGGTAATATTGAACTTGCGTGCTCACCATGCTTCCTTACACATGAGGGCTCCAACATTGGCACTCTCTTCATAGACTTCTACAACAATGGAGTGAGGATAATGCAGCATGTAGCCATTAAGTGCCATGTCTTCTTCTTTGACATTTATACCAAGGCCCAATTGACCGAGGATAGGGCAACCATGCACTACTGCACGACATGCATGCAATGGGGCCACTCGGCCCCCTACTGCAAATCAGAGGACCACTGTGATAGGTGTGAAGGCCCCCATAACACCTACTACCACTGGGGGCTAGCAAAGTGCTGCCACAGTGCTGAGCCCACCCTGGCAAACACCCTATGCCCATACCCCTCCAAGTACATTAACTGCAGGGAGGCTCATAACACATCCAACCATGGGTGCACCTTCTAGACCCATCGCTACAATGAGAGATGGCACAAAGCCCACCGCCCCAAACCCACAGATAGTGCATGGGCCTCAACGGGCTGGCCTGTGACTTGTCTGTGGCCTGCAGCCCCTCAGAGGGCCCAAAGTAACACTCCCACCCGCAATGTACGCTTTGCGATCCCCCTCCACTCCACCAACACTGACTCAAATGGCTGGCAGACAGTTTCATCTTGCACTCGCCCCCTTTCTACACAGGGACCTGTTGTGGGTCCCTCATGCTCACGCTAGTTATATATGATTATATGACTTTTATGCCACAATGTGAATCGGTCTTCACACCAAACACACTCCCTACTTGAAAGTAAAAGAGAGGAGTTTGATATTCTATTCCTCCAAGAGCCTTACTGGGGTTTCCTACACAACATACCTTCTACTATATCTGCCACAGGGGAAGGGCTAAATAGCATGCAAGTTCACCCAGACTGGATCCTCCTTGAGAGAGGGGGACCCACAAGAGTCTCAACATATGTCCACAGATGACTGGCGACACTATAGCCCCACCTGTGCACACACATCATTAACCACCAGGACATGTTAATAATATCTTTTTTAGACAACGGAATCCCAAGATATTTCATCAACATATACAACAATAGTGACTCGAGCACCCTCTTCTCTCTCATGGAAAATTCCACCTCATTGCCTTGATTCAACGCCATTATGGGGGACTTCAACCTGCACAACAGCATCTGGGACCCAAAATGCCTAAACAACGATGCTAGAGTCCCCAACCTCTTAGAACTAACCAATAGCCTTGGCATAATCCTCCTCAATATGGATGGTAAGGCCATACATATACCACATGTGCAAACAGTTGAGTGCAACCAAACTGTGATCGACCTGCATTAGGTCTCCCAAATATATGCTGAGTCCCTAGACACTATGTTCCAAGTTGATGCTGATGGACGTATGCTGTCTGATCATGCAATTCTGGCTCTCACTATTGAGACCTCTTTAATTGCCCTGCCTCTGACACCCTGCATTTCAAAGGGCTCAGACGTGGAAAAGGCTTTCTTCGCCACATGTGCTCTTGGCCTCCCTTGTTTCCGCAACCATCCTCTCTCTTCATCTCAGGATATTGAAATGCTATGCTCAGACATGGACACACTAATACAAGAGGTGTATAAGCAACACGCCACCCTTCTGAAACCCTCTTCTTGGTCCAAAAAATGGTGGACTGACGCATATACACAGGCCCGCAACTATTTCCTCATCACGCAGACTCTTGAAGACCACCAAGAATTCAAACATGTCATCAAAGACACACAGCAGTGATGAGCATGCCACCTCTCTAAGCACCGGGACCCTGTTTTTTGCAGTTCTACAAGCACTAGCATGCTGACCTCAGAGAATACCCCAGACACTGCCAGATAGCCTCGTAGCCCAGAGCGATTCCCTCCGATGCCCACTATGACTTCAGCATTATAGTATTGGGCCGACATGGTCTTATCTTGCATCCCTCAGTCATCGCCTTGCATCATCTCACTTAGCCCCCACACGTATTGCACGACAACCTCAAGCCTGCTGCACCTGCAAAGACCTCGCCAAGCTCTCGCCATACACCTTGCAAGCATCGACTGCATAGACCATACTGCGAGCAGCTCCGCGATACAATATCACAGAGAGCTTTATCACGTGCGCTTATTGGGTAGTACAGGTCCCGTGATCCATTGCCCCTCCACCTTCCTAGAGTCTACCTTGTCTCACCACTACACCTCTTTACTAAATATCGCTTTGTCTCTCAACTACGGTGTGACAGAACCTTGTGGTCTGCGAGCACCTCTGCACATGGTTTCTCTTTATCTTTTTATATTATGGTCTTGGCGTGATATCGATTTACTTTACCTTACGAGTTCGTGTTTACTATACTCACTTCAACTTACTATAAATACCTGCCTACAACACTGCAATACACCAGTTTTTGAACACCCCTCTGTTTAGAGCTCAACTTCGCACAAAGATCTCGCTCATATTACATCGCACTGACATTGCACTCACTCGATTTAGCACTTGTCACCTTCATTGCCACTATCATCAGGGCCTTTGTCACTGCCCTTGAAGTTGCCTCGGTCACTCATGCCTTGGCCCACGGTCCACCACTTTGTTTCACACAAGAGTATTCTTGTGTGACCTCGCATCACCTTGCTAGATACCTCGATATCTTGCAGTATGCATCTCACACCCTATCTCGCAACTTACAAGGGTCTCTTGATATTTGTAGTAAAGTCAGCTCCCCGCCTACCCTATGTTTAGTGGTGTGTTTTGTGTTGCATTTTTGCACGCAGAGCCACTGCAAGCACATCAGCAGTATTATTATGACCAAGTCACATATGAGACTGCAGCTAAAGGCAGAGTCTGGGACCTTATGGCATGGACCAGACCACGCCCACTTCCCATGTACTGGGCCCTTGTCCATAATGGGCAGCCTCTCACTTCCATGAGCTCCCTCGTTAAAGGGCTACAAGAACAATTCTACTTGGCTGTTAACAGATAGGTCAACCTTTCATTCTTGGATACCATACCTGCCAAACCTGTGCGAGACTGCTGTCCTATTTCTCTGCAAAAGTGCCATGACACCATCAAAGGGTGCTCAGCACATCCTTCCCCAGACTGTTATGAATGGCTGTTCAGAAAAAGAAGTTCATAGTCCACAAGTCAATACTCCCAAGAATAGGGTGATGGATGTGAAGGAGTAAAGCCGATGATGAGCATGCACCCGCGCTAGGGTCCGAGGGAGGTATTCAGGAAGCTTTGGGGAGATACCGAACAGCGCTAGACAAGTACCGAAGACGCCGACTTTTACCGAACATGGTCGGTCCCTACCCGACCAACGACAAGCCACCGAAGGACGATTCGGCAGCACTTGGGTCAGTTCGCCCACACTTCACGTACTTACCATGACCGCACAGGAGGGTTACAATAGGTGTGTACGAGATCGGAGCCAGTATTCCGTATCGGCCGATGTCCTCCGTGAGTCGGTCGGTCCTTATCGCTTATCGTCCCGACTTCCGCATGGTCGGTCAAACGTGATCTTGCACCATTGCTTGGCCACCCTGGTTGTACGATACCTCTTCTTTATTTTTCATTGGTTCTCCAACGCCTGTTCCTGCTACCTACACTCGGGCGACGGATCCCGAACGTTCGGGATTTCGACATCACTGATTACCTTTTACCTTATCATCTTCGGAACCCATATGGACATCTCACCTACCTCCTTATCTTCTCTGATCGCTAAGGCTTGGCGCCCATTCGACATCTACTCTCATTTCAGGTTCGATATTTTACTTAGGGGCGCTGTTTACTATAAAAACCTACATACAACTCTGGAATAAACCAGCTTTCGCACCCCACAGTTCAGAGCTCATTTGCACTCGTCTCAACCATCGAAATCGTCTTCGTCGACTTCCGAAAACTTGTCATCCTCGTCATTTGGCCTCATTCGTGTTCGTACTCGTCTCTTCGCTTGTACCCCCCGTCCTCCCTCGTATATTGTCAGAGTCCCGTGTGGCTCTTGAAGCACGTAGTTGTTGGTCGCGACACTACCTTCTTGTTACCAACCGCATCGCCGATACAACCGACTGAATGTTCGGTCGGTGTTCGGTGCAGTCCCGAAACCGTTCGGGCGCTAAAATCTCACACTCCCTGATTGCTTCTCAGTACGCCTTCAATTTCTAAAGTCATTACTTACAATTCCTTGTGTATCAGATACTAGCTCCAGCACCCCTGCATTAGAGGTTGTTTTAGTGTTGTGCTCGGCACTTAGAGCTACCTCTAGCGTATCACCGATCAGACCAATGCTTAAGAATTAGAGAAGACTGGTTAACAGCAGTTCCTAGATTGGACAGAGGTGGATAGCCTAAGGCTTTCCTACTGCACTGCAGCTACTATAAATATATACAGGCAAAAGCACAGACCAAGTAGCAATGGATCAGGAATGTGAGGTATAGTTGGGAGAAAAGTCCTATGTGTCCTTATATGGATCATGGGAGAAACAAGAAAGATACAGTAGGTGGTTCATAACATGGACCAAACAGGGTGACGTGGCTCTTAGTTGCCTTACTTATTACAACAGACGACACTGGCCTAGTGCTGGTGCACCTATACAATGACTGCCTCAAACTTGGCCATTGGCTGACACAGTTTAAAAACTCCATCATAGTCATCATTCCAAAACCAAAAAAAGACAACTATTCCAAACTAAAAGCATATCGCCCGATTGTGCTACTGTCATGCCTTGGAAAACTCATGGAAAAGGTGATTATAAACCATCTCCAGTGCAAAGGGAAAAAATTTGGCATCCTGCACCCCAGCTAGTATGGGGGCACTTGTTTTCACTGCACTGAGGATGCGGGGGTGGCACTAACACATCATGTGTGCTCCGGATGGCACAGCAAGCTCTTCACTTCATGCATCGCCTTCAACATTGCACAATTCTTTCCCTTTCTAAACCATGAGATCCTCCTCGGAACCCTCCGTCAACAGGGCTTCTCCAAACGATACATAAATTTTTTCACATCCTTTATTGCTAACATGCGCACTACATTATCATGGAATGACACTTGTTCCAAACCATTCATGGTCAATGTTGGACTTGGACAGGGTTTGGCACTGTCCCCCATCGTCTCAGGACTATATTTAACCCCCATCCAACATGCCCTTGAGCCCCCTGGTCAGCGAAGAGACTAGAACACCCTTCTTTTCTATGTAGATGATAGACTCCTTGTGACATCATCTGCCAGCCTAGATGACAATTGTGCCGCACTAGCAGAGCACTACCACACGGTTGAGACCACACTTGCACATATAAGGCTCATCATAGAACATGACAAGACTGAGCTAATGCACTTTACTAGAGAAGCAAACCCCATACTTCCCCCCATCCATTTGCACAAACAAGACATTGACCCATCCACAACATGGCAATACCTTGGCTTCTTTCTTGACAGGTGTCTCTTCTTCAAGGAACATATTTATTTCTATGCTACACGTGCCATCAGCACTGTAAGATGCACACTCTGCCTCAGTAATTCCATCCAAGGCCTATCACCTATGCAGAGGTGCATGATCTACAAATCGTGCGTAGTTCCTATCCTTACATATGGGTGTTGCCTGTGGTGGTGACACAAAGGCATCAAAGGACTGCTATCCTAGCTGTCCAAGGCCCAAAACAAAGGGGTGAGGTGGATCCTTGCCGCCTTCCAAACATTACCAATAGGAGGCATAGAAGTCCTCACTGGAATCCCCCTCCTCAATCTGCACATTTGGAAGCTTGTAGCATGAGCCACTCTGTGATACTCACACCTTCCCATGCACCACCCACTAGCAATAGCACTGCAACCTGACCAAACACATGTCCTTGCAACACATGTACCATTTCCACTTTGACGATCCAAAGCGACTGCGCATCTGCCTCTATGCGAGGTCCGAGACACCCTTGCCCCTGATGCAGAAGAGTTCATGCCACTCCATCCAGAAGCCCAGCTGGGCCTTCAAGTTATCGATCTATTCCACACGCATATTGCATGGAAACTGGACCATCCATCCAAAGCCTCATTGGAGTTCCCAGCATGGCTAGAGAACCTTTATGCACAGATTAACGCTGCCATCGTAACACTGCAAACCATGGTGTGCTTCTCAGATGGCTCGTACTCCCATCACAGCGGCACCAAATCTGGTGTGGCTTGCATTGTATTCCCACTGAACTGCACCCCCACCATAGAGCAAATAGTGGCATGCGGCAAAGCCATCTCATATAACGCCAAAGCCACTGCCTCGGCCATGGCCATCCACCATGCTACACAGGTCACGGACAGTGACCACCTAATCCTGTATGTTGACAATGAAGCAGCCCTCCACTCACTCCTCAACACATCACTGGATCTATCGCAGATGTGCTCTATACTCGTGTGCCAGCGCCTGAGGGCATGGCTCTTGCGCTCTCCCAATCACCAGATCACTTTAGCCTGGTGCCCAGGGCACGTCAATATCACACTGCAAGAATGTGTCAATCAGTTAGCCAAAAGGGCCTTCAACCTGGAGGCCCCAAATTTCTCATCCTTTGCCCATCTCTGCCATGTCTCCTATAGGAACATGATGAAAGGATGGAGCTTACTTCACAAACATGAGCATACCTTGGTGCCAGCTTCCCACTACACCACAGCCTTCGAAAGGTCACATCAACTAAAAGCCAAATGCTAGGGAAAGTGCAGGATTCTAACACCCTTGCTGCATGGGCCTGCCATCTGGTCCTGAATCATGCACCCACTGGCGAATATAGAGCGCGGTTCTTCCCACATGAAGAGACCAACTGCACATGGTGTAACACACTACAAACACGTCTGCACATCATCTTTAGGTGCACACACTACCAACAACCCCCCTCCCTCACAGAGGCACAGTTTCGAGCAGCGGTCGACCCTGTCCCGCTAATAGTCAAATTCCTTAAGGACAATTTATCCACTTTCACATTCCCAGACGCTCCGCTCAATGCGGAGGACTTAATGGCTATGCTGTTAAACGCTTGAGACTGTACACTCATCTCGCTACCCGCCAGAACCTGCTCGCTGGCAGACATGCATTAATCCTCTCACTGCGGGGATTCACCCGGGCCTTAACTGAGCCATTCACGGCCTAGATTACTAAACCTATCGGCCTTATGCCCCTTACTTACACACCGCCACTGGCTTGCGCTGCGCGGAATATAAATATTTGACCCCCAAAAAAAAAAAGAGGTGAAACATGGTGCGTGGCAGAAGGTGGACACTTGGAAACAGCCGCCGCCTCTATTAGTATGACCCCGGGGACTTTATGGTCCCTCCCGTGTCTCTGCAACCATTCACTGGTATTCCACAACCATACGCATAATTCATCACTTCGATATGGTCCTCGGAAGACTACTCCATTATGGCGTTGACGCCGTTCTGCTCTCTACAGTAGTCGCAGGCATCAGACGGTCTAGTGGCTTCACGTATGTTCCTGTGCTTGCTCTCTGTTGCTCGTCTGATCTACGTGCTATTCGTCATTCCTTCAGGCCACAGACTGAGTCTATCGCAGACCCCACCATACGATCCGTTGCAGAACGGTATCTTGGAATTGGAGAGACCATCTTCGACGTGGTACAGGCGACCGTGGTTAACAGCCAGTATTTCAAACGCGATGGGCAGTGACAGGAAGTGGTCTGGGTCCGGACTATAGAGGGTGGATTCTGTGAGCTGTATATTAGGGCGCATGCACGATGAATCTGTGCTCGGAGACTGGATCGGTGTGTACTTAGGGATCATCGCTTCCTCATTTTATCACCTATTTCTTAGAACTGCCTGACTAATTGGAAATGACTTTCCGTTGATGAGCATCTGCATGTGCCCGACAATGATAAAAGAGCGCACATTCAACAACAAAGCGGGTAGTTGTAAGTACATGCCGGAATTTTTTTGTTTTTGTTACAAGGTCTTATCATGCACCTTACGTCGACGTTCGGCATTAGATCATTTATTGGCCCTACAAAGAGGTGGGACTCAAAATGAACTCCTGGCGGAGAATAGGACCAACATTCAGGATGCCCTGTGTCTCTCCGGATGCAACCCCAGTCATGCAACATTGAACCATGAGAGGTTAGTAGAAGACTTGTTGTTCAAGTTCTATGTAGAAGACGTGCTGCTTGGTAGCTAAACTTCTGCTTGAGAAGAATGATAGTTCGTTCATGAAGTTTACCACGCACCTATATTCAATCACAATATTTCTATGTTACCGAAGTCCAGCACGATACTCGAATGTGTGAACAGAGGAGACCCACGTTGTCGAGTCATCGCCTATCTACGAGGTGATACTTAGAGTTCGCCTCGCTGCAGGTACTGTAAATGAATGCGCGCCGCATGAAGCCGCTTCCTTCCCCCACTGATGTCGGTTCGTCTCTCGTCACTATCGTCGCCTCTCCCACCTACACTCCTCCAACATCTGCGCGATATCAATGTGAGAACAGCAGCTGATTTGATTCTTACGCCGCCGGAGGCACTCTTGCGTCTCCTCCCGCATGGTAGCATGACACTTGGCGAAGTCCTAGACTGCGTCGAAAGCGTGACGCACCAGGTTACAGGGGAGGCAGTATTAGGGGATGCGCTTTACGAGGCTGCTCTATCTCACGAGGCTGAGGGCGAAGATGTAAAGAGCGGGGTGGATGGCTTGGATGCTTTGCTTGGCGGAAGTTTCGGAGGCACGAGTGGTGGAAGAGTCATCGAAATCTCAGGGGACAATGGAGGAGGGAAAACTGTAAGCTCAGATATCTTCTCTTGTACACGAGCTCACCCATGACAAGGTTTTCTTTGTGTGTGGATAGGCCCTTGCGCTACACTTGATTTTTCGTCATTTGTGTGATCATGCGCGGGCTGTCGCCGTTTGGATGGACACAACTGGTGACTTATCTGCGGACCGTATAAAACACACTCTCCTTGCATATGCGGGGCCAGTAAGTTCACTGATGCAACTCATTGCGTCGATTACCTTAACACTAATTCCAAAGGCAACGAGCACGGTCCTTGAACGTCTACACATATCACTCGCTTTCGACCTCCCGAGCGCTTACGATGTATTGGAGAGCATACGCTCTGTGTTCATGGTAAGCTTACACTCACTCGTTTTCCCGAACCCGTATTCAACGAGTATTCAACATTTCCGATAGTCCCCCGCCCCATCTGACACCACGCCTCGTATCTTGGTCATTGATACGATCACACCACTACTTGGGCCACATCTGAGTGCGGTATCATCGCAAGGTATACTCTTTCTCTGGGGAGGGAAAAAAATTGCAGGCCTATAGTCGGTCTTACTCTCCTAAAGGTCATGCAGCCATGGTTACATTCATGCGAACTCTCCGCATACTTGCTCAAACTCATCTCCTGTGTATCCTCGTGCGTCATGTTTGGACTCTATGCTTGAACAACGTGATCATGTCGCTCATGCGCTATTCGCTCATTCGCCCCCAGGTCATCAACTCTAGCACTATCGTGAAGTCTTCGAATCTAGCTTCTATATTGACCACAGCAACCAGAAAACCAGCCCTCGGGCCCTCATTCACGTTCCTCACGGACGCAACTCTTTGGCTTGCACGTCCACCTGCATCCGAACTCGGGGATACCTCGCACGATGCTGCGAATCAGGGTGAGATAGATGAAAAGTCAGCTAGTGATTTGCGCGTCGCAGAGGTGTTGCGTTCACGGATTTCAGTGCGTATAGAATTCCCCTTGTTCGTATCTTGCTCTGGGACAAGTATTCTCATGCATCCCATTCGTGCAGCTATCGAGAACGTCGTGTGCATTCCGAATTCACGACGGAATCATCGGACCTGCCTGATCATATCTAGATTTGACGATCACAGTCACGGCCATGTGCTTTTCGGTGTATGAGGGGTCGAGCCACCTCTACACAAGCAGCGTACCACAGACGTCTTCTTCACCTCAATCTCTTCAACTAAGCCAGCAACACAGAAAAAAACTGTCCAAAATCGAATCGGTGCATGACGAGTGCCTTGTGCTCGGCTGTTGTGCTTCTTGCTGCGGTCGAATGCGATACAGTATGTACATACGAATGCCATGGTCAGCTCTTCTTCCATGTCACAGGGTTTTAATGCGGCGCGCATACGAATATTACGCCATCTTCTCCGGCGTCTGACTGATGATACATAGATTGATAGCTACTGACCTTGCCAATCGACTCCCCGCATACTTCATGACCTCCATGATGAGAGAAAAGATCGACTTTAGTTCTTTTGAGCCGGTCAAACCACAGAAAGCAGCAGACACGAGGGCGCCCTTCGACGATCCAGGAGCAGACATCATCTTACGCTCGTCCGATAACGTCGACTTCCGCGTCCACACCCTCATCCTCTCCATGGCCTCCGATTTCTTCAAGGTTACACTACATGCCTCTTCTCTGTCGCAGCGAACCACTGGTACAGACGGCCTTCCCATCGTGTCTATCCCAGAGCCTTCTCACATCCTCGACATACTCCTCCGCTCATGTTATCCCCGGCGCTTACCGTTATCGAAAACGATACCGCTCATCGACATCGGGCTCGTTCTCGACGCCGCCCAGAAGTACCACATGAACGCATTCGACGACGTCGCAGGATCGCTTTTGATGAACTTCGTCGACGAAGAGCCGGTCACGGTGTACGCGATCGCATGCTGCCACGGCCTGAAGGATGTCGCGGCTAAGGCTGCCCTGTGCTCCCTGAAGCAACCCTTCATGTCCTCCCGCCCTCAAGAGCTAGACAATATATCGGGCACCCAGATGTACGACCTCCTGCAGTACCACCGCACATGCGGCGAGGTTGCCAGTGCAGTCGCATCGTCCGCACAATGGCTGTGTGCATGTTCCAACACGATAACCAAGACACAGCTCTGCACGACGTGTTACACCAAAAGGGCGGGTTCTCAGTGGTGGGCACCGAACGGTATATGGGACCATTTGGTCAAAGCGGGTAAGGTGTTGAAAGGACACCCCTACGGACAAGCGATCTATCGCGAGGGCATCATGCAGCCCTCCATCACATCTTGCAGGTGCGGCAAGGGCATGGATAGGCTAGATGGCCTGGTTCAGCTGTGGCAAATGTTTGCTGCTGAAGTAGATAGGGCGGTATCTGAGGTTCGTCCCAAAGTTTCTGCGTGACGCATGCATGCATCCTCAACGCACTACGGCTGTTGGGCAGGTTCCTCCTCCAAAGATCTGACTCGTTATGCTCGAACTGCTCGTCAATGCTTTTCAGAGCACGTCTGTATTTCTGCCCTGTATTTTTGCATCTGTTATGTGCCGTTACTGTTCCTCAGGCTCTGTATGGTAAAGCTGTGTGCCAACGATTCAATGGTCATACGTTTCTGTATTCTTGGCATCGACGAACCCTTCGGGACATCGATCATCTGTACTGTTTATCAACGCAAGTGCATAAAGAGTGATTACCGAGATATAGTCCCGCAGACCGCACCACAAATACATTTTACAAAACTAACTACCTCAAGAAAAGTGAATGGGTCGGCCAACCATCTACGCCAACTAGACGCACAGGTGCCTAGATATCAGAGAACCTGGGGACCGTCGAAGGTCAGCCAGAACAAAAAGCGCCATCGGGCAGACACAGATCGGACGCACCGATCGGGCATAATCACAGGCGCGAGCAGACTCCAAATATACAAGAGCATGCATACCCACGAGCTAACGATGCGCATCCACATCGCAGTCTCTGAGCGGCCGATGGAGACGTCTTCCGTATCCGAGTCCGGTGACGAGCTCGCTTTCATCACGTTCCTGAAGCGCCGTTTATCCAATTTGAGAATTGAAGATATATATGGGGAAACAAGAAACATACCAGTCTGTGAGCAGCATGGCGACGTACATCGCTCCAATGGCGAAGATGATGTGGAACCAGGTGTACTGGGCGCAATGGAATAGTAAGAAATGGCCAACATATAAACTGGACATACACAACGCACATTATAGCGGGTACCAGACCGTTCATCGTCTCTCATCTCGCCCAACTCAACCTCTTCCTCTTCGCCCTCCTCTTCTTGCAAGGCAGATGCTGGGATCGCGCTGTTCGTCCACATAAAAAAACCTTAGCAAAAACATGACGGAGGTTTTAAAGGCGAATTCATACCCGGCTTCAACAGCTGCAAGCAACGCCTGATACCTTGGAGATTCCGTCCTGCCCGGCTGCGTGCTGACCACACTGACCTCGTGTCCCTCTTCTGGGTCGATAGGCAGCTGCACAGATCCGTACTTCTTCTTACCGACCAACGCTCTGCTCTGCGTGGCTGCACGAGTCGTCGAGTACGCGATGGCCAAAAAGGTGAACGCGGCGCCCACAACGACAGTAGTGGTGCGTGTGCCAGTGGCCGCGCCAGACCGAAGGGGATTGCAGGTTTCGTGTGCGTGGTTGCCCACGGCGGACATGACGAGATACGTGCAGTACGCGGCTACCATGCTGCTCTGTGCAAGGCCCGAGCGGGGGTTATACTCCTGCACCATCGGGTGTATACAGAGAATCGTGATGAGAACACACAGCGCAAGGTTGAAAGAGATAAAGAATTTGTTGAGGGTGCACCCCGACGCTGTAAAAAACGCGTAGAGCACGCCGGTGAGCGCGATCGTCGCGAGATACATCCCGCCGGTGGACCCAATGAGGATCCATTGCCAGAGATTTGAAGACGGAGACGCTTCCCAGTTCTCGAGGCAGGTCTCGGACCATGAATGAGCAAAATCAACAAGGAGGACAAGGCCGAGGAGGAGGAAGATAGTGGCACCGATGAGGGAGACGTAGTTGCCCCAGAAGATGAAGAAGTCGTTCGGGATGAGGAATGATATGGCTACGAGGACAAACCAAAGGAGGACTTTCGGTCCCCACCACCTGAAGATATTCAGTATGAGCGTGATCGGATGAAAGGGATCAGGAATCGCTGCTCACCCGTTCTGAATTGCCGCCCGCGTGTCTCTTGTGTCCTTCACTCCGATTAATCCAACACTCAAAATTGCGTGAAACAAGGAAAGTGCAAAGCATATACGATGAACCTTCATAGTCAACGAGCCAGTCAGACAGCAGGGCTGCACACAAAGATTGTAGGACGGACAGCGAGAACACCATAACATTTATCGCCTTCACAGTCCATCTTGATGTAGTCGTAACTCCATTTCTCGATCTGATGTATCATGAACGACGTCCTCATCGTCCATGCAAGCATGGAATTCAGCGCAAATATCATCTATGTGACCATCAACTCGGATAGAAAGAGGAGTGAGGGCCATGCTCACTGCAAACCCCACACGGGTTGCAATAGAGGAATTGCAGTTGCACGACTTGAAGAACATCGACGCTGGCAATGATTATGAATGGTCTGAGTAGCGTTTGATAACCACGTATACTCACCTGCAGTCGAAGTGAAGCAGAACGCGAACCCAGCAAGACATGATGAAGCTATGGCTCCTAAGGGACCGGCCAAAGGAATCGAAAGTAGGAGGCCCATGATGGGCTAGTAAGACTCCAGATGCCTGGGTTCCTGGTCGATGGCGTGCAACGCGTTCGATGTGGTGGAGGTCGGCGAGCGAGGGTGCCTAAGAAGGGTGGTGGTAGTGGTAAGAGATGAACTGGGTTGGACCCGCGTCATGACACCTTCCGCAGCTGCACCCACACTTTGCAGTCAATCAGAGCTATTATATCTATCTTTTCCATTGGTCTTGTTGTCCCACAAAACATAGAAACATGTCGAATTATATACAGCTGTCTGCTCGTCATGATCACCTACGGGATGCGATGGGCGATCGGCCGACGGTCCGAGGGACAGGTCTGAGTGAATCCTCGCCATCTCGAGTGCTTAGTTCCCACCGATATCGTTCAAATTAACTGCTATCCAGGTATGTAAACTCCAATTATACTCCTGCCTGAGCTGGCAGTGAGCGCTAGTGAGCCCGCAGCCAACTCGATACAAGAATATTGCTTCATCTGCTGCAACCATGTCCCGATCTCTTCCTCCTCCTCCAGGGATATACGTCCCCGCTGTTCTATTTTTCAAAGAGGACGAAGAGCTCGACATACCCGCGATCAAAGCGCATGTCCTTCGCCTAGCCCAGGTCTGTCCCCTTCTCTTGCGTGTGCGATGATTGTCACCTAGATCTCATCTGATCTCAGGGAGGAATCACCGGGATCCTCGTCCAGGGTTCCAACGGCGAGGCCCAACACCTCTCGCATGATGAGCGAAAGCAAGCCATCAGCCTCACCCGCCAGACCCTTGACGAGAACGGCTTCCAAAATACCTTGGTCATTGCCGGCACGGGCACGCAGTCGACGAGAGAGACTAAGAAACTCAACGTCGATGCTAAGGAAGCAGGTGCTAGCCACGCACTCATATTGACGCCCTCCACCTGGAGGCCGGCGATGACGAAGGACCTTATCCTTCGCTTCCACCGTGAGGTGCGTTGGGCATATTATAATGTACTCCAATTTACTCAAATATGGCTACGCTGTATATTAGGTCGCAGATGCTTCCCCAATCCCAACGATGATCTACAACTTCTCCGTCGTCACTGCTGGAATCGACCTCGACTCGAACACCATCGCCACTCTAGGCGAGCACCCCAACATCGTCGGGACGAAGCTCTCCTGCGGCCACCTCGGCAAGCTCACGCGCCTCGTCACAACATATCCCACGAGCGAGTTTGCGACCTTCATCGGCCGCTCTGACTCTTTCCTCCCATCGATCGCCATGAAATCCGCAGGCGGCATCATGGCCCTCGTGAATATCGCACCCAAGGCTCACCGTCACTTGTGGGACTTGTGGGACGCCGGCAAGGTGGATGAAGCTCGCAACATCCAACGCGTGCTGAGCCACTGCGACGGCATTGTGAGCAGGCTTGGAGGTATAGGATTCCTCAAGGCCTTCATATCTCACCACTTTGGATATGGAGGGTCAACAGTGAGGGGGCCATTGGCAGCATCCTCGGTGGATAGACTGACGGGACGCGATGGTGATTATATGGAGGAGTTGATACAGTTGGAAAAGGGCCTGTAAAATATATCACATCACGGCTGCTGTCATACACAAGTTCAATCCAGAATACGTGGCAACGTTCAGAGTAATCCTCATTTTGAGCAAAAATGGTCTACTCCTGGCAAGGCGCTACCAGGGCTCGAACCTGGGTTCCAGGAATTTTGGATATCAGAATCCTGAGTGATAACCACTACACTATAGCGCCATTCTTAATCTTATCATGTGGTTATATTCATCGTTGAGACAGCTCATTTGAGGTGAAGAAACAGCAAGCTTCATACTGCATCTTACAAGACAAAGGCTACCGGGAACCATAACGTGTATTGAATGGCTCCTGATAAGGCAGCGATACCTAGTGCGCATATCATGCAGCAGTCAGGATAAACCCAGCACTCGCGGCCTCCGTGACTGCGTTATTAATCAAACCACCATCCGACCCCACTGTCACGTACAGCCGATTAGAAGCAGCACGAATCGAATACACGTTGGTGGCCGTCCCAATTTTTGGGCGGATGATAAAGACCTCCCAGCTGGAGGCCGTTCCGCGAATGGACGCCAGCGTGTAATTCCCTGACTGGTCCGCGGTCACAAACTGACTCGTCGACTTCAACTGCAAGGTTCCTCCGTTCGGCGCGAAGCCAGAGTTGAACACCGCAGCAGACGATCGGGAAGTCGAGGATGCGACGAGGTTGGTGTTGCTCGCGGAAGAGACGACGTATTTTCCGGAAGCGGCAGCTTGAATAGTGAAATTGCCCAACGGATTCGCGTAGGCTGAGGAGCAGATCGCTCCCTCGGATGGGTTTGGACGGGTCGACAGGAAGTAGAGCTGATTCGTGAACGTGTTGCCGGTGCCCCAACTTGTGAGAGATGAAGATAACTGGGCGGCGGTCTTCAGGTCATACTGGGAGTATGCGAGGTAGATCACGCTTTTCCAGTCGTCGCTGATCGTCGGATCGGCGATTTCGTCGGATGCGTACTGATACACGTTCTCCACCCAGGCCGCATCGTACATATTTTCGTTGACTGGAGTAACCGGGAGCATTTGGATGGCTGCAATCTCGACCTTCTGAGAACCCCAGAACCTGGCGCAGAACTCGTCAGGCATAGTTCATCGCCGGGGGACATAGACTGGAAACAGTCGCGACTCACAACCAAGCACCTGATTGCCAATCCTGGACGTTGCCAATGGTCACTAAACTGCGAATATCCGGGTCCGGGTAAGGCTGATCGCGGCCTGTAGAATTGGCCTCAGGGTACATGTGCCAGTACGTCTGAAGTTCATTATGATCAGTTGATTGACCATGAACATTCGACGAAGACTAACTTGAGCTGCGTGCTGCTCGGATGCGAGAAGCAAGCGAGCGTAGTTTTTGATATCGGTATCCCCGATGACAATAGCCCATAGCATTGCACCATAGTATGCATTAACGGCTTCTCCCACTGATTCCTGGTCGCGCGATCCGGCACCATTCGCGATGCCCGACGCTGTGAGCGCCATGAGATGGAAGCCATGACATACATATGCATTGGCAGCTTACCCCAAGAGTGGCCAGCGAACCAATCTCGGTGACGAGTGACGGGGAAATAAGGATCGGCGTTCGTGGGATTGATAATATCTCGAAGGAACCAATTGACATAGGTCTGATGTTGGCTCAACCAATTGTTATCATATCTGTATGGGTTTCGTTAGCCATCAGTATGACGTAGCCGCGAAATAAAAAGGGGCATACTTCGCAATCACCGCAGCACCTGTCAGAAAATATCCATAATGGAAATGGTGGTCGTTGTAATACCCGTTGCCGAAATCAACGTTCACGTTGTTATAACCTGCAGCATCAATGATACCACCCCATCCAGTTTCATAGGCGGGTAAGGTAGTTGAAGACGATAAAAACTGGTCATCACATCAGTCCGGACCGAAAATATATGACAGTCTCAGGCCCCAGCACTCACCCAGTATTCATAACTGGTTTCTAAGTAAGCAAGGACCGTGGGTATGAGGTCACTGCGACCGACCTCATCCGCGATCAAACTTGTCGTGGCAAAGCTTATTGTGAGCGATCTTCGGATAGAGCGACATTGTCTTGGATGCACTTACGCAAGTCGAGCCTTTGCAGCAATAGAACCACCCCAGTAACAAAAGTCTCCCGGCACGGGGGCGTCACCTAGATTTGCTATTTCATACTCCAAGCCTTGAATAATCGCCGCAGTACAAGAGCTATCCGGAGCTCTAGGTGCAGCAAAATCCATGGTCGGCAAGGCATATTCCAAATTCCAGATATTGCCGAGAGCAGGGTACATGTACCCTTTCGTCGTGAGGTAATTCAGAGAGTCCGTCGACGGGAAGTTGGGTGACTGCATCGTGATCCTGAGGAGATGCTTTATCCATCGAGAATGACGTATTCGTGACCCTGAACAGACTTACCGATGATGAGGCCAGGTGAGCATCAGAAGGTCATCTGCGTTCCCAACTACGGTCCAGGTGAAACGCAGAACAGCAGTCGGGTCGCTAGAAGAAAACGAATAGTCTGTCTCAACAGCTGTCGCATAGTTTGCAACGTATTGATCTAGCAATGCCTCGTGCGACGCTTGATCTAGCTTTGCCACCCGTAGAACGCCTGTGAACGGTCTAGACGCCACAATTGTTCCTACACCATTGGAATTGGTGGCGTTGAAGGTGATGGGTCCAGAGAGCGAATAGATCAGATATGCCCCGATGTTATTGGACACCAGAAACTTTGTTCCAGAGACCATAGCTGTGATACGTTAGTGTCGGCATGTGCAGCCGTGGTCTCGCAGACGACGTACCACGGCTATTACTAGAAACTGACGTGTTACCGAGAGATGTGACAAACCCTGCCCCACTGAGAAAGCGGGGAGTCGCACTATTGAAAACGAATGTCAAATATGGCGAGCCCGGGACCATGTAGGCTGTCAATGTGCTTGATCCTGTGAAGTACTGCAGCGTGACCGATTGGGAATCCTATCAACAAACAAGAGGCCATCAGGACAGGATCATGCAGAGGTCAAGGAGTAAGGTCTGATTTACCCACGACAATGCTTTGTGGTCTTGCATGTTGCCCGAGTGCTCGACAAAGCCCACAGACCAATCTGTCTGAGTAGGCTGCTTGATCGACGTCCCATCAAATTGTCGGTCCGTCGAAATTCCAAACTGGATGCTATCGGCGGAAAGGCTGGATTCAAATGGAAAGGGTCCTGCACACATGCTACGTGACAGAATAAAAGGGACGTTAATAGACGAAGTCAAATTCGCCACATTAAAACCTACGCATCGCCTGCGCCTGCGCCATAGCCGGCCCACCAGCTGTTAGTAGGGAAGGGTGGCGAATGCCCTTGGAAAAAAGAGGTCGGAGGTTGGTCGTTGGTTACTGATCCACCTGCAGGGGCAGGGGCATCTATGGCGATGGGACCGAAGACGTTCGCATCCACACCGCCGACGAAGGCAGCGACAAGAGAAGAAAAAGCGAGAAACCTGGAAGAACGCATGACTCGAACCATCCACGAGCAGTGCACCACATAATGAAGGTAAGCTGGAGCTCTTTATAGACCTCGACTTCCATATTTTCATTCGCGATTCGAGATAAATGGCGCCCTATAGGGCTTGAAGCTCTATCTCCACAAGACTGAGAGTGCGATCGCGATCACGTTTGCCTAGATGAGGAGGTTCTGGGAGCAAAAGTGCCTGAAGTCAACTTTCCACAGGCTTCCAGAATACACAATCAAACGCGATCCGAGGTACTTACGATAGGCTGTTTCGCCAAGGATATCATTTCAAGACCACTGGCAACCTTCCAGTTCAGATCCCCGCGGCTGATCATCCTCAATGAAGAGCTGTTTGACCCCCCAGAAATGAAAGCACCGTCGGGGGATAGGTACCTGCCGAATATAAGGCGAAAGAGAAGAGGGTGTAAGTTTAGTCTCAGATAGAATGTTCTGTACACACCATGCAAAGCTTCTGCAGTCCTGGAAGGGGATGCAAAAACTGCTTCGACTCGGGAACATCTATTGACGTCTCAGGTACGAATATGTCCGCGGGACCACAATATCTACTGCATCGATTGGACGGTGGTCACCGTATGGTCAGTTGGATCATCGAGTGATCAACGTCAAGAGTCCAATCTGCAGAAGACTTCATTCGGACGTGTCACCTGAGAAGGAAGGGCATCGTACGAGTCTTAGTATGACGCCTCTTCGTTTTCGAGACTCACCGCTGTGGTCACTTTGGAAGTGCTAAACAAGCAATGAGAGTTGTTGCAGGGTTCGTGAAGAGTGAACATAACGTCCTGCTCGAGCCGTTCATCACCGCGGCATCTAATAATAATAGCTTTCAACTTATAGGGACATCAAGGGACATCAATGCGTAGACAGGGCGGACATCGCCCCAGAATATTGACCTTCTGTTTCTTCTTCTTCTTCGAGTTGTTGGTGAAACTGCGCCAGCTTCCCACACGCTGTTCCCTAGTCTCTGAATTCATGGTATGATGCGGTGAACTTAGGGTTCGGGGGGAGTGAGAAGATGCAAGGTGCTCACCTTCCCATTTTGCATCGTCTTCCGCTTTGCGTTTCTTTGCAGTGACTTCCTCTTCCTTTTTGCGTGCTTCAAACCCTTCATTGGCCAGATTCATCTTAACCGCTCTACAGAACGAGTAACCCGTATTGTCAGATTTGACGGGTGTAGGCTGAAGATGACTGATTCAAGCGCGTACTTTCGTCGTCTTACTTCCTCATCGATGAGGAGCTCCTTCGACTTTATTCTGAGCTGCACTTTGAATGTGGGTTCGAGTCCCTTCAATTTGGGATGGTCATCGGGAGTATTGGTAGGGAGAGAGAGGGCTTTCAGAAGAACCGAACGCGCTTGTGTGATGGTGGCGTCCAGCTCCTCTCGCTTCGCAGTATCACTGAGTTCAGATTCAGCCTAAGAAACAGAGGAAGTCCGATAAGCGTCAATATGTCAATGCAAAAGCAGATATATGCACACCTTCTTCAATATGTCAAAAGCCTCTGGAGCGCGTGCATGTGGGGTCTTGTCAGGATGGATGACTGTAAGCCAGAAAACGTACGAATGACAATCCATCCATTAGCCATGCATTCACCAGAGTGTATATTGCAAGACGAGGGGGTGGGACGCCGGATGCTCACATAGCGAGAGCTGTCGATACTTCCTCTTCACATCCTCAGGCTTGGCAGTTTCGTCTAGATCTAGGATATCGTATGGACTGGTGGATACTCGATGAGATAACTTGTATTTCGACCGGATGGAGATGAACGCACTTGAGTTTGAAAGCTTTGAGAATCCGCTCTACCTCAAGCTCGCGCTGGAAGGCAGAGGCTTCGCGGTTGAGCAGTTTCTCTAGCTCAGCGTCAGATATGATACTTGGGGGGGCATTGTTAGAGCTTGAAGACGACGATGCCATTGATAATAAGCTCTAGGGAGCTGTTGGAGAATCCTCAACCGGTACAGATGCTGAAAGAAAGTACAAAAGCGCGAAGTAGGCTATGGGAGATGAGAGACAGATCGGTGGTGGTCACTTTGTCACACTCGCTTGTCACCTATGTGGACTCCCACCTGCCTTCGTTTTAAGTCAGTGCACGGCGGAAGACATGATATTGTGTGCTAGCGGAGGTCCGAGAATGTCGATGGTCAGGCCGATCAGGAGCGGATGTTGGGGGGCGGATAGTTACGAGCAGGGAGGTTCTCCCCGGGCCTTTATACCTCTGGTCGTTGGCAGCCGGCGCACGCTGTCTACTATCGATCGATGGCAAAGAGAAGACTGCATCGAGACGTCGAGTTCTCGTCGTGCTCGCTTGTACGTGTACTACATGGTGCACTGCAGGTCCGCAACATACCGTATTGATTGACATGTAGGGACCACGTCAGAGGTTGAAGGAGAATCGTCAACGTTCCTGCCTTCGGGAGACTAATTGTCGTGGTCTGAGGACATCCGGCTAGCGCCGCTCACAGGCGGCGAAATCGAACATATATCGAATTCACAGATGGCCACAGAAGTGCAGGTCGATATCGATTCACGTCGGCACACGCGTTTCGACATCGACACTTATCTGTCTGATCCAGGACATGGCAACTTGAACGAACCATGCAAGAAGAATCAGACCAGAGAATTCTCACCGATGAGGAATAGATTGACTGCATTGTTGACGCACAGTCCTCGCGACAATATTTCAACGCCATACAGCCTGCACTGAAGAATAGGAATTGGTCCAAACTTTCTCGAATACCGCCACAAATTGAAATCTGTCGCAGGTGGTTGCAAAGCCTTTGCTCAAACTTTCAAGTCAACAGAGGAGAGCATCAAGCTACAATTCAATCGTCATGCCCAGGGCAGTAAGAAGGATACTGCTCAAAAGCCGTCAGGCACATACTTCTTTAGATACAACAAGTGTCCGCTGTCGTCCTCTGCCGCCATCTTCATCCTAGCCCAAAATTCTGCATAAATATCGCCAGGGTTAAGTACCGACATTGCTAGATCCGCCTTTTTCTGCTTGGTGGCTGCCGCTATGGTGCCGGTAAGTGGTGATTGCCAGTTATTGTCGATGCACTGTACAAATTGATCAAATACGACCCATTCCCATTCATACGAAGAGGTCGCCTTGGGTATTTCGGTCGGGTCTGTGCGGAGATTCGCCAAGAAATCTCTCTTTTTCTCTCTGCAGATGGCGTAATGTCCCGTGTTCCACGACTTGAGCGGATTCGTGACCATCTTACCGTCCTTGTACTGCAAGCATACATATGGCAAAATCCACAGGAAGCCTTCGAGGTCGTGGTGATACTGGCGCTTGATCTTGCCCTCCCAATAGGACGGCTTCAGCAAATCCAGAGCCATGAAGGGCACTGTCCCAGTGCGATCGCACCCGTCGTGCTTTGATATTCCCTCGATCGTGGCGAGATCCCAGTCGTTCAGAATACCACGTTTCTGGTCATTGATCATCACATTTGACAGGCTGAGATCGCTATGTTGAATACCCAGTGTCCAAAGAGCAAAGTGGCCTGCACCTTTGGGTCAGTATTTGTCGCCACTGAGACTAAAGCTTGACGCACAGCGGACGCAATCCAGATATGCTTTCATGAACTCCTCCCCGCACAATGCGATGATAGGGTCCAATTTGAGGAAGACGGCAAGCCGAAGGATACGAGTAGCCCGCCGTCCATCAGGCCGCGTCAGTCGAAGCGCGTCCCTGATATGGTTTGTCGAATGTTCGGGGAAGTCGTGCTCGAGGTACATCTTCGGAAGATGTTCCACGATATCTAGATTGCCCTCCCCTCGTTTATACGCCTCGCTGATAATGCGGCCTTCGCTCAAGCGTGATTCTTCCGGCCAATAGATCTTGACTACCACTTTCTCATCCTTGTCAAGCGTTGCAAATGATATATCATCGACAGCCGCAGGTCCCTTGCCAGAGCCTTGAGGTACGCGAGAGTCTCTGGTCGGAGGAGCCTTCGTACACGCAGTACCGCTGAAAACGGATGTGCCTCGTCCAACCAGGCTATATACGTGGTGAATTTGAGAATTGGGATCGATAGTGGCCTCAACCGGTGCGCTGACAGACAGTTCAGGTGGCGGAAACACGAAATGCGATTTTGGAAGGGAACGATTGGTTTGATGAACTTTCTTGAGATCATGGACGATCTTGGACTGGGGGTCTAGGATGGTGTTGAACCCCCAATCCTCGAGCTTGAACCTCTGAAACGCGAAGAGCAGAATCAGAAAGCGCGGAAGATCTTGAACAAAGTTGATTCCCTGAGTCTGGATCGCGCCTTGTCTGTCGTACCACCATATCCACATAACATCGTCTGGGGCGAAAAATGAGAAACCTCCCGCGACAACAAGATTCATCGTGTCTCACCGATGATAAGTACATTGATGGCGTGGTTGACGCATGGCCCCCGTGACAACATCTCAGCGCCATACATTCCGCACTGGACAATAGGCGGTTTCGGACGCTCCACGGGTTTCTTTTTGACTTTGACATCTTGCGCGATGCGTGCCGATGAGGCGCTCGGAGGTTGATTCGCTAAGGCACTATTACCACGAGTGTTGTGGATCTTCGGTGGAACCAAGTTCGCACTTCTTCCTCGAGGCTTCTTGTTTGCGCGTTCACTCGAGCTCGCACTTGTCGCTCGAGGCCTCTTTCCACCGCCACCTGAATTCGCACCCGTCGCTTCAGATCCGTCGCCATCTGGATTAGCTTCCGCACTGGTCGCTCCGGAAGGATCTGGAACGGGATTGAACAGGTTCCATACGTTTTGCTGAGGTTCACGGACGGCCCCAAAACCGGAGTGTTTGGGCGGCGGCGGCGTCAACGTCTTTGCAACTCGCTTGAACTCGAAAACACAGAGAATCTGCGGCCAATCGAACGCGATGAAAGGCTGTTCAAGAGCGAGCCCAGTGGCATCCCACCATTGCGTGCCGATAGAGTCACTTGCGCCCTGAGCTGCAGCGAGGGAGACCAGAACCACATCGGGGCTACGTTTAGACACATCACCATTGTGGTCTCCCTGTATCATTTTTGGATCGTTTCTATGAAAGAGTATCTCAAGATCGCCATTCGCGGAACGAACGTTGGGCACCTTGACGCTGCGTAGTTTCTGGAGCGCTAAATTGAAAAGCTCGACAAAAGGTCGATATCTGTCTTGTTCGGTGCCTCCAATTTTGCAGCTATGTAATTGTCTTTCAATCCTTGATTGAATTAGTGTGGACGAAGGACGCACTATTCTGTCAGCTGGTTCATTATCTGGTCATTGTTGCAGATTGGAAGCACCGCTTCGAGGTATGGTTGCAAGAAAGTTGAGCTCGTATCCTTCGAAGCGGGAGTTTGGCCGTGAAGACATTGCCTGAGAAAATACGCTAGCATGTCATCGACACTGCACTTCTCATGTTTTTCGAGGTCGTTCGCAATCCACTCTTTGACGTGGTCCACCCTGTTGAACCAAGCAATCAGCGAGTAGACAATAGTCTCTGAGACGTCGCAGTCGCATAACCTACATGTAGTCCTCATATCCTTCGCTGACGGCGTTCGATGTCGATCCCATGTTGTTCGAGGGAGTGGCGTCGAGTTTCAATGCAGCTAACGCTGGGTTCAAGCCGCCGATCTGGTCAGGGGGCGTGACTTTCCTGTTTGGGTTATGTGCCGGTGCTGCTGTCGGCCGAGAATGAGAAGACATGATATTGTGTGCTAGCGGAGGTCCGAGAACGTCGATGGGTCAGGCCGGTCAGGAGCAGATGGTAGGGAGTGGATAGCTAGGAGCAGGGAGGTTCTCCCTGGGTCTTTATACCTCTGGTCGTTGGCAGCCGGCACACGCTGTCTACTATCGATCGATGGCAAAGAGAAGACTGCAATCGAGACGTCGTGTTCTCATCGTGCTCATCTGTACGTGTACTAGGGTTCCGTGAGTAATCCCTGAATTGCTAACATGTTAATAACTTATGCTATTAACATTGTTATTCACACTGTTATTAACACTGTTATTATCAGGCCCCCTCCAGGGGGGCACAATGTTGATGTTAACAATGTTAATAATGTTTGAAATTGTATATAACGATCAGCATTTGAATTTACATTGAAATGTACATATTTGGGCAAGGGCCAGGTGGAAATATTGAAGGTTGTGGCTGTACAATTATGTCTTCCCTGTAAAATAATAATTTTGTCTAGGAGTGCAGAGTCTTAGACTGCATTGGTTCCTGTTCTGGACATCCTATTACCCACTCCTCCCACTCATGCCATGTCCACCAAGTCAAATGACATTAACTTTGAGACTGTTCTTACAGAACTGAATCACCTGCTATTGGGCATACCTCCGGAATCAAATCTGCCTTTTGTGAAAAATCAATGTTCACAATTGTGTTCACATTCAAAGTCACAATGCCTCAGAAACTAATTCTTGTTCTTGGTGCAACTGGTGCCCAAGGCCTCGCAGTGGTCAATAATCTTCTCGCACCTACTCATAATGGTTTACCCTCACCATACGCTGTCAGAGCTCTTTCTCAGAACCCCGAGAGTCTCTGTGCAAAGACTCTGAAAGCCAAAGGCACTGAGGTCATTCAAGGTGAGCAACATTTGTAAATCATGGTGTCAATGTTTCTGATTCCTCAAAGGCGACACAAACGACCTTGCGTCAGTCACAAGGGTGTTGAAAGGTGCATACAGCGTATGGGTTAACACTGATGGATTCACTATTGGTGAGCAGAAGGAACTTTACACTGGCATGAGGATATTTGAGCTAGCTAAAGCTATGAAGATGGTGAAACATTTTGTCTGGAGCAGCTTAGACTATGGTTTTAAGATTGTATCTATCTTTTGCTTGATCATAGCAATGACTTATCTAGAGAATTCAACATTTCAGAAGGGATAATCCAAATTGATTTATTGCTGTGAACATTACAATGGCAAGGGCCATGTTGCTGACTGGATGAAAGCCTAGCCATTTATCGTGAACGATGCAGATATGACATGGAGCATCGTGACTAGCAGGCCTTACATGGAGATGCTGAAAATGGTAAGTGCATTCACATTCTCCCTCTGTTCATTGATTTAGATGTCAATTCTTTAGCATATGTTTGGCCCCATGTATGAGCACACCGATAGCACACTTGTTTTTGCATCCCTAATTGGGGATGGTTATGTCCCCATGATCGGCATGTCGGATCTAGGATTTTTTGCATGTTACACATTTGACAATCATGCCCTCACCTCCGGCAAGGACCTCAAGATCACAAGCAAGATGGTTGGTTGGTACCATCTAGTCTTGACTTTTATCAAAGTCACTGGCAAGAAGGCCGTGTTTGAATGACTCAGCCTCAAGGAATGGTTTCACCATATTTCTGGCGCAAATTTACTGGTTGCCACGGAGCGGAAAGCTGGTGATGGGTCAATGACATGGAAGCAGAATTTCTCTGGATGGTGGTCCTTGTTTCATGACGATGTGTCGAAGAGGGACATGGAGTGGATCAGGACGGTCCATCCACATGTACACACATTGGAAACATGGATGAGAGAAACAAAGTATGACAGCTCTTGAGATCAAGGAGTACTGAAGCTCATTGAGGACAGTCATAGTGGTCTTCATAAATATATGAAGCCACACCTTGCTGTATTGTAATATACTTGAGAGATTGTACATGGTGCGGTCAGAAAATGTCTGCAATCTTCAGAGGTGAAAAACTAAAAAGCAATATGGGAATGTAATGCTGATTGGAGCCCGAGACTTGAGAATGGGCCACTAGAGTCGAGATCAGGCCCAGGCAAAGCTCGGGGGGATTCGCTTGGTTTATCATGTGACTTCCCATCTCGCTCCGAATCGCGCTGCAGCGCGACAGCAGTGGCAGTTTCTCATCAACCTCGCCTTGCAGTGAAAGGAAATCAAAAATGCATGCCTTGCGATTGTCTGCTAATCGAACGCCAAGTGTCGCTCGGGTGCGTGCAGATCTGACGTTCCCATCCTGTACCAACTGAAACGCTGATCAGGCTTTCAGGCAAGGACCGCCGACTGCCTTCACGCTTCATGATATCCTATGGCAAAATACTACGCGCCTGCCCTGTTATAAGGCTCCGCGGAGGCCATTGTCTACACAAATCCCCCAATCTTCTGCTCCTCATCCGGGTCCCAGATATGTCTCGGCGCGAGAGATGTACGCGCAAAGAAATCGCAGCCTGCTTATGTATACCTCTGCCGTGGTATGTGCTCGCCCACTCCGTCTTCGGACCAAATGACATTCACACCTCAGAAATCTAGATAGTGTTTGCGGTTGGTGTGACTTACGCTGCTGTTCCTCTTTACCGCATGTTCTGCGCCGCGACTGGATTCGCGGGTACCCCTATGGTCGGTACAGGAAAGTTCGAAGCGGAACGCCTAGTACCAATAGAGGGTGCCAGGCGCATCAAAGTAGTTTTCAACGCGGATAGATCAGAGCAGCTGCCCTGGACGTTCACTCCTCAGCAGAAGTTTGTTACTGTGCTTCCGGGTGAAACAAGCCTGGCTTTCTATAAGGCGAAGAATACGTCCTCTGAGGACATTATTGGGATTGCTACGTATAATGTAACACCAGACAGAGTGAGCCTATTCCCCTCCACCCTGTAAATTGAAAGGTCTGTCTGCTGAAGTGCAAGTCAGATCGCTCCATATTTTGCGAAGGTGGAGTGCTTCTGTTTTGAGGAGCAGAAACTGCTTGCGGGGGAGGAGGTAGATATGCCTCTCCTCTTTTTCATTGACAAGGACGTGCTCGAGGATCCGGCGTGCCGAGACCTGGACAACATCGTGCTGTCCTACACGTTCTTCCGGTAAGAGATCGGCCTAGTCGTCTGATGCGCAAATTGCTGAGATTATGGGGTCACTCGCGCCTAGCGCGCGTCGGAATGCCCAAGGACATCTCGAGCCAGACGCGTCGGAAGAGGTCGTGCAGGCATCGCAGGGGTTCGGCGAGTACGAACATGCGCCAAAGACCGAGGTTCGAAATGCCATCGCAGTCGGAAAATCAGCGTCATCTTGAAATCATCCGTGTGCGACTATTGAGATTCTCTGCGGGCCGAGTCCGGACTGGGTTTGCGACATATGGGCGTAGATGTACGGACGATGTCAGTTGTTGGCAATTCATAGCACCTGCATCTTTCGTTCACCGATGCAATATTTGGCGCGCACTCGCAGTCTGGAGGGAGACTGTGACAACGAAAATGGGATCAATATTTAGTAGATGGGGTGACAGGCACTAGACATTTGGCGAGATTATCACAGTTTATTGTGGGGATAGGCGCGGGCTCGGCGCCACTGCTGATCGAATAAGGCATGTTGTAACCTGTACCACTACCCTCCACTACCACCCCTCCGTCCTCAGTCCTGCCCTGTCCCACTGCGCTTGTTTCGGCATCGACAATCATTCTATCATGTCCTCAACGAGCCCCCTTTGGGATAGCAGGAACCGCGGCTTCATTCCTCCTTCCGAACTGCAACAGCTCCGACGCTCTTCCGTGCCGCCGCCGGTCAACCACGACTTTCACTCTCAGGACAAGCCTCAGCCAAACCGCCCTCCAAGCATGGCTCAGCAGCCACCACCCCCGCCAGCCAAACCCACGATGCACGGGCACGCGCGCTCTTCGTCCTTCTTTGGCTTCCTGAAGCCTAGTAACGACCATTCGAATCACCCGGCTCAACATTCCTTGACCATGGGGCCCCAACAAACGGGCACTCAGCCTTCAGACGAACATGGACATATATCTATTAGCGAGATACAGCCTCCCCGGCTCCCTCCTCAGCAGAGCCTCTCGAGCCCTCCACAGGGGCGCCGCTCCTCGATGATTGCAGGCCCTTCCCAACCACCGCAGCTCCATCCCGAAATTCGCTCTGTCGTGCAGCTTACTATGGCGCACGCACACAAGGTGTACTTTTCTGGCCCGCTTGTTCGCCGGATTGAACGACTGCCCGATGGCCATCGGCCGGTGAAAGAGGAAGGTTGGCGGGATGTATGGGCGCAGCTGGGTGGGACAACACTGAGCGTGTGGGATATGAAGGAAATCGAGGACGCAAATAAACAGGGGAAAGAGGCCCCTCCTACGTATATCAATATCACCGACGCTGTGAGTCTTCTTCCTGGTATTTATTGTGCTCGCCGGACATGGTAGGTGCAGCCGCATGCGCCATACAACCTTGTCGTGCACGAATTTGCTTGCTCGTTGCGGCTGTTCATGTGGTCAACGAGCAATGCACGACAGGCTTGGCGATGAAGAGCCAGTCCTGTCGTCTTCACGGCTTCTTGGTATGTAATATCCTTGGTCTAACGAATGATATACCAGTTTGTACAAGTACTTGGGTCTGTAACAATACCCGCGACACCAACCTCTCCAGCCCAGAAATACGCAAATGTTGTCACCGTCAATAGTGCGGGATCAAATCTGTTGCTGTTCTCATGTCCATCTACGGCGGCACTCATCTCGTGGGCCGCTGCGCTTCGCCTTTCTGCATGGGAAAAGTCACGACTGGAGGAAATTTACACAGCCCATCTGATCCGCATAACCCTAAACGATGGTAAGTTGACATCTTCTGATGCACAATCGATGTCATCGATTTCGATACACCCAGGACGCGATGAGCCCTCGCCTCTCATTCGTGGGCGCATGGAAGGGTGGGTTCGCCTCCGTGTGGCCGGCCAGACCGACTGGAAACGCCTATGGATGGTGGTCGCCAGCAGCTCGACCGAGGCTCCAGGATCTCCACCGCAGCCCGAGCATCGACCTAACTCCCCTAGTGCTCCGCGCAAGAGGCGAATCTCTTCCCTCTTCGGCTCGCGCGATGAAGGGTCCCTCGACATCGCCTCGCCTGCGAGTCCCGTGATATCCTTCTATCAGTCACAAAAGGGTAAGGACAGGAAGAAGGCGATGTTGTCGCTCCAGAATACGACACAGGCTTTTGCGGTCTACCCCGAACGCCCAGAGTTGATCAACAGAAGCACCTTGATAAAGGTGGAGGGTTTGATCGGGGACGAAGAGGTAGCCGGTGGGATGAGAGGTAGAGAGGGTTGGGTTCTGATCATGCCAGAATTTGAGCCCGGAAGCCCACAGACGAAAGAAATGCTGAGATGGCTCATGGGTAAGTTATTCGTAGACAGTCGATCTATCTGTGCTGATTTCCGTTCGTCAGCTGTGCATGATGCTTTCCGGCTGTACGGCAGACCCAAACAATATTCTTGGGATCCTCGTGACCCGGCATCTCTAATGTTCGCGTATCCTGTGGGTCCAAATCGAGACGTGAGTGCCCTACATATTTCACATAACATCTCTGTTGAGTACACCCAATAGTTGCTATTTTTGGATCGTGAAATGGCGGAATCCATGGACCCTCGGGACGATCGCACGTCGGCCGTTCGCTCGAGATTATTGAATACGCTTTTGGATCGTATGCAAGGAAAGCCATCTCATGCGCCTCGAGCCAGTTCAAGTCCTCCGACCCTTCCTCCAATTCCATCAGCACGTTCCGAGGAGGAGCACGAGGACGAAGCGAGTGGATCCCGACTTGCTCCTATGCCCCAACTGCCTGCTTTGAGCTTCGACGCACAAGCGCAAGATAGCAAACGGATCCTTACACCAATATCCGAAAGCGAAGGGAACGGCCATAGTCGACCTATGACGTCACAGCAACAGGGCAGGCAAGACTCGGGTAGCAATGAAGTTATGCTGGATAAAGCAGTGCATGGGAGCCCGACCATGATGTCTGCCAGTGAGATTTTTGGGCCTGTTCGACGCTCCAGTGAAGCTTCATCACGGAATGTCAATACATCAAGGCCCGATTCGAAGCTCAGTCACTCTTTTGTAGGCAGTGGGCCGAAATCGAAGACACCAACGGACGATAGCCATGGCCATAATGTGGAGCTCGTGAACATCGCACTGCCAGTGTCGCCGGCGCCAACATCGCCTAGCGTTGGTAGTCGGTCGTTCACGACATCGCCTCCGCCCATGTCGCCCCATTCTCGGAGTGGAGGCATGGCAATCGTCCCACCTCGAACGCCGTCTCCGGCCGGGTTCTCCATTCTGACCTCGCCTCATTCTGCTATTGACTCCCCGAGGCACGGATCATTTATGGCGCTATATGAAGGCTCAGAGCGAGGCGCGCGTCCTGAGGTCTCGGTCATGTCAACGCCAAAATCTGCCAGTTCATCGCTTCCCCTCACGCCATCGAAACTGTCACAGCCTCCTGCCTCAGTACCGAATCCGAGCACATCCGGAGACTCTTCGAGCAACCTGTACGAAGAAGCGGGTGCTCTGTACTACATGCAACAATTCGATCAAGAGACGTCAAGTCAAGCTCCACTTCGTCGTGTTCCACCGATTGATGAGGATGAAGATGAAGACGAAGACGCAGATTCATCCTCAGAGTATGGGCCTACTCCCGCTCTGACTAGTCCTTTATCATCGGGGAGCAACCCTGTGAGCCCGCCGCGCACGGGTGCCAATTCCCCAGCGAGGCATGGCATTGCTTCACGGAACCTTGCGAGGACCTCGACGCTACCCACGGCAGATGCCGGCGCTCCCCTGAAAGTGGTTACTCCTATAGGAAGGCGGCCGTCCGGCGCACGTGCACCGCCAAGCGGACGCCGAGTCGTGAGTGACCAAAACCCTGAACGTCGCGACTCTCCGCGTACCAGCATGGACGAGTCCGACCTTGCCTACAATCGAGCAACATCCTTGAACTCACAAATGGACGACCCCAACGCCGATGCTCTCGCAGCACTCAGTTTTCTCGAGCAGGAAGACAAGCCTGCACCCTCGCGCTTGCCAGCCAAGCAGACTTCTCAGTCGTCATCGTCCCAGGCGGCCTCGCCTCCACCAATCGATGGATCCGCACCGCCCACAATTGTCGAGCCTGAAGACCAGGGACGATCATCGACGCCAGGGAGTGACGCCGCCTCACAGTATCGCTCTTCGTTCGCTCCCTCGAAGACTGCCATGCAGCGCAAGGCGAAGACGGAGGCCCAACAGGCTGCGCAGGAAGCCGCTGCGCATCGCCCTGGTCGCGTGAATGGAAAGCTAAGGGCCAAGACAGGAAACACAGGAGCTTGGGGCGATAGCAGTGAGGAAGAGGAAGACGAAGACGAGGACGAGGACGAGGACGTCGATTCGGATGGAGGAACACCAGCATCGGCACGAGGCAGGGATGACCGTTCTGCTTCCGGACAACCCGTGGACAACCTCTCGCTTCATTCTCAAGCACGAGGGCCGTCACCAGGAGGACCGTTGGCCGATTCGTCCTACCACCCTCAACTACGCCTACCGCGTAACTTGCCGCAAGTTCCTGGCCCGAGGCCCCAAGGTGAGGACCTCGATTTTCCCAACTCATACGATGGTGACGAACGATGATTAGTTCCAGAAGGTGACGAACCGTATGCCCCATTACCGCGAAGATTCGTGTCGGATCAGTACTCAGAGGCTGGTAGACGAACCACGTACGGCGAAGGCATGCCTCGACCACCTTCGGCTGCCAGACCTGGATCCGAATACCCTCCACAACTTCAGGCCCCACCACCAATGCCTTCACGCCAGACTATGTGGAGTCAGGTTCTGGACCCTGGCAGGCAGCCAGGTGTAGTTCCCGACGGATCGAATGGTCGGGATACATTCGTCCAAATTGAAGCTCCAGCTGCAGCGATGACGAAAGCATTTACACCTCATGGACTTCTCTCTGTTGGGCTTCAGGACAAAGAGGACCGGTCTGCCAAAAAGCAGGAAGAGCTTGCTCGGGAGACCGGCGCATCGCTTATCAACGTTCCATATAAGCCTCCACCCCCTCAGACTGGTCTTTTAGGTGCTATTACTGCTCACGAGCGCGAACGCAAGCGCGAAGGTGGTGTCGGCGCGACTCTCACTGAACGTGAGCGCGAGAAGCGCTTAGCAGAGGACAGGCAGCGGAAGCTTGATGATCTCCAGCGACAGCAATTGGACCAGATGCAGCAGGGCGGCTCTGTGTATGGGACTCCCCAGCTCGGTGGCTACAACCCGATGATGATGGGGATGAACCCTATGATGACCGGCATGAACCCCATGATGACGGGTTTCGGTATGGGATATCCTGGGATGATGGGAGGTTACGGAAATCCTCAACACATGTTTGCTGCTCAGCAGGCTGCCCAGGCGTATCAGCAGGCGATGATGTCCTTCTCGCAGGCTGGATCGCAAGCTGGTGGGGAAGCTGGCGGAGGCGGTGGTGCGCTTAATCCTATGATGACTGGCGGAACCATGGCTGGGTTCGACCCCAGGTTTTCGATGATGGGTATGCCGATGATGAGTCCGATGGGTATGGGTGGGGGCATGAATCCCGGGATGGGCGGTGGCTTGAGTCCTGGGATGGGTGGGGGCATGAGCGCCGGGATGGGCCCCATGGGTATGCAGATGACAGGTGGATCAATGTTTGATCCACGCTTCTCTCAATTCGACCCAGGTGCTCAACTTCCCATGAACGACTTCGCCGCTCAAGGACGATTCACCCCGCGCAACGGCTCCGGACAAAATTCGCCTGGGGGTCCTCGGCCTCTCGATTCGGGAGAGGAGGCGCCTAGAAACTCGAACAATGCTAGCCCCAGACCACCACAGTGATTGATCATAGACATAAAATTTGGATATCCTCACGGCATTATACCGCACATTCTCGTTCTCTCCTTGCTCACACATTCCATGCTCTTGGGTTTACGCATCCTTTGTTTTTTTGGTGAAACTATGAAGGCTCACAAGTTTTTTTAATAACCGTCTACACTTCCTAGTCTGTGTTTCGCTTTGTTACACAATAGTTTCTGCCCAAGCTTCTTTTTGAGATTACGTGTGACAACGCGCTTAACGCGTCGCGACAAGTTCGGCATTCGCCTGGCTAGCTGAAATTCACTCTCCATCACTCCTACCACTGGAGTGTCTGGTCAATGACATCCTCCTTCACGCCGTTGGCACTTGAGGAAACGCGACTATGGGTGTCAAGTCATTATGGAGCTTGCTAAACCCTGTAGGCAGGCCGGTATTGTGCGTGAGATCTTCATGCGTGCATTGCTCGATCCGTGCTTGACACATTACTCTCAAGGCTCGAGAATATGGAGGGAAAGACGATGGCCATCGACTCTAGTATATGGATCTACCAATTTCAGGCTACCATGCGAGACAAAGAGGGCCGCGGATTGGTGAACGCCCACGTCTTGGGATTCTTGAGGCGGATATGTAAGCTTTTGTTCTATGGTATAAAGCCCGTTTTCGTGTTCGATGGAGGGGCACCGGCTTTGAAGCGTGCCACTATAGTGCGTGACATCTTGGAACTTCTGGGTGAACATGGAGGACTGACTCGTTCCGAATGATAGGCTGAGCGAAAACGCAAGAAGAGTGGTGCCGCTGCAAGCCATGTTAAGGTTGCAGAAAGACTCCTCGCAGCTCAGATGAGGCGTGCGGCTCTCACTTATGCTCAACAACAGAAGTAAGTTGCGTTGCCCTTCGTACCAATACATCGTTCTTATCGTTCTTAGCTCGGCGAAAGACAAGAGAAAGACGTCTACCAATAGTCTTACTATCGGCGAGGATACCGTTTTTCTAGAGGATATCGATAATTCAGCACCGAAAACGCCAGCGAAAAAGGGTCACGACGACAAGACAACAGGTCCATCACCATTCTCATCGTCCAAGAAGAATCGTTGGCACGACCATGACCCTTATCGACTGCCTGACGTCAATCCAGAAGAGCAAGTGGCTAATGTCACCAAGGCCACGGCTCCAGACCCTCGCCTTGCTACAGAAGAAGAGCTTCAAACCTTCATCGACGAAATGCGCCCGGAGGACTTTGATGTCACTTCCCCCGCATTTCGTGAGCTTCCTACAGAAGTCCAGTATGAGATCATCGGCGATCTTCGCCTGAAATCTCGCCAGACATCATATGTTCGTCTTCAAAACATGCTGAAAAAATCTCGTACCCCTCTCGATTTCTCGAGGCAGCAGATCAGAAATCTTCAGCAGCGAAATACGCTCACCCAACAGCTGTTGACCACCAACGACACAATTGGTCAGGCCCATGTTTCGATTCCTGTGCGCATTGCTAGTGAGAGGAATAAACAATATGTCCTCGTGAAGAACGAGGGTAGTGAGGGTGGATGGGTCTTGGGCATACGCGACGAGGGGACAAAGGCGAAGCCTATCAAAATCGAAGACGAAGAAATAAAGCAGCCAGATGATGAAAGTGAAATGGAAATGGAAGAGATTGAAATGTACGTATATTATTTCTTGAATTGACCCTAACATCTCTCAATAACACGTTGAAGACCTCAATTCGCTGTCGCAGATCCTGATTTGCGGGATTATCATCGAGAAACAGCACTCTCTGCTATTTCTCGAAGACAGTCTTCCAAAGCTGTTCGCTTATCGAAGGAATCTACCCCGAGACAAAACACAGAACAAAGGCGCCAGCCACTATTTGAGCCAGATGACGACGAGTTACCTTTGCCGCTTCACCATGATTTACCTGACGAAGACCCTGAGCTCATGATAGCTATGCAGGAATCTATTGATCAAGAGGAAGAATCATATCTACAGCGAGCTCTAGAGGCCTCGCGAATGTCTACTGCCGGCCCATTACCTACGGGAATAGCCTCTAGCGTCAGTTTCAATGCAGCAGCTAGTGCTATCCGAGATGCATCGGACGGCGAAGATCTCTACATCCCTGGACGTCTTGAGACGGCGCTGGCTATTGCCAATGCCGGCCCTCTGCACAAGCCTCTGTATATGCCACACAACTCTCCCGTCTCACGAGCAGAGTGGCGCCCCACTAGATTGTTGATATCTAAGACTGCTCCCCGGGCGTCCGCCTCGCACATCGTAGTGCATGAATCTGACGACGACATGGAAGAGATTCAAGTCCCACTTGCTGTTTTAGCACCGTCTGTCGAGGCAAAAGCGAGATTTCATACAGAAATATCACGCACACTTTTAGAGCCTGCTTCTCATGCGGTCTCGGAAGCTGTGATGTCCGAATTTGATGATGACATGGAAGTCACTCTTGCAAGCGAATCTGCCACTGTGGACAAATCCTCCAGGAACATGATTGCTGGTGGACTTACATCTTTGTCATCACAGATCCCTATCCTTGTGCTTAAGAACGCAGCATCTAGCTCAGACGATGATATGTACATGTCAGTTAACGAAGGTCATGCCGCGCATATGTCTCCAAAAAACGAATCCGAGCGAGGCATTGTTTCTATTCCATCGTCACCAGCTCCTCCCCTCGTAACCCTGAACACGTCTCGTGAAGACCGACTCACGACTGCTCGTGACGGTGACCGCATCGCCGAGGACTCAGATTCAGAGGACGAACCCCTGACAGACTGGTCCCGGTCTCCATTGCCAGTGACAGGTAGGAACCAGACTGCTGCTCAACCAGTTAGCGAGAATTGGGATGCAGCAGAAGAAATGGACGTTCTCGCCGAGGAAGGCGAGTTCGCACGTTTTGTATCTCAGGTCAAGGGGAAGGATCTGGATTCAGTGCGCCGCGAGATTGACGAAGAGATCAAAGCGTTGAACGAGCAGAAGAAAGTGGCAATGCGAGATTCGGAGGATATCACTCAGCAAATGATCTCGCAGATCATGGTGTGTTGATTTCAAGAAAGATTAGAGGAATACAAGGCTTAAACTTACTATTTGACAGATTATGCTGCGCCTGTTTGGTATCCCGTACATTACCGCGCCTATGGAAGCTGAGGCGCAATGTGCGACACTTGTTCAGCTTAATCTGGTGGAGGGCATAATAACCGACGACTCCGATGTCTTCCTTTTTGGCGGTATGCGAGTATTCAAGAACATGTTCAACCAGTCCAAGACCGTGGAATGTTTTCGCCTTGCGGACTTGGGTCACGAGCTCGGCCTCGAGCGTGATAAGCTCATTCAATTGGCCTACCTTCTAGGTAGCGATTATGTTGACGGCCTTCCAGGTGTTGGGCCTGTTGTAGCGATGGAGTTGTTAAAGGAGTTTCCTGGAAACGATGGTCTGCACAAATTCAAGGACTGGTGGCTAAGAGTACAGTCTGGAAAAGACAGGCCGGAAGACAACAAGAGCAAGTTCCGGCAACGATTTGTGCGTGCGTTTGCGCTTCGGATTGGCCTGACTTCATTTCGGAATTTACAATTTAGAAAAAGAAATTCAAAGACTTGTATCTGCCTGATGATTGGCCCAATCCCGCCGTGGTACGTTTCATTGTGCAGCCTGAGATCGTGTATGATTGATCATATTTCAAGAGGGATGCATACTACCATCCAACGATTGACGAGTCTGACGAGCCCTTCAAGTGGGGCCTTCCTGATCTCGACGGGCTCCGCGAGTAAGGCCCCAATACCCGTCTTACGCGAGTCAAGTACTCATAATGCCCTTCAAAGTCTTTTTCTAGAGGAGCTCGGTTGGAGTCGATCGAAAGTCGAGGAACTCCTCCTTCCGATTATTCAGAGGATGAACAAGCGGGGTCAAGTACGATCTCTCCAATTCTCCCACGTATTTATCCTCACGGGTTGACATCTGCATAGGCTCAAACTATGAACAAGCAGGGAAACCTGAACGATTATTTTGATGTGTTAGGACGCAACGGAGCTTCTTCTGCACCGCGGAAGCGTAATGCGTATGCGAGTAAGAGGTTACAGCAAGTTGTCAATGATTTCAGGGAACAGCAGGCCGCGTCACGGAAAGCGGGTTCCAAATCAGGGGGTTCGTCATCTGCAACTCCTGCTCCCGATGCAGAAGAACTGTCTGAATCGGATCAGGAAAATGAACTTCAGGATGATTCCATTGCGGGAAAAGGGAAGGCCAAGGGGGCACGCAGTGAACGCAAGATTGACGGCGCTGCCAGAGGCAGAGACAGGGCTAGAGGACGAGGGCGAGCCAGTGCCAGTGCCAGTGCCAGAGCTTCTGCTACATCAACATCACGTAAACGCAAGCGGTCCGCTGCAGGTGAAAGTGAGGGTGAGGCATATGAACCTGGCGCTGGTGGTACCCGTGCTTCCGAAGAAGTAGAGGTTACACCGCCTTTGGCGGTGAATCTCCGGCCTCGGGCCCGTCCCGCATTCAAAAAGAAGTCTGGCGAATCAAAGAGCGTCGATGATGAAAGCGCAAGGTGAATGTGGGTATACGTTCCAATTCATTGTCCCATATATTACTTTACCACAGATGCGATATAGTATCGTTTACCTCATACGCAACGGGGAGATCTGGAGTGAATCTTGGAATTTGTCTGTGAGATTTTTGAAATCAGAGCAATGGTACAATGTCTATCTAATTCTGACAGTTGATTGACTACACCATGTGTGAGCTCCCGTGAGGGAAACTCTCTATGCGCGCATCCAGGAAACTCAGGAGAACGTTGGCCGTCATAACTCCCCGGTGTCTAGACTCTAAAGACGGCCGTCTTCTGAAGCATACAAAAAAAAGACCAGTAAAAGATGAGGGAAACAGACGGATGAAAGGGGGACCGGAAGGATTCGCGATAAGCGTATCTAGTTGGGAACTGTGAGTAGCGGGGAGAACAGGTAAATTCTATGGAAGGGAGCGTACATGCTGCGGAAGATAAAGAACATAGATGGAAGAACAGCCATTTACTCAGAAGAGTCGATGTCATTCTGGAGCACAATCCTGAGATGAAATTGGAAGCCCTTTAGCATGACATTCCATGGATCGAGAATGGAACCCACCTGTAACGCACGTCGCCCTTGTCGACCTTTTCAACGGCTTCTGTAGCCTTGCTCATAGGCAAGACCTCGATCCAACTACGCAGATCTTGCTTGCTTGCCAGTTCGAGCATCGATATGGCCTCTCTCTTGTTACCAAGATATGATCCGGCAATGGCGCACCCGTTGACAAGGTCAAAGGCCGCGATCTCAGGCAAAGGTTCTTCGGGCAATCCGACGCATACTAGGTGCCCACCTACGGCGAGGAGAGTGAGCACCTTTTTGAGCGGGAAGCCAGCAGAAACATTTGCGGTCTGTGTTTGTGAGGGCTCGGTTAGTATATCATTCCCGCGTCATTTCAGCGCAGCACTGACGCTAATGATGATATCCAATTCCCCTCGGTACGGGTCCGCGAAGTCTGCTTCGCCAGTATGTAACTAAGGACAGGAAGAGGCATTGAGATTAATGTTCACAAAGATCGCGTGAGATTGAACATAGAGCCACCCACGATATAGTCGCCACCCAGCTTTTTGATATCGTCGTCCTTATCCGTGCTACGGGTCAGCGCATATACTTCTGCGCCAAGTGCCTTCGCCCTAGAGGTGTTGATTAGCACCTCATATAATTGCAACGCAGCGGAATTTTACAAACCACATGATGGCAAAATGGCCCAAGCCACCGATGCCTATGACACCGACTTTCTTTCCAGGCCCGCAACCGTTTCTGACAAGTGGCGAGTAGGTTGTGAGGCCGGCGCAGAGCATAGGTGCTGCGATCTCGGACGGAAGTTGATCCGGGATGGGGAAGACGAAGCGCTCGTGGACGCGTACAGCCGTGGCAAACCCACCGGTCGTCTAAGAAAATGTGAAGTAGAATGAGTCCCGAGAACCTGCCAGATAGTTCTGAAGCAATCAGGAAGATCTTCTACCTTGTCACCATTGGGGTATCTGTCGTTGTATGTGTCGATCAGATCATGGCAGTAATTCTCGTTGTCGTTCTTGCAGTTCTCTTCGGAAGCATGTGTCAGTGCGATTCGAGGTGGTGAGGCAAATGATGATGCAAGATGACGCACTGCAGTCAAAGCATGAGCAAACCTGCGCACCGACACCTGCTCGATCACCGATCTTGAACTCGGTCACTTTAGGTCCGACAGCAGATACCGTGCCAACAATCTCGTGTCCAACAATAACGGGAAGGTCTGGCTTTCCCCACTCCGCCTTTATAGTATGCAGGTCAGAGCCGCAGATTCCACAGTGAGTTATTCTGAGTATCAAAAAAAGTTTAGATGATAGGATACAGATTGGTGAAAGTCGGTCGCTCACGCTATGTCGATGTCATAATCGCCTGCAGTTTTAAGGTCATACGAAATGAGCTTGAAATCATTCCACCTAACGGCGAGGTGACAGGTTAACACTGTTGCTTGGCCCAGAATTGTCGGAGGACAGAGGGAGCATACTTTGTGGTGTCGTGAATGGCGTAACTGCAATGGGCATAGCCTCGTGAATATGATTCCCAATAAGCCGTGAAGACGCGTACCCTTTAGCAGACATGATAGTGATGCAGTATGAAGTGCGGGTTCGTTTTCCATGCTTCATCGAAGACTTATATAGGACTCACGCTGCCGAGACTGCCGCTCCGAGAGCAAGATGCCGAAGAGTATGGTTGAAGCAGCCCGCCGCTGCCGACGTCGGGACGTTGCTTGCGACATGCGCAACATTCACCGAAGTGTGTTGTCATCCGAAGCGAACAGAAATATTTTCTTCTTCTCTTCGAGTCAATCACGGCAATTTTCGAAGCCTCGGAGCTTCCTAAGGGGTTTGACCCTCGAAAAAAGCGAAGGCTTATTGATAAGTGGGGCCAATGTATTTTTGGACGATTTATACCACATACTTGAAGGACATTGCTCTACTCAAAGGAGACCCACAGGCATTTACTGGCGCGCACGCAACGTAGTGACTGTCGATGGGAACACGTGTTATAGCCTCAGAAAGCCTTCCAGGCCTCTCGAGTCTTCTCAGAAGTTCATGGTGATCCCTGCATCCACCAGCTTCTTGCTCGATAACGTCAGAGATAGAGACTGATAGAGGTCCCATAATAGACGACTGACTCACTAAGAGTCACTGAGAAGCTCTCGAACAATAGGCCGTGACTGAGCATGTTCTCTGATATAATCGTTCGGCTATAACCTGAACGACTTTGGGTCTTTAGGTATCCTAAGACATGTTATATTACGATGCATCCACATCTATTCCAGGAGAGTAGAGAAAGCTGACCTGATCGCAGAAGAAGAACAAGGGGACAGGGGATTGCGCGATGCGAATTCGCGAAGAACGATACTGGACCACGCGTCCTGTTTGCCTTTTGTGGTTCCGGTCATACCAATCCGAGACCGCTAACACAGTCGGCAAGTCTGCGGAAAGGACAGGTTACGTGTCTAGTCTCCGACGAATGAAACAGAGGGAAACTGTCAGTCCATGATGATTCGGAGCGTAAGCAATGTCATTGGATAGGATGTGAGGTATCTACACAGACCGCGGCTTTGTTGTTCCGTGGCGAGTGTCGGATTGTCTGGGAAGCTCTCAAATATACCAGAGCGGCATGGCCTCTCCTCCGTAGACCTCCGTAGCCATGAGAAGATCCGTGGTTCGAATCATTTCCCACTAATGAGTTGGCATATCAGGTCATCAAGGGGGTCTACTTGAGCAAAAGCGCAGTTCCAGTTCTCTCCAGTGGAGTTTCGGACGGTGGCGACATAGCCCTCGCGATGACTTATATGTACTCAGACGTACCCTAGGAGTCAGTTTAAGTGTGAATATTAGAGTCGCGAGATCAAATTTGCTGAGATTCATTCTACAGCCTGGACTAGCCGGAACATTCTGGACGACACTGATACGGTGACGGTGTGACCTCGTAGATCTGTCCAAAGGCCCGAAATCAAGAGTATAAACTACTGATTATTATGACAGTAATGCCTAGCATGGATCGCCAAGGATGGAGTGAGGCTAGTAAGGAAGATAGGGATAATAAAAGGCGCCTTGGTTGGACATGATGACAAGTGAGTCGTCAATCGATTACCTACGCAGAATAGGGTTCCGTGAGTAATCCTTGAATTGCTAACATGTTAATAGCTTATGTTATTAACATTGTTATTAACACTGTTATTAACAGGCCCTCTCCAGGGGGGCACAATGTTGATGTTAATAATGTTAATAATGTTCAAAATTGTATATAATGATTAGCATTTGAATTTACATTGAAATGTACATATCTGGGCAAGGGTCAGGTGGAAATATTGAAGGTTGTGGCTGTACAATTATGTCTTCCCTGCAAAATAATAATTTTGTCTGGGAGTGCAGAGTCTCGGACTGCATCGGTTCCCGCTCTGGACATTCCGTTACCCATTTCCCCCACTCGCGCCATGTCCACAGAGTCAAACAATGTCAGCTTGAAGACTGTTCTCACGGAACTGCATCACCTGCTATTGGGCATACCCCCGGAATCAAATCTGCCTTTCGTGGAAAATTCTCAGGACTCACATTATGCATGCTTCCTCAACTTCTCTCTGGACCCTGATCTGATGGAGAAGATCGAAGATGAGGTCGGGGTATTCAGTGAACAATTCAAGTCAGTTTTCGGCTGGCAAACACGGTCGACCGGAGATGGAATCATATCGGAGCTGGTGACTTCTTGTTATTAACACCACTTTCTTTATTAACATGTAAATAAATCAGTTTTTAACATGTTAATAATGCTTTATATACAATTGTTATTAATCTGTTATTAACTCATGTTAGAAATTCCTCGGAGAGGCAAATGTTATTAACATTTGTTAATGACTGTCCGTGAATTACTCACGGAACCCTAACGCAGAAGCATCGATATCATTTTTCAAGACGACTCTGATTGAAGAGCAATTCAATATGCTTGCTTGTTAGTTCAAAAGTTCAAAGAGTCCTACCTATAACGCACGTCTCCCCGGTCAACCTTCTCAGCGCCTTCTTTGGCCTTGCTCATCGGCAGCACCTCAATTCAACTACACAAGTTCTGCCGGCATGCAATTTCAAGCATCGAAATCACCTCTTTCTTGCTACCGATATGCGAGCCTCCAATGGCGCACCCGCCGGAAAGGTCGAGAGGAGCGATCTCGGGCAGTGCATTTTTGGGCAACCCGTCACATATCATGTGCCCACCTACGGCCAGGAGAGTGAGGGCCTTTTTGAGCGGAAAGCGACCATAATGATGATATCTAACTCCCCTTGATAGGAGTCTGCAAAATCCGCCTCGGCAGTGTGCAACTAAAACAAGGCCAGGTTTTGGAACGATGACGCACTGGCAATTTGTGGAAGCACCTACGATGTAGTCACCATCTAGCTTTTTTATATTATCATCCTTGTCCATGCTGCTAGTCAGCGCATATACCTCTGCGCCAAGTGCCTTTGCGCCAAGTGCCTTAGCCCTAGCGAGGTACATGAGCGTCCTCATATGACTGTGTAGTGATGTGCATTACTCACCACATGATGGCGAAATGTCCCAACCCGCCGATGCCTATGACACCGACTTTCTTTCCAAGCCCACAGCCGTTCCTCACAAGCGGCGAATATGTTGTCAAGCCAGCACAAAGCATAGGCGCTGCGATTTCGGACGGAAGTGGCTCTGGGATGGGGAAGACGAAGCGCTCATGGACACGAACGACTGTGGAGACCCCGCCCGTTGCCTACGAAGTCGCAAAATCTATGATTTATCAGTTGTAGTGTGAGTGATTGTCCGCGGCAAGTAAGAAGATCTCATACCTTATCGCCGTTGGGGTACTTCGCACTATATGTATTAACCTGTTTAGAGCAGTAGTTCTCGTTATCATTGTTGCAGTTTTCTAACAATGTATACGTCAAGATTCTCGAAAACGATGGAGGACTATCACACACTGCGGTTGAAGCATGAGGAGACTTGTGCACCGACACCCGCTCGGTCGCCGACCTTAAATTTAGTCGCTTTGAGGCCGACACGAGTGACAGTGCCGACGATCTCGTGTCCCACAACGACCGAGGGGTCTGGCTTGCCCCACTCTGGCTTGATGGTATGCAGGTCAGATCCGCAAACTCCGCAGTAAGTTACTCTGAAAGGAGGGGATTGGTCTTTACGAATCGCGGAACGAGCGTTCATGGTCACTGACGCGATATCGATATCATAGTCGCCTGCTGTCTTGAGATCGTACGAGATGAGCTTGGAGTCGCTCCACCTTAAAGCATGGTCAATAATATCAGCCTTTGAGAAACGAGAAGTGACTTGGGAGCCGCGTACTTTCGAGTGTCATGGATAGCATAACTTGGAAAGTCGTAGGGGCATCAGTATTGTTGGCGATTCACAGAACCCGCGGAACTAGCTCATCCCTTGGCGGACATTATGTACGAAGGTGTAGGAGTTTTCTATTCTTCGACAAGGCTTTATATACCCTCCTATGTCTATCTCCTACGCAAGTGATGAACTCCGGTGCGCACTTATGACGTGCCGATATACGTCCGACCAACTCCCTCGCCGATCTGAAGCATAGACGGCGCCCTTTTGTCGCGAGAGTCGTGACGAAAATGGATCTCTTGAGCTCCATCATCAACTTGGCTGAAAAAGGAAGGCGACTTGCTAGAAATTGGCATAAGGGCTAAAGGGAACGTCGAAAAATTTCGCTACCATACCTGTACGCGGCGTGCTCGAAGCAGAATATCAGAGATATCCGTTCGCAACGAGGATTGTCGAATTGTCTTGCTATCTTTCGATTGTAAGGAGATCACTGCTTTGTTAGAACGAGGTCCTAGGAACGCAAGACTGAACCGGTGCTGAACCATGAGCATCATGTCATCGTGGAAGTTCGCTCGAGAGCCGGGAGAGCGAACTTCAGTGAGAATCCTGATCTGCTTGTGGTACAGAACACCGTAAACAAGAAAAAAAATGAAAACCATGTTATGCACGACTCCGATTGGTATCAGGTCTACCTACGCTCTGCAGTATCTGGCATGCGCCTTCCAACACCTAAAGCGCAAGAAAAAAAGACTCCAGGATTGCATGTATTCCCAGATCCATTATTGGACTTCTCTTATACAGGGTTACGAGCGTAGGAAAGTCTTCGGGCTTGAAGGGAATTGGTAGTGAAATCGTTGAGATCTCAAAGAGCCAACTGGTAAGATGACAGCTACAAACTACTGATCAGCTGATGTTTTGAATAAAGATAGAAAATAGGATTATCAGATGAGATATGTGAGTACTGGCGGGATAGATACAGTTAAGATCTGTTCATTTAAAAATGTCGATGTCATTCTCCAAAACGACCCTAGGATTTGAGAGTTACTTGAGATGCCATCCTGCCCATCAAAAGTAGAAGAACACACCTGTAGCGCACGTCACCCCTGTCAACCCTCTCGACCCCTTCTTTGACCTTGCTCATCGGCAACACCTCAATCCAACTATGCAGATTCTGCTTGCTGGCCAACTCGAGCATCGCGATCGCCTCTTCCTTGTTTCCGAGATGCGAACCGGCGATGGCGCACCCCCTAATGAGGTCGAAGACGGCGATCTCGGGCAGAGGCTCCTCTGGCAATCCAACGCACACTATGTGCCCACCAACAGCGAGGAGTGACAGAATTTTTTTGAGCGGGAAACCAGCGGATATGCTGACAGTCTGTGGTTGCGGTGCTCGGTCATTATCGGCGGAAGGGTTCAGGATGTCAGCTTCGGCTTACGTTAACGATGATATCCAGCTCCCCAATGTGTGAATCCGCAAACGTTTGCTCGCCCGTGTGCAGCTGGATACAGGAACAGGCGTCTAGCTGGTCAAGATAATAACAACTTTATTCAAGCGAACTCACGATAATATCGGCCCCCAGTTTTTTTATATCATCGTCTTTGTGCGTGCTGTGAGTCAGCGCGTAGACTTCTGCACCCAGCGCCTTCGCCCTAGAGGTGTGAATTAGCGTCCCATATGATTGCAACACAGCAGAATTGTGCATACCACATGATGGCGAAATGACCCAACCCTCCTATACCTACAACGCCGACTTTCTTTCCAGGACCACAGCCGTTTCTCACGAGGGGCGAATAAGTCGTCAGGCCAGCGCAGAGCATTGGGGCTGCGATTTCAGATGGAAGTTGATCCGGAATGGGGAAGACGAAGCGCTCGTGGACGCGTATGGCTGATTCGACAACAATAGACGTAATCACAGGACAGATCAACGCCTGTAGGTGGCCAATGAAGATAGTCCTCACCCTGTCGCCATTGGGGTATTTCGCATTGTAGGTGTCGACCATTTTATGGCAATATTTTTCGTTGTCATTGTTGCAATTTCCTGGAAATTCATAGGTCAACATTTCCTGACATTGATGAAAAAATAGAACGCACTGCAGTCGAAACACGAGCAAACTTGCGCACCAACACCCGCTCGATCGCCAACCTTGAATTCGGACACCTTAGGACCGACGCGGGATACCGTGCCAACAATCTCGTGTCCCACGACGACCGGGAGGTCTGGCTTGCCCCATTCCGCCTTGATCGTGTGCAAGTCAGAGCCGCAGATTCCACAGTGCGTTATACTGTTGAAAAACAGGCAAATGGAGGGTCAAACGAGAGTAAAATAAGAGACAGTGAGGATTAACGAACGCGATATCAATATCATGGTCGTCAGCGGTCTTGAGATCATATGAGATGAGCTTGAAATCGCTCCAGCTAGATATGAGGTCAATTTTATCGGCATTGAAGCGGAAGAGAGGCAGCGTACTTGTTGGTGTCATGAACGGCGTAACTAAAATTTCCATAGACGTCAGCGTCGGGCCACTTGATCAACAGCGCAATCGCATTCAAAGAGCTCACCCTTTAGCAGACATAGTGCGTGATTAGAACGAGCGAAATTTTCTGCTCTTCAGCGATGATTCATATACCCTCCGCCGCGCCAGGCGAGGCCAGGCGCCTCTGCCCCGAAGTAGCCGACCCGCGAGGGGGATGCTGACGATTAGACATTAGGCTTTATCTCCCCGACGTGCTCTATCGACGCGATCCGTCCGCCAGCTCCGTTGTCCATCCGGTAGATACAGGTGGATACCTGTGGATACAGTGCAATCTTTCGTGCTGCGTGCACGCCGGCGGAGCCCTTGTGGGTCTCGACTGGCGTTGGGTTAACTGAGAAAGGAAAGTGACCTGCCAGATTGGTAAGGCCTTGATGGCTTCATATCGGGCTGTCCTCAACACCCGTCAGATCCTGTTCAATGTGGCAGTAGAGCCCGCCGATCCCTTTTTCATGAATAGCGCGTGTGGAACGACAAGATCAACAGAATATGTCGAAATTGGGTTTGAGGAATTCTGCTGGCTGATGTAGGCATTTCCAAAAGCCGAGCGTGGCTCGCGCTGAGTTGTGCTTAGCCCTCCTATATCTTCATCTTCAAATGGGAATGGGACTCACCAATTCCTTAACACGACCCGCACGGTCATCCAAACCAACTGCGACATTGCATCAGTATTGCACCACGCTAACGATCCCTGGATGGAGAGCCAATTGCGTCAATCTAAGGTAAGCAGCTCACTTGATCTGATCATAGCCACGCACGCGGGACATAGCAAGCCTCCGACGCTCGCGCACGACTGGCAGAAGAAGAGGGAGAGCTGATACGTTACCACAAGTTGCCACGCAAAGCGGATGTGAAAATGCTACGCCTTCCGAGACCACACTAAAAGCAAGCGATGGACCTGTGGAGTTACGACGGGGGTTACAGGTATGCAGTAGTTAATGTGTACGGCTAGGCGAGACATGGTGGCAAATGCATCTTCTAATAGGAACCCGAGGCAAAGACATAGACGCGGGGCTATCGACTATCACGGACCGCTGCGCTCTCGAGCCTGAGTAGCAGCTGACGAGGCAAATTGGAACAGCGGTTGCCGACCGTGTTCGCATGTGTCGACCGCTAACTGGGTCGACAGCGGCGCCTTTGGAAGACTGATCAGCGCATGGCTATCGGGCCATTGCCACGAAGAAAACAGAATCTGGCGATCATCACTCCTTGTGGCGAAAGGGAGGCGAGTCGGAACTTCTGGACCGAGGGCCCATCGAAGTTCGCGCCCGGTTCGAAGACGCACCCTTCAAAGATTTCTGTCCGATTCGCATCGGCGACAGAATTCGCGCGGTGGAGGAAGTCGGCCTGGACTCCCTCGAGAACCCACGTTCTGTATACTCTGGCATTTCAGTTGTTGCCACACACCACGCGCAAAAGAGAACACACATGACGCACCTGTTGCAAACCTTCTGATCGAACTGTCAGAAGGTTGGAGCATGTCATGGACGCTTATAAGTAAGCACAAGAGGACGCGGCCAAGGCTATTCGTCATGATTTATGTTTGCCACGCATTTCGCTTCGCAAACGCGTTCGGCACCCTGCTGTAGCCTGGCCCACACCTCAACGTCACAGCATCAGCGCCCTCGCGAGGAAGACGCGGAAGAAGACGTGGCTGAATCAGTGAGTGGCTAGGAGTGGCCTGACTACCTAGCATTACGAACTGGCTAGCATTACCCTGCGGCGAAGAAACGGGCTAGAAGACCCAGTGTGCCGTCATGCTGAAGTTTTCACTGGCACTCGTGTCATACCCACATACTTAGATCTAGTACGCAGCTCCTAGCACGCACAGTCACCTTGTGTAGCCTTGTGTGGACACGGCCGGCGGCGTAGGGTTGGCGCCAGGGTCAATCGCAACCAACAATCGACAACAATACACGAGCTATGACGGCAACTCTTCAAGCTTCACGCGTCGCGCCCAATGCGAGTCTTATCAACTCAAGATCTCGAGTTACTTATAATGCACCCGGTCGCAGTAGGACCATTTGATGGATGGAACCTGTGTGGTTGCGATGAGACTGACCCAAGGCCAAGGAGGCCGCCCCGCAAGAGGTGAAAAAGGACGCGACGGGCTAGTGCTCCGGTCCTTGTTCCTGGCCGGGTCTTGATTTGGAGTAGGTTTCTGAGTGCGAACGATCGTGGGTGTATCTCGCTAGTATATCGTTACCTGTTAGGGTGTCCGGAGCTTTCGATGGCTATCTCGGCCGGATTTTGAGCTGCAATGCGGCGTCGATCGAGCGGGACGAGAGTGGGTCATAGGGCAACTTCGCCGAGGTTGTGACTGAGTATGGCGGTGGAGCACCACAAATAGAGAAAATCGAGGGTCAATGAAGCCAAAGGAGATGCAACACAACCGTGTTGGGAAAGAAGTCAACGAAGATGTCATTCTGGATATACAACGGTCACTCCTCGTCCTCCAAACTTTCTGCGTTTTGCTTCACGAAGCATGAATACACGAAGTCCCGTGTCAGATGGCGGTGGATAAACTTACTTTGTTCTCCTCTATTCCACCCAATTCCTTGACCAGACCGTCATACGGGTACTGTCGGGGGATGGACGGGCGCTCGGGTATGAGGATGTACTTGCAGGCAAAGCCAAAGGTAACGAAGCCGAGGGTGGCGATGGTGAAGTGTAGGAGAGCCGTGGGAGGAGGGACATGGGGGGCGTCTGGTCCCCACATCGAGTAGAGCTCCTCCTGCTCATGCAGCTGTTGGAATGAAAGCGAGGAGTTCACATACGGTCAAGGGCGCGGTGGAGTGAAAGGCGGACTGTGTCACCGAGGTTGCGCCTCATCTGCATGTCCCACCAACCCCTGGGAGGCAGGGTCTGTCTGGAGAGATCTGGGAGCTGTGGGTAGCCGTTGAGCTGTGGGTCCAGCTCTTTCTTGTGGAACACGGCGGGGGTAGCATAGCGCCGAAGCGGAGAGGAGGACGAGGTGAGGATACGGTGTCTGGCCTCGAAGGCGACACGTAGGCCTCGGGCAGAGCTCATCGCGGTGCAGGTACGGTTCTAGAGTAAGTGGTGCGGTGCGGTGAGCAGGCGGTGCCAGAGGCGTCGGTCTGGAGGCACGGGACCCCGGGGAGCAGCGGCCGGTCGGACGAGGTCGGATATGTGTGAGCCAGCGGGGCGGACTCCGTTTCCCCTTCGGATTGGGTTGCGAATGTATTTTTCAGCATGCGTTTGCAGATCTCGATCGGGCAGGCCCGCCGTGGTTCTGGAAGATTGGGTGGGACCTAGCTGAGGGCGCGTCCTGACATGTGGTCCCTCAGCTCCCCGCTCCCTCGACAGTAATTACTCAGTTTCCTCCACTCTCCCTTCGTCCACAACACTCTCTCAAGCTGCCTCATCCAACCCCCTCACCCCTCTTCACCCCGCCCCTCAGATACTTTCCCGTCGCCCTCAGACGGAAAGCAAACATGGTGGTCCTCCCAGACCCCCCCACCGTTAAGGACGTCGAACATGACCTGCTCAAAGACAAGGCCCACAAGAGGCAGCCATTCAATTATCCCTTGATCTCCTCTAGTACCGACATGGTCGATTTGTGCGTTCCATTCGACGTCCTTCGTTCCACTCCGCTGACACCGCTTTCCCGCCTCTACAGCAGCGTCTGGGACCACATCTTCCTCACCTCCCTGGTGGGCGGCTTGACCATTCATCAGTTCGAGACCCCTCCATCCATGATTCTTGATTTGGGCTGTGGGTGTGGTTACTGGGATATCGAAATGGCGCGCAAATACCCTGTGAGCTCTCTATCCGCTCCATATTCCTGCCTCTTCTGACACCACAGCGCAGCGTTGCATGGTCGTTGGCCTGGACAAACGCCACATTCAACCAAATCTTCATCGGCTCCCCGACATGGCCAGTATCGCCAGTCGGGTGATATGGGACCATGGCGATTAGTGCGTGCAGTCACATCGCTCATGTCTTCAATTTCTTACCATAGGTCGCCGGCAGCTTGGACAAACTCAATTATGATGCTTGCACGTTCGACATGGTGCGAATATCCTATGGTGCCTTGGGAGTTCCTGAATTCGAAGTGAGTCTCCCCTTGTCGAATGGCGACTGGAGACCGTAGCTCACGTTCGGCGTGTCTCATTTTCAGTGGCAATTTCTGTTGGAGGTCTGTCTATCAGTCTGAGGCTTTTTTCAATTACTTATGGCTCATCGCTGACTCACTCATATAGGAGGTGAATCGCGTTCTTAAACCTGGCGGTGTCTTCGAGGTGAGCTGTTTTGTTCGTCATGAAGCTTTAGTCATCGAAACAGCGATATAATTTTTCAGCTCTTGGAAGATGATCTCATCTTTCCAGGCGGGCGCCCAGTCTCCAAACCGCATCACCAACCGTCATCACCTGAAGCTGAAACTTCAACACAAACATTCAAAACGCGCAGTCGAAACTCGCTTCTCACATATGATACCCGATCATCCTCCTTCAAGCCAAACACCTCATCTGAAGGATTAACCAAGAGCAAATCTGGGAGTCAAGATTCATCTCAGTATCATTCACCAATACCTTGGGACGATGAGAACGTAGAGGACCCCCTCGACCACTCTAAACTGCTGGCAGCATGGCAAGAAATGCTCAACTCGCGCTGGCTGAATGGACAGCTCACCTCCGTTGTCCCACTTTACCTCGCCACCATCTTCCAAGATTATCGCGCCCTCCCCGCGCTTGAGGTTCTCTTGCCTCTTTCGGACACGCCCGTCGTGTCTGGCCGCAACTCCTTCCGTTGCAAAACAGATGGCTCCACGCTAGATCAGATAATCGATCCTGCGCCGTTTCGGCATCTGCGACCTGCGACCGTCAAGGATGAACCGGACGCGTCCTCCATCAGGTCCGACAAAGGTCCCTCACACCACCTTTCTGCGTCGGCACCGATGCATCTGGCCCGTGCGGTGCAGGTCGTGAAGGGGTGCAAGGAAGCAATCTGGGAGGCATATGAGAGGCTCTATGGGAAGGATCCGGTCGTTAAGATTGTCCGGGAACATCCAAAGCGAAATACGGCCAGGGACCAGTTCGAATATGCTTGGATGAACTGGGAGAAGTGAGTAGCTTGTTCGATCGACTTCACACCGAAGCCCTTCTTTCCTTGCTATAGTTTCTGACGATGTATTTACTTCGCAGCGATATGGCAGATCGGATGGGGATGCGCGATGTGGTTCAGGCTTCGCTCGGTTGGTGTCCACCCCCCGATGACCCCCCCGACTGGCGCATCTGGCGCGATCGCATCTCTCGACAGCCTGAAAACATCAGATACAGCTCCGTATCGTCGTCCTCAACTCGCTTCGACATTTGCCGATGTGTGCGCGGATTTGTCGCCTGGAAACGGACTACAGACGAGGCTCCACCTGTTCCAGACAAATCGGAATACGTGTCGAATCGCTCGTGACGATTGCTCCGAAGCGCAAGCTCAAGGGTGTTGTCTTTATAACAGTCTGTTTTCGAGGACTACGTACGATTTATACTAACTTAGTCTTCACTTCGCGTGCCCATTCGCGTCTTTTCGCGCATCTGGTACACACATACATAGATCGACATTGTCGCTGGCGCGCCAGTCTCGCTGGGATCATACGTTTTGATACCCCATCACACATACCATATACCTGCAATCTGATTTTTTGGTACCAATCAGGTTGACCTCATAGTACTACGTTGACCACTCATATACATTTTAGGCTTCAATTGCATCTTCTCTAGCATGACTGATATTGAATGATGGATCCCATAATAGCTCACAGTCAAAGAGTCCGCTTCGATCCGTCAGAACAGTAGACACTACTATAGCTTTCGGAGTGTGAAAGATCACTAGATCTTTGTAGCCCATTTTGTAGTGACTCGCAGCCGCTTTGGAACCGTCGCGCATCGATTCCAAGCTTTTTATCCTCCAATCTCTCTCTGTATCCCCCCCTTGCACATATGTCTGATACAGAGCAACCCGCCACCGTGCCCGTCCCCTCGGCAGAGAAGCCTCGCTCTACTGCGGAGGCCGATGTTACGAAGTACAAGGTCAGTTTTTAAGCATGCTTGCCATCAACTTTCGAGGGAGAAAAAGAGCTGATCGGACCTTGGTTTTCGTGGAGATAGGTGGCTGCAGATATTGTAAATAATGTCATGAAGAAGCTCGTCGAGCTGTCTGTCGAGGGGGCAAAGGTTCTCGACCTATGCATCGAGGGCGACAAGCTGGTCGAGGAGGGCACCAGTGCCGTGTATAACAAGTCCGTGAAGGGTGTCAAAGTTAGCAAGGGTGCGTCTGCATTTTCTTCCCTTTCCCTGCGCTTCCGTCACCATGTGCGATCGATTGACGATGGAGTCGGTGGACTTAGGTCTCGCGTTCCCTACTAGTATATCCGTGAACAACTGTGTAGCACACTTCTCCCCCCTCGCGTGCGTCATCTTCTCTTGTCATTAGCCCTCTCTGATCTCACATGAATCCGCTCTTTTCTTGAAACCCTTTTACACGGGTGCCGTGGAATACAGCTCGGATCCTCTTTCTTCTCAGGCCCTCGCGAAGGGTGATGTCGTGAAGCTCCACATCGGCGCGCACATTGACGGCTTTGCTGCGATCAGCGCCGAGACTCTCGTCGTGGGCGCGTCTGAGTCTGACCCCGTCACTGGACCGCGCGCAGATGCGCTCAAGGCGGCCTGGCACGCGGCCGAAGTCGCGATGCGTCTGATCAAGGTCGGGAACAAAAACTGGGCGGTCACAGAGGCCGTCGGCAAAGTGACAGCCGCGTGGGACTGCAAACCTGTTGAGGGTGAGCGCCGCAGCCTACTGTTGTTCGCGAGTTTTTTTTTGCGCGGACGGCTCTGGAAGGTGTATTGATCGCGTCGACGGATTGCAGGTATGCTGTCGTGCCAGCAAACGCAAAATGTCATCGATGGGAAGAAGCGTATCATCCTGAACCCATCGGAGGGCCAGAAGCGCGACTTCGAGGCGGCGACATTTGCTGAGGGCGAGGTGTACGGCATGGATGTCCTTGTTTCCTCTGGTGAGGACGGAAAGGTCAGCTTACTGCCTTCGACATTTCCCTGCGCAGTCTGTTACTCATGACTGAGCACAGGCCCGGCTGGAAGAATCCCGGACCACGATCTATCAGCGGGATCACACCGTGACATACCAGCTCAAGCTGAAAACTTCTCGCAACATCTTCTCAGAGGTGCAGAAGAAGGCAGGACCCTTCCCTTTCAATGTTCGCGTACTAGAGGATGAAAAACGCGCGCGTATGGGATTGCAAGAGGCCGTGCAGCACAACTTGGTCAAGCCATACGAAGTTATGTCAGTGTCAAAACCTCCTCTCCTTATATTGCAGCTGATCATCTATCAAATGACAGTTACACACCATCGAATACCTTCGTTGCTGCGTTCCACTTCACGATTGCCCTCCTGCCAGCTGGCCCTATACTGTTGACGCACCCGCCGATCTGGTACAAGCCTGAGCTGGTCAAAACTGAAAAGGAACTAGAGGACCCAGAGTTGAAGGAGCTGTTGACCAAGAAGCTGCGTGAGACGAAAAAGAAGGCGAAGAAGACGAACGGTGAGAGCGAGGAGGCAAAGTGAGGCGAGAGATGCTAGGGGCGATTACATCGATGATGGACTTGTCAGAATAGTTGCTCGGGGATGAAGCAAACAAATGAAGCGAAGTCGGTCGTTGCTACAAAATGTATTTTTTTTTCTTGACACGGAGATGCTATGATGCCGAAGCTATTAGAAGTCGCTCTGCCTCTTCACCAAACTCGCTTATCGTTCGCACGACGAGATCTACGCTTTCGAGGAATCCGTTTAGAGTCAGTCGAGCTAAGCGAACTGTCAACGTCGAGAACGTCCTGCACGCACAAAGCGCATCAGCAACTTTGCCGGAGCCTCCTTGACCTCAACTCACGCAACAAGGACATCGCCCTCTACGGCTAGCTCTCTCTTCACAGCATGGGGTTGGAGCTCCCGGTCGACCTCGAGGACCTGCTTCGCGATCGTGGCGTGTTTGGTCGTAGCGAATGGAATTCGGAGTGATCTTTTTGCGGGGTTTCAGCGGTGAGCACACTAACTTGCAATGCAACTATAATTGTGCTCACATAGTGTGCCAATCGGTCACCGCACTTGTGCTATCCAACATGGTGATAGAGCAGGATCTTGTGCGGTCTATATTTGGTTTCCACCACACGAAGTACTAAAAGGCAAGTCAAGTCACTATATCGCTCAACACCACTGCTGACTCCTGAGTGCGAAGATCTCAGGCTCATCTGCCATCTTCAATCTGCTTCAATATCACAAGTGTCAACTAAGGAAGCTTGAAGCATCCTGCATGCCCATTCATCATTCTGAAACACCCTCAAATCCTGGCCGGCTTTTTACGTGCACTACCCTCATTCATCTCACTAAAATTGCTGCAATACCTGGAGCTCTCTCAAGTGGGCTTGGCTGGCCGGGAATCTGAGGCTCTGGACTGAAGATATGTATCGCGCTATAAAAGCCATGCAGCGGCATGCGCACTGACGGTTTCAATTGACGTCTTCAGCACGTGTCCCTAGTGCCGCTCCAAGCCCTCTGACTCTTAATGCGATGGATCAACCCTTTTGTCCTGAACCTAGACTGGTTGTCGCAATAGCATATCTCATACGGATCTACAATGATACCCATACAAGCTCTCAGTACCAAAGAAGCTACTCTAGAGCTACTCGGGCAGGTCGTCTCGGAGCGTCTCGGAAAAGAAGTCAAGGCCATCGATGCCATTGGCAAAGGTGGATTCCATTCTGCTCATTCCGGAGTACGGTTTCATTCACGTCCTAATTCCTCTTGGCTCCCTCAGATGAGCTTAGTAGGGTAAGTCCCGACGTGTTACGCGCTATCGTTCGTGACATGCAGAAATTAAACCATTGCACAGACGTTCTCTGTCAAACTACATGAAGGAGATATGATCGTTGCTCGTGTCGCATCACCTCACATGCCTTCCATAATCATCGAATCAGAGGTGCATCGGATACCCCTTGGTGTCGGCATCTCGCAATACTGAAGACATTTTACGCCTGGTCAGGTTGCGACCATGAAATACATCGCCGACCAAACCACACTTCCTGTGCCCAATATTCTCTCGTATGAACTGGATCCGAAACACCCACTTGGTCCCTTCATCCTGATGGGGAAGGTTGGTCTCGTCTTCTGTTTGGCATTTCCACGCTCCTACAGGTGTCACAGGCGCCAGGTGTAAAATTGGAGAGCATCTTTGATCGCCTCTCTCAAGATACGCAGGATGCTCTGGTTGCACAAATCGCCAGATTTATGCTTGAGATTTCTCATCATCACTTTTCCTCCATTGGCAGTCTTCAATTTCTACGCACGTCTCTCACGCCTCCGTCACCTCCATCGCCTCTCGCCGAACCATTCCAGATCGAAGGGAGCACAGTGGTTGGGCCTCTCACACATCCGTCTTTCTATGTCGACGGGCGTGTCTCTATTCCCCTTGACCGCGGACCTTTCCCCTCCTCTCGTAAATACTTCGAGGCCTGTGCCCAGCGTGAGCTTGATTCTTCTCGAGCGCTCTTCACGCAAGGTGCCCCGGAAGCATACCAACGCGAACTCGAGGACGGCCAATTACTAGTCGAAAGATGTGTCAGCCTCATACATAACATCATCCCCCACTGTCAAACGCTAGACAACGGGGACGCAGAGCTAGCAAAATTCTCGCTGGACCTTCACGAGCTGGGGCTTCAAAGGGTGTTTGTAAACCCGGACGATCCGGCCCAAATTGTACGTCATCCGTCCCACTGGCAGATGCCTCCGATCGTCTGCGATCGCCTCATTTCTGTTGACCCCTCTATACGTAGCTCTCCATCGTTGATTGGGGATCGACCACGACCCGTCCTCTCTGGTGCTGCGCACGATTGCCGCATTGGCTTTCGCCTTCCCTATTGAGCGACCACCACGACACCGACCAACCGAAGCACAGGCTGTCCAACGTCTTTCGAAGGACGATCATGGAGGCAGAGGGGCCAGAGTCTCCGTACTTGCGCGCATTGGACAGCGATGATGTCCGCCATGCGCTTGATGAAGTAACGGAGTATGACGCGTTCAAAGACGGCTTCCTCGTCCTGCCAACGCTCGAGAGCATGTACGCATATCCAGGCCTTCGTCACCGTGTCTTTTGCCAGAAATGTGCTGATCTTTTTGTCTTCGCTTGCTAGACTTGCCACCCTGCCAGGCAAGGAAGACTTGGATGGCCTCAAGAAACTGTTCGACCCAAAGACGTTCACCGGCAGAGCTGCCCGGATTTCCCTGATGACACACGGCTCGAACGCTCTCTTCCTGGCGATGTCTCCTCCAGCAAGCCCCATCCAAGAGATGCCATCTGCGGCTAAGTTTCAAAGGCCCACTCGATATTCGCCACAGCCGTCAACGTAACTAGCTGACGACGGTGCCTCAAGTCAGGTTGTTTTGCACTGTAGGATACAACAGTGTTCTATATGCATCGTCACTCTAGTAGATTACGATAGTATGCGGCCATCATATGTACAACATCTGTGTTGCGGGCCAGCTTCAGTTCGACAAGATAAAAGTGCTAGGTGTTTGATTTGCGTTGCTATGTATGACGGCGCGGGGCCGACAGGACCAACCCAACGCAAAACAACTTCTGTCGGCTCACTTCGTCACGATACACTATGGTACCTATTATTGTACCCCACAACAGAATGACTGTCTGGAGACGGTTACTACCTTGCTAAATCTCAAACGAGCTTAGGCACACCATGATAGAGAATCAAGCAGACGGCAATCAATAATAAAATGTGTTCAGCCATGAAATAATGATAATATATCGAGGTTGAATCCAGATTACCCCCGAAACCGTCATGCTACTCGACATCCCCGCAAAACAAATAGAAACCCGAAGAACCCGCACAGGTCCCACCCGTGACGCAGGAAGAGTAGAATATGCATCCGATCGTCGCCGGGACACCAGCATCGAACGCCATCACGTATGGATAAAACTCGGCAAGTGGAACCGATAGAAAATGAGATAGATAAAGAGGGAAAAGGTGATCTGCGTCAGAGGCTACTTCGCCAGAAGGCCCTCGTGGCGCAGAGGTACAACGACGCTAGCAGATCGTGTGGGTATATACGTATTGTTTGTGGTTACTGGTCTCGCGTCGGAGGGTTGCATCGTTTAGAGGGCGATGGCGAGTGCTGCACCGAGTGCGCCGAAGATCATGGCAGGCTTATAGAGCGAACGAGCGGCAGGGGCACCGCTGCTGAAGGGGTTGGCGCCGGCGTTGGCAGCTCCGAGAGCGCTTACAGTAGCACCGGAGCTCGAGCTGGTGCCAGATGCTACGGCACTAGTAACAACGCTAGCGGGCTTGCCAGTGTATGCGATGCTCAACCTAAGAAGACGAAATTAGCGGAGGCAACACCAAACAAGGAACGCGAGCCCGCGCACGTAGTGGGAACAGCAGAGGTGACGGCAGAGGCGGAAGCGATGGCGGAAGCGATGGACGAAGCGGCGGCGGACGCAGACGCAATGACGCTGGAGGCAGCGGCACCGGAAAGGCAAGAGGTATCGTTGCTAGGTTGGACAACGATCTGCCAAGCGGAGGGTAAAAATCAGCGCTTGGTGGAAATTGTACGGCGTGGGACGGAGCTCACATCGGCGCTCCAAGCCTCATCGGAGGAGCCATCTTCAAGTGAGAGCATCACTTTCGTGCCAGCGGCAAGGTTGACCTTCCAGGTCATGGAAAGGCCATTGTGGTCGCCGAGGTCAGCACTGATACAAGCGGTCAGCATTCCTTTCAAAAATTTGAGCGAGTTCAGATGTAAGCTTACAGAGAATCGCCGCAAGGATCAGCACTTGGGACAATGAGGAGGTTGTAAGGGGCCTGAGATTGCGACCAAGTGATGTGGGTATCCTGGCACTAAAAACGCGAGTACATCATCAGAGATACCATTCGAGAATCTACAAGTCTGTCTGCCATCGCCTCCTCCCCCCTCATATGCTGAGGTGGCGGAAAGCTAATGAACTTGGGACAGGTTACTTACTTGAGTCAAAACGGGAGTGTCGATCGTAAAGGCAGCACGGGCGCCCTGGATGGCGAGAACAGAAACGAGAGTGGCGGAAACGAGTGTGGAGAACATTTTCTCAATCGCGGGAGTGAGAGGGCGAGGGGGGGCGAAAAAGAGGACGGCAGGGATGCCTTTGAGGACTCTAAAGCACGACGAGAAGAGGGTGCGGAAGGAGGATGGAGACGGCGTGGAGCGCCCGTGCGGTTCATAAAACCGGCATTTTTCCAACTCGGCACCGAGCAGGTGCTTGGCAGGAGATTGCCCGTGACCCGCACGTGGCTAGCGCGTTGTGTTCCACGTGTTCCGTGTCTAGCCTCGCGCTAGAACGCGTTTATCGTTATCATCATCGATATATTGCGATCCCAACAGCATACAAAACCTAGTCAAGACACGGGCACTCCCCGCAATCACATCCCAAGGAGGAGCATGTACAAAAACAGAGACCTTCAAAAATGACGGGCTCATAGCTTGGCCTTGCCTTTGTTTGCGGCGAGCATTGTCCGCTTGGTGATTCTAGAGCGGAACCCTTATTTACCACACTGCGATGGCAACTGATTATCTGAATGTACTCACCCAGAGTGCTGAATTGGCCGGGGAGATGCCCGAGCGCCTTCCACTGGTGTTCGCTCCTCCACGGGAACGTAATCGCGTTTGCCAGATCCGACATATACCTGTGATGCAGTGATGATCAATATCAGGACGGAAGGCGATGGCAGGCGTTTGTTCGAAAAATTCGCACCTGTCGTGGGCGCCAGATCTTGACGCCTCCCTCCTGCAACATCATCTGAAAATCAGAAATAACCGTGTCAACCTCGTGGAGACTGCGTGGACCCGGAGACATCATACCTGTCGCCAGTGCGCAAGCCAGCCGACCACACGAGGCACTGCGAACAGCACGGGAAAGAAGTCAAGAGGGAAGCCTATACGGCGCGGTGATGTCAGTTGCCGTCAAAATTACATTTTGCTGCACAGCTATTCAGAAAAGAGGGTTCACCCATGGCGCGATAGATCAGGCCACTCCAAAAGTCGACGTTGGGGGCCAGCCTGCGCTTGACAAAAAAGTCATCTTTCAGCGCAGCATCGTGCAGAGCCATGGCTGTGTCCAGTAGTTCATCCTTGCCAGTCCTGTAATCAGATGTACGAAAGACGTCAGCGTTTGAGTACCGGGCGCGAGGGAGTTGTATGTACACTGCAAATACTTCATCGGCGATTTTTCGAATAACGAATGACCGAGGGTCAGACTAAGAGTCGCCAAAACAGTGAGTCAAACAATGGGAGATCTGAAGAAGACTAGACGCTCACTGTCTTGTATACACTATAAAAGCCACTCATCCTCTTCAGTAAAGAGCAATTTCAATGCTCGCAAATTCATACCGGTGGCCAAAGCCAGACAACACTTTCTCTCTCCGCTTGACCGCCTCGATAAATGCGGGGACATTATCCGGACTAGGAGAATTGCTGTCAGTAGGTACATAGGACACGCATCATGTTCAACGACGGACCTGCCGACAGAAATGAGCATACGAATTACAGCCTCGTTCGCACCTCCTACTCAAGATTCAATACGTCAGTGATCAGGTTTCCAATTTCATGACTGAGAACCGCGGACCGTGAAGAGGACCGCTACATCAAGTCATCAGCGACAGACATTTCGAAGGTAGCAGACAGAAAACTTACTATAGCGAGGCACAGCCAGCGCTGTATATATTAATGGTTGTAAGCGCCATGCACATTGTACGAGATATGCAACTGATATGTCCTCACGCGATAGCAGAGTACGGATCTACCAAAGAACTCCCAGTCTGGAGAACCGTTGTGCACGACGCGTTCAGTTCATGATCCGCATGAAGCAGGAAGAGGACATCGAGTGCCTTCTCGAGTACAGGCGACGGTTTGTAGTCTTGTTGTCCGAGGTGATCCATCTGGTATAGGAAACTTTTCAACGCGAAACAAAAAAGATGAGGAAAGACAATATTCAAGGTAGGTGAAGCGGACGTACGAGCCAGTGTAGCTAAGGCCTGTGGGAGGCGTGACGAATTCACGTCCTTGTCGGACGCGATAGGCCATCCTGAAAAGATATGAATACATTTCATGTAAGACATTCGGAAAGAAAGTGAACTCACGCGGCCAAGGTCGTGGCCTTCCCAATTAATCGGTATATCTGCTTGTCCATATTCGCGAGCGATGCTGGGTTACCCTTTGTGAACAGCGTTTGGCCTGGTGATACGTACATAGCGCATTATGCAACATGAGACGGCCAATTCTTTAAAATGTAAGTCGGGTTTCTGGCGTACCTTGCAACGACGGGTTCGCCTCGCTGTAGTAGGATCCCAAATACGCGAAAGCGCTCGTCAAAATGGCCATCGGGTGTGCGTCGTAGCTGGGCATAGCGCAATCTTGTGAGCTCGTATGCTCACATTGTTACAGAAGAAACTCTGAACAATACCGGAAAGAACGAAAGAACCCTTCTGCATCTGCGTGCACGATGCTGTGGTGCATGGTTTCGCGTTCAAACGTCTTGAACTGCTCCTTGCTGGGCAGGGAGCCATAGATGAGGAGGTATGCGGTCTCGAGGTGAGACGAGTGCAGGGCTAGCTGCTCGATCGGGTATCCTCTGTGTACGCATATTCATATCTAGAGTTTTGGGGGAACATTTGTCTCTACACACCTGTATCGCAAGACTGCAAACCTTTTTGTGAGTATATGCAGCTCTAGCCCAAAACAACGACTATGCATACCTCCTGCCTCTCCATCAATATAAGTGATTTGGCTCTGAATGACAGCCGTATTCAGAAATCCCTTGTCCGATACTCGGAGGCCCTTCTCAGTTTCGTTCTCCTCCCGTTCACCAGGTTTAGGAGCGGCCGCAAGCGCCTTGAACGCGGTCGCCGATATTGTATTGTTGGTGATTCTATAGAAATCCCAGGTCCGATCGCGCGGCGCATGAGCATGAGCTGAACTTGGCATATCGTAGTGCCAGACGCGTCACCTACGGTATGGTGTATGTCTTGCCCGTGCGGTTATCGCGCACGCTGAGGCTCTCGTTGTTGGACTCTGCAGCAGTTGGGCGGCCCATTGTGGTTGATTGCACGACCTATACAAGTGTGTGGGGTGGTGGTTGCGCTTGAGATATATAAAGAGAGCATATGTGAGTGCTACCCCAGGCAAGGCCAAATCACATGGAGGCGCGTAGGCCGGAGAACGTGACGTCGATGCTTGAATTGGGCTCCTTACGTCACTGAGCCGGTCACCAGCATTTCCCGCTCGCTCGGGAACGCTTATGTTCTTCCCAGATATCAGCTCTACAATTTCACCCATCCGAAACCCTCTCAGTGTCGTCTCTCACTACTAGAAGCCCTCAGGACGTAGTGTCGGCGATCAACAAACCAGCGAGAGTCATTCACACAGAGTAACGATGTCCGCGACGGATTTGTTCGCGTCCTGATATAAAGGGCCTGTAAGTACCAGACCATGTGTCATCCCACGCCATGTCTTCTGAGACTCCCTTCAAGCTCGCTATTCCCGACGCCGACCTCGCCACCCTCAAGCAGAAGCTTGACTTGGCTCGCTTCCCCGACGAGCTCGACGGGGCTGGCTGGGACTACGGCGTTCCTCTCGCAGACATCAAGCGTCTCGTCGCGCGATGGAGACAAGGGTATGACTGGAGGAAGCACGAAGCCGATATCAATACGCTTCCGATGTTTACTCGGGGCATCGAGGTGGATGGTCATGGGACGCTGGAGATCCACTACTTGCATCAGAAGAGCAAGGTCAAAAATGCGATCCCACTGTTGTTCGTTCACGGATGTGAGTCTTCACCCTTTTGTGTCCTATTTCTGCCGTGCTTCGGGTTTCAATGGCTGACACTTACTCAAGGGCCTGGAATCTTCATCGAGGGTCGCAAACTCCTTCCTTTGCTGATAGCGTCGTCGCCGGACCATCCTAGTTTCCATGTCGTTCAACTTGGACTCCCTGGCTACGGTTTCTCAGAGGGGCCAAAGAAGAAAGGATTCGCTGGCAAAGAGTATGCTCAGGTGAGCTCATTCAGCACGTGCTCCAGAACCTCGTGGCTATAGCTGCTTTCGTTTTTGTGTAGGTTGGACATAAGCTCATGCTCGCGCTGGGGTACGACGAATACGTCACGCAGGGCGGTGACTGGGGATACTTTGTGCGTACCGTACTCGTCTCAGGGCAACGGCTCGGTACTTACCTCACTGTGTACTTCCGTACCAGGTCACGCGTGCTATAGCCGGCCAGTACGGGCCCAAACATGTCAAGGCCTGGCACACGAACATGCCTGTGTATGTTCTCTCTCGTTTCCTGTCTGTCCTTCGACTGCTCACACGATTGATCTACGAACAGGGCGACCCCACCAACATTTTTTGGGCACCCATATCTCTATATCAAGCATGCACTGTTCTCGTACACAGAACAAGAACTTAAAGGTCTCGCACGTATGCAATGGTTCCGGCAACACGGAAATGGATATTTCCTGGAACAGTCGACGCAGCCTCAGACTCTCGGATACTCCCTCGCAGACTCCCCTGCGGGTCTTCTCGCGTGGATATACGAGAAGCTCGTAAATTGGACGGACAAGTACGAGTGGGAGGACGACGAAGGTGCGGCCGAAACCTAGCGTGACATCCAGCTCCTCTGACGCGTCTAACTGGTCGGCACGCAGTGCTCACATGGATTTCAATCTACTGGTTCTCGCGCGCGGGCCCTGCGGCATCGGTCCGTATCTACTACGAGACGCAGCACTCGGGCGAACGCATGAACCCGCCGACGTCCACCATTCCGTTCGGCGTGTCGTACTTCCCGATGGAGCTCTTGCGGGCGCCACTGACGTGAGCACACACCTCGCCCATAATATCCATCAAAGATTGACCTCGGCTCTTCTAGATGGATTCAGACTATCGGCAACGTTGTGTTCCAGTCTTCTCACGAGAGAGGTGGACATTTCGCCGCCCACGAGAGGCCGGACGATCTAGCTGATGATCTGAGGAAGATGTTCGGTAAGGGAGGGGCTGCGTACGGCGTTGTACCAGGGAAGGATGGGTACGTCTGAAAGTAGTGTGACGTGGGATTGTACATACAGAGATCATGCATATCATGGCTTCGTAAAGTCAAAGTTCGGGACAAATATACGGATTCCACTCGGAGACATATGTTAAGATGTACTGCCTTAATCTCATGTTATCATGGCTACCTGGCGCAATGGTAGCGCGTTTGGCTTCGATTGCCTTACGTAATCTGCTACCAAAAGGTTGCAGGTTCGAGTCCTGCGGTGGTCAATGTTTAGAGAGTGATGTATTTTTTGCCTACGTGAAAAATACATATGCTGATTGCAGATTTTCATACCTCTGAGATGTTGAACACAAGCTAGCCACCAAGACAGCACAGAGTGATTGATAAAATAATAAAGCCCACAATTGTTTAAGGCTTTAAGCTTTAGGTTTAGGCTATATGTTTGAATCATGTGGTAGTCATTAGTAATATACTTTTTGCTCACACAAACGCATATGCTGATTATAGTATCTTGCCAAGTCCCTCTTGCTGCTATCTACATTATTGGCAACTTATTAGCTCTAGTATTGCTATAGCATGAAATGACATTATCACATTGCAATTAAAAAGAAAAGAGCATACACACTTGGCTTTTTTTATTATATAAACCTAGATCCCAATAGCAATTTGTGTAACCAAGTATAGAAAAAGCCTATATAACACTATTTCATTTGAGCTAGCTATATAGAGCTTTTACTCTGTTCAAAAGTGGTAAATTATAATTGAGCAACTAACATTAAGAGCAAGGCTCACAATACATTAAGGAAGCATAAGTGAGAATACAACCCCAAAACATAGCAAGTATATCTAATATGGGCACTTTGATATCATAATCTGATCCCTTAGGCAATTTTCCAACTAGTGTAGTCAAGGTGCCCCTTATGGGTTATTGTGGTAGAGAAATACCCTACAAATGACCAAAAGCATCATTCTTGGTATAAAGGCACAAACTTATACCAAACACAACAACTGCTATGCTCAATAGCATATAGTAATGAACCTATTGTTTCAAAGCAATTAAACAAGGCAAAGGTAGTAGAAAGAGTGTTGGTAGGCAAATATAGTGTGTTTGGTATAAATTACTCAATGGGTTTATATTAGGGTGATAATAAACTGGGCTGCAGTCAGAAACTATGACTTTTTATAGGGAGGACATCAGGGCATCGGCAGGACAATAATCCAGCCACCAAAACCTGATATAGTTGGCTACTTGCGACAATGGGTGCTCCGATAGTGTCAGCATGGGTAAGCCTCATCAAAAGCTGGTGTGTTCGTGTGGCTTTCACATAGGACATGGATGCTCACCATATTGCCATCTCCAGACTTCAACAGAAAAAGAACTCGGACATTGACACTGGATCGTGAGTAACTGAAACACACATGACCTTGACATCATACCGTGGGTAGATGTACTGAATAATTGGAGGAAATCATTGAGCACAGCAAGCGTATTCAGCATGGGCAGTCATGATGGGATGATAGAACAAACTGGATTTGATGAAGAGGCCGGATCCGACCGAACCTCGTAGGACCTGGCTGGCATATGTCGCACTTTGCGTAGAAAAAGAAAACTGCAGTCAATCATGCAAATACAATCATAGGTACAGGCCCTCTGGTGTTCCCTCATTCTTCCGGTACAGCACCTGAACATATTATCAGAGTGTGAATCAAGCAGATTCAAGCGCACGGTTACCTTCTCTCTAGCCGCGGTGAAATCTGCCTTATTCACCCGCATACGCCTCTCACGCAGCGCCAAGAGTCCAGCTTCAGTACATACGGCCTTGATGTCAGCACCGGAAAGATCATCTTTCGTCATGACAAACTCCTCGAGGTCGACATCCTCGTTGAGGCTCATGCGCGATGTGTGAAGTCTATCAAGGACGTGGATCAGTACTGCGGTTCATGACGGTCATGACAGGAGGAGCTTGCTTGAAAATATGCCGCTTGGTCTTGACGTCTGGTAATGGGAATTCGATCTTTCGATCGATACGTCCTGGTCGAATAAGTGCAGGATCTAGCGATTCGATCTTGTTTGTTGCCATGATAACCTTCACGTCTCCTCGGGTGTCGAAACCATCTAGCTGGTTCAACAGCTCCAACATCGTACGCTGGATTTCTCGTTCGCCACCCGACGTCGAATCGTACCTGTGCCACATCGTAGAACCTGCGAACCACGCAAAAGTAGCGTCGAGGAACGCACCGTTTTGTACCGATTGCGTCAATTTCGTCAATGAAGACTATACTTGGCGCGTGCTGCTCCGCCACGCGGAACAGTTCGCGGACAAGTTTAGGACCGTCACCGAGGTATTTCTGTATTAGTTCAGAGCCAACGACGCGCAAAAAGGTCGCAGATGTCTGATTTGCCACAGCCTTCGCGAGGAGTGTCTTGCCCGTTCCAGGTGCACCATAGAGGATGACACCCTTTGGTGGGCTGATACCCATCTCCTCATATAGTTCCGGATGTGTGAGAGGAAGCTCCACAGATTCCTGAGTAAGGAGCGTTTAGTGAGCGTATTTGCACTAGGAATTGAAATGTGGACGCACCTTGATTTCCTGAATTTGTTGTTCCAACCCACCAACGTCTGCGTAACTCTCTGTCGGCGCTTTGTCAAGCTTCATAACGCTAACCATGGGGTCCGTGTCATCCTGCAGGATACCCACAATGGCTTGTGTCTTGTGGTGGAGCAAAACCTGACAGCCGGGTTCCAGGAGATCTTTGTCGACAAAGCTAAGAATCGGGACGTAGAACTCTGGCCCAGAGGCCGTGCTAATGATCGCATGGTCATCGTCGACCATCTCTTCCAAGGTACCAACCGCCATGGGGCTCCCACGCAGGTCATCTACCTTCGTGTTGTCCTCCTCATTCTTCTCTTCCCGCGTCTCTGGCTTCAGTCGTTCCTGGTTCTGGATGAACTCCTCCTCGATGAGCAGGTAGTCCTTGATACGCTCCGACTTGAGCAGTTTGAGGCGGCAGCGAGTGGTGGGGAACACGGCGGGAAGCTTAGAGGCGGCAGCGGGGCCGCGTTTCTTCTTCTTACCGACGCGCGTCGGGAGAGGAGGCTCCCATTTCTTCTTCTGCTCCTTGGCCTCCTTGGCCTTCCCGTCCTTGTTCTGATTGTTGTCGGGTGGGAGATGCGGCAGCATTCCGGATGGTACGTTTCCCTTGAGTTGTGGTGAGTTAATGGATGAAAAGGGCTCAGAACTCCAAAGATACCATTGTGTTGGAGACAAAGGAAGGAGGTGGACGAGGCTGGAATGAGCCAGAGACACTGCACGACGCGTCAGTCTTACCTCTTGCGGCCGCGTCAATTATGTAATATTCTGTCATACGTGTGCACACAACAGTCTGCACCAAGCCAAGGACAGCGCATTCGCCATGGACGCCTCCACACCGCTCACCGCAACCTCCCAGTTCATCCAAGCAGGTAACGTCGACCTTATTTTTTTCTTTCTGTTCTCACCCGGTTACCTCAAGATGACGACGACGACTTGGATGAGGATTCCATCCCCGGATACTCGCACCCCGACCCAATATCTCCTCTACCCGACAAGGGCAAGGCACGCGCTCCCGAACAGCTAGCATCACCTTCCTCCCTACCAACTATCTCTGGAAACATCGGGTCCTCATCGGGCGCGCCGAGGCAGCCCTCAACAAGACAGACCGTCGGCGGGTTGCGAGTTGAAACACGGTGCGCGCCGTTTCCACAAGTCATGATCACCGCATTTTTTAAATGTCCCCTCACTCAGAACGAGCGGGGCCGATACTCTGGACGAACCCATCACGGCCACCATTGTATGTGTACAAGCTTTCTAACGCAACTGATTGTAACCCACATCGCTGCGTAGGGTCGGGATTTGCTATCCATTTACAACAAGCTAGTTCAAGTGCTATACCCTGTGCGCAAGGGGACAGGCAGAGAAGTTCTCAGGTAAGATATCTGCCGCTCGCTTTATCGACTTGGTTTTGAACATAAACAAACAGAGATTGGGACCTCTGGGGGCCGCTTATATTATGCTTGCTTCTTGGGATTATGCTCAGTGTGAACGTGAGTACCTCCAGGTACCTCCTCTCCCAGCTACCCGTCTAATTCAAAATACTTAATTGGGACTTAGGCACCTCCAGATCAAGCCCTCGGTGTTTTTACCTCAGTTGTTGTGATCGTATGCGTTGGTTCACTGATTGTGACTATACAGGCAAAGGTAAATTGCTCCCTTCGACGTAACATATTGATATCTGATTCTTATGATAACAGCTCCTGGGAGGTCGAGTGTACGCCTGAAAAATCCATGCAGTGCTGTCTCCTTCTGACATCTCCTCTTCTCTAGATCATTCTTCCAGGGCCTGTGTGTGCTCGGTTACTGTGTGGCGCCGCTTGACATAGCTGCCTTCATCTCATGTTTCGTGCGCATCATCTACGTCCGGGCACCAATTGCCATCCTCGCCTGGGCTTGGTGCATATGGGGTACGATTTGTTTCAACTCTCCTACCTAGACCAGTTTCCCTGATTATACGCAGCCTCCGCCAATTTCCTCGACGGAACAAAAATGGATCCGCAGCGCATTCTCCTTGCTGTATATCCTCTCTTGTGAGTATTGATATATTGCTGAACTGACGGTGACAATTTGACAATCATCGACATGCAGGCTGTTCTATTTTATCTTGGCTTGGATGATTCTTATCCAATGATCGTCGTCACCGTTCTACGCATATGGTGTTTGCTCTGCAATGACACTGCAATGTTTTCGATGCCAACCCATCACCTCGCTTCCTTGACTTTTCAGGTCAGTCTGTCCTACAAGAGTTCACAACACTGCTCCCCAATTGTGAAGCCAATTCAAGCTCATACCGATCAAACTCCACAGTGATCAAAGATTATAAGTCTACCCCGTTTCTTAAACTTTTTCCGTTACTTATGTAGCAATGTGGGCACAACTAAACCGTGATATAGTTTCGTGTTTACCGCAGAATCATCACCTGACAAGTTTACAAGAGTGCAGTACAAATCATGAGAAACATCACCATCATAAACGACTCTAGCAAATCCTTCCGCGGTACTCATCCCGAAAATCTAAACCCGAAGAATTCGTAGTTCTGCGTTTGTGTATCGTTTCGTTTCGTTCATTGGTCATTATGAGCCAGGAGGTTTACAGTTCCAGATGCTAAAACGGTGAATGAGTATCGCTTGCCTGAATATAAATGCTCTCGAACTCACGGATTCCAGTCAATACCCCGCTGAGACCCAAACCCTTGAGCGTGGAAGTGAGGGATGCGGGAGAGCTGTTGCCGTTGACGCTGATCAAGTAGGCGAGCAGACCAGCGACGTGTGGAGTGGCCATGGAAGTACCGGAGATGGTGTTCGTAGCCTGAGCGCATTCCCAATCAGCTGCTATTCGCCTGGGGTCGGAAGGACAAGCAGCAGTGAAATACGCACGGTGGTGCTGCCGATCCAGCTGCTAGTGACATCAGTTCCTGGCGCGAAGATGTCTACGACGGAGCCGTAATTCGAGTAGCTGGTATCACAGTTCAGCCGACGTTTCTCCTCAGCTCTCAACGATGAGATGTACGAACCTGGCGCGAGCATCGGCAATCGTAGTAGCTCCGATAGTGTTGACTGCGGTAGCGCGTGCAGGGCTGGAGCTACTGGCATCCGTATTCGAATTTCCGGCAGCGACCTGTGCAAAGAAGGTATCAGTTACAAGAATGCACTGTGGACGAGGCAGACAATACTGACTGTAACATGGATACCTTGGTTGACGAGCTGTTTTGGAAGATTGTATTTGAGATTGTCGAGACGTGTTGAAAATACGACAGCGTACCGAAGTGACGGCGTTATCCAGTGCGGTCGAGGCGGAGCCACCTAAGCTTAGAGTCGCAATAGATGGTCTGCCTGAAGATGAGACTTGCGTGGCGACCCAATCCAAGCCAGAGACACTGCAGAGGCCCAGCCATCAAAATGGTGACAGCAGGTGTAGACCGCTGGCAATCTGCCTACATGTCCGAGACGGAGCCAGATCCAGAGTCACTAAGCACTTTCACTGCAATTAAATTTGCCGCCTAAAAGGGAAGCGCAAATCAGAAAGTAGAACAAGGAACTCTGAAAGGAGGTTACTTTAGCGACGCCCCAACGAGTGCCCGCAGCAGTGCCACTGTAACGAGGCCATCAATATCAAATCATCTACACAATGCGGGGATTCGGTCTCACGAGACGTGAGTTCCATGACCATTACCATCAGCATCCTGATACGGAAGTCAGTATAGACGCAAGAAAATAGGCAGGGATACCGGAACGTACAGCGTAGCCGCCGAAGGTAGCCCCCCACCGAGCACGGCCGCCGAAGTCCGACTAAAAACGGACTTAAGTATGAGCACCCGGACGAGAGCAAAACGACCTACATGGCTGGTGTATATGCCTGAGGCGCGCTGTAGAATCAGATCACATTCAGATCGAAGGACCGTGAATCTTACCAGTGTCTAGCAACCAAGTTAGCGCTGAATACGAAGAATAGAACAAGAGCCGCTGGCTCACCGATAACGTAAATGTCAACTCCACTGCCAGCTGCGCTGTTGTATGTGTATGTGTACGAGTTCGCGGTATCAGATCCGCTAATCGCAGACGTCGAGCTTAGTCTGGCGATGCCCCATGGAGCATTTGTTCTGTGGAAGCCTCCGTTGAGACGCGACGGCTAATGAATACTTGCGAGAGCGTCTTACTCCGTCACCTTGATGGACACGACGCCATCTTCGCCGATACTCTCGACGTCGGGGGAGGCGCGAAGGGTTCTCAAAGCATTGTCATCCAAGTTGGCTAGAGCGCAGTCAGCGATGGTAAGCGGGTCCCTGGTCGAGAACATACCGGCATAACCGTTGACGAAGTCTGGGTTCCAGTCGTGGGTGATGTTCGCACCAGCACCAGCAGCTTCATTGACCCATGAAAGATGGTCCGACTTGACAGTGTCAGCTTTCAACGTGACAATGTATCGACCAGAGGTTTCCCCATCGTATCTCTCGACGGACAAGAGACGGTTTGGGGCGCCGAGGACAGAGCTGACGAGCAGAGCGAGAGACACAAAAAGCGCAGAGAAGATCATCGTTCAAAGTGCAGGAGGCGCTGTCGCTTGGGGAACAGTATCGGAAGACACTGAGAAGAATCATTACTCGGTGCGTCCTTTTTATCAGTACCCGATGATTCTCTCCAAATGGTCATGTGAGGAAAATAGAACGCACTGCATCTCGGTCCATGGTACACGTTGAGCAGACGAATGATAACAGAGATCGTGCTCCTGTTGCAATATCAGAGAACCTGTGGGGTGCAGCAGTATACGAGCGTCGACACCCAACATTAGAATGCCAAGACTTCCACTTCAGTGCGTGATCACGCATCCTCAAGCGTCATCACCAGGAATCTCATGGTCTACGAAACGGTCGCCGCAGAACCCTACAGCAAATCGATGTTTTGGGGAGATAAAGAGTTAGGGGTGAGTCTGAGGTTCGGCAACGCGCCGATTGATATGATCCATCGGAAATTCTTGGTGATGGGTGAATTCTTTGAGAAATAGCGATATGCGAGAAGGCACTTCAAAGCGTCCTAACTTCAAGCAGCTACTAGTCCACTGGTGTCTAGTAAGACTGCATGTGATTCTACAGAACAAATGGTACTCATCCATGGAGTCGCGTCAATTCAACGACGAAGCCGAGACCTGAAGCTTGACGACAGCTCTTGGACCCAACCAGTGTTGTTTCCACCCTTCTTCGATAGTTTTCCGCTCGGACATTGAAAGATTCCAGCTGACACGTGCGGGTGAATTTGCAGGGTCATAAATTCGCGGAGTTTTAACTTTGTCTTTATTGATCCCTGCTTGAACGCCTTCTCTGTTCCCTCACTCACACCATCTCTTGTGCAAGGGGTTCTTCATGGTCCCTTTTGTTCCTCAACACATGGACATCGAAATATGCCAAGAGCGCCCCCTCAGTTTCTCTATGTGTATCGTCATTCAGTAAGTCGCGTCTCCAGAATTCCGACCCGACTCCGAGAGAGGGCCTACGTCTACCTAGTGAGTTGAGTCGTATCCTTTGTACGTCGCGCAGAATCATCATCCTACGCCAAGGTGTAAGCCAAAAATGCTACACCGTCGTCTACATCTACTCTTCTGTAAAGAGAGTCCCAAGTCTTGTTGGTGGCTCTGAACCCCTATCTTCGATAAGACGCCATCCTTAGGACTGCTTTACCATCCGCCGAACACCAACAACCATGCGGTCCTCGTTCATGTACATTTCGACAGGTATGTCGGCATCGGCGACATTCTGTAGTCATCCGTCGAAATGCTGGTGCGCAAGATGGGTCCCAGTCTTGACCCTGCCATGTCGCACATGCATCTATCACTCACCATGAGGTTATGGTTCTTCGCGGCGGTCCTTGTGTTCTGTGTATCCATGCTAGTCGCGCTTGGACTTGCTACTCAGATTCTGCTAAGAAACATGTTACGCTAGGAAGCCTCACAAATCACCAGCTTTCGCCTCAGGTGCATGGATGGTACGTAAAGCTGCATACATGTTGACACTTCTTCTTCGAGCGATCCTTGGCCCTGCCGCTATCAGATTGCGCGACGGTGTTGAACGACGCATGCGAAGAGATTTTCTCAAGGAGAGCGTCGACCGCCAGCATACTATGTACGTACGTGGTTGTGGGCCGCGGTGACGGGCAATCGAATGCCATGCTCTTGTTCTCTATGCAGCTATTCTGCTCGATGTCCAACCGTCATCTCGGACGCCCGATGACCCTTCGTGATGCCCAAACCCTCAGACCCTCAGCGTGAGATGATCACTGATACATGAGAGGACAAGACCAAGATCAAAACCGCATCCTTGATGGAGCTCAAAGCGACGAGGTCAGACCATACAAGACAAGAACGCGATCATTCGTCCTCATTTATCGCACAAGTTCAGCGAACCTCACGAAATGCTTTCTTCGGTCCCTCGGTACTCCAGCAAATCAGGTGTGCGAGGCAACGACTGAGGTTCTAGTCCCGAGACACTCGTCGCGTGGGCCCGCCTCAATCCGACTGGCATAGGACATGTCCAGACATGGCCTGTATGTCACCGTGTGCGCAGTAAATGTAGATCACAGGCTTATATATGAGGGGCGACGGGTTGAGCGAGAAAATCGTGAGCAGCGCGCGAGGTGGTGGCCAGTAGTGTGAAGACGCGCGAGAGGGAGACAACGATGGGCTATTCAAGTGCCCGAGTGAGGCTATATATATGAAAAAGCAGAGCAGAATACCAAGACGCTCCTATCGGATCACTCGAGAGCCGGCCTTGAATCCCATCATGGTGCAGTCTCCGCACAGCTAAGCGCGGAGAGGAGGGTAGACTTTCACATATCGTCGTCACAAACATTATCCACGCCAACGCCAACGCCAACGCCAACGCCAACGCCAACAGCAGTGCTAGAATCTATACCAATGCTAGAAACCACACCGGGGCACCGCTGGAAGCATCAACGAGAGGGGTATCGAGGCAGCCTGGACAGGTCGTTGAATTCCCCGGGGTACCGCACGCCTGGTGCGGCAATGATCTTGTGGATCTTCCGTGAGCTGGCACAAGTGCGCGACCCCGCGCCCACGTTGTCCTCGAGGTGCTGTTCCGAAACCACAACATGATCGGAGCGCGTTCCACAGAGGTGGATAGAAACAAGAAAGGGATAAGGGATCAGGTGTCTTGACCTTGTTGGTGCTGTGGACGGCGAGGACCTTGGGAAATAACCACGCAACCACGACGGAGGTGACGCAGTGCTTAGCGCCTGTGGTGGCGAACCCGTCCACGAGCTTGACGAGCTCGGGAAAGTTGTCCGCGGTGAGAAGGGGAATGTGCACGGCGCAGCGGCCGTCGGAAACCGACTCTGCCGTGCGCTGTACAAGGGCTCGAGAAAAGAACAGCGAACCGTCGACGAGAGGCCGTTCGCGGTGAGCAAGTAAAGCGGAGGGATCACGCACGAACGAGCCGGTGAGGAGACTGCGGCCGAGAGGGGAGCAGGCGACGATCGCGATGCCAAGTTCCTGTGCGGTTTGAAAGAGGCCGAGCTTCTCGAGCTTGATGTTGAAGGCTAGCAGCGAATATTCGACCCGGGGAGCGGCAATAACGCGCATAGACGGCGTGCGCGCGACAAAGTACCGATGCAGAGATCTCAGAGACACCTATGGCCTTGACCTCTCCCTTCCAATTAGAAGACAGGCGGCGAGTCTAGTTTGTCTTGACGACATCAGGTAGTAAAGGTCGACGTAGTCGGTCTGGAGGCTCTTCAGCGAGTTCTCGAAAGCGACCGTGACGTGTTCTGCAGAGCCGTTGGGCACGCGGGCGAGGTCGGCGAGACCGAACTTAATGGCGACGCAGATATCGTCGCGCTTGTCGGTCCTGACGAACCACTCGCCAGTCAGCTCCTCGTTGTCCCGGTATGCATCAGGGTGCCCCAGAACTTGCAGCCGCACTTAAAAACGGCGTCAAGGACCTGGAGAGCACCAGGACTGTCAGACCAAGATCGTGCGCGTCGTCAAGCCCCTTTCAATAGAATTAATATCGCCGTATCCGACCGAAAGAGCCATCGGGTGCACGAGGGCGACCTGCGAGTCTCAAATCGGAGGCAGGCCTTCAATACGATACTATGAACCAGATCCAGCGCTTAGGGCCGGAGGGGTGTATACAAGCCGATATAGGAGACATGGCACCGAATCGGACAGTAGTGGCGGTGATGGAATGGGTCCCATCAGAGCGTCGGAGCGGTGGGATTCTATTGCGATACCGATCAAGGTAAATGCTCCCCGGACGAGACAGAAGTGCAGTAGTTAGTCGGCAGACGGCAGTCGAGCTTCCTCTTGGGCACAACGTCGGGCTGAGGGCTCAGTCAGCGACGTCCTCCGCCGCACGTGCGTTTCGCGGTCCCCCGTTTGTGCAAGTACTGCACACGCCCCGGCGTCGCAGGGATTGTTCAGCACGTCTCGATGGCGCATGCGTGCGTGGGCTCCTCGGCCTGACGGCCTGAAGGCCAGCCCCGCACACCGAAACTCTATACCCGCCCGGGAGACACGTTGAATGGAGGCGCTGTCGTCAGCCTAACGACTGCCTCGGCGCGCCGACCCATACCCATCTGTACCCATATCAATCGAGTCGAGCGATGACCTGCGATGACGACGGCGCGCAACCCTTTGGCGTCGAGCTCCAGGATATCATGGCGTCATGAGCGTGCATGGCTGCGGGCGCCGCTCGGGACGCCCTGCCGAGGATGCCGCTCTGCCGCTCCCCACCCAGCCCCACCCGCCTGGACCGCACCGCACCGCACCGCACCGCACCGCATCGCTTGCCGCCTCTGCGGCCCTCGTTCTTTTTCCTCATCGCCCCGTCCCGCCCGATCACTCCCGCTGCGGCGGAGCGTCGAGTAGCTGTGACGCGCAGACGACACAAGTCGTTCTCTCGAACGCTGCACTTCTTCCAACGTCTCGTCTGCAATGCTACGTTTCGGAATACGACGGTGGGCGCGCGTTGAGACTCGCGAGCCCGCCGGGGTTATCCGTTTGTCATGCATGCCGTCTATAAATGGCAGCAGCAAAGATATTCGTTCAAAATAAGTTTTGTATATACGTACGGTCCGCTGCGTGGGGCGCCGGAAAACGAGGGTGTTGGGTGGCGGTGGCTGTCCCGGCCGGGGGAGCTGATTTCGGAGAGGGAAGGTAAGGGTCCGCGGCAGTTCGGTGCACCCAGCGCAGCTGGAGGGTAAACACATGGGGGAGTGCCGCGGTGCGCAGCGTGGGGCGGCTCGCTAGAGGGACGTATGTAATGGACTTGCAGGCGCCGTCGGGTTGTCAGGACGTAGGGCAGACGGGCGCGACCGCTCCGATGAGCGACCGTGAGATGATGCGGGTGCCGGTGTGAAAGGTTCGAGACGAGGCCAGGAGATGAAGAAAGAAGGGCTGTATGGTGGACATTTTTGCTGCAGGCTGTCAGTCGGGGAGGCCGCCGATCGGGGGGTTGTGGAGGTAGTATGTAGCTCAAGTTGTCAGCAAGGACGGTGGGATGAATAATGATAGACGGTGCGGGAAATGGATGGAGAGCGGGTGCTGTCGGGCGCTCGATGAGGAGAGGGTCGAGCGAAGGACGGCTGCCTGCTGGATGGATCGAGGCTGGCGATTGACGTATTGAGAGGGCGATGGGACCAGGGGAAGGAAAGCGAGATTGGATGCAATATAGAGCGCCCAACGGCCGGGGCACGCAGCAGCGGCACCGTCATCTCGAGAGCGCCTCACTCAATATATCAGGGACGCACAGAGACCATGGCTCCCGCCCTGCTCGCCCCTCCCCTTGCCTGTCCCCTGTGTCTGTGCTGCCCCACATGGACGCGTACGACAGCACGCCCCCGCTCTCGTCCTCGCCGTCCGACCGCTCCACCCCCGACAGCGACTCCCGCTCCTTCCTCGACACCCCGCCCAGACCCCTGCCCCCTGTCCCCACCGCCCGCAAGCCGGCCCGAGAGCCGCGTCTCCTCCCCGTTCCCGTTCCCTTCGACCTCTCTCCCCGTCGCCTCACCGTCCTAGCCCCCCGCTCGCCCACCCTTCCAGCTCTCCTCCGCACGCCCCGCGTCCTCGCCTCCGTCCTCCCCCACCTCGCCTGGCCCGACATCCGCGCCCTCGGCCTCGCCTCGCCCGTCCTCGCCCGCGCCCTGCTCCAGCCGCGCACACCCGCGCACGACGCCCTCCTCGCGCGCCTCGTCCCCGGCCACCGCTACTGCCTGCACCATGCCGACCTCCGCGCGTACTACGACGGCCACGACGCCCGCCCCGTCGACCTCGACTTTCGCGACCTCGACCTCTTCCGTGAGTCCCCCCTGTCTTCCCGGTGCCCGCCCGCTGACAGCCACGGTCTGTGGTGGTGCAGTGGAGTCGCAGAACGTCCCGCTGCACAGCTACCCCCTCCACGCCCTGGCCGTCCTCTCAGAGGCGCCCCCGTCCCGACACCACGACGCCCAGACCGCGCGCCTCGCCGCCCTCGCCCTCGCCCACTCCCGCGTTGTCCTCCTCCTCCAATCCCTCATCCACAGCTCCTCGATCCCCCTCCCCCTGTCTCCCTCCCCCTCCACGGTCACCCTAACCCCCACTCCCCCGCCTGCCCTCGTCCGCCCCCGCCCCCGCTCGCGCTCTTTCATCCGCGAGCTCGTCTTCCCTGCGCCCCTTTCCTTCTCTCTCCCGCCCTCCGACTCCGTCCCAGGGTCTACCCCGTCGGGAACGACAAAACACACCGGCCAGCGCCGCGCCTCCCACCGCTTCTCCCTCCTCGGCAAGCCCAAGGTCCCGCCCCCGCCGCCGTCCGCAGACCCCTTCGCCCTGCGCGTCTACGCCGACAGCTGGCGCGGCGCCCGTCGCCGCGCCGCGGCCTCCTCCTCCACGTACGACTCGATCCCCCCCTCTGCGTTCGTCGCCCCGCGCACGACGACGTTGCACCACAGGCCGAAGTCCGCCCACAAGACCCTGTCGCTCTCGCTCTCGTCCATGTCGGCCTTCTCGATCGCGTCGCTCGCGGCCTCGGGCTCGGCGTCCACATCCGGGTCCGCGCCGACGTCGGACGACGAAGGCGCGCTCCGCCGCGCGACCACCTCCGTGCACACGTATTCGTATTCCCACTCGCGCGCGTCCTCCCCCGCGCACACAGCCCCGCCGCTTCCCCCGCTGCGACCTCTCCCCGCTCTCCTCGCCGCACCTTCCTCCGCCTCCGCCTCCGCCTCCGCCCCCACCTGCCCCCACCCCAACCCACACGACCCACACGACCTCCTGCACGCCACCTCCCGCGCCCGCGCGCCCGTCCTCCGCGTCTTCGTCCCCTGCGCCGCCCTCGACGCGCCCGCGCTCGCCGCGTGCACCGCCCAGCTGCGCACCGCAGGGCTCTGGGAGCACCTCTCCGCGGGCGACGTCGTCTGCAACGTCGGCTACGTCCCGCCCGCGCCGCGCCCCGCGTCCTCGTCCGCCGAGTCCGTGTGGGGGTACCCCGCCGACGCGCCCGGGGCCGACGCGGATGCCCCGCCCGGCCCGTGGGAGCGCGCGCGCGACGCCATTCAGGACCAGGACCAGGACCAGGACCAGGACGTGCGCGGCGCGCGGCGCGCGTGGCTCGTCTTTACGGGCACCGCGCTCGTGCCGCACGCGCCCCCCGCCCCGCCGCCCGTGCCCGACCCGCGCGCGCTGCCGTCCCCGCTGTACTACGCGCACCTCGCCGCGCCCCGCGCGCGCCCCACATTCGCGCGCCTGCGGCTGCCGGTGCCGCGCGCGCGCTTGTCGCCTGCGCGCGACTTTGGGGCACACGAGTTTGGCGCAGCGGGGCTGCGGCTGCGGCTGGGCCTGAGGGGCGATGCAGGGGCGGCCGTCGATGGGGACGCGGACGCGGATGCGGAGCTCGAGAGCCTGCTTAAGCTCGTGCGCCTCCCAACGCGCGTGCGCAGCCCGCACTCGCCGTCGGGCGTCGCGCTCGCGAAGCGGTACGTCTGGCTCGCGCGCCTGCCCGGTCCGCGTCGACCCGTCCCCGCCCCCGCCCCTGGTTCTCCGCACTCGCACTGGCACTCGCACCTCGCGGCGCTGCCCATTCCGCCGTTCCCGCGCTCGAGCACCGGACACCGCACTGTCGACAGAGACAGAGAGGCAGACGCGGAAGGCGTCGCCGATGGGGATGGAGACGAGGACGTGTGGGCGGGCGTCGGCGAGGGGTGGCGCAAGGAGTGGGTGCTGCAGGCGGAGGGCACGGTCGAGGGGCGGACGGCGCTGCTGGACGCGCTGCGGGACTCCGCGCGCGCGGAGTGGGCGGGGCGCGACGAGGCGGCGGGGCGCGTGTGGGAGATGGTCGTGGAGCGTGGCGCGGCGGGGTGTGTGTGGCTGAGGTGCGTGTTTCTCTCGTTCGCTCTTTTGTTCGATCGCTGGTGCTGTTGCTGCTACTGTTGCTCTCATTCTCTGAGCCGCGGACGGTTTATTATTGGGGGCTTTCTCTCTTTTTTTTTTCCTTTTTTTTTCTGAGAGGCTGGGTTGGGGTTCTTGGCGACGGAGCGCTGATATCCGTTGTTCTCCAGGTTGTTGACGCCTGCACCAGCTTCGCAGCAGCGCCGATGATCTCCGCGTCTCTTTCCACCCTCGCCTCACCCCGCCTCGCCCACCCTACCGCCACTCCCCACCTTCCCACCTTCCCATCTCCCAATCCCCCTCCAGCTCCTCACGTCTCTCCGCTCCGTCCACGCGCGCGTCTGCCCCTCCGCCGTTCCCGGACTCGCATCTCCCCCATTATCTCCCCTTGGACACCCCAGCAGAGACCAGTAGCCGCTGTCACACGTCCTAATGAAAAAAAAAAACACCAACGAGGCACGTCCGTCGACGCGCGTCCAACGCTGTCTAATAACGTCCACCCATCCATCACGCACAAATCAAATCGCGAAAAAAGAAAAGGAAAAGGAAGAGAAAGCGCGCGTGGCGTCGCCGTCCGTGCCTATTATGCTCGACTCACCCGCGTCGTGTCGCCCACCCGCGTCCTCGTCCGAGGATCCGCGCCCCTCGCCACAGCGTCGCCGGGCGCTCCAGCCGTCTTCCAGCCGTCTGTCCTCTACCTGCCTGCTGCAGGACGCCTCGTGTGCCCGGGACGTCCGGCCTAACTGCACCCGCTGCCCGATCGCCCTGGTCCGCCCGCCTAGTGTGCCTGCCTTCGACCGCGTCGTCCACTTATTCGATCGTCCCAGGAACGCGCGCGTGCATAGCCTGGGGCCTGCTGGAGCCTGCTGGGCGGTGAATAAGTGAACACCCGTCGACGTTGTGGACATCAGGCGAGCGGCGCTCGACGCTCAGCGTGTTTCTGAAGTGTTTCTGATGCCTTGGCGGTCGTGCTTGTTCTCTGATGATGGAGGGCGCTGTCGGACGCTGTCGAACTCATGGACTTTTCGTATTAGCTCGGGCGATGAACCCGAACTTACTGAACCTCACCTCCTCGACTCTTGCATCGTCTCTTTCTGCTCATACTGTACACTCCTAAAGCCTCCGCGTCCCCCGCGCTGGATCGGGGCGCTGCATGGACTACTCGTGGACTACTCATAGACTCGTTTTCTTTCTGGTCTTCGTGCATATCGTCTATCTAACCGATCCATTACTTCTGCGCATCTGTGGTCTAACATTTTATCAATCAGTTCCTAGCATTTATCTCTACTTCTATCTTACAGCCGTACATCTTGTCAATGTTCACATGTCTATTAGCATATGGCTGCAGCTTACACGACCTTCCTATCAAGATCTAAAGACGTTACTCCATTCCGAAGAGCAGGCAAATGAACGGGAACCAAAGCCTTGGGATCACGTACATCTCGGGGTGGAATATACCTGCTCTACGGGCCGACCTCGCCACTGAATGCAAAGCGGGACGATCTCGGGGAGCAGGCCTGCCAGACAAGCAGTCCGTCTCCCTAACCACACGTTCAAGGCCGCCGCGTGGAGCGTGCGCGGGCGACCCCAAATATCAACGAGCCAGGTGTAACTTTCAAAGAGCCTGCGCATCTGCGCGCCGTGTCGCCGCCTGGCTGCGAAGCGAGTTCCCGCGCACGGGCCTTGTCACGTGGGCCCCTCCGCGGGGGCATATAAGTGCTGATAAAGCGCAGGGTTTTTTCTTCCTTACAGTCGACCGGCCCCCGTTGTGCGTGCGCGCGCGTTCGGCGTGCAGATTTTTTTTTGCTCGTTCGTGTGCGCGGATACGGTGCGGGGGCTCGGGAGAGGAGCTCTCTTTTGGGGTCAGTTGCTGGGCATGCCGTTCATCGTTTTACGCTCGACTGGTAGAGTGGCTAATCAGCGACTGATACATTGCGTCGTTGCGTCGTTTGTTACTTTTTTGCGATCGATGGAGGTTGACGTTGTTTCTTCAGTGCACTTGCGATCATCGTCCGATCGTGGTGTCTCTCGAATGGCACGACGTCATCGTCAGCGATTTTTGTCAGGCCAGATAGCTTCGTCGCATACTGTACTGTACACCATAGATACAGCACTTTAATGATAAAAAAGATTAACTTCTGTGATCGTGTTTCCGCGAATTCCCCAGGGTTCTTGTCGGGCTTGTGAATCCTCTCGCCCTGCTCCCTCGATCTTAGGCGTCGCTCAGAGCAACGATCTGGCCATTGATAAAGTCCTGCAAGTCGAACTGCCCACCGGTGGGTGACTGGACGACGCCTGCTGCCTCGAGAACCCTGTGCGCGGTGGGGAGGACAAGTCAGCTTTGAGATGAAAGCGCGAAAAGGTCAGCGCAGGTCAGCGCGCGCCTACTTGAGCGTGTCCGTCAAGACGTTTCTGGGGATCTCCGCGCAATCGGCGGGGTACGCGACGGTCTCGAGCCACGCCTAGCGGCGACGTGTCAGCGCGCAGAGCCGGGCAAGCGGGGCGAACGAGCGCACCTTGACGTCTTCCTCGGGGTACCCGAACTTGTCCGTGATGAACGCGACGTCGGCGCCGGCGCGCGCCTCTGCTGAGTCGAACGCGCGGACGTGGGCGGAGAGCGCGCTGAGGAAGGTGCGGAGCGCGTCGGGCGGGGCGCGCGTGTGCGAGGGGTGCGCGGCGATTAGCCATGATGGCCAGGGCGTGGGGACCGAACCAATCTAGGGCGCGGCTCGCGTGAAGGAGGGGAGGGGAGGGGGGGGGGGGGGTGAAGAGCGCCTGTGCGTCAGCGTGCCGGGTGCTGGAGCACGGATGTGGACGCGGACGGCAAGGGTGCGGTGACTTACGAAGCGGACGGCGCCGGCGTCTGCGAAGGGCTTCGTCGTGAACCATTCCCACATGAACGCGCTCGTCGAGCCGTCGTTGACGGAGGCGATCAACCCGTGGATGTCGTTGTTCACTGGTCCATGGTGATGGTGGCGACGATTACGGCAAGCGTCAGACAACATCGAAAAGACGCTCCCGTTGCGAAGGCGGACGACGTTGCGAGGATTGACTCACCCTTGAACTCCAAGGCGGACGTGTCCCAGCCCTGCTGAAGCGCCATCACGCTCGCCATCGTCTGACTGCCACTACCGGGACGTGAGATGCCCAGCGGCGTGCCCTTGAGGTCGGCGATGGATTTGTATTTTGAATCTTTGCCAGTGATCACAGCCCTACGATACGGAGTCGACGTCAGGAGATACCATTTGGCCTACCAGCTTAGCGCCTGGTGCTCACCAATTGAGCGGCGTGTTGACGTAGCTGCCTATAAGCTTGTACGCCTTGGATCCCTTCGCGATCCCGGAAATGAGGGGGTCCGTGAGAGCACTACGATATCAAGGCCATTCAATAGAGGGTCAATAAGTTTACGAGGAAGAAGCCCTACATCGCGACGTCGATCTCGTCGTTCGTGAGGCGCGCGATGAGCTGCCCCGTACCGCCTGTCAAGAATGCACTGCTGGTTGAGATCGACGTGGTGGTACTATGACGGCATCATACATACTCGGACACTCGACCAGCGTGAACGTCTTCCCCTGGTCGACTTCGGCATACTGCAACAAGGGTGAAGAAAAGTGCTCGCGAACTGCACGAGGCGCGCTCAGCGAATCATCTAGTCATGCCCGTTGATTGACGAGCATACCGTATCCGACCCTGAGAGGCATGGTGGGTTCTTGCGAAGACTGCGATCGGTGGAACGGAGGTGAAGGTGAGACGGAAGATCTGAGATCGAGATCCGAAAGGGATGGTGGGTGTGAGATGCGCTCTCCTGCAGCCCGTCAACGATATTTGTTCGATGCAGTCTCTTACTGCATTCGTTTCTTCAGCCTCATGGAACTGACAATAGCATGTTTAATTTTCGTTATCCCCGTCATCTGTATATGAGGCCCGACCAATTTGACACCGAGTGCTGAATGAATCATACATCGCATTTATGGTCGCATCGGAGCAACAACGATGATCTCGTTGGCTTCGTTGGCTGAAATCTTGGTTTCTACCAACCTTCAAATCCGAACGAGTCCTCCAGCGCTGGAGCTCTACTGTGGGAGGCCGAGATTTTGTCAAGATATTTTGTATCCGCACTGTGTTTGGCCTTGTTGACGCTCAACATCGGAGGTCTTTGCGCCACAACTCCTTATTCACAAACACACACACCAGCACACCATGCCCGACGTGAGCCCCCGCATCCATCGGCGCCGATGCCCTCGCTGACATCCCACCGCAGATACGTCCGCCACAGCAGACCCGCTTCGCAGAGCGGGACATCTTCGGGTCCGACTCTGAGCTCTCGGACGCACCGGACGCAGATGGTACGCCCCGCCTCCCGCCTCCACGTCCCTCCCGCGTTCTCGCAATCGCGGCTGGTTGTTGACGCCGACATGACAACACCATACAGACGAAGAGCTCGAGCGCCCGATCCCCGTCCCTGCGTCCACCTTCGCGCTCGCAGGCGCCGTGGACGACGACGAGTCCTCGGGCGACTCGGGCGACGAGTACATGCAGGACCGTCCTGCTGCGGGGGCGGCGAAGAACAAAAAGCGCGCGGTCAGGCGGTCAGGCGCGGGCAACGAGGGCGTGAGCGGGCGGAAGCGGGTGCAGAAGAAGCGGAAGCGGGCGCAGAGGACAGAGGAGGAGTTGAAGGAGATGCCGCAACATGAGGGTGCGTGGTGTTTTTCATTCTTCCTTCTGGTCTCGCTCTCTCGCTCGGGGCTGACGGCGCGTCGTCGGGTGTGTCGGTGGTGTCGTGGTTCGTGGTCGGTGTGGGGCTGCAGCCGATAAGATGCGGCTGGACATGGCAATCGACGATATTCTCAAGCCAAAGAAGTCTTCGCGGCCGAAGAAGCGCAAAAAGGACGAGGACGTGATGGACCGCGTCGCAGATGAGGAGGTGTCGCGCCTCCGCGAGGCAATGCTCGCCGCCGCCGAGGACGACGAGAAGTCGCGGTCCAACCACCAGCCCGCGACGATGAAGCTCAAGTTGCTCCCACAGGTCATGGAGGTCCTGCGAAAGTGCGCCCCACCTCCTCTTTCCCTCTCTCTCTCGGACGACGGCTGACGCACCCGGCGTGCCCTGGCGCGCAGATCCGGCCTCTCGCAGTCGATCGTGGACAACAACCTGCTCGAGGGCGTGCGGCGCTGGCTCGAGCCGCTCCCCGACCGCTCCCTCCCGGCGCTGAACATCCAAAAGGAGTTCCTCGAGACGCTCCAGAAGCTCGAGTACATCGACACGAACGTGCTCAAAGAGTCGAAGCTCGGGCGCGTCGTGCTGTTCTACACCAAGTGCAAGCGCGTGACGCCCGAGATCGCGCGCGTCGCCAACGCGCTCGTGTCCGCGTGGTCGCGCCCGATCATCAAGCGCTCCGCGTCGTACCGCGACCGCGCGATCCCCGTGCTCGAGGACGCGGCCGAGGACGGGCCCGCGCCGCGGCAGAACCGGCTGACCGCGATCCTCGCGCGCGCGCGCGAGGGCGAGAGCGATCGGAACAGGGTGCGCAAGAACGCGGTGATGATCCCGCAGCGCGAGCTCGGGACGTACACGGTCGCGCCGCGGAACCACGCGGTGTCGGTGCAGTCGAGCGTGACGATGGACACGGAGCGGCGGCGGCGGAACGCGGACCGGATACGGAGCCTGACGAGGAAGCTGTCGCAGAAGTGAGCGTCCGCACGCGGGCGGCGGGCGACGGCGGGTCGTTTGTTTGTTGGGGTCTGTTCGTTTGTTTGTTTTGTATGTACGCTCCGTGTCTCTCGTTGCGCCTTGCGCTTCGCTTCTCTTTTCGGCTGTGTTAATAAACGCTTCGATGAATTAGGGAGCGATACATCGGGCTGTAATTATCTCTAGGCTATATGGGTAAGTAAGTCCATTAAGTAGGGTGTATGTAAGGACTTGGAGCGAGATGCGGGGAAGCTTCACGCCTGGTGGCCAGAGGAAAGTCTATCTAGAAGAGAAGGCAGTGGGGAGGGTCAGGCGACGCGTGCACGTTCGCGCGCCCCGTCGTCCCGAGTTGCGGCTCTGGGCGATGGATGATGGTGATAGTCTCGCGCTAGTCTCGCGCTTCGCCCCGAGAAAGCAGGAACGTGCCTGGGCGCACGGGTCATCTCAGTAACTTACCTGCAGTCGGCCCTGGGGGACTTGCACCCAAGGATCGCTGGAGAAGCGTGGGCGGGGGCAGACAGAAGAGTCGGAGCGGCGACGGATCTGGGGAGGATCGATGTTGATCAGGGGATGACGATTAAGATAAAGGGAAGGCCCGAGGGGGAGGGCAAAGGCTGGCAAAGGAGATGACACGGGGATCGCGTCCGATCGCGCTGCAATAGAGGGTGATGGAACGGCATCGTGGGCGCTCGGAAGGCGTGTGACCTGCAGGGACCAGGGGTGGATCGAGGCCAAGTGCGTGTATTGAGTTGGATGGAGGTATGTCGGGGCGGTATGATGCAGGCCGGGATGTTCCTGGGGCGTGAGAGAGTGCGCGCGGGCAGTGGAGGGCGCGGGGGATGGGCCGGATTGGGAGAACAAAGGGACGCGGGGGGGTTACGTGTGTGCGAGGCGTGCGTGCGCGGGCGGGGGGCGATCGTTGATCAGAAAGGCGGGATGGAAGGGACGCGTTGTGGCGCGGGGAGGGACGTCTGTTTAGGGCGGGCGTTGGCGCGTGGGGACGGTACTAAAGGGCGAGGGCGGACCTTGAACCGGGCGTGAACGTGTTTGCGAGCTCGGCCCCGTCTCTCCCTCCCTCTCTCTTTATTCCCAAAGGCTACCCCCGGATGCCCTCGACGCACTCGGTCCCTCCCCTCGCAGTCATCATGCCCCACCCGCACCTCAGACTGCCCTCCGCACGCCTCTCCCAGTCCTCCGCCCCCCGCACTCCCAGCTGCGGCTCTCCCGTCCAGCCCTCCTTCTTTCTCCCCTCCAACAGCAACAGAAAGAGCTCAGACAGCTGGACGAGCTCCAACTTTGATCCGGACGAGCTCGAGTGGGAGTGGAAGCCAGATCAGTCTTTGCTTCTGGCCAGGGTGCGTGTTTTCTCAGACGCCCGATGCACGCGTCTGCTCTTCCCCTGTCCCCTCGTCTCATCTGTGCCCCCCCTTCCTTCCTGCAGACCCTCGATGCCCTCCCTGCCCACCTCCTCACCCCCTTCATCGGCCCCGTCCCCCCGCCGAACCTCCTCGATAAGGTCGCCCGCGGCGTCGTGAAGGCTAAAGGCCCCCTAGACTGGCCCCATTCGGTCCGCGCGACGCGCTCAAAACTTATCGAGCTCTCTCGCCAGCGCGCCAAGGAGGCACAGGAGGAGAAGCGCAGGAACACGATCGAGGAGGAGGACTTTTTGTACGACGTCGACGGCTTCCACCCGGCCGTGGGACGCCCCCTCTACAGACAATCGAGCATGGACTTTATGCAGTCTGCCAGGCTGGACGTCGGCGACACCGACGCCTTCTCTCGGTCAGTCGCTTCGCTCATCTCTCTCTGCCATCGCTCACGAACAGCCTTGCCCCCAGGGCCATGCACCGTCTCCAACGCACCGAGCGCGCCATTGCGAACCCCCCGTATCATCTTCGTCCACACTCACCCGATACGCATCTCATCTACGCTCACACGCTCAACCCATCCACTCCCTCATCCACCACTCTGCACTCCACGCGATCGGCTCGCTCATCCAAGTCTTCCCTCCGCCGAACCGCGTCCACGCTCTCCAATTCTTCATCGGACAAACATGCGCTACCTGTTCACGACCCTCTCGCAAAGACCGTCCGCCGTACTGATTCTTACGGCAACCTTCGTCAGCCTCTCAAGCGCGCGCCTTCCTACGGCGTCCCCGTCAAGCGCGAGACGCACGCACTACAACAACGCAATTCGCTCACGGAGCCTTCCTCCGACGAAGAGGAGAAGGTTCGCACCAAGACCGCAAAAAAGCCCCGCAAACTATCGGATTCGTCGCCCTCGTCCAGCACGCCCACGACGTCCGATTCGGACCTCGCCCGGAAACCCCCCAAGACCGTCTCTACCACTCCCAAGGCAGCCTCGACCACCGGCGCCGCCGCCGCCGCTCGCCGCCGCGCGAACCCGCAGCGCAATCCGTCCATGTTGGGCCCCGAGCTCCTGCTGCACGCTCAGCCTGCCCATGAGCCCGCATATATGCGCACACAGATCCCCTCCTTTGAACCTCAGCCTCACGCTGTCCTTGCTCCGCAGTCGCCCCAGACCCCGCGCTCGCCTCGCACGCCGACGCGAACGCTCCGCCGCGTGCGCCAGACTGCGTTTCCCCCGCGGGCGGCGCGCCGCATCAGCTTCGGCGGCCTCCTGGCTCCGGCTGAAGGCGACGCGCCCGTTCTCGAGAGTCTAGGCGCAGGCGAGGCCCGTGGACTGGGGTTGGGCAGCGCCTTTGAGCTGCGGTGAACCTTCTTCTCCCCCCGCACTCGCGCCTGCGGCTCGCGGGGTTCGAGGGCCCGGCCGCCCTCTTGTACAGTGTATAGTTGTACGATGTGTACCACCAGCCACTACCATAAGCAAGTCGCGCCGGCTCGGTTTATACATACTACAGGCCGACGCAAGAATCATACTTACATCAAGAACAAACCAAGGAATATCTCGGATTCTCCACTTAGACACTATCGCCTTTTTTTAACCACCCGTCCGCTTCCACTGTGCCATACCTCGCGCGTTCTCGCTCCATCCTCCTTCCGGCTGGTCTGGCGCTAGTGTCCTTGCTTCGCTGTGCATGCTTGTTATTTTGACACTCTTTTCTCTCTGTTTCCTCCCTGTACATCGTGCTTGGCTTTCGACTTCTCTCACTTACACCCGCAGCATCCACGATCCTTGATCGCCGCTGGTTCTTTTTCGCTCGTTTGGCCGGTCGGTCGAGGGCGCAGGATGCCACGCTCCACTCTCCTTCAATTGTACTTGTCTCGGCTTCCCTGCCTCTGTCTCTTCTCTTCACACACATACACTCACACACTCTCTATCCTCATACATCGCGCCTCACTGTCCACGAAGCGGTTCGAAAGCAACGCCACCCGCTCGTGCTATCCTGTCCCTGCTGAAGTTTTCCCTCACCCTCATTCTTTCCATCTCTAACTCTTTGTCACCCCTCCTCTCCTCGCCAGTCTACTCACCCGGTGGAGAGGACTATCTGGAATTCGACCGTGCGGTCGTGTACACTCGTTTCTCCTCTCACTGATCACTCTCATCCATCCCCCTCACATCATCCTACCTTTCAACCCCAGCTCTGCTCGGTCGCTCTATGGCCGCCACCTTGCTCCCATCTCCCCGAAGCGCGGACGGACGGACGGACGGCCGTCTCTTTCAGCGTGTCCCTCTGACGCCTCTTTGCCTCTGTTCTACCCGCCGGCCCGACCGCATGGGCTGTGCCAAACAACCGACAAACACCTGTACAAGTGTGGTGTATTACTCCATTTGTGCTCCATATCTGTTTTTTTTTCTCTGTTCTGTTTTCGCGTCGCAGTCTCTGCTTTGCCTCGCTTCTGCGCACATGTTGTGTGCGTGTTCGGACCGTTTTCTTGGTCCTATTTTTTTCTGCTCAGTTCGATGTTGAAGTTGCTTCAGGGTGCTTTGGTTCGATTCGTCTTATTCGCTCGTTTCGAGAGCTTGTATGTAAATGGGTGTCAGTGCCCTGTCTGTTTCTTATTCACCTTCGTCTTCGTCTCCCACTTCTGCTCGCAAATGCTCCTTTTTGGAGCTTGCGATTGCCATCACATCCCACCCCCACTCGCCTTTCGAGTCCGACGCTCGCTCACACACTAAATTCGTATCTCTTCCCGTGTTCGATCTTTTCATGCTTTCTCTTTCTTGCCGGACGTTCTGCGAACACGGGTGTTCTTTTTTGGCGCTTGTCGCTGCTTACCTTTGTTTCATTCGGGTGCGCGTCGCTCACAGCTGTACTATGTGTGCATATATGCATTTGCTCGAGGTCGTGTGTGAGGTGCAAGCCCAACGCCGCGGTGTAAGAGCGAATGCTCCTGGCGTGAAGGGCGTTCGGTCATGACGGTTTACAATTCCGACGAGTAGCGACCGACGTTCGACGGTGCATAACTGTGTAAGAGGGGGAGGAATGTCGTGATCTCACGCTGAGCGGATACTAGGCCTTTGATCGCCGTAAGAGAGGATCATTTGGAAAGAGTATACACGACCGCGTCCGCTCTCTGTACATTCTGTAAGCCTGACGGGGGCAAGAGACGATCAACAAAGGATCTCGTCCGACCGCACGCATGGAGTAGTAGCGACGAAAGAGCGCGAACTCACGGTGATAATATACACCCGCCCGTCCACGCACTGCGCCCCCGCCTCCCCCCGCCCTCGACCATCGCCAACGCTCATAGGTCCGCGAGGGCGGCCGCGCCATCCGCCTCAGCCGCGGCGATCGCGCGCTGTCTGCGCGCCGCGATCTCCGCGCGCTTCTCGGCGATGAGGACGGCCGCGCGCTCGTCCCACTGGTGCGCCCAGTACCCCGCGTAGCCGAACGCGAGCATGGAGATGACGTGGCCGCCGGGGTCTGCGCGGCGTCGGCGGGCGTCGTGGTCGAGATTTAGAGTGGGAAACGTGGTGGGGGAGGGGGGGAGACAGGATGTGAGGATGGTGGAGGGGGAGGGAGGGGAGGGAGTCTACGCACTGTCGAAGAGGTTGCGTTTTTGGATGCCGAGTTGGCCGAGGCGGGCGGCGAGGCCGAAGAGGGAGAAGCCGAAGATGCTGGTGAGCAGAGCCATCGGTCGGTGTGGGGTGCGGGATGTGGTGTTAGTGGTGGTGGTGAGTTACGGTATCGTCGGGACTCGGCGTCGAGGACGGTGGTGAGGGGCGCGGCAGTGGTCGACGGCCGGGAACGGAAGGTGGTCAATAGACGTAAATACTGGACCCACGCGCTTGCAGAGCTTCAAAATCCCTCGTCGAACTGTCAGCCGCGCGCCACCAACCTTCAGTATCAATTAGCATCCCTCGCTTTCTGCGCCTTTGATCTTTTGCTCGATAAAACATGGTCGCGATTCCCGACAACACGCCCGCGGAGGTGAGGGCGAAGCTCGAAGTTGCTGCGCTAAAGAAAGACGTCGGCGACCAGGCATTCAAGGCGGGCGACCTGAAGGCAGGTGCGTGTCTAGTTATGGCGCTCATGATCGGGATCCATTGCGCGGCGTTTTGACCTGTGCGTCTGCCAGCTCTGCGAGGGTACCACGAGGTGAGTGTGGCGCCCCCGCTCTCGCACGTCCGGTGCCGCGTCTTATTATGTATGGCTAAAGTCGTTGCTCTATCTCCAAGGGATCGACAAGTGAGTGTAGCCCGCGCGGGTCTTTTCTCTCTCTCTGTGTGTGCGGGATGTTTTCTGACAATGTATCTGTAGATCTGGCTTGAAATCAGCGCTTTCGCCACCAAGCGCGGACGGCTCCCTGCCCCAGCAAAAGACGGCGGTACGTCCACGTCCACGTCCCCAAATGGCCGACAGGGGCTGATAAGGGACACGGCAAGGCGGACGAGATGATGGAGAAGATCTACGCCAACATGTCCGCGTGCCACATCAAACAGGAGAACTGGAAACGCGCGGTAGAGACCGCGGACAAGGTGCGCGCGCGCTTGATCCCTGCACCCCCCGAGTTCGATCGACGTTGAGTTTTGCTCGAAAAAGGCTCTGTCTAAGAACGACACGAACTACAAGGCCGTGTTTCGCAAGGCAAAGGCGCTCGGCGAGCTCGGATTCTTCGAGCGGGCAGAGCCCCTGCTCGAAGATCTGATCAAGAAGAGCCCCTCCGGTGGGTGCTTCCATCGATTTCACTCCTGAGCCGGTCTTGAACCGTTTTTGGTTGCGCGTCAGATGCCCCTGCCGCGACTGCCGAGCTCGCACGCCTCCGGGCGATGGACAAGGAACGCGACCGCGCGCACAAGCAGAAGTTGAAGGGTGCGTCGCCGTCTCGTCGTCGTTCACCCCGGCGAGCGGGGGATTTGCTTGCTGACGGTTTTGCCGTTTGTGTAGGCTGGTTGAATCGCGATAAGAAGACGACGCCGGTGGAGCCGCATGCGGGTGCCCAGTCGTGAGCTCATTCGAGGACGATCGCTGGCGTGAGTTACAGAGAAGTGGATTAGCATTCGCCTGTGAAAGATCTGTGCGTGGATGATGAACGTCTTAAGTAGCGTGGTCTTTGGTGTCTCTTTGCATATCTGTACATATGTACGACGCGTCTTGTCGTTGAATATCCAAAAAAATTGGGCAGGGACGCGTTGCCATTTAGAGACTAGGATCCGATCGCGTAACGGTGTGACAAGACGCGTCCAGTGCCAGTCGCCGTCTTCCCACATCCACGTCCCATACACCGTCCTACATTCGCTCAGATTCATTCGACCGGCCATGTCGAGCACGCCGAGAATCACAACGTTGATTCTGCAATCCTACTATCCGACCGTCAGAGACTTGCGGTCGTATCTGCTTGAGGTCCTCGAACCGCCCACGACCAGCAGCGGCTTTCCGCTCTTGGCGACCGACTCTGAGCACTTCAAAGCATTCATATCGGGGACGCAGGTCGCTTTGATGCGTCGGAGTGTGTCCTTGCCGGGAAGGGGTGGTTCGCGGCTGAAGGTGGAAGAGCCGATGGTGCATATGCGCGACGTACGCACGCGTGTTCTCCAGCCGACGGAGTGCTGCTTACTTCATGTTGCATGCGTGGCATAGATCATCGACCGTGCACAGGAGAAGCTGATGTGCAAGAAGAAGGCTCCCAATATTATCACTGCAGGTTACCGCTCGGTAAGTAGGGCCGTGTCGAGCGTGCTCCCGTCCCATCAGTGTTAAACAACGTCATCGACAGGCCTATGACAAAGGCAATCACAGAAAACCGGGGATGGCGCGGTTGGGGGTGTCAAACTACTTCGTGAATACTATAGTCACCGCGCTGCAAGGTCCCGAGTGGGAACGGCTGCTCAAGAGGCAAGCATATACCCATTCTTTTGTCCTACAAACACCGTCTGACAACAGCTAAATGCGTCCTAGAATCGGAGAGGACGCCATGTTTCACCTCTTGACGGAGACCTGTCTTTTTGCACCTTTGCCTAATGATTGCCTGTGCCAGATGACAGGCGAGCCGATCGTATACATGAAAGTGCCGCTGTTTAAGAGAGTGCTGGAACCTGCCGCTGCTGTAGCCGTAGACGAGCGCATCCGAGCGAAACGGAAAGCTCAGGGCCCGCCTGAGGGCGGCGAGGCTCGCAAACGCATGCGTCTCGCGGACGGCTCGGCGTCTTCGTTGCGAACCAGTTCCGCGAATGCTTTGTTCGAAGAGAAATTGACAGCGAACATGCACGTCGTTTTTAGATCGAATGTTTTGCTTAGACTGGTGCTGACTTTACTCGACAGTCGCACGGCTGCAGACGTGTCGATCGCGCGGTCTCGTCTTTTCTACGCGCGGCCGTCATTTGTGCCACACAAACACCACATCATCGTTGGCCTCCCATCGAAGCGTATGCCATCAATCTATGTCTTACACATACCTTTGCTCACTCTGACAATGAAGATATATTGAATACACTAAATCCATCTTATCATAAGAAAAATAACGCCCATCCATACGAGCCGCCAAACCAACGGAAGCAGATGCAAGACGCGCGTCACTTATCAAAATACGTATTTCCCCGGATGTATGCGCTACCTAACGCCTTCACCCTTCCTGCTTCGTCAAATTACAAGACCTATGTAGTTCCAAACTTCGAAGACAGAGAAGCCGAAATCAAGGTTTGCCGATCTTTTTGTTGGCCGTGCCACGTTCAGAGTGAAACTTGCTTTCTCCCAGTTGCAGGGGAAATGCAAGACTCCAAAGAGGCTTGCTTCTGTGATCGGATACCTGGAAAAGCTGATCTACCGGCATGGCAAATGCAGGTACAAGTCTCTCAGAGATCATACCTGTCCTTCAAAGGTAGGCCAATCTCTCGCTCAGAGCTTTCCGATATTGAAGCTATTCTGCACAGTTGAGAGATGAGCAACAGAAGATGATTGATAGCTCCGTCATATTGGTCAATCGGCCTACATCTTCCCCGACTATCGTTCCTCTGCTGACATTTTTCTGCGTCGTCGACAGGAATTAGTCTCAGAGCAGTCCATCCGCCTCAAGTCGCAACAATCTCTGACCACTGCCAATCGATCGATCGACTCCCTGGGGTGCACGATAGTTCCCGGGGGTACCACGCAGGCCCGAGTCGACGTAAAGAGTAAACCCAGATTTACCGAGTTCACATGCAGCCACGTCGAGGTAGCTTTGAACTCGCTGATAGATAGGACAGCTGCTGAACTTCATCCTAGATATTTCGGTACGCGGTTCTTGTGACAAAAGCAGTCATTCCGAAGGCGTTTTGGGGATCCGACAAGAATTTCAAGCTGGTCATGAATTGTACGTCGCTTTCGATCAGACAAACCAGCGCTGACTTGTCTTGTATAGCTGTCAAGAACTTCATTACATTTCGACGTTATGAGACCTTGACTGTGCATCAGATTATGCAGGGATTAAGCACAACTGAGTGCGAGTGGCTGGCACTACACAAATCAACTTCTGAACTACGGAAAAATACCTCTATCTCTGACTCCTTGAAGCGACGGGAGCTGTTGGAAGAGTTTCTCTTTTGGTACTTTAGTTCGTTCCTCTTGCCTTTGTTAAGAGTAATAATTTCATCCCGTCTCGTTCGCGTTTCTCACTGATATCGACCGCCTGTAGACGTCTTTCTACGCAACCGAGTCTTCAGCGTTTCGAAACAGAATCCTTTACTTTCGGCAGGATGACTGGCAGGTTCTTTGTGCGCCGTTGATCGAACGTCTTAGCTCAAATACGTTCCTCAAGCTGGAAGGGGTACGTTCGGCATCTGCATTGTTTCAGGCGAGCCGCGGTTAACATATTCGAAGACCGAAGCAGAAGAGATTCTGCGCCAACGCAAACTAGGCTTTTCTTTTGTTCGCCTGTTGCCAAAGGACACCGGTGTTCGTCCCATCGTGAATCTGAGAAGGAAGAGGCTTCAGCAAAAGGTGCAAAGACCGCATCAACATCTTTGTCGCTTCTAAATTTCACACATCAGGGATCGCTTGCATCAAATCCCCAATCCATCAACGACATCCTACAAGCTGCATTTCAGATTCTTACTTATGAAAAGGTGTGTCACTTTGTGTTAGAACAGACGAATACAAGAGTATATCCATCGAGTGCCATTTACAGAATGCTCAGCCGCACTTGTTGGGATCATCTGTTTTTGGTCCCAACGAAATCTACGGCCAGCTCAAAGCATACAAGTCCCGATTAGCGTTCGATAACCCCACTGGCAAACTGTAAGCTCCCACAAATCTGTGGTCAAAGCAGAGGTTGACGTCATCCCAGACCGAAGCTTTATTTTGTGAAAGTAGATGTTCAAGCCTGCTTTGACACCATAGAGCAAACAAAGCTCTTGCAAATTCTACAGGATGCTATATCCGAGGCGAGTAAAATCTCTGATATTTGTGCAGACGCGGAACAACGTCTCTTATAACAGTGAATACAGGATTCATACATGCTACAACGTTTTGGACAGGTGACGCAGGGCGCCGGAAAGATTAAACGCATGTTTGTAAAGAAGGCGACATCCGGTGGTAAAGGAATTTTCATCTCAATGCGTACATTCACTCAAGTCTTGTCTAGACGAGCATTCGCATTTTGTCCGTTACGCATCGCAACTCGCGGATTTGCTTAGAAATGCAATCTTTGTCGATCAGGTACGGTCCTGTCTCTGACGCTCATCCGCGTGTGACCTCAGATTGTTTCAGGTTGTGTACCCATTCTCTAAGAAGCAAGAGATCCTCGAACTTTTACAAGAACATATCACGGAGAATATAGTCAAGGTAACATGATATTTTCATGGCAGATGAATCATTTTTTTAATAGTGTCTTAAGATCGGCCAAGACTATTATCGACAAATTGTAGGCATTCCACAAGGCTCTGTTCTCTCCGCCTTGTTGTGTTCCTTTTTCTACGGAGATCTAGAGCGCGAACATCTCAAATTCACCAAAGATCAAGGAAGTGTATGTCCGTTCGAAATATGCGTTCTCGCTGCACGACTCATGAGTTCCAGGTGCTATTGAGATTGATCGACGACTACCTCTTCATTACGACCGATATAACCAAGGCTAGGCATTTCCTCAACGTGATGAACAAAGGTACTTGAATTGGTTCATATTACTTTAGTTGTTTGATAATTGTCCGCAGGCCACTTGGAATATGGGTGTTTTATCTCGAGGGAGAAGACTTTGACCAACTTTGATCATGATTCCCAGATCCTGAATGTAACGAGTCCAAACCAGAGGTGTATGTACATTGACCGATTGCTAGATGCTGGGACTGATCACCTCATAGCATTCCCCTGGTGTGGATTCCTCATCAACATGTCCGATCTGTCGGTAACCGCAGACTATGGTCGATACCACGACACCTGTGAGAGCTTTTCAGTCCCGTAGGGTACATCTGCTTATTCCTCTTTCGTAGACGTGGTCGACTCGCTTACTGTCGAACGCGGTCGGCGAGCTGGGGTGGCTTTTCTGAACAAGATGCTGCAGTGCTTATTCACCTAGACACCGGTCCTCTACCCACCCTCTGATTCTTTGTTTCACATCCATCATAGACTAGCAAAATCGAAGAGCCATATCGTGTATTGCGACACCGACCTCAACTCCGAACACGTCGTGTACTTCAACTTGTATCAGAACTTCTTGCTCGTGGCCATGAAAATGCATCACTACCTGAAGTGTTGGGGAACGAATGTTCACAGAAATGCGAGCTTCATTTACAGTGCGTTGGTTAGATGTCTGAGCAATTGACAATTACTCACCTTGTTGTTTGTGTATAGCCACTATCCAGCAGGTGATTCGTTATACCTATGCTACAGTGCGTAATAAGGCGTCAAATAAGGTAGCGCTCGCGAATGCTGGACGGTGCGGGATACAGAAGGCATCATTGATATGGTACGCAGCCTCCTTAGAACTGTTTTGCTGGTCTCTCATTCATATCAGGCTTGGAACGAAGGCATTTCACACAATCCTTTCTCAGAAACCGACTGCGTATGGTGCCCTCATCGCACTTTTGTCGCACGGGCTGAAGAAGGGCCCACATTCCAAACGACTTCGACGTTTGGTCATAGATGCAGGGGCGATGATATCTCAACTATCTTTCTGAATTCCTATCCTGTAACTTTCGACGAGACTACGCATTAGCACACAGACTCGAGAGGTCTGTTTACATGTGCAAAGTTATAGTTTTCGAACGCTAATGTTACGCCTTCATTGATCCAGTTCGTCATGAAGAAACATCACTATAGCTATCGTGGCCCTGAGATCATGGTACGTTTATCATTTATGGACTAATCACATCACGGACAAGATAGACACTATTTTTTCGACGCGGACATGGGGATTCCCGACTGAAGTCAAGACGTGCTTTTCCCGAGCAATCTGCTAAACCCACTTTTCTGTGTTTCTTGTCAGCTCTCCGCCAAATATCATATTCGTGAAGGAATGCTCACCTCGCCGACTAATGCCTTCATCTTGACCGCCCCTTCTCTGTCGTCGGCTTGTTTCATCATCCGCAACCTTTCAACCTCGTCCATCTTGTCTCGCAGCATCTCAGTCGTCTCTCGAGCATGTTTTCGACTCGCCTCGAGAGCCTGTTCAGCAGCCTTGAGCGCGGCTTGACCACGTTCGTGCGCAGTGCGGGCGGCCATGAACTGCATTTCGGATTTGTGCGCTTCGCTGAGGGCGCGGGATTGCATCGTATGCGACTGGGACTCTTCCTGCTCTGCGTGTTAGCATTTAGCGTTCTGGGGACTGTTACAGACAAACCTTGACTGCCTCTTTCTGTATCCTCTGTATCTCTCCGAGTTGCTTGATCGCGACTTCAAGGGCTTGCTTCTCTGCCATTGCCTCACTTCTGATGACCTTCGACAGCGTCCGACCATGTTTATCTGCCATCGTATTCGATTCGGGCTAAATGCTAAGCAGACAGCAATAACGACTCACGTTCTTCTTTAGCGATCTTCGCTCTGCTCTTTTGTCCAAGTCCTTCGTCCGCGGCTGACATCCTTTGTTGTACAGTGGGATCTATCTCCCGCTGCGCCATCGAAGCGGTGGCGGCACCTCCTACAAACGCACCGCCGCTTGCATTCTCAACCCCAGTCTTGCCTGCATTATTCGCTCCGACAGATGCCTGCTGGAACCCATCTGCCTGTTGGCTGATGGACGTGTTCCGTGCCAATCCACCAGAGACGGGAGCATCATACTGGGCAGGCGCTATGGCTGAGCGGGGACTGGACTCTGTGATAGGAGCATTTTGCGCATCATAAGCATTGTTAAGCGAGGCGATGGCTGCGTTAGGATCATCCCGGACGCCAAACGGTTGAAATCCAGATCTCTCATTCGTCATTGTGTCGTTCGCAAGTGGATTGCGTGGATTGCCGGCTTGACCTGCAGATTCCTCCTGAATGGTCAGGGGCTGTGGTTCAGCATGAGATGAGGATCCGAAACCGCGTTGGTCGGTGGGCGCATGTCTGGTGGGAAGGGGCGATCCTGCGCCAGCCACTGAAGGCTGTCGAGCTACATCTACACCACCTGAGAAACCTTCGTCAATCGGGTCGGCCGTGAAGCCTGGTTGTATTTCGTCCACTGGATCTGTTATACGAGTTTGGTCGACCTGATCTATCATCCCTCTGCTGCCGCCGCCATAAGTATCGCTGACTGAAGGTACGTTCTGGGCCATGAACTGGGTCGAGTCAGGCGAGGGGCCCCCCGGATATACATCCGTATCAGCCGCGTTATCCAGAGTGTCGGTCGCACTGGGCTTGGATTTGGAAGAGAACAAGTGCATGTTGACGTATAAGGGAAGGGTGTCGTGGTTATAGTAGGGTGAGTGCGAAGGGTTGTGCAGAACGATATGAGATTAGTGGAGTCGTAATTTGTTGCAGTTCCGCCCAGATGAGGCCGTCTTACCTCTGGGTGGATGAGAGCGATCGGGGACCGGTGACGTCATCCATCTCTCGCCCGGAGTCAAATTGATTCATCGTGGCCAATGGATGGTCTATATCATCTGGTCAACGCGATTACAAAAATCAAAACAAAGAAGCCGAGCATTGATCAAACAGACAATCCCAACTCCTTCACCTTGACAAGTAAATCATCAATCCCCTCTTCGACCATCTGCTGCCAACTCTTCCACTGTTTGATCTCCAAAAACTTCTCCGCATTTTTCGCTTCAAACTTGGCGTATGCCGCCGGGACTGGCTCTGCATTTTCTAGATTGGGCAGACGGTCCTTGAGCTCGGGCCGCACCTTTTCTAAATGTTTCACCGCGTCCTTCCGCAATAGATAGTCGGCATCTACAAGGATCCTCTTGCGCTCCGTTGACGGTGCTGTCTCTAGTGCAAGGACATGTGCTCGAGCCACATCTTCGACGTGGACAACGGCGGGGGAAAGGACACCAGGGCCGGGTACCGGGCGCCCCTTTGGACCCGAAATAAGGGAGTACAAGATGGACGGCGTGCCAGTGAATTTGTCGACGGCTTGATCGGGTGCATGGGGTCCGCTTTTCCCATTCTACTCCAGAGTCCTCTCGGGGCGGTCAAGTTCGCGGTGGGTGATCTAGTCCCCGTGAATTCTGAGAACATATCTATTTTCTTCGAAGAAATGATCTGGGACCCCAAACACAATTGCTTGTCAATTTATTGATGTCGAAGACGGGTTTGAACAACACGACGGCACAAGTTGGAAGGTGAGCTCCATATAAGGGGCATGCACTCGACAACTCTGATGATGGCTTCAGAATCTTAAAGAGATAGAGGCCATCATGCTTCTTGCTCAGCGCCTTCAAGACGAGGGAAGAAATTTTTGTATTATTACCCCATACGATGCCCAGCGGAGCCTTATCGAGAGTGCTCTAAAAGAGCAAGGACTTCAGTGGGCAGACAAATGCTTCAATGTCGACTCATTCCAAGGTTAGCCAACTCAGTAGCGAGACGAGATACCCTGTCTGAAGCAATCATATAGGAAACGAAGAGGACTACATTATTATCTCAGTCGTGCGCTCGAAGGATCTTGGATTCCTCTCAAACCTCCGGCGCACGAATGTGATGCTCACGCGATGCAAGCGAGGCATGTACATTGCCTCGAGCAAGAAGTTTTTGGACGGGAAGGGCGCAAGCTCCCTTGTAGGAAAGATGGCGGCGCACTTCGGTGAGAGGGCCTGGATATCCTGGAGGGACCTTGTCGGAGGGAACTTCTGATGAGGTGGAACATAAGACCAGAGGCGCAATGCGCGCGCGCGAAACGAATGTAGAGTTCTATAGTATGCTCTATGCAAACCTATTTAGCTCACGATGTTAAGCATGACGAGGGTGATCCGCAATGGTCTGCTCTCTGTACAGACCAACTCCATTTCTCGTAAAGCTTCAACTATGGCGGCTTGCAAACCTGCAGTCGATGTGTGATGACATGAATGTTTCGACTCGATTCCGAGTTTTATGAGGTCTGGGCCCACAAGATCTGAACGCGCAATGAGAACATATGTTTTCGTCGAAAGGGAAGATGCTCACAATTGATACCGTAGCCGTCGTTATACGCCGCGCCGAACCTGTCGAAAATTTGACCATCAGACCTAATCGCATTTGATGTAGAGCACCATCCACGCACCCCGTTCCCCTGAACAGATGTCCAGCGCTCAGCCCACTGGTACTAAGTTTCCAAGCCTTACTCTCCTGAAAGAATTCATCCTCGAACAGAGGACTTCGCTCGCCATCTTCAGGACGTAGCATCAGCTGAAGGCCCAATAGATGTCGATCGATGCCTTTGCCAGTGGCAGCTTCACGCGTCAACGTGGTGTGAGTTTGAGTCGCGCGACGAAGTAGCGTTTGACGTTCAGCAAGCTAATCAATGCGCGCTATGAGATGAGAAGGGGAGCCTTATTGAGAGCAATATAGAGGACATACAGAGCTCGAAGGAGCCATCATGGCGAGAACGAATGCACGACTGTCCGCAGTTAGAGTACGAATTGTCTCCGTCCGACCACGATCGAAGAGACGTGTCAACACAGTCTCGTACGTTGCTGTGAATGTGCCGCGAGTCTTGAACCAAGCTAGTTGTAAAGCCATTTGCACATATGCATCGGGAGACAGTCGAGCTGATTGAAAAGGAGCAACTATTAGCGATGACACGAGACAATGGTTCAACGAGAGCTCACCTGTCCGCTTGATCCAGTCTGCGCCGTACGCGTCAAATCAAAGAACACTGTCATTCGAATCTGCTATGATACCTTTCGCCCGCTCTTCTGCCTGTGTACACTCTAATTCAACGCAGGTATCAGTAACCCAATCTAGACGCTGCCATCCTATTCCACCGTCAGCCTGTGAAAAGTCGTGCGAAGGTTCAGAAGCAGAAAATAACGCTTCATCTATGCTCTGAATGATAGCGTATTCGGCAACTATGATTGGCACCAAGGCATCACAGGGTGAATGCTCGCCCATTGCGCCATGCTGTTGGATTCGACGATGTAGGTGAATGCCTTGTCGAACCATCGATTGCGCGCGTTGGAAGACGACCGGATATTATGGAGGTGAAAATCAATCTCTTCTGGGGAATCAACGGCAGGCGTCACAGGTGCTGCCGCGTCACAGGTGGTAAGGTAGAATCAGAAACATTGGGAGTGTAGGTATAGTGATCAAGACTGAGGGCGAAGAGCGAATCCTTGATTGTGCCAAAAGTGCTGTGGTTTGTTGACGAGAGGGAAAGGATGTATTGAAGATTCTAACATGAAGGCATCAGCACGCTTCCCTCCATCGCGATGCTTATACGTACCTCAGCCCAACGGCCTCTGGTATCTGCGCTTAGCAACCCGACAGGCACGGCGCGTTCGCCCCCTTGTATGCGGCTAGCCGCATCCTGAACGATTCTCCTAAGGCGCTGTTCTATTTCATTCGGTGCAATGGGCGTCCCATCAATGTCGTATGCTTCGATGGCATACAACCAGTCATGTACCATAACGAGAACCTTCCGACTATCCGAGGCCGATAATGAAGGGGTACTGAGGGTATCGCACTGTGAACAAGGAATCCGACAGACGTTAAACATCTTGGATACTGTCTCCCGAAACCATACGCCTGTAAGAAGGCAGATGAGCTAGCTGGGCGTCTTTCTAAGCAGTAACGAGACTCACCGGTATGCGTTGTATCAGGGTATAGGTCTTGACTATGAGCAACATGACATCAACGAAGGCAGTACGCAGGAGCAAAGTCTTCGACATACCGGTCTAATTTATGCTTGAATTCAAGTGTTCTATGAATCAACCAAGCGGCTCGTCTGACTTGCCAAGGAGTGATTCCTGCCAGTACAGAGCTTGAGCGCCCTTGAAGGACCATGTCTGGGACTGTGACATCATTGAAGAACGCCAACTACCAATTTGAATGGATGAGAAGGGGTGAGCGCCATTCGTGGTAGGCCTTCTTAAGCCAAATATTGTCGTCGAGCCAATTTCGCGGCGAAGCCTTGTCTAATGCTAAAACAAACATGGACATTATGAGTACATCGTAAGCATCGTTGAGTGATAGTGGGAAAAGTCACCAATCAGACGTTGTTGACATGTGAGTCCGAGCCCCTGCTCAAACTTGTCAGCGCGCTCAGCTGCTGTCTTTAAAGCGGTATGATGAGAAGGACCACCACGGGCTTCTTGCTCCAGGAAAAACGGTACCAAAGACTGAGTGTACCTCTTCAATGTTTGATGCAGATCCGGCACTGGAAGACGAGGAAGAGTGGCAGGAGAGCGCGGGGCGGCAGCGCCAGTCGAGCTTCGTCGCATGGAACGAGCACTCGCCGATGTGGAATGATGCCGTGCAGATGGTAAAAGGCTGAGTTTCATGCTAATGTGCTCTGAAATCCAGAGAACATGTCTGACAATAGTTCATTAGCCTTAGGCTCGGACACAGCCGGTATTTCAAATTCCGCTGCTCCGCTATGCTCCGTCAAGGGCTCCATGAGAGACCGGCTGGTCACGGTTTTGGCGGGGCGCGCCAGGACCCCCGAAAATATGTTGGGAGGCCGGGTGGAAATTTGTCAAAAGTCGGCAAAATTGCTCGGACGCAAAACCCCCAAAATCAGCCAAATTTTGCCGGATAAATTCAGGCATGTGTAAGATTCGCAAAAAATGCTCGGATTGCCAGATCAGGCCTCAGAAAGTCAAAAATTTTACCGGACTGGCCAGATCAGGCCTCAAGAAGTCAAAAATTTTGCCGGACTGGCTAGATCAGGCCTTCCAGTGCCCAAAAATTGCCGGATCGTTAAGTTCAGGCCTTTTTCAAGGCCTACGAAGGCCAGAATGAGTAGTATACAACTAGTATACAGCATAGTAAACATGCAGAATGCGGCAGATGAGAAAAACTACCCAAAACAATCACAACTCGTGGACACAGCCGTCGCCATCCTCCCCTGCGCCACCACTACTCTTCTTGCCCCCCGCGCCACGCCGACGTAACCCTTTTAGTTGCTTCACAGCTGCGACAATAGCCATGGTATGTTTCATTAGACAAGAATAGATTTGAAGGGAGTCTTCGTCGAGGTGAATATGTTGCCGGTCTTGACTGATGGTTGGATCGCCTGGTAGGATACAGAGAAAGTGGTCACAGTGGATGTGTGCAAATGTGTAGGACTGTACAACAGCTACACAACCGTGGATGGCTCGAAAAAGAGCGGTGTACAAGGCCTCATATACCTGCATAGATATGTACAAGATGCCTCCAATGCTGATTGAGGTCTGCTGCCACGAATGGGCACCGGCTTTCCCACCACTCTGAGAGTATTGAGCAATGACTGGCCAATAGAAACATTATCAACATTTGTGGTTTTGAGCTTAGCTGTTGTACTTACCGTGGCCCACAGCAAGACGGCCTTCATGAAGAATGATACCAAATCTCCTTGCCATCAAGACATGTTGTCCCGGCGCCATGGTCTCTGTGCCAATCATGGCACCTCTCAGTGTTGCGACCAGAGCGGAGGGCAATCCGTGCTCTCTGAAAACGTTTCCCCGACATGAAATGACCTAAAGGGTTTGTGAGAAGATTGTCAAAGTGCAATAAATGGAATCTACATCAGGGAAAAGCTCCATACTAAATTAACCATAGTCAAGCATAAATATAGCTATATACCATTAAGGATTTTTAGCTAACCCCCCCTCTAATCCTGAAATTATAAGATCTAATTAGAGCTAATTAAAGCTAATTCATTATATGGATTTTTGGAAAAATATCAACCAACCCAGTTCTATACTTTCCCTAATACTACTACATTTCTAATCATAGAGTCTATATAGAGCTTACTAATCAAACTAAAGTCACACCCTATAGTAAACTTGCCCATGACCAGAATTGAACCAACAACCTCATGCCTACACACCCGGACTAGTGCTCTAAACCACTAAGCCACAAGGTCTAAACTAATTACCTGCTAACCTAAATATGTTGATATAAATAAGGCAATCTCAACATTCCTGATTTTCTTACATATTCATCTCTTATCTATTCTATATATATAAGGGTCAATAAATATCCTAAAAATCAGGGCTTTTAATATTTGAATTTAGACACCAGAAAATAATATAGTAAACCAATAGAAAATAAAGAATACAGTAAAAATAAAATTGTAGCACTCATATAATTTGGATTTGGGATATGTAAAATTGTAATTAGGTTGTAGATTTTAATAGGACTGTAATAATATAGACAATGTTGCCTTAATTGCAAATTTAGTCATAAAGTTGATTATGAAAAATACATTCTAATTAGCTTAGATTAGTATTTTGAACAATTAGATCTAATTAAAAGAGGAGGTTTTTCCAGATGTACGTACAACTTCTGCACGTTGAGCAGCCGCAAGTGCCGCATTCGCTGAGTTCCCGCTGGAGAGACCTCTGGACGCTAAAGCCTTCCACCTTTCCTTGCGCTCAAGACCACTTCCAATTCCCCTGTCTTCCTGCTGTAAGAGAAGGCCTTGCATCTCGCGGATAATCTGCCTCTGTAGAGTCTCTTTGGCCACTTTCTCACTGCCGGAGGATGACACCTCCAGGACAGCATTCTTGCGGACACCCTGAGCTGCGCGACATGTCTGATGCACTCGTTGAATGTCAATGATTGTGGTGAAATTGAGGTTGTCGACTAAGGAATAATGGAAATCGAATGCATGACAAGGTTTAGGAGGTACATCAATGGGAGGGAGCTGTGCAATCCGGAGTGCTGCCAAAAGATGAAGGCGGTCTTTCTCAAGGTTTGCCTCATGTTCTTCTGGTGGAAGCTCCTGGCAATACTCTCGTCTAGATAGAAAGGTGAGTATCTTGAGATCACTGATACTGAGCAATGGAAGCCAAATTAAGATAACTTACAAACGAACCAGGTCTTCTAGGTTCACAGCAACGGCAGCGCACTCCAAATTAAACAAACGCTTGTCCACTGCATGCCTACAGATGCCTGAATCAGGTAATGCTTTGACCGACTTGTCCAGTTCATCAGCGTCACCCATGTCACTATCACCTTCTTTTCTTTCATCATCAGAGGCATCAACGTCGCTCAAGTTGGTGTCTGCCAGTGGATCCAATCCCGGTGCGTACCACAAATCAATACTCGGGAGGGTTGGATGGGAAGTGGAAGCTGAAAGGAAGTCGGACGGTGAGACCCCAAGGATACTGAACAGATTTGCGGCTTCCCCCCAGGCATCTTGAGCGATTGACTTGATCTCCCCATCCAGAGGGAAGCATGCTAGAAGTCCGAGATTGATCCCATGAGAGTCGAAGTAGGTGTGAGCGTAGCCGGCCACACGGGCTTTTGGGTCTGTCGTGACGTTGAGGAGGACTGCAGCTCGGATACTTACATGTAGACGGGGCATCATCTGTATCAGGTCTGTAAATGCAAAATCCTTGACTAGTTTCCGGCACTCTGCAAATACGTGCTCGCAGACTTCACTGGAATGTATCCAGGGAAGCAGAGGGTAGCGTTCATCGCCCATGTGATCTCTATGAACAAAGATGAGGCCAAGGAGCCCCTCGATAATGATGCAAATGATATTGGTGGCCTCATGGGAGATAAAATGCTTGGATTTGACATATCCAACCTGGTCGATAAATAAACTCCAGATGTCCACAAAATAACGTATACGCAAGACCATCTTGATGCGAGCAATGTGACTGATGCTACGATTCTGGTAGGTGTCTATGAGCTCTCCAAATATGAAGAGATAGATGATCTCGCCTATATGGTCGGGAAAGTGGGTTGACAAATACTTGAGGGATGATGCTGAGAATAATTGATACACTGCGTTATCATCCTAATGGTTGAGGTTTTCAATGTCGTGAGGGTATAGCGGGTGAATTCCTGGGCCAAACGCTGCATTGCACGTGTCCGAGTACTTTGCAGTGTAGTTCCCCAACATGAGAACCTTTGCTCCTGAGAAATTATTGTTGCGCATGGTTTTGAGACCATGCTTGGAATCCTGTATCATGACAATTGGCTGGCCCTCCCTTGTTGCAATAACGACAGATATTGCCTGAAGGTGAAGAGCTAGGACAGGGTGTGTGATGGTGTATGTAACGTGGGAAGGCGAGTCTCTAATCAAGCAACGTTGTACCTTGCACTTGGTCTCTGTACCATCACAGGCATATGAGATGATTTTAAGGCCACGACGCACAAGACCACAAATGATTCTGTCTGAGTAAATTTGAAGGTTTTCGGCAGAGAGAGAATTTGGTATGGCCATGACATGTGCGACAATTGAGCTAGCTTTGGGCATCGGTATTTGAACACACCAGACACGGACCTGTGAAAGATTCATCAATCATTGTATCAAGCCTTTTGGTTTCTTGAACTCACCTTGGTCGCTTTTTCCAGCGTCTCAGACTTCAGCAATGCTTCAAGTTTGGCAGTGTCAGCAATAGGGATTGGCTCACCAGTATGGCCAACCAAGAAAAAGCACTCGGCCTGCGCATCCCAGTACGTGCGCAGTGTACTAAGCAGCTTTGTATTGTCGCAACTGAGGCCAAGTGGCCCACTGTAATTGAGATCCTTCGTAATGTAATTGTACACTCTGTCAAAGGTTTCATCACCGAGCTTGATGGGAAAACGGGGCAAAGCTGCACGTTGCATCCTGGGCTCACACAAATCAGTGCAAGGATATGGAAATTTTGTTAGAACTTACTGGATGCTTTGAGGGGCACGAAGTGGTATGTGATTTCAGAGGAGCTTGTAGACCTCAGGGCTTGTCATGAAGGCAACATGGGCGAGCTCATCGAGCACCAGCAGATAATGAAAATTTTGCATCCCAGTTCCTTTTTCCTTTTGCTCCTGTGCCTCCACGACCACCGCAACCATTCCATTGAAGACTTGACGGTCCTTGAAATTGCCTTTCAGCACGCCTTTGACATAGCATATATACACCGGACCCTGATTGTCCTGTAGCACAACAATGAGCAAAAATTGTTGAAATAGAAAGGATTGAGTCCACTTACTTGTTGAAATACATCTTGAAGTCTGAAGGCTCACGCGTATGCCATGATGGTAGATTCATCGCGATAACAAGTGTTTAAGTATTTAGCATTCTTAGGGAGAGGGACCTTACAACACAGGGCATTCTTGAAATCAATTTGCATGCAAGGCGTGCAAACAATGGGTCCTGTGAAGTTGAGAGAGAGAGAGAGAGCTCTCTCACAATTTACGGTGGTGACGATCTTGAGGATAGGATCGCACTTCCAGGTGTGGGACACTGTTTGCAGGTGCCAAACCTCATCCTTCTCCATGGGTGTGAGATCACGGAACTCTAAACCAAGCGAGTCTCAAGAGATATCGAAGACATTCTGTCCTCCTCCACTCCTGACGCCACGCTCGATTAGTTTGGCAACTTCAGGCCAGATGTCGATGGTAATCCCATTGTAGGGACGCACAACGATTCCATCTAGACGAGCGCTCTCTGGCTTTGAGTGGACTTTGTTCTGCAAAATCTGCGGCGCTGGTTGTAATTTGATGGCGGACTTCACTGGCTTGAACCACACATCTAGCGTCGTTGCTCGTGTCGTCTCCTGTGTCTTACAGCGAAGAACGTGCTGCACAAACCTGGAGGCCAGGTAAGCCTCAGTGATCTTCACCCACTTTCCACAGCGCGAGTGGAAGACCTCCCAGCGTGAGTCCTCGGTGCAGAATTGGGCCATAGAGTCATAAGCTGAACACTCTCCTTTAAACCTGGCTAGCTTTTTCTGATTCATGGAAAATGTCCCTTCCAGCATGGCAGCTTTGAGTTTCTTGCTGGCCATTGCTGAGCGGCTGATTCCGACGCGTGCGCTGATATCTGACCTTTCAGTCATAGTCAGTGTTGGCTGACGTGTCGCTTTGATAGCGCAAGGTGCGCCCTGATCTATCTCTTGAACATTCTTCATTTGCTTTGTTTCCGTCTGGGTAGGTAACTGTGACTCGGCCCTCTTGCGCCATTTGCTGATTGTCTCTGCAGGAATAGACGGTGGATCGGGGAGTGTGGTCAACTCATCCAGAGTTTCTAGGTACTGATCAAGACAAGGAACTGGGGCCGGCATCGGCAGGTGCGAGGTAAGAATGTGGGTTCCTTTGCTGTCACTTGAGCTAACATTATCGCTTGCTTTAGATGTTAGCGCATCCGTCAGAGACCCTGGGTTCGTGGCACTAGAAAAGGGGTCCTTTGCAGTGGGTATGGATGGAAGCATATTGATGCTATTTGACGGCATATCCTATGAGTCCACATTTGGTTGTGTCTCGTCGTTATCTAACAAGTCCGCAGGATCATGCAGAAAATAGCCTTTTGTTGGCCACACATTCTAGGAGTCAACATCATCAGTGCGCTGCCAAAGACACAGCAACTACAGTACCCACCGAATAATCATTATGAGCCTTTGCCAGGCAATTAAAATACCGGAGGCGCCAAATGCGATGAGCAGTGTGAGTATACAGCTCCACGCCAAACACGTTATGCTTAATGCAGTTTATAGTGCAGATACCACAGGAATGAGTATCTTCCTGGATGCCATGAGCTAAAAAATTCCTAGCATCATGAAATAAAGTCTTGAAGGCATATTGGAGCCATGACTGTAAGATCTGGATGGCTTTCTTGAGTGACTGCGGGTTCATTATTGAATCCCCTAAGTACAACATCAGTATTGATGGTAATATCAAGCATAACACATTACTCACCATATTCGATACAATGTCTCTGAAAGTCAACGTGCACCAGGACCCAATGGTTCCCATTTACAAAGATGGGCAAAAAAAGGTATCTTCGCCAGGGGTTCTCCCTGATCTCTTTCTCGTACTGAAAGAGCATCTTTGACTGACTTTAATTTCCTAGTGCCAACAGTGCCTCAAGCTTCATGTAGAAGTACACCGGTGCAAGCATCACAGTCTCGGCCTGAACGGGGTCAGACTGTACACATCTGGGTAAGTCAAACACAAGCATGTTGATAATGTCATCACTAAGCCATCTATCCGACAGCAAAGTAGACAGGGTATCCATCCCAGTTGAAGCTCTACATACCCCTAGCTAGACACCCCATGCCAGTGATGACATCAGAGTCCAGGCCATCAACGCTTCCTTCTGGGTCTTTGCTTTGATGTCATAAGTGCACTTCGTGAGCCACTTGTCCAATTGCCGCCATAGATCTCTGCTGTACTGAACAGCAGCTACCCTCTTCCAGAAGATGATCGTCTATAGCGGGTGAAGCAAACCTTTCAAAAAGGGGTTTTCAAAGGAGCACGAGCCCCTCGTGGCCTCTTTTTTTAGTTGGATGTCCAGCTCGGCAAGCTATTTGGTAGGGGGAATAGTGTAGTCCATGATGTTGTGTGCAATAGGATATTCAGGCAGTAATCAACTGAATGACGATGAGGCCTTTTTGAGAATGAGTGCCGAAGACTGTGAAGGAAGATCCACATTGAGAAAATCGGCAATTGAGAGCTGACGGTCTGGAAAAAGACTGAGAAATTCCAGGGGAATAAGAATATGGACATTAAGGGGGGCTTTTGGTTGAGAAGAGGTGAGGTCAATAACTTCAATGTCTGACATTGTGATTGCTGAATGTCACTCGAAAACCGTCAGTCCCAGGCTGACAGCTTATATAGCTTGAACTTGAACTTATAATTTAAAAAAAGTACTCTACAAGGTTCGAACCCGAGGGCCCGCACCAACTAAGTTTCCACACCCAACCGCTAACCATTGACCACTACACTATTCCCACCATGAATTGCCAGACGCCGATCAGGCATACCATCTGGACGCGATTATTTGCAGGACAAACAGGTCAGGCCTTAGCACCACGGAGAGCTATTTTTTCTCGGACTGGATCAGGCCTAGGGCCCAAAAAGCCCAAAATTTTGCCGGATCGGCCACCTGGCCTCCCAACATATTTTCAGGGGTCCTGGCACACCAAATGTGAGTTCGACTTAGCCAAATTTCGTGTAATCTTCAGCCACCACTACTATACCTTGCCTTTCTCCATCCTCTCTCCCTCTCCTGTTTAAACTGACTGTGTAATATTTCATTCATATGGTTAAATGTGTCTCTATATATGAATCTGATTGATTATCATCTGGAAATTCATCTTCAAAATCATCAAATACAAGGTTATCATCCCCCTCCTTGGCATAGTCATCCATATCAAGTGCTACATCCTCCATGGATGCCAAATCCAGGTTGGGTCAAACACCCTGGTTGAGATCCACCTTGTCAAAATTATCTACACTTGCATCACTGTGCCCATCACTATTGTTGGTGATCACATTAGCATCTGCCAAGCTGTCAGTCAGAGAAAGCCACCACATTGGCATAACACTCTTGAGCAATAAAACATACCCATCAATGGATTGCTATCCATGACACTAGTATCAGAAGGGGTTGTTTCACCTTCACAATATTCAATGGCACTGACTAATGGTTTGACTCAGTGCTGCCCTGTTGCAAGTTCTAATTTTCAGGAACATTTGGAGGCAGAATAATATGGATAAACAATTTATTTGTTAAAATATCTACATACATATTTATTTGCTAAGAGAAGTAATGAGTGTGGAGGCAAGGTATAGTAGTGGTGGCTGAAGATTGCACAAAATTCAGCCAAGTCGAACTCACATTTGGCGCGCCCCGCCAAAACCGCGACCAGTGAGCCCAGGCGGTATAGAGCCAGCCCGGCTTGCCCGGCCGTAACGACTCCGACGAAAACGCGCCGTGGCTTTTCAATACCCGCTTGGCCTATTCCGCTTGGTAAGCACGAGGCTACATTAGCCCCCGACAGCAGGTAAGACAGCGAAGCTAACGATGCAAGCTCACTGAAGCAGGCGACTGAGTCACTTCATGAAAGAATTCACCCGAACGTGACGGAGTGCATCACGTGCTGGTGACGTCACAGTCCCCTTTGGTGGTCCTGGTCGCGACGCGACGCGAGCATCTCGGGATCGTTCTCGTTCAAATGCTTCAACTTGACTCTCGCCTTCGAGTCGGTTCAATAAAGAAATAAATCGAGCTCATTTAATGCCTTTCTCCTCAAAAAAGTGGCACGATCCTTTTGTGTTGATACCAGGCTGCTGGCATCTTAATAAATGCCTCCTCCTGCACAACTGATTCAGCGGTTCAGTCGGTTCTATCCTAAACCCAAGATTGATCCGGTGGGTTCATATCCTGGCTTGAAGTAGCACCTACTCACACTTTGGAGTAAGGAGTGGCTAGAACCTTGCCACGAATGGGTCATAGACCAACATCAACTGCAACCCACGACCGACCTGGACCAAATATACCAACTCGTTGAAGCACAGCTCCTACAATCCGACCTTCAAGACTCTATGCTCTAAGGAACGGGGCTCCCTTTGAACGTTGGGGAAATGGAAGACGGTCGCCTCACAGGCCCTCCTGTTCTTGTTCAAATTACCTCTCTGACAGAGATAGGCCATAGCGCCTTCACCCTTCAAAACATCAGACAGACTCGTATAGACCGAGCCGACCTCGCGGGCCTTGGAGGAGACGATGCAGAAGATGAGGGGCCCGTTCCGAGGTACCCACGGTCTATGCTGCGATTACAGCTCAGCGACGGCTTTACTACCATAAACGCCATTGAATTTCGCAATTTGCCTGACTTAATTCTCGGAGAAACGCCTCTAGGTTACAAGGTAGAGTACCATAATCCTCATATGCTGAAAATGGCCTGAGTGGAAATGTGTATAGCTTATGCTTAAAAATGCGTTCGTCAGGCGCGGTATTGTGTTTCTAGAGCCCAAATATGTCATACTCAAGGGGCACCAAGCAGAGGATCTTGAAGCTCACCAGGACCGTGATTTGGTGAGGGGCCTTCGCTCGCGCATGGGGTTGGTCCATGTTCTACGTGACGGTCAGATTTCTAGCTTACTTGGCTGATTGCTCTAGTCTCGAGGATCTTCCCGAACCCGACGAGCAACCGCCGGATGAAGTTGTTGAAATAGCTCCAGTGAATGCTACCAACCCAGTCTTGGCGCCGCCTCCTGCTCTAACAGCTCCCGCACCCCCTCGTGCACCTACACAAACGCCACCAAACCCAGAACCACGCTCCCCGCTTCGTGAACTCACCAGATCCCCTTCTCCAACGCTGATACCATCCCACCATGGCGATGAGCCAGGATCTCGTCGCCGCCGCATCCCCAGCCAACCAAACAACGCGTCTGCGTCCACCAGCACTTCGACCGCTGTTCAATCCTCCTATTTCGGCAGCACGTCTAACGCAGCCTCCTCATCTTCTGTCGCACGCGCAGTCAACCAACTTTCCATAACAAGGGCACTATCACAAACGCGTACTATATCATTGTACTCTATTGGAGACACTGATGATGACATATCACATCCTCCGCGCGGCAGCGCTGCATCGACTAGGTCGGGACCAAAGCCACTGATCCGGTCCGATGGAAGCACTGTATATGAATTCGGGGATGATCCTATGAACGAGGAGATATTCCTATTCATGGATCAGATAGAGAAGGAATATCAGTCCCAGTCCCAATCGGCGAGCGCCGCAAACACGCAAGTGCAACCCTCGAATGCGCTGTCCGCTTCACATGCTCATAGGTTGCCGCCTGCAATCAGTGGAGATGTCATCACAATAGAGGACGACGAGGAAGACGATAAAGAGAATGTTCCTGTACTGACGCGCCGCGTGCGACGACGCATCGAATACATCGACACAGATGTGGTCGATATTTCGGATTAGCGACTACGCCTGCCATCAGAGGCAACTATGTCTATTGTTTATTAGTATCACAGGGCGAAGTAAGATGGGTATATCGACTAGGAGAATATGCGAGGGGCCATGTTGAAAACAGCGGACATCACCCCAGAATATTGACCTTCTGTTTCTTCTTCTTCGAGTTGTTGGTGAAACTGCGCCAGCTTCCTACACGCTGTTCCCTAGTCTCTGAATTCATGGTATGATGCGGTGAACTTAGGGTTCGGGGGGAGTGAGAAGATGCAAGGTGCTCACCTTCCCATTTTGCATCGTCTTCCGCTTTGCGTTTCTTTGCAGTGACTTCCTCTTCCTTTTTGCGTGCTTCAAACCCTTCATTGGCCAGATTCATCTTAACCGCTCTACAGAACGAGTTACCCGTATTGTCAGATTTGACGGGTGTAGGCTGAAGATGACTGATTCAAGCGCGTACTTTCGTCGTCTTACTTCCTCATCGATGAGGAGCTCCTTCGACTTTATTCTGAGCTGTACTTTGAATGTGGGTTCGAGTCCCTTCAATTTGGGATGGTCATCGGGAGTATTGGGAGGGAGAGAGAGGGCTTTCAGAAGAACCGAACGCGCTTGTGTGATGGTGGCGTCCAGCTCCTCTCGCTTCGCAGTATCACTGAGTTCAGATTCAGCCTAAGAAACAGAGGAAGTCCGATAAGCGTCAATATGTCAATGCAAAAGCAGATATATGCACACCTTCTTCAATATGTCAAAAGCCTCTGGAGCGCGTGCATGTGGGGTCTTGTCAGGATGGATGACTGTAAGCCAGAAAACGTACGAATGACAATCCATCCATTAGTCATGCATTCACCAGAGTGTATACTGCAAGACGAGGGGGCGGGACGCCGGATGCTCACATAGCGAGAGCTGTCGATACTTCCTCTTCACATCCTCAGGCTTGGCAGTTTCGTCTAGATCTAGGATATCGTATGGACTGGTGGATACTCGATGAGATAACTTGTATTTCGACCGGATGGAGATGAACGCACTTGAGTTTGAAAGCTTTGAGAATCCGCTCTACCTCAAGCTCGCGCTGGAAGGCAGAGGCTTCGCGGTTGAGCAGTTTCTCTAGCTCAGCGTCAGATATGATACTTGGGGGGGCATTGTTAGAGCTTGAAGACGACGATGCCATTGATAATAAGCTCTAGGGAGCTGTTGGAGAATCCTCAACCGGTACAGATGCTGAAAGAAAGTACAAAAGCGCGAAGTAGGCTATGGGAGATGAGAGACAGATCGGTGGTCACTTTGTCACACTCGCTTGTCACCTATGTGGACCTATGTGCACTCGCACCTGCCTTCGTTTTAAGTCAGTGCACGGCGGAAGACATGATATTGTGTGCTAGCGGAGGTCCAAGACAGATGGCCACAGAAGTGCAGGTCGATATCGATTCACATCGGCACACGCATTTCGATATTGACACTTATCTGTCTGATCCAGGACATGGCAACTTGAACGAACCATGCAAGAAAAATCAGACCAGAGAATTCTCACCGATGAGGAATAGACTGACTACATTGTTGACGCACAGTCCTCGCGACAATATTTCAACACCATACAGCCTGCACTGAAGAATAGGAATTGGTCCAAACTTTCTCGAATACCGCCACAAATTGAAATCTGTCGCAGGTGGTGGTTGCAAAGCCTTTGCTCAAACTTTCAAGTCAACAGAGGAGAGCATCAAGCTACAATTCAATCGTCATGCCCAGGGCAGTAAGAAGGATACTGCTCAAAAGCCGTCAGGCACATACTTCTTTAGATATACCAAGTGTCCACTCCGTGAATCTGCCGCTATCCTGATGTTGGCCCAAAATTCCGCATAAATGTCCATCGGGGTGGGTACCGACGTTGCTAGTTCCATATTTCCCTCGATGGCTGCGGCTATGGCCTCATTGGTAAGGGGTGACTGCCAGTTATTGTCGATGCGGTGTACAAATCGATGAAATACGCCCCATTCCCATTCATACGAAGAGGTCGCCTTGGGTATCAGGTGAGGTTTTGTGCGGAGATTCCTCAAGAAATCGCTCTTTTCTTTTCTGCAGACGACATAATGTCCCGTGTTCCACGACTTGAGCGGATTCGTGACCATATTACCATCCTTGTACTGCAAGCATACATATGGCAAAATCCACAGGAAGCCTTCGAGGTCGTGGTGATATTGGCGCTTCATTTTACCGGCCCAATATTGCTCGTCGAGTAGTTCTAAGGCCATGAAGGGCACTGTCCCAGTGCGATCGCACCCATCGTGCTTTGATATTCCCTCGATCGTGGCGAGATCCCAGTCGTTCAGGATACCACGTTTCTGGTCATTGATCATCACATTTGACAGGCTGAGATCGCTATGTTGAATACCCAGTGTCCAAAGAGCAAAGTGGCCTGCACCTTTGGGTCAGTATTTGTCGCCACTGAGACTAAAGCTTGACGCACAGCGGACGCAATCCAGATATGCTTTCATGAACTCCTCCCCGCCCAATGCGATGATAGGGTCCAATTTGAGGAAGACGGCAAGCCGAAGGATACGAGTAGCCCGCCGTCCATCAGGCCGCGTCAGACGAAGCGCATCCCTGATATGGTTTGTCGAATGTTCAGGGAAGTCGTGCTCGAGGTACATCTTCGGAAGATGTTCCACGATATCTAGATTGCCCTCCCCTCGTTTATACGCCTCGCTGATAATGCGGCCTTCGCTCAAGCGTGATTCTTCCGGCCAATAGATCTTGACTACCACTTTCTCATCCTTGTCAAGCGTTGCAAATGATATATCATCGACAGCCGCAGGTCCCTTGCCAGAGCCTTGAGGTACGCGAGAGTCTCTGGTCGGAGGAGCCTTCGTACACGCAGTACCGCTGAAAACGGATGTGCCTCGTCCAACCAGGCTATATACGTGGTGAATTTGAGAATTGGGATCGATAGTGGCCTCAACCGGTGCGCTGACAGACAGTTCAGGTGGCGGAAACACGAAATGCGATTTTGGAAGGGAACGATTGGTTTGATGAACTTTCTTGAGATCATGGACGATCTCGGACTGGGGGTCTAGGATGGTGTTGAACCCCCAATCCTCGAGCTTGAACCTCTGAAACGCGAAGAGCAGAATCAGAAAGCGCGGAAGATCTTGAACAAAGTTGATTCCCTGAGTCTGGATCGCGCCTTGTCTGTCGTACCACCATATCCACATAACATCGTCTGGGGCGAAAAATGAGAAACCTCCCGCGACAACAAGATTCATCGTGTCTCACCGATGATAAGTACATTGATGGCGTGGTTGACGCATGGCCCCCGTGACAACATCTCAGCGCCATACATTCCGCACTGGACAATAGGCGGTTTCGGACGCTCCACGGGTTTCTTTTTGACTTTGACATCTTGCGCGATGCGTGCCGATGAGGTGCTCGGAGGTTGATTCGCTAAGGCACTATTACCACGAGTGTTGTGGATCTTCGGTGGAACCAAGTTCGCACTTCTTCCTCGAGGCTTCTTGTTTGCGCGTTCACTCGAGCTCGCACTTGTCGCTCGAGGCCTCTTTCCACCGCCACCTGAATTCGCACCCGTCGCTTCAGATCCGTCGCCATCTGGATTAGCTTCCGCACTGGTCGCTCCGGAAGGATCTGGAACGGGATTGAACAGGTTCCATACGTTTTGCTGAGGTTCACGGACGGCCCCAAAACCGGAGTGTTTGGGCGGCGGCGGCGTCAACGTCTTTGCAACTCGCTTGAACTCGAAAACACAGAGAATCTGCGGCCAATCGAACGCGATGAAAGGCTGTTCAAGAGCGAGCCCAGTGGCATCCCACCATTGCGTGCCGATAGAGTCACTTGCGCCCTGAGCTGCAGCGAGGGAGACCAGAACCACATCGGGGCTACGTTTAGACACATCACCATTGTGGTCTCCCTGTATCATTTTTGGATCGTTTCTATGAAAGAGTATCTCAAGATCGCCATTCGCGGAACGAACGTTGGGCACCTTGACGCTGCGTAGTTTCTGGAGCGCTAAATTGAAAAGCTCGACAAAAGGTCGATATCTGTCTTGTTCGGTGCCTCCAATTTTGCAGCTATGTAATTGTCTTTCAATCCTTGATTGAATTAGTGTGGACGAAGGACGCACTATTCTGTCAGCTGGTTCATTATCTGGTCATTGTTGCAGATTGGAAGCACCGCTTCGAGGTATGGTTGCAAGAAAGTTGAGCTCGTATCCTTCGAAGCGGGAGTTTGGCCGTGAAGACATTGCCTGAGAAAATACGCTAGCATGTCATCGACACTGCACTTCTCATGTTTTTCGAGGTCGTTCGCAATCCACTCTTTGACGTGGTCCACCCTGTTGAACCAAGCAATCAGCGAGTAGACAATAGTCTCTGAGACGTCGCAGTCGCATAACCTACTTGTAGTCCTCATATCCTTCGCTGACGGCGTTCGATGTCGATCCCATGTTGTTCGAGGGAGTGGCGTCGAGTTTCAATGCAGCTAACGCTGGGTTCAAGCCGCCGATCTGGTCAGGGGGCGTGACTTTCCTGTTTGGGTTATGTGCCGGTGCTGCTGTCGGCCGAGAATGGGAAGACATGATATTGTGTGCTAGCGGAGGTCCGAGAACGTCGATGGGTCAGGCCGGTCAGGAGCGGATGGTGGGGAGCGGATAGCTAGGAGCAGGGAGGTTCTCCCTGGGCCTTTATACCTCTGGTCGTTGGCAGCCGGCGCACGCTGTCTGCTATCGATCGATGGCAAAGAGAAGACTCCATCGAGACGTCGTGTTCTCATCGTGCTTATCTGTACGTGTACTACCACCGCACATTGCCCCCAAATATCCCCAGGGGATATTCGGGGTATATTAGCAATATACCTGGAATATACCTGGAATATACTCGTCAGGGAATATCCCTCAAATATCCCCCAGTCAATCCCAACTGGGAGATGACTCATCCATTTCGACGGTCACCTGATGAGTGCGCGTCGTCGGACAGCGTCGAGATTTCTCTTAAGTGCTCCCTTCGTCTTACTCTCTAGGAGCCTCCAGTGTGCACATATTTTGGTGAGTCTTTCTCCCACTGAAACATGTTTCCATATGCTCTATAGTTCCGGTTTTCTCATATAATCAGATCTAATGCCTGAAAATGCGGGATCAGAGCGCATATATGCGTCCATTTAGGGCGGGCCGGGGTGGGACTGAAGGAGATTGCAAGCACAGCCTACGACGTGTGTGCGGCAAGAATTGTCAGAACGGTGGGTATTGCGGGTGTGAGCGTGAACATTGGATGGATGAGATCAAGGGTAAGCACAGGCTGAGCTTGGTGGCGTTGGCGTGGGTGCTAGCATCTGTGTTTCTCATGCGCATGGTGGCTCGGATTAGCCTCAGAGTCTGCGGTGCGCGCGCAAGTGCCAATGTCGTCGGGGCAGCAGCAGCAGCAGCAACATCAGTGAGGCCAGTGTTCATCTGGGCTCTCCGTGTCACAGTGCTAACCCCCCGCACGGCAGTACTGACCCCAGCATTACACCGCATTCTTTCCATTCCCCTCGCTCCCTGCACTCGCCAACCTTATCAAGCTGCAACCCTTCCTGGTGACCTTGTCTCTTCCCGCACTGATCTTCTCAGCCTTGACACGCATGCTCACCCCGCTTGTCCGCAGGATGCGCCTCTACGTTGCCGGCACCGATGCACTCGCCAGCGGCTGCGTTTGTGCGCGTGGCGTGCTACCAGATGTGCTCATGTTCGACAGCGCGGTGCCGCAGCCCGACGCACCCCCCAAAATGTACTCCTCGAATTCGAGGCCACGCGCTGACGCACCGCTCCCGCCACCGCAATAGATTCTTGCGTCAAGGTGCTGGTCGTCCCATCCCTGATGCGCGCCGTGGCTGCTTGCGTATGCGGGGGAACATCTAGCCGGGATTCGCACCTCTCGCCTCTTCAAGTATATTTTGTAGATCTTTCAAGCCTTAGAATTGTCGTGTAGCCTTCAATAGCATGTATTAGTTTTATGATTTGTTAATATATTTATTTCTCTATCTATGGAGCGCATATAAAGTGATTGGAATGATATCGAGCTCGAATAAACCCACAATATACTGTGAATATACTCAGTACCCAGGTATATTCACGGTATATTCAAGACATTACCTTGAATCGACCGTGAATATCCCCGGAGGGGAGGTGGGTATATTCGCGGTTGATTCCGGGTATATTGCTAATATACCACAGATATCCCCTGGGGATTATTAGGGACGATGTGCGGTGTACATCAGCACTTTGTCGTGTCTGCTGAGAGCCTGAACGACCTGGTGAGACTTGCCGCAGGCCTTCAGAGCTCTTCAGATCATCAGATAAGTGCTGATAGGGCTTCAGAGTTTTCATGGTCTTCAGGACAATGTGAAGATCGATTTCTGAATCATCAGAGGTCTCATATATGCCAGGGCTACCAGCCAGTGCGGCATTCAGAGGTTCCGACACCTCAAAGTTTCAGACCGATCGAACTTCAGGACTTCCGACAGTGCAGAGGTTCAGATCTGAAGTATGAGAGCCTACATTATACTAGACTCATGTGCATGGTAATCTACATAGGAGTTTACATAGAATTCTTTGAATGTGTCTAACGAGTAAGAAAAATGAAAGTCGAGAGGAATGGGTGTCGTGCCATACACCCCGATCAGCTGGCAAGCACGGAAGATAGTGTCAACATCAGGAAAAGGGCGCATTACTTAGCTAGCTTTTCCGGGCTTTTCCGTACTTGTTCATTCTTATCAGCTTTTTGAGCGACTTAGAGACTTAAAGAAAAGCTCCTTTCCGAGCCCAATCAAATAAAAGTCTAACAAGTTGGATTTAAGAGACAAGCGACTAAAAAGTCAAAAAAAGCGAGAGAAAAGTGAGAAGGCAAAAAAAGTGATTAAAAGGCGATTTCATTCGCATGATGATCGATAAATTTGTTAACATAATAAGCAGCAAAGGCATCGAGTGTGTCCGTGAACTTAAAATCTCAAGGTATGTGGTCGTCTCCGTAGACATCTATTAGATGTGCGCCGCGTAGGATACTGTCTACATGTATCACCGAAGTAATTCTCCCTCCCCCTAAGCCTATTTGCGGCTCCACAATCCACATACCAGTATTTGAACAAGGTTTATCACCAACTGGTACAAACCATTCAACGAGGGCGCATGGATAAGTTATCTGCTGGTGCTTGAATGAAAAAAAGATGACAACGCGCGCAGCGTGAAGCCCACGGAAGCCATCTAATTCTGGATCCTTCTCTGTGAAGATGCAGTCATTTCGTGAATAGGCGGTCTTTCACCAGCATCGCGTCGCATGGATTCTTTCTCGATGCATCCCCCCGACACCAGAGGGGTCACTTGGTGCATAGTACATCAGGGAAAAGCTCCATACTAAATTAACCATAGTCAAGCATAAATATAGCTATATACCATTAAGGATTTTTAGCTAACCCCCCCTCTAATCCTGAAATTATAAGATCTAATTAGAGCTAATTAAAGCTAATTCATTATATGGATTTTTGGAAAAATATCAACCAACCCAGTTCTATACTTTCCCTAATACTACTACATTTCTAATCATAGAGTCTATATAGAGCTTACTAATCAAACTAAAGTCACACCCTATAGTAAACTTGCCCATGACCAGAATTGAACCAACAACCTCATGCCTACACACCCGGACTAGTGCTCTAAACCACTAAGCCACAAGGTCTAAACTAATTACCTGCTAACCTAAATATGTTGATATAAATAAGGCAATCTCAACATTCCTGATTTTCTTACATATTCATCTCTTATCTATTCTATATATATAAGGGTCAATAAATATCCTAAAAATCAGGGCTTTTAATATTTGAATTTAGACACCAGAAAATAATATAGTAAACCAATAGAAAATAAAGAATACAGTAAAAATAAAATTGTAGCACTCATATAATTTGGATTTGGGATATGTAAAATTGTAATTAGGTTGTAGATTTTAATAGGACTGTAATAATATAGACAATGTTGCCTTAATTGCAAATTTAGTCATAAAGTTGATTATGAAAAATACATTCTAATTAGCTTAGATTAGTATTTTGAACAATTAGATCTAATTAAAAGAGGAGGTTTTTCCAGATGACTACCTGTTATTTGTCCATCAATAAATCCTGCCCAACATTGCCTGCATTCTTGACAGTAAAAAATGTCTCTGGCATATGGCGCAATACCATTCATGGCACATTAACAACAATTGTGTGATTATGGCCCACAGCTTGTGCTGTGGTAAGTGAGTCCCTATTGTGAATTTGCTGACTCACACTAATCAACCCTTCAACGCTTCCATTGCTCTCTTGCCCCATGCATGAGCTTTGTCACTTATAATTTTCCAGTCAATTGGACAAGATATTCTCATGAGTTGCAGCCCAAAATGCCAATGGCATGGCCAGATGCAGAGTCATGTGATGAGCGGCTTTGTAGCAGAGATATGGCTATAGACACACATAGGTCCACAATTACGAGCCCCCACACTCATGCTACTTCACCAGTGGGACCCTATAGACCACTTGAGCTCAACAAAAAAAAAGTAAGATTGCCAAAACTTTCCCGCTAGCCGATTTGAACGACTGACCTGATATGGGTGTTCAAAGTGGCCGGGGGGCGCGCGAGCACAGCGAGGCAGCGACCTCCCGACCTTCCCTTTCCGGAACCCTCACCCCCCTTCCTTCAGCCACCCGCCACGCGACCTTCCCTTTCTGGCCCCCACCTTCCATTTCCGGATCCATCAGCCACCCGCCAGCGCGACCTTCCTCCTCCTTCAGCCACCCGCGCGACCGTCCCCGCGCGAGCGAACACAGCGAGGGAGCCACCTTCCATTTAAGGCGCGTACTCAGGCTACCTTCATTTTCCCGTGGATACTAGTGACGCGCTCTACCAACTGAGCCAAGAGGGATATGCTAAATGCACAATAATATAATCCATAACGTCACTAGACAAGTCGTCGCGACTCATAAGAATTAGCTCTTTTTCCCCGTGGATGACAGTACTCAATGTTATACTAATGGGTTGGAATGCAGAGACAAGTATGATCAGGAAGCAGAGGGCATCGCGGATCAGCTCGCAAGAGATGGGAGCAAGTGTGATCTCTCGCCCCAGACAAATCTAGTGACTCCTAGCCAATGGCATCTCAGTCTCTCGCATTCGAAGAAACAACGTTCAAATTGTGGCGAAAATCTGCACACACAAGTTGCGGCTAGAAGATCGGTGGGTTGACGCAGAGCATAGTTCTTCGCCCAACTTGTGGTATAGACACGATCCACACACCGACGATCTGAGGGATAAGCATCGTCTCCGAGGTCGCACATAATCATAACAGAATCAGAATAAGTTACTCTAGACCACATGCAAGAAAGCTCAACACAGCTCGTCAGAAGTCTCCAGAGATTTCCCTCTCGTGGTCCACGAACACATCATACCAGCCGTCGTATAGCGCCTTGACAACCTCCTTCTCCCGCCATCTCTTCTCTCCCGAGGCGGAGGCCGGAAGGGGAACCAAGGTGTAATCTATGGACAGCGCCGAAAGAGCGCCTCCGTATGCGTGCGATATCCCTTCAAGTCAAAACAGGCGTCGTTATTTGCTCGACAGCGGAAAAGTCGAATACGACCTACCAGTATCAATGATGATAATTTTGCCATCGCATCTCGATACGATTCTCTGCACGAGGATATTTACGTATGAGCTCCGGCACCTCAAAGCAAAAGAACGCCGACCTCGAAATCTGGTGTGTGTCCCATGATCATCCTCCTCGTCCCCGTCTTCTCTAGCACACCATCCACAGCCTTGCAGACTATGTCCTCGTTCCCGAGCGCCCATCCCCGATACCACAGCGGCCCGTCAGATTCGTAAAGGGCCTTTTCGTCCTGGGTCGCACTCGCCGGAAGCCCTGGATATGGGTTTGGCGGATGGGGTGGTGGTTGCTGAGCGCGCCCCTGCAGCTTTTGCAGCAAGGACTTTCCGATGGCGTTGATGGCCGAGGGGAAGGGGGAGAGGTGTGCGTATGTAGGTGCGAGGCCTCCGTGCACAAAGGAATAGGCGGCATGAGAGAGCGGGGAGGGCAGGGCACGTAGAGGAGAAGATGAGTCGGGAGGGTAGTCACTGTTGGGGGGGCCGAGGGACGGGTGAAGTGGAAGACGCGAGGTCGTGGTGTAGTTCGACGCCCAAGCACGACCAATTCGACCAGTAGACAGCATCTTCTGGCGGGCGGCGACAGAGCCGAAGGTCTTGATCTCGGTCTGCGGGACATATCTGCGGCGAGATCAGAGCAATTCCATGAAAAGACAAACCGGTCGCACCTCCAGTCGCCTGCATAAGGAAGTGCACACGTTAAAAACGGATCATTGCGATTTACAAACGAAACGTACCGATGGCGTTCATCCACTCGTGGTTGCCCAGGTGGGACAAGACGCGTCCACCAGCCTCCGCAGCCTGCACACGCAGGTCTTCCATCCACAAGAAGAGTTTGACAGTGTCGTCCCCCCTGAAAATTCAGAGCTCTTTGGACCGAGGGAGGGTAGGCGAGGGTGGGCGGCAACTCACCTGTCGATGATGTCCCCGGTCTGCACGAACACATCCACGTCACCAGACCACGCACCTGTAGAGTCAACGACACCAGCCATCTCCAGAACCTTCTGCGCGTTCCCCAAGTCGCCGTGAAGATCTCCAACCGCTACGATCCTGCTCCTCCGCACGTCGCTGAGCGGTGTGTCATACACGTCACTATGCTGCGACGCAAGTTGGGCATTCAGAGACGGCGGGTTGCGATGATAGAACGCGGAGATGAAGATGAGAGGGACAAAGATGCAGAGAATTGTCAAGAGGGTGGACGGCCGGAGGGCCATCGTTGGGAAAATAATGCCTGCTCAAGCAGAGCACCGACGGACGACGAGGGAAGAACGCGATTGGTCATCCTCGCCGAGGATAGATCACCGCGGAGGTACCCCGCTGAGATTCTGATCAGTCATCGCATCCACGCAGTACAAATACTGCCCCGCAATCAACCTCCAACTGTATCTTCAACACAACGATGACAGTTCCTTTCCCGCCAGCTGGACACGTCGAAGACTCGCAGAAGCGCGTGCGCGTGCTCTTCAACAAACACTTCATCGTCGACTCCAAGAAAGCAAAACTGGTGTACGTTTCTGCCGCTCCTGTCCACCGGGCTCGTCGCCAACAGCTCTTTCACACATAGTTGGGAGCACCAGCACTACCCCAGCTATTTCTTTGCGGCATCCGAGGTCCCTACGAAATACCTCCAACAACCGGCAAAGTCGAAGCCAGATACATACGACATCGTTGTCGACGGCAAACGAGCCGAAGGGGCGGCCGTTGTATACACGGATGGCGCTTTTAAAGGCCTGGTGAAGCTGGTTTTCGGTAAGATGGATGCATGGTTCGAAGAGGATGATCAGATATTCGTGCATCCCAAGGATCCCTACAAGGTCAGCCGCGCAGTCTACTCGGTGAACAGGCATTGAGGGGCCTGTCCCTGGATCTAGCGTGTCGACGTCTCTCAGTCGTCCCGCCATGTTCGCGTAGAAGTCGACGGAGTGGAGGTAGCGAACACTACCAAACCCCGGCTGCTATTCGAAACCGGCCTCCCCGTGCGCACCTACATTCCCAAGACGGATGTTCGGACCGACCTCCTGGAACCGACAGACTTAACTACGGCATGCCCTTACAAGGTTTGTGTTCACCTATCTGTCGTTGTTCCCGCCCTGCTGATAGCTATCTGACTTGCCGGTCACCAGGGAGTGGCGAACTACTACAGCGTCGTCCTACCCTCAGGAGAGAGGCGAGAGAACATCGTCTGGTGGTACCGCACACCCCAACTTGAATGCGCCGAGATCAGAGGATTCGCGGCTTTCTATGACGAGAAAGTGGACGTATGGGTTGATGGAGAGAAGGTGCAGAGGCCAAAGTCGGTCTTCTCATGAAGGTCAGACAGGGCCTTGTGTACTCAAAGTCCGAGAAGCTTGAAGTCGTGTAAGTTGTTGTGTCGCGTGTATTCCCGTACAATATAAAACTCTTCTGTTGACCTAGAATTTGGCTCGCGGACTCCCTCTCGTCATCGGCGCTTCTCCAGCGCTCTGTGTCGAATACTCACAGTTCCACAGCTGTTGCAACACCCATCTTCAACTCCTGGATGGCCCAAGCTGCCGCCGACATGTGGGTCTCAGGCAATGCCTCGACGCGCTTTGACTCTATTAATATCGCCGCCGCCCTAAGCATATACGAAACGGCTATTGTGGTACCATGCTCGCTCAATAACGTGGCGTCTTGCGAACATAATGCGAGCGGAATCGATTGGAACAAGCGGGAAGAAGCAGGAACAGATCACAGTGGTTTGCGCCCTACTCACAGTAAATAGGCGGACCACAGCTGCCACAATGACTGACCCTCTCTCCACGCCCTTAAAGCTCCACCCCGTCGCGCGTCGCGGTACCGGTGCAATTTCCTCAGGCCACAACATCAGGACATCCTCTCGATTGCACAGATGCCTCTGCACGACGATGATAGTTGGCAAGATACTCTTTCGAGAACCGGCGACACGCAAAGCCCCGATCCTTTTCCTCAACTGTCGTCGCCCGAACGATTAGCTTGGCCACTCACGCCTCCACCTGGTTATGCTGAGAGTGAGGCAGGTAGTATTGCGCCGAGCACGCAATGGCCGCAAAGGATGTACATGACCTATCCGAACGATATCGAGGAATCGGGCCACCCGGCTCCCACCCTAGAGCCATACCCTACATCCAGAGCTTTTTTACCTACTAGCCGTCGGCTACCAACTCCTTACCCTGGACATGCGACCCTCCCCCGTCTGAATGAGCACTCCGGACAGAGCACACCTCGAATTTCCCCGAATCAATCCAGCAGCCGGCCGATAGCCGGAGAAGGAACCCTGCCCTCGAATCAGTGGCCTTTTCCTGGGCGACCAGTCCACCAGCCATCGCGGCAGGAACAGACGTCGCCTTGGGGTCGGTCGCCGGTCAATATCGAGCCTCGCCCACCCCTCGCCCAGAATCCATACAATTACGGATACAACAATGCTCGTCTCACATCCAATGCCACATTCGCTTCGAACCCATCAACTTCTCACCCTACGTTTGATCACACCTTCCATCGGGGGCAGCCTGCACCCAGGGTCACCTTCCCCGAACCAAGCACAGTTCCATATGCCTATAACTACCGACCTCAGAACTCGCCGATGGTCGGAAGAGGACAGAATGTCTGGACATATCAGACCCAGCCAGGCCCACCGAGTTGGGGCGCGCAAGGCCCCACATCTTATTGGACGCAATCAGTGCTCCCGCCCTCGGCCCAGCCGAGTCGGGGCACGCAAGACCCTACATGTCATTCGACACCCCCGCCTTCGACCGAGCAGAGTGTATGCTATCCGGCGCCATCAGACCACCAGCAATCGGTACGCCAGCCGAGCGCACCGGGGCCATACAATCCAGTATCCGGCAATCTTCCCCTTACTCGCGATTTGGAGATGCCGTCGGGGTATCCTGCGCAGATGCAGAACGCGTCCGATAAAATTCGGATTTCGCTGCTGGCGAATGATATGGAAAATGATTCCGGCGTTAGCATTCGCCTCTTAATGAGTGACAGCGCGCAGTTGTACGATGGGGACAGAAGGCTTTTAGCGTCTTGGGTCGATGATAACGGATTCATTTATCTGAGTTTTGAGGTGAGCAGCGGGCTGTGTCAAGCAAATGATGCGATAATTGATTTTGGAAACAATGCGCCCCCGTTGCACAAGTGGCAAGGGTTAGGCATGCAGAGTGGCGAGATTCATGTTGGCGACGCAACTGTCAATGAACTCGCGGCCAAAGTGGCGAAATTTGTGCATGATAGATTTTTAGAACCCCACGTGAGTGCAAAATGTTTGTAACAAGATTGTTGGAGCGCTAACCGGTGCTATCGATCTCGAGAACAGAAAGAAGACACGAAATGGTGGATCTGCCGGCGCGGAAAAGCAGGAGTTAATGTGGAAGGGCTTGCAATTTCTTACCTCCAGTACCTAGGAGGGAATGAATGGCAACCTGTGATAACCCACGAAGATTGCTCCTGACAAGTTCACCAGTAGAGCAGCGTCATGACATGTATAAAGTAACCTACCTAGGCAGACATATGGGACACGACGGCTAAATCACAGACACCCATGATGATCACGCCCATTTTTATTTCTCATGCTATGAACATGCTATGTTCTAGGCTCCCCTGGAGAACCCAAGGTGTCATGGAACGAGTTCGGATTCGGCGCATATAAGAATCAAGATCGCGAGAACAGTCAAGAGGTACTCACTCAAGGAATGATATATAGTGCTAGGAGGTGTGAGACAGATGTTCTTGACGAAAACTGAAGCCTCCAGGGCCATCGCCCTGCTTGAATCAACAAAGTAATTGCCTGAGAATCAATCGCACACCCAAAGAGTGGGCAGAATACGGAAAAATAACTTATAAGGTGAGAATGTAACACACATGCATACATTAATCGTGCAATCGTGGACTGCCCGGAGGTGGATGGTGGGCTGAGCTGGATGGTTGTTCTATCGCAACCTCGGCACTCAACCGTGAGATCTCCGAGAACGCGACCTTCAGTAAGTCGAGATCAGCATCGAGTGATTCGGCTCTGGTTTTCATCTACGGTGCAGACGTTTCAGGCCTGAGGCGTGCGAACGGAACCAAAGAACATACTGCCGATATGGTGTCCGTAGCAGCGATGAGCTCGTGGTGATGGTTGTAAACCAAGGACTGTCGTTCGCTGTCCAATTGCCGCATGTCTGATGATGATAAATGTGATTTGCGGTCAAGTGAGCTGAGTGGGTTAGCGGCTACCTGCCAGTAGCTCATTCTCTTTTTTCAGCAAGGTCGTTAACGACGAGGTTGTTATTAGTTGCTCGTAGTATGCCTTGGCTTCAAATGCCGGCGAGTCTGCAGATAGCTCAGATTGAAGCGGCCAGGGGAAGCAGGGCTATAAGGCATACCTAAATCCATGGGATCCATGGGTCTACCAGAAGGTGGAGGAGGACCTACACCCAAACCATAGTGTTTTCTTAAAAGATCCCTCGCCCTCGTTTTGGAGCGGTCAAGGCCGGGTGGAGGAGTGGATGGAGAGGTGATAGTCTGTGATGCTTGTCGCGGTGAAAGTATGCCCGAGGAATGGCCAGAGAGCGGCGACGGCGACGTTGGGCGGAGAGGGGATGGGACGGGGATTGGATTGGACTTTGGACGAGGAGGGGTGGAAGGGGTGGAAGACGAAGGGAGGGACATTCTGCTGCGATATGTTCCAGCAAATAGGCTTTACCAGTGCTTTACCTTGCTTCACCAAGCACCAAGCCCGGGTCCGGACACGTCGACGCGACGCGTCACAGCTCATGACTAGAGACCAGTCATCCGTCACATGTCCATCCGTCGCTCTGGTCTCCATCATGAACGACGGCGAGTGGCTCATCTCAGACAGTGAAGGCGAAGACTCGAGAGCCCCAAAACGCCCCAAGAACAAGGAAATTTCTGATCTTGGTGCGTTTACAACATAAGCAACTACTTTGCGCGGGACAGTAGCCACTGACGCCTCGTGTCTCTTCTTTTGTCAGTCACATCTCCACATCGTGTGCCCGCCACACACTCCTCGATATCGACATTCACCAACCCTTCCCCCAAAGTAACAGAATCCACTATCTCAACCTACACACCCATCATGGCCGACACATCGATGTCATCCTCAAAGCCTGCCCCATCTCGTCCGCGTCCTCGCCCGGCATTCAAGAACAAAGCTGCCAAGGCTGGCTCGGACGCGACAGCGCCAACCAGTGAGCCTACTTCGGTCATACAAACGCCTCCAGATCCTCCCCCGCAGCCGACCGTCATTGTCGACACTACCTCCGCGCCGCCGACTGTCCTAGATAACATCACTTCTGTCCCTTTGGACTTCTCTGAGGACATCGCTGAGCGAACAAAGAGGCGTTCGAGAATAGCCTCTAAGAATCCACCGTCATACTTCGACGGTGTCATTGAACTATCATCGGATGACGAACTCGTGGTCGGACCTTCCGTCGTTGCAAAATCCAGCGCCCGCCCGAAGCCACGTCCTGTGAAGCGTCTGAAGCTCGTCCACCCTGAACCTGGCGACGTCTCCATAGCTGAATCGGAGGTCAGGACTATTCCGCTATTGAGCTCGAGTATTCCTCTTCCCCCCTCGGACCCGCCCCCGCCAAGTAGCTTCCCAAACCCATCATCTCCACAAATGAGAGCCCCCAGTGTCATGCCACCGCCACCCGCAGCCAGTCCTCGACCACAGCTCAAGCGAAAGCAGCCACCTGGTCCTGCACCAGAAACCGAAACATCAAGACAGGATGAGCGCGACACTATACAAGCCAATCGAGATGCCCTTCGAATGCCTCCACCCCCAGCCCCATCTCCAGTGTTCATCGGATCGTCGATCGCCAGCCCTGATGCTGAGCCAGAGCACTCGGTGGTACCACCCTCGGACAAGAGCATAACAGCTGGTCGAAAGGGGAAATCCACCACGAAGAAAGAGCCCGGAAAGCCAAGGGCACCTCCAAAGAAACCAAGGGCGAAGAAGGAAACCAAGGGGAAAGGTACACTGCAGGTCGTCATCCAGTCTCCCATCAAAGGCGCACAGATGGCCAAGGCAGCACCCGCAGAAACTGCTTCGGGCGCCGACGGCACGCTCAAACGCATCCACCCTCCGGCAGGCCCATCCACGTCTCGAATCGAAGACGCATATGTTCCATCAATAGACGACAGCAGTCTTTCGCCTGTGCCAGGCTCCGAGGACGAAGATGAGCTGCAGCTGCTCCCGAGAAGATCTTCAGCAATAAGCAGTCGCGGTGCGAAGCAAGTAAAGTCTGCCAAAGGCAAGGGAAAAGCCGTTGTTGATGATGAGGAGGAGGATGAGGAGATTCCGATCAAGAGGCGGTCGGCGAAGAGGAAGGCAGCGTTGATCATTGACGAGGACGATGATGATGCTTCGGTCGCATCTTCTCAGACACCGTCCAAAAGAGTCCGCAAAGAAAAATCACAGGGGAGGGGCAAGAAGGATGAGGAGGGGGGAAACGGTGCTGCGATCCAGAACTCTAAAAATAAGACGAATTCTTCTAATAAATCTAGTAACAAACGGGCAGAGCCCGGAACGCCTATCCGGTCCAAGGTAAGCTCGTATGCAGCTTCGAAGTATTCTAGATTCTGAATTTATATTCAAGGAAAATGTTCATCCTCACTTGTCGAAAGATGATGGGCCACCTGCCGATAGCGCAAAGGAGAAGGCTCCCGCGGCATCCGTCACTTCTGCCAAAGCCACTCCCCCTACTCATTTCGCCCGAAGAAATACCGTCATCCCGCGCCGCGGTGGCGTCAGCGAGGCCATTCGGCGCGCGAGCTCGCATCCCAACAATCCCTTCGCCCCCTCTCCTGCCCGCGTGGGCTATTGCAGCCCCCTCGTCAAGACGAGCAAATCCGCTCTCAACGGTATGGTTCATCTGCTCACCATACGGCGCACCCCTCCACCGCCTCCACCGCCTCCACCGAAGAAGAAGAAGACGAAGAAGGAAGTGGAAAGAGAGGAGAAATGGGAGTTGGAGCTGGAAGACACCGTTGAAGGGTGGTGGGCTCTTAGCGACGAGGAGAGGAAGGCCTGGAGGAAGGCAAAGAGGGATAAGGAGATGGGGTATCTCGATGACTGAAAATATCGACTCCCCGGAATCTTTGGACTTAGTGGATCTCTACCTTCTCGCTTTTAATCGTGGGTTTTCTTCCCGTTACTTACTGTATTTTTTCTGAATTGTGAGAGCACTCGTAACCTGTAGGTCAGTGTCTTGTCTCATTTCGCGCGTGCATGTATACTACTGAACGATGACCACAGCGAGCAGTCTCCGTGGCCGTACACAGAAGATCGTTGTTTGAAGCCGGCTTGTGCTATGTCAAAATTTCCAAGTTAAGAAACTGTGCAGGTACCGGCAGTTTCCTGAGGAACCTCACAGAGCCCGGTCTTTCTCACGGACATCGAAAACTTTCTGAAAAGGTAAAGATGCCATTTTTCGGCTTAATATAGGCGACAAAGGAGAATCTCCAGGCCGACGGTACCTGTGTAGTATAGATGCCGGCCGCCAAGCTCCGGTAGTAGAGGTTTCCACTAGGTTTCCCAGGTTTCCCGACGTCGACAACTGTTTGTCTTGTTGTGGATGCTCACACTATGCTCACGTTCCTGTCGTCCCGACATCACCAATGCATTTCAAACAACTTCAATCAGCAAGCTTAGCCAATGGGTCAGATGGGATTCACTTAGTCTGTTCTCGCAAGCCACACTGCTCAGCCTCACTCGTCCTATCACCTCCTGCCATTCGCCCTTCGGTAGCAAATTGATCTTTAGGAGATTCCGGGAGATTTCGCTCAGTTGCTTGCATTGCTACGACAACGTAGATGTCGACATGTGCTCCAACACCTTCGAAACGCATTTCAAAAGTCTGTTCATCGCTGAAATCATCATGACATTTAACCTCCGGGCATTTTAACCCGCACATGTCGAATTCGGTGACTTTCGAGAGAAAGCGGCATGGATCTTTCACGAGCATCTTGCGACTACTTGTTGACTTTGTCTTCTCAAGCACTCGCCTTCAGACCTCTTTAGACCATTAGAACCATTAAATGATGGATCTGAGCAGCGCTGTTGGCAGGAAATTGTGGACACAACATGCCTTGGCCCGATGACTTACTTATCGACGGAGGGCGCCCTGACGTCTCCTGACGACCTCGGAACCTCCTCGATCACGGCCCTTCACGGTCTCCGTTACGCGTTGCAGTCATGTTGCTCTCATTGGTTTACTTGTGTCTAGATGCCCACCGGGATCGATATTTATTGGCAGACCATACGGATACCATCATCTATGCTTCGCGGACGGCCCGGTTTTTTGACTTCATCTCCTCAACGTTCCGAGTCGCTATAAATTACTGGTGGATGCGGATCTTGTGTTGGCCATCCCTCATTATTTTTGACCCGAACAGCCATGCAGCTCGGCCTAACCTCTCTTTTCGCCTCTTGTGTGTGCATTCACGCCGCCTTCGCTCAAACTGTGTATCTCGCAGGCGACTCCACTATGGCAAAGGGAGGTGGAGGTACTAGCACTGATGGTATAATATTCTTTATGCTCGGTAATACCTTCTCTGACTCCTCGAAGGTTGGGGTCAATATCTCGCCCAATACCTGACAGTCCCGGTTGTGAACAATGCCATTGCGGGCAGAAGCGCACGAAGCTTCTCCGATGAGGGCCGTTTCACCACCATTATCAACAGCGTGAAAAAGGGTGACTACGTGATCATCGAGTTCGGTCATAATGACGGCTCCGCTGGATCCAAGGTGGACAATGGCAGGCAAGAGGCTGTCGGTGACGGGGTGGACACGACATCTACCGTGACAACATCATCGTACGCAAATATTCTAAAATCTTATGTTCTATCTCTTGAATCGTATTAACAGCGGCTCAAAACTTACGATCCACACATACAACTTCTACGTTCAGAACGCCGTCACCGCGCTCCAAGCGAAAGGCGCAATTCCCATTATATCTTCCCAAACCCCGAATAACATCTGGACCAACGGTGTTCTCAACGGCGGTTCTCGCTTTGTCGACTACGCGAAGACAGCCGCATCGCGCACGGGTGTGACGTATGTCGACCACAATGCGTTCGTCGCCCAAGCCTACAATAAACTGGGCGAGACCACAGTCGACACGTTCTACCCCAAGGACCACACACACACTTCGCCGACAGGCGCAAACGTGGTTGCCGAGGCCTTTGTCCGGGGGCTGCTGTGTGGAAGTAGCTCGCTGAAGATAGATGTCAATTCAAAAGGCCAAGCCGCACCCAGTAAGTTCACTGTGACCATGGTCAATAGTTCGCGCTGACCTCTATTCCAGACGGCTGTATCTAATCATGAGAAAGGGACGGATGCTAGCCACAGTGAAGTGGCTTTGGCCTTATTCTTGAACGGTACTGGCCTAAAATATAACATTATTGTTTTGTTGCATCGCACAACCTGGGGGTTCATGTTTGTTCAGACGAAGTAGTCTATACCTGCGTTAGGGAACGCTAATAGACGCCGACGTATCTGTGTGGAGTATAAGACGTCCTATCATCTGCTCATCTGACTCATCAGGTATTCAGCTCCTTCCACCGGAAGTATATCACGTTCTTCATGGTCAGCAGGTTTGTGCCCGATGGGTCAGATTATATCTTACTCTATCCGTACCGGATTCGCTGGGCGCGACAGTTATATTCGGTCTTTTGGTGGTAAATTATCGGAATCTCTCGTCCTGTCAATCCTTTCTAGGACAATGTGACCATCGACAACATATGCTATCGACACCTTCGAAACGGATCTCAGCTGAAGTCAGCCCATCTTGGAAGCTGTCCTGCAGGATATCTCGACCCATATCAACATATCTAGCAAATTCAGCTGATGCTCCTGCGCTCGCCTTCAGACATGTCAAGCATGAATTCGAATATCGCCTTGGCACAATATTCTCGGATGCAGAATGCCCTGGTCCGAAGTTCATGCATCGGCCGGGGGCACCTTGACGACCTCTGAGCTTCTTCAATCATAATTCGCGATACATGTTGCTCTTGCAGTGTCTTGCATATGACTCTGAGGGGTCTGAAGCCTTACATCTAGTGGTCATGATGCTTTCCCAAGCTTGCAGACGCTGTCACTTGGTCCTTCGCGGACGGCCCGGCCGTACCTTAAATTCGTCTCCTCGACATTCCGAACCGCTATAAATTAACGGCGAGGAGCAGATGTGGTATCAGCCGTCACTTGATCATTGTTTTCTTCATTTACCTGAACAGTCATGAAGCTCGGCTTGACCTCTCTCTTCGTCTCTTATGCATGTGTCCACGCTGCCTTTGCTCAAACTGTGTATCTCGCAGGCGATTCCACTATGGCAAAAGGTGGAGGAGGCAATGGCACTGATGGTACAATGCTCTTCCTGCTTGATGGTGCTTCATCTGACTCCTTCCAGGTTGGGGTCAATACCTTGCCCAATATCTGACAATCCCGGTTGTGAACAGTGCTATTGCGGGAAGAAGCGCGCGAAGTTTCACCGATGAGGGCCGTTTTACGACACTAATCAACACCGTGAGCAGTGGCGACTACGTCGTCATCGAGTTCGGTCATAACGATGGCTCCGCTGGAGCTGTGGACAATGGCAGGCAGGAGGCTGTCGGTGACGGATATAACACGACATCTACTGTGACGACATCATCGTAAGCAAATATTTTGAGATCCTGTGCAGTCAGTCTAACTATGGTTTCAGTGGCTCGCAGATTGTCATTCACACGTACAATTACTATGTCCAAAATGCTGTCACCTCGCTTCAAGCGAAGGGCGCAATCCCAATTGTATCTTCACAGACCCCGGATAACATCTGGGCCAATGGGGTCATCAACGGCGCTTCTCGGTTTGTTGGCTACGCGCAGACGGCCGCATCCCGCACCGGCGTGACGTATGTTGACCACAACGGCTACACCGACCAGGCCTACAACGTGCTAGGCGAGACGACAGTCGATACTTACTACCCTAATGACCACACACACACTTCGCCAACAGGCGCAAATGTAGTTGCGGAGGCCTTTGTTCGGGGGCTGCTATGTGGAAGTAACTCGCTGAAAAGCAAAGTCAACTCGAATGGCCAGTCTGCTCCTAGTAAGTTTAATTTTGCGTTCCATAGTTTTGGGCTAAAACAGTTCATCCAGATGGCTGTATTTAAGGTGTCGGAGGTTATGAGTTTCTAACTTATCTATTTCGTCATTGATGCTGGCCCATTATCGTGTCGCTCGATTACTTATCTGCAAACGATGTCGAACTGTTTGGCAAAGAACCCGAATTCTGGAATAAAATCGTAGCCCAAGTGAATCGGCGAACCTGATACGACTGTAAGCACGAAATTAGCGAACTCCAAATGGTAGATGTGAGAAGAGCTGCGGGGGTTTGTGTGATCAATCATCAAGAGCGCTGTCGCAGTGGTGCTTCTGAGATCAAACGATGCCGCCACGGCATCGCCAGAGGCACGGCTGTGACTGCCGCGTTCGCAGGCAACCTGCAACGAGTCCGAGGCTCCTCATCACCCACCATTCGTATCTATCAGCATGAGTACATTGCCGCAACCTCTCCTTCATGCCTTGGACAACATTAGATTCTACACCAAAGACGCGTTTTCATCCATTACGAGCTGCATATGCCAACAGCAGTCCAAGCTGAAGATCAATGGTCGGACGTGTCAGTAGCTAGTTCCCCCTAGGCCCTCCGGACTGCTCGATATATCGCATTAGGGTTAGTTGTTGTGATTGGGGCTCATGCTTTTCTTTGTCCAGTCGCTATCATCAAGGTTCTCGGAGAGGGAGGGTTCTCATTTGTTTACCTGGCGAGAGATGAGAATAGCCAGGTCAGCTCTCAATTTTGCGTTGTCTTTCATTTTCCACTGAGCCAGACCGCGACTTAGAGGGAGTTTGCATTGAAAAAAATACGCTGTCCAACTGGATCCGAAGGCGTCAAGGACGCGATGCGAGAGGTAGAGGCCTACCGACGTTTCAAGTGCGTATGGCTTTCATTTATGCAGGCCGCGTACATATCAAGCAGCTGTTTCTATCAGGCATCCCAATATCATCCGGATTTTGGTAGGATCGTCACTCAGTCCTTCTATAGGTCTTGCCTGATCGATTTCGATGCAGGACTCTGCCGTCATTCAGGACCCGGAAGGCGAGGGGAAGATCGTCTACCTTTTTCTACCAATATATAAGGTCCCACTCCTTATGTTTCACTCTCGACATCCTTATTGACATAAGTTTCAGCGTGGAAATCTTCAAGACGCGATAAATACCAACACTCAAACGAATTCACATTTCTCTGAACGTCAAATGCTCCGCCTCTTCAAGGGCACCTGCGAAGCAGTACGCGCAATGCATACTTACCGGACACCGGCCTCTTCCTCCTCTTCACCTCCGTCGTCTTCGCAATCTCGTGGCCCTGCAGCGCGGGACCATGATGAAGATGACGACGATGACGAAATGTTTCCTCACCCAGAGGGAGATGCAGAAGGTGGCTATTCATATGGTGGATCCGGAGGAAACGCATCCAGTGTTCCTCTTGTGACACGACAGAGACTGGACGATGGCGATGTCGTGTTTGATGGAGACGAAGATGCCTCTAATGTGGTACAAGGTAGTACAGGGGAGTTGGTACCCTACGCGCACAGGGATTTGAAGCCAGGGTGAGCATTCTCATTTGACTACAAAATAGGTAATCATGTACCTACGGACTCTTGACTTACAGGAATGTGATGATTGCGGATGATGGATCAACGCCCATATTGATGGATTTTGGCAGTTGTGTGAAAGCCAGGATACCTATTCAGAACCGGTCGCAAGCGTTGTTGCAACAGGTTTTGATTCTATGAGTTTCCCCATTTCATTTGCTTACGCGCCCATCTTCCAATAGGACATTGCCGCAGAGCATAGCACAATGGCCTACCGTGCTCCTGAACTGTTTGATGTCAAGACGGGTAACACTCTCGACGAAAAAGTCGATATCTGGGTACGTGGATGGGTCATTGTATGGCTGATCGCTGTCTGATCTACTGCAAACGAGAATAGTCACTAGGCTGCACACTCTTCGCGCTTGCCTACTCCCACTCGCCTTTTGAGAACACCCAGACAACAGAACAAGGTGGCTCAATAGCGATGGCTGTGCTGAATGCGCGGTATAAGCACCCGCCTTCGCAGTACTCACCTACTCTCAAAAGCCTTATTGATAGCATGTTGAAAGTCAATCCTCAGGAGCGACCTGATATTCACCAAGTACGCCGATCTCGAACCTTTCTAGTTTCCATAGTCTAATGGATGTGTAGGTGCTTGAAATGACGAACCGAGCGCTACAGGGCTAGTCTTTGGCGACGAGGTGTAACATTTATTTATGGTTGGGTCGAGATTACCTACCTTGATGTCTTGAGACGGACCCCTGTGCTCTTCAACCTATTGTTTGATGCGATACCGACTCGAGCGAAATACTAGGAAGATCGATCATACCCTGCCGCGATACACACCGAGATACTAGTCGATTATCTGCAATAAGGGAGTGTGACTCTTTCCCCCCACCTTTAGTCCCCCATGGCCTCCCTTCGGACGTTGGTGAGAATGTTTCGGGTGATTCAAAGACCTGACGGCGGTTGTAGACGTGCTCTCATCGAAATATCGCTTGTTTTTACGTCTTCGATGTGGATCATTTGTAACAACTGGCTTCATATCTGAGGGTGGCGCATCCTTTTTCCGTCTTTTTGGCTTTGGTTCGTCCGCCATGGAATTGTCTTTTGGAGAAGTTGTTGATGCGCTTTCAGCCTTCATTATCATTTTCGATGTCGGTTTCGATTTCGGCTTTGTCTTTTCTGCGCCAAGTAGCTTGGTTTTGGAGTTCTTTGTTGGTGGAGGGGTATCGCCCGCGCTTGACACGGCTTGTTCATCTGCCTTCAGGTGCTCTTTTCGAGCTATCTTTTTTTGCTTGAGTTTCTTTTGTTTCTCGCGCTTGGCAATGAGCTTGGCCTGTTTGGCTTTCTATTCAAACCAATATTGAATCTGTAATTTCAGATATCTCATGGCAGAAAAACTCACTCGTTTGGCTTGTCGCTTAGATGTCTCATTCGGAGCGACCAACGTGCTCCCTGATGGTCTTGCGAAAAGTTCCACGACGTTGTCGTCGGGGCTAGCTTTTTGAGATAGCTTCTCCAGTCGTTTCAGGCCTCGCGCATGAAGCTGGGTGGTATGTATGTATTTTGATCATGTAGACTTTAGTCGCTCTGGGAATGCGTACCTGAGACCGCATATGCACCTGAATCATGGCTGGGTTTTTGAGTCGTTTGCCCGGACAGAGAACGCACGATTGGATTTCTGGATCCATCGAGACGACATAGAGTGGATCCTGTAGTGCTTCGGCAACTGTGATTTGTGGTCCACTATCGGGATGGTCGGTTTCGTCCTCGTCACTCTCTACGACATCCTCTCCCTCTTCCTCCTCATCGCCGACAACATTGTTTGCCAAGCCTGAATCATCCCCTTCCGATTCGCTGCCCTTCACTCGCTTTCTCTTCAGCATACCAGAGGCAGACGCATCGCCGTCGTCATTGGATATGTCAGAGTCCGAGTCAGAGTCCGAACCTGATTCTGACTCTGAAGAGTCCGTATCCTGTAATCCCAAAACTTCCTTCATCTCCTCGTCGATTCCCAGCTCCTCTTCGTCTTCCCTTCGCTTGCGTCGCTTCTCCACGCGTTTGAACATGATGCACTGAACAGTTGTGAATGCGAAATGGAGGACAGACTGAAAGAACAAGGACTGATACTGAGTGACGCTAGCTAGAAGACTATTGAAGATCGACTAGTAAAAAGCAGGTCATGTGACCACGATACTTTCTACATTCTGCTGGTCCAGTTCTCTGCCCTTCATCCCCTTCTACAATTTCGGAGCTCGAGGGTCCACGGTAGCCAAGGCCTTCACCCCAAGGCCTTCAGACAACGGCTTTTCTTCTGTCAAATATCCTAAACAACCTCTGTATGCACCGCCACGGCGTCCTATGCACGAAACATCTTCGCTCGCATATTGCATCGTCTCGACATGACGCTTTCTCGCTAGACTTTGTCCGAGCGCGCTCTTCGACCACCAAAAAATCTAGTTCTGTCTTTCAGAAGAATGGCCGTATGGTTGAACAGATGACGAAAGCCGTTCTTAGCGCAGCATCGCGTTCAGAAGCGAACTCGGGGTGGAGGCGTTCGCCTACTCGACGTGGAAAAGAGCTCGAGCTCGTCAATGCCATTCTCGAAGAGTCTCAAATGCCTTCCAAAGCATCTGTATTTGCTGAAGCTGAGGAAGCCGATTCAGCAGATAGTCTGGACGTCTCCTCGACCTCTCTTCTTCCGAAACAGCTGCCTCTAGGTGTCGGGCCTGGATCATTTGTTCAAATGCGTCGGTGCGCCACTTAAAGCTTCCCTGTTGGTCATCATCTGAACTTATATGTGCAGTAACTGGGTCGTGATCAGTTGTATCTTTCTCTCTGAGGACTATTCAGGGGGCGAGCACAAGGTTTTGCTTCTCACCATCACAGGCAAATTGATCTATGGTGTCTCCGAGGACATCATGTACGCCATACCCAACTTCGTTGACTCAAACCTCGTAGCTCGAATTGGAAAAGACCCAGTAGCCACAGCCTCTCCTCAGTTGATGGCTCGCGTCGTGGCCCTTCGCAAATTACGCGAGTTCCACAAACTCGGGGAAGACGGATATAACTCACTTGCCCGGCCTTTCAGCAGACTCTTCGATCAAGTCTGCTCACCGGATCCTAACCAATGGGGTGAAATCACTGTCCCAGAAGTTGTGAAGCTCATTGGACCGGACCGTTTATCCCCCGAACTTGCTTCCTTCTGCCTTCACGAACATTTAATGACACGCTCGCAAGAGTATGTCGCCGACAGCACAGATTACTTTAATACACAGAAATTCCTCGTACGCCCGCGCTCACATGTGGAGCGCATCAAGACAGTGAATGATATGTTAGCCAAGGATGACCCCAGCATCTCTAGATTTGTGGAGAAGGCTAAAATGATCATCAATGATTCGAGGCGGAGGGCGGATGAGTCCAACGGAGAAATGCCTAGCTTTTCGTCTTCACAAACACACGAATTCATCGACAACGACCGTATCTTCCTCTGGTTTTTGCGGGACTCACTTCACCAGTTGCGGAGTATACAGCTTGACCCTTATACAGCGAGTGTCTGTGCCCTCGTGAAGGCGATGGATGCGTACTCTGGTGACATCTCGACTGACACTGTCCGTCAGATGCTGATCGAGCTTGGGGTGTTCGCACCCTGGCAAGATCTGGTATCTCTCAGGGTGGAATTCCAACTGGAGGACGAGCATGAGGATTCTCCACGTGCGAGGGAACGCGCAGCCCTTGTTCAAAGGGGGCTCTCTGTTTCTCCATCTTCAGGTCCATTAGGCCCGGAAGATTTTTATCCGTCTGATCGTTTAGAATCCATACGACACGATTTTGGCGACATGCCAGTGTATGTCATAGATGACTACCACGCCGAAGAGCTAGACGACGGCATGTCTGTCGAAATTATCCCCAATGAACCCGACCACTTCTGGCTACATGTGCACATCGCTGATCCGACTTCCCTTCTTCATCCCAACCACATCCTATCTCAACGAGCTCGCAAGGGAGGAGAGTCACAGTATTTCAATTACGTCACATGGCCGATGCTCCCTCCCTCTCTTATGAAGTATGGGTTATCTCTAGGCGTCAACTCAGCCCTCAATAAACCAGATCGCGTCCTGACTTTCAGTGCCAAAATCGATCCCACGGGTGAGATTGTGGACCACAAAGTTCGCGCGGGTCTGATTCGAAACGTACACGTCCTTCATTATGAAGACGTAGACCATTCGATGACTTTTGAAGTAAAACGACCCACTTATCCCTTTGGCCGTTTACCCGGCTTTCGACAGCCCTCATCCCTTGGTCTTGCCCCCTCTGACAGAGAAAATTTGCGTCTCTTGGACACACTGGCAAAGCGACTTTCAGCCCAACGCTTGGCGCTAAACACTGTGATTTTTGACTCCAAGAGGGCTTCGGTATCGTTGTCCCCTAGACCGCTCCCCTTCGGCCCAAACGACGCGCAGCGACCGATGGCATATCGTGGATTCCCAGAGCTCAGCTATCAAGTTGGCGGGGCGGATATTATTGAGACAGGATCACGGAGGATAGTTGCCGAATCAATGAAGGCAGCAGGTCGTGTAGCATCGCGGTTCGGGCTCGAGCGAGGGATCCCATTGATACGTCGTGGATTGGAAAGGCCATCAACCAGCAGCGAGTCTGAGTTCCAGGAGTTGCTGTCGATGCGTAATCAACAAGGCATCGTTGATTATTGGCACGCCCTTCGACTTCACGTGTCCGTCCCCCCCGCAACAAACAGCCTGCAGCCTCAGAGACACTGGACTCTCGGGATTTCGAGTGACGAGGGCTATTCGTGGGTGACGTCGCCTTTGAGGCGTTACTGGGATCTAGCGGCGCATTGGCAGATCAAGGAGGCACTGCTTTCCCCTGGTTCGAAGCCCATGTTCTCAGCGGCCGAGATGCAAGCGTTGATCGATGACAACGCTTCTGGGGAGCGGGTGCGGAAGAGGTTGAGAGAGTTGCATACTGTGTTCTGGTCAGCTCTGTATATCAAACGATGGATGGCGAACAACAAGACTACGATCAACGACACCTCTAGTCCACTGGAGGGACTTGTCGCTTATGTGCTCGGAACAGCGAAATACGATCCACGTCTCGGCCTCCGTTGGCAGAAAGGAATCGTTCCGAAGTTGGGCATACCTGTGTGTATCACGTTGACCAATGGGGAGGCCGCAGAGGTAGGGGACACAGTGGGTGTGAATATCAGCCATATTGTGTTGTCTGATCGACCAAGGGTGTATACGACACTTGCGTAGAGTACTGGTACGTTACGATATTTACTGCCATATAATACATGTTCTACTTCTCAGGCCACATTGAAAAGGACGGAGTCGTCTGATGTTTTGTCCGACCTATTGAATGGGCTCGACGAGACTGGCCCGGCGGCAGCGGTTCCAGTCTGTAGGAATCGCAAGTTCCCACGGTGCAATGGTGCGATTTCTACAGGCCTCTTATATTTTCTGCGGGTTCTAACCTCACACGACCATCCACCCCTCTCTCCCTCGCCTGTTCCTTGCCGTCCACTTTGACGTTGCGGTCGACAGCCATGGAGTTCAACGCTACCGCAGTTCCTTCGTCGGACGCGTGGTCGGGCTACCTTGCTGAAGCGCAGAAACACCTCTCGTCACGGATGATTATCTTGGCTCTCATCAACATACCCGTCATGGCGGTCGTCCTCAACGTTCTCAAGCAGTTGGTACGCATGATATCTCCCGTGCATGTACACACCGAGGCTTATTTCATGTTCAGGTTCTGCCGAGGGATAAGTCCTTGCCACCAGAGGTGTTCCACTGGCTTCCGTTTATTGGCTCTGCCCCATCTTATGGCCACGATCCTCTCAACTTTTTCTTTAAGTGTCGCGAGAAGGTATGTGTTACGGTCCCCTGAATGTTGAACCCCGTTGATGATGGTGTGTGTCTCAGTACGGCGATGTTTTCACTTTCGTGCTGTTTGGACGCAAGGTGACAGTCGCTCTGGGTGCAAAGGGCAACAACTTTATCCTTGGCGGTAAAGTTGCTAACCTATCGGCTGAGGACGCGTACACGGTACGTTACGCGTCGGTTCTTGTGTATTGCTTTGGCATAGCTAAATTTTGAAACAGCATCTTACTACGCCAGTCTTTGGCAAAGATGTGGTCTACGATGTTCCAAACGAGGTTTTCATGGAGCAGAAAAAGTTTGTCAAGGTTGGTCTCTCGACGGACAACTTGCGCGCCTACGTGGGCATGATTGAGGACGAGGTGACCGAATTTATGAACCGAGATTCGACTTTTCGTGTCTACCAGGAGAACGATATCAACGAGTGGGGTCGGTTCGACGCGCTCAAGGTGCTGGCAGAGATCACTATTCTCACGGCATCAAGGACGTTACAAGGCAAGGAGGTTCGAAGTAACTTGGACAAGAGTTTCTCGGAGCTCTACTCGGACCTGGATGGAGGTTTCACTCCCATCAACTTCTTGTTCCCGAATCTGCCTTTGGAGAGCTACAGGAAGCGAGACCGCGCTCAACAGAAGATGACCGACTTCTACGTCAACATCATCAAGAGTCGACGAGAGGGTACCAGCACTGTATGTATCTTTCCAAGTCTACCATTTTGACCTTGAAATAACACCTTGTTAGAATGATGAGACCGATATGATCGCAGCCCTGTCCAATCAGAAATACAGGAACGGACGCCAACTCCCTGATCACGAAATCGCACACATCATGATTGCTCTTCTCATGGCTGGCCAACACACGAGCTCTACCACAGGTTCCTGGGCAATTCTTCACTTGGCTCACAGACCTGATGTTGCGTAAGTGTCCCACAATGTTGCATGATTTTTCTGACCATTATTGTGAAGCGAGGCCCTTTATCAAGAGCAAGTAAAGCATTTCTCGAACCCTGACGGTACGCTCCGCTCGCCGACCTATGACGAGATCAAGACGCTTCCCGTGCTCGACGCTATCATCCGCGAGACCCTCCGCGTGCACCCTCCTATTCACAGTATCATGCGCTATGTCCGCTCCGACCTCATCGTCCCGCCTACACTCGCAGCGCCTTCCAAAGACGGTCAGTACGTCGTACCTGAAGGCTACTACGTCCTTGCATGCCCTGCTGTCAGCCAAGTCGACCCGGAGTTGTGGACGAATGCGTCCGAATGGGACCCGACGCGGTGGAACGACTCGGAGGGCGAGGCACAGAAGGCGTTCAAGCAGTACACGGACGAGAATGGGGAGAAGGTTGACTACGGATTTGGCGCTGTGAGCAAGGGGACTGAGAGCCCATACCAACCCTTCGGCGCAGGCAGACATCGGTGTATCGGAGAACAGGTACCACCCTCCTTGTTTTAAAGGATCTACCTTCGTTTGTTAACTTTCTGGGGCAGTTCGCATATCTCCAGCTTGGTACGTTGCTTGTCACCATGGTCCGCAACATTGAGATGCGGTTAGAGACGCCTTTCCCCGAGCATAATTACCACGTAAGTCATCCCGGCGCTCATAGCCTTCAACGCGTTGGCTGATGCCCGTTTTGTTCTCTAGACGATGATCACGATGCCGAAGGAGCCGCGCATGATCAGCTATCGTCGGAGGAAGTTCGATTAGATCACCAAAAGCTGTCGATACCCTCGCATATATTTTACTTAGATAGCAAGTAATACATCTCTGGAACACAGTCACATTCAACTCAAACGTTACGTTGTTGAGAAACAGTTGTCTGGCTGCTATTGGGGTTTGGTCCTATCCGTGTGAAAGTCTCATTTAACTACCAAACTGACGTCAGATGCGCCGCACATTCCGCGCCAAAGTCGCTCCATACCAGTATTGCTCTGTTACGCCGCCCATCCTCTCTGTATGCGATGGCATCCTCACTGCCTGTTCTTTTCGTGCTCGTCGTCGTCGCCGGCCTCATGGCCGCTTCGTGGGCCTTTACTCCGAAAGGCCCACAACAAACGTATGTCGCGCACCAGCATACACATCTGGGATGCTCGTTGTGCGTCGATCACAGCTGATGGTTCCGGCTTGCTATCTACTTAGGCTCATTCGCACAAGCCTGATGCTCACTTTGGCATGCTGCTATCTCATGTGGATGGTCACGTATCTCGCACAGCTGCACCCGCTCATTGGTGAGTCCGCGACCTGAGGATGTGATGTGTGACGACGCTGAACTCTGCGGTAGCCCCCAGGGTAAATTTGGCCTTGAAGGAATAAGTGGTCTACATGGGATTTTACGTGCAGGGCATCAGGATACACATGGTTGTGGTGCGTGCTTTGTGACTCTACAGCCGACGCTGATCAAACGTTTCAATGCGTCCACAGTTTTGATTTTTGTATCCATTTTAACATATCGGCCTTCAGTTCATGAGCATAATCGGATTTGACTTTCTTCTGTTCTCCTTTCAGCGAAGCGTGTGATTAGATGGTGCTATACGCTATGGAGCGCTTCCCCATCTACCACTGTCTCCCCATTCCCATCTATCTGACCTCCCTCATCATAGCGTCCCCATCCCTCACTTGCTTCCCACTGAGTAGCCTTTGCTTGTCCATCCGTGCAAGGACTGATTATCGCCACTTCGTCTTTCCACCTCAGCATCTCTGGCATGTCCTCTTCAAGGTGTCGCTGACCGTCCTCTAGATCGTCTGACTCACTCCACTCGGAGGCGCATCGCGACTCCTTCGCACACTTAACATCTTCCAAAGCAGGCACACCGCTGGTCAAAACCACTCGCCAATCCTCTTTGCTTCTCGAATCGTCCTTCCTCACCTCAAACGCTCCGTTCCGTACGACCGCATCCAGTAGCACCTCCAACCAGCCCCCGCATGATGCTCGGACACGCTCTTCCCTCCAGAGTTCGCTAACGACAACTTCTGCCTGCTTCCAGCCTAGCATAACTTCCTGGACCGTACTTCCCACTCGCTCACTCTCTACAGGGCATCTCGCTTTTTCGTGTTTGGCGAACTTGTGCGCAACCAGTAACTTGTGTGTCATGCTGGCCGCCTCGCTGACGCGATTTTGAAGCCAGGTTTCACTCTTCTGCTTTCGCTTCTTCACCCAATCATCACCTTCTCGCCTTCGAAACAACACCACCTGGCTTGCGAACCCACAATCGGCATCCCGTCCCCACGGGTCATTCTCTGACGCTTTTCCGACGCCAGAAACGAGTACATCGTATCCCCAATCGTGTGCTGCGGCCTCGCACCATTCCTTGCACTCTTGCGGCGTCCACTCGAATTTATGATCTGGGTGACGAAATACTCGCGTGGTGCGGTGGGTGGGGTCTGGGATACCGCGTGTACCAGTGAAGTTCGGGGGATAAAAGCGGGCATTGAAGGTGTAAGACGGGGTCGTCATGAGCAGAAGGCGAGGATGGTACGCCCCTAACAAGACCGGCGCGAAGCAGTCGAGTACATGATGAGGGAGATGCTCAATGCTGCACCATCCGTCAGTGAGTCTCGATTTGAGAACAACAAAACGAGCGTACACTTCCATGGCCACGATGCAGTCAACGCCCTCCATCTCCCTATTTACTGACTCCAACCCGCCAAACCATACCTTCACGTCCATCTCGTCCCATCTCGGCTGCCAGCTCCAGTCGCGAGGTCCGCTTGGGGCTACAGGGGGCGGCTTCGTTAACTCGATCGCGATTTTCAGATCCTCGGCGGAGATGTCGAGCGCATGTATGGTGTGTAAGTGTAGATACTGTTCCCCCTCCGTGACTGGGTACTCTGTGTCGAGTGGGGGTGGCGGGGACGCGAGGCGCGGTGCGGGATTGCATAGCGATTCGAGGAGTTGTCCTTCGCCGCATCCGACGTCGATGACCTAGCAAGCGCATGCATTAGATTTTCGACAGCCCTCCAAGCGAGGGAGGCGTGTTCAGACTTACGGAGCAAACACGTTCGCGTCGTAAGGTTCTCAGAATCCAGACATGGCGCTGGAGGTATAGCGATGGGATAAAGGTCACATCCAGTTCGGCAGCGTCGTCGGGGCCCACTAGCTTGGGGTTTGCTTCGCTCATCTTCAAAACTATTTTCCGTTCTGCTCCGCGAGAGAAAAGGCTTGTCTTCGAAGAGGGTGTGCGAGTTGGAAGCAATGACAATTATCCTGTGTCACGACCTGTGTTATGTTCGTGCCACTAGGCTGATTGTCTCAGGTGTTGGCGCAGGTTGGCGCGCAGCAATCGATGGAATCGCAATTACCTACTGCGACCAACTTCCTTTGGGCCAGATTTTCAACAAATTCGAATTGCATCTCACGAATGGCAAAGAAATAACTGGTCGTACAGTAGCGAAAATAAGATAGACCCCACAAAAAACCTAGACATGATTTAAAAATCCCAGACATCTACGCGAGCAGCAACAGAAACGCGCCTGACGGAGAAGGACGAAAACAAGAATGAAAGTGACCAGATCAGCCCCCCTCGATTTGAAAATAAAAATAGATGATAAAAACAGGGGGCCAGAAAAATCTATACCGCACAGCGAGCGCAGACGCGACCCCTCACAGCTGCATACATACATGGTATCCAAAGACTGCATGCCAGCACACGCCACTAGAGCAACCCCGCCGCCCGCAGATCGTGTTCCAACCTCGCTTCCTGTATTATCCGCCTCGCGTGCTCCATGTCCACCTCGGCAGTACTCAACTGAACTCTTCCTCCTCGTGGTGGAGGCACGCCAGGAGTCCCATCATCGATCTCGACCCCAAGGCCAAACGCGTCTTCGAGGTTCCGCCGTATCGCCATCTCGCGCTGCACGTCCTCCGCCGTCGGAGGCGGGCCCTGCGCGCGCACTGCGGCCATGCGCACAGAGATCTCAAACCGCTTGACGCGGAAGAAGCCGATGAGCGAAGTGAGAAGAAGGAACCAGCCTTGGTGGGATGTGTCTTAATATAGGAATTATTGCATATATGCAAGAAACGCTTACCCATTGTCATGAGGATGAACGTGATCCACTCGCGTCCCACGTACGACTGGGACGACATATCAGGGTACATGGCTGTCGAGTCGCCTGTCGGCATTGGCACATCGGTCGGATGTGGCATGTCCATCGTGACTGTCTGAGTAGGAGTGTCGTCTTCGCCCGTGGTGGGTACTCCTGCGCCATCTCCCCATCCAGGCAGATCTACTCCTGTCATGGAAGTCCCGAAGCCAAACTGGATGAAGGTGAGTGCGAGGCCCGCGAGCGAGCCGAAACGCGCCGCGTGCGTGCGGTGGAGAAGATACGTGAGGAGGAATCCCGGGAGCTGGAAGAACCAAGATATGAGGGTGGTCAGGATGAAGGTGAGGAAGGGCCCCGTGGGGAGGTCGTCGATAATCATATCGCCGCTGAGATCGTTCATTGAAGGTACGTGGACGGTTGTCTCCCAGTAAGGGGGCGCCGAATCTGCCTGGGCAGATGCATATGACTACACCACGGACAGACAATAGTCAATAGCGATACAAAATGTGATCGAAATGGACATACCGGTGGCGCTTCACTTTGAGCCTCCTCGGGAACCATGTAGATGTCCCCATTTGCCGCGCGCACAGAGACCGTCCGTCCTGATCCCGGCTTGGCCGCCACGTTTGCGAACACGCCATCATTCTCACTGCCGCCTCCCCTGAGACGTGACCGTACCTCATTCACAGGCACGCGCTGATAGTATGATGGCAGCAAAGAACCAAATGTCCTGCGAAAGAAGGATGGACGAGGGAACGCAGATGCGATGGGAGACGTGGGGATGTGACCGTTCGAGTTGCCAAAAGAATTGGGGAGTGCTGTGGAGGAGGGGCCGGGTGGCGAGCCGGGCGGCGGACAGTCGTAGTCTCGCTCGAAGTCGTATATACCATTGCCTCGTATCGTTGTGAAAACATGGCCAGGGTTCGTGCTCGCGTCTTGTTGTCCAATCGTCAGGGGCGTAAGCTCGCCGTGGGAAGTCGCATGCTCGTCCTCATCCTCAGAACTAAAGGCGTCCTCCATCTCGCGCTCCGCATCTAGCTCAGCACGAGGGTTAGGTAGTGGTGCGTACTTTGCTGCGGACATCCAGGACCGTCGTCGACTCTCTGCGAAGATATAGTTGTCTGAGCACCAGACTGGGTGTGATTAAGCTCGTAAAGATATTGACCGACGTCTCGAGGAATTTTCAGCGAAGTTTTCTTGAAAGACGGTTTCCTGACCTCAATGGCCTGATGAACGGGGCAAGCCCGGTGCGCTAGAGGGCAAAGAGGACAGTGTAGAGAAAGTAAGTTACAGAGAAGGAACAAGGGGAGATGTAATAGCGAGGGGCGACGGCTACAGCCGAGAACGTTCGCGCGCGCCTGGCGACGAATTGAATCTGGATCTGATCTCTCGTTATTCCTGTATGCAAACAGCCTCGCACCCTGACCGTCGCCCATCATGATCCTGTCCATTTGACATGCTCAATCACAGAAATACAGAGAAAGAACGCGAGCTTCCTCTTCCAACGGAAATGATCCCACATGGTTAGTAAGTAGAAAGTGTTGTACATAACAAAGCTGGCTTCTGTTCAGCCCAGCAACCCTTTCACGTACTTCAACAACTCCTTACCCTGCGAAAATCCCAAAACAACCCAGAACAAGTCAGCGATCTTCTCAGTGATACCGCAGATATATCGGCTGTGAAGAGAAATATGACCCACCCCTTTGCTCTTGACGCCTGCCATCATGGCTTCTACAGGGTCAGCGTCCGTATCCATTTGATTGTTCGTCTCTGCGTCGCCTCCATAGCTTCTCGAAACACCCGAGTCCATCGTCTCCGACCGCACCAACACAAAGGACGAGTCCGGTGACGCCGCTCCCGAGCTCCCACGGCTCACCCGCTCGCTGATCTCCTGCAACAATCCATCCCGCCGTTTCTGACTCATCCTGTACCGCGTCACCACGGTCAACACCGCCCTCCACCCTTCTATAGCTCCGTTCTGCACCCCGTTTAGCTGCGCCAACGATGCCGAAGAGGATGAATGAGGTAAAGGCGCTCTGGTTGGCGATTCTGTGCTCCCCTGCAATTGGGGTATTGGTAACGATGGCACAGTGGTGGAGCGCACGACATATGGACAGTAAGGCCTGTGCTCTTTCAACAGATCGATCTGTCTGCTTGGCACAGCAGGCGCCGACGAGGATATCTCGCTTCCACGCGGTACAGGGGCAGTGACAGCCCAGAGGCCTATGCGCCTATGACATAGAGCGCAGCGGAGAAGAGACGAATCGCGTTTTTGCAAATCTCCAGAGATGGAGCTTGTTGGGCTGCTGCGCAAAGAGTTGAGCCTAGATAGTGAGAGTCGTGGTGCAGAGGCGGAGGGTGTGACAAATAGATCAGATCGAAGAGCACCGCGTGGCGTTGAAGGTACGGAGAATGCTACAGAGCTTGCTCGAGACATGGATAGCGTGTGAGTACGTGGCGGGGGAGGCGGAGGTGCAGGGGGTGCAAGCGACCACCCAAAGAAAGCAGTGAGTATCGCGATTTGAGAAGGCTCTTGATGGAGAGAAGGAAACGCAAGCGAATCCGTGCCTTCGCCACTCAAAGGCGCAGGATCATTATAACCGTCCAGTCGGACAGAAGCCATGGTTGTCATCAGCTGCTGGAGTTGTTTCGAGGACTGTGTGGCGTCAGTAAAGAAGAAGTAGAGAAAAGACCCACAAAACTTACCAAAGGATGCTGAACATCAACGCCTTCTAAAACTGATTCTAATTCTAGTGCTTGAGTTTTGATCTCCTTGGCCATGGCGGTTGGAGAGGACAGCGAGATACGATAGATATCGGCTGAGAATAGAATGAGAATATTGACCTCTCAAACAAATAGTGACAATGCTGCTCACCATCGCACTGTCGAGTCTTCCAAGGACACCCGTCCTTATGCATATCGACTAAATGAGCCCTTTGTTTCTCAACGAGCGCGTTCGCTACGAAAGCCAGCGGGAAAGACAGCACAGGTTGATATTCGCAACGAGTCCGCACACCTGTGATCAGTTAGACATTGAACTTACCTGCATCCCTGTTCATCCCTTCTCGGCCGGCGAGGACCCATGACACGGCACAAATTCCACAAACGAGCCGATCTTTTCCATCATTGATCCATCCGCATTTTGACGCTGCCACGGCGTCGATGGCGGGAGGCTTGTTGGAGTAGGTGTTGAGTTTGAAAGTGGCAAGGCGGGAGAGGAACGAGGGAGTCGACGAGGGGCGGTATTCCGCTGCCGCCGATGTGAATGAGAGCGGCCGAGAGCGAAATCTGTGTGGAATAGCATTGCGCGTCTTGGAGGCGGTGCGAGCGAGGATGGCTGCGAGGTGGGGCGTCTTCGACAAGTCGACGGATGGAGAGGCGGGCAGGTCACTAGGTAGGGGCGCACAAATCCAATTCAGACTCCGGGCCAGGAGAATACAGACGAGAGCTTGACGAACGAGGACGCTGGCTGCTTCGCCTTCACATTGATGCCGTACTTGGCGAGCGTGGAGTAGAGCGAGCGCACCGTGTGCGCTTTCTTTGCTGGTGAAGGGTAATCAGTGGTAATGGCTCGTGGAGACATGGCATCGTCGAGGCTTTGCATCGCGTCGGCGAGTTTGCGCTGGAAGAAGGAACGCGGTCAGTGACTTTTTGGGCTAAAGAGTCTTCCATGCTGTTATATTCTGATAGAAAAGACATGCACCTTGTTACTTTTTACCGAGGAAGAGGATGTTGATGGTTGCATGTGCGAAGAAATCGAAGCGCCCTGGGGCACGGCCGGTGTCGAGGTTGCGGCGGACATGATGGGAGGAGGTACAGAGTCACTGCAGTGGCGCTCCCGGCCGCACTAGTACGCGTACTGTTACGTAACCTTCCTTTTGCGGCCTGCCTTTCCGCAAACTCAACCTTTCCATTGTGTTCACTGCGTTCATACAGGGCCGACTCCTTTCGAGTACTGCGCCCGATAGTCAAGTAGCCAGTTGTGATCATCGTTTGGAGTTATGGAGAGGACTTAATTTGAATCGGATGTTTGTCGCAGTACTCTTGTCCGTCGGAAGGTTAACACGACATCGCGAGGCTTTGGGAGATAGACTCCCGACTCCCGACTCCCGACGGTTGTCCCGACGGATCGATGTCCCGGCATTCGAGTACATATGTAAGTAAGCTCCAAGGGCGTCTGTCTGCCAGCACGCTGCGGACGCGCCAGCCATCGATCACCTCTCCAAGAAGTGCAGATAAAGTAAATCAATATTCAGTAGGCTGTACACAATATGCAAAGACGTCTACAGTGCAACAGCGCGCCAAGTCCGATGTCGAGAGTCGGTGCGGGTGAGAGGGCGACAGGAGGCCCACGGCGTGCAGCAAGGTGGGCGACTAAAAACGGTATAGATGACCAGAACTGGGAGGAGTGGCGGGCGCGACCTGGAGGAGGGAGAGAGTATCTTTGGCTGATGGGTGCGTTGAGTCGAAATAGGTGAGGTCGAGTAAGTTATGCGGAGTGCGAGAGATGGGAGGTCTATAGATGATTGCGTTGATATGCAGTGCGGAGAGCGTCGGTTTGATAACAAGATTAAAAGGAGAAGCTCGTCGCGGGGCGCGCGCGGCGCATAGTGTATCGATCGTCCGTGGTTTGCTAGGTCCGAGCAAAAGGCATGCGGTGCTCACCCCAATGATCGCGGTCGCAGGTCACCGGCGGGGCGCGAGCGACGAGAGCATAAGGCCCTGCGCGAGCTCCGTTTTCCACGACACGCGCCGGACAGCCTCGGCGTAATCTACCCACTCCCTCTGGCGCTCGCCGCTCTCAAGCCAATCTTGATCTAGAGCTGCGACGTCAAGCTCATAAAAGTGGTACGTTGACGACGCGGTGGGGATGGTGGTGACGAAGCGGGTGATGCTGCCGCGAACGCCCGCTGTGGAGAGCGAAAGCGCGCAAGGATGATGTAATGCGATGTGGCGATTGCAAGGGGCAAGGACGACGCGGCGGGGGAGGGGGTATGTTAGGATGGGTGGGGACGGGTAGAGGGACAAAGGATGAGACCTTCTTCCAAGGCTTCTCGCAAGGCTGCTGCCTCCAGCACGCCATCCGTCGGTTCCCAACCTCCTTTGGGCACTAAATTCCGTGTAGATTGACAGAAAGGGAAACGGTCGGTCAGCAAGCATTCTCAAATGCATGATTGAAAAAGGACGATGGTCACTGGACATACAGCCGCCGACAAGGACAGGAGAAGCCGATTGAGGGTTGGTAGGATAGGTATGGATATTGCATAACATGTGTAGGAACGAAGACTCACAGACCCAATTATCCGGCCGTTTACGACTCGTAACGACCAGGACCTTCCCTGCAGCTCTAGCGATAGGGATTGCACAGCACACGACTCGGGGTTGCGAACGGCCTTTTGTCGCCATTGAATGGAGTTTATGATACTGGTTTTGCGGTGGTGTGGCGAGGGTGGCGATATGGACAAGAGAGCAGTAATACAGAAGGGAAGGGGCAAGTGGCAAGTTGATGGATGAGGTTGTTCAATATGACCTCATGAGTCGGGGACAAGCCCTGTCGCGTGCGTCGGGAGTTCTGTGACGAAGCAAACGTAATACGGAGGAGCCGACGGGTGTTGTGAAGATTCGAAGAAGGTTCAGAGATGGTCAAGGGTCGGTCTCTGGAGAAGCTGAGAGATGGGGCGGGAATGAAGGTGCGATGGGTTTGGTTTCAAGTTGAGCAAGCTAGTTTCGAGAATGCGCTAGATTAGACCAGACCCCGTTGCGGAGACGGTTCCCGACGCAACACGTGGAACACGTACGATGCACAACACCAAAGGCCAGGGAGCAGGATGCAAAGGGAGATGGGGGGATGAGCAGAGGGAGCACTGCGTTGATTGAGAGTTAAAGGAAGAAAACGGTCGTGTGGCTGAAAATGAGAAGTGACTTATGTGCCGCGCTGCCGCCACATCTCCTCCGGGCAAGGGCTGTAGCGAACCAGTGCGGACACGCACGTTCGTACCTCAAACCCTCAGGACACCTCATGATGCATGATATGTACACCCCGACACGATTGTCATCATGCCCAGCGTGCCTATTTACAGCCGTCTCCTTCGCTAGCGTCTACCTGGCATAACGTCCATCAACTATCAGAACAATCGTTCCATCCCACGAGCCTCAGAACCGGCCTGAAGGCTGCACTTCTCATGAGGCCACGGGGTCTTCATTTAAGTACCTCGGACACGAAGAAGGCTGCTGATAATCAGTTCGATTTGTCCAGGTGCGAAGCTTCATATCGCTCATATCGCACAAGTGACCCGTCAGGGGAAACGTTGGCACCCGCCTAGCGGGACGACCCCTCCCACTGGCATGGCAGGCGCGCGGAGGTCCGATCCGTTCAGAGCTCGCGGAATCGCAAAGAACAGCAAGCGGCGTCTGCAGCTCCACGCGCAAACAAAGAAGGAAGATCCCGTATTGCGTATCCTGCTATCCTGATTCCGAAATAAATACCGCCACCCACGATGCACATCCTGTGACCACACCCGACGCCTATCACTCGTTCCACCTATGCGACGCCAAAACAAGTTAGTCAGACTAACAGTTCAGCTTGTGGGCCAAGCAAAGGGGCCGAGGGCAAATCACACTCACGCGACCAAAAACATGCAGAGCACGCCGAACGCCATGGCCCCGAACTGCGATGCGAATCATTAGTAATGGTGGTACCGCGCGAGGTGCTGCCTGCGATCAAGGGACGGACCTCGCGCAAAGCTTGTTTCCCGCTCTTGCTCTCTTCAAGCAGTCTAGAAAACAAACCCAAAATAGTCGTCATTAACACCCGGACAGAAGTTCCGAGAAACCCCATACGTCGGTAAGACTGCTACAGCGCCGATATACATGAAGCCGCCAGCAACGAAGGGGATTACCTGAAAGAGAAAGTGATAAGTATAAACGGTCACTCAAAGGAAACATTTGTACACACGAGATCCGCGAACTGGACAGTCGTGCCGAGGATCCCGGCTGCACTCCGGCGCACGGCCGCGGCCAAATCGTTGGACTGACTGTCGGCCCCAGGCCCAGAGAGATTGTGGACAGCAATACCCATGAATGTTCTAGCGGCGACAGATGCGTCGTGGTTGATTGGCGCGCGACACGCAACGTCAATGACAACACTGGTGGGACTCAAAGCTTGGACACGTACCCGACCTTCGCGGAAGCAGAACGTCAGGAATGGAGACACGAGAGTCAGCAATTTATTCCAGGTGCCCGTCGCCGAAAGGAAAATGGAGCATAAGGCACAGCGCCTTGACACGAACGTGCATCGCCCACGTACGTAGGCCAATATGTGCACATCGGAAACGAAGTTCAATCAGAAGTGAAAACTTACAAATGCGCCTACTGCCGTAAGGAATTGTGATTGCATTGCCTGCCGCTTTGTGAAACCGCTGCGGATGAGGATGCTGTAGTCCGCAATTTCATGAGGAATTTCGTGGGCGAAACACGCGAGCGTGGTGGTCGCGCCGATGAGAGGACTCGAGTAGAAAGATGCGGCCATCCTGTGCGTACAATAGGCATCAGTGATGCCTCGATCAACGAGATCCTCAAGGGACCATCCGGTTAGACGGTTAATCGAAGAGGAGATGACATACGCGAGACCATCAGTGCTGTAAATGGAATATACTTAGTTAGATATTGATTTTTGCCAGAATGAGCTAGCGCATACATGTTATGGACAAAATCCCCAAACAGATTGAGGTACGCTGATAATTTAGACGAGTTAGCGTGCTTCTCTTCCTCCTCAGGATGTCTATGTTCTAATTCTGTTGACTCCACAGTCCCATTAGTCGTGCGGGCGCGCAAACCCTCCGAATTTGCCACCGCGACTCCGGATGCGTGACCCGACGCGCTTGTGTCGTTGTGCTTATGCTCGTGTGCGTCGCTAGAGTGGGAATGCGAGTGTCCATCTTCGCCTCCCAGCACACGTAAAGTCTTCTCCATGATGAAGAACGAGGCGAAGCCCGCAAAGATGCCTAGCCTAAAAGCCGTAATGCGAACGCGAATATGAACGTGCATCAGTCATAGCCCATCTATACTCGGGTTTCTGGTGGAATTGATAGAAGAGGCGGGGAACAGGTAACAGGAACAGGGGAGGAATGGACATGTATACGCACCCAACAAGGATGTTGCGTTTTTCCTCGACCATTACGAAATGGACGGAACCATCTTGATGCTCGCCCATGAACGAGTGTGGGACGAGATGCAGAAACACGTCCGAGAGAAGACCTCCCGTCTGAAATTCGCCTGCGTTTGCATTTTGATATTAGATGCATGTTTGACGAGTACGCACAGCAAAAGCGGTCATGGTATTGAGCGTGTTCCGGTTAATTTGTGCCGGAATGAAAGCGAGGATGAAATTGGGCACGCTGGTAAATGAGTAGAACACATACATGTTACATCAAAATGATTCCGATGTCACAAGCGCGTATTAGAGGACGTACGAGCTGATGTAGAATGTCCCTAGGACTGCCAGCGCAGACATGTGCCAAGAGAGCATATCATTCGCTGCCAAAGCTCGTCTCAAAAACACGAACCAACGTACCCGAATTCCAACCTGGCCCGAAAGGAAACAACCACGCGAATACCTGGCGCATCACGGGCGATTCGTCGCCTGCGATTTCCTCCTTCAACTTGGACAGCTGCTGTACAGCGGTGCATTGCGCTACATCAGCAGCCTGGTTTCCGTGTTAGCAGGGAAAGAACAAGTCGAAGAAGGATATGGGCCGAGGAGATGGGATCCCATGCACGTGGGCGTCAGAATGGGCGTAGCACTCAGGTTGTGGGAAACAGACCAGAATGCTTCCGTTCGAAAGAGGGTCCGCAATTTTGACGGTCGAGCGCGCGGCCACGCGTCCTAGAAGACCTAGCACGGAAAGCAGAAAAAGAGCGGAAAGTATTTGCCTGCGTCGAGGAGGAGACGCCATGGGTAACTAGGTAAATGGATGTCCAGGTAAGATGAAGGGACCGTTTATGACAGAGTTGGCACCGGCAAAATCCGTAGCGAGTTATCTTATCAGCGCGTTTAGGCCACGTGACATGCACGCATCGGACGAATCGATTCCTCGCTTTCAGTGTGCGACGACGATGACCGTGTCTGAAACGACATACCCAACACCAGATGACGCCGCCGCCGTGCGCGCTGCAGAACGTCTCATGGAGGAGACAATGGCGCGCTATGACCCATCCCACGACGCGTATCACGGTATGCTTTCCGTTCAACAGACCCATTGAGCCGCACTTAGCATCTTCAATCAGTGCGTCGCGTACGCAAGACTGCACTAAGCCTCGCACAATCCGTACAGTCTCCCTCCACGCCGCCAGATTTTCTGACAGTAGAACTTGCTGCGCTCCTGCACGACGTGCTTGACAAAAAATACGTGCCCGAGAGCGCCGCTTCTGATCCTTACGCGTACTTCCTTCCCTTCTTCCAGTCTCTCCGTGCTCTTGCCCCATCAATCGATCTTATTGCTGACGGTCGCGCGAAGACGATCGCGAAGATCGTTGAAAACGTCAGCTGGACGACTGAGAAAAAGCTGAGAAATGACGGCAAGTGGGGCGAATGGCATGAGCACTGCATCGAGCTGCACTGCACACAAGACGCCGATCGGTTGGATGCCATCGGGGCCTTTGGTGCGACCCCATCATGTTTGCTTATCTGTTACATTGCCTGGTTGACCGGCGACGCATTCTCGTCTAGGCATCATGCGCTGTTCAGCCTTCAGCTCTGCGACGAACCGGTGACCACTCATTCAAACACCCGGGTGTGCCTCCTTTTTGATTCATATCTTTCATCAGCGTCCTCCACGCACCGTCGGGAGACCCCATTCAAAATGAAACAGCGATCCAGCATTTCCACGACAAGCTGCTTCATATCCGCGAACGGATGAAAACCGAGCCCGGCAAAAAGCTTGCAGAGAGACGCCACAAGCTGGTACGCTACTTCATCTGATACTGTAAGGCTGATCACAAGATTTCGCGGCTGTAGATGCTGGACTTCTTGAGCGCCGTTGACGAAGAATATGAGGCTGCACTATGACAGTTGCACGCTCACTTCGAGGGTTCTAGAACCCAGAAGGTTATCAGATGCTAGCAGAACGAGTGCAAGTGAGAATACAATGGCCGCCAGGGTCTACAGAATGAGATTGACTCAATCCTCGAAGTCTGATAAATCGATACCATAGAAGAATTGCTAAAATGGACCGAGTTTCAGTCGTGGCCTTCCAGATAAGATGTACAACGCACCTTGTACAAGGACATGACTTTAACTACCCACGCTTCAAGATGATATATCTTTTTGTTGCCTAATCGCATCCGTGTTTCCTGCGCCTGAACTTAGACCGAGGCAGACGGTTTAAAATTAAAAATGCCCTCACGTAGATCGCTGCCCAGTGCATGATGTCCGCCTTCAAGCTCTCGTCCACTTGTGCCACAACCGCGTCTGCAACGGTCTACCAAAAACGGTCCAGCAAACGTGTCAATGACCCTTGGAGGATTCAATGTACATACCTTGATGATAACGGTTGGAGGAATACAATGGCTGAGCAGTTCGTACATCTTCGCACGGACATCCATGACCCTTTGTGGGGTCTGCTCAGCTATGATCATGTCTGCGACCTTGCGGCAATAAGTTTCCCAGTCTGGCTTTGCGATCGAGAGAGGGCCGCTCAAGTCTGGTCTACGAAGGGACCCACAGATTGTCTGAATAGGCATACAAGAGGGAGATGGAGACGGCAGGGACATACGACTGCATCTTCAGCGCCTCAAAAACGAGGATGGCTTTGCGCATGTTCCCATTCGCGTCCTTGACGATCTCGTCCGCCGCCTCGACGGGTATCGCCGGTATGCGCGCGCTCTTCGCGACGTGGTCGAGGACGGTGCGCATCTCGTGATGGTCCGGCGCGGCGACGCGCATGAGCAGGCATCGGCTCTTGATGGGCGCGATGAGGCGGCTGGTGCTGTTCGCGCAGAGGATGATGCGCATGTTCGACATGTACTTTTCCATCGTGCGACGGAGGGCAGCTTGTGCGTCGCGCGACAGGGAGTCTGCTTCGTTGATCACAACGACTGGATGGAGCCGTTCGCTTCATGATATCATTGTGGTTCGTATATGACAGGACTCACCCTTGAATCGCTGCCGCGCGTTGAGATCCACTTGTTGCGTCTGCGCGATCTCTTTCAAGATTTCTTGAATGACGACGCGATCGAAGTTCCCGACCTCACTGCAGTATCATATCGGCGAAGACAGCGGTGGCGAAGTCATGATCATCACGAGAAGACCACGTCGACAGAGCAAAAGACATGCCTTGGAGTCAACTCGATGTGGTAGTTGCTCTGCACAATATTCACGTCGAGCTTTCGTTTTGAAGGGGTGAGGAAGACGCGTTGATCGATTTTGAGCTGTCATTTCGATGGCGAGTTCGTGACGCTGGAGGCTGAGCGAGCAGTGGATGCACGCACCTTCTCCACTCCACTCCCGAATAGTTGTCTCAGCGTAGCCGCGATGCGCGTTTTCTTTCCCGCACCCGATGGCCCATAGAACAGCATATGCGGAAAGTCTCCTGAGGCAGCCTACAGCATCGAATAAACAATGATCCAATTATGGGATAGCGGAGCTCAGGACTGACAAGTGATTTCAACCGTGTTGAAAGGCCATGGTGATAATGTAGGTCATCAAGGGTCTTGGGGCGGTACTTTATAGGTTGGAAACGAAGTATAAGCGATGGCGTTGCAAGAATCAGGAAACAGACCTATTTACCAGGTCTACCCAGAGGGACATGGCTGTGGAAGTGGAGGTAAGTGCTGGGATTGAAGCTCTCCGGTCACAGCCAACTTCAAATGATCGACTCGCGTCTGTGACTCCAACGCGTGACGTCACGCGATGACGAGTCGAGATTTCTGTTCCAGTCCCCAGCCCACCTTGCAACAAAACAGCGCCTCAGCTACCCAAGTCGTGTATATATTCATGTTCGTAACGAGTACACCAGCAGCACCAACCTGGACGCCCAGGCTCTTCTACCATATAGATCATATAAAAAACAACAGGAGGGCATCGGACGGCCGAGGCGTGTATGTATCTAGTAGACAACAGGAGACAGACAAGAACGACAAGACACAGACACAAACGCGAAAAGAAACACAGGCGCAGGCACAAAGAAAAACAGAAGTGAAGCAGAACTGGAACTACAACACGGACCAAGAAGACGTACATTCGCTACGGTTTCGCGCCGATCGCACACGCGTCGACATATAATAGTCTCGACCCTCCGCATCTAAAAATTGTTAAGTTACGAGCGCGACCCGCCGATCTCCGGCCGACCAAACCAGGCCGACCGGCGACACGAGGGATCATGATTCGACAACGGCATCCGCGCCGTCGGCGGTCGCGTCGCTGAGCGCCATGTCCTCCTGCTTCAGCTCCGCCTGGCCGCCCTTGTCGACCTCGTCCACGTTCAGCTTCGCCATCTCGCGCACGAACGACGTCCCCCAGAACGCGGCGGAGTATTTCGTGACGTACTGCGGTGAGTGAGCGTGAGCCGAATCCCAAAGCGGAAGCAAAATGCGCGACAGTCGGGGAGACGCACCTTGAACAGTTTGCGATGGTTGTCTGCGCGTGTCTCGGGGTCGGTGGTGACCGCCTCGTGGATCGCGTCCGCGACCTGCTGGCTGTCCCACGGGTTGACAACTATGCTCCCGTTCAAGCTCTGAGCCGCGCCTGCGAACTCGGAGAGGATCATGACGCCTTGGCGCGCCTGCTGGCATGCGATATACTCATATGATACCTGAAAATACGACCATACAACGACGAATTTGATCACAAAGATACACCATTAAAGAAACGTTCGAAAAACCCCAAGATAAAACAAGAAAAACGCACGAGATTCATCCCGTCCCGTGTACTCGACACGAGACACACGTCGCTAACCGCGTACAATGCGCACAGCTCGTCGAACGGAAGCGACTTGTGCATGAAGTGAATCGGCATGAACTCGACGGTGCCAAACCGGCCATTGATCCGGCCGACAAGCTCGTTGACGGTTGCGCGCAGGTTCTGGTACTCCTCGACGTCCTGCCGTGACGGCACTGCAAGCTGCGCCAATACGACCTACACACGGAACCCGTCAATCGGTCAGCAAACGCCACGCTCCGTTAAGCCGGGTGCGGAAATTGAAACGGGACAGAAACGAATAGAACGGAGGAAGTTCGGATATCATAAAATTGAGGGTTCATTAGGGAGAGACGGGACGAGGATGAGGAAGAAGGGAGAGAATGTAGAAACACGCACCTTCCCGATCCATTCCGGATGTTGTGTGAGGAAGAGCTCGAGCGCGTGCAGTTTCTGCGGGACACCTTTGATGTAGTCCAGCCGATCGACGCCGACGATGACCTTTACGCCGTTGAATCGCTGCTCGAGCGCCGCGATGCGCTTCTTCACCGATTCCTTCTTTAAATTCTGTAGGTTTCGGAACGCGAGACGTGAAAAGATAGGAGAACAGAATATGAAGACGGGCGCAATACAGAAAACGAGCGGAACGCACCTCCGTGAACGATGTTGGGTCGATACCGATCGGGAATGTGCCGACATGTGCAAGGCGGCCCTCGAACTCAACGCCATTGGGCATGGTCGGGAGGCCGAGAATGCGGGTGCATGAAGACAAGAAATGCCGCGCATAATCGTACGTATGGAAGCCCAGGAGATCTGAATAGAGCACGCCTAGGAGGATCTCCCTGCGCACAGGCAGAATCCTGTCCAACCGACCCTTTTTCTCAGTAACACGAAGCTGAGCGGCTGAGCACGGAGCCTCGCGCCGTGGGTGTGAAGGAAGAGATGGAATTAGAGGGGAGAAAGGATAAATGCGCACCTGTAGATTTCGCTGCTCGGGAACGGGGTGTGCAGGAAGAACCCGATCTTGACTCCGGGCACGGTCTGGTTCCCTACGATGGGAAAGTCCTCGTTCTCGACGCCCTCGGTGATCTTTGCGAGCTCGTTCTCCGTGAACTCACGAGTGAGCTCTGGGCCGGTGACGAGCCCGCGCAAGAGCATCGGGAGCAGCATCAAGTGATAGTCCTGGACCCAGACCATGGAGCCCGGGCGGACCTGCTGACGCACGACCTCTGCGAAGCGCATGTTCGCCTGGCGGTAGGCAAGCCAGTTCTCCTCGTCGAAGTTCATCTCGCCCGGGTGATAGTGGAAGAGGGGCCATAGGATCGAATTGGAGAAGCCGTTGTAATGGCGGTCTGCGACGTCGTCGTCGAGGTAGACGGCCTGGCAGGAGTACTCGTCCATGAGGCGGCGGTCGACGATGAGGCGGTCCTTCGGGGGGATGTAAAAGCCCGGCCAGCCTATCCATGTGAAGCTCATAGATTTTTTGGTGCCGGAGAGGGCGGAGACGAGGCCGCCGGAGGACATCTTGAAGTGGTACTCTCCATGGGCGTCCTTCGTGATGGTGACGGGGAGACGGTTGGAGACGACGATGAGGTGGGTGTCCTTTGCGACGTTGAGGTCAGGGAGAGAGGTGATGGACGGGTCGGGGGCGAATATCTGAGTGGGCTCGCCAGGCATGGTGACGGTGTGGAGTGCGGGGGGAAACGAGAAACGAGGACGGCAAAGGGAGGCTTGGGTACTTTTATAAGAAGAGAGGCGGGCTCAGGAGGTGGGCATTATTTGAGCGATTATCAGATCTGGGGAGGGTGAGCATATGCAGACATCGTCCCTACTTCGAGCGTGCTCGCTGCCTTTCTGGCCACTTCTGGCCATCAATGCCGCGTCACGTCCGTCCCTGCGCCCACACCACTCTCAGCGCTCTCGACGCCGTCTGTCTGCCATCTTCCAGCATCGCCTCTGCGGCCCGCAGCGGTCCTCGCTCCCGACGTATTACCGCCATCTGCTCAGGACGTCCTTCTGTTCGAGCACGATTCGGAATCACACAGGCATCGATCCCCTCTCTTATCCTCTGCCAGCGTTCTTTCCAACACGGGACACCAAATATCGGAACATCTCGCACAAAAATCACGAGCTATCATCGCACGAGCTGCGCACGTTCCCTAATGGATTCCGTAATGGCCGTCCATTGGGCAACCTCTCGCACTTCCTTGGCCACTCTTCTCACACTCATTGGTCCAACGTTGGGCATGCATCTCATGATTCCAGTGTCAGATATACAATGGATAATATCGAGGAAGCACCATCACAGCCTCCTCTAGTCGAACAGACCGAAGCCCTAGAGTTACTCTTGTCAGCCGAATCCAGACACCAAATGCTCTTCGACGTACCATATCATCGTCGGACTCCTCCTTCTCCTCCTCCTTGGCTTCCTCAGCGGCAGCGGGGGCAGCATCGGCGGCAGCGGCAGCGGCAGGCGCGGCAGCAACAGCGAACGCCTCGGGGTTGGCGAGGTACTCCTTGGCCTAGAGCATTGCATGGTCAATTCACGATCACGATGCCAGCAGCAAAAGAAAAGGAATAAACAATATCGAAAGCCATCAGGATAAATTATATTTCCGCAGAACGCCTCACGGGCGCTCAGTATTTTCAGTGTGTGAATTAAACATCTTTGGACAGAAACCAGCACCCCAAATGCAAGGATAGACGAGGAACCCACCTTCTCGGCACCCTCGAACGTGTAATCGGTGGCCAGCGAGACGGCGATGAGGTTCTTGTACGCATTGACCAACGAGTGGGTGACGGATACGATGGTGGGGTACTTGACCGCCAGCGAGATCGCAGCAATAGTCTTGATACCGACAAGGAAACGGTCAACGAGCTCCTGGACGTCGACGTCGAGTACCGACGGCGGGAACACGTTGCCCTGGTCGTAGATCTGGACGACCGTCATACCGTATGTGAACGGCGAGATGTTCAACATGTTCAACAGCGTCGCCTCGGACGGGCCGACACGCGACCCAGCGGTGACGACCTTGACGTCCGACACGATTTCAATCGTACCACGCGCAATCTTGGTCGGAATACCGAGGGCCTGGAAGAAGGAGGTCTTTCCGGGCTCCATGCCGGTGTTACCACCGGGGATGGTGACATCCTTGGGCGCGAACGCACCGGCACGAGCAGGCGCAGCGACGACGTTGGCGACGATGATCTTGCGGATCTCGGGAAGGTCGTCGTTGGTGAACACGAAACCGATGTTGCCCTTGACGTGAGGGAGCAGACGCTCGAGCACGGGGTTCTCAGCGATGATCGAGCGCAGCGCACGGCGGACCATGGTGTTCTTGCCCATCAAGACGACACCCTTTCCGCGGAGCGCGACACGGATCTGATGCATCTGGTTGGAGCCGACATTGTCAACGTTGACAATAAAGATGGAAGCTGCGTGCGAGGGCCATGATTAGACCCAAAGTCGCGTCAAGTTAGATTGTCTGAGTATGCCCGACGCACCGTATTTGGCGATGAGCTCCCGGAGCTTCACAAAGTAAAGCTCCTTTTCCGCGCGAGAGGCACCCATTGTTGTAGATTTTGAGTAGCTGCGTCTGATGAGCTGGTCGTTTGATGGACAGAGGACAGGACACTCACTGGAAACAGAAAAGTTAAGGATACAGCTGTCGTGAGTGCAAGGGATATCAGTGCCTCCCTATTGACCTCTACGATACCAACGGTCAGCATCCAAGGCCGCTCAGCGATGCAGAGCGCGACATACCTTTGTGCCAATGGATTTTTCAAGGCGACTGAGAGTGTGAGTGACGAGAATACTTGTCTACGCCACATGCTTGTCGGTATGCCGCAAAATAAAGTTAAAGTTCAGGATCACGGTAAATGCCGAGCACTGTGGCGAGCGCGTCTTCGCTGTCCAACGCGTCGAGCACAGCGAGCTGTTCGTCGTTGCATTCGTTGCCTACCGCGCTTTTCTCGCCTGGGACGGATTCCCCAGATCTTGCGATACTCCCAGTGGGCGCGCAAGGCTGCTCAAGTCGAACGCGGCACACGGACTTCCCACGCCTTTCATGCAATGGAATGTTGCGATGGGGTTTGTCGACCGTCCGAAGATTGGGCGGACACGACAGTGCTCTGTGCTCCCCTCGGTATGCGCTCCTATATGATATTGCCAGTCGCATCAAATACTCAAGCCTCTCAAGGTTGCTAACCTCTGTCGGTCATAGCTTGCAACGCACAGACCACAGCACTTATTCCTCAGAAGCGACGAGACATGTAACATATGAACGTGCACCTGGTGTCGATGTGCAGCATAAACCCGTTGGAATTCCGGTGCCGCTACAAGCGTCAGGAAACTCTGCTGTTTCTGTAAACGATGATGGCGATGCTACAGCGGTTAACGACGTCTACGATTCTCGCGGTCGGTCGGTCGACCAGCCCAGATACCCTCGGAGGCCTTCGTCGTTGGACATCCTTCACATCTTCCTCTCTCCACAGAACCTTTCCTCCCCTACTCCTCAGATCCATACCGCCAACACCCTCCGCGCGTTGTATCGTTCCCTTCGGCCTGAAGATCTCTCTAAGCTTAGCTCACAGCGGCTCACTGATCTCATTTCTATCTTCGGTACTCTCTCCGCCGACGACCCGCCATCATCACATAGGAGCGCATTGGCAGCTCATATGGACAAGCGCTCGTTCAGGACCTGGTGGAAAGTAGTTCTGCAGCTCGTGCGGGACAAGAAGAATGCGGGAAAGAAGATGCTACCGTCGGATTACTATTGGTTGGTCAGGGCGAGGACGTCGGGCCTGACTGGGATAGAGATAGATGCTCTCGAGGACTGTGAGCATCGTGCAGCCATTTCCCTCGCACATTGCACTCAAAGTATCTGCATTTACAGCTTCAGGTACACTGTTCGTGGCGCGACAGGCGTATCTTCGCATCGAGTTCGACCATACCAATCCGGATGTCCATGTGCCATATTTGCGCACTCTATTGTTACTTCGGCGGCCGAGTGCGACGACCGAGGTCGTGGGCTGGATATATGCGCTTCTTACTGCTCGTTCAACCTTCACCCCTAGTTTGACGCGTATCCTCTGGGACGTCGTCCTGGGCGAGGATATTGTGGTTCCCGAGCATATGAAGAGCAAGCTTTTAACTGCAATTTGGCGTTGTGTGACTAGGCCAGTGCAGGATGCTCATGATCGGTGGGATAGCAGACAATCCGATCAGACCGAAGTCTCTTCAGGCAGCGGCGAAGCTGATAATGTGATATCTTGTGCCAATGCGACTGGCCTCACACGTGCAGTGCTTGGAGCTGTTTTCCCCCCGCTTTCTCCACAGCCTATACCTACCCCGGCACAGCATCGAATTCGTGCCTGGGCAGTCCACACAGCGGGTCACATGCTCTCTCCCCTCTCCGAGACACCCATCCGATGGCGCAATCTGGCCCTGCTTGCTGTCGCCAATGCCCATACGCCTGACCTATCTTACGTCGGCGCGGCGTTCTCCTCGAGCGGCGAGCACGGCAAGATTGCGCTCGTGGCCACCGATTTCCGCGTCGTTGCTGTACTATCCTTGCTCGAAAACATTGCGCGGACGACAGATCTATCGCCCGAGGTACACGGTTTCGTGCGCGGGATTTGGCGCATCTGGGTCGAGGCCGTGGACGACGATCGGTCGGTGCACCCCGCGGTCGTCCGGCCCATAATCGCGTCGTTCTTGCGTCTAGCCGCGCGTTCGCGGGATGACGACCTCCGGCGATCGTGTGTAGGTCTGTGCGCCACCGGCTTCTGGACGTTCGACGTGGGAGACGATTTCGCAAAGCGACAGGTACAGGCGCTCTCGGCCGATTGCCTCGTCGCCGCAGCCATGTGTGGGAATACAGAATGGGGGGACATGATTTCTTCCCTTCCGCATTTCGTCTCGATACCGCAATGGCAACCGAACCTGACGAGGAATGTCTTGATGCGTTTGGCGAACTTGGATGCGGGGCTGGCACGGGACGTGTACGCCGCGTGGAACACCCGTCTCGAAGTTCCGGTGGACGTCGTAGGGCCGCTCAGTGCGGCTTTGATCAGGCAAAACCACTGGGAATCTGCGATGCATCTGTTACTCGAATCTCAATATCGGTTTAGGGGTGATGAGGGTGAACGTGCTCTGGGGGTCATCTTGTTTCCTTTGGCGAAGCAGGGTGACCGGTACATTGACCTGCAGGTGGCCAGACTAATTGCCGATGCTATGTCCGAGCTCTACCAGTCTCAGTCCTTGACCCCTCCTACTCGATTCAGAGGTCGCATTTCGTTCGCTCTACTCACCCTGGTCAATACCGGCTATCCTACCATCGCAATCAAAGTGTTCAAGAATATAGTAACAAAGAAGCCCCGATATTTCACCGGTTCTTTCGTCCACAATTTTTTGCAGGCATTCGTTGCACATCGGCAGTTTTCAAGTGCTGTCCAACTTGTGGGGGATGCTGCAACTCTATATCCTTCGCAAGCGCGCCGATGGCGCCGGTACATACTCCTAAGGCTATCGCAGAACGGATCCCATCGGCTCGCCGCGACTGTCGCTCCGGGGGTGACCAGGCGTTCATTCGGCAGCGCACTCGCTCACGCGATTAATTTTGATGCGACGTCGGTTCGTCACAGAAGGCTAGCAGGGTTCCGGATGCTCAGATGGATGAAACGACCTCGCCAGGTAGAAGGCTCGGCGAGTCTCCACTGGGCATTGGACCTCCTCGCGCAATCGCGCAGTGTCGGTGCCGTGCGGAAAGTCCACGCACGCCTAGCGCTTGCAAAGGACGATCAGCAGACGCTCGGCAACATTATTCTACACAACTATGTGCGACGGCGGAAGTCCCGTGACGGGCAGAACGTCAGGGACGTGCTGCGCGCGCTGAATCATCTTGTCTCAGAACACGGCTTTGTTCCGGACCGTGTCACGACGAACATCGTGCTCAAGGCGATGCTTAGGTGGAAGGTCGGCATGGACGGCTTCAAGGTCCGCGCGCTGTTCGACCATCTCATCCGCGCTGGCTATCCCGGCGGGCCGAGGTTCTCTGGGGTTGGAGAGGATGTGCCGTTTGGGACGAAGGGGATTGACAGGTTGCCGTCGGGAGTGCCGCTTTCGGGTGCGAAGGGGGAGGTCAAGTTCTTTCGGCACGTGAGGCCGCTATACAAGATGATTATCAAGGCTATGTTTGTGAGAGGGGATGGTGCTGGGGCAAGGATGGTGGTGGGGGTTCTTCAGGATGTCACACAGGAGACCAGAGATCGATCTATGAGGGGAGGGCTGGAGCGGGAGGGAGAGGAACATAGTCAGGTATAATTTATACGGGTTGTGTAGGTGCTATCAACATGGTTTGGGATGCCCCGGAGGAGTCTCGTGCGTTGTGTTTTGTCGTGTATATGCGCATACAGGAAGGGACAATAGAGCTTGTCGCCGCTTCTGAGCATGCCATCTGTTAAGACAATATCTGGGAAGGCCGTGGTGAAGTGGTTCCCGTCGAGCATCAGTACCTCTCAGGAGAAGGGTGAAGTTTGCCTTCAGTGTTTGATTGGGAGGATCCGGTGAACTCGAATCTGCGTGCATCAGTACGTGATACTCGGTCGTAGCACGCAGAACATTCGCATGCTGAGAGCCGTCGTCCTCAATTTTGATCTACTCTACAATGAAAGCCGCTTTGTTAGAGGCTCGTGGATCCTGCCTCAAAGATTTCACAGTTCCTTTGATACACCGCGGATGCGAAGTGGCAATCCTGCTCATTCCAGGCCTGCGTCCCTTCTCTTTGATTCGAATGCTTTTAAGTCCCGAGAACAATGAATCTCGGCTGAAAGCTTCTCTAGAGGTATGGTCGATATTGGCCCCTGGGGACCGCAAAGCAGGAACGTAGGTAAGCTGGAGCTCTCGCCAACGTTCCCACAAAACGTGAGAGCTCCGGTTATGCCTGTAGGGCATGGCCCTTTGACACATGAAGCGGGATGGGAGCCATGTGTTAGGATCTCGTTGTACCCTACATTCTTGAGTATCGGCATCGCGGATTCCCGTGTAGGGTAAGTCCACGGACGGGTGCGTAGACACCTGCCAAAGGCATGCGATCGCACATAGGCAAGGGCGGGTGATCTTCTAGAGGCGAAAGTCATGATTGAAATGAAGCGGAGTAGACGATGAGTTCCCCACCTGTGTTCATCCTAAGTTGTGTATAATCTCCAGGAGCGCATCCTGAATAATAAAACGCGCCTCTTCGAGGAACACTAGTTCGGGGTGCATCACGAAGTAATGGAAATTGAAAAAGAGGAACAAAGCAGGAGAGATCGCGATACCAGGTCCAAGCTACTTTAACGAAGAAGTGTGTCCGGCGAATAGCGCTTCTCCCATGAGGTCGAAATCATATACAAGTCTTCCAACAGTGGAGTAATGTTGATAAATGTATCCTTCATGATCGAAGTTCTCTCGATCGATGATTTTTCAACACAGTGGGTTCCTGGAAACTCTCAAAATGAAGGTAAGCTAGTCGAAACCAAGCAGAGTCTCAGCAATACTACCCAAGCTCGTGGACTATATTCTACTTCTGCGACTAGACATTACATACCAAGCAAACCCATCGTAAGGTGGGACAAGCACTCAAGCTGATATCAAGGTAAGCCCTGTAGACAGCAGTTGTCAGTTCTTTTGATCCTAAATTTCATCTCCAGCGACCTACCGATGATAGGATCGCCCTCTTCCTCGCGATATTCAACTCTACAACCGTCACCTACACAAGCCAGCTCAACAGTAAGGCTATCGCTGCCGCCGCCACAATCGAATTGAGGTGTCGTTGCGTTTTCCCCGAACCTGGCCTCGATGCGACCGACGAATGCACGGCGCGGTGGTCGCGACGCCCAAGAAATGTTTACTTGCGCGAGGTCGATATCTGTCGCGTCGAGCGTATAGATGTCGAGCATCAGGATGCCACCGGAAGCAGCTGGATTTTCCAAAGTGAGGAGTCGCGCCGATTGGATGAGTGCGCGGCGGGGCGGAAGCGAGAGCTCAAAAGCACAAGAAGACTGTTCGACCGGTGTATGAGCAAACTGCATAACAGCGATATCCTGAACGAGACATTCTCCTCAGCGGGAACGTCCAAGCAACTTTCACAAAAGGTTGGAAGCGTACATATGTTGTGACGAGTACCCATCCGTCGCGCGGGTACGGTACGAACGGGTTCAGTAAGTTCACATGAGATATCGCCGTTGCTCGTCCAGGGCCCACAGGCAGAGCTGCCGGCTCTTGCTGCTTCGACGAATTGTGACTCCCGTCATCATGATGGCTCGCAGACGCGTCAGTGAGCGGAACACGCTCGAGTCCCATATAGAGACTCGGCCGGCGAAGTGTGTTCACATCGATGTCGTAGACACGCTGCACGCTTGGCACCAGCGCGCGCGACGTGAACAGAAGCTGATATACGACCAAGAGGGAGCTTAAGAGTGATATGATAAAAGCGACGAAGCTGAAGAGAGTTGTAAGACTGATCGCAGACGGCAGTCGCTGCGTCTGCGTCCTGATCAGTCTTGGTCGTTTGGATGGGGTACCTTCGGTATCAGCGTCGCTCCCTTCATCAAGACCGTCGTATTCCTGATCATCGAGACTTAGGTGACGCCTGAGAGGAATGTAGTCCGCATTTGATGCCATGAAAGTGTTCGAACAGCTCAACACAGGTGAGAATGGAGGCGCAGTGTCTGAGAGAGGCAGGCTAAGCGCGAGATTCCAGATATAGAGCCCAGCGACGTCGGAGTTTAAACAAGCACTGTACCCGCCCACACATGCTCTCAAGAATTTCCACTTGCATACAGTCGCCGTCATTATACAGCTTCATACAGGGTTTCGATAGCCAAAAACCCGACTTATCACGAGCCGTGCGGAACCTGTACCAACGGCACTTCGGATCATTGACATCGGTTTTCTATTTTTGCATCCGTCCTTTCAGATCAACGTTCGTGGGGTCTTCCGGTGTCCCGATTCTGCCATGACGCCGTAGCCAGACTTCACAGGTCGCAGTTGGCATGGGCGGGCGGGCGCTTCGACAGCAGTGACTACGTTGAAGCAGGCTCCCTCGAAATTACCAGTCCGTATCGTTCGGTGCAGAAGCGCAGGAACAATTGTTGACTCGATCTTTAGGGCTGCCACGGAGGACATGCGGGTTGTTCCGAGGTCCTGACGTCGAACATCAGTCGGGGACCAGACTGTACCCTTGATCTTGGCCGTGTATCTGTGTATACCTGTGACTATCAATCAGAACAGTACACGATGTCTTCTCTGTCATTCCGACCGCATCAAGCCTGAGCATACATATACTGTAACTGATCAGCAGTCTGTATCCTGCCCTCTCGATCCAACCCATGAGCGGAACCTTTGCCCCTGCGATGGACGGAGAAGCGTATGCCGCAGTTGTATGCGAGTGTATCCTTTATGGTGAGCTGGCAGTACGCTATCCGTCTTTGTGATCATGCCGTCCTAATCGTGCATCTGCGAACAAGGTGTCTATCTCCTTCTCTTCGTGATTGCGATGCATCTCCTTCTGTGCGTAGTTGCGAAACACAAACGCAGACGATATTCAATGTTCCTTCCAGGCGGGGCAAGCAGCTGTGGATGGCTATCGAGCTCAAGCATGCCATCATCACTGGGATGACTACAATCATGTTCGCTGTCTCCACGGTGCATATCGGTCTCAGCATCGAAGGATTCTACGAAAACTACCTCAAAACGCCCAAGTGGAGTTCCGGTGTCGGCACAGATCCCTCGTGTATAACAAAGCTGTACCTTCCAGCAATCAACGTGAGTGCGGTCGCCCCTCTTGTTTGCGTGTCCGACTCCAACCACATCGCAGTTCATGTTGTCAGATGCCATCGTCACATGGCGAGCCTACGTATTGTGGGGGTTCAACAAGAAGGTCTGTATCGTACCTTGCATCCTTGTCCTGGCAACAGGAGGTAAGACATTACTCCCAAAGTGGTTTGGCTCTGTTTATTCCAATCATATATCCTTCCTTTATACACAGTCGTGGCCATCATCGGTGTACAGCAGAGTGCAGCCCACATGGCAACACTGCAACTCACAGCGTCATACCCGTGGGATTTGGCCATGAACTGCCTCACACTGGCCACAAACGTCATCACGACCGGCCTTGTGACGTACCGCGGGAGGTGGGTTGATCCGTTGCTCGTTCCCAGGTGCGAAATCCGCAAGTTCGCACAGACGATACTTCATCCAAAACAGAGTTGCATTGGGATCGGACGCCAGTGAGCGCAGCAAGGCGATCTTTTACCTCCTCATCGAATCCGGGTTTTTGTATTGTTTCACTTGGGTCAGTCCCCTCCTCGCCCGCCCTCAACGTCGGCATTGTCCCAAGACCGATTCTATCCAGGTCGTCTTCTTCATCGTCTACTGGAGCGGACCACAAGGCAACTTCCTCACCACCGACATGATCTCTCAGCTAACGGTACGTCTCCACATCCCGGCACGCTCACCACCAAACAAATCCGAAATCCGCACGCACAGGGCATCTATTCCACGCTGATCGTCGTGCTCGTCGCGCTCAAGAAGACGCAGGCCGACTCCGTCGGCGTCGACCAAACCGTCACAGACACCTTCGACGACAGCGAGATCGCGGTGCGGCACGAGCACGGAACGACGACCGGCAGCGCGGTGCTGACGACGACCGTCTCGAGAGCGCAGGGCCTCAGCGGCCGCGGCCAGCCCGTCATGATCCACATCACGAACACGGTAGAGCGCGATCGCGGCGATCTGAAAAACATCACGTTGGTCCCGCAGAGGCTACAGCAAGTGTGATCGCGCCGGGCGGACGAGTGCGATGCGGTGCGGCGTGGAAAGACAGACTTCTTCTTGGTCATCGCATGATTCGGCCTGTGCGCATCGTGTTCGCGGCTGACCCATGACCATTCCATGATCATACTCCGGGGGCCTTGATCTTCTGTGTTGCATGTACAACCAGTGCTGTCATCTTCTCATTTCACACATTATTATTTGTTGACGTATAGGAAGGAGAACACTGATGATCCACTACATTATTTGCTATGTACTCTATGATGGCCTGACGAAATTGGGCACAGCAGGGCTATCGAACTCTTGACTTTGTATCGCTTTCCACAGCCGCTCTCAGCCTCGACTGCACTGATGAAGCTTGAGCTGGCTGCAAGTACGATGTGCTGATCGCCCTCTTCCCGGCACATGATATCGTGCGCATGACGTAGGGGCAAAGTCACGAATGATCGCACGATTGAGGAGACGAAGCGCCCCAGAAGCAAAGGGCATAATGATAGGTCAGTGATATCCAAACAGAGAGCGCCAAGATTGACGAAGGAAAAAGATCGAAGGACGAGAGTCTGTAAGTAGGTAGTAGGTGGATATCGGAAGCATACAGATGATCCGCCGCGCTCCTCCGCGACGAATTAGATAGACATGATCGAGCACCGCGCATATATTCACTCCTACTCTTCGTCGTCGCTGCCATCGCCCTCGTCGTCGTCGGCGTTCTGGCCGCCTGTCCATTCGCGTTCCCAGAGGGGGATCTCGTCCGTATGTGGAGGCATAAGGGCTGGATGGCCATGCGGCAGTGCACCCCGTGCCCGCTGGAGTCGGGCAAGGAGACCCTGCCGATCTGCTAGCAAATCCTGCAGATAGTCGATTGCTGCAGGGAGGAGCACGCAAGAGAGGAAGGGAAGGGAGGAGAACAGCGAGATGTGGGTAAGTACGGCGAAACGCGGGGGTTGGGAGATGGCGTCACTCACTCTTCTGCAACACGATGTTCTCACTCTTCGGACCCGCCCGCCCGTCGATCTTCTCCCCGTCCTCAGCGGCCCTTGCTCGCGACTTGCGTCGCCTCCCACTTGCATGTCCGGTGCTGCCTGTAGCAGCAGCAGCGGTCGCTTCCTCTTCGGCCCGGATCGCCTCGCGCAGTGCAGGAATGGTCTCACAGAGGGCCTCGTACCCCCGCCGAATGTTCGCGCGGCGTTTCTGCTCGGACTGGATGTGGTTCGCTTTCTTCTGTGAGGGCGTCAAAAGCGTGGTTTTGCCGCTCGGACCTGCGCTGGAGGAAGTGGAGTCTCGGGGTGTGGGTGGGGTGTGGGAAGAGGAGGCGGTCGAAGCCCGTCGGCGTTTGCGCGTTGTTGCGGAGGAGGTGGAGTCGTCGGAGAAGCCACGCTTCACGGATGGGTGAGTCGAGGAACTAGAGGCGTACGTGACAGAGGAAGACGACGATGTGGAGGGGGGCGGCGGTGTCGAGTCTTTGATCGAGACGGAGGGCGTCACTGTGGTATGTGGAGCGATGTGGGTAGACGATTCTCCGCGAGCATTGCTCGAGTGGGGCTGGTGCAGATAGTAGAAGGGGTTGGCAGGGTGATGGCGTTGCGACGAGGAGGAGGATGGGTTGGTTGTGAAGAAGCTCTGTGGAGGGCGGTTCGCAGAGGATTTGAGGATGGGGGGGAGGTTTTGGCATGTGGAGGGGGACCACGATTGGGGCACAGAGACGACTGGCTGCTGGAGGGACATGAGGTCCTTGGTCGCCTTCGCGAGGGCTTCTTTGCCGGGGGAGGCATGGGGGACGGGGATGTCGTCTGCAAGGACGGACCACTCGGACGCGGTGAAGAGGGTGTCTGCGACGGTGTAGTCGTAGTCGATGGAGGAGAGGAAGGACTGGAAAGCATGGGATTCCGAGGGGGACAGAAGAGACATGGTGCACGGACGAGCGTCGAGACAGACGAGGGCAACGACCTCATGTGATATTCCCCGCAGTGTTGGGCCCTGTTTGCGCCTCATTCCCCTCATTTGGGTCGACCCCCACACTTCCCCGCCCTCTTCCGGCTGCCTCCGACCTCGCTCCCCAGCGCTCCCCTCACCCGGCCCAATCACCGCCAATCGATCCCACCCGCGACGCGTGCTCGCCAATTCACCCCGCCCACCGTCATCCCCCTCGGTCCCGCCGTCGCACGTGCAATCCGCCAACCCTCTCGCTCTCTTGCACGAGAGTAACCCCCCCCCCCCCCCGGGTTTATCGTCGCGCTCTGCAGGCTACAGTACCGATGGAACCATACATCGACTCAATGGCGACCAGCGGTGCGTCCATGCAGCTCAACCTTTGCTAATTGCAAAATAGCAGTCACCCGGCAGGGGCGTGAAGGAAGTCCCGGTTGCATGTTCCGTAAGCCCTTGCCGGTTTGCGGGCCGCGCAGATCTCCTTTCAAATCCTTCGAGGGTCAGATTGAACCCAATCGTGTTCAACAGAGTCAATCAAGCTCGACAGGCAAGTTCGTCTCATCGATCCCACACCCACTCCAAAAGCTAGTAAGAGTACAAAAACAAAACCCCACGCAAGTCCTTCGTCCAGCCATGCATGATCCATGTGCCCTGCAAATCGCTCCGGAGCAGTCGAACAGCGCTCAAACGACTTCGATTCAAATCTCACGACAGCGCTCCAGACAGCTCCAGCCCTTGCCCGCAACTCGTCCTCGTAGCGGCTCCCCGCAAGTGACGTCCCATCACATAATGGTGCACCCCACCCAGCTCGGATACTCGTGCTTCACAATGACTTCAACTCTCTGGACACGTCGGACCCGTCGTCTTTTCGCGGGGCGCTCGCCGGCGTCATAGTCCAAGCCCTCTTCAGCTCGCCCTCGCCTCCTCATGGGGCGCGACATCAATCCTGGCGGAGGCTCCGAGTGCTCACGCACTGACGGAAACCCTAGACCATGCAGGGTCTCGGAGACTGCGCGGGCTCCCGTCCACGATCCGTCTATCTCGTCTGGGTCTTCTTCGGAGTCTCGTCTCCTCGCGCCGCGCGGCCTTGCTTGTGCGTTTACTGGTTGGATAGCCTCCCTCCGCCTCGACGGCTGTGGCGCCCCTCCGCCCAAAGTATGGCCATGGGGCAGCCTATCAGGGGCCACCGGCGCATCGAATGCGCGCGCTTCATCCGATCTATCTGGATCTAACATCTCGATCGGAGGGCGCAAGTATGTAAAGGACCTGGGTGGGTCCCCCTCCGATGTCGTTGCTAGCAGAATCCTGTGTTGGTAATGTTCGGGATGATAACTCGGCTGCCTCGACATAAGTAAATAGCTCCTGGCTTCGCGCGCTTGAAGCACTTCGGGGTATGTCAGAGTCACGCGTCTAGGCGCAGACGAGGCACAGGCATTGACCCCCTCCAAGTCCTTCATGATACTGTTCATGATTACAGTGTCGAGCGGCAGCCCGTCCGTAGAGACATGTCCGTCGTATGTGGACAACTCTCTGGCTCGGCGCATGTGGTGGGGAGAATAACGCTCACAGCATCCCCCGACATAATAGGCTTCGATACGGAACCTCCAGCGGCACGCGGCTCTCTGCAGCAGTAGGAGCGCTGGGAACTCGGAGGAGTAATCGGCGAAGCCGTTGATGTGCCATGCGACGGGCACCGACGTGACGTAGAAGTGGACGGTGTAATCCTCCCAGTGATTGGCCCAGCAGCAGACGGCATCAAGTATAGCATGGAGCTCGCTTGCCGTCGTTGTTGTCGTATATGGAATAGAGAAGATGCTTTCTTTCAGCGCCCAGCCGTACGCGTGGGTGCGAGCATAACCTCCCGTGCCAGTGGGCGAGGCGGCGACGTAGACTTCTGCGAATGGGCGAGAGGTGGAAACGGGGCACGCGAATGCGATGCGCGATTCGGGGAGGTGTAAAAGCCCTGCACCGGGCTTGAGGTAATCCAAAAAATCCCTCGGACGAGTCGAGGTCAACGGGCCACGGTGGTTCTGCGTCCTCCTGGGCGCATCGGGGTGCGTCTCGTACCACAACTGTTCTAGAATCCCGTCAGGGTCATCCTCGGGGTGAGGTGTACAATTGTCAGGGGCAGATAACCCGTCTGGAAGTTGAGGGAGCGGTTCGACGTGGACTAGATCCTGCACCCGGTTCAACCAAATAAGGTGCGAAAGATGCGTACAGAAGAAACGCATGTCGAAGTCGGACGGCAGCGGGCAGTCGAGGTCAAGAGCGACATAAAGGATGAAGACAGGGTCAAGACGAAGATGGAGCAGGCGATCGAGGCCGTGTTGCGGTTGCAAGAGAAAGGTTGAGATGAGGGATTTGGCGAAGGTATACCTCGCCTCCGACACTGTTAACAAAAGAGAGGGATAACAAAAGGCATTAGAACTTGTGCAAGCGCCCGCCACAATAAAACTGAGCGCTCACTAAACAGTCCCAACCGCTGACATTCGATGGCGGATGGGGGCACCACAGATTGAGGGCGCCACGACGCATCATGACCGATGCCATCACTAGCCGTTAAAACGTAGTTGTAAAGGGTGTTGACTCGGTTGGGCCAATGATCCTGGAGCAGCCTCTCGACGAAGCCCCATTGACCTTCACGACGACAATGAGTCAGGATGATGAGAAGGCTGTCGATGGAAGGCTTGTTCAGTTGCTCGTTTAAAGACATGGTAGATATGACGATGTTGTTTCGCTTTGAGAGAAGGGGGACAGACAATTGAGAACGCCAATTGTTATGCGGGGTGGGGGAATACAAAAGACCAGGACGGGTTGGATGGACGCGGACATGACAATTAAATACCCAAGCATTCTGGCTACGTACCAATTGACGCCCCCAGAACTTCACCTTACTTCCCTACAGCAGAAACTGATGAATTGGGAGTGGTGGTGGTATATCTGGGTCACGTGATCTTGAGATGAAGACAAAAACCCTACTAAAGGCAGTCAAAAGAGTAGAATTTAGTCTGTAATGCTTCCGAAAGCACGAACCAATTGTCGCAAAAAGAAAACAGGGCCTATGAATGATAGCGCTCCCTGTAGAGAAGACTGTCTCCGCGTGTAGTAGAGGTTTCCGGGGGTTGAACGTGGCGTGTCGTGCCTGCGAGTGCATTGCATAGGCTAGGCATCAGCAAGACGCCACACCACGAGTTCCGCTCCAGGTATTCCCAAGATCCGAGTCATCCCGACGGCGCCTCTCACTGGCATGAGGATCGGCAGACGTGCTTCGTAGGGCGGTTCAACACGTCAGACGACTGCGACCTTGCATCAAGAAGTGTGGCGAGTTCCAATTATTACGACAGGGCACAGCCAGCGCAGCCAATAAAGTGAACTGGGACCGTATGCTTCGAGTTTTCACTCACACTTTCGAACGAAGAGGTCAGTGCCCAGTCAATACCCGCGCTTTGATGGATAAGAACGGCTGTCAGATGCTAGAGACCGGTTGATGTGATACGATTCTTCCAACCTAGAAGATCATATTTTGACGAGATGTCCATACCTAACGCGTGTAGCTTGAAGTTCGACTGGAACAGTGGCGAACACGGCGAGATTCGACAAAACCCTTAACGTCACGATGCGTCACAGCATATAACGGCGGTAAACGACTCGTAACGCACCAATATATTCCCACGCCTGCTATAACTCGAGTCTTTTGGACTTACGATGAGTGAAAAGAAACGAGGGACCCAAGCTAACGACAGATCCAGGAGAAAATACCGTCATGTCAGCTACCACAATGCTTGATTTTATTGATGACCCATTGCTTTACAGGATGGGACACCCATATGGGGGAAACGGTCAATAGACGGGCCTGGCGTCTGGGTAAGTTGCGTGAAGGGGAAAGAGAAGCAGACTGTAGGCGAGCTCTACGATCTTTTTGAGCAGGTGCGCACATCGAGAACCCGTATGGTAGTACGCTGATTTGACCTCGGAAGCTTGCTTCGGACCTCTGGCCAGCAGAAAACAACGCGATCACTGGCGACGGAGACGATGAAAATCCGACGGATGATATAGAGGAAGATTTGGAGAAACAAATCGCTAAAGAACTGGCGTCTATGAAGAAGCCAAGGAGGGAGCAGATGTTTGGTGTGACTTCATGCTGACTTCCTCTGTGTTGTTTGCTAAATGAGTTTTAGCCAACTGTCAGACAAATACGCCATGTGGTGAGTACTCTAAGAATCGTATGTTGCATCCCTTCCCACTGATCCTTGACGACCTCCTCAGTCGTATTCATCTCATGTAAATCACCGGTCAATCCCGTTAAGCTCGTCCTGAAGCACATAGAGATAGTAGAAAATACGGGAATAACCCAAACAAGGTATTGTTCCTCGCACTTACATTCATGTATGCGAGATTTACTCAGACTCCTATTTATAGGTACACACAGCGCCTGACACCGGTAGTTGGATCATGTGTTGTCAATGTCCCAGAGATACAGGCGCTGTTTAGACGGGTTCTGAATAACTTCATTTCCGATGACCCCGAGCACAAGTATCGTGTAAGGATCAATATCATCTTTCTGATGTGTTCGAAACTGAGATGCAGCGTGGAACCCGATAGTACAAGATCGAGCTCCGTTCGCGTAACCACAACACACTCTCCAGGCAAATTTTGATCGACACCATCGTCACATGTGTGCCAGACGGTTACACTGTTGACCTCGAGGATCCAGATATTTTCATTCTTGTCGAGGTTTTCAAGGTACGTTGTACTACACAATCCTCTACACTATGTGCTCATGCGATCATCCCCGAAGAGCGTCTGCGGTGTTAGTATCGTGAGAGACTATTATAAACATCTAAAATTTAACGTCATGGAGATCGCCAAGGTAAGAAATGAAACCGAGGGCTTCAAGGATGGGGAGGGGCGTATAGTGAAAAACTCTATAGCAGAACAAGATGATCCTGTACCTGCATGACGACTGTATTTGTACTCGTGGGCAGTTGGTGATAAATTTTAAGGGAAATCCTTCATAGTAGTACACTGGAAACGAATCGTTGCTGAAAACTCGTTCCTTCTTACTTTCCGTATTTGGCAATCTTTGTGTGCTTGCAGGTGCCCTGAGTGTGCAAGGCTCCCATCTACTAGCATCTAGCTGTCTGTCAACAAACTTCATCGTTTTATCGTCAACTGTTTAATCACACCCCGTATCATTCCCTCGAACCGTCACTATGGGCGACCTCGTTGATTCCATGCTTGACCTCCTACGACGGCTTCCCCCAACACAAATCGAAGAGAATGTGTCCGCACTAGTACAGATCTGCCCAGACTACGCGGATGATCTCCTTGGAAGCGTTGATCAGCCACTAAAGCTGAAGGTGGACAAGGCGACGGGAAGAGAGTATCTTGCTTGCGACTACAACAGGGATGGGGAGAGTTACAGGTATCTTTCATTTCGGCGTTCATGCTGCGATATTTTGGCACTTCGCGACGGGACTAACGGAACACAAGATCACCATGGTCGAACGAGTATGATCCGCCGCTTGATGATGGCACCGTTCCGTCGCCCAAACTTCGCAAGTTGGAGATCGCGGCCAACGAGGCGTTCGACACCTACCGCGAAATGTACATACTTTGCCGTTCATGTATCAGACTTTGTTCGTTTCACCACTTTTCTTCAGGTACTTCGAGGGCGGTGTGTCTTCAGTGTTCCTGTGGGATCTCGACGACGGTGGCTTCGCCGGCGTTGTGCTCCTGAAGAAGAGTGAGTTTCCTAACAAGCATGATCTTTCATCGATATTCATGTGCTGATAACATGCTAGCTCTGAACCCGATATCACCATCCGAACCATCAGGTAGCTGGGACTCCATACATGTTTTCGAGGCCGCAGAACGAGGACGTCAGGCACACTATAAGCTCACATCGACGATCATGTTACAGCTAATCACAAAACGAAGTGATGATGGCATAGCACCGAGTACAGGCAAAGAAGGAGAGAGCTGGAAGCGCGACGGAGAAGTCAGTTTGAGCGGGAGTATGACGCGACAGGTGCGTTAAACAGTTCTCGAGAGCCCGTTTGCCACTCAACGTGATAACTTTGATATTGGCACTCTCGGTGGATAGACGGAGCAGGACCACTCGCTGCAGGACGCGAATTCTCATATCACCAACACAGGCCGTATGATTGAGGAGATGGAAATCAAGATGCGCAATCTCCTACAGGAGGTCTACTTTGGAAAGACGCGCGACATTGTATACGACCTTCGCAGTACAGAGAATCTGGAGAAAGCGAGGAGACAGCGAGAGTTACAGAAAGAGCTGGTTGGGTTTATCAAGAGATAGAAGTCTACGACCATGCCGGGCGCTAGAATGAAAGGACTTGATATTACAAGTGGACCCGTTGAAATACATCACAGCATTCTCAGATGTTGGTACAAATGGTGAGCTATCCAAAATATGATGCTGGGTGAGGTCAGCAGCTAGAAAGAGGGAGAAATCGCGCTATCTGCTGTCCGTATGGTGAGCAAGTTGCAAATAAGGTAGGTCATCTATTTGAGTTTGCTGACGAGACAAAATTACGGGTTTAGAGACCTTGCAAGTAAGGTAAAAGTACGCAGGGGTTTCTTCACGCATTCACGGGTGTCTATTGTACAATCCTAGGCCAATCCTAGTGACGCTGCAGTAGATTGTCACTATCAGTTGCTATGTCACCTGCGTCAGACGCGCTCGCCCACCTATCGAGCTAGATTTTTACAATCTTACACCGAGAAGAGAAGCTACGTTGAGCATGTCGACGTACATTCGTCATGATCTCAGCTGGGCATCCGCGACTGGATTCGCGTGGATAGTAACCTGAAAAGGAAGGCGATCAAGACATTGAAAGCAATTCGAAGAATTGATGATGACAAGGCAAGAAGACTGCACGTACATGTGTCAATTTGATCTCGTGCAGTGGCCTGTTCTTATTGTTGACCGGGATCCGCTCCATCGCATCGAGCGTAGAATCAGCGCCATCAATCACCTTGCCAAATATTGTGTACTTGGAGTCAAGGTGTGGCTGCTTTGAGTATGAGATGAAGAACTGTGATTTGTTGCTGTCTGGCCCCGAGTTTGCCATAGCTACGATACCCCGGTTGTTAAACTGTCAATTGTGAGCGCTTTAGCACTGAATAACCAGTGATGGGTTCCGACGCGCTAGGACCGTGATCGATGTACCTTGAGAGTGGAGCGAATTTCATCGGCGAAGGGTTTGCCCCATATGGACTGCCCTCCCTTGCCCGAGCCCGTGGGATCACCTCCCTGGATCATGAACGTTTTTATGTTCCGATGGAAAACGGTCCCATCGTAATAGTTGGCAGCACACAGTGCCAAGAAATTCTAGAGATTTTTTTCAGTGAAAGACCACACAGACTGAGCACGAAATGCGTTACTTCGGCAGCTTTTGGTACCGCCTCGCAGAAAACTTCGATCTACACATGGGTAGCTGTAAGTCTGGAGAACAAGCGCCCGAAAGCAGTGAAATGGAAAGAACCTTCAAGTCGCCATAGGTCGTGTGTAGGGTCACTGACTAAATGAGAGCTATCAAGTTTCGATGTCAATGACTAGAAAAGAAACACAGACCATATCGAACAGAGGAAAAGACTGATAGTAGGAACACGGAGGAGAGGGAGTGTCTGGAGTCGGACATGAGAACTGATGGCATCACGTGAAACAGATATATACGGGAGTCCCATCAGCTTCCGGCCCTGCCATTTCTCCCCCTTCCCTTTCCCCCTCCCCTTCAATGCTCCGCACACATCGTCCTCCCTCTGTGTACTCCCAAGACGACCCCCTTGCTTTTGCTTTGCGCCCACCCGAGACAGAAACAGAGACAGAGAAACGAATCAGGCTTCAGGCAGAGGCAGACGCGAAACGAATTTCAGACACCATTGATGAGGAGCTCAAGCAGGAGAGGAAGAAACTCGAAAGGCTCAAGCAGGATGTCAAGGTATGTGCGGCGCATATACTCAACTAACTCATCGTGCTGAAGTCGTTTCCGTAAACCATAGCTGCTTCTCTTAGGGCAGGCCGAATCGGGAAAGTCGACGCTCCAAAAGCAATTCCAGTTGATGTATGCCCCAGATTCCCTGGAAGAAGAGCGTACCTCTTGGCGCATAGTCATATACTTCAATATCGCGCGCTCGATCAAAGACATACTTGAAACGCTCGAGGCGTACGGGGATGTCTATGAAGAGGATCCCGTCATTGAATTATCGGAAGGGGAGGATATTTCTCGTTTCGATCATGACATCTCATCCGGTGAACCTGTCAATCTACTTGGCGGGAGAAGTGGATCGCCCTCACCTGGGACGTCGCCACACCCTACTATGTTATCTCCTGCAGGGGATGCAGCTGCGAGCGCACAGGATCAAGCCAAATATATCGGCACGCTCCGCCATCGCTTATCTCCGCTAGTCGAGTCTGAAAGCACTCTTGCGGATAGTCTTAGCGGGGGTGTGCAGGTGTCTGGCTCCGGAAAGGGAGGCGTCTATGTTCGCCGTGGCTGGCAGTCAACAGCATCTGGTTCGAAGTTTGGCGATGGAGTGCAAAAACCTAGGCGCAGTGTCGGATCCACCAGTGGACGCTCAAATAGTCAAAACGGCACTCGCGCCAGCATTGATGAGAGGAGCTCGTCGGCCGCTGGTGAGATTGTCGAGGTGGTTTGCAAGATCTTGGAGGAATGTCAGGAGGATGTGAAAAGCTTGTGGGAGACCGAGGTCGTGCAGAAGATGATCAGACGAAGGCGTCTTCGGTTAGATGAGTGGTCGGAATTGTGAGTAAACAGACTCCATGCGATAGCCATCAAAGCGACTGACATTTAGACATCTAGCTTCTTACACAATATAGCTCGAGTGGCCGCGCGCGACTATGTGCCAACTACAGGTAACGGTCTTTATGCACAGTTCTCGTTATGAAGACTCTGATCGCTTCATTCAGATGATATCCTCCACGCCCGCATCCAAACGATGGGTGTGGCCGAACACACTTTTGAAGTCCCACTGCATGGGAAGTCCGTTACATGGCACTTGTATGACGTCGGCGGTGCCCGAGGTCAACGTCACACCTGGGTTCCATATTTTGACGATGCGAACGCCATCATCTTCGTAGCTCCTATCAGTGCATTTGATCAAGTAGGTTCAGAGTTATTTCCCACCGCAATTAGCCTGATCAAATTGTGGGAAATCTTCATAGTATCTCGAAGAGGATCCACGAACGAACAGAATCGATGATTCACTGCAACTCTTCACACAAATTTGCTCGAATCCACTCTTGAAAAACGTTCACTTGGTTTTATTTTTGAGTATGTATTTTTGGTCGAGATTTGAAAGGCTCGTTTGATTGATCAAATGTCTACAGACAAGACCGATGTTCTTCAATCCAAACTAGCGAGTGGTTTGCGTGTCAACAAGTAGTCAGTCCATCTAAGCATTATACCATGTTTGAGACACTCATGTTTGTTTGCAGCATCACTTCGTATGGCGATCGACCCAACGAATACGACGCAGTCGTACAATACTTCCGTTCTCACTTTTTGCAGGTCCACAGAAGGAACAACGAGCAGAAGCGGGTCTTGTACACGCACTTCACCAGCGTCGTCGTACGTTACCCCGTTGTCGCTTTCATGATCAACAACTGATTTAGCCAATAGGATACCAAAACGACACGAAGCATCATTGCGAACGGTAAGCATTTTCCACTCATCTAGTGTTTGTGAGCACACTGACGCTCCTTGCGTTGATCAGTCCGGGACTCTATCTTCCGTGGTTACCTCAAATCAGCCGCTCTTGTCTAGATCAACATCGTCATCATCACCATTCTCTCCTGGTCGGATCACGGTTTTAAGCGTCCTCAGTCCCTGAACATTCCTCCTAGAAAGCCGCCCTTGTATTCTATTCACTATCCACCGCACTGTTTCCTCTTGTTCCGCCTGCTTGTCCCCGTCCACGAGCTTTCTCTGTATGGTCGCAGCTCACTGCACTTGTCATATGCATCCCATCTCCACTGTTGTCTGTGTTTTTATTCCCATCAGAGCACGATGGCACGATAGAATCGAACCCTGTGCTTGTTTACTCTAGGTCCAAGTTTAGTACTTAGTTGCCCGTCGCCCGCGTTCACGTATTGTGTATTATGTATTGCTCGTAGTATTTTTGATGCCCACAGAGTTGATCGTTCCTGCTTTACCACATCATCATAACCATTTCTGTCCTAGCGAAAGCCGGCAATATGTGAGCTGATCGATCAGGTTGTTTTATCATCAGAACAACGGGAAGCTGTACAGCAAACGGTCACAATGGTCGCCGTATGGAGCGCACACGAGAGCAAAAGCCTGTCCTATTAATCGTGTATTACAACGCTACTAGGCACATGACGAGGAAACATCATTCCTTGGACTAAGCAGGCGCCTCCTAGTATCTCCTAGCGAACTCCTTTGAGTTCTGCTTTCTACCTCTTATCGTCTTTTTTGAACTCCATCAGTCCCCAAATCGCGAGCCGTCCGTCCTTGCCACCACTGACCAGCCAACGCTCACGGTTCTCCTTCTCGGCTGAACTCATATCGTCTTCCGAGTCGCAGTCTTTCAATACCTCCATGGGCCGATGTTGAGGTAGTCGCGCCCATGCAATCGCCTGAACGCTGTCTTTGTGATAGACGAGCGTGCCCAACGGCTTGAGCGTCTTTGCGGAGTAAAGCCTGATCCTGTGGTTGCCATGATGCATATGGCACGTAAAATGATGCCGAGGCAGGTGAGGTCAAGACCGGTGAAACAGGAGCGTGATGAATGGGTATCTATACTTACTTTCCGTCCCAGCCGCCCACAGCACAGACCCGGCCGTCCTCACGCAACGCGATAGACCCATTTCCTGGGCGCTTTGTTCGATGGGCGGTGCATGCGGCGCCCACACTATTTGCATCGTCATCCAATGCCTGAGGGCGATCATATCAACAAATTTGGTATGAAGACTTGGCCGCATGAAGTGCATCTAGGGGGATCGCCAAAGTGGGACATTGGGTACGTACCGCGAGATTGTACCGTGCGATGAGATGATCAGCAGAGACAGACAGCGCTAGATGATGATTCGCAGAGGCAGCCATAGCCATTACTGGAACCAGAACCAGAACCAGAACCAGAACCAGAACCAGAGAAGGAACAAGTCAAGCAAGGCTGACCATAAACGGATAATTAGATTGCACACAAACCAGATTCAACGTGCATCTTTGTGGACCAAAGGCGCTCCCAACCGATCCCTTCTATTGACTTTTCTTTGTCAACGCTATACTGCCACATTGACACACTGCCATTTTCGTAGGACGTGAGTAATTGTGGATGCTTAGACCTGCTCTCCGAAGAGGAAGGCGCTGCCCCCATAGGAGGACGTCCCGGGAGGAGATGCATTGACATGATAATCCCTGTGGGAGACGGGGTGATTTTTCTTATGCACTGAATAGAAAAGCCCTCTGTCATTTATACCGGTCGAGTTCTTTATCCCTCTTCCGTCGGTTCCCGGCATCGGCAGGGAGTCCAATTTCCCTTTCCCTATTGCGGCATGTATGCGCTCTTGGGAGGGAAGCATCCATATATCCGCCTATCATTCAATCAAGACAATCGTCACCACAAAACAAGACTGGAAAGGAGAATGAATGAGGATTCAAAGATTCATACCAGTGATGATTCGATGAGGTTAGGCAAAGCAATCAACGCCTCTTCTGCCGCAATCGGACTTGATTTACCCAATGGAAGCAGAGAGAATCGACAATAATTGAGCGAATTCACGTCCATTGAATATGCCAGGGCTGGATTGGGAAGTCCTGGGAGCAATGCGGAGTCTCCAACTGACGAATGACCTTGCGTGGGTCTCTTCCATACATGAAGCTTGTGATCTCTGCTATGCCTGTCATGCACAAAGCCCGTTCATGCATGCACGGCGGAGAGGATCAATTTCTGAGCACGAAATGATGTAATTATCTACAAACGGACGTGATGAGCTGTTCATTCCATTCCTGTATGCCAAGGATACCATCGGTATGCGCATTCCAGGAAGCTAACGCGCGCAGCGAGCGTGTTGATGTGATCACGACGAGGCCTGATGAGTCGCCAGAGTAGATCCGCTCATTGTCGTCGGAGAAACACACAGCGCTTACTGGTGAAGCATGCGAGCGTATTAGATGAATTGGTGTCGGTGGATGAGCAGACATTACACTCTAAATGCCAGCTTTGCAATACACAGCAGAGACTCGACGGCTAAATTGGATGATTTGGATCACGGCAGGTGCCTCATGAAAACTCTATTTCTACTTTGGTCCTTATCGGTCCTAATTCACCCTAAATTATCTCTGTTTTTGTCAGATTGTTTTCATAATGGTCATAAGTTACTATTTGAGACATGGGATAGGTTGTTGTGGCCGTTACTGGGGGGTCTTGCATTTCGGACTTTCTTGAGCTCCATGGTTCTGCAAACAGACTCGCTTATATACCGCGTTGTAGGTGAAACATAGCAAGTCAGGATAGAGAACCCTGCAGTATAAGGTAATTACTGATCCAGTATGGACTCCGAAGCGGGTCAGCCAGCAGTATCGTTGGAAGTATGAAGACGTGAGCGACAGACCAATCATGTGGCAGAGGTATCACGGTGAAGTGTCATCAAGACGTGAGAAAAGTAAGTAATGGGTATCGATCACAAGATGATTCGGAAAGACTACATGCAGAAGATGAACAAAGCGGAACTTGCAGAAGAGATGGTTGACATGGTGTGGGAGGGGATCGTACGAGTTAATACACTTGATATCCAGGGCAACGAACGGGCACATAAGGACAGTGAGTGATCGGACGGAAAAGCGACCAAACTGGCGTGAGGATGCAGAATCAGAAGTTTGACCACGAAACAAGCTCTTCTCTGGAGGAGAACCCAGGTCCAGCGTCCATCTCGACGGTGACGCCAAGGCTGCTGCTACGCATCGGGCGCTCCGCCTTGAGGCCCTTGACCGGTTTGACGAACACCCACGCAGGGACGGCGCCCATTTCAACATCTCCTGATTTAAGCATGCTATCGCGTCCGACGATGCACCAGCCATCGTCAAAAGATTGAACGACTGTGATCTTCTCTTCGAGGTTGATGACAAGCTCATCGGGAAGGACTGGGTTGAAGAGCTGTCTAACTTTGCGGCTCTCCACACCGCGACTCGTAGAAGAGGAACTAAAAGCAGAGATAGAAGACGAACGCCAATCAAGGCCGAACATAGAGGTGCGCGGAGAAGACCTATCGGCGGTGAGGAAGGAAACAGTGGATACGGGACGACTGTTGGTAGAATTGGAGGGAGAGTGGCCGAGAATACGAGGGGGCTTGAGAGCAAATGAGAAGGGTCGGGTGATGTTTCCAGCTTCTGTGTGGTACCGAATAATATCATCCTTTGTGGCGTTGGGATTGATTATGGCCTTGTTAGGCATAACAATCGACGGACCCATCTGCGTTCTAGAGAAATCATTTGCAGCGGATCCAATGGAGACACTGGTGTTTTATATGAGACATTGGGCCGTGAATGAGGATGCGAATCCAATTCAAACATAAGACTACTTACCTGGGCAACGACTCCTGGCCATCCTTCACGACACCCTTGACGGTAAGGAAAGCCCCACTCCTCTCTTCCTTCCTCTTCTTAACGTTCCTCTTCCGGAGGAGGCGAACAAACAGCCACCCTATGACAACAGCTACGACGACACCTGCAACCACAAATCCGGTAATGATAACCGGAGTTATTTTGTTGGAGTCATTAGAGTCAGGGGAATCACGGCGAAGAAGCTGGGTATATGAGGTTGAGGGCGCCATTAGTAGCTCAAGCCTTGTCCGATAGTCTTCGGTCACCGAAGGAAGTGTTTGTTGGTGAAAAAAAGAGCTTGATTGGTAGAAACCGAAAGGAATGTCGTAACGGAACACGGAGATAGCCACTTGAGAAATAGCCCTATACAAATGTCTGGAAAATCACAGAGAGAAGTACCAATTGCTCTATGTGCCAGGAATGAAGGCCAAAGAGCGACGGGCCAGAGGCAGATGAAGGATGGGAGGAAGAATAGTTCGGGATGGCAACTCACGCGCTTTAGATAGTGCGACGCAACTGAGGCCGAAAATGGTAACCGCACGTGGACGTCATAATGAAATCTCAGATCCCTCATCTTGATCGGCCCATTCCTGTGCGAACCTAAAAAGTACCTAAAAGCAATTCAGCGCATCTTTCGCATTTCGTATCTCGACAGGTACCAGTCACTTACTGCCAGTGTCGGAAGATCAGGATACTTTTCAACGGTGCATGATTTGGTTGTGGACATCCTCGACACTATCTCAACATTGTCGCCTTGACAACTACCTTGTCCGATGAATATTGCATATCTGTCAGGACGATCGCATCTTCAAAAACACACCTAACACATAGCAATTTGAGAAGAAATATTTGTATTGTACGGTTAGTATAGGCGCTTAAGCAAAGTAAAATATGTTCCGAATACCCTCAAATGAATCAGTGTTCTCTAGCAGCGAGCTCTCGGACCAGATCATGCAAGCCTAGGTCTCTCTCGATCTAAAGGTACATGATCGCGTTCAAACTCGTTCCTTCAAGTGATAATTGCGAGAACGTGTAACATACCTGACTCTTCAACTGTGCATCTTCCTGCCCTACCGATGATCTGAAAACAGCGTCAATTTCCTCCAACGAAATGTTCGCAGTTTCGGGTACGACGTATGTAGACCAGAGGTACGCAGCAAAACAGGCACATGCGAATACCATGAACGTTCCGCTAATCAAGGTCGTCAGTGATCTGCACCAGCGCTGATGTATAAGTGAAATATACCTAGCCGATATCTCCATCAACCCTGGCGTCACCAAACCAACGAGAACTGAGAGGTAGCGGTGATGAATAGCGAAGGTTGTAAGACCTGTAATGTGTGAGGGCTGAAATCACTTACAGTTGTTGGACCAGACGGAGGCGGTTGAGAGGGATACACCCTTGCTTCGCATCGATAATGGGAACACTTCGCTTGGTAAGACCCACCCGACTGGACCGAAGCTGATCCCATAGGCAGCCATGAACAAGTAGAGGCAGCTGTTGACATTCGTTGAAGATGTTTCAGAGGGAAACAGAGCAGCAAGTGATGGACTCACCCCACAGACATGGCAGCTGCTACCCTATGTTCTGCCCAATGACCGCTGAATTCGTAGATCTATTGAAGAATAGTATAGGGTCAACCTCGTATGATAGGTTCACATCTAGTCTTACAAGCAAGCTGACGAGGAGATGAGATATCGTCATGACCGCACTACCTGCTCTTAAGAGTGGCTTTCTTCCTGTAAAAATATGTTTGTCATATCTTCAGCTAGAGGGGAGTCGTTCGCTTACCCCACTGATCAATGTAGACTATCGCAGGCAACACAGCAACGAGTTGAACGATGTTGATACCACCTGCGACTAGTAGGTCCACAGAGTTGCCAGTCAACCCAAGACTCCGCAGGAGCAATGGGCCATAATACTAGATGCATGAGGATGCTTAGATTTCACAAGGTGTACCAAAGGCTCTATGAAGTATGCTCACAATCAATGCATTGATGCCGCTCCATTCTACCCGAGACCCTTTGATATTCGTTAATACGTAAAGACGATCAAGGTAGGCTTACGCTGGAAAAACATGATCATGATACCGATGAGAGTTCGGTCCAGATATCGCCGGTCGAAGAGTTTCACCCACGACCGGGCTTCGTTGCGAAACGAATTCTTGTCGTCAGTGCCAGTCATTCGATAGATGAGATTTGCTTCGACCTGCATTTCCAAGAACTCGATCTAAGACACCTCAAAATCAGCACGTCATGTGTGTGCAAGATGTTCGGCAAACCTGAAGCAGTGGGTCTGTCTTAGCCTCCTCGGAAGAACGAAGACGCAATTTTGCAAGAGATGCAAGTGCTGCATCACTCTTCCCTTGGTATACAAGAAGACGGGGCGATGGGGGTAGAAGAAATGACCCGAATGCCAGTAACAATCCAGGAACCAATTGGAGACCTAAAGGTATGCGCCACGACGCACTCCCAGGGACTGTTACATCAGAGTTGATTATTCGATAAATGATACCTTTTAGTCGGCTAAGGTCTATGGGCTGAGCTAGGGACGTACTGTTGCGGGTGAAGAACCCAGTCCAGAAACCGATTACACAGCCGAGTACTATAGAAAACTGCTCTAATGACATGAGCGAACCCCGAACTTCAGGCGGGCTGATCTCAGCCATGTACAAGGGGGATAGCATGCTACGAGAATGAACCAATCATTATCAAAAGAAAGATGCAGTCACGAAATCTCACCGTACCTAAGGGCACCGATACCAAAGCCACCAATTGCCCTACCCAGAACAACGTGACTAAGAGATTCAGCCCAACACTGTAGTGCAGAACCTATACAGAACACAGCTATGTGGGAGTGAAGAATCAAAGTAAGTAAACATTCGAGTGAGGGCTTCGAACTAGGTCATATACATACCGCACGCAAGAACCATTGAGGTGCGCCTCGAAAACCTGTCCGCCGAGATACCTGCCATCAGAGCACCAAATAACGCCCCCAGCTCCAGTACAGCAGCTATGAAAAGAAACTTAGAACAATATTTTGATTGATCCAAGCTCGAAGATATACTCACTCATTAGACCCTTCTCCCATGGCCCTATAGGCCATCTCTGCATGAAATCTTGCATTATGAGCACATTGGCAATGACACCTTGATCGTATCCAAATGTTAGACCTCCAATCGATGCGAAAATGGCGCATCCACATGCGTAGGAATTGTGCCAGAGGCCCGCGAGACCCTTAGGGCCGTACGCGTAGGAATAGCTTTCGCCATCGGGAGAGAAAGAGAGCGTTCCGCCATACTGCGTTGCGAGAGTGTATCCTGGAAGACGTTCAGGTTGTGAAGATGTCTCTGATTGGGCGCTGATACTGTCTGCGACGTCGGAAGGAACTGCTAAGTAGCCATTGAGCGGTCGGGTTGAGGCTGTCTAGAATCCGCTCAGTAACGAGCAGGTGGGACTTGACTTGATTTCATACCATGCGCTTTCGAAATCTCCAATATTTTCACAGGCTAGGCAGTCAAAAGTGAAAAGGAGAAAGTGCTTGAGTGATGGTGGAATGTGAGTTCCAGGATTCTCAGACGGCACCATTGACCCCGCATTCGAAGCCGCGGCAAGTCGGTAAGGATAGCCGATTGGTCTGTGCTCATTACTGAAGTCCCCCTGCGTGCTTCAAGATCCGATGTTGTACATCCTCACAAAAACACTATAACCCCTTCGCTGCCTCCAACTGTCACCCTTGTGTCACTCGAACTCAAAACCTCGACAACTTCATCACCCTCAGAGACCCCATTAGCATAACTTTGTCCTGCCCACACGACCTTGCTCGAATCCTTCGAGTCCATCCCGGGAGCCGTCATTCGTTTTGCCTTGACTTCCCTTCCTTTCTTCGTGTTTCCCACGTAATCCGATAGATCGACGGAGACAGCGAGCGTGTCTGCTTCGTCTGCAGTTGTCGATGCGTTACGATTGGCTAAGTTGAGGAAAACGAGTCGGCTGAGATCTTGCCGGTCCCACACAGCGTAGACAGCTAGCTGCGGATGTTCTGGAATATCGATGAGGGAGAGACGCGAGTTTCCAGAAGGGCCGACGGCCTCTGTTATGAGCAGGTAGGCGACGTATGAAGGCGAGGCGCGGGCGGCGCCATAGCGGTCGGACTCAACCGGATACCAGAGATTGTACTAGGGGACAATGACCATTAGTTTCCGACAATATCCAAGAACATATAGTACTGAGATGCCTGTGTACCCATGAGAATCCAGGACTCGAAAGACGGAAATATTAGTGGCGCAAACAGAAAAAACGCGCATCAAGTACCTGTTCGCTTGTTGACTGCTTTGAAACACTAATGTCGCGCCCTGGTGCATATACATTCTAGAAATGTTCAAAGAGGCACTGTACAGGACAGCTTCGAATCGGCGTAAGATCAATGTTGCCCAAGAGATGTAGGCTACTCACTGTCTGCCAACCACAGAGCCTGACCAAACGTATCCGATACGTTTTGTTTGCCAGAGCAAGAGATAGAGCTATATTCGCCAACGACGAAACCCTTTCCGACACTGCGAGCGGCCGCAATTTGAGGTTTCCAGAGATCAACGTATGCCTAAACAACGTGAGCAGATAGGTAACAAGGAGTCTTTTCACGGACTCACAGTGATGTTTTGATGATTCACCAAGTTCGGTAATGTCGTCTTAACATTCCTCGCAGGATCACATGTCGAATACTGATACCTATGGTATCGTTACCCAAGATGATGTTGGCATCACGAATGAACCCTTACATGTGTTGGTTATAATATTTCACGACGCCAGTGGTATCAATGCCCTCGTTGATGATGTCGACAGTTTTCATCGAAGCGCTTGGCGTAGGATCATCCGCAAAACTTCCTGCTTGAAAAATATGTGGAGGCAAGGAGAGATTCCTGGATAGCACGTCTGTCCATCCAAGAAATTGGGCTGCGTAGTCTGAAGAGGACCAGCCTGATGGGCGCGAGCCGCCGGCATAATGGTCGGGTTCATTTCCTACTGAAAATTGTGCATGTTTTAGCCCAACGTGTTTACAAGTGACCAACATAAGAAGCCGCACATTCGAGAGCACGTATTCGGTTCCACCCTAAGTGATTGATTGATGCAGCCAATTCATTCCGTGCAATCCCAATAGTATTGTTACCGAGGTTGACGCTGACGACAATTTTTGAAGAGTTCGGAAAGACGCCGTATGATTCGAACAGTCCTGGTCCGCTTGATGAAAGACGCGGCGAATTTTAGAATTTTATAGATATGGTCGATGAAATCTTACTAGGTGGACCGATAAATACCGCCTGACTGCCCGTGTCAACGATCAATCAGTCTTCATGAAAACAAGGTCAGTGAGTACATACCGGGTTTTCTGCCAACAGCAAGGAGGGTCCGTGTTCACTGAATACCGAGCTATCTCTGCTCCTGAGATCAGTACCTTCACTTATTATAAGTTTTAGAAACCTTGCTCACATGGTAATGCCCCCAGGTCGGATATCTGGACCTACTCCGGTCCTCTCTACCAACCTCTGCATCAACTCCCTCGTCAAGATGTTAGGATTCGAGTTGTTGCCTCCAAACACATCAAGAAATGCGAATTCTATAGAAAGTGAGGCAAGGCTTCGATCCAGTATCTGCGATGCATTGGACGGACGAGAAGAAATCTTTGGGAGCGTAACGAGCTGGGAGGCGAAAACGGCTTCCCAAACGCTACAGGCACATAGTAAGTGTGCCTTCAGCAGCATCCTCAAACAGAGCTGAAGACAATGAACATCAGAGTTTGTGGCACTGTACTTATACCCTCGTGGACGACGGTCAGCTTGGTCACAAGGGCGGACGACGAGCACAACCATTCGTTGGATGCATTTCTGGGCGGGCCGTTGCCAACGTCAGCTGGCTAACGGTTCTTCGGCAGTTGGGAATTTGCGAGGAAAGTCTGAGTCAAAGTACATAAATGAGGGGAATTTATTAAGAACCTCAGATATTCGCTCAAGGGAAGCATGGACAGTGTATGAACCAAGACGTGCGGACGATGATTTCATCCATGGAACGGTTGAGACGGCCCGCATTCCCGATGACTAAGGTGCATCTTAACTGAGGTTTGGCCCGTGAGATCGGAGGATGAATCTCGAAGAAATCACGTAGGATTTGCTCCTGTTCTTACTATTGTGTTCATTTCCAAGCCATTTCCCACCACCTCTCTACCATTGACTCGAGATATATCTCATGTCCTGTGGAAATCCAAACGAAGCCTCTGGGGAGGCCCTCATGCCCCGTTGGTCAACAGAACCTAGTTCTTGATCTCTTCTAATTTGATCTCTAGGAAAGCCCAAATTCGACAATCTCAGAGTTTGCGTCAAGTGCAGAACGTCTGGAGGGAACATTGTTATTCGACATGCAGTATATTGCAAGTGTGTTCACCTTTTTGCCTATGCCTGCCTCTATATCGCTAATATTTTTCCACAGGGAATGCTTCACACCTCTCATGACAACGAAATTCCGTCGCGCTCTCGAACCTCATATCAACTACCTCCCAGATGGTCCTCGCCGTTCAGCTTTGAAGCCATCTGGCGATCTACTTGTCGGCTTCTCTGGAGGTTTAGGCTCGACAGTACTCCTCGATCTGGTTCATCGGATTTATATAGCTAAAAGGAGAACAGAGAACGGATCAGGCGGCAAGGCTCACCCAAAGACTACGAGGGTGTGGAAAAATGTCAGAGTCTGCTACGTGGAGATATGTGATGCCTTTCCTGGAGTGTGTCTATTCGATTTTATTATCGTGCGCGCGCTGCTAATATCGAAACAGATGAGAGACAGGACTGCTGAAATCGAGGCTGCTGTGGGTCGGTATGAGGGGTTTGAGTTTATACCTTCAAGGATTCAAGATGCCTTCGATCCTTGCTGGTGGGAGACAGTGTCTGGAGTTTCATCAAAATCTCCGCCGCCTTGGGCGGTTGATCTAAGCAATGAAGGTTGTCCCAATTTTTTCCAACAATGCCGCCGCAACTAGCTCATTGAAACATAGAACTGTTCTTGTCGCCGTCGCCGTCGGAGTCAACACCACTCGCCTCACTTCACGCTTACCTCCAATCGCTTCCTACAACGACTGCTATTACCGCAACCATCTCCACATTCATTCGCCTTCTTCTTCTGTACACTGCTCGCGCTAACGCATCTTCCCATCTCCTTCTCGGCACTTCGTTGACATCACTCTCTATCTCTCTCATCTCATCTATAGCTCAAGGTGGCGGTTTTGTTATCCCGCAAGAGGAACAAGAAGAATGGGTGCCTTTCAGCGAAGAACACTCTAACAACAGTGCCAGCAACGGGCAATGGAAAGGTGAAGTGCGCATAGTTCGACCTTTGAGAGAGATTGGGATGAAGGAATGTGCGGCGTGGGCTTGGTGGAATGACTTGAATGTGATAGGGAAGAAAAGTTTTACCAGTTCGAGACAGACCATCGCCGGTTTGACGAAAGGTGAGCCGCTCAGTGTATCATCTCCTTTATTGACCCATTCATCACTGTTGTCGTGCACAGATTTCATTGTTGGCTTAGAAAAGGACTATCCCTCTACCGTGTCAACTATTGCTCGAACATGCGGCAAGTTAGCACCTAAAGACGATGCCGACAGCCTGTGCGTATTGTGTGAAAGGTATGGTAGTCTTTCATATGAGACTACATCTCCTCACCAAACATAATAGGCCAGCCCAAAAAATGGCGCACGAGTGGAAATCTCGTATATCTATACGTTCCTCATCAGACCAGAAGTCTATTCAAACCGACAGCCCAGCATCTCTCACATCTCGCCTATGCTACTCCTGCCATACGACTCTCACAAGCCGTAGCAGCCGGTCAGCCGTTCCTTTGAAACGATGTGAGGCATCTGGGCCAGCACTACCTGTCCATCTGCCTGTATGGATCAACTCGCACCTGGTGACCGAACCATCAAGCTTAGGTGTGGGCATGACAGTCGTACCAGAGCACACTGCACAAGAGAGCGAGCTCTGGAAGAGGCAGAGGATGGATAATGAGGCGATGAGGGTTGCAATAGGTGAGTTTTTATTGGAAGAGTAAGTTAGGAGGGTTGTCCTCTATCGATACGACATGTTGTAGCGCTACTGTACATTTTTCCAATATCACCTCCCTGTATCGTTCCACTAGGTTAAACCACTACTCGAAAAATAGGCCTTAACAGAGCACTGTTCAAAGCGCTAGGTGTGAGACACGAATCTCGACCAGCGTCTACGATGATGGGAAGAACGACAGCTTGGCTCTCGTCTCATTCCACGATCCCGCGTCATTAGCCGACTCTGCATTTCCGCACAATCATGACATCTAGCAACAACTCTGATCTAAACGTAACACTTTGTCTTGCGTGTTCCTCGTCTCTCCTGCCACGCTTTCTTAAACCGAAATCAACGAGTCCGAACCCACTCGCTCCTATCCAATCAGGACTACAGTTCAGCCCGGATGTCTTCCTCACTCGATGTTGTGGCCGACCCATCTGCCCGGATTGCCTGTCGAATACCCCTCACCTTGCGCGGTACGATCCTTGCCTAGCTTGTTTAGGAGGCGTAAGCGCTGTCGCTGCACGGAACAACAGACGTGTTCAACTGAAGACAGTGAACAATGGCACAGAGACGATGAATGTGGCTGGTGCCTTAAGGGACCAAGATGTTTTTGCCATCGGAGAAGACGACCTTTCGGAGAACGACGACATTGGCGATGGACCAGAAAATCGCTGTATGGAGACAAGTGATGGTGCTACCCCTCCTCCAGTGTATTCATCTTATCCTGAGCTTTCAGGCGGAGAGTCGCCCTCGCGGACAATCACTAGTGACTCAACACCCCCTACTCACCAGGAATACGTCCATGCTCCGGATTTAAAGGGAAGCTCTGCACCCTCCAGATATTATATCAAACCTAGCGACACGCTGATGGGTATCGCCCTTCGTCACGGCGTCGATGTACGTATCGATACATGTCAACTTCGATTTCTCCTCATATTTTTTATTTTCTCCCTAGGGTCGAAATCTCTGTAGACTAAACAATCTTCCCACAAGCACTTTGAACACGACCCCTCACCTCTTGCACACGCGTACATTTCTCACCCTTCCACCTGCGGACAAGCTTCGTACGCCGATCCTCTCGCCTCTCTCTTCACGCTCATTCGACGCTGAAGACGAAGCACAACGAGCTAAAACTCGAGCAATCGAACGTGCGCAGAAGCGTTTCCAATTTGTTACGAAGGAGGTGGACTGGCGCGTTGCGAGAGCATACATCGCGCTCGAGGATAACGATGAGTCTGCGGACAATGGAAACATGAAGGAGTGGGTGAAAAGGGAGAAGAGAAGTGCATTCGAAGGATCCGATGCCACTGCAGTCAGTGTAGAAAACCGCGCAGTAGATCGGTATCTAGATGACGATGAGTGGGAGAGGGAGGAAGGGAAGAACATGAAGATAGAGCCTATTCCACGGCTTGATGGAAAGGATAGGAAAGGTGAGGGCCCGCGCATTGGGCAGGGAATGCGTGGTAGGAAAAGTCCTATATGACGATGAGAAGTGTATTCCTCCTTGCATTCGCACTGAACGTCCTGAACGTTGACTTATGCACAGCCCAAGCCTCGGACTTGATTTTGTATTTGTCATACGTTGTATTAGTACTTGATCCATCAACCTCACTGATGGGCTATCAAGGTTTGTGGGAATCAGGTATGTCCCATTGACAGTGACGATATCTATCACTGATTTGTCTATGTAAATACACCTCCGTGCGTGGCCTCGCACCCTCAAATCAGCCCATATTTAGCAGCGAAAGGGTCTGCGAGGGGATCTTCCGACGGAATGTACTCCAATACCATTGCTGCCTTCTCTGCGACCTCCCTCCCGTACACTTCTTTGATTAACGCGTAACTAAGATCCAATCCAGCGGTGAGACCACTGCTCGTCCAGATGTTTCCGTCGTTCATGAAGCGGGCCTTCGGTATCCAGGTCACATTGGTTCCTAAAGTAGACACCTATCTCGCGCAGGTCAGTCACTCGCCATTCTCCAAATATGAGAGAGCGACTGACCCATGACCAAACAGACTTAGTTCCTGCAGCGCGCTTATTGTCAAGCAGTCCGGAGGCTGCAATAATAGCACCGCCGGTGCATATTCCTATCAGGTGCTTCAAGGTCTACCAGGACAAAGTGCAAAGCCGTTTAGATGTTGTAGAGAAACTGATGTCGGGAAGCGAGCTTACAGGGTATCGTGCCTTCAAAAATTTCGCCACTCTCCCGCTTGATATCACCTCCTCTGTTGTCCCTCCCGGAATAGCAATGACATCCAAATCAGGAGCATTGTCGAGGGAATAATCGGCCACCATCCTTTGCGCGTTGCCCACATAGCTCTGGCCAACCTTTGTGGACACTATGTCGGAAGATGAGGTGCTGATGAGGTGGATCTTGATGGGAAGGTCGAGGGAGATGATGTTGAGATATTCGAGGAGGGTGTAGATGTCTAAGATAGCCATTCCATCGTAGAGGAGGATACCATAGACGAGAGGGAGGTCGGTAGTTGACATCTTGGTGTTAGAAGACTCGGAGAAAAGGCAGTTCGAGATGAAAATTCAGGAAAACACTTTTCATTTTAAATATTGAACAAATCAAGCGCTCAACAATGCCGATGAGGCTCTTGTCCAGCGGTAGGGTCCAATTCTGCATACGCGTTCGTTCGGCGATCAGGCTGTTGGCGCCAACTTACCAAGCATCAGCTCGCTTCGGTGGTTTCACCGAAAGATGAAGACCGTTCATCGCGGTCCGGATAACAAACTCAAGCCCCTACTCCTTCACAATCCCACATGTCGATTTACTGAAGTTTAACAGAGTTTAAGTGATATGATCTCCCGATGATGCCAATAAGAATTACTACTTTGACCTGAATGAACAAGAAAAAAACACCTGCACTGAGGGGGAATTGAACCCCCGGCGGGTCGATGGCAACGACCCAGGTTACCACTACCCCATCAGTGCCATGTGAAGAGAATGTTAATAGGTGGATATAATCGTCGCAAAAACATTTACTGCCCGGCTCATCGTCCAGTCGCAACGTCTCCATATGTTAATTCCATGTGTAATCACATGCCATTGGTGTGTTTAACCCGGTCTCCTTGTGGACTCCTATAAAGATCATGGCTCTGTATCGACGGGTGTTCAATCAGCATCTTCCCCGCCCCCACATTCGTCTTCGCCACCCCCACATCCACCGTCTACCCTCGTCATGGCTTCCAAAGAATTGAAGCAATTTTCCGCCGAGGACGTTGCACAACATAATAAAGATGGTGACCTCGTAAGTGCTTCTAGACTCCAGTTCCCTTTCACAACGACCAATGCATGCTGCATAGTGGGTCATCATTGACGCAAAAGTCTTCGACCTCTCTCGCTTCAAAAACCTGCATCCCGGAGGTGCGGCCGTTCTGCTTGATGGTGAAATTGGTATGTCTCTCTCCCGCGAACGATGACATCAATTGCCCCAATTTACATGAAAGCATCTCGCGTGCAGCCGGGCAGGATGCGACCGATGCTTTCTATGGTCTACATCGCCATGAGATCCTTGAGCGCCCGCAGTATGCGCGTCTCCAGATTGGCACCATCAAGGGCGAGTCGAGCGTGATGCAAGCTCGCACTCCCGGCCAGCTCAGCAAGGTACCATTCGCTGAGCCCACATGGCTTTCTGAGGGATACCATAGCCCATACTACAAAGAGGCGAGTATATTCCCATACTTCCGATTTCACCGTGCTCATAGGGGCGTATCCAGAGTCACCGGCGTCTTCAGCAGGCAATGCGCCAATTGGTTGATGACGTCATCTATCCTGATGCCCAAGCCCGTGAGGAGGATGGAAAGCGCCCAAGCCTGGATGTCATTCATAAAATGGCGTACGAAGTTTCTCTGAGTAACCTTCGATCAATTTCTGAAATTCATTACAGAGACTTGAATATCCACGCTATGCGTATGGGTCCCGGCAAGCATCTGAAGGGTCTCACTCTTGTGAACGGTCTCATCAAGCCGGAGGAAGTACGTGCACCTGCGTTTATGATCATTCAGCATATGACTCATATCTCATCTTCGATCATAGTTTGACTACTTCCACGAGGTGCGAAAGTCGAATGTTTGACCTCTCGAATTTCATCTCCTAACGCACGAGTATAGCTCGTCGTCACGCAAGAATTTGCTAGAGTCGGTGCTCGTGGCTATGGAGATGGTATGCTCACGTACCGCTCAATTCAAAGCCGCTGCTGATGCTGGCTCCTAGGTTTCAACTCTGGCGCCGTCATCGGTCTTCCCCCGGTGCTCAACTTCGGTTCGCCCGAGTTGAAAGCACGCATTGTCCCCGATGTCTTGGCCGGCAAAAAGTTTATCTGCCTCGCTATCTCAGAGGCTTTTGCGGGCAGTGATGTTATGGGTCTGCAAACATCGGCCACGAAAAGTGAAGATGGCAAGCATTGGATCATCAACGGTACCAAGAAATGGATCACCAACGGAACGTGCGTTTGTCTACTGTTCTTTCATTGGCTTTCTCGTTGAAACAGTGCTATGTTCAGGTTTGCCGACTAGTAAGCTTTGACCGCATTCAGTTGTCAAAACGGGTCTCATTATCTCTACTAGCTTCACTGTGGGCTGCAAAACCGAGGTCAGTCCATTTGCCACCGCTTTTGTTGCCAACTCATTTTATAAACGTATATCTTTAAGGATGGATTCACCGTCATCCTTGTTGAGCGTGGCGAGGGGGTCGAGACAAAAGCCATTAAAACCAGCTACTCCTCCACCGCCGGAACTGCATACATCACCTTCGACAATGCTAAGGCTCCTGTCGAGAACACCCTTGGTCCAGAGGGCGGAGGAATTTTCGTCATTCTCAGGTTGGTCTCACATCCCTTTCGTCCGTGACTCCTTCTGTGCATCTGACACATCTTGAATCACCGCGTCAACAGTAACTTCAACCACGAACGCTGGGTCATGTGCTGCTCTTCGGCACGAAGCCAGCGCGCGATCGTGGAAGAGTGTTTGAAGTGGGTCAACCAGCGTAAGGCATTCGGCAAACCACTTTCATCACAGGCTGTCATTCGGAGCAAACTTGCGGCTATGATTGCCCGGGTGGAGAGTGTGCAAAGTTGGTTGGAGAATATCACGCACCAGATGAACAACATGGTGAGTCTTGCTCAGGCCTTCGGCAGATCCATATACTGATATCCTCCATCCAGTCATACAAGGAGCAGTCGCAGAAGTTGGCTGGGTGCGTAGCATCGTTTGGCTTGAATATGGTGTCCTGATCTATTTACGACGCACAGTCAAATTGGTCTCTTGAAGATGTACGCCACGCAAAGTGCACAAGAGACTGCGCGCGATGCCGTCCAGATCTTTGGTGGTCGCGGAATCACGCGGACGGGTATGGGCCGCTTTATTGAGCATGTAAGTCAATATCCACACTTGATATATCACACTCGAAGAGCACTACTTACCATTTGGTTTCTCTAGTATCACCGTACTGTCCCCTTCGATGCAGTGCTCGGTGGAGCTGAAGACGTGCTTGGTGACCTTGGTGTGCGGCAGGCCATGAGAAATATGCCAAAGAACGCTAGATTATGAGCTGGATCCCCCATTTTTATGTATCCTATCCCTGATGGGTATTCTCCTGTATATTTATTGCACTTTACTAGATTCTGTTTCCCTATCTGGCTGTAAGAGGAAAGGAGATTGGCCTTCCGATTTATGAGCGAGCCATAGAACTCCAGCGCTAATTATACGAAGCCAAGCTCGGCCTGGTGACTTCGTAGCAATCCTTACGTACATATATAATGCCCGAAGAAGCTGCATTCACTCGGGCGCTCAGTCGGCCCTCTTTTTGCGCTGGTCGGCAAGCGGACGTATGCCCACATTGGCCGCAGCAGCCCCAGGGACACGCCATCCAAGCCACCCTACGACGTTCCTGGCGAAAATCTCGCCAAAACCAAGCATGACGCCGTTTACGAATGGGAGGAACATGTTGATCGTGAGCGAGGATACCAGGGCCCACGCGCGTGTCCGGACGGAGAGGGTTCCGTCGAAGACTGCAAGCGTCGTGGAGGCGCTCGCAGACGCGTGTTCATGAGCACGCGTGTGTGAGTGAGGAGTATGAGCGGGAGCGTGCGAGTCGTGAACGTGGTGTGTTTGGTCAGCAGGATGGCGATGGTGGTGTTCGGGTGAGTGGGAGCGGGACGCTTCTGGGAAGGACATGGAGGGGAAGGAAGACGTCATGGATGAAGGGAAGTCGTCCCAGTGTGCAGAGCTTGATGGGTGAGAGTCGTTGGCGTTTGAGGGCGGTGTAGTGTTCTCGGGCGCATGCTGGGTTTGGATTCCGATATTCGTTCGAGCTGAACTAGCACCGGGAAGTACAGACTAGTGATATCCATGAGTAAACGCAGCAAGCTTCAATAGTGTGCTTGGAGAGAATGCACCTGATGATCGTGTCCGCCTTGTACCTCGCTTGTCGTTAGGTCACGGACATCTGCAGTGCTTGAGGGTTCCAGCACATCAGAGGGAGGACTGACATGATGCCCTGTGCTCTCTGTGATGCCTGACACACTCTCCCATCCACTCTCACTTTCCACCTTCTCCTTGACCTCTGGAGGCGGCCTCAATCGCGCTTCCTCTCTCTCTCTTGCACGCACTTCTTCCCATCGGGCTCGTTCCGCCTCCGAGCGCTCACGAGCCTCGGCCGACTGCCGACGCCATTGAGCAACGTTAGCTTCATATTCGGCTTTCCACGCATCGTGTTGCTCGGCGGAGGCGGGCGGCGGTGATGCACCTTCTGTACCCTCAGCAGATTCAGCGACAGCCTCCGACTTCGGTTCGGAGTCCTGGCTATAGCTAGTCTGCGTGACAGCAGACTCGCGAGGAAGGTCACTGATGGAGAAGGCATCAGAAAGTGCGGCCTATATATGTGATGGAATCAAGAATAAATCAGAAAAATTGACAGAAGAAAATTCCGATCAATTGGGAATACCTGGAGAAGGTCTTCTCCGTCGGATTGTAGGGGACTCGAGTGGTCCGCCATAACTTAAAGATCGGTCAAGCTGGGACCGCCGTGTGTCGACGGAAGAGGATATGCGACCAAGCATGGACAAACTGCAAACCGTATCTCGCCTAATGATCACGTCATCCTCTCGTCCTTAGATTCACCGTCTGCTTATAATCCCACAAGCTTTCTTCAGTACTAGGCAGTCAAAACAATCCCGAGGCTATCATGTATCCTTTTGCGTGATAGGCAGGAAACATAAAACACGCCTGTGACTCCTCACAATCGGGATTTCAGGATCTGCTGTTACAATGTTCTGAAGCTGACAACGTCCTGATTCATCAACTGCGCCAGAGCTCAGAGAGGCTCAGCGCTCAGAGTCGACTTATATATGACGATGGTATCTCTTAGTGATGTTTTCCGTCAGCGTATGGACCGCTTTCGGTGATCGTAGCGCAATCTTCCACTCGCAGACATCTGGCATTTGAATTTCTAAACCACTCTTCAATGTTTCGTGAAATATTCCCCGTTTATAGGTTCGTTCTCCTCCGTGTCTATGAGTTCGTGGCCTCCAACTCCCCTCTAGACAGGGGAAAAAGTTGAATATTGACCTTTGGTGATATATTCTTAGGTGTCTAGCCTAACATAACCCTTGGTTTGTTCAGAGGGCGGTGATGATGTATCTCATTTCAAACTTCTGATTCTGAACTATCATCCTCCATCGTAGTCGTTCTTGGCCGTGTCTCTAATGCATATATACTTTTTGCCAGGACCTTCGCTATGCAATCAAACCTGACAAACGGGTAAGGAACCAGTCTATCAAGTGCGTCCAGGCTTTACTACATCTACTTATCTGCTTCGATAGAAGTCCTTCAATGTAGTATAGCAGCATCGTCAAGGAATTGATCGAATATTCAGGACATGTGCCCTGTAATAGCAGGCATACGTACAGTCGAGTTATGCTGGTGCGTGTTGGAGATTCCTTTTATACATCATGCTTCCTTTCAACCTTGTCATCTTACATATTTCGCTCGGCTCGCGCCCTCTTATGCCCCGCACGCCCTGTGTTTTGTTTTTTCGTCATTCGCTGGTCATGTGCCTACACAATGCGCAGATTTTGACTGGCTCCATCCTTATCAATCCCACGCACTCTGCTTCGGAAAGCCATTGCAACTGTGCACATGAACGTCGTGATTCTAGATAGCGCACTCCCTCTCATCCCCTCACATACAACTAACGCGAAATAAGTGTATCTCCTTACTACTGCCGCTGCTTTGCTTCAACCAGTGCTTGAAGCGCGTACTCTTAATCCTAGCCATGATCAACAGACCGCCTGTTGAAAGTCCCACATCTTACGGAAATGCTACATCCTTCTGGGTCGAATATCCGTCTGGACTGGTCGATTTAACACGGTCGAGCCCTCTGGTATCCCAGGCGAGCGCCAGCGTTGTACAACCGCCATTGACTGATGCCCATTTGGAAGTTCCCGTCGATGGGGGTCGTATAGTCAGGGTCGATAAGACGAAAGCCGCATTCGTGATTATCGACATGCAGAAGTGAGCCTCTGAGTTTCTGATATGGCTGGTCTAGATATCCCCTGACATGGGACAGTTATTTCCTCCACCCGGACATGAGGGATCATCCCACTGGCCTAGCCTGTGTCGAGCCCCTTCTCAAGGCTGTACCCGCGCTCCGTTCTCAAGGGGTCAAGACCTTGTGGGTGTGCGTATGACTTCCTATCTTATAAATCCGGAATTGGATTGACATAAAAGACGGTCAGGAATTGGGGTCTGACGGAACATGAATTGTCGACCATACCCCCGTCCCTCGTCCGCAGTTTCATGAAAAATGGCAGGGGTGGATTTGGTTCTGACATTCCCGGGAACTGGGGCAGGCTTCTTATGCGAGGCGAGCGGAACGCTGACCTTTACGGACCTCTCCAAGATGAATACCTTAAGGGTAAGGATTTGGGTTCTGATATGTGGATCCATAAGAATAGGTGATGACCCTTCTGATCTTACCTGAGCGCTGCGTGCGTCGCGATCACGAAATTAAAGCGGTTTTTGACCAGGATGAGCGGGATATGGGGATACCAAACATCGTTGGACTTATATTTGGAGCAGGCTGGGATCACGACGTTATTTTTCGCCGGAGTCAACGCTGACCAGGTATGCAATCACGTCGACTAACACTTGTTTCATTCATATATACTATTTTGAATGCCATAGTGTGTGTTGGGCACCATCGTCGACGCTTACTATCGCGGATACGATGTGATTTTGGTAGAAGACGCTGTTGCCACCACATCTCCTGCTGGCGGCCTCGAGAATGTAGTTCACAATATTGGCAACGTGGGTCGCTGTATATATGTAACCTCCCTGCTCTAACCGAAATCCCGTTCACCCCAGAGCTACGGATTTGTTACGGACAGCAGGCGAATTGTCGAGGCTGTCAAGGAGAGTGCAAAGTGATTGGCTTCTGAGTTACCCATATGAATGATTGATCAGTCTGGAGATCCTCGATGAATATGTTCGGGTCAAATTTGATCTTATATTCTTCAGCGATAAAGTTCTATATTGAAGCTGAAACGATAGGGAACAAGAGTCGAATGTCTACCTTTGATCCGCAGTTGACCTTCGATTGGCTGTCTTGAGATATCGATCGCGGACTACACATATCTAAGTGAAGGATTGTCAAAAAAAAAAAGAGTTCGACAATAGAAAAACAATACCTAAAATTCATCTGGCGACCGGAGTCCCGCTCACGATAAAACTTCGAAAGGTAAGCACTTGGGAGGACCGTAGTCAGAGTCGAGGCTGAGGACTCAGCGCTCAATAAGGTCGTAGAGGAGCAGACCACTCACAAGAGTTGCAATCCGCATACACACGGATCTGTGGAGTTCAAGATGATTGATGAAGAATTTCAGGAAGCAAATAATGACTTGATATGCGATGTCATTGGACATTACATATAATCTCAAGAAGAGTTGGCAGGCGTCACTTGATAAACGGACGGTGAACATTATAAAGATTCCGACCTTGCTTGATACTAGCGAAAGGCCGAGGGACATAGCCGCTATATCAACAAATAATCAGCGCTTCTCAACGTCTCAGGTGCTCTTGCTTCGTTTATCACCGACGAGGTGAGAACGAGACAGACACATGATAGTGATGAACCCGAAGAGGACGGCATACGCTATGGACCGTGGAGAAAGATGATCTATGGTGTGTGAAGTAAGTTTTCGGGGTCTAGAGAAGAGCATTGTATTCCACACCGATCCTGATACGTGGCGTGGTTCAAGATTGCAAATTGACAAATGCAAGCCATGGGAATTGGCTGAGATGCTTCCATGATTTCTCTTGGAAAGTTCATCAGTCAACATAGTATGGAGGTAACCTGTTCTTCTCTTCCCACTTATACCGTGCCTTGAGGTGACTGTCCATACATAGCGAAGGTTTGGGTGCGTTTCGTGGAGTCCACTACTTTCAAACCACTCAATATCGACGAACACCAGAAGTAGCACTATATGCCTACCCGGAAAAGTATAAGGCACAGCTATTCTTCGCCGATTGAAGAGAGACTCACCGATGAACGAAACATATTCCTCTTGTCTATACGTGGGTACGGCAAAAGGACCTCAGATGCACTGCCATGACCTCCGACCCGTCAGGTTGAAGGTCTCATGTTCTCAGCAGTAAGGGGTCTTGCTATCGTAAGGCTTCGACAGACGAGATTCTCTGCGAACCACATCTGGGGTCATCCCCACAGGCACCAGTGTTGAAAGACACTGTACGATCAATATGAAGTCCTGCTCAAATCAAGGTGGACGCCATGTTGTTGAGTTACGCCTACATAACGATGCAGAGCTACTGTCATAGAGGCAATGGAAGAAATTGGGAGTAAAGTCTGGATCATGATCGCGCGTATCGTAAAACTGTTGTTCAACAAGTCACGCGAACCAGTGTTCCACCTTCCAGTCAAGAAGGTACTGGAACCGCTCAGTCGGATCTGTTGACACGTAACGACATGAGACAGGTTGCATAGCGAGGCCGAATTCTTGAGCATATTACTTCGTGTGGAACCATAGCGATGGCGACGCAAAGTCCGGTTATGAGCGCCTGCATAAGTGGCCCAAAAGCAAACATGGTGGTCTGATGGTTTCTGACGCGAAAAATAAGTATAGACTTGTGTACTATAACAAGTATCATTACCGCAATTGAGAAGATAAGAACTGACCCGTGACCGCGCACCTAAGGCGACCTGCAGTCGTTTTTGTGGCTGTAATGACAGGCGTGTCGTGGCTCAAATATCGACCTATCAAAAATCGACAGGGTTAACAGAGGGGTCTTCGTCGAGCAAAGATAGCGAGGGATGGTACCTAAGATAAGTTTGCGATGTCAAATTCCCTTGGCCGAAAATGGCCCGCCTGTTTCACCATTGTGGATCCTAGAGTATAAAGAGGACATGCAGATGCACAGTACCTGGCGTACACGCCCGCGGAAATGTATCAATCAGTGAGAGAAAGTGATGTGAGGGAATGTTGCCCCGTTTATGCCGGATATGAGTGGTCTATTCAGTCATGTATAACACCGGGTGCCCCGGACTCAGGAATGTCTCAATGTGCAGCCGATTAAAATGTTTGCGACCGATATAGATGTGTGAGGCAGATGTCATACGTCCTACCTCGTCACAAGGTTGTAGCAGCAGATCTAGTTTGTGAATGGCGTGGTCGACAATTGAAGGGAAGCACTTATCTTTAAAACTGGAGGGACGTGATAGTTCTGTACATGACGATGTGCATGACGGTGTGCATGACGGGTCACTGCAGGCTAGCGTTATAGAGCGTACTGTTATTTGTTTCCAGAGTGTGAACATCCTCTGTATTAGATCGTTGTTGGACAATTGACTCGAAGAAACCCGACATATCGAATCTACCGCAGATTTTCGCGGAATATCACTGGAGGAGAAATTGTCATCGTGTTGCAGCAACGGTCATTTTACCATAGGCTTCCGCTCAAGCCGATAATCAGACCTTTGAAAGCTACCTGGAGTTACTCAACCAGAAATTGAGACAGTCCGAAAAGCGCCTGGCTGAGTGTTAACGTTGTTGATGGTCGAACTTCGACTCATACTGTAATAGGCGACTAGCGCTGAGATCAAAATGAGTTTGTTTGTCCCTATTTGTCGGTCCATATTACCGAGTGAGCTCCTAATTCACCTTTTGTCGCGGTTTCAAAGTCGGGCTATCATCTGCTATCATCTTGACCTCTTTATCTGGAAAGCGGAACTGATTGTATGCAATGAGTTGCGATAGGAAACACTGACTCGACAATAACTTGGAAGTATCAACACTTTTCGCTCTCTATTCGGGACCGTGGGGGTTTCGCGCTGGCAGCGACTTGGTTGCCCTATCTAGCATAAGTGCTGGCGCTGGCCTAGCTCACACTGTACTCCTTGTGATGGAGTTTGGATTGAATTGTTCATGATGTGGATTAGTGATCTGTCGACGTATTACCCGGGCGCAGGTACACCTAGGTCTACCGTCTTCCGCTAAAAGATTTTCTGTCGGTTTCTGAAACACCCCACGACCTAGTGCTAGAGACATCTTGATCATTGTAGTGGTCCTCCAGCGAGACAGACGCAGGATATCAATGCGTGAGTGGGTGGTCTGTATTCATTCCATAGAGGATACGGCATCGATCCCAATAATTACTGTATCCCAGGACCAGTGGGGTGGTTATCATTGAACGACGTGCATCACGTTCGACTGTTGTCAGCGATCCAAAGGCCTCTTCGTGTCTTGTTCTAGACGTATGTAATGTCAGAATGACCAGGATGGGTCTACTCCTTATGGGACTACAGTCATCTCATTAGTTCCGTAGACCTCTATCATCTGCACCCCTTCACCCACTCCTCTTCAAGAAGCTCGTGCATCCTATGGTCATCTTATTGTGTTTTCAGCAGCTTACGAAGTTCTTGCTTAGCTTTTCAGTCGAAGCCGGCGGCGAATGTGGTGCGACGCTTCAACGGTACTTCCCTTCTGTCCTCCGTGTCACCAGCCAATGCTCATAATCCGGACAGTTGTTCCTTATCTGTGTGAGCAAGCGCCGGAGCGGAGGTACCAATCACTTGGGCAGGGGCACTGACGCTGCAGCAATCCCAAATGGCGGCAACACTGTCGGAACGACAACCGCGCTACCGCTGACGGAGTTATGATCATCTGCTACAATTATGATATCATCAGAGAATCGACTGCTATCCATGTATATTAAACTCGGGAGAAGTCTGTTAACGTTGACCCTTGGTCTCCTGGTTTGATGTATGTGATGGAGAAACAGAAAAGGGTGTCTGGTTCTGGTATCAGAACTTGTACCATCTGAAGAACGTTTAGAGGACTGCCGGACCCGACCTTTTCTTTTGGGGATGATCAGGATCAGGACAGATAGCGGCAGGATTGTTGAGATGGTCCCGTGACGGGGACATACGCGGAGCCACGAGTTGTGCGCTCGGTTGCCTAAAGCGTACCTGTACGTGGGCCTTGCAGTCGAAGTCCTGGCATGAGGGCTGGTAATATGGCGTGTAGCTGCCATGCCTTGCTCAGTCCACCTCGGTCCGCCAGGCCCCACCTCGCGCCAGTTCTTTCGTCTGGTTGAACCTTCTTTCGGCACCTCCGAGTATCAACGCCGAAGGCGCGCGGTGGCAGGCCTGATGGTCCTTATATTTTCGCCGTTTCCCTGCCCCACTGCCTAAGCCACCAGATCGGCTCACTTTTGTCCGCCGCAGGGAATTGTCGGAAAGCGGCGCTGATACAGAACCTGATATCTTCGCACTAGCCCGGCTCTCACTGGCCTATATAAGCACGCGGGACGTCCATCTCTCCAGCGCCATCTGAATCATCATTTCCCCGCTCGCTCCTTGCTTCCCTCCCATCCTCGTGCTTTCTTATCACTTCTTTGACACATCATTGCCACTGCAACCAACTACTCACTGGCATCTGAGACGATGTGCAAGGAGGAATGGTATGCATGTTTCCTTATGATGTACGAGTACTTAGCCTTGACCTGAACATAATTTCCCCAGCTTCGGAAATCAATACAGAGGATGCGGAGTAGATGTCGTTTCCATCGTTTCTCGATTGTCGCTCATCCGCTTCTACAGCACTACGTTCGTTTATACTCGACGGGCAACACGACCGACTGTAACTCGCCTCATTGCGCTTTCAGTGCTGCACACATGCACAAAACTGCTCGAACGTGCATGTGCCACAGAGTGTGTATTTTTTGTTGGCCACTTCATGTCTTAGTATCTCACATCGCCTTGCATGCTAGGTCATGTACGATGACCGCAGAGTGCTCAACCTTTTCCAGGAACCATGTGATGACTGCAAAGAAGCAGGCTTCGATCGAGGCCGACGACGTTAGCGCGGGTTGCTGTTTCTCCGTTTACTCTCGCCGACGACCATGCTGCCTGCCACCTCCCGTAATGCCTGCGCTCACACTATGCTTATCCATATCCGCTGTCATCGCTGTCGCTATCGCTGTTTCAGAGAGTCTGTCTTGCAAAGCGTTCACTTGCATATCACCCTCGTCTTGTAATGATGTATTATTTTTAGTATCAACACCTCGAGCATACATCTCAGTGTGTGAACATGACGACGAGGAAGCATCTCCGGAACATCATAGGACTCAGGCATTTGCCGTCTCGCACTGCATCTCTGAAACCATATTTGCTCTTACAGTCCGGGATGCCCAAGAACGTTCATGTGCAATTTGGTATTCGGACTCCGGCCGTCGAAGAGCTTCACTTATCTTGAGAAGGATTAATTACAACAGGGGCCATGTCCCCATTGCATACGCCTATCCTTGTCTCTTGTCATATCACTGTGAGTTAAGTCAAGGACTTCTTTCGGAGACTATCATACTTCGTAATGCCCGAGACAAGAATCAGAACATGCTGATCACCGAAGGTCCGAAACAGGTACGACGAACGATGACGCATTGAAGCTTGAAGAACTATTGAAGACTACTGTCGACACTTGACTGCCTTGAACGGGGAAGTCAACATCATGTGGCAGTCTCTGAATGCTGTCGCGTGGGGTATGACATGTTGTCACGAGGTCTTCCGCCCCGTTGAAAGCCTTCACAAGCTAAACAGCACACTGTCGTCGACTTGCCAAGCGAACCCAGACGCGGAGAATATGTACATTCGCCAGACAAATTCGAAAAAGCGTGTGCACTACAGTGCACCACGAATATGATCGGTATCGAAGAGCGGCCGGGACCGGGCGCAACATTCGATCATGTAAACGTTTCAAAAACGCCGTCCTCGCTGAATGGGCTGCCTTGTCCCGCGTTTACCGGCAGGACGCTTCGGGGCTGCATCGCTATCCTCGCCACCGGAAGAGGAAGGAGCAGGCCGCACCTTCTTTTGCGGACGTGGTGGTATATCCGAGTCTGACGAGGCAATCTTAGACAATGTGGAGCTTGGGTGGCTCTTTGCACCGCCTCCAGAGGTATTACTAGACTTCTGCTCATATGGGACGGGGCTAGCACGCTCTGGCTGGATATTGGGACTGGATGACTTAGGAGAAGCTTTTGCCTTGCCTTTGATGGAAGTCGGCTCAACTGCCGGAGCATGAGCAGGTACCGATGGTGAACCCATATCGTCGTCTGTTTCTGTTTCTGTTCCAGAGCTGTCATCTGCTCGGGGTTGAGCACGTTGCTGGCTCTGGCTCTGGCTCTGGCTCTGGGACCGGTTTCCAGGTCGAGTCTGGTTTTTTAGCTCCTTGTCTCCGTCAACAAGTATTGGTTTCACCTTGATCGGTTCACTGATAAAGTTAGAATTGATCATGGTATCAAGAGAGGCACATGACGACATACGGATGGACTGGACCCCTGTCCTTTACTCTCAGGATCAGTAGAGTTCCCTCGGATCTGAACTTGTTGTAGCGTCATGGACCGCGGAATGACGGGCTTGGGCAGTAATCGAGGTTCGTTTGGCGGCGATAGAGCATCAAGCTTTGGATTTTCCGCATCCGATACGATAGACGCTGTATTCCGGCTCGTGATCAGTTCCGCGGGGACGTTCGCGGCTAACATGACAGATGAATGAACTACGCACGGAGACTTAAATCAAAGTTGAGTAGCGCTGTCATGCGACGTAACGTAGTAGAGACGCGGGGCCGTCCCATAACGTTTCGAGTATGTGTGCCCAGAGTGCGGCGGGCGGTACGACCGACTTTGTCTACGGCCTATGACGGGATCATAAGGCCAGACCTTCAAGTCAGCCGATGGAGGAACAGACTAGATCGTGGACCATACCTTCTCGAGATCTGAGTCAGACAACTTGCTGACGGGATCGACAGAGGTGAAGGCTAGATGGACTGTGCTGATAAGTGGGAAGATGAGATGTTGCGACAGTATTTCTGCAGAAAGCCTGGGACCGAGAAGAAAAGTTTCCCATCGCCACCTGAACGTATCCCCTTGTAATTCAAAAGCAAAATCCTATCATGAATCAATGAGTACCTGGCCTGGAAGGGGAAGAAGTGAACATTACTGAATAGTATGTGTCCGCAACTTCAAACGAGAGTTCATCCATGCCACCAAAGGTATGTCCGTCCGAGAGGAGCTGGAGAACTTGCTTTCTCCATTCTTGATCTCCGTCTGTTTGCTTCGTAGAGTAAGGGGGAGCCGAGTTCAAATTCACGTCGTGCCACCGCCGAGAGATTTGATTACTGGACAGGACTGCCACATGAGAACAGGAGTTTAGAGGGTCGCATACATAAACTTAGCGCCGCAAAAACTCCAATAACGTACCTTCAGCCCATACACTCTTTGTATCTGTAATCATGAGGGCGCAGGAGACATCGTCTTGTGACGTATAGAACTTCTACTGAGGCGATTTCAGGTTGAATCATCATGTAGAGAGAGGCGAAAGCTGCATACCATGAGGTACGGAACAGAATTTTCATTGTCAACTTTCACAAGCCATTCTTTAGAAAGCAACAGCTTCGAGTGTGTCTGTTTTTATTTCAGTCCGCTTGTTCTAGGTTTGTGCAGCTTCGCGGCTCACCTCTGACAGATACTCCATCGAAATTCAGTATCAAAATGGGTAGTTTAAGAGATGCTTGGATCTTTGGCGTCCTGCAACTGGAGTGTTAGGTTTGATGTTTGTGTAGTCCGCCGCCAGGGTGTACTCGTACTCACGTCTTGGTTGGGCAGCGAGTCACAGGTCACATGGAGCCGGGATCGAATGCCGCAATTGCAAATTCCTGCTTTCTTGCTCCGTTCAACTCGCGGGCCTGTGTCCTTCCAAGTGAAGTATATTCATCGAATTAAATTCAGCTCATATATGTGCATCCCATTGACAGAATATTCTGCAGATATCTTCTCAGAATTTCGGGCGCACGGTTGACAGACAGCCTGTGATGAGCTCCGCTGTCGAGGACGGAGAAATCTCAGGCGCTTCTCAACCCCAGGAAGAGGAGTATCACCCACAATACGAATGGCCGGGCGACGACAACGAGTCTCGCCAGCCACGAAATTCATCTACCTATATACCTATCCTCCGTCTGCTCGTCCATCAAAGTGCTATTTTACCGAAGAAACAACGTCTTGCTATCTTGGACAACTACGCTGAGGTTCAGTTCGGCAGAGATATAGCTCCCCCTGCTACTGATACTCCTCGTATCCGTTTGAAAGAGATGGAAGTATCCAAGTTGCATGCCACAGTCTTCTGGGATGCGGATCGGGCAGAATGGGCTGCCGTAGACATGGGATCAAAGCACGGGACTTTCGTCAAGTCCATTGCTCCTGAGGGAATAATTGGGCCGAAGCCGTCAGATTTTTCCGGCCATGAGTCAGACCGGAAAGGTGGTAGGCTGTCAATGCCCCGCATGGCGAGCGTTCCTCGACGGCTGAGGCATCTGGATAGACTTACCATTGGCAGCACAACCTTTCAAGTGCACCTGCATCCTGACAGATTACCTTGCGACGGGTGTTCAGCTTCTGCCGAACAGGTAGGCGACGAGATACCTGTTTTCAACTTGAAGAGTAGAGAGGGAGAGGAGGCGCCCGTAGCAGGGAAGCGCAAACGAGAAATAGAGCCTAGAGAGGATAAGGCAGCAGATGCTAGGAAAGCCTTGATGTTACTCAAACGAGGCCTCCTCAGTCGGCCTTCCGATTCGGATTCGCAACTAGAGGCTATCACAGCAAGCAGGATACAATATGTGGATCGCTCAGCGCGTCGAAGGGCGCTCCATTCCTCTTCCGCACCCGATAGCCCAGGTCTTCCGTCTACCTCTCCTGCTTCGCCAACCGTTAGCCCATTCCGGCAGAATGTCATCACCACGACCTCTGCACCTTCTACACCCCATCCAACGCATCCCGCACCGCTTACTGCCACGAACGTAGGCCATCAATTACTTTCGAAGCAGGGCTGGCAGCCTGGTACCGCTTTAGGACTGCCGAGCGTCGATATCGAAGACGAGAGGTGCAGACTCATCGAACCCCTAGAAGTCGCAGCGCTTGCTCCTAGAGCGGGACTTGGAATGATGAGTCAAGGGTCGGCTAGGGTGTTTGGGAAGGCCGGGACACTTGGATACCGAAGTGATTCTCGGCAGTCTTAGAGCCTGGCAAGTCTCGCGAAGTTCGTGACATTCTTTATTTTGTCCCCGTTGCTTCGCATGCTGATTGAAAATTTGTTCTGCAACTTCCTGTTGACCAAAAATCCGATTTGTGTTGATCCTGATCGAACGAAGTGCCTGCTGGAGTTGGCTTGCACACGTCACTGCCTTCGCTGATCGTGCATCGGGCCCCTCGCAATCCTAGCCTGTCTTCTGGTGCAAGCACATCTGCAGCCTTGTCATGTCCCATGCGGTCTCGAGACTATCACGCCGAAGTTGCAGAGGCGCCTTGAACCAACCCACCAGTCTGTCCTATATCAGGCATCTGAACGACATACATTGCTTGCATATACTGTATACTTTTGATAGTCGAAAGTATGCTTTGGGTACGGTACGTAGCTAGGATACAATAAGGGCGTATTGTCCGTATACACCTTTTATTTACGTGCGCTGCGGTCTTACCACGTTGGAAGCGACGCAGACCGGTGTGCCCGTTTAGGAGGGCAAGTACGTCATCGTCGTCGACGTGGACGCGTTGTTTGAATCTATTGATGCGGTGTCACGTGGCTGGTTCGCGTTTGAGGAAAAGGTGGTTCAGTTCGCAATTCCCTCCCTGACTCTCTACGACCCATTCCTTGTCAGTTTCTTCGCCTGTTCGTCATTCCCGCCCCGCCGTGGACGATCTTTGAGTCTTCAAAACAAGAGGTCTTTGTTCTTCTTTTCATTCTCATCTTCTACCTCTTCCTCCTACAGGACACGCTCCAGACTTCCTTCTCCGTTGTCTCAGTTTCTGCTCACCTTCAACCTACATAGTATATACCTTCGATCGTTCTCCACGCTCAAATGGCACACCGTGTAAGCCTTTGTCTTGTATCGGATTGGGGGGTGCCACGCATACTAATACGGCTACTTCTGCCTTTTGCCATTAGCTTCCATTGCGAAACCGGACTGGCCCACAACGCCCAAAGATCAATGGTGATGAGAATGCAACGAGCAGGTTAAAACAGAATGCAAGCATCACCGTCGCTGGCATGTCCCGCATCGGTCAATCTGTCGTTAACGCTGTTAAGAATGGACCTCAACGCCCCGCCTTGGGTGAGGTAACAACAACCGCTGTCAATCGCAAGGTGTGTTTTCATTTCACCATCTGAGTCCTTCGGTCCAAATTAATGATTCTCGTATCGTAGGACACGAACTTGAAGCTGAATGGCAAGGAGAAGGAAACGGCGGACGCAGGTTTGAAGCGTAGTCGGTCTTCTTCCCTCGCAGCGGCCACCGGTCCTCAGCGGGTGCCTCTTGGTCCAGGCCGTGTAGATGACGGCCCCGTACAGACTAATAATTCGCGCCCTACCTCGCGTACTCTGAAACCTACACAACTTCCTTCTCGCCCATCCCGTCCATTGTCTCAGCATACTGCACCTCCCATCGTTATTACCCTTGAAGAGGATGATGTCGAACAACTCGGCATGGGAGTTGAGGAAGCTCGAATCTCTTCCACGCATATGGCTAACAAGAACCTCCTCGTGGGCGAGGATGAGGTGGAAGGCATGATCGGTGTCACCGACAGCGAGGATGACGAGGAGGAGGAGGAGGAGGCTGCAGGACTTATGGCGTCTAATGGCGACGTTGTTTATGCTTGGCCGGACGTATCGCCTGGTCATGCTGCCAGATATCAAATGGAAGTGGACCAAATACGGGCCACGTTTGAGGAGGATATTGAAGGCCAGATCGATGAGACGATGGTGTCGGAATACTCGGAAGACATCTTTGAGTACATGAGTGAGCTAGAGGTCAGTTTCGCTCTTGATATTACCTGGGGTGCGGCTGAACGGTCCCATATAGGAGGATATCATGCCGAACCCTGATTATATGTCATCGCAAGGCGAGGTTAACTGGGGAATGCGTCAGACCCTTGTCGACTGGATACAGCAGGTTCACCTCCGGTACCACATGCTCCCCGAGACGTTATGGATAGCTGTCAACATTGTGGACCGTTTCCTTACTCACCGCGTCGTTTCACTCGTCAAGCTTCAGCTCGTTGGCGTCACCGCAATGCTCATTGCTTCCAAATACGAGGAAATTCTCGCACCCTCCGTCGACGAGTTCTCCTATATGACTGGCAATGGGTACACGAGGGAGGAGATTCTCAAGGGCGAACGAATCGTTCTGCAAACGATAGAGTTCAAAGTCTCACATTACTGCTCCCCGTACAGCTGGATGCGGAAAATCAGTAAGGCTGACGACTACGACATCCAGACACGGACGTTGAGCAAGTTCCTCACTGAGATTACACTGCTGGATCACCGATTTTTGAGGGTGAAGCCGAGCTTGATTGCCGCCATCGGGATGTACACTGCGCGGCAGATGTTGGGAGGGGACTGGGTAAGTTCGTTGTTTCTAGCTGGCCAAGACTGTTTTATACCACACCAGCAACACGTTTTCGTCTTTCAACCATCACGTGACACTCACACTAATGCCCCTATTATTTAGAATGATGCTTTCGTTTTCTATTCTGGGTACACAGAGGAGCAGCTGATCCCGGGGCATAACCTTTTGATCGACAAGCTTACGGAGCCCAACTTTGAGACACTCTATATATGCAAGAAATACGGGAGCAAAAAGTTTTTCAAGGCATCCGGCTACGCGGTGGAATGGGCGCGATCTCAGATCCCCACCGAGGGCGAGGGCATGGTGTTCGCGTAACGAGCATCAACCTGATACCTTTTTGCATTGTGTCTGACATCACTCCATTTCTGCGCCTTTTCCTCAATCCTACACTTTTTTTCACGTCTCTCCAATCGTCTCCTGTCCCATCTATTTCATCATGTTTCAGTTTCTCACAGTTGATCTCAAGTGTTTGATTATCACCCACTTCATCATCAATGTCCACTCCCACGATGTCTACATGTCTCTATGCCAGTTTTACCCCTCTATGTCTGTCATTCGCTCTCCTTGCTGTCGGATCCACGTGCAACACTCCATCTCTCTTCTTTCTTCCTTTTCTGGCCATCTCGTCTCGTATTTGCAATCCCTCAAACACCTTTAAAGTCGATCATCCTGCACAGTCTTTTTCGCATTCATCCATCGTGCGGGGGCCTTTGAACATCTTTGTTACATATCCGACATGATTATGTCTATGGACTGTGACGACTGTTCTCTCTGCACCCTCCTTCATCTATCTCACTCCCGTCCTCCCATCTACGCCGCGTTTACGTGCTCACGATTGACTTGAATCCTCCCCCTTGATTTGCCCTCTTCTCGTTTTGTGTTATTGGTTCCATCATTGTTCTCCCTCACCTGTGCATCGTCCACTTGACTTTACATTCAAAATGTCTGTATAACCTCTCTTAGTTCTGCACCTTCTAGTGGCTCAGTACTGCAAGCATGCCGTCGCCGCTGTTGGGTATGTACGTACTACTGGCGGTGTGGTGTAGATACAACCGCGCAGTGCGCCGCATCGTCCACTCCATTTATTTATTGCGATCACGTTGATTTCTCTTGGAGGTATGGTGCTCGAGCGGACATGTCGGTGTGATGTACTGTATATGGAGGTCGGACCGATCGTGCTACGACGCGGTCGACGCGGTCGCATCACGTATACGTGTTGCAGAGCCTTGGATGACTCGTCACTTACCACTTGAGTCCGTTTCTTACCAGCGTGCCGACATGACAATCCAGTGAATGTCTTTCTGTGCATTTTTTCCCTCTCGTTAACCCCAAGTTTAGAGTGATGTAGCCGGAACGCTCACGCACACTTGCCTGTCCCTCGATGACACATTCCGCTGACGTTATCTTCTGGGGTAAAGCGCCCAGCAATCACGCCGATGCCCATTCACATGCTTCGGTCAAGTTACTCCCGCCAGCCCCAGCTTTAAGACGCGCACTGGCACTTTGTCTTCATCCACTTATATCTACCCCAGCCAGATTTCTCGACATGTCTCTATCATTCAAGGGCCACACTGTTGTTGTGACTGGGGCTGGCGGCGGTTTAGGGAAGGCGTGAGTACCGTTTCGATGCTGAACGGGACGCGCCTGATACTAGACGATGGTACTAGCTATTCTCTTCTCTTCGCCTCTCGAGGCGCCAACGTGGTTGTCAATGATTTCAATCAGGCAGCGGCTCAAAAGGTCGTCGACGAAATCAAAGCTGGTGCGTAGCCATCTGAACTCCAGGCGCCAGATTGCTCATCGTTATGTTGTGCATTCGCTATAGCTGGCGGGAGTGCTGTCGTAAACAGCTCGTCGGCAACAGACGGTGTCGCAGTCATCAAGACAGCAGTGGACGCCTTTGGCAGCGTCACTATTCTCATCAACAATGCTGGTATTCTTCGGGATAAGGGGTGAGTGCTCGAGTGCGAGCGGACTGATGACAATCAGCGTGCTTATGGTTGTGTCAGGTTCAAAAATATGTCGGACAAAGAGTGGGACCAGATTCAGGAAGTGCACCTGAAGGGTGCCTTCGCGTGCACGAAAGCTGCCTGGCCCATCTTCCGCAAGCAGAAGTTTGGACGTATAGTGAACACTGCCAGCGCCGCCGGTTTGTTCGGTGCGCTTATTTTCCGTGACAAACGAAATACATATGTTGATAAATTTCTATCCGGCGTCTAGGGAACTTCGGGCAGGCCAACTACAGTGCCGCAAAGATGGGTCTCATCTCTTTCACAAAAACCCTTGCACGAGAGGGTGCGAAGTACAACATCAAGGCAACGGCAATTGCACCTGTGCGTCACACGTCCAAGCATCGGTTCCAAATATGACATTGATATTTCATAGATGGCTGCGTCCGCCATGACCGAGACCATCATGCCTCCCGAAATGCTCGCCAATCTCAAGGCAAGTCAACGTAAAATGACTCAAAAGCTTATGGCATTGACAGTATCACCACAGCCTGACTTTGTTGCCCCATTTGTTGTTGCCGTCACGCATCCGGAGGGTCCAGAATCTAGCGGCAAAGTCTTTGTCGTTGGTGCTGGATATGTTTCCGAGATTCGCTGGGAACGTAGCAAAGGCGCTATATTCAAGACGGATGCATCATTCACACCATCAGCGGTAGGTGCTCGTTTTTGGGAGGTGCTGTGGAACTTATCATGGTCGCCGATGCTTAACTTCAGGTCAAACAACGGTGGAGAGACCTCACCGACTTCACCAACGCTGACCAGTAAGATGTTCGAGCCTTTTCTCTTCCAGGCTTTGCTAATTCGGTTTGTAGCCCAGAGAGCATGGCAGACACAGACATTGTGGTACGCAGAATTATTCGATTCAACCTTGTTCTTCAATCGCTGATACTTGTCGTTTTGATTGAAGTCAAAACTTGAGCAAGCAAAGAGTCAGCCAGCCAATACTCAAGCATCGCCGGAGGTCCGATTCGATGGCAAAACGGCCATCATCACTGGTGCCGGTGCCGGCCTTGGCCGGGCATACGCCTTGATGTACGCTCGTCTCGGCGCTAATGTTGTGGTCAACGATGTCAGTGAGAAGGGTGCACAATCCGTTGTCGATGAAATTAAGCAAGGTAAATTGTACCGGGAATTGCTTGTGCTGTTGTATTGACTCTCCATCCCTTTAAATGTATAGCTGGCGGTAGGGCTGTTACTGCTGTTTGTTCAGCAGAGGACGGCGATGCTTTGGTCAAGGCGGCTCTCGATACATTTGGCGGAGTGCACATTTTAGTCGCGAATGCTGGCATCTTGCGCGACAAGTCATTCACTGCGATGACTGAACCCGAATGGGACGCAGTCATCGCAGTTCACCTAAGGTACGTTCGCGGGTTCTCTTTTTTGAACAGCAATAAATAATTTATCTTTCAAATAGAGGAACTTACAAAGTGCGTCCGAGGGGCTTCTCATCGTGAGAGATGTACTAACTGGGTTCACAGTGCGCCAAGGCTGTATGGCCAATCTTCCAAAAGCAGAAGTACGGCCGCATTGTTACGACGGCCTCAGGTGTTGGCATCTGTAAGGCATCTCAATATGATTACTCTAATGTCATTCGACTCATAAGCTTCACTAGACGGTAATTTCGGACAAGCAAACTATTCAACGGCAAAAGCCGCCATTCTTGGTCTCACAAAGACGTTGGCCATTGAGGGCAAGAAGTATAATATTCTGGCCAACACCATTGCTCCTTCCGCGGGCACTGCAATGACGATGACGATCTGGTATGCGCCTGAATCCCGTTATTATCCCCGATCACAGGATTGACGTAGCTATACACCAGGCCCAAAGAGATGGTTGACGCATTCAAGGTCTGTCAATCTTCTGATCTCTTTTTTAGACAAAGTTCTCATAAGCATCCAGCCGGATTTCGTGGCTCCTGTCGTCGGGTATCTGACTAGCTCAGGTATTTTCATCACGCCACTTCAAATGAGACGATAACTAACTTGAAGACTACAGATAATGAGGAAACCACAGGCTCTCTGTTTGAAATTTCTGGGGGTTGGGCTGCACAGACTCGCTGGCAACAAGCCGGAGGTCACGGGTTCCCCGTTAAGAAGCCATTCACTCCAGAAGATGTTCTCGCCAAATGGAGTGTGATCACGAACTTCGGTGAACTCCAACAGTCTATCGACCATGTCTAGTTTAGCTGACTTAGGTGTGCGAAGATGACGGCCGTGCAACACATCCTACTTCAACGCAGGAAGGCATGGAGCAGGTGAGTCGGTGTTAATCACCGTTGTGGCATGCACTCACCGTGTTCAATAGATCATGGCGAACTTCGGAAATGAGGGTGCAGATTCATCGGAGGATGGCCCCTATGCTGACCCCGAGGACGCCGACATCGTCAAGGAGGCGAAGAAAGCTGTGCCTGAGCTTGTTGAGTACAATTTTACGGAGCGTGATGTCATCCTATACAATCTTGGGATTGGAGCGACCGAGAAGGAGCTCCAATGGACCTATGAAGGTCATGACCAGTTCTCGGCCCTTCCAACCTTCGGTGTAATTCCCCAGTTTCTGGCCAGTGGAGGCCTGCCTTTGGACTGGTTGCCGAATTTCAACCCTGTACGTTCACTCGGTGTCATTTTTCTTCCCCCAGAACATGACTGATGCGTGTTGCATCGTGCAGGCAAAATTACTTCACGGAGAGCAATACCTCTCCATTAAGGCACCTATACCTACAAGTGGCGAACTCGTGAGTGAAGCAAGGTTTGTGTCTCCAAAATTATCCTACCGGGCGACAAGCTGACCGGCCGAGGTCTTATCAGACTCTTTGAGGTTCTGGACAAGGGCAAGGCAGCAGCCGTGACATCCATTGTGGAAACCAAGGACAAACATACGGGCAAGGTCATCTTTGAGAACCAGTCGACCGTTTTTATCCGTGGTGCCGGAGGGTTTGGGGGTAAACGTAATGGCAAAGGTAGGCAGCAGTCACGTCTACCATGAGGATTTGTATCATTGATTTGGGGTGATTTTTATGATGCGCCTATGAAGATCGCGGCCCTGCTTCTGCTGCCAACACGCCCCCCAAGAGACAACCTGATGCTGTCGTTGAGGAGCAGACCGTGCCTTCACAGGCCGCTCTCTATCGGTAGGTTGAATGCTTTGAGTTACTATCCGAGCTTGCCGCACAGCCGTTACTCATTGCCATCAATCCCTTTCTAGCCTTAGCGGGGATTCCAATCCATTACACGTGCGCATCAATCTTGAGCTGCATGAATTGCGAGGTAACTTGACAACTTTCCTATTTTGTGTAGATCTTGCCCGAGTTCGCTGCAGTAGGAGGATTTGATAAGCCCATTCTCCATGGTAAGCCACGAGTGTTTGAGTTATTTTTTGTTTATTCGCTCAATTGCCCACGTTGTGCCAGGCCTCTGCTTCTTGGGCATTTCGGGGAAGCATGTCCTGAAGACCTTCGGTGAATTCAAAGACATCAAAGTCCGGTACGCATCTCCGTTATTCTGTTCTTGAGTGCGCAGTCGAATGATTCGGCAGGTTCGCCGGCGTCGTCTATCCGGGCGAGACCCTCATCACCGAGATGTGGAAAGAGGGCGGCAAGGTCATCTTCCGTAAGTTACCTATTGTCTTGTCTTAACGGGCGACTTCCTCATACTACAATCTGCTCCAGAGACCAAGGTCAAGGAGCGCGGGACTACTGTCCTGGCCGCGGCTGCGGCGACACTTGTAGACTCCGGCAAAGCTCTGAAAGCAAAACTATAGGGTTGTATCTATGTAGCTCACTCTATAACATGTCATTGCGAGGCACTCTGTCTTGTTGTATTTGTCTCTCTTGTGTCCCAAACACTGCACAGCCAACAATATATATGGTGTACACCAACAACCACGAGTGTCAACTAATAACACAGACACGCATAGACAGATGAACTAGAAAATCGTCCGCCAAACAGTATGTGAGTATCAACACTGCCCAGGACATCGTATCTGATTTTCTTTGCGGGGTATAAAATTAATCTAAACGAAGGACAATACGCAATAGGAGACAGTCCATGAACCCGTCGTAATGAGTGAATAGCACAATCGGGAAGACAAGATATCGTGACCTCACAGCTCGCTACATACCAACATTAGCATTCACTTCCCACTTCCCAATGGAGGCATGAAAAAAGCTGCCAGGTCATGTGAAGATGAAGAAGAGTATGAAAAGAAATGCGGCACATAAATCAAGAACACGATGTGTAGATGAATGCGTTCTGTTGAGATCCTGAATAAGCGCGAACACGGCTCAGTACCTTGTACAGTGCGAGATATGGTGCTTCAATTCGGACTTACCAGGGTAGAACCAGAATGTGATGGCGACAATGACATATAGACCTGTTCGCATCCGTCGCGTCAGTTTGAGTCAAGTCATGGATTGAGAGGATCACTGACACATGAGAATCATCCCCTCTAGCCAATTTGACTTTCCGTCTTGCACGATGTAGTTGACGGTCAAGACTGCGTGGACAATGAGGTCGGTTACTTAGTGGGAAGAGGGACAGAACAAGTGCGTACCAGCAAGGAAGAGGACAATAGACTCGTAAGGATCAAAGAGAAGTGTCAATGGCTTGCCCATCATCCATGCAAGGGTCACGATGAAGCTGTTGAATATTGTGTGAGTTCAGGAAGCAAGTGAGCTCTCAAGCGATACTCACGGAATGACGAAAAGGGCAATTTGCTGCAAAAAGCGGAATGAGTGTCATGCAAAAATAACAACCGGGGGGTACTTACGATACTTGACCCAACCGCGACGCCCAAACTCAGTGTGAGCTTGTCCTTGACTGACACGGTGACAGCGGTGACATGCTCTGCACGAATCATTAGCTGAGTAAGTTTGACGTAGAATATACTGGCAGACAATGTGCTCACCCGCAGCGTTTCCAACAATTGGCAACAAAATAAGACCAACAAACTCCTCCGAGACGGCTCCCTTGGCCGTCAATCCATCGATTGAATCGACGAGGAACTCGGCAGTGACGGCGACGAGCTACAAGTCAAAGTGAAGAAAGATAATTGATACCTCGCGAACGACCAGGAAAACGAAGAAATTAACATACCACCGTGACAATGACTAGAAGGGCGACGGTAACAGTCACGCTCATTTGGGGCTTTTCCTCTTCTTGCTCTTTCTCTTGCGCGCGCGCCTCGACATCAGCGACAGACTCTTTCCTCTCCGGATGACGATTGTAGGCAACCGATTTCTGGACGTTGGGGTGGTCGTCCTCGTACAAGTTCTTGTGCGAAAACAGCTGGAATACAAGGTAGCTGCCGTAGACTGATCGACGGGACCATCGTGGTAAGAAAAACAAGGACAGTGTAGACAAATGAGGAACGCACTGAACAACAATACGATAGCCACCTAAAGATGAAGGGAGGTTTTCTGAGATGAGAAATGCTCATGTCTAACGAGATAGAGATGGGCGCACTCCGTGAGACAGTTTCAGAAGATCAGCTCTCTCCTCTGCATTCGTGAGCGGGTCGGTCTCTGTGCTGGTGTCCGGCGTAACAGCCATATGGAACGCAGCCGGGAGCAACACACCAATGACGCTCACGGTCAATAAAGACGAATTAAGCTGTGTGGCGCCTGATTGAATACGGAAGCGGTCAAAAACCAGGGTCATCAGAGATATATGGAGGGTAACGCACTGATCCCAAAGCCTTGTTCGGAAAAGCGGGTACCTCCGGCGAAGAAGCACATTCCAAGGACGAGTACTACACGTGAGGATTAGAGGGGGCGTGCGCACGGAGGGAGCAGCGGCTTACGCAGATTGCTGAGGATCGAGCCGACCACTACGATTGTGAACAGATGGCGACGTCATCGTCAGTAAAAGAATTCAAAACCCGCACGATCAAGGGAAGAAGCGCCATCAGCGCCGAAATGGCAGGAGCAGCCCCAACCCCGGTTCACCGTGGCAATCTCAAACAGGCAAGTTCAAATGTTTGCGTGCGTGTAGAAGATTCCTGCCTTTATGCCACGATGCTGAGACGTGTTGCCAGACGTCTAATTTGGGGCATACAGCTGTAAGGGAGCATGACAATGCGGAAGCAGAACGGGAATGCTTCGGTGACACTTCTGGTCCACGGTGGCCGCGCATCATGCCACAGATGGAAATTGTGATAAATGAAGGGCAAGGACACTCACGGGAAGACTGAACGATGCGCAGCTTGCATTGAGTAAGGGCGATGATCTATATCAAAGCCAAGACTATGAGACCCTATTGTTATGATGCGAGGAGAGGTACTTGCCGCTACAATCAGTTCCACGCTGATCAAATATTTACGTGAGATTAGAACGGGTGGAAAAAGCCGGGGATACGCACGCGTTACCCTGGAGGAAACGGCGTTCAATCAGTTCAGGGTCCAAAAGAGAGGGGTAAGGGAGAGGATGGTGGGATGAAACTCACGAGTGTCGCGTTAAGGAGACCTGCCAACGTTTGACCAACGCGTAATGAAAGCTCATCAGTGGCAAACGCGAGGAGCTAAGTGGATACCAATCGTCATTCAATGGGTGTGAGTGGAACAAGTGGAGTCATAGAAAAATACCTTTGCGAGCGGGATGATGGCCAAAAATGAGACTAAATTAAGATTAGCCACAGGGTTGCAGTTGAGGAGATAGAGAGTGGACTTACAGACGAAAATGAGAGTGTCCGACATGTTGGCAAAGTGCATGGCCCACTATAAGGGTGTCAAGGTTACCCAACTTACCATCAGAATGTATGAACGGACGTACAGAAACCGGAATGAAGATGAGCAGGATGTTGATATCTTTGGGGGGGGAGAGTGCGGTGAGCATTGATGCGGTCACAACCGAAGGCGTTGATCTCACAGGACGAGGTTACTACGGCCATTATACTTCTCCACGCCGTAGGAGCATCTCCGACAGGTCTTTGGGGCCTATGCCGACGGATGAAGGCCCTCACCCATGCCCGCCTCCCCGATCGAAACGACGGCCGGTCATCTTGTGCAGTAGTACCCACTCCCGGTATGGCAGGCGCGTCAGCAGGAACACTTTGGCGTGAGCGAATCGAGGATCCGTCGGCCATATGAGCTGTCAGAGGCGCGGATGTCTCTGTGGAAGGGGGAGGAACGGCGGAATACACAAGATGAGAGTTGCTGGACATGAATGCTACGCGCAGGGGCAGGGGTGGTCAACCTATATCCAATAGATGATTTGGGGTAGCGGAGACTCACTCGTCAAGGGAATCGAATGGACGGAAGGGGAAGACACGGAACGGTTGTTGGGGGGATTAAAGGAGCGGAGCGCTGATGTTTATATGTTACCGAGGATGCCCCACTGCCACTGCGTGGCGAAAGCTTTGAGACCGTGGCTTTCACAGGTGGTGCGGCGGACATTCAAATAACAACATATACGAGCCTGCAGCGCCGCCTGTCTGCGCTTTTCTCAACCGCCAACTCTCGCTTCTGCTACACAGCCATACAAGGGCCTGAGTGCAGTGTTTTTCCAGTCACAACAGGTGGGGGACAACGCTCTCGCCACAATGTGGGTCCATGCCGATATCCAATCAGCCGACGCGGCCCGCAGTCTGTAGCGCCGCCGCACAGCATCTGATCGACACAAGCAAACTCAAAGCAGCAAACAGTGCCGACAATTGTCTTTCATTTGTCAAAGCGACCGCCGTAAACCCCTTCCTACTACTGTACAAGTGATAATTAGAGATGAGTAAATGGAAGTACAAAGCAGAAAAAAATAACAATCGAAGCAAATAAAACCCAACAAATTGAGGCGAAATCGAAGCCCAGCAGCACTTTTCTCCCTTCCACGTTAGTATCTCGGTACGTGGAATAGTGGTATCCGAGATACACAGCATTAGAAAAAGAGCTCGCAGGAAAGCCGTGCGCACTGCGCAGTACGCGCTGTTCGTGTGTTTTTCCTATCAAGCCTCGAGAACAAGACAGTACGTATCCCGCGCAAAAAAGCGCTGCGGCGGTGCCCCATTATCCTTGGTACGCAAATGAGACCGCGCCATACAGCCCATCTTCACGCCCCAGGAGACCGTGCCCATGGAGTACCTATTATGGAACAATATATTAGCGTTGAACGTGGGCTGCGAGATCAGGTAAAGGAAGAGAAGAAGCTGTCATCTCCCAGCCTCGCACTCACCTCCATTTTCCTTGCGTGCCACCCAACGCCACTGCCCACGTTGCCGTTCGCGTCCGCGAGGGTTTCCAACGCCTCCCTCCAAGGGTGCACCTTTGCCAGATCCCGCCTCCACACGGGCACCTCCGACGCCAGCCCTTCCGCGCGCGGTTGCGCAACCCACCCAGTAGCCGTGTCCACATACCACCCACGGCCGCCCTTCGACTTGATGATCCTCCACGACTCCGCGCCAGCACCCAAGCTCGCCAACAGCGGGGTCGCAAGCTCGATCACGCGGAGCCGGGTCGGAGCATCCTGCGCAGACTTGTTTCCAGAAATGCTAAAAGAGAACGGAGGCGTGCACAATGGGCGAATGAACTGTGCATGGAGCACAATGGGAGCTTTGCGCGCAGACCCTCGTTGCGTTCCTGCACCTTCGCCGTAGCCTAAGTCAGGTGACGTGCCTACAAGAGTGACGACCTCGACCTGAGGAGTCTTCGTTTTGATAAAGTTGACGATGGCATCAAGCTTTAAGTGAGGGATGGATGACAGGCCCAATGACCTCAGCTTCGGCTGCGGGGCCGTCACTTCGAAGAGCTCCGGGGTCAGTTGAGCGCTGGACAGGTCCAGGTAGAGTAGCTCCCCAGAAGTGAAACACGGGGCACTTGTGAGGACGTCATGCAGCTCCGATGACGAGAGGGGACAAGGGAACGTGCCATCCCCATAGAGGTTCAATTCCGTCAAGTCACGAACTGCTGGGGCTGAGACGAGAAAGTCGCGAATGCTTTCACCTGTCAAACGAATGCAGCGTCCCAAAGAGAGCGAGCGTAGTCGGACAGTCTGCGATAGTCCGAGCACATTCAAAAAATCGGGAGTCACGCGCGTGCAAGACAGGTCAAGATGCGTGAGGGAGGGAAACGCGAGGACGAATGGGTTAAGGATGGCTGGCGGGATGGACTTGGCACCGCGGAGACTCAGACGCTGAAGACCTGGAAAAGACACGGGCTCGTCTAGATGCCGTGATGATCTAGACGATCGACTAGACCGGCCGCGCTCCATATGAGATCTCGCATCCTCGTCCTCGACGAAAGACGAATCTGGTTCAGCAACAGGTAGCAAGAGCTCGTTGACGAACTCCGTCAAGGCATTGACAAAAACGACGCTGACGCAACCCGTGAGGTCGACAGCCTCGATCTCCTTGCACTCCCGCCGCCTCGCATTGTCCTCGGCCTCGACATCGTTCGGATCCTCGATAACAAGACCGCGACCTCGGAGAGGCTGTCCGCGCCCTCGAGAGGGTGCACCGCGCATGAATAGTTCTTTGATCACTGGCAAGGTCAGTGCACCATCCATGTACTCTGTCGCGCCGAAGACGGTGAGGTTCGGGGTTTCCTTGATTCGGATGCGGAAGTTAGTCACGAGACATGGAATATTCACATGGGACGTACCTTGAGCACTGCTTCGAGACGTCCACCCGTCACAAAACGGCTGTTGACGCCCTCTTCAACAGAGCGGCGCATGCCAATCGTCCGAAAGTGGTTGAAGTCAAGATGACGCACATAGCGACCAGGTCGCGGATCATGCACGGCGGGGACTGAGCCATACCGAGACCCAAAGAAATTGCAGCTGTCAGAAAACAGCAATTCATGCCGCCCAAGGCATTCCGGAAAGACGTACCGTACATCCCGTTCTCGTCGCGACCCATAAGGTCCTGCACAGCGTCTGAAATCGAGCGCATGAGTTTCCATCGCGCCGGTGATTTGCTCTTCGCGCGTCTAGGACTCGGATCTCGCGACGCGGGTGGGGAAAGCAGTTCCGGTGGAATAGAGCTATCAGGGCCACTCAGGGATTCGAGGATGCTCTCTTTCAGCTTCATCGCTGCGTCCTGGTCCGGCTCTTCTCCGGTCGCCGTACGCATCGCGAGTGCAGCTTTGGCCGCCTCCGAGATGCTCCGGTCGACGACGAGCGCTGCCTGCTCTACGTTCGCCTCTTCGTCCTCGTCGCCGGCAATCTCCTCTACGAGAGAAAGCCAGCTGCGGGGCAGCCGGACCTCGATCTTGCGCCATAGCCAGGGCTTGGCCGCTTCGGACCATGCGCGACTGACAAGGGAGAGGTTGGCGAGGGCGCGGCGAGCTACAGGTTCGGGCCAGTTAGCGGGCGGGTACGAGGAGGGAAGGGACGAGGGTACCCCAGCTTCTTGTAGGAAGAGGGGGTCTAGGGACGGTATGGATGAGGGTTGGCCGGCGGCAAAGACATGGGCACAGATGGTAGAGAGGAGTTCAGGAGGGTACGAGTTGACACAGGATGTCATTAGTAGACACGTTCTGGCACCGGTGGTTGGTTGTTCTGGCGTCTGGAGTTGTTGCAGTCGACGGAGATGTACTGGCAGAGAGAGGAAGGTCGCAGGAGATGGGTCGGGGTGAGTTGGATGAGACGCACGGGTCCTATATAGGCGGGTCCGGCAACCTGGCCACGTGTAGATCGCATCTCAAATGCGGGGTAGAACGCAAGGAACCGTGGCGGTACTTTAGCTTACCCTACTCTCCCTTCACTTTATTTTCGGCCCTTCCCCAAATATCATCCGGCCGATGAACACGAAACCCACCGTGCATCCTCGATGCGGACGCAAAAAGGGATGCGTATTTCGAACGTGCCATTCACGAAAATGCCAGCGAGTGATGTTACACACGTGATGCACGAACGCGTTGGTTTCACCCTTCGCCACCACAGTGCGCCACCCACCTGCGTCCTAGCGTGCTCACACATTTTTCTGCCAAGTCTACGTTATCCTATCAGCATTGCCCAGTCGCACGCACTCTGCGCTCGTTCTCCTCCCATGCCCCGCACTTTATTCATAAAAAAACGCGTTCTGGCCTGTGACAGGGCAAAAGTGCGCCCCGCTTGACACACATCGTTGCTCAGAGCTCTCGTAGAATCACGACATATGCCGCTAGGATGCTTCGGCTTGTCGCTACCTCTTGTCATTCAACAGCCGACCTCCAATTACCTGGCGCTAAAGTGATCTTTAATCTCGGTTGCCTCTATTGCATGGCTCGAAGACCGCCTCGCGCGAGATTGCACAACCCCGGAGCCCATTCTACATTTGTGAGCATCTCACGAACAGTCATTCTCGACCGTCCGGGAGTTTTTGAATATCTCCAAATATAGCGCCTTGTATAGCGCCACGACCAAACCCTCTCCGTCCTCGACCATGGAGGTCTTCTCCCCTCGAAAATTCTGGACCTGGTAAGCCGAACCGCCTCCGAGCCGCTACGGCAAGTCTCGGCCGTTGGCCCTTCCGTACGAGCAGTTCACCACGCACCAGCTTTTGGCAGCCTCGCAGATGACAAGATGCACCGTTTGAAATCTCTCTCCGTCACATAATAAGTAGGCGATCGACGCGCGTCGCGCACCCGCTGACCCGCCTGCCCTCCCAACGCAGACCACCTGAGGATATCCATCCTGAGGCTATCACCTTGGCGCTCTGCCCGCCCCCGTTTCGCGCCATCGCAAGGGGAGGTCACACGTCGCGGCACCCGTTTTAGCCCATTTGAAAATCCTCGAGCCTGCGTGCTCCCGAGCCCTCTGCACCCTCTGACACGGTCTTCTCTCCAGATTTAGAGCCCCAGCACTGCCCCAGCCTAAGAGTCTCGGGGTCGGGAAATCGACCGGGGTAACGCGTTACGTGTATCGCGTGCCTCTTGTAGTGATGTCGCAAAGACGGGCGCGTAGCGGGGACACATGCCCTCAACACATGTCGTTCTCGTCGCTCTCGAACGGGATGATGCCATGTGCCGTGCTGCTGATGAGATGGCGCCTTGCCCCCATCACCAATCGGCGTTGACGGACTTGAAACAAATGAGAAGGTCCGGACGTTTAAGGTTGCCCACGAACTTTGTTTACAGAAGGCCCTGAACTCTGTCGCCCACAGCCGTCGGACGCACATGCACTCAACCTAGATCCGAACCGAACGCAGCCATTGACTTGACCTGCAGGGCTTGATGTTCGAGCGAGACTTCGGCTAATGAAGAGATTTTGGCGCGCGCCTAGCCGACGAGCTGTATGGCCTGAGGAGCATTCCCCATCGAAGAATGTTGAAGGAAGCACCGGCGGTGCTTGACATTGCAGGACACCCAACGCAGGGATTTCGACAGAGACTGCGGTCGAGTTGCTGAAATCAGTATGAAACGCTGAGCTCCCTTGTTGCGCCAACACAAAGGCGCAATACTTGCGAAACCAATCCGGGTTTTTCCGTGATGAAGCGAAAACCCCACTGACAACAGAAACGGGGGCTGATGAAAGTCGGGAGTTGACGGCTCGATGTTTCGTAGTCCAAGTTGGGACATTTGGTCTAATCGATGCTGCAGAGCACCCGAGGATCCCCATCTAACTTGACAAGCAGGATCCGAACGCAAGTTCCAGCGACAAGGCGCAGAAGGAGCGCATAACAAGAGATGGTATAATTAGAGATCTATACGTGACGATGTAATTTTAGATGCGGTAAGTAAATAAAAGGACGACAGTGGGAAAGAAAACATGAGACCATCACGAGGAACGACACTGGAGGCCCGAAGAGGACCACGGCCAGCAGGCCGTGGGGCCGAATAGCATTCGATCAACGGCAGACCGGACGGGGGCGATCAGTTTTTGACGTAGAAATCATACTGCGAGATCATCCACACGAGCGATGTTGCTAGCGAAGACGTTGTGGGTCAGTTCCGCCTCGTATGCACAAATTGCACATATCAGCTCACTCGCAACAATACAAGGGCTCAATACAGGAGGACCAATCTTCGCGGTGCGGAAGATGAAGATCTCTGAGCTGAAGTGGGCGAAGGCGATGAGGTACGTCATGAGAGCCATGTCATATATCCTTTGAGATTTACGTCAACGCGAGAGGCTATGGAAAACACTTGGACGTACACTTTGTTTTGAATGTGGTATGCGGCGTAGACGCGCACGACGGCAGACGTCAGGGTCCACACGGCGAATGTACGGGCCTGGAGTGCGGTGACTGGACGTAGAAGCGCGCGAGTTGAACTGCCGGGCCTAAAACGGGGATAAACATTGGGCAAGCCGTACCTGGCTGTGCGGGAGGGACTGCGTTATAGATGCGGCGGGTAAACTTGAGGGTGAGGAAGTTCTGGAGGGTGTTGAGGACGGCGACGACGCCGACGAGGAGCTGCCACTTTGGGAGCAAGCCCGCTGTCTGAGGGATGACTTTGGGAATTGAGGCGAGGTGAGCAATGGCGGATGAGATGGGGAACCTACGAGAGAAAAGGGCGGGGCCGAACATGGTATGGGAGTTGCAGGGGGAGTGGGCGGCACCTCTCGGAGATTCGTGTGGAGGGACGTGAGCGGGGGAGGGAGAAACGCGTTAGACGGGCGGGGAGTTTGCTGGCTGTCACTCCGGAGGGGGTGTGTGCACGTGATGGACGTAGCGACGCGAAAGACGTCTTGCAGGTTGCCTGTCTCGTCCAGCGTCGAGCATCGAGGTCCGCCCATGATGGCGTCCTCGTCCTCGTCCTATCCTGTCTTTGACCCCGGTCCCCTCACCCGTCCCGCCGTCTTGCGGTCCAATTCCATCCAGAGCAACGCGACGTCCAGCAGCAATTGTTCCCTCACACGCCAGCCGCGCATAAGAGCCCGCTCCAAGACAGTCACATCCAACGCCTCTGCCAGGAGGAACAGGTCCGGCGGCCCGAATACACCGCCTCCCCCAGTGACCCCAACAAGGCTCCTCGAGGACGTCCCTCCCGTGCCCGACACTCCCTTTGCAGCTGTCAGCGCACAAGACGTCCCTGTTCGACCCCCACGCTCGCCGATGAGATTCACCACTTCGCCCGTCGAGCTTACATACGATGTCGACGACGAACCGATGCCGTGGCCGACCACAGGGCCAGGTCGCCGAACGGTCGATGATGTGGACCTAATTAGTCGAGGGCGGGTGTCTCGCGATGAAGAAGCTGCGGAGGGCTCCACCGTACGTGCTCTCCCTCCTATTTGAGATTGCGGCACGGCTTCTGAACGACCGTCCCTCTAGTCACGAGCGCGCAAACGCTGCTCCAGTGTCCCTCGGGAAGCCTATCGCCTGTCCATGCTCTCAGAATCCTCGCCGCCCACCAGCCCGCTCTTTTCAAACCACAGTCGCTCCCACCCTATGCCCCCTTACACTTCATTCCGCGATGCGCGACAGCGCGTCCGCGACTCCATCATGTCCGGGACCTCGTCCTCAATCTATCCGTTCTCCGTCTCTACCACTTCGGGGACAGATTCGCCCCCCTCTCCACGCTCGCTGGTCGACCTTTTCCCAGACCACCGCATCGCTTCGGTTGACCCCGACGAGTCAGGCGACGACTACAGGAGCTTCAACGTCGACGATGTCTCCTATCGCCTCCGTCTCCTCATGAACAATAGCTACTTTCTGCCGCCGGCACACTCGAAGCCGAAGCCCTCCGACCTCGCACCCATGTCTGCAGCCCTGCCAAAGAAACAGAGCAAATCCTCCGCGCCTGCATTCTTCGACCTCTTCCGTGTTGGAAAGGCTCGATCGAAGCCGGGATCTCCGCTGGCGACGTCGGCGGAAGATCGCACGCCTGTCCTCAGGACGACGTCCGATTCCATTACTGCTTCAGGGTGGACTGCACGTCCCCACGCATACACGCTGCCGCACTCGCCTGCCTCGGCCCTCGTCCGGCCGCAGGAGCGTGTCACAAGGGTCGCCGTCGTCCGCGAAAAAATGGACGATCTCGTGGTCGCGGCCAGGCAGGCAGAGCAGGAGATCAAGTCGCGTGGGGAAGGGCGCAGGTCGGGGGAGATGCAGCGAGATAAGGCGGACGTCAGCGACGACGTCATCGATCCGACCGACTCTGTAGACGTGCCGCCGCCCTCTGCTGATTCTCCCTTCGCGGTCCAGGCGTCGAATGTGCACGGATTGGGCATAGAGGACTCTGTAGGCGCGGCGCTCCTGGCCGAGCGCTTGCCTCCCGCGAGCCCGGGGATCTGGTCCACCGACACCGACGACGACTGGCGCAAGGCACTTTTGCACGCAGCCGTGGGCCACTCGCTCAACTCCCCGGGCACATCCTCCATGCTTGCGTCGCCCGCTTTATCGACGCCTCCTAGATCCTCGACGGGTAGCGCCGATCGGGCATACATTCAACCGGCAGTGACGGGCACGCCGAGGCGCAATTTGGAGCAGAGGATCGTTGAGCCAGAAGCCTTAGTTCAAGCCACCGGTACTGACAGCCGACCCTCTACGGCGGGCAGAAATTCTCGCCGGCCTCCGATCCCAAAGGAGGCCCGCTCTTTCCTGGCCCAAGGCAGAAACGACGTTCCAAGACGCGCGGAGACCCCGTCGGCCCCCGCTCACCCGCTTGCCCCTCCCCCACGCAAGCAGATCATCAACCCCATCTACTCACTTTCTCAGTCGGATTTACCCTACACGAGCGAGGAGCACATTGGAGTGTCCAGCAGATCTTCCTCCGCTTCGCGCGGGGTTCGCCAGGTGGTGTCCTCTCCTACGCTTCATCATTTGCACGAAATGGGTCTCCGGGCGGGAAGAAGCGTAGTGAGCCCGCCGCTTCCATCATGGCACCCTTTGGGCGAAGACCGCATTTCACCTCCGTCGAGAGAGCCACGTGCCTTACCCCATACCATGCATCGTGTCATCAACAGTTTGACGAGCGGGTCTCATTACTCAAGCGACGAGCGCGATGTCATGTCTGAACAGAAGCAGTCTGAAGACGGCACTGTCCCGAGGACTTCTTTCGCGAGCACCTTGCCCAGTCGGCCTTCCCTGTCAGAGTACTCCCAACCTTCCCCTACCGTGTCCGCATTTCAAGACGCTCTCTTTGAGTCTGAGCATCTCCCTCCCCCCATGCCACGCTATGCAATCAATGTCACGACTGCGATGAACAGTCCGTCAGCATCCAGTGCAACCTCTGTCCAGCAAACGCTTCGTCAAGTCAACATGAGCCCGCCTCCTCGCGCCTCTTCATCCCTCAGCGCTACGATCCTTTCTCCACCTCCACGTACCATGTCGCAGCGCGCAAGGTCGCAGCTGTCCTCGTCTCCCCGTCCATCGTTTACGTCGTCAGATCCCGGGCACTCCGCGTACGCTTCTGCGCCTGAGTCTATCGAGATCCATGCCCCGGAGCCCATAACTCCTCCCTTTCCTACTCCTTCTCGACAGTTCCTTATCGCGGAACGCCGGGGCAACACCATCCCCACGACGTTGCACATCCCGACGTCGCCGATACCACAGTCAATACGCAGCGCGCCACCCACCGACTCCTCGATCGATTTCTTCGACCACATCCAGACGCACCCCAACGCGATGGATGATCTAGACGACAGCTCGGAGTCGGAGTTTTCAGACGATGGGATCGCCGCGCCATCGGTGTATTCCAGCGCGCACGGGCATACCGGCGTTGGCGTCGACACCGCCAACCTGATGCCGCCGTTACCTGCACAGACGTCGATCATGCGGCTCGGCAACCATTCGACGCCGTACGTCTCGTCCTCGGCCTCGTCGATGGTGAACTCGCCCATGCCTCGGTCTCCTGCGCGGACCTTCGACCTGGAGGAGCGGCGTCCGGTGGGGAACATCCCACCACGCACGCCGTACTTCAAGCGGATGAAGGGCGAGCAGGGCGTCTCGAACCTCGATCTCCATCAGCTCTCTCGTTCGGTGACCCCACCCCTACCCACCGCCTCGGCCGCTGTCCCGGCGAGGCCGTCCACGTCCGCTGCGACTACCTCCAAGCGCCCTGCGACGTCGCCAGGCAGGGCGTCTAGGAGCGAGCGAGAGACCGAGTCGTTGAAACGGCTCGATGGGCTGTTGATTCAGCACATGGAGGCAGAGCGGGACAGGCTGATCCGGATCGCGAGGACAGCAAAGGTGACGGCACGGACGTGACGCTGTAGCGGGTCAGGTCTGGACAGATTAAATTGGCAACAGGTCCAACACACGACACACGCAGTTGACGCGCCCTGCCTGACCTGCCCGGCTTTGTAGATTTTTAAGCATTTATATTCCTTATTATTTCGTATATACCCCGCTCGTATGATCTTTCTGTTTCTCCTCCTCTCCATCTTACCCTCGACTTTTGAATCGTGCATGTCCAGTATCCCACTACCCCCATGGCGCCGTTAATGAACCCGCTTCTTCATCTTCTTCGTTTGAGCGCTTGGTCGATTCAGGGTTCCATTCTTGCATGTGGTTCAGGTCGCCGTCGTGGGTCGTCGTTCATTTACATTCGTTTCGTTCATTGCCTATCATCGAATATCATACTTTCCTGTAGTATTTTACGACACTGCTTTCCTCGAGCGATCTCTTGGCACATCTATCGTATAGAGATGCATAATGAGGAGCGCGGACTTGCTTGGACGGGGGTCACCAAAAGGATACGCCTGAACCAATATGTCGATCGACTTGGGTTTTAGCCAGAAATTTCATTCAATCATGGAAGTGTTGAGGCTGTGTACAGAGATCTCGAACGCCACTTGTCTATTGAAATGTCGAGCCATATGTTTTGAGATATGTTTCGCCTGCACCAAGTCTCCTAAAACGATACACCGCTGGGTTTCAATCCGGCTTTCTCCGGCGGTCTGATTAGGTAACCTCACCGCACTGACGTACGGCAGCGTGCGGCTTGAGTCTGACACATGGTCACAGGCGAGTCAAGCGGAATTGCTACAGCAGCAGGGCTGAGCTTAAGACCGACGGTCTATTCATTGCGTTGACTATCACAAGAATATTCACGCAGTAAAGCCTCGCATCCGGGGATGAATTGGTCGCAAGAATATCCCAGCTATTCCTATTCATGGCACCAGGTGAGTGGCATGCTGCGTGGGCCACGGTGTTGCTTGCTCGCTAACGCATGTCCTGAGCGCTGCAGTCGCATGACCAGGTGAAGTGAGCCGTGGAATTGAATCCCAATGCCTCGACTCATCCGCGCCCTCATCACCTAGGCTACTGTGTTGCTGCTAGTGCCGTATGAGACTCCGGACGAAGAAGTACAGGTGTGTGGCACTTCGACGTGGAGCGTCGCAGAACGCCAACCCGCATTTGCAGGTGACCATCGAACGCAATCACTTGGTCGCGGGAGTCAGAGGCCAACCACCTGTTGTGAAGGTATGTGAGACCCTCATTCCACGCATTCTCTGTTCTGCTCCTCGGTCTCTGCTCTGTTCCTCGGGACTCACATCATGGTCTAGGGTCGATTGTACGGAAATGTCGATATTGCCAGTTCCGTATGGCAGCTAGAGTCACACGCGTCGCGGCTGTCACTCCGCGAGCGCACGACCTCGACCACCTCGACGGTCTCGACGCGCTCTTCCTACGCTTTCGTCTCGGACCCTGATATATCGAGCAGCTTTGCTGCGTCTGTGGGAAGCGGCCCCACCTCTGACACGGAGGAGTTCCTGGCGTCATCGCCTGCACTCTCCTCGCCCGTCTCGTCTTCCGCAGACGAGCGTGTGGGGTTCGCCACCGTGCAACGCCAGCAATCCAGGCGGAACACGTTTCGAGCAGTGTCGCCCCGAAATGTGTCCCTCAGCCTAGCATCGTCTTTTTCGTCGTCAGAGTCGTTGCATGCTTCCACTTCTGGGAGGCTCTTGACCATACATCTTGAAAAGGCAGATTCTGTCATCTGGCCATCGATGATCGTCGGCCCTGTGCCAGAGACGCTCTCTCCCTGTCATCCCAGCCCTACAGGCCTGAGCACGGATCTCGAGCAGACATACAACATGGATCCTACGAGTCTAGTCCTCCTCGCTTTCGACCTCTTTGACATTCGTCAAGACAAGGAATCTGCTTTCGAATATCTACTGTAAGCGTCTCCTCTTGAATAGCATTTCCCGATTTTCACAACGAGGACATGTCTTACTCTTTTGTAAACAGACGAGCTTGGCATCAAGCACACCTACCGTCCGCCGCAATCAGGCTGGTTACTCACTACGTTCCTCTGCACCTGACCTCTGATGACACTCTCAAAGACCCTGAGACGCCCGTAGTGCCAGGAACGTCTGCTTATTATGCTCAGTGCTTGGGAGGGCCGCTTGGGCTTGCACAGCTATACCTCGAGGCTGGCCTCCTCTACTTGGAAGGCACCGCTTCCGCGCTACTCTCCACTGCCTACTCTCCTCTTTCTTCCATCCGCTTGCCGCCGCAATCGCAGTCCGTCGGGAGCGGCGCGGAAGGAGTGACAGCGGCGTGGAAACGAGACCGCGAGATATCGCGACGCTATTTCCAGCGCGCGCATAATCTGCACCCGAGCCTTGACGTCCCGTTACTCCCGTCTGAAGGCGAGGATGTGCTCCGGGAGAGCACGAGCGACGTTACCCTCCAGATGCCGACCATAGAGGTGAATCCTCCTGTGGAAGATCGTGTAAGTAGGACGCATCCAAGGCAGAAGCGCCGGCAGAAGGGAGACGTGGGTATCTTTGATGATTCGAAGCGTTCCGCGATGGAGGAGCTTGACAATACCTGGTATCTATACTTACCGGGGTTGGTGGGCGCAGGCACGGCTTTGCTCGTCGTAGGGGTTGTTGGGGCCTTGAGCTTCTCCTCTTGGAGGAAGAATCAGGGTTGACACGACGCGCGCGATCTTTCATGCATGTTTTTGTTGTACTGTACGTTGCTCTGTATTTTTTTTCGTCTTTTTGTTTTAGGTCTAGTGCACAATCCTATGTTGTTTTGAGGTATCATTGCTTTGTTGCTTTGTCGAGAGCGCAAGATATCCCTCATAAACGAGTATATGACGTCACCTGTGTTCTAGTCAGTGCTTGGCGAAGTGGTTGCCTTCGACGTTCTCCCGATGTCATCTGATTCTCAGGCAAAGCATTGGTCCACACCATTTCTTCTCCCTCTCTCCGAAGCAGAAATATCCGATTCTACTGGAAACCGCGCGCTGATCATTTTGAACCAACCTTTCTCCGAGTCTCTCTTCTCTCGACTATGGCAATCTACGTCATGGCGCTGTTGTGCTGATGGCGGGGCGAATAGGCTATTCGATCTTTTCGCCTCTGATGAGGCAGCAGAAGAACGGAGGTCGTGAGCCTTACGAAGTTTTCCCCAGAGAGCCTTTTTTGACTACGTGCAGGCTTCATCTGCCCGACCTCGTGAAGGGGGATTTGGACTCTCTTCGCGATGATGTGCAACAATACTACGCAATGAAGGCATGTCTGCTTTTCACACTAATCACTCAGAGTTTCTCATCACGCTGAAGGGCATCCCAGTGGTTCAAGATCACGACCAAGACTCGACGGACTTGATGAAATGCGTATCCAGTTTGGAGGAGAAAGAGCGGAAGGAGGGTAAGCAGGTAAGGCACGACTTCTTGATATCTCATACAAAAGCACTAACTGCTTGGGACTCAGGAGACGTACGACATCATTCTGCTTGGTGGTCTATCCGGACGGTTGGACCAAACGATCCACACCTTGTCGTACCTTCACAAGCTGCGAAAATCAAGCCGGCGGGTCTTTGCTGTGACAGACGAGAATGTTGGATGGGTTCTTGACGAGGTACGCACCACCGTGCTTGCAACAGGTTGGTTTTTGATTGGCCTTGGGCTCACTAGGGCGAACATTACATCTCAATCCCTCATTCCGCTTTGGGTCCGACGTGTGGTCTGCTTCCCGTGGGCGTGGACTCCACCGTTCTGTCGACGTCAGGCCTGCGTTGGAATCTATGTGCGCTCTGTCTTTCTTTTTGATTCTCCGCAAGCCATGTTCTGATGACAGAGCTTCAGCCGACCATGTTTCTGGCTTCGATGGCTTGATGTCGACTTCCAATCATCTCGTTCAGGAAGAGGACACGGTGTGGATAAAAACTTCGAGACCTATATGGTGGTGCGCAGAACTGAAGACAATATGAGAGCAAGATGAGCGCGGCGTTTGTATTTCTTGTTGCTATATTAGAACATACCCACCCTGGTCATCGATCTCTCGTTGAAAGGGACTGCGTAGGTGGATCATGTAGCTTACTAGCTGAAGCGCTGAAGCTCGATCAAGTGGACAATTGTGTGACACGCGAGAGATTCCCCGATCTAATGTGCTTTATCTTATCTTTCCACACACCATCACCTTGAACCTTTCCACTATGTCAAATACGAGGGAGATCACGGTTTTATACTTTGCAGCTGCATCAACAGCGACGGGGCTGACTTCTGAGCGCATCCCGTTACCACCTACCACCGACCCTTTTACTTTATCATCGCTTCCATCCCTCCTCGTATCTCGCCATCCCAACACGCCTTTGGACAAGGTCCTCGAAGGCAGTCAGTGGAGTGTGGATGCGGAGATGGTTGATGATATCAGCAAGGTCGTCTTGAAGGGCGGAGAAGAGGTTGCAGTGATTTGCCCGGTTTCGGGCGGGTGAAGGAAATGCTGACTCGATTGACGAAGGTGAGTTGTGCGGTCAGCTTGTGTTCGAGAACTGCCACAGTGCTTAAAGTGTGATTCGTCGGGTTATCACAAGGCCCTCACGAATGTATGAGAACGTGTGCGATAGTCCCTAATGTCGACCCGTACTGGATCACCGCTATTAACGAACGTCCTACCGTAGGCGTCGAGACATGTTACATATTCTCAGCTCTGTCCCATACATGATACCACTCATTGCCAACTTGATACACCTCCTACTGACGATTACCAGAGGAGTCATGATAGGTTTGAAGAAAAGTATGCGGGACTGGCGGAGCTTCCACGAAGCGGGCGTGGATTGTGAGGCTGGTGAGGTGTCGCATACTATGAGGCGATGTCAGAATGAACATCAAAGGATACTTGAGGACGTACATGTCGTAGATGCACCAAGCGGGATACTCAAATAAAGTCCTATGATGGTCTTCGTCCTTTGAAGATGGTTTGTTCTATATCAGCCAGGAAGGCATCAGTGTCGATTGATCCGGCGGTGCTGCCATATGGTTTGGGCCTCTGGGCCTCCAAGGCTACGAAAGGGTCAGTGACCGTTGGTGGTTTCGTTCCCTCGTCCATGGATGGTGAAGGAGGTATTGGTTGAGAGAGCCTCTGGTCCTCCGCCTTGCCTTTCCCCTTCCGCCTCTTCGCGTCCAGCAGCAGTCTCCGTTCCTCCAATTCCCTCTTCCGCTTCTCTGTAGCTCGACCTTTCAGTCCGTGACCACTAGCCTGCAGTCCATCCACCTCTCCAGGTTTCAAGTCAACAGCCCCCAAGTCTTCCCTGTTCCGCTCTGTTTCCCCTCTCGCCGCAAGCAGCTCCTCCATCTGCTTCTTCCTGGTTTCTTCGTCTGCGGAAAACTGGTAAAACCCAGCTCCCTTAGCACGCACTTCACGCGTCGAATCATAATGAGTATTTAGTGGTTTATTCCCTTCTGCTAGAGCTTCGTCGATGGCTGCAGTGCGTTCGGCAGAAGGCTCGTAGACAGGAAAGAAATTGACGGGATTCTCTACGATCATCTTGATGTAAATTAATCATTGGAAATCCGAAGAAGGTAAACTCACCTATGACATATCCTCTGACACAAAAATCAGCAAGAGATCACTGGCAGGATATTCAGCATTGCTTACTCGTCACCGTCACCATCTCCACCCTTCACATTACGAGGTAATAGATGCCGCGGCACCTCAGAACGGGGCGCTGTGCGCATCCGACCAAATTCATCTTCATATTCGATGACTGGATCAGCCTATCAAATTATCAAGTGAGGCACGAATAATGCATGGCGAGAGCGTACCTCATCTAATGGTTCGGGTACAGTCAAAGATTCATCTATGTCCTCGCTGTCGGATCCGAAATTTGCCATAGGTTTAGAATCGAACTGCCGTCTAAAGGTCAGTTCGTATATCGTGTCTATATGATGAGAATGGGATTGGACGTACGTCGACTAAGAGCATGTCAAATTGTTTGTCTGTGAGTCCACCAGACTTCCCTTTCATCAACTTGTCGTAAATCTTCGCTTTTCGCTCGAGAGCGGCGCGTGCAGACTCCAAAGTTGGCTCATCGACCGCTTCCAGTTCAATATCTCGAGCGGCGCGCGACTTGACGCCCTTGTTTTGGCGGGCCCATTGTGATATTTTCTATGTCGCGTGCTTAAGGTGCAAGTTGAAGGACAGACGAGAGCTGGTAGGTCGAGCGTACCTTATCCCGCCGCTGAACAGCGCCCGCCGCAACCTTACCTGCAGCCTTGTTCTCTAAGACCTCTTCTTCTCGTTTAGCGAGCTGAGCTTTGAGGTCGAAAAACGAGGAAGCGCTGACCCCCGCTGCTTTTGCTTTACTAGCAGGAGCCATCATGTATTAGTACGGAGTGTGAGGAAGGGCGTCTATTCTTAGGCTCGGACACAAACGGCCAGTACAAATTCCGCTGCTCCGACAAGGGCTCCCTTGGTACAGAGCATACGCGGCTCCCCCGGCCGTAACGACTCCGACGAAAACGAGCCTCAGTTATTAGAAGTCCGACGGCCCATCTTGCCTAGTAATCACGAGGCTAGTAACAGGCGCCCATTACCAGTGTGCTCCGAGTTCGATTCTACCACGCCGCCGCTAAATTTTGACGAGGCAGTCTCGCCCCCACATGCGCATGAGGTCGGCCAACATTCCTATGACATTCACAAGTCATCGGGGCTCGGAACAACGACTCTGTAGCAGCATCCGAAGGTAGAAGGGCGTGCTTACCGAACCTCATTAATTCGTTTGATGCGCCCAATAAATGCACCATTTTCTCCTATTCAACCGATTGTTGCTCGGCGCTTGGCGCTTAGCCTCGGCAGACCATAAGACACGCTATCCGGGTCAGTCTTCCATTTATGGTGATTCTCTTTGCTGATTTGCAGAGTACATAGGCGCGAGCGCTACAGCGCTTTCAAAAATCCATATTCGGTCGACAGAATGCCAGGCGCGCACATAGTTGTATTGGCCTATCCTGTACGGATGAATCGCCCTGTGACGACCATATCAAGATCTTTTATATAGGTCACAGAATCTGGTGTTGAAAGGGCTAGAGAAGAGGAAAGCATCTCCGAGGTGTTTAAAATAGACGTCAAGCAACGTCAAGTCATCGGTCCCTTGCGTCACGACCTCCATCAACCAACAGCGTTTCGGCCCAATAAATAAACCATCGCAGTGTTGCGGATCTAAATCTGCCTATATCCTCGAACTTCATACTCTGAGACTTGACCACCTCCTCTTCTCTTTGTGGGGTATCATTCGCTTTGGTTTGATCGCAGTACTGCTCCCATGCGGCCATGGTTCCTTCTACTCCTGCCAGTCGTTCAGGCTGCTCTCGTAAACAAAACGATCGACGATGAGGCAGGTCCGGATCCGTCGACAGGCGTTGCTCCCATTACATTCTTGCCTATAGCAGGATGGACTCAAGGAGCCACTTGCGATGGCTGTGTCGCGACGTTAGACAAAGCGCTGGTGTTCAACCATACTTGGCACGATACTACCCATTTTCCAGGTGATGCTGAGCAGCGCACGGTGACAGTTTCCTTCACTGGTGAGTTTTTTATAGTGCGTGTATGCGCCTGTGTCGAATGAAGGCGTCCTCTCTAGGAACTGCTGTATACGCTTATGCAGTCCTGTCATATGTTCTCACCAATCTGACGTTCAATATCGATGGATCTGATGTGGGGAATTTCGTCTACGTTCCGCCTGCAACTTTTGGAGGCTATCAATATGACCACCCCATATTTTCCAAGGATGGGTTGAAGAACGGATCTCATCAGTTGGTTATGAGCACTACAGGCAATACCAATCAGACAATATTTCTCTTTGATTACTTGGTCTACACGTGAGTGCCCTACTGCTTTCCCAACGAGGTCTGGACGCCTGACAACTCGGTTCAGAGTTGACACGGATCCTGCCACGAGCTCTGCCACTTCTACCTCTTCGACTGCGTCCGTCCAACCTTTAAGCTCGACCCCTGCACCCTCAGTAGACCATTCCAAAAAGACCACGTCCGTCGGCCCTATCGTGGGTGGTGTTGTCGGCGGCTTAGCCGTCGTCGGCGTTGTCGCCGCCCTCCTATTGTTCTGTTTACGACGACGCATGTCACCCCATGTCTACGTCCACGATGACTCCAAGATGCAGATCGAGCCACTCACGCACAATCTTCTACCACCCTCTCCATTACCTTCGGACTCTGGTGGGAACACTTCGTACCCGTACCGAAGCCTGCCGGTAACATCATACACGGCACACGATCCGAACCTTGGTGCCACAGACTCGTCAAGTTCTAGCACCATATCCGCAGGAAATGCGACGATGCAAGCGCGAGCCGCTGCCGTTCGACTGGAGGCGAAACATCCACGATCGAATCCCGGACACACGCAACAGATATCAGACGTCACATTCCCAACATCATCCACACCTACGTCTACACAGGCACGTACCGCCTTGGGGGAGGCTGATCTGCGGGCAGACGCCTCGGGAGCTGACACCGATCTGCGGAACGAGGTAGCGGAATTGCGCGTTAGGATGGAGATCCTCCAAACTCAGCGTACATGGGCTGCATTAGACGAGTCGCCTCCGCAATACGATGGCTAAATCTTGACTTCCCACCGGGGCGTTCGGTGTGTATACCATTACGAATTTTTCCAATTCTTGCAGTCTTTTGGGTTCATTTTTCTTCACAAACCCTATTTACAGCCATGTTGTAGAACCCCAGGCGCGATGTGTTTCCAAATTCTGTAAATCATAATTTATAGCTCGCGCGAGAATGAAATCATATGCTTCAAAACGTGATGGGGTCGGGTACTCCTCCGGTTGATCCTAGGCTAGTCAGTGCGGTGACAGGTCATATGAGAGCTCATCTGTCTGGTTAGTCAAGATATTTCGTCTTTTCTGACCCAGTGCTCAACCAAAATCAACCTCTGAAGCTTATGACCTTGTTCATCGGACAGACGATAACACACCAAATTCAGTTTTTTTTTTGGTCGAGGCATGTCACAACCCAATCCAACTACTCCGTCCTCCCGGATTATGCAACGATGTCTGCCCAATTTTCACAACTCCAGCTTCTATCTTCGCCACGTCCTCTATATGTCTCATCTGTTCCGGCTTTTCAACAACGAAGGGGTTGTCGATAGCATCTATCAGAGGACTCGGGGTAGCCAGCGGTGTTGAAGGCGTTGCGATGAACGAACCCCGACCGTCCACTTTCGGTGAGGGCGATTTATCCGAAGGGGGGTGGAAGACTGGAAGGAAGGACTCGGCATACCATTCGTACCAGACTTGGCGTTGGTTCGTGAGGCGCCAGATGGAGACTTGAAGCTCGGAATTACTCGGCAGGTACAACGGCTCCTAGCGGAAGACGTCAGTTGAAGGAATACGGATACAAGATAGGCCCGTACTTTGAGAGGAAAGAAAAGAGGGAACCAGCTCAACATATCCTTGGATATCTGGTCTTTTCGAAATGGGTGAATACTCAGACCAACGTCGCCGTAGAGCATGGCCTCGAAGTAGCCTGCCAGGCCGTGCAGTACACCCGCGTGGGGGATATGGAAGGTCAACTTGGCCGAGCGCGTATTGTGCGTATTCGTAGGCGGCAAACCTGCACCAAAAATAAGCCATCAAGCAGCCCAGTGAGAATTACAATATTCACCAAGTTCGTTCAAGACAGCGTCTCTTCGCGGATGCTCGAAATCCCAGCACTCTTGTACTTTGGGCCCGCATCGGCCTTCCGCGCCACCACCATCACCACTAAGGATGTTCACCGCTTGGAACATGACAACATAAGGGGTCTCAGAGGCCTTGCTGTCCTTCCCCACTCGAACTTCATTATACAGTTTCGAGGAGGACAGCGGAGCGAGGTACGCTGAATATGATGCAGGTATGGAGATGCCGTCGGCTAAACCAATGAAAGATGTCAATAGTTTGCGTGCATTAGCATGTACAGTAACCACATACGCTTCAAGAACCTCATGGCACCGTCGAGACATTCCGGACTAAGCTCATTGTCCCCAAAGGATCCCAACAATTCGCTGACAATAATGTCCGCAAGTTCGGGCACCTGAATAGTCCGCATGTCGCCAAATAATACATTGACCTTATCCTTCCATTCATGCTCCTTCCGTCCTTGTAATCTGAACAAAGCGCGTGAGCACCAAATCTTTTATACGGGAAGACATTTGAATCACGTTACATATGCACTCGGGTTTTTCTCGAGAGCATAAACGAAGGCGTTTCGCTTCGAACTTTCTATGGCGTTCAGACATCTTGCCACGAGGGGACCTCGTCCGGCACCGGCGACATAGATCACGCTAGGAAGATATCAACAAGGGCGAGAGGATTTTAAAAATGACAGGCGTACATTCTGTCACACTCCGGCCATTCAGACAATGCCATGAAGACGGCCTTGTGGACGACATTGTTCAAAAGAGCGATCAAAAGATATGTGAGGACTTACCTCTTCATATTTTTGGTACTTCACAGGGTCTTGTTCGAATGTTTGGTAGGTGACGCTTTGCAGATTATCCATGAGAGGCTGTACGGGTTTCAGTATAGAAAAGACTACGGTCAGTGTAACATACCTGCAACGGCGCTTGCAGATAATCTTGGTATCCTTGTGCAAAATGTTCGACCGTCCCAGGAGTCTTCACCTGCACAACTGCAGGGCTTGTTTTCTCCAGATAACGTACGTACTGCAGATACGCAGCCTCCCCGCCACGATTGTGCAGCCCAGTAGCAGGACCAGATAAGATCAACGTCGGTCGATGCTAGTCCAATGAGGGATGAGTGAAACAAGACAACTAGCATGCAGAATTATACCTTCATGATATCCCGGATGAATTTCTGCGTCCCTTTCGGGAGGACAGGATAGCCTTTTGTGTTAGCAATAAAAGTTGAGGCTGGGAGAAAGACGTGTCTAATGGGCTCAGCGGCCCATCTGTTGAGCACGCCAGGAACGGAAGGGAGGGGAGGTGTGAGGTCCAAAGCTATTCACCGGCAATTAACGAGGTGGATGGCGAAAAAAGAACCGGCGCACTCAATGTAAGTCGCGGGTTATAGTCGCAGATCGACCGGATAGCATCCCACATTTCCCACGTGGCATTTAGCTCACCCTCTGATGCTCGGGTAGATGGGGGAGATCTGCGCAGGTCGGGTGTGCGAATATCAGGTGTCGATCTCCCATTAGGAGAACCGTGAATATCAGAGAGTGATGTTTCCCGAGTCTGCTTTGGCTCGAATATTGAAGGGTCGTATATGGGGAGACGGACAGAGAGCTGCATATATGGTGTCTGTTCGAGACACTTGTTGATCGCGCGACCATATGATGCTATCTGCTCTCTGTTCCGTGGAGGAGGAAGTATAACAGTTTGGACATTGAGATATGAAGCGTAGGATAATTCTTGTTGGAGAGCCTGTACACAAACCAGCCTTCAGCATCTATTTTACCGACCTGCTAATAGAAGAGACCAAAGAAGTCATAAGTTCTCGGCACTCACGATCTCAGAATCATGTCTAACCCAATCGTCAGATGCGTCCAACTCCAGCCAGTCTGAAACCATCACAGACACGCCGTCTGCTTCGTCTTGTAATAATACAGAAAGTCAGGACCACAAAGCTTTGAGTTACAGGTGCACTCACCCAGGCGCGACATCGTCACTTCGTCCCGTAGAAAGCATGGATTGGCCCTCCATGTCTCAGCTCGTCGTTCTGCCTCCGAGTTCTCTCCCTCCATCTGTCCGACTGGGATCACGCACATACTCCTCCATCGCTCTCTCCAGTTCTCGTTCGACAGCGGCAGACACACCACATCATACGTCCGTTCTCTAGCATCATGCACCACGGAAAGTACGGGAGTGTCGTACGCAGACTGATCGAGCTTCCCCTGCGCCTCTTGCAATTCCTTGAGCGACTGCGACAAGGCGATGTTGGCGGAGTCCCAGGACATGGTTATGCGAGAAAGTCAGCGCCGGAGATGATATATGATGGAGGACGGATTCGATGATGTACGGCGCTCTCAATTGATGTTTGCTCCGAACAAACAGACGCGTCGCGTCGACTCGTCATTTCCGAAGCAATTTAGCTCTATTTGACCTTCGGTTTACTCACTTCCTGATCGTAAGGAGATTCGTGAGCTGCTATCTGGCAAGCGGACACAGCCTATGACGGTGTCAATCTCTCCCACGGCCATCCGCTGTCTTAGTGCTGTCTTCCGCTGTGCCTCAGGGCCGATCAATGCTTAGGAAAAAAGTCAAAATCACTGTCACCAGTCATCACTGGCAGAAGGTATATCGGCATATTCAAATAAAAAGAGGTCAGAGTATGCTGGAGGATGGCGCTGTATGACGCTATGGCCATATCACACTGCGCTCTCTTTATCGTCGTGGGGTCCAGGATTGTCCGCCAGATGAGCAGTCTTCGAGGGACCCAGGAGCCCCCTGGAGCAGCCAGCTTATAAGTTCGACATCCGAAGCGACCAACCGACAGCCTCACTCTCGCCAGTTGCTGCTGAAGGGTGATCATTGTATGTCGTTCCACCATTTTTTAGTCATCCGTTGTCTTCCATTGGAAAGTGGCAGTCGTGTGCGGGCTCGCTAGGCATGATTGAACGACTGAGCTAAAAGGGCGACACGGCGCGCAACTATCCAGGTTCGCGAGGAGGGAGGTGGTCAACCAGAAAGCGCCGCCGATGACACCGCACTGAATGGCTGCCGACATTGGGTTCACCACAAGTGAGATTCATCCATCATCTCTCTTATAACGATCCTCTAAATAAACATTACATCACCTTGTCAACGTTTGATAGCCAAATGGCCAGGCGCCTGATGTATGGCCATGGAAAGAAGCTGAAAAGCTCGCCTGTCGGGTCACTCGCTGGGAAAACATCAATGAAGTCAAGCAACGCTATCTCACGACAAGTCCTAGAACCAGTCCAACTCCACCAGGAGCCCCGCGTTCCTGCGATCATCCAGAATCTTCCCCGCGGACTGTCTAATTACGTACGGTGTCGAGATCCATCAGCGTTCTGCGCTCAATAGGCTTCAATAGAACGAGGATCGCGATCGACCCCTGCATGTCCACCTCCCAGGTCAGTATGTCCGTCTTTAATGGAAGAGACGGTCGTAAGGTCGATCGTAAGCACTCAACGGATTGCGTTCATACGATGCCATGTATGCGCCAAAGATCGAAGCAGGCACCACGCCCGGATCCGAACCGTGCTTCGCGACGTCGCGAAGCATTGCGAGAGCCTGAGAGTTTATGGACTATGTAAGGAAGACGAGGGGACGCAGGACGCTTGGGGTAAGGTAAGGGACCCGCCTGCCTGCGGTACCTGGCCGATCGCTCGAAAAGCAGTGCAGGAGCAAAATAGATTCGAATATACAGATCCGTCGGGATCGAAGCATCAATACGGTGATCGCGACTGAGATCAACAGCAGCTGCGAACATCGCCCGTCGCTCAGCGCCTCCACAAGCCGTCGCAGCTCGGACAGGACAGGCGTGCGTACGTACGTACCAAACGCCCAAGCAGGTCACGCACGCGACCCTTCCGACGCGCCTGTTCGGGGCTACACCCCACCCGGCCCGGGGCCCCCCCCGTCAAGCCTCCTCCTCTTCGCCCCGTCCCCACCCGCCCCATTCGCCTCGCCGCTCGCGCGCGTCCGGTCCCCGCGCCGATCCTCCTGCGCATCCGCTGCGGTCTCGGACATGCCATACCCCGCGACCACGCCCTCCAGCACCGTGCGCCCTACGACCTGCCGCAGCTCCTCATCGGGGTCACGCCCCTCGGCCTCCGCGCGCCCCATGATGTCCTGCACGGACTGCAAGAGCGACGCGGTCAGGTACTCGGACACGGCGTCCTGCGAGTGCTGCGAGGGCTGTGCGAGGCCGCGCGCTGCGCCCGGCGCTAGCGCCAGTGCTGGTGCCGGTGACGCTGGCGAAGGGGTGCCAGAGGCATCCGTGGCGTGAGGCGCGGGCGCAGGCGCAAGCGCGGCGAGGTAGCTGGCGACCTCCGGAAAGTCCTCCGCAAGGTGCTCTGCGGGCTAAGGCGCGCGCGGGCGTCAATCAGCTGGCTTGGCGCGTTTCTGCGGCGCGGCAACCGCGTATGTATGCAGGGGGGGAGAGGGTCGCGGCGAGTTGGGCTGGCCGGGCGTACCTGGATGCCCTCATTGTTTCGTCGGTCGACCGTCGCGCCGTGCTCCACGAGGTACCGCGCGGTCTCGACGTTTTCGACGGTGTAGAGCGGCGTATCGCCGTCATCGTCTGTGGTGTTCACATCACCGCCTAGCGAAACGCTGTCAACTTGGCCGCCTAGAAAAGAGGAAGCTGCGGCAGACGCGCACCTCTGGAGATCAAATAGTCCAGGACGTGCAGCTGGCCGTAAGACGCGGCCGCATGCCTGCAGCGAGCAGGGGCCGCGGCAGGCGGCTACTGGTCAGTACGTGAGGCGACGGGCTGGAGCTGTGAAGCGCACATGGGGGTGTACGTGTACGGGTCTGGCGCGTTCGGGGAGATCGCTATGACGATGGGATGGGACATCAGCTCAGCTGCCGGGTGCTGTTGTGTCAAGGGGTTCGGCGGGAGATCCACTTGCACTGTCGCTCGACTAGCTCCTGCGTGCGCGTGAAGAGATTGGGTGTGGGGCCAGCTTACAACGGTCACATCGCCGGAGCGCTCACCTGGACGCGCGCGAGGTCGCCGTCCCCGGCGGCGACCCATATGTTTTTTTCTGCTCGGGTGGGGACGGGCATTGTGTCTTGGTGAAGATTTGAGTGTAATAAAGTGGATGACTACTGTGATGAGGTCTAATCAAGTGTATTTGGGCATGTTTGTACAGCGCTATATATGCTTAGGCGCTCGTGATTGGGGCATTTTTTCGGCATCATCATCGAATGGTCTTGGAAGGGCCGGGGCTGCAAGCACGGGCCGGGCGTCTGAGTGAGTGGGGGGGCTCTGGAGGAGACGGCGAGGAGGGGAGTGGGTTGTTTGACGAGATGTGGGGACGAAGGAAGGCGACATAAGGGCGCTTGAGTAAAAGGATCTGAGGTTCGGATCTTTGGCATCGATCGTGAAGAACGGATCTGTGGATCACTTTTAAATTACGTGTGCGGGTCGGGCGGTGGCGCGGGTCGGCGCTTGGCCCGGAGTGGGCGGGGGAGGTGGGGGGGGAGGTGGGGCGGACGGCGAGGAGAGGCGGGAGAGGCGGGGAGAGGGGGTGCGGGGGAGCGAGGGCGAGGGGGAGGAGGGTTTGCACCGCGGAGGCTGGCCGGGGTCGGGCTCTGGCTGCGTGACACGGAGTGCGTCAGGGGCGTGACGTCGAGCCGAGGGCACGGACGAGTCGGAGAGATTGAGATGTTTGGACGTTCCCCTTTACAAACCAGCCGCACAGCGTCCTCCTCTCCCTCCTCTCCCCCTCCGCCTCCTCCGCCTCCTCGTTCTCTCTCGCCCGTTTGCTTTCCGTTACTCTACTGTACAACCTACTCGCCTCTGTCTGCGCCCTTCGTTCGAGCCCATGAGCTACCTCACCCCCTCTCACCGCCTCTTCGACTCCCCTGACCTGTCCCCCTTTCCCCCCCTCCACAACAACACCAACAACTCCCCTCCCAGGATGCTCAATCTCTCCTCGTACGACCCGCTCCCGCTCCCGCAGCACCCGCCGTCGCTCGCGCCCGATCAGTCGTTCAGCAAATTCCCCAAAGTGGGTGAAACTCGGTGCTGTAAGTCGCTTCCGATTCCATCATCCGGACGATCGTCCATCGATCATCCGTGACGTGTCCTCTTCCCCGCTAACTCTCCCTTTCTCCCTCGAATACCCTCCGTTGCCGCTCCAGACTGGACCCTCCTCTCCGCGGATCTCCACTTCCTCTACCTCGACCCCGTCCTCGCCCACCATCTCGTCGATCAGGCCAACGACCTCGTCGGCAAGTCTCTCTTCGATTTTGTCCACCCCGACGAGAAGGCCTCGGCCACGCACGACCTCCGCAATGTCCTCGAGAGCCGCACCCTCCACGGCAGCGTCACCCGGTATGCCCCGTTTTCTATCTCAGCGTGGACCCCACGCTGCATTTTCTCTTCACCGCTTACCTTCACACGGCGTGTTCGTCTCCACCAGAATGCGGTATTCGCGCCTGTCCCGCGTGCGGCGCCTCCTCGGTTATCAAGGCCCTCATCACGTCTGGCCAGAAGCGGAGAAGATTGCGATAGATTCAAACTACATGGCCGTGGACCTCGTCATCAACTGGGCAGCGGAAGGCCTCGTCCTTTGTTTCATCCACGCGGTCGTGGACCTCACGCCCTACGACAACGACGAGCACGTGAAGACCGGCTGGACAAACTGGTGCGGCACGAGTGCCATGACTGACCAGGAGGCGCAACTGCTCTACCAAAGGCTGCTCCACAGCATCCCTCAGTCTGGCAACATGTCCAGGGCATTTCAGATCCTCTTGAACCAGTCGGACCGCCCCCTTCTCTTCAGCTGGCCTCCCCAACAGGCACAAGGCCCGACAGCCTCCGACTTCGCCAAGCTGTCCGACGAGGTCCAAATCGAGAACAGCCCACACACCGGCAATGACGCAAAGACCAGCTGCACGCGGCGATACAAGGCGTTGCAAAACATGACCTCCTCGGACGGCGTGAGAGAAGTCGAGAGTATATTCATCCCGCACGGTTCGTTCTCCCCTCTCTTACACCCATCCACCCCCTGACTCCTTTGTCCCCAGGTTCCATCATCTTTGCCTGTCACAAGGTGAACTCGCCCTCTCGTTCCTCTTCGACGAGCAACGCATCTATGCAGCAGCAGCAGTCCAACTACGACACCGGTTATATGGGCTCGCAAAATCAGCAATTTTATTCCGACCAGACGACGGGCTCCTACGCACTGCCTCCTATGCAGGTCTCGCCGACCTCTTCCTACAATTTCCTTTCTCAGAGCTCCCAAGTCCCAGTCCTGCCCCCATTTTCGACTCAGCCGTGGTCGACGGGCCCAGACCCATCGACGTCGCATCAGCTGTTGGGGTCCCAATGGGCTTCCGCAGCATCGACTGCGTCCTATACGTCAGGCACTCCGCAAATGCGCGTCTCTCCCTATGCGTCGCAGCAGCAGCAGCAGACCCAGGCGCCATTACCGCGTCAGTGGTCCCCGCAGCCCTCGCCCTATGCCGAGATGGACAACCCCATGCCCCAGGCCTCCTATTCTCGGCCCTTGTCCCCTTCCTATGGCTATTCGTCCTCCGAAGTTCAGCAGGCCCCGCCACCAAACACGGATACGGTACCGCCGCCAAAGACAGGACAACGTCGCACGAGCCCCAGTAACTCCCGGGACCAATACGGATCGGGGGGCAGGAGCTCGGGGCACCCACCCGTAGGGATCACTCGATGCTCCAGCTGCAAAGTTACTCAAAGCCCAGAATGGCGGAAAGGCCCCAGCGGCAAGAAAGATCTATGCAACGCGTACGTCTTGGTTTACTGCTTCCTGTCTCGGTGCTGACTTGCTGGTCCCTCCAAAAGATGCGGCCTTCGATATGCCCGCTCACGTGCCAAGAAGGAAGGGATCGCCCAGCGTAGGAGGAAAGACAAGGCGAATGGTCCGACCCCAAAGCAAGAGCAGCAATCCCCCAAGCCGCTCTCCGCCACGCCTCCCCTATCGGCGCCCTATCCTGGCCTTCGACAGGCGAGCTACGAGGATACTTCATTCACTTCCACCTCGCCTGCGGGGTCAGGCTCTGGGAGCGAGGTCTACCCGCCGCCTGGTCCGCCTGGTCCGCAGGCCTTCAACAGCCTCACTCCTTCGCCCTCGCCCCCCGCCGGCAACGTCGGCTTCCAACACTACCCCTCTCACCGTCACGCACGGGAGTCGGACGTGCGGCAGCAATACTCCTCAAGCACGCCCTCGTACTATCCCTCGCCCCTTTCCAACACGGGCGTGCAGCACGGCTCGCACGGAAATGGCGGGCACGGACATACGCTCTCGCGCATCGAGTCGCTCCCGCAGCTGGTGAATAGGATGTCGCCGCTGCTCTCGTCCGCGTCGTCCAACTCTCCTGGGTCCGGCCACGCCGCCTCGTACGAACGCGAGCGCGACAGGGACAGGGACTCTATCACGCTGCCGCCCACGCCGCTCTCCGCCGACCCGCGCCACGGGCCGGCGAGTAAGATGACCTTCGTAACTCAATGAACAAAGGGGGGGGGGATTACCTGACCACGTTTGGTTCCTTCATGAAACATCAGCAGAACAATCTCCGATCTGCTCTCAGAAATTTCGTATTAAAGCCTGCAACTCCTATTTTTTCTCCTATTTTCTCCATTTCATTTCGCTCGGTATCCTGCGGTCGGCTACAGGGGTACAAGATCCCTAACTAGCTTGCTTCCCTTTTAGTCCTATTTATCTGCTTTGCGCGTTGATGATCACTATGCCCTGCCTGTCCCACGGACATTCCGCCTTCGCCATAATTGCCTCGCTTCTCATCGTATCAGTATTTGACCAGCACCAGTACCCTCCGCGTGGCGTCCCACTTCCTGTGGTCGCCCGCGTGTACAGTACCTCCGTCTGTATACATGGTTCCCGGAGTGTCCGAGTACTCCAAGTAGGTTACTTAGTTCGCTGTTAGTGCATCGCTCTACCGTACCGCCCTCGGGCGTCGTCCTGCGGGCGTGCATCCGCTTAATCTCCCACCCAGCCCCCTTCTATTCCGTGTACCTGTACAATAAGTATTTTTTTTCCGCGCCTTGTCTTTTTCTCTGCAGCCGTTCTGCAGCTCGAACGAACCTGGCTGAGCACGGATCCTCGTAGATCTCGATGATCGATCAGTGACAACGCACATATGCGTGCTATTACTTATGGGGGATATCTGCTATCTCTATCTGGGTTCGGTGAGGCGGGGCCTGATCTCCGTAATTGAGAAGCACACGATATTGACAGGTCAGGCCTCGGGCAGGGGCGGCGCTTGAGCTCCTTGAGATGCGTGCAAGGGAGACATGATTAAGGTACAGCGCGACGCCGTAACATCTCTGTACACTCGGATCCGCCACAGAGCGCGGAGCCGTGCGCATGAGCAGAAAGGTGTCGTCCAGGTTTCACATCGGTATACACAAATACAAGCAGGCCGTGATGAGCGATGCATCCTACGCTCCCTTCGTCAGTCTGCAAACGTAAACGAGGGCCGTTGAGGAAAAGCACGGGGGAGGAAAGGAGGAAGGTAGACACACGTCGCGTCGATCTGTTTGATCTTGGGGAGGGCGAGCATGATTTTGCGGCGGTAGTTGGCGCCTTCCGCCTGCTGGCAGGGGTTTCCCTCGAGGTAGATCGTCTCTAGACACGGCAGAGGCGCCAGCTGCGATTCGAGCGATTGTAAATTCGGGATCTTGTTGTTGTTGATCTGAGGAAAAATGATCGGCAGTCCATGATCGTGAACGGCGGCATGACGAGGAAGTTCGGATGAACGTACCCATAGTTCCGCGAGCGATCGGAGATAGGAGAGGTTTTCTATCGTGGAAATGAAGTTGTTGCCGACGTCGAGTGTCGTGAGGCGCAACTGGCAGCCAGATCGATATTTTAGTCGGTCGGTCGGTCGGTCTACCGATGATGCCTAGAATCAGGAGATCTCACGTTGTGTTGCAGGCCCTCCAGCTTCTGCACGCCGTTGTGGCTGAGATAGAGTTCTTCTAGGTTCTCTAGTTCGTCTAGACCTTCGATCTTCGTCAGGCGATTAGATTGCAGCGCCAGGATTTTGAGCCGTTTCAGGTTCCCCAGGTTCTGGTGGGGGAGAGATGAGCGTCAGCGAAGAGTCGCGGCAGAGTATGCGGCGTGCAGTGCCTCTAGCTTCGTTATCTTGTTCTTGCCCAACCACAGTTCTTCGAGATTCACGAGTGCATCCAGGTTCTCGATTTGCTGTCGAAAAGGAGGTCGTAATCGATCGCGTGAGAGAGGAGAGGGTCTGCATTCACCCGCAGCTTGTTGCCGCCCAGTTCCAAGCTTCGAAGCGTGGCACCCAGGCCTTGAAGACCGCTGATCGTCGATATTCGGTTCTGGACAAAGTAGACGGTCTTGAGAGCCGTAAGATGCTCCAACGTGTCTGGGATCGCTTTCAGGAGGTTGAACGACAGATCCAATACACTTTGTAGCAGACAGTCACGGTCAACTGAGGCCAAGAAATATACACGCGTCTGACTCACGAGAGATTTGACAAAGAGTTCAGGGAATCGCCGACGGCCTTGAGCTTGTTGTCATACAGATCGAGCTCCTCCAAAAGCGTTAGCTGATTGAACACGGCGGGATCTAGGAATGAAATGAAGTTCTGGCGAAGGCAAAGGCGCTTCAGGTGGCCAGCGAACCGCGCGAGCCGAAGATTCTCCAAAGCGGATATCCCAGAGTGCACGAGGTCAAGGTCCTTTTGGTAACTTGGATTAGCGAGGGGTTTCCGCGCAAGTGGGCGAGATGATCACCTCTGTTTCGTCAGGGAGGTCACTCAATGGATCACCGCCTCCTCCCTGACCTGTTCCTTCTTCAACATCGTCCTCTGAATCCGAGGTTGCGTCCGCATGCTTCTCGGCCTCATGTGGCAATTCTACGCGCGCGGTTCTGTACGTTCCCATTACCATCGATGACATTTACCAGAGAGCTAAAGTGACTTGCCGTTGTGCCACGACCACGTCTCCAGAGTCTGATTGATTGGTGGGTTTCATATGTTCAGACTTGGGGTCAACACTGGGCTTAGATACGAGGAACGTGGTTCCTCTCCTTGCATCATGCGAGGTTGACTCGACCTAAGGAACGATAAGGTCATGGGCGTTACGTAAGAAGCAGTCCGTCAGGAACTGCCAGGCTCCTTTTACGCAGGACCATTGCAGTTACCATTGCATACGTTCCTACGCCAGAATAAATTGCGGTTTTGGCGGAAAAAAACTGCAATACATCCCAAGCGGATATCCGCGGTTAGGTCTGCGCTCACATGATAACGGGCTGAGCCCCCCTTAGCCATAGCCCTCGTTGGCATATAGTCCATTAAGATGAGTATGCACTGAAGAGAAGTATTACATCTCGTGTGGTTGTAAGAGATACAAATGGGTCCAAAGAGATAGAGGTACAACGTTAGTCGCCAACTAAAATTACTACGCATTTGACAGACGAATAGCGCGAACACTAAACAACAACTATGCGATCAAGCCTATGATATTGGCGGTCAATTTGAGCACGAGCTACGCCAAGGAGGAGGGATCTTACCAGATAATTATACGACTTGCGATCGTCGCACCGCTCCAGATACTCACGCTGAGTAAGGAGGGACAACAAGTCAGTCATATCAAATCACAAGCATATGAACTCAACGACCGACCTCTATCAGACCTTCAATCCGCTTCTTGATATTGAGCGGATTGGGCTGGAAACGAGTCGCAAGCTGTCGCGTCGCTTCATTGACGAGATCGATATGTGTCATATGTTTCCTGTCCTTCATGATGCGCACAATACAGGCCTGATCAAAATGAGGGGCGAGATGTTTGTGAAGCTTCAAGGGTCGTAAAGATAGCGACGTGTGACGCACCTCTATTTGATGTCGTCTCTCTTCCTCCACCCTATCATGTGTCTCTTTCCGCTCTTCTCCGCTCTCGACCCTTGACGCGACGGTGCTGATTTTGATCTTCTGTAAGGGAGACGAGAAATCCTGATTGAACGAAAACGAATCGGATGGGTTGACGTCTCGGCCGTGAGGGTGTTTCTTCAGGACCTTGAATTTTGCACACGCAAGCGACTGGAGATTTCTTTGCAGATCTACGTCCGGAATCGATGTGGCTGCTTTGATTTCCTTAACGAACAGTGAAACAGTAAATGCAGTGCCCCGTGAACGGGGAAATTTTCACAAACCTCGTATGTCAGGAACTCGCCTTCGGTCAAGTCCTCGAAGAGGAGTAAGATGACAAGAGCAAACGTCGAGACGTTCAGGTCATGCTTCTTGGCCTTGAAAGTGACGCGCACGTCGGCGTTGCCCATGGATAATTGCCATGTAAGCCGCCGACCAGAATGTCGGCTGAGATAAAATTGCTCGAAGGATTTGCTAGTTTTGACAAGCACATCAGGAAGTGCACAAACTACGCCCATATAAGGCATTGGCCAGAAGGTGGATGTCATGACGATGACGGATATATCTACCTCAGGTGCCTACAGCCAAAATGAGAAAAAAGAGGCGGTTGATACACGGAGAAGGATGCTCACAGTCGTCTTCTCGAGATGGGTCCGATACGATTGCATCGTCTCGGACGAAATCTTCATATCGTGGAACATGCCCTCCAGCTTCTGTGTGAACTGGTAGCCGCACTCCACTTTGAGCTTGGCGAGCATCCCTCGTTCCGCATCATCGGAGACTGACCGACCCAATAGAAGACGTTTAGCTAGATGTCCCTTATAGTATCTTTCAAAAACGTCTTTCTCCGTAATGTATCGGAAGACTGTGATGGTTTTGTCGAGCACAGCTTCGACTTCTGCATCTGTTTTCTGGAATGGGATCAGACAGGATCACGATGTTATAAGTCATGACTTACTCCTTTCAACCCCTTCTTCAAGTTCTCGTCAATGAACAGCGATATGAACTCCGGAGCGCGAGGTTGGGCATTAACAAATGATTCAAAGGCCTAAAATTTACGTTAGTAGGCAGCCTTGGAAAAGAAGTTGGTTCGCCCACTTCGTTCAATCCGCTCTCCAAATCACGGTTGCTGTCGAATGAATTCTTCCATATGTAGTCAAATCTGTCCTTCAAGTGTAGAACATCTTGAACCCATTTCAGGGCGATGGCTAGACTCTGGGCATTGGGGTTTGGAGGTCGAGCCTTGCCCTTTTCTTGTCCTTTCTCCTTACCTTTCCCTTTCTCCGACTCCGCATCATCCTCGTTCTCGCCCTCGCCCAACTGAATATTTGAGCTCCTGCCACTGATTTCTGCTCCTCGTCGACCAACAGAACCTTTCAGAGATTTCCGAAGGCAGGGGAGTCCTTCTGGTACCATACTGAACAATTGATGAAGGCGTTTCAAGTCGTCAAATTTATCTAGATCAATCATGGCATCAAGTCCCGAGTTTGGCATGCTGATGACCTGCCACAAATGGGGAGAAAGGAGAGTATCCTGTAATATCTGTCGTAGAGGTCCTGAAGTTTGCAAGGATAGATATTGATGCGCGCGGGATTGTTCTTCGACGAATCGAGTATCAACCTAAAGGGACATCAGGCAGAAGAATATATCAAAGCGAGAATGCACATACTCTGCGCAGGTATTCCGAGGCATCACATGTTTCCAACAGCTTCTGGCCCTCCATTTTATAAAATTCCTCGCTTTCTTTCAAAATCATCGGCTCGAGATCTTGCTTGTAGACCGTTGTCCCATCCGAGGCACCACTCAATTGCAAAAGTACACGCACACACCCTGTAGCAGCAGATCGATTGATGACATACCCCTCGCGTTCAATACGAAGAATGCTCAAGATAGCAGAAAAGACGTGTTCCTTTATTGGTGGACGAATGATATGTTTCAAGAACAGTCGATGACCCAGGTCCAACACTTCAGGTAACTTGTTAGATTGGGCATAGCCTCGATCCTGCACAGAGATTTGTCTTAGTGGCAAGCAAACATCGAGAGACGTCGGGACAAAGGTACCATGTACTTGAGAATCTGACTCAATTTGACCATGCTCCCTGAGTGATCCTCGAAGACGTTCGTCAGTGCCTTCAGGAGCCTCTCCCCTTCTTGACTTTCGTGAATAGAGTCATCGCTAATTCCAGTGGGGAACGCGGGAAAAATGACTTCCTGGGCCAGTCGATCCAGGTTCTGGACGACGAGAAGGCTGACGCCTTGATAGAGCATCTCGCCGTGCTTTTGAATAACCATTTGATACGCCAGTCGATAGTTTTCCTCGAACGACAGCGTAAATGCCCTGTGATTCTGAATCTCGCGTATGTTCGTAGTCAAAGTTGCCCATGTTTCGTCGACGGATATGACAGGCCCAAGCTATTCATTCTCGTAAATGGCCGACTCTTGGTATAAACTGATCCCGGAAGCATACCTTGCGAGGCTTCTAGAAATAAGAGCAACTCACATGTTACCTTGCCCTGAGAAGCATCACGATATATACTCACTATCTTTCCAGGTCTCATACGCTTTGAAGCTGATGCAAATGTAATGAACTACATGCGTTGATTCTATCCTGATCATGAGCTTACCAGATGCCATCAATCACGAGAGGAGAAAGTAAAATGTGCTAAGTAGCGGTGTACACACCTCAAGTGTATGGCAGTGGCGGATCGGTACATGTTGTTTGTAGTTGTTAGATTCCAAAGCTGTTGCACAACAAAGCCAAATGGCATTCTCGGCTTTAAGCCTAAAAAGTTAGGTCTCGACCGAGCGATTAGGACGAAGACAAGTGTGGGTGTAACGACAAAAGCGACGGCAGTAATAGTAGAACAACAGGTGGAGTGTGCGATAAATGTGAAAACATGGACGAGATTGTATAGTATGGGCAGTGCAGATTCCAATCACAGTTGAAGTAAGTTAGCCAAGTAGCTCTAATGAGAAAAGATTTCTTCCGGTATACGTGTTATGAGGCGGACTGCGAAGCACGCACGAAATCCGAGAAATACTTCCTGAAATTTTTGTTATCGAGATCCCGCATCTTCGTGGTGAACTCGACGGCCGTTTCTGGAGGCCAGTTCTGCGCCGGCAAAAATATAGAGATAAAGAATTCGAAAGCCTCCTGACCCCGTGTCCTGACAATAGCCTGAAGAAGGTTGGCTATCTCATGAAGGACCTACCAACAATCATCAGGGTTGGTATAGTAGGCAACGTGACAATCACGCACCATGAGAATCTGGCCGTCCTTTATATTAAACTCGGGCAATGACAAGACCCGAAATGCAGCAGGAACGATGTTTTCGTAGATAATTCTCTCGAAACCTTGGAGGCCTAGTGAAGTCGCAGAGGAATCTCCGGTTGCAGCAGTCAACGGCTGACCCCAAACATTGATGCTTCTTCCTAAAAATGTGAATGCAGCCCTTTCACTGTACGGATCGGATACATCCCCAGCGAGCTGTAGCATGTTCTCGAGTAAAGGCTCGAACCGATTCTTATTTTCTGGTTTGATTTATAAGTTGAAAGGAGGTACTCATCAAGTCAAAGACTCACGATCAGATATAAAGATCCTGTGCAATTTTGAGGAGACCACGTTATTGAGTAGTGCGAGATAGGCCTTCTTTATTTCCGCATGAGACAATTCATCATCGGTCCCACTGACAGGTTGAGATAGTATTCCGGTGATATGAGCACTGAGCGGGCCAATAAGCTCATTCAGGACGTCAAACAAATCTTGCTGTGAGCATTGACATGAGAAAGCAACATATAAACGAAATCAATAGGACATACTTGAAGCTTGTGGATTAGAAGACTGATGAAGTTCATAAAGTCGACCAACTCGCTTAGCTCAAAGTGGGCGAGCAGGTTGGCCATAAGCGGTGGGATGAAACGTGTGACACTTGGACCAGTCGTTGCTAAGATTCGTGCAAACGCAAAACGAGTCTACATTTTCGCCGCATAAGGTTTTGACAGCTGAAAATAGTAAGATCAAACGTACCGCATCACGAACAGGCTTGAAAACATTCATCGCCGCTAACGACATGAGAATAGCTTGAGCTATGTCCTGAAACACGTCCAGAGGAGGTAAGGTGTATCCTTCTGGAAGCGGGGAGGGATATTCCGGGAACCCCTTTGCAATGTTTCCTAGAGCCATGATAGTATGATGAACTTTGAGGATGGGCACAACGTCCTGCGCGCCCTTGATAGCTTGCAGGCTTACAGACAGCTCGTCCAGAAGCGGCTTGACGAAGGACGATAGCAGGGCTGGCTGGTCAGGCGATTTCCAGAACAGGGAAACGAGTGTGCCGACGGTCTCGAAGAGGTAGAGTTGAGCATCAAAAGAGCTAGTGTTTTTTATGGCTTCAGACAATAGGTCTTGTTCGGGACTTTCGAGTTCGGGAAGCTCGACTTGTATGGCTAAGATGTCACGAATACCTTCAAGTAAAGTCCCAGCAAGATCAGGTGTGACTTCGTTCCGGCTTTCCTTGACGAATCTATGAAACAGATAGTATACACGTGATTGCACGGTCGAGTTTGGGTTGTGCAAGCCCCTATTCGTCCGTTGATCAGACCCAAATGTACTCAGCCAAAGGGGAATCCACATACCTTGTGTCTACCATCGACTGCAATGTTGGGAGAATACACTCTTTGCGTACTTTGAAGAAGTCGCTGTATCGCACAACGGTCTCGAAGAATTGCATCACCACTGTTCGATGAGGGTACGCAGATATTCCAGATTGAATGAGCGTATAGATCATTTCGCCATGAGTAGTCAAAGGAAAAGTCGAGTAGTCGGTTTCTTTTCGCTTTTCCTTTGCTACCGCCACAGGAGTCTTGCAGAAGGCACTGCGCCCTTTGCCGCCAGCTGTCGTGTCATATGTCAGGCGCCTTGTTGAGGAGTTTAATAATAAGAGCCCACTTTTGTTGATTTCGCCGAAGATGTAGACCAAATAGATCGCTAGCTCAGCATCATTCCATTTCACGGAGACACCAGCACTGTATGCGTTCAATATGTCTAACGCTTGCGCTCTCACGGCGTCGGTGACAAGGTCTTGATCAATGAAGATCACAGAGTCCACGAATGAACGTAAGTCCTACAGAATTGCCATTTCAACAACGCGAGATTTTGTTGCTGCCAAAACTGTGATTCACATACCTTTCGGAGACTCTCGAAGGCACCGCGATCTTCATCATCTAATTCGTCTACGTCTGTGTCTTCTTCCCACTTCATCTTTGTGAAGATGACACCGAGAAGAGATGTGAGAAACGAGCGTTTTTCTGACTCCACAGGATCCGACGACGTTTTTCGACTTCGTTTATACTAGCAAAAATGGTAGGTCGACGATTATCACGAGGTGATACGATTGATCGCTCACACTGGCAAGGATAGTTTGAACCATAGGAAATATTGTTGAACACGTATCGTCGTAGTCGTCTGCCATGAAATGGAGCATGCCAGGGAGAGTTTGGTTCAGCAAGCGTGACGCTTCCGACCGGATGTCTTCGAGTGGACACTCCTATATACTGGAAATTAAACCAAATGATGATCCAAGAAACTAACGAACGAACGTCGACGAGTTTCATCAACTCTAAGCCAAGAACGTTAAGCAGCCTGCCAAGGGCCTCACGATAGGATTCTTCTCCTTCATCAACAGCTTCTCCACGGATCGCCTGCTCCGTCCGCGTCTTCTCCTCTAAAGCCTCTAGGACCTGTCCCAACGATAACACTTTGATGAGCTGAAGTTTGTCCCCGGGTTCTTTTAGGCCTTTGGATAGAATTCGGAGCAATGCGACAGACGCTGCGAGACGGATAGCTAGAGACTGATCAGACAAGAGCATGAATAGCAAAGGAACAGTGGTTGGCGTGACAGTCAAGTTGATGTCAATCCACCCTAAAGGACCGGGTAAGCTATGGCTCTTGCACTCGGCTGAAAGCTACACACGCACCGACGTAGGAGCCAAATGTTCGAATTCCCCAATCGACTACTTCAATAACTTCTGTTGATTCTCGTTCAGACGTGGGCGCAAGTTCACCCTTTTGAAGCTTCATCATCCTGTCAGCGGCATCAACGACGATGGTTAAAACCGCTTCATTAATTCGCACAGCATCTCGTTCTCGAACTGCATCCCGAACACGCGCATCCCGAGCATGTCGTACACTGCTGTGTTGTCGTGCAGACTTAATGATCTGATCTGCGACTTCCCCAGAAATTTCAAGGACAATGTGGAAGAGCAAGAGAGAGAGATGTGGATTGAATGAGGGTTGTAAGGATGACTCCGCCGGACGCATCAGAGAAAACAAGTCTATGAAGAATGTTGGCCATTGGTCTACGTATGTTGCTAGAAAAAATAGTGTCAAAGTGTGCGAGAACTTGTTACGCAAAACTTTGTGAACTCGTAAACAATCATATTAGCGCGCGATGTCATTGAAATAGACTCACAGGTCGCGCTGCTTTCCGAGGAACCATAAATATACTCAGATTGTATATAACCCAAGAGCGATTGCTGTAAGGTCTGAAAGGTGACATTGTCCAATGGTTCGAATCTGTTCAAGAAAGTATTAGTCGATGTCTCTCAATCTCAGCTTTTGGGCCTGGATCAGTTCAACAGCAGCTTTAGCATGCCCCGTCTGTTTGGTCAGAGTTTATGAGTGTTGCACATGCCTTGAACCCGCTTTCACAAAAACAATTCCGCACGTAGGCCATGCAACCTCATGATTCATACAAGAGAAGATTATCAGCTCACCGGTTGTCTAGAAACCCATCCAAAACCCTAAGAGCGAAAAATCTCGACTGCGAGGGGTATTTACGCCCTCCATCCGGCGCGGTGTCCAGGAACAAGGTCAACGCCAGTTGCCATGTGTTTTGCGCATTTTTTTCGATGTTAGAGAGATACTCCAAAGCCTGCTCATGCAGAGAAGCTTGCGATGGGTCCGATGCGATGAGAGTCGCCTGAACAAATTGGGCGAGTTCCCGGTCCATAGCAGAAAGATTACTCGGGACAAATTGACTTGACACAAATCAAGGCGGTGGGCCTGTGGTATGATAGTGAAAGGCCGTTATGGCGTAGGGAAATGGTGGAGGATGGAAAGGATTGATTGCGGTCTGACTCGTTCCTCAGAGCTCGAAGTTCGAGCTTCGAGATTATATGAGGTTGGATTTCCAAATCTTCACGCGTGAGATCTGATCAAATTTGACAACCTCTTATTACCACGTGCTTGTTCTTGTACCCAAGACTTACCCAAGTCGGCTTGTAATTCCTTGTCGTGTCTTCCGTATTGACTTTCGTCTTTGTTCAAGCAAACACGCGCATGGCTGTTGTACAATTAATATGTAGATACACTTTCTACCATGTGCATACAGTTCGGCACACCGTGGTAAACACAGAAAGGAATTTTAGTGTTTCCTACGTACAGGTTGATAGCAAGATCTGCAGCACCATTGTGGCATGCACGGACGTGTGTACATCGTCAGTGGTATGATCTTCATGCAATAATAAGTAAGCTTACAAGTTCAATATCAACTGAAATCCAGCATCCAGAGGTCACCCGTGGCCACGCCGACGCATAGTCGACCCGTAGTCTCGTCAAAAGCGAGTGAGTTGCACATTTGTGGCGAGAACGGGAGCGATGGGTAAGGAGGGAGAAGAACGTGCACAGTCGACCAATCCACATTTTCATCGGGGAAGTGTGCTTTGATCACCCTAAACCCATCGGTTTCCCAATTCTGCTCGATCCAAACCGCTCGTCTACCGGTGACACCTATGCGAACGAGTTTGACAGAACTGTCCCTGGGGGCTCCAAATACTTCTCTCTGCATGAGAGAATCCTGCCCCTGGTGACCTGGGTCGAGAAATAGACGAACAAGAACACCCTTGCCTTCGGAATCGCCTAGTGCAGCTGCATAAAAGAGGAAAGAAAGTGATTTCGGTAGAGAAGGGATTGTGTCGCTAAAACTGTCGGATTCGGACACAAAAAAATCCTGGACATTGGGCATGTGGGATATGAGAAACTCTTCGTAATCTCCCATGTCCTCAACAATTCTTGAGTCGTCTCGATTTAGCGGATCCCATACCGACGATCGACCGGCGAGTTGTTGGTGGACCATACACGATGGTAAGTGGAAGGTGCGGACCAAGACATTATCATGGAAGCTTCCTATGAAAAGAATGCGATCATGATAGAGCTTGATGCTGAGGCGTGTGAACGGCTTCGATGAACGGGTGAGGTCCGTTCAATACAAAGGATGAGCAATGTACAGTACCTCATCGAATTTCGGATGAAGGAGAACTTGACTCCATGTATTGGTATTCACCAACAAGACTTGATACGAATGACCAAGAGATTCCGTGCTCAGATCTACGAAGGTGGCAGCGATTACCTTGTCGTGGATTGATACTTCGTGAATTGTACCGCGAGCTCGGGATGGCCGAGGAATGACTTTCTTCATTCGAGGAGTTGAGTTGTGGAGGAATTCAGCCTCTGAACGTTCTATCAGAGGAATATCATAAATTTGAAGAACCCCACTATAGCATGAGTATTAGGAACAAGATAAGATCGCGAATCGTTAACAAGTGCTGACTGGGTCGCATTGTCGATGGTGATTGCTAATGTGGCAAATTTCTCGTCCCTTGTCAAGGACACCGTAAACTTCTTGTAACCGGCAAAGATATCAAACGATGCAGAGCAATATACATCATCCGCATCCTTGAGGCACCACAGCTTAATTGTTGCCCTCGTATATTCGAGGCGAAAGCTACGCTGAGAGGTCATGAGCCATCGACCGGCCGAGAGGAGCTGCATTTCGTCTACAACAGCATAACCATTGGTCCCGTATAAGCAGATCGGCGAGCACTTCATTACACGAGGCGTTCGCCTAGACCAATTATCATCAAGCTTGAAAGCCTTTACAATGGCTGGTTGCAATTCAGGACATGAAAGGCCCTGTGGATCAACATCGCGTGGTAGATCTAAAGGAATCGCGGAGTATTTTGAGATTTGATGCCACAGGTAGTCGGATGACCCCAAGGCGTGCAGGACACGACACGTCTGCACGAAAGTGGATCAGCAAATGAAACACTTCGATCGGGGCACATGACATGCATGGGCGTGCGACGCACTTGCTTCAAAGACAAGATGTCTGGAACAGCAACTTCTAAGAAAATGGCCAAAAGGATATCGATTGGAAGGGCGGTGAAGGAAGGAGAGTTTCTGTCGAGCATGATGCATTCAGTCGTCAGATCAGAAGAGCTGATAAGATAAGCAGAGTACTGTGCTTGTAGCGTGCGAAGTGCGATCCGGCCCACGCCGTGGCGTCCCGAAGCCCCGAGCAGCATACTTAAGGACATTGGCGTGTCCTAGCGCCCCTTTTGCTTTGACCTCTCCAATGGATAGCTCACCTATAACACCTGCAACGCCCAACTTCTCTGATACCAATCACGATTTTAATCTCTCTGAAATAGATAGCATATCTGACTCGGATTGGCTCGATGTTTCTAGCCGTGCGTCCGAAGACGAGTCTGCAGGCATCCCAGAGGACGATCACGACGAAGTGTACGATCGCCCACCATCTCGTCGATCTGTCAGCAGCCGCTCAAGTTCTCGCGATGGCGATGTGGAAGGCTGGGAGGGTTTAGTTGAAGGTGCTGATGTTGACGACGATGTCCTCTTACACGAACACTCTCACAGCGCCCACCTTCCTGCGGACGCAGTAACCCTCGACGTTGCCGATTCTTCAGCCGAGGAGCAGCGTGTGAAGGAAGCTCTAGATCAAAGCATGATCAGCACGTTGAGCTCTTCTCGTACGAGCTCGCTAAGCTCATCCACGCATGGTCCGGCTAGCCGCCCTCGCGACTTGAGGCTGTCGTTCCCAGACCCTTTGACCAGTTCCCAAGACGAGCTCAATGGGTCATACGAAGATGTATTGCCCGCCTTACGAGGACCCAATACTCGATTATCTCGATTCGAGCCTGGTGTCGCCACCCTTGCACCATCATCGTCACCAAAGGATCCAGGCTTATCTTCCATACCTGAGGTCCCCCAGACGGTCGATTTCACACACGTTGATTTTCAGATCGTCCTTTATGGTATTTCGACTATGGGCAAGTGGCAGTTTGTCGAGAAACTTCTGGGCAGATTGGCGCTCGGCTTAGGTCTGGCGCTTTCTCATCGCGACACACGATCGACTTACGTGTCAATCTATACCTTGAATTCGGACCATGCTCGTTTCCTGGCCTCGCAGTACACTATTTCCATACTCGATAGAACGGACTCATCAAGGGAGCGCATTGTAGGTTTGATTTTACTTACTTATCTAACAGTTAACTGCAACTCTTCTAGTCGGACACGGTGTCAAAAACTCTGGCGGTGGTCTTCCTCCCTTCAGCTCTTTCCTCCTTGCCATCTCATACGCTCTATCTTCCTGTCTTTACTTCGCCATCTGTACCCAATGATACAGCTGGTCTGTCTAGGACATTCTTGCGTCAGGCAATCGAAGACAAGTGGCAGGATCTACGGGCGCCCCTCAGCCAGTTGTTGCTCGTGAATGAAGATTATCCCTCCGCAGTTATCAGTGAGGAGGAAGTCGACACCTTGGAGCCGTCTGAGGTGGCTGTCGGCTTTCGACCACTCCTCCCGCACGGCAGGAAGGGGGTGAACATGAAGGCATTGACGGGTCAATTGTCATCCGTGTCTACGATGACTATGTATGCTCTTTTCCCTCATCTCAAAAACCTCCGGACGCTGATGCGCAGCTGTTATCGCTAGCCTTGGGCTGTTGTCGATCGTTCTTGCCTACATCGTTAGTGGGTCGTCTCCCACAGGATCCATACCGGTAGTCTCAAAGGTGGAGAAGCACCCTTCAGCGTCTCTCGCTACTATCATAAGCAATGGTTCTAACCATTCGTCTATCCATGTGACGCCACCCACGTCCACCGCCCTTGGGACAACATCGTTGAAGGAATTTGCTTTGGCTGTCTTCAGCCCGGTTTCTCTTGACTCATCTTACGGATCGCGACGTTCTCGTGCTTCCCCCACTTCAGGGAGTCTACCCATCACGAGCAGTGGGTTACCATTTATCAAGAAGATCGAAGACACATCAGCAAACCATGGAGAGCTGCCATCCAAACAATTGTTGGCCCATCCTCTCACCACGTCATTGTCGTTGACCAGCTTACCCGGATCCAAGGCCGTATCCATCTTTCACGTGGCGGCCGAGCATTGTAAGACGAAGATACCTGCACCGACCGCGCAGTCCATGTACTCGCTGAGCACCCGCCTTGCCAGTTCACTATCAGACATAATCAGTGCCAAAATGATCGCCTCTGCCATCCAAGCAGATGTGAAGGAGCTGCTCGACGCGTTGAACGAACTTTTGCAGGTGCTGGAGACGCAGACTGCCATGGCACTGCGTTTGTCGAAGGCCGCTACAGACGGCTTGCGCGAACATTTGTATCGCGGTCATCGCCGTGCACAGCAGCGTGCGCTACAAATTCGGAGGAAAGGCGAGCAGGCCATCACGACGTTCGGTGAACAAGCGAAGGGACGGATCGATCAAGCAAAGTCGAGGGCCAGAGCGTTCAAAGACAGATTGAGCTCAGAGGTCGCGGTCGCCTATCAGAATCAGCGGGCGAAGGGCATCATTCCGACGTTCAATGAGCATGTCCAAGGTCATAAGGAGAGACGGGCGGCGAGGAGATTAGCAAGGCGTAAGATGAGGGGGCGTTTGGATCTCTAGACAGCAGGTATCTGGATTTTAGTATGTGTCGCGTTTCAATGCGACCTTTTCTCTCTCTTCCGTACTATGCCTCATTATATGCTCGCTGTATTGCACGGTTGTGCGTTTGTACTCCTACAGTCCGTATGCTATGTACATTGATGACACCTGTCGTCTGCCCGGCGTTGTAGGCTACGACATTCATGTGCATGGTCGAACTTGTTGTATGTTTTATATTAAATTGTCGATACTGTGTGCCCCTAGTCTCTAATTTGCATGATGTCGCCTTTGCTAGAATCAAAATGAGGAGTCTCAGCTGGCCTCAGCAAAAGGATCTGGTCAAATGTGTTGGCACCCCATAGGATGCCGACTTTCCGCGCTTTCATCGCCGCATCGCGCGCTGGCTGACTCTCAAGTTCGACACTCCAATTGAATACTCTTCTCCAGAGTATGGGAGAGTATGGGCCTATCGAATCTAGCTGTAAACGCATTGTCCGCGTTCGACTTTTGGCGACTCGCTTAGGAACTCATCAACTTTTCTATCTAGGCGACTACGCCCCTCTTTGTACGCGGTAGGTTCACGTTACCCCGTGGTTTCCGCGAAGCTTCTTTTCTACGTCCTCATCTCGCTAGATGGCCGTCAGATCGCTACTATATTCTACATTAGATCTCTGCGTGATCTCTAAGCTGCTACTATCCCAGGATCACAGTTGAACAGTGGAACAGCTGCTATAGCTTCTTCTGTATTAAAGTGGCTGTCTTATAAATATTTAGGGAGGTTTATAGATGTGTTTAGAATGACTGCATTCTTTGAGGCTTGTACAAAAAGCGCGTGGAGCAGGAGAGAGAAAATAAAGGTAAGTATGGTTCTCTGCTGCATCTAAGAGTCCAGATCTAAATGATCCCCACTCTGAACCTCATCTAGAAAAATATCGGGAGCTATGTGTAAGTACACATCCTGTGAAAAAAATCCGGGGGTGGTCAGTAGAGAGCTTACGCTCAAAATAAAACCTTGACGAAAGAGACTCGAAAGAGGGTAGGCAGAGTGACTTCGGCCTTCGGAGAAGTGACTTTTTGAAACTCCGACATACGCAGGTGGCGGACCTCGCGAGCTACAAGCGTCAGACTTCACTGCGTCCACCGCAAGGATAAACCGTGGATAAAATCCTAGATATAATGGGATATGAGTAAATATCGGATAAACCTAAAGTTTATGTTTTGGTAGTTTCCACAGATAAGCCCAAACAAAAACTTTATTTATATCTAGGGTTTTATCCACGGTTGATCCCGGGAAAAATCCTGCGGTGCACGCAGTGCTTCTAATCGGCACGCGTGACTCAGCGTGACTAAGTGCTCAGATTAATAGTTCAGCTCTGGGGTCTACGCCGTTTTTCGAGTCTCCCTCCTCGGTCACTGCCCGACGCTTTTCTATCTCCTTCAATAACTACAAGAAAATCAACATAATGAAATTCAGACACTTGGTCAGGTATGTACATGCATTTTATAGTGGTTAGAGAGGTTGCGGGAGCTAGGCGACTAAAATGCCTAGACCCTGTTCAATTGTGGTCCAGGGATAGTACCCTCCGCTGCCTTCTGCTACTCGCGACGATCTCCCCGGCTACATGTTCACCGGCCCCGATCGCATGCTTGTCATTCTACCATCCGTCATCAAATACCTTCAAAAAACATCGAAGCAGTTCCGAAGCACTGTGATTCCTAAAGACGATCATTTGCGATCGTCGGTTCTCCCTGCTCCAGGAATATGTTCCAGGCCAGTCACAAAGGTATTCCGGATTTTTTGTACATTTGTAAGCTCTCAGGTGGTACCGGATCTTCGAATACGCTCACGCTCAATATGCATCAGACTCTATCAGACTGCAGTGCCGTAAGAAACATAGCGTACCTTCCTCGGCTGCCTCTCTTCTGAACTTCCCCACGGCGTTACTCAACTTGGTGGTCACCGCGGCCGATTCACCGTGGGTTCATCAGATGTGAATCTTCATCGAAGTACGAGAGTATATGATAGTGAGCTTGACGGTTTCGACAGATGAGTGTCCATCATTGTAGGATGCATCCTCCTCCTCTCTTGAGAGGCGTTTGGGCAAGCCTAGTTTGGCTTTTCCCCCCATGTCACAGGTTGTCCCGTTACTGTATCAGGCTTCTCGTGATCTCTGGTTCAGCCGGAATCTGAACTCTCCAGGCTCCCACTGCTTGCCAGGGTCATACAAGTCGCATATAGCACGCGGGAGCCTGGAGCCTGGACGTACTTTGCGAAGCCATTCGCCAATCATATCAAAAAATTCCTTATGTAGAACGATCTCAGCCCGCGTAACCTTCTAGAATACCCCCATTAGTTGACCTAATGTCACCAGCACCACACTGCGTAACCAAGCCCCGTCGGTAGGTAAAACAAATGGGGTGAAAACCAGCTTCCACCAGCCATACTTATTAAATACCGCAATAGAATGTTCGCGCAGCTATTTCTCCTCTACGATCGACGTCCTTGCGACAGGTGGCCCCCCTCTTCTTTCCTGTCTTTATCCCAGTGAACTCGTCGTACACGATCATCTTCGATGTCGGACGCTGGGGCGACCTTGGCGAAATTGCTGTAAGTCGTTGCACCCATAGAATAGATGACTTAGGTACGAAAGCTGATCATTTCACGATAGCCATGGGCCCATGCTGGCCGGGACGTTCATCAACGCGGTGCTCTATGGAGTCTCCATTACTCAGGTGTACATCTATGTCAAAACGTTCAGGACGTTAGTCATTTTGCTTCAGAGCTCGAGAGGTATCGATGATGTCATTGCGTTATACAGGACCGACAAGCAGTGGATCAAAGGATTCGTGCGTGCGTTCGTCGGGAGAACTGGGTTTTGATTTTGATCGGTTCCGTAGATAGCTGTCTTATTCGCGCTGGACACGATCAACACCGTTTTTGACATGGCTTTCATGTATGACTCTGTAATTAGCCATTTTGGTTCGTTTCTTCCTTATGGAGAAAAATTCGCCCGTCTTGCTCATCGTCCTCATTTTTAGGAGACGTCGCCTATATCCAAAATGCGAATTGGAGTGAGTTATTGTTCTTCCATGAAATATCTTCCATCTGATTTGCTTCGTAGTATTCTGTACAGGTGTGCCATAGAGTTGAACAGTTTTGTTCCTATAGGTGTCGACTGACGGACTGCTCGTTCAGATCCTGCTCTGACAGTGCGTTCTAACTTCCTCGGTCGGGCGATATGCTAACTCCTTTCTTCAGGGTGTTATTGGGGTTACTGTTCAGCTGTTTTTTGCGTGGAGGGTCAAGATCCTCACTGGGAGTACCGCGGCGAGTATAGTGATCGCACTCACCGCAATTTTGCAATGCTGTGAGATTATAGTTTGTTCGATAACTGTTGACATTGTCTGATCTCCTGTCAGTGGCCGGCATTGCAACGTCGATCGCCGTTGGTTTCATCCCTGCCTATCTCGAGTTCCGCAGATTCAAACCTGCTGTGATCGTCTGGTTGGCTGGCTCGGCTGCATGTGATACCATGATCACCATCGTTTTAGTCTGGCATCTGGTACGTACACATTCAATATTCAATCGTACTTCCGTTTATCTTATTGATTTCCTTTTGTGTGCACAGAGGCGCCACAAGGGCGGCTTTTCAACCACGGACGATGTTATCGACAGGATCATTAGAGGTGTGTTCGCGGTCATTTCTCACAAACCCTTGTAGGCAACTGACGTGCTCTCTGCGCATGGAAAGTGACTGTACAAACCGGCATGCTTACTTCACTCGTTGCCCTCATCGACCTCGTTCTTTTCATCAGCAGTGTAAGTTGTGACAACTCCTTATATCTCCAGTTTCCTCAGCTAAATTGTTATATTTATCCTCATCAGCCGTCAGGCTTGTGAGTATCTCCGAGTCTGCAGACTTAGCGAAGATGTTAATTGTCACCCAGGCATCTAGCTTTCAATTTTCCACTTTCAAAGCTGTATACGAACTCCCTCTTGTCAAGTTTGAACTCACGGAAAGGTTGGGCGTTCACTTCAACGTCGGACCAGACGGCTTCAGCAACAGCTGATCGTCGGACCAAAAGGGTCAGTTCTTGCCAATCTCGATGATGCCTGAACTGACATAATGAATGACTAGCGTCCTGACGTCGTGACACTAGGAACTGCTTCTGTCAGGCCAGAGGTTCGTTCTTGCATCTCAACAGCGGAGTCCTTCGTAATCGCGGCTAACTGATACCGAAAAGGTTCATGTATATGTTGAGTCGCATGAGATGCGAGACAATCCACCGCACAATGCTAAAGGCATTCCATCTGATCATGAATTCGACGAGGAGTATATGGATTCCAAGAATGTCACCTCTCCAGTCTAAGTAGGTCCTGGAAAAGAATGAACGCATAAACACCACCAGAGTCTCATGTTATGTTTCTCTAGAACAAGAACAGTTGTTTATCTCGTCTACATACCAGAGACTCGAGGCGGGTGGAAGAAACTTGTAGTTCCCAAAGTCCGTAGCATTTGGCCCTACGGGACGGGTTGTATCGCAACGAAAATATAGTGGCTTTCAGCATACGTTGAACGGGCTTGAAGATGTTTCATACAACGCTAGTGCTGTATGAGGCCCTACGCTATGAAACCAGCTCGACGTGAAGCTCGCCTGAAGATATGGTGTGCATGCATCGGCACTTTGTCCCTTGATAGTAAACAATGTCAATTCTTCGGCGAATTGTTTACTAGACAAGATGTCCGTAGTACCGGAGATGGGAAGACCCAGGAAGACCCAGGAAGACCCTTGCAATTGAGGCTTCACGAGTTCTGCTACTTGACGTGTCGGGCAAGAATACGGAGTAATAGTGTATTAGTCACCTGGTAGAGGAACACCTGTAAGCATGATCACGTACGGCAGTACTCGAGTGGTGCATCGACGACCCAGTCAAAGACGGACGGTTACAAGGAGTCAAGGCTATTCGCACACTCCGTCGATTTCCTTCTTGAACTCTTGCAACTCGAAGTCATCGCATCATATACGTGCGTTCAGCAGTTTCACATCATTACTTCTAAACCCATCAATGGCCGACATCACAAACAATCCGTTCATCGACAAGACTGCTTCCGCGGCCTCTCGTTACCCCAGCCTAGACACAGATCGGTCTTCCTCTCCTCATGTTAGCGCACAATACACATCATGGCTTCAAAGCCCAGTATCCTCATCCTCAGGGCCTTATATCAGTAACGGAGCTCCCAGCCCTATGACCAACAATCCGGTAGGATATCCCGGGGTACAGCCAGTGTACCAGCAGCCGCAGACTCCTTATGCGCAGCAATGGAGTGCGCCGCAACCAGCATATGGGATGCAGCCCTCCCAATATAGTGACCAGGGTACGCAAGGGCTCGCGCCTTCGGGCTCGTACGGCCAACAATTTGTCGCACAATCGACTGGATACCCTCAACATCAAAATTATGCTGGCATGCCACAACAGGGATATGGGGGATACCAGTCGCAATTTGGACACGGACAGCAGCAGCAGCAGCAGCAGCAGACGCCAGCGTACGGCGGCAACTCGTACCTCGCTCAATTTGACCCGTATTCTAACAACATCACCTCCCCTGCCGGCCAAGCGCCTCCCCTCTCTACCAATCCGTCTTTCTCTAGCGGTTCGGTCAACAGCCACTCTCCACATCCACGCATATTTATCAGCACACACAAAGCAGAGCTGGAGCAGTGGGACGCGCCGACATGGAAGCAGGCGCTGAACACGTTTGATACGCTTAAAGGGGCATGGCAGCAGCGGAAGGAGGCGGCCGAGGCGCGAGTGCGGGCTCTTGGAGGTGTGCCTGGCGGCGCGAGCGGATTTTTTGGGGCACCACCGGCCTACGGGAGTGGATATGGCGGGTATGGGTATGGGCAACAGCAGGCGAACCAACAAGAAATAGATCGGTTGAATGCTGTCAGTAGTTTTTTAGTTTCCATGGCTTCACGAATTGTGATACCGATGGCACACTTTCGAACCACAGGTCGCCAAAGAGGCCGAGGCCAATGTCGGTACGTGTCTGTCCCTTACGAGCTGGCTGTTATTTATCTTAATCTCCAGACACCGTCGCCGCGTCTGCGTTCCAAATGTCCGAAGTCTCCACTGGATACCGTCATTCGAACGATCTGGCCAGCAAGCGGCGTGTACGTGAATCGTGTAACGCAGCAATCGCCAGTCTACCGGATTGGCCATCTCCAGCATTCTGAGTCCGTGCCCTCTCCACCTCTGTGATGCTCAAATGTAGTGACGAGCAGGAATACCCTGATGATGCCTGAACATTAACGTTGAACAGGCGGTTATGGGACTCGGCAGTTATATATTTGTACGATTATCTCGTATCGCTATTCGCGTCCTTCGATCGAATTGTTCCCAATATTGTTGTAACACCCCATGTAGAACTACGTACCTGTCCTCTTCCAACTTGTGCACCTTTCTAGATTCTCTATCCGCTGGTTTGTATCGTGACACTATAATGACGAGGTGAATACGGCACTTGCATAATTGAAAGCTGCTGAAGTGGTGTTCAAGCTGAAGATGTGGAAGGACCAGCTACCTGATTTGGATCGCATGTGATTCTGCGATCGTCCAATCCAGAGAGGGAGACTTAAATGTATCTGACTCTCGTCTCAATCCTCGTTCCCACAGATACACATCCCACCACCCCTACCCTGCTGCACATCTCTCCCTCTCCTGAAACCACTAACCTTGCAAACGCTAGCTTGATATAGACTTAGGACCAAAACACCGCACCCATTTCAGGTGCACCACCCACGCCAAATTAAGGGAGTCGGGGGAAACCACTCGAATGAGCATCTGATGGCTGCACAATTATCGCGACATACGCTCCGCCAGCTACGGTTTGTCGTCCCAGGGGGCGCGGTCACGTACTGGCTTCACACACTTGAAGAGCTGCGCACGATGTGGTACGGTGCACGAGGGTGGTCACGGTATGTCCGTGTTTTTCATGCGTGGGTCATCTTGCAACAAGTACTCACGAGAACGCACCATCGTTGCGGTGTTGTGGTGACTGCGTGCGAAATAGGCCGCTCGTACTCACATCGGTGCTATCCGGCCTGCTGACAGTGACGTTGTTCATCTATATTCTGCTTATCCCTGTCATCAAAGGTATACCGCCAAATGTGGGTATCTCGCCTTTGCTGGCGTGAATGAATGTTGATTTTGGATGTATGTCCTATATCTATAGTATCGATCCTGGCGTCAGTCAGGGGAGCTATCCTCAGTCATACCCGTGCGTCCATTCCTTCGATTCCGCTTCCGTGACAAGGCTCTGAGCGTCTTACATGCATGTATGTTTCGACTCTGATACTTGATATAACACATGGCGACGTGATGTATAGATCCTTACAGCTTCCATGATCATCGGGTGGTCGATACTCTCTTTCCTCCTAGGGCGGTACTCAAGCCTAGGATATGTACAAGGCATCATAGGATGTAAGCATCCCCATCATCTCATATTAATGTCCCAATAACACCTTGTTTCTCACTGCAGCATCCGGTCTCTACGCTCTTGCCTTTGGAATCATGGGCCTTCTGCCAGCTCCTCGTGTCCGATCTCCCTGATCCCTGTCCCACGTTTATCAGACTGACCTCTGCTGCCTCATCATAACTTGCTCCTCATGCCAATGAAATCACTTGCATCCCCACTCTACATTGATTTGAACAAATACCTTCTTTCTCAATGGATCTATAGACACGTCGGCATGTGATGTATGTACTTAATCTTGCCTCATGGACTTATATGCATGTTTCACGTTTCAGTTCTTTGTATAGGCCGCTCGAGAGCATCCTGTTCACATCTTGTCCCTATATTTTTGTCGACATTCGGAGAATCTCACCGTACTTATCCTGTTGATCAAGACCTCATGTCATTTCTAAGGGTTTCATTTACAAACTCAAATAGAAGATTCGAAAGATGACGAGGATGGCATGTCACATTACTCTATACGTGGCATACTACGGTATACACTTGGGCAGAGCGGCCGTCCACACGGTACACGGATCCAAAGGCAACAGAAAAATCCAACGTCGGCAGACGTGACAGGTATAGAAAGAGAGACTATATACAGTTTAAAAACTGAATATGCGGGCGAGGTATGTTGGAACTGTGGTGTGGACCTTGCTGTCCAAAACCCAAGAGGTGCAACGAGCGGCTGTCAAAAAGTCCAATGATCACATGCTAAACCTCTAACTTCTACTTCGCGGAAATCAAAAGAGGGCAGCACCAACGAGACCCATGAGGCCCGCAATGCCAAGGCCGGTCACCGTCGAGCGAGAAGCACCGTTCGAGCTGTTGGCTGCAGTGGAAGAGGATGCGGACGCAGCCGAGCTGCTGCTGCTGCCGCTAGCCTTTGCACTGGCTGTTGTAGCGCTACCGGACGAGGCGGCGGCCGAGCCGGAAGCGGCGGCCGACGATCTATAGAAGCGTCAAGTTTCGGTGAGGGGTGCATATCAAACATAAGACGGACCCGGAGCTGCTAGAGGCAGAGCCCTCATCAACAGTGGTGTTGAGGCAGCTGAGTCGCATAGGTCAGTTATATGCGCCACATTCGTATATTGAAGATAAACGTACGTGTTGTCGGAACTGGATTGGATGGTGACCAGAGCACTGTACACCTGGTTACCGGTGGTGTCCTTCAAGGCGATGTTGCTGGAGAGATCCAAAGCGCATTAGACGGTCCATGATGCATTCATCATATACTGGTCAAGCCCTTACAAGTTGGTGTTAGCCTCAAGGTCAGCTTTCCATGTGTACGTGGTGCCAGTCTGAGTTGGGAAAGATTTGATCTAGAAGTAAAGTCATGGTATTAGCGACGGGATGTCAAGCCCGACACAGTCCTCTTACCGCGGCGGCCGAAGGCTGGTTAGCTGTGAAAGCAAATTGAATTAGCTGAAAAGCCGCCGAGTCGAGGAACACATACCAGGTATCAACGAGAGATAGTACGGGGGAGTACCATCGTGCCAGGTGAACTGAATAGGCTCTATAGACAGAAGTTGCTTAGAGAGGATTGCAAAACAGACCGCAAAAATGGGCACTCACGACACTGAACCACGCTCGCGCTGAGGGATAGTGTGATATGTAAATCTAGGGAAACGTATGAAGGGAAACATCCTTACGGAGTATCGACGGTGAGACCGAGGACGGCGGGAACGATGGCGACGAGAGAGGCGACGATGGCGAAAGACTTCATGGCGTGCAAGTGAATGGGTGGATTTAGGATAGTCCAAGTGGGAGGCGAAGAGAAAGAGAGAGCGTAAAGACTGGCGTGGAGTAGTAGGACAAGAGAAGGTTGCTTTTCTTCCGCTCCAAGCCCACGCGTGTCACCATCCGGAGTCCATAGCGGACTTTCGACGGATGCCGACCAACCGGCGATCATACACGTGACACCTCTCCGCTTTCGCCTGCAGGCGCAGTCACCGGTCAGTGCTTTAGCAGGCAGCGTGCAAGGTAAACTGTTGGGAGTCTCCTCTCATGCCCACCGTATCTCCAAGAGTTGCATTTGCCGTCATTCTGGTCGCAAACTGCATCGTCTGGTCACAGAGCAACTACGGCCATGTCCAGGATCCAGGTCGCTCGCTACTTCGCCGTGGTAATGTACTTAAGCGAGGCTTGGATGGTTTGCAGGGCGCAACTATCGGCGAAAAAGAGGTGAGTTCAAACATGCTTACATTAACTCCGTTCCTAAATCCATTCGTCCTCACATTCAGTGTCGACCCATAGCCTTCCCATTCGACGAACAGTGCTCTCACATCTCACGCACTTGTCCCGCCTCGGACACTTTCCTTTCCATCTCTTACCTTCAATCATATTTCTGCTCATCTACAACCGCTCGGCCATTTGTCTTTGCCGGCCTCCTCGTATGGCTTACCTTCCTCTTTTCTACTCTTGGGATCAGTGCTTCCGATTTCTTCTGTCCCAACCTCGCGACTCTCGCCCGACTGCTAGGCTTGGATGAAAACGTCGCTGGTGTCACATTCCTGGCATTTGGGAACGGCAGCCCCGACGTATTTTCCACATTTTCAGCCATGCGGCAAAATTCAGGTAGTTTAGCGATCGGGGAGCTGCTTGGTGCAGCGTCATTCATCGTTTCTGTTGTCATCGGGTCTATGTGCATCATTAAACCGTTTCGTGTCAATCGCGCGCCGTTCCTGAGGGATGCAGGATTCTTTATGACTGCGGTGACCCTCTTCCTTGTCATCTTGTGGGACGGCTCGATACGAGCTTGGGAGGCCGGGATCCTTGTTGCGTTATACGTGGTCTATGCGGTCGTCGTCGTCGTGGGCAGCTGGTGGGAACGACGAATGATGAGGATCCGGTATAGGGACGAGCTGATCCGAAACGAATACGCGGAGGACGAGATGCCTCCCTCACCTTTTCTCGACGACGAGCCTTACAGAGACGAGCGTGAGCTTCATTTCACTCTCAACAGTCACAGGATATATAATTATTGACGTTATAGCCATTCCCATCCCATCCAATCCTTCATCACTGACTCTACCTAGCTACACCAGGGCACGTGCGTCCTCTCACCCAGGACCTCCCCGGTTAGACGTACAAACGGAATTGCCTCCACGCGCTCGTTCACGGACACCCTCGCCTTCCCCTCGTCTTAACGCAATGCCTTCATTCTCTTTCGTTGGCGCGCTCGAGTTCCGGCAAGTGGTCACGTCGCTACAAAGCCAAGCTGCTACTCGTTCGTTGAGCATTTTCGAGTCTCCTCTCACACCATATCCCGGAGGACACTATCATCACCATCGAAATTCGTGGTCGCGACCTCATACGCCTGCGGGGGGAGATGAGAACGTCGACCCCTGGGACGCTTCACTCGGAGTGCCTCTCAATGATCGATCCCCACAACTGATCGTCACAAATCCTCTTCCTGACGATTTGTCTGGACCTGGTCAACTTACACCTTTGATCGAATTTGAAGACGACACGGCCCCAATTCCGACCATCTCTCGCACCCCGGCGTCGCCAATCTCTGACGCAGACTCTTCCAGCGTTACTCCAACCCCAGTGCCGCCTACAAAGAGGCAGCGTCTGCTTCACGTCCTCGGGCACGCGTATCACACATTGTTCCCTACGCTGCAGGACTTCCGCTCAAAGACTGTCCTTCGGAAAGTTGCCGCCGTTTTTGCGGCTCCCGCCGTGTTTGCGCTCACTATCACACTTCCCGTGATTGTCACTCCATATAACAGTACACACGCCCAACACGAAAAGATGTCCGCAGTGGAAGGAAGAGATGAGCAGTTGGTTGCGTTCGAGGAGGAGAGCGCAGGAGTGGACAGGGCCTTGCTCGCAGAAGACGAGGTCGAAGAGGAGATGCATGAGCTGCAGTTCAACAAGTGGCTGATGGCCGCGCAATGCGCCCTCGGCCCACTTTTTTGTGTCGCTGTCCTGTTCAGTGAATCTGTTTCATTATTGCATCGTCTGGTTGGTTGCTTATCAACATTTGCAGAGAACACGAAGCGGGAAGGATGGCTGCTTCTCGGCACAGCTATAGCAGGGCTTTGTGCCGGTGTATTGGTTGCTGTTTTCGCGAAGAGAGGCGACCATCCATCTTCAAGAATGGCGAGATGCTCGATGGGATTTTTGGTCTCCATGGTGTGGATCATGGCCATTGCTGATGAGGTAGTGAATGTTCTTCAGGTATGCTCTCATTGTTTAATTGTTGCACATAGGTTGTCTGATACATGTATTCTCTAGACGTTTGGATTCATCTTCGGCTTGTCCGACGCGATAATCGGCCTCACGATTTTCGCAGTCGGCAATTCACTTGCAGATCTTGTCGCAAATATGAGCGTAGCCGTAAGAGCCTTCTACCGTTCTATGTCCTTTTCGGGTTCATGCTGCTCACTCTTGTGGACAGGTCTTTGCTCCTATCATGGGCTTCTCTGCATGCTTTGGCGGGCCAATGCTCAACATGCTTCTCGGGGTAGGGATATCCGGCTCATATATCATACACCAGACAGGCCAACCCTACGAGCTGCACTTCTCCACGACGCTACTCGTCAGCACGATTGGTCTCATGACACTCCTCCTTGCCACCATCATATTTGTGCCATTGAATGGCTACTTCATCACGAGGGCATGGGGATTTTTCCTTATAATTTGCTATGTGGTGATCATGACAGTGAACCTTATCGTTGAGGTTATTGGGGCGGAGTAGGCCGCTACTGTTTTGCCACGGTATGTGATCGCAGAATATTATCGCTACAATTTACCATGGTGTACATGACGGACTTTTCTTGCCCTTCGGACGTCGAGAACGTGAACTGTAACAGTAGCAGCGCTATTTATTTGATTCGCCCGGAGATTGATAGCTACATATAGCAACATTACGCTATGATATCATCCTTCGATAGCTCAGTTGGAAGAGCGCAAGACTGTAATTGGCTAAACGTACATCTTGATGTCGCTGGTTCGATCCCGGCTCGAAGGATTTTCTTTTTGCCGCCACCCCTCCGATTGGTTTGGCAGCTTTTGCTTTGCCCTAGCCTGCCCCGGCCACCATGCATCATGCATTATGTCCCCAAACTTCCTGATGGTCTTTTGATCAACGGCTTGATTTCTCGAATTCAACTGCCGTGTACAAGAGCATCTTCTCTTGAAACACAGAAATAAGACGAAGCTTCGAGTCTGATAGCTGGTGATGAAAGAATCCTTGAGATGCGCCCGTAGCATGAAAGTCTGAGAGTCAACATCATGAAACATATTACCTAATCAGCAGGGTGCACACAGGATTCTCATAATCACACTAGATTTATGAAACAGGCTTTGTTTACTCTTGATAATCAACAAAGCATGCTAGTCACTACACCCTGTCTCCTGCCTCCATCACTTTCACCTCTTTTCTTTAACCCAATCAGATGAGAAGATACTAGACAAAAACGAATGAAGGCAGAACACCTAGCAGCCATGGTCACACCAATAGCCCGCACTAGCCACGTGTCCGAAGACCGAGAGCTTTGCACAAGCCAGCAATGCGCCGATGACCACTGGTGTTCGAACACGGGGTGTGCAACGAGATGTCCTGGGGTATTTAATTTGCAAGAGATACTGTGGGATTCAGTCAATGATTGAGCAACATATGGAATAGAATAGAAGCCTTACTTCGGCCCTGAAACAACAGAGATCCGACTTCGAGTGCAACTGGCACTACACCAACACCCGAAAATGAACTGGCGGCTATTATGAACAACCGTACAGGGGATGCGGCTCACCGAGCCAGAGGACATACTGAAATCATCGGCCATCGGAATCAGCATCCACACAACAAAAACTCAAGGAAGCTCAAACCATACCTGGAGTTAGTTTGACACTCAACCAGACCAATTGAAAGAGGACTCGGCACTCGAAATCTTATCGACATGCCCACCACAATCATGGCGCAGAGCCATTCTACCTGCCAGCATACAACGACTAACGCAGGTTCGTTAGAACCATGTGCAAAAGGAATTGAGGGCACGGTCTGTGGCATGAGCTTACCGCGTCAATCTTGACGCTACGTCGAGGGGGGGCGAAACGACCCAGAGAAACGATTGAGGCGGGCCGTCAATATATATACAAGCTGCTGACATAACTTAGAAGAATCAAAAGAATTCCCACGACTGCGCGCGGTCCGTGCGAATATTTGCGCAGATCTAATTAAGTTAATTTACCAGGTATCCGTCTCGTTCTGAACTCATTACTGGAATATCTGTCTACTCTGGTGCGAATACTGAAGTGCATAATGGAACTGAAAAGATCAACCGATTTTTTGATAGAAGATAAAGGTCACCGCGTCTTGCACAGTGTTCTCGATTCCTTCCCTGGATCCCCGAGTGGCTAACCGCATCTATGATCATGTTTCGCCTGATATGAAAAAGGTGTACTGTCTGATTTGGTTGTCTGGTGCTGATTGTTGACGTGATTGTACTCAGTGATAGTTGGCATCGCGGGATGGCCTGATAAAACATGGTAACCTTGCCTCCATTGGAGATTGAGACATCCAAGCTTGTGTCGCAGTAGGCGATGCATTGTCAGCTCGTTGAATCATTCACAGTGTCGCTTGACGCACCTGGAAGAGTAGGAGCATGCGTTCTGGTTGTGCAGTCACGGGTGTGTCCCGGAGACAAGAATAGGCTTGGATTGAAATGTCATGACTCATGGGTCATTGTGGGCGCAGCGTGTGCACTTTCTTGTGCATTGTGGTTTGGAGCGTGCAGGAATATCCCGGGAGTTCACATGGGAAGCCATGTCCCATTGCTCTTGAATTAGGCTGTACGTGGGCACACAGTCGCTACACGGCTGCACGTAGACAAATATCCTGGGGGAATGCGACGACGGAGTTAGCCGGCCAGGGTACGGAATGAGGGAAGCGGCTGAAAGCAGCGCTTGACCTGACTTATATTCTCTCCTCAGCTCGAGATGCCCGTTCGGTCTCCGTCGTCGTAGGCTCTTCATCCCCGCCTCTTTGCCGCCGTGCACAATGTTCCTTCTCCCCCTTGCCCTCGTCTTTATCCTTGCCGTGCTGGACGTGGCCTGGGCGGGTTCCCGCATCGGCACCGTCGCCAGCCCGACTGTACCGCACATCCTCCACGAACGCATTAGGCGCCAGGTTTCGCAGAGCACAATCACAAATGGCACGTCTGCCAGCACGAACGGTTCCACCATCGTTCCCATCTCACTCTCGAAGGACCAGCAGTGAGTTTACATCGTCGTCTGAGCCGGCGTGCAAGCCCGTCTCATTGCTGTGCGCGGAACTGCGTCTCCGCCCTCAGAACGTACTATACGCTTCTGTCCGTGGGCAATATCAGCTTCCGTGTGAGCATCGACACCGCGTCCTCCGATCTCTGGCTCTTCTCCTCGGACTGCACATCCGGGGCTTGTAAATCTTCCCCAAAATACCCGCTCTCTTACGACAGCCACTCATTTGTTTCCGTCAACGGCAATTCGACCACGTTCAATGTTAGCTATGCCGACACTTCCAGTGCGTTCTACATTCGATGTGTGCGCATGATGCTCAGGTCGGTTCTTGCACAGTGGCCTCGGGGTTCATAGCCCGGGAGAAGGTCGATCTGGGGTACTTGACCATTGCAAACCAAGCTTTTGGTCAGTCATGGCCTTAGCCTTGACGTTTGCCCCGCTGAACAGTTGCTCAGGTCTGATGAACTCTTCTAACGTTTCGTTCGTGGATCAAGTCAGCGGAATCATGGGGTTAGGTTTCCCGAGGCTGTCAACGATCAATGCCAAGGCATCCAACGGTTAGATCTCTCGTTTCATCCCATCCAGTCTTGAAATCCCCTCATCGTTTCATCAGCAACCCCGTTCTTCGTTCAACTGGCTCAGCAGGGCCAACTTGATTATCCCGTCTTCGGAGTAAGCCTCACACGCAATGCGTCTGCTGGCTCTCTAGCTGTTGGTTCGTACTTTCTTGTTCATAAATCTATAATCGGATCGTGAAATGTTCTTTTCTACTATGCAGGTGCGGTTGATTCCTCCGTGGTTCAGAATGCGAGCAGCATATCTTGGAACGAAGTCGTTCCTTTCCGGCCTTTCAAGGCTGAAAGCAATTCGTCTAGCTATCTGCAGTGGGCAATTCACTTGGCTAACATATCAGTAAGCGCTAATGTCATTCTTTGTCCGACTGTGTCTTCATACTTCGTTGGTAGGTGGGCACAAACGTCATCACGCCTCAACCAACGTATCCTATTCCCGACTCGAATTTATCGATAGCTCTCTTAGATGTGTGAGCCTTATGAGTGTTTCTCCTGGGGCGTAACCTCACCCTTCTGCACAGGGGGACAGCTGGCATCTTTGGTCCTTACCAAGACGTACGTTCGTGCTGATGATTCACGCTCAATACTCATCAACGGCACAGGTCTCTCGGATATTTTCTGTGATGAGCTCAAGCCGCCTGATTGACGCTAGCAGTACGTCTCTTGCCAGATTCGTCTGAATCTCTCTTCTTAATGTATCACAGGTGGAACATGGGCGGTACCGTGCGACACAAATGAGACAATGACCTTCACATTTGGGTAAGCTCATTTAAAACTTCTGTCTTCCTCAAGTCTAACACTATCACAGCGATCAAAATTTCACGCTTCTCCCATTGGATTATCTGATTGGACCCGTATCCACAGATCCTAACATTTGCTTGTCGTGGCCCCAAGCTCTGCCTCCTAGTTCTGATGGTATAGACTGGCAATTTGGCTCTGCGTTCCTACGAACTGTATACACGATCTTCAGGTATTTCTCGTTGCACTTTTCCCTGCCAGGTGTTGGCCCCTGACGATCTAGCAGCTACGGGATCACTGCCAAAGAGGCCCCCATGATCGGCCTGTACCCCCTAAACCCCACAAACGCGACGCCTACCGCAACTTCAGAGGCCTCTTTGTCCGCCCTCTTCTCCTCCCTTTCACTCACTGTCGCCACCGCATTGCCCAACTCGCTGATCTCTGCGCCCATGTACACAACTCCGACATACCTCTTCAACACGTCGGTGCCCACCTCAGCCCCAGTGACAGGTCTCGCTACCTCGACTTACGCGCCACTCTTCTTCACCATCAACGGCGGTGCTGTAGGCGCGGAGAAGTTCAACATCAGCGCGCTGCCGCAGGTATCGCCCAGCCCAACGCGCGCGACGCTGATCCTGACGGACTCGAGCGGAGTCGTGCACACGAGCACGAGCTTCGCGCCCACGCAGAGCCCGCAGCTGGGCGTGCCATATGGGTGGGATTCGGGCGCTCAGGCGCTGCGGGCAAACCTTGGCACTTCCATGTTGCTCGCCGGCACACTTTTGTGTCTGCTGCAGCTCAGTGGACTCGGACTCGGACTCGGACTGGTTTGAGTTGCCACCGCTATACCCCTTCTTGTCGAGATCGAGCGCTGGCAGACGAGCATCTTCGCGTGCTGCCTACCTTATCCTCTCATCAGGTACTTTTACACGGACATATACTTTTTTCGCTATTCGCTTTTCCTTTCCTGATCACTACCGGTATTTTCATGGACTTTGTTGGGATAGTCGTCGTCAGCAGTTTGATGGGCCGATGTATTGTAGCACGCATAATAAGTACACAGCTAGTGCGAGGACGTTCGTGCTCTGGCCGCTCGCTATGTGAGCAGGCCGCACTGGCGTCCGCGTCAGTTCTTCGTCTTGCCCTTCTCGCGTTTGAGCCACTCTTTCCACCACGCAGGTGCTGACTGCGGAAATTGTTCGCGCGCGTGCTTCATGGCTTGATGAGCTTTTTGCCGTGCTTCAATCATAAACTTTGGCGGCTTGGCGTGCGACGGCAGCCTGTTCATTCTGTGTTCTGCAACCTGCAGGGCAATGCGCGCAAATGAGCACGCGTCGAAGGAGAGGAGGGTGAGTCCGAAGGACGGGCGGGGCGGGTCCTACCTCGAAATCCGCTTCCATGATGGCAAGCGTATCACTGAGGTGGAGGAACCGCAGCACGTCGTACGAGGCGTGCTCCGAGTACGGGCGCACCCTGAGGTCGTGCATATCCACCCGCGTCTCCCCGGCCGCACCCCGCCCCAGCCATCCCGCCGCGCGCGCCTCGATCGCTCGCATGGCGGCGAGCTGGTCGTGGAACCCTCGCAGCGCGTGCGCGGGCGCGGCGAACCCGGCCGCCTCGTTGATCTCGCGCGCCGCGCCGCCCCCGATGGAGACCTGCGAGTGGTAGTAGTTCAGCATCTTGTTGATGCTGGGCATGGGCGCGGGCGCGGCGTCGGACGACAGGTAGCTCAGGAAGGGGTAGGTGCGGTCGGTGCTCAGTATGCGGTCCTGGGGCAGAGCCATGAGCGAGGAGGAAGAAAGAAGCGGATGGAGGCGCGCGCGCGCACGTTGTGGGCTTCGTATATCATGGTGAAGGGCTCGCCGTACGCAGACTCGTACTCCGCGAGATAGAGCGGTAGGAGGACCGGGTGGGCTGCGAGCTAGTCAACGTGTTCGGGAGCCCCGAGCGGTCATGGGGGCGGGGTCGACGCGCAGAGACGGAGTGGGGACGCACGAAGTTGAATCGGATGGTGGACGGGTCGAAGCGGAGCCCGTCCTTGATGATGCCCTCGCGCGGGCTTACTTTACGGAGCTTCTCGAGGATAGGGAACGGGGAGATCTGGAAGGGAAGGCATTGGACCGGCACGTCGTGTTGGGTGGCCAAGGAGGACTCCCACGGGAGCGAGTCGAGAGGAGACATCGGGTCAGGATAGCGATTGAAAGAGATGCGGGAGAGCGGCTCGAGTGTGTGCCCTTCGCGGCGATGTCAACGTCAGATATCATGGGAGAAGACGAGGGCGCTCACCTGGCATGTAGCTTGGTGGAGGAACGTGAGATCCCGTTCATGAGCAGGATAGCAGAGAAGGACAGGGTGCCATATTTACCCGTGCAGAACCTGCAGCAGCGCCTGTCGACGATGCGTTCACGAACGTCAGTTCTCCGACCTCCGAGTAAGGCATCGCAGGAGGGGTAGAAGAGATATAAAATACGCACTGGTTTCTCCTGCTCATCGTCGGCAGACACGTTCGCCCGCACGTCCGCATCGACGATCCACGCGGGATAATAGACAGCTTGGAACCGCGTCGGCTGGAACGACTGGAAGCGCGAGGGGAAGTATTTCGCGAGCCACGAACGCCACGCCAAACCTGTGCGGAGTGCGGCGCCGGCGGCTTGTGGCCCGAGGTTGGTGATGGCCTCAAGGGGAGAGCGGACGAACGGAAAGGCTAGTAGTGGTGGATGAGATGGCAATCGGTGTCATGCATCGTGGGCGATCGATGTTCTGCTTGCCTTGGACTTTGGGCGAGTATGTTGGGATTGAGCTCGTAGCCAGTGATCTGCTGCATCGAGGTGAGCGCGCATGAGCTCGCGAGACCGGCTTGGCCACCGTGAGGCGTGCATGTAACATGATGTATCGAGATTCCTGGGTGAGCACGGTTTCGGACCAGGAACACAACAATGCAGAAGGGCGAGCAGTCCTGAGCGGAACCGTGCTCTGTTATCGGTATGTTGGTGTATGTTGTACTTCAGAAGACCTCGAGTGGCTGGGCGGGCTGGGCCATCATCAGCCCACAATTCGAAGCAGGCAAGGCTGCTTGAAGCACAGAGAGGTGATACAATGCAAATAAAATAATATCCAATGCGACCATCCCGCGCCAGACACCCTGCAGCGGTGTGTACATGGCATATATAGCATCTATTCTATAGCTCATCCTTTGCATGGCCCTTGCCATAGAATGCTTCCGCCAGGTCTGAAGGAATGCGTCAATAAAGCAAGAGGCGCAGCCGAAAGGGTACTTACGGCGTCGAGAGTCGGAGGAGAGCTGCGTTGGGAGTACGACGACATACTCCACGAAGAGGTCGCCGTAAGTAGATTGCTCAAAGAGCGGCATGCCCTCGCCCTTGATCGTCTGCACGAAGCCTATAACAAAACATCATTTCATGAGATGAATACAGAGAAAATGGGATTGGGCAACGAACCCGGTTGTGTAACGCCTTTACGGACGAGGGGAACGATGTGCCCATCTAGGTGGGTCAGATTACGCTCAAATCCAAGCAAAGCCTGCGATTCATATGCTCAGCATACCGAACCGCGTTGTGATAAGGAGAGCCCATCCTCACTTCGTCGACGCCGATCGTCTCCTTCCAGTACAGACTGCTCTCCTTCCTCCTCCATCCACCTCTCTCTCCCCTGCTCCTGACCCGAAGCACGACATCTCCCGGTTCCCAATCGGGACTCTCGTCGCCCTCGCCCTCGAACACGACCTCGTGCCCCTCAGGCGCGCCGCGCGGGACTTCGAGCGTGTAGTGCGCGGTGTGCTCGCCGACCTTGTTCCCGCCGCACGCGGGGCACGGGCGCGCGATGACCTGCCCACGCCCGCCGCACTGGTTGCACGTCTGCTGCGACTGTGCGAACATGCCCGGGAATATCTGTTGCTTCACGATCCTGACACCGCTTCCGCCGCACCCCGGGCACGCGTGGATGTCCCCGTCGGACGCGGCGCCGGTACCACGGCAGTGATCGCACAGAACGCGCTTCTTGATCATGAACTAAGCGGGATCGAATAGATCAGGTACGCCGAGGCAGCTGGTAAGGTGAGTTGGACGCACGTCTATGCTAGCTCCCTTGTAGACGTCCGCAAGTGACACTTCAAATTCCGTAACAGACGTGGGCCCACGACGGACTTGCTGTTGTTGTGCAGCATCTGGGCAGAAGATGATGCCGTCTTAGCTGGACTGGCTTTAAATCGATCGTAGAGAGTGTGCTTACGGCCTCCACCGAAGAAATTCGAGAAGATATCAAAGGGGTTCGCGTGTTGTTGCTGCCCGCCTTCGTGCGCTTTTAGGCCCTCCTACAATACGCAAGGATCATCAGCGTTACAGGCAGTGTCGCTATAAATTGAAGAAAGTCGAGACACACCTCTCCATGTCTATCGTAGATTTGCCGTTTCTGCGAACCTTGGTCAACTAGTATTACAAACGAAGATGAGCATACTCACTGTGGAATCCGAAAGCACCTCGTATGCTGAGCAGACAGGTCAGCGGCACGCGTCCCTGCAGATTGCGCAACTCACTCACCATGTGCGACCTCCACGAATCTGTCCTCCGCGTCCGGCTCCTTGTTCTTGTCCGGATGGTACTTCCGGCTGAGACGCTTATACGCCTTTCTGATATCCTGCTCGGATGCTGACTTGTGCACTGCCAGACGCGAAATGAGATGAATATGAAGGGTAGAACCAGGGCACGTACGGTCGAGAACTTTATACAAGTCTGCAGCCTGCACGAGCACGGTGCACAAGAGCAAAGCGGTGATTATGAAGAGAGAGGGGAAGAGCATTTGTGTGCGTGGATTCTGAGCATAGACCAGAGGAGAAAGGACCGGGAGGGGAGGGGCTGCTGCGAGCCAGGGATGAATGCAAGCCGTATACGTGTGCTGGTGGCGTCCGCGACGGGGACACGTCGCGCGGCACTGAGTCTGGGGTTAGGGTTCATGATCGCTTGCGCCGGCCCTTGCCACTTGCCTCCGATGCCCCTCCCTGCGTGCTACCGGAAGGGTCCCCGCTCGTCCTCCTTTGTCCTCTGCTTGGCCATATTCAGCGCGCCCGAGGGCCGCATCGTGAGAACAGCGTCTCCTTTGGGCAGCACACCCGCCGGGGAACCGAACGTCGCTCGATATGGAAGGCGACGCGCCAAATCCGGCACGCCGTGCACGCCCGCCTCCCTCTCGCTATAAAAGGCGGGCGTTCTGCGATGTCGGAGCCCCGTTCGCAAGGCCCCGTCTATTGAACATTCCTTTCTTTCGCACATCGCTATCCAGTCATGCTTGTCCAGCTTTCAGCTCTCTCTACCGTCTCTGTCCTTGGTCTGGCTCTCCTCGCGTCGGCAGCACCAAGCGAGCCCATCCCGTACGGTTCATCGTACGGTGCCGCGGCTCCTGCGTCGTACGCACACATTCCATTCCCCCTCATCCAAGCATACTGATCCTCCTTCTGCTTCGTGCAGCGCATCGTCTCTCGCCCCCGAACTCTATAGCTCGGCCGCCGCTCCTTACAGCCAGCCCTCTCCTTCTTCTGAGGTTTCCGCCGCGGTTCCAGCCCCGTACAGCTCTGAGTCTCCGGCCCCGTACAAGGAGTACGCTCCTGAGGTTTACAGCTCTGCTCCGGCCCCGTACAGTTCGGCGGCACCTGAGCCGTCCAAGACTCCTGAGGTCTACATCTCAGCCCCGGTCTCGTACAGCTCTCCTGCTCCTGTGCCCTCCAGGGCTCCTGAGGTCTACAGCGCTGCTCCAGCGTCTTACAGCTCGGCGGCTCCTGCGGTCTACAGCTCTGCTCCGGCTCCTTACAGCTCGGTGGTTTCTGGGGCGTACGCCTCCGTCCCGGTCTCGTACAGCTCGGCGGCTCCTGAGCCCTCCAAGGCTCCCGAAGCCTATAGCTCTGCTCCGGCTTCTTACAGCTCGGCGGCACCTGCGCCGTACAAAGAGTACGCTCCTGAGGTTTACAGCTCTGCTCCGGCACCGTACAGCTCGGCGGCTCCTGAGGTCTACACCTCCACCCCGGTCTCGTACAGTTCGGCGGCACCTGAATCTTCCAAGGGTCCTGAAGTCTATAGCTCGGCGGCACCGGCACCGTACAAGGAATACGCTCCTGAGGTCTACAGCTCTGCTCCGGCACCGTACAGCTCGGCGGCTCCTGAGGTCTACACCTCCACCCCAGTCTCGTACAGCTCGGCGGCACCTGAACCTTCCAAGGGTCCCGAAGTCTATAGCTCGGCGGCACCGGCACCGTACAAGGAATACGCTCCTGAGGTCTACAGCTCTGCTCCGGCTCCATACAGCTCGGTGGTTCCTGAGGTCTACAGCTCTGCTCCGGCGGCGTACAGCTCGGTGGCACCTGGGCCATCCAAGGCTCCCGAAGCCTATAGCTCTGCTCCGGCTCCTTACAGCTCGGCGGCACCAACGCCGTACAAAGAGTACGCTCCTGAGGTTTACAGCTCTGCTCCGGCACCGTACAGCTCGGCGGCTCTTTACAAGGCTCCTGAGGTCTATAGCTCTGCGGCACCGGCACCGTACAAGGAATACGCTCCTGAGGTCTACAGCTCTGCTCCGGCTCCTTACAGCTCGGTGGTTCCTGAGGTCTACAGCTCTGCTCCGGCGCCGTCCAGCTCGCCTGCACCTGAGCCGTACAAAGCGTATGTTTCCGAGGTTTACAGCTCTGCCCCGGCTTCGTACACCTCAGCGGCACCTGAGCCGTACAAGGCCTCTCCTTCGGAAGTCTACAGCTCCGTGGCCATGCCGTACAGCTCGTCTACCCCTCAGGTTTACACCTCTCTGGCGCCTGAACCTTACAAGGCGTATGCTCCTGAATACAACTCGACATCTGCCCCATACGCCAAGCCTACTGCTGAGGCGTACAGCTCTGCTCCAGCTCCATACAGTTCGGCGCCACCTGAGGTCTACAGTCCTGTTATGGCATCGTCCAGCGCCTACACTATCAAAGTATACAGTTCTGCCAACAGCTTGCCTGCTCCTGCACCCACGCCCTATGCCACTTGGGGACCCAAGCCGGTAGCTTACAAGAGGGGCGATTACAAGCCTGGGGAAGAGCCAAAGGTATACAAACCGGAGGAGAAGAGGCCGGAGGTGTACAAGCCTGAGGCGAAGAAGACCGAGGTTTACCCAGCTCCTGCACCGGTCTACCAAGCCATCGAGGAACACGATGTCAAGCAATGCAATGTCGGCGAGCTACGTTGCTGCAACACTGTTGAGACGGTATGTCGTCGTCGCTATCATTATCATGATCTCATTACATATGTCTCTGTATCCAAGGCTTCCGCCACCTCTGCCAGCAAGGAACTTGCCGTCCTTGGCCTCGTCTTGCAGGACCTGAATACGCCCATCGGGCTCAACTGCGATGCTCTTAACACGGGAGGGTTTGGCTCAGGCAGCAACTGCGCCCAGCAACCCGTATGCTGCGAGAAGAATGAATATGTGAGCCCTTTGACCTCCTTGATCGCGCTTATTTCTGACTGAATTGCACGCAGGGTGGCCTTGCGATCGGCTGTACTCCCGTTAATGTCGTCCTTTGAGAGACAGCCTTTTATGAGAGGTTGTAGATCAGGGAGCAGTGATTTTCGGGTTTCAGTCCTACTATTATCACATACTATATATCACCACCTGTCTTTACTGCGTTATTTCCTTTTCCCGTACAGGGTTTTAATGGTCCGCTATACATATGCGGTTAATATGCTGTGCTAGTGTGTCAAGCCTGCTCAACTTTGACGCCGTGAGGAAATTGAACGCAGGTCTATATGGACCCACTGCGTTGATATAGCAAACCGGATCCCTCGGCGGCAGACGAAAGTTTCTCGAACCATGATCAGTACATTGACAACGTATCCGACTCCACATCCAGCCGCACATGACTACACCAATAATACATCCAAGAGGTGATCGAAGACAAGGAACGGAGAATGGGACAAACAGCGGGAGCCAACAAGACGGTCCGGATGTGTACGCGCATAGCCGGTCACCTAAATATACTGAACTGACGGCAGGAAGTGAACCAAACAATGACATATGGATAAGGACAGGAGATAAACAAGTTTGCGGGGTAACCAGGAAGGGAAAGGGTAACGAAGCTGTGATGTAGCTGTTTCAAAAGGACACGAAAAGAAGGAGAGAGACGGAGCGCGGATAGATAGATAGGCGGAGGCGGAGGCGGAGGCGAAAGAAAGGGCGGACCTAAAGGAGGGGAGAGGAGTGAGAGACGATATTGTTATTATGGACAGGAAAGGAGAAGGGGTCCTGGACGACGACCATAAAAAGAGGAGAGAAAGGGAGGGCACGCATAAACAGAGAAGGGGAATGAAAAGGAATAATAAGTAGACGGTCAGAGCGAAGCGAGGGCCAAAGGCACGCAGGAAAGGGCATGCGCATGTGCAAAAGACGGGTAGGCGGGCGGGCGAACGAAGAAGGGCGGGTGGTGGGGAGGCAAGGACAGGACAGTGTCGTTCATCGTTTGGCGAAGACCTTCTTGAGCAGGGCGAGGACTTTGGGCACGTTCAGCTGCACGTACTCGAGGTCCAGCAGGTGCTTGTTGTCCTTTTGCTGTGGAACGAGCGACGAGGGCGTCAAATTTAGGGTGCCGTGAGCAGAAGCGGAGGACGGCGTACCTTCTCCAACAGGTCATCGATCTTCAGGTCCATCTCCAGAATAGCCTTCTCGCGGCCCTTGTAGTGCAGCGCGATGATGAACGTCCCGGGCGTCGGCGACGTGATGTTGAAGTAGATGTTCGGCCGTCTGCGAAAAGTGGATGTGAGAATGTGAGAAAAGGAGGGTTGGCGATCAGCAACCATGCGGCACGCGTGCGTCTGGGCCGCTCAAACGACAGGGCACGCCACGCACCTGTTATCGGGCACGTTGCTCTCGACAATGATGCCCTCCTTCTCGAGCTGTGCATGCGTAAAGCGGTACGGGCCCAATACGGTCGCCTTCACGGGCTTCTTCTCCTTCCCACCGACGGTGACGACGCCAACGCCCGTCGAGGCGCCTTTGTCCTTGGTCGCGGTGAGGCGCACGTTCTGCAGATACGCCTTGTACTGCTCGAGCTGCGAGCGCATGTAGTTGTTGTGGTCGCAGATGGTCTTGTAGACCGCCTCGAGCGACTTGGTCTCGAGCACGACCTTCTCACGCAAATTGCCGAGATGCACGAGCTCCGCAGAGACCTCGTCTTGCATGAGCTTGTAGTCGTCCGCGCGCTCGATGATCTTCAGCTCCTCGAGCTCGCGCAGCATCTCCTTCACCTTGATTCCCTTGCGCACGAGCGTCGCGTCCTTCGTTGTTGCCGCGCGCTCTGCGATCGCGGCGAGGTTGTACGGGCGCTTCTCTGCCGCGTGCGGGAGCGATCGGATGAGCTGCACGAAGATCGACTTGGTCTCCATGTAGAGCATATCGCTCGAGGAGACCGTGTCGGCGAACGCGCTCTGGATGTCCTGCACCGGCGTCTCCCAGCGACTGTAGAGCTTCAGCTCGATCGTGCGGTTCTCCTTCCGCGGTACCTGCGCGGGTGCAGGACCAAGTTCGTCCGTCAAGATACGGAGATGCTGTTTGTCATTCGGCGACTGGATAAGGATAGCCGGCGATGAGCTGCAAGACCCGCCCGGAAACACATGAAAAAGCACGTACCAGCGTCTCGATGTGTTGCAAAATCAGGGAATGTGTATTGTACAACTCGTTCAGAGTAATGTGGATCATCAGGTCTTTCTTTGAGAGGGCCATGTATTGGTCCATCTACGATGCCACGGTCAGCGTCAGATCGATCGCAAGAATATGATCGTAGAAGGGTCACCTCGAGGGTGTCATAGAAGTCTCCGACTTCGCAAAGGTTGTTCAAGAACTGGTTGATCCGGGCCTTGTTGTTCTCAACAAACGGGTTTAGTGTCATCATATATTGTTCTTTCGCGTAAGATGGCTTGTTGGCCAAGTTTTGGAGCATCTTGGCAATCTGGAGACGTTCGCAGTCAGCACAATTGTAACACAACGAGAGAAAATTCGAATACCAATGTCAATGTCCGTCGTGGGTGCTTCGCAGGTACGCCATCCACGAGCATGTAAGCCTGCGGCGTCACGATAGCAGGATTGATGAAACGGAGGAAGAAGAAACCGCCAATGAGAGAGCAGATGGCATAATCAGTCGCCTCCGGGTATTTCCTCTGCAGAACCGTTCATAAGCCTACTTCTAGTGATATGAGCGCATCGGCCTTCGACGACGACTTACCCGGGTCAGGCTTCGGATTTGTTTGCATATCCACCGGATGCCGTACGGCACGCTCTCCATGCTGTCGATAATCGTGACCAAGAAGCTGTTCGCGATCTCCATCAGCATCGTTAATCGTGGAGCGATGATGGCTTGGACATCGGGGTTTGCAGATGCGACTTCCGGCGGGACACCTCTAGGCAGGTTCTCTGGAAGCGACCCGGTCTCTTCCTCGATTTGGTTGATCATTTGCTCGTACACCTGACATTGGAGATAAATTAATATCCGGCGTGGACTTTATGAGAGGCACAGAAATAAACCGACCTTCACAGGATTGATCTCCAGATTGAGGTCCTTGTGTTCAATGAGACTGTTGATTCGCTCGGCGAGGACGCTCTTCAAGTAACTTTGACCCGGCCCTCGACGAGTGTATGTTGTCATCATACGTGATACAGGAGTGTTGGCGCGCAGAAGCGAACCAAATTCCGTAGCAGTGTCGAACTGTGCAGATAGCACGGACTGGAACATGGTCAACAGCAAATGTTCTTCTCGGCTCTCGTACTGGTTTCCATAGAGGGTGAACATGACGGTTTGAAGTAGGGTATCGATTTCGGAGAGGCTGACGAGCCGGCAGAGGGCTGCAACATGGCGGGGCTCGGATTGGAGTAGGAAGAACAAGTTTGAATACTGCTGAAGCTTGCGTTCGTCTGGGTAATGACCCTCTGTTGGATCGACCTCTTCGAGATGCCTTTCGACTTCACGTTGCTGGGGGGGATGATCTGATGAGCCGGAACGCATGTACGCGAACGGTCGGACGCACCTCGTCGAGCGCCATCCTGTTTTGGATGAGAAGGGCTATCCGCGAGTCGAGATAGCGGACATCACGCTCTAAAACGAAGTTCTTTTTGGACTGTGCGGAGATGCGAGCCTTGAGATCACGCAGGCGCTTTTGCGCTGGGCAGATATGTTGCATGAGAGGTGTCGAGTCGACGGCGAAAAGAGCGGCTCACCTTTGGCAAGATCGTCCTCAACCTCAACATCCTGTTCAGCGGCCATACTGAAGAGAGCGGTGACGCTGTAGCGATTTGTATTCCTGTTCGTAAGACGCCTGGCGGACAATGAGCCCGGCGAGGCGGGGGGGTCGGCAAATGCAGACATGACGGCTAGCGGTAAGAGTGGCGGTTGGGAAGAAAGAGGGATCGTTGTTGAGTAACAGAGACGATGTCGCTGGAGTCAATAATGACGGAGAGTGGTGGGTATGATCCCGGGCACGACAGCGACACCAGCGCTTGAGACGAGTAGGAGAAAACGAATACGAGAAGCGAGGGAGGAGAGGAGGAGAGGAGGGAGGCGGGATGGTCGTGGTCGTTAGACTGACTGTGAGGAACGGAACACCTTCGGCGAATGCCACGCTCTTCGTCTCAGCCACTGCTCCGCCAGCCACCCCGTCCGCCAGACATATACACCCACTGCCAGCCTCGTTCTGTCCATTCTTCATCATGCATAGCACCCGACCATCTGCCTTGTATCTCATCCACGCACAGAATGGCCCATCGCATTCCTCCTCTGGGATTTCTATTCGCACAGCCTCTCGAGTCTGCCCCGAAAACATCTCCCTGATTGATTCTCAGTGTGCGATGTGCATCCACAACTTTCCGTGCATCAGTGCTCCCAAGACGCGCCATCGCAGGCCTTGATTTCTTCGAACCGTCACGACTCACCGGGACACATCTCACTCACATGGCTGATCCACGAGTGTATACTGCTCGTGTGAATGAAGTACGTTCTTCATCCATTCGCCCGTCGGACCACACGTTCCTGACTGCATCATAGACCTTCACTTATATACAGCACGCGAGGCGCTCGCCCATCTAAGAAGGCCCCGTGTAGCTGTCTAGCGCGGACGGCCGCCGTCGATCAGGCCTGTTGCACGTCTATAACGTCGTTCATACATCTAATGCGCATCGATGCTCCGCATCTGTGCGCTTTGACATATTCACCATGGCTGTCCTGGCCGCACAACAATATATATGCTTCTCTCATGACCAGCCCCTGTTTGCTCATTGATCCCGCAGCTCGAAGACGCTACTTGCCAAGTGCTCCAAGGTCGCGGTCACACGTATATCTCGGCGCCAGACAACACGACGCATCTTCGGTCTACATCACACTACTCTGCATCATCCCCTCGTGGCCGTGATCAGGGGCAGATGGAGCAGCCCCCTGACAGCCTCGAAGGATTCGCTATTTGTCGTTCATTACCGAGTCCAATGACAATCGTGCGCTCGGAAGTCATTCCGTCCACCACTAAGTGTCTTTGACCTCACCACGGTTCCATCCCAGCCTTTTCTCGATGGAGGTAACATATCCCCTTCATCAGCTCCATCGCTTGTTTTTTTTTTCTATTCGCTCGCTTACGCGAACCTTGGTGCGATCGTGATTGTGGCACAGGTAAGTTAGGTTTGGCAGACAGCTTCCATTCGATGTTCTCTCGGCGCCCCTGGGGAGCACGGCATAAGACCAACGACCGCGAGACGCCGCAATCAGCGCCCCCCATGCTGCCTTCGCCCATCACCTTATCCTTCGACGCGTTCTCTGGACTCTCAGGTTCCTCAGATCCGTTAAGACCGATCTTCTCCGAGCCGCGAGCCACATCCTTCCCCTTCCGAAGATGGTTTGATCGACCTTTCCCCACGTTTTTTCCTGCGTGTCTCCGGCATCTTAGTTATCCTCGTCACAGCGGGATGGGTCAGTGGAACTCAATTGGAGGGCGAGCTCCGTCCTATCTTCCAGGGCGTGATATCTATTTTACGTATCAATCTACTTATCTTCGGCCCACAGTCTTATGCTTCCCGTAGTACGCTCTTGTTTCAAGAACCTGTTTCAGTCCCACCACTCAGGAAGCCAGGAAGCCCTCGCACTGTGGCGGTCCATCGGAGACGGGGGGGGAGAAGGGTGTACGAGTTCGCCTGACGGTTCGTGTATTCGAAAGAAGCTGATATGCATGATACATATGTAAGTGGGAGAGTAGCAAGAATGTAAATAGCGATGCATAACAGGAAAGAGAAGGGCATCTGGGTTGCACACGCGTCTATCATACATAATTATCCGGCCAAAAATACAACTGTGAGAATTGCGACGAGGAAGGAACGAGCACGAGTGTGCATGTGCGCTAAGGGCTCAGAGAAGAAGGCGGAAACTCCCCAGTGGTGCGCATGTTGGTGTCGGGCGCGATGTACTCCACAAGGTAACCCAAGCCGAAAATCTAAAGACCTTTTCAGAAAGAGGGCAGTCTTGCTAGCGATTAGAAGACGGACCTGTTGGCAAAATTGGAGCGCGCTGAGAATGACGCCCGCCGCCCAGACGTTCGTGGTAAGACAGACGCGAACGCGTTGATTCTATGAGAATAATCGGATTTCGGTGAATCAGCAGAACATCGATACGCCACAGGAATCTACTCGCCTTCACCTTGAAGGGCAAATATAGATGTAGCGTAAGCCGAGAGACAGGAGAGAGGGAGGGCGAGAAGGTACTGACAAATTTGGTCAGCGACGACCTAAGCATGGTCTGTGGAACCGGAGGCTGGGTGGCGAACGCGGGCTGCGCGTGATAGGGAGGGGGCGGGTTCATGTAAGTGCTGGGGAGGGAGCCGTACTGCGGCTGGGCCCCCCATGACTGCTGAGGAGCAGAGTTCTGGTAGGGGGGTTGGTGGGTGCCTCCGTAGACAGGAGATGAGTTGGAGTGAGGTGGGTATGGGTTTGAGAGGGGTGGGGCAGAGGTGTGAGGGTTCATGGCGGTGTACGGAGGGTGAACGGACTGAGAGGGTAGAAGGATAACAGGGATGTTATATAGGATGAGTCGAGGATGAGATCAATCTGTTCGGGACTTTGCGTCGCAGGTATCGTAATGGCTCTGGTAGAGAGCGAAGATGCATCGAAGCCTGGCAAGGGGGACCGATGACAGATGTGGTTCGGGACAGGGATGGCGCAAAGAAGGCACTCGTGACACGGAGCTGACGAAGTGTCTTTCAAGGCCCCGCCCAGGATCACGATGGGCTCAGAAGCAGCCCAGTCGGCGCCCATCAGGTCAACATCTGGTTGCAAGGAGCGGGCAACTCAGTGCGAGAGGATCGTGCACAATTCAAGGCGACAATCAAATTGTCGCGGCGGACGGCGCTGTTGTTTTGAATATGTCGTTAGTTATTAGGACGTACAGATATCGATATCAGGAGACCGAGGCACGGCTGGCTTCATGAGAACTAGCAAGTGGGAGCCTGAAGGTCCAGCGAATATGGATCGCACTAGAGTCCCCGGGACCACGTGACCCGACGCGTGTGCAAGCAGGTTTCTTTGGTCTCGCCTGTCCTCCTCCACAGCAGTCCCTTGGTTTGCTGCTTGTTCTCTTCGACGTCCCCTCCGACGTTTAATTCATCTGTCTGCAGGCACAGACGCTCCGACGACGAGCGCTCTACCGCAGAGACGTGCTTCCTTAGCCCGAAGTGTGAACAATGCCCAATCAACTCTCCATCCCGTTCAAGAAAACGTACGCCGTCCCCCTCAAGCAGGCAGTCTACAACCACATCCAAGCGCGGCACCCCGGTACTCATCCCGATGCGTTCAGATACGACATCTCACAGTGGGAACTGCTGCGCAAAGAGGCGATCAGCTCCGTGGTACACATAGACCGGACGAGGTCTTTCATAACGTATGCGAACACTTTTGTCTGCATGACAACCCTAACGATCTACGCAGTTACCATGCTCAGCTTGTTTTCATTCTCACCAAGCTTCCTGCAGACGTGAGTCCTTCCGCTCTTCCTTCTTCTGTACGTTTTTCGACCGCTCCGGCCAGATCGGTCTCGAGATACCCTACGCCCCCGTCTTTGCCCCGTCTGCCCTTCCGGTTACCCTGAATAACCTCAATTACGAACGTTGCGCGATCTTGTTCAATTTAGCCGCCCTCTACTCCCAAGTGGCCACCGCCGAGGACCGTTCAAATCCGGAAGGGGTCAAACGGGCAAGTGCATACTTTCAGGCAAGACATGCTATCTGCGCTTCGTTTCATTCTGCGTGCTGACCCCCGTTCATTCTGCCTGTCAACCATCTGGAAGAGCGCCGCCGGCGTCCTCTCGTACCTTGCGGCGTCTGCCCTGGTGAAGCTACCGCCGACCCCCGGAGATGAAGGGGAACTCTTAGAAGACCTGTCAGAACCCTTCGTCAAGTCGCTGGAGTGGCTTATGCTGGCCCAAGCTCAGGAGTGTGCATGGCAGCGCGCTGTGCTAGGTATGTAGGTGCGTCATCGTGGCCGTTTCAGTACCCAACCTCGCCTGGCCTTAGACAACCGCTCGAACGGAATCATTGCGCGTTTGGCAGCACAAGTCCGTGCCGTCATATTCTTTGATGCTCCAGATCCCAGATTTCTGACCTAGGCGTTTCGAAACGTTAGGTCTCCGCCTACTATGGGTCCTCTATTTCCGCTGTTCGTGACGCCTCGCTATCAATTAGGCATATCTTTCCTTCAGTCCGCTCCGTTCTCTTTTACTTTTCTTTTAGCGCGCTGAAGGGCACGTGCCGCAGGACTGGTTGCCACATTTAGAAACGAAGCAGATGCATTTTGAGGCCGCCGCGCAATATCGCAAGAGCGTGGACGATCTCGAGGCGAATCGGTGGGCGCGCCCAGCTTCCATCGATGATAACGGCTGCTTCAACAGTTTCCCCACAGGTACGGAGAAGAGATCGCCCGTCTGAGTGTCGCGCAAGTTACGGCAAAACGGGGTTATGACATTGCACGCCGAGGCGGGGTGACACCGACCGTCCTGCAGGACATCAAGGTGAAACTTTGCGATGATCTTTGTTTGTTTCCAATTTTCATGGCTGACGGACATCATCTAGTCACTTCTGGATATTCTGGAAAAGAATATGATACGTGCCAATCGAGACAATGATTTGATCTATCACAAGGATGTGCCGCCTGGACCTGCGCTGTCCGCGATCTTGCAAACTTCGGTGGTGCAGAGCAACGTACCTCCACAATTGCAAGATCCAAAGAGCGCGATTGGGAGCTCCCCGATGATATTTGGTGAACTGTTGGGTTGGGGCGCTGAAACTGCCATAGGTCAGAATGCCGTTCAGCCTTAGTCACCTTCGCTCACGCTTGTCGAATAGACATCTACAACGACAGAAGGCAAAATTACATCAAAGATGACATAGTTAACCGTGGACAGGAACTCGATGATCAAGCCCATGCGTACGAACTCTAAATTCGTTCAGTTGCATTATTTCATTTCCGCTTACATGTATCCTTGACAGTATACTACGTTCTCTCAACCTCCCAACTGCGTTGGATGCGCTCGAGAAGCCGATCGGACTGCCTCCCAGCCTGCTCCAGAAGGCGGAAGAGGTGCGGCTAGAGCACGGCCCGCAACGCATCGAGAAATCTATAGACGATGTGCAAATGCTCGCGCAAAGGGATATGAACATCTTGAATGAAGTTAGTTCTCCGCTTGCGCCGATTCTCCAGATCCGGTCTAATCAATTTATTGTATTGCAATTCAAGGCGATGGACATCTTGGATCAAGAAGCGTCTGAGGACGAAAGTTTCCGAAATGAAACTCCAACGTCCCGTTTGCCGTCTCATGAAGCCAACACGGACCTCATAGAGAAAGAGCAGAGGTATCGGAATATATTGGAGCAGGCTGCTGACAGCGACGCTGTCATTCGACAACGTTGGGACGAATGGGAGCGGCCCATCACAGAATTGACATGGGACGAGGTCAGTAGCATGGACTATATGTATAGCGCGCACATGTGCGAACTTGGTCTTTTTCCGTTAGGCGACTTTAGAGGCGTCTGTCCCGTCCTCCACAGTGAACGTTGCGACATCGAATCGAGCTGGGAACACGTCAACTCAGACACATGCCCGTGGACTTCGCGCTTTGTTAGAACAGCTGGACGATCTGTGTCGTGCCCGCAGTCAGCTTGTCACACGCGCGCAGCGGCTCGCCGACGCCGATGACATACAGCCACGCGTCCTCAAGGCGGCTGCAGCCGTGGAGCGGTGGGTCGAGGTGCAGCCTTCCATGTTCGAGGACGTCTTGGACGAAGAGCTTTCCAAATTTGATAAATTCCGTAATGACATCGAGGCCGGTGCCGTGAAGCAGGAAGAAGTTCTCGAGTCGGTCAAGGTGAGTCCAGCGAGCGTGATCTGGCCTCGGTCTCTCGGGGCTTGGCCGAGACGGACGTGCCCGGCTGATGCTCTTTGTTCAGACTCGGAACGAGTCATTTTTGCTGTCCCGGCGAGATGATCCATCTGTGAGGGAGCGAGAACACGCCCTACAATCGTTGGATCTCGCGTATCACAAATACAAAGAAATCACTCGACATCTGGATGAGGGCCTCCAGGTACGCCCTCCTATCTCCTGTTTCAAGCATGTCGGCTCATCGCGCGCGCTGTGACACAGTTCTACAACGACTTCGGGGATATCCTGATGAAATTCAAGGAAAGCTGTAAAAATTGGGCCGACATGCGGCGAGACGAGATGCAGTACGTACAATTATGCCTATGGGTCCACACACGTGTTAACGACACCGCTGTCATTCTCTGCAGCTCGATCTCACGCCCGATGGAGTCTCTTTCAATACAGCCCGAGGAGAAAGTGTCGGCATCAGCGCCTGTGTTGCCATCGCCACCCGTGTTCCCTACTTCGCCACTGACACGTTTAGGCGCCCGTGGTGTTCCCAAGGCGCGCCAGCTGGCTTTGGACCTGCCTCCGCCGAATTCAGATGCATGGCAGACATTCGAATTGCCTCCTTCCCCCGCGAAGGAGCGGAAGACGAGGCATGCGGGGAAGATGAGCTAAAACTGGTTATGCAGTGTGCGGGAACGTGGGGGGGAGACGATGGTAGTGGCACTGCTTTGATGTACTGTACAGCACTTTGCGTGTGAATGCTCTTACTGTAGCTTGAACGGACCAGGCCGTGGTAATATGTCGGGTGATTCGGGCTGGATTTTTTTTGAAATGCTATTGTCCCTGTTGTACCGGAGTTTCATTTTGTGTCTGTTCTTGAAGACCTGCCAAATTCAGAGCGCGCGGTGCCTAACCCGAGGACAACCGTCCTAGGCAAGCCACAATAGCAGGTTTGTTCCATCTCTCTCATCGCCATCATGGGCTCTCACCGCCGTCACAGCTCTTGCTCGTCCTCCTCGTCCTCGTCTTCATCAGACGGTGATTCGAAGAAGTGGAACAAGGAAAAGAAGAGCAAAAAATATAAGATGCACTTGAACGAGGCTGATGAGCAGACTCACGGTTCAGGCCACATCTCCATGCCGAACCCGACCCACGTCCTCGACGGCAAGGGGAACCATCCCCCCCCGTACGTGCCGCACCCCCAACCCCAGCCCCAGCCCTCAAATTTCCCGTCGTCCGGCTACCGCATTCCCCTCACCGCAGACGCCGCCTTCCCTGACGTGCAGCTCACGCGCTACCCGCCGTTCTTCGACGCGGACGGCACGTCCCCCGTGTTCATCGGCTCCGCTATTTTCCAGAGCTCCGTGCACCCGTGCAAAATCGCCGCGCGCCTGCAGCCCCCGTGCCGTGTCCCGTACGGCGGGGTCGAGCACGAGCACCGCGGGCGGTACGACCTGCTCCCGTTCATGCCCGAGACGATGGAGTGGGTGCGCGCGTCGCACGGGCGGCTCCCGCAGGACAGGCGGCCCGTCGAGGGCGGGTACGAGGATAACGGCGCGAGGCTCTATCACGCCGTCGCGACCGTCGAGGGCGTGCAGGTGCCAGGAAAGGCCGGCGCCCATCTGGTGAGGCGCATGCGTTCGATTGTTGGAGTGGCTCGGGCTGATGACAGCCGTCATCTCTGCGTCTAGGGTGGCTGCCACGTCGCGTTTGGCGGCGGGGAGCATGTCATCAAGGAGAACTATGATGTCCTGTGAGTGATTCTCGTCGATTTGATGCTCACGCTTCAGGCTCATTGGACGGATCACTAGGTGCTGGAAGGTTTGAAGATCGCCAGGGATATTTTGGATCTTGGGTCGCTTCCTCGGATCCGTTGTACAACTGTCTGTCATGATCTATGCAGTGCCACCGGGGCGCTAGCCTAGATATAGAGAAGTCGAGCTAGGTGTTGTTGTAATACCATGTATGGTGAATCTGAGTTCCGAATGATATCACTTATTTCTTCCATTTATGCGTTGCCGATACACGTCCAATAAAACTATAATAGCTACACCCACTGCTCACTGCTAGCCTGCGTGCTCTATGCGTGATCGCCTTCCCAGTGATGGGTCCCTTTAGGTGTCCCACAAGCAGAGCAGGCGAGATGATCGGCCTCATTGTCACTGGCGAAAATGAATCAGGGTTGGACTACAGGGTAATGCCACGGTATTGTACCTACAGTGTACACACAAGGCAAGACCACGCAAGACTAGATTCGGCGTTACGCTCGCGACTGCCATTGACTGCATCCGAATTTGATCCCGCGCAGCCGGGATCCCCACCGCTGCGCGAGGGAGGGTTGTGCGGCGCATTGCCAAGCGTCCTCGCGTTTCCCGTGGCCGCGAGGCCCAGCGATTCTTTCTTCCTGTATTCCACCTCGTCTAGAACAATGTTCCCGATCCCCCGTCTCTTTTTGGCAGCAGGGGCGCCCGACCTTGCTCGCGCGGCGGATGGTTTACTTGGCGTGCCTTGTCGCGTGTCTGTGTCGGGAAGAGACGACGGGCCAGCCGTCGCCGTTTGCCTGCCTTTCAGGTTGGCTTCGGCTTCGGCTGGAGGAGGACCCGTGCGTGGCTTGGTCGATTTGGGAAGTATGAAGTCGCGCCAGCAGTCATCCAAAGTCCCTGATTTGAGCCCATCGAGATCGGAACTTTCCATCGAGTCTAGCATGGTACGGCGGCGGTCCTGGTCTGTTTCACGTAACTCCTCGGTGCCGTCTGATTCGCTGCCTGATCCTTCAGGGTCTCCCTCCAGTTCGGGGGGAGGAGTCTCTGATTGGAGGAAGGCTATGAGGTGAGCCATCCTCATAATGGTCGTGATCGACTTGCCGTGTCCTTTCAGAGCCTGGATACGTCGCTCAGCAGCGAGCGCGCGTTCGGCTCGTGCACGCTTGCTGTCGGCCCGTCAGTGTTTCAGAAACAGTATGAGCGCGCCGAACCGCAGCACGGACCTCGTCGCCTGCTTCCTAAATCCTGCGCCTGCCTTTTTGTCCTCCTCGTTTCCGATGTCTGCATTCAGCGCGCGGCCGCCACCCGCGAAGGCGCCCGCGGTGGTGACACGCGTCCCTGCCCTGCGCTTCCTGGCCGTCTGTGCCCCGGTGTGGGTTGAGGGTCCGGGCGCGGCTGCATGCCGGCGTCGCGGGCGCGAAGTAGGGCGCGCACGGCTCTGCGCTCCACCGCACTATTCGCGCCAAATTTGCAAAAAGGCTCAGAAATGGGGCGAGACGCGCCGGGAAGGTCGAGGAGCTTAGATACCATGTATTCTGGGAGATCGCCCGCTTCGAGGCCGTCCCCCTGCACCCGCGCCGCGTCTGCGAGTCTGGTCCCGGAGGACCAGTATCCTGTGGCGCACGCGATGAGTAAGAACGACGCGGTCAGGATTGGCCGATGGTTTGTGGACTACTACTCACCGTCTCCGTAATACCCTTTTTGTTGCAACGCTCTGACCTCCGTTCTTAATCGAGACCAGAGCGCCTGGAAAGCGGGGCCGTGGTTCATGTGCTTGGTGGACTTTGTGTCAGCTATGGAAGGATGCACGCTGAGAGGTCGTGAGCCTACTTTAATGTGGGCTAGCTGGGTTTGAGGGTCGGTCAAAGTCTCAGATGAAGAGGTGTGTAGCGTACCTCGTGGCACAAGGTGCTCATCAGCCACGGCGTCGGCTGGAAAGTGCTATCTGGGCGACGGAGGACCAGCTCTGACGGTCGTATGGGTGTGCAGATCGTCTGCACCGGTATGAGCGCGGTTGGCAATGAACGGACGTACCGACGACCTCCCCGGATTCCCAGTTCCTTCCCGCAAACACGCTGTTGTGCTCATACTGAACGACACTCGTATGTCGCGCCGTGATCTAGGGGGAGGGCACCCACCTCTTCGAGGCTGTTCACGACGAAACCATGGGTCTTCATGACGGGCTTGACCTGTGCGGCGAGGGCGCGCAGGAGCTGACGGGCGCGCTCTTGGTCTTCCGGCCGGGGCATGGGGAGCGCGGTGATGAAGTTGATGTGGGGGTTGGGGATGGGCTCGCTTGTGTTTATTCTGTGGTGGACCATGTTGTGAGGGGCGAGTCGGTCACGTTTTCCGCCCGACGCGTCAATTCTCCTCGCCGCGTCCTGGCCGAGTCGCTCCCGAAGAGTCCTGGCCGGTGCCCCAGGCCCTTAGCTCACACCGCTGTCCTATCTCGGCGACAACTCCCCTTGCTCTTCACCACCACCACCACCACCACCACCACCACCACCTCTCCATCATGCCAAAGGACGAACACACAAAACACAGAATGAAGCTCGCCGTCCTCACCTCCGGCGGCGACAGCGCCGGCATGAACGCTGTCGTCCGCGCCGTGGTCAAAGCGGGCATCCTCAAGTCCGTCCTGTTTCCCCCTCCGTCCTGTACCTCGCACTGATGTCGCCCGCCCCTCGACAGGGGGTGCGAGACGTGGATTGTCCGCGAGGGATACGAAGGCCTCGTCCGAGGAAATTCGGAGGCCGAGGCGCCGAGCTCCCCTGACTTGACCCCGACGCAGTCCGTCCAAGTCCACGACCCCGATTTTATTAAGAACCTCCGCTTTGGCGACGGCGAGCTCTTGCGCGACGGCACGGGCGATCATCCCGGTGGGCGCTCGCTCAAGGGCCGATACATCGTCCGCGTCGGCTGGGACGACGTCCGAGGTTGGTTTGCGGAGGTGAGCAGACAGTTCGACGCTGTCTAGATATGCTAACTCGGCCAAGGGTGGCACTTTGATCGGCACTGCGCGGTCGGTCGCTTTCAGGACCCCCGAGGGGCGTCTGACCGCCGCGCACAATTTGATCATCGAGGGGATCGACGCCCTCGTTGTATGCGGCGGTGACGGATCCCTCACCGGCGCAGACGTGTTCAGATCAGAGTGGCCCACGCTCGTCGAAAAACTGCGTGCAGATGGTCCGCCCCGTTGCTTCCTCCCCAAACGAGCCCTTTTTTGCTCACCCACCCCCTCTCTTCGCCGCCGCCCACAGGCCGCATCACGGACGAGCAGGTCCAGCGACACGGGCACCTCAAGATCGTCGGCCTGGTCGGGTCCATCGACAACGACATGTCGCTGACGGACATGACCATCGGCGCGCCCACCGCGCTCCACCGCATCTGCGAGGCCATCGACAACATCAACTCGACCGCCATCTCCCACTCGCGCGCCTTCGTGCTGGAGGTCATGGGCCGGCACTGCGGGTGGCTCGCTCTGCTCGCGGGTGTCAGGTACGCCGCCGCTCTCGCTCTCGTCGCGCCGCGTCTCGCCCTCGGTCTGATCTGCGGCCCGCTCTAGCTCAGGCGCCGATTTCATCTTCATCCCCGAACGTCCGCCCAAGGCCGACCCATGGGAGGACGAGATGTGCGAAGCGATCCAGCGCGTCAGTGACCATTACCATCGCCCTCTATCCCCCGATCGGTACGCGGCAAGTACGAGGCGCTGACCTGACCCTATTTGTCGGCCCGATCGCAGCACCGCGAGGTGGGCAAGCGCAAGACGATCGTGATCGTCGCAGAGGGCGCACAGGACGCCCAGCTCAAGCCCATCCACGCCGAGTACGTCAAGAACGTGCTCGCCGACCGCCTCGGCCTGGACACGCGCGTCACGACGCTCGGGCACACCCAGAGGGGCGGCCGCCCGTGTGCCTTCGATCGCATCATGGTATGCCTCCCGCGCGCCGTATCGTATGACGCAAATCACTCAGTAACAGCGCCCAGCCTACGCTCCAAGGCCTGGACGCGGTAGACGCCCTCCTCGAGGCCACGCCGCAAACGCCTTCATACATGATCGGCGTGCGCGAGAACAAGATCCATCGAGTCCCCCTGATGGAAGCGGTCGCGATGGTACTCTCTCTCTCTCTCTCCCTCGTTCCTCTCCGTGTTTGGCTGCTCACATATATACCCAAACGCCCGCCTCTTTGTGTTACAGACGCGTGCCGTGACTCAGGCGATTACGGAAAAAGATTTCGAGAAGGCCATGTCGCTCCGCGATCCCGAGTTCCGCGAGAGTCTGGAAGGCTTCCATACGACGTCTGTGCTGGATACCAACCAGTTGCCTGCTGAGCAGGTACGCCCGCGCGCAGTTTTTTGGTACGAGACTCGAGAGGACGTTGCGCCAGCGTTGGACACATTCTACTTTAATTGGGCCAGGACATCTTCTGTCCAAAAATATGGTTCTCGGTTCTGATTTCGTTCACTGACCGGTCAAATGCTTATCTCAGAGAATGCGCGTCGCCATCATGCAGTGAGTGTTCAATCACATCACATTTCTACATCGACAAACACGTCCCGTAGCATGGGGGCTCCCGCCGGAGGCATGAACGCAGCGACCCGCACGGCGGCGCGATACTGTCTGCGGCAGGGCCACACGCCCATCGCGATCAACAACGGCTTCCGCGGCCTGCTCGACGACAACCTGCACGAGCTGTCCTGGCTCGGGGTCGACAGCTGGATGGCGCGCGGCGGGTCGGAGCTGGGGACGAACCGCACGCTGCCGGACGTCGACCTCGGGGCGGTGGCGGCCAAGTTCCAGCAGCACGACCTGCACGCGCTGTTCATGATCGGGGGGTTCGAGGCGTTCAACGCGCTGCTGATACTGGAGAACGGGCGGAAGCACTACCCCGCGTTCCACATCCCGATGGTGCACCTCCCCGCGACGATCTCGAACAACGTGCCGATGACGGAGTTCAGCCTCGGGAGCGACACGAGCCTGAACGCGCTCGTGGACGCGTGCGACGCGATCAAGCAGAGCGCGTCGGCGAGCCGGAACAGGGTGTTCGTCGTGGAGACGCAGGGGGGGAGATGCGGGTACATCGCGACCCTGGGTGCGCTGGCGGTTCGTGTCTACTATCTGACGACTAGCGCCCGTGGGGGGGACCTTGGCTCACGAACGCGCAGGTGGGCGCCAGTATCGTCTATACGCCCGAGCAGGGGATCACGCTCGACACGCTGCGCGACGACGTCAGGTTCCTGAAGACGCGGTACAGCCTGGACGTCAAGGGCAAGAGCGAGGGGCGGGTAGTGCTGCGGTGAGCCCGTTCGATGAATCGCGTTTTTTCCGCGACCGTCTCACCGACGATGGCTGGGCTGGTGTCAGGAACGAGACGTCGTCGTCGATCTACACGACGGACGTGATCACGAAGATCTTCAAGGAGGAAGGCGGGGCGCTGTTCGACGCGCGGCAGGCGTCGCTGGGGCACACGCTGCAGGGCGGGATCCCGTCGCCGATGGACCGGGCGCGGGCGGTGCGGCTGTCGCTGAAGTGCATGGCGTTCATCGAGAGGCACCACGAGCTGCTGCGGCGGCAGCCTGCGAAGACGCGGGTTGCGAGCGGGGAGTCTGCGGCGGTGATCACGATCCAGGGGTCGAGCGTGCAGTGGGTGCCGGTGCAGGAGATGGTGGCGCACGCGGACATGAAGAACCGGAGGGGGAAGCACACGTGGTGGGAGGGGACGAAGGAGCTGGTGGAGGCGTTGGTCGCGCGGCCGCAGCTGATCTGAAGCGAGGCATCGTTAGAAGTGTACCCGTGTCGTATTACTGTAACAGCAAGGAGAGAGAGGTTGAAGCTCCGCCCGAAAGCGCGAGGCATCGTACACCAAGGATAGACGTTGGACGTTGTTGTGGAGGTTGAAGCTCCGCCCGAAAGCGCGAGGGGCGTGCCACCGCCGCATGGCAGTTGGGCGCGCCTGCTCGAGTCGACCCGCCCGCACACACACATGCCCTCGCACACACAGTATCTGGCCCCGCTCTCGGGGGCACCGCGCCCTGCCCTCCCCATCGAACACATAAACCCCTTCGTTAAATCCCGTACGTCCCCAGCCCCGTCCAGCCACCCGCACGCAGATATCCTGATCTCTCGCCCAGTCACGCCCTCCAACGTCCCGTCTGTCAAGTTCCAGGAGATCATCAGAGATGGTCAATCCACCATAGTCAGTCCCGCGCAGTACCCTCTATCCCCCGCGCCACCCATCCCTGACCCCCCGTCTGCCCCCCAGGTCGCGCGAATGAAGGTCCAGACAGTGCGTCCCGTTTCTCTCCCCCCGCTCTCCCGCACTCATCGCCCCCCGCCCATCCACAGCCCACCGGCCACGCATTTATCCTCCGCCGCCTCGACACCGGCGCCGTCAGCCTCACCACCATGTTCCGCGCCGCCTTCCCGACCGCCAGCGACGACGCCGAGCGCGACGAGTCCGCCTGGGTCAAGGCCAACTACGACGTCGCCGCCACCACCCGCTCCGGCAAGGCCCGCTTCGCCGGCACCTGGGTCAGCCCCGCCGTCGCCCTCGCCATCTCCGATGCGTACTCCCTCCACGCCGTCCTCCTCCCCCTCACAGAGGCCGAGCCCGATCCGTCCACCGAGTACCGCAAGTCCTCCAGGGCACAGCAGCAGCAGACCCCGGACAAGGCAGACAAGCCGCCGTCCGCACAGAAACAGCTCCCCACCCCCTCGCCCTCCGTCATCACCCCGAACCCGGCAAAGCGCCGACGGGAGGCGTCGCCCCCACCCAAAACACCCGCCGCGACCCCCGCCAAGACGTCCCCGACCGTCGTCGTCCAGCCGTCGACCCCAAACAACGCGGGCGCCGCTGCCGTCACCGCTCCCGCCCTCCGGCGCTCTGCCCGCACGGCGAGCCCGGCCCCTGTGCCTGCACCAAAGCCCGCCACAGCCCCCAAGACGCCCAGGTCGACCCTCAAAATCGTCCGCCAGCCCGAGCCCGCCACGCCCGGTGGATCGGACGAGACCGCCGTGGAAGACGAGGTCCCGGAGGTCCCGGGCCCGGACGCCAGCCGGGATATCGCCGAGCAGAAGGAGATGATCGAGGCCTTCAAGGCGCAGAGGGAGCAGGCGCAGAGGGAGCAGAACGAGCGGGGAGAGGAGCAGAACCAGGCGCAGAAGCAGGAGCCCGCGCCCGCCCTCAAAGACTCGGCGAAGCGCACGCGGGAAGAGGAGGAGCCATTGCGGTTCAACTTCAAGGAGCCGCAGGAGCCCGAGGCGGAGACGCGTCCGATCGCGACGAACAGGCGCGTTCGGATGATAGAGATGGGTCCGGAGAGGAAGTCGTTTGCGTGGGGCATCGCCGCGTTCGCGGCCGCGGTCGGCGCCATGTGAGCAGCTTCATGATTATCGTCCGTGTATTCACTGACCCTGACCGCCCACTCTTTCTACCCAACAGGACGTATATCCCTTGGTTCTGAACGCCCGATTCCTGCGTGCCGACGCTCGTCTCGTGTCCTATCCTGCCATGACTATCCTGTACACTCCTCTCCCGACCCGCCACCGTCGACGCCATACCTACCCTACGTATCTACATTCTCCGCTTTTCCCCACCTCTCGTTTTATTATCGTGTGTTTTTAGCTAGTCGAATCGGCCGATGCGTCCTGTTTTTTCCGCCCTAGCCCCCGCCCCCACCCTCGCCGCGCTCTGCCCGGCCCCGTCCCCTTATTACCTGCTTTTTGTGGATGCTGTTTGCCTTGCCTTGCCTTGCCTTCCGACTCATGATTTGTAAGTAGGGTTATCGGCCGAGATATATACATATGTCTGCGATGCGTGAACGAATTGTTTGGGTGCGCTTTTGCGCGAGGTAGGGTCTGGCTGGAGGCTTTGGGAGCGCTCCGGGAGAGACGGAGGAACGCCGTCGACGTCTGTCAGCGACTCGGCGTGTCTCACCGCGGTCTCGAAGATCTCACACTGTTCGTGCGACGTGCCACGTTTCTGTCGCTCCTTGGCATGGTTCGCCCCCCTCCTATCGACCCTTTGCTAGTCTAAATCATAAGCTCCCATCGGCGAACGACAATCGAGGGGTCTTCCCGACCAGTTGGACAAACATGCGCGTAACCAGCTTGTGCCTGCTTTGGCTCCAGGCTTCGACTGTGAGGACTTGGGCGTGACTGCTATAGGAGGGATGAGAGACTCTCGAGCGCCGCATGCCACGTACAGCGATGGTCGAGGATGCGCTTCAGTTGAGCATATACATCTTTTACGCGCATTGATTTTTTTGGAATCCTTTGGGGACATGCAGGAGCACTGTAGGAACGCTATCTCCCCATGCTCATCGAGACGCCTGCGAGGGATTTCTCGTGTGGGAACCGATCGGATGCACTCGGTGAATTATCACGGTATCTCGCCGTCTATCTTTACAGCACCCAAACACAGAATCTACGTTCGACCGCGAACCACATATCTTAGACGCATAACTTAACCCCGCGCGCGCGCACCCCGGCTCGCCTTGTCAGGCGCGCACACGAGGAAGCCCTCTTCGTACAGCCCGGTGACATATAGCCTGCCCGTGGTGGCGTCCCTCAGCGCAGTCGAGGACGACGAGAACGCCGTGCCGTCGCTCTGGTACAGCGTCTGCGCCTCGTGGCTGCGCGCGGGCGGCGCCTTGCGCGCCGCGGGGACCGGGGCCCGCGCGTCGTACGCATCTGGCAGGGCCGCGCCGGCGGGCGCCTGCGGGCGGGGCGTGAGGGCCATCGCCCAGCTCGGCGCGCGCGCGCCGGCGACGCTGCGGGCGACGGCGGTGAGCGAGGGGAAGTGCGGGTGCCCGGCGACGAGGAGGGCGCCCGCGTCGTCGAACGCGATGTTGTCCGGGGTGAAGGGCATCGGGACGCGCGCGGCGGGGGCGAGCGCGTTGCTCGAGGCGTTGCGGGTGTAGAAGAGGACTTGGCCGAGGGAGGTGGAGGCGACGGCGACGGTTGTGCCGTCTGGGGAGATGGAGACGCCGTTGGCGAACGGGATCCCGAGGCGGGCGAGCGAGTGTGTGATTGTTGGGGCTTCGCCGGGGGCGGGGTCGTTCACTGTGACGTGCGCGAGCCAGCCGAGGGGGAGCCCGAGGAGCGTCTCTGCGAGAGGGAGGGTCTGGCCGAGGACGGAGGGCAGGCGGCGCGTGAGCAGGTGGTCGTTGGTCACGTAGAACGAGGTGGGCGAGGTGAGCGCGAGTGCGTTCGGGGAGACGAAGTACGGGGAGGAGAGCGTGCGGACCCACGTCGCGCGGGTGGGCGTGTCCCACTGCATCGTGAACTGCTCGATGGTCGTCTCCCGGCGTGCGTGGTTGACGACGAACAGGTTCGACGCCTTGCCCGGATGGGAAGGGTAGACTTCGGCGCCTAGGGGGTGGAAGTCGTGTCCCTGTGGGTATTTTTCGAACACGACACGCTGGGGCCTGCCAGTTGCATCGCGCGTGCGGTGCACCCACAGCGCTCCAGCGGGGACAGGGTCATGCAGGGGTCCCATGACGGTGTTCCATTTCCTCCGCCCGGGGTCGCAGCTCATCAGAAGGATCCTGTCCTGCAGCCCGCCCGCGTCGTCCACGCGGTCCCAGAATGTAGCGTCTTCACAGAACTTGAGATCGTTCCCCGGTTCGTCTCGTACGATTTCACACTGCGCGGTGTGGTCCCCGTCAGCGTAGTATCCCACAGGGAAATCAGGCGTCGAGATGATGAACGCCCGCCACGCACGGCCATTCCGCCATGCGAAAAACGCCTGCAACGTAGAGTGTCTTAGTCCTCGATCGATCGCAGCGTATGTTGGGATGCAACGTGCACGTACCAATACAGCGAATATTGAGGCAAGCACGGATAAGCGAGACATGCTGCGCTCCTGGAAATAGCAAAGTTAGCGGCCAGCTATCACAGCGCGAAACACGTGTCCGGCCGCGAGAGAACGTCGACGACAGCGTCGAATCAGGCCGGATCCTCTGGTGCAGGAGTGTGGTTGGCTCACCTGGGACTATTGGAATGAGATGTCGACGACCGACTGAACGTCCACTGCGCGGAGCGTCACGGACCCCCAAGGCCCATTCAGGCAACCCACGCAAACTCCTTATGGTATGTTCTGCATCAAGACCAGGGGACCCGCTGGGACCCGTCATGGGGGAGCCGAACTTTAAGTTTTCTGTGGCCATCTGATTCTGATCGTAAATGCAGATGGAGCAACCTCCGTCTTAAGTCCCATCCGTAAAGCCTTGTGCGTGATGATATGATATATTAACGAGACTACCACTATCCAAAGTGTCAACCAGCAGCAACGCATTCATGTCGTGTAATGGTTCGTGAACATTCAGCGAGTGAAGAACGCAAGTCCAAAATTAGCATCAGTCAGACGGTCAGAGGCTGTCGCACGAAGCAGTGAGTTCCATGTTCTCGGACTTTCAACGACCCCGAGGCACGCTCACCGTCTCCTTTCTCTTGAAGTCCTTTCCCCTCGATCCCGATTCCATTTCCATGATATCCACGTCGGTCGCCGAACCCTCGCCATGTGCAATACCACCTCCAGCGGACCCTAGGACCCGAACCTCCCTGCTGCTGCGTACCGCCGTGCCGTGGGCGAAGCGCAGGTTCTCTACTCTGATGGAATTGATGCCTTCAGTGGAAGAATTACCGACTGACAAGCCCTGCCGCATGGAATGTCGGGCGTTGAGGGTAGCAAGAAACGAATTTGCGTAGACTGAATGGATGCCTGATGTGTGAGCAACGGAGTTCTGGACTGAATTGCGGCAGAAACTGACGCTTTCCGATGACAAAATCAATTGCAACGAACCAAAGACTTCTTGGACTTGTCGCGAACTGGTCGAGGGCCAGTCAGCGATCACGCATTGAAGGACATAGAGATACTCACGGCGATGACCTCTATAACAGCGACAATTCTGATATACGTCGAGGCTCATCAAACAGCTCTGGTGATGTCACAAAAAGCTACGCACGAAGTGAGCAAGCACCTATTGATTGCGTAAACTATCAGCGTGTTGACAAGCGCTTTTGTCCTAGACGTGCGCGGGTGAATACTTCCATGGACGAGCCTGCGTTGTGAACACTGTACCTCTTGAAAGTTGTCTTATGCCCATTGAGAAGCACACACAGAGAAGCGGCAATGGCCACGTCTGACAGCACCGCGAACAAGGCGAAGGGCATCGCAGCGATAAGCTATACGTGATAGTGGACAATGCGTCAGACGGCAATTTGGTAGGCGACGAGGCAAGACTGACAGTGATCTCGTCGAGCTTTGCAAGCTTCTTCTTGATGAATCTGTCGATGAAACGCTGGGTTCAAAAGACGGCGGGTGAACACACTAAACTTACATTAACACTACAGTTTCTAGAATAGGCGTATGCAACGGATTAGTAGAAGCATTAGAAGTCGATGAGAGGGGTCGATGAATTCTTACCAATCCCTAGAGCTATGAATTTGTCGCGATCAGGAAAGCTTTCACTGCCAAGCACCACGACACAGAAGCTCACCAAAATGGGCGAACACAAGAACCAACTGCGTAAGAATAGAGATCAGTTCCATGCCAAGTCGAATCCTCGAGTCACCCACAATGAAACCAGTCAACCACCATCGGAATTTCTGCCCGCTCACTGTTCAAGGCTCAGCGATCTGTTGTGACTCAATCGCGTATAGACTACTTACGACGAAATATCCGAAGCGCAAAATATCTGAAGGTTATGAGACTTGGGACTAGTGGATAGCATAGCTTCCCTGACTTACACTTGAACGATGATGGCAATAAGGAGCTGAAACGCCCAAACACTTATTATTGAACAGGAAACCTAGGGCTGCTGAGACGCACATTGATTGCGATGGACACCTATAGATTCGGGCGGTCAAATAACGCTGAGATCAATATTGAGTACGAAGACGTACGAACAGAGACCTTGTTATGCAGAAAGTCAAATTAGCAATGGTATAGCATCTGTAATACAAAGAGATCATACCAAACACCATTCAATAGCGTTTCCGGGATACCATAGTTAGCGACCTTCATCGGACGAGAGCGTTGGTAACTTCATTCTCTCCCTCTAATTATCGAAGCGTACCAGATAATAATACATAGCATGGCATACTGGAACAGTATCAGAAAATGAAACGCGCAGGTAGTTGCGAGCAGGTGGCTGTGCTACTTACCGAGGACGATATGCACACTGTCGATGACCCTAGACAGTCGACAAGTTGTAGTATAGATATGATTGAACATCAGGACTCGACCAACCACACAAAGAGGACCTGTAGAAGTCAAAATTATTTCGGAGAAACCAAGGAAGATGGTTCGTACCAATCCCTTTAGAAATACACGGTCTTTCGGATAATAAAGATAGTACATGTACGTCTATTTGAGACGTCAGTGACTATCGCGCGTACTTTTTGGGCGTTTGAACACTTGCTTGTAACGTGGTCAATCCATACAACGCGAGAGTGACCATTGCACCGATGTATGCCGCCCCTGGGAAGCACAAATATGCATTTCAAATATATCCTCGACGCAGCAGAACAATCAAAGAACATACCGAACGTGCTACGTAGATTGGGCATTTGGTCTGCCATGAGTCGAAGTCCGGAGGGCGCCTACGCGAGAAGGGCTAGGAGTGAGAAGAGATGAAGGGATGAGACGGAGCTGGGAGCCGTATGAAGAGCAGATTGCACGATAATATATAGCACGGTTTTTCTCGACTTTCACTGGGCCTGAATCAGGGCTGACATCCCGCTCTGATCTGAGAGCACTGATGAAGGCCCGAAGTGGAGCATTCTCACAAGTTCTCACTCGATGGGTCCATCAATCTGCTCATGGGGAGAGCGTGCCCTCCCTTATGGAAACATCAATCTCCTACTCCGAGCGAGGGATTTGAGGCGGCTCGAGAAGGACGCACAGCTCGTGGACATGATGTCGGATGAGGATAGAGCGGATCTCATTCACGTATGATGCCACGAAGTCACAGACCCAATCGAGATGATGTGCCGACATGGAAGAAGACAAGGGGTGAGAATTCGAAGCCTGCGATGTGCTAACCTAAAAGTGCTGTAGGGGTGCTATGGACTTGATACGTTACTGAGGTGGCGCACCGGTGTCAACGACTCCATCGAGGCTATTCGACTTCGACAGCAGCAATGGTGCGTGCTTGACACGAGGTATGAGGAAAATTCCCCAAAGTCAAAGTTGCAACTGTATCGCGGCGTGCATACTTTGAGAGTTTGTCATGAGCCGCAGCATCATCCAAGTTACAGTAATTCCGCTGTGCAATCTCCTGTAATCTCCCGTTGAGGAATAGACTCATGACAAAGTCCTTGACCTTGTGATACATGTATAAGCTTTCGCTCTCCTTCGCTATGGTGACAGTTGGATATGCCCAGACCTATAGTAGGCGATGATGAGATAGACAGATTACGCATCTTGATAGCGCAATATTGAGCGACAGGCTTTACAGATAATTATTCTGCCAGATCCTGCTGAGCATCTCAATGTATAAAACGTCTATCAAGCTCTAGCAAAGAGGACAATCATTAGAGCATGAAGATATGGTCGACCTATACATCTGCCTACATCTGCGCTCTTCCAGTTGATGATGCGTTTGCTGGCCATCTTGTGCTCCTCGAAGAGAGAATCCCACAAACAATGACAGTCGTGCGGCAAGTCCAAGCCTGTCCAAGCGTGAAAATGCAATATGATATGTATCGCGATTGGAAGAACTTTGGAAGGATGCAAGCGCAAAGTTTAGGACAGGAGGAGAAGCGGCTGCCGCCTCGTGGCCCATGCATATTTTCGTCAGACAGGACTTATCAGTGACTCGTTACGGGCGATCGCGAACCGCTTCAGCTTGCGGCCCAGACCCTCCCAGACCGTCCTTGCACTCCAACTTAGAACGACGAGTGGTTGGACTGCGATTGGGCCCTCGAAACGATCTTGCTGTGATTGACGGTAACGATAGCGTGTTGATGCAAGATCGAAAGGTGTCTGCAACATGATCATGATGAGAGGGCTAATCCTCGAAGCATAAAGGCTGTGGTCATAGCGGATCTGCCTGTATACGACCAGGTATCAAGGCCTTCAGCTGGGCCCGGTGCTCATCAACTCTGATATTTCAACGGCGTAGTGTAAACTGAGACCCTGAACGCACCTTGCTGCTGGCAGATGACTCGCAACAATCAAGTTCACATAGGTTGAGAAATTCAAGTACCGGAAAGAGGTCCTTGAATTTTGTGTCTGCCTTTGAGACTAGATGTTGCCATTATCGTTCTGTTGTATAGCGGCGCCGGAGATATATGGAGATCTAGACCAGTTACAGTAGCCGCCATTCGTCAGTCATCGTCTTGAGAGGCAGTACATGTGACACCGAACAACATGCATTTGATCATCTTGATCACGATGTACTTACAGCCTTCAGCCTCGCCGACATCAGGCACCAATGTTGGTTCATCTTCCTCACCTTCACCTTTGAATTTGAGGTACAAGCTACTTCGTGAGGGTAATTCGACGCACAACCACTGACATATCAATTCCGAACATCGTATAAGATCGCTTTTCAAAGGGTTTTACATGTTGTTCTGTGAGTACACCCCAATCTTGTGATTACCCCGGCACCGCCATTCAACTACCCGGCGAAAACTGTCCCGCGGGATCCCAACTGCGAAACAATTGTTGTACCGGATTTCCTGGACACGCTGTGCCGGAAGCTGCTCTTATAAGACCACGACCACCCCATCACATACATCATCTCAAAGATACAGCATGAGCCCATCTCACTACACTCGCATCGTCCTCAATGAGAGACCCGTGAGCGACATCGACGCCAACACATTTCGGCAGGAGAGTGTTCCGTTCGACTTGAAACCTGCGACTGGCCAGGTGCTCGTAAAGACGACATGGCTTTCCACCGATCCATCCATGCGTGCTTGGTTGAACGACAAGCGAGGGTATCTACCACCAGTGCAAATTGGAGAGACCATGCGCGCTGCTGGTCTCGCGACTATCGTGGAAGCGGGAGAGGGCTCTAAACTGCCGTCCGGGCAGCTTGTTGCATGTGTACCTGGTAAGTCTCCATGCCCCCATGTATTGTTCGTTTGAAGCTGAGAAATGATCAATAGGCTGGGCCGAGTATGCGGTGCTGAGCGAGAAGGACGTCACACCGATTCAGTGAGTATTGAAACAAATTGCATCAAAAATGGTGCTTCATGAACTCCTTGAATGCGAAAGTTTACCGCCTGGTGCACAGGCGCTGGATTTTCTGGGTCCTCTCGGATACACAGGTTCGTGTATAAATAAGTGATATGCAATCGAAGACCAGAATAACATGATCCGATCATCAGGCTTGACCGCTTACTTTGTGCGCATATCCTGCCTTTGTTCCGATTTCAGCATCTGATGACCATGCTCGGGTCAGGGTCTCGATGACATCGCCAAGGTCAAGCCAGGCGAGATAATGGTCGTCTCAGGCGCGGCCGGGGCTGTCGGTTCCATTGCCTGCCAAATCGGAAAGCGACAAGGCGCGAAGGTGATCGCCATTGCTGGAACGGACGAAAAATGTCGATGGCTTGAAAAGGAGCTTGGCGTTGACAAGGCGCTCAACTACAAGAGCCCCACATTCCACAAAGAATTTGTCGATGCCGTGGATTACCTCGATGTATTCTTCGACAATGTCGGGGGTGATATCTTGAACTTCGCCTTGACTCGGCTGAAGCAGCATGCTAGAATTGTACTCTGTGGTATGTTATTCCGTATTCGAATGCGTGTCGTCTGCTCATGTTGCTCGCTTAGGTGCTATTTCGGATTACAGTATGACTTTTTTGCATTTATAGCAAACATCCCACTGATGTACCCATTTTGCAGACAATGCAAAACCCAAGGGCCTCACGTCATATATGAACATCATCACTCAACGCGCAAAACTCCAAGGATTGATCATGTAACCAATTCATTTTGTACTTTCAAGCCTGATTGTTGACTCGCGCCCACAGCCTGGATTACGCACCTCAATACGCTGCTGCAAGGGAAGTAATCGCTGGCTGGTTGGCCGATGGTTCCCTTAAGCGCAAGTTCCACATCGTAGAAGGCCTCGAGAACGCGCCAAAAGCTCTTCCGATGCTCTTTAATGGTGGAAACACGGGGAAACTGTGCGTTTTGAGTCATCTTGGAGTTTTGCTTTACTCATATGTAAGCGATGCCTTTTCCAGAGTCATTCACGTCTCGGGGCCGTCTGCGAAGCTCTGAACATTTGATTGAAATGTACTTACCCGGGGCGAGGGACTCGTCAGTGGGTAGCCACCAACGTTCAAAAGTCTGACGTCAAACATTTGACTTCGGTAAATGTCCCATGTAGATCTCGAGGATAGGCTTCTTTCTTGGATGAGACTTTTTGGCTGCATCTAATTTAACTTCTTGATCGCACTTCAAATGACTCGTAACAAGCAAAATGATCTTGTATGCTTGGATATTGCTCTCGAAGAAAGAGTTGTGTTGCACACGTGATTACATTGAACGCGACGCGAGCGAGACGCGTCAACAAGGCAAAACAAAGTTCAACTCTTCGCAAGAAAGTCACGACGGCGCCGCATGTTATGGCAGCGCTGTCCTCGTCGTCATCAGCACATCCTGAACATCTTCAACAGCTATCAGAAGAAAGTACTCGCCTTCGGACGCAAATCAGAGCCGACATTGATGAGGCGGATGACCCGCTCGCGCTGTACGACCAATTCGTGAAATGGACGTTCGACAAGTATCCACCGGAATACATCGGCTCTTCTGGACTGTTGGAACTATTGGAAGAAGCGACGAGGAGGTTTAAGGATGATGCGAGCTACAAAGGCGACTTGCGATACTTCAAAATGTGGTCTATGTATGCATCTCTGGTGGACAAACCTGGTGTTGTTTTCAAATTTCTGTTATCTCGAGGAATCGGCACTGTGTATGCGCAGCTATACGAAGAGTACGCTCTTGTATTAGAAAGGGACAATCGGTAAGTGCGTTGTCGACTACGGCTGGTTGACGTTATGTTCAGATCAGTGCAGCTACCCAGCAGCCGAAGAAGTTTATCGAGCTGGTATACAGCGTAAAGCGCGTCCTACGGAAAGGCTCAAAAAGCGCTATGACCAATTTCGTCAGAGAACCTCTACGAAGCCACCGACGCCCGCTCCTCTCCCTGTTCTCTCTCTTCCGAAAATCAAAGGTACTCCAGAAGCAGAGGTCTTGCGACGCCACCCTCTCAAGAATCACGACACACCCCATCCGAAGGCGGCTGCTGCGAGCCTTCCACGCTCTGTCTCATCGGCGACTATATCATCATCATCCTCCCTCCCCTCTGTTTCTTCCTCATCTGCTGCCCATGATCGATATGCCCCCATGCTCGCGCCTCCAGTGCCGGGAAAACGACCGGAGAAGTTGCGTTTCGACCTTTCGCTGTTATTCACGGAGGATGCCATGGAATACAGCATTCATGAGGCGCGCGCTCGTTCTATGGGCCTTCTAGGCAAGAAATGGGGCCCACCGCCGCCATCTGAAATGACCCGTTACGCGGGCTCATCTGCACGCGTCAACTTTAATGACGACGGTACGAAGTCTAGCCGCGTCTACACTTCCACTGGTCGAAAGAGTCTTATGACGGCCGAGCCCACTGTGACGATCAACACAAAGGAGGCGCTTGCCGACGTCTTTGGGATGTACAACTCTCCGGAAAAGTCCATGCGGTTTGCGACGATGCCGGGGAGCAAGCATGCTCCAGTCCGCAAAATCGAGCCTATTACTCCGATGGCTTCGTTGCTTCCACACGGTCGGCCGATGATGAACAACGAAAATGCGGTACAGGGCGTCAAGACGCCCGGTAAGCATACATTTTCGGTTGTGACCAACGTGCAACTGATCTGTTTCTAGTCGCATTCAGGCCATTTGTCGACGAGAATATGAACCGGAAAGAGAATGCTACTCCTGGCCCTGCGAAGGTATGCTGACTTGCGACCTGCACCAGGTTTGCCTTCCGAAGTAACCCTCTTTCTGTAGTTTAAGCCTTTCGTGGACGCCGATCTAGCTCAGAAGACCCCGACTGTGGAGTCCGATAACGGCCGCAAGGCACTGGGGAGCAAAGAGTTTGGCATCGCACGAGGGTCTATCCTCAAACCGAAAACGGGCGAGAATGCTCTGGGCCCTGCACTCTCGCAAAACTCTACTCCTCGTTCCAGATTCGACCGCAAGCCCATCTCTAACGTCTTTTCTGACGAAAGAGAGGAACCCGTATTTCAGCCGCACCCAGAGACCAGCGTTTTCAGTGCCGTTGAAGAGCCTGAGAACGCGGGGATCAACGCTTCACAACCCGCAAAATTCACGCCGTTTTCCAACGCTCAGCCGTTCAGGGTATTCAGCCAGCCTGCAGAGGATGAGAACGAGATTCCTCCACCACCGCCCAGATCGGTTGGCTTTAAGCCCTTTATCGATTCTGAAAACGCCGCCCCTCCTCGCCGCCAGATTCTTGGCGAACGTCCACCACTACGGGCATTTGCTCCCGAGGAGGCGGAAGTACACGAGCACGAGGAGGACAGTATCATTGATTATGATGAAAGTGAAGCGTATGAAAGCCACGAAGAATTAGAGCAGAATGCCTCAGTCGATCCCGCGGAGATGGAATATGGCTACGAGGATGAATCTCACACCGACCTGAAGGCACATCGAACACCTCTGGGCGGCCGATTCGGGCAGTTCAATGTCATGACACCCATCACCGAGCGGACGTTTGAATACACGTCCACCAGTCGAACATCGGCTTTTGCTGAACACACAGGGCCCGTTGACAAGGGTTTTGTGCAATCGTTGGCCATCGAGAATGCCGAGCGTTTGGCGGCTGAATTGCGAGAGGAGGAGGAAAACACCCGGAACACTGGACGTTCTGTGTTTCAAGCTCACGCTCCTTCTCCACAGGAGGAATATGGGGACATCGACGAGCACTCACATCTTGGATCCTTCGACGAGCCCCGGCCGCGCCCATTTCGCGTGTCCGACGGCCATACCATCTCCGTTGGAATGCTTCAATCTGCCGGACTCGGCGCTTCGTCTTCGATGTATATCGAAGAGAGGACCGAAACCCTCAGTCTATCTGATTCTCTCGCTCTGGTGTCGTCATTTAAACCGCCGAATCCGTGCAATCCATTCGATCCGCAGATCATCGCCACCTTGTTATCCCTCTTGCCAGCCGATCAGGATCCTGCTTATTTCAACTTTCCCCGTCAAGAGATCGGGCTACTCGAAGGACTCCAGAAGTTCGGTCGGAAGAACGCCAGACGAACGAGTGGCAATACTAGCAGCCGCTCCGCCGACGGCCCTCACTACTTCCCTGTAAACCTTGGGCAGCAGCGGTTTCAGGTGTACGAGAAGGTGGGCGAAGGTGGTTTTGGGGCCGTGTTTGCAGCAAAGGACGTGACCTCCAAGCCTGAACCTGACGGCAGCGACGACGAGGACGACGACCTGGACGACGAGGGCGAGGACGAGGACGAGGAAGGGAAGGACAAGGTAGCTCTCAAAGTCGTCAAGCCACGGAACCTATGGGAGTTCCACGTCCTGCGCAAGGTCCACAAGACGCTCCCCGAGCGATTGCGCACGTCGATCATCCAGCCCCGCGCGCTGCACGCGTTCAAAGACGAGAGCTTCCTCGTCCTCGACCTGTGCACGCAGGGCACCCTGCTCGAGATCATCAACCGCGCCAACACGGCCGGCATCTCGCAGCAGGGCGCGTGCCTGGACGAGCTCCTCGTCGCCTTCTTCACGATCGAGCTCCTGCGCCTGATCGAGGGCCTGCACGCGGCAGGCTTCATCCACGGCGACCTCAAGATCGACAACTGCCTCCTGCGGCTCGACACCGTGCCCGGCGCAGGCGTCGCCGCGTGGTCCGGGACGTACGACCCCGCCGGTGGGGGCGGGTGGGCGCACAAGGGCATCCGGCTGATCGACTTTGGGCGCGCGATCGACGCGCGCATGTTCCCCCCCGGGCAGACGTTCGTCGCCGAGTGGCCGACGGACGCGCGCGACTGCGCCGAGATGCGCGCGGGGCGGCCGTGGACGTACCAGGCGGACTACTTTGGGCTCGCGGGGATCGTGTACTGCATGCTCTACGGCAAGTACATCGAGGCCGCGTCCGTCGCGCCCGTGCCCGGCGCACCGCCGGGCACGTGCAAGCTCGCGACGCCGTTCAAGCGCTACTGGCAGACGGACCTCTGGACGCGGCTGTTCGACGTGCTGCTCAACCCGTGCGCGGTGCACCCCGACGGGCGCCTGCCCGTGCCCGACGCGCTCGCGCGCGTGCGCGTCGACCTCGAGGCGTGGCTGCAGGCCAACTGCAACCGGAGCAGCAACACGCTCAAGGGCCTCCTCAAGAAGGTCGAGCTCGCGGTGATGAGGGGAGAGTGACGCGCGCGTCGTGCATACCCTACGGCATACCATAGAGACGAGGAGCCTCGTCACGCTATTTTTAACCCTGTACCGTTCTTTTTTTTGCTGTTGTCCTCGCTCTTTGCGAAACCACGACCGTGCACCGTTCGCGTGCCAACACCGACGACAGATTGAACGCAAAAGACGACCTAGGTACATCATCGACATCGCGCTCGGCCCTTGGGGAGGGTAAAAAAAAAACGCAGCAAAGCCTGTGTATGTACCGCACATAGTGACACAACACCGCGCCCGCGCGCCCCGAGGGAACGCGCCGGGGCTCGCAAGCCAACACGCGAAGAATGAAAAGAAAAAACCGAAAGAGAGGAGCGACAACACTACACCATCACGTGACCGACCCCACACGAACAGACCGCACGCGACCGACCGACCGCCCGCCTCCACAGACCTAACCCCCACGCCCCGCCCCCTCTCTGCGCACGCGCCCCCTCACGCGTGCCCGATGCCGCCCATCTGCTGCTGCGGGCCCGCGTCGTACCCATGCGGCGGCGGGAGGCCCTGCTGCCCGGGGCCGGGCGGGGGCGGGGGCATCATCATCGGGTACGGCACGGCGTGCTGCACTGTGAGGGAGGAGGCGGGCGGCGGCGTGAACACTTTGCCGCTCAGATACGGGTCTAGCAGGGGGGGTGGGGGAGGAGGAAGCATCGTACGCTGTGGGCTCTGGTGGTAGTACGGGTGCGCGGGCGCGGGGATCGGCGTCGGCGGCATCGACGGGCGCGGGCCGCCGCCGCCGTTGGGCGGGGGGCCGTACGAGCCCGGCGGCGGGGGCGGGTGCATGTAGGCTTGGGGCGCTGTGGGCAGAGGTCAGCGCGCGGGCCCCGGGCGAAGCTAAAGCGGGAGGACGGAGGACGTACGAGGCATCTGGCCCATCTGTGGGGACGCGTACATCGCTGGGGGCGGGAGTGGATCAGAATGTGATCAGGGACGACGACGCGGGGGAGGAAGGCTCGCGCCGGGGCTTACCGTTGGGGGGCATGGAAGGCGGGTAGTGCATCGGCTGCATGAACGGGCCCTGCATGTACGCGCCGGGCGGCGGGGGCACCATCCCTGGCATCATGGGCTGCGGCACGGACGCGGCACGGCCAAGTCGTTCTCGTCAGCACGCGGGGGGCGGGGGACGGACGAGCGGGCGGGGCGCCCGGCGCCGCGGGGGGAAGAAGGGGGACGCACCTGGCCGGGGTACCCGTAGGGCGGGTACGCGTAGACGTATCCGCGCGCGGCGGCCTGCGCGGCCGAGTCTTCCTCGTACGACGGCGGCGGGGGCATGGGCGGGACGGGCCCGGGCGGGGGCATGTGCGGCGAGTGCTGCTGGGGCGGCATCTGCAAGGGCATGAACATCTGCGAGTAGCGCTTGCCCTGGTACGGCCATATGGAGTCTGCGCGGCGCACGCGGGCGAGTGCGGGCGGGGCGTGAGTTAGCGAGCGAGCGAGGAGGGGGCGCGCGAGAGGGGAATGCACGCACTGATAGCAGACGCGTCCGCGACCTTGTTATACTTGAACGGGTTAAAATCGTCCTTGACGTGCACGGGCTGCTTCTTGAGCGGGCGCGCGCCGAAGAACGGGTTCGGCGTCGCCGGCGCGTTTGCGGCCTGCAGCGGCCACCACCGCGACGGAAAGCGACGAACGAGACGAGCGACACGTCAGCGCCCGCCGAGCTCTCGAGAAAACACGGCCACGGCCACGGCAAAAAAAAAAAAAAAACAGGCAGACGCACGCTGTCGGACTTGCCCTTGGGCGACGCGGTCGCCGCCGTCGACGGGCTCACCGCATTGGGCGACGACTGCGAGCCGCGCGCGCGCGCGCGCAAACAACAACAACAACAACACGACGACGGTGATCAGCGCACACGAGCACACGAACGCGCCGAGGACCACTCACGGGCATAAACGCCACCGCCTTCGGATTCGGCCTGAACGACGACGCGTTCACGTTGAGCCTATTCGCATGCGCCTGCGCCTGAGCCTGCGCCTGCGCCTGCGCGCTCGCGCTCGCACTCGCGCCGGCGCTCTTCACTCCCGCCACAGCAGACGCAGACGCACCCAACGCCGCAGACGAGCCCACAGCGCCCGCCTTATCGCCCGCGCCGCCGTGCTTCCCCGAGCGGGGGCCCTTGAACGGCGGGATCGGCTGTATGACCATGCTGATCCTGCCGCTCTTACCAACGGCCTGCTGCTGCGCCTTCCCCGTCGCGCCATCTCCAGCCTTGCCCAGCGCCGATCCGGCGCTCGCGCTCGCGCCGACGGCGGCAGCGGCGTGCTTGGCGGACGCGAGCGCCTTGACGGTCGCGCTCGCGGGGACGGCGGGCGCGGCACCGTGGGCGTGGGCGTGCGGAGCGGCGCCGGGGCCGAGGAGGGCGGCGGTGGTGGAGGTGACGCCGATGGCGCGGGCCTGGGCCGAGGCGGCGTCGCGGGAGGACTTTTCGCGGATCTGGCGCTGCTTGTCTTCGTCCTTGGCGAGGATGGAGACGAGGTCGTCCGGGATGGGCTTGTTGAGCTGCGGCGCGGGGTCGGGCGGGGGGAGGTTGGCACGGGGGCAACGCAGGGCGCGAGGCGGAGAGGGGGAGACGCACCTTGAAGCTCTGGCTGAAGCGCAGCAGCTCCGCCATGCGCTTGTCGCGCTCGTTCTTGACCAGCGCCTGGCGCTTCTGCGTCAGGCGCTGCTTCTCGTTCGTCACAAAGTCGCGGAACGCGGGCAGCGGGTCCGCCGCGGGCTGTGCGCGCACGCAAAAAAAAAAAAAAAAATCAGCTCGTCCCCCCACGAGGCGCCGCGGGCGTCGACGCACCTTGCTGTTCGCGGCCGTCGGCGCGGGGGACGGCGCCTTGGACGTACCCGCGGCTCCCGAGGCCGAGCCGGAGCCGGAGCCGGACGACACGGGGGTCTGCACGCGCGGCGAGAGCGCGGAGCCGTCGGGCGCGTTGACCGCGACGCGCGGGAGGTCGGGCGCGGCGGGCTTAGTAACGGCGGCGGGGCCGTTGGGCGGCGCGGAGCCGGGGGCCTGCTTGCGCGCGCCGGGCGGGACGTAGGCGTTGCTGCTGCGCACGACGGCGCCATACCTGTCTTCCTCGTCGGCGCCGGCGCCGTCGACGTTGTTCATCACGCGCTCCTCGGCGATGTGCGGGTTGTTCGTGGCCGACTGTGTGCGTGCGTGCGCGCGCGCGGACACGTGAGCGGCGTGCCGATGAGGACGCAAAGGGGACAGACGCACCGAGCTGATCTCGCTGGCGATGGCGGCGGCGCGGCGCTCGCGCTCCTTAAAGTCGGCGCGGGTGCGGTCGATGCGGGTGGTGTACGCGTCCTCGTCGAACTGGGTGCGGACGCCGAAGAGCTGCTCGTTGGCGGCAAACTGGTCCCAGCCCTGGGCGTGTGCGCCCGTCGCGCCCGCGCCAAAGGTGATGTCGTCGTGGTGCCCGCCGCGGCCCTGGGCGCCCTGCGCCGCGGTGGGGGTGGCGCCGGCGGTGGCGGCACCGACGGCGGAGGAGGGATGGTGGGTGGCGGACGAGGGCGGGCCAAAGGTGGGTGTGCTCATGCCCGGGGGGACGTCGTCGGCCCAGGCCTGGAGGTCGCGCTCGCGGCGCGCAGGTGCCTTTTGTGAGATATCGGTGTCTGTTTTGAACGCTGTGGGACCGGGATCGGGTCAGCGGGGGGGGAGTGTTCGAGGGCGAAATAAGTGGGGAGAGGATGGTACCGTCGCCGTTGGTGGGGGCCGTGCTGGGTGCGCGGGCATCTGCGGGGCCGGAGGCCCAGGAGTCAAAGTTTGTGGCGGCGACGAAGAGGGCGTCCTTGATGGGTGCGCCGGGGACGGAGATGTCCCTGACGTCGCGGAGGGTGACGCCGCTGGTGTCGCCCTCTGCTGCGGTGGAAGCGACGACGCCCTCGTAGCGCTGGCCGGACTTTGTGGTGAGGGTGATGGTGGTGCCCTGGCGAGGGAGGCGGGGGTGATGAGAGCGCGCGGGGGGCGGGGGCAGGGGAGGGGAGGGGAGGAGACGTACGGTGAGGCCTGTGAGGGCTTGGAGGGTCTTATCGTGGGGGCGTGGGAGCGTGGACGGGGCGCCGGCGGTGGGGGGCGGGAGCGGGGGGAAGGCGGCCGGGGCGGGAGGCGCGGAGGGGGCGGGGGACGAGGGCGGGAGGCGGTTGTTGTTGTTGTTGTTGGCGGCGGGGGAGAAGGGGCGGTTGCCCCACGCTGGGCGGCTGGCGATCAGACAGGGGTCAGTGCGAGGGGCGGGCAGAGGGCAAGGGGGGGCAGAGGCGCACCGGGGGCCTGTGTCGTTTGGTTTCTTTGGGTGCTTCTGCGGTCGCACGGAGGGCGTGGCCATCTCGGGGCGGGGACAGGAAACGACGGGGGATTCGCGGGAGACTGGGCACAGACGGAGACGGAGAGCGAGAGCGAGAGCGAGGAGACGAGAGACGATAGGAGAGAGACGAGAGGAGAGAGAAGAGAGGAGAGAGGCGAGAAAGAGAAGGAAGGAGCAAGAGAGAAGGAAAGAGCAAGGCGAGGAGCGGGGCCGGGGGCAGCGACGGAGTGTGGGCGAGGACGAGCGTGCGCGTCGACGGCAGAGGGGACGACGGCGGGTGCAGCGAGGGGGACAGACAGAGCAGCGATGGCGCTGGCAGCGTCGCCGTCCAGTCCCTGCAGAGGGTCTGTGCTCCCACACAGGACCCCGGGACCCCCGTTGCCACCCCTCCGTCCCTTCTTCTCCTCGCGCTTCCCGTCCCTGCACCGCACACGCGCCAGTAAGCCCGCACCTCTTCTACGCACGACGCACGACGCACGACGCACACCTCGCCGCCACCGCCGCCACCGCCGCCGTTCACCGACGCACGGTCCCCGGCCCCGCCGCGCGGCACCCGCACCCGGGGTCCCGACGCGAGGCAGCCGCGCCTGCACCGTCCCCTAGCGCCGCACCCAATCAATCCCAAACGCCTTCGTCTCACCCGTCGATCGCGCGTGTCCAAAAATATAATGCAAGCTACAACAGTGTCCTCGATACCCGCCCTCAGCCGTCCTTCGCCAGGAACCCCAGCGCCCCCATCTCCATCGTCGTCTCCCACAGCTCCACCCGCGCCCGCTCCAGCTCCGCAGCCACCTGCACCCGCCGCTCCCGCGCCCGCCGCAGCGTCGACGCCTTGTTCTGCCCCCGCCCACCCGCGTGCGCGTGCTGCGCCAGCACACGCGGGTCCAGCACAGACAGCAGCAGCGCCGTCGACGTCAGCGCAGACGGGTCAGCCGCACAGCTCGTGCTCGTGGCCACAGTCGCGTCTCCACCTGCACGAATAAAATAAAATAAAATAAGAATCGAACACCACCACTCAGCAACCCGAACGACTCACCGATCACAGACGCGCACGGCGCCTCCGCCTCCGTCTCCGCCGTCCCCACCGACGTCGGCGTCCACAGCCGCCCGTCCGACTCCCCGCCCCCGCTCGCGCTCGACCCCGAGCTCGACCCCGCCCGCACCGAGCCCCACCCCCCGCGCGCCCCCTCCGTGCCCACGCCCACGCCCGCGCCCACGCCCGCGCCCGCGCCCACGCCCGCGCCCACGCCCACGCCCACGCCCACAGGATCCACCTCCATCGCGCCCGTCCCGAGCTCCATCTCAAAATCCCCGCACGGCGCACCCCCCGCGGGCTGCGACAGCGCCCTCAATATCGGATCGATCATCTCGTCCCCAACGAGCCCCCCACCTCCGCCCTCCATCCCCGCCCCCGCCCCCGCCCCCGCCCCCGCCCCAGCAGACCCAAACCCAGTCTCGGGCGCCGGCCACGACCACATCCCCTGCTCCTGCTGCTGTTGCCGTTGCTGCGTCTGCGTCTGCGTCTGCGTCTGCTCCAGCTCCCCAAACTCCACCCCCCACCCCGCCCCATCCACAAAATCCGCGCCAAACTCCCCACCTCCGAACCCGTCCCCACCGCCGCCGCCCTGCCCATCCACGGCCGGAAACGTCAGCGCAGACAAGTCCGCGCCGTTCAGCATCGCCAAAAACCGCTCAAAGTCGGCCGAGATCGCGTCCGCGTCTCCTCCCGCACTCTGATCGTGCATGTGATCCAGGAACGGCGGCGGCGGCGGCGGCGGCTGAGACGCAAGCGCGGGTGCGGGCGCGGAATCAGGCCCCAAAGGCGGGAACCCGCCCATGGACGGCGAAGGTGCCGAGGAGGTGCCAAAGAGGGACGCCAGCAGCTGGTCGAACGGCGTCGTCTCCGGCTCCGTGTTCGTCCCGAACGATGCAGTCGCGTCGCCGGGCACGGCGCCCGCCAACTCCAAATTCCGCACGATCTCGTCCTCGTCCGTCAGCGCGACCTCCCTCTCCTGTTGCCGTTCCTGTCCCTGTCCCTGCTCCCGTCCCCGCCCTTCCTCTCCCACCGCCTCTGCCTCTGCCTCTGCCTCTACCTCCGGCTCCGGCTCCGGCTCCAGCACCCCCCTCCCCCCCTCCCTCACATACGCCCTCACCGCCGCCGCCCGCACCGCCTCCCGCACGAACCCCACCAGCTGCGCCACAAGCCGCCGGAACCGCTCCCGCGCCCACCGCGCGCGGTACGCCTCGGGGCCCTCCCCGCTCTCAAACGGGTACGGCACGTCCCAGTCCGCCGCCCCCGCCGGCACGCGGCTCAGCCGCCGCCGCTTCGGCACCGGCGTGCGGTGCACGGACCGCCGCGTCGTCTGCGTCGTTGGCATCGCCTGTGGCGTCTGTGTGGGCTGTGTGGGCTGCGATGGCGCCGGAGGCGGGTGGGCGCGCGGCCACGAGGGGTGCGACGGGAAATGCAGGTGCGGGTACGTCTGACCCTGCAGCTGCGGCTGGCTCCACGCGCGGTGCGGCGGCGGCGGCGGCAGGGGCGGCTGAGCGGGCGCCTGCTGCTCGCCAGTCACAAACACCGCGCGCCGCCCGGCCCCGAAGCTCTCCACGAGCCGCAGCAGCGACTCCAGCACGGGAAACACGTCTTTCTGGCGCGCGAGCGCCGCCAGCACCGCCGTCGCCGACGGCGGCGGCAGCTGCGCAGGGTCGAGCGCGAGCGGCCGCCGCCCGATGCGCTGCCGCTCGCCCACCGCGCCCGCGCCCACGTCCAGAGCCACTCCCACTCCCGCTGCTGCGGCCCCCCCGCGCGACGCGGGCGCGTGCGCGTGCGCGGCGTCGTCGTCCAGCACGATCGGGTTGTGCGCCGCGGACCCGCGCGCGGCGGGCGCGAGGCGGCGCGGGTGCACGCCGGCGACGAGCCCCGCGAGGCCGAGCAGCGCCTGCTGGTTCCGCAGGAAGTGCGCGGGCGCGCGCTCGCCGGGCTCTGGGAGCGGGATCGGCGGCGGCGGCGGGCGCGGGGCGGGCGCGGTGGCGCCGCGGGTGCGCGCGCGCGCTGCTTTTTGCGGCCGTGCCTTTTTGGGGAGTGGGCGGGGCGGGGGGGAGGAGGTCGAGGCTGCTGCTGCTGCTGCTGTAAGGTGCGAGTGCGGGTGCGGGTGCGGGTGCGAGTGTGGGTGCGATCGCGATCGCGATTGTGATTGTGACTGTGGAGGTGGGGGTGGCGGGCGCGGGGGGAGGCTACTCAGGAGCAACGCTGCCGGAGTGAGGGGAAGTTCAGAATGGGCTTGGGAACCAGGAAGTGCAATGGTCCCCACATTTTCAGCAGCGCGCGGCGGCCCGGTGGGGAGCGCGAGCTGCGGCGACCTACCTCTGGGCGGGGACGGCGGGGGGGAGCCGAAGAGGGAGCCGTCATCGTTATCGTGGTCATCGTCGTCGTCAGCACCCGAGTGATGCGCGTGGATGGCGGGTTGCATGCGCGGGGTGGTTCTTTTGAGTGGGGTGAGGACGACGGGGGCGCGAGAGCGTGTGTGGAGAAGCGTGCACCTTTTGTGTGTATCAGAAGGAGAGCTCTAGATAGACTCGGCGGCTAGTATATGTGCGCCTGTGTGCGCTCTCGGTCTGCGAATAGCGCGAAGAAGAATGGAAGGTGGCGTGGTGGCTGGTGTGGTGAGGATAAATGTGATGGCCACAGGTTTCTGCGCAACCGAGGTGGATGTGTACGCGTTCGAATGCAAAGACTGATGGTCTATAGGGCGGAAAAACGCGCAGCAGCGATTTTTTCTGATAAACAGAGGTGGAGGGCGTAGCGGATGTTGTTAATGGCAGCGTGCACAAGTAGTACGGGTGAAGAATTGAAGACGAGAGGGTGCCAAACGAGGCCATACACACGCCGCCACCGAGGAGTGGCGGGACTGTGGCGGGCAAACAAGCCATTCTGGCCGCCTACCGCTCGTCTACTCCTACCTCCCGTACACACTTGAGCGAATGTCTCAATTTCACTATCACGCTTACCGATTAGAAGTCGCTGGCTTGACCTCAAGGACACATCAAGATTTATCAGCAGGACTTGAAGTCTCGCAATGAACCACCTCGCGCCGACACTAGCAACACGCGCTCGTCGGGCTGCCTCAGCAACTACGACTTCTCGGGCTCGCCGCAGCAGACGCTGTCGATGATTTCCGGGTCAAACAGCCTCGGAGACGGCGGCGGGCCAGAGCCCCGGGCTCAGCGTATCGTGCGCACATCGTCACTGCGCTGTCATCACCCATGGCGATATACACGAGCTTCGACACCGACGCCTTCCTCGAACGCTGTGACCCCCGCAACAGGCGCACCTGCGCGCGCGACGGTGACAGTGACGCCAAGTTGGCAGCGCACCCGTGGATCATGATGCCGACGGACGGGGCTGCAGTTGGGCGCATCCGCCACCGCATCCCTGCCCCTGGGCCCTCACACACCTTGGGATCATGTTTCCCTGCACAGACCGGACGATGCTCGCACCACATCGAGATTGATGCTATCACCGGGGGCGGGATCACATAATACACTCGGAACAATACATCCCTCTAGGTATATGTTGCACCTCCTGCGCCGCACCTGTGCTGATATCTGTACATGCTGAATATGCTCCTTTTCTTGTGTGCAACCGCTCCGCACGATTTCTCATACACGCTTCCCATCAACTTTTCTGTGGTGTCTGTTAACAGAGAGTGGCTTGTTTTGACGCTCCGACGTGCTTCGTATTCAACTCAGCATAAATAAGTAGAGCTTCCGCGGCTTTCCCGGCCGTAATGGCTCCGACAAAAACGAGCCGTGGTCTTTCAAATCTGCACTACAGAGTACAGCCCGGACGGCCGGCGATGCCGTGCACACGAGGTTGAGGCCCTCGATGCCACTTTGACAGTCGATGGGGTATAAAATGGGGACTATAGTATGCCGAAATCTCAGGCTCAAGTCTACAACCTACCCATACCGACATGGCCTCTCATCGCGTCCTCTTGGTTCTCACTCTCTGGAATTTCATCCTGCTAGGGGCATGTCATCCCATTCAGCTTGACGTCAAATACCGCATCGCCCAATACAGAGAGGTGAAGCTTATTGGTGTGCTATCTTACCTTCTACTGGTTCTTGGTGCATTCTCAGTGGAGCTGTCACATGCAGATACATTTTCAGGCCCTCCCGGCTTATATGTCCAGGTACGTGGTGCTGTTACTCACCCACTTGTTACTCTAATAGAACTCCAATGTGAACCTAGCCGCTCGTGACGCACCCGTGGAAGACTCCGTGGTAGTCTCCGCACATCAACAAGTCAGCAGGGCCTGCCAGCGTCTGCCGACCGTTACCACTTTCCTCTCCAACGCCCATACTTCTCAAGTCTCGAGCGGCTTTTGTGAAACCACGTCAGTCTACCTGTTCCCTCCCTTGCATCGTTTCCTGACAAGGTTTTAAACGAACGTTAGTCTCACCATCTCGAACACACTCACCCCTCGACGGCCAACCAATATAGAAACGATGCTCCCTTTGCACACGAGCCTCTATCACGCCCATGACATATCTAGCGTCGATGAGACACTACCTTCTAGCACAGACCCTGCAGCACCTTCAGGTACCACCCTATCCCCCATACACGCGCCTACCCCACCCAAACAAAATGTCGTCGCCGAAGCCATCGCCTCCGTCGCTGCATGTCTTGATGACCTCGCCGAGTCTCTAAGATCCATCCGCATATCGATCTACGACATTGTCCTTGCTTCAGTGAGCATTGTAGCTGTGCTCATGGGGCATCCATGCTTGCACACGCTCAGTCGGTACGTGGTATGTCTTCACTGCCCATGTAGTTCCTTCCGCAGCGCGTTGCCGACGCGCCTCTTTTACCGGCACGACATCTATCTAGGAACGGAAGAGAGTACTAGCACGGGTAGCACGAGTACTACAGGTAGAAGTATGGATCCGGGTGCGAGGACGACCTTTGAAGGAGGCCAAGCAACATGATCACGCTCACGATGGACTAGCTAACGAAACGCACTGGACCATAGACCGACTCTATCTTTTTCCTTCCGTCTCTTTTCCTTCACCTGGTGTGGAGTTTGATTTGCTCTGATATCTGACCGTTTTAATTTCGCGTTCGAGTTGTTGTAGCTTTCGAATTGTCGCTTTCTTTTCGTCACCGCATTGAACTAACAATAGGTACCATCATATAACGAGCCTACGACTCACGATTATACCAGCTGTATCAATGATCAATACTCCTCTATTGTCATGCCCTGTACGGCGTGCTCGCCCTGCCTGAGAGGACAAGACATGAGGCCCAGTGAAAACCCGGTCTAAGATGGACAAGTCCCATGTAGTCTGACATAAGAATAGTCTCAAAATATATTCCTAGATAGGACAGATTTGTGTGAATAGATCGAGTGACAGCAGCGTACCTATTCCAGCCTATCTAGATCTCTGGAAAGGCTCATTCTCGACTTTGCTGTTTTCAGTTGCACTCAGCCCTCCAATTCACATTTGCTTCCATCTATGTCGTCCTATGCACCACGCGAGCCTCAAGTCTTTCGGTGTGGGTGTGAACAAGGCTGCAAAGGGATATCTAAGCCCATATCTCGGGCCCAATACTACAGACATGCCAAGTATCGGCAGCCCGGGCTTTCTCAGACCCTCCAGACCTTCGTTGGAGCCTCTTCGAGTGCGAGTGTCACCGCGACAGGGAGCACTAAGCGAGGCATTGAACCAGGAGCAAGTACAGGTGCCGCTGACAAGCGCACAAGACTCGAACACCATCACGCTCGTCTGCAGACAGTATGTTCCATTCTCTTCTCTTGTATTGTCCAATTCTTATCATGTATCTACAGGATGAACCGCAGTCCGATAGCGCATATGATCTTGAACACCAGGCTGAGCCGCCTGCCGCTGGTGAGACACACAACACTCGCTCTGATTCATTGACACTAATCATCTCGTGCACATCTGATATTTGATGTTCATCTAGAGTCACAACGATCTCCCTCATCCCAGATGAATCCCCCGCCTCACCCTGGTCTTGCATCTTTGCTGACGCTCCATCTGGGCTCTGATCGTGATGCGGCGCCATCCACACCGCCGCAAGAGCTCGCTTCACCTCTTCCAGAGGATCTCGAAAATCTCGACGACATCTCGGTGGAAAATGATCTTGATACACATGTAGATGAAGAGCCGGACATCCTGGAATACACGGCTGAGACTCATCCTTCCCGCATCGATGACATCCGCCTCACCCAAGAGTTCATCGATGCTCTCAAACGAGCTTCTCTCGATGATGACAATTTCGATCCAGCTGATCTGGAGCGTCTGCGTCATCCTCCTCAGGAGCCTTTGAACATCACGGACCCTGATCTCCGCCTTTCGCTAGACATCTTCTTGGCTGTCAGCAATGCTTCGGAACAAACCTACCACGCGGTCCGTGCTGCACTTCTACGATACAACCCGGAATGCGGTATTCTCTCATACCATGACATCAAACGGCAAGTTGCAGAGCTCAGTGGTATCGTCCCGTTACTACATCACATGTGTATAAATACCTGCATCGCGTACACTGGCCCATTTAGAGACCTCGAGACCTGCCCTATCTGCCATGAGCCTCGGTATGAACAGCTGAAGCCTCACTTGAAGATTCCGCGTCAAGAATTCCACACGATTCCTATCGGACCGCAGTTACAGGCACTTTGGCGCACAACCGAAGGAGCGACAAGCGCTCGTTATCGAGCGCGCTGCACCGAACAGATACTCAAAGAACTTAGCCATTCTCACGGCGTCATGGAAGCATGGGAAGATATCTATCATGGCAAGGATTACCTTGATGCTGTTCAGGACGGAAAAATAGGGCCAAACGACATGGTTCTTCTTTTCTCGATTGACGGTGCTCAGCTCTACGAGAAGAAAGCCTCTGACTGTTGGATATACATCTGGATTCTTCTTGACCATTCTCCCGACCTTCGGTATAAGAAAAAGCATGTTTTTCCGGGTGGTTTCATTCCAGGGCCATCGAAGCCCAAAAATCTTGACTCTTTCATCTTTCCAGGCTTTCATCATCTTGCAGCTCTCCAGAACGAAGGGCTTTCAATCTGGGATGCAGCTCTAAATCTAATTATTCTCTCCTTCCTGTTTTTAATTTTTGGGACAGCCGATACCCCTGCTATGAGTATTCTGAGTGGAACCGTAGGACACACCGGTGCCCAGGGCTGCCGACTTTACTGTCCAATGCGCGGCCGACATAAACCGGGCGCCCCACAGTATTATCCTGCACGGTTGAAACCGGATGAATACAATGTGGTAGGATGTGACCATGAAGACTACTCGCTCCGGCAGATTGACCAAAATTATCCTTCCTCGGAAGAAACAGAGGAGCGGTAATTCATTTATTCACTATACACATCGTTCTTTGCTAATTGCTGGCTAATTATAGATACAAAAAAAACCTAGCATATGTCTCGGCTTCGCAAAACCAAGCAGAATACAAGAGACGCCGCCTTGAAACCGGCATATGCAAACCTAGTATCTTTAGCGGCCTGCCTCGTAATCTCGGTATTCCGCGCTGCTTTCCTGCAGACCTCATGCATCTGGTCTCCTTAAATCTCACTGAGCTGCTCATCGGACTCTGGCGTGGCACTCTAGATGGCCATGCTACTGACTGGGAATGGGCAACATTGAAAGGGGCGACTTGGCAAAATCATGGGAAATCAATTGCAGCTGCGACTCCGTATCTTCCTGGATCATTTGATCGACCGCCTCGGAACCCAGCAGAGAAGATGTCTAGTGGCTATAAAGCTTGGGAGTTCTTGATGTACATCTTTGGCCTCGCTCCTACACTGCTCTATGGTGTCTTGCCTGACAAGTACTGGAAGAACTTTTGCAAGCTGGTCTATGGCATCCGGATCATCCAACAGCGTCGCATCACTGCGGCACAATTGCGATCAGCTCATACTATGCTAGTTGAATTTCTAGAGGAATATGAGATCATTTACTATCAGCGAAAGGTGTCTCGCATTCACTTCTGCCGGCAGAGTATCCATGCCATCGGGCATCTTGTGCGGGAGGTGATTCGTGTAGGGCCTGCAGCATATGTGACACAGTGGCCTATGGAACGAATGATTGGTGATCTCGGCAGCGAAATACGACAACATTCAAACCCCTTTGCTAATCTCTCGCAACGTGGTGTACGTCGAGCCCAAGTCAATGCCCTCAAGGCAATGATCCCAGATCTTGACCCGGATCAGAATCATCTACCACGTGGGGCACAGGATCTTGGAGATGGCTATGTTCTTCTTCGGGCAGTGGACACTTGTGCACGATCTGTTCGTCCTTGTGAAGGGGATGCCATTAAGAGATATTTCCGGTCTATTGGAGGGGTGATACAGGACGACACTCGACATATTCAGGTGACACGATGGGCTCGTCTTCAACTTCCCAATGGTCAAATTGGTCGGGCAGCTTGGAAAGAAAAATTGAAGCCCCTTGAGCAAGTCCGAATGGCAAGAAATGTAAAGGTACAGCTTATAGTCCCCCGTATGCTTTCTGTGGAACTTACTCATGATGTTGTGTTACTAGGTGGAGATTAATGGGCAGCTCCAATTTGGTGAAGTTCAATTTTACTTCAAAATTCTAGTCCACAACGAAGAGAGAGGACTCGCATTACTGTCCCTTTACACTAGACCTGACAACACCCTGCTTCAAATGTCCTCAAACACGGTCTATTCCTGCCAATATCGAGGAGATGAGGGCTTGATTGTTGTGGAAGTCAAGGCCATAACGGCCATTGTTGCGATAATCCCTCACAAAATCCGTTTACCAACTGCTCTTGTTGCTAATGAACCAATAGAAGAGCATGCTCTCGAGGATCGTTATTTTGTGGTAGAGAAACCAGGCCTTGATGTTGCCGAGATGGGCGGAGTGGTTGAAGAAGTTGAGGAAGATGATTGATTTATACTTACTCACACTATATCAGCCTGCAAGAATATGTTATATTTGGTGTATAGTAATCTCAGTGCAATAAAGTCCTTGTATAACCTGTATTGTGAGTCCGCAACTTGGCTCACGCGCGCGAGTGCGTGCCCAACATTCCTGCACATTGTCGTCATGAGACGTTCAGTGCTGCACGCAAAGCAGACAAGCCGCATGCGGCCCAAGCAACTACGCCCTATACCCACGCAGATTCCGTATCGACCACTGATGCCGCTTGGGGAGGTTGCGAAGATGCAACAACGTCAGTGCTGATATAAATTTAATGACAAGACACACATGACTGACACCTGAGCTACTCTCTCACGAACATATGCAACAAATGACTGAGACCCTCTCAGCCAAGCTAACAAACCTGTGTAACCAGTCGGCGATGTGCATCCATATACCTGATACCCACTTGCTCAGCGCGCGCTTCAGGCCCGTGCTCAGGAAGGTTGCTCTCCCACTAGCACGCATGGTGCGTGACCTGGCCCCGGAGGTTGTGTGCCTGTATGAGCACCGCGAAGAGCGAGCGTGAGGGCGTGCCTATGAGCGTGGAGTTGTTGCTCCGCGAGGGCTCGCGCGCATGCAGGGCGCTGCCGAGCGCGAAGTCCTGCTCGTCGCACGGGAGGAGGGCGCTGATGTTGCGCAGCAAGAATGGGGCAGGGGTGTTCATTGCGGATTGGAGGTTGTCCTGGCCTGCAGGATTTGGGCGGGCATCAGTGCGGTTTGGGGGGGAGGGAGAGACGGGGCGAACTGGCTATCATCCAGAATGTGCGCCTAGCAACTTCAGAGGCGATGACATCTTCTGCAGAGGCATCTGGCAGGAGGCGGTAGGTCTCCTCTCGGTGCAATCGGAGAAGGCCGGCCACTGTGAGTGCTCGCCGTCAGTGGATTTGAGGGTGGGGGTGCACACACAATGCTTACTGCGCGCGGCGATGCCCATGTGCATCTAAACACGAGAGCTACGTTGAATACACGACGATAGTATGGTGCGGCTGAATGACAATTCACAAAGCTCCGATCCCGGTCCCCGTGGCACTCCGTGACACTGAGGAGAAAATGCGGGCAGTCAGATGGCGGCGCTGTGGATGGGAGGGCAGGGAGCACGCATGAACCCTGCGTCCGCTCAAGGCTGGGCTTGTACATCTCATGCAGGACAAGGCCCACGGCCTGCAGCATGAAGTGCTCTGTGGCACAGTCGGGGTCGCTGTAGCACGCTGCGAAGCAGGGCGTGAAGTGGGCGGAGAGGCTGAGGATGACGTGCGGAGTGCTCGACACGTGAAACTGTCTGCGACGCTCACCTCGCCATGCTGATCCCTTCTCCAAGGCAATTGCGGCATGTGTGCCGCAGCAGCGTTGTCAAACACGCGCTGCTTGTACTCATCTGCACAACATGAGGGATATGGAGGAGAGCACGTTGAGTCCCTTGTCGAGTTGAAGTTGCTGTCTTCGAGCTTGCTAATGATGAGGTGGCGGTGTGCGACGAACAAGTTTGCATATACGCCGCCAGTACGGCAATGCCTATAACAATGAGTCTGCTCTGTTTGAGCTGATGCACACTTGGAGAAAATATAAGTTAAGCAAATACAAGAAAAGTGATAGAGTGAACTCACTGCTGCTCCTAAGCTTTGTTGTACCAACCACAAGCCCAGATCCACGTAGCCAACCGCACTTCATGGTAATGGAGCAATGCACTCTCGGTGATGCATACTATCTCAGTGCCTTGGTGAGACTCATTGAATGCATGCATTATCGAGAGTGCAAATACAGTGGCAAGGGTGGATAGAAGGTAATGAGTAAGCGCGAGGTTAGAATACAGGAGCATAGACCTGGCTACAGCACGGGCTTCCTGTTTTGGGATGCCCTTGCGAGCCTCGACTTGCACATAAGTCGACAACTTGACTCTGACCACGACCTTCCTTCCAATAATAGTACAGAATGGATTTATTTTCACCCCAGTCCCCATCACCTCTGAATAATTTTCAGCAGCTCCATCCTGCTCCTCCAAGCAGCAACTTCACTATGTCTTCAACAGCTCAAATGCCTCCACAACACAGAATCCTATTCGAGCAACAGATTTCACATCCAGTGTCAGACGACCATCATAGCTCGCATACAATAAGTCCAGATTCCTCTTTTCATCATGAGCGTGAGCATAGCATGGGGTCTTGGGAACGGCAGCCAGTGAGCGCTTCTCCGTTTGATCTCCCACAGCACCAACACGCATTAAAATATTGTTTTTGCCATCGTTGATTTGATTTTTCCATTGCTTGACATATTGTTCTTTGTCTGATAGATTCCGGTCCGCTCGTCAGGGACTCGTGTGGCCAATGCGCCAAGCACCGACTATATGCACGCATATACTCAGGAGGTACAGAATAACATCCGTCTCAAGGCTGAGAACGAGACATTACGGTGTGTGATCATACATCACAGTGTTGAATGCATGCATGACTTCACTTGTATTATAGTTTTGCCCTTGTCCAGCTGTGCAGTGCCGTCCCAGAACTCTTGCAAGTCACAAACCCATTGCCTCTGAATCTGAATCTTCCGCTACCAACTTCGGCAACAATTTCTTCTCCTTCCGACCCATCATTTACACCTACTCTGCAGTCTGCACCCCTTAGTCGGCTCCGCCTTATCGCATGTCCAGACCTAGCCACGCTCAATCAGAAAGATTATCCCCATGTGAACTACTGGAAGAAAGAGCAGTGGACGGCCAAGCTAAAACACGACACATCTATCACAGATCCAAATCAGTCCCCTCGCAAAAAGGGAGCATTAAAGGCACGTGAGGGCATCAATGTACGGATGTTGTATGTTGAAGAAGAAAACGGTAATATGATCGATGGTTTCCGAGCAAAGGCGATTCGTGAATTCGCCAAGCGAATATTTCAGGAGCTGTTGGCTCACAATCTTGCACCGGCAACATGGGGCCAGGCGACCATGACGGCATTGAAGTACTTCCTAAGCGAGATGGCTTACCAGTTTACAGAGCTCCGGTTGTGCGCCAATGGCTGGAAGGCATCTCAGATTGCTATCGACAACTATCCCTCTTGGCAGCAGGGAAGGAGGAAGCGGACTGGCAGCTGTGTCAAGAAAGAAGAGGATGTAGTATCTGGCGATGAGGCCCCAGCTAATGACGCATCTACACCGCCACCACTGAAGGATACGGACCGCAAGCGCAGTGCTGAAGAAAGTCATCTACCTGTTGTCGCAAACAAGAAGCGCAAGGTCCAACAAACAGCGGCGTATCCTGAGTCTGCACGCATCATAATCCTGGACCCTTTGTATCTATCTTTATTCTTCATTCTCTGTGCAGTGCTGACCGTTTCCTTATCTTCAGGAACGATGTTGTTCCTAACACCGAACAGCAAGATGGCTGTACGTTAATAGCTAGCTCATCTGCAGCCCCGCCAATAGTGCCCTCGGCGGTACACCATCCCGCTACTCCAAAAAGTACTCTACCTGAATCAAGTGGTCCAACAATGGACAAAGGCGACATGCTTGGTCAGTCCCTTTTATTTCTGTCACCACTTTAAATTCGTAATGTGTGACCAGCAACAGTACCGCCTGTGCCGTCTACTAACGACATAGACGAGACATCAGGAGCATCTCAAATGCTAGGTAATATCCCCTCGCAAGGAGCATTGGCATTAGTCAATGGCTCTACAACCTCGACAGACCAGATCAGCTCAAAATCACAAAATAAGCGAAATGGAAGGTTTGTCGCTGGAAAGGCAATCACTCCAAGGCAAGTACCACTTACTGCCCGTCTCACTCTCTTATAATTCAACTCCACAGGAACATATGTGGTCGTGATTGGGCAGCAGATAATCCTGACGGAACGACAAAAATGTTCAGTGATTATTGGGACGGTCTCTCTAAGGCTGCTAAAGCAGTAAGCTATTTTCCTCTTGATGTCTCCCTTCTAAAAACATCTTTTCACAGGAATACAAGAAACGTGTAGAAACAATAGTATGTGCCTGCCGCCTTTACTATTGCTTTCACTAATTTCCTTGTACCTAAGAAATCCAAGAGCAAAATGACAGCACATTCATCATCATCGGCGGCGGCGGAGACAGCGGCGGCAGAGGATTAGCTTGATACCCATAGTATGTAATTTTTTTCCTACCATGCTATATACTAACCTTCGTCTGTAGATCTCTACTTTTTCCATTTGGCACTGGCCTTTGTCCTTCGCTAGCTGGCGCTCGTGTCTGCACATGTGCGCCGGCGCTGTGTTCAGTCCTGGGTGTTGCGGCGCAGTGCACTGTTGCAAGATGCACAGTCGTGCAGGTGAGCAGGAAAGCCATTTCATATGGCTCGGTTGCAATATGTACGAATAGATTGGCAACCATGAATGGTGCATATGTGAGGCTATATCACAATCTGTACAGATAGACAGTTGATAATAGCATAATCTGCGGGGCTATACCGCAATATATATGAATAGAATGAGAATCATATATCAGAAATTCACTTATATGGAGGCATACAGAGAGATAGATCAAAAATTTTTGTGGCTAGATAGGACTGTACAGGAATATTGGTCAATATAAAAAAATTATAGCATAACATATGCAGAGAAATTTTGTCGGGAAGGATCTGTAGACCTGGCTCGCAGTAGATCAGCATAGATTTTTTTCTATCCACGTCTCAAATCTGTATCCACATCTAAGGTAGTCTACAGCTGTCACTACTATAGGTAATCTTAGCTCAGACTTTCTCTTCTTAGACCGGATTCTCACTGGGCATGAGGTCGAACATATTCGTATATCAATATGATATGGTACCACCCTGAGTCAGTTCCTCGACTGTGTACCAAAGACGAGTGTGCGGGCAAGAGCGCAATCGGTAACGATGACCACCTGCCATTTACGCCTCGGTGCTTCCTCATCAGATACACCTCGCTCCGTTGAGAGACTGGTGAATTAGTAGGACACGTCTCGCACGTCCAACGTTCGAGATCGTGACAAGGAGGAGACCCAGCAAGCAGGCACGGGGGAACGTGTCAGTCAAACCACGATCGAATCGACGAGCTTGCGCACAGCCTCAATGGCGCAGTCGTCGCTGGAGATCGATCCTATGGCGTCGAGGGATGCTTACCTGCATGCGTTCGAGAGCACGAAAAGAGGTCCCGCATGGGATATCTGCGACTATAGCGACAGCGCGCGCGAGCATTATCGTGACTTGACTTGGGAGCCCGACGGACCACTCAAGCCAGCCGTACAAATGTTTATTATACAAGGCGATCCGGCCCTGTCAGCCTTGCCTCAAGCGCCAGGAAGCGCCGAGCGGAGAAGGAGAGGAGATAGGCTAGGTCGGGCACGGCAACGAAGAGTCTGCAGGTCCCAGGCGTTAATGGTCGGTGGTCAATTGGCATTTATTCGCAAGATCCGACGGTGAAGGTCAAGTCCGCAAGTCCGCCGTGATTGCGTGGCGAAGTGGCTATATGGCTTGTGGTTTGGAGACAAGTAGACAGCGGATTCGAGGCCAATGGAGATGGGCAAGGATAAGAGCCCGAATTGTGCGAAAACCGACCTTGTCATTTTGTTGCGTCGACGGACATGCCGTTGCCTCTCTGTAGTCAGAGACGGTCATCCGGAGACCGCGTCATAGGTTGAGGAGGATCGCCACGGTGCTGCCTTCGGGAGACTATCTCTGTGCACGATTGCCGGGTGACCCACCCAATCAATTCGTCATCGACTACCCACCAGTCTGCTGAGGGGACTAGGTGACCTAGAGCGACGGGTGGACATGTCGTGGACGCGACCGGGATGGACCTGGGCATCGGGGGCAGTGATGCAGTGTTGTGGGTGGAGCATGAGGAGGAATGTGACCGTGTGTTCTGAGCACGGAGAAAAGGAGCGACGCGCGCCTGTGCAATCAAGCAAGCCCCGACCGGACGTGATGTCTCCCTCATCCTCCTCATCGCCGAGCACGACCAGCAGACCCCACCCCCACCTCGACGTCCACAACATCCCCACAGGCACACGCCCACCAGCCGTGCCCAGCGCAAGCCAGCAATGGCCGCCCTACGCCTTCGAGCTCGCCGAGCAGCCTTCGCCGCGGTCGTCGTACAGCTACGCCCCGACGAACCCGACGTACGCGTTCCCTCAGCCGCAGCTGCTCTCCCCCGACGATGCATACACCCCGCACGCACACGCCTCCTTTCCTTATCCTCCGGACGCATCCCGTCTCGGCCCGCCCGCCGTTCCACCGCGCCCGCGCGCAGTGAGTGCGTACGAGCCCGACGCCGCCCTCTTCGCCTTCCCCGAGCCACTCCTCCACCGCTCTGCGTCCCAGCGCGCCCCCACACCCCCACCTAAACCGGATTCTGGCCCCCGCCCCACACATCGCAGCTCCAAGAGCGACGCTTCTGCCTTTGCGTCCCCGTCCCCGTACGCGTCCGAGTCTGTGACCAGCTTCAGCGTGTACGGCACACCAGAGGTAAGTGCGCGCTTCTCTCGCACTAGTCATGTCCCATGTTCTCATCCATACCTTAGTCTCAGACGCACGATCTTCCAGATGACTTCGCAAGCCTCAGGTGCGTCCATCTCTCCTATCTCCCCCTGATCCGTGGCGCGAATAGACGCTGACGCCTCCGCGTCGTAGCCTCGACTCGGAAGAGGGCCTGCGCCGCTTTCAGGCCGGACAGGTCCCAGAGAAAGATGAGCAGTGGCACCGCTTCGTCCCGCCCGAGGCCATTGACGCCCTCGGCAAGCACGAGGTCGAGCGCCAGTCCGTCATCTGGGAGGTCTTCACCTCCGAGCGCGACTACGTCTCTGATCTCGAGCTCATTCGCGACGTGCGTTCTCCTCGCTCCCCACCCGATCTCTCGCTGACTCCTCGCCCCAGATCTTCATTGAACCCCTCAGAAATGCCCAGCCTGAGGTCATCCCCCAGCCCCGCCTCCACGGCTTCATCACCGAGCTCTTCTGGAATATCGACAAGATCCGCGCCCATCACCAACGCATGCTCGCCTCCCTCTTCAACCGCCAGCGCGAGCAGCACCCGCTCGTATCCAGCGTCGCTGACATCGTCCTCGACAGTGCGTCTCCCTCCCCCCGCGTGCTAGCTCCTTTTCAGACTGACCCCGATGCTCCCCCGCGCCCCAGACGCCCTCCTCTTCATGTCTGACTACGAATCCTACATCAAGCACTCCCCCCTCTCCCTCTCGCGCCACCGCACCGAGCTCGCCCGCAACCCCGCCTACGCCGCCTTCCTCGCGACCCAAACCGCCCGCGCTGACCCCCGCCTGCGCCGGCGCGACCTCAAGACGCTGCTCTCGCGCCCCGTCACGCGCCTCCCGCGCCTCAAGCTCCTCCTCGAGCGCGTGCACTCGCGCACCGACCCGGAGCACCCCGACGCCGAGACGCTCCCGCTCCTGCTCACCGTCCTCGGCGACCTCGTGAAGAGCGCGGAGCCCGGCATCGCCGTCGCCGAGGGCAAGGTCGGCTTCTGGGACGTGTGCGAGAGCCTGGTGTATTCGCGGGGCGAGATCATCGTGCGTCGCGTCGCCCTCTACTCGATGCCCCGGGGCTGACGCTGCCCCCCCGTGCTCGCAGGACATGGACCTCTATGACGATAGCCGCACGCTCATCTACTCGGGCCCGCTCGCGCGCAAGTCTCGCTCCGACAACTGGCACAGCTGGTCCGAGCTCCTCGTCGCCCTGCTCGATAACTACCGTGAGTGCTTCCCGACTCCACATAATACTCGACGCATATACACAATACATTCCGCATTCTGCACGCAGTCCTGCTCTTGCGGGAAGAAACCCGCCCGAACGGGGCCGTCAAGCGGCTTGTCATCTCCCGAGTAAGTTTCTCCACTCAACATAGCACGCACGCGATGCCCTCCTAACATCCTGCCCAGCCCATCCCCCTCGACTACCTCCGCCTCGGCTCGTTCACCGACCCGCCAGATACGCGGCGCGAGCGCAGCGCGGACAACGCGAGCTCTGGCGGGCTCGGGCTCGGGCTCCTGCATAGCCTCACGGGCGGCGGCGCCGCGCGCGAGGAGGTGTTCCCGTTCACGCTGTACCACGCGGGCGCCAAGTCCGCACGGCGGTACACGCTGTGGGCGCCGAGCGCCGCGGCGCGCAGGCGGTGGCACGACGCGCTAGTGGACGCGCTCGGTGTCAGGCGGGTGCGCCAGGAGGCGAACATGGTGCGTGCGCGCGTGGCTTGCGGCGTGTTTTATGGATAATGATGATAATGATGATCGCGCGCGCAGTGGTTCGCACCGCAGGTGCTCAACGACGGGTTCTTCCGCGTCGGGTCGCCGCGCGCGGTTCAGGGCCCCGATGCGGGGACGAAGCTCACGGGGAGGGTCGCCTGCGCGGTGCTGTTCTGTACGTTCCGTTGTCGTCGCGGTCGTCGTCGATGAGGCGCCTGATGCTGATCGTGAGTGGCTCGCAGCCAGCGCGGGGAAGCACTTCCTCGCTGTGGGGTGCGCGGACGGGATCTACGTCGCCGTGCGCGGGCAAGATTGTGCGCGTTTCTTCCTCGCCCGCCTCGCCGCCTTACTAACCTTCCTTCCGGCCCCAGCGTTCATGCGCGTCCTTTCGCTCGCGAGCCCGACGGCGCTGATAGCGCTGCAGGAGTTCAACAAGCTGCTCGTGCACCACGAGGCGACGCTGCTCTCGTACTCGCTCGACCTCCTCGCGCGCGTCGCGCTCACGCAGGCGCCCGCGCGGAGCCTCGCCGCGTCGCTCGAGCACGTCGCGCCGCTCGACGCGAGCGTCGCGTTCTGCAGGGCGGGGCGCTTCGGCGAGCGTACCCTCGGTGAGCGCCGCTGTTCCTTCTCGGACGTGCGGGGTGTCGGTGCTCACGCGTCGTGCCAGTCGTGTACGCGGCGAAGGGTTTCTTGCAGATGACGCTCCACGCGCTCGAGGTCGTGCACATCGCGGAGACGGGCGCGGTGCCGCGACGGAGCCAGACCGGCCCGCTCGGCTTCCGGTCCTTCGGCTCGGTGCGTTCGATCGTTGGCGTCTCTTCACTTTCTCACGATCTGGTCACGCGCGAGCAGCCGTTCAACGCGCCCAGGGATACACACGACGCGACGTTCCTCGCGAAGAGCGTCGCCGTGTGCGCCGGCTCGAGCATCCTCATCCTCAAGCCCACAGAGTGCGTGCTCACCGTCCCTCCTTTTTCTGTGCCGACGCCGCGTCCTGACGGCTTCGCTGTTCCTGTCTCTATTTGCGCGCACGCGCCAGCTTCGCGAGCGCGCCGCCGACGGTCGTGCCCGACTTTGCGCAGGCAAGCCTGAACACGCCGATGGCGTCGCTCAAGGCGCGCTGCGAGGACGCGCGCGTACTGGGCATTGTGCGGCAAGACACCTCGGAGCTTCTCGTGGTTTACGACGGTGAGCCCCAGCTCCTCCTGATTCCCTTGCACCGCGTGATCCACAGCCCTGACCTCCCTCACCGCGATGTGTGCGCGCCCACACACAGACATAGGCTGCTACGTCGACAAATACGGCACGCCGAGCCGCTCGTCGGGGTACGTGCGCTGGGAGACCAAGGCGGCGGCGTACGCGCAACGCGGCGGGCACCTGCTGCTCTTCTCGTCCGCGTTCGTCGAGGTGCGGCAGGTCGCGACGGGCCGGCTCGTGCAGGTGATCGAGGGGCAGGACGTGCGGCTGCTGCACGCGGGCCTCGCGGAGAAGGACGCCCTGCTTGTGGGCTGGACGGGAGAGCGCGCGGGCCAGGCGGGCCAGGCGGGCGCGAGCGAGCGGATCGTGGAGCTCGTGCAAACGGCGGAAATCGCGCCTGCGACGCCATCGAGCGCCGTGCAAGGGGTTTGGGACGAGTGGGACATGTGATCGCGAACGGGTCTCTTCATCGAGTGATAGCCATTTTGATTAGCCGTAAGTTATCTTCTTCAGCGTTGCATGTGCCTTCTTATGGAATCGGGACACTTTGTTGCTCGCGCGTAACATCCTGTAAGATCTCTATTTCTTGCCTTTGTCGGAACGTCTGGAAGGGCGCAAGCCGCCTCGCATTGAAAGACATCACAAATACAGAACAGAGGCAAGCTAATTCTACAGGACGACGTCGGGGTATATCAAGTGCACGTGAACCGTGGGATAACGGGAGAGGGAAAGCGAGCGAGGACAGCGGGATCAAACGAGGCGCGCGGTCGCGCTCACGCCGTGACGAAAGTCGTCATGCCCTGGAGGTTATCCTTGCCTGAGAAGAAGAAAACAGACAGCGGAGGTCAGGGACGGTGGCGCGGCGGGGTCGAGCGCCGGGCACTCACTGATGCTCAGGCCGACCTTGGAGGCGGGCCCTGCGATGTCGAGCTTCTGGATGTTCTTGGCTTGGCCGGGCGCGTTCAAGGAGAGGACGGCGACGGACGTCGAGTTGGGCTGCAGCACGTACATGAAGCTGGAACGGAGCGTCAGCGGTCAGCATAGTCTCAGGACGGAGCGCCGTCGTTGACAGGCACGCACTCGTTGCTGCCCACGGTCGCGATGTCGTTGTCGATGGTCGCTGTGCCGTTGCCCTGGGGGTATTGCTAACCGAGCACGGAGATGTCAGACAAGGCTGGCAAATCGGGCAGAGAGCCAGAACACGGTACCTTGACGATGGTGCCCTTGAGGTTGTTGTCGACGTTGACCTCCGTCACCTGGGCGGTGATGATGTCGGTGAGGTAGAAGTTACCGGTCTTCTTGCTGAAGCTGGACCAGCACGTCGCGCCCTGTCCGGCGATGGGGACGACGCTCGACTTGGTACCGTTCGACGACGCGGCCTTGATGTTGGACATGTCGAAGATGTCAAAGCCGACACCGGCGTCCGTGGCCAGGATGGCGTTCTTTCCGGGGATGACGGTCTGCAAAAATCAAGACGTCAGCACGGTCGAAATGGCAGGCGATGCGGGGAGCGCTCTGACCATGGAGAACGGAAGGAGGCCGCCCTTCTGAGGAGCGATCTGGGTTGCCTTTGCGGAAAGCGTGCCGTCGGTGTTGACGTCGAAGACCGCGAGGAAACCAGGCGTTGGAGGTACTCCCTTGACCGAGGCGACCAGGCTCTTGCCATCCTCCGAGAACACGATATGGCTGACGGTACCCGCAGGGCCAGTGGCGGGGGTCGTCTGGTTGAGGCCAAGCGAACGGAGGGTGTTGCTCATGGCCACGAGACCGAGCTTCTGGTCGACCTTATAACAGCTTCGCGAATTCAACACCGGGCACTGCAAGCGCATGCTGAACAGGGGACTCACTTCACAGTGTTGACCGCCCCGCCGTTCAGCGCGCACACCTGGTTCCCGTCCTTGTTGATGGCCAGGGAAACTGGGAACTCGCCCTCGCTGGACACGGGCGTGCCGATCTGCGTGATCTGCGATGGGTTGGTGGGGTTGATCTTGAACACCGACAGGGTATTCGAACCAGGCTGTGGAGGCGGGCGTGTCTCATCAGCTTGACCCTGAAACGATCGCCAGGAGCGTCACTCACGTTGACTGCAGCTAGAATTTTGCCCGTGGCGGACGCCTTGATGGCTCCCTGGGAGAAAAGTGCGTCTGGACCAGTAGAATTGCCGTGCTGTCCACGTCCGCCAGTGTGCACGGCCCTGGACAGAGTCTACGAATTGATCAGCCCACACCCGGAATGTCGCATACTGACCGGCTCACTAGCTTGCCATCAGATCCAATGTCAGCTGATACGATGAAGTTCCCATCTGGCTGATTCGTGATGACTGCTCAGGCCAGGGTCAACACCGCCAAATGGGAATAGTTGAGACCCATTAATTTTGCTCACAGTAGGCAGCGCCTTTTGAACCAGTCGATGCGGTGGTGTTCATGACCTTGACTTTGCTAGAACTGCGAGAGTCGAGGGGGCGTGCAGAGACGACGGCCGGGGCGACCAGTGCAAAAAGAGCAATGAAAGAGGTGGAAAGCTTCATGATGTCGCAGAAAGTTCAGTGGGGCACGATTGATGACGTGTGTCGACCAGCGGAAAGAGCGTGAAAGTTAGAGAACGACGAAAGAACGAGAGCACAGCTACTCGTTGGAGAGGATGACCTGAAAAAGGATGTGGTAAAGCATCTCTAACTTATCTGCCGGAGCTTATATAGGCAGGGCTTCCGGCCTGGGGAGAACATGGGAGAACATGAACGATGGATTGGCGTAGCGTCTTTCGAAAAAGACGGATCTGAGTTTGTCGGGAGAACAAGGGGCAAAGATGGCTAGCAACGGATCAAGGTCACATCTGATCACATATGCGGGACGCGCGATTCTTTTGGCGGAGGGCCACGGTCAGGAAGGGTCAGGACTGGTCAGGAACCTGTGAGCCACTCGCATTCACACTGCATTCACCCGTTCAACATGCAGGTCACCATGTGGCCTTCGACGTATCAAAGGCGACCGTTGCTGCTTGTATGTGTAAGGAAGCCTACAAACTGACATGAGCTGACCAACACTCAACTATCGGGCATTCTACGCCGGCAAACCTCAGGATCTCGTGTCGAATGGACTTTCAAGGGTTTGCTATCGGAGCTGATGTCCTAAGACCTGAATGAGTTCTACAACGCGTGTTGCAAGTTTGGTGCAAGTGAGTGCAATCAGTGTGCAATCCTTCCAGCCCTCGATCGCAGATCTGCGGGAACGTCCCATTTGGATACCGCTCATTATGTCTATTCGGATGTCGGCCAATGAGATCGCGGTGCACTCCCGAGGCGGAGTGCAATTATGATCCATGTCAGTTGACTTTAAACTCGGTAACAGAGTTTGTCTTCGTCAAGTCCCTTGACTCCCAGCAGTCTCCCAGCAGCCGCCCAGAGCCTCCACGAGATGCGTGAAAGCCGCATCGAAGCGAAGTCTTGAGACAACTTGTGCGTCGCCCACGCTGCTGACTACAATGAGGCGTCCGAGGAGGCGTGAGTCCGAGTGAGTGAGCGGAAGTGCGGCGGATCTGCCCCGGACGTTGCCACGTGGATTTAGCCTATGGGCAACGCGGCCTGAGATGGCGAGTAGACGGCGCCGCCCGGTTGGCGTGAACAGGTCCCCTCTCCAGGCTTTATGAAGCTTCATATCATCAGTCATGTACAGCAAAAGGTTCCTCATGAGCGCCGAGTGGCTGCTGCAAACTCGCCTATGAGGGTCTGAAACCAGAACACCAAACCTGAAGATCAAAATTGCAAAGTTGGCATCATCCGCCACGCAACCTCACGCAACGTGGCGCGTTTCGCGACGAAGGGATACATAATGAGAGGGGATACCACTCTGTCGGGCCCATCGGGACTGACCGGCATAGTGTGTGATAGGACTGTGATAGGTTGGAACCGAAAATATGATCCTCTAGCACGTCCACGGATGCCTTCTACGTAACACGTCGAGCTAGTCAAAACCAATGAGGCTCACCCAAAATTTAAATGCTCAAAGACTGGAGCACTGAACTCGGAGTACATGCATGGGCTTCGAGCAGCTAATCAGCTCAGGACTCTAAGGTACAATCACAACAGGAAACGCGCCCATATACCAACGTACATTTTTTTTCATCTCAAATGACGGAGGTCACTCCGTTCCGAACACCAAACACACACCATCGTCGCCAGCAGAGACGACCACTTGACCATCCATGCCTAATGCAGCGGCCAATACAGGCCCTTGGTGTCCTTTATGTTCACGAACGAGCGTGCCCGTCCGCGCGTCCCACGTCTTGAGCGTCTTGTCTGCGGACGCAGAAACAACAAGGTAAGGTTTCGTCGGGTGGACCAACAGCGTTGTGATGGCATCCTGCCGTACGCGAACCGATCAGTCAGATTTGATCGGATTTCGAAGAAGCGGGTCGGAGGATAAGAGGCACGAACGCACCTCATGTTCGAGCGTAGCCCTCAGCCGCATCGTGTTTAAATCCCATATACACGCCTTTCCGTCTGTTCCGCCCGTTATGACCGCTCCACTACCTGCAGCACCCGCAGAGGCGTTTGATCCTCCTACAGCAGCTAGGATATTCACGAATACCGCGGCCTCTACGCTTTCGCCGTCGGCATGACCACCCAAAGCGGTTATCACCTCGCCCTTGCTTAGAGATACAACACGGACGCTTCCGGCTGCACCGCCGACAACAGCGAGGGTGGATGCAGGGTTGATGGCGAGCGTTGTGATCCCGTCGAGGTTGAAGCGAGCATCACCGGGAGACAATTTGAAAATCGGGGTAGGCGACCGGGGATCCCAGTAGATGAGAGTGTTGTCTGAGCATGCGGTAACGATGCGCTTGCCTGGATGACACAGGGGGCAGATGAGTTGATTGGGTCTCAAAATAAACGCCACGATCACTTGCCATCCGGGGTGAACTCGCCACATTGCACGGGCCCAGTGTGTCCCGCAAAAACTTGCATGATGTTGCCAGACGGCACTAGAGGCCATGCATTCAATGTTGAGTCCTATTGTTGCGGAGCTATATACGATATACTTACATTGCCAGAGCCACACCGTGCTGTCATTCGAGCCCGCGAGCAGAACGCTGCCTTTGGGGTGCCATCTTAACCACTGGAGATAACCACCGACTTATCCATTAGCCTCGCCGTATGTATCTCGCGTTGCGCAACGCACCATGACTTCGTCGGGTCCTTGCAGCTCTGTCAAGAACTCCCAAGTCTTGTAGTTCTCACGTCCCACCCTTCTCCATACCCTGACTTTGCCGTCCATACCACCCGTGGATGCCATCTCCCCGTCTGAACTGAACGCTGCGCAAGCCACGCTATCCGTATGTCCGGTCAGTTTGACCACCTCCTCCCCACTCGTCATATCCCAGATATATCCAAGATCATCTTCGGCCCCGGATATGGCCAGCGGCTGGGTGGGATGAGTCGAAATGGCGAAAACAGACTTGCGGTGATCTGGGAAATGCTGTATCGAGTTGTCTTCCCAGACAATATCGTCGTCCTCTGGTGCACCGCCGTCTTCTTGGCCCTCAAAGTCATCTCCTTCGCCTTCGTCCATAGGACGATCCTCGTCGTCGGGGACTTCTGCTAATACATCGTCTTCCTGCAGAAACTCGTCCTGTTCGGCCTCCTCCTCCACATTGCTATCCTGGGGGCGTTTGGATGACATGGATGTAGACTTTCAGCTCAAGATGGGTATTGGCGAGGATGAGTTTGTGAGAGCTTGAGTGACTACAGATCCTCAAGATTATAAGTACGATGCTGAGTAACCAAACGCTGTCTGCTGAGCGAGCAAGACTTGTGCAGATGGTGATTTTATTGATGACTCCACCGGCTGACCTGTGACTCGAACTATAGTAGCAGGCTTGACGGTGATTTCGAATGAAAGGCAGCAATGCGACGAAACCTGCGCGAGAGCTGGTCAGAGTCTCAGAGAGGGAAGGCTGGAAAGAAAAAAACTGATCGGAGCGCACGATCTTATCGGGGGGAGGGCCACGTGTAGGCGGATCTAAGATTGGAGTCCGGAAGCAGGATCCTCTCCCTGCTTCAAGTGACTTCAAACCTGGGAAGCCATATACGTCTGAGAACGTTGAGTATGGGATGTTGCATTCCTGAACCATCGGATACTCAAAATAGATCTGAAAAGGATTACCGCTTGACTTCCTTCCACGAGTGTGGCAATCTCGCCGGAACCCGGATTTCCTTGGGATGGTGACTGCCCAGAGCCGTGGAGCCTGGGAATAGAGCCTTCTATTATATTTTGAACGCACCTACTCACTCTCCAATGGCTGTCGAGAGGTTGTCGAATGCGATTTTTCTAGTGAGAGCACAACCTCGGGCATGCTTCGGGCATGAGCTGACTAATGCAAGTTACATATTATCGCCAAGTTCCACGTCAGTCGCGCCGTAACAGTCTCTTTCACTCTCAAACTACCACCACCATGCGCCTGCTTTCGCTCTTTCCTCTGGCACTCGCGACCGCGGCGTACGCCTCCAACGTCTTGGATCTTATTCCGGATAATTTCGACAACGTCATCGGGAAAGGAAAGCCTGGTCTCGTTGAGTTGTGCGTTCATAATTTCGGAGTGTAAACGTGCGCTCGGACTAATCGAATTTCTCTGGTCAGCTTCGCACCATGGTGGTATGTCATTTTATCTTGAATTACACTTTCCAACGCGTATGTTGACTAGCCACTTCCAGCGGCCATTGCAAGGTACGTTGCACTGTTTCCTCCGAAGTGCCATGACTAATTGTTTACATCAACATTATAGAACCTCGCGCCCACATACGAGCAGCTCGCAGATGCCTACTCGCATGCTAAAGATAAGGTCGTCATCGCCAAAGTGGACGCCGACGGTGCCGGCAGGCCTCTTGGGCAGAAATACGGTGTGACTGGGTACCCCAGTGCGTCTCGTGCAGCCTTTTTAAAATTGTACAGCGGTTTTTGATACACGATCATCTGCGCCACAGCGCTGAAGTGGTTTGACGCGGACGGCACGGCCACGCCGTATGAGGGTGGTCGTGACCTCGATGCCCTCACTTCATTGTGCGTAATATTTCCATGCAGATCAGTATGGCATAACTTAGAGATGCATCCATGAATAGCATTTCCTCTAAGACGAACGTCAAATCCAACATCAAGCCGCCTCCCCCACCCTCGACGCTCATCCTCGACACTCATACCTTCGACGATGTTGCATTGGTAAGCGCTGACTGGATGCACATGCGAATATAGCTGCCTTAATCCTGAACTTCTTCAATAGAATGCCGATAAAGATGTCATTGTCACCTTCACAGTGCGTTACGATTTCTGCAATTAAAAAAAGGTGCTGTAAGCTCAAAGCGCTATCACTAGGCTCCATGGTGCGGCCATTGCAAGAATTTGAAGCCTATCTATGAGCATGGTGAGTTGTGGCTCTACTCAGGTACTTGCCTGCAGAATGCTAACCTACTTGAAGTTGCCGAGGACTTCCTCTCTGAGTCCAACGTAAAGCTCTGCCTCAACTCCGTGAAGTGCCTGTACTGACTGACTGCACAGTGCATCGTGGCCAATGTTGATGCCGATGCTGAAGCCAACCGCCCCCTTGCGCTCAAGTATGGCATCCAATCTTTCCCCACGATCAAGTTCTTCCCAAAGGGCAGCGGCGAGCCTGAGGACTACACCGGCGAGCGCACCGAGCAGGCCTTTGTCGACTTTTTGAACGAGAAGTGCGGCACTCAGCGTGCTGTCGGCGGAGGGCTGAACGAGAAGGTGCGTTGATCTTCGTATGATCTTAAGGTTTTTATTCGGTGATCTTGCTTACGTTCCCACCAGGCCGGCCGTTGGCCAGAGCTGGATTCTCTGGCGAGCAAATTCCTTGTGTCGACCGGCGAGGCGCGTGATGCAGTGTTCAAGGAAGCATCTCTACTGTCTGGGTCCGTTGGTCCCTCGGCAAAGCACTACCTCCGCGTAATGGAGAAAGTTGTCAATGGAACTGAGGACTACATCACCAAGGAATCCAGGCGGTGCGTTTTCCACTTTATCCGATTGGCTCTCAGATACTTGTTCCCGCGTTTGCATCCTTCGGGGAAGGCCTTCTCAGACAACAAACAATCCGACAACTGTGTTACTGTGTTCAGTATGTGCTGATTCTGATCGCGTCATCATTCTAGGCTTTCATCGATCCTCAGCAAGCGCACGTTGTCTGCCGCTAAGCTTGACGAGATCAAGATCAAGGCGAACGTTCTTTCCGCGTTTAAAGCTGAGAATGTCGAAGCGAAGATCGAGCGCGCGACTGAGGAGCTCTGAGTTGTGGTCGTCGTATAGCCCTCACAGCCTCACTCGTTGTAAGGTTCTTATGCTGTGGCATTAAATATATAATTCATATGATCTCCTTGAGAGCGGAAAGGAATAAATGTGACATTCGTATACACTGGAAGTGGACCGAGAAGAATCGAAGTCGATGGCAGTGAAGGCGAAGTTGGAAGTCTGATGATTTGACATCTGATACGGATTAGGCAATAGAGGACGCTCACGATTGAGTTATCGGAAGTCCGCGCCTTGCCTTCTCCCTGTGTTGTGGGTGTTGCAGCATAGGCTCTTGATAGGGTTCATAAACGCAAGGCAGGTCAATCTGCAAGAACAGAGACAGATTCCCCTCTACCCTCGTCCTGCTTCATCATCCTCCACTTCCTCCAAATTGCACCTTACGCCGAGATGACAGACATACTGAGAAACATACCGATCGTGCGATGGTCCCAGCGCGCGGACTCTTGGGTTCTTGCTAAAAACAGACCAGATGCGTATCTGCCTATGAGTATCACCCTCCTCACCTGGAACATCCAACACGATGTGCCGAACGCGTGGGAGCGACACCAGGCAGCGATGACGTATATTCAGCACAAGGCGTTCGGGTGCTACGATGGCCGCGCGCCGCGCCCAGGGGTGATCATGCTGCAAGAGGTGGGCGCAGATGCCTTCAATGCGCTGCTCGAGCACGCGTGGGTGCGCACGCACTTCGTGGTCATGCCGCCCGGACCGCAGTACTGGCCGTACGGGGCGCGCTACGGCGTGGTGACGCTCGTGCCGCGGCACATGAGCATCAGCGCCGCGACGTCAGTCGAGTTTGGCGGGTCGCGGATGGGGCGGAACATGCTGATGGTGGACGTGTGGGTGAACATGAGCTTGGATGCCCTTGGATGCGAGCCGAAGATCATCAGGATCGCGAATACACATCTGGAGTCGCTGCCAGGCGGTGTAATATGGCGGGCAGGGCAGTTACGGACGGTCGCACAATGGTTGAAGGACTTCCAGGTGAAGGGCGGGGTCGTGTGCGGGGACATGAACGCGCTGGTGCCGGCGGACGAGAAGTTCGTGGCGATGAACGGACTGGTCGATGCGTGGGAGAAGAGTAGCGCTCACGTCGCGGCGGTGGGCGATGGTGACATGGAAGAGAATGACGGGACGACGTGGGGATTCCAGCCTAGGAGCGACTTCAAGCCGGCGCGGCTGGACAAGATGCTGTACGCAGAGAAACGAGCGTACGAATTGGAGAGGCCCTGGGCTGTTGGAGTGGGATTGAAGACCAAAAGTGGACAGTGGGTGTCTGATCACTACGGGCTGATGAGTATCCTGCGCGTGTTGGGGTTGTAAACAGGAAATGCGACGGCCTGGCCGTCTACAAACATGTAACATATTGGACAATCTGCGAGCACAGCGATGAGATGTTCATCGGGTTTTCGCCCGAGACTTAGCTGCGGTGTGCAAGCCAGACGAGTAGCTCCCAGGTCCTTCCAGGCGCTTGTGACTGCCCCGTGCCTCGTCGTGTCACGGAGATCCGTTGGCTCGAGCCTGGTAATAGAGCTGGGCGTGATGGTCAACGTGCTCATAGCGGCGATTGCTGGTTATTTTTATCTCGTGGAGACGCTGACGTTACAATGCCTTGTCCGCCAGCCTCTACGAAAAGCCAGAGTCGCTCGTGGGCAGTCCTGAGGTCGTACAGGGCTGCCATCTGAGTGAGGTGTGCATTGAATGCTGTCGAGAAGGGCAAGAGAGACCGCAGGCGCAGTTGATACGACAGCGGCACTTGGCGCGGAGATGTTTGGTGACATAAACAATGTTGTTATTCCCGGCGGCCTTATAAAGTCCGACTGAGGTTCTCGCACCACCATCGCTGCTTTTTTCCTCTTCCACAAGCTGTGTCCGCCCGTCCCCACACAACGACAATGAAGTCCGCTTTCACTTCCCTCGTAGCCGTCGCCCTCTTCGTCGTCGCTGCCGTCGCTCAGAGCACGCTCACCGTCAATACCCCGTGCGTTCATTTCCCATTCCGGTCCCATCCGTGATCCTCCCCTCATACCCCGCCTCGTCTCCAGGGCCAACGTTGTCGTCTGCCAGCCTCTCCAGATCACTTGGAGTGGAGGAACCGGTACGTCGTTGTCCTTTGAGCGAGACAATCCAATTAATTCTCGATTCACCGACCCTAGCTCCCTACTTCCTCGTTCGTAGTCCCCTTTTTCCCTATCACGTGGTTGTTTGTACTGATGTTTGAACATCATTTGGCCCGTGGTCTTTCAGAGGTGGGCATACCTCTCATCGTTCACAATTTCCGCTCTGAATGAATTCCGTCTTAAGCGTTCTCCCCGGTGGTGACCCGTCTGGCTCTGCCCTCGAGGACTTCGGTCAACAGACCGGTACCTCTTTCACCTGGACTAAGGTTAACCAGCCTGTCGGTATGTGTTTAGGGGAATATTTCCCAGGGAGCGATGTTCATATTTGGAGATGCTAGGCACTTCCCTCGGTCTCACTCTCCGTGATTCCAATGGTTTGACCGCCCAGTCTGCACCTTTCACGGTCAACAGCGGCTGTATGTGCATTGTTCCTGTATCTTTCACTGTTTTATCTTACAAAGATTACAGCGGATACCAGCTGCTTGACTGCCAGCGCGTCTGCCAGCGGAACCGCCTCTTCCGCTTCCGCCAGTGGTACTTCAAGTTCGTCGGCTGCTGTGACTTCGTCTGCCGTAGGCAGCTCATCTGTTTCTTCGGCTGTCGCCACTACGTCGACGACGCCGGCTACTACAGCCGCTTCGTCTGCATCTGCGGCATCTTCTGCTGCTTCCACTACCAGGCCGGCGAGCAGCGCCACGTCGTCCTCGTAAGTGACATCCCACACTCATCGCCCAATCTCCGCAGTTGTCTTATAAAACGCTCTGTTGCGCCCGTCTAAGTGCGTCGCGCTCCTCCTCCGCTGCATCTTCCGCGGCATCTACATCTGCGAACGCCGTTCCCACGCTTGCTGCGCGCTACGGCGCTGCTGGCATTATCGGCGCCGTCGTCGCCGCTGTCCTGGCCTAAACGATATCCCTTGGATCGGGTTTGAAGTAGCAAAAGCTGAGATAGGCAGGGAGGCGCGAGCAATTCACCGTCCCCGTGTCCATCCTGTGAACTTGCTTCTTGGACATTCAGCTTTTTCCCGACGCCTTTGACATTCCGACGCTCTGCGTCACGCCGCTCTTTTGTAGAAATACCTTGGTTCTCAGATAACGAGGAACGTTCGACCGCTTGCTTCTCAATCTTTGTCTCTTCTAATCTCCTCATCCGCACCCGAGCGTCGGATTTTTGTGTCTCCATCTTCTCGTACTCTATTACTGGATTTTATCCACTTTGTTGCCATTCCTAACACCTTTATATTGTTTCAGTTTGGGCCTAGCTATCTTCCTTGAGGCTTCGGAGGCTTTGTTTGTATGTCCATACCCACACAACGTAGCTCACGAAACGCACGCTAGGTTACGAATGGATTTTTGTTACGTCCCATATGTACGACGGCATGACCTCAGGACAATGACTGTCACGAAAGGACTCGCAAGGGAGCCGGTGATCATCCGCATGTATGGTACGATGGATAGTGTGGGAGTGGTTGTCTTGTCAGTTGCACAAAATTTTGAGATGGATTTCTGTCGAGCGTTGCCGAATGGTGGCGAGAATGATGAAAAGTGCCAACACCTTCATTTAGCTTGTAGCAGCTCAGACGATCCGCAGATCATACATCATGTGTGCTGAAAGGTGCTGAAATACTGATGCCGCAAACATACGATCTGATCGTATGCGACGCTCTGCGGCATTCATCTAGAGGACTGTACAAATGCCAAGCGGATGCATTTGCCAGTATGGTAGCAAATGAAATCAGTGAGCGTATGCATGATGCATTGATGCTCGTAGCGACAGATGAAAGCTTATAGGCATCGAACCGAACCATACAAGGGAGAACCAGATTGAGGGCTTCCCCGGAAACGGTGGGGATGTACATTCATACTGTACGCGATGGTTTATGAGACTATAAAATGCGCTGCTTGAACCGGCCGAGCGGGGAGGGCTATTAAAGATAGACCTCGGGCGACAGTGGCGACTGCGGTGGTCCCGTTCCCTTGCTGCCAGAAATGCTGGTGCGGATGGCCGCCGTGGGTGAAGCCTCTGAGAATGCGCGCGCGCAAGCTATCTTTGAAATCGAAGCAGAATTCAACCGGAAAGACCATGGGTCTAGTGTGATGCATATACGAAGATACGTGAACAATGTAGAATTGTACAGAGTCAACCTCCAGATGGATGCCTGAGGGTGAGGCAAGTGTAGGGCAATCCAATACACAGTCTGAGCTGAGCGCTGAGTACTGATGGCCCTTTGAGCTAAAGATAGATTGAGACGACGCTTTGACACATCCAAATTCAATCAAGATGTTAAGGAGGTGCAGAAGGGAAGGTTGTCGGTATTCAGATGTCGAGTTAGCATCTGCCGGTACCGCAAGTTTTAAGCGCAACGGGAAGACGTCGTGGATTCTCGCGAATTGAGTTGGAGAGCAACTGCAGGGGCCATCTGTGCTATGAGAATCATGCTTCCTGGGAATCTTGTGACTATGTTGTTATATGGTCGTCGCGAGTCATGGCTCGAAAGATATCTTGACTAGAATTGCCTGGGCTTTCTACACGGCGACGGAGGAAGTGACGGTGGCCAATAAGAGGTCATCGTATTGGTCTCGAGGCAACTTCTGTTCTGAATTTCCTTTTCTAGATTTTTCGACCTCCTGATCTCCTTCTCCGGTCATGTCTTTGGGAGGTTCATCATACTGCACCCAACATTGCATCCATAGCTGTCTGTTGACACTCTCTAGCACCTTGAACTGAGCTGTCCTCGTGATATCGCTTCAGCGCCGGACATAGAGAGGAATATACACGAGAATTGTCCGCGATCCCCATCTTGTGCAGCAGGCCAGCGGACCGCCGGTTTTTATCCGCTCAACCCGCTCACCTGTGTCTCTCGTGATGAATGCCCGCCTGAGTTTCATTACCCCGCATTCGACGTCGTCATCCCGCGAAGCTTCGGGCCCATTTATACATGGGAGCCGAGGTGTGCTTGGTACGTATTTATGTGTGCACCTGAGCACGTTCAAGTGCTCCCCACAGCGCTTCGCTTTGATGCCATAGGACCCTCTGCCTTTCATCTGGTGAAATGTCTCAACCAGAGTGGACTGTTGCAGATTTTATCTATCGGGGCTGGTGGTGGAATAATCGCGGTATGTTTGCTATTCAATGCTCTAGAATTTGATCTATTACTACATCTAAACTTATCCCATAGGCATTCTATTGTTGAATGTATATCTTCTACTGCCGCTTCTAACTTCCACGGTCAATGGACTTGATTCATCCCTGGTCAATGGTGAGGGGACCAATGGGTGCTACCATAGCAAATCCCTGTTTTTGACACATTTCAACAGGTCTCCAGATTCTACCAGCTTGGCAGGATCAGTTTGGTCATCCAAAAGGAAAAGCGTTGGGTGTGTGGGATGAGCACTCTATTGAACAATCACTGTTGCTCACTTTGACTTCTAGGCCTGATCAACTCTGCACAGATGATCGGAGGTCTTGTGGTAAGCAGGTCAACGAGGTTGCGATTGCAAAAATAGTCACGGTTTCTCAGGGCCTTCCGTTCACTCCCTTCTGCTCTGACAAGTTTGGTCGGCGAGCAACGTTGTTCATTGGCTCATTGTTCATGCTGGGGGGCGTTGCGATGCAGTCCACAGCAAACACAGTTGGCAGATTTGTAGGCGCCCGCGTACTCAGTGCGTTAACATTCAATCTGAGTGAAACGCCTTCGCTGAGCAGAACATGAGTTGGATCCGGACTCACTTTTGGCACGAATGCAGCTCCACTGCTTATTACGGAGCTAGCGTATCCCACACAGGCGAGAGTGGTATTTATGACCGATGCACGGAATCTGAAAGTGCCGGCAGCGTGGTAAGCTAACCTCCATATACAACGCCTCATGGTATATGGGGAGTATCATCGGTGCGCATGGTTTCTGGCCGAAAATCTTAGTTTTTTGAATGGTTCCTCTCTCTTAGCTGCATGGACCTGTTTTGGCGCGTTCAATGGAGCCCCGAACTCCCTCTGGTCTTGGCGAATCCCAACTCTCATCCAGGCGCTGGGCCCCTTGCTTCAAGTGTGTTTGATTTGGTGAATGTCGATTTAATTCACTGTTGACAAGTTTCTAAACGACACCTAAAAGGTTGATTCCAGAAAGTCCTCGCTGGTTGGTATCATCAGGACGTGTAGGTGAAACCGTTATTTAGCATCAAGTCACCAGCTCATCCACATCGCTGGGATCACTCCAGGAGGGCCAGGCAGCAAGAATCCTTGCCAATCTACACGCTAACGGATTCGACGAAAGAGACCCTTTAGTAATATTCGAGATGGCACAAATCCGGCATGCCCTCAATATGGAGAAGGAAATCTCGAATTCAACTTCGATCAAGGCCCTGTTTTCCACGCCCGGTAACAGAAAGCGGATGAGGCTCATCGTTGGCATAGCCCTATTTTCACAATGGAGGTGTGCTCAACCCATTCTCATTGGGCAGTTCACGGCTCATTGTAACCCGTGCTTTTAGCGGAAGTGGCTTGGTCTCTTATTACATCAACCTTGTACTCGAAGGGGTGGGGATTACGAGCACGTCTACAAAAGCTGCTATCAACGGAGGATTGCAGGTGAGGCACATCGGTTCAAATGAATGTGCACTGCTGAACAATATCCAGATCTGGAACTTGACTGCTGCCATGACTGGTGCTCTGCTCATTGATAGACTCGGTCGAAGGACGCTCTTCATTATATCTAACGCAGGCATGCTGATTGGTATGTCTTGAATATGTGCGACTGGTATGATTGTTCTCATGAGCATCCAAGCCTTTTCCATATGGACGCTAACTACTGCTCTCTTCGACACTATCGATTCTGCGCCAGCTGCAAGAGGTTTGTTCACTGATTTTCCTCGTTCTACCCTCTCTAAAAATCGACAACAATGCAGCGACCATTCCCCTCATTTTTGTTTTTTATCTGTTCTATGACGTGGCATATACTCCAATGCTCGTAGCATACACACTGGAAATTCTCCCATACACCATCAGAGCTAAAGGCTTTGCCCTCATGGTACGATACATTCCTCGATTATGACATAAGTGCAAAGTTGACATCCTCTCCAGAACTTGACGGTGTCGCTGACATTGGCCTTTAACCAGTTCATCAATCCATGGGCTCTTGAAGCCATTGGCTGGAAATATGTGTGGCCCTTCTCCTTGCACAACACAATCTGACAATGCTGATTTGTTCGTAGTATCTAGTATATTGCGGATGGCTCGGTCTCGAGCTGATCTTCGTCCTTATCTATGTCGTGGAGACTCGTGGTAAATTTTCTTCAGTCTCTCTTACGCGTGATTGACTGGGAAACCCAGGACGCACACTGGAAGAAACAGCGGCTCTATTTGATGGTGAGGACAGACCAGCAGATCTTGTCCAGATGGGCGGCGAAGCGGCGACCATGACCATGAGTCGGGGCGCCGTAGCCATTGAGTCGAGACGGGAGACGCCTACATATGTGAGGCCAGAAAAAAGGTTGACAGGCGAGAGCCACGAGCTGCGTATGACTCGTTCGACATTCGAGATGGATCGATGGGGAGAGTCTAGTGGAACCCACGCGTTGTAGTTAAATGCATCCATATTCAATGTATTTGTGATGAGAGTATAGCTATGCATATGCCAGTATCCAGTGGCTCAAGAGCTGATAGTGGTCAGTAGAATGCGATGATGTGGTGAGTCTGATTGAGGTCAAGGCTCTGGATCGATGAGAGTCCAAACTTGGATAGAGCCCGGTTGACACGAGAAGAATCCCCAGCCATCCTTTGTGATGTCGACGCGCGCGAAGGGCGCGAATGCCCCCACGTATGCCGTACTTGTATGGTGCTAGTACAATGTCAGTTCTGGTTGTATAACATGGGAGAGCGTCTTACAGGACCGACGTTCATGCGAATTAAATGCGAGTGATCGTTGGTCCTGAAAGAGGTATGTCAACGCCCGTATTTCTGGTCGATTCCGTCAGCTGGTATTACCTGGCCTCTGGCCTCGCGTTGGAAATCACTACTACGCAACCCCCACCATGCTCTGGATCTCCTGTCCGGACAAACCCGATGCAGTTTGGGTGGTGAAGATACTCCCTGAGCGAGCCATGCGCGAATTGTTTTCGAATCCTCATGAGCACACGGAGCCCGCGTGCAGTGTGTTCATCGTAACATTCGTGATTGGGGTACAGGTCTCCGTAGAACACGCAGCTGTTATGAGCCAATGGTTACTGGTAATCCATGAAACGCCTATGTCAGTCATCTTCACTCACGGATGTCCCTCTCCTCGAAGCAATATCAATGCATAGGCTTGTAGTTTGAAATTGGAGTCGACCTGAAGGGGGTTTAGTGCGTAGAATTGGACACAGATCGCTTGACACACCCAGCTCTGGAGGGTTTGTCCGATTTGCTAAGCGAAAAGATGATAACACGTTGAGCACGCTTCTACCATGCAGTAGATTTGCGTTCACCGTACTGTTGGAATGATGAGCGCTGAGCGCTGAGGTATTCATGTCCAAACAAGGCGATTTTGCTTACTCGTGATTGTCCACGAATATAACGGCATCGCCCGGACGTGCCTTGAGAACACTGGCATCTAGGATCCTTCGCAGATCATATTTTGGTCCCCTCTGACTAGCTTCGTGAAAATTACTATGCAAAGGGACATCGAAGAAGGCCAACTGTGCACGTTAGTATCAAGTTGTCTGTGAAATGTCATCTAACTTACTTGTCCTTTAAATGCTCGGATGTATGATAGAATAAGTTTCACGCTGATACACAAATTAGTTCGGATCGTGACAATTCGAGTCCCAATAGCTTACTTTCCTGACCAGTACTCGCCTACAATGAACGCACGAGATCTTTTTGGACCTTGGCGGACTCTCCTGATCTGTTCCCATGAGCTTTTCCCCGAGTTCTAATGTGCTATTGTCGGACTCACCCAGTCGCTTAAAAAGCGCCTGTCCATATGTTTGATTGCATCTAGACGAAAGCCTGTAGCGCCTGTTGTCTAACGGTTCATATTTGAATAAGATAAGGCATGGCGATGCATAGAGAACATACGCCTAGCACCCAATCCGCCCAATTCACCAGATCTTTTCGGACGTCTGGATGGCGATGGTCGATCTGTTGATGACTCTCAGTGGTCATAGAGATGCCAGAGACCGGAATACTCACATCGACCCCTAGCAGATAGTCATAGTTTCCAAATTCTTTATCCACATTTGGAGACCATTTTTTGTTGCTATCGCCGGCAATGCGGTAAATACCCTGGGTGCGACTTCTGTCATCCCAGTCGAGTCCTGCTAATCTCGTGAGTTGCAAGCTCATGATGAGTATATCGAAATGACCTGTAAAATGCTCGTGGTTCCATCGCATTGAGCTGTACTATGGAATTATAAGATACGTCACAGCGTTGAGGTATTGAGGAGATAAATACCTTTCCAGCTCTCCCAGGAAAATCAAACGCAGTCCACCCCTAAGAGCCTACATGTGAGCTTGGACATAAATGACACATCATTAGATGTACATTTATCTCTGTCACAGGTCCCAAGTCTTTCAGACGGTTATCGCTATCTACACGAACCGCAAGGAAAGTCTCCACCCGATCCGCGCCCAGCTTATGCTGGCAAAACATAGATTGAGCTTGACCCCTCGTGTCTAAAAAGTGCTTACACCTACATTTAGGACAGCGTCAATCATGACGTCAATTCCGTTCGCTTTTGCGACTGAAATGGCTCTCAAAAGTTCCTGTTTAGTGCCCCACCTGGTGCTAACTGAGCCCTTCTGTTCGAACTCCCCAAGGTCCCACTAAACCAGCTTGAGATCAAGAACAGATGAAGGATCCGTCGAGAAAACTAACCAGGTCATAAGCGTCATATCCTTGCCCGAGCTACATGACACCGCGCATGAATTATGGAAGTAATGGATCGACCAATGACAATTCTACCTGGTGCGTTGCCTTATTGGGTGGAGGAAGCCAAACCTGAGTGACACCCAGATCCGCAAGGTTGGGCACCTCCTGTTCAAAATGCGCCCACCAGCTCATATTAGGGTGCAGGGTGTCCCACGTAAAGAATTGGATCTTGTTCAACATTAGTACAACTACATGCGTCGTACACAGCGGCGAATTAGCGCGACCTACCATCAGGCTGTTTCGAGAGTTTTTCCGAGGACCAAGATCCATCTTTGAGAGTGATCCATCCAACCTATTCGAGGTGCCTAAGTGATGCCATGGTATGCATTTTATGACCATCGCTCGCGAGGCGGCCAGCGACGTGTAGTAATGCTGGTTGGCTGGTGAAGTAGTGACCAGGAGCGTCATGGCCTGCCACTGGCCTGCCTAATCTAGACATATTCGAACTCCGCCAGTGACCATATAAAACTTTTTCGAATCTCTTTCCACCTTCATCCCATCCTTCACGGTCATCGTGTATCCTCGCTAGCGTTCCGCTGGAATACGGGTCATGAATCATGATCAGTAGATATGCATCTTTATTCTTGTGAGGGATGAGATGGATGGCCTCCTTAATCGCTCTGATCACGCTTCATCTACGTCGATACAGAGTTTCATGACGTGGCAACATTTTCTCTTAATATACCGGTTGCTTTTATCTTCTCCATGATGTTCAACTTGACCAGTCTCATCACTGGCAATAGAGTGAAGTATGTTGGTAAGTTTACGGGCATCGTTTAGAGCCGCTCTTTTGCAACTCTCCTAGGTGAGGTTCAGATTCCACGAACTTAGCTTCACGTCGGATAATTTGGCAAGATGAAACTTCATTGTCTCAATGACAATGAACAATCGTACATAGTGGATGTGCTCAACATCTTCGAGATTCTCAGCGTTGCTTCAATGTCCCAGCATAATTAAATATTAAGCATTTTTCAGGACTCGATATTGAACAAACGTGAAGGGCCTGATTATCGTTTCCCGAAGACTGCAGAGGATATCGAATTGGCGGCCTTGCCGAAGATTGCACGCTGAGGAACAGGTCCGGTATCCTTCACAGGCGAAAGTTCCCTAGGGATTCCCAACATATCCCCGTCCTAGGAGGAGGAACGGTTGTTAGGCAATATGATAAGATTCAAGATGTAGAACTTCACTGACCTCGTTAAACCCCCAATCGAACGTCTGAGGCTGAGCAGAACTGAAGGCATTGAGCTTACGCATCTTCTTTTTCTTTGGCGCCGGAACATCCTTCTCTGAATCGCTGTCGACTTCAGGCAGCTTGCTCCCTGCTCGAATCGACGGTTTCCGCTTGCCCTTCACGTCTGTCCCCGCAGCTTTGATCGCAGCTTTCTTTTGAGGTACAGTGTCCTCACCGGCCGACTCGTCCTCGATAGGAACCTTTTTGCCGCGCTTCGGTTTCCTAGAGTCCTCAATTACTTCAGATCGTTTCTTCCCCTTCCTATCCTCGGGGCTTGCACTTGTGTGGGTCGCAGCGCGCTTGCGCTTTGCTTTCGGCACGGGAGACGCAGTTAGAGGATCTTCTGTGTCAGCTTGCGTCTGACGTTGCGGTTTCTTCGAGCTGCCTGCAGCTAGTGGAGAGTGCGCATTGTCTGAACCGCTATCCTCTAGCAGATTGCCACGTTTGTGAGAGCTTTCTGCTATAGTGCTGCTTTTTGGAATCACTGCCTTTGAATGTGCCGGCTTAGGCTTTGCGCGATTTATCGAGGCTGGTTTCGAGGCGGGCTTGGTTTGGACGGGTGCAGGGTGGCTATCTGACACCATTACAACATCTGAGTCCGAATCCTCCGGTGGGGGATTTTTCTTCCGCTTTATATGAAGTTGGAAAGTAAGCACGTGTCGTCATTCAGAAGAACGCACCTACACTAGACGATTGCTTAGTTTTAGGGCGCTCGGCTTCCTGGGTCTCTGCCTGAGAGGGTTTCAGATACAGATTTCAAACATCGGGAGAAGATGGCTTGTCTACCTTATGTTTGCCCTTGACGTTTGAATCGCCGATCGGCACCTTATGTCGTAGCTCGTCCAACTGTTCTGATAACTTTGTATTGCTGCGCTCCAATTCTCCCTTCGTCTGTTTCAAATCGTCAAGTTCGTGCAAGAGTCGCTTGGAGGTCTTCCTAGCTTCTTCGTAGTTGGCCTCAGCTTCTTCGAGCCGTTGCTTTGCTGATAGTTTAGCGCTGGATACAAAACGTAGCAGATGAGTGACTTACTGCATGCTCCTCCAAAGACTGTCTCAACTTCGCCACCGCTTTGCTTTGCTTCTCAGAAGCTTTCTCACTCAACTGTTCCAACTCGCCCATCTCTCCCTCAAGGGTTTTCACCTTGATTTCCAGTTCGATCTTCTGCTTCCGCATCACTTCTGCCTCTTCACCGCCCTTGTTTTCGAGCGTCTGCCATTTGTCCAACTGCGACTTCATGTTGGAGTTCGCCGTCTCGAGGTCAGTCTTGATACGTGCCATCTCGTCTTGCGCTGACTGAGATGTCTCAACTTGCAGTGTTGCTCTGTCAAGTTTGGTGGTAAGGGTGGCGATTTTGGCGTTGAGAACAGGCTCATTCTGACGCATACGAGATACTTCTTTCTAGAGGGCATTGAATCTGGACGCGATCCAAGAACAATCAAGAGCTACGCACCTCAACAGCCTCCTTGGCTTTCTCAGTGACGTCGAGCTGTTCCGCCTTCTCTTTTAGTTCTGCTGTAATCTCGGCGATCCGCAACTTCAAACCCTTGACCACCTCAGTATGCTGCTCTGCGACACCGGTCAATATCTCATCTAGCTCGTCGTTCTTCGTTTCCAGCTCGGTTTCTTTGACCTGAAACATCGTGAGCCTAAAATCCCTTTGCAGTCGTGCAAGGCGCTCTTTACGCGCATTGCTACGTTCCTTGAGCACGTTCAGACGCTCGTTCTCGAGCATGACCGTCGTCCGTAGGTGAACGATGCGATGGCATGCCTGCAGTGAGTCGCATCCGTCGATCCATTCCTTCAGCTCGGCTTTGAATTTCGTGTGAACGTCCTGCATTTCGCCGTCGTGGAGTTCGCGCTTGTGCGCAATCTCATCCTTGAGGAGCTTGTGAGTCTGTTCGAGGGAACGATTCTTCTGCACAAGTTCATCAATATGCTTTTGTTGTGATTTTATCATGGCCTCGTGCGGGACGGAGGAGGGCGTAGAACGGATGGGAGTCGGTCCTTTGCGAAACATTATGATAGACAAAAGTCACAAGATGACTCTATGTATTTAACTCGACAAACTAGAAGAGAGGGCAGAAGTTGTTGTACGGCGTGGTGAGGACTAGGATATTTAATTACACCACCTGAGGGACAATGGCCTAACCACCTTTTAGCATGCGTGCCCAGATTGTCGACAATGGCCTACGATAGCAACCCGAGCTTTGGTAGATCTCTCTGAGCGGTTTGTCTGTCGTGGAGAAGTGCGGGCAGGTGACGGTAAGAAGGAGGGTCGGGGACGGCAATAGTGGCTTCAGAGAGAAGTGGCGTCCGCATTTGAGTCATACAATCTAGAACTCTTCAAACATCTTCGAACATGTCGCCCAGTCGACCTCCTACCAATACTAAAGTCCATGTTCCCCGTCATAACACAGCTCGCATCGGACCTGCGCTGACGGCCCAAATCACATCACTCGCCACGGAGCAGGGTATCAGAACAGATCTACGACAGTCGAACCATGATCCATCAAGCGCCATGGCTCTCGCTATCGTTAGCCCTTTTGACCATGGTAATCCCCACTGATAACAGACTGATTCGTTCCCCTGATTCCAGGAAAGCGCATCGGATTGGAACTCACGATTAATTGCAGCACGGGCGGAACGTGGTCCCCAATGGGATGTTGGAACACAACAGTAAGAAGACATATTCCATCACCTTTACCATCTCCAATTTTTGGCTTCCACAGATTTCACGTAGACGAGGAGTCCGACCTTTACTATGATCCCACACCTCTGTACGAATATTTGAAGGAAGAGCGGGAAGAGAGCGCTCAATCATCAGATCCTGTTCACCATGAAGGTCCTACGCCTCTCATGGCCCATCGCCAACTGCAATCTAACATCAGTAATCAATATTCCATGAACGGCATGGGTGTTTCATCCTCGATTGCAGCTTCCCCTAGACATCTGGGCGGGCCTATGGGCACCCCGCATGGCGGGTCGTTTGCTGCTATACCTCCTACTCAGTTCTATGGCACTGATCGAGGATCTCCAATGGTACCACGAGGAGGCATGATTATGGACGGGATAGGTATCACTCCTGATATTAGGAGGAGAATGTAGGCATCGCAGCGTGTATCTCTAGGTATCCTTTTATTCCCCTGTTATTTCCGCTCGCTAGCGCGCTCATCGTATGCCGAATGGTACAACTATTCATATAGTGGATGAATCTGATCCAGAATAGTCAACGGCCAAAATACGGTGGCTTCTGTTTCATTCTTGAATTTGTGATCTTTACAAGGGTTCTCGGGCTACGATGTATCTCTGTCACTGTGACCATGTGTAAACAATCCGTTCATGATGCATGAGCTAGTTTTTGCCTGTTGAGATTACAGTCCAGGAAATCGAAGGTGCAAGGTGTAATGCAGGGTAAACAAAAGACAACAACGCGTACGCGCGCCAAGTCAACTTCACTGAATCACTCGGACACAACTCCAAACAGTCGCTATAGACGTGCCTTGCCATTGAGATCTCTAAGTCTGTTTATAAATTGCAGGCATTCTCATATTTGATTGCGATTTTCAAGTGATACATCATCTAGCAAACCATGTCATCTGACGAAGAATCTCCAGACCATAACAGGCCGCCTTCAATCCCAGATCCTCAACCTCCTCTCACTGCATCGTACACCTATCATTCCCCCACTCCTACCGCTAAAGGGCCTTATGTTCTGGGCGTAGATGAGGCCGGAAGGGGACCGGTTCTCGGGCCTTTAGTGTATGGCGTTGCCTACTGCCCCGCTGCCTATGAGGAGCGGCTTAACGAGATGGGTTTTGCTGGTATGTTTACTTCGAGCATCGATCTTCTATCAAAGCTATAAGCCTCAAGCCACTCAGATTCAAAAACTTTGAACGCTCAGACGCGCTCAAATCTGTTGAGATCACTGAGCGGGAGCCCTGCGAACCTAGGGTGGTCCGTGAGGGTCGTCAGGTATGCTTCCAACGTACATCGAGGCTTCGTATTCAAAGAGCTTGATCGTGCTGCATTGTCTAGCCCGCAGGCCATCTCAAGTGGGATGCTCCGTCGTCCACCGATCAATCTCAATCGACAATCTGAAGATGCTACTATCCTTCTCATTCGCGAAGTCCTGCAAAGCGGACTCGAGTTATCTGAGGTCCCTCTTCGTGCCGCCTTGTCTCGTAGTTCCATTCTCATACCGTTTAAAGGTGTACGTTGATGCACTTGGGCCAACAAAGGCCTGGGAGGCGAATCTTTCTGCTCAATTTCCTGGTATCAACTTTACGGTCACCGCCAAAGCTGATTCAAAATTCAAAATCGTGGGTGCAGCAAGCGTTGCTGCCAAAGTAACAAGAGACGCGTGGATTGAAGGGTGGGTATTTGAAGAAAGCGCACCAGGCGTGCCAGATGATACCATGACCGACGGCGCCAAGAAGGTACCATGGAGCCTCCAGCTTGGTAGCGGCTATCCTTCAGGTATGTGGCTTGTGATGTATGTACTTGAAAAATTATTTGACGAACGCGTCTAGATCCTAAAACACAGGCATGGATCAAATCATCGCTCGACAAGACTTTTGGGTTCCCTTCAATAGTGCGCTTTTCCTGGACAACGGTTAAGGTCGTGCTCGAGAAAGACGGGCATGCCTTGGAATGGTCTGCCACGCTCAGTTGAACGTCTTAACCGCATATTTACCATTGATTGATCAGGATCGACGATGGTCAAGCATCGCTCGTCAAGGCATTTGAGAGCGAGACGGGGCGGGATAAAGACCGTTCTGCCGTAACAAGAGATCTATGCCTAAGTAGCGTTGGGAGTTTCTGATAATTACTATGAGGTTGATGTTAAACTAGTAGTAATGGTGTTGGTTTTTCGTGTCTCATCTATATGGTAGCTGCATTAGTTCGATAACTACCGATATTTTGAGACTTCGCATGACCTGGAGAACAAACAGCTATTCAATTGCCACATCTGCTTACTGGGTTCGATGAGTTGCCTGATACTACCTTGTGCAACTAGCAAGGTCGTCAATGATATGTTCTGGCGTGATATTCTCTATAGATTTCCGTACATCGCTTACCATGACATAAGTCCGTGGGCGGGCCACGCTGATATCTATCCCTTACAGTACTGTTGTTACAGAACAAAAAACTATCATCATTATACAACACACAAAGCCAATCCGTACTCACAACATCAAGCGTTCTTGAGGGCCGAAAAGCTGTTTAAAGTGTCTTCGGCATAATCAGAGTGAGTAACAGTAGTGGATATAGATCCGAGATCGTGAATGGATGTTCAGATAAACAAGTCACAGGAGCGAGAAACCAATTAACGCCTCTTCGGCGGTGGGGTCCCAGCTGCTTCGTCCCCAGCTTTTCTCTTTGTTCCGAAGCCGAAAGCGACCTTGGTTCGATCCCCGTTTACAGGCGTACCGTGGCCTGATACACTCTCTGTGACTGCACCAGCGCCAATTCTCGAGAACCCAGGTCGGGGGGCTGGCGAGCTCGTCTCGTGCGGGCCGACGGATGCAGGACTCGCGCTCGAGCTTAGATTGTGCGAGAACTGTGGCGCCGGAAGAGTGATGAACCCGTTGTCCAAAGTCTGTGGGGCTGAAGACTTATTCCCATCCTTTTTCTTGCCCTTCGACTTCTCCGTTTTGCCCTTGGATAAGGGCTGTGGGTCAAGAAACTCCGCGGCTTGTGGGACGGCACTGTGATAGGCATGAGGATTGCTTGATGGTGACGTAGGAAACGACATACCCCCTGTTGCCCACCGACAGTACGAAGTGAGCTTGACCTGTCTTTTCCTGGCGTCTTTGAAAGGCTTCGTTCATACCAAGTGGTGTGTCGCCACTGATCATGGCCTCTTTCTTCTTTTCTTCCGCAATTTTCTTCAATCGTTTCTCCGTCTTCATCCTCCCAGAACCCTTGCCGTGGAATTTGTGCGACAACGCCTTCCATGCTTCCTTGGGTGTCAACGAGCGCCCAAACTCGTCGTGATAGACGATGTTGACATCCGGCTTGTAGTTTTTGAACGCTTCTAGGTTTGCGCGCGCCTCTTGCTGCTCGCGCATACGGTTTTCGTATTCGCGCTGCGCCTGATCCTTGTTACTTCCTCGAGACCTGAGCTTCTCCATTTCGTTTTCTGCTACACGCCGCCGTTGGGAAGCCAACCAGACGTCGCGCTGCAACTGTATGCGTTCCCGTTCCGTTTGATCTGCCGAAGGTGTTGCGAGTATTCCCTGCTGTCGAAGAATAGTGAGCGTCGAAGCCATGCCTGTGCTGAAATTCTGCTCGGTCGATGTCCCAACATCCAGATCGCCATTTGCCGCTTTCGCTATTTCCTCGGCCTCGGTAGCCTGGATAAGATCCTCGATGGCGTTTAACATGGCTTGTTCATCCTCCTCATCCTTGACAACAACTTCTCCTGCTTCTAGCTCCTCAACAACGTCCATGGGTACGCTAGTAGGCGGTGTGGGCTCGCGAGGGGCCGTCGTTTGTGCTGTTTGCTGATCCTCCCTCTTGACTACCACGGGATCATGAGTGATACCGCGAACAAATTCGGATGTGTCATCAAAAATAAGGCCAGGACCGTCCCCATCATCTACCTTTATGATTTCTACGCCGTTGTTCTGTTCTGTTCGTGCCCTTTCCTGATTGACTGAAATACAAGAATAAGATAATTGTTGTTGATGCTGGTCAATAGACGCACTTTTTCTGGCGATTTCCTCGGGCGAGACCTTTTTGGCTTTGATCTTTACCCTTCTTGACTGCGCAAGCGCGGCCTGAAGCTCATCGTCATCAACGAAATTGACATTCAAATCACGCTCCACAGGAATGATAGATGTTGAATCGACTTCCATGTCATTCACGGTGATGGGAGCAACGTCCGACTCGTCCGGAATCCTCCTTGAAGGCCGCTTCTTCTTAGTCTGCATATGGTTTTGTTTAAGAACATAACGTCAGAGCACGGTAGATGATATATACATGCCTTGGGTTTTTTGAAGCCGACATCGCCCTTCTGTAAATAGTCAGCAATTTCGAGGTTCTCTATATACGATTTGTCAGGGAGATTGTCATTTGCAATGAACAGGCACAGATTGCGTACTGGCGTAATCGATGGAGAGAAGTGATTTCTTGACGACAATGGCAGCCTGCCCCTGATCTTCTCGTGTTGACTTATTGACGAAAGACTGTGAGCTCCCTAAACGGAAACCCTGCATAGCATACAGTCTGAACACAGACAACGAAAACGAAACGAGGGCCGACTTACCGACTCCTTGGGGCCTTCCAAGAACTCGTCATACTTCGACAGAACTGCACGCTTCATACCCTCTCGGCCGTCCACGAACTCTTCGTCGTCGTACCCCGTGTAATCACGATTCTTGACTTTAAGCTCGTTTCTCTCCTTTGTCCGCTCATGTTCAGCCATCTCGACGTTCTGTAATTCATCCTCTGCGAGAGATGCCAAGGATCAACATGCGATCACCACAACAGCTAAAGGAACGACACTCACCTTCGTTATCAAGTATACGGCTGTCTTTGAGTGTGAGTATCCGGGCTTCACCGTCTTCCAGTTCGTCGAAGTCATGGCTGACCTTAAGCCCTGCGAGGTCCTCTGTATCCCGAGTAACATCAGCAACTGTCCGCATTAAGGGAAGCACGCGACGCACTTTCTGTATAATCAGCGCCCTGGAATACTTGATCCATGCTCTCGAGCTCAGCCTGCCGCCTTTTGGCCAGCTCCTTCTCCCGTTTCTTAGCTCTCTTGATCCATTTCAGGGTGTCGTCTGTGTCCGCATCGGCGTCACCAAGTGTGGCTCCTTTCAGCGATGTATTGAGCTCCTTCTTATTTCTCACCCTGGAGAGAGGGTCACGTAAGCAACTGTGCTTATCCAGATATCACAACCTGGGGTCGCCTGAAAGCCCAAGCAAGGTAGAAGCAACTGATGGGCACATAGCAAATAAAAACCACTTACTTCGCGATGCGATCCCTGATTCTCCTAGAAAGACGCAGAGTATGGTTAGAAACGAGATAAGAACATGAGATATGACGAAGAATCACTTTTCTTCCTTGGCCTTCGCCTCTTGTTCGCGCTGACTGGCGTAGTTCTGCTCAGCCTGCTTCTCCTTGTCGTCTACCGGGGCGCTATCATCGGTCAAAGGCTTGAGACCGAGAGAGATACGGATTTTGTTTGTCTCTTCGAGACTGATACTTTCCTCCATGTTGAGTACGTTTATCAGAGAAGGAGAGAGCTGGAAGTAGAGTTGAGCAAGAGAGAAGGCTAATGACGCTTTGTCAACTGAGCAGACTGCTTGTTTGGTCACGTTTGTTGTATCGGCCCGGCCCGTGCACTCCGGTTTGATCTCGCACTCGAGGCAGTGCAGTATTAGTACTTTGTTTTACTTGTGCATGCAAGACCCTCATATGCCGTAGCGACGTAAGGGCAACTATATGTTACGTTGAGTAGGGAGGCATCAATTACGTGGATGTATGAAGTTACACAAATGAGTGATAGCGTGGAGATGGGGCGACACATGAGAGGCAAGTTAATCTTAGGAGATACTGTGAAGATCAATCGTAGAATGAGTAGCATCTGTAGATGATGTAAAGTGAGCCTCAAGCCAACTTTGCACCTTGACTTTCCGGCTCTTCAGAATGCAAAAATTCGGGGACATCACGAACCAATACCTTAAAATATTTTGAGCAGTCACACACTGGGACACATGAACATGAACGTACAATGATGACCTCGACAGCAATGAGAGCTATAATGACAAGTTCCATCCGAGCGGCAGAGGTCTAAAACAAGATGAGATGTAATATTCACATCATTAGAAATTGAACACACCTCCGTCAGGAGCTGCCGCAACACTGATTGCACCTGCGAGAGGATTAGCTTTCATGCCTCGATCTTGCAAAGGGCTGCACTGGTACCTCGGCAGCGTATGTGATCTTTTCGTTGACTGATCGTATGCGCGCTCTCACTTCCAGCGCATTACTGAGAGAATTGAAGTAGCCTGAACATTTGTCAGCCGACACGGTAGACACGAGGCGAAGTGACAAACCCTCAAGAACAGGTTCTGCCCAATAGAAATCCGGAGTATCGTAGAAGTTTTCCCGATTCAGGTTTAGGCCTTGACGGAATTTGAGGAGCTCTCCTAATTTTTGTACAAGGGCTCGACGTCCTAGCCCCGGCTTCCCAGTGCGTTGGAGAGACAGAGGGAGAGAAGATACAGAAGACAGATAATTCTCTAATGACACCTCGAGCGCTGAAAGGGCAGTAGAGCGTGAGAGTGCCTGAGAAAACGCGTATCGTGCCAGCAGAGTCTCCTGATCGAAAGCAGACGCAGGAAGCGAGCTAGGCAATACATCTGGAGTGCTTAGGGAGGGACTACCGCCTAGAATGATGAGGTCCCCTTGCAAACGCGTAATTCTATCGAGGCGATGGTAGAAAGTCGGGATCAGCCAACGAGTATGTAGATGACCTTGACTTACTCTGAAGAATCTGTCACAAACTCGAGCTCTTCCGTCTCCGCCTCCACCAAGGGGGCGACCTCAGCCTCTGAGCGAGCGATCACTTCTTTTTGAAACCTCTTCGCATCCTCTTCCGAAAGACCCCAACATACAAAGCTCCCATTCCCAAAGACGAATACCTCACCTTCTTTACCCTCAGCGCCCCATTTCGGCACCCAGTACGCCTCATGCAATGGCCGCGCGGTAGGCGGGAGACGGTGTCTCAGACGCGTCAAGATGTATCGTTCAGCAGTGGCAAGCGTCGAGATCGGCTGTATATCACTCCGCGTGGGTTTAGGATTGGCACGAATGGGGAGGGATTCAGAGGCAGTTCTTCGAAGAGGCGTGAAGGCTTTCGGTTTTGTCTTCATCAGCGATTCATCATCAGACATACTGCGCACTCCAGACGCGAATCCTCTTTGCGATGGAAGGCATCGGGGAACAGTAATCCGTTTAACCAGCGATGCGGTCGTCTTGGATGAGAAGCCCCGGAAGAGAGATGAAGAACGTTGCATGCTGGCCTGTGGTGTCTAGAAAGCAAAGAGTGCACCGGAGTTGAATCGACGGCCGGGTTTTTGAGCTCGGAAGAGGTTCAAGAAATTGGTGCCAGACGTGGATACTCGGCAGAAGCAGGCGATGTGTAAGATGCTTTACGTCATAGACAGTAAACTCGGTGAAGTCGCCGAGTCGCCGGCTTCGGAATTGACATCGATCCGTTTGATGATCGACCATCCTGACAGCAAAGATTGCTAATCCGAGAGCAAGCTGCATACATTATACGCGGTCTAGAATTACTTTTATGAGGTATGGCTAGACAAGTAAACACTATGGCGAAGTCTGAAGGAAGGTCGAAGCAACCTAGTGCAACAGAGTGCGAGTAATTCATGACATTTCAACGTCGTTGTCTGAATCCTCTCCTTCCGCATCTTCCCAGTCGTCATTGTCGTCTGCCTCCTCTTCCGGTGATGGCCGAATACCCAACTCTTCCAGCTTGGTTATCAGCTCATTGACATGATCTAGTAGAGGTCGATCGGGATGCTCCTGATTGACGTGAAGCTGCATCATGACAAGTAAGGGCAGGAAGACAATTTGGAGGGCAGTGAGGCGACATACTACTTTGCAAGTCTCTAGACAATCTCTCGAGTCCCTCCCTAGATCTTCCCAAGACATGTCCTCTAATTTGCCCTCTTTTTCGTGAGCTTGCTCGGCCATGAGGAAGAAACACCACCCTTCGAGGTACCACGCCTCGACTTCCTCATCATCCGCAGCCATGATGCCATGGAGAACCAACAGCGCAGGCGTGTATAATGAAAGCTCGAGGAACAGTTTTGTCAGGCCGAGCCGGCTGGGTATTGGTGGCAGCTTGGGGTCATCTGAGATATGTTCAAGTCGATTGAATGTTGTGCGACAATTCGGAAGGCTTACCGGCCTCTAAGTCCTTCCATGATGACCATGCCTTCTCTAGCATCGCCTTTGCGTCGTCAGGCCGTTGTTGCGACATGCGAACGGAAGCGAGAGCTTGCAATGCCTCGTTATTCTCCGGGTCCGTCTGCAGCGCCAAGTTTAAGAGGTCTTCACAGGTCTTTTCTGCTGCGGGATCAAAACTGGGCCACGATCAATACTTTGGTCGGTCGATCCTGTTCTGAATAAATCACTGACCACAGATCACACGCAGGATCCATCCAAATCTCGACTTGGCCAATGAGAGCGCGTACGATTGTGGTTTTTATCTCTTGTTCATCGTTTTTAGAGGAGGGGCTGTCCATGGCGCGCTCCTTGCCTTTCAGCTGGGCGAAAAGTATGTCTACGGCTGCGCTGTAGTGCTGCAAAGCCATTTGTGGATCATCGCTGAGCTGAGCGAGATAGAGATGTGCGGCCGGCGGTGGTGATGGTGGTGCAACGGGGCTTGGAAAGAGCAGAGATTGGAATGTCTGATCAAGTCATTGTATGTTACAGCATGCTTAATGCCCACAACATGCAGAAGACTCACCTGCTTGGCCGCATCAAGATCACCCGTCTCGAGCTGCACCACACCCTGTATTTCGAGAGCCTCCGCATTATTTGGCGCGCGCTCCAAGGCGCGCACGATAAACCGACCCGCAAGCTCGTAATCGCATTGCACGATCAGATCCTGTGCTTTTTCTAGGAGAGCGGAGATGGTTGGTAGGGGATTGTTAACTTTCTCCTGCACTATCTCGGTCGTAGGTGGGGGCGCTTTGCGTGTCTTTGTTCGAGTGCGGCCCATGCTTAATGAATGGCGGCGATCGCTGTTGTGCAAATCGTGCAATGCAAGTCGAGCCTTGGGAGAACGGGGGAAGCCTCAAGACGCCGGCGGGTCCGGGTGCCGTGCCGCGGCACCACTGATAACCTTGTTCTAACTTTTCGACGAATACTTCTTATGCACAAAATGAGATACCTACTGTACTTTGTGTGGCTCGGATGCAATCAGGTCTGACGCTTGAAATATAACGATGTGTCTTTCCTTGCGCATCGTTTCCTTAGCTTTTAGCCTACAGTTGAAGACGGCATTCTACACGAGGCTTCGGCGATGTCTCAGTGCTGGTTCCAGCCGCCACCGGCAGCCTTCCGGTCTGAGATAGCATTCAGCACTAATAGCATTTTAGTCTCCCTTCGACCCTTCCACCATCATGTTCTCTTCATTTTTCTCGTGAGTCCAGACTGACCTGATATTGTATATATCTTGACATATCTACAGAACTTCACCCCCTGTCGATCCGACAGCTCCCAACTTCCATCCCGTCTCGTCGAGATTCGCAAAGGATGAGTTATTTGGGGAGCTCGAGCCGAAGGACACTGAGTGGACATGCGCTGGTGGGTTCGCAACCGAGACACAGATCTGGTACAATATACTAGAGGATGGCACATCTGTCATGTGCCAGGTTATCCATTCTTCCATCGGGTGAGTGCTGTCATTTTGAAGGATGCTGTCGAACTCCAACCCTGATATCATCGATCTCAGAGTTTGGTATCCCACCATCCAGTTCACCTGCAAGATCTTCAATCCCAACACCGGAGAGAAAGTCTGGCGATCAGTCAATGTCTCCAATTTTGTGACGCCGCCTCCGGGTCTGGACAAGCGATCAAGCAAGGCCGACCAGTTTACCATCACTCATAAATCGGACCCCGACTCTGACTTCCCTGAGTCTTATACCCTCTCCGTAAACCTCTCCACCGACTTCCAAATTTCTCTCAACGTACGCCGCCCTGCATCCGTCCCGGGGTACAAAGTAGGTAAGGGACCTGAGGGAGGGTTCTCATACTTTGGTCCGGATTCTGCAAAAGCAGAGGGCTATGTCATTCATCGATTCTGGCCTCGCGATGTCGGTTCCGGCCACATCATCTTGAACGGCAAGGCGATCACTGTCGAGGGTCCAGGCATGTTCGTCCACGCCATCCAAGGGATGCGACCGAACCTCGTAGCTGCGCGCTGGAACTTCGCCCACTTCCAAAGCTCCCAGCACGGCGGCGTGTCTGCGATCCAGATGGAGTTCACTACGACCGATGCCTACGGGCGGAAAGGGGCTGGGTCTGGGTATGTGACGGCGAACGTAGGTTCGCTCGTCATCGGGAACAAGCTGGTGTCCGTTACGGCGGAGACGAAGTGGCCAGATGAGGAGCAGCCAGAGAAGCCGGATGTCATCTCGCGTGCGCTGCATCTTAAGTCCGCTCATGACCCTGACACGGGGTATGCACAGCCCACGGAGCTCGTTTTCCGGTGGGCAGGCCCATCATTGCTCCTGGATGCTCCCGGGTTGGTTGATGCAACGCTCGCGGTGAACGTCGGTAACCCCACGTCCCCTCAAGGCCTGATCGAGAAAGTCGATGTCCTTGCGGAGATCCCTGGTGTAGTCAAAGCTGTCGTGAGCTATGTCGCGGGCACCAAACCATACATTTATCAGGTAAAGAATTATCTAATATCCGCAATAACACGAGTTGCTTATGTGCTCCTTGCAGTGGATCAATCCAGCAAAGCTCATCGTCACTGGCCCAGATGCAATCGTGCCGGGGCTGTCTGGAGGTCTGGAGGTGGACGGTCATGTGTATAATGAAGCAACGTTCATCTCAGCTTGAGATTGTAGTCCTGTAATTCCGCCCTGTATCATCTTGCATGTCTGCGCCCATCCAGTAGCTGCTCTCGAATATAAAGCACAGTATCTGTCTCTTCTCGGTCTGTGCCGTTCATGTTCTCCTCGTATGAGAGATTTGCAGCTGAGAACGTTTCGGCCTGCACTCGGGGCGGTATACGCGTCTACCCTTGCCGCGGCATGTGAGTCAAAGGGCACATGCCGACACGTAACGGTGCTTCGGGCGGACCCGATAGTAGTGCAGCATTGATATTGGCCATAGACCAAGTTGTGTTCACAGCACAACATGAGCCATGTTTCGTCTATTGATTCGTCAAATCCTACACAGGCCGATTCGAAATCAGGCTTTAACTCGCAGCTTCAAGAGGTCTCGCTCCTCGTCGAACCAGGCTCCTCCCAGATGCTGTTCTCAAAGGAGCCACCTGTGCATCCCGATCCGCGCTTCTCCTGCTCTCCTCCAGATTGATTCCTCATGTCGTTTCAGGCAGTTCAGCTACGGCGGGAACGGAATATGGGTTCCCATTGCCTCCTTTCACTCGACATCGCGGAAAGAGGCACTTCCATTTGTTTCTCTTGTTGCGTTATTCAAGGTAAGTGCGCCCGCCCTCGGTTCGATCGGTTCTCTTTCCTAGTCGCTTCATTGATCCTGCCAAGGCATCAACTGCCCTAGAGCTTGCGCGCACAGCTGCGCGAATAGCGTTCACGTTCATACCCGTCATCCTTGTGAAGAACCACAGGACCCGCAAAATATTGAAGCATGTCGAGGATGCAAAGAAGAAGGATCCAAACGCTGTATTTCCCGCTAGGTTTGATAAACTGGTTGAGAATAAAGGAGACGTTCTAAGGAGGATACGCAAGAGGACCATTCTCTTTCATGGCCTGCTGTTCACTCCTATTTTCCTTTTCTGGGCAGCCATTGTCGCAAGCCTAGAGAGAACACCTCTTACCGGACGGTACGTACACATAACCATGACTGGCGATCTTTATTGACATGAATGATACGCCTTAGATGGCGCTTAATATTGTTGTCACCAGAGGAAGAACAGGACATTAGCTCACAACTCGCTGGCTCAGGATGGTACCAAGCAGTGGGTGAAATTATCGCAAAAGATGGTCCCCCGAAAATCATCCCTCCTAGTGACTGGCGATATGCATGGGTCCGAGATACTCTCCGTGCTTTGGAGACGGCGATTCCTACGTTAGGGATTGAGCAAGCTTTGGAGCCCGCGTGGCTTGAGCGGGGGCCAGATGACGTCCCATTACCTCCGCCCGCAAAGTTCCCTCTCCGGCCACGACCCCGCGCGTCTGAATATATACACTGGGTGTGTCAAGTCACAAACTCCCGGCCTGTGTCGTCAATCCCACATATCATCCCAGGTCCCCCATATTCTCTCATCGTTGTCGATAACCCAGATTCATGCAATGCATTCTCATACGGCTTTGGTCCAGATGGGGCAGGTGGGATTGTGGTATTTTCGGGCTTCCTGGACCAAATCATGCGAAATCATCCACCATTGAAGCCGACAATAGCTTCCAACGTCCCTCGCTCAGAGGAGACGTCCTGGTGGTCTCACCTGTTTGGGAATCTCTTTGTCGTGACGCCACCCATAAACCAGTATCAACCCACATCCGAGCAGACCTCGGACCTCGCAATCCTCCTCGCGCATGAGCTTGCGCACCTCGTCTTATCCCACCATCTGGAGACGCTTTCTTCCAGGACAGTCGTTGTACCAGGCATTCTATCCATCTTCTCGGACGTCGTCCGCACGCTCATTTTCCCCATAACCATGTTTCTCGGGCCGTTCGTCAATGACGCTGTCGGGCAGCTTGGAACGGTTGGCTCTGGCGAACTCACCAAGCTAGGAGAGTACTGCACCAGCCAAAAGCAAGAAATTGAGGCCGACGTCGTCTCTGCAAGGCCAGTACACTTACACGCTAGCCCACTGCACTTCGGGTCGATGCTGAGTTTGGCTTTCCATATTTAGGTTGCTTGCCCACGCAGGCTTCGATCCTCGGAGAGCCGTGCAATTCTGGCAAAATCGCTCCGAAACACCAGCGACCGCTGAGTGTTCCCCCACTCTGGCCAAGGAGAAAGAGAAAACTGACAAGAAGCACAGCATGTTCCCGTTGGGGATCATGGGCTCTGGACATCCAATGAACGAGGTGCGCGTAGCGAAGCTTAGGGGAGAGATCGAGCGATGGCAGGAGGAGAGAATCAGAGTGCGTGCTGAGCGGCAACTCGGAACAGTTGGACCTTAGATGAATGCGTACCGAGTGTGGGATCTCTTCAGACTATTTATTTGTTTCATCTCTTCTATCTATGTCGACAAGAAAGCAAGCGTTACAAATGACGCTTCATTTTTCTTTGGATCTCTCTGTTCAAATTATTCACTTTGTGGTTTCCTTCTGGTCGGCGATCTTGCCGTTTCGTTCTATGTAGAGTACATACGATGTAACAGTAACTTGAGATATGTCAATATTCCACTCATCCATATGAGGACCTTTCGAGTTGTATCAAATTCTGCTCTGCATTTATCGAGCTGATGGATCTGTTAGAAAGGGGGTCGAAAGGATATCGGTTCGAATTGCAGGGAGACCACAATCATAAAGTATATCTATACTAAGAGGATATTGGACTATGAGCACAGAAAAAATATCAACAACTACGGAATCTACGGACTGGTCGACAAAAGGAGGGGCTGCTGCTCCGGGGAACGAATGTCGCTCTGCAGAGGCTTTCTAACCAGGTGAGCGGTGCGTGCACCATCATCTAACTCTACAATCTCCTCCACGATCTCATATCCACCCCATTTAGGGAGAAGAACAATCCACACATAGTAATACAAGCCACACAGCTGCATAATTAATGTCGTGAGTGATAGATTATGACAGGAAAGGAGATGGACATACAGCAAGAACGCCAAGGCCGACGACACAATACCTAATGTGCATAAGCGTTCATTAAATTTTGGAGGCGATCAATCAATGCTTGAGACGCACGTGGCATACCAGAAGGAAACATCTGAGTGTCCTTTCTCTGGGGGAACCCTGGTACGGAGAAGGTCAAGTGTTCGCTCGCGAAGGATGACTAAATGTCTCCACATACCATGGCATGACAAGCAAGAGGGTGCAATTCAAAACGTACAATATCACGGCAATATTCCAGACCTTAAACACCGGCTGGGCATGCCCTGCAGCCGCATAGCGTCGACGGAGAATCCACACACTGATCGCGGTCGCAGCAGAAAAAATCTATTGGTAGCCGAAGCGAAACATATCAGCACCATCATAGGCTCGTGCAATGAAGCCCTTGAGGAATATGCACCAAGTGAGGATAAGAAGCAAGATCGAGGAGGAAGTTGAACGCGTCTTTAGCAGGAAGTGCAAGGATGACCACGAGGGTGAGGAAGTACTTGAGTGCCACGGGCGCAAGAGGGGTGCCAAAGGGTTTTGTCGAGGCAAAAAACTCGGGATAGGGGAGGAGGCCTTGGCGAGCAACCTCCCGAAGGACACGAGCTTGACCGACTGTCTGCAGCAGGACGAGCTTGTTAATCAACAGGAAACCACGAGTCTCAGGTGTACTCACGACAGCAATCTGTAGCAAGCAGTGTTCAGATATTTCACCAAACAATCCTCGAAATATAGATGTAACGTTTACTGACAACATTTCCTACGCAGCTCAACGCTACCATGATGGGCAGAACCTTCGATGCCCAATGATCGCCATACACATGCTTGAAGAACAGCACAGCAACAAGCTGGCCAGACCCCTTGATTTCATCTGCTGGAACGGCGGCAACGTACGCGACATTTGTCAAGAAGAAGAGAATGGTCACAGTGACGAGAGAGATGATGCCCGCATTGCGTACAGTACGGACAGGATTCGAGCCTTGGACTTCATTCAGGACATTGAAGGCGTTCGACCAGCCGACGAATGCAAAGTTCGCTTTGACGAGAGCGGTGGCCAGTGCGTTGGGGTTCGATTTACTTCCCTGCCAGATGTTGTAAAAATTGGCAAAGGGGTCTGAGACCCTAGTATACCCAGCAAGTACCGCAACACCGGTCAGTGTGACACTGTAAAGAGTATCAACAATGGACATAAAAAATTATTAACCGTGTAGCAGGACTCACAATGCTAGAGACGCGACTTTGAAAGCAGTCAGGAGGTTCACAGCCCGAAGGGACCATTTCGAGGAAAGGCCAACGACTGGATCGTAGTGAGAACAAGCTGGGGAACATGAGATGGCAAGTTTTACCTCCTACACTAAAAGTAACCATGGCTATCGCAATGGTCGTCTGTCGGAATCCTGTCACCGGGATATCAAAGAGAGAGAGAACATATTGAGCAAAGACTACTGAGTTTGTCGCGCTGAATCTGAAGGAAAGGAAGAATATCAGCATGTATTTGTAAGGTAGCAGCCGAATGATACAAACGATGTAAGTACAGAGGTCACTGCAAAAGTGATTGGGACCAGGAAGCGCGGTCGAGGATATGCTTGCTCTAGATAGATGACCTCAGCGCCAGCTCTGTGTGGGAAGAGGCTGGCAAGCTCTGTGTACACAAAAAGAGCAACTGGAGAGACAGTTACGAAACGCTATTGAGAGTTCCAGACCAAGGACCTACCGAATGCAAACACAGGCGCAATGACCCAGAAGCTGAGAAGCAGGCCGACCGAGCCGACCGAGTTCAGTATGACTCCTGGGACAGAAAATATCCCAGAACCAAGCAATTGTCCTAAGTTCAGCATAACAGCAGAAGTCAGGGTGACCTCATGACCGAGTGGGTTTGTCTTCGTACAGATGTCAGTCAGTCATGAACTATCTGGAGAACGCAAGTCACACACTTTCTCGACCGGCGCGCCTGGGGCTAGCTCATCGTCGCTAACATCCTCTACTTCGATGTCCACGGCAGGGGATTTGGGAGAGCTGGAGGTGCTCCCGTAGTCCTGCGAGAGGGAGGGCATGTCGGTACACGATCATGCAAGTGCTGCGAACCCTTAAGATAGAACAAGTTAGATAGGTGACGAAGTCGATTATACATGTATGTTCGCACATGGATCACTACTGCGAAGTGTCATACAGCATAGCTATGGCGCCATCTGGTACGGTTTGGGCATTGTCGGGCATGATGCGTGATATACCATGTCCTGTTGAATAAGCTACTGGTAGCATCAGTCAGAAGCCTGTTTCAGACGAGCATGCACGAATAAGTCATCAATTGATCTCAAGAGACGTTCAAACAACGCCCTATCATCGTCGAGCATGAGCACACCGACGCGACATCGACGCGAATGAAGCACGTGTCACGTGAGAGTAAGACGTACAGTCCTCAGTCTTCCTCAGTTCACAAATTTTCAATCGGATTTTTCTGTCGATGAAGGCGATGAAATTCCTTTGGTACGTGCAGGTATCGAATTACGGAAAGGTAAAAAAAATCTCTACAGCATAAATATCTTCACAATCCACGACTTCACGCAGATGCCGCCGCATTGCACTGGGTTTGCTGGTCACCGCACGCAGTGACCGTCAAGGTACCCTTGTTGCCGGACGAGTTCGCAGCGTTAGCGCACTTGTTGTGCTGAACATCACTTTGAACGGCCAGATGAATTAGGATTTGGACAACATCACGGAGAAAGAAAGCGCATACCACGAACGAACGAGGGCATTCTGCTTGTTCTTGAAGTCGGAGTTCCCATCAACATGGAATGAACCATTTCCGAGGTCCGTCACAGTAGGCGCAGTGACACCACCGAGAGCACCCGTGAAGGTCTGAAGGTTGCCGCTGGTCGCTACAGCAGCGTTAGTGGCAGCGGCGCTGGCCTAAAGACCAAGGTTAATGCATGAATGGTAGAGGTGAAAAGTATGTCACTGACAGACGACGCGGCCGAAGAGGCAGGGGTCGTGGCAGCAGCAGCCGCAGAGGTCGTAACGACTGAAGCAGACGAAGCAGCAGCCCCCGAACCAGTTCCAGCAATGACGCGGCCTTGGTCATCGACAGAGGCAACGGCAGCAAAGTTGGTCTTGATGCCGAATACCGCATTGAAAGCATCGGCCTGAGCACCAGTCTTGGGGGTCTGGGCCTTCGAGGCAGTTGTCGCAGACGCACACGTCGCCTTTGCGGTAGCATCAGCACCGCACGAGTTAGTCAAGGTATCGCAGATAAACTGGGTAATGATGTCGATGTTCTGAGCAGAGCCGTGGCCGTATGAAGCTAACGATATACGTCAATCACACGATTCGTCAGTGATCAAAGAAAGTGACCCACTCCTGTCAACAGGCTCGAAGCTGGTCTCCTTGCGGTTGTCGAAGCCGGTAGCAAATTCAATCTGGGGAACGGAGCATTTGCCGAAGTTGCCAATGCCACCGGCAGAAGAAGCGGTGGTGGTAGCAGCCTGGTTGGCGCTCGCGGAAGAGCTGGCACTTGTTCCGGCGGCAGAAGAGGCAGAGGCAGAAGAGGCAGCGCCGGACCCGGTGCCGGCAATGACGTTACCCTGGTCGTCAACGGCAGCGACAGCAGCGAAGTTCGTTTTGATACCAAAGACAGCATTGAAAGCTTGCGTCATGTCAGCACGTGAGACACGACGATATGGAATAGCCAAGCCCACCATCAGCCTGAGCGCCAGTCTTCACGGCCTGACCCTTGGAGGCCGTAATCGCAGACGCACAAGTAGCCTTAGCAGTCGCATCGGCGGCGCAGGAGTTGGTCAAAGTATCACAAATGAACTGGGTGATGATGTCGATGTTCTGAGCAGAGCCATGGTTGAACGAGGCTGGAAATTTTAAGGTCAATTCAGCAGTCGAGGGCATGGACAGGAAGAGGCTCACTCTTGTCAACAGGCTCAAAGCTGGTCTCCTTGCGGTTGTCGAAGCCAACACCAAACTCGATCTGGGGAACTGTGCATTTGCCAAAGTTACCAATGCTACCCGCCGCGGCAGTTGATGCAGCCGCGGCACTAGAGGTCACAGCCGATGCAGCCGATGCGCCGGAGGCAGCAGTAGCAGTCACGATTGCTGTAACGGTAACCGCCGTCTGGGGTAGTCGTGTCAGACGTTTGTGAGCAGTGAACAGATGGACGAACGCACAGGACAAACATCAGACACGGCGTCAACATTGCCAGCAGAAGCGGTGACAGTAGCCGCTGCCGAAGTAGCAGCGGATGCAGCTACTGAGGTCACTGCTGAGCCAGAGGAGGCAGCACTGTGTTGAACAAAATCTCAACGCTCAATTTTTAAGGGAACGTGATTGTGATACGTACGCCGCACCACCAAAGGGAGAGGTGTTCGCCTGAGAGCCCTTCTTAACGGAAGCCTTGGTCGCAGGGTCGAAAAAGAGATTGGGGTCGTTGGCAGGATCTTGAGCTTGAACTAGACCATTGAGCTCCGTGTTCTTAGGCGCCTTCTGGCAGAAGACGGAGTTACGGTTCGTGGGGGGATTGGTCGTAAAATCCTGAAGACGATATTAAGACATGCGATTGCTTTCATCGGTTAACAGAGCGACTTACTGGGGGCGTATTCTTCTCTGCCTGGCGATACTCCTTAGCAAGAGCGACCATGTTGGCCTGGGTCGCAGCATCAAACTGCTTGGAAGCATCTAGGAGAAAAAGGTAAGTTACTGTAAGGACATATTTATTTCATGATGAACTAACCAATGATGGCATCCGCCATATCCTGCTGGGTGCACTCTCCTTGAGCAGCAAGGAGAGGGGTAATAGCCTGACCAGACAGGGTACCACAAACCTGGCCGGGGCAAGCGGCCGAGAGCTTGTCGATGACCGCAGGGTGCTCCTGGCCAAAGCGACGGGGGTTAAGAAGGACGGCACGATCGTCGCGCTCCATCCAGCGCATGCGACCCAGAGCGGGTTCGGAGAAGGTCAAGATGGACAAGGCCGCGAGGGCAACGAAAGATTTGCTGAGCATATTTGCAGGACCAAAAGAGTAAAGCAGGCGTGGAAAGACCGGAAGTGGATAGCAGAGGGAATGCAAAGAGAACTGCGTAGAGAGACAAGACCGCGATGGCCTAGAAAGAATGTGAATTGACACCTGGTCGGAAAGAGGGTACTAGGCAAAGGAGAGCCGTTCAACGACAACAGGCAAGCCTGTAGAGGAGATGAAAACAAGAAAGGGTGAAGGTCGATATACCCACTGACATGCTTTATACTCGGGAGACAGGAACATAGGGCGATAATATTCCGGTTGCCATCCGAGCCGGTAACCACACGAGACCAGCATCGAGAGGGTTCTAGTCATCATGTTTTCCAGTGTCCCATGTGGCTGGCGTTGCCAAGTCTCAACCATCCTCCACGATCCCTGCCTTTTCTGGCTGCTGTGCCTAGACGGCCCGGGCGACCAGTGGGCGACCCAGCCTCCACGCCCATTCATACTTACGCCACACTCACCTTCTTCGATTGTCTTATGATATCTTACGACATGTCATAGAGGCGTGTAATCCTGATGTACGAATTCTGGACACTCAGCTTCTGAAAGATATAGAATCTTAGAAGTTTTAAAGCCTGGATATCAGACAATTAAGCTACAATGAATCGGTCATTTCACAAAGGCACCGAGGCGTCCGTCCATAGGACAGAAGCCCTTCTGTGAGCTTCTATGTCTTCCAGTTCCAAGCTCGTACAGGTCAGCATCTGCAAATAGCACAGTAATAGCACTTGAACTTGAACGCCTTTATACTGCCTTTATTGACAGGCCACCACAGTGTCCCCATGTACCAGTCAGGCACCAGTGCCTGCAAATCGTTACGCAGGAGCAACCCGTAGCGACTCCCGCTCCGGGGCATTGAACCAATTGACGTCCTTCACGACGCCCCAATCAACCATTCCGTCAGCATGACCGCATGCACGTAACAGCTTCACTCCCTCCGATATCATGCTTTTGATGTGGCCGCATTTCACTCCGAAGCCTGGGCAATCGCACCAAAGACGGTGTCTCCATGCCGCAGCGTTAATGAGCTCCCATCCGTGCATGACCAATAAAGAGCGTTGATATGCCCTCCGGTCGCTACTCGAGTGGAGAGGCGGGAGGTGGGCCGAATACAGAGCTGATGCGAATGCCCGCAGGATGCGCTGATGCTTGTGATCGGCGGCCTTGAGAGGCGACAAAGTTGAAAGATGGAGGTAGGCTCCTATGATAGCCAGTCATGATGGCGATCACTATGGAATCTGCACGCAAGGCTGCCTACTTACCAAGTTGGGCGACGTCTGCCGCTAGATCATTCGGTCCCGCAAACTCCCAGTCGCAAATCTTTAGGATGGGAGCGTCGGATGTCGCGTCAACAAGGATTGTACCGAACCATATATCGCCCTGTGAGAACGCAATCTTCTTCCTGGTACGCCAGTGCTCACGCGCGCGATGTCCGAGATCTTCATGGTCGGGCACCCCAGCATCCTTCATGAATGCTTGAACATTGTCAATCACCTGATTCATGACAATTTCTCCATCCTCGTTCGTAAACAATTTGAACAGCTCTCCATGGGCTGTGGTACTGATGGTTGAGTTGTCATCGCACGCGTGGTGAATTGATGCGAGGAAGCGCCCTAGAGACTCGCCAGCGATAGATGCCGACTCGGGCGTAGTCGACGGAGAGTCGAGGAATTCGTCGAGGGTAGGATGTGCGCCTAAGTCGGACTGGATGAGGACGTGCTGCGACTTGTCATAATAGAGTAAGTTTGGTACGCGAATACAAGGATTGCCTTGGAGCGCGCGAGACAAGGGAGAAGCTTTTTGAAAGAGGTGAAGGGCCCTGGCCTCAATAGTCTACGTACGTGAGTAGGAAGCGCAATAAGCCAGCCGAACAGTGTGATATCATATAATACAACGCACCTGTCTCGTCTGTGAAAAGGCAAATGCAGGGAACTTGGCAAAGTAGGGAGGAGCCTGCTTGAGCACTATAGACGCGCAACCCAATAGCTTCTCTTTCAGATTACTCTCTGTGTCTTCGCCGGTATCAGGCGTCCAAGATGCAAGAGTTGGAGGATTCGCTTGCACTGCTCGGACGACGAAGTTGGCATTCCCTCCGGAGAGTTCATGAATAATCCATTCAACGTGCGTCAGATCGAAGAGGTATTTGTGGAAGTCAAAAGAAAAAACGTCAGCTAGTTCCGCATGAGGCATGGCGAGTACACTGGAAGGGAGGATATGAGGGCATAGTAGAGATAAACCGTCGGCGACGAGCGATTAAATATAAATGTATGGCTATGTGGGCGCAGCTGCACGAGCTGATAACGAGTTAATAGCCCCCGCAATCCGGCCAGTTTTAACACATCAGGGCCCATATAGAAACATCCCATGGCGGAGAACTCGGACGTATAAAAGCGCAAGTTCCTGCGTAAGGAGTCTGCTTGACTCATCTTGCGCAGAAGGCAATCGTTTCGTGTGTGCTGCGATCATTCAACACGAAACGCTACTTTAATATCTCAAGCGTTCCGCGGAGGCGTGTGCGATAGAAATGAAAGAAAAATATTGTTCTCCCCACGGAAGCTACATCAACAGTCTAATATGCATCTCCAGTTAATGGTGGTGGACCTCGTGAACAACAGGGCCAGCGGCGTCCTGCTCGAGGGCGTATGCTGCACGCATAACATAAGTTACTGCGCCGCAGCGAGCGAGGCAAAGGCACTCACCTGATCCACACTCAGGGCATCGCCGCACCTTCTCCTTGGTGAGGTTCATCCACAGGATATCGTGTGAATCCGCAGGGTAGCCGGTGCAACCGATGATACGGTCGGGTTCCTATTGAAGTATGCATTCATGAGCGCGAATGTATAGGATAGAAGCCTCCTTGAACAGCAATGTCGCACCACGCCGCAATAGCATGTCAGGACGGAGGCAAAACACGCACCACGGAGAAGACCTTGATAGGGTCGGCAAGGGTCCCAATACGACTCGCATCCAGCGGGTTCAAGTCGAAGACCTCAACACCCTCCAGGTTACCAAGGACCTGAACACGGTCAAGACCAGTAGACTGGGCCTCGTCGGTAGGGACCTCTCCCTCCTTCGCACCAGTACCGTAAAGAGAGGGGGCAGATGCGTGGTGGCCGTCCGAGCGGCGGATAACGGTCGTAGAAAGTGCGCGCAAAGAAGCGGCGTTTGCAGACTTGACGCCGACGCGTGCGGCGAGTACCGCTGGGCGGGCAGAGCGCAGGGCTGCTTTGAACATGATTTTTGACGGGGAGTCGGTCGTGCGGTTGCGGGTAAAGTGAGCGTGACGACGTAGGGGATATATGTCACGGACGTCACGCACGGTTCCGCATGGTCCCGGGCCAGTCAGGCCTCCTGCAATTCGAGGCGCATCGAGTGTTGGCTCGACCTGATATCTACGCGCCTGGCAAGGTAAGATACAGTAGCGCTCAGGATTGAACGTTGAATATTGAACCCCAAAAACCACGGTCAACAAGGGTCGATACAGCGCAAAAAAGGCCGCCCGACCGCCATACGGTATACCTGACAGACTCCCTTGGGGCACATCCGGTGTCCAAGCAGCCCCGGGGGAGTCAGTGGGGAGTCCCGGGGGTATATACAAATAAGTGCTCCACGGCTATCCCATCGGTCTTGGAAGACGCTGGAAGACGACGACGCAAGGCTTTGCCAAGCTGGTAAGTATGATATTACAACGACCTCAACACGCTATTTCACACTGAAATTTCCCTTCCACTGTGCAGTTTTTCTTCCATTCACTTTTGAGCGGGTCCAGAGCCCCATATCTACTAATAGCCAAGCTAGTCAAGCTTCAATGACTTTGAGTGCGCCACCACGTCATTGAAACTTTGAAGGCGTTGGCTGAGCCGTTCCGCCCACTTGCCGAGCGGTGCCGAGGGCTGCCGATCACGAAAGCGGTGACGCTCGGCCCAAACTAGGCAAGTGTGAAGAACGGAACTAGAAGACGATGGGGATGGATATTTATTTTTGTTGTTTGGCAGAGACATGCCCGATGCATCCCCCGCCTGCATCCTCGACGCTTGAGCTAATCATAGCATCCCTGGAAGCGGGGATCAAAGTCCTTCAACGTCGTCGTGCGCTCGCCATCCGTTCTTTCTTCCCGCTCCCTTGCTCCCCATGGCCCCTTCTCCCTCTCGGCAGTCGACGCTGGACATCGAGAACATCCTCACAGATTACTACGAACCTGCTAGTAGCAACCCTTACCAGAAGCGCGCGAGCGGCACCAGCGTCCGCTCTCGCCATGACTCGATCCCACTCCCACCATTCACACGCACGTTGACTGCGCAGTCTACCTCGAGCACGTACACTGTCAACTCGACCACAGACCTCATGGGTCCGCACGCGTCCAAATACCATGAAGGCTCGTTCTCCTGGCCATGGCATGCACAAGATAACTCGGACCGGGAGAAGATGGCGGGCAGCAGCGAAAAAGACCCTAATGTCAACAAGCCGGCAATGAGATTATGGGAAGGTTGGAAAGTAGTCGTACTTGGCTCCTGTGCGTATTCTCATAAATGTCCAAATTAATATTCATAATCTCAAAAATGTATCTAGGGATGAACGTTCTTCTTGTACTATTGCCAGCATCGGTATTGCCCATCTTACCCTATCTTAATTCTTTCTAACACAATATCTTGCAGTGGATTGTGGAAGCTGTGGTCGAGGAATCGCGGACCCTCGTCTTCATATGTACGTTGCGAATACACTAGGTCAGTTTCTTCGCGTATCCATCTAACGGATTGTCCAGTCTGCGTTCTCTCGATGGTTCCGCTTGTGAGAGTGAGTCCGTCCGCGACCGATAATCATCATCATCATTCTGACTCTTAGCTTTTCACCAGCTGCACGATCTGGCTACTAGCGAATTGGCCTTGCGAATGGGAGGGTCAAAGGCAGGGCTCCTCAATGCTAGTATGGTATGTGACTGAATGATCAGTTGGAGATTCTTTGTATGATGTACACTGACGCGTTGATCTCTGCAGAGCAATATGTGAGTTCTTTTCGCAACATCAAATGACTTTTTGAAATGTTTATATTACTGAGACAGTGTAGAAATAGTGGTTGCCGTAAGTCATTGTATTCCGAAGCATTCATTTCAGATATCGTAACGAATTGAAACCAGACTACCGCACTTCGCAAATGCCAACTTCGCGTTGTCCAATCGTCCCGTATGTTGCCCCCGCTTTCCATAGCTGACGAGTGATATGAAAACTGAGGATTTGCTGGTCAAGTGATTGGCTCGATGCTCAGTAAACTTCGTACGTGGATGGGGACGGGGGATGTTATCACAAAGGGCGTATATTGACGGACTTGTTTGCAGTGCTTGTGTTGGGCATGTGCTTCTTTGCAGGCGGACTACGCTTTTCTGAGCAAGCATTTGAATCAAGTATGTGGCCAGTCCTCCATTTCTATGAATGGTCGGATGTTGACACGTTTTGACAGCTACGACGCAAATACATTCGTCTCTTCTCAGCATCAGCGTTGGCGCTGTTCTCCTTCCCGCTGCATATCACTTCTCCCTTAGCGGAGGAGAGGGTCTGGCTTCCAATGAGCAGAAACGCGATATTCTCCAAATGAGCCATGGGGTGAGTGATTTGCAGTCAGAACATGCCCACTTGAACTCTATTGGTTCTCATGCTGCTTTCTAGGTTGCAGTCATCCTTCTTATCAGTCAGTGCATGTAACGAGCTGTTCGCCAACATGAATTGCTGATTGATCCTCCTTCCAGTTTATATATGCTACCTCCTTTTCCAACTGTATTCACACACTCACTTGTACAAGGATCACAAATCCACGAGCAACCGACATGATCTCAAATCTCTTCATCTTCACATCGCAGTCCCCTCCGCTTCCTCCTTCCGCCCTGATAAAGGTCGAAACTCGCCAGGTTTGTACCAGTCGACAGCAGTTGACAGTCGCGAGTCAAGCCCTAGGGGGCCTCAGTCGCGTGTGAACTCGTATTCCGGCCCACCACGCTTCAGTTCGCCATCACCGTACGCGTCTGCCTCGAATTCGATATCGGAGATCGCAGTGCCAACGACAAACGGCGGCGCAAGCGCGAGTTCATCCACTGTCGGGCTCGCTTACCCGAAGGGTAGGGCGATGCCCGCTCCCGCGCAGAACTCCACAGTGAAGCTGGTGAATGACGGGCGGCACTCACCTTCGGACTCTGCACCCAGGGTGATTCGTACCGACTCTGAGACGGTTGTGGGTCACAGTCAAGGCGTCGTGCATTTCGACGAACAGGCCCATGTCGGCATTGGGGAGTCCCCAGCGCTCGATGAGAAACAGCAAGCTAACGAGGAGAAGGAACATAAGCCGAAGGAGCCGAAGTTGAGCTGGCCATTGACCATGGCATTGCTTGTTGTTGTCACCGTTGTGAGTCATCGCGTTCCTTCATATAGGACCTCGAGATCGTAATTGTTCGTATCATAGCTGGTTGCGATCAACGCAGAATGGCTGGTCGAGTCCATGGATGGAATAAGTACCACCATAATCAGCAAGGAGTGGATTGGTCTTATCTTACTGCCCGCTGTCAGCTCCATCGCTGGTGGGTTTATCTCTTCTTCGAGCTCAGACATTGGCTGATTTGCACTCGATACGAAAGAGTGTGTTACGACTATCAACGTGTCAAGAAAGGATCAGCTCACGCTGAGCATTGGCGTAGCAGTCGGTTCAACTATCGTAGGTTATCTGATCATTGAGCACCCATAGATTCTAACGCTCCTCTGTAGCAAACTGCCCTTTTCGTCATCCCGTGAGCCTCATCTTGTCTGATTGTGTAAAGGTTGCTTATAATTGCCTTTATGATACTTAGGTTCATGGTCATCTTGGGTTGGATATTGAATAAGCCTCTCGCCTTGCTTTTTGATCCCTTTGAGTCTGTGGTAAGGACTGTTACCTCCTCCAGATGAGACTTCTTCTGAAGACTTTACTTTTATGTTCAGGTCATGTATATTTCCGGTAAGCTTACATGTTGCATTTTGACTCATGGGACAAACGACAAGTTTCACAGTGCACACCATGGGTTATGTCGTGGCTGATGGCAAATCAAATTGGCTGGAGGGTGCTATCCTAATCTGTAATCCTTTTCTCTTTGGCTCGAGTTCACGTACATCCACTAATGCTAAAGCTCATGAAGGTCTTTACATGATCATCGCCGTCTGCTTCTGGTTCTATCCAGGTGAGCGGTGGTGGACTCAGGGCATCGAGGCGTGTGACTAAATCTTGAAAAGGGTCAACATTTTCCAGCACTCTCGCAGCTTGCCAGTTGGATCACTCCGCCTGAGACGCATATCACTTGTCGTTTTGTACCCCATACCCCACATTCACTAGCATACCACCATCGAATCCTGCATTATTGTCATCGTCTTCGGCTCATGGACCATTTACCCATGCGCTCATCTTGTCACGCGTAGATCTGACCGATCCTATGGACCCCTAGAGAATGGATTGCGCCCTGCATTGTTTGACATCATGAATAGGTTCCTTCCCCAATTTCATATGGTATGTACAGCATAATGCGTGTTTATAATACTAGTCGACTAGTTTACTCCCTGCTGCATGCTCACTAGCTAGAAAGTGTTAGTTTAAGGCGAATGCACACTGTCGACTTAGCGTTCAAGATTCGATGATCGAGCCTTAGTGCAGATCTCGCTACTTTTGGGGCGGACGCATATAAAATCAGCTCCCTTTGCTAATCCTAGTCTTCTGTTCGAGGACAATATGGTGCCGTTACATCAGCAGAATAAGATGGACAAACGACCGTTTTATGATGATGCCAATGGTTGAGGTGAATATATGCGTAGATGATGTCGGTATATATATGCGCCCATGCAACAATGATTCTCCAGATCCCTAAGAATGCCTACCCGCGAGCTCACGCGTTATAGATAGTATCGATCACCTGCGTTCAATGTATTCAATCAGTCGCATGCGCTGTAAAATAACAAGATTGCACGAACCAATCTGCCCCATCCCAGGTTCGACGGCCCACACCTTCCTCCCTCTAACTCCCTCCTCACCGTGCAATATCTCCTGATCGCTCTCTTCGAGCCAGGCCTCGCGTAGATTATCGTCCACAGCACCCGTGACGATTGTGACTTCGGGAAATGTTCGGCGCAGATGCGCGATCCCTCCACTTCGCGCGACGAGGAAAGTGACAAAGATGATGTGGGAGGGCGGCACGCCGTGATCGAGCAGAACTCGGATGGCCATGAATGCCGACGCACCCGTACCGATCTGCCGAGAATTTATACATATAAACAGTGATGACGGCAAGGGGAAAAAACCAATCAGACCTGGGCATCAAGAAGGAACACCCATGTTTTCTCCGCACGGTGTCGTTCGCGGATGCAAATAGGAAGCATAACATGGAGAAGGAGCGGCTCGCCGGTTTTGGAGTCCGATTGTACTAAGAGAGAGCCCATCGGAACGTCGTTGATGACGCGCTCGAGCCCTCGCTCGAGAGGGCCGCCGCTGTAGCGCGTGCATATAAGAAACAGCGCCCCAATGCCGATAAATAATACTTACGATCGCAAGATTGTCACACCGCAAACCGACTTAGAGCCTAAAGTTAGCACGTATCACCGTTTGACGCAATAAATTCACTGACCTCTGCGTCAATAGTCTTGCCTGTCGTTTCAGCTCCTACGGGTGTCTCAATAACTTGCTCTCGATGAGGCAGATTTTCCATCGCCTTCTCAACCAAAATCGTTGCCAAACGATCCACAAAGAAAATGAAATCCTGCCTGTTCGTAGTCACATCGCGTAAGATAGTGTAGATCCCCTATTGTATCGCGTATCAGCAATCTTACATTTATGCAATGAGCAGACCAAAGCAAACCTTCAATTGGGGAGTCTGGGGAAGTACCACCATGCCTAACTCTTCGTTCGTCAGGGGCCGAGGTGGACCTCGCGATATTGACCGCTGCATGGATGCCATCTTACGACGAAAATGACGGGTTCGCTGCTCTAGTTGTCGTCGAATGTGTGTCGAGATCAACTCAATAGCAACGGAGTTGTCTTTTCCCGGCACGATCTGATATGTAAGTTCAGTTGATATTCAAGACATGCCTAACAAACAATGTTTCGGATACACTCACGATGTCCGCATGACTAGAGCTTGGACCTACAAAGTGGTCGTATGACGGTTTGACATAGCGAAGATACCTGTGAACAATCAGGAGAGGGTTCGGAATGGAGAATAGTTTGTGAGACAATGTATGTACTGTTCGAGGATGCCATCTACGGAGCGCCCGCGCTCTTTAACATCGCGAGTAATTCGACGTGCAAGCATTAAGTCGGAATCACATTGAACGAAAATCTGAAATTTGAATGTGAGACTTGCATTTCAACCGTCGAAATTATCAGTTTACCTTCAGGTCGTATAGCTCTCGGAGTCGCGGATCATTGAGTGCCATGATACCCTCAGCTATGATATAGTTTATTCATACAGATCCAGCGCTGGCCTGGGAATGCACGCACCGATGATGATGGTTGCACCATAGAGATACTTCGTCTCATCCTGCCGCTGATGCTGTTCGAACGAATAAACGGGAATGTTTGTTTGCTTGAGGTCCTTGAGATCTGCAAGGCACTGGGACAGCTTGAGTATCCTTCTTCAATGAGATCGACAGCAGCTGGAGCAGCACAATGCGCATCGTGGTGTACGCCCGGTGACTGGATATACCTAGACGTAATAGCCAGGGGCACACGTCCCGTTGGGAAGAAAAATATAGAAGGAGCTGGGTACGCACGGCAGAGAAGGATTCCATGTCTATAGAATCCGGATGATCAAAGTCAAATCGAGAGGCAAATGCGAGTTTGATCTCTTCCGGAGTATGACGCTTATAGAAGCTATCCTGGAAGCATCGTCAATAATTCTCAAAGTCTGGCAGTCAAAAGATGAAAGAATCAACTGACCTGTGACATTATGATCACTGTGGGAATAGAACCCAATGAGCGAACTATCTCGCGCGCAACGTATGTCTATGAGGCTTCATTAATTCCAGTGGTGTCGTATGAGGGCGATCAGTCACACCTTGCCACTAGAAGAACCGCCTATGAATTGACGGTCGTATGAACATATGACCAGTCTGATGATGGCTGGTACGCACCAGCAATTCCGACGACAAATGCTTTGGAAAAGGGCAACCCATCTTCGCCATACCTATAGTTCGTGACTTGAAACGATCGTCCAGGCCAATGAGGCAAGGAGAAGATCCTACCATGGAGGTCTCCCATGACTCTTCAGGATGGTGTTTTTCAACGTCTTCGTCGTCAGCAGAGGATCCGGGCGCGGACTTGGGCTGGGACTTGGAGACACTGCCGGTGAATGACCTACACTCGGGGGTGCACTTTTCGCCGAGTCAACGAGCAGAGACATGGGAGTCAAAGAAAGGTTCTGGCAACTTGAGACAGCACGTCTGCGTGACCGCCTCCTGCAGGATTTAGGTGTGACCGCATGATTGCCATTTTCGGCCATGTGGAAGTGAACGATTGTGACTTCATGCGTGACTCGCAGGCCTTCGCAAGCGCGCTGTGATCAGTTACCAGTAATAGCGCGTCCACATCTCTAGCGTTCAACGGATCCATGACATCCCCTGCGCCTGCGCACCAAGACAACTCTCATATCGTTTCTCTTGTTCTACAGTCGAAGAAGGCGCTTCAGCACGGCAAGACACTCTGTTCCCGCGCGAGTGACCTGTCCAACTCCTCCGCCCAGGATGCGCTCGACATCCTTGCGTTAAATGCCAAGGTCAAATGGCTCAGTGATGCTGTGTTGGAGCAGCTCAAGGTTTGTGCGTCATGTGAACCATGGCAATTGTATTTGATAGAGCGTCAATATAGTTGTCTGCGAGTGTAGCGAAGGCCATTGAAGAGAGGAGGACGAAACTGGAGAAACAAACTCGGGTCCGTTCCCTCTCAAGTTCACTAACAAGTTCACGAAGGTCTCATGATTCTCAGGCCTGGGATACCCTTCGTACTGAGCGTACGGACATTCTAGACGGGATTCTCGAATCCCTAGGACGCCAGCTCGTGCCTCCCGACTTTCATGAGAACTCTTCCGATTCATCCTTATTTGGAAGCCAAGACTCCGAACCAGAACAGCAGGCGCAACCTGGCGAGTCGTTCATACCGGGACAGAGTCCCACCTTGACTATTCGACATTCGAATGGTTACGAACAGCATAGACGTGCCAAGGCCAAGTCTCAGAAGCACGACAGAAGCCGCTGGAGGTCTTTGCGCGACTTTGTAGATGAAAGAGCCATCGAAGATGCTCTTGAAACAATTGAGAGCGAGCGAAGCGCGCTTGATGTATGAGGCTCCTTTCATCATTATCAAACGAGACCTGTGCTTAGAGACGTTGCCTAGGATGTTCTCGCGACTACAGCTGACTATCCGGTGACTTTGCATGATACGCTGACCGCCATCCGGAAAGCCTTACCTCCGTCACATTCTGTCAATATTGAAGACGTTCTGAACGTGCAGGATACCATATCAAATTCTATGGCCGAACAGCTTGCCAGTTTGGTCGGGCATTATGATGAAATGGAAAGTGCGCTGAGAAATAGCGAATCTGGTGAGGTTTTTGGAGAAGAAGATCTGCGAGGTCAGTCCTATACATGAATATCTTACTGCTTACGAGCCATATTGACGGCAGATATACGCCTGTAGATATGAATCGAGACGCAGATGAGCTTCCTTCTATTATTTCTGAGCTCGAAGAATCATGTTCATCAATAGAGAGCAGCCAGTTAGTGATCATGTTTTTCACAGAGAGTTCAGTCCTGATTTTGCCGTTGAACGTAAGTGAAGAACTACTTGCCGCTAAGAGCTTGATGCATCAGCATCTGGAAATACATCGAACTGTCTTAAACGATCTAGAAGAGCTCGGTGATATCATGAGCGAGATGCTCCAACGAGAGCAAGAGGTTGAGGTAAGTATGGCAGGCTTCACCTCCCATGGTAGGATACGGCAGCGTGAATTGTCATCCTAATCTCAATTTCAGAGGGGCTGCCTTGAGCGACTTGAAACTCTCCATCAACATCTACAAGACTTTGAAGCCCTGTCGAACCAATTCGAATCTTATCAATTTTCGTTCAACAAGCTTCTGATCGAGATGGCTAGACGGAAACAGTACAAGGAAGCGGCAGAACACATTGTACGAGGCATGCTTGCTCAATTAGAGGCCATGACAGAAGGTACCAGTCCATCTCCCCCACTGGCCGTTTATCAGTGGCTGACTTGGCTTTGTGAATGCGTACCACGTAGAGGAACAACAGATGCGACGGGATTTCAATGTGGAGCACGGCGTGCATCTTCCAGCGGATATTTGTCTTAATATCGAGAACCCACCGACACGGTGGGATGTTGTTCCACTCGATGGAGATGCGATCGAGACGATTCCTGATATTGACGACGATTTGTTGACGCAGGTGAGCAGGACGCCATCGCATGACTTTCTTGATATCAAGCCTTGTCTTTTCAGGCAAAGGATGTCGTCGCGCACGTGGAAGGGCCCACCCATGGCAGTCAGAGCTTGTGACATTATGCTTGATGGCATTCTTGACTATAATATCTTAATGGATTCAGGATTTCCTCGAACGATCCTACAATTCGTATACACTTGTTTGAACTTTTCCGTTGTTGTCTACTGCATCTTCGCTCGTAAGGCCTTGGTGAAGTCTGTCACAGTCTCGATCACGACCTGATGATCGTCCTCCTGAGCCAACCCGCTGACTATAATGACCCCGACGACGCCTTCCACGCCGGTGACGCGAATCGGCACACCACCTCCGTGGATCGCATACTGTCCCGCAGCCTCCCCCAAGCCATACTTCGCCGCAAAGGCTACTTCATTCCCTTGGAACTTGCAGTGCATAAACCATGTCGAGCAGCCGAAACGCAGCACGGTCTGGCGCTTCCGCGAGACCCAGGAGTCGTTGTCGGGGGTAGTCCCGGGGCGGGTGACGGTGTAGAAAAGGACTTGTGGGAGGGGTGCGGAACTCGCTAGGGAAATAGAGATCGCGACGGGTTTGGAGGTAAGCGTAAGAAGGCGTTCGCGCAGAGAGACACCCAGCGACCACGCAGTGTCGCTGGTAAAAGTGGGGAAGACGATGGATGATTCTTGCGCGGTAATGGATGGCAGCTGCCCCAGGCAGGGATGTCAGCAGATCCACACGCACTCAGCTGGTCTGTTTCGTACATCGGTGGGTGCTGCTTCCTTGAGGGGCAGAGAGTAGGGCAGAGACATCTTTGTACCTCAGATTTTGAAATGTTGTCGCTGATTAGTAGATGGTAGATTTAGATGTACTTGATCTATGATATACCAGTCCAGCGACCCACCACCAGTCCGCTTTGCACATGTTATGAGGTCAACTACTGGTCTGCTATACTTAAGACTAACTACGGTGCCGGAAGTTATGTTTGTATCATTATCCTCCGCTACGACACTATTTACATCTGGGTTGCGTATAAGGACAGAAATTGCTCCCATCTATAGATAGTGACTCGTACATCCTGCATCATGAGTCACGCCGTCGTTTCTTGAGAGCATGTCCAGTGGACACGAACATGCCGAGATCATCCTGCTCGTTCAAATCATTATCGGAATCTGACGGGGGCCCAGATAGAAAGGGTGATTTGGACTCCAAAGAATGAGCGTTCGATAGAAGGTGAGAAGCCGTATTGGACGATGATTCAATTGGAGGTACCGGGTCAGCATTTGACATAGTTGAAAGGTAATTTCCTGACTGTTGAGGACCTTCTGGTGAACCCCAATCACACGTTTGTTCCCTGAACAAGCTTACCGGTGAGACGACCGGCCAAGAGGAAGGCCCTGATGCGTCCTCGAGATTGGCGGTCAGCGATGATGAACCCGGAGCAGATGCAGTTATCGAGGAATCTTGTCCGTCGAGGTGGTGGAATATTAGGCTTTCGTTCCGCAAGCACTCCTTCAGCCGCTTGTTTTCTGCCACTGTCAACGAAGATGGATTCCGCTTCGGGATATCTTTGGGCCATCCGTCTATACGAACCCCGTAGGTTTGCAAGAGATCATGATTTGTCCATCTCATTTCCGCGTTACGGATGCCAGATGCCATTCTGTCAAGAATAAATAGGGCTTAACGAGTTAGAGAAAACGAGCGGAGCATACCTAAGAGCAGTTCTGATTCCAGCATATACCTCGCTTTTCAGTCGCTGCGCAGGGGTTCTCTTATCCATTGATGTGCTCGGGGCTTGATGATGATCATGAAATGACTCCAGAGTTGGTGAATGAGAGGACATGGCTTGCATTTTGAACGCTTTTGCACCGTTCACCCCGCCATTGCGAAGGCCCCGCCAAAACTCCCTTCCAAGCACTGTACCCCCGAGAAAGCCGTTGTCGGTTGGATCGGTCGGGTCAACAGCAAGGAAGAAAGAATGCAGTCCCGCCGTCTGATGCAATGCTTCGAGCGTCTGAGATGTAGACACCAAGATCAGATTGACTATGAGAAAGATCTGGCTCAATAAGTGCTAGAGGTTAAAATAACCGTAAAATATACCTCTCTGCCGTCTGTCTTCCGGTGGCGATGGGGATGCCGCGGAAAATAAATACTGGCTGTGCCATTGCGCTACATGCCGTCTAACCTACGGCACATGAGGAGGATGTTGGTGATGAATATATCGAGAGGGGTCCATCTAATTATGGCCATGAACATACGATATCCAAAGAGCATCCCTCCCGCTCTGCGAAAGTCTTCATGTCTGAGAGCGTTTTGTCTATGAATACATCGAGCCTCTCAAGGAACAGATCGTCAAGTGCTGAGTTCCCTGCTCGACTGAACGAGTCCATTATTGAGGACCATAAGATCGTCGAGCAGTGTTTAAATGTTGGTGCCGGAGCTCAGATTTGGAGTGAAAGTAATCGGTGCAGCCCACAAACTGGGATATGGACAAGGGATGGTGGGATGTAAAGAGCGGGATTTCAAATTCAGATACTGAACTTAGGCTTCTCGGAGGTTTGACTTTCTTTGCATTCACATATCATCGGACTAGGCAAGTCTCCACAAAAAAATGGCGGTGGGTTCAGCAGGACCAAAGGTCTGTATAAGATGGATATACTTTCCCTCTGATTTCTTCCGAGACTGTCCTTGTTGAACTTATGGACAGGAGAAAACCAAAGCCAAAAAGCGATACCTCAAAGCGAAAAAAGAACGACGCAAAAATAAGAAGCCATCAGCAGCAGCACCTGCGGCATACGGTTCCCGTCATGCAGAGTCTTTGCAAGGGGACGCTTCCGAGGGACAGAGCATAGAAGACGAAGTGGAGCATCAAGATGTGTCTGAAGAGGTGGTCGAATTAGCGAACGCGAAGAAAGATGAAGAGTCTGGAGCAGAGGTGGAGGAAGGAGAGGAGGAGAGGAAGGCGCGTAGGAAGAGGGAGAAGAAAGAGAAGAAAAGTAAGTCCAAGGAGCATGAAAGCGAAGAGACCACTCGACCTCGAAAACGCCGAAAGCTCAGTCCTCCCAACTCTCCTCCTTCCGACATCGAGCTTGCACCTGCGTCACCCATACGTTCCCCATCCCCACAGCCCGTTCTCCGCAACCCCACACCGCCGCCGCCATCCACTCTGCCCTCTTTCCCGCTCCCCTCGCAGCCCAATGCTCCCGCCAAATCTGAACTCGCCTCGCAGGGTATGGACCGCGCGTTGGCACGCGCGCAACTTGTCGATCCGGCTCTTTCGTCAAAACTGTCATTCGAAGGTGAGGAGGATACCCAGACAGGTCTGAGCGCGCGCACGAGGGCCAGGTTGAAGGAACTTGGGATTGAGGAATTGTTTGCAGGTGCGTGACTCTATTGTTTCGACATCTCTTTCCGAGGAGACCGTCCGATGTGACAGCACTAGATGTGGTGATTGCTAATTGATTCCTCTGTGTTGTCCGCGTGTAGTACAGACCACGCTACTTCCGTTATTGCTTCCCTCTGGCCGGCTTCAGCGGTCATTGTACCTCCCGTATAATCCACCTCGTGATATATGTGTGTCCGCGCCAACTGGGAGCGGAAAGACACTGGCCTATGTTCTCCCCATCGTAGAGGTAAGCTTCTCGGACTGCAAAATGTTCAAAAACAACAAGCTCGAAGCAGGTGTTGATATCATGCATTGCAGACTCTCTCTGCTCGCATAGTAACCTGCTTGCGCGCTTTGATTGTGCTGCCTACGCGTGATCTTGTCGCTCAGGTGCGAGAGACTTTCGAGGCGGTAGGCAAAGGGAGAGGCCTTAAGGTGCGCTCGAGATGTCCTTGAGTCTACTTAATCCGCTTAGTATATCACGTCAGATAGGAACTGCAACGGGTCAGCATTCGTTCGCGCACGAGCAGTCGCAACTCATCGCAGACAAGTCGTCACAGTGAGCTAGAACGACGTGGTCAACCTCACTAGGAAACACTCAACTCCAATTCAATTATAGCTTGCAGGGCGGTTCCAGCAAAGTGGACATCTTAATTTGCACCCCAGGACGGCTGATGGACCACCTTAATGAGACACCAAATTTCTCACTCCAACATCTACGATTCCTCGTGAGATTTTGTTCACTTAGACTCAGTCTTTTAGACCAATTCTCAACTTCTGCAGGTGATAGACGAGGCGGACCGTCTCCTAGCACAGTCCTTTCAAGACTGGCTTGCTCAAGTTCTCAATGCCACGCGCCCCCCTCCACTCTTGTCCGATGCCTATAACCCCATAGCCTCCCCGTCGTCACTTCCTTACCCCGACGCCCTGTCACCAGCATTCTTGCACCTCCTTTGGGATGTCCCAACGATCCACACGGACATCGACGAGAACAAGGAAACATCGTGTCAGAAATTGCTATTTTCAGCAACGCTGATGAGCGACCCGGGGAAAATCGCGGCGCTGGACCTCAAGAATCCGAAGTATATCGTCGTGCAGTCGCAGGGCGCAGGGAACAATGAGGGCGTTCTGGGCGTTGTGATGGAGAAGTTCAGCATGCCAGCTACTCTGAGGGTTTGATCTTTCCACCTCTGTTTTGTGAGATCGAAGCTTACGCGTCTCTTACTTTTCCTCACAGGAACACATGCTGGTGTGTGACTCTTCTCAAAAACCACTGATGCTTTTCCACCTGGTGCGCGCACATCAGGTGAAGAACGCTCTGGTGTTCACAAAATCGGCCGAGTCGACGATGCGCCTTGTGCGGCTCTTCGAGTTCTTCGAGACAGCGCGACATGCGTCAGGTGCTGAGTCCGAGTCTAAGACAATCGTCGTGCGAGCATACTCGAGTGACTTAAGCCCGTCCGAGCGCAAATCCATCCTGGAGAAATTCAAAGCGCAGGAGATCGACATGTGCGTACCGGATTCATCTAAGTGCACCACTACGGAAATGTTTATTCTGTTGTTACCGCGTTTGGGATAGGTTGGTCTGTTCGGATCTCGTCTCGCGAGGGATAGATATCAGTCACGTCGCCCACGTCGTGAGCTATGACGTCCCGGTTGACATGCGAAAATACGTGCATCGCGTCGGGCGTACGGCGCGTGCGGGGAGAGAGGGCGACGCATGGACGCTTGTCGAAGAGCAGGAGGTGCGTGTGTGGTTCCTTAATATTGGGAGTAATCTCGGTGTTGACGAGTGGTGTCGTTTTGAATTTCTGATCTCTTGGTGGACTTTTGGGGAACCATTTCTCCCATCTTCGTCTGCTTATGATTCGGACTCCACTATGTGCGGGCCGATTCCAAATCTCAGGCGCGCTATTTCAAGGAGATGCTGCGGGCAGCGGAGCATGTGGACGCCGTGAAGAGGGTGCGGGTATCTGAGAAGCAGCTGGAAGGGCTGGTGCCACATTATGAGGTGCGCGTTGTCTCGGCAGGGTTTCGCCGCTCTCGAGTCACTCATTGATGGAAAAACATCGTAGGTGGCGCTGCAGCAGTTGAAGGAGGTGTACGCTCGGGATCGCCGCGTCAGTGCTTGATAAAGACGGCCATCATGTCGTACATGATGGTCCGATGGGTGAGGGTGGGATCTGTGGAGCCGTCGGCTGACACCGCAGTTCCGTCGGATGCAAACAAGTACAGTATCAGACGACGCTTGGGCCGCTCAACATTTTGTGCATTTCAACGTGTTGTGCTTTCTTGTTTTTGAGCAATCAAACTGTGTGGAAGGCTCATAGAAATCTCCTTAGCCTAGAGGAGTAGCTTTAGTTGAAAGATTTGCTTTTTGGCTGATGGGCGGTATCGATCGGCAAGTTCCGCGTCAAGTCCATTGCCGACGGCTAGCCAAGGCACCGGAGAGGGTTTGTAGTCAGCCATTTACGATGAAGCGATGAGTAGGCACTGCTCTACCAAAGTGGCGGCGGCTTGCTCGTCGTTTTGGCTTGCCATTGCGTGCTTCAAAGACTGAATACTATTAGGGCTGTGCAACGTCTGAACACCATAATCGCTGAGGCGAACCATTCCAACTATTCCAGCCGCCCGAGTGAGTAGGATGCGCGGCTGGGAGACGCGAGCCAGAATCGGAGAGAGATGACGGGTGCTATGCGGTATCCCACCCCGCTGTTGTCATGCGGTTGAGTCATTTGGGGTTTGAGCCGAGAGAGCCGCGTCTTCAAAACCGGGGACCCAAACCGTCAGCCTCGACGACTTTTCCTCGAGACAAGCATCCGCCGACTGCCATGGGTAAGTCTCATGAATCCAGTGACGGTTCGGAGAAAACTCAGCCCGCCAGTGAGGTTGAGCGGGCTGTCAACGTCGACTCTGCCGAGAAGTCCTTGCCGCGACGGCTTGGCAGGTAAGTCCATGTCCTCGGTATCCTTGTCCTTTCCATCCATCTCGGCCTATTTTCTGTCATGGACGGCTCACTTCGTGTATTTGCAGGTCTCTCAAAGGCGTCTTCATCCCCTTGGACCCTCCGCCGCCCAAAGAGTCTATCGAGGAGTCAGAATGGATCCCCGAGATGACCGCCGGCTGGTTCAGCTTGCTCACATTTAGCTGGCTCAATCCGCTCATGAGTTTGGGCTACGCTCGCCCGCTCGAGGCACCCGATCTGTACAAGCTCCAAGAGCATCGTTCGTCCTCCATCATCGCCGACAAGATCACGACCTCCTTCGAGGCTCGTGTCAAAGCCGCAGACGAGTATAATGCTCGGCTTGCGAGCGGGGAGGTCAAGCCCTCGTTGCGCCAACGCATGATATGGACACTGAAGAGGAATCGCGCAGATCGAGAGAAGCGGTGGAGAGAGGTGGATGGGAAGAAGAAGCCAAGTTTGGTCTACGCCATGAACGACAGCGTCAAGTGGTGGTTCTGGTCGAGTGGTCTATTGAAGGTCATTGGTGATACCGCGCAGGTGACAAGCCCTCTCGTTGTGAAGGTGCGCCATCTCCATCTTTTCTCGCTACAACCTTCTCTGATGTTTTGCTCCACTCAGGCTTTGATCAATTTTGCTACACAATCGTATGCCGCACATCGGTTGGGCCAACCTGCGCCGCCGATTGGCAAGGGCATCGGGTTGGCTTTCGGGTTGTTCCTGATGCAGGTTGTTGGCTCGCTCTGCCAGCATCACTTCTTCTACAGGAGCGCCTCTACCGGTGTGCTGCTGCGAGCGGGACTGATCACAGCAATCTACTCACGCGCACTGAGACTGACGTCGCGTGCACGATCGTCGCTCCCAAACGGCAAGCTCGTTAACCATATTTCGACTGACGTTTCGCGAATCGACTTCTGCTGCGGCTTCTTCCACATGTTCTGGACGGCGCCGATACAGATGGTCATTTGCCTTATTCTGTTGATCATCAATCTCGGGCCCAGCGCCCTTGCAGGCTTTGCGTTTTTCATCATCGTCACCCCGATGCAAATGACCATCATGAAGTCGCTGTTCAAAATTCGGCGCAAGACTATGCAGTGGACAGATAAACGGGCGAAGCTGCTGCAGGAGCTTTTGGGAGGGATGAAGGTGATCAAGTTCTTTGCATGGGAGACTCCGTTCTTGAAGCGCATCTCCGGGTTCCGCATGTCAGAAATGAGGTACGTTTTGGGAGGATCGAGCGTTACATGCAGTACATCTGATCTCTTCATCATTTTTTTTCAACATAGTGGTGTGCGATCCTTGCTCATCATTCGTGCGGCGAACACGGCTCTGGCGATGTCGGCCCCAGCGATGGCATCGGTCATTGCTTTCTTGATTTACGCAGCGTCAGGACATACTCTGAATCCCGCCATCATCTTCTCGTCACTATCTCTTTTTAATCTCCTTCGTATGCCTTTAATGCTTTTCCGTGGGTTATCTTCTCGTCGTCTTCGCAATATTTGCACTTGCTCATCGAATTGTTACTTCGTGTAGCCGTATCCGTCAGCACCATTGCTGATGCACGGAACGCCGTCGAACGTCTTCACGGCGTTTTTGTCGCGGAGCTAGTGACCGAGAATCTAATCACCGACCCGACACTCGACTGCGCCGTTGAGGCTAAGAACGCGTCTTTCACTTGGGACAGCGCTCCTCAGGATCTTCCCCAGGGTCTTAAGAAAGCGAAAATTTCCCGACGACGTACCGCGGCCCCAGCTCCTGCTCCCGACGCTCCAAAGGAAGTTGCACCGGAAAAGCTGTTCAAGATCGACAACCTTGACCTCGTGATCCCGCGAGGGCAGCTCATCGCGATCGTCGGGCCGGTTGGCGCGGGCAAGACGTCGATGCTGCAGGGCTTGATTGGCGAAATGCGCAAGACAGAGGGGAGCGTCAAGTTTGGTGGGTCTGTCGCGTACTGTTCGCAGAGCGCGTGGATTCAGAACGCGACGATCCGCGAGAATATATGTTTTGGGCGGCCGTTTGAGACAGAGCGGTATTGGAAGGCGGTGCACGATGCGTGTTTGGACGCGGATCTGGATATGTTGCCGAATGGCGATTTGACAGAGGTTGGAGAAAAGGTAAAATATATTCCTCTGTGAGGGTTTATTGGTGTCATGGTGCTGATGAAAATGTTGGCATGCACAGGGTATTTCACTTTCGGGAGGACAGAAGCAGCGATTGAATATATGTCGTGCCATCTATTCTGCCACGGACATCCAAATTTTCGATGTGAGCTCAACAGGGATTTGTTGTATTTTTCCAAAGAGCTGATTGTCTATTGGTTTATAGGACCCACTGTCAGCGCTTGATGCCCATGTCGGCGAGTCTGTGTTCAAGAATGTCCTGCTCAATGGCACGGCCGGCACCACCCGCGTGCTCGTGACGCACGCACTCCATTTCCTTCCTCAAGTCGACTATATCTACACCATGATCGATGGTCGCATTGCCGAGTGGGGGACGCACGCGGAGCTCATGGCGAATGACGGCGCATTTGCGAAGTTCATCAACGAGTTTGTCACGAAGGACGAAGGGAACGAGAAGCAGAGCGAGGGTGTGGACGAAGAAGACGAAGACGAAGACGAAGACGAGCAGAAGAAGAGGCGGGGAGCAGTGAAGGGGGCGCAGCTTATGCAGCAAGAGGAGCGGAGCACTGGCGCGGTTAGTTGGGAGGTGTATAAGGCCTATGCGAAGGCGGGGAATGGAGCGATTTTATTGCCATTGCTCGGGGTCTCGCTTGTTCTTATGCAGGCTGCGACGGTTCTATCATCGTATTGGTCAGTGTATCCCGGATTCTCAGATTTCTCTCTCCATTTGCTGACTGGAAGGCTTATACAGGCTCGTGTGGTGGCAGGATAAGCAGTGGCCAAGACCTCAAGGCTTCTATGTACGAACGACAGACCGTGCCATATAAATTGTCGAAAATTCATCTTCCCTTTTTCTTTAGATGGGCATATATGCAACGCTTGGTGTTGCGCAAGCCCTCACGGCCTTCATCATGGGTATAATATTTGCCTATGTTATTTACTCTGCCTCCAATCGGCTTCACAGGGTTCGTTCGCCATTCACTCATACAGAGATGGTATAGCTCACGTCCTGATCAGGATGCCATCAACCGCGTCATGCACGCCCCCATGTCGTTCTTCGAGACTACGGTAAGTTGATCATTGTTCGTTTGTGTATCACATGCTCACAGATGCTCACTCACTCCCGTTCGTAGCCGGTAGGGCGCATCATGAATCGCTTTTCGAAGGATATCGACACCATTGACAACATCCTGGCCGACTCGTACCGCATGTTCCTCAGTACTCTGTCCACCATAATCGGCGCTGTCATCTTGATTGCCATCGTGCTCCCGTGGTTCCTCATTGCTGTGGCCGTCGTGTTCGTCTTGTATGCTACTGCGGCTGCGTTCTATCGTGCAAGTGCAAGAGAAATCAAGGTCAGTGGGTTTCGGTTTGTTCGAATCTATTTTGGTACTGACGCCCTGGTTCCAGAGACTTGGTTGGTTTTCGCAGATGTTGCATTATAACTGGAGAACAAATGACTGACTGATTTTGTTAGATGCCCTATTACGATCTTCGCTGTATTCTCATTTCTCTGAGTCTCTGTCTGGCCTAGCGACCATCAGGGCATATGGCGAATCAGAGCGGTTCTTCCAGGAGAACAGAGAGCGTGTCGATGTCGAGAACAGGTTCGTACATTGATGCTTGACCCCTGTTTCATCTCAGTTGATTCGGCGCTCCCCCTCCAGGGCATACTGGATCACCGTAACTAACCAGAGATGGCTCGGTATTCGGTTGGATTTCTTTGGAACGATATTGACCCTTGTCGTTGCTCTTCTCACCGTGGGCACGCGGTTCAGCATCTCGCCTGCTCAGACTGGTGTCGTCCTCACATACATCCTCTCCGTTCAACAGGTACGCTGGTTCTCCTGAATCGATTTCTTCCAACATAATTTTCTTTCAATACTATGATTGACAAATTTCCCGGTATAGGCGTTTGGCTGGATGGTCCGACAATTGGCTGAGGTCGAGAACGACATGAATTCGGTCGAGCGAGTTGTCCACTATGCCAAGAAGATTGAGCAGGAGCCTCCGCATGAGATCGCCGACCAGACACCCCAAGCACCATGGCCCGGCGTTGGACAGCTGGAGCTGAAGGACATTGTTCTGAAGTATCGCCCCGAGCTTCCGCCCGTTCTCAAGGGTATCTCGATGTCTGTTCAGGGAGGCGAGAAGATAGGTATTGTCGGACGGTAAGGTCGGCTTTGTTTTTTGGGTGATTCTTCTTACGATAATTTTTTTTACAGTACTGGAGCTGGGAAATCCTCCATCATGACGGCGCTGTTCAGGATCGTCGAGTTGACGTCTGGCTCAATGATCATTGACGGAGTAGATATTTCCAAGATTGGTCTCACGGATGTCCGTAGCGGGCTTGCAATTATTCCCCAGGACGCTGTAAGTTGCCATTCCCTCCCAAACTCCTATAGCCACTGACATGTTCTTTTTTCTCAAAGACATTATGTACGTTCACATCTTTTTGGTGGTCTACCAATGTTGACGAGGCCACAATCAGTCTCCGGCACTCTACGTAGTAACCTTGACCCCTTCGGTCTGCATGATGACGCGCGCCTTTGGGACGCTCTCAAGCGATCGTATCTTGTCGAGCAGACGAAGCCCGGGTCTATCACCGTGGATGGCATTGATCCTGAAGACGATCTGCCCACGGGTGCGAGCACACCGACGGGACGGCGGTTCACACTCGATAGCCCGATCGACGATGAAGGCGGAAACCTTTCGATAGGCCAGCGATCACTCGTGTCGCTCGCTCGCGCGCTTGTCAAGGACAGCCGCATACTCATCCTCGACGAGGCTACTGCGTCCGTCGATTACGAGACCGACAAAAAGATCCAAGACACGATCGCCACAGAGTTCCGCGACCGGACGATTCTGTGCATCGCTCGTACGTCCCTCTTACCCGCCGATCGTCCACAGAGCGTTTCTTACTCATCTTGGCTGCGTGTAGATCGCCTGCGCACCATCATTTCCTACGATCGCATCTGCGTCCTCGATGCCGGACAGATCGCGGAGATGGACACCCCTGTCAATCTGTACCACAACGACGGGATCTTCCGCGGGATGTGCGAGCGGTCGAGCATCTCGCTGGAGGATATCAAGAAGGCTGCGAAGGAGCGTGAAGTGCGGGATGACGAGGATGCATGATTCACGTGGGGCGTCGATTTTTTTTTCTTTCTGGTTCGTGCAGATGGTGTTTTTAATGATTTTCACGCGGTGAGACGATTAGACACGGTAGCCTAATGTGATACGATATGTGATACGAATCTAGAAGGGCATCAGATGCGCAGATTTGCGACTCATAACTTACATGTGCCGTATGGATCACTGAGCCTGAAGCGACATGCGTGAGCATGCGTGGCAGCGTTGATTTGCAGCGCATCATCAAATCGCCCAATACGCGGTGTACGCGCCGCCGCTGCGATCATCTCGATCAGGTCCGATTGTACACAACGATTACATCTAGTGAGACAAAGTAAAAAAAAAAACACGGAAACAGAGCCATACTCCTACACGCGAGGCCGAATCACAACCTCGCGTTCTTCGGCATCGCTCTGATCGCCTGCCGAACGCCCAAGTCTCCCAAGACGTCCTCGGCTAGACGAAGAGGGGTCAGTCGAGCTGCCACGAGACGGTACCGGACACGAGCGGGACTCACCTCCGCCGAGCAGGGCGTCGAACGGGACCGTGCGGTGGTACTGTAGATCGACGCGGGGTAGTATATTCATCAGTATACAGCAAGATGGAGATCGAAGCGGAGGCGGGACACTGACGTGCTCGATGAAGCGGCCCATGCCGGTCTTCGTGATCCCGCGTCCGCCGAAGATCTGCACGGCGTCCTGCGCGGTCTCCTGGGCGCAGCGCGTGCTGTACATTTTCAGGAACGCAATCTGGCCCGCGAGCTTCGTCGACTGCTCCTTATACGACTGCAAACCAAAAACGACGCGGGACCATGTCAGTCGTGATGTCCTGATGGCAGAGGCTGAGTGAGAGAGGAAGCTGTTTGGGGATGCGCACCATGTTGCACATCTGGTGGGTGATGTTCTCGAGCCAGTTCTGCACGCTCTCCGTGCGGGCGATCATCTGTGCAATTTTGCTTCGGATGACGGCTTGCGAGCTGAGCGGCTTCCCGAAGGCTTTGCGCTGCTGGATCCACCTGGATAGAAACGGGGCATCTCGTCAAGCACGTGCCAGAACGTCGCTAGCGAGACCTACTTGAGACACTCCTCGACGATGGACCGCTGACTGCGTGCGGAGGCCCCGCACATGACCCATCGCTCATGGTTGAAGTTACTGCATGCGGTTTGGATCTTGAGCTACGCTCAAACGCGGCGGAGGCGGCCTACCTAAGGATGACGAAGATGCCTCCGCCTTCAGGACCTAGTGTGTTCTCAACGGGTACGCGGACGTTGTCGAAAGTGATGTAGGCAGTGCCCGCCGTGGACGAATAAGACGTCTTGATGGGCTTCGTCGATAGGCCCTCACTGCGTGGGATGAGTATCACGGTGAACCCATCCTAGTGCGAGCTTCAATGGAACAGAGCGATGGCACGACGAAAGTACAGAGCTTACCTCAGTTTTGCAGCCTGTTGTGAAGCTGACCGTATGGTGAGACACCTCCGGAGTGCACAGCGGGGGCGCGAATACTTACTAGTCTGAGAAGCTGTTCGGAGTCGAGTGAGAGGAAGCTCATCGTGACCATATCAATCAACGCACTGTCCGTTTGTGATCCACTTCTTGGTACCATTGACGATCCATTCCTTCCCGTCCTCGCTCTTGACTGCCGTCGTCTGCAAGCCCATCACGTCACTGCCAGCCTGAGCCTCTGAGATCGCGAGGCATATGAATTTCTTCCCAGAGAGCACTTCCGGCACGATCTGAGACGTCAAAATAATATGACTTTGTCACGGCTTCGCACGCGGCGGCACGGAACTCACCTTGGCTTTGAGTTCCGGAGAGCCGAAGTTCAGCACTGGAGGGAGTCCGATCACTTTGCCTCCTAGGAGACCTGCAATTTCGCCGGGTGAGGGGCTTGCGCAGAGTTAGAGCATGGGTGCCGGTTTCGCGTACCGTCTCCGTAGCCTCTCGCTCCGCAGCGCACAATCTCTTGCGTAATGATGAGCTTTTAGTCAAAATCATACGTTGCTCAGTTATGAGCGATATTATGATTTCCCGAGGCGATATGGACGCGTGCTTACCTCGTGGAAATAATTGAACTATGTCGGCGAAGCGAATTGTCAACATATGTATTGGACGTTCCGGGCGGGGACAGAAGGGGGGTTTACATACCTCCTCGGGGGAGACGAGGCCGTTCATGAGCGTGAGGCCCTTCAGATGTTTTCCAGGCCCCATTCGCATGGCATGTAAGTTCAGGGCGCTGCGTGGGGTGCCGTAAGATGGTAGCGAGAAGAGAGGCACGAGGTGTAGGAGACATACGCCATTTTGTCGAAGACCTCTTGGCTCGCTCGCTTCCCATCCTCTTCTCGCGCCTGCGCGTCAGGATAGATGACCTCGTCGACGAACTTGCGCACTTCCTGCTGGAACTTGCGGTGATTCTGTTCGGTGGGTGATGGCATGGCGGCATCAATGGTCGGGTTCTGAGCCAGGCAAGGCGCAGCTGGCCGTTCTCGACAGGCCGACACGCACCTCGGTGTAGAAGGGGCTCGAGAACCCGTCGGACAACCATGTGGGCTCGGCGTAGGGCACTGTGCTAAGCGCTCCTGGGATGCGTCCGAGAATCACGCTCTTCTCGCCACGCAGGATGCCGACCTGGAGACGCGCGTACTGGGGGCGTTCGAGAACCTCGTGTCTGTGGAGGCCGTAGAAAGTCTCCGTCGCGTCTTGGCCTGCGACGTCGCCGTCGAGCAGCACGGCGAGGCCTCCGGGGTGCATGGCGGCGAAGCGCGAGAGGTCATAGACCTTGGCGTCGACGATGACCCACTGGCGGGAACGAGCTCAGCGGTGGACGGTGTACGCACACGCAAGTGCGGCGCACTTACCAGATCGCCTGGCTTGTTGTGCTGTCGTGACGGCGATGGTTATTCGATGCACGCGACGTGGGAAAAAAAGCGAGACCGCACCTTGGCCACATCGTCTCTGTCGAACTCGTTGAGCGATTTTGCTGCCATTGTTGGGTGGAAGGCAGGTGAGGAGGAGTGCAATGCGTGCAATGCGGTGGATCCCGAAAGCACGGGGTTTTGTAGTTCGCGGGGCAACAAGCGGGGCAGGCACAGATTCACGCGTATCGGCCTCGCCGTGCTCTCGGGCCGCCCAACGAACAGACTGGGAATGCAGAAGTGACGGCGTGACATCTTGCGATAAGGAATGTGACATGCCGGATCCGGGCCCCGCCCAGGAGGCGTCTTCGTGGATCTGCACAAAAAATGGGGCAACGGCGATGCTTGAGGCAGATCTGTGGAGAAGCGTGATGGCCAAGGGAGAGATGTTGCGAACAGCGAACAGCTTGGGCGTGGGCAGATCAGGCCCGACGATGTCCGACGTGCTTCGGCGAGGTTCGGTGCGCGGTGGTCACGGGCCTCCGTCCGTTTCTGACATCGGGAGAACATGACTGGGCCAGCCACCGCCGCCTACATTACAGCCCTCTCCTCAGAAAATTTCGTGAGCCCTCTTGTCCCCTCTTGTCCTCCTGCCTCCTCCTCGTCGCCATCGCACACGTCCCCCTCGACACCAGGCTCTCCGCTTTTGTCCATCGTCATCCCATAGGTCTATGGCCCCCGACTCGTCTCCTATCCGCAATGATTACCTCGATCCGTCCGTCCCTCTAGTCGACGAGATCTCCTCTCCTAGTGCCATCGACAGCTTCAATGCCGTCCAGCGCGACCCTGACTCCTGGTCTGGTGCCATGCCCGCTAGTCAAGGTCTCTACTCGAACGAGCTTGAGAAGGACTCGTGCGGTGTCGGCTTCATCTGTCATATCAAGGGCGAGCAAAGCCATAAAATCGTTTCCGATGCCAGGCAGCTCCTGTGTGCCATGACTCACCGTGGCGCCACTGGCGCGGACAGCCGCGACGGAGATGGAGCGGGTGTCATGACCGGCATCCCGCACCTTTTTTTTAAGCGCGAGGCCGAAAGGGACATCGGCTGCGCACTCCCTGAACCGGGAGAGTACGCCGTCGGCAACGTCTTCTTCAAACCCAACGACCCTATCCAGCTCCAGAAGCAGCAGTCTGTCTTTGCTAGATCCGCGAGCGACCTCGGCCTCAGGGTTCTCGGCTGGCGTGAGGTCCCCACTGACGGCTCCATCCTGGGCCCCGCTGCGAGTAGCAAGGAACCCGTCATCCTTCAACCCTTCGTCGTCCTCCGCTCCCACTACGGGGATGGCAACCAGAGCCAGTCGGGCGTGTTCGACGCAAAGCACTTTGAGCGCCAACTTTACGTTCTCCGCAAGCACGCAACGCATAGCATGTTTGTGATTTCCTGCTCTTCTGACTGCTACGACCTCAGCTCAACCTACCGGACTTGCCCCTATCTAAAGTACGCTTGCCAAGGGCTTCTACGTATGCTCCCTCTCTTCCAAGAACATCGTCTACAAGGGACAGCTCTCCCCCCCTCAAGTATACAATTACTATCATGACCTCAACCACGTCCTGTATCGTTCTCATTTCACGTTGGTACATTCTCGTTTCTCGACGAATACATTTCCCAGTTGGGATCGTGCCCAGCCTATGAGATGGGCTGCACACAACGGTTCGTAAAGCATGCTTGAGTCGCGAGGTAAGATCTTACTGACGTCCCCGCTGCCGATAGGCGAGATCAACACCGTTCGCGGCAACAAGAACTGGATGCGCGCGCGCGAGGGCGTGCTCACGTCGACTTCGTTCGGAGAGCAGCTCGATCTCCTCTATCCCATCATCGAGGCCGGCGGTTCCGACTCGGCGGCGTTTGACAACGTCTTGGAGTTGCTCGTCGTGAACGGCGTCGTGACTTTACCTGAGGCCGTCATGATGCTCATCCCTGAGGCGTGGCAAGGAAACGCGCAGATGGAGCCAGAGAAGGCTGCGTTCTACAACTGGGCTGCTTGTCTCCAGGAGCCCTGGGATGGCCCCGCTCTCTTCGCGTTCTCTGACGGGCGCTACTGCGGTGCCAACCTTGATCGCAATGGCCTCCGACCCTGTCGCTTCGTCGTCACGAATGAGGACATCATGGTGTGCGCCTCCGAGGTTGGCGCGCTCTTCATCTCTCCCGAGAAGGTCGTCCAGAAGGGGCGTTTGAAGCCAGGGCGCATGCTTCTCGTCGATACCCTCGAGGGCCGTATCGTTGATGACAAGGAGCTCAAGCGCAACACCGCTCGCAAACAGAACTTTGCCTCGTGGGTGGAGACGCACATGCTCACGGTCCCCAACATCGTCAAGCGCGTCAAGCGCAGCCAGTCCATTGATGCTCGCCCCGACGGCACGTCCCTCAGCACCGACCCTCGCCTTCTTGCCTTCGGTTTCACCGTCGAGCAGCTGAACCTCCTTATGCTTCCCATGGTCACCGACGGAAAGGAGGCTCTGGGTTCGATGGGTAACGATGCGCCCCTCGCGGCGATGGCGACGCAGCCTCGTATCATCTATGACTACTTCCGCCAGCTGTTTGCCCAGGTCACCAACCCGCCTATCGATCCCATCCGCGAGAGCATTGTCATGTCGCTCGAGTGCTATGTCGGGCCGGAGGGCAACCTCCTCGAGATGAAGCCTGAGCAGTGCCATCGCATCCTCCTTCCTTCCCCACTCATCTCTATCGAAGAGATGAATGCGATGAAGAGTCTTAAGGTTGCATATGCGACTTGGCCTTCGAAGACCATCGACATCACCTTCCCAAAGGCAGAAGGTCTACCTGGATACAAGGTTGCGCTCGACCGGGTCTGCAGGGAGGCCACCGAAGCCATCGACCAGGGCATCAAAGTCATCATCCTCTCCGATCGAGAGACCGGCCCCTCGCGTATTCCTCTATCTGCGCTCGTTGCCTGTGGTGGCGTTCATCACCATCTCGTTTTGCAAAAGAAACGTGCGAAGGTCGCGCTCATGGTCGAGACGGCCGAGGCCAGGGAGGTTCATCACCTTTGCGTGCTTGTAGGTTACGGAGCAGACGCTGTGTGCCCTTGGCTGATGATGGAGATCGTCCACAAAGTTGCTCGGGAAGGCTTGTGAGTCGTTTGCTTCATCATCTTTCACGCTTCTTACTGACTTTCGCTCTCAGAGTGAAGGACAACAAGACCTTGGGTGACCTCATGAACAACTATCGTCACTCTGTCGACAATGGCATCCTCAAAGTCATGTCGAAGATGGGTATCTCGACCCTCCAGTCTTACAAGGGTGCCCAGATTTTCGAGGCACTTGGTCTTCACCACGAGGTCATCGAACGCTGCTTCATCGGCACTGCGAGCCGCATCGAAGGCGCCACTTTCGATCTTCTCGCCATGGACGCCTTCGAGCTCCACGAACGCGGCTGGCCATCCCGTGAGACCAAAATTCCTCCTGGAATGCCCGAATCTGGAGAATATCACTGGCGTGACGGCGGCGAGCCTCACATCAATGACCCCACCGGCATCGCGAACCTCCAGGACGCTGTTCACGAGAAGAACCAGAAGGCTTACGACGCGTACGCCGAAAATGCCATCAACCAGGGTAAGCGCGTACAGATCCGCGGCCTGCTCGATTTCCGCTTCGAGAGTACGACTCCCATCCCGATCGACCAAGTCGAGCCCTGGAACGAGATTGTGCGTCGCTTCGTCACGGGCGCCATGTCGTATGGGTCGATTTCGATGGAGGCCCACTCGACTCTAGCCATCGCCATGAATCGTCTCGGGGGCAAGTCCAACACGGGTGAGGGAGGCGAAGACGCTGAGAGGTCGCAGGTCCTGAACAACGGGGACACGATGCGTTCCGCCATCAAGCAGGTCGCTTCCGGTCGTTTCGGTGTGACGTCGAACTATCTTGCCGATTCCGACGAGCTGCAGATCAAGATGGCCCAGGGTGCCAAGCCCGGCGAGGGTGGTGAACTTCCAGGACACAAGGTCTCTGGCTCGATCGCTCGCACTCGTCACTCCACCGCTGGAGTCGGTCTCATTTCTCCCCCTCCCCATCACGATATCTATTCCATCGAGGATCTGAAGCAACTCATCTACGACCTTAAGTGCTCCAACCCCCGCGCGCGCGTGTCCGTGAAACTTGTATCCGAAGTCGGTGTCGGTATCGTTGCCAGCGGTGTCGCGAAGGCGAAGGCCGACCACATCCTCATCTCTGGCCACGACGGCGGTACCGGCGCTTCTCGCTGGACTGGTATCAAGAACGCCGGCCTGCCTTGGGAGCTGGGGTTGGCGGAGACGCACCAGACGTTGGTCTTGAACGACTTGCGTGGACGAGTGACCGTGCAGACTGATGGTCAGATCCGCACCGGCCGTGACATCGCCATCGCGTGTCTCCTTGGGGCCGAAGAGTGGGGTTTCGCGACTACGCCGCTCATCGCCATGGGTTGTATCATGATGAGGAAGTGCCACCGTATGTCCATCCAATGATTTTGTCTGTTGACATGATCTTATTGTCTTTTTGTGTTTGTTAGTGAATACCTGCCCCGTCGGTATCGCCACGCAGGACCCTCAGCTTCGTGCCAAGTTTGCAGGCCAGCCTGAGCACGTCATCAACTTCTTCTACTACCTTGCGGAAGAGCTCCGCGGGTACATGGCGAAGCTTGGCTTCCGGACCATCAACGAGATGGTCGGGCGTGCAGATATGCTCAAGGTCGACGAGAGCCTCCGTACTCCCAAGACCGCTCACCTCGACCTGTCTGCGATCCTCAAGCCGGCGTGGCAGATGCGCCCCGGTGCTCCCACGCACCGCGTCCGTCAACAAGATCACAAGCTCTACATCCGTCTCGACAACAAGTTCATCGACGAGTCGGAGCCCGCACTCACCAAGGGTCTTCCCGTTCACATCGAATGCGACGTAACGAACACTGATCGCGCGCTGGGCACCACCCTGTCCTATCGCGTGTCGAAGCTCTATGGCGAAGAGGGTCTCCCGCGTGACACCATCCACATCAACATGAAGGGATCTGCCGGGCAGTCTTGCGGAGCTTTCCTTGCGCCTGGTATCACGATCGAACTTGAGGGCGATGCTAACGACTACGTCGGAAAGGGTCTCTCTGGAGGTCGGCTCGTTGTCTACCCCCCTCGCCAGTCCACCTTCAAGGCTGAAGAGAACATCATCATCGGCAACGTCTGCTTGTACGGCGCGACGTCCGGTGAAGCTTTCATTCGTGGTATTGCGGCGGAGCGCTTCGCTGTGCGCAACTCTGGAGCGAACGCTGTTGTGGAGGGTACCGGCGACCACGGATGCGAGTACATGACAGGAGGCAGGGTCGTCGTTCTTGGTACTACGGGACGCAACTTTGCCGCTGGTATGAGCGGCGGTATCGCGTATGTTCTGGACCTTGCCCACACCTTCGCCTCGAAGGTGAACATGGAGATGGTTGAGCTTGGGAAGGTCACCGAGCCCCGCGAGATCGCAGAGCTTCGCAGCCTCATCGAGGATCATCGTCATTTCACTGGATCCGAGGTTGCCGACCGCGTCCTGCGCGATTTCCATCATCTTCTGCCCCTCTTCGTCCGTGTCATGCCCTTCGACTACAAGCGGGTCATCGAGGAGCAGGCCGCAAAGGCGAAGGAAGAGAAGCTGCGCCACAGCGTCATCGATCTCGTGCCCTCGCGGACTGCCAGCCAGGTCGACCTTGCTTCGGAGGTGTTGGAGGACCTCCTCCTGCCAAAGGAGCCCCAGTCTAACGCCTTGATACATCACAGCAAGAAGCACGAGCCGTCGGTCGTAGACTTGGAGGACTCGATGGTCGACGATGCGTCGACTAAGCAACGCCTGCACAAGCTCGACAAGACTCGCGGCTTCATGAAGTACAAGCGTCTCGGGGAGGCATACCGGCCCCCGCGCAAGCGCACCAAGGACTGGAAAGAGATCTCGACGCGTCTCACGGAGAGCGAGCTCAAGTACCAGTCCGCACGCTGCATGGACTGCGGCGTGCCCTTCTGCCAGTCGGACACCGGTTGCCCGATCTCGAACGTTATCCCCAAATGGAACGACCTCATCTTCAAGGGTCAGTGGCAGGACGCGCTGAACCGTCTGCTGTTGACGAACAACTTCCCGGAGTTCACTGGGAGGGTCTGTCCTGCTCCTTGCGAGGGTGCGTGCGTGCTTGGGATCAACGAGCAGCCCGTTGGCATCAAGAGCATCGAGTGTGCCATCATTGACAAGGTATGTGGCTCACCGCTATCGTTGCGATTGGTTTCTTACACGTTGTTGTACAGGGCTTCGAGATGGGTTGGATGGCCCCCAGTCCGCCTACGTTCAGCACCGGCAAGAGTGTGGCCGTCATCGGCTCTGGCCCGGCTGGATTGGCCTGCGCTGACCAGCTGAATAAGGCTGGACACAAGGTCACCGTTTACGACCGCAACGATCGTATGGGAGGGCTACTCATGTACGGCATTCCTAAGTATGTGCATTCCTCCATCCTGCTCGTCTTCCCGTCCTCATGAATATGTGTCGTACAGCATGAAGCTTGACAAGGCTGTTGTTCAGCGGCGCATCGACCTCATGGCGGCGGAAGGTATCGTAAGTTTGCCATTCGGATACGTCTTTGTTGGATTCAATTAAGGTTCCTCCTCGTCAATCTAGACATTCGTTCCCAATGCCCATGTTGGTGTCGATGTCGACATCGAAGACATCCGTGCTAGCCATGATGCCGTCGTTCTGTCCACTGGTGCTACCTGGCCTCGTGATCTCCGGATCCCCGGGCGGGACGCCGATGGCATCCACTTTGCAATGGAGTATCTCCAGGTACGTTTAACCTGGCTCTGATCCTCTTTACGGGCGTGCATCTGACGCCGATCGGTTCAGTTGAACACGGCCTCGCTCCTGGATTCAGAGCTTCAGAATGGAAATTACATCAACTCGAAGGGCAAGGATGTCATCGTCATTGGAGGTGGTGACACTGGTAACGACTGCATCGGTACTTCCATGCGCCACGGTGCGAAGTCTGTTACGAACTTCGAACTGCTCCCCAAGCCTCCTGTGTCACGCGGAAGAGACAACCCATGGCCGCAGTGGCCAAGGTGAGACGCTCGTCACCTGACGCTCTTTGGCATTGATTGACAATCTTTGCAGAATATTCCGTACGGATTACGGTCACACCGAAGTCGCCGCACACTTTGGGAACGGTGCGTCTTGGGTTGATATATATCACGTTTCTATAATCTCACAGCGTCGGACGCAGATCCTCGCGAGTACTGTATCTCGACGAAGGAGTTTGTTCTCAATGATGAAGGCAAACTTCAAGGCCTCAACACAGGTAAGCCTTTTCTGTTCCAAAGTGTCCCATCTGATTGACCATCCTGCGTCCTCAGTCCGCGTGGAATGGACCAAGGATAGCGGAGGGCGTTGGAAGATGGAGGAAGTCCCTGGGTCCGAGAAGTTCTTCCCGGCTCAGCTAGTGTTCTTGGCCCTTGGTTTCCTAGGACCACAGCCCGACGCCATCAAGGCTCTCGGTGTCAAACAAGATGCGCGTTTTAACATCCAGACACCACACAAGAAATACTCCACTAACATCCCTGGCGTCTTCGCTGCTGGTGATTGTCGTCGCGGTCAATCGCTTATTGTCTGGGGCATCAAGTAAGTACACTGCTATGCTTCTGGAGACAATACCTTCGGGTCTTACCTATCTGCTATTTTTCCAGCGAAGGGCGTGGTGCTGCTGCTGAGGTGGATGCCTGGCTCATGGGTGGTACCAGACTTCCCAACGCTGGAGGAATAAAAACAAGGGTCAGTCTATCTCATGCTTCTCACGTTGCTGCTCTGATCGTACTGTTGCAAACAGGCCTTTGTGCCCCCTCCAAGCACGGTTCGCGACGATCGCCCACAGGCAGTCGCTGTCTCAGCCTGAACACGACTCACATGGCCACATGTTCCCTCTCTCTCCAGATGTCTCTCTATGGCGACAGGGCTTCTGCACAGCGGCGATCTCAATTCACAATGTAACGAATGGGCTTCAGGATGGATATGTTGTATTGTTGGTTATCCTATCATGTGTTCATACATCTTACGTCCTTGTATACGATCTAGTTCTCGAATATATCATATTATCTGTTCTATGTTTATGCTTTTGGATATGGTGACATCGAGGGTAGCCGTCCGCCTTCGATCCCGAGACCTTGAGAGCTTTGACCCTCTCAAGGTTAATCTGCGCAGCATCAGCGACGCAGGACATTTATAACTTTAGCTTCAGGCTTGGGATCTGGCCGCGTGGTTTCTCGCAGGCCTACACACCACAGCATCCTGTCTTCAGAGTTAATATCAACAAGAACGCGCTTCTCTCGTTCCTCCACATCAACTTCTCTCATGGAAGAACACGTTTTAGTGGTCTTTTTGCTCGACACGTTGCTTGCGCGGAGTTCCCGCATCTTTTGAGGCATTGGTAAGGACCGCCGACCTTGCTGATGTCGCGTTGACATACGCAAAAATTGACCAGTTCTTTCATTGACTCTGGCATTGCACACGGTCGGAGTATGTGCGAACAGCGCTGCGCGTTCTGACCATCGTCGCATGGGAAAAGATACATAAAAATACTGATACAAGGTCGGTTTGCCGACCCCCGCATCGAGAGCTACAACAACCGATCCTATGATGAATACAACCACAGGACGCAAACTCAAGCATAATTCTGTACGAAATCTGCCTTTGCCGCATCGATGCCCTGCGTGATGCCATGCTCTGCCAAACGATCACCAAGAGCCTGTGGATGGGTAACGAAGAACGATGGCACTCACCGTACTCCCACAAGTTTCCCTGGCCCCTCTCGCGCGCGTGTGCGGCAGCACGTCTCTTCGCCCACGCACCTTTGAACCCAATCTCTGGGATGGAGCCGCCGCGAGTCGGTGGCGATGAGAAAAGCATGTAGGCGTCGTTCCACCCACAGATGAACCCTTCGCTGAAACGCCAATGCTCGTAGTGTCCAGGATGCTTTGACCACCATCCGGTATGTGCGCCTGCTTGAGTAAATTTATCTTAGTGATTCCATTGTTAGTGGAGGAAAACAGAGACAGACTCAGTGCTTGATCCCTCGCCTGATCCCGCCTCCACTGTCTGCCATCGTCTCCACGAGGATCCTTATTTGCCTTAGTGCCTACCCACGACGGAAATACGCCATACGCGACAGCATCCCTCATCGCCCACCCACTGTCGCCTCCCTGCTGTTTCTTCAACGTCCAATAAAACCACCCTGCACACTCCCGCTCGTACAGAGCGAGCTGGGCATCGACAAAGTTGCGCTTCTCCGCGTGCTCGTCAGCCGTGCCGCGGAAGGAGTCCGGGTTGAGCGCGCCGGACCATTCGCCTACGACGAGGCCGGCGCCAGCAGAAGCAAGGGCAGGCACAGCTGCGGAGAAGGGGGAAGACTCGCGCAGGGCCTGGGCGTGCCCGGCGGCCGAGGTGGAAGCGTCCTGGGAGGTGAAACAGCGATAGAGGTGGTGGTCGAGTGCCACGAAGGACGACGACTCCGAGGATGCGTGCGAGCCGAGGGATGTGATGAACTCAGTGTATTCGGAGGTACGCCAGGAATCTCCGATGTAGAGGGGCATGTCAGGGTCGATCCGACGCATCGCTTCGAAGGTACTCCTATACCATTTCTTCAAGGCGGAGTGGTCTCCTCCGGGTGGGTTAGGCTCGTTGATAAGTTCGATCCCGACAACGTTTGGAAGGGGAGGGTCGTGCGTGCGGGTGTACGTTGTTAGGTTAATCAGGAGGGACGTGAGAATATGTTTCGTGTGTGACATGTTGGATGAGCTAAAGAATGCGACCTCAGGAGATGAGGTACCTGAATGCGCGTCCGCGTTCTGCTTGCCGGGAGCTGCATGCAAGTCTGCAGGACTGTCAACATCGCCATCGAAGCGAGACCAAAGGAGAAGCGAACCAATAAGCACACCGATGCCATAGCGGTGGGCGGTCGCGATTGCACTGGTGATCCTGGCCCACGCGCCTTGAAAGACGCTGCCGAGGTGAGCAAAGTCTGTGCCGTTCAGAACCGAAGGATCTACGCCGCACAAATGATAAAACGCGATCTGATGACGGCTGAATGAGTCAAGTCGGAAGTGACAAATCGAAAGAGAATGAGAGAAGCGTCCCCACCGGAATTCGGACGGTGTTGATGCCCCTGTCAGAGATCCACTGCCAGTCCTCCTCAACGATCCAGTCATTCCAATGGCGATCGAGAACGTTCTGGCCATACGAACCCTTCGCGACATCGTGGTCACTCTGTCCAGGCTGCTCCGCAAAGCGGAAGGGGCTGTCAGCAATCCATCTTTCGAGGACGAACCAAGAACCTAAAGGACTTAAAATTCAGTCGACGTTTTCAAGATGCCTAATTGTGGGATCAGACCAAGGTTGACGCCCCTCTGTTTTCTGTAGCGATAGAAATCGTATTCAGATGGGAAGTCTCGCACAGGGTTAATCGGAAGTTGTGGTGTTTGTTTGGACTTGAGGTGATGAGATGAAAGAGAATGCTTGTCCAAGAAAATTTTGAGTTTGTCCATGATGATAAGCACTAGAAGGCCAGCGACAGCCTACGATTCTAATGCCTTGATACAAGGTGAAGCAAACATAGCATACTTCCCGCTGCGGTCGTAACGTTGGAGGCCTTTGTAAGGCTGCCATGACGTCACAGAAGCACCACGGCGAAGCTTATTCGAAGAGAAAGAAAAAAAGGCTATTGACGACCGAGTTCCAACACACCCAACGGATGAAGCATCGTTTAGAATGGTCTCGAGGTCTGGTCCAGAGCGTAGAAAAAAACCACTGAATCATATCGGACGGGAAAGCCTCCGTGACCCAAGACCGGGTCCGAGGAAAGCAGCTGTTTGCAACGTGGCGAGTGTTTGAGGATGTTCGACACGCGGACCCTCAAGCTCTCGAGCAAAACACGTTCTACCGAGAGAATTTGAGTGCGAAGAGAGGTACTTACTACATTGTCTGTTTGAAAATTTAAGCTCGAAGACGGAGCGCTGACAGGAACGTGTGGTCTGCAGGGGTGTAGACGCGGAGGTTGGCCACCGAAATGGACACGTGTTTGTTCGAATCGTGACTAGTCCGAAGTCGCGGCGGTCATCGGTGTCGTTTCTCGGCGGCGGCTGGATGTTTCCATCCGTCTCAATATCAGTATCATGAGGTGGTATAAGAGCCATCGCACAATCTCGCAAAGCAAGCACTCCTTTGCTTGTGTCCGTTCGCAGTATTTCCGTGTACGATTACCCCCACATCCAACGCTAGGATGACTTCTCCACCTACAAACGCTGGTCCTCTAGCAGGAATCAAGGTCATCGAGGTAAGCCTACCCTAGCTCCTTCTGAGTTGCACAATCTGATCAGCCTATATCATGTAGTTCGCAGGGCTCGCTCCTGTACCGTTTGCAGGCCTTATTTTATCCGACTTTGGTGCTTCAGTCACCCGCATTGACCGGTGCACCCCGCACACCATCATACATGAGTCGCTCAACACCGATATTCTATGCCGCAACAAGCGTTCTATTGCCGTAGACTTAAAGAGCCCGAAGGGCTTGGAAATCGTCCGCCGCCTCGTCAGGAACGCGGATGTCTTGATTGACCCGTTTAGACCCGGGGTGCTGGAGAAGACAGGCTTGGGGCCCGAAGTGTGGTTTGGCAAAGACGGCAAGGGCGAGGAGCAGAATGACAGGCTGATTTATGCAAGAATAGCAGGGTGAGCCATCCATTTTATTATTATTATCATCACTATTATTATTCGCCCATGCGCTGAACCAGGTTGGACCTCGCCTTAGCTTCCGCAGGGATGGTGAGTGCTATGACACCTGAGAATAGGACCCATGACTCTAATACATTCCCATAGGTCCGCATAAGGACATGGCAGGTGAGGAACCTTTGTTTCCCTTTCACCCTACAATGACTAATCCTTTGTTAGGTCACGATCTGAATTATCTGGCACTCAGTGGTGTTCTTTCGGTATGCCCCCCCCCCTAAAGACACCCAATCGTCCAATGGACTGATATCTGATCATCTTTGTCTTTGACAGCTCCTCCCCGGCACAGAAGAGAAGCCTGCATTCCCCTTGAACCTTCTGGCCGATTTTGCTGGTGGAGGGCTGACCTGTGCTTTGGGAATTCTACTTGCCCTATTTGAGCGCACTCATAGTGGCCGTGGCCAGATTGTGGATACCGACATGGTAAGTAGTACCACGATGTTGACCATGGCCAAAAAAATCAACCCCCTGTTTTGTTTCTATCTAGGTATCAGGCGTCAGGTACCTCTCGACGTTCCCTTTCCTGCACGCTTACCTCCGTACACCTATGTTCGCGAATCCCGCTCTCCCCCGACAATCGAACATCCTCGACGGCGGCGCCCCCTACTACGGCATATACACGTGTGCAGACGGGAGGCACATCGCGGTTGGGTGCCTCGAGCCCCGATTCTTCATGATATTTTTGGAGAGGTTCATGGACGGCGTACCAAGTGCATGGTTGGAAGTCCAGAAAAAACGGGGTTGGGTGCCGGATGCAGGGTCGCAGAGCAGAAAAGAGGAGTGGGGCCACCTGCGCGCATTTTTAGAAAGGGGGTTCAGGCTGTTGGAACGCGACGAATGGACGAAGGTTTTTCATGGTCAGTTCGCGCTGGTTTATTTTAATTTTGTCGAGACCTTCATTAATTTAACTTGAACCTCGATTTATTCGCAACAGGTGCCGACGCGTGTGTGACACCGGTCCTCACACCTTCCGAGGCTGCCCATCTGAGTGCGCAATCTTTGTCTTCCGCTTCCGCTTTCCATTCGCCCTCTCGCCCTTCGCCGGTTCCGCTGCCAGCGCCCAATCTTTCTCGTACTCCTTTCTCTGCCTCCATAGGCCGGTTGACCCTGCTGAGGCCGGGGCAGCATACCAAGGAGATCTTACACGAATCTGGGTTAGAAATCGAAGAAATTGAGAAACTCGTCCGAGAGGGCGTGGTTGGTGTTGATGCCGATGATGCAGCGGTCATGGCGAAGCTATAATGTTTTCCGTGAATGATCTGGGAAAATTGTAATATGGGATATCCGCTTGCCCCATCTTGTACATATATGTACATGCATTCGTTGTGTACAAACAGTCTCTCACTATGTGCCGTAATATAGAACTGCGTTGACATGAAGTTCTAGCCTTGAGGACAGCGTCGCTGAAGCGCTGAATCCTCATGTTCGCTATGTTAAGGCTTTGTCAAGTGGATGATGGTACACTTCCCTGCGGTATCGATAACGATGCAAAAGGTTACAACAAGTACGCCAGGTATCCTACATAATCTCCAATGTTCAACTCGAGCAACTGCACTGGAAGCCCAGCATCTTCCTCTCCCCCACGGCACAAAGCCTCCTCTCCTCTCTAACCTCCTCGTCTAATACCTCTTCTGGTCTGCTGTCGCCCTCTGCGCCCCAGGGTGCAAATGGGCTACACGCCATCTGCATCACCTTTGCAAGCACACGCTTTCCGCTCTTTGGATCCTTCTCCACCTTTCCAATCACCTCCTCTAACACCCACTGCCTGAGAACGAAGCGTGGGTTTGCCGCCTTTGTTTCCCGCTCTCGTCTCTCATCCAAGCTAAAGGCCGCAGCATCGTCGTCAACCCACGCGTCCTTCTCCGCTTCGATCCGAGCAGCGTATTTCTCCAGCCAGCGTTTCCACGATCGCACGGCTTCATCGCGCTGAATTGACTGGGAGTCGGACGTGTAGTCCAGAAGTCCATCTACAAATTGATCGAGGGCGGCCGACTCGACTGCCAGGAGCGAAGGGCGGAAGGTGGTGAGATGGCGGAAGGAGAGGTGGAAGTCTAGTTTCTGGCTCTCAAGGATTCTGAGAAGCGGTCGAATAAGTGTCGCGTCGTCATCTTGTAAAAGTCGCCTCAGTCCAAGGCGCTACACTCGCGCGTCAATCAGGCGTTCTTGTCTAGACACAGCAGGCAGATGCTAAGTTAAGACGCAACCCACCTTGTTCATCCGTGCGTGATACTCCGCCTCGAACTCGGTCTGGAATGTATGATTCAATTCTTCCTCGACGAGGTCCACGCCCGTAGAACGCAGTTCTTTGATCTTTTTCTCATCAAATTCGTTCGCCCATCCCGTGGAGATGGCCTTATTCCCGAGCTCAGCCTCGGCACCAACGAGAGGCGCCAAGGCATTGAGCAGAGCGCGTAACGCAAAAAGGCTAGGTTTCAAACGTTCATTGAGAAATAAATATATTATCTCCACAGAAATGGGCCTTACATCATTGCTGGCTGGTACTATAAGACAGTTTTAGGTCGAGTACTAATAGAGAATGGCTTCAAATGCTACCTACCTTGTAAGCATATCTTCCTTCTCCATCAGAGTGGTTGCATATATGCATGTCGTTGAAGACATCCATGAAGGCATATGGACCTAAGCAAGTGAATGAGCCAATCTGCATGGAAAATTGTGAACGTGCGAGACTCACCATAGTCGATCGTTAATCCAAGGATTGAAACACTATGGAATGTCGTCAATCACAGTTAGCTTGAACTTTGAAGTTGATGCCTACTTGTCCGTATTGATTACTCCATGCATGAACCCATACGCCTGCCATCCTGCCACCATTCTCGCATTTCTCCTTGCCACTTCCAAGAGCAACTCCTTACCCCAAGCGCCGTCTGGACCTCCCTGTCTCTGTACACGTACCACATGGTCTGAGACGAACTCGCCCAAAACGCGCAAAGCATCGAGGTCTTTCTCCTGTTGTCCACCGCCAATGAAGAACATCTGGGCAGGCGGATTGAGCGCCTCGAAGGAGCCTATGCGGAGGAAGGAAGGCGCGACGCGGGTCACTATACATGCGGCCTCACGCAGTTCACGAAGGACAGGGAGCGAAGGAAGGGAGACGAGGGACAAGGAACGGGTGGTAGGTATATGAAGGGCATGCATCGCTGTGACATAATGCATAAGACCAAAGCAGTCATTCATTCGCTCAGTATCTACATACCTTCAGCACAGAGGTACTCGCGAATTGAGGAACGAACGACGGCGAGTCCATCAGCAGAGCGTGAGAACGGTGTGCGCCCGCCCCCCTTCAGTTGGAGCTCATAGATAGTATCTGGGTCAGACGGATGGGGGGTCGCGTCTGCACAGAGGAGTTTATTGAAAGCCTCGAAGACTCGAACCCCCGCCTCTGGCGAGATTGGACTCACGAACAGTGATGGCGCGGCCGTCTCCCAATTGTCCTGCCCATACGCCAAATTGATGACCGCTATACCTCAAGGACCAGGGTGCGAATGGCGTTTCCGCATCCTGACCAGACATAAGTACTGCATGACCACCGAGCACATCGACGAGCTCCTGCCGTGCTGCATTCACCGGACTGGTGTCCTGCTCCTTTCCTCCGCCAGCCTCACCGTCTGAGGCTGCCAACGCTGGAACCCCCAACACGTCAAAGGCATCTCCAACGTCCAAATGCGGCAGACAATCCCTCAATCCCGTTTCCGAAAGACCGATAAGATCCATAAGCTGGTCTCTATTCTTCGGGTACCATTTGCTCAGTGAGGCCCTACCGTTCTCGTCTGCTTTCTCGTGCAGTGCCTCGCGTTCACTTAACCACTGCTCGACATACGCCGCCTTGTCCGTTACCTCAGTATCGGTTGGGGGCTCGATCTCGTACGGAAATGGGAGTGGGAAGGGCGTGACATGGGAGAAATGCGACTGCGACGGGAGGATACGTGAGCGGCGCTGGACAGAAGGGCTTGCTTGTAGAGCTTTTTTGAACTTGGAGACAGAGGGCGTCGCGGTGTCTGGTGTGAGGTTGTGAATAAGAAGTTTCGAGGCGTGAGGAAGAGGAAGCGCGGAGATCGGGTGTTTCGTGATGGTCGACATTGTTCGTAGTGTTGTCATCCAAGAAGAGTTGATTCACATATGTTGTCGGGTGGAAGTTTAACGTGATCAATAAAGATTGTAATTCAGATACTCGTCATCGTTCAATGATACTTCGACGTCAGTCTCACCGGTACTGGTAGAAAAGGTAAAGGAACGAGACGATCGAGGCAAGCGACAGAATCTGGCTCCAGGTGGCTCCAGTCTAAATTTACAAAATGATAGGAAATGTACAATATATATACAATGATAGAATGTGTACTGCAGGGAGATGAACCGATCAATGGTCGTATGCTACCTCTGCAACTACGCCCATTCCCTCAATTTGCGAACGCTGCACAGCAGTATCATTCAACGCGCGGATGGGCCGTGCCTGGTAAGCCACTCTATCGCCTCGAGATCGGATCTTAGAGTACTTCTCCACAACCAAGTCCATCCCTTGGCGAGACTTGCGAAGATTTTGAATAGATTCTGGAAGCTGTAGACCCTCCCGGCTTAGAAGCCCTTCAGCGATTGCCCTCCTGGTCACGGTGTCGGCTGAAGTTCCCAGGGAATCCCGCCATACGATTGAAGCATTAGGAAGCTTGTCGGTTAGGCGTGCAGCTATAGCAAGTCTTGCCATTGCAACATCGAGTATGTTTCGTAACTTGATCTCGTCCAACCGAGGTGTATCCTAGAATCACCGTTGAGTGAGGTGACATTGAGATAAAATCAAGATACACTTACCATCACCACAATCCATTCGGACTCTGCATCTGCGCCAGACAGCGATTGGCGTGTCTCATAGAGGATCTGTGTTAGGGTACTTATCTGCTCGTCTTGCTCCCTTCCTTGTTCAAATAACTCATTCAGCTTCTCGTCTTTCTCCCTTCCTTGTTCAAATAACTCATTCAGCTTCTCGTCTTTCTCCCTTCCTTGTTCAAATAACTCATTCAGCTTCTCGTCTCTCTCCCTTTCCCTCTTGTCTCTCTCCCCTTTCCTCTTGTCTCTCTCCCCTTCCCTCTTGTCTCTCTCCCCTTCCCTCTTCTCCTTCTCCCTCTCCTGCTTCACTAACTCTTCCATACGCTTGTTTAACTCATTCACCTGCTCGTCTTTCTCTCTCACCTGCTCTGCTATTGCATCGATCCGTGCCACCAGAGTCTCCTCCATAGCGTGATGCTGAGCCCTGAGTGCCATCTTCTCTTCTCGCTCCTTCTTGAGCTTTTGGTGCAAGGGCGCAGTAAGGCAATCCGACATCTTGAAAGCGTGTTTATTAGGCAATGCAGCACCGGCCGATCGCGATGGAACGAGTGCATAGAAGTGGTCATCTTTTGAACAGATGTCCCCGAGTCTGGTGGAGTTGGTTTCAAAGGCAGTAAGCCCATGGGTATCTATACAACTAATATCAATAACCGCGGGAAGTGTCAAGAATTTGCCCTTACCGGCGGCAATGCCTATTGCTCCTGGCTTGGGGTATATACAGTCTTCCACCTCCCATTTGTTCAAGAGCAGGGATTGGGCTTTACTATGTACTTTGGCCCCAAGATCGCCAAGTGTCGCTGTGGGAGGCATGTATATATAGTGGGACGTCGATCTTTCAATGTAGAAAAATGTGACAAGGAAGTTGTCACGAGATTATGTAGCGCTGGACATGGGCGGTATGAGTTGAGGTTAACAACGGAGAAAGCAAAAAAAAACCTACAGGACCCTAATGCATCAACTGTTGGTCTGCGTCCAAATTCGACACTTCGACTGGCTGCTTTCAGAAGGACAGATGGCAGTGCCTTGCGTAAGGACTTATTAGTAAGGACTCGCATACACTCCCACAACCTCGAGCAGCCTTGAGCCTAGTGATTGGGAGTCGCTCACCGTCGTGCATGATCTGTAGACAACGTCGTGATATGGTAGAAACCAATACTTTACAATGTTGTCCTCTCACAACCTACCTGAACGGCCACGGCCCTTCAACTGTGCCTGCTCTTCGAGTCTTCATCTAGAGCCCTACACCCAAGGTCTCGTGGAACTGCTCCGTATCTTCCACCTCCTGAGTATCCCCCAGCTTACCCCATCCACGCCTGATCTACGTTCCGCGCCTCTTGTTCGCAATCCTCAGACGACGGTACTGGATATCGATGCCCCCGACTCGTCCCCCTCATTCTGCGACGTCGACCGAGACATCGCATCGTCGTTGTCCGCATCAACAGCATCGTCAGCGTCGTCGCCCCATTCCGCAGAAGAAGGCGCCTTCTGGCTATGCATCAGCACGAAATTCTCGTCCTCATCGAACTCCAGCGTCATGCTTCCGAGATCCCCGCTCATACCAAGCGTGCCATCCGGACTCGGAATCACCCTCGGCGAGCGGACCCCTCCCGATCTCGCGCTCAAGCCGCTCCGAACCGTTGCTCATCCCGTCACCAATACCGGCAGCCATGCGCTATACAGGCAGTGGACTTCTGAACGAGCTTGGATTGGAGCCAGACGCGCCCTTCGGTAACACCGGGATGGTGGACGGAGACAAGGGGTAGACCCCGTCGCTTGAAAGCGCCGACAAGAGCGGCTCGTCGAAGGACGAAGAGGGACGTCTGATTGCAAGGGGAGAGTGAAGCCCTTGAATAAAGCCTCGCTGCTGTCTGTGGAATACGCGCTGACCTCGACCTCCTTGCGCACCTCGATGTTTATGGTAGGAACGTCGAAGTGATAGCGCCCAACGATGGCATGATAATCCTCGCCGAGAGCGTGGGGGGGGGGGGGGTAATTGATGTGATAAATGGATAGACTTCGGGAGTACAAGTGATGATTCAGAGCTTGTCAACCGTTCCGCATGCCGTAGCCAATTTTCAGATCTGCCGGTATGAGCAACGGCGATCAGCGAGAGACAACGGGTAAACTCACGAGACGGAAATCTGAACCGCATCCCGACTATTTACGAGAGTTCGGTACTCATGCAACGTGGACTTGAGCTCTGACCAATCGTATTCTCGTCTTGAATTCCACGTCGCAACGTCGACCTCGCGCGCCGAAGGCTCCGCAGTTCTTTCCACATCTTCGCCAATCCCGAAGTCCTCACCTTCTGCCCCGCGGTCGGTGGCGGCGCATTTATCCAATTGAGAGGCGTTCTCGAAGAGAGATACAAACCAAGGATGGCTCCGGGGAGGACAGGGCTATGGTCGTTAGCATAGAGGTCAATGAAGAAATGATACAAAGACGATGTTCCGTCCGTCTGGTGATGGTTCTTTGGCTGATGAGAACACGGTGGTAGAAAGAGGGGCTCGGATTTGTGGAAAATGTGATCTAACGTCCAAAGGCGGAAGTTTCTCAACCTTTCCAGCCATAGCCTTTCATGCACCCGTCCGCAGGAGTTTATATCGCAGTCCACTTTTCAAAAACAATTTGGGTTTCCATAGTCCATGAGCTGACAAAACGTACATTACTTCCCAAGGCTCTCCTCTCTATGTCGCACTGCCGAATATCTGGTAACGCCTGCAAATGCTTGGGCCAATCTCGTCATACTGTGCCTTGGTATGACACGACGAATAGAACTCGGGCTGGAGAGGGTTATCAGGGCAAATGATTATATGCATGATGAATGGGCTTACAAGAGATGCAAGGAGAGAGCCGCCAAACCATACAGCATAGCTGTATAACCATAGTGAGAATGTGGCAGCAAAAGTGAGCAAATTTGAGAAATTAATGAAGGGACTTACCGCTGGCGTTTGTGTGAGATAACATTGACGTCAACACCTGAAGACTGAGCATGGATGCATTTTGAATCGCCATGCTACCATCATAATCATAAAGGACTCACCTTCTGCACGCTGCCGCTTGAAACAGCGCTCGCCTCCAAACGCTGATCAACCAGCTGCTTCAGGTCCCGTTTCAAACGGTGACCAAAGTGTTGGAACATTGTTGAGCCTCCAGAGAGAACAATATTCTAAGGGATCAGGGATAATCAATGCAAGGAACTGATATGGAAGAACGGCGTGCTGGCTGACCTTATACAGGCCTCTGCGAACGTCGATGGGGGAAGCTTGGATGACGCCGTCGACAATCTCTGGTAGTGGAGTCAAAAAGTCCGAAGAGTAGATTTCAGGGTTGAAAAATATCTCAGGGGCAAGGAATCGCTCGTAGCCTACGTCCACGGAGTATTTCTGCGATCAGGCCCAGTATCAGCAGAGATTACGCGTGAGCCATCTCACAAAGCCTGAACGTACCCTCCCAGTAACGGAGTACTCGCCCTCATACCTCTCGAAGAACTTGTATGGCTCGGCATCGTACTTCCGGAATTCCTTCACGATATCTTGGCATACATAGCTGTAGTTCTCCTTCACTTTACCCGCAACCTTGAGTTGGTCCTCCGGAGGCACGTTCGCCATCTCTCCACGCTCACGCATAAGGTTGAGTACGAACTGCGAGATATCGCGACCGGCGATGGGAATGTGCTTGATGGCACTGCCGATGACATAACCCTCAGCGCATGGAATGACGTGCGTAACACCATCGCCAGAGTCGATAACAGTACCAGTCAGTGTACGATCAGTGACTTGGTTTGAGGACCACGAGGCCGCAAGAGCAAGAACAGCTTGAACAGCGATATAGAGCCCTTGGATGTTGAAGGACTCGAAAAAGATTTCTGCGGTCTGCTCGCGATTCTCGGGAGGGTTGAGAGGAGGTTCAGTCTGATATCAGGCGCAAAGATCAGCGACAAATGGTGTACACAGGAGGAACGACTCACCAAGAGAAAGTAGTGATCCTCAGGCTCTGCACGAAGATACTTGAAGATGGTCTGCTCCCAATAACGCTCCATGTAATCCCAGTTATCAATCTGACCATGGCGAATTGGATAATTTATGCCGTATCCGGGGGTTTTGGCGTTCGCGAGCGCCTCGTCTCCGATGAAGAAATCAAGGTCCTCGACACCACGTTTGGACGCGAGGTTGCCAGGCTTTGCCGGCACGGCAGGACCTGTCCTGCTTCCCTGAGAGGCGGGTCCACGCGTGGCGATCGCGGTCGGAAAAACACTGTGTAATGTGCACGAACGTACTCGGCGTTTGGGTCAGATATTGGAGAACGTGCGATTCAATCACTAACAAGGACGGGTCCGAGTTTCCTGCAAAGCTATGGATCATCGATATCTTGGTGAGCTTTCCGCATACGCCAAACATTCTAATAGCGATTTGCATACCCCACTTTCGAGTATCCGGTCCCATTGTCGCAGATGATGGGCGCGAGGAGCGACATCGTGCTATACGAGCTGCGCTAATAATGAGTAACCAGTAGGCCTTCGGACAGTAATGACCATCATATTTGCACTTGTTGTGCAACAGCCTTGACTTTCAACAAACACAAACAACGCTTTCTCACTTCCACTGTTCTTCCAGCGGCTCGCCACATTTATTTCCTTCCTAGATTCTCACACAAGGCTTTCACCTGCAATTCAAGAGAAAGAGAAGCTTTTACCGGATGGTCTGTACTCCAGTCTTCCGGGAGTTCATTCACTCCAAAGACCTGTTATAACATGTGAATACAGCTAGCTATGTGATACACGGTTAGTGATGAAGTATAGTATGAATACAATAGAGGCTGTTCGATCCATGTCGTCGACCGCTTTCCGCTTGCAGCTCGATGGTCACATCGCCATCGTGATCCCCATCAACGCCGGCCACAGAATGAACACAAGCCTAAACTTGATCTTCTCCATGTCCATCCGTCCCGCCGCCGAATTCGTCTGCGCCACCGTCCTGCCTGATTGCGTCGGCGCCGTCAGAGAAGAAGCGCTCGATGGCGCGGGCGTGGGGTGACTTTGCGTCGGTGTCGTCGCGTTCGCGGTGATCATGGTGACGAGCGGGTATATTTTGTAGGACGTGGAAGCAGCAGCGGCGGTCGGCGTACCGTGCTGCAGCTTGTCCAAGGCGCTTTGACTCGTAGAAGAATTGCTGGATGCAGAGTTGGCGTTTCCAGAGCTGGCGGACGCAGGGCTGGCGGACGCGCCGTCGATGGTAAATTTGGCGCTGTAGAATTTGAGTGGAGGATCCTCGCATACGAAACGAAGATAACTGTCCAAATACGCAAAACGGTGAGACCGGTGGGCTAGTTTGCGTCGAGGTAGAACACTGACTAGTCTGAACCGTCGGGGCCCACGGAGGGTGAGATGGTGATGTTGTAAAATAGACTTGTGGGATCTATGTTCGTCCCAAGCGTTCCCACCAGCGTCTGTGAAATATTAAAGTTGTCCAAATCAATGCCAATCCAGAGAGGAGAGGAGGGAAAATCTCGACATACGTCTGCTGTACCATAGAGCTCAAGTTTCAGCGGCTTCAATTCCGCAAGAGCTGGACTGGTCCCGTTGTCAATCCATGAAACTTTTGATAATTCTCCTGCGTGAAATACTGTGCCCGAAACAGGTTGAGTTGTGTACAGAGATGCACGAGAAAACCCAGTGCCCACGGCCAGCGTGGCGAAGATAGCCTGTAAGAAACGCATGTCGGAGATTCTGAAGATGTCTGTAAGAGTCTCCGTCAAAAAAATGTGTTCGAGTCAATTAAGATGGACCAGCCCTATGTGTTGAGTGAGCGGCGGAATCGCCTTAGATGGTTGCGGTGAAGCAGAAGACGACGCGTTAGAAGTCGAACGTCCAACACGCGTAGCGCGTCTTTGTCACGTGCAACCTCAACAAGATCCAAATTGTCCTCCGAAAGCTGTCGTTAGTGCGTCATTACACATCATAGTATGTGTCCCTGCCCTAGAAGAAACAAACAAACCAAGCGCACGAGGAAGAGAAATGACAAGGCGTATGCTACAGACTTCGTTGTAACAGTCACCTGATAGACCCCCCTCCAGATGTTCGAACAGTACACAAACTCACTTTACAACCCCAAACCTACGGAGCCCACAGAGTCCATCATCAATCAGTCGTTTGCGAACAGTTTCTTCAAATATTCCCCGGCCGCCTGTCGGACGCCTCCATCCACGCTGGGATTGGACAACAGCTCGGTGGCGAGCTCGGACCGCTGTTTCACCTTTGCGTCGCGCTGTAAACGCTCCCATTCTGACGCTTCCCTCTCTTGGCGTTGCTTCTCTGCCTCGGCGCGCACGCGACTTTCCACTTCCTCCCTCTCCTCTCGCCTGCGAAGATACTCGAGGCGGATCTTGCTGTCCTCGGACTGGGCTTGGAGAAGCCTCATGCAAGCGGACATCATCGTTTGCGCCATGGTCGCGAAGTTCGCCATGTTCTGGTCTACAGGACCAGGGACCGTGGTTGGCCCTGCCGCAGTTGAGACGGCATACCCGTGTGCCCCGGCGTATTGCTGGCTGGCGGGGACCGTGCTAGGCGTATGGGGTGGTGAGGGCATCGACTCGCCAGGATCATGAGTAGGATAGGCGGAGGAATGGTGATCATGTTCATAAGTACGTTCATGAGATGGCCCAGCAACGGCGTGGTCATGAACGGGCAGCCCCTCGTTGCGAATGATAGGCTCGATATGGGGCTCTTCGGGTACTTGAGTGAGCATTGGAACTGTGGAGGGAGGACCCATAGTGCGTGCGCGGCCAGGAGGACGACGTACGCCAGGATCACCGTTCCATCTGTGATGATCAACGGCGTCAGAACCAGGCGGTGCATACGTAGACAATACCGAGACGTGCCTTTGGAAAAAGACGTTGTACCATCCCATGCGGTGCCAGTGATCGAGGATCCGCGACGATAGGTTGCCAACATGGAAGCCAGCTTTTCGAGCCGCGTAGATACGCCGCTCATACTCCCTCAACCTATCGACCTCGCTCTCAGAGTCGACGTTGTTGTGTTGCATGTGGGTCGTGAAAGTTTCGAATGCATATATCTGCTTGAAGACTACGAAATTGCGCTCATAGCAGCCCTTGACGGCGAGGAACGTCTTCCGTCCTCCAAAGGCATCGAGCGCGCACTATGGCCCATTTTGGAGTCAATTCAGTGGGCTGTCATCAGAGAAGTGGTGCGGCGTCAAACTCACGTCTCGAAAGCAAGTGTTCTTCTTCGTCCGAAGAGCATCGAAGTGCTCGTCCTCCCCCGGACCCATGAGCCAATTGAACAGCTTCGTTTTCTCCTCGTCTGTCCAATGCCTAGCGCCCGACCCGCCGCCGCCGTCGTCTCCGTCAGGGTTATCTACATCTGGGTCGGCATCGAAATCGCCGTCCCCCTGTCTGCGTTTCTTGCCAGCGCTGGGGCCATAGGGGGTCTCCACCTGCTTTCGCTTCGGCGCGGACGATGTCTGTTGCCGATCGACGGACTGTGCGGACAGCTCATGCGTGGTTGGGTAGAAATTGAGGTGATCAGAGCGATGTGCCTGGCTGCCGTGATCTTGGGAGATGATGTGCGCGGGGGAGTAATGATAGTGTTGCCTCGAGTCAAGGCCGACTTGGGAAAGATGTGGGTCCAGCGCCTGATTAAGTGACTGGACAGTCCAGTCCACGATCCGCGCAGTGCAGGGAAGAGCGACGAGCACGAGGATGAGGTGAGGAGGACGGTGGGATCAAGCGAGAGGAAAGACGGACCTGAGCGTTGGGGTCGACATGGGGATGGTCGACGGTGGGATCCTGGAGGGGGTTGTGGCTGCGGGTGGAGGAGGGGATGAGGAGGGGACGGGGATGTGTGACCCTGATTTACCTTTGAACTGAGGCTGCCATCGGCCTGAACGTCTGGCTTGAACTTGCTTGGGCACTCGGTTTGCTTTCCCTCTCGGTTTGAAACACGACGCAGTCCGTCGCCGGTGGCGCTGCCCCGCGCACGTGACTCGCTCCCCGAACTGACTCGGCGACGGCTAACTTACTATAAATACGCAATAATCTACTTACACAGGGCATCACCGCCATCCATCAAGCAGCGGGAGATCACGTCGATCCCAACGTCTTTTGCTACATCGCACTACATCGCTACGTCCACGCGTCTCTGTACACCCCTCACCACACTCTTCACCACCTTCAGCCACACCTCCACCTTCTCGACCTCCTCCAGCGCGAGGTCCACCTTGCCTACGATCTTGTGCTTCAGCAGATGCTGCAGCCCCCGCGTGTCCTCGTCGATATCCTCGGCATCGAGAGTCGAAGACAGCGACGTCACGGAGGAGCCTGCTGATGAGTTCACAGACACGCTCAGAGCGGTGCTCAGAGGAAGAGCAATTTCGATGGGATTGATGACTACATCAGTCGAAGGCGCGTCAGATGCTCGCCAAGAGAAGACGGCTTCGATTCCCGCGTCGACAGTGTTCGCAAAACGGTGATCGTAGATCAATGCCTCGCGAGTCTATTGAATGGCGAAGGATCGTGAGCAGAAGCACGGAGTGCTCATGAGGCCAGAAACGAACCTTGATGGCCTTCGTGATGCTCTGCTCCGTCTGCACGATACACCGATACGCAGACGCGATGAACTTGTCGGTCTAAGCCCACAGCGCAAATTGATTTTGATTCATTCCATGAAGAAAGCACAAGCGACTCACATTCGATATGCATTCGTCGATCCGCGCGAGGTCCTTGCCAGCAGCCGCGAGCGCTCGATAAGACACGCGCTGCTCCTCCTCGGACGGCGGCGAGCTGCCCTCCTTCTCTGCGCCCTCGTCCTTCTCGCACAGAGTCGTTAGCGATGGCCTCGGCTCCGTGGACGTCCTCGGCACCACAGGAAGCGGCTTCTCTGCCGTCCGATCGGACAGAATCTTCCGCTTGAACCATGCCTTGAATCTCGACGACGTCCCGCCCTTCTGCGTCTGAGTCTGAACGCCGTCCTTGTCCTTTCCGGATCCTGAGCCAGAGTCGCCGTCGCCCCTTTCGTTGCGCACCACACCGACAAGAGTGTCAGCCCTCGGCCTGCGTGCCAGCGCGCGCGTCGGAGAGCTTCTTTGCAGGAGCGGCGGGCTCGTGCGGTGAAGGTCGCCCGTGCTTTTGTAAGACTTGAGACGCATGTGTCCTAGTCCTCTCGTAGATGCCGCGTCGGAAACAAACCGACCATTGTGAATGGAAGAGGCATCAGCGTCGAATGTGGGAGGCCAAGCAAGGCCTCCGTACGCAGCATCAGTGTTGTCGATGAAGCTAGGAAAAATAAACCGGGGCATCCGTCAGTACCTTCGAACAAAATATCAGCTAAGCTTGCACTCTCGACATACCGATCAATGTCACTCCCGGCGTCCTCAATATTGTCGTCCGATACGGCGGTCAGTTGAGAATCTCCGGAAACTGTAGTCCCGCTTCTCGATCGCCCGTGAGGCTCTAGAGGCCAAACCTTATCTCTTTCCTCTCGCTCTTTGACAGCCTTGTCCTCGACAGCCTGAGATACTGTATCCAGAAGCGAATCGATCTTTGCCCACGTATCTTGGGCTCCATGCAGACCGTCCCTCGCTTCATCCACCTTGGTGCGCCATCGGCTGAGTAAATCGCTACTGCGCGCAGCGGTCTTCCTCAGAATACTGTCCAAGTTCGCGATGTCAGCCACCAAGGTATGGGATGGTTGACAGAGTTCACTGGAGATAAAGCGGAGGTCGCGGAGAATTCGGTCCGCAGAGGACGAAAGCGTCTCGTCTTCGGCGTTCGCAAGGGAGGGAGGGAGGGCCGATGAATACGACAGTGGGAAGTGGGGTCTGACGATCGGAGAATCTGTGACAAATGAACAAATCGAGGGCACGGAGCTGTACGAGTGGAGTGGTCTGACAGTGCGGAGCGACGCAGACGAAGACGAGCGTAGGCTGCCGTCATGCGTGCCGAATAGTGCGTGAAACTCGGATCGCGAGACTTCGACAGCAGTAAGCCTACAGAAAAACAAAATCAGTCAGAGATCACACGACGAGAATAAAAATATGACGGACCCTCTTGAGTTCCGCACATCCCTCACCGTCCCGTCAGTGTCGCAGTCTAAAAGGGCTCTGAGCACCTCCGCGCTATCCCCATGCTCAGCTGCAATATGAATACACGTCTCCCCGTTGGGGTCAAGCGCCGCCAAGGGCGCTTTTAGATCACAAACTATATGCACAACAAATTGGTACAACAAACGCGTCATTGCGGGGCTCCTGAAAGAATCGGGGCCGCGTTTCTTGCGTGCGAGGCAGTGGAGAGGGGTACAACTTCCGGTTTTGGAAAACAGACTGACATCGGCGCCAGCACGGTAGAGTGTGTCGAGAACGTCAACGGAGGGAAGGCGAACCGACACACAATAGTGAATGGGACTCCAGTCCTGGGCATCGGGGTGATTGACAAGAACTGGAGCTGGGGTGACCAAAGAGCTCTGCGACGCGTCGGAAGAAGGAAGTGGGGGTGGGAAGAGAAGAGAACGGAGAACGGGGAGATCAGCGGAGATGATCGCATTGATGATATTTTTACGCGCTTCAAGGATGTCCGAGCGTGCAAAGAAGTGCGGTGGAGGATATGTGTGCACGTCAGATAGATGCGCGTCGTCCAAGAGAAGAGCATCGACGTCCGCTAGCGCTGAAGAACTGAGCTTTCGCCTGTTATCCGACTTCAAGGCGAGATAAGTGCATCAGCACGCGCGTCTACTAACTAATCCTGGAACATACCTGGGCCTCGCGCGTTCTGAGTCTCCGCAAGGCATCTTCACATAGCCATAGGACCTGGGCGTGTTTCAAGCAGTACTGGATCGAGGTATGGTGATTGCTATCTCGGTAATCAGGCCGAGCACCGTTTGACAACTAGTCGACGCGTCACAAATAAGCAAATAAGTGTCAAGTGAGACGGAAGAGAAGGGAAGGTGACGCACCAGAAATTTAACAAGCTCGACAGTGCCGTCGCGAGCGGCATCTGACGCGTGGATTGAAATATGGTAAGCTCGGTGCTCGCTAACTCCCAGACATGTCCGAGACTTACACATCAGCGCCGTCGCCTCATGGCCATCCATGCCGTTGACAGAGACCGCGCCGGCGCTGGTCTCGATAAGTATACGGACGACCTCCGGTGCGTTCAACCATGTGGCGACTCCCAGTGGAGTCGCACCGTTCATAGCTTCCTGAGGCGCATTGAGGGAGTATAATGAGATGTGAGGGTGCTCGACCAAGAGCCGAATAACGTTCAGTCGGCCCGGGGTCATGAAGGATGCATCCGACGCATCGGCAGTGCTCCAGCTGGTCCCGGTGTCAGTGCTCAATGGTCTCGCGTCCACAGGACGAGACCGAGACTCACTTTTCCCCCGTTATAGCACAAGCGATTGCAGACCGACCAGTAGCGTCCGTCACGTTGACGTCTGCATGGGCCTCCAGCAGTCTCTGGACGTCCTCCTCGTCTCCACGAATCACGGCATCAAGCAGTCGGGCGTTGCGCGTCGTACCCTGGGACGTATGAGGTTGTCGTACAGAGGAATGGGTCATGGCAGTCATAGCAAGCAACGTTAGGGACAGAGGGAATGAAATGAACGACGAGTGGGGTCAGCAAAGGAGCAGCAAGCTGGGAAGAAGGAAGTTAGAAGGGTCTGAAGAAGATTCTGTCAGATGAAGGCAAAAGGGAATTCGGAGGGAGAATACGGCAGAGGCGGACTACTTATTGCTGTTGGGGATGTACACGAGGCGTACAAACATACGGCCATCAATTGTCGAGTTTGTCGCCCGTTGGGCTCGACGACCAATCGCTGACTGCGACGCGCACATAATGGCCGTAATTCCGCAACAAAACAAATGCCTTTGCCATGCAGAGGGGCGTGTTCCAGCCACCTCCACTCGCCTCCACTGTTCCCTAGCCGCGTGCATCGCACGTGGCAACCCTTTGTTCTTTCCCTTTTGTGCTTTTGGCCACAGAGCAGCAGCCGTCCTGACCCGTCTGGCTCGTCCAAACCCGCTCTGTTCTCGGCTTCACGATCTAGCCGTTCGTGAAAGTGTTTCGAAATCTCGCACCAGGAGGCTACCATTTACAAACGCAGAGGCGAGGCGCGAACTCGAGGCAAAGATGCAAGAGACAGAGGCTAAACCATATCAAGCATCAAGGAGATGGGGAGCTTATGTTATAATTCGTCGATGATTGGATAAGTTTATGGAAGATACGTGAGGGTCTGTTACATTATGACAGTTCGCGACGAAAAACCATCAGACACAGGATGAAAATGCCAACAAAACTTGAACAAATTGAGTAGCTAGTAGCTATGGCGGCGAAATCATGCATTGCTATGGTGGACACGAGGTCCGAGATTCAAACAAATGCGTCCGGTCCGAGCGTGTTCTGTTTTGTTGCAAATAATCAATCACAGCGCCACAAGGCTAACTATACATGTACCCACCTTCACTTGCTCGAAGTTGGCTAACGCTTTCTCCAAGACCCAACCATTTCCCTCGAGACAGTCCACTGCAAATCGTACGTTCAGTCTGGTACGCTGGCTTATTTGCAAAACGAGCGAGCGCTGTGGTTCTGGCTGCATCGAAGAGAAGGATGAGTTATTCATACGCATGATGCCAAAAGCAGTACGGGCTTGAAAGAGATGTCGTAACGCTTACAATTACAGACAGTGCCTCTTGCATGGCTGGCGCTATGGTTATTTGGGGCGCAGGCGCGGAGAGCGAGGATGTAGAAGGATTGGCCTGCACGAGCAGCGGGCCCGGCTTCCATGCCTCGTGGCTTGAGTAATTACGAATGACCAGTTGGTCCGAGAGAATTTCGACACCCCAACCATTCACTTGGGCTCTAACGCGAGGTACCGCCGTCAGAAAATTGCTCTGATGTCAGCTAGTGATCACGATGGACGTACCTGGACCCTGGTGATGCAGGAGCAAGGACGAACGACCGATCGAAAGATCGAATGCCTCCAGCAGGTGCTGAGATGCGACGGGTCAATATTGGGGCTTACTCTGTAACATTTGCTCTTGACGTAAGAGTTCGCACCTTCGATGAACTGCCCATGAACCGAAAGAAAGAGAATCGTCTTTTCGTCTTGGGTGATAGGCCAAGCATCGACGCAAAACTTCTCCGGTGCAGCAGCTACATCATGTATCGTCTGCGGAAGAGATGAAATCGCCTTCACCACCTCCTCTCGCCCCACATGCAAACTCTGCACCATCTTGTCCACGGCACCGGCCACCCTGCTCAAATTCCTTGATCCTGCAGCTAACCATGATGGCCATTGCAGATGTGACTGCTTTGGCATTTCCTTGGAATGCTGGAACCCTTGTATGCGGGCGCGGTCGGGGATGTGGGTGTTTGCCTGGAATGAGAACGTTGCAGATTCGTAGTAAACATCCATGAGGCCCGCACGGTGATTATCGAATAAGGGGAAGAAACTGCGAAGCCGCTGAGTCGTCCGAAATCATCGAGTCGCATGTGGCTCACCGTGCAAAGAAATTGCTAACGATGCTCCCGTCTACCCCTGTAACGAACGGAGGACGCATCTCCGAAGGGAACGCTGTTGCAATCGGGCGGCGCACAGTGGAAGAGGCTGGCGCTGAAGCAGCAGGGTTATCGAAAGCGATTTTCGTGACAGCTTCTTTGTCCAACATTTCTAGCGTTGGAAAACGACGGATGATATGGCTACATCATGTATGGATCAGTGTGATATTATCTTGGTCATCGAAATGCGCCATACTTCTTGTATTGATCCCCCCGGTTTTGCTGCTCCCGGACTGGATTTCCCAATAAAATGAGCTCTCGCAAATTCTTCAGCTTGTCCCTCTTGTCCGATACTTGGGAAAGAGAGTCGATATCTTTCCATGTCCGTAGATTGTTATTCTCCAGTGAAAGATTCGCAAGGTCCGGTAGATAATGCGGGAGAGTGGAGATTATGTGTGTACTCGAGAGATTGTTGTTGGCGAGGGACAAAGACCGCACCTTTTTTGTTGATATCCGCGTTCAGAATGGTAGGTCCATGACAACCAAGAGAAAGCTTACTGGAGGCCTAAGCTGAGATGCCATCTTGAAGATAACTGCCGCTTCCTTCCCAGAACTGCCTGGAACACCTGGAGGAACTAAACAAGCCTTGCTCAGAATTGTATCCTCTGACATTCGCTAGACGACCCCATGGTCAAGACTGATTCAAAGCATGATCAGAGAGTTGGCATTACCTCGAGATTCAGGAAGCGTAGGTCGCGGTTGTATCGCTTCTGCACAAATTCTCTCCATATTTCAAGCGGCTTTCCAGTGATAGTAGAAGACTTGGCGGTGTTGACAGAGATTGCATTCCTTCGGATGCGACCCGCTGCTGTCGGCCTTGCAGCGCCACGGATGGATAGAGGTTCAGAAGAAGCAACTCCCATCCTCGAGGCAAGCTTCATGTGCCGACGTGCGCGGTGGCGGAAGATGAACAACGTAAGCTCGATGTTATCAGAAAAGAAGGAGGGCGGGTACAAGACACGACTTGTGTATTGTGGGCCCTGCACTAGATGTAGGAAGTAGCATAAACAACCGTGTATTTACCATAGAGTTCCGACTTGGGCCTGCTGGGTCCTTAATAGCATCAATGAGACGCGGACGATGCGACCGAATCTTGGAAGTTCCCTTCCGCCCTCCAGGCTTGTCAGTGGCATCCCGCATACGCTCATCGCGATCCATGAGGCCCGCACTGCGCAAAGCGTTTGTCGCAACTGCGCTAGAACTGGCGGCTGGGGTAGAAAACATGGATTAAGGATGCGTGAGCCCAGAAACGTGTGCTGGTAGGAGTGTGGAGTTTAGGGACAAGGAGAGGACTGAGGCAGGAGGCGGAAGGTAAGAGGTGAAGAACAACGACATCGCCACCGCCACACGCCAGTCACACACTGGGCCAGCTGACTCAGCCGTGAATGACCGCATGAGTCACTGGCTGTGGCCCGAGTCCGTGGGGCCGTACTTAACTACTGGGCAAACTACTGGCAAACTTCGGCTGTTGTATTAACACGCATTCTTCCAGATTTCACCGGAACATCTCGGTCGGGAAAAAAGACGATGGGCGGATTCCAGTGGGAGTCCCGAGCTGGCGAAGATGCCGAAGTGGCGCTGTGGTAGGCTGCCGAGCGAAATGTGACGGGAAGTGACATAAATTTCAGACGGAGATTGGCGGCGGTGCAGGGAAAATGGACTTGTCGACAATCAATGTCGCCCACGAGGCGATCGATTCTCACAATATCTCAGTGGCAGAGCCTGGCCTGTCGGTCGTCGTCGCCGCCCTTGCTCGATATTTCACCCCCCTTTGTAGCCGTAGCCTAATAGCATTCCATTCCACCATCTTGTAATGGATAACCCGCAACATTATCAGCCGCTGTCGCACGCGCTCCATCCGCCACTTGTCCGCCAGTCGCGGTATTCGACTTTCAACGCGTCCGGTCAACCCTACCCCGCGAACGGGACGCAGAGAGAGGAGGAAGAGGAGGAGGAGGAAGACATTGTGGAGGAGGAACTGGACGAGCAGAACCACGACGCGAGCACTCCGGAAAATAGGGCAACCACAGGGTGTGTCAAAACTGTCACGCAGTGTCTTTTATTGCAGAATACACATTTATTGACTCTTTTCTCGCCGAAAGCCCGGCCGCTTCGAACCAGCACTCGACCGACCACGCTGGGACACAAGCAGGCGCCTCTCATTCGCAGTTTGGAGCCAATTCCAATGACCCCGATTCTCCCCAAAACAAGCGTCGGCCGGGTCGTCCCAAGGGTTCTCGCAATCGGAAGCCTCGCGAATCCGGCGGCAAACCCCAACACGCCTTCCACAACTATCCTCCCCCGCCAGCCGGCGCACCCACCCTCCCCGGCGTGACCCCTCAGAACCAGCAATACTACGAGTTTCAGTGGCGGGTCCTCAACCTGTGCTCAGAGTTCTACGGCGCCGCAGAAGAGCTCGTCGTAAGTATTTCATCGCAGCGCCGTACCATCTCATTCCTCACCCACCGCCTGCATAGAAAGCCACACCATCACTGGTCATCGCCCAATCATATCAAATGGGCCCGTCGAACAAGGTTGATCCGCTCCAAATGTTGGGGGAGGCCAAACGGATCTGTGATCAACTTGTTCGCATTTTGTCCGTCGCCATATGAGTCTATATTGACTGATAGTCCTTCCTGTCAGCTTCAAAACCCCAGCCAGCTTGTCGGGCACACTCCACCACCGGTATACCCCACCATCCCTTATGCGCCACCTCAACAGCAACCGTCTACATCGGCGCCTGCCCCTACCAGTGCACCTTCCATGATCACCAACGCTCAATCGTTCGTCATGCCCCTAGCTCTACCTCAAGGACCGCACCCCCCTCCTGCTATGTACCCTGCCGTGTACGCAACGCCCCAGCCATCGCGTTATCCCACCGCCCCGTACTACCAATATGGGCCTGGGCCAGGTGGGTACTATGCTGCGCCGCCACCCCAGCCCCAGCTTCAGCTTCAGCCTCAGCCTCAGCCCCAACAGCCAACGACAACGCCATCAGCCCCTCAATATGCCACTCCCAATCCAGGTGGGATGACAGCCACCATCAATATGAATACTGCCAATGTTGGTAGCGCATCTGGCGCATGGGCTGAAGAGGAGACAGAGAGGTTGAAGAAACTGGCAGAGCAGAGTCGGACATCGGGGACATCTGCTGAAATTGATTGGGACTGGGTAGTTAACCAATGGGGCAACACCCGTACAAGGTGAGGTCTCATGGCATCAGCCATATCAGGATTCCATGCTCAAAGCACGACGCCAACCAGGCATCAGATCCTATTGAAGGCCACATCCCTTGGCCTTAAAGAGAGTACTACACGGGGAAATAAACGAAGGCGTGAACCTGAAGCTACACCTGGCGCATCAGGTGAGACCGCCAGCCCTCGACCGGCGGCTCCCAATCCGCCAACTAGCACCACCGGTGCAGCAACAACGCTTACAGCTTCGCCAGCTCAAAGTCACGCCTCCACGTCCACACCCTCTGCACAGCAATCTCCTGCAATCCAAAACCGTCCTCCTTCTTCACAAGCACGGCCCCAATCATCAGCCTCTACTCCTGTAACCAGCCGTCCAACCACTGCCTCTCAGAGCATGCCCTGGCCGATGCCCACAGTCGCAGCAACCACGTCGCCGGTGCTCACACCATCCAATGCGGGACAAGCTGAACCTCAGCGCCCCAGCTACTACCGTGCATCAAAACCATCACCACACGGTAATTCTTCCGCCGGACATCCATACATGTATCAGCCAAACGGTGCCGGCTCGAGGGAGGCCCGCGCCCAGACTTGACCCATTGTCTCGAATATGCGAGTAGGACGCTCTAGTTTTTGTGGGATCCTTCTACTTTCTACTGCCGTTTTTTCCGATTTTTCTTATTCCATTTAGCTTTTTGTTCACTTTTCCTACCACGTCGTCGCTGCCTAATTATTTGCTCGATGGACGCTAGCTGTTCATCCCGAATGCGGAGATAACGAGCTCTCAGTACCTTGGGAGACAAAATGCCAATATGTTTTCATACCTCTCCTGCACATATCAGAACCTTTCCTGTTTGTACGGTCTGTCCTCGAATGTATTCATAGTTCTCTCGCGACCATCCGCGAAGGGAGCAACTTGACCGCGCGTTTGTACTATGAAACTGTCACGTGTTGAAGGCCTTTCAAGAGTACCGACTTCCCGCTTAAACTTGGCCACCATTATATGGTCGTCGTCAGATCCATATAAATGCCTCCGTTTGAGCGTCCAGAGACCGTCTTGACTGGGTTCAAGGAGCGGATAGAAGCCTTGACTGTGCAAGGTACCCCAACATGTCCAGGAACGAGCTCAGTATTGAGGATGTTCATTTATCTATCTAGGGGACCGACTCTATGTTGGTACAGGAACAGGGAACTTGCATGTCTATAGTTTTTCTGGTGCGTTTCAGGATGTTCGCTGCTGAGCGCTGCTGACCCATGTATAAGGGGACGCTCGAGAACCAGCTGAGTTGATCAAGAGTAAGCAAGGGTTGACCCGAAGAGCTATTGAGCAGCTCGGTTACGTGAAGGATATTAACTCCCTGGTCGTGCTGTCAGGTACGTTGTAGCAAATGTATATATGCAATCTCTCGAATGGTTGTTCAGAGTCGCAGGTCACTCTGTATCCTCTGCCTGAGTTTGCCCCGCCTACTCTATTGCTGAAGGCCAAGTCCGCGTTCTCTTTCGCCGTCCATACATCCGTGCAACACATCCTCCCTAATGGGGCCCCCGTCAAGTCATCAGACGCACAGTTTAGCAAAGCAACAACTGTCCCCACTGTGGTGACAAACCTCATCGTGGGATGCCGAAGGAAGTTGATCATTTATTCCTGGAAGGATGGCGAAGCTCAGGAGGTCAAGGTATGCGTGGAATATCCTCTCGTTTATGTTGATCTTTAACGAGAATCAGGAAGCAACCCTGCCCCATTCAGCTCGAACGATAACATTCTTGGATAATGACGTTATATGCCTGGCATATACACCGACAGACTACATCTTATTCTCACTTTTGACTTTATCGACTACCGAGGTTGCTATACCGTCCACAACGAGCCTTTCTGTCGCCGGAATCAGCAACATGGGCGTGGGCGCCCTCTCGGGACTTGGTGGCTACATGACTCTGGGGCTTGGTGCTAAAGCTAAGCCGTGCGCAGCGAATGTCGGCGAGTCAGAAGTCCTCATCACGAAAGACAGTAAGCGATACCCTCTCTTCTGTCAGGCTAGCAGTCTACACGATGCGTGTTACTAGATCTTGGCTGGTTCATTGGTGCTGATGGTAGACCATCGCGTACTACTCAGGTCGACTGGCCGGCGCCTCCAGAGGATATCTGTAAGTGTTCCGCACTCTATCGTTATTATGAGCCAATACCAATTTGTTCTGAAGCCTTTGTCAAGCCATATATATTCGGTATCCTCCCTGCTGGAACCGTGCCGATCGATTTCGCCAACATCTCCCCATCAACACATTCACCCCAAGCGTCTTTTCACCCATCTCCAGTCCTACAAATCCGATCATCTCTTTCCCTTTTACCTTCACAGACTCTCCCTTTCCCTTTCCACTCTACGACCACCTCCGCTCCAGCGTCACAGTATACCTTACGATTGTTGGTGGCATCGCCAGCTGACAAAACTTCGCTTTTTCTTGTCAGCACCCCAGCAGATCGTGCAGCCGCGAATCTCGATGGTAGTTCGATATGGCAGTTCCAGATGAAGTCTTGGGGCGAGCAAATCGACGAGTTGGTTGGTGCAGAGCTGTATCTTGATGCTTTGGCTCTACTGGAGACCATCGACCCTACCATCCTTCCTGACAAGGTCGGTGCGCCCCATCTGAGTCAGATCACAAAAATGGAACCGTGCTCACATAGTGTAGGAACATCGTCGGAATCTAATCAGAGGCCTCAATGCGATCTCGCAGTTCAAATCGGGGAAATTTAACGAAGCTCTGGATACACTCATAGAACTCAACGTCAATCCTGCGAAAGTCGTCGCACTGTATCCAGAGATTGTCGCCGGACGTCTATCCGTTCCACAGGATCAGTGGATACCTCTGTATGGAGGACCCAGTCGGGATCATCCGAGGACTCAGAATGAAAACGAATTAACATCAGTACACGACAGGAGTGGGGATGGCAATACGGAAGACAACTCTTCTGACCATGCATCATCAAGAGGACGATCTCCGCCTCCAAAGGATAGAAAGAAAATGAAGAGCCCGCTAGATGCCATCCGGCCTTCCCCTCAGAAAGATTCCGATTCTGCATCAATAGCGAGCACCAGAAGACTACGCCCTAATGGTATGTTCTATGACATTTGAAAGCAATATGAAGACCTGTACTCATTTCACCCGCAGACGATTTCAGCCGCTCTGTTGAATCACTGCTTCGGTATCTTCCCGATCGGCGACAGAAGGTCGCTGGTGCTTTGGAAGCGTTTCAGATCACCACGGCATTGTCTCATCAATATTCAGGCATATCAGATTCCTCGGTTGAAGAGTTGTTTGAGATACCGAGCTCGCCGATGTCTTCGCTAACCCCAGAGCAATTAATACAATATTCGCGAATTGTTGACACTGCGCTGTTCAAGGCGTATCTAATCGTTCGTCCAGGTTTACTAGGGTCACTATGCCGCCTCCCAAATTGGTGTGAGGTGGAGGAGGTGGAGGAAGTTCTGACAGCACGAGAGGTATGATCGGTCGACGGTTCTGAAGCACTTGAGTTGATCAATGTGAGTTCCACAGCGATTTACCGAGCTCATCTCTCTGTACAATGGGAAGAAGATGCATGCAAAGGCCCTAGATCTCCTGCGCAAGTGAGTAATTGTCTGATGTCCCCCATAAAAGGCATCGATTTATCCCCCATCACAGGCTCAGTGAGAAAGAGACAGATATCAGGGACCGACTCGGACCATCGATCTCATACCTGCAAAGACTCGGCCCTGAATATATTGACCAAACGTTCAAGTCATCCCGTTGGGTATTCGAACAGGACGCCGACATGGCATTTGAGGTATATGCCATTCAATTCGATATGCATACAGTCTGTTCATCAAGATGTCCATGTAGATCTTTACAACTGAAGAAGTGACTCTACCACGAGAGCCGGTCGCTACTTTCCTGGAGAGCTTGAACCCCAGATTCTGCGCGCGATATCTCGAGTTTCTCATAGACGAGGGTGGGGAAGAACTACCTCAGTTTCATGACCGCCTGGCAGAACTCTACTTGAAGATGACGAGAGATGCTAAAAAGAGAGGGGACAACGGTTAGCGACTGTTAATTGCGGAGACCTTTCAGCTGAGTGATCTCTGGTCTACAGAAGCGCAGAGGGTGGTGTATGCCAAACTTCTCTCTTTCATCGACACAACGAATCACTATAGAGTGGATCGTTTATTCGGGCTGTTACCGACCGATGGTAGGTTCCCTTTGAATTGTTGCTTTGGAACGTAACGTTGAACATTCATTGCGCAAGACTTTTTTGAGGCGAAAGCAATTCTACTCGGACGTCTCGGTCGACACAATCATGCACTCGAGTTATATGTGTACCGTCTGCAAGATTATACAAAGGCCGAAGAGTGAGCCTTTCTTTCATGGTTCAATGATAATCGATTCGACTGTTCTATTCCCAGATACTGCAAACGCACATACCAACCAGGGACAGAAACAAGTAATATCTTCCTGACACTTCTGCAAATCTACCTTCGCCCAGTGGTGAAGACATCTGACGACCTCCTCCACCCTGCACTTGGCTTGATCAGCCGGCATAGTCCGCGACTTGACGTCGAAGAGACTCTGCAGCTGCTTCCACCTCTTGTGACAGCTGAAGAGCTTCGCATATTCCTCCTTGAAGCCCTCCGTGCGCCTGTCTTTGATACGAAGGTTCTTCGCGGCATTAGCAAAGCACACAGCGAGCAGGTTGCAAGGAAGTTAATGTACCTACAGTCCAGGAGGGTCAAAGTGACCGACAGTCGGATGTGCGAACTTTGCTGCCCACCGTTCAGAATACTCCTCGTGACTGACTTCTTCATAGATGCCCTCAATGCCACAAACGGATTGGACATAGTGTTATTGCGGTCCATGCTCCAGGGTAAATTGTTTAGCGCTGTTCGATCGTTTTGCGCAGTATACTGACTGGCTTCCAGAGGCGAAGTCACGCATTATCAATGTCGTGAGGCATTTTCGCGCAAGTTGAAGGAGATGAGACATACGTGAATAAGCGTTCGGCAACCCATCATCATGGACACTGTTATAATACTATTACGGAGAAGGAATCATCATTGACTATCATCTTCTGGATCATCCCAAAAAAGGCGGGGTCCATCCAAAGCACTTTCGTCTACATCGCGCACTGATGGATTCGTTTTCGATGCGGGAATGTCGTGAGGCAGACTGGAATGAGGGGAACTAATGAGCAGCTTGGTGTCGCGTGAAATACGCCGAGCCATAAGGGAAGGCAGAACTGAAACGAGATCAAAGCCCGAGATGTCAATGAACAGGTCACTGCGCATGGAGCGAGTGTCTGTATCGCTTTGGAAAGGTTGTGTTGGGACGTCAGCTGTCAGAGCTATAGAAAGCATGATTTGAGACGTCGAGGGAGATGACGTCGCGCGAGGCAGTGAGTTCGACAGCTGCCCATCATTCGATTGACTTGCAGGATTTGCATGCCCTTCCACCATGTCCATATCTATGTCCAAGGGTTCAAAAGCACCCTCTTCACCCATCAAAGTTTCGGATATAGCATCATCGAAGGGATAGATTAGACCTCGACTAGGCGAAGTCCAGCCAACTCCGTGTCGATTGTCTGCCTTCAAACCTGCGAAACGACCACCAAGGGGAAGGGCCTTCATTGTATCATCGCTGGAATCCAGAGGAGGAAGATCAAGAATTTTGCCGATCGCATTCCATGGATCAGGATCCTCGAGAAGGCGACCAAAGCAAAAAATATCTTCAGGAGCAGATGGGACATCGTAAGTTTTGAAAGACGTGTGGTTGGATGAATCAGGTGAAACCCGACTTGAGGCATGGTTTGACCCTAGACTTTGAGCTGCCCCTTTGATAGCGAACGGGTAAGGGTATGCTGGAGAGCTGGTAAAAGGTGATATCGCCTCCTTGACAGATCCTGTATCTCGATGTTCAAGGCCGAATAGTGGGTGTGGGATAGATGTTAGTATACCAGTCGATTTCTTCGATGAACTAGACAAATCAGTGTGATCTTTCGAGTCTGGGCTTTCCATACAAGAGAAGCTAGAAGAGCGAGGGTGTGGTGGGGAGGGCGGATAAGGCATCATTGAGTTGTCAGATGATATGACCGTCCTAGTACTGTGCGTGTGAGTAGAAAGCCAAGCTGCGTTGTCCTGCGGATGGTTAAGCTCCAGTTCGTCGGTGTCCTCGTAAACGTCTAGTGCGTCATGATCAAGCGGATGATTCTCCGAGTACTCGATGATAGGACTTGACCGTGATCCGGCCAAGCTACAATCATCATGCAAGATGTTTTCCTTGTTTCTATCGTCAGCGCCAGAGAGTAAGTTTAAGTGTTCTGTGAGTCCATGATTTGACCCTGGCTCGGAGGAAAAGCGATCTATTGTTCGAGTTACTCTTAGCGCTTTGCAACAGAAAGTCCACTTTTCAAATACCTGAAACCTGTTGACGAGATTGTAAAATCGTTTGTGGAGGAGTGAGATCTGAACTACCGGCTTTCCCTCGTATTTGAGTGGTCTTTTGCGGTCAGAAGGTGTCAACTCAAAGTAATATAAGTGAATACCTTTGTATCGCAAAGTACTTTCGTGGCCTCACGAGACCAAGAAGACGGCTTCTGCAGTGTGTTTGAATGATTCATACTAGTCCGCATAGGAAGACCTGCGAGGTTGCTGGCCATCAGAACTCGACTTCTAGTATTCGCATGAATGACTAGTATTTATCTGTTAGTGCAAAACAGAGCCATTTCAAGGAATGCTTTACAGTCTATGGTATCCAAGGCCTGCAGGACTCTCGGCGTATGGTTATTATGATTGCTGTCAGCAGTCACAGAAGACAAGGTTCGGGGGTTTGGAACAGATGATGACTGAAGGAAGTTTGACCCCACTGTATGCGCTTGAGTCATATGTTTCATGCGGCTCGAAAGAATGTCTTTCTGAGCATGGGCTAAGTTGATGTCGATGGCACTGCTCTTGTCCGATGGGAGATTGGGATTAGGCTTCCCTGATTTTTTACGGAATATCTCCAAGCGTTGCCGCGTGAAGTGACCTTTCTGTGCTCGGCCATTCCGGTCTTTAGAGCGAGCTTTTGCAGCATTTCTATTCGACCGGCGGTGAGATGCATCGGATAGGGGAATATCACAAAAAAAACAGAAAGACAGACCTCTTCCCGCCCATATAGTTTGCTCCCGCCATGATGCATGTGCATGAGTGCTGGCTCAGGAATTCACCGCTTCGGGACGCTGAGAGAAGATCAGCGGCACGGAAAACCAAAACAAGCTCCGACTCACTCCGGCGCACTCCGTCTGCCCTCCACGTCGCACGCGGAATTAGAACACAGAGGCTCCGACGACGTTAGGGACTCGTTCGGCGTATAGTCGACAATGCTAGGTGGTCAGCCCGTGACCCGACAGACCCAGCGGGGCGACGTGGGGCCGACAGCGGCGACGATATCTACGTTCACGACGACACAATATGTTCGCACGCGCCGATTTTTCAGCTTGGAATCTTTAGAACAAGCTTGTCTTGCTATTAAGCAAGTAGTACGCTGTACTATAGTAGCTTTCAAATAGGCGGTCTTTCATTGAACTGCACCATATCCTCCTATCTGCTATGAATACCAGTATCTTATGGATTCAATTGTAGTGCTTGACACGTATCCCGCCCACCACCTCCTCTTCGATACCCTCTTCTTCACCTTTCTGCAAGTTGGAGGTACCGTAAGCGGCCGCCCTGGCTTTCCTCCAATCTCCCATGAAAGGTGCCTTGCCTTCGGGGGCATGCCGTGTGAATCCCACGCGCTGGAGGACAGGACTCTCTGTGAGAGGCTCCAACTGGACATCATCATCAGCGTAGCCAAAGTAGAATACGCCAAGCCTGTTGTAGCCCTGTTGATCTTCTGGAGGCTGAACGACACGATGAATTGCAGACTTATAATAATCTCCAGATAGCATTTCTAGACTGTCGCCGCAGTTGACGATCTGCGAGAAATGCGGGGTAGGTTTGTCAGATCGAAAACCTCCGGTCGCTTGGACGTGAAGACATACGAGAGCATTCTCTACGTGCCTCACCCAGCGCCATTTTCCATCTTCGTCACGAATCTGGAGAGCAGAGACCGGCTGACTCCATAGGATAGTCAAAAGGCCCTGATCTAGAACAGCCAATGAGTATGTATATTCAGTGGATTATCAATCCGAAATGATTACCTGTGTGTCCTTTGAGCCAAACGCCCTCTGTCTGTATTTCTTCGTCTTTCGGATGCGGGTAGCTACAGCAGTCTGTGATGACTGAAGTTTGTAGGATAGGAACCAGTCTTACTATATCATGAAACTGCCTGACTCGAGCTCTGGAATCAAGGTCTTGATATAGACATATTCCGGAACTCACAATTCGCATTGTTCTTTTCTTCGTAGCTGAATTTTTTGACGAGGGCGTCTTCAGGTAGTTCAAGCCCGAGCGCCAACAAGCTGAAAAAAGAAAAAGAAATGGACCATGCTGCCCGAACTGCACGGCGAGCTATCCACTTACCCTAAGAGCTCTTGTCCAACGTCAATATGATTAAATTTGATGAATGATTGTATCTCTGGGAGAAAAGGGCGCAAGGGGACCGGATGTACCGTAGAGTCGACGTTCCGATTGACTGGATCCTCATAAGCAGTAAACGCGGTAGAGTTAAGTGGCCTTTACTGACGGCGATAATGCTCAATTCGGTCTTTGACTCCATTGGCGATGTGCTTCGAATATTCGATATAAGTCCCATCGATACAGTTAGTTGGAAAAATACGTACCCAATATTGAGGGAGCTTGTATCCCAAGAAGGTGCCAGTTTTCTTGATATCGGTTTCGTACTGCTTCTTCTCCTCCAACTCGACCTGGAGAAGTGACATGGCTGCAATGTCAAAGATACGATCAACCTATCATGACGCGTTCGTGAATGAAGCACTACTTCTACAGGCCATTATGTAGTATGCTCACTTGCGATTTATCTAACCCATGATTCACGACGTAAAAAAAGCCCTGCTTGCGCATTGCATCACGGGCTTTGATAGCCCATTCTGCCCTTGCTTCGGGAGACCTGGCCTTTGCTAGGTCTATCGTTTCCAGCTCGGCCCATTCGACTCAATTTAGGGCGAGGTCATCATCAGTCAGTATATCGAGTAAATAAATGATGAACGCACGATCCACATTAGTGGGCGGCGCCGGCACCCATCGCAGAACTGAGGGAGAGGTCGTTGCAGGCATAGCCAGGCTGTCAGAGACGTGACTGAGATGTAGTGCTTGAGATACGAGTTTATCGCGGGATGATAAGTGTGGCGGAACAGCTGGAAGAGCAAGGCACGCCGAGGAGGGAGACAGCTTTGAAAGCACGCTTTATATGGGTCTTGAGCAATGCATTGGCATCGCAGACTGTATCATCGAATGCTGGTTCCATATGCCGGCAAGCACCACTCGCGTTCCGTGGCGCAGCCCTGTAAAAGACAAACGTCGTAACTTATGAGACCACGCACCAAGCTGTATGGGAGCACATCTGGAACACCTGACCACACCTAGCCTATAACGCTATGAAGCGCCCCGACCTATAGCCACCATGAACACTCGTGAGATTAAGGTCGTTGACGTTGACGCCGAGATCAGGCCGTAGAGGTATGGGTAGATGTCATTTCTGAACGAGACCTTCTAAACCAAGACTCCGCTGAGGGCTCCATTTTATCAAACGAGCAACGGTCTTCCGATCTGTGCCCGCTCTCCGATGCTTGAGGTAATCATATCAAGGTTCTATGGTAAAAAGTAACGCTACTCAGCGTGTTTTCGGGGCATTGCTGGTCAAAGCCTACAAAAGTGCGTCACTATCCGAACTTGAACAAAACACATACATCAGCGGGTCGACAATTTCACATATGGGAGGACTAGTTATAATGCCTGACACGGGCGCCATTCACGATCTCATACTCAATCCCTTGATCTGCATCTTTCTTCAGCTCAGAAACCCCGTAAGTGGCCGTGCGCCCGACCCTCCAATCATGCATCGTCGGTGCCTCGCCCTCGAGTTTCTTGGAGATGCCCTCCCGCTGTAAGACAGGACTCTCCAACAACGGACTCAAGCGCACATCGTCGGCCGTGTAATGGAAGTAATAGAGGCCGAGTCTCTTGTACCCATGTTGATCCTCAGGAGGCTGGATGACACGGTGGATGGCGGACTTATAATAGCCACCAGAGAGATATTCGGTAAAATCTCCACAGTTGATGACCTACGGCACGATCAGGCAAACACGAAACCAAAGATAGAACCATATACTTACCAAGGCATTGTCTACGTGTTTGATGAATCGCCATTTGCCATCGTGATCCATGATCTGCAAAGCAGTGACAGGTTGACTCCACAATGCTGTAAGACTGGTATGGTCTAAATCGATAGTGAATATAGAATAGACTCGGGACTGCAAGAAAAGATGTTATCAGACCTGCGTGCCCCTTCATCCAAACGCCTCCTGTCTTTGTTTCTTCATCCTCAGAGCGAGGGTTGCTGCAAAGCGATGTCAGATAAGTGATTGCAATGTTGGTCATACAGATTGAGGCCTCACTAAAGCATGAACCTGACTGCAAGCGTATTCAACGATCTGAAGCGACGATCTGATAAGAGCAGATATCAACTCACAGAAAGAGTGGTTGCTTTCGTCATAAGGGTGCAGGTCTGGTAGCGTATTCTCCGGAAGCTCAAGGCCGAGTGAAAGCAAGCTAGAAATGTATTAAAGCCGTTATATGTATGATATGATGTGTCGCACCTCTCGACTTCGTTCATGACCTTCTTATGAGTGAACTCGATGAAGTCTTGAATCTCTGGTAAGAATGGACGCAGAGCAGTAGGGTGCTCCCTCAGAGAGACGTCTCGGGTGACTAACGAGGTAATCAATCGTTGAACGTGGAAGCCATGCAGGTGATAATGAACATACAATTATAATGTTCAATTCTGTCTTTGACTCCATTCGAGATGTGCTGCAGGAGTTGATCGGCATAACTCTGTAGATACGAGTAAGTGTCTTCTTACCCAGTATTGAGGCAGCTTATAGCCGTAGTAAGTGCCTGTCTGCTTAATCCTAGCTTCATAACGCCGTTTTTCTTCGTCTGCTACTTGCTGGAACGGTACAGCAGCGATGTCGATCATACGGTCGACCTAATGTCTCAAGGTGAATACGAACTTCGCGACAGCAAGATACAATGATGGACTGACCTCTGCTTTGTCCAGCCCGTGATTAATCACGTAGAAAAAACCCTGCTTGTGCATAGCATCGCGGGCGATGATAGCCACCTCCGCTCGGCCCTCTGGTGTCTTGGTTTTGGAGAGATCGATGACCGCAAGATCGGCGAATTCGACTATCAGGCGTTAGGGTAAAGTCCATGCCGCCCAACTTCAAAGTCCACTTACTCTCCTGCTTTGTGACAGGTGCGGGGACCCAGTGAGCGACAGGTGGAACTGTGAGGGCAGGCATCGTGGTTGGAGGACCATGATGGAGTGAGAACGCTACTTATATTGTAGCGGCACATTCTGTCCCCGGAGCACAATGCTTGAGGCCAGTGACGCTCTGCGTGTGTCAAGAGGTCAAAGACAATGTCGTCATGAGATCCAAGGGCATGCAAAGTTAGAAGCAGGCGTACGGAATTAGTTTCCGAGGTAGCTTTTACTCACCAGAAGCACGATCCGTGTGTATTCCGAGTGACTGATTGGGGATGCGAGCACATGCGGTTATGAAGAAGACATTCGGCGGTATGATATTCGCGAATGGTGGTAAGATGGACAGCTCACTAGCCTCTAGGTACTGCGAAGATTTTACTGTCTAAGTTGTTGAGGTCTGAGCACATCGAAGTGCAGAAACTCGCCTGGCTTATGTCGGCAATGCTGAAATGGCAGCATAGTTAAAACAGCCGTGAACATGATTCTCTGGCACATCACTGAAAGGTTCCTCGGGAAGAGCAGTAGAACCTGGTGGAGCTGAAGAGACATGAATGCAGCAGTGAGCCAACATCAGGTGAACCGGGCCGAAGAGTGCCGCTCGAATTCAGTTGAAACGCGTCTGTAATACGACGCTACCCTGCACACAGCTGTCTAGACCTATCTGCCTCGTTGCAGGGCCCATTCATTCGCGTTTCCGGACAGTAACTTCGGGTTTCGAGCAACATGGACGAAGAGGGCGATATTGGATTGGTGTGTTCCTCGCAGGAGGCGTCTTCTTCCTCCCTGGCGTCTACTTCGGTCCTCAGCTCGTCCACATCGGATTTTCGGCGCGAGACCGACAGCGTTGTGATGCCCAAACTAATGTTATCGAATTCTCCACGCTCTCCCTCTTCTCCAGACCTGATACTCACGCCAACAAAAGCCACGAGAACTGTCTCGCGATCAAGAACGCTCCCGCTGAGAATGAGTCCAGGTAGGCGTGCCAGCATCCCCACGCTGGAGGGCGTATCTCTCGAAATATCCAAGCTGGAGCGTTTGCGAAGGTGGATATTAGGGCTGGCAATAGGCACTGCTATTCATCTCCTTTCTCGTCAATCTATGCTCATGCACAGTTTCCAGTCAACTTTGACCTTGACCTCGGCCCTGTCCTGACTTGTGTATTTCCGCCAGCTCACTTATTACCCTCGGAGGTAGAAAACATGTCAGTCGCATGTCTACCGCTAGTTCTCACTCGTATATATTAAAATCTGTCTTGGTATATGTAGAGCGTTTTCTGCTTTTCCCGACTCCCCTCAGTTTGAAGAAGGATCTCAAATTCATTCATTCAGAATACGGGAAAGCTCGTCCCAGGAAAAGCGCGGGTCATTGAGCGAGCCTCGCTCGACATCACTATCAGATGGATACATCTACGGCTACTCGCACTTCAGCCAGCGCAAAAATCTTTCTTTAAAGCGCGGTTATGAACAGGTGATCTTCCACGACTTTTTCTCAACATGCCGCTGACTTCGTGGAAGCGCTCTATCGTGATACTCAGTCACTATCCGTACCCCGCTCTATTCTTTCATGTCATATCGAAGCTAGGACCCTTATTTCACACACACGGGGACCCGATACTGGAAGTCGCGTGCCATAATATAGCTAACTGGTAGGCCAAAGTTGCAATTTTTGGTTATGTAGTCGGCCGACATTGCATTGGGAAGGATAGGCCCAGCCCTGCGCCTAGTACAACGATAGAACTGGGATTCCTTGGTTCAGTTTTCCACGCAGAATTACCCCTGAGCCTGGACGAGCAGCAGCTGAGCAGCACAGCCCATCTTCATAGTCAAACGGAGCAAGATACCCATGTGAGTGCCCATTATTGGATATTGCAGAGTTGACACTGAGCTATTCGAAGATCCTCGTCTCCGCTCCCCCACCCACTCCGCCGCCGTTGCTTCTGTTCGAGGCTTCATTCTCCCACTTATGGACCATTTGGGAGGTCCTTATACTCAGCGAACCATTGCTAGTGTATGGACCTTCTCCCGCTATGACAAGCCAGGCCGTCTGGTGGCTCCGCGATCTTTTTCGTCCGGTAAAGCGCCGCTTTCGATTCTCGTAGACATCAGAAATGAACAACGTTCTACAGATACCGTGGCCGGGCGATTTCCGACCGTATTTCACAATTCACGATAAGGAACACAACGCCCTTGTAAACAACAAGCGGCCGAAAGCTGGCTTATTGCTTGGAGTCACTAACCCTTTTTTTGAGCGTGCATGTAAACACTGGCCACATAGTCTTAGTCTCGGAAAGCCACGGTGAGTTTGTACGTATCGTGAAGCTTACGTTCATTTGACATATTCCGTACAGCCCAAAAGGTACGAAGAGTATGACTCCAATCGCCGCCGGTCAGTCGCCGGGGTGGAAAACCAAAACACACAAACGCTACACATTGAAGGACCGACAATTACTTCAAGAGATGGAGGACGCTGTCCAGAGTGGACCACAGGCCTGTAGGCGTTTGTTTTGCGCTCCTTGTGCTGATGTTAATGTGTCCTCGGTCAGTGGACACAGCCTCCGCAAACATGAGACGCCATTTCTCGTCCCGTACAGCCGCACTACTCGTCCCATTCAACCGCTATCTCAACACGCTCATCCCATCCCCTTCCGAGGCCTTGCACAGCTCGAGGTCGGACCGCACTCCACGCCTCAAGCCGTTCAACAACGTCAACTTCCTCGCGTCACTCAAAACCCACGGCACTCCATTACCTTTTCGGTCAAACAGCAAACAACGAGAGTTTTACGAGAGGTGGCTGCGTACCCCGGCATTTGGACTGTGGCTTGCAAGACAAGAGGAGGTCGTGGAGAGGGTTTTGAGGGAGAATGCCGAACGAGGTCTGGGAGGGCAATCATAGTAGAGCCAGTCGTAGTATGAACAGTTTTTTCGATGTTGTCCGAGGATGCGAAGTCCTGATCATATACCCATCACATTCGTCGGACAACGTACACGAAAATAAATTCATTGCATACATTCATATCGTGCAACGACAGACACGATGCATGACAGCATGCTAAGCCAGCTATCAAATGCTTGCTTTAGGCGCCCATTCGCGACGTTGACCGAGTCGAAGTCAAATACAGTACCCCAGCCTCTAACTTTGTCTTCAGCATGCGACCGCTATGACCTTCCTGAAGCACGAGGACCTGTTGTCCTCGGACTATCGGCCATACGATTCAGTCGACGTTTCTGGCGTGCAGATTGCGCAGAACAAAATAAAGAAAAAGATCTCACCAATGCACCTCGCTTCGCCGCGTCCATCGCCTGCGCGTTCTGCTCCCGTCTTACCAACAGAAATTGCACGCTTACGTCGAACTTCTCCCACTTCTCCAACCCGTGGAGAAGGATCTCCCACAGATCCTTGTTCTTGACTGACTCCCTCTCCCGCGTGCGCCACTGTCTCTGCTGCCACTTGCGCAGGTGCTCAGACGCGCCACGCATGACGTAGTCAGAATCTGTGCCAATGACGATGCACTGGAACCCCTCGGCGGCTCAGTCGCGCAGCTGCAACGCCATGATCGCAGAACGAAGCTCTGCGCGGGCGGGGGTCGCAGCAAACCCCAACGTCGACTCCAGTGGGAGCGATATGACCGTTTGGACATCGGGGCGAAATACGAGGCCACAGCCAGCGTGGGGTTCCTTCTGCTCGCTGTCGACGACGGCTCCAGCCGTGAATAGGAGCACAGAGTATTGATCTGTACCGTCTTTGTAAACCCAGCAAGGTGCACGTATAATTGAAAGGTTGATCATGGGCACAAAGAGGCTGGTGCCGTCGGTGATATCCTTCCGAAGGTTGAATTGCCTATGTGCATCCTCAATAGGAGGGCCGACGATGGTTGGGGGAGGCATCCTCTCTGGTATGGGCATGCGCGGTGTGGTTTCGAATATGGCGTTTGGAAGGTCTGGATTGGAGCCTGTGGCTACGATATCTGGGCATTGATGCTCATTTGCGAGGTCCGAATCGAGACGCATGCGACTGTTAAACAGTAGACTACTTATCAACTTGCTGTCAATCCTTGTGTGTCTGCGACGCACCTCTCAGTTCCATCTTCATCGTAGTCGTCTTCGTATTCCTCGTCAGAGTCTGCCTGACAATGGGCATTCGCATAACGTACGAAAACGAACGGGACATTCATCTCATCAACAGGAGTTGTTATCGGATTGAAACCCTTGCCCTTTGAAGAGGCACTGAAGCACCATTGTTTGAGATCGCGCGGTTCGCCTGAGGGGTCAGGAAACATAATTGCGTCTTTAATTTTCTGCCAGCCTTGAACCCCGCCACAGCCTTCCAATGGGCCGCCTCCGACGGCTTTGATGAAATTTAATCGCTTCCTGTCCACTGGCTCAGATTTGACGAAGTTGACCTTGACCACTCAGAGATCCTAGAACCCCAAAGCTTTCTGTCATTCTGATAAATTCAATGGAACATTACTAACCCCAGAGCCGTAGGTGTACCACAAAGGTGCAATGCGACCATCCATCATCGCCATTTTTCGGTAACGTCCATGCTGACCCCAGATATGGCCGAGATTGATAGACCTTTCGTCAACAAGTTCAACAGTATCAGGCAGGACCTCTTGACCTACAAGGCCAGCTTTGTCAAGTAACGTGCCAACGCGCATAGCAGAGAGTTCATGTTCGTCGTCTTCGAACGATCCAGGAGGACCAGGGCGAAAAGCAAACTCGTGAAGATGCTTATTCCGCTAGCCAAAGCCGAATTGAATTGAATGATGAAGACGGCCAAAGCGAGACGTAGCAGGAATAGAAAATGTGCGGGTAGCGAGAGGGTCGTGTGATCCTAGAAGCTCAAGGCAGAAAATATAGCTCGTCGTCCGAGTATTGTTGGCAGAAGTCATCCCAGTTTTTCCAAGCAAAGAGTCGTCGCTTATTAGACAAGAACAAAAAGAGAGTCCCCAGGCCCGAGATCTCCTAGCTCTCAGAACCGGTGGAAGCAAACAGAAACCAGGGTAAGATCACTACAAAACAAGGTGGTGCCAGCGAGCGCTTGAGCCGTTTGCTTGTGTTAACAAACAGACACAAATAACGCAGAATGCACAGCCGTTCTTGATCTCCTTTATAGAGTCCAGCAGACTTCCTGATATTTGGACACTACGCAATAATTCGGGGGTCCCTCTTGGATCCGATTCATTGAATGTGTGCACAGCTCTCTACAGCCGTACTCTCTTCACCGGCCCAATTTTAGTTGAAGGAGAAGTCCAGACAGCCTCTAGTAAGGTAAGTTAGTTACGTCCAGGTTCAAAATCTCCAACACCTTGAGGGACCTGTCAATCAACCGCCTCCTGAGACTCAGGCGCGTAGTCATTTTTCAGGGCTTACGGCTGTCCATGTCCGGAACTTACCCGACCTATCGATAAGTAGTCGAACACTTGATGCAGAATTCTCACAGTGCCCGCCCTTGTTCGCATTTACTCCTCATACTTCCTCGCAACTTGCCAACACCGGTGAGTCTCACAAGTGTCGATTCCAACAGATTCTAACCCCACACAATTGCCCCCCAGAATACCTTGGAACTTAGGATTTATCGATCTTGATCATGTCCGATCCCTCCATCTCCATCCTTTCCTTCAAACCGGACAACCCGTGTAACACTTCGCTCGTTAACGAAGAAGGAGTAGAAATTTATGCCGTGCATACTGATTTTGCCGACGAATTGAAGCCTACAACTCGTGTAAATGACGCGTATGGCAAATGTATCGCGGAATGGGTCTGGCGGGATGTCCGCTCCGACCTGCTGACCTTCAAAGACAAGCCGCAGATTCCCGCTAGTGCATGGCTGCATAAGTCGCTCATTCCTTTCAACAGGTGCGGCCCTTTCGTAAAGGATCGTCGTTACCCCTCTTTTAATTTCTCTCAGCGATGTTACATTCGAGGACGGCTCCGGTCGGAAATACAAATGGAAGAACATCTCTCCTGGAGTCTACCCCCAGGTCAGTAGCTCACCATTGCGTGCTCTGCCGCTGCTCGAACGAACATCTGAAAACTTCATTCCCCATTCATTCAAAGCTCTTTTCCGGCGAGTCGAAAAACCAGCCAATCGCACGCTTTCAGCGGGCGCTGAAGGACCCCCAAGGGGTCAACCGCCCTGTTCTGCGGTCAGCACAATTGCTTCTTGACGCACGCGCGGACGAGATCCGGGACATGGTTGTTGTCTCGTTTCTCATTCTCGAGCGCCGGCGGCGGGAGTCCTCAATAGAATCGGACAGCCGTGCGTCGGTAATGGCCGTGTCCGTGTCAATGGCAGGCTCCTTGGCCTCCGGCAGTTTCTGATGAACGTACGTCATGTTGGTGCGCATTTGCTCGAGGAGTCTCAACGGCAGCCTTCTTTTTTCCGCATAGTCTCCGTCGGGCTCCTGTTTCCCGGTGTCTTCGACCTTTACTTACTTGCGAAGTCTTTCAGCCTCATAAGTATCAAATCATATCACCAATCATTTCAGATTTCAAACATCACCCGGTTCTTGTAATCTCTATTTAGGTTAAGTTTATTTGAGACAATAGACTGTATCTGAAGTGCACTTTTCTCTACACTTAAATCTTCAGTAAATTTCTCTTGCCCAGGAACAGTGTGGAAGCACTGCCATAACTAAGCTCCTCTGTATACCCCTAAGGCCTCGTTTGAAATGATTCAGGGATCTGCTGAAGCAAGATCAATTTGAACAGAGAATCGGCTTGCAACTAAACCAGAACAGAATCAATATGAATTACCAAACTCACCTGTATCTCAGCTTCCAAGCTGAACCAGAGTTGAGTGTGAAAATTTTAGCATCAATTCAGCATGTTGAGCCGAATCTGTGCCAAACCAGATATTATATAATCATCACTAGACCCGATCGACTCTGAAGCCTCGCACTATGTGCGCCGCACGGTTTTTCCCGGGATAAACCATGGATAAAACCATGGATATAAATAAAGTTTTTGTTTGGGTTTATTCACAGGAATTACCGAAACAAAAACTTAAAGCTTATCCAAGGTTTTGTCCCAGGACAAAACTGTAACATAACCTTATGTTTAAGCCCAGACATTTTGTTTAAGTTTGCCCTACAGTAAATCCTGGGATAAAACTCTGGATAATCTTTAACTCTTATGTCACAGAATTTATGTCACACATAAAAAATTGCAAATAATACCATGAAAATCAGTGATTAATTCAGTGTTCATTACACAGCCCTTTGGGCACTGCCTAGTACCAAATGTTAGATAACCTTTTTATCCACAACATCTCTTGACCAACCTCAATAAACATGGCCTTCTGCAAAGACCACCTTGCTATAGAGAGTTTCCTAAAAAAAACAATGTGTAATTGTAAATACAAAGTGAAGCAGCATGGACAAAATTAGAAAAGTGACAAACAAGAATCATACTAGCAATCACAAATCATTAAGGCAATACAAGGGCTAGCCCATAGCTAAATTCATTGCAATAGTGTCTAGTCTTAGAAAAATAGGGATTGTTAGTATCAAATCAAAAAATCAAAAAAAAAATAGTGAGCTGTGCACATTGTCTAATCCTCTAATGATCTATTAGCCACTGGAATAATTGTTTTTTGTAACAAGTGGCAGACACTGCAACAAACCACTGTTGTACCCAGTGCCAAATGTCTGACACTGTGACAAACCACTATTGCACCCTGTGCCAAGTATCCAATGCTGTGACAAACCACTGTTGCACCTTACACCAGGTGTCCAATGCTATAACAAACTACTGTTGCACCCCATGACAAGTGTCCGAAGCTATGATAAACCACTGTTGCATCCCATGACAAGTGTCCAATGCTGTGACAAACCACTGTTGCACTATTGGACACTTGGTGCAGGGTATGATAGTAATTTGTCACAGCTTCAGACACTTGTCATGGGGTGCAATAGCAGTTTGTCACAGCTTTAGACACTTGTCATGGGGTGCAACAGTGGTTTGTCATAGCATTGGACACTTGGTGCAGGGTACAACAGTGGTTTGTCATAGCATTGGACACTTGGTGCAGGGTATGACAGTGGTTTGTCACAGTATTGGGCACTTGTTATGGGGTGCAACAATAGTTTGTCATAGTGTCAGATACCTGGCACAGGGTGCACTAGTGGTTTGTCACAGCATTAGACACTTGGTGCAGGGTGTAACAGTGGTTTGTCACAGCATTGGACACTTGTCATGGAATGCAACAGTGGTTTATCATAGCTTCGGACACTTGTCATGGGGTGCAACAGTAGTTTGTTATAGCATTGGACACCTGGTGTAGGGTGCAACAGTGGTTTGTCACAGCATTAGACACTTGGTGCAGGGTGTAACAGTGGTTTGTCACAGCATTGGACACTTGTCATGGGATGCAACAGTGGTTTATCATAGCTTCGGACACTTGTCATGGGGTGCAACAGTAGTTTGTCACAGCATTGGATACTTGGCACAGGGTGCAATAGTGGTTTGTCACAGTGTCAGACATTTGGCACTGGGTACAACAGTGGTTTGTTGCAGTGTCTGCCACTTGTTACAAAAAACAATTATTCCAGTGGCTAATAGATCATTAGAGGATTAGACAATGTGCACAGCTCACTATTTTTTTTTTGATTTTTTGATTTGATACTAACAATCCCTATTTTTCTAAGACTAGACACTATTATAATGAATTTAGCTATGGGCTAGCCCTTGTATTGCCTTAATGATTTGTGATTGCTAGTATGATTCTTGTTTGTCACTTTTCTAATTTTGTCCATGCTGCTTCACTTTGTATTTACAATTACACATTGTTTTTTTTAGGAAACTCTCTATAGCAAGGTGGTCTTTGCAGAAGGCCATGTTTATTGAGGTTGGTCAAGAGATGTTGTGGATAAAAAGGTTATCTAACATTTGGTACTAGGCAGTGCCCAAAGGGCTGTGTAATGAACACTGAATTAATCACTGATTTTCATGGTATTATTTGCAATTTTTTATGTGTGACATAAATTCTGTGACATAAGAGTTAAAGATTATCCAGAGTTTTATCCCAGGATTTACTGTAGGGCAAACTTAAACAAAATGTCTGGGCTTAAACATAAGGTTATGTTACAGTTTTGTCCTGGGACAAAACCTTGGATAAGCTTTAAGTTTTTGTTTCGGTAATTCCTGTGAATAAACCCAAACAAAAACTTTATTTATATCCATGCATCTAGAAAACCACCCCTTTGTATTAAGCTCTAATTAGTTCTATTTATGCATAATTAAGAACGATTAGGATTAGACATTTTTAGCTTACCCCCCCTCTAAACCTATTCTACTTAGACATAATTTTCCTAAATTAGGAATTATTAGGATTGATTATAACTTGAAATTTCGGAAAAATAATAATAAATTAAGCATCACAGTTCTCATAGCCTTCTTATAGAGTCATGTCTATTAGAGCACTAGTTCAATACCTAAACACAGAATATACCTTATAACAAACTTGCCTTCTGCCAGAGTTAAACCAACAACCTCATGTATGCAAGCACCTAGGACAGATGCTCTAAGCCACTAAGCCACAAGGTCTAAGATATGAACTTGGTAATCTAAATAAGTAGACATAATATAGGCAACCTCAACATCTCTGATTTTATTTAACATCTATCTTTCCTCTATCTTATAAATAAATAGGTCAATAAATACCTAAAAAGTCAGGTCTTTCAGGATTTAGTTTAAACACCAGCTAAGAAGATAATAAATCAATGGAAAATTGATAATACACTTTATATAGGATAAAAATAAATTATGGCACTTATACAATTTGGACTGAGAATGTGTAAAACTATGATTGAGTGTAATATTCAATGGGACTCTACTAGTATAGACAATGCTACCTGAATTTGCAAATTTGATCAAAAACATGATTATGAATAATCAAGATCCAATAAGAGAAAGGGGTTTTCCACATAGCCACTAGTGAGGTAGAGGGTGGGGACAAGGGTATATGTATGGCATGCCTATATATAAATAAGCACAAGATTGTTGGAGGTAATCTTAATATGCTTAATGCATATATTTCCTATATGGCAGGCAAATATATCATTCTGGCACCACATACCAACATGACTGTCTTTTCCACAGCCTAATAGCTAGAGGAAAACACCAAGTTTGAGCATCTTTTGTATAACAAGGCAATAAACAATATAAATAGTGCTAAACATTGTAATATCAATAGTGATGATGATTGTGAGCTGCACAAGACAGTATTAGCCACTATACTAATAGACAAGGTCTATAAGGCTGCATATAGCATATCCCTAAGTCCAACCCACATGTTGTGTCCCATAATGACTAGTAGCAGGCATTGGCTAACAATGACAACTTTAATGATCTTGTGTGCAAGGACAAGGTACCTAGGTCTTCATAGCTTCTTGTGGCAGCCACCAAGCTGCCAACAAAGTGGCTGGGGGCATCAATGCACATTTCTCTCTTCCTATATCCCTTATAAAAGCAGCTGGAAAGTTAGCAAAAGAGCTACAAAATAATGGTATAGGCATATATGAAAGAGAGTAATATGCTGAAATAGTATAGAATGTGCCACATCTTTGCCTTCTCACTGATAGAGCAGTAGTACTTACTATTTCCTACTAATAATTAAAGACATCTTAGTATAGAATTAGTGCTAATATTATGAAATTAGAAACCAATCCAATGCTCACAATGTGTTGCTCCCAATTAGGAAATTAGACACTTTTAGATACTATTAACACTTTTAGATACTTTTAGACACTATTAAATATGATCCGGAGCTAATACAAGGGGGTGTTTTTCCAGATGAGGGCTTGGCGCCCATTTGACATCTACTCTAATCTCTTGTTTAATATTTTACTTAGGGGCTCTGTTTACTATAAAAACCTATATATAACTCTGGAATAAACTAGCTTTCGCACCCCACAGTTTAGAGCTCATTTGCACTCATCTCAACCATTGAAATCGTCTTTATCGACTGCCGAAAACTTGTCATCTTCGTTGTTCGGCCTTGTTTGTGTTCATACTTGTCTCTTCACTCGTACCCCTCGTCCTCCCTCGTATATTGTCAGAGTCCCGTGTGGCTCTTGAAGCACGTAATTGTTGGTTGCAACACTACCTCCTCGTTACCGACTGAATTGCCGACACGACCGACCGAATGTTTGGTTGGTGTTCGGTGCAGTCCTGAAGCCATTTAGGTGCTATAATATCACACTCCTCGCTGTGTCTCAAGTGCGCCATCTATTTCTAAAGTCCTCACTAACAATTCCTTGAGTATCAGATACTAGTTCTAGCACCCCTGCATTAGAGGTTGTTTTGGTGTTGTGCTCGGCACTTAAAGCCACCTCTAGTGTATCAGCGCTCATTACCGCCCCTATCGCATACCTCATGGGGCTGATAGAAGGGTCACCGAGCACAGAGTTCATGTCGGGACCTACTCGATCAGATATATAGAGAGGATTGGGAATCTTGGAGGAAGAAAGGGCTTTCATACAGCATGCACAAAGGGCTTTGCAGATACAAGAAGGGACTATCATCGCCCACATCAATGCAGGCAAGAGAAAGCTCATGGGACTCAATCACACTGAACCTCTCCATGACACATTTTATCCCGCTGATGACCCCACTCCTGCCAATGAGTACTATATGCCATCCACAGCTGTGGTATCTTGTGCCTCGTCTTCGGCTTCAAATGGAGGTCTGCTTCACCTGATGCCAGGGACTTATCCCAATGCTGATGGAGGGGTCTATAGGTTCACACATCCTTCCCCTCACTTTCAAGCCATACCCTTGACTTTTGGCCTCCAATGCCCACCCAAGCACACTAGACCCCCTGTCATCGAGTACGACTTTAGCAACTCTGAAGCCCTCCTTCTTGTCAACTACTGCCACACCCTCTGAAAGAAGTCAACCACCATCCAGTAAGATGTTAAACTGCTGGAGCAGACGACAGTTCAAATCTATCGGGCCGGTACTCACTGCCACAATGAGAAGAGGGATTCAGTTCTAAGATGCAGTTCCTATATAGTTCTAACAAGGTGAGGTATCATGGTGTCCGTACTCAAGGGCTATCGCATCATGACTTGGCAGTGGGCAATGAGAATTGGTGCCCTAAATATTATTCTTCTATGACTTGTGATTCCATATGCATTGCTTATGTTTTTTCTGGACTTTTTACTCATTGTCTCTAGCATTGACAGCCTAGAGGGGGGGTAATGTTATGAACCGCTTAATACACCTTTCTTGTTTTACCACGATCTGTATAAGGACTTATAGGACCTTTCTCCTGGTCCATGCTTCCACTTGTACATATTTATAACAGCTGTAGCATAGTAAGGAAGCCTTAGGCTATCCACTTCTGTCCAATTTAGGAACTGCTGTTAAACCAGTCTTCTCTGATTCTAAGACATTAGTGATCAGTCTCAACCTTTTCACATCTATCACTCCCATCATTACCTCAATCATGGTAGTATTGACTTGTGGACTAGGAAATCTTTTGTCCCAAACGGCCGTTCATGACAGTCAATAGCAACAATTACTTTCTTGCACAAGCACAACAAGGAGCTATAGTCTTTATCTATTAGACAGTTACCATTCACATAGCCTAGGAAACCCATCTTAGTGCTTATAGCATGTGATAAGCTTAGTGGCTTAATATTCTCCAGTTGTGATATTTTATTGTTTGATATGCTGTCTCTAATTGGGCCTATCATGACAAGCCTTGCACAGAGAGCAGAGGGTAAGGGTTGCCATGGGCATCCCTAAACGGTGCAGTCTTATCTAGACAATGAAATGCTGAAGAAATATCTTAGGTCTAAATTAGCTCTCATTGAATCAATGACTGCACAAGACAAACACAAGTAAAAGGATGTGCACTTATAGTATGCTTGAATTAATTTGATGAAGCACTGATTTTTGGAATGGACAAGGCATGTAATGGTACACACATATAATATCTAAGATGATGGGGACATCAACTGTGAAAATATCGCATCGTTCGACTGAGGGCGACAACGATGGGAAAGAAATGGCCTGAGGATATAAAACTGGCCAATGAAGTGGCAACCCCAACGGAGCGAGAGCGGTTCGCGACCGAACCGAACCACTGCGATTGGACGAAGTGACGTAAGTGGATAGGTACCCCCGTTTACAACCCCAGGTTCCCACAACGTCTGTACTCTACTTAAACCTCGGGATGCAGATGATCCCTCTCACACCTCCCTTCTCTTCTGCACCCTCATCCTCTACCTATCTGTACCTCCCGCCAACATGAATGCCCTCCGAATTGCCAGCAAACACACCCATTCCCTTTCCCAGAAGTTCCGCGTTAACCCTCCTCAGACGCGCTCTTTCTACTCCCCTTTTGCTGTCCTTTCCCAAAACTCGCCCTCGTCATCTTCCACCAAGCCATCGTATGAGAAGCCCACACAGGACAACTTTGAGGTTGAACACGGCGCGGGTACCGTCTACGTTGTCTCGGAGCCAGACCCCTCCGATCGCCCCTACGCGGTTCCCGCGGGCGCATATCCGACGTCATTGCCCTACGTCAACTTTACCCAGACCGAGGCACCGGATGCCAGTGGTGCCAAAGTGAGTTCGACAAGCCCTGACCTCGCACATCCAAACCTCATCAGGCGAGTGCCAACAAACAAAGTAGGCGTAGGCGAGAGTGCGGCTGTGCGGAACAGTGACGCTCCAGGAGAGATGGGAACTCGGGGCGGCGGTCATGGAGACCTAGGCCCGATGGACGAATCTTCGACGGAAGAGGTGGAGAGGCCTGGAAGGTGAGGAAGTAACGAGCTGCACTAGACTTGATCTGGGAGGTAACCATGGACCCAAGAATGGCCCATATGCATTGCATCGATATGTGAAATTGTATGATATATAATTCTCTTTGCCTCGTTCGAGCTCGTTCGACGTCCGCAGAATGCCTTGTAATGATCCGCCTGTACATGTGAATTTTCTTACCTCTTGACGAGGCCCAAACCCATTTAGACGACTTGGAAAAGTATATGCTTTGAGACGGGAACCTTCTCCTGGATCCAGCCTCTGTACGAGCTCGGTCTGGTGCTCAGACGTGGTTGTTGCGCCCGACCATGACCGCGAATCTAGAATTTAAAAACTCCTGGCTGACACAGTCAGACGTGCCCTGAACCATATATTGACGGCCTTCGAAACAAGACGCCTTCTGCGCTCCAGAGCGTTGTTGCGTGCATGACTGCCGGTAGGGACACTGGAAGCTACTGGAAGCCGTGTTTGCCCCAGAAGTGGTCAGTTACACGGGGCCAGTCGTGCGGAGACGCCTGCGCCGTGGGGTCACCGGCCTTTCCCAGCCTTTCCCTCCGCCACTAGTTTCCAGTCCGTCCAGGTCTTCTCCACTTGGCCTCGAATTCCGCCACGAGCAGCCCTAGCATCTTTCCGCCGCCGCCACCCCGGAGAAACTGTCGGCTGGTGACGATGACCATGCCTTTCTTGCACCGGGTGAGCATGCGTTTATCCGGTTCTTCGAGCGCAGGAAGCTAGGACCTTTCGAGCGAACAGCCGAGACGATCACGTAGTCCGCCTCGTTGCCTGCAGTTCACAGGAGTGTCAGAGCTAGACACGGCGATGAATACGAAAGGAGATACCTTGGAAACTGTCAACATTGAAGACGCGATCAAAGCGCAGGTTCTCCTTCTTCAGCTGCATTGATATGGCCGCTCTCTGAGCGGCATATGGCGTGATGACACAGAAGTCCGTCTTGTTATAATACTGTTTGACCAGTCGCACGATTGTGTGCACCTCTTCTATGTTCTATAGGTCAAACGTATGTTTGTTGAAGCCTATTCGTGCTGTGTTGGCCACACAACTACGCACCTTGGACTTACTCCCCGATCTCCGCTCCTCTCCTTTGCAAACATCCATGAACTGAATACGACTTGGTCTCTTTATAGCACGTTCGGAGCGAAGCTTGTTGTCGTACACATGTTTGGATAGAAATCGGAGAGTAATAAGAGTTTTATAGTGTGTATCCAAAAGGTAGGCTGTTTCGGAGATGCTTGATATCGAAGATGGGATGATTTTGAGCTTGGCCTGCTCGGCCCCACGCGGTGGGACTATACAGTGGATTATTACTAAATACGCACTCAAGCAACCACGCTGCTTTGGGTCACCGAAGAAGGAAACCTTGGTTTGATCTTTCTTGAACTTGTGAAAGACGTGCTGTAATCTTGATAGTCCAGCTCAAGTAATCAGATGAAAAAAGAATAGTGCGTATTACTGGCCATGAACTCGAAAGCGTCGATCTGCGACGCTTCGTCAAGGACGAGCCGAGCCATAGGCGACACAGAGAATGCGCGGCAATTGAGCAACGTTGGGTTGGACAGCATATTCAGCGTGCAAAGCACGACAGTGCTTCCGAGAAGATGCCCAATCGCGACTCCAAATTTACCGTGATTCAGCAAGTCGTCAAGATATACCTCTTTTCCCAACAAATATGGGATATGTGGTTTTCCGTGGCAAAAGCGACAGCTGTGATGGAGCCTGTGTCATTGAGCCCGACAGAAGTGCCGGGGATTGGTGGGGATAGATTGTGAATGGTAGTGACCATATCATGAATGGTCTTCAAGTGAAAATATCGAACATGACGCCCCGCGAATGTCGTCTTGTTGAATTGTGTTAGGGTAGCCTACATCATGGTGGTTGGAGAGAAAGAGAATGCAGGCTGTTCACCACCGTGTTACAGCACCGAACTGGTGAGGCCTAGCAACTATAGCACTCTAAGCGCCCTTCCATATCGATTTCCGAGACTGGATGATGCTGTATATGTTTAGATCGTTGCGCTCAAACTGCAGCTCTTGGTCGCGAGGTGAGAAAGCACGCGCCGATGATATAGATGAAACTGAGAAGACCTAATAGAACACAGAGACCCGTACGTAGATTCAGAAGTAGCTGGAGTGGACGTTACAGCATGAATTTGGGCTGTGAGTTGCCAAGTTCCGCGTCTGCTACTGAGGAGGCCAAGAAGGAAAGAAAAATATTGATACAGCGGACGGATGTGAGAAACGCATAGCATGACGTACCATATAAACTGTTGGCTTTCTATCCCCTTGGCTGCAGCCACTGTCAAAAGGACGAAGAAGAATAGCCTTGCCCGAGATTGCGTGCATGGTCCGATGCAGCTTGAGGTATGCTGACGTCTGGTGTCGTGGTATCCACATCCTCGCAGCTTGTAGACCCCAGTGCTGCGGTTTGCCATTGCTTTCCGAGAATAAACAAAGAGAACGGCGGTAATCTGGGTGGTCAACAGGCTTTCGCTTCCGATGGAAGGTGGATTATAGGTTCTTCCATGGCTAGGGCTATGGTTATCACAACATCGAGTGTGTAGCGTCGGGATGTACAGCAACACCGATGGCTTCTGCGGGGAGATACGTGATCGCAATGTTTACATCTCTGATCAGAGGGGACAGCGTACCGTACGAACAGATGATCGTCCCTTTACTAGCGTCTCTTCGGCGCCAGAGAGTCAGGAAGGCGGAGCAATCTTACCTCATTGAATTCTTATATCAGTCCGATGTTGTATGCCAAGATACAATCTTCAGAAATTGAGGGCGGCTAGTCTGCTACTGTTTGCATGGCCCGTCTCGGAGTCGGCATCACTGTAATACATTGAAGTCAACAATAACACAAACCACTTGAACGAGAATAATTGCCTACCGTCCATAGTTTGAGGGCATCGCAATTTTTGCCCAGAGCCATGGCTTGGGCAAGGGTTTGAATTTCGCGGCGAGTACACAAACTGTATGCTTCAGCCAATCACAAGGATCACATGTCCAAAACGTCCTGTGAGGCTGTGGAAGCATTCATAGATTGCATGAAGAATGTATTGGAACGATTACGATTAATGACCCAACTGCTTCGATAAAATAGCGATCTGTGAAAAGGCGGAGGTGATGGAGGCCTGCGGAAAATACTATCCCTGTGTTCTACGGGTAGGTATTCAGAGTCTCCCGGCGCATAACGTCCAACGGTCAACGCCGACGCGTGGCGGGAACATGTCCTAGACGAGCGTGACAAGTAGAAAGGGACAAGGGACAGACCAGCAGAAAATGTGAGATCTACTTACTATATGCACGCGAAAAAACCAACAAGAAAGTCGAAGAACAGAACAACGGAGACGATGGACCAAGGACGGACGGGGTAACAGTAACTGATACATCAAAGAAGCGGAGAACAAATAGTAACACGGAGCAATAAAACGAAATAGGTATACGTCGTGTCCAGCATTGCTTGATGATGTCCCTGACAATGTATATGCGTAGGCGCAGGTGAGGAAATGGCGCGGTGGTGGAATGGGTGGATTGTGCAAACGAGCGGATGTTCGATCGTAGAGATATATATGGCCGGGAAGTGGGCGGCTAGGGCAGTCCTCCTGCCCTTCTGAATGATGTGGCGAGGTGATGGGGTGCGAGTGTAATCTTGACGATCGGCGAGTTATGCAAGGATACGGTGTAAATCGTGATGTTGGTCGTGAAAACGTCGGAGTGCAAGGCTAGAGATCGTTGAGATTAGCTGCCAATTACGTGGGTATTTTCGTGACGTCAACTCACAGAGAATAATATGCCGCAGGGCAAGCGTCAAGCGTCAAAGATGATGAAGGAGATAAAAGAGATCGAGAGGCAGAGCTGTCCTCTATCCTCGACAGCAGAACATGCTGAAGAATCCTTTTTTCCTGACTCCACCATGGCCGTCCTCATCCTGCTCACCCACGCGTGCCATTTGCTGGTCGTAAACACCCATTCCATTAGCTCTGCCCTCCCGCTGCATCGCAGAGCTGTCACGCATGTCCCCAACCTTTCTCCCGTGCGCGATTTGGCTGCCGTACATGAACGAGTCTGAAGTTCCATTTCCGTTCCCATTGGCCAACGCGGCGCTGGACCCTCCAGCGGTTCCATTGGCCAAACCCATGCTCCCTGACGGCAATGCCGGGCCTGCATAAGATCCCGTGCCCGGGCGGTAAGCCGTGGGGCTCGGCGCCGCAGCATACGGATGGGGAGAGAGCGTGACCTCACCGCGCGACATTTGCTGCTGGCTGGCACGCCTGCTCGCAGGTGCCAGTGGCTGCACGCTGACATCTCTGCTAGGGCCACGTGACTCCTGCGGTGTTGCCCGCCGAGTGGAATGCTTCAGGTGTGCGGCAGAAGGACTAACAAGTAGAGGGGGTTGGTTGGGGTTAGCATCCTGCAGAGCCTGACGAGATCCACGCCGGTGTTCTCTCTGCCGGTGCTCGCGAGGCAACGGACTGCCTGCGTTCGCGTGTGCTTGGGCGAGAACCGCCGCTGGTGTCTGTAGGAGGAATGTCAGCGCCGGAAGCGAAGCAACACACATAAGACAAACCCGTACGGGTCCAGCCTCCCAGCCCTTGCCGTTATTCAACAGCATCCAATCGTAAATTCCGTCCTCTTGCTCCCCCAAATTCTTCAGGACCTTGGTGAACAACTCCCGCAGAAAATCGTAGTCGGGGCTTTCCTCGAAGCCGAGTCTACGGACATAGGTCATATAGATTGAGAACTCCTCTATGAGAAAGCGATCAGCGACCGCCCGGACGCGTGGTCTACGATCACATATGAACACACCTGGAAAACCTTCACAAAGCTCCGGAATCGGAGTGCTCTGCTTCTTCTCCCCGATCTTCTCATACTTCTGCTTGTTGGTAGCTGCCCGCAAGCCCTGCCACGGGAGGCCGCCGCGAAGGAAGTACATGAACACATGCCCAAGTGACTCGAGGTCGTCTCGCCGGGACTGCTCGCGACCCAGATGCGTGTTGATGGACATGTACCGCGCCGTTCCGGACAAAGATTTTCGCTCACGGTAAGGAATATGAACCTTTGTTTTGGGGTCGCGATAGTGCTTGGCCATACCAAAGTCTGCAAATGTAACATATGACGTCAATTCTGCGTCTGGGCAAGACCGTAACAACGAAGTGTAAACTCGACAAAGCCTGCAAGATATATTATGTGAGAATGCCGCCAGGCCTCCCTCTTTGCACGTTGAGGGTTCCCCAACACGCAGGCACCATTTAAGCATTGAGATTAATGCATCAGTTTTGTTCACCATGTATATCCAAAACACGACAAGATGCCCAAAACAGACTGAAATTGAGACTTAAATGTCTTATATTTTACGCACCAATTACATGGATGGTATTAGCGTTCTTGGTGGCCGGAACACCAATCAGGAAATTATCTGGCTTGATGTCACGGTAAATGAGGGACTTGTCGTGGATAGCTTGAACGCGTGTAACCTGAGTGAAAAAAATAATCAAACATTAGAAGGATCGAATCTGAGGAGGGCTGCAGCAAGAATGCTCGACGGCGCGTGACATGCATGTTGGAGTAGAGTAGTAGATGAAATGCCAACCATTTGCTTTGCTGCCATGCAAACGGTTTTGATGGAGAACTTGCGACCGCACATGTCGAAAAGGTCCTCCAGATTTGGGCCCAGAAGGTCAATCGCGAGGACATTATGGAGGCCCTCTTGACCAAAATGGTGAACTTGCGGGACACCAGCTAGTCAAGGAAAGTTGATGAGATGCAAGGAAATAGCATGTCAGTACGTCGTGAACGCGAAGTGGTGCGGCAATCAGAAACGGGGTACTCCCACAAGACGACAGAAGGACATACGAGTGCCATTGAGGGTCCGATACGAGCGGTATTCATCGCGTAGCTGAGGTGCATCTGACTTGCGAGGTTCCTGTGCAAGTACAGATAGTTAGTGAAGTGTACATACTACCCTAGTAGGTACTCACGAATTTGATGGCGACGGGTTGGTTGTTGATAGTGTTGGTTCCTATAAGCAGGTACAGGATCCAGTGTTTTTCAAGTCATTTCATGAGCGTGACGACGCAACAACCGACCTTCAAAGACGACACCAAATGAACCCTCTCCGATTTTCTTCCCGACACGAAAATGACTGCCGACGATGCCGTTGGTAGTAGCAGATTGAGAGGCCATGGACGAGGACGCGATTACATGTGGGGTTGTCATTGGAAGGACTGGAGGAGGCAGGGGGACAGAGGAGGGTTGAGGGAGGGGAGGGAGAGGGAGGACGGAAATGGAGCGGGTGTGAGGGGACGGACGAGGAACTGACCGCCGAGTGGGCGGACTTTGAATCCGTCCACAACGAGCGGCTCGGCTCGTCCAAGCCAACTCTGGCACCGCCGCATGGCCCTCTGCTTATCTTTGCCCTTCGCGGCCATCTCAAGTCTTTCATTGTCATTATTACTCGCCCAGCATCTTGCAGCGCAGTCAACGACCGCCAACATGCTGTTCGCCTCACCTTTGAGGTGCAATTCCCCACTTTTTCTGTGCCCGGTGCCGCTCATAAACAGTTGCTCAGTGTCACCCGCGTGCAACCGTTCGTTCAGTTTTCACACTTGTTTCACTTCGCCACCGTTAGGGCCCCTGTATGTCAGATCCTGGAGCTCCCCTGCACGTACCATGGCATGCTCTTGCACACGGAGCACAGGTGGCACTCATTGCACTATCACCTTCTCCCACCGCTGTATGCATCAATTCTGAGTCTCGGGCCAATTTGAACAATTTACAGTGTTTGCATTCAATCTCAAAACCCCGGAATCGTCGATAGCGCCCGAACTGCAGACTTCAAATATGAGACAGTCATCCAATAGGTAACCGAATTTCGATACAACGAATATGAATAATACTCAGGTCGCTATACCTACCGTCTGCAGCTGTTCGGTAGCAGCCTGTGCAGTCACCGATATGTTGAAGAGGCAGAAAAATTCTCGTTTAGCACGCAAGATACCGGCAAAACGACACCAGCAGGATTTGAACCTACGCGGGCAGAGCCCAACAGATATCATGCCGAAGGCATTCGAATCTGTCGCCGTAACCACTTGGCTATGGTGTCGTGATAAGCATATCTTAGGAGGATGTATCAAATGGTGGCGAGCTCAATATGAGGCCCATGCATGTATGCTAACCATGTTGAAATACAGAAATTATATTCGCGCGAGCGCTTCTACATCCTGCGGGGTTGGTTTTCTGAGGAATCGGACATCGGGCGAGTGCCCTGAAACTGTGAGAACGTGTGGGAATTCATTGAGATCGGAGTATGATGAGAACAAAGTGACGTAGCGAGTCGTAGGCCCGTGACATGTGTAAGGTAAGTCATACAGACGATGCTGACATCGACATGAATGCAGCACGAATCTAACGTCCCTGAGACTAGACGACATAGCGAAGCTGAGGGCTAAGCAAAAGAGCCCTGGGGCTTAAAGAGGTGACACCACTCGATGGACATACTCTGTCACACAGCTCACTATCAACCTGGCAGATGAGCCAAAAGATGACCGGATGGTGCCGGCGTAGCTAAGCTAGTGAGTGTTCTGCTCACAAATCCGTACCAAATCCGTCAGTCCCGGCGCTTGTCCGAGTGCTGTACATGTTCCGACACCCTTGCACATTATAAACACACTCTCCAGCCCGATATATCATCTTTCTCATCCCATTACTTCCACCGTTCCATCACATTGACGATTCTCGACGTTCAGTCTCATTTAAATTCAGCGGTCGCTCCTTCAGAATGAGCACACACAAAGTCAAGCTGATAGTCTTGTCCGACTTTGTGCGTCATTTTGACTTGCAGCTCATTCGTGACATGGAGATAATTGACGCGCACCTTATGATTCTGGTTCAATAGCTCTGTCCGTGGTGTTACGTTGGCTACCGCGAGCTGCAGACCGCGATCTCACAATGCGCCACGCTTCCCGTTCTATTCGAGCTCGAATACCGCCCATTTATTCTGCATCCTGCGCTGACGGACGATGCCATCGACAAGCACGAATGGCTGATGAGCAAATTTGGAAAGCCGAAGAGTGACGCCATAGTGCAGATGGCGACGGCGAGAGGTGAGACTGCAGGGATTAACTTGTGAGCGCGAATCTTCTGCGTTGCCCCCCTCCCCCTTCGTCTTGCTTTGGGGTACGATGTAGCGCTTCACAACTCTGCGATCAGGGGTTAGCACCCGTCGGTGCATTCTAGCAAGCGTCGTTCTGCTCTGTATCCCCTTCGGAATGACTCATGCATGTATTAGCACTCCATACCCATCAGACCCCTAGCTCCTTCCATTTCCACAGACAATAGTTCTTGCTATGATACCCTTTCCTCGCTCACATGATCTCCCTCAACAGCTCCTTCAACGGCAAAGTCAGTCAGACGACCCGCGCGCACCGACTCACGATGAAAGCCATGCAAGTTGGCGGCTCGTCTGTACAGCAAGCCTTGATACGGCTTATATTCAAGGCCTACATGGAGGAAGAGCAGGACATTGCCGATATTGGGAATCTTTCAGAGATGGCGGAGTGCGCAGGCGTGATGTCCAAGAACGAGGTGACTGTTCATGTCTTTATTCTCTTAGTAAGGCCGGTGCACCACAGGTCAGGTTGTATATGATGCGCTCGTCCCCCCTTATTCTTATGTGCCTCCATGAGCTCAGATGATGTCAGTGCGCTGACTGAACCTTTCCTTCAGGCGGTTGCTTTTCTCAAGAGCGATGAATGTCTAGCTCAGGTTGAGCAGCAGGTTGCCGAGGCCCGCGAAAAGGGTGTTACTGGCGTACCTTTCACGATCATAGATGGAAAATGGGCGGTCAGCGGTGGTCAAACAGCAGACGTCTTTGTCAAGGTACGCTACATGTGCTTTTTGTTGCATGTCTGCCTGATTTTCCTCTTTACAGATCTTCAGAAAGCTTGCACAGATACCTGGAAATCCTCATCAGACGGAAACTCCTATCGCCGTGCCTATTGCCGCTTGACGTGCTGCGTGCATTCGCCCATCCTCTCATACTCACTCCACTCCAATCCACCTCTCTCGATCAGCGGTCATAACCACTTGCCATCTACGACCCTCTATTGCCGCCCTCTCTGCTTTTTCTTTGTTCTGGTTCCTCTTGTTGTTATCACTGTCCTTTTATGCCGCTATCCACTATCTCTTACGTTCCTCTTGTTTTCCTCTGTTTCATTTATCAGCAGAAGGCTGCACACAAACGATTACTTTGCGACATGCTTTGAACGCACTGACTGAGCAATCAAACTCCCGAAAGATGTGTGGCGGGACAGGCAGTGCTGGAGCCGGTCAATGACGTCAGGCAAACTTCCGCTTCAGGCGTGCAACTCGGAGCCTCAGACACCGCCTGAATGTTATATAGGTGAGGGGGTGGAGTGAACTCTGCCTTCTACACGCCCACCTCTCCAGGCGACCACACGGCAGGGAGTCAATTACATCACAATCATTAGAACATGGCCCTCTTTGCGCACCGATACCATCATTGGGCATATGTCTGGATTCCTGCGTTCGGAGCGTTCATCTGGTTCGGTTCGTGCCAATGGTATGCCATGGTGTAGGACAGTGATGAGAACTGATCTATTTCATCCATAGGGACGCTACTTTCCATGATATTGACGTGGGTGGGCCAGGGCCGGCCGATCTATATTTCCGAGGACGGCACGATACCGTACATCTCAGACATCGGAGCAGACATTTTGAAACCGCTCTTCGTAGCAGGATGCAGCGTCACAGCAATCTCGTTTATCCTCTCGCTCAGCATTGAGCGACTGCTACGACACACGGGCAGGTGCGTGATATCAATACTTCTGTTGCTATCTACGCCATAACCGCTGTCTCGGAAGGCTGCACCCTGACATGCGAAAACGCGAGTTCGCGTTTTCCTACCTCGCGATCCTCGGCTCCGTCATCGGCGGCGCGGGACTCATCTTGCTCTCTTGTTTTGACACCAAGCGCCATCCCTCGCTACATCGAGTGTTTCTGCTCGTATTCATAGTTGGCGTCGCGCTCAGCGCTCTGTTCACTATCGCCGAGGTATAGCCGTTTTCATGCTGCGCCTTCTTCAAATGCGACGCTCACCCCTCCACCTTGCTATTATAGTATCGATGGTTGAGTAAGGGTTGTGCCGATGAGAGAGAACTGAAGATTGCCTACAGCGCGAAAGCCATAATTGCCCTTATTCTCATCGCATTAGCCATCGCATTCGGGATAACGCTCTTCAAGAATACGAATGTTGGCGGTCTGTCCTATTTTCCCTGTCAAATCCATCGCCTACGGCTCACCTATGATGTCAAGGTATCCTAGAGTGGATCATCGCCTTCGGCTACACCTTTTACCTGCTATCGTTCGTCTACGATCTCAGACTGTCGAAGAATCGCCATCGAGGCGAGTTGTCGCGTGAAAGGCTGACACCAGGTCAGCTACCAGAGATGAGTCGTGTATGATCTGATGAAGATGAATTCAAAGTGGTCAATCCTAGACGTGCAAACATTACGGACATATATATTTGTGGATCTGCACGCGACTAATATAATACTTCCGCTGCCTACTCGCAAGTTGTCATTGCTTCAAGGTCCACGGTCCTACATATAGCTATGGATGTTAACCAGCTTACATGCAGCCTGCAGGGGTGCTTGATTGCACCATGAAAGGAGGGCAAACAGCGGAGTGGTCCACGTCTCACCTATGTTCGTATTGTCCTTTCGTAAGTTGAATAGAGGCACAGTTAAGAGATGTCTCCTTTTCACGGAGCACATGAGCAAACTGACCTGGATGCGAGAGTCGCTGTGATCATCGTTGCCAGGTGTGATAGCAGTCTTGGAGAGAATTTGGGACGCGCAGGCATTCTGAAGACGGACAAACTGAGTCAGCGCTAAAACCACTGCGGTGCATCGTCATGACTTCCTTGCAGCGGGGTGGCGCCAGCGAAGGAAAATCCCGATGTACTATAACGAGACAGGAATCTAGAGAACAGCTGTATGAACTCGTATGGAACACTGCCGCGCAAAGGAGTCTAGGAATCAGACGGTTGAGCTAGAGCCGCTTACATGGCGTCGAATCCTGTGAGAACTTAAGGAGGTGCAAGGGTTTCCACACGAAGAACGAAGAAAGCACGTTGAATTGAACAATGAGGACACGATGGGCGACGTGAGTACGACGTAGCGAAGAGGCTAAAGGCTGCTAAAGGTAGATCTGGGAAGAGCAAATTGCACTGATCCGCCAGGCACAGCTTTAACCGATAATATGCGCCAAACACAGCACAAAAGCAGTGGCGAAATTGGAACAAACATCTACAAAAGCATCAAGACACAGGCGCTGGATCAACACTACTTTGACCATCATCGCTGGCATGTCTCACGAGAACATCCTGGGAACCCTCGTCGTAGTCGCCCTCAAAGCTCAGCATTTAATTGACAATCATACGTTCTACAAACAGGATCCTTATGTCCGCATCTCGTTGAACGGTACGGTCAAGAGGACCAAGGCCGATCCGAAAGGCGGCCAGCACCCCGTTTGGGATGCTGAGTTTCGCTTTCCGATCTCAAGGGAAACTTCGGTGAAGACTAGGAGTCTCGAGATATCTTGCTGGGCCGAGGAGAAGAAAGAGGACGAGCTGCTTGGTGAGGGCAGAGTCGATATTGCCACGACGTTACAGTCAGGGGAATTTGATGGTACGTGGCTTCTAGCAAGCACGCCTCATCCTAACATTGAACTTGAATTGTGAAACGATAGACTGGGTTCCATTGTCGCTTAACGGCGCTCAGAGAGGAGAGGTTTACTTTGAAATGACTTTCTTCGCTGCTGGCCCTGCGCCTCTCAACCGGCGTCAATCCAAGTTCAAACCGAATGAGAGGCTTGCGCGCCCTGGCGGCCTCCCCGCTTTCAACCAGATACCAGAGAATCCTCCTGAACAAAGACTGCAAAGCTCTCCAGTATCTACATCTCCTCAGCTTACATCTTCGCATTCTCCACCTTCCCAGTTCCTCCCTCTACCCCAATCTCGCAGTCCATCCCGATCGCCCCACATAAAATTGGCACCTCTACCTCCTCTTCCTGAAATTTCTGCACAGAAATCTGAGCTTCTTCCTTCAATCTTGCGGGCGGGGCCACCCCGGGCACTCCAACCCGCTGGAGATATTCGCTCTGTGCCTCCTGACGCAACAATTAATTCACGCTACCCAGAGACATTCGGAGGTTCTCCCGCTTCTGGTGGATACAGGGTGCCTTCACCTCCAAGAAACAGACTGCACCCAACTCAGACTCCACGAATTGCTGCAGCATCCTCCCAACGTCCTACGTCCTATTATCCTTCGTCGACAAATTCTCAGCCACCCAATGCATCATCATCTGGCCATCGTCATAGCCAGTCTTTGACCAATCAACCACCATCCCAGTCTCCATATCCGCCACCATTTTCGGGTGGCTATCAGACGCCTTCTGTATCTCCACACCCTCCACACCTTGGGCCAAATTACAGCCCCCCTCATGCACATTATACTACGCCCTCTGTACCGGACTACGCATCTCCCTCTGCGCCTAAGTATGTTGCACCGTCTGTGCCTAACTACGGTGCTCCCCAGGCGACAAGCCATTATCCCTCGACATCAATTCCGGCGCCTGCTGCACCATCATACCACCCTCCATCGACATATTCGACGCCACATGCACCAGCGAATGGGCCATATTCCTCGTTCTCGTTCCCTACACCTCAAGCGCCCGAATACTCTCATTACTCACACCCTCCAGCTCAATCAACACTTGATAGGGACAGAGATCTTCCAGATCCTTATCTCATAAACCGTTACCAGTCTCCTCTCCCCCTTCCACCGCCTGCGCAAGTAAATAACACCGCCCAAGTGGCATCTCCACCCTTTGACATTCGCCATGTGCCCTCACCAGGCATACCACAACCTGCTCATACGCCGAATCCTGCACCTGAGCCATTCACAGAAGAAAAGATTCGCAGGGAGCAAGAAGAGCGAGACGCAGAATTGGCTAGAAAGTTGGATATGGAACTGAACCTAGGCGTGGTGGATCCGGAACGTGTCGTCTCTCAATCGAGGCAAGGGAAACATCCTGTGGGAATTGGGATGCCTGGTGCATGGTAGGGATGCATTGTGTTCACAGAGGGACGAGATATATCTTTATTTCTGGCATTTATTCGACGAGCGTTGCGAGAAACCATTCGGTTCTTGGGGTCTCGAGGGAGATATCTACTCGCAATATCTTCTGTTTTCATAGTGCGAAAACTTGTGCAAATCTATCTAACCGTAGTATCTATTATCAGTTTATTTCTCCGGGCTGCCGCGTACAAAGCTGAAAACCTTGAAGAAACCTAAGAAGCCCAGCGAAGGCAAATCGGGACATTGATCGATGACGTAACTTCTCACTTCCCCAATTTTTTCTGCCCACCCACTGGAAGTAGCTTCCAAGGTTTCAACTACATAATTGTGTCTTTTCTAAATCACATCTGATATCATTGCTGGCATACTTTTGTTCGCTCTTCAAGGCTGCAGCTCCACCGCCCCGTGTCCCGGGCCGACGCGGTGCGTAGTGACTGCCCCGAGTTTCGGTGGAAGGCTGAAGAAGACGGGCGGATTTGACCTATGCTGGATAATCTTCATGAAATAGGTAGGTGTCACTTGTCATAGCTGAAATCCCACTTCTGTGCATCGCCGTGATGCGCCGGTGCTGCGATCTTCTCAGGATACGTTGCTTGGTGAACGACACGATGTTCCGATGACGGGCCGCTCTCCCTCTGCGTGACGAAAAGACACACCCTCAGGTACCTGTCTTGAACCTTGGAAGTCTGCAGATCTCTATGCGCTGGTCACAATCCTACCTTGTGATACGATCCCATGGTAGCCTTGAGCCTGCCAGGAGCGCTTGCATTTTGCAAGTTGAAACTCTTCTTCTTCGGCCATCTCGAGCCATATGGGATAGCATCGGGGCGAGGGCCGGTAACGCTTCGCATTCAGAAGAGCGGACTCCGTATATAAGCGTTGCATACTGGACACTAGGGTGGTCGGATGCCAGCCATAACGATGATTTCGCTATTTTCAAGAGGAGTCTTGACACTGTTCATCACCTCTGCGCTCACGGTCGCTCAGGTGATTGTTCCTGGTGCGACTTGGACCGATACGAGTGGGAATGTTATTCAGGCTCATGGTGGTGGGATTCTCAAAGTACGCCTGAGTCGCCACCTGTCTCGTCCCGTGTACGCCATGCTGACCACTTTCATTGCTAATTAGGTCGGGAGCACTTACTATTGGTTCGGAGAGGACAAGTCGGCCAACAGTGCACTGTTCAAAGCCGTATCGTGCTACTCGGTAAGAAGGATGGCCTCAGAACTGAGCCTATCTGCCAGGACTGAAATCTCAACCTTGTTGTGTCTGTAGTCGACGGATTTGGTGAGCTGGGCACGCCAGAATGATGCACTCACGCCGATCAATGGCACCATGATCTCGGCGTCCGATATCGTAGAGAGGCCCAAAGGTACGTGTGCAGATAACCTCTCAGAACAAACCTTGAGTTATTGTTCGTGACAGTCTTGTACAATGCCAAGGTGAGAACCTCGCCATTGGACATGTTGTTGATCGCCTCATGGCTCTTTCTCTCTCTAGAACTCCGAATACGTGATGTGGTTCCATTCAGACACAAGCAAGTGAGAACCAAATCAGCATCATCGTCACTGTGGATACTGAAGGTTCTGTAGCTATGGTGCGGCTATGGTCGGAGTTGCTACAGCCAACTCACCGTGTGGTCCTTACACCTACAAGTCAAGCTGGCAACCTCTTGGCAAAGAATCGCGTGACATGGGCTTATTTCAAGACGGTGTGTGTTCAGATTGTGGTGATACATAGATTGATTCGAATGTGTCACGACGAAATAATTAGATGACAGTAAGCATGTTTCGCTCCGCCGCAAACGGTAAACTTAACAGATCATATAGCTGCGCAGACATCATATCTTCTCTATGCGTCCGACAATAATCAGAACTTCAAGATAACCCAATTGGATGCTGATTATTACAATGTGACGACACAAGTAAACGTCCTCACAGGTATGTTTTGCAGGAATTCTTTGGGCAATGATAAATAAACGTTCTATTTCTTTCAAGGTGCTACTCTGGAAGCTCCCGGTATTGTGAAAAGGGACGGTGTGCGTGAAATCAATTAGAAAGGTCGCTATTCTGTGGCTGATCATTTTCACGGATGTAACAGGTCTACTACCTCTTTGCCTCCCACACAAGCGGCTGGGATCCCAATCCTAATAAATTCTTCTCTTCGCCGGTAAGGAACTCATGATCCGCAGGACCACTATACCTTCGCACTCACACCCTGCACTGCAGTCTCTATCTGGCAATTGGTCTTCCCAGGCGGATATTGCACCTTCGAACACGCGCACCTGGTTTTCTCAGAACAACTATGATCTGCCCCTTGGATCTAATGCGATTTACATGGGCGACCGGTGGCGTCCCAGCCTACTCGGTAGCAGCCGGTACATATGGTACCCGCTCGATTGGTCGAGTGGTAGCCCACAGATCGTACATGCCGATGTCTGGAAAGTCAACCTCGGTGCTGGTCAGTCGCAGATTGACAGATAGTCGATGTTCTTTAAAATTGATGCCGGTCGCAGGCACTTATTCTACTGTCAACGGGACCAGCTACGAGGCTGAGAACGGTACACTGGGTGGGGCCGCAGTGTTGTTCTCGGATCCTTCGTTCTCCGGGGGTGGGGCTGTCGGGTACCTTGGTGGGTCGTGCTATTGTTCGCTCAGAAAAACGATGATGAACGTTTCTTTGATCAGGGAACGGTGGGACTGTGACGCTCAATAATGTCCAAGGCACTGGAGCGGCTCAATGGGTGGCTCTGTATTACGCTAACGGTGATTCTTCTTGGAGAAACACGACGGTCAGGTGCGTTTGCGCTGTCACTTGTGGCACCTGGGCTATTGATCGAACGTTTTGGTTAGTGTGAACAGCGGATCGAGCGTCGTTGTTGACCAGCCTAACACCGGCGGCACTCACGTCATCATCAGTGTTCCCGTGAAGTTGACCTTGCGGCCCGGCAGTAACTCGATCACATTCGGCTCTGCTGGCACCAGTAAGCATCTATCCATCTATACAATCTTGTGTTGACCATAGTCTACAGACTATGCTGCTGATCTTGACAGGATCGTCGTGTACCCTAACTAGACTCCAAACAGCCCCCGTAGCATGTATGGTGTTGCGATACTCGTGTTCAATTTTCAAGATGACATTCGTAGTACGATTCATCTCGATGCCTCGCATCTTGAAGCATAAAAGACAAACCAAGCCGACGGACAAGCGTGCGGCAATTGAAAGCCAGAACACTACGGAGAAAGGGCCTCTGTGGTTCAGAAACAATGGCAATGGAGTTCCATTCAAAGTAAATTAATATAAGTACAGTTGAGTGCGCTCCACATTCCGCTCATTTGTAGCGATCGACAGCAAGCAATTTTTCAATGGGTATCCGTGCTATAGGCAAAAGCCTTCGACGCTCTCAATTCTCCTGCGGGCGATAATGTATCATATTGGGGAACGGCTCGTAGACCGACTGTTTGACAAATGGTGTGAGGACCAGCACTGTCAAAGTGGGCAGAAGAAGAGAAGCGCTCACGTCACGGTACAAGCCTTGGATCTTCATCCGTACCAGACACTTGCCTGACACACTCTTGCCCTTTTCACCCATCCACACGTCCCATAGCCAGTTGCCCTGCTTCACATGTCGCTCCATATGTTCGCGCACAATATCCCAACCTCTGCCGTCGTAGTGCAGGCCGAGGACACGCACTAGGCGCTGTAAGTGGTTGTGCACGAGCGTATGGTACAGCTTCTTCGCGGCCTCCTCGCGCGTGCCCGTGACGACACAATGCTCCGGAAGGAATTCGAAAGGCGCGCCGATGGAGGCGGCCAGAGAAGGCGGGTGCACGCGCAATCCACCGAGATCACGTAAGACGAAGCCAATGATTTTGCCTGTGCTGCGCGAGACACGCATGAGCGTGTTCTGTGGGTGCGCTTCGAAGGCGAGGCCGTCAAACAACAGCGGAGGGAGGACTGCGTCCACTAGGGTGCGAGCGTAACTGGTGAAGCACTGTAAGCATATTTTTCCAAATGGAAAAAGTCGGTGTACGAACTCATCGAAGAAACTGAGCCGCTTTTCATCCGTGGTCAGGTCAAAAATGTGTTGCACTACGGAGACGCCGCTCGGCACGTTGCAGTGGCCAGTCTCCGACAACGCCGCACATATGATCACCGCTTCGTCCTCCTTTGGAACATATGGGCTTCGCAGGACGGCTGTGAAGTGCTTCACGGTGTCAGGGCTGATCGCGTTCCCCGCTGCGTCCCGCATACAAATTGCGCTGGCGGTCTCGCGTTCAAGATGAAGGATATCGCTGTCTATATGGAGCTTAGAGATGATATCCGAGAACCGAGGGCCCAAGTTCGCCGTGAAATGCGAGATTGTCCTCAATGCGGAGGAGACAGTGATGCCGACGGCGAGTTTGAGTGCCAAGTGTGGTGCCTCGGGGATCACGACCGTTCTAGAACGGAGAGGGTAACGAATTCGTCAGCTCTCTTTGCCTTTACGCTCGTGTTGGAAAATCGTACCGGATGCTGGCCTGACCAAGAGCCTCCAAGCTGAATGTCTCGTCCAGCATTTCGATGCCGTCGAATTTCGCTTGCAGATTCGCCACCTGCAGATCGTAGACGGGCATGATCACGCGGCCGTCCGCGCCCTCGAGGGGCCATTTTGTGCCGCTTCGGGCTGCGGCGATTTGAGCGAGCGCAGTGATCTCCTGCTCAAAAGGGCCAAGAACGTCGACGCGCTCGCGCGGAATGAGCGCAAAACGGATGCGAGGATGATACCAGTCCCTCGTCTCTGGTGTCAGGGACGGCAGGGGGGCGAGTGTGCGGCGCGCGCGATGCATCTGTCCAATAACGTTAATACACTATTCACTGACGCAACCGGCGGCAACACCGACGCTAGATTTGACTTACCGGATGCGTTGGGTGGCCCTCTACCAAGCATTGCTCCCATTCAATGGACGGGGAAGACAGCATTGGGCAGCGTGGAGGATTTTGATAGACAGCCCCTGTGATATAATGAGGTGAATACGGTAAACAGAACTTTCAGGGAGAAATGAGCTTACTTTGCCAGACATAGGAGCTCGATATTTCTCCGGCAATGCTTGCACGGAGGTCGTCTCCCATCATGATTGTATCAGCAAACTTGCCCCACCAGTGTAGAGGATCCAGGGCTTGAAAAAGCGACGTGAAGGTACCTAGCTCCCAAGGAGGGGGTGCAAGGCTAGACAGTATGGCCGTGCGCAGGTCGTTCTACGAAACGAAATTTGTGAGTGTCATGGTCGTTGTAGATGATATATGGCCTACGTTTAGGGGGTCACTGGGCTGGCGGTCCCGAAGCTCGTACACTGAAGGTAGCATGTCGAGCGGGTCCAGAAGCCATACAGGCCTACCATGGACACCTTTTTCGCTCTTGAACACAGGAGCATGATGGAGGGGAATGACGGCGAAGACATCAGATGGTCTGAGGGACCGCTCGAGCACAGAACGCTCGCCGATGACATGGGTAGAGAGGATGACACAGACACCAGCAGCGTGTTCTGCATCAACAGGGACGTAGAACGCCCGGAGCAGATTCTCGGTGACGATGGAGGCAAGGAGGCGTGAGGTGACCGCAAAGGCGGCTCTGTCGGCGGGCGCGAGGATTGCAACGGCCGAGGCCGTCGACAGTCCGGATCCCGTGCGCAGTCCGACATAATCTTTCTTGAAAGTCAGTGCATCGAGCGCGAGCATGGCCTTCTGGGGGCTGAGGTGAGCAGCGGGAAAGGGGTTGGAGATAATGACGGTCATTGCGAGGGGTGTCTATGAGAGCAGCGGGCGTAGAGCTGAGGTACAAGACAGGGGGAGCCTGGAGTGATGTGATGGCGACGAATAAATGATATGGGTGACGAACGTGGGTCGTCGGATGAAAGGTGGAGGCACAGGAGGCGAGGATAGGTGGCGAGCATGGGTCGAGCAGAGGGGGTAATTATACATCTGGACTGGAGAACATCGATCCGCCATGGTGCCCGCGCAAATCTCAGATGGTCGCGACTTCCCATCTGATAAGATTCCATCTTATCTGTTCGCCCCGCGATTGATCATCTTTCCCACCGGCTCTCGCTTAGATCACGCGCTGTCCCTCCTTGGCCCCCGTCGTCCACCGTTTCTTAGCTCCGTCTCTTCCTCTTTTCTCCGCCTCTCGTCACTCGTGCTTCCACACGTTGACGCATCAATCAGAACCTGCCTGCGCATTATCACATTCCTTTCGGCGCGAGACTGTCAAGGGTTGACATCGTCCCTTACCGACCAGTAACAATGTGCAGTCAGATGAGAAAGTAGCATCGAGTCTCACACCACCCTCGCCCACAGTTTGTGTTTCCCTCGTAATTTTACCTCTTTTGCATTACTGTGAACTTTGCAGTCCTACGATCGTCGCACTGCGCCCAGTCCCGTGGACACGGTAGTGCGCCATTCACCTTCTTCTCCTTGCGTCATTTCCAACAAGGGGTGCGCGCGGTGCTCCAACGGTCTTTTCTCACTAGTCCGCCGCCACGGTAAGGTGCTTACACGTCGATGCGGCAGATCTAAGCGTTCCTGCCCTCCGGCAATACGGTCACCTCAGGTCCTAGCCGGTGAGTACTCAGAACCTCGATGGAGTCTACGGAGCTCCATCATCTATTCCCGCCGTGCCTGTTGTTTGCATGATGAAACTTTGATGAAAATGTCCAACTTGACAGTGTTAAGTGTCTCAGGCCTCATGGCCCATCGGTCTCGGTCTTCGTGCTGCATCAGAACTCACTCTCGCGGAAAATGAACCCACCCCTGAACAAACGTGGACCTACGTGGACAAGGCCTTGTTTGAAGGACACTTTTGACCCTGCTTCTTTACATCGCTACGCCCGAGATCACCTTACGCCGCTTTTCTGACAAGCGACCAGATCGTACACGACATCCCGACTCCATCGATCGTCGTGTTTTAATTCAAAGTCTGCCAAGCCCTCTGGATCGGGTGGCCGCCGTAAACTACCGAGCTTAAACGCGATGTTCCGATTAAGAGTTTGAGTTCTAGCTCACACCCGAAGTAAGCGCAGCATTTGGAAACAAAATTCCGCTGGAGTCTTCTAATGGTGACCCACTAGCAACTGTTCTTGTTTCCGATTCGCCAAGAGGAATAATCACAGAAATTTCTTCTGAATTCTCGAGCTATGATGCCTATTGGCCTCCATGAGCGTTCATTCTGCATGGGCCATCACCACCTCCCAATTCTGAGATGTCAATGAGGGTCCATAGCACCATCATCTTTTCCAATGAGCGTTTCTGTCAGATTAAGGCGCTCGGTCGGGTTGCAGCACTCCGTCTTGCCCGATCGGGAACGAATTATGACGTCCGCGACCATCCGCTACAACGCCTTCGGCAACTCGCAGCGTCTGTTGGCTCCACTTTCTCGTTTGGCAAGAAGACTCTCTAGCACTCCGTTTCTTCTCAGGAAGCCTATCCGTTGTTCAAACTACCTACACACAGTAGAATCCTTATGCCAAGCATACTACTGTATCCGATTACAAAGAGGACGAATCCTGTCGTAAGCTGAGTGGATGAAATTCTCTTTCGTCACGATTGAAGTTACTCCAATTCTCCTCACAAGTTACGCCGACGCCTCTTCCTCCGCGCTTGTATAGTGAAGAAGGTTAGGAAAGGGGTAGTGGAGATGCTGTGGACCAGAGATCGTTAGTTCCGGTCGAAGAGACAGCAGACGAATAAGGATGCTGACGTGTCTGTACATCCCAACCATTCTCATCCTCATGAAGCACTTTCCGGGTACCGTCTTCGCGTCCTTGTCCAACCACGCCTTTTCAAACGGATGGCCAATGGGCACAGCCTCTCTCAAGCGCTCCCTAACCACGGCCCATCCCTTACCGTTGTAATGCAGTCCAAGTACACGTACGAGCTGCTGGAAGTGGTTGTGCACGACGGTGTGATACATGCGCGCGTACACATCGTCAAGCGAGTCCGCGATGATCGAGTGCCCGGACGCGATGTCAGGCGAGACCCCCGTGGACGCGAGCAGAGTCGGCGGGTGCACACGCAGGCCGCCAAAGTCACGGATCACGAACCCCGTCAAGCGAGGTGGTTCCGTCAACGTGTAGCGCGCGAGCGTATTCTGGGGATGCGCCTCGAATCCAACACCGTTTTCGAGCATGGGTGGGAGGAAGGCCGCGAAGAAGACGCGCACGAACCTGTGTAGACCGGCGGAGAACTCAGCATTTGTAAATGGGCGGAATTAGAGGTGGCCGTGACGAATAGAAGGAGGTGTGTACTGGGAAACTGGGGTGGAGGGAGGAGCGCCAAGAGTGGGGAAGAAGGTGGGAGGAGGTGTGACGTACTCGTCGAGCCAAGCGATGCGCTTCGCTTCGGTGTCCAGTTTGAAGACGCGGACGACGCTTGGGACGCCGTAGGGCGCGTCCGCGTGGCCGCTCTCGACGAGTGCCGTGCAGACGATGAGACGCTCGTCACCGCGCTCTTCGCTCACATATTCGTGGCACTCGCGCACGATCGTAGCGCAGTGCTTCGCGATCTCCCCGTTAGGATGAGTATGCACGACGCTCGCGAGCTCTCGCGCGACTGTCAAAATACTTCGATCAATCTTCAGCACCGGGACGACTTGCGAGGAGAAGCGAGGGCCGAGGTATGCGGAGGCTGGGGAGATCGTGCGGATGGCGGACGTCAGTTTGATCCCGACGCCAAGCTTGAGCGACGTATCCGTGAGTGTTCCCGGTAGGATCATAGACCTATATTCGTTCACATCAACAAATACAAAGGCGTTGTGACGGAGAAGGCAATACCGTATGCTCTGTTGTGCGCGTGCAGCTACGCTGAACTCCTCGGGAAATATTTTGGCTTCCTGAAATTTGTCCTGGATGTGATGCACCTGCAGCTCATGGACGGGCACGACGACAAATCCCTCGGGTACCTCAAGCGGCTTTTGCGCGTTCCTTGCAGCGCCGTCGAGTATGTCTTGCGTGTATTTCTCGAAGTCGCCGGTGATATCCAGGCTCGTTCGAGGAAGGGCAATGAGCCGAACACGCGGAGTGTACAGGTCGTAGCTCCCAGGCGTGATCGGCGTGATGGGAGGTAAGAAAGCCCGTGTTTTGTGCATCTGTGAACCGTGAGATGTTGTCGGAGATGTACGAGATAAATGAGCAGACATACGGGGTGCGTAGGGTGACCTTCGACGATGGATTGTTCCCAATCGATGCTCTGGGAATCGAGGGACGGAGCCCGAGGAGGGTGCTCGTAGGAGTAAGTCTGCCATACGACAGAGTTGGCGAGCTCCTCGGCGATGTCGACGCGTAGATCGGCCTCAAGGTCGATGTTGAGAGCGAATTTGTCCCACAGTGAGACCGGACTCGTAGACACGACAAGCCTCGTTGCGTCTGAGAGCTTCCATCCAGGTCCGGAAAGCTTGCGCAATATCGCAGTTGATAGATCTGCGTGCTGCGCGACATGTAAAATCAGTCAGAAAAATTCGACGCGTCTCCAAGGGGGGGAAGGGTACCTCAGGATCGAGCGTCCCATTATTGGACCCGGAAATTTCGAAGACCAACGGTAGCATGTCGAGGGGATCTAACAATCCGATCTCGCGCGCTCGAGGGTCAGAGGAGTCATGCTTGAACATGGGGGCGTGTCGCAGCGGAATCACGGCGAGCACGTCATCTGACGCATACACCGGACATTCCTTGGGAGACTTTGCGGAAGTGTTACCGGAGAGAATGATGGTGATGCCGGTCGCCTCGAAGCCAGCGAGAGGGAAGTAGAGGGCGCGAACGAGGGACTCGGTGACGAGGCAGGAGAAGAGACGCGCAGTGGTAGCGAAGGCAGCGCGCTCAGACGGGGGAAGCGAGGAGAGTGAGGGCATTGTGGGTGGTTGGGATGGGCGTGAAAGCGGGCACGAACGGCATGACTTTCAAGAGAGAGAGATGGCGAGCGCGACTCGCGATCAGAACAATCATATCAGATAAGATGGTTATCGTGCTTCGACTTCTGATCAGGGCCAGTAGGACGAGGCCACGGCTGGCGACGCGCCAGGGTGGCGGGCTGGCTTGGCGGGGAAAGGCAGTTTCAGCCACGCTGTGAGCGCGCAAGGAATGCGACCACTGTTCTTTCCACAGCTCCTCTTCCGAATCACACAGCCTATACGTTTTCTCACTCGGACCTTATCGCCCCATTTTCAGATTCATCGCACCATCTGCTCCCCAATCGCTCCCCAGATCCCCCTCTCATGCCCTAGAAGCCTCATGATCTCCTCCCCCAGCTACCGGTGTGGTCTCCTCAACGGTTTTCTCCGAATGGCGCCAGTTCACTCCCTCGTGTCAACATCACAACGTTACCCGGCTTAGACGGGCCTTCTGCGGCGCGGTTCCTGCTATGTTTGTTCGGGGAGGATGATTTGACGTGCCGTACATCACCATGCATTTTTCGATTACGCGAATCTACTTTTCCACTACTTTCTTTACTTAAGTTCGAGACGCTCGGAGGGCCGCGCCCTACCCTTGCTATCGACGACTTAGTCCTCCCCACCCATCCCTCTCCTTTTAAATTATCGCGAATGGAGGAGAAAAAAGGCAACTCTGCTCCGACAGAGCCCATCCACGAGACCACTCCTCAGGTTCACCTGGCTGCCGGTGTGCAGCGCGCCAGATTCCGTGGCCATTGGTGGCAACTATGGTGAGTTGATTGTCATGTAGTCGATCGTGATGACACGCACGAAGTGCCGGCGATTGATCGTTCTTCTCAGGCTACCGAAAGATCCCCCATCCCCGGCTCCCTTGTCTTTCGACGAAGCAAAAGTGCGTACTCAATTCAGGCTTTCTCACTTACTTGTCCCGATAGAAGATCTTAACCACGCGCACAGTTCATTCCACTCGCGAACGCGTCTCTTCTTTCCCAATTGACCTACGCATGGATTACCGACATCATGGTGCTTCTTCATAGTGATCTCCTTTAATGCTTCTGGCTTCTGACTCAGCCATGTCTAGGTCCTTGGCTATCAGCGGACACTTCAAGCGACAGATCTTTGGAAACTTGATGAGTCTCGACAAGTTCACGGTCTGTCCGAAAAGCTCGACCAGGCATGGTTCCGACGTATGCAGGAAGCTAATGAGTGGAACGCGCGCCTGGCGACTGGGGAAATCAATGCGAGTTTATTGAAGCGTTCGCTTTGGAATGCGCGCGCGCTGGCGAGCGGACGGGGGAGGCAGAAGCGCCGCGCGAGTCTGGAGGCGGGTTGGAGAGAGAGTGCTGGTAGGAAGGAGGCGAGCCTGGCATGGGCGCTGAATGATACTTTCGGGTGGTCATTCTGGGTTGGCGGGCTGTTTAAGGTACTTGATCCCCTTTTGACTTGGAAGGCTTGATCCGATTTCTCTGTGCAGGTGACGGGTGATGTTATGCAGTTGATGGGCCCTTTACTTGTCAAAGTATGTTTGGTGACTTGTCTCCTAATCTGACCCTAACCCCAATCCCTCAGGCGATCATTAACTTTGGAAAAGAAGCCCTTGCTGCGAAGGATGCTGGCGAGAAGCCGCCCAACATTGGACGAGGGGTCGGGATGGCGCTCGGCCTGTTCTTCCTTACAGCTCTTACGAGCGTCTGTCAGCACCAGGTGATCTTTCGTGATCTCCTCTGGAACGCCCTCTGGATTGTTGTTCAATGGTATTAACTTAAAATCTGCTTTGGTATCAACTTGCAGTTCTTCTGGCGCTCGATGACAACCGGTGTCCTAGCCCGTGGCGCACTGACATCGTCTATTTACAAGCGCGGTGTGCTCTTTACGCCAAAATCGCGGACACAGTTCTCTAATGCTGAGATCGTCAATCATATATCGTCCGATGTGAGTTTCGGAGTTTTGGGTCACGCCTGGGATAAGGGCGCAATGCTAATGCCATTCTTCCTTCCAGATTAGCCGCGTTGACGCGTGCGCGCAGTGGTTCGTGAGTGCTATTTTCTTCGAAAACCAGTTGCCGGAAAGTTAACAGATTCTGTGTTGGTGTCGCCCTTAGCATGCTGGTTTGTCATTTCTGCTTGATTGCGATTGTTCGAGCTTGTTCTGACTTCCGATATTAGCGTGGACTGCGCCAATTCAAGTCACAGTCTGCCTTATGATTCTTTTGGTCCAGGTCAGCCCTATCTTCATTGTTTCAGTTTTAATTCTTATATATCACCATCCGCAACTAGCTCGGCCCCTCCGCCTTAGCAGGCTTCTCCCTTTTCTTGTTTATAGCTCCCCTTCAGCAACGTGTCATGGCGATGCAATTCAGGATTCGAAAGGAGTCGATGAAGTGGACGGACCGCAGGGCCCGATTACTTCTCGAAGTTCTGGGTAAGTGTCTTTGAACATCGACATGCGCACTTTCTAAATATGCGACTTACACGATAAGGCGCCATGCGCGTGGTAAAGTACTTCACGTACGAGACGCCATTCTTACAGCGTATTTTTGACACGCGAAAGAATGAGCTGAAGGGCGTGCGTAAGATCCAGTTCGCTCGCTCTGCGAAGTAAGTTTGGATGTTGGATTTAGAGGAATGCTAACTTACGTTTGTATTATTTCTATGCGCACCGGTGATGATCTAGCATCGCGTTCGCCTACTCCATTCCTGTGCTCGCGGCCAGCTTGTCATTCATTACTTACACGCTCACTAACAATTCCTTTGACCCCGCTGTCATATTCTCGTCCTTCAGTCTCTTTCAGGTAGATATCATACTCAACTCGTTCTGTGAGAGTGCTCATGGTGCATCGATTCAGCTCCTCCGCCAACCTATGATGTTCCTGCCACGGGCGCTCTCTGCCATTACAGACGCCAATAACGCGCTCGTTCGCGTTGCGCATCTCTTTCACGCCGAGACGATACCCGAGGCTCCGATCGCTGTGGACACTGACCAGGAACTCGGACTTCACGTTGAAAACGCGACCTTCGAGTGGGAGGAAGCTCGGGCTATCGAAGAAGATGCGAACGGCAAGGACGGCAAGGGACACGATGGCAGTGATTCCTCGACAGAGACACTACCTGTCCAGAGGAGGCCGTTCCAGGTACGAAGTGTCTCAATGGATGTCCCTAGGGGCGCCCTTATTGCAGTCGTGGGCCCTGTTGGCAGCGGCAAGGTACGGGTTTTGCAGAAAGAAATTCATTGTGCTGCAAATCAAGTAATTGTCTGGGTGTGCAGTCGAGTTTGCTGCAAGGCTTGATCGGGGAGATGAGGGCTGTCAGCGGGAAGGTCTCGTTTGGTGGTCGAGTCGGTTATTGTCCGCAGACCGCCTGGGTCCAGAATGCTACTCTTGTGAGCCCATTTTGTATCTTTACATTATTCGAAGAATGTGCTGACTCTTTTATCAGCGAGACAACATTCTGTTTGGACAGCCATTCGATGAGGATAAATATTGGAAAGTACTCGAGCACTCATGCTTGTTACCAGATCTCGATGTACTTCCTGCCGGAGACATGACTGAGGTCAGTTTAATTCTGCACATTCGAATATGCATCACACCGATCCATGTTCCTTTACAGATCGGGGAAAAGGGTATTAATCTGAGCGGTGGCCAGAAGCAACGGGCGAGTCTAAGCTCCTATCAATGTTCTCTCTCTCTCGGCTGATCGATGTACTGTAGGTAAATATTGCTCGTGCTCTGTATTTCGACGCCGACATCGTCCTTTTTGATGATCCTCTCTCGGCTGGTAAGTGGGCTCATTCTTTTCTATTCAATCTGCTTATATGAGAACTAGTTGATGCACACGTCGGACGTTCACTTTTTATAAACGCGATTCTCGGCGCCTTACGAGGCCGCGGCAAGACGGTGATCCTCGTCACGCACGCGCTACACTTCCTCCCGCAATGTGATTACATATATGCGCTGAACGGTGGGTATGTCGCGGAACAAGGGACGTACGATGAGCTCGTCAGTCGTGGTGGCGAGTTCGCTCGGCTAGACAGGGAATTTGGTGGCGGCGGGGAGACTGATCAGCAAGAGGGTCATGGCGGGAACGTGGACAGTAGCGTGGATATCGCCCAGTTGAAGAGGGAATTGGCCGAAAAAGGCGATGTAAAGAATGGTAAATTGGAAGGGAGACTCATAGTTGCTGAGACGAGGGAGACGGGTTCTGTTCCTTGGCGAAGTATAACTTTCACCTCCATGATGATTGCTAGCAATGCTAACATCGTGCTTGGTCTTCTCAGTCAACTGGACCTATCTCATGGCGGGCAATGGTCGCGTGACTGGCCCACTAATCATTCTTTTTATGATCCTCATGCAAGGGAGCCAAATCATGAACTCATATACCTTAGTGTGGTGGCCAGCTAAGTGCGTACTTAAAATTGAAAACAGGATATCTAACTAAGGCCGCTCCGCAGTCAGTTTGATCGTCCGTCTTCCTTCTACCAAATACTTTACGCTGGTCTTGGTGTCTCGCAAACGCTTTTCACCCTTGCTCTGTACGGTTGTCCACGGCTTCTCCTTTGAACACTCTGTGCCTGACAATTTGCATAGGGGTCTTTCCATGGACATGCTAGCCTTCTTCGTCTCCCAGAACTTGCATAGCGATGCTCTGAACAAAATATTCTTCGCTCCAATGTCATTCTTTGATACCAGAGTAAGTCTGTCTCTTTCAGATCACGACTTTTCTAATTATACTCGTAGCCTTTAGGTCGAATCGTCAATGTATTTGGAAAAGACTTCGACTGTACGTATCGGCTCATAACCAAGAGGCAGGCAGGCTGATGCATCATCATCCCGTAGCAATCGACAATCAGCTCCCTGGTATGCACGGCTATCTTCTCACTGCGTCCCAAGCTGATTTCTAGCGTGCACTCAGTATCTATGCGGCTATGTGAGCGGAGCATGACCCTTTATGTGCTATAATATTTACAAATCCCGCGTAGTTGCAATCACTCTCGCTAACGTGCTGGGCGCCATCATCATTATCACTATCTTGGAGCACTATTTCAGTAAGCTTTGCTTGCTCACAACATTCCCCGCGGAATAGCTTATCTTGCGCAGTTATTGCTGCCGCCGCCATCTGCGTTGGCTATGGCTATTTTGCAGGATTCTATCGAGAAAGTGCACGGGAACTCAAGCGACTAGGTAAGTGTCCTCTGTTTTCTGTTTTCTGTTTAGTAAACAAATATGGCCATAGATGCTATGCTGCGTTCTCTTCTTTACGCTCACTTCTCGGAGTCCTTGACTGGGCTCTCGACCATACGGAGCTATGGCGAGTTGCCCCGGTTCATACGTGATAATAAGTATTATATCGACTTGGAAAATCGTGCACTATTCTTGACTGTGACGAACCAAAGGCGACGATATTTTCTCTTCACAGTTGCCTGCCTCTGATTAGCAGTTTCCAACAGATGGCTTGCAATTCGACTCGATTTTCTCGGTGCTATAGTGGTCTTTGTAGTCAGTCACCCGCCTACTTTCTAGTCTCTCCTTCTCGGCTTTATACAATCCAGGTTGCTCTCTTTGCTGTTGTCGGTGTCTCTGCATTGAATGCTGCCCAAATTGGTCTCGTTCTGACCTACACCAGTGAGTTTCAAGACAAACCCGGACTACACTGCTCGCTGATTTCCTTCATAGCGACGCTAACGCAACTTTGCAGCTTGCTCACGCGCCAATCTGCTGAGGTCGAAGTAAGCGAAATCGTGTTCCTTTCCCTTGAATTCTCTTGATCGGGCCACGATTCATAGAACTACATGAGTGCCGTAGAGAGAGGTAGGTCTATCCGAGACTTATGAAAGGAAAGAATTAATGCTAATGCTAGCGACTAACTCACAGTGGTACATTATAGTGAAGACGATGAAGTCCCCCGAGAAGCAGCTTATGAAAAAACGGATACCCAGGCACCGTCCACATGGCCCTCGCTGGGGGCTGTTGAATTCCAAAACGTAGTCATGAGTTACAGACCAGGTTTGCCCAACGTCCTTCGCGGAGTCTCGCTGAATGTCAAAGGCGGTGAGAAAATCGGCGTGGTCGGCAGGTAAGTAATTCAACTCATATATGGATAATGCTGACGATGGAGAGCAGGACGGGAGCCGGAAAATCATCGTTGATGATGGCATTATTTCGCATCGTTGAACTCAACTCAGGGTCGATTAGTATTGACGGGTGAGGAATTCTTGTAAGTTTACCGGCCGTGCACCACCAACACTCCTTCCAGAATCGATATCTCGACTCTTGGGCTTAGACAGTTGCGTTCAAAAATATCCATTATTCCTCAGGAAGTGAGTAACGCATCATGCTGATGTTTAATTGTCACTGAGTCATTCATCTTGGCCATACACAGCCACTTCTATTCAGTGGTACGTTTGAATGAAATTACGCTGCCCCAATTTAGGACTCACGTAGTGATATCTCAGGAACCGTCCGATCCAATCTAGACCCGTTCTCTCTGTATGATGATGCACTCTTGTGGGATGCGCTTCGCAGATCATATTTGGTCACGTCGAGCAACTACAGCTCTGTAGAGAATGTGTCAACAGGAGAAAGCACTCTCGCTTGTGTCAGTCGGATTGACTTGGACACAGTGATTGAGAGCGAGGGCGCCAATCTCAGCGTTGGCGAACGGTCTCTTCTCAGCCTTGCTCGCGCTTTGGTGAAAGACAGTCAAGTAGTCGTGCTGGACGAGGCGACGTAGGCTTCTTCACCTCTTACAGTGTTCCTGTAATTGACTATTATATGCACAGTGCGTCAGTGGACTTGGAAACTGATAGCAAAATCCAGAGAACAATTCAGACGCAGTTCCACGATCGCACGCTCCTGTGTATAGCTCGTATGATATTTTGACCATGATTACACCGTAGTCGAAAGCTAACCTCGTGTCAGATCGCTTGAGAACAATCATATCTTATGACCGCATCTTGGTTCTCAACGAAGGACAGGTCGCGGTATGTTCCGCTTACCGTTCTCCATCCTTCTGATGACAGAATTACTCATTCAAATATTTTCAACAGGAGTTTGACACGCCTATCAACTTGTGGGCAAAGGAAGATAGCATCTTCCGTGGGATGTGTGATCGAAGTAATATCACGCTGGAAGAAATAGAGAGGAGCGGTGAACTATTTCTGGCAGACTTAGTAGTATGAGCTCTTCCTCCGTCTCGAACCAAAAGGAGAAGGATATCCAGTATATTGCATCGACTTCAGCCCACAAACTATGAGCGCAACGGCGTTTTGAGCCATCGTCTGAAAGGTCTACAGCCAAAATCGGTTGATAAGATATTAACTTACCATATTCAGACATCATTGACACTCCGCCGGCTGCGACGCATGTTGAACTTACTTTCGCCTTCTTACTTTACACGGGTACTGAATCATCTGAGCCCTGATGATGTGGTCGGGCCGTTGCATACATTTGGCTAACAAGCTACTATGAATTTGCCTCGTGTTCTCGCGCGTAGTCATCATTCCACAACTCTAAAAGACTGAGTCGTGAAGTCTCTTTAAAGGTAAGTCACCTTTAACGCCAATGCTTCTAGTTCGTTACACCAAAATTTAGTTCAGAAAACTCACGAATACATCGTATGACCTCAACGGCGTAATCGGTGACTTGGTATCCCGAATGTGTGTGCACCAGTGAAGACCGTCAATCTCACGACGCTTTTTCTCAAAGTCAGCCGAACTCCCATTACCCAATGAGCGGAACGAAGCGATCGAATATAGATGATAACATCGGGTCCGAAAGCGCGGAGGAACATTCCAAGCTTTTTTGTAGCTCTTGTCTTCGCGGCCATCGACTGCTTCTCGGCCGTTGAAGGAGCTAATTTCTCATCAGCTCGCCGGTAAGCGGCGTTCTTCCCCTCTGTTCCTGGGAAATATCTTGCGTTCCCCGATCATACTTACCACTCCACAGGAAACATACCACGGACTGTGACATCCTTCTCTGACTTGGCGAGGCACAGCACCACCAGGTGAGAGGGCGGAACCACTCGGTTGGGAGCGATTACTCCTTGAATCGTAACTCAAATTCAGTCTTGCATCCCACGCGTAGGCGTGGTCACCCACGACCCGTTGGAGCTCAATGTTCCGGCGTCGGGACAGCATAATCTGCTCGTGAATGATGTTCGTATAGAAGGTATAAAAGGTAGAGGGATTTTCGATGTCCTCTTCTGTGTCTATATCCTTGGTACTCCTTGAGACATGGCGCGTCTCGCTTCTATAACTATCCTAGGCCTGATATTCTCTCCTGCAGTTTGGGCAGTGACGCGACATTTCAACCTCACAATCGGCAATAAGGTCATTGCACCCGATGGCTTTGACCGAAGGTGACTTACTTCAGTCAGGCTCTGATTCTGTACTTGATTTGACCTGTGTCCTTGCAGTTCCATCGTGGTCAACGGCATATTTCCTGGACCAGGTATGCCAGTAGTCCCATCTGTACTGAACGTTAAGTCATATCTTGTTCAGTCTTGACAGCCTCCAAAGGCGACGATATGGCGGTTCGTACTATGGCCTCGCAAAGTTAACTTGCCTTTCTCCAACTACGCATCTATATAGATCAGCGTCCATAACGAATTAACTGATCCAACAATGCGGAGGAGTACATCTATCGTATGTGTTGGTACCCATCCGTCATACCATACCTGAAATTGGACCAACAGCACTGGCACGGCTTATTCCAAGCACGAACCTCAGGCATGGATGGCCCTTCGTGTGTAGCACCTTTGACAATTGGGAAATCTCACTTACTGTGCTATCTTTAGATTTGTCAACCAATGTCCGATTGCCCCGAACTCCACCTTCTTGTGTGTCGTGTGTTATGTAGACGACTGATGATACTGATTCTCGAGCAGATATCAATACCCATTGAATGAGCAGACTGGGTCATTTTGGTATCATTCTCACTTGTCGACCCAGTATTGTGACGGCTTGCGTGGGGCATTGATCATCTATGGTAAGCTTGAAGCCGTTGAATGTGATCACATACTCACTTTTCACAGATCCGAACGATCCCCTGAAATACCTGTACGATGTTGATGATGGTAAGATCTGTGTCGACAGTCAAAGGCTATCCCAGAATGACAGCTACACTTTCAGAGAGTACTATCATCACTCTCGCAGACTGGTACCACGATCAGGCTCCCGATGCCCAGAAGGGATTTTTCGAGACTGGAAAGGTCCCGTAAGTGAAGCAAATCATGATCCCTGCTCTAACTGATATAGTAGCTTGTAGGATTCCTGACGCCGGTTTGATCAATGGCGTTGGTAGATTTGTTGGCGGCCCAGAAGTCCCTTTCGCAGTCATCAACGTGGTACGCGGAAAACGTTACAGGTCTATCTTCTGATTGTCGATCATTACGCATCGACTGACAAGCTTTTAGATTGCGACTGATTCAAATAGCCTGCAGACCTTTTTTCACGTTCTCGGTGGACAACCACAACCTCACCGTAATTGAGCTCGATGGTGTAGAACACGACCCGGTTGAAGTGCAAAATGCAGATATCTATGCTGGTCAGTATCCACGCTCTATTTGTGTTTGATCGTGTTTGACCAAGCTGTTGTGCAGCCCAACGATTGTCCGTCATCCTGCACGCAAATCAACCGGTTGACAACTATTGGATCAGGGCACCGTGAGCGTTCATACCTGACGGGACAAAGAAACTTTCTAATGTGTGCATAGCGGTACTGGAGGTGTGGGGGGCCCAACAGGCAACCCGAACTGTGAGCTCATTCAGTCCAAACTTCGACTTGAATTCACTAACGAAAATTGCATCTGCATCCTAGTGGATGTCAGCCTGACGAAAGCTATCCTTCGCTACAAGGGGGCTCTGGCTATCGATCCCGTCACAAATTCTACACCGGGTTTGAAGATGAACGATGCAGACATGCACGTGAGCAATTTCAGAGTCTATCCATTTTGATTTCATAAGAAACTGGTTCTCGTCCAGCCAATTGCACAAGTGGGACCCGGAAATGTGAGCATTGCTTCGCTTAAGTATGTGACAAGGCTTGCTCACGACTTTGCGCCGTAGCTTGGAGATGGCCCCGCCGATTTTGCCATTACTCTCAGCATCTCACAGGTGATCTATTTCTATGTCTGCTATCTGATTATCAGAACTAAGACGGAACATAGCCAAACCCCCCTTTCTTTGACATTAATGGCATATCCTATGTGTCTCCTTCCGTTCCAGTGCTTCTCCAGATACTCAGCGGGGCTGCACAACCAACAGACTTCTTGCCTTCCGAGCAAGTAATAGTCCTACCCCCCAACAAGATAATTGAGGTATCTATTCCCGGCACAGGAGGTGTGAAAAACTGTCACATATCATCTAGAGACACTACTGATGATCTCGGTATACTTTAGCGCATCCTTTCCATTGTAAGTTGTTCGAGTTCCCTATCTTCCACTTTTGCTTACGGTAGAGTCTAGTGCATGGGCATACTTTCGACATTATAAGAGTATCAAATAGCGACGTCGTGAACTTAGTCAATCCCCCTCGTCGTGACGTCGTCCCCAGTAAGCGTTTCCGATTTCCAGTATCTTCCACCACTTACCTGTTAAACTTTCGGGACCTTTCTCAAGTTAACGGTGGTAACACAACTTTCCGCTTCTTCTCCGGAAATCCTGGTGCTTGGTTCTTGCATTGGTAAGCACTTGTTCATATGTTTGTGATCTGCAGATGTAATCTGATTCATCATAGCCACATTGACTGGCATCTGGAGGCTGGCCTGGCAGTCGTTTTCGGCGAAGACCCTGCCGGTAGTCTCACAGGGAATCAATCGCAAATTGTGCAACAAGATTGGTCGTACGTTTCCGATAATCTTCGATTATCCAGGTCATTCTTGACGTGAGATCCACAGCGCGCTTTGCCCTGAATATAACGGTTTGGCCCCCGAATTCCAGTGACTATTCAACATGGTCATGGACAGTGCACCTTTTTTCTTATTATGTATATTATTGTCTCGTCCGTGTATACCGTTCTTGCTAAGCAATGCCGTTTATTCTGGAAACCGCCGAGAAGTCAGTGCGTCGTGTTTACAAAAGACTTGGCTACAAGAAGTGAGCTCTTCAAATTAACATCATGATACACCAGCAATATGTTAGCGATACAATAGTGGGCAAGAAAGCAACATGTCAGACGTGTCAATCCACCTGGGCGAAACCAAGAAGTCAGCGGAAGTTCGTTAGTTGAGGAGCGCTTTCTAGTGGCGGCATCTGTCCCATCCAGCCGAACCCTACTAAGAACTTCAGGTAAAGATATACAGCCGTTGACGCGCGAGGTGCACTCACCGGGCATCATGTCCGACAAAGATGATATGGACTGCATCGATTGCAGAAACTCCAGCTCGAATGGCATTGGCTGCCGGAAAAAATCTGCGGCTGCCAGTCCCAGCCCATCCATTTCTCCCAGATATGAGGGCTGCATGTAAAGCTCCTGTCCCATAAAAGCCGAGGCATGATGATCGGATGACAGCGGTTGATGGGGAGGCTGTGGAGTATCCATTTGGATTGTGGCGGCCGCAGGTATGTTCTGCATTGCACTTGTCGGTGCTTCGGGCGCAGCTTGCGAGACTCTTGTCTTCGCTGCATTCCGCTGGGAAGATCGTCGCACAAGCGGAATAGGCGGCCGGTCTCTCACGCTGGCCAACAGTCCTCTGATAAAACGCGAATAGAGTCGCGGACCGTGTCGATCGTCGATGGCAATGTCTGGGGAGTCGAGAAAGTCTACGGCACGTTGCACTATGCCTGTGATCTCCTTCCGTCTGTCAGGAGTGATATAGCGAGTATATTTCGGTTGGAGCAGCTATGTTACACATAAGATATTGTCGTTGCAAACAATAAAATATAACCATACCTTGATCATAAATGTGCATCCGAATGTGACGAAGACCGTCTGGGCTTCTGGCCCATGCCGGAGGTAGATTCCTTCGATGATGATGAGTTATATTTTCGTTTCTAAGAAGAGTTGTTCATACTCTGACTCGGAATACCAATGTCGTCTACCACAGCGCTCACGACGTCAGAGGCAGCACGAATACACTTTAATTAAAATTAGTAGGTCAGGATCAAAAAAGCCGAGAACAAGAACGCGCGCACCCTGATCAAGAAGGGGTTGTCGTCGGCTTCATTCTTGCCAAAAGCATGTTGAAATCCGTAGGAAAGGGTGAGTAGGCGAGCATAACTGTACGCCAGCTTAAGCAGACCAGTACGATATCGGTTCTGAGCATTCGTCTTGTCTGTCTCGTCCAGACGAGCAAACCATGCGGCCCTCAGTCTTTCCAACTTATCGTCTGTCTCGATTGCGAGCCGTTCCAGGTTGATCTCCTACAAAATCATGTTTCAATCCGTGAGACTGATAACTTATCAAATTGATAATTATTCATACCTTGTTGAGACCAGTGGGATGCTTGGGGTCGCTGTAGACCTCGGCCAGGAATTCAGCCATACACATTAATTCAGCGTTGTACACGCATGTATGAAGATCGAAATTCTCCATATTGAATTCCGAAGAATTCCACCATGTCGCTGACTGGTTCGCGACGAAATCCGTGTTCCTGATGACCGGCACTTTCCCGTATTGAGAGCCCATTGACCTGTCTAGATTTACGCAGTTTAGCCAAGTCCGGGTGCGGTTGAGCATCTCGCGCGCATGTTCTTCGTTCTGCGGCTTTGCGGTGTTAGGGTGATGCAGGTTCATGTCGAGCGCAGTGCGGATAGCGTGGCCCAAGTAAATCCAACACCGATCTTCTTCCCAACGCCTCACAGGCGTCGGGTATAGGCTAAGCAGGATGTAGGCCTGTACAGTCTCGACGCGCTTCGGCCCACTCGTGAAGGCTATGCCAGCTTCTTGACGCGCATACTCTATGGCTGTAGGATAAAGGTCTGGGCGCTCGTCGTAATATCGAGATGCAATTGCGCAGACTTCAATGATATGATGAGGTTGGGGTCGCAACAAAGGGGCCAAGGAAGTGACGTACTGACGGTGAACAAGAAAGGGGAACGAATGTAAACCTTCTGAGCTGTGTAAAGAATAGGGTCCAACAGGGAACAAGACGCGTTCATCCAATCGAAGTATCTGTATGGAAGAAATTTAGCAAAATTTATTAAAAGGAATCATCAACTATAGCTCACATTTTGAATAATGTCTCGGCCTCTGCGGGGGTAATAATGTTCTTCTTCAGGAGTGGTGGCGTGGGCTCTTCACTGGTCGGACTGAACGGATCCAGATCGAAAGCTGTAACGCCGAAAACATAGTCAACACATTAGAGCTTGACGTCTCTGACCGCGTAGACACGTGACTAACTTGGTCGAAAGAAGTCTTCATGAGCTACGCCGACATCCGATCTATCGCTGGACACACTGCTTGACCGCTTTGTCCTTGGTTGTTTCACGCTCAGGGTCGCCATGAGTCCGAATGGGCTGGCCTCCGTCGGGATACTCGACATCTTTTCCTTCCCACTCGACCCACTTGTGTCCTGCCTTTTCGGCCGTGTCCCTTGAACCGGGGCTTCCATGCGAATATCCACCGCTTCGTCCTCACTGTCGGTGTGGTCTTGTACAAGAATATCGTAATCACTCTCGCTTGAGGACTCGTCCTCAGGATCTTCTTCCGTGAATAATTTCCGGCTGATATTCCCGCCGCCCAGGCCAATGAAGCCTCCAAAGGCCATGAGTTTCTCTCGTGCCTCAGCGATCCACTGTAGGCTCTCGCTTGATGTCTGGCCCTCTTCAGGGGCAGAAGATTGAGAATACGAGGTTCCGTCGCCTGAGGTGGATAGTGTCCGCGTGAGACTGCGAGGCGAGCTGACCGAGGAAAGGGTGAGCGTGTTGGCGATACGGGCCGTCTGCTGATCCGCGTTCTGCACCAATTCCAGCTGGGACATTAGCTCCTCTATCTGCGCCGCCTGGTCACGGATCTTCTCAAGTAAGACCTCGCGCTTTCTGTTGCGCGGTTGAGCGAGTGTCAAAATTGAGTCAGTGGTTTTCCGAAACGGGAATATAAGGTTAAATGCATACGGAGGCGGACGTCTCTTTTTGCGGCCCGGGATCACACATTCCTGAGCTGCTCTTGAGCACCTTTCACACGAATCTTGGTCATCTCTGAATTCGCATCGTACCTATCATAATATGGCGCTCAGCATACATAGACTTGCATGGAGGAAGATGGGGGATTCAATGGGTTATCATACTTTGAGACCTCTGCACCGTACACATGCCCTTTTGAGCCTGGGTTCGTCCGATGGACCATGTGGTGCGCATTCCATTTGAGAAGTGGGGCCTGGGTCAAAGTGCCCGCTTCCGCTTCCATCCTCCCCCTCGTTATCGTAATCGCCTCTCGACCGGTGGCGTTTGTGGGGATAGAGATTCGCGTCCTGAGACTGAGGTAGGCCTGGTGAAGATTCATATTTATAATGAAGTGGTGGGTAGTTGGATGGACCAATGGATTGGAAACCAGGAGAAACGGATTCAGGAGAGGTGGTGAAGGGCTGAGAGGATATGCCCGCGCTGAAGGGGTTGGCTGTGACTACAGGTGCCGGTCGGGAAAGCATCGATGGTGGGAAGTGGGCAGGATACTGCTGAGAGGAGGTTTGAGGATAGAATGACGGAGCGCTGGTGGATGGATGGGGTTCGATGCCTATGGGCTGTGCCATGGCATGGCTGTATAGTTGGGAAGGCTGCTGTCCCACATATTCTCCACCGTTGAATAGTTGATACTGCGAATGCGATGGACTAGACTGCTTAACAGAAGCATAAGGAGGGTGAGTGGGGTATTGGTCAGCCGTGATAGAGTATGGGACATTCGATGGAAGCGCAGACGGGTGGAAGCCCTGCTCATCTTCACCCAAGTGCTGTTCCCATTGCTGGTCAGGTACGAAAGTATTCGAGGGGATGGACATTTTGCCGACTGCAGGGCAGTGTATGATCGCTGATCACCAATATACAGTTATTTGAGACCGCCGCCTCTACTGTGCTATGAACCAGGCGTCAGTCAGTGTTGTCGAACTGTGTCAGTCGTGCAGGGGTTTGGAAGCACACAAGCTGAAGGCAGGGTTGCGATAGCGAGAAGAAACGGACGTGGGCGTCAAAGCGCCTCTGTCTATAAGTACCAGCGTCGTCTCACCGTGAAGATCTATGCAACACCATCATGTATCAGCGCTTCAGCGCTCAAGCGCTCGACGCAGCAATTATGCAGCCTCAAGCATACTTGTCCATCACGTGGACGGTCTCTGGCTGCATTTGGGGTAAAAACTATCAAAATCTATGTAGAGAGAGGATCTGTGCGCATTCTCCACACCCTTTGGCCTTTCCGTTGCCCTTTTTGGAGCTGTCCGTAACTTTGCCGCGCCCATCGAGCGACCCAACAGATCACAATGCAGCTAGGTAAGGAGAGGCTTCAAACGTTCATACTCACGCTCATTTATAGTATGCTGCTGACCTTCGAATCCATCTGACTAGGTCAAGTAAACCAGGTACTTTGTCGGGTATCCTAACTACCCTCATGTGCGCTCAGCGTCTGCTGCGACTAGAGCAAGCTAGGGCATTAGCTGATTGGCACAATCACGCCTTCTTTCCCTCTGCGACGATGATACATACATAGTACACCTGTCTTGTACTGGCTTGTATTTCCTCAGATGAGCTGACAATTCCTTCAATGGGCTTACCAATCCTTCGATGACAACAACTTACTGTAGCAGCAGCAAGGATGACGTAGGGATTACTGTACCGACCGCGAACTTTGGATAAATAGCGTCGAATGCCTCTCCCTATCCTTTAACGCTTAGCTCTCACAGAACACAGAGCACACAAGTCAAGGAGTCCCACAATCACCGAAATGACGCCCACACCCACTCACATCTTCATCACAGGTGTCACAGGTGGGCCTGTCTTGTATTTTCCGGTCCGCTCAGCTGAACCTTTCGCGGCTTTCAATCAGGTTATATTGGCGGTTCTATTCTTCAGCGTCTGCTCGATCACCCCAAATCGGATACTTTTCAAATCACCGCACTTGTGAGGAACGAGGAAAAGGCAAAGAAGCTGCATTCTATCGGAGTCAAGGCAGTCGTAGCATCTTTGGACGACTCTGACAAGCTCAAAGAACTGGCTTCGGCAGCGAACGTCGTCATTCACACGGTAAATCAAGGTCGCATACCTTCAACTTTCCATAAGTTGAGTTAACGGTTATCAGGCCGACTCCGCGGATCACCTCCCTGCGGCTAAAGCAATTCTGAGCGGCATCAAGCAGAGGCATGAAAGCACATCTGATGTGCCGATCTACATACACACGGTAAGCATGCTCTTTTCCCACGTCATGTTTATGTCTTGTCTTGACCTTATCACTTTTCATCCGTCGTCCAGTCGGGGACTGGTAAGCAGTCCATCTCTCTGAACACTCGTCTGCAGTGCTTACCGGTTGATCCCAACCTCTTCTCCCGCATTCTTGATCACTTGATATGCAGGTGTTTTGACCGATACAGCTGCCGGTGAAAAGACGACGGATACCATCTACCACGACTCTCGACCGGAAGAGATTGAATCCCTAGCTGATACGGCGTTCCATCGGAACGTGGACCTGGAGCTTGTCAAAGCGGACAAAGAAGGTTTGCACCCCCCACCCCTTGACTTCGTCTGAATTGACTGTATCTTAATGGTCTACGCTCCATCAGGATATGTGCGCACATTCATCGTGGTGCCTTCAACCATCTATGGAATCGCACAAGGGCCACTCGTGGATCTTGGGATCCAGAACCCGTACTCCATCCAAATTCCTGCGCTTATCAGAGCCAGTCTCGACAGAGGCCAAGCAGGCATGATAGGCCAAGGTAAGAATTTATGGCCAAATGTTGAGATCGGAGAAGGTGAGCACTTCAGCACACGGCTTCTCGCCCGAATGTCTTGCCAATGACTCTCATCTTTCTTTTACTTGTTGATGTTGGCATGGCAGTGGCGGACTTGTTTATCGTCATCTTCAACGCGGCACTCGCGGACCCAAAGACGGCACACGGCCGCGAAGGGTTCTACTTTGGCGAGAATGGCGAACACGTCCTTTCTGACATCTCGAAAGCGATTGGGAAAGTCATGGTTAGGCTTGGCAAAGCCAAAACTGCTGAGCCGACGACGTTCACAGAAGATGAAGTGTTTAAATACTTTGGGGTGTGTCGGGACGTTTTCCTCTGCCGCTAAATTTTCCTGATTGTCTGTTATTTTGTGTAGAGCGCCTACCTCGGCACAAACTCTCGCGCGCGCGCGGAACAGGGGAGGGCGCTTGGGTGGAAGCCGGTCAAGACGACCAAGGACTTGTTAGCGAGCGTACAGCCTGAAGTAGAGGCTATTGTAAACCGGCAGTGAGGCGTTGAGATGTAGGGTGGAATGTAGCGGCACGAGGCTCGAGAAACGAAATATATACCGATGGAAGACCTTGTAGCAGAGCACTGTAGTCTGAAACTATCTTTGTATCTAGTCATCGTCTCTGCGTGTATGTTCCTTTCTTTGCGGCAAGCCTGCAGGCACGGAGGCAAAATATGCATCGTCAAAGTTGTCCCTGAGTGCATCAATCAAACATGTCGCCTGCAGATCAAAAAGGCCGGATATATGCAGGCTCTTGGTATTCATCTCCATCACTCATCGTTATGAACTGTCCGTCTACTCCTATTGATCGTCTCGGGTGCAAAAGTAAATCTACTCAGAATGCATCGGATGCTTTATGTGTGGCTAAGTTAACGACTTGCAAGGCTACAATATTAGAAAGTTAGACATGAGTCGATGATAGCATTGGAAAGCTTTCGGCATTTGAATTTGCAGAGCTTGAGGCCTGGAAGACGACAGAAATGATGAACGAGCATGACGACGTCGACTTCCAGCCGCTGTTGCTATGCGGGCACGTGTTTCGGTGATCTAATTGAGGAGCGGCGGCCCTGCTCCGCAGTGTTTGTGTGGCCAAATACCAGCCAGGTCGACCTCACTGTCGACAATAGAACACAAAATTCCGACGGTGTTGGCCGACTAGCGCTGTTCGTTGATACTCTCTTTCGCCGCTTCTTGCTGGTCGTTGAATGTCATCGTTGTCGTGATTAGTACGTTTGCATCATCCTAATTTTTCTGCCGTCTACTGACCGTTTCTGTCCCTGTATCTTGTGTTCGTGATGGTGTATCATGACACTACCCCCACCCAGCTTGCAGAGCCCCGCCCTGCCATCTTTCGCCTCGCATTATTTATCTCGCAACTGCCTGCACGTCCGGCAGTCTCTGTACACTCGTTGATCACTCCCGCTCATTGTACGAATTTGTCGTCCTCCCTCCATCATTCCCGCCCAGATGCATATTGCACGGAACCACCACGTCAAACGTCAGTCATCGGATGACCCCCTCTCAGTCGCAGCTGCAGCCGGCATTGGCTCTGCGACTACTGCTCCTGCAGCCTCCGTCATCGCCACTGGCAGCCTCCTCCTTGCCAGCCAGTCCGCGGAGGCAGTGGTCGCTTCTTTCAACCTCGTACCCACGGCATCGGGGGCCATAACTGTCAGTTCAATCCCGAGTGCCGCCATCTCTCCATCTCCTTCACCTTCCGCCGGTGCCGCCGGTGCCGCCTCGTCCAGTAGCTCCTCTATATCCATGGGCACCGTTATTGGCATCTGTGTCGGCGCATTCGCTGGGCTTGCTGTCCTTGTCTTATTCGTTGTTTGGATCCTCAAGAGAACGTCTCCAACATCCAGCCGGCGAGCTCAAGGTGGCCCCTCGACGCCATCGCCCCTTAATGCCCGCGGGGAGGATGACCGTCGCCGGTCTCGCTTAGAGCCTTGGAGCAAATTAGGCGACGATGACGATAGGTGGGACGGCATGCAACATGCGACCGAGAAGGCTGGAGACCACTCTGGCCAGAGCGACAAATTCTCCATGTTTCATAAAACGCCCAGCATGCGCTCTGCATCGGACGAGAAGGGTCACAACGACTTTGACATGTCCACCATGCCGAACTTCGCCACATATCATCCTGATTTAGCGGAAGAGTTCGCTAAAGCCCCTGAGCGGCCCTTTATGGGTCGGATTGATGGGGCGCCTGTCATCTCCTGGGACGGAGAGACGGTTGGAGATGACTCTTTCCTATCGATGAGATCCGTGCGCATGTCGGATACCGCTGTACTAGCAACATCTCCAACCACAGTGATGGCACGACAGACGCCCCAGGCCACTTCTTCTGTACTGCACCGTTGGGAATCTGCGGAGGTGCTGACCATGGACATCACCGACACTCCGGCTCCACAGGATGATGATAGCAAGAATCCGTTCGCTGATGAAGTTGAGCATAGGAAGAGCACGACCAATCCCTTCTTCAATGCACAGCCTGGCGTCATGCACAATCCATTCTCAGACACATACACTGTCAAGGGACGCAAACGTCGCTCTTCCATCAAGTCACGATCAATCTCGACCCAGAGCGACGATCATGAACAGGCAATGCAGTCACTCATCGCTGCATTGGACATCCCGGAAACGCTGCCTCCTACCCCAGAGAGGGACATGGCGAGCAGGGTGTCGATGCAGCCGTCCATCAACTCGGAGCTTTTGACCGCCGACAACGAGACCATGAGCGCATTCCCCATGCCGCCGTCTCCCAAAGCTGTCTAACGGGGTGGATTTTCCCTTGGCCTTTTGAACTCCATCTCACATCCGTCACGCACCTTGTCCGCCCTAGTCACTTTCGATTCAAGCCTCTCACCACCATCTCTTTGCACTGCTAGTCCCTCCCTCTCTCCCCGTGTCACTCCGATCCTGCTACTTGACTCGCGTCCATCACGTGTTGTGCCTATATCCCCGACTTGTCCATGCCATTCATTCTTTCTCAACCCGCATGTTCACGTCTTCACGATCCGGCATCGAATTTCACATCTTCTTATAGTTCCCCGTTACGTTCGAATGTTCAGCAGGACCTTCTGTTCAATGCAGGTTTACGGTGTCTATACTCTTTCTATAGCTCTTGCTATTTTTTTTAATAATTTATCGTGCTTGCTTGCGCGTCCTCAGGCTGGCACACGAGGCTCATACGATACGGCTGATCAAATACTATATCTGCTTGGAAGGGCAACCCTTTCACGTGTAGACCTGCAAATTGCGATATGTGGTCGGTGAGTACCGATACATTCATGACAGGTATGCTTTGCCCTATAGTTCACTGAGGAGTATTGAAGACTATCGAAAAGTAAATCACCGGACAAGCAAAAGATACTGTAGCCCACCGCGAGGGTCGAACTCGCAGCCTTCAGATACCCGCCTGTAAGAGTCTGACGCTCTATCCGATTGAGCTAGGCGGGCAATGTATAATTTCATTGTTTTTAAATCATGTCAGATGGACTTAGGCTGCTACTTCTCTTCATTATTAAGGCCCTGGGTCAAATCCACGATAAATGCTCTATGATGTGTGTGGACCATCTAAATATATTGTGACTGGGTCAATGAGGGTCAATGTCATTTTGTCTAGGTGGATCCAGTATAACCTAGAGTAAAGACCATAGATAACCTGGCATTCCGTTAGACTGACTTGGCCAAGCCTTTTAGGCCCCACATCTAGTTAGCTTTGTAGAATCTCTATGCATCCTAGAGAGACCTGCAAAGACCTTAAGGCTTTGTTGAATACTTGAATATTTTAAATAGTTAAATTTGACCAAATTCAATGAGATTAGACATCATTGAGACATTTCAAAATACATTGATCTTAGTCTCAGACCTAGGAAGTGGGGTAAAATGCTGGTACCCATAGGTTTTATCAATATACTATCACTGGCCCTAGATTCAAACAAACTGGATGAAAAAAAAAATCCTACCCTCTCTAGACTTCACCTGGTTACCTAAAAACTTATATGAACAATGCCCACTAGATCTTTTTAAAGCCTATGTGCTTTGTTTTGGTGGAAGTGGGGAGAAAAGTTAGAATAGCTGAATGGTAAGAGGATAGTCTATTAGACCAATAGACCTTGCAATCATAGACTAATAGACTTGAGACTTGTAGGCATATAGACCAAACTATGTCCTCCATCCTACTTTTATCTCTCTCTATCCTCAGCCTTGTATGAGGCACTAATGACACCATATGATATCTACATTATCTCTAAGAACACTTTGATATTTGTAAACACAGTTACAAAGTGACTGGAGGCTGCATGAGAAGCTTCTGATCAAGAAGATCTTTCTAGTGTGTTTTTCTTTTTCTTTCTTTCTTTGGGAGGGAGAATGTTTGGAGGTTTAGATGAAGCAATTATATGGCATAGTATTAAGCTACTAGGCTTATCATGTGCACTTGATGCACTAAGAAGGGTTTCCTACGCTGATTGTGACAGCCCAATGAATAAAGACTATTGTGTATCTTTGGGCTTGTATGAGAAAGTCTTGGTTACTGTCAATTTTATCTTTGAAGAGGTGGAGAAGATATTGATTGATAATAGGACAATGTTTGTCACTGACTAGAAGGTCTTCCCCAATACAACAGATGACCTCTAATGGATTCCAATATATGAATTGGTATTCAGCAAGTCCTTGATAAGTTGTAGAGATAGGAAAATGATAAGAGCTTTGAGGCAGATCCAGTGCTTTATTAGACTAGGTATGTTTTGATCAATCTAACAAAGTTTGCAATGCATAGACTAAAAGGAGCCAGATGCTGGGTGTAGTGTAGAGATCAAGATATATATGAAGTGAACAAGCTGAGCTTCTTAGAAGCTTATCTTGACTATTTATAGTACAAGCTATTTGGGGCCAGATCTGAATCTGGTCTGTGTACCTAAGTGGTAAGTACAGTAAGTAATCAAGATGTGTCATCCTTAATTAGACTTCTACAAGTCTTGATCATGATTGTGACTTTGCATTTCTTAACTTTAACTAAGTATAGTAATGATATTAAATGTCTGTCCACATCAGTAAGCAATTAGGAACCAATCATGATTAACATCAGTAAGCTGTATAGGTAAGGAGAAGAAAAATGAGTTATAACCTTATAAATATGTGTTACCATATAAATAGTAATCAATCTGAGTCATATGCATAGCTCATGACCATGCCTTGAATCATGTGCCTAGATGTGTATCAAGTCATAGTCCTAGTTGTTAATATCTGAGTCCAGTATGTGACACCTAACCTTTTTCTCTATCCATATATGAAGCATGTGTTAGAATGTGGTCCTGACACATAGAGTATAGATAATTCAATAACAATGTAATATTAACATTGATAAGGGATATGTTGTTTGTCACACCTCAAAGCACACATTGCTATTATACTTGCCTACTGCTCAAACATTTCAAGCTCCCCAACCTATCCCTTGCACCAACATGTCTTCTTATCATAGGTGCACCCTCTCATCTCTGGCATATTTTTATGTCCCCAGTGTGCTCTCTTGTCCCTGCTAGCGGTGCTTTCTTATTTATAGCATGCCCTCTTGTAGTGCACCCTCTTGTCCCTAGCATGCTCTCTTGTGGCATGCCCTCTTGTTCTTAGTATGTTTTCTTGTCCTTAGCATGATATGTTGTTCCTTGCTGGCACATGTTCTTGCCTCTAGTGTGCCCTCTTATTTCTGGCATGCCCTCTTATTCTCAGTGCATTCTAGCATCCCTGGTTAGCATATTTTCTTGTTTTTAGTGTGCCCCCTTATTCTCAGTGTGCTCTTGCAAACTTAGCTGTTATGCCCTTGCCATATCTTCTTATCCTTACTATGCCCTCCCATCTTAGTATGCTCTGTCATCCCTGGCCAGTGCACATTCTCATTTCTAGCATGTATTCTTGTCTTTAATGCACCCTTATTTCTAGTGCACTCCCTTGTCTCTAGTGCACCCTCTGATCCCTTACATCCTTCTGTCCTTAGTGCACTCTATTATCCCTGGTCAGCATGCATTTTTATCCCTAGCATGTGCCCTCATCTCTAAAGTGCCTTCTTATTCCCGGTGTACTCTCCTAACCCTAGTCATTGCACTTTCTAGTCCCCAGCATACCCTCTAATCCTTGGTGCATCCTGCCTCTGTCTACAAAATAAATGCTGCCTACTTGCCCAGCTAGTGCATGATAGCATCACAGTTTGCCACTCATATCTCATACAGGCCCTCCTCTTCTAGTACCTTTACCACAAACATCTGTGCCATAATCACACACTGGCATACCTCTGCCATGCCCTTACTTCTGCTATCAATTGTATTTATTAACCTAGGCCCTAGCCTAGGCTCAAGCCCATTCCCTTGCCCACTTCCATTTTTACCATCATCTACTATATTCTTGTGCCTATGCCAGCAATCATATATGTAAGCATGAACTCTTTGCCTATGTGGATGGGACACAGGGTAGTAATAGGGTCCTAGGCTGTGGTTGTAAATTACAGATCATCATACTGATGTACTTATTATGTTGTTATCTTTCTTGTCTGTTGTAAGTCAAACATATTGTATTTTCTTGAGATGTGTAAACTTGCCTTCCATATATGCATTACCTAACAATAAATCAGATTTCTTAATTCTGTCCTATTAGATTCATACAAGACAGTTAGGATTTTAATGCCAATAACTTGGTACATACTGCCTTTTTTGTGTTTTTTCATCTTTTGCTAAGTTGTTCTAAGTCACAATGGTGATAGTCCAAGGTCTAGAAGAGGTTTATTTATTTAGCATTATTTAGATCTTTGAAGAAGCCAGATACTTCTAGCCATGCACCAGTCCCAAAGTCCCAAAGTTTATAATATTTTGAGGTCTATAAGCTCAAAAGTCTATTATTCACTAGTCACAAAGTCCATTGTCTACTAGTCTAATAGAATGTTCTCTCTCTATTCAGCCATTCCCAGAAAAGTAGAGATTTATAATGGAGCATTTGGACAGTTTGGTCACATTGGGTTACAAATCCATATTACACAGCTAAAGCAGCCATCTCTGATTTCAGACCATGACACCTGCACCTGTTACCTTGGATAAATGTAAGAGTGGGGGGTAGTTTGGTACTTAGGAGACTGTCAGTTCAGGATGGTCTATGGCATAGTTAAGAAGGGGAGACAGTGGGGACAATGGTTGGACATGACTTATTGGGATGCTAGCTGGTTGCTGGTGGAATCATGGGCAGAGAATAGATTTGCATTCTCCTTCGACAATGCTCTGTATCTGAATGTCATACTTGATGCCTTGTATTTTCATACAAGTGCAACAACATGCTGTATATTTTCTTCGTATAGCAGAACCAACATATATAAGCTATAGTAGGTTACAAAAAAAAATATTGACCATCAAGATCTTTCCTCATGTGCTCCAACTCATCTAAAGTATGGCATTAGGCTGGCAAAGATACATTTTTGACAATTAAGAATGTAAATCACCTTTCAAAAATCTCAAAATTTCAGACACCAAGTCTATACTATTTAATATGATTTATGGTCAAAAGAATGAGGCTGGTATATTAATCAATGAGCAAGAAATGCAGACTGTCCAAACATTAGTCTTGTCCAAACATAGGGCCAGTAAATGCATTTCCACAGGCCTTTAGAGCAAGTTCTAAATGCCAGATTCTTCTAATGGCTTAGTTGCCACATTGGCACAAGTGAATCCATTTTGTTGGAGCTTGAGACCCCTCTTCTAGATTTTGGAACTGGAAAGGGGGGGCCCTTCCTTTCCAGTCCAGATTCACTATTGTAAACATGTTTTTTGAACTCTGCTTGAATCTTGTTGTTGCTATCATCCAACTGCTGTTCTGCAAGCTAAGGCAAAAACACTAACACAGACAAGAGCTTCGCTCCAGAATACCTAATCATCATTGTGATATCAGAATCTAGCAAAACTAGGATATCAAGATTTACTGCATATGCCATTATTTAATATTATCGAAGCTGAACAGTAGATGATGGGCTTGTGGTATATCTGCAATAGACTTACCCATGCTGGCTGCACAGAGGCAGATCATGATTGAAGCTCTGCTTATATCAAGTATGTGCATTCACCAAGTCATAGATGGTCTTATGGTTCTGTAAGATTTCTAGTTTCAAATCTAAAACAAGGTTTGACTCTGATTTATTAATCTAGGACTGCTCTAAAGCCTGTGGAAATACATCCAGTGATAGTATACATACTTAACTTCTCAGCATCAAGTCAATGGATGCATTTCCACAGGCTTTAGAGCAGTCCCAGATTAATAAATCAGAGTCAAACCTTGTTTTAGATTTGAAACTAGAAATCTTACAGAACCATAAGACCATCTATGACTTGGTGAATGCACATACTTGATATAAGCAGAGCTTCAATCATGATCTGCCTCTGTGCAGCCAGCATGGGTAAGTCTATTGCAGATATACCACAAGCCCACCATCTACCGTTCAGCTTCGATAACATTGGATAATGGCATATGCAGTGGATATTGATGACCTGGTTTTGCTAGACTCCGGTATCACAATGATGATTAAGTGTTATGGAGCGAAGCTCTTGTCTGTGTCAGTGTTTTTGCCTTAGCTTGCAGAACAGCAGTTGGATGATAGCAACAACAAGGTTCAAGCAGAGTTCAAAAAACATGTTTACAATAGTGAATCTGGACTGGAAAGGAAGGGCCCCCCCCTTCCAGTTCCAACATCTAGAAGGGGGGGTCTCAAGCTCCGACAGAATGGATTCGCTCGTGCCGACGCGGCAACCAAGCCATCGGAAGAATCTAGCATTTAGAACTCGCTCTAAAGGCCTGTGGAAATGCATCCACTGGTCATGTCGGTTTGATGAGAGTTTCCGTATGATAGAAGACAGGCTCAGCTTCAACTTATACACAGAACGACTCTCTTCTGCGTAAGCTCAGCCAGAGACTCATAATACAAGCTTCCGCGAGTGCCCGTGATTTTTCAGCGCCGCTGGTTGTAACGACGTCGTTACATGTGTCGTTACAGTAACAGGTTCCAGAACCATACACAGCAGAGCGACACACTCGGTCGACGGTCGCGGGCCTTGCCTGCCTGAGAACTTTCTTCGATCTAGCCATTTTCTGGATCTTTAGCAAGGTGGCCGCGACCCGCAGGCGCAACCGGCGCCTGTGGATACTATAGCCACGTAGCCATGGCGAAGGCTGCATGCCAAGTAAACAAAAGTAGCAGAGAATGTTCGAACTCGAACTTCAACCTCGACCTTGTGTCGACCCCGCCTTTCCTCTCCTTCTCATTCCTATCTAGCAGGTCTAAGACCGAACCCTAGTGGTTCTGGTCGGCGGTGCCGACATTTCTGTCCATCTTTCAATTCTTGTCGCATCGTCCCGCAGTGCGCGCGGATTCCACGATCATTTTGTAAATCGACGCGTGCATTCCTCCCCGCAATATGGGAGCATGGTCATTAGTAAAGTACAAAGTGGAGCAGCTCGTGAGTTGGACAACGTTCAGACAGATCAGCCTCTCCTGATCGCATCTTGGCCTCTTCATCATCGAAAAATTAGCGCCTCCGCCTTTTCTTGTGTCGATTCATCGCATGCTACTTCTTTCTCGCCTTGGCATACTTCATAGGTCTGACTGTACTCCATTCCATGACCCTTATGGATGACATGGAAGGCGTTACGGTCGTCGAAGAAATCCTTGAACGACATAAGATTCTCCCAGGCCTGCCTATCATTTTGGACGGTGTCTTACAGCGCTGCAGTGACTTGGTGTCCTCCCAAGGGAAAAATTGTACAGTGATATCTGGAGCAGGGAATTTGAATGAATCCATCAGGATACTTTCCCCTCAGTTGTCTGAGGATATTGTGAGTGCCAGTTCTTATTCATGGCTGGTGTGGATCTACTATGACGTCGGACGCAAACTAGATTTTGTCGACAAGTCCAATCTTAGCAGCGTCAAATCAGACCGACGCTCTACCATTTCTTTCCGATCAGTGCGCTCAATCGATGACTTGGTTATTGGATATGTAGGCGCTGCATTCTGTTCGGTCGCTGGATCTTACTCATCTAGAGTGGAGCTTCCGGGACGCAAAACGAGAAGATCTAGCTACGATCTTCTTTCAAGTCTGGCTGTTGATCATGTCTCTGACAGCCGTATGCATGCTTCCTGCTCTGAAAGCATGTGGATAACTCACAGGCAGCGTCTTCAGGTTCTTTCCGATTCCATTCCTCATTTGTCGGTCTATCCTACGGTCTACTACACCTCATTTCCGTAGTACTGACAACTGTTCTGCTTTGTTTAAGAATCGCTGCACTGGCCAGTCACGTCCTAGCTACAGCATGGGCAGGCTTCAATGTGCACAGCTATCTCAAAGTCAGGAATGAGTACATGGAATTCGTTGTAACTGGCGCCTGTGCTGGGGTTGACGTGCTTGGTGGTTGGTGGGATGATCGCCTGAGACACACAGTACGCGTACTCTACAATGAGTGTTTATTTCTCTCTGAACTTCGTCCCTTCCGCAGGTCCCTGCCATTGTATGTAACGGTGTTACGCTGATGATGATGCTGTTGCTCTCATTCAAGATATATCAAGTAAGTATCCAATCAACCATCTTCTGCAATATCATTGACGTAGTTGGTTCGCTAGCGATATGCGCGACAGTCGTTCAACAGCGTGGGAGCTCCTGCTAAGATCAATCGCATGCACAAACTCTACCTTTTTTTCGTCATGACACTGCAACTGGCGGCATTCTTTACCATCGCAGCCACAGGGCTGTGGATTAACAAGCTCACCGAAGATGCGATCAGTCAGGCTGCCCACCATCTCAGATTGTACATGGCCGCGTTTATTTTCTCTGTTATCGTAAGTTCCCAGTCGATTCAGCGAATCAATTTGTCATACTGATGAACTACATAGCTAGAGGTGTTCTGGGTTGTCTTTGTGAGCGCACATGTATCTCTAACGGGTTTTCATAAGTTGAGCTTGTCAATCTTAGGGATGGTTATCCATTCGTCGAGAATATCGACCAGTATTCTGGATGTTCTTGGGCGCTAGTATCTTTGTCACCGTCATCTGGACACTCATGTTTTTTAGCCCCGTGTACCGTTTTGTGTTCAACACCTGGCCGTTCTTCGCGACCATGACGGTGACCTCATATATCTTCTTGGTTGCCACATCCGTCCTCGGTGCCCTGTGCAGACTCAATTTTGGCAAGGGACTAGCACACTACCGTAGGTCTTGATTCAGCTTCAAATCAAGCACTGGATTCGTTACTGATTTTGGCTTCGCCCATGCAGTCATTGTACTCGAGGCTCTCGCAGACGACAACTTCACCCCGGCCTCATTCACAAACGACCCCGAAGCCGCCGAGGGCAATATCCCCCGCTTTTCCGTCCTTTTTGACGACACCATCTCACGCCCAAAACGGGCAACACTCACGGGCATGAGCAATCTGTCCTACAGCTCAGATAAGACTGATGCGGGTGCAAGTTTCTTGGCGCTCGACGCGGAGAAGCATAGCAGTTTCACAATCTCTGTGCTGCACAGGGAGAGACTGAGGACTCCATTCAAAGTAAAGATGGACAGGGTGGCCCCCAGTGAGCCAATCTAAGTGCTTCGTGTGCGGGAGATTCGTAGCTGGTAGGGGCGATTTCGGGACCGTTATTGTAGCATGAGAGGTTGGCCCCATCCTTGCGGAGAGTGGATATGTCCAACATAATAGGGGTGTGTGATTCACGGTTGTAGCTGCGGTTGTATTGATCGCTACGACGGTGAGATGTAATGTGACAGCGCATACGACGCTGCCACAGTAATTTAGCAGATTGTCCGGAGGCTGGTCGCGATTTGATCAGTAAATGCGCAGTTCATGCACCATGGGAACACTGATTTATTAAAACCCTCACGCGGAAGGCTCTGTACCAGGGACTATCGAAGCGGGCAACAAAAGGTAACTGGTAACCTTCAGACAGATATATAGATAATGGCAAGAATAGACAGCACCGATAAGTTCTCTGCGGTGAGTTTAATCCAATTAACACTACGCTCTTCGATTCCGTTAAATTGTCAGTTCTTCAATCCTGGACCATTCGCATAGCTCGCTTCAAGTTCTGCGCATACACTCTTGAATGCCTTTCCAAGGTAGTCAAAGTCCGAGATCTGCCCACATAACGCGCTAAGATTCTCCGCATCAGCAAAGCAAAGGCCACATCTTCACACACCTCGTTCCAAATCTGCGCGCTGGCGCGCAGGTACCATTTTCCATTGTGGAAGAAGTGGGCCGCATAGGTGTTCCACTCGACGAGGAGCTTCTTCTGGAAATAAACGTTGACCGCGCCGTCGTTGGGCACGTTGGCGGAGAGCGGAAGTTCCACGTTGGTCATGTTCAGCGTGAGCTCGCCCGTCTCGTCTAGCACGCGCGTGCCCATGACTTCCGCGAGGCGTTTGCCGCCTTCGAGCGCTAGCGAGTGACAGTACTCATTGATCTTTCTCTCACCGCCAAGCCATTCACGGAAATTTAGGGCTGATAGACGGCATCGTGTTGAGAATCGACAACCGTGACTGCATCAGATAATTTTGCATACCTTCGTCGACGCTGAGGTATGGGGCGTAGTCCCGCGTTCCCGTCCCTACGGCTAAACTGAGTAAGAGAAGTAATTGCGATCATGACTCCCTCTGTCTTACAACCGAATTGTTCGATAAAATTGGGCGCTTCAGGGCCGCCCTGAGGGTCGGTAGGAGAGACATAAGCATGCGGGGTTGGAAAGGCAGACTTGATGATATGCTGATTCCTAAGGAACAACGGTTTGAGCTTCAGAATAACTCATAAAGGCAGGATTGTTGAATTACCGCTTGGGGACATACAGCACGGCACAGCCGCGCTTTGCATACAGCCATTTGTGGCAGTTCTTCGACATGTGCGTCAGCAGCGAAGGGTCTCATAGAATATAAATGGCCTACTGAAACCCAGAAATCCGGCTTGACTTCGCTCAAGTTGATGTCTACCTCTTGTCCAATGCAATGGGCTGCGTCGACGACACTCCAAACGCCCTCCTCATGACATATTTTCGTCAACTCCTTCCAGGGATAGGCAACGCCAGGATTGGAGACGATCCCGTCTATGACTGCGACGATTTTTGGCTTCGGTCCGGAGCCATCGTAGTTCTGCGTGGCCTTCAGGGCCTGTATGTGCGCGCGGAACGCGTCCACAATCGCCGAATGAGTGAGAGGCCAGTTGAGTTGAAATTCTCGGACTCTGGGGTGGGGAGGGATATCGCCCAGGTAGCGGATGTTCCTTTCAACCGCGTTGTAGGTCGTGGAGGCTGGTCAGATGACGGTCAGCAGGTTGATCTTTGCGAGGGAAACAAGCAGGGAGGCTGAACAGAGGAAATGAAGTGACACCGACTGCCAACGAGGATATCCTGCTCGTGCCATTCAATATTCCAGAGGACGGTGCTGACGCCGTGCGACGCATTTGGGACCAATACGATCTCGTCCCTCTCGGCGCCAACAAGTTTGGCAATGCGAGCCCTGAGCGGGCGCATATACGATGCAAGCTCGACGCGCATGAACCTATCAGGGCTCGCTTCGATCTGACGGCCGATTTTTTCGCAGTAGGCGGCTACCGGAAGGGGGAGAGATCCATAGGACCCTGGTAAAGGCGCGGTGGCCTCCATATCAGTACGCCCAATCCTGGATCATACCGCGCGCACCATGGTTCAGATTGACATATTTAGGGTCGAACCCGAAATACTTGTGCATAGCATGGCCGAAGGGCGGCGGGGTCCCACTATACGTCTCCAGTCTTTCGACAACAGATGCATCTACGGCTGACATGGTCGAAGCGCTTGATGATGCACTATGATAATAAATAGGTTCGATCAAGTCGAACTGAACGAGAAAGTGAGCTCACGAACGTTATGCTCGGATCTGGCTGCAGCGGAGCAGTGTGGGGATGGGAGAATGTCGACAAGTTGTGTGCAGCACAGGCACCTACTTATAGTACCAAGTGAGGGCGGTTTGTGAGTCACATGTGGGACGGGCAACTGACGGGCAACAGTTCTTGACTCGACCCAGTGCCGGCGGCGACGAGATTCAGGCAGGAACACTGCAGGAATTGGCTGCAGTTGGTCACAAGCTGAAGCGGATCGTTCCCACAGTCCGAGGGCGCTTCGGATAAAGGACCCGTTCTTATCAAGATCTTGAATGTATCTAGCCTCCGTGCCTGACCCCAGTCGCTTTATATACTAGCTATCACTCCAGGTTGTCGAACATCGCAGACAACATGTCGTCCGCCTTTTTCTACGGCACCTTGTTGCACCCAACCATCCTGACGAATGTCATAGGCAACGATGGTGGGCATCTTGAACTCTGTCCAGCCGTTCTGATGGTAAGATGGTTCTCCCGCCAGCGTCAGCTGTCATTCCAACTCGCGCTCAAGCTTTTCTCCTCAGGACCACACGCGGCACCACGTCAAAGTAGGCATATTAACATCCCCCGCGATGCAATCTAAACCAAACCTGCCTGGCCCCAGCGAGCAGACTATCCCGCCGTTCTTCCTTACGCGAAGAGCAAGCAAATGTTCGATCGTGATCTAAACTACGAAGAGCGATCGGTTCGCGGGACCTTGGTCATTGGCTTGACCGAATCTGATATCCGCTTGTTAGATCTGTTCGAAGGCAATGTTGTGCCCTCTCTCTCTCTCTCTCGCAAATCCCTGCTGCGGCTAATTCAATCGGTCAAAGGAATACGAACGTACACCGGTGTTTGTGCACCCACTGGCACCATTCTTAACTTTGCCATCTAGCGTTGTCCCCACAAGTGAGGCCCAATTATCGGTTGCGCCGCCGACAGCTCCTCCTCTTCCACTCCCATCTGAGCTTGCAGAGGCGGTTCCAGCAGAAACATACATCTGGATTGATAAGGTCACGTATCTGGATGCGAAGCTCTGGTCGTACGACGACTTCATCAAGGAAAAACTTCATAATTGGGTCGGGAAGGACAATGAGGAGTACAAAGAGGTGCAGAGAAGGATAGAGATGCAAGGAAACATCGTTCGGGACTTCTCAGAGTAGATTAGATTAGATGAGATCCGGCTCCTTACCGTTTGATATGATGTCAGTACGTGACACATTTCCCCCCCCATCTCCTATCGGCAGTGAGCCAAGGTAACCGCCGACTCCCATGACCGAGTCTCCTCTTCGTCGAACGGCCTCCTTTACCGTCGTCTTTATTTTTCTCGTCGTCATCCTTTCTTTTGGCATCGGTAACGAGCTTTCGGAATATGCTGGTCTTTTCCCTACCAATTCAGATAGAAAATGTAGGGCTCGACTTGACGATTCGTCTTTAATCCCAGTTGCCGTAACTTACCAGGTTTGTTGCAAAATAGATCATCCAGATTTCGCTCAATACATACACGTCCGTAATGTTTCTGCAAAAGAACTGTCTCTAGGTGTGCACATCTTGCTCGAATGCTATGGTTCCACGTCGATTGACCTGCATGTTGCAGACCAAACAGGTAGGCGCGCAATCGTCATCGGCGACATTCATGGCATGGACCAGGCCTTCCAGTAAGCCCATGATTCTCGAGTATCAGCGCTCTCAAGCAATACAACAATTCATTTGACTTGTCAGCGCCCTCCTGGAGAATGTCTCCTACGACTCCAAGGTTGACACTCTAATTCATACCGGAGACATCTGCGCGAAAGGACCACACGACGGCTCCCTCTCCGTCTTATCCTACATGGCGTCTCACAACGTCACAGGCGTACGGGGGAACCATGACCAGATGGTCATAGAATGGCGGGCATGGCTCGACTGGATACAAGGCCTAGAGAATGGATACGGTGGGAGGTGGCTTCAGGAGGCGGAAGCCCAGTGGGAGAAAGACAATGAGAAGCGGGATGAAGATGAAGAGAAGTGGACGAAGAAGCAGAAGAAACATGCGAGAGGAAAGGATCGCAAATGGTGGGAGAGGATCCCCGATGGGTGGGCGATGTTTTCAGACCACTACAACATTGCGCGGTATGATCTTCTTTCATGATCGTTCGTGTCCCTCATTTCACAACGAATCTCAGCGCGATGTCGACAGCGGATTATAAGTACCTTCGCTCGCTCCCATTGATCCTCCACCTCCCTTCGGAGCACACCTTTATCGTACACGCGGGCCTACTTCCCCATGACCCTACGCATTCGATAACGGACCGCCGACAGCCGCTCTCTCATCTCCCTTCGCTCAGTAAAACGATCACCGACTCTTCACTCCTTGGTATAGACTGGCCCGCGAATGTGCGGATGAGACCCACTGTACCTATCTATCGGCAGGCGCAGGAGATCAACTTGATACAAGAAATTCCGCAGAACACGGACCCCTGGGTTCTTCTGAACATGCGAAGCTTGCGGAGGGACAACAAAGTGACCAAGTACGTTTGTTTGTTCGACATATCCAGTAACCAAACACATTAACAATCTATCCCATGACGTTCAGGTCTAGCAAGACAGGTAAACCATGGGCCGATATTTGGAATGAGGTGATGCCACAGTGCAAAGGGTTCAGGGATGCCGCAACGCAAAGTCAGAACAGCAAATTGCGGTGCTATCCGTCAACGATCATCTACGGGCATGCTGCCTCTAGGGGACTTGACGTTAACCGTTGGACTATTGGCTTAGATTCGGGTTGTGTACGTCATGCTCATTGCGTCCTGAGCACTCGATTGACAGACGAATTTCGATAGGTATATGGTAGACGCTTGACGGCTATGATCTTAGAGGCTGCTCACAAGCACAAGTTGGACGTGGTCGCCCGGGCAGACGACGAAGACGATGAAGACGACGAGACCGACGCGGCTAAGAAGACGCCGAAGGTGATAGATTTTGGTGACGACGGTGAAGCTCGGCTTGCCAGTGTACAATGCAAGGAACAATGAGAGTGCTGCACGGAGGACGGTGTATATCTTATTTTACTTTCTCGTTGTTTCTAATGATATGGGGTTCAGAAAGCATCTCATTCGCGTAGTTTTCTCTTGCGTTTATGTTTGGTCATTTGTGCTTTACAACTTTCTTGGGTAGTGGTCGTTTGATGTATTGGTAGCGTCTGATAGACACTGAAGTACACTGATCCAGCGATTCCACAGTCCGAAGATATCTTCGTCCGTGGATGCATGGAGTATGTGTTTATACAAAGGTCCATTTCTGAATCATAATTGAAGATAGTACAAAACTAACATCACATATGTCGGTGTCAAGTGTCCATTTTATGCACAAGACGCCAACGATTCGATACAATTACACGGGAGTCTCACAAGTGCCGTGGGTCAAGAATATCGGGCTCAGCAGATGAACAAAAGTTCGGTTTGCTGGAATGATGTCAGCGCAATGACCTGTGAACTGGAATTCAAAAGGACTGACCATCGGGTGAGAGCTCGACAGCTGTGGCTTCTGACTGTACTTTGCCTTCAGGATGCCACTGGTGTAAGCACATTGCATCAGCAAGCCCATAATACACTTCCATTTTCTGAGGATACTGACCGAAGGTTGCCCAGAAGCTGCTGGTAGCTTTGCTGGGGATTCTCACCTGGATGAGATAATCAGTTCATCGTACCTGGTAAAGCGAGCATGTTCCGCTTACCGAGTGCAGTCATGAATGCCTAGAGGGAACATCAATTTAGAATTGTTCTATGTCTCTCGAAACCCCATGGAGACTCACATAGCTCATAGCCCCAGTCGCCGCGCCAGCTTCGTAAGCATCTGCGCTCGTCTGTGAATCCTTGCATCCGCTCCACGAGATCTGCAGAGCGGATTAATTCAATCCAAGGCGACCAAGTGGATGAGAACAAAACGTACGACGTCAGCAGGGCTCGTCTTGGTTCGCTTGGCGTAATCGTTGGCTTTTTGACCATTACCGGTCGCGGTCTTGAGCAGCCCAGAAACTGAACTGAACACGCCGCCCATATCCCCGCGAGCATACGATGAAACAGCGCTGAGCAGACCCTGGCCAGCTTCTGCGGCAAGGTTCGGCTCTTTAATTTTACCTTCCGTGGAATACTGCGTAGGCATACAGTGAGTTGTAAGTAGTGACTATCATGTATAGGAACGCACAATGTACGGCAAATCTAGAGCACTCCGGTTAGCATCTTTCGCGATAAAGATAGAATCAACACGTACCGAGAACGGAGCCGGAGTGGCAGGACTAGGTTTGGAAAAGGTAAATAAGGAATATACAAGGATTGAGTGGGACCTACGTCAAAGATGGCTGTCAACCGACAGCCAGGGGGCAAAGGCCGGACCATGATAGCATGCATTTCCTGGAAATTTTGATCAGTATGACTGAATCAGGAAAACCACTGTGAAAGATGCGCTACATCATCGACAATATGGCCGTTCTGCTTGAAGTCTACAGGATAAATTACTATGGATGTATGCCATTCTTGTCATTTGCTTGTGTGTCATTCGATTGGGGAACGAACCTTCATCGAACCCATCAGCTTCATCGCCGTCCAAATCTTTCGTCTGTCCACCATGCCCCGAGTCTGCGCCTTCGTTCAGGAGGGCCAGCAGTCAAGGCATCACGATCACTCACAGTGGAAGAACAAGGAATCATTAGGGCGAGCATCTCGTACAAGCCATTCCATGGCACGGAGCTATCACTTCGTGAATAATCTGTGCTCATTGATGAGGCGTGCAAGTTACCATGTTATCCTTAGTGGGCATCGACCGAGGACCGTTCTGATCGTCAGTCAGAACTACGATGTCCTCTTGTTTGTAACCAAACCGAGCTTTCAAAGCCAGATTGAACTGCTGAAAAGGGGTAGCCAAAAAAAAACTCACTGCAGAGAAACTTTTCGATATTGCGCGCATCGTTGATACACCCCTTCAACTCTGCACTCTGTCCAACGTAGTTGATACCGATCTGCCCCAACCGGCGAAATGTCAGCAGTGATAAGGGTAAAGCGTTCAAAGTTGTCATACACAAAGTGCTTTCTTTTTTCCATTGCACTGTGAATACTGGAAGTATGGCTGCTGCTGTTGATGGTTCGCGCCTTCGAATTGAGGCCCGTAATGCTGCTGGCCTGACGGAGGCCTGGCTGGGGGCGGTCCACCTGTTCAATCGGTTTGTACAGGTAAAGAACAGGACCTCTTCTGACAGAGAAAAGTACACACTGGGAGGAGCGAAACGTTCATATGGGCGGCTGTTCTGATGACTAAACACCGCGCGTTAGGCGGCATATGTTACACAGAGCAGAGATGCGCACGGCATGGGAGGAGGGCCAGGTGGGGGGCCACCATACTGATGTCCGCCCGGATAATTATGCATGGGTGGAGGAGGAGGGCCAAATGGAGGGCCATAGCTGAAAACAAGATAGTGTATTGGTTTGATGTAACACAATGTGTATATAGATCTCTCACCCAGGAGGTGCCCCCGGCGGAGGGCCATACGAAGGCGCGTACCCAGGTTGGTTGAATTGACCACCACTGATTGAATTTCAACAAAGGCATATGAATATAGGAAGATCTGGAGCTGACGTACGGAGCGGGAAACCTGCCGCCCAGAGGTTTTCATTAGTTGTTTGTGTCTGTGTCGGGAATGCATTTAAAACGAACATACCCATTTGGCGGAGCTCCATACGCATTATTCGAGGGGCCTCTCGACTGTCCAGGATAATTCCACATGCCGTTTGAATATTCTCAGTTGATAGGTGTTGAAGGTGAGCGAAGGTAGCCACCACCTGCAATGAACTCATCACCGCCCCCGGCCGGCAAGAAGCGGTCGCATCCGGTACTCCCGGCTAAGTCCGGTAGCTTCACACGGTACATTGTCACGTGACGTGACGCGACGCGATTCCGTGCGACGCGTCTGTTGGCAGTTGCCAACGACCATCTTTCACGTGCTGGTGCTCATTCAAAGTCAGGAATGTCCCTAACTATACTTGAGTCTCTCAACGCTGCACAAATAAAGGGTATATGACTACTCCATACCTATCACTGGGTCAAACTACTCACCATGTTCCTAGCGGTGCGGCACCCACCGAATAAACCGCTGCAAATTCTGGCAGGTCCAGGAAGTGGCAAGACGAAGGCAGGCACATTCTGCTCAGTAACTAATCACTCGTTCTAAAGTTTGGTACATCTTTACAGGTGCTAACGTCTCGTATCGCCTACCTCATCTTGGAGCACTCGATCCCTGCCTCATCTATATGCGCTGTTACCTTCACCAACAAGGCTGCAAACGAGATGAAGGAGCGACTGAAAAAAATGATTGGAGATGATCAAACAAACATGTTGAAGATGGGAACGTTCCACGCCTTCTGTGTTCCATTTTTGAGGAAGCATGCAAAGTCAATATCTATTCAAAGTAATTTTACAATATGTGACGCGGCTGAAAGGTAGTGTCGCGTATACGCTCCTCATCTAGCACGCACTGAATTATTTGATATACAGTCAAAAGATTATCACCAAGCTCCTGAAGTCTTATGCTGATTATATCCAGGAACACGCAGTAGCACTGAGCGATGGTCAAACACAATCAGCAATCTCGAAGGCGAAATCCAAAGGCCAAAGCCCAGAGGATATGGCAAAGCTACACGCTGAGGCCAAGGCGAAATCGGGTAGAGCATCCCCATATCTCACGGTGCTGATTGAAATCTTTCGAGATTATGAACGGATATTGCGACAGAATAACAGCCTAGACTTTGATGATTTGCTAGTTTTTGGCACGAAACTTTTTCAACAACATCCTGACGTCGTATCCTGGTGCCGTCATGTCCTCGTGGATGAGTTGTGAGTGCTTCAACCATGCCACAAATCTCGTCTTGACACGGCCTACATAGCCAGGACACCAACAGTATTCAGTATGAACTTATGAAAACAATTGCATCGTCCCACCACTGCGTAACGGTCGTCGGGGATCCAGATCAGTCTAGTGAGCTATGACACATTTTTCACATGACTTACATTTCACCAGCCGTCCTCAAGTCTATGGGTGGCGATCCGCAGATATAACAAATCTCCAGAATATGGAACGAGGTATTACGATCCGGAACGTCTTGTGCTTATAATCGTTGATCTCATTTTCCTTGAAAACATCAAGATTTTCCCGCTACTTCCCAGATTCTTCTTGAAGATAATTATCGTTCAACTGCCTCAATTCTGGCGCTGAGCTTGGCTATCATCTCCAAAGGTGTGTCGACAAGCCACAATTACTTTTCTTTCTTTCATACTACTATCTGCTATACAGACAAATCCCGCATTTCGAAATCTCTCCGAACGTCACATCCGGCAGGGATCAGCCCTGTGTTACAGTCTTTTGGATCTGACAGCAACGAAGCTATATTTATGGCCACTGAGATCAAACGCCTCGTCGCCGCTAGCGGGGGAATGTTCAAGTGGAGTGATTTTGCAATCCTTCGTGCGTGTATTGTGCCAAAGCCCCACATCTCAACATTGATCACCTGCATCACAGTACGTTTCAATGCATTGTCTCGGGTAATAGAGTCAGCATTGCAAAAGGAGGGCATACCCAACAGAGTCCTAGGAGGACATAAATTCTTCGAGCGAATGGAGGTATGCATGTTTCGTTGACCATTGGGCGATATAATTTTACACCTACGGCTTTCAGGTGAAAGATATTCTCGCTTATCTGCAAGTAGTCGACAACTCGTTGTTCGTGCCAGCTTTCATGCGTGTCATCAATGTTCCCCCTCGAGGTATAGGCAAGAAGGTGGGTGCTTAAAAGCATTTCATCAAGTTCTTGTATAACATCCGCATGGCTCTACATATCGCAGTCTGTTGCAGAGATTGTCGCACGTGCGGAGAAGGCCAAGTGTTCACCCCTTGAACTCGTGGAACAAATTCATGATGGCAAGATCCCAGATATCAAGCCGCCTGTCAAGCGTAAGATTGGGTCCTTTGTCACAACTATACGCAGTCTCCGCAAATATGACAACGAGGTAGAGCCACCTTCCTGGTCTGATTCCTTCTGGGCTCATTTTGTTGGCCTGTGACAGCGAGAATCGCCCCCCGATCTAATTCGTCGCCTTCTTGATCTGATCGAATACGGACAGTATCTCAAGAAGACGGAAGACTGGGCGAGCCGATGGGAGAATGTTCACGAGTTGATCAATTTTGCTAGCCAAATTCATGAAAGCCTCAATACGGACATAAACTTCGACCAGCTACTACCACAATCACACGACACAGACGATGATTTGAGGGGCGAGCTGGAGTATGAGGGATTTGTCACGGGAAACAAGAGTGCGAAGGCCAAAGGCAAAGAGAAGGCACCAGACTTACCAATGTATGTTTGGATTTAGTTCTCGTTGTGGCGTCCGCATTGGTTTATCTATTAACTTGTTGTAGAGAGACCCCCCTTCGAGCATTCCTTCAGGCTTCAATGCTATCGACAGATACTGAAGAAACAGACGATGATTCAAATGAGGTGAGGCAAGATCAGTAGTCACGGAGAATCTGCTCTAACCTGACGAACAGAAAGTGACCATATCCACTTGCCACTCGGCGAAGGGATTAGAGTGGCCAGTGGTCATGGTACCTGGTGGTAAGTTCTGCGATCTTGTCTTGAACTCCTCGCAGCTAAACAGCTCGCAGTCGAAAGCCATATCTTTCCGTTCTACCGAGCGGAAGACGCGGAAGAAGAAAGGCGAGTTTTATCGGATGCCTGGGCATTTGTGCACTGACAGTGCAATCAAACAAAATTGTAGACGTCTTCTCTACGTGGCTTGTACACGGGCGCAAAGTCTTCTATATCTGCAGCATACAACTGGTCGTGGCATCGCAGGGGACAATCAGCCAAGGGAACTTTCGCCCTTTATTTCAGCCGTTACGGCAGATAATTGGGTACGACGAACGTCTTTGTGTTGTTGTAACTATCGCTTATAATGCTGCCAGAATCTATTTTCGTCCCATCCACCAAATCTATCGGTCACTGACCTTGAGGCGATAGCAATAGTTCTGGGTAGACCATGCCCTGATCAGAGCGAAGTCCGAAAACGTATGCTCGAGTGGTAAGCTTGTCAACCACTAGATTGGATTCCTCTGATGGTTTCATAAGGGAGCGTACCGGGGCGCAGACCCGCCAGGCAGAAGCGAAGTTGGATTTTAATATTGCTGGACCATGGTCTCGCGCAGATCCTCCAGCCTCAGCGGCCTTCACAAGTACCACGGTATTTTTTTTGGCACGTCACGATCACCTCTGATCCGAACTTCTACAGCTTCGAGGAGTATTCTTGTGCCAGCGAATTCAACACTTACGAGTCAGAACCCAAGTACGGAGTCGAAACCTCCCAGTACGAAATCGAAACCACCCAGTACGAAATCGAAACCATCAAGCACCATGTCAGAATCATCAATCATCAACGTGGGACCACCACGACGAGGCCTCACATCAGCGCTCGCGAAGGAATCTGTCTCTACGAACTTGTCTGACCGGAACGCCTCACGATCATGGCCCACCAAACCGACCTCCGCAAATGATGGGTTTCTCCCCAGCTTCCCAAAGCCCTTGCTGAGTGTCAGTTCAGCACCTGAGCTCCCTGTAGGCAGCACAACTGGCCTTGTCAGTGGAAGCAAGCGAAGACTAGGAATGGGACGGCCTGCGATTGAATATCCTAACAAGAAATTCAAAACGCCTGTTTAATTACATAGTACCTAGGGATTGCCACAACACATACTCGACACTGATGTGACAGATGTTATCATGAAATCGATACACGCACAACTATTTTTTTTCTCTTGGCCCTCTTATCGAAAAGCGACGCAACTAATCGGGACTGAAAGAAGGATCGCGTTTTAGTAACCAGTTCAAGAGTGAGACTATGTGAAGGAATCAGGAGTCGGAAAGGTATCCACATCCTCGAAGAGGGATTGGTAGTCTAACATGCTTTTGACTGACAGCCCGGAGGCCCATCATGGAAAAATAATGGGAGTTGAATACACACCTGGCATGAACACGCGCCCAAACATTAGGAATACGGATAAGCAAAGACCCGTCTGCCCTTGGTAGATATATGTATCACGCATCAATGGCCATTGCAATGCAGACGATGAACAATGGGCAGGCAAGGACTGCAATTGAGCTAGCCGTCGGGGGAGAGGTCAGAAGGTTTTCTTCTGTCTTGAGACTCCGGAATCGGAGCTCGAATCCACCTACTCAGCGTTCTTCATAAGACCGAGTGAGGAAACTCTTCTAGTTAGTGTTTTAAACATCGTCCTGTTCTAGCGAGCGCTGCCCAGCCTTTTGGTGTCTTGTAACCACACAAGCTTGTTTAATGCATATATTCGTCCTTGTTGGGCTTACGGGCTGTCCATCCGCTTCGTCTACACTGTGTCTTTCAAGTTGCCATCCAGGGTATCACTTCGCCTCGTGGTTTCCGTGAGGCAAGCGAATCACTATGTGACCACACGCTTACTCACTTCCGTCCTGTGGATTCATGATATATATGATTGCCATCTTATTTGGATGTGGCCACTGGATAGTGATTCCTTATTGCCTTCGGTCGCCTTACACTCAAGCTCTTCTCACAAAACTCGTGTATACTAGTGATAAGGCAGAGAGCTTGATGCAAGGTATTTCACAACGATTATGCCAGTCCAAGATCGCTCACTATTGATTGTACCAAGATAGCATATCAGCTTCGGACCTTTAAAGTGCTCCAATTTCAGCAAGTCACCCTTGTCCGCTACACGCCATCTGGAAACAAACTCTCGCCTCGACCATGCCTGCAGGCTCCCACAACGTCAGAGACGACGACGACTACTTGCATTCCTGGGAAGCCTTCGACAGAGTATTTACCACCCAGCCTGTGCCACCAGGAACTCTTACACCCAGTCAGCTTCCGGACGCTCAGTCCTTTTCCCGTGGCATACAGACTCGACCAATGGCTCCTGAACCATTCTCTACTCCCCATCACTCCCATGCCTCTACGAGTACTGCTGGACCTTCGACGCCTCCCGATTCTGACTCCTTAGATCGCATATGGAGCGAAGTCAGAAAGAACAAGGAACGTGCAATGGTCGTCTCGCCTTCGAAAATAAAATCCCTCGAGGTATGGTCTGCAAGCGACCAGTCGTCACCTGCCATACCATCCTCCCCTCCTGCGGATCACAGGCCACACATGAAAAGGCGGAAGTCGTGAGTGTTCTACTTCGATTCGTCGCAGACGATGTTAAGAGCCTGGGTTTGTATTAGTGTAACTTTCAAAGAGTCTCAAGATGGTCGTAAAGTACAATATCTCTATGTCTTAGCTCTATTACACATCTCTATCTCACGTATTTCCGTCAGGTCATGGCCGTATTCGATCTTCCTGGCGTCAAAAAGCAAGATATGCACGTCAGCTACCAGGGTAAATGCCTAGTTGTGACATGGGAAACCGTCAAGGTCACGGAGCGAATGGAAGAGGGCACAGTGCTGCGAGACCGAGAACAGAAGAAATTCAGCAGGACAATTCCTCTTCCGGAGGGCACGAAGGTGAGCCACCTTCATCGGATGTGTGTCAGATTGATGATTCTCAAACCTTCGATAGTTTGAAGAAGTCCGGGCTTCAAAAGATCAACAGCGTCTCATGCTCACCTATCCGAACATGCGTGCCGTACGCACAAAGCCTAGGCCCATCGACGGATCATGAACGTGCCAGACGATCGGGAGGACCCTGTGTTGCGTGTGCCAGTTTTGAGTCCCATTCACTTGGTTGGTATTTGTATTGTGTGTAAGAGCATCGACCCTTATGGTTGCGAACAATGTTGTACTTGTAACATGAAAGCCTTGGTGCTACAGTATGTACCGCTTACTTGTATCTCAACACGCAGAGAAGTCCGATCGAGACAGCAACGCTGACAGGTCAGTGTATCCTAAAGAGCTCTCAAGATCGCAGGTGACGTAGAAAAGTCAGGTAGCAAGTCTCCGTTGCTTCGGTTCGACCATCGTGGTAGTGACGGTTCGCGCAGTCTCTCTGAGGAGGCCCATGAAGGAAGTCAATTGAAGGAACGGCTTCACCGAGGCGCGTGTTGGAGGGCTGTTGTTCATCACTGGATTGTCGAAAGAACTGTGCTGATAGGAGGGACCTGCAGGTAAACCGGTGGGCTCATATGGATACGTGGATGAATGTCGGTTGTTGATAAGGGCGCCAGCATTTTTCGATTTCGGAGCTGGTGAGAAGTTCGCATGTATTGTACTCTCATTGTTTTCAAGGGCCAATTTTGGAGTGACCCGTAAGCCACTGGGTACATATACCATGTCAACGACAGTCTCAGTGTTCGCCAAGAGAGAACATGACATCAGACCTCGATGGGTATCGTTTATTCTTCATAGCTTCCTCGTGGGCAGTCAGAGGGACCAAGAGGAGAGGAGGGTAATGGGTCTGTTGCGAGCGCGAAGCGTCAGGCAGATGAGCCTTGCGAGAAACATTCTGATCCGTGTTTTGAGATGGTAGGGTTGTCCGGTAGCGATCCATTGCTCTTCTAGTCCCCGCGTGTTTCGCAAGAGGCTTGGTGCCATGTATGCGACCCATAGAAGTTCCCCCAGAAACGAAACGAGCCGAGGGTAAATCAGTTGCGTACTTTCGAGGGTCCACAAGACATGTTTTCCGCTTTCCAATTCCTCCTGGTGGTGAGACAGGCACAAAAGATAGAGGTCGCCGACCAGTCGTCAACGCAGAATCTAAATCCTGCACAGAGTTAGACTGGGGCAATTGGACGTGAGAGTACACAGCAGCCTGTAGCAAGCGTTGGGCCAGGGGCTTCTTGAGGCGTTTATTATTCTTCCGAGGCGGTCGCATCCTGTCGGCAGAAGCAGAGGCTAGGGGGGAAGAGACTGGAGGACCATCAGAGAGCATAGAGTCGCGACCACTCGGTGACCGAGCTGTTACAAAATTTTTGTGTCGGCCATATCGCTTTGCGGTGCGACCCCTAGCAGACCGCTTGAGGAAGCTATGGACAGTGAGCATTGGTGCACCGATTGGGTCCGAGCTCAGATTGTCTTCATGCATGTCATGGACGTAGTCTTCGTTATCCTCAACAAGAGGAACTCCCAACGGGGTGATTGTATGCGCAACGTCAAGGCGGGAAATTGATTGCGAGTCATCCGAGAATTCTAAAAGCGCGCTTTGCGAGGGTGACAGACTGATTTCGAGGGAATGGTCAAGTTTTCTCTCTTGAAAACCAGGTCGCTTTCTTTTCCTATTGACCTACTTGGAAGTAAGGCACAACAAATATATATTGACGGAACATATCTTCGATGGGTGGTGCTTACGATGACGTTAACAGCTTCCACCGGTTCCAAATGCCCTTCCAGCGCCATTTGGACCGTGTATGTATCTGAGGCTGGAGGTTGAGACAAGTCGGTATTGGCACGGCACGATATTGCCTTCGGACCCTGCCGTTTCGGAAATACCCGAGACGGCCTGGGATACCAGCCCGCGGAAATCTAACGAAATCATCATAGCACTAAGATGATTCAAGACACTCCTACACAACGCATTCTACTACACAACCACCAGCAAGCCAAATAAACCAACGAAACGTCCTGCTCACTTAGGCAGCGCGGCCAGCTCGGCCTTCAATTTCTTGAGGTGGTCCACAGCAGCGGTGATCTCCTTATCCAGCTCCTCCGTCTTGGGAGTCCGACCTTTCAATTCCCGAACCACAGTGGCCTGTTCCGCCACCTTCGCTTCCCACGTCAGCACCTCCGCAGACTTCGGGCCTTCGTCCTTCGCAGCAGTGGGAGTCTTCTGTGCTGCCTTCTTCGCTGCGGCGGCCTTGCGCTTTGACATGGCGGGTGCAACGTGCGTCGCGTCTGCGCTCGGCTCCGCCACCACGGCGGGCTTCGACCCGGCGAACTTGTCCCTCCAAATGTCGGCCATATTCTCGTCGATTTTCTTGAACAGGTGCTCGGGCTTGCCGATGTGGTGGCCGGGGAGGATGTCCACGGAGAAGACGGAGGGTACCGCACGCGGGGGCGCATTTAGCTGGAAAAGGATGGCTTCGGAGGTGGCGGGCATGAAGGGGTAGATGAGGACGGAGAGGACGTAGATGAGGTTGGCCGCGCGCGTAACAACCTGCGCGCAGCGTGTGGGGTTCTCTACCATCAAGGCCTTGTTCAGACCTGATGCTTGGAGGTACAGATTGCCTCTGGCGGAAAGCTGCATGACGATCTGCAGGCCGAGGCGTAACTTGACGACGTCCATAGCTTCTGTGTAGTCTTTGATGAGACTGTTCACATCCGACACGAATTCCGCATCTATTTCGTCGTTCGGAGAGAGGGGCCCAGGGACATCCTTGCCATCGGGAATAACGCCGTCATATTGAGATGAGATAAATTTAAGAGCGCGATTAACGAAGTTTCCGAAGCTGATGCAAATTATTAGGAGTGCTTTCGATAGAAAGAAAAAAAGGAGAAATCACTTGTTTAGCAGGATATTGTTATTTGCTGCGATACAATCTGCCCAGGAGAACATAGCGTCTGCAGTCTCAGGTCTTGTCGAAAGCAGGTAATACCGCCAGACCGACGCTGGTAAACCTGTCTCCTTCGCTGCGGGCCCAAAGACTCCGCGATTGTGGCTTTTTGAGAACTTTCCACCTTCGTAATTAAGGTATTCTGTTTATGCAAAGACAAAGAATGGTGAGCGGACAAGAAAGCACCAATGTGGAAACGGTGTACCTGTGGTGGATAGATGGTGAAGTTTCGTCCAATCCCGCCCATCACCAATTTGTATCGAAGGGAAGAAGATCGTGTGGAAGTACACGTTGTCTTTGCCCATGAACTGGTATAGGCGGACGTTCTTGGGGTTGAACCACCACTGCTTCCAATCTGGCGTCAAATTGGAGGTGATGCTTGGATAACCGATACACGCATCAAACTAAGCCCGGGTTAGTCGCTGAAGTTCTGAAAAATTAGTGAACCAAGGCATACCCAAACATCTAGAGAGAAATCAATATAGCTCAACGTATGCATCGAGCGACGTACACAAGACTTTTCCCCGCATTCCCTGGTCGTCCTCTCCCTCTTTGATGGGGACGGGCACACCCCACTGGAGATCTCTCGTGACGGGACTTGGTCTGAGTCCGCCCCTCAAACGGTCGTCGACCAACTCTCCATCGCTGTTGATCACTGAGTTCGGGGACCATTTTCCTGCCTTGAAGGATTGCTTGATCCATTCCTCTGTGTGCGGCTGGATCGTGTCTAACTTGACGTACATGTGAGCAGAAGATCTAGGGACAACTTTATGTGTCTTGTCGATGAGGCACCGAGGTTTCACCAGCTCTATGGCATCTAGAGTTCGACTGCAAGCGTCGCATTGGTCACCCCGTGCATCCTTCAAGAAACGTCAGTGACGAAGTTTGTGAGCATCGAATGACTTACGTCGGAATGACAGTGCGGACATATTCCTTCGACAAATCGATCTGCGAGGAACCTTACGCCTTGATGAGATTACCATACCCCATATATTGAAGCACCCACTTTTGACAGCCTTCGCAGTAAGTCTGTTCCTTGGTCTGCTTTTCTAGTAGGCTGTGGTCTGCCAAATTCAAGTATATTTCTTGGCAGATCCTGTTTTCCCCCATTTAGGTGTATGGTCACGGTAGTCAGTGGTGGACGTACTCAGTGTGATGAGGTGTAGACGTGCGGCCAAAGTAATCAAAACTTGGAAGCGAAAGATCAACGACCCAGGTTGATCATAAATAGGCAGAGATGATCTCACCCGATGTTGAACCACTTGTAAGTCTCTGCGTGAAGTTCGTGATATTTATCGCACAGCTCTCGTGGAGTGATGCCTTCTTTCAATGCCTGCGTCTCCGTAGCCGTTCCATACTCATCCGTTCCGCAAACGTAGAGGGTCCTCCGATTTTGTGTCCCTGCAGATGAGTTGCGTTCGATCACTAAAAACAAGGAAGGGGTAGTGCCGCCCACTCACGAGAGTATCTGTCGTTTTTGAATGTTTTTAGTGCTCGGAGGGGAAAGCTCTCATGCAATCACGTACCGACTGTATACGTCGGCGCTCAGAGTGCTCCCAATGATATTTCCTACAATTGATGATCAATTTTTAAGAGCACCAGATCAACGGGGAAAGCGTACCGAGGTGGGGAACATTGTTGCAGTAAGGAAGGGCGGATGTGATTAGGATATTGGTCTCGCCGTCCTTCGGCAGGCTTCACAGGCACCGTGCACACGAGACGATCAGGACGAAGATGCAGCTGGTGCTTTGAGATGACATACACGACTTTCTGGCCGGGATCTGGAATTGCTCTGAGCAAACCGTCTGCCGAACGTATTTTCTGGGCCATGGTGGCGAGGAGCCTGGGGAGGATGGGTTTGAAGCGGGATCTATGATACAGGGAGAGAGCGGAGAACTGGTGGCGAAGCAGGATGACGGATTTCTGAATAAGTTAGGATCGATGTGACTCGAGCTGCTCTATATCAGCCCGAGGTGAGCCAATTCAGGAGGACCGCACAAATACAGCCCAAACAACACGCTTGGCCAGACACCCCGCCCGCCTCGCTTGCTTCCTTACGTCGTCCACAAGTCATGGGTCCCCGTTCATGGCTTCGGTGAGCACAGCATATATCCAGATATATCCTCTTCTCAAACATCTCCCCTCGCTCGTATCTGCAGACGCTCGGTCACGAAGGCGTTTAGCCAGCACCGCGACGTCTTCGCGGCTGACGCGTCGGCCAATCCAGAATTCACTGTGCGTGTATATAGTACATCGCAAATTCGAGTCCTTGTCAAATAGTCGCCTACTCCGAGTAGCTTCGGGCGGTCTCGCTAGGCCTGCTCATCGGGTGCCTGCTATGTTTCACGAACCTGTACTTCGGGCTGCAGACGGGATGGATCAGCATGTGAGTCTCGTCGCCTTCGGCACCAGGGCGTTGTCTTTATGGACACATCATCTTTAAGGATGTCTCTGCAGTCGGCTTTAATTGGCTTCCTCCTAGCCCGCCTTTGGCCGACGCCTATGACTCCCCAGGAGAATGTCGTCGTGCAAACAACTGCGGTTGCGACAGGGACGGTCAGCAAGTTCACCCTCGGTGTTAATGTGCAAGGCTGAGCCCCCTCTATGACCAGATGCCTTTAGCAGCAGGATTCGTCGGTATCATACCTGCTCTGGGACTACTCGACAAGGAGAGAGACGGCACGCTCCCCGTAAATTTATCTTGGTTCGGTGCCATTGGCTGGTCATGTGCCGTCGCATACTTTGGGTGCGGACAGATCTCATCCTGCATGATATTCATACACTGAGGCTTCACCTCCCCAGAGTCTTCATGTCACCGCCGATTCGCAAACAAGTGGTATGTGCATGTGTCATATGCGGCATGAAGGCGTGAACACTAATCCTTAGATTCGACAAGATCATCGAAGAGCAGCTTGCGTTCCCATCAGGGACGGCTACCGCACAGTTGATATCCGTGCTTCACAAGGTCCCACCTCCCGACACCGGCTTGCGACGTCGAGCGGGCTATAGCGAACTCAGGGCTGAGGAAGATGCAGAACAGCCGATCCCCGATACACCACGAACCAGCGCTTCCGACATCCCCACGGATGACATGGCTGAGACGGTCAAAAGTGAAGGATGGGCGGCATTGTCTTGGAGTTTCCTGGCTTCTGGCTGTCTTACGGTTAGTACCATCGTCTCAGCCTCTCTCATCAACAATTGACTGGCCATGCAGCTTGTGTCTTATTTCTTCCCTGTTGTGTTTGCAATACCTATATTTGGCACCTATGTAGCTCAGCATTGGTTGTGGACATTCACTCCTAGCTTGTCTTATGTGGGTCAAGGTTCGTTCATCATAAATCCTTGGAAATCCGCACGCTCATTGAAATTCACAGGGATTATAATGGGCTTCCCAACTACTTTGAGCATGAATTTGGTATGTTGTTTCAGGATCGACGCCCGTGCTCTGCTCAAAAACAAACAGGGCATGTTAGTCGGTTGGGGAATTTTATCACCCATATCTCGAAATTTCGGTTGGGCACCCGGCCCTGTCGGCGACATGACGACTGGTGCTCGTGGCTGGATTCTTTGGATATCACTAGCAATTATGTGTGCCGATAGCGTGGTATCGCTCGTCCCCGTGATGTGGGAATCGGCGGAGAAGATTGTCCGCGGTCGAAATGCGCCCATGCTGCAGGGCGATGGCGATCGTGACAAGGACGACAATGAGTTCGAGACAGAAGATCGACTGGTGTCTAACCGCTGGGTCCTTTGGGGCTTGAGCGGGAGCGTGTTCGTCGGTATCGTGATTGTATGGTTTGTATTTGGAGATGAGGGTATCAAACCCTGGGCCACGTTTGTTGGGTTCCTAATGGGGGCGTTGTTGAGTATATTAGGGTTCGTCAGGATTTTTAAGTCCCCTTGTGAGATTTCGTCTGACGGCTAACTTTTTCTCTGAAGTGTCCGTGCTCTTGGCGAAACGGACCTTAATCCCGTTAGTGGTCTGGGCAAGATCAGCCAGCTGTTGTTTGCGATTATTCAACCAGGAAATGTTGTGGCGAATATCATTGCTGGCGGTGTGGCGGAAGCAGGTGCACAACAGTATGTCGATAATGGACAGATGTCGTATTGTGTCAATATTGATCTTGGACAGAGCTGGAGATCTTATGCAAGACCTCAAGACTGGGCATCTCATCCAGGCCTCGCCTAGGGCACAATTTTACGGGCAGATCATTGGTTCAACTCTGTCGATTTTCGTGACTGTCACCGCATACACGCTGTACAACAAGGCGTATACCATACCTGGGCCTTCGTTCCCTGCGCCTACTGCCTATGTATGGCTCGGTCTGGCGCGATTGCTACGTAGGTCTTTACTTTGCAGGAGCATCTGAGACGGTTTGTTGATCTATACATTTATCAGGCGACGGGCAGCTCCCAGCAAAGAGCAGCGTCTTCATGCTCTCGTTCGCAATCATCTTCGGTCTTGTGTCTGCTTTCAAGACCGTAGCCCAACGCCGGCAGTTGTGGTATGCGAAATGGATACCCTCCGGCGTCGCCTTCGCCATCGGATTTCTCAACACGCCATCTTTCTCCCTCGCGCGTCTTGTCGGCGGCATCGTCGAGTACGTCTACCACACAAGAGTGGCAGATTCGGGGAGCAGCGACATCCGCTTGATCGTCATCGCTAGCGGATTCGTATTGGGTGAGGGCGTGGTGAGCGTTGTGACCTTGGTACTGCGGACGCTCGGTGTCGGCGCCGCGAGTTGTTGGGGCTGCGATTCCGGGATGTGTGGAGGATGCCCATCATAGACTTTAGTTTATGCTATGCAATATTCGATCTGTATGTTTTGTACACTAGACCCTATTAGACCGCGGTGGACAGCTATAATACTTAGATCGCAGGGGTATGGAGCTGCGTACTGAGAATAGACATGAGATGTACACGTTGATTGTCAACGTGTCCACCAGCTTGCTCTGACTTGCTCTGACGCACGGCCGGGTGGTGGCGCCTTGATCATAATGTTCGAGAGTTTTCCAAAACCATCTCTGCACTACTCTCACTCTACCAGAAAGTGTTCCAAGCCAAGCCCCTGCGAGTCGCTACCTCGACAACAACGGCTCAAGGAAAATGTCGAAAGTTGCTCTTGACAGCATCCAAGCTCTCACGTTCTACAATGATGCCCTGACTACGTCAAGACGGGGATCGGCTCTTCCTCAGCTTGTATGTGTAGGGAAGGCCTGTAGTCTCTTCACCCCCGATGTTGTTCGGTGCCTTAATGTTGGTGGGAGGGGCAGTGAAGTTGACTGGAAGGTGCGTTGTCGCGGCTCTTCGCTGCGTTAATTTGCTTTGGCTGCATCTGTTTTCCAGTGTGAGACGGATCTTCCTGAGAGGCTGCGGTTAGGGAGGGTGCAAGTATCTTGTGAAGGCTGGTCTGGTCCAGGAGATTCGAATATCCTCAAAGGTGGTGCTGAGATTACAAGTATTCATTACCTTGGACTGACATACATATTTTTGAAGGCTCCTGCTCCCTTGAGTACCGCCTCCTCGAGATCTCAAAAAACTTATCTGGCGACGGACATGGGCCTCGAATTGGCAGTTGGTTTACCGGTGTGGTCTCCTTGTCTATGATACATCGACGACGAACTCAACGCTGCGGCTCGCAGTGGACAACTTCCTCACCGTGGCGTTCTACGCCATTTTCATCTGTGTTCTCTACATTATTCTGAAGCCTTGCCTGAGCAGCTACTTCTCATTAGGCTCGTGGACAAGTCGACGTCCAGGTGCACCACCACCGTCGGGTCATGGCTGGATGCCATTCAACTCCCGTCCTCACGACAACCCTCCGCCCCCATACAGTAAATATCCGACCAACTCCTCGCGGTCGGACCCTGCCACTCGAGATGGCCCAGGCTTTTGGACTGGCATGGCGCTCGGCGGTCTGGGTACCTATATGCTCAATAACCGTACAAGGCGAAGTGAACCAAGTCAGTATGACTGGGAGCGCGAACGATTTGTAGGAAACAGACCGTTGCATAGTACTGCTCAACCATCGGGCGTACGACCTTCGAGGTCCTCCTATGAGGATCGAGGGGAAGGATCGTCGAATCTCGGCTCCATCAGACGAAGCACAGGCTATGGAGGGTCGAACGTGAGATGATGCCTGGAGGATTTTTGCGGACATTGGTCGGGATTTTCGACGTGAGTTTTTGTTTATCCTGAATTACGGACTTTTCTAATCACACATCTATCCAGTTAGCTAACTTAGTTCCTTGTGACCTTGTGACTAGATATATAGCACAATTCTACGGCTGATCCTAATTATCCGGACGATTTACTCCTGTCGCTTTCGCTTCACTCTCGGTGTACGAGTACATGACCATCGAGCCGTCTGAAATGGTAAGTTTTTCTACGGAAAGTTATCGGCATCTGTTTTAAATCAAAAGAACTACGATGGTTCGTACTCTTATTGCACATGGACTTTGCTGCGGCTCCTCACCAAAACTACCCAGAACGCGTACGAAGTCTGTTACGATGTTTGTGAACGGGGGAACCCGATTGCGTGTCTTCCTCGGGCACTCTTGCAAAGACGGCAACCCGACCATCAGTCCGAGAGTAGCCCAGAAGGACGTCAAATTTGAGGCGCATCACCTCTTCGCTCTGGTTGAGCGATTGAGCATGTGACGCTCTCTGTTAGATGTGCAGGGTGTATATCGGGATATAGGCGGGGTAGAATCCGTAATACACCGCTCTGGGCATAAATACGCAGGGCGGGGAGCGATGTTTTGGACACGAAGACCATCTTTCGCCCTTACCGACATGATGAAGTCTTTGGTATCCGTCGCTGTCGCTCTCGCGTTGAGCACGCCTGCTCTCTCAGTCTCCGTCTGGGGACAGTGCGGAGTGCGTTTTGTCCATTTCCTTGTGGGCCAGTGGCTAATCAGAATATGTATAGGGTCTGGAATACTCTGGATCCGCTGCTTGCGATGCCGGTGCTGCTTGCGTTACCTTGAACGAACGTTCGAAAACCGTTTACTTGCTCGAGAAGCCTGTCTCTGACGTCCTTGCCATACAGACTACTCGCAATGCCAACCCAGCTCGCCCTCGACACCCAGCTCGCCGTCCACTACACGTTCGGCACCCTCTTCTGCTGACAGCGTCTGCTCTGGGTCGCGCACTAAGTTTGCGTACTTCGGCGTCAACGAGTCCGGTGCTGAATTTGGAAATACTGTCATCCCGGGGACCCTGGGCACAGACTATACCTGGCCTTCCCCTAGCAGTGTCGATGTACGCAATTTCTCAAGCTTGTTTGCAGCACAAGGGCGAGAGCTGACTGGGTGTATTTGAAGTACTTCATCAGTGCAGGGTTCAACACATTCCGCATTCCTTTCTTGATGGAACGGTTGAGTCCTCCTGCGACTGGTTTGACTGGATCCTTCGACTCCACCTACCTGAGCGGTTTGAAAACGGTAGCGTCCTCGTTTCAAGCTCAAGATCGGGCAATGGACTTACATTTCTCATCTTAGATCGTCAATTATATCACCGGCAAGGGAGGATTTGCACTCGTAGATCGTAAGAGTATCTCTGCACGTTCAAATTTATTTCACTGATTCAAATATCTCTCTTCTAGCTCACAACTTCATGATTTATAACGGTGCTGCCATTTCCAGCACTTCCGCGTGAGTAGATTTCAGCGACTCTCATCGGCTTAATGTTGACTAGAGCAAATTTAGCTTCCAAACTTGTTCGTGCATATCTCATCTCCTCCGAATGCATCTTTAATTGATGCCGTTATGATATAGGGTGGACGAACCTCAGTAACGAATTTGTGAGCTTGTTTGTGCTATGCATATATGCCGTTTTATTAACACTCATGCTAGAAATCCAATGACCATGTCATCTTCGGTAGGCCGCTTTCCTTCTTCTTAATCTACCAGCTGACAGAATCTACTGGCTCAAGACCTCATGAACGAGCCTCATGATATACCCGCCTCAACCGTTTTTAATTTAGTAAGCGTTCCTGTTTGTGGGATGTAGCTACGGGTCTCATGACTTTGCTCAGATGCAAGCTGCTGTTAATGGTGTCCGATCTACTGGGGCTGGTAACCTGATCCTCGTAGAAGGTACTAGTTGGACTGGTGCATGGAGTGGGTCATTTCCCCAGGGATACCAGGAACAGTTGACCCATCGCATATACTCTAGCTTGGACCACATCTGGTAACAGCGATGTTTTCGGTGCCATCCATGATCCCTTGAACAACACAGCCATCGGTACGTACCTTGGCTTTCCACATGTCTACAGTTTCATCTCAAAGTTATACAGAAATGCATCAGTACCTGGACTCCGATGGCTCAGGCACATCTGCCACCTGTGTTTCCAGCACCATTGGCGCCGAACGCCTTGCCGCCGCGACCTCGTGGCTCCAGGCTAACAACCTCAAAGGCTTCCTAGGCGAAATAGGTGCTGGTTCAAATGGTTCGTATCTGCTAGGCGATTTTAGGGGCTGTATTAACGTGGATGTACTTTTGATCAGCCGACTGCATCTCGGCTGTGCAAGGTGCATTGTGTTCGATGCAGCAGAGCGGCGTCTGGCTTGGTGCTCTTTGGTGGGCTGCTGGGCCTTGGTGGGGAGATGTGAGTAGCATTATTCTAAATTCACGACAGAGCTCACCTACCGTTGATCAGTATTATCAATCTATCGAGCCTCCAAGCGGCGCGGCTATCGCACAGATCTTGCCTCAAGCTCTGGAGCCATTCTTGTAGATGACAACGACCTATTGTTTGCGTATATATTATATTTTTCATGCCGGATGATACAGCCCTTGTGTGAACGGTGACAAGCGCTGTTCACGGAACACCATCAAAATCAATTACCGCCCACCGACCATGTGAAGGCTCAAGACGCCTTATTTTTGTTACCCTGGGGCAGGTTCTTCCCTGATTCGGCACCGTGCCTGTCTTTGACGGAAGATCCACGGAACTACTCAGGTGGCGCGCCAGTGCTCTCCAACTTGGAGGACCATTACCTGAATGAATTCCAACAATGACAGCCAAATTGTTCAGGGAAAGTAAGACTTGCGCGCCTGAGCTAACCCACCCCAGGTCTCCATCATGACAGGTCTGTGGGTTAAACAGCCCGTGCGCGCTCCTGCATTCTAAATGTGTGAGGAATGTGAATGGGATCGGATAGCACTTCCGTAACTCATGACCGCAGAACCTCCATTTCGACCGATCCAAAGGTGTATATAATGGTGCAACACATTCCGAGCGGTCTATCGTCCCTATCTCCTCCGTGGCGAATCACTCCTTGCTGATTGACTGACCATGGCAGGGGGCACAGATATGGGGAACTCTGGACTCGCTTCAAAGCACAGAAGAGCCCTTGCTGGCCAGTCTGGCTGGGTAAGTAAAGTCTAGGACACAGTCAAAATGAAGACAGGTCGGCAGCAATCTTGACACTCTTCTTTTCAGGCGGGGCTTGTTCACAACCGGAGAGTCTTCGCTATAGCTGTATTTGCTTCCCTCGGTGGATTGTAAGTCTTCGAACTGGTCAAATCCCGGAAAGATCACTCAAATTGTAGTTAGACTATATGGTTGGCCCTAGCCGTCCTGTTGTTTCTTCGTTCTTGACAATGTATTCTTCTCAATACAGGATACAATCAGGGCGTGTTCTCTGGTGTATTGGGGTGAGCCTGTTCGTCTCATCTCTCTGGTAATGATGATTAACCCTTGCGAAAGAATGAACACATTCGACCAGAGAATGGCCTCCGCGGTCCTTCACACCGGTACGAAAGGCTGGCTCGTCTCCATCCTCGAACTAGGGGCTTGGTTCGGCGTGCTGGTTACAGGCTATCTTGCCGATAAGCTCTCGAGAAAGTATACTATCGTTCTCGGTGCGTCCATTCTTCGACTTTACGATTCTCATCAGTCACTTAGGATCTCTGTACCGCTACTACAAAGCTGTATGTGTTTTCTGCATCGGTGTCATTGTCCAAACAGCGGCATTCAAACCGTCATCAATATATGGAGGTGCGTTTGTCGTGTTGATTGCCCCTTGGACCAAGATGTATTCCTCGTGCATGCACCACTCAGGGCGATTCGTGACTGGCATGGGTGTTGGTTCTCTCAGTATGGCTGTACCTCTCTATAAGTGAGTTTCCAACGTGGACTGTTCGGGTCAGGGATAGATTCGACCTTGCCACAGTGCAGAGCTCGCGCCGCCAGAGGTTCGCGGAAGTCTTGTCGCCCTGCAACAATTGGCGATCACCTTTGGTATCATGATATCCTTCTGGATCGACTACGGCACGAATTACATCGGCGGGACTGGCGCAACGCAGAGCGAGGCAGCGTGGCGCATTCCAATCGCGCTCCAATTGGTTCCAGCGATTATTCTGGGATGTGGCATTCTTTTCATGCCATTTTCGCCCAGGTACGGCCGTATCATCTTTGAGTGAGAACTAGATACCGATCGCGTTGATTTTCTCGTACTCAGGTGGCTTATTAACCAAGGTCGTGAAGATGAGGCTTTAGAAGTTCTCAGCCGAGCAAGGAACCTCCCTGCGGACGACGACCTTGTGCAAATCGAATTCCTGTCAGTACTATCATCTCGACTGCAGTTCATCAACTCATGGTCGACGAATGATGCAGTGAAATCAAGGCCCAGTATCTGTTTGAACAGGAGATCTCCGCAATCAAGTACCCGCATTGGCAGGATGGCTCGTTCTCCTCGAACTTCAAGCTCGGCTGTTACGATTATCTGAGTTTGCTCAGAACCAAGAGTCTGTCCTTCAGCCATGCCTGTCTTCGAAAGATATCTGATACTTTACGTTTCTTCGCCTCTCAGCCTTGTTCTACCGTGTTGCTGTTTCGACCCTGTCTGCATGATTGCTTCCTCTCTTCCCTGATATTACGCTCATTCTTCCGCAATAGGACGATGTTCTTTCAACAATGGACTGGAGTCAATGCGATTTTGTGGGTCATAGTCTTCACCGCATTCTTCAGTGACGTTTTCATGCTCCCTTAGATACTATGCTCCGAGCATCTTCCAGTCACTCGGGCTCACAGGAAACACCATTTCCCTCCTCGCCACAGGCGTAGTTGGGATCGTGTATGCGCTCTTCAGCTTCTTCGCGTCTCTGTGATATATGCTGAGGCTGTTGACAGGATGTTCATCGCAACTATTCCAGCCGTCATCTGGGTCGACAAAGTAGGTCGCAAGCCCGTGCTGATCTCCGGCGCTTTCTTGATGGCCGCGCAAGTATCTACAAAGTCTCTGCGGCCGTCGTTCAGCGGGCTGATTTCCGCGCAGGTGCCATCTCATCGTCGCCGTGCTCACTGGTCTGTACGAAGACTCTTGGGTCAAGTGAGCCGGTTTAGCTTTTTGCTATGATATCGCCGAAAACACTGAGACGCTCTCCTGTAGCCATCGTGGTGCGTTGAGCACAATCCAATCGACCGCGCGTCGACGATGACTCACTGGCAGTGTGCGCGATTCCCTAGCTGCTGGGTGGGCAGCCTGTGTGATGGTCTGGATTTTCGCCATGGGTGCGTCTGCGAAATCATAAAACGCATTACATGCATGGCTGACGATCGAGGACCTAGGTTTTGGCTACAGCTGGGGTGAGAGATTCTCTATGCTTCTTGGGGGCGTCTAGGTGCTGATTGTGTATTCTGTGCAGGTCCTTGCGCCTGGATCCTCGTCGCGGAAATATGGCCCCTGAGTGTGCGCGGTAAAGGCATCTCCATCGGTGCCTCGTCCAACTGGGTGAGCATTGCTATTGCCTGCAACGGGCGCGAGGGTGACCCGTAGGCTCGACTACTGACGACCTGCTTCGCAGATGAACAACTTTATCGGTAAGCGTCTCTGCTCATGATGTCCTCATGAATGGACGATCCCGACAATCGCGCTGTGGTTTTCAGTCGGCCAAGTGACCCCTACGATGTTGAAGCACCTCCGCTTCGGCACGTTCGTCTTCTTCGGGGTACGTGCGGGCATCCTACCCGGGCCCAAACGCGCGGCTCCTCGTTCCCGCTGACGATCGCCCGCCCCGCTCCGCCCCCGCAGGTCTTCTCCTTCCTCGGCGGCGTCTTCATCCTCTTCTTCGTAAGCACCCCCTCAGCCCGGGTCTCCCCCCACCCCACCCCCACCGCTCTCGGCCGGCTCACGCTCACGGGACCGCCCGAGACTAGGTGCCCGAGACGAAGGGCCTCACGCTCGAAGAGATGGACGAGGTCTTCGGCGACGTGGACGGCATCTCCGCGCGCGACATGGAGCGCCAGGCGGCCATCGCTAGGCGCATTGGGCTCGACGCGTTCGTCGCGGGCGAGAAGGTCGACCGGTTCGAGGTCGACGACGGCGGCGTCGCGCGGGAGAAGTCGGGGGCGTAGCGCTGTCGAGTCGGCCGCGGTAGGACTACAGAGTGCTACTTGCCAGGTCATCGGGGGGGCGGAACGGGGAGAGTGGGCGGGGGTCGGTGACGAAATTTGATGACCGTGATGCCGCAGCAGGCCGCTGCCATCGCTGAAACGTCTTTTCTTCTTCTTTGTTCTTTTCTTGGGTCTTTTCTCTCTCAATGCTTGTAGTCCGCGACTCTGCCCAGCGCTAGTCTTGTATCGCGTCTTTTGTTCAATGCCTGTTGTCTCGCTCAATATCATCTCTTCGAAACACGACATGAAGCATGCGCCAAAAGACTCGGATGAACGCATTCTAAACGTCGGGCTTTCTCTTCATTCGTTTCGACTAGCAGCGGCACAACACTGGTCGTTGGTACACCCGCAACGTCTGTTTCCAACAATCGAGCCGCAGCCGTACGCTGTACTCGTACATACCCCTCAAAAAACATACACTACCCTCTGAAAACTTAAAGCCCGTCCCATTCACTCGCAAAAACAGCATCAAATGAAACGAACTCGACCAGAAAAAAAAGACACCAACGACACACGGTCGAACAAAACAACTGAATTGGCAGCGAGAAGGTAATAAAAAAAAAGGACCGGAATAACCAAACGATGAATGGCTGGGTGTGTTTATGTGTATGTATGGCGTGGTTGGGGTGGAGTGGAGTGAAGTCGAGTCGAGCGTGACGATGCCCCTGGGACAGTTGAAGATAGGCAGACGGTAGAGTGCACAAAGACAAGGGAGAGGGACAAGCAGGCAGGGATTCGAGGATGAGTAGGATGGGGCGGGACGGGTGGGAAGGGGGCAGTATGATGCCTATCTTATTGCTCGGAGAGAGATGAGGAGAGAGCAGACGCGTTGTGTTAGGTTTGGGATGAGGGTCTGCGATTAGACGCAGACAGGAGCAGACGGGTCATAACAGCCAATACTCGGATGACGCATGGTAAGGCGTACTGTATGCCCTGATGTGCGGCCACCAGAGGTGAACATTCTGAGAAGGGCGAAAGTTCGGTACAAGGAGGAGGAAAGGCCAAGCGAGATCGCCAAACGGTGCGCGGGGATCAGCCCGCATTTTCGGGTTCGCAATAAATATGTATGTTGCGGGACGTCGGCGGGCACGGCGGACTGGGTCGTTGCATTATATCAAGCGTTGCGATCGAGCTACACCCCCTGCGGCGTCGGCTGCTGCACGGGCAGGTGTGGGTGCATGTCTCTCGCCTGGCCCTGGATATCCTGAAAATTCGCGGCGCGGTGAGCATCGACTCGAGGCGTACGATTACACGATAAGAGGGAGCGCGATCATCGCCTGCTCGCCCGTCCGCCCGCCCGCTCAAACGTATCGCACGGAAGGCCGAGACCATCGATGGAACGGCCATCGAAGAACGCGAAGACTTACCACGCGCTGTTTCTTCACCGGCCGCGGCCTCGCGCCCGGGACACCGGCCTTCGAGGCCCCCACGGGTGTCGGCGCCGACCCGTTTTTCATCGGCCCCGCACCGTTCGTGGCGAACCCTGGGCCCTGGGTGTTCGCGTGCGATATGCTTTCCTCGTGATCACGCTTGACGCCCCTCGATTGTTGGTAGTGCTGTTGCTGCTGTTGTTGCTGAGGCAGGACTGGGGGCGGTGGGCGTGCGGGGGTCGAGGACCGATGGGGCGTGCTGCTCCGGGCGCGAGCTGGGGCGGGTGGCGTTGGTGCGGCGGCGGCGACGGGTGTGGATATAGGATTGGCGAGTGCGGTGGCGCCTTGTGCTTTGGCGAGTTTTTTGAGCTCTTTCTGTGAGGGGAGGCGCGATAAGAAGGGGTGGATGACGACGATCAAGGAGAGTCACGCACCCGTTTCTTCCTATCTTCGCGGGCCTGCGTGGACTCGAGGACAAGCGCATGGATATTCCACTGGCATCGGGTGCATGAGAGGGACGATACGCAGAAGGGACAGCGGTGGACGTACGCCCTTGAGACCTTCCAACGAGACGGAGAACGCATCGCGCTGTGTGCGCAAGTCGAACGGGGCGATTGTGATGCGCTGCTTGGGCGGAACCTGGATGATGTCGGTCAAGAAGTCGTCCTTCTTCATCGAGTGACGACCTGGGAGCGGCGGTGGCGCGGATCAACATCGGGGATCGGGGATCAGGGAGGGCGGGACAGACGCACCAGGGATGCCCTTGATGAGGTGCTTATAGCTATTCTTCTTCTTCTTTCCATCCTTCCCGTCGTCGTCGTCTGCGTCGGGCTGTGCGCCGGGGCTGAGGGCGTTTGCGGGCAAGGGTGTTTCTGGCTCGCGCTCTCTGCCCTTGCCCTTGTCCTGCGCTGGTGCCGTGGCAATGGCGGTGGGTGCGGGCGTTGGGGGGTGGTTGGAGGATTGGCCATCGACGGGGGCAGCGAAGGGGCGGACAAACTTGTCGTACGCGGGGAGGAGGTTGAATCGGGAGATGAGGTCCTGTGTGCTGGTGAGGAGGGGAGGTGGTTGTGGAGCCCCTGCGCGCGAAAGAAAACAGTTAATTAAGCGAGAGGTCGGCGGCGTGAAGCGTACCTGGCGGGGGGAGATAGAGAACGGGGAAGTGCGGGTGTGAGGAGGGGCCAGCGACTGCGTTGGTGTGCACGGCGGGGGCGGGAGGGATAGAGGGGTCGTCGACGTCCATGCCGGCGAGGAGGAATGACGAGACAAGGGACCGTGACTGAGCCTCTGCCACCGCGGCCAAGTCGGGCACTCGGCCGGCGACTCTCACATCAGCACAACACTCCGGCCCGAGCACCGGCACGCGTGGGTGGCGGAGCCGGCGGAGGCAGATGGGACGGCGGTTAGTCAGCTGGGGCGCCCCACGCGTGCTCGAGCGGGTTTATCTACGGTACAGCGGTTCTCCTTCCGCTCGTTTGGCATCGCCATTTGGCCTCCCGCAGGCCACGTTCCCACAATGTATAACTCCTCATCCGACCCCCTCGACCCTGCTCACCCTTTTGACCCCATCATCTCCCCAGATCTCTCTACTTTCTCTCCTTCCCACCCTCACTCCCGCGTCAGATCCACAACAGCCTCTCAGATAAGGCCTTCCACCACTGGACATCGTGCCATGGACGACCCCATACAGGAGCGCCCGCGCTCAGTCTCAGAGTCCGACCCTTTGCTCGGCAGCGAACGTCGTGCAAAGAAACCGTTCTACCGTCCGCGTCCTCTATGGTGAGTCCTGACTTGCCGTCGTCTTGTGGCAGGCTATCTCCTTGCCGAGCATAGTGAGCGCATACTTTGCTATCAGCCGCGGGTCATCTCATGCTCTCGGCTCTTGCTTATATGCCTCGGCTCAGCCATAAGATGAGAAGCCTGCGTATATACCGTTCAAGTCGACGTGTACGCGGTTAAATCTCAAAATGGTCAACATGCTACTCGATGTGCCGCAGTACTTCTTCAGTTGCTGTTCTCACGATGCTCCACCATTCCCTGTGGAGCGCAGGCATCCTTTCGACGCGCAGTAGTAACAGCCGTCGTGACTGATGGGGCGTGCATAGCGCTCAGCCCCAGCCTGCCACGAATCACCTCGCTATGGCAGGCAAGTCTGAGTGCTGTTCGGATACCTTCTCGCATGGAGTGGCTATTTTTGCACCCGAAAGCATCTTCTTTCTGGAAAGCTCAAACCTTTTCATGCATCCTGTGCCCCTTGAATAGTCCCCTGTACCTTCTATTCGCTAGAACTTGGTTTGACTGCTACGTGATCTGGCTTTGCTAATATCCCATCCCAGGATAGTCCCATTCGCGATCATTGCATCTATTTCGGTATTTGCTCTTCCTTCTAGAGGCGAGTCGACATCTAACACTTTACAGCGAGGAATGACGCTTGCACCTCGCGTCGAAGTCTACACACAACTCTCATGCAACGCACTACACAATCATTACAACCACACTTCCGGCGACCAAGTTTCCAGTCTATATCTAAATAGTTTATCTTTTGCCGGATCACCACCCACGCCGCTCCCTATCAACTTTCCTCTGACTGGCGCTCAGGATGACAGCGAGGACGACGACAGTGATGACCCTCGACGCCTTCCATCACAGATCTGCCTATCCGATCCCGCAGTGCAAGCCGGTGCCGCGCGCCTGCAGACAATCATGACCACTACTATGGGTGTGCTGAGCGCCGTCACGACCGGTTGGTGGGGCCGCTTTGGCGAGAAGCACGGCCGAACGAAGGTCCTCGCTGCCTCGACGCTCGGCCTGCTCCTCACGTAGGTCCTCGTGATTTCTCGTCCCGTCTCGGCGCTCAGTCTGGTTCTTACGACGCAGCGATCTGGCTTTTATTCTCGTTTCGACGCCCTCTTCGCCGCTTTCTCACCACGGCCACAAGCTCCTCTTGCTCTCTCCGATTTTTGAAGGCCTCCTCGGGGGCTGGTCGACCCTCCAAGGCGCCACTTCCGCCTACGTGTCAGATTGCACGTCAGATGGGTCCCGCTCGCATATTTTCTCGCGCTTCACCGGCGTTTTCTATCTCGGATTCGCCATTGGCCCTACACTCGGCGCCTTCTTCATCCGGCACCCTCTCCTCAACCCTGACTCCGCCGGCCACCCAGACACAAAGGGCGTGCCGACGGTGACGACCGTGTTCTGGATCGCCATCATGTGCAGCTGCGCCAACCTTCTCCTTTCGGCGTTCGTGTTCCCCGAGTCGTTGGGCAAGGCAAAGTTGAAGGCTGCCAGGAAGGCGTTTGCGGCGTCTTTGACCGCCGTGGACGACGGGGCCTCGCCTTCGGGCGATAGTAAACAGCTGAGGGGCGGCGTGGTGGGTTTCGTGGTGGGGTTCTTCAGCCCGTTGATGGTCTTCGCGCCTAGGAAGACGGATATGGGAGGTAAGAGCCTGAGGAAGAGACGGGATTGGAGCTTGACGTGGCTGGGATGCGCTTTGTTTGCTTATATGCTCTCGATGGTCGGCCGGTTTCTTTTGTGTCATCGGGGGGAAAGTGGTACTGATGGCATTGGTTGGTGACATTGCAGGGTGTGTTCCAGCTGAAGTATCTGTATGCCGAACATGTCTTCGGATGGGGTGCTGAGCAGCTGAGCTACTACATCTCGTTCGTCGGGGGCGCTCGCGCAATTCATCTTCTTTTCATCATGCCATGTTTGTGCTCTCACCAGCCTCATTAACGCCGCAATTGGTCTGACCCTACTCCTGTGCGCAGGGCTCATATCCGCCTTCAAGCCTGCACCCGTCGTGACATCCGGCCCCTCCTCCGGCCCCTCCTCCGCAGACCTCCAGCACTCCATCTCGTTCGACCTCGCGATCATGCGCTCCTCGCTGTTCTTGGATATCCTCTCCCACACGCTCGTCTCGCTCCCGCTGACCACGACCTCCGTGTCCTTCACCGGGCTCACGGTCATCAGCTCCTTCGCGTCCGGGATGCTCCCCGCCGGCCAGAGCCTCGCGATCTGCATCATGCAGCGGAACGGGTTCGGCGAGGAAGGCCTCGGCGCGCTATTCGGCGCGATCAGCGCGCTGCAGGCCGTCGGTCAGATGATCCTCGGGGTGCGTGTTATCCTGGCGCTTCCTGTCTATCTGTCTATCTTTGCGCGCGGCTGAACGCCTCGTGTGGGGAACGCCCCTCCGTTTTGTCTGTTTATAGCCCCTTCTGTTCGGGATGATCTATTCGAGCACCGTCGCGCGCTTCCCGCAGGCGATCTTCGTGCTCGCCTGCGGCCTCGTCGTCTTCTCGCTCTCCATGCTCCTCCTCATCCGCGCCGACCCTACGCAGCGCGCTGCCGCCTCCACCGCCGGACCGAGGGCGAAGGCCGCCGCGGGTGCGAAGGGTAAGGGCAAGGCGAAGGCGAAGCTTGGGAAGCTGCGTATTACGGACAAGCCGGAGCCGGAGCGCGGGAGGTCGCGCGCGGTTAAGCATGTTGGGGACGGGCCGAGCGCGAGCCAGAGCGCGGCGAGCGTGTCGGAGGCGGGCCCGAGTGTGAGTGCGAGTGCGGCGACGGTCGCGGCCGCGGGCGGGTCGTCGGACGCGGTCTGAATCCTGTGTTGTCGAGCCAGCAGGACGAGGGGCGACGTTGATTATAGGTGACGGGTGCGTGTGTATGATTAGACGGCTATGTACAAAACGGTTATGCGGAGGATCTTTTTGGTTATTAGATGGCGGGCTGTATACTATTATTCTCAGTTAATTTTATTGTATGCAGATGTACAGCACATACGATTCCAATGCGACGAGCACCATACCATGATGAGTAGTACCGCGCTGTGCCGAGTTCATGAAGTCTATGAATAGGCGAGTTTTGTGACTTTTCCCGAAAGGGGACACTCTAGGTACCAAACGCTGTCCCTGAAACTGTGCGCAAGATAGCAAGCCTCGACATAACGCAGCTTGTGCTCCTGGCTCCAGATACCCGCCATACTTATTCACGACGCGACGAACTGACGCCAGCTCCTCCCCATGGCGAGCCCCGCGTCCGTGCAAGCCATCGCCGACCGGGCCGAGATACACAAGTCTTGCAGGTCGCTCGAGAACATCGTGAACCTCCTGAACGACTACTGCGAGGCCGCCCGCGCCGTGGTCACGCTCCAGAAGAAGCTCTCGAAGGCCCTCAAGGACGCTGCGGGGCTGAAGGCTGCGGGCGAGGTCGCTGGTGCGTGGCGGTTCTCTTCGGCGGGGCGGCGCCTGGTCGTGTTGAACGCTGACTGCGGAACGGCGCTTTGACTTTTTTGGGGCTTAGCGAACGCGCTGGGCACGAGCGCGAGCGTCTTCGAGGTGCTGTCCGACGTGGACGCGAAGTTCGCGAAGCTGATCGATAGGGAGTGCGACGCCGTCAGTGGGGAGGTGAAGAAGTGGTTCAAGAAGCTCGCCGTGAGTGCTCCCGTTCCTCCGCGCGCGCATGACGTGACGATGGCGTCCGCGCGGCATGGCAGAAAGAGGAGAAGCTGCACGACGAGAAGATCACGAACGCCAACGCCAAGATCAAACAAGCTGGTGCATCCCTCTCTCTCTTTCTCTGTCACGGCCGTGGTGCGACGTGCTGAATCTGGACGGACAGGTCAGCTGTACGAGAAGAAGGTCAAGAAGAACAGCTATGACGCCGTCGAGGAGCATGCGCGCTACATGCACCTGCTCACGTCGATCGGGCCAGAGGTATCACAGGAGAAATAGTAGGTCGATCGTGCTCGTCGTCCAGATGCGAGCTCACAGTGTCTGCAGCAACCATTCTCTGATGGTCAGCCAGCGCAACACCGCCATTACATACAGCGTGGCGGCGTGTCTGTCACGGGTCGCCGACGCCGAATGGCTCCGCTCGACTGAGGACGTGCGCCGGTTCTCGCCCTTGGTCGGTCCTCTGGGCGAATGGCGCACTCTTTGTGAAGCAGGGTGGACTGGCTCCCTCCCAGGTGACCTTCCAGATGTCAGTGCTCCTCCGGAGCGAACGCAGCCAAGACCAGCAGAACCGGTGGACCCCCTTTATTCTACCGAGCCTTCCGGCAAAGATCAAGGTATTTTTGCTCGATCCCGTGAAAGTATCTCATGCGCTCATGCTTGGTCCAGGGTCCTCTCCTCTGTTGCCTCAACGTGCTCCACATTCGGAGCAATCAAATTCGGACACTCTTTCGAGGCCTTTTCCCTCTGTGGAGGGAGACAAAGGGAATCGTTCGCTCACTTCTCTGGCGTCTCTCGCCTCATTCCCGACGCCTCCCTCGCATTTCCCGCTGCCTCCGGTGTCTGGCAGCGGCCCTCCTTCCCCGGTTCCTCCGTCTCCAATCAAGCAGCATATCGCCACCCCTCCTGAATCCGTCAGACAACCAACCCAATCCCAGTCTCGGACGTCTTCGGACATCTCTCATTCCAGTTCTGCTGCCGCAGGTGCAAGCGGTACATTGCCGAGAGTGCTCGAATCCCACCGCGAGGAAAAGGTCAGTGAAGAATCGACCCCGGCCCTGACGGACGGCTCGTCCTCCCCTGCGACTCCTCGAGAGGTGCCGCCGACGCCGTCGAATACTAATGCCAGAATCTCGGAAGAGAAGATTCAGGGACGCGTAGGATTGGGCATCGGTGTATCTGCGAATGAGAAATCTATGCAATCGCTCGCAGCTGGTGAAAAACATGATTCGGCGAAGGCCGTGCAACCCCCTTCCGACGCTACGCAAACAGCTCAGGTTGAAGTGTCTCAGAGAATGGACAAGGCTTCGGCACCCAGCAACTCCCGTGCAAGCTCTTATACCGTGGTGAACACGTTCAAGAAAGGTGATTACCTCGACGAACAAGAGTTCGGCGTCGAGAAGGGCGGGAACGATGCACAGATGAAGACGAGGAGTTTGGACGCCGCTCAGTCGAGGCGGGTCGAAAGGACGGATACGATGAAGAGCAGCGGAAGCGTTGTCGCAACTATGAGGGAAAAGTACGCACGATCGGTATGTGCTGTCAGATCTTTCTGCGCTTCTATGCTGGATTGACTGGGCTGTAGACGGGGCCCGCGTCTCCTCCGCCGCGCGATGTCCCTCGGTTGCCTCTCAGCGTGACCAACCTGGCGAGCAAATACCAAACGATCAGCGAATCTTCGGGTCCTCCCTCTCCGCAAAAGCGCGCATTCTCGCCTTCCACAGATCAGCGGCAACCTCTTGATATCCTACCGCCCCCAACGCCCTCGCGCGCGGACCACCGTTCCCTCGTCCCGCCCGGGACGCCGACCTCGGCTGCTTTGGACGACATATCCCGACGGCGCCAGCGTATCGAAGCGCTCGAAGAGCTGGAGCGGCGTGAACAGATCCTCGAACTGCGCGCGCGCGAACGAGAGCTGGATCTGCGCGCGCGCGAGCGGGATCGGGGCCGTGCCGGCGAAACGCTTCGGGGCAGAGCAGAAAACGGATACACCAGCGACACGTCCCCGTCGAGACAGCCCATGCTCACCCACCGGCCCTACTCTCAGGGAACCGTCCAGAGCGCGCACCTGCCCCCGCCATCGCTCACCTCCCGGTACTCGCACAGCACCACCAACCTGCACAGCAGCCACTCGTCGCTCCCGCCTCCGAGCCCGATCAGTCCGCGGATGATGCGGCGCTCGCCCGAGCCCGTGCACCCACCCAACTGCACCTGCCCCGCGTGCACCGTCGCGCGATACGCCGCGGAGCCCGCGCCCAGCATCCGTCCCCCTGAGAAGCAGAAGACCGGCTGGAGAAGGCGGCTGAGCATGCCTGTCATGATGGGCCTCGATTCGAAGAAGGACAAGGGTGCGTACGCCGTCGGCGCCGGGATCGCGAGCAGCAAGAACTCGCCCGGCGGGGTTGGGGGATTGGACGCCGCCAACCGCAGCGTGGCGAGCTTCGGTCGGCGGTGACGTGACGTACCACTTTTGCACCTGGACTTGATTGCTGTGTTGTGTTAGCTTTGATACCCCCCCCCCCTTTTTTTTCACTGTGTTTTGGAAGTTTGCATCGCACGTCTTGTTCGATCGAGGTTTTACTTTATGAGCTTTTCTCCTAATTTGCTGGTGTTCTATCAGCGGATCTTGCGTCCCCCAAATGGTTTCTTCTCTAATTTTTTATGGTCCCCTAGTCACGACATGACGATGATCAGCTTCGAGTTGTATAGTACTATACACTTCGTCTACGAAGAAATTATGACATAGCCTTGGTTCGTACCTTCAGTGTCTGCCATACATTCAAGGGAATTATTCGAATGCAAATGTCAAGTGCGTACACTTTGACGTCACAAAGGTGCGTTCCCAATGGGCGTGCATCGGCGTTGCGTCAACTGTCGAGTGTGGCAGTCCCTGATCGGAGTCGAGTCCGGATTCGCAAGCGCGTTGATTACCACAAGTATTTACAATATATATCACAAAAAAAAAATCCATAGAAATGTCCACTCAACCGCTAGGTATGTGCATCTCCACGTCCGTCATTTGGTAGGCGGAGTAGATGTAGATCACGCCGAAACAGAGGAAGAGCGCAGCTCCACCGAGTGTGACTATGAGGTTGTGATGGTAATGAGCTGTTTGCGGGAACAATAGAAACACGTAAAAAGGGCATACCATGTTTTGCGGAGATCTTGGTGGCAACATAACGGCCTGCAACGACTGCAAGCGCCGTACAACATGAATGGCCAATAATGGTGCCGATGGTGACGAGGTAAACGTTCTGTCCGCCTCGACGTCTCAGAATCCATCACCAGGATGGCAAACAAGGCGAACTCACATGTGCCGCCGCAAGTACAATGGTCGCAATTTGGCTCCTGTCTCCCCATTCGCCGAGGAAGGTCAGCGCGAACGCTTGGACGAACACCGGACCCAGGATGTAGCTGCACAGATTCCGGACGCCCTGGACTGTTTGCCGCAGCGGGGAATTCGAAACTGGCTCTTTGCTGATCGATCTCCGCCGCGCATGCCCGTTCGCGACCCCATTCGCCGCCCGCCCGCCCTCCTCGATCTCCTCCAGCGGAATGACGCTTCCGCCGTTCTCGACCCTCCCCGTCCCATCGTGCTCGGCCTCATCTCCTTCTATTTCCTCCTCCGCTTCCCGCATCTCCTCCTGGATTTCCTCGTTCCCGCCACTCATCGCCCTGCCCTCCAAGAACATCTTCACGCCAAAGGCGAGAAAAAGCACCGCCGCCACGGCCTGTGTCCACCGCTTCGGAATGAGACTGGGTAGTATGTGGCCTAGCGCCGCTGAGAGGATGGACATGACGACGAGAGAGCCAAAGGCGCCGGCGAAAACGACGCTGCGGGGGTGTCGCATTGCCAGGATGGCGGCTATGAGGAATGTCTTGTCACCGATTTCGGAGAATATGATCATCGCGAACGCCTGCACAAATGCTTCAGCGCGCCCCTCGACTGGGGGGACGGTGCCGTCGTTCATAGCCATTTAGCGGTGGCCCGTGTGTGTGGTGGGAAGTTGTGCACCGCCAGGAAGCTGCTGAGTTGTGAAGTGGCGGATCCGGCGGGGTGTGGAGTATGAGCTGGTGAACTGAGGGGGTGGTTACGGCGGTTCAAGTGCAGGTCACGGGAAACATGGATAGAGAAGGGAGTGCGGGAGAGAAGAGTGATAGCTGATGATCTGCGAGCTATATATGCATGGCGGCACCGCGTTGAGGTGTTTGTGAAGCGCGCAGTTCTCTCCGAACTTCGGGCGCGTATTTTATTCCCACCCCGCGACTCCGTGCAAACATCGTCCTTCCTCCAATGACGGGTGCGGGGTTTCGCGCTGTCTCGTTCAGTCGTACTCTTTTCTCTAGCATCGTGTCCATTTCCGGCATACTCTGTGTTCAAACGTTGCGCCGTGTACGGTGATTGAACATCATTGCGGCTTTCTCCATCTCGATATCCCCAATAAAGCCCGAATCAATACACTTCCGCATGGTGAAGACCGTAAGTTTTCCACAGGAACGCGTCGGATCCCTGGAGCTTCCTTCCTTCAAGGTCTAGTCCCCATTGACACCGCGTTACTTTTAGGGTCATTATGTTTATTCTTGCCACGATCTCAGCTGAATCTATAAATAATATTATATAAGTTCGACTCCCACAGGCACCCGAAAGACGTCTTTGAGAGGATGGCCGGATGACCTCTCACGATCTTCCCCTCCAGGCCAGCATTCGACCTGACTGCGGACTCGTGCACGCGTCCACCGCGCTTCATTTTTAGCTTTTATGGACTCAATCGGGTTTTGCGGAATCAATGCTCAACTAGCATCTCACAATGGTTAATTTGAGGGGCTGCACTGCCCTTGGGATGCTACGTATTCACGCGAAGATATGCATGATCCTACCGGGTTAGCTATGGTATGTTCTGTTGATTTGCAGTAGAAATATCTTCTGACGTCGGTGTACATAGTTTGATGACGATGATTCGCCGTCAACAGCAACATAGTCGGTAATGGCCCATGAAACTCGAGAACTTCCTCTCACCTGACGAGTCACGACAGTCTGCGAGGATTGATATAATAAAGGCCGGGGTCCATTGCCGCCTCTAAGAAATTACAGACATTTCAATCACAGAGCTATTGTGTGTGATTGTTCCGTGTCTGTGTCAAGCCTCAAGGTCTAACAATTTCACAGCTTTTATCTTTATCGAGATTTTGGTCCATGTGTTGCTCGTTGTCATGCGACGTGGGCTCTCTCGGAACTTGGCACTTTCATTATAGCTTGAGCGCTTCCACAAGCTCTTGTTTATTATTATTACTTAGATTCGAGATGGCGATATGGGGCTAACCTCGACGGACAAAGCACATTTCACAACTAGGTTTCAGCCACAGCACTGCGCGAAACTGATCTTTATTCTACAGTGATCATCTGTGCCCGCTTTATCTTGGGACAGCGCTGTGATTGGTATACTGATGGATCTCAAACCGGTCGTGACCTTCCCCTCTGTGCTGCTTTCCTCTTCGGCTTACTGCCGAAAATGTTGACGTTCATTGAGGATGCTTAACATCTATGCCTCTTCCAAATATCGTCGCGATCCCAAAATTCCTTTCACACACCTTACGCCCAAACCTGATAATAGTCAACTGATGCGGAAGACCACGGTTGGGTTTTAGCGCATTCACTTGCCGTGACTCATCATGATCAAGGTGTGATAGGATCATTCACAGTTTGTCAATCAGAGGCACTGTATGAGACTGAAGATACTTTGGCTATTGGGTGGGGCATCATTACGCTCATGCGTAGACCCCATAATTACCGCGTGTAGTTCACTACTCAGATAGGCCACTTTTCGCCTCACCACCTCCACAGCATACTCGATGGCGATCTCTGTCATAAAAGCTGAGTTCATCTCATTGTTTCTCCAAACTTTTATGTATGGTGAGTGCTACTCACTTTACCATGTTGTCCCGCTATTGATCGCTCTCTTAGGTATATTTTTTCCGTTATGCGTGATTACAATCATCCTCCTTCTCCGTGTACGCCAAGGCACAAACACCGAGCGTACGCTGCTCCCTGTTGCAGTTCTCATGCTCGTCATAGCTACCACAGTCCGTGGCTCTCTCGTCTACCTCACATTTTGATGCTGACCTCGCTTAGCATATAATCATAGACTTCGTTCGAGCATTCAACGCCTATGTACTTCACCCAGATGAAGGCCCAAAGAGCGTCGCATTATACTACAGCAATTTTGCTGATCCGACTTTCGTCGTCAAAACTACGTTATACTGGATTCAGACAATGCTCGGGGACAGCGTCATCGTACGTACCGAGTTTCTCCATCTCAGTGCACCGCTTTGCTCACGATCCTCGAGATATGGCGGTGCTATGTTGTTTACGACAGACATTATAGAGTCGTCCTCCTCCCATCAACTCTTTTTGCTGCTGCATTTGGTGTGTACTCTGCTTGCAAACCATATTCTAGAACGTACTCAAATAAACTCATCTCGGTTCTCCGATGAGATTAGCATTTGGAGTCATCATCCTACGAACGTTCACTCATTTCGTCCGAGGAGCTACGGTGTATGAGACTGCACATAAGTTCATCACTACTTTCTTCGTCCTGACGATGGTCATCAACATCTACTGCACTTGTACGTTCGACTTTGCTTTTACGGTGCCCCACTCATCGGTTGTGGCTAGCTCTAATTTCTTGGCGAATCTACTCTACGGGTCGATTTCTTCCCGCATTTGGGAACCTGGTACCCGTCATCGTAGTTATCATAGAAAGCGGTGCAATCTACACTTCTAATCTTATCATTTTCCTGTCAGCATTCTTGAGGTCTGTCTCATTGACTGTGAAAAGCATCACCCTTCTGACGCTGCGTCTAGTCACTCCAACGGCCAAACCATCCCTCTCGATCTGATAACACCGGTAGTGGTGAGTCTGATCGATTTCAGCTCGGGAAACTGATGTCCGACTATGTCTTTGAGCTCAGGGTATAGTGTTCTGTCTGATCATCCTTCAAGTGAGGTATCACTTCGGCATGCGGTCAGGCAACAGATCGAGTGGCAGACGTGATGTCTTCCAATCTACGTCGCATCTCGGACAATCGACATACCAAAGCTCGCCTCGCGTGATAGAAATCAGGAATCATACTGAGAGGTCGTTCTCAGAAGATCCAAATATAGAACTAGGGCTGGCAGGAAAGGGGGTAGTGTCGAACGATCCCGTGTGATATCAATATTATCTGTACTTCAATGTAGAGTTCAGAAACACTTAGATGCATAAAAGGATTGGAATCGACATAACAGTGTGAATGCGAGTTGGCCATTTTGAACGATTGGGCATGTGTCGTATGATGCTCTTTATGAATCTGAATTACGCAGGATACAATACACAAGCAGCACGACAGCATGATCGACGTGCGAACTATTCCTATAGGTTCCTAGACCACGACGATATTGAATGTCAGTGCTATTGGTAGACAATTCAATCTGTGCGATAATTATACACATCGCTGAGTAATGAGTCTCAAGACAAGCTATGCAACAGCGGGGCGCCTTCGTCCGCGTTCTCTAAGGCTTCTTCAACTCGCTCATCGAGCTCGGGAGACAACTGTCTTAGCTGCCTCTGCATGAGGGTGTAGACAATCCTGAAAGGGAATTCATGAATTGCTAAAGACGCTGTTTTCGTTGCAGTAACTTACCAGCTGGCAATGACGCTGATCGTCAACCCACCCGCGATCAAGAAACCATTGATGATCTTGGTTTCTAAACAGACATGTGAGGATGAAATCGACGACGACATAAATACCGCTCACGAGTGTCCATCTTGTTTCTCTGATTACCATCGGACAAGGCAGCCATTCGCGATCCGATGAAGACATACAAAAGAAATCTTGGGAAAATACAGATAGTAGCCACGACGAACTGCCAGATCGACACAGTTTGGATGGACTGGTAGAATATATATGAATAAAGCGTCATAGAATAACAAGCGTGAAGCTAACCGCAAACAGGGTATTCGAATATACCCAAGGAGGGAACGACGAGACCCGAATAAGGATGATCAATGGAAGGCCCTTGGCATTCTAGCGAAGTATTGTCACGGTGAGCAACGAGAGGAGGGAGGTTCAAGACAAACAATGACTGTCTCGAGAGCTTGCCATTTGTCGTTGCTTGAAGACCATGCACGAAGTTTCTTGCCGAACAAGAAGCGCAAGGCAAGAAATACAGCGGAAGAGCCGATGACGGATGCAGCCGCTGCCAGTGGGAACCCCTTAAGGCCATAGGCAAAACCGCAGACATGAAGCATTGTTGTATGCCCGATCATAGGAGGGATCGAGATGATCACTGCGTCAGCAAAAAAGCAAGTATGAGCATAATCTAGCAGGTATATCCATTGAGGAGAGAACGTCACCGATAACCAGTCCAATTAAAGCCCATCCGAACGGTAGATTGTTCAGTTTCTGGGCTCCATCGTAGAGGAACTGGGCGATACGAGCTGGAGTGACGACAACGATAAAGAGTCCAAGGGCGAGATAGAACAGGAACAATAGGCAGACGAGGATCTATGGGGTGATACTGAGTGACGAATGGCGCAGATGGTCATCGGAGCACACCTTTCCAAAAAGATGCAGCTGCTGAAACCGGTGAAATGCGAGCGCAATGTAGTGCTGGCTCGTTGATAGAAGCCGAGATGGCAGTCCTCTGTCTGCCTTGTTGGTTGGCGTCATGTTGGCGTTGCGCGCTGTCGCAGTCGCGGGGTAGCAGGGCAATTGAGATAAGATAAGCACGTGGCCTTGCATGATGTCATCCCTCTCCCCTTACATCTTGGTCCCGGTTACCTGTTGGCCTCACCAAGGCGCCTCAACATAGATCTTGTACAATAAGACTGTTACAATTCATCATGCACGTTGATGCATGACGAGAACCGAAGAATACAATGATATGTCTACTCCTCTGAATTAAGCACCCGCCTTCCAGTATGCAATATCCCCATCCACCACTAAATTCAACAAGCATCAGCAAATGGTTACAGCAGATCATGAAGAATACGCACTCTCGTAAGGCTTGCCTTGCTGTCGTAGCTTGCCAGCAGCTTTCACCGCGGCTTCGCTGCCATACTCCTTGAGGTCTTCGAAAGACATTATTTCTCCACAGACAAACTTGTTCTCAAAGTCGGAGCTGTGCGAAGGCGTTAGCGCACAGGCGCACCAGCTTCTGATGTAGAGCTACGTACTGGATGACACCTGCCGCCTGGGGTGCCTTGGTGCCCTTCCGAATTGTCCAGGCCCGGACCTCGACCGGACCACAAGTGAAGTACCGAATCAACTGGGATTGTACGAGTCAGTTGAGAGACGATGCACAGAAATGATAGGCGTACATCAAGACTGGTATATCCGATGTGGGTGATCTTACCAAGCGCGCTCGTAGCGCCGATGTTCTTTTCCTCTTCTGCCTTTTCCTCTGGCGTCGCAAGGTCTGCCAAACGTTGCTCCAAAGAGACCGAGAAAGGAATTAACATATCGCCCGGATTGTTGGTGTCGATCCAAGCCTTGATTTTGGCCAACCTTTCAACTCAAGTTCAGACCTTGCGTGACGATACAGTAGAATGGACTGACCATTTGTTCTTTTTCCGGATATAGTCCTTCTCGCTGAGGTTGACAAGATACGTCACAGGTTTAGCGGTCAATAACGAGAGACTGTTGACAACTTCGATCTGCGATGAACACGATGATCAGAAAGAGTTCCAAACATCGCGGCGACAGTTGAATGGTAGATCAGAATGATAATATCTCTCATGGATCTGGGGCGTTACTCCCTTCTCGACGAGCTGGGTTAAATCGAGTAAAATAACTCTTTATCGTCATGCAAGCGGGCTTGTCTAACAGTCCGATTGTGGTTTTATATAGAACATTCACCTAGAAAGAAAAATCAGTTAGTACACAGTTTAATGTTATTGAGTGGAACAGAAAGCGTGGTATTGGTTCAGAACGAAATTTATCTCATGGCAATGGGGCGTTACTCCCGCCTCAACGAGCTGGGTTAAGTTCGAGCAACAAGCTCTTTATCGTCATGCAATTGTAAAGGAAGACCGTGAAGGGCGGCGAGAATACGGAGTTCAAATTTACCTGGAGGAGCAATGAATTAGTATGCGGTATGAGGGATCGAAATAAGGATGGAAGCAAAGATCAGAATAAACAATTATCTCAAGGACATATGGGGCGTTACTCCCGCCTCAACGAGCTGGGTTAATTCGAGCTGAAAGCTCTTTGTCATCGTGAAATAGAAGAGTAGGGAGCAGAATCGAAAAGTGATGGACGAACCTCTTTATTTGTCCAGTCACCTTTCCGAACATCTTTCTTCTCCTCGGTCAACATTTTCAAGACTTTCTCCACGGTGGCCTATGGGCACGTTAATATACCACTAAGGACAAGAAGAGAGTCCTTACGATTTCTTCCTTCTTCGCTTTGTCAGCCAGTGAATTGTTACCCAAGGACCGGCCGGTCTTCTTGTAGCCCTCTAAAGCTTTCTGCACCCAATCGATATCTTTGAGTCGTAGTTCCGTTTTGATAATCTCCATGTCGCGTATAGGATCGATGTCCCCTTCTACATGTATGACTTCGGCATCATCGAAGGCGCGGACAACTTGAAAGATACCGTCGACGGCACGAACGTGTGACAAGAAAGCGTTCCCAAGTCCCTCTCCTGCTGAGGCACCCTAGATACATGAAATCGAATTCCTTTGGAGATGACCTAGATTTTATCAACTTACAGAGACAAGACCAGCGATGTCTATGGTTGTCAAGAAAGCTGGCACTCTTGAACTTGGCTTGTACAGATCACATAACCAATCGAATCGGACATCTGGAACGGGTATCCTCGCTTCCTCGGGTCTGCAAAAAAAATCAACATGTAAATTAAGCAATTTTTTGTCAATTGTACGTACGCAATGGTAGCAAAAGGGTAATTCGCTGCGAGTGAAAGCTCTTTATACCACGATAGACATGGGTAAGACGCAACGAAACCGTTGAGAAGTCATTCGCGCGCACCGGCTTGAGAGAGAAGGTTGAAAAATGACGATTTCCCTACATTAGGCAGACCTAGACACAACGCGTCAGACCGTCAAACGAGTCAACAATAATTTCGGACTGACCTACGATTCCAATCTTAAGATTGTTACTTGGACGGCCGAGGACGACCTTCTTCTCCTGGACGGGGGCTTTTTTGGGAGGCATCCTTTTCTTGACTGAAAGAGGAGATGACGAGGAGAAGTATCTACAGAAGTTGAAGGTACAGCGGGAAGGAGGGAGGGGACGGTGAATGAATAGCAAGCTTGTGGACAATCGATCCAGCATCGAAAAAAGAAATCCGAGTTGGAAAGAGAAGCGGAGTTGGAATAGTCGACAAAATAGGATAAAGTTCCCACGGTCCAGGTGCTTCTGGAAAGAAATCTCCCAGCTGCCAGGTCGTTCTTATATCTGAGCCTTGGATATAGATTCTTGACGCCGACAATGAATAGACTACAGTGAATGACAGTGTGGGTTTCCACATGCATGAGGGTCTCCCGGCGCTTGAGCGCTTGAGTCAGATGCAAGTATTTTTGGAGCGTGGCAATTTCATGGAGCTACCCTGCGGTGAGAGGCGCAGCTACAAATCCGCACCCGCCTTTACCTGCCCTTCCCATCCCTTTTTGCCTCGTCTTTACGCGCAAGCCTCTTGCCTCAGAGGCATCATGGGCACGATGCATGTCTTCATTGTGGTGTTTGCATCCTTCGTCGCTGCAGTATGCGGTCAATTGCTCATCACAACGTCCGACGCGTAAGTCTATATACATCCGATGTAGATCTGGACATCCACAGATCCTCGCCTATCCAGCTTTGGGGATACCATCGTAGAATCCATCGGCATAAACTTGTCTGGTTTACCTACCACCATATTGTGAGTTTCTGGTATTTTTCTACATGATGACGCCAGTTTGCCTTATTTTGTCTGTGCAGGCAAACGCTTGCACCTGGGACAACAAGTATAGCAACAACAACAGCAGCATCAACAGCAGCAACAAGTGCAACTGCGTCGCCGACCTCGTCGATCGCCGCTCTCACTACTCAGCAGCAGGGACCAGTGGGGCAGCCTGCTGCCACAGCCCCTAACTCAGGAGAGACACCTTACACCTACACGACGACAGATGCGAATGGTGCTTATACCGCGGTCGCCGCCATCTTTACCCCTTCGTTCGCCGCGACGCAGCTACCAGTGCTCACAACGACGGGCACTATTTTGGACTATAGTGCATGGATCGGCCTGATCGGCAACGCTACAACTGGCCTGAACGGTGCCTCTACGAGCCAGGGAGCAGCTCTGTCTCGCACAGGGACGGGTTCGTTGGGTGTCATTGTCAGCATCGCAGCTGGTATTATTGGAGGTGCAATGTTGGTGTTGGTGTAGTCGGACCTTAGATGATGGGGCGAATATTTTTGGGCGTTGGTATCTCTGTAGCTGGATCTCTACTAACCCCATGGACAGTGATGTATACTTTGTTATTTCTCCTCGGCCATGTACTCCTTACGATACCTTACGATTATTCTCACCTGTTCATATCAGAGACAGGAGGAAGTAAAACATGTGCATGAACGTACACTTATGTGGCAGACAGTCTGAATATGGTCATGATTAGATCTCAACATCTCAAGACTGCCAAGTTCCATCCCGGCTGTTCTCCTTCCACCGCTTGCAGTCGTCCTGCCATAATGAATCCGATTATAGCGGTGGCCTGCCTCGTCGACACGAGTCTTGTTCTTGCATCTGAATGGGAGAGAGCTTTGGGAGAATACTTGACACCTTTTCTACGCAGACTGGCCGAGCTTCATCAGGGCCACTCTGTACGTTGACCAAACTCACCCTTGTAATACATCTCACCTCCTATACCCCCTAGGTTCGCATGGCTTTGGTAACATGTGGTCCCGCAGATAGTCATTTGAACCCTGTGTGTGCCAAACGGTTCTTTGGGACACCACAACAAGCCATCATGGAGCTACAGGAACCCAAGGGACTTTGTCTTGGTACAACAGCTGCAGGCGGCTCGTCAGGCATAGCTATCCTCGATGGATATGCAGCTGTGATTGAAGTGAATCCCTCCTCTATGAAGTCACTCTCAAGCTGATGGCGAAGGTAGATGTTCGATCTTCTGCGAAATAGGGACGAATACAAACCTCTGCGTCCACACTCTCCCAACTCCTCACCACAAAATGATTCGCAAACCATTTCATCATACATCATACATATGGCTGCGGTACCCCCAGACGTTTCTCGACAACCTCTGTGGAATAATAACCCCGACCTGGATTCCCTTACGTGGGAGACCCTTCCAACAGAGTTACGAAACGTACGTCCACAAATATGCAGCTCATGGTAAGCAACGTACTTAACCATCGCCCTCGTGAATTCTATCCGTACAGCGAAGTATTCATGTCAACATGTTCCTGTTACGTCCCATACCTCAACTCGTCGAGTTGTTCTCCAAAGTAAGTTTTTCATGATTCGCGCTATGCTCAATTAGATCAATTCGAGCAGGTACATACTGGTCCTCGTATTCCCCCAATCTTCAGTACACGGCCTCAACACTCATGCTTGTTATCTGGTTTCCCGACGGGTAAAGGTGTGGTTCCGCACAACCTCTCAACAATTTCCATACTTACAGACATCGACAGGCAAGCGCTACAGCGATAATAATCCGGACCGTTCACCGGTGGCCAAGCGGTCCCGAGTAACGACCTCGAATGTCGCTCAGTCCACTCAAAGCCCCTCGAATAACCCTCCTCATGCAAGCCCTCGCAATGCTCCTGCTCCTGCTCCTGCTCCTGCTCCTGCTCCTGCTCCTGCATCCACCACTCCAGCCGCTTCAGTACCAGTACCAGTACCAGTACTAGCACCAGCACCAGCACCAGCACCAGCACCAGCACCCGTTCCAGCGTCTTCCTCCGCCATGACTGTACCTCCCGCACCCGCGCCAGTAATGACAGGGCCTGTACCCAATCTTATGACCGCCTCTACATCTGCTACATCTATACATTCACAGCCCCAATCTAATTCCGAGCATCCACCAGAATCTCAACCACAAGCATCCTCTTCTGAAGCTCAAGGTTCCAACGGCCACGCAGTTCGACCACCCGCCCTCACTCCCGAGAAGCTACAACAAATCTTTGATCACTTCCGTTCTCTGGATGTGCAGATACAGCAGCTTAGAGCCGCAGCAAATGAGGCTTTCCAGGCGGGCCGTACCGAGGACGCCAACAGGCTGAGAGAAGAGGCGCAGCAGAAGGCCGTGATGTTAGCGAAGTCAAAGAATACGGTACAGAAGATGATAGTAGCGCAAAACGCACCAGGGGTAAACGCTGCGCACTCTCAGGGTTCTGGTCAGAACCAGAATCAGAACCAGGGCCAGGGCCAGAACCAGAACCAGAACCAGAATCAAATACAGAGTCAAAATCACAAGATCGCTGTCACGAATGCTCCTGCAGCAGCAAATGGACTGGTACCGCATAACGCTTCCTCCAATCCCCAGCAGGCCACACCATCAAATAACCTCCCAGTAATGTCAGCCCCAATGCAGCATGCGATAGCTGACGCCCAAGCTTTCGCTCGGATCATGCAAAGTCGGGGTCTCCAGCCGCAAAATCTGCTCAGCGTTGGTGCTTCTCAACCGGGGCATCAGATGCCACCGCAAATCTCGCCTGAGATCACGGCACAGATGCAGAAACTCATGGAGCAGCAGCGCGCACAGCAGCCACAGCAGAATACCCCTCAAAGGACGGGCTCGCAGCCCATAGCTCCGACAGGCGCTTTACAGAACATGGCGGCAAATATTGCTGGGTCAGGTCGGATGGTAAATATGCCCAATAAGTGGCACGGAATGCTCAGCTGGGCAGGCAAAGACACAATAACACAGGGGAGGAAGGAAGTCAAAACAGCAGTGGTGGCAAATGCAACAGCCGGAGAGATGTGAGTCATGATTTCCCTTCTCCCCTTTGACAGTGCTTATAGATACTATCACCTAGACAAGCAGATACTTGGCCTTCGACATTGACTCTTATCCCTACTCAGAGCATAGCGAGTTCCATCCAAGAGCTAAATGAATGGGTACAGCGAAACAAACTGCCCACGGCCTCATTTGAGCCTATTCCAGGCAGTAATTCTAACCAAGCAAGTACTAATATGGGTTACTATCGATCCTTAGTAACGCTTTTGCATGAGAGAAACCTTGTGCGTCCTGTCCCGTCCTTTGTATCACTCGGCTGCGACATCATTGACATACTTGTTCATTACAGTATGCTATAGCTACTTGGGCGCTCCCTGGACAGCAGCCCACAAACAGACTCATCATTGCGCCTGTTGAGAATCGCCTAATTGCGATCGTCCTTCCTACGGGCCCAATACCAGAACTGCCTCAATCGAAGACGGCGCCAACGCTGACGCCGCAACAGCAAATGCAGCGCATTCAGATGATGCAGCTGGCAAATTATTTGCCAGAACATGTTCGTGCCATGCCCGAATCAGAGCGTCGTGTTATCCTTTCACAGATGTTCCATCGCCGCATGCAAGCGCTACAGCAGCCCCCGCCACAGCCAATTCCTTCTCAGCAACCTCATTCGCAAGCCTTCAACAACCGGCAGCAGCAGCAGCAGCAGGCTAGTATGATGATGAACGCCGAGCAAACGGGGGTGAACCAATTCATACCCGGCGCGCAGGCAAATAATGCTATCAACGGGTTCCTCAATGCAGGCCAGATGTCAGGAATAGGAAATAACATCCTGATGCAGCAGGCGATGCAACAACAGCAACAGCAGAGTATGATGGGTATGAATGCTGGTGGGCCTGGAGGAATGAATATTGGTGCGGCAGGCGGTGGGAATGGAGTATCTCAAGAGATGCTACAGTCCTGGATGCAACGTAATGAGGGCGGAGCGGCACCATAAGGACAGGCTCATGGATAATGCGCGATGCATCGATGAACGATGTGAGCATGCACGATATTCTTCTTAGGACGGTCAATTTGCTTTTGGTATCAGCTTAACTTATATGTTTTTTTTGGGATGTTCTCGATTTGTTTTCGATGACTTTTTGGATCGGAGGTGTTGCAGAATATCACGACGAAAATCGATCGCTTGATTTACTCTAGTGAGTATCAATGTCCGCACGTGTAATTGTGGCATGAGCACAACAACAATCGAAACGAAGAAAGACTGGCGAAAAATATAAGCAACGCAGCAAAATTGCCCCCACCGGCCTGGCAGTTGACGATACCTCTTTGGAATGAGAACCTGGTTTCTGAAGCCACAGGCGAACGAGGGAAACTATCGGTCATGATGGATACAGATTGACAGTTGAGCCAAGAGATATGATATAATACATGATGCATTTGATTTCTTCTTACTATGGCCATCTAAGTTCCGGATGCGCTGAAGTTACCTTCCGTGCCCGGAATTTTCTCGTGGTCTGCCAGATTGGCTTGTGTCTCGTACACGGTTATCACCGGTTCTGTTTTGCGCTGCGGGAGCACAGCACGAACCTATGTAAGTTATGACTGAAACGGCAAAAATCGGTGAAGAACATGCCTCGCTCCAATGCCCCAAAAAACCGACGTAATAAATGCGAGTGCTGTCTGCGCCCTGAGACGATGGGAAGAAGAGCGTGATTGAAGAGACATTGGGGAATCTCGAGGGTCTAGATAAAATGCAAGGGCTTATTGTACGATATCCCAAAGGGTAAAGGGAAGGTATTACTTGACTGTGTACTCTCCTGCTTCCCTACCCTGAGGTATAGTAAACTCCTGAGTAGGCGTTTTTTCATTGGCGTCGGAAAAGTCGAGATTGTCCTCATTGGCGAACTGTGATAGTGGATCAGATATTCACAAGATTATTTTCACAGGACAGCCTGAAGGACGATCACAGACCAGAGACACTTTCGCAGGCGTTTGGTCTCCAGGCCCGGTTTTTAACAAAATCGATCGAAGTTTTACGGATCCTGTGAAAGGGACACGTATAATCCTACCTCGATCGATTGAATGATCAATCGTGAGTGCAATGGCAAAATAGAGGACGTACAATTGATCATCTGCATCGGATTCGAGGAACTGGAGGGTGGATTGATAAGAGGCATAAAATGACGATATGTTCCAATGTGATCAATGTTCAGATACTTACTATTTCCTCGTCGAGCCGGTTATTCCATGGCTTGATGACTGCCGATCCCTCTCCTATAGCATTCAGTGCGACGACATTCGAGCGGTCAATATGAATGAAAAGGTTGTCTCGGGGACCACTTTCTTGAATCGAATGGTCGTGGTCGTGGTCATGGTCATGACTCTCGTCGCTGCAATTAGCATGATTGTGATTGTGATTGTGCGACATAGCTTAGGACATAGAGAGCTTTTGAACGATAGGGCTGACTCTGAGCTCGACTCCAATGAATTTCGCGTGATACCACGTGACCTCTGCAGAATATATAAGCGCCATCTTCGTTTTTTCTTCCGTGTCCTTTCTCTTGCTGCTGAAATCGAATATCTGGTTGGAAGTTTCTAGGCATCCTCCACCACTATGGATCACATCTCTCACAATGCTGTAAGTGAGGTTTCTTTACTACATCGCATGATGTGTACTATGTAATTTGCGTTCGATCGTCGTCATCCTCATACCAAAGGGGTGCAATGCCTATGTGCCCTGGGGATGGCGGTATGAGACAATGTTTACCTTGACTGAACTTTCTTGTTTCTTAGTGAACTGTGGCTGAATCTTGTTCTCTTCATATAGGATTCCATTCACTTATGACGACGGGAGAAATTTCGATGACACTATGCAACGCTGGGCTGCTTGCAGGTCGTTTTGATTTCTATTCCATCTGATCCTTTTGCATTCACGTTTTGCAAGTAGCGTGAAATCTGTGAGACGTAGCTTAGTTAGTTTTTCTTATTAAATCGTCATGCATCGTGTCGGTAATATGCATATGATTTTCCGAAGACGATCAGTCCAGCTGTTGTGATGTGACTGTGTCAATCCTGCTACAGCCTACTACAGTATTTAACATGAGTTGAACATTGGATGGACGGCTACGGACGGAGTATGACCAGATGCGATATTGAGATCTTGAGAATCAGAGTGCTGTACTGTGGCTATGAGCCAAAACAACCTTGCAAGCAAACCACCATGAGCGGCGCCGTAAATTCTCCTCCAGAAGATAAGCAGTCTAATACAGAGACTCCAGCTGTACCGGAACCACCGTCCTTCAAGGTGTACAATCCTCCTCGGACCGCTGCTACCTCCCCGCGTACGCATACTCCACATTTGATGATCGGCCTCAAACTTGCACGATCTTCGAACTTCGTACGAAACTACTCCTGACACGTTCTGCCTGTTTACAGGTGATTTGCCGGATGACTACTTCACGCCGTCGGCGGCTGACCTGAAGTTGGCCCAAGCCGCCTTGCACTCGCGGACACAAGCACTAGTCAACGCGCCTTTCCAGACGCGCGCGCTGAGGGAGCAGACAGAGAAGGCGAAGCGAGAGCGCTGGCCCACTGTACGTTGATCCTAAATTCTGCTTAGATTCGCGACCCGACCTCTATGGCAGACAACTATCCGTGTGAGATTCACGGATCGCACGCAGCTGGAGAAAGTGTACCCTTCGACGGACAAGATACGCTCCGTGTACGCCTTCGTGCGAGGCTCATTGAGAGAGGACGTGAAGCCTATCAAGTTCATCCTATGTATGTCTCTCTCCAGCGTTTTTCGCCAACGACGTCTCATAGCTCCCATGAGATAGATCAGAGCCCTCCCAAGAGAGATCTGAAGGTTTCCGATCCCAATGTTCGAGATCTAACACTGGCGGAACTGCAACTCTCCCCATCGTCTGTTTTGCTGCTTCGCTTCGAGGACGAATCGATGAATCGTGAGTTTTCATATGAGCGCACACGAGAGTTTATGGGAAAACTCTGCTTCTTTTAGACTCGGATTATCCTGCACCTCTCGCACCATCTGTTCTCGAGCAAGCCGTTGATCTTCCAACGCCGCCAGACTTCGATGCCTCGCCCCAAACTAAATCGCAATCCCAGGCGCAATCTCAAAAGCAGTCTCATACATCCTCAGCGTCGAGTCAACCTGCTCAATCCAGCGGCGAGAGGAAGATTCCCAAGTGGTTAAAGTTGGGACCAAGTGCGTATCATTGGCCTATTCGTTGGATGCACGAGTCTCACTGCAATTGCGATTGACAGAGAAATGAGGTCTTAGATTGTGATCACCTTTTTGTTCGAAAGCAAAGGTTCAAGGCTGTACTTGTAGTTGTTGTAGAGTATCTCATCACACGATCTTGGATGGTATGTAGGTGTATCACAAGTGGGACTTGAAACTCATCGGATCTCAAGTTGCGGGCTGATTGACCTTCGATGGATGCATTCGTATTAATATACAGGGAAGGTGTGATCCGCCTCTCTTGCCCATGCCTGTAAGCCGCCAATCAAGTCCTTCACCAAGACCTTCGAGTTCGCTCCTCGAAGCGCATCTGCAGCAATCTGTGAATCGTTGCCCAGGCGGCAGACAACGTAGATCTCTTTCGAAGACGATTCGTCATCGGAGCTCAAAACTCTTGAAGGATCCGCGACGATCTCGTTTAGTGATACCCCTATGTCAAAAGTCCATCAGGAAGACCCCGACGCAAGACAAGATCGATAATACAAACATGTGGATGAAGGCAAGTGGCAGATTCCGTACTCAGCTTTTGGGCGTACGTCGATGATTTTGACATCTCTTGCATCCACGATTGCCTTCAGATCCTGATCTCCAACTGTCAAAAAATAGATCATATGCGAGGCAATGGACATACCGTGGCGCTTATTCGCGTCTGTGCATCACCAGGCACTAAGCCTTTCGTGTACCAGTCTGGCCGCTCTCCACCGCAGAATTGCACATAATCAATATCTGCAATTTCGCCCACCTTCTGGCCTTCGACTCCACATGCCGGACATGTAGGTCGGCGAGTGCGCAACTTGATGCTCCGGAAAGGGGGGAAGCTTAGTGCGGAGTATATGAGAAGGGATGATTTTCCTTCTGGATACGAAATTATATCGTCAACACCATCGCCCGATGGACGTAAGGAAATGTACCTACCGTGCAGACCAGTGATGATCTTGATGGCCTCCAGTGCTTGCAAGTTCCCAATGACGCCAGTGACAGCGCCTAAAATGCCAGTCTCTTCGCAGCTACCAGCCATCTCAGGAGCTGGAGGCTTTGGAAAGAGGCAGCGATAGCATGGACCATCCTCGCCTAAATGATACGTGCATAACTGACCCTCGAATTTCTGCGCTGCGCCGCTAATGAGTGGTTTGCCGAGGCGTACGGCAGTGTCGGAAAGAAGATACCGTGTAGGGGCGTTGTCTGTACAGTCAAGGATGATGTCGTATGGACTCAAGAGGGATACTGCGTTCGAAGGAGAAAGAGCTTGAACAACGGGTTCGACCACTACACGAGAGTTGATTCTGGGTAAATGAGACGAAGAGGTCAGAGGTCGGGGGGTCAGGCAAGGGAAAGGTAACGACAGAACTGTTTGATCGCTTGGGCGGCGGAATTAGCTTTTGGGAGACTGATACGGGATTCAGTGTGTAGTATTTGTCTCTGAAGATTAGACAATTCTACAACATCGTGATCGATGATCCCCAGTCGCCCTTGAGTGATCAAGTTAGTTTTGCGTTAGCCAGTGTGGTCAGTGAGGTCTCCAGCCTGTGGCTCACCTACACCGGCTGCTGCAAGATATTGAAGGGCAGGGCAACCTAGTCCACCTGCTCCCACGACCACCACAGACGCCTCCTGCAGCTTCAGTTGACCTAAGCAGGGACAACTGTAAGAATTTCGTCTACGCATGCTAGGAAATAGACACGCGAACCTGGAAGGCCGAATTCATCCAATATCATCTGTCTTCCATAACGTCGGTAATCATCGAGGTGCTGCAGATTTGAAGTGTTCGGTTGCATGGTCGTTCGTGCTAGATGATTGAGCCAAGGCTGTTTGCTGAGACAATTGGCCTTCGCGCGGCCGCTTAGATCTGTTAGATCCGATGATTTCATAGATCCCGATGCTCGATCGCGGCTTGCTCGACTGTCTGCGCCGCGTTGTCTTCGCTCTAGCCTCCCGCCCACCCAGCACAGTTGCCTCTTGATGAGTTTTCGTATTCAGTAAACCCGAGAGTGAACTCGACTCGTCATTGCATCGTCCGGGTCGTCGATTTTGACATTTTCACACACGTCCTCATCATGTCGGTGCCCGGATTCCCGTTGGCTTCCGCGACCAACAACACTTACAGCGCTCATGAGATTGCTCCTATTGTGTATGCAGGTTCGCATAAACTCTGCTGTTCTGAGCTATTCTGAGTGGTTTGATTTTGGATCTCTGACTAGCTACTTGTGATACCTAGGAAGAAAGCCACCACCTCTTCCATGGAAGGACATCGGCTACGTCGCGAAGTGGTCTGTTTCGTCATTCAAGTTTGGTTTCGGTCCTGAGTGTCTGCAGGACGACGACCCCGACACATTCTGGCAGTGAGTGTTTCATTGTCGTATCGTTGCTTAGCTTCACACTAGAGCATGTGTTCCATAGCTCCGATGGCCCTCAGCCCCATTTCGTGACGATCGAGTTCCCGAGAAAGATGGCTATCCAGGTTCGCATCTCTTCTCGCGTTATCCTGTACATCTCAAACCGCTGCCACCAGAAAATCAGCCTCTTTCTCAGCTTCCCTCTCGACGACTCGTACACCCCCGCCGTGCTTTCGATTCGCGCAGGCACAGGCCTGGGCGATCTTCAGGAAGTACGCTCCATCACCCTCGAAAAGCCGGATGGATGGATCACGTTCGACGTATCAACAGAGCCCAGCGAAGATGGAGATGGCTTGTAAGAGTACCTATCCAACCTCCTGACGGAGCTGACTGGTGCTTTTGATTCATTAGCAAAGCTGTGCATGCATACATCTTGCAGATTCTCGTCCTCACGAATCACCAAAACGGCAAGGACACGCACGTCCGTGGCATGCGTGTTCTGGGACCTATAGAGCAAGCCTTTCTTTCATGCTTGGTCCATCTTTCATCCGCTCACGCGATACCCTGCAGAGACCAGACTTCGTGGGACGACCCGTTCCCCTTCGTGACTCCCAAGTTCAAAATGTTCGAACACATCCGCTAATGCGGGTCACGACGCTCCATCACCCTATGTGATTCTAGCTTTGGTTTATGGTGCAAGTCATCCACATTTGCAGTCCCGATCCAAATAGCACCTCGACTGACGGTGATACACTGCGAGTAGGATACAGAAAACCAGGAAGAATCATTGTCAGTTAGAATCGAGAATCTAGTGACCGTATGCAGAGATAAATTACAGACAACATTATGCACACCGCCTCCTGTACCTTGTACACACCTCGCTGATCGCAGCAGAGCCCCATATGGCACAATTACCGACCCACGAGTATATACAATATTGAAAGAATAATCAACTGAACGAAATGAAAAAAAAAAATGATGGGACAGTCAAGCAAAAAAATCGGAAAAGACGAATAGGGGAAAGTCCACGCCACATCATGATAATCTAGGCTGAGATCCAGATGAATAATGATATTGCTCCGGGGCGTACTGATGAGCTGGATGGATGGGCTGGCCTGCTGAAGGGCCGAGATACGAAGATGATGGCGGGGCTTGCGACCATTGGGGGTGAGCCGCAGCGGCGTTCATGTTGACGCCACCATGCTCATGAGAGGCCCCAACCGAGGACCGTTCTGCGCTCGAGGTGTACTGACTGTAGCCGTTGGTCGGTATAGGATTCATCGGATTTGAGCCGTAGCCTGGTGCCGCTTTGCTCGGCTGCGCCTGAACGGCCGCCGTGGGCCGGTGATTGCCATTTGAGATGGCGGGCATATACGGACGATGAGTGAACTGCAAAATTCTTGTCAGCTAACATGATCGATTACGAATATTCAAGAGGTCGAGGTACCTGCTGGGACGGCGCAGACCGATTCATTGACCCATTTATGGGGCCATGGCCATGTCCATTACTACCAGGAGAGTATGCTGGTGGCTGAGGGTGCGTCGTTGAGAACCCTTGCTGCTGAGGCTGGTAATGTGTGAAAGTGAAGGCTGTCTGCTGATGATATGGCCTCGAGCCCGTCGCCTGCATACGTGCAGAGCTCTGGTCATACCGCGGGTCTTTTGCAGCGTATGGATTTGTCTGTCCATAGCTATAGGCCGTCTGACTCGCTAGACCGGGCTGGAAAGCCTGGTAGGATGCCCTCCCGACTCCAGTGTTATAGTCAGGGGCACCGGTGCCGTTCGTCCTCTGCACGTCATTTGATCCAGAGTACCCACTTGGGAACCGACACCGCCGGCACATGAACTCTTCTGTGTCCCAGTTGCGCCTTGGGTGTCCGGCTGCCCGGTCAGCTTGGTCGTGGCAAGCGATGTGTTGCCACTTGGAACACTTGCCGCAGCACAGGAGCGGGACTCCATCGTCCTGGGAATATCAAGAAGCTTGAGTTTGACAGCCAGTCAAGAAGCGTCGATATTGCCCTACGTACCTGATTCACACCCCTTTTGTGGCAGATCTCGCAGTCCAATTCCCAGTCTTCACCAGCGGGTGTCCGCGACCCACTAGCACTACTCGTTTTTCCTGTTTTCTTGGCTGATACATGATTACGGGAAGCACCATCTCCTACGACGTCAATGGGTGTACTCGCACTGGAGCTAGAGAGAATTGGATGTGTGAAACTGTTGCAGGATGCACGGGGATGAATTGTTTCTCACCTTTCCTCCAGCTTTCTTTTCTGCGATTTTCTGTCTTCTCGCTCTTCCCTCTCTCTCCGCCGCTTCTCCCTCGCACTCTCTTTTTTCTCGCGCTCTTCTTCCTCTCGCTTCAGGCGTGCCTCCATTCTTTTTGCACGGCTTCTCTTCTCTTCCTCCTCTGCCTTCCTGACCGCAGCGAGACGTATCTCTTCTTTCTCGCTTTCTTTAATGGCAAGTCTAGACGAACGCTTGCGGCGAGTAATTGCTTCTTCCAGGCGGCGCTTTTGCTCAGCTTCCTGTGAATCGTGTGGTGATCAGTGCGCTTGAAGACGATGAGGACACGAACGCAGGGACGTACCCTAAGTTCGGCAGTGATCGGCGGTATGATAAAGTCGTTCAACATCTTATACAATGCTTTCTCGTGGTAGTGTGTTGCCTTCTCAAACCGCTCAGCGATGTGCTCCCAATCGTATAATGTGACGCAGATCTGTGAGGATTCGAATGGCATCAGCACGATGTCGAACAGGGTACAGTACATTGGGCCTCACCGTTTCCCATTCGACGAAATCATCCGGGGGGTGCCATTCAGGCTCTAGTTCTTCTGCAAGTTCTGGTTCCTCGATGTTTGTATCTTCTGCAGACTGCAGAGCAGACGCTTGGCGGACAGTGCCCCGACCCTTCCCCCGTGACCTTGAGTTGGTCGCCTTCTTGCTACCAGCCTTCCGCTTGGAAGCCTGTTTCTTCAGTGGCTCGACCGGTGCAGGATCATCCGTCTCGTCGCTGAGCGCCGTCAACTCACTGACTGCGTCATCGTCGCTCTCCAGCCCTGTTCTCAGCGCGAGGTTCTCAGTCTTTTTCGAGTCGGCGCTCTCCGCCTGCGCACCAGCACTCTCAGCCTTGCTCGCTCCTCCGCTCCCCTCGCCCACTTGATTACCCGACTCATTGAGCCACTCCGCCGGGATCTCTTGCCACTCATCTTCGACAGTAGCAGCGCCCCTCAACCTCGCACTCACCCGAGTCCCCACCGCCGTTTTGCGCGGACTGTGTGTCGAGAGGGGAGCATATGACGATGCCGCTGCTGCGGTACGTTTTCCCACACGCTTGCTCTCAGCCGCTGCTTGCCGCTGCAACTCCGCCAACTCCTTTGCCTGTGCGTCCAGCTTGATGTTTGCCTGCGTCTTGGCCGCGCGCGAGCCTCGGCCAGCTGACGGCGGATCCTCGACGGCGGGTGCGCCGCGATACGCCCGAGTGGCGCGCGCGGGAGTAGAGGGTGGTGGAGGGGCAGGCTTGGATTTAGCAGGCGCTCTGCGTTTCTTGGTTGCAGGTGAGGCTTCGCGATCGGATTCTGACTCGGAGATTTCGGGGGCGCGCGCGCGTTTGGCTTTCTGGCTGGCTTTAGGGGCGGGTCGTTTGCGTTTCAAGGTTCGCGGCGGCTTGGGTAGAACACGCTGTATCCAAAGACGGTCGGCTAGATGAGCGATGGTTAAGCTTAGTAGATCACGAAGAAAATAGTCAAAAGAACTCACGGCCAATGAGCCAGTATGCATTGGTTTTCGCATCGTAACCAATAGGCTCAACTCGCTAAAGTCACGGTGACGATGGCGTCAAAAATCGTAGAAAGCCTCAATGTCATTGAGACGTACCCATTGAGCAGTTTCATCGTCGTCCTTCATTATTTGTCTCAGGCGGTTCGTATTCTGAAATTGCCATTCGGTGAGCAAGTGAAGTGAGTCCAACTTAGTGAGCATGGGCAGGTCGAGCCAGTTCTTGCTCTCTTCTGCTGCAGCCCGATCAAGCTGGTCGGTAGGAAGAGGCTCGTCCTTGATCAAGCGAAGTTCGGTCCCGGAACGAGAAGGTGTGGGTTCAATTATAAGGGGCTCAGGATTAGGTTCAGGGTCCGGGTCCTGCATATTAGATGTGATGTTCCCGTTGATAGGTCCCAATGGCATCGGAGAGTGCGCGGTAGACATTTGTGAATGTTCCTTCACGTCCTCGGCTGGGGATGATTGTGGCTCAGGAGAGGGGGTGGATACGTAGACGACGGGTTCGGGGCCAATTGGATTGGCTACCGGGTCGCGACGAAAGTACTGTTTGCGGAGAACGGTTTGCCAGTTGTCGAGGCTGTCGAAAGCCCTCAGTATCCTGAAATTTTCAATCCTGAAGACTCGATGACGCACTTTAATTTCCTGTCTCCCGACAGTGTGAACAAGAGCCGGTGCACGATCCGTGGTAGCACTATGGATGTCGAACGAGTCAAATCATCCTCGATGTCCTGGGAGAAGAAAAGAACGATGAGCACGTTCGGGAGGACGTGGCAGAAACAATGTGGAATTCTGGAGCACAGAACCGACACGGTCTCGAGGCAAAAGGGCGCGTACCGTCAAGTTAACATCGTTCATCGCGAAGAGGGGTGCGAATGTGTAGAAGAATTGGCTGAATGCTGCCCACTTCCATTGTCGTCGGAGGAGAGTAACCCGCTCGTGGAAGGGATCGTCGGGAGGGGGAACAGTAGCAGAAGGCCTGAGGGAAGTGGAGGGCGCGGGAGTGGCGGGCGCGGCGGTGCGTCGAGGCATCGGGGCGCAGCTGCTGCAGTTATATTTCAGAGACGGATTCGGTTATGTTAGGCCTGGGCGTCCCTCGAAAAACTTGTACCTCGCCCGAGCAGGTCAGCCAGTACAGGTTCAGTCCAGACTTCTATCACTATTCCAGGTGTCTGGCAACCCACGAGCAAGGTGCGTGAAGAATAGAGCAGAGAGGCGTGGAGGACGCCAACGACAGCGAGCACAGGCTTTCCTTTCCTTGACCGGCACAGACAACAAACAACATCACGCTCGGCTCGGCTGTGGCCGGCCATCCAACTCCGCTCCGCCTAGTCTCGTCCTGCTTCCGCGACGTCTACACTTTCGCGACCTGCTACGAGGCAACCGCAAGCCCCGTAACACAGTTGTCGTTGTTCCCTTTAGAGACGAAGCATCTGCTTAAATACTGTTGTACTGGGTAGCGCGTCATGGTGCCCTCCGATGCCTGTCGTCGCGTTCACGTTCGGGTCCCTCGGCGACCTTCTTTCCCTTGTCGCACTGGTTCAAAAGATCCTCTGCAGCAGCACCGGCGCCTCTTACGAATATCAGGAATTAGTCAAAGAGCTTGACTTGTTTATTCAAACTGTTCGCGAAGTTCAGGACGCACTCTTTCCCCGCGGTCTCGTTGCCTCTCTTCCTACCTCCGTTGAGCGCGGTCTATGGAACGCCCTTCTCCATGGTCACACGCTTTTAAAAGACGTTCATTCGAGGATCGCTAGCTATCAGAACAGCCTTGGCAAAAACGGTTCTGGTAGTATGGTACGCGACACTTGGAGAAAGGTGGGCTGGGGGTTGTTCAAGGAGAGCGAGCTGAGAGAAACACGGGCGAAGATTCGTGCCCAGATAGACGTGATTCATACCTTGCTGGCTTTATCTCAGTGGTAAGGCATGTTTTCGTTCGTTGTCCCGACCACTTCATTGACTACGTTGCCTCAGTCAATCGTTAGAGCGCCTGGAGGATCGTGCGAAAGCGCACGACGTTGCGCTCTCGACGATTCGCAGCCGTGTAGAGGAACTCCCGAAGCAGTTAGGATTTGCATGGGAAGGAGGCGTGGACTCAAAGCAGCGGCTCATTGTCTTGACAGATATGCTAGGGACAGATATACTCGTACCCGCGGATTTTTGCCAGGCGTTTGATGTACGTTATGACATTTCCTCATCGAAGAGTTAAAAATTTGACTGTAAAGACCTTATTGATCAGATGTTTCACGACTTCTTAAAGTTTTACTATAGAAGATTGGGCAGAGTAGGGACGCAGTACGTTGAACGTGGAGACTATGACCTGGCACTGCTCTCGGATGAACTCCAAATCATCGACTCTGCATCTTGGAACACGCTTGTGCACCCAGGGATGAAAATTGGCATGAATGCTGTCCTTCACTTAGACAACGTCGACGTGCATTCCTGCCCTAGTTGCAAGACGGATAATGCCGGTGCCCGAACATATCAAGGTGGAATTAGTTGGTGCGTGATATCACAACAACAACCTTCTGAGGTCGCTGAGTTGCTCTCTCGAAAGTATAGCAGACATTGTCAGACCTGGTTCAGAGTTTCCGATAGCTACATTGAAGAAGTCGGTGACGAACGAGCACAGGAACCTGTAACATCGTCTGGTCCCTCGCAAACGCAGCGACCCAGCATCGCAATGGAAGACGACGCCCGCTTCCTCCGTCGCATTCGCGTCATCCGGACGCGCGCCGCCAAGATACGCAAGGCCGACGAACATACAAATCCGATCCTCATGAGGATGACTATAAAGTATGTTCAGGTCTCGGAGGAGGAAATGCACAATCAGGGCGTCCCGGGACAATTCATCGAATACATCGTGGCAAATCGGCAGGCGATTCTTCGCTACCTGCAGGGCCGGGGTTTTGTATCTCTCGATGGGTTTGTCACGCCCACGGGCCTTCGGATTGGTCAGGAAACAACAATGCAATGACAGCGGGTAATGTGCACCTCAAAGTCGAACAGTGACTACTGAATGTTGAACACTATTCACATACTGTATAGCTTCGCCTACTGCGGGATTGGTGCGACAGGTTTTGAGAAGGTAAATGGAGAATACCGATACACAGAGCGGGGCCTAGATAATATTGAAAAAGCCAGTTACCCCGTCGGGCTTCAGAGGAAGAGATGCGGAAGGCGTCCCTCTCGAAGTCTTTCATCAACCTTATCGTGACGAATTGGGAGAAGGTCGTACATCATAGTCAGTCGTTGGGCGATATGCCTCTCTTTGATCAGGACTCAGTAGACTATACGAGTTCGACTGGTATGTGAACTTTGGAATCGAACAGCGATTATTATTCACTCTAATACTTCCGATCTCTGAAACACCTAGATCGAGCCACATCATTTCTTGACCGAGTATATTCTGCACTTGTCGGTATCATCTTATGAAGTTTGCGATGCTCCTAGAGCATATTCTTGCACAGGGCCAGTTAGAGCAGCGTCTGTAGATTGGTCGTCGCCGTCCGCATGGGGTACACGGCGTTTATGTGTATGGACTATGACTGTTCAAACTCCAAATTTAGACTCTGGGTTACACAAACGCCATCCACATAAGGGTCTGCTTCGCTTGATCTAACTGTGTTGCTCATCTCTTATCCTCCTGATGCCACTCCTGAGCTATGAAACCTATTCCCTAGAGCCTGCGTCTCTGGGGAAAGGATACACTCTCTGGGAGCTTGACCTTCAAAGGCGCCGCTGAAGTTAGATTAGGTATCGAGTACACAGCATCATGCATATGGACTGGCTGTGTTATGAATCCAAGTTTAGACTCTTCGTTGCACAAACGCCGTCCATATAAAGGTCTGCTTCGCATTGTCTAACCTACACGTCCTGCTCAACTCTTACCCTCATCATGCCACCCTTGAGCTGTCAAATTTACAGCGAAGGACTCGCGTCTCTGGGAAACGGATATGCTCTCTGGGAGCCTGACCCTCAAGGTGACCCTCAAGTTGAATTAGGCGACGTGGGGTACATTCGGAACGGTGGCTTCCATCGCTTGTTCAACGTACACCTTCAACCCGACGATCCCTCTCAGCCTCGTACCTTGCCTCAGGGCTTCGAGGTCTTGTCATCTGAATCGTCTCGTATACGTCCTCGCACTCTGCGACCAGGTGCATATTTTTCACATGGTGTGAGGTCGACTGAGCTCGCAAGTTCAATATCAGTGCCGTAAGCACGTAGATCACAATTCCACCGATACATGCTCATAAACAAGTTCTCGCTTTTTAGGACAGTGCCGTTGAGAAGCGGACTCCAATTCTCATGTCACAGACAGCAAGGCGCGATCCTAGCATTCCCGAGTGATGCACAGGCTCAGGATGTACACAATATAGAAGCATTCAGAAGATTCATACTTGCCAACATAGATCAGTGGTTTAGGTATGCCGAGTCGCTGGACCTTGGCCTTGACATGGAGGATATCTTACTGGTAACTGGACGTCATCTCACCACATCATGGGCTGTCGCCGCATTTACACACACAACGAGTGATGCAACGATTGAAGTGGATCTTGGAGTCACAGTTTCTGCGAGCGCATCCATCTCGTGGAAGAATTGCGTAAATGTCCAGTATAATTGGGGGCCAGGTCAGAACGTTTTAACCCTGGGCAGTCAACAAGCTGATACTAATGGTTGCCCTACGTCGGTCATAGATCAACAAAGTGCTCCTGTGCAGAATCAATGCATCTTTATCCGAGGGTTTTGCGCGAAACGGCGACCTCTCTTCCCAGGGTTGCGATTGAAGGCAGCGGCTGAGCCAAAGGATCTGGAGAAGAACAAGGATGATGACGACGTACAGCCCGGTGTTCGAGCTCACGATGACAACGAAGGACTATCCTCATCAAGCGATGAAGTGGCCCTGGAAATCGAATCGTTCCCTGAGGTCCACGAAGTAAGTCATGCAGTGTTTGCATAATACAGTATCTGACCGGAGGCTTGCAGGACGGAAACTTGCTTGCACCTTTACTCGACTATATACTGGAGGTACGACGACCACCCGGGAAGCCTTACCATACTCATGAGCGTTTTGCAGAACTCAAACGTCGATATTGCAATTGCCCATCATGACGATGCCAAGGAATATCTGATGGCAAGTCAATATCTCTAGCAGATATGATTAATGTAATTATTATCTTTCTTTAGGATGGATGGAAAGCCTCAGAGCTCCCCTCACCACTATCCAGAGATCGTCCATACATCAGAGACATCAAGCAACCACCGACGGCACTTCACGATTTGCATCAGGCTAGCTTCGCCCCCAATCCAGTCGTTGCAGGCTTCTTGGATTACTTTTGTAAGGTTTACATGTAGAATGCCTCTCTTCGGCTCTCTCACGTGCGTTGTTAGATACTCCAACGGTAAACTTGAGGTCGCAAGGTAGGTAGCGGAAAATCCCGTCTAAATGATACCTGACGCTGGGGCTCGGGATAATCAACGCGTTGATGCAGATGCTGATCGTCCAATCTCGTTGAACAACCTCGCGGATGCGGACTTGAGACGAGTCCAGCAAACCGGGCAGGTGATAGACCCGGAGGAGGCCATTTTACTTCTCCGAGAATCTCTCAACCTCCGCCCTGCCCCACACCCCGATCGTGCGATGTCGCTGAGGAACCTTGCGGATGCTATCTTAACACAGTTCCAACAAACCAGGCGGGTGGACGACCTGGAAGAAGCTATTTCGCTTCACCGAGAATCTCTCATGCTCCGCCCTGAATCACATCCTGATCGTTCGGCTTCTTTGAACAACCTCGCGAACGCGGTCTTAACGCGATTTCGGCAGACAGGACAGCTGGTAGACCTGGAGGAGGCCATCTCGCTTCACCGAGAATCTCTCATGCTCCGTCCTGCATCACATCCCGATCGTTCGGCTTCCTTGAACAACCTCGCGAATGCAGTCTTGACGCGATTTCGGCAGACAGGACAGCTGGTAGACCTGGAGGAGGCCATCTCGCTTCACCGAGAATCTCTCATGCTCCGTCCTGCATCACATCCCGATCGTTCGGCTTCTTTGAACAACCTCGCGAATGCAGTCTTGACGCGATTTCGGCAGACAGGACAGCTGGTAGACCTGGAGGAGACCATCTCGCTTCACCGAGAATCTCTCGTCCTCCGTCCTGCATCACATCCCGATCGTTCGGCTTCCTTGAACAACCTCGCGAATGCAGTCTTGACGCGATTTCGGCAGACAGGACAGCTGGTAGACCTGGAGGAGGCCATCTCGCTTCACCGAGAATCTCTCATGCTCCGTCCTGCATCACATCCCGATCGTTCGACGTCGTTGAATGACCTCGCAAATGCATTATTATTACAATTCCAGCAAACCGCACAGGTGGTAGACCTGGAGGAGGCCATCTCGCTTCACCGAGAATCTCTCGTCCTCCGTCCTAAATCACATCCCGATCGTTCGGCTTCCTTGAACAACCTCGCGAATGCAGTGTTAACGCGATTTCGGCAGACAGGACAGCTGGCAGACCTGGAGGAGACCATCTCGCTTCACCGAGAATCTCTCGTCCTCCGTCCTGAATCACATCCCGATCGTTCGGCTTCCTTGAACAACCTCGCGAATGCAGTCTTGACGCAATTTCGGCGGACAAGACGACTGGTAGACCTGGAGGAGGCCATTTCACTTCACCAAGAATCTCTCATGCTCCGTCCTACATCACATCCCGATCGTTCGGCTTCCTTGAACAACCTCGCGAATGCAGTCTTGACGCAATTTGACCAAACGGGACAGCTGGTAGACCTGGAGGAGGCCATCTCGCTTCACCGAGAATCTCTCATGCTCCGTCCTGCATCACATCCCGATCGTTCGACGTCGTTGAATGACCTCGCAAATGCATTATTATTACAATTCCAGCAAACCGCACAGGTGGTAGACCTGGAGGAGGCCATCTCGCTTCACCGAGAATCTCTCGTCCTCCGTCCTAAATCACATCCCGATCGTTCGGCTTCCTTGAACAACCTCGCGAATGCAGTGTTAACGCGATTTCGGCAGACAGGACAGCTGGTAGACCTGGAGGAGGCCATTTCACTTCACCAAGAATCTCTCATGCTCCGTCCTACATCACATCCCGATCGTTCGGCTTCCTTGAACAACCTCGCGAATGCAGTCAAGACACGATTCGAGCAGACTAGACAGATGGTAGACCTGGAGGAGACCATCTCGCTTCACCGAGAATCTCTCGTTCTCCGTCCTGCCCCACATCTCGATCGCTCGGCCTCCTTGAGCAACCTCGCGAATGCAGTCTTGACGCGATTTGACCAAACGGGACAGCTGGTAGACCTGGAGGAGGCAATCTCGTTTCACCGAGAATCGCTCATGCTCCATCCTGCCCCACATCCCGATCGTTTGACGTCGCTGAGGAACCTCGCGAATGCGGTCTTGATACGATTCCAGCAAACCGGGCAGGTGGTAGACCTGGAGGAGGCCATTTCGCTTTATCGGGAAGCCCTCATGTGTTTACCTCCCTCACATCCTGCTCACTGCCTCTATTTGACATTGCTTGCATCCTCCCTCTGTGATAAGTTTGGTTTGGGTGATATGTCTTCGCTGGAGGCATCCATGAACATGTTTCGCACTGCAGCCAATCACGAAACAGGATCCGTGTTCGATCGCTTGAAAGCTGCTCAAATATGGGCAAGACGTGCCGATGGCATGGATCATCCATCTGCCTTGGAAGCATACCAGACTGCTATACAGTTCTTGCCTCATGCTGTGACGCTCACTTCGGTCACAAAGTCGCCTCGTCGGCTACTAGCTGATCACCTTAGCTATCAACTTTATAGCAGTGCTGCGGCTTGCGCTATTCGTTCGGGCCAGACTGAACAGGCTGTTGAGATGCTCGAAGAGGGAAGATCTATTTTTTGGTCTCAGGCGCTGCAACTTCAGACCTCCATTGATGGCCTTCGCCGTGACTGCCCAGAACTCGCAGAAAAACTACAGGGGATCTCTTTAGCTCTCGAGCGGAACTCATTTGACGAGGAGCCGGTTGCGATCCGCACTGAGGTAGGGGCAGTGATGACGATGGAGGCTAAAACTGCGCGATTTCGTCGGCTGAACGAGGACTGGCAGGCGACATTGGAAGAAGTTCGAGCCTTGGAAGATTTTACGGATTTTCTGCGTCCCAAGAAGCTGGCCATGCTAAAGCGGGTGGCAGGTCATGGTCCCGTGGTCCTGCTCAATGTATCCAAGTCTTCTTGTGATGCATTGATCGTTACATTCAGGGGCGTAGAGCATGCTCCACTCCATCCCCAGTCAACACAGGAGCATGTAGTACTCCTTGCTGAGTCATTACGCATCTCTGTGACCGACTTCCCCTCGTTCACGATCCACCACAAACTCTCTTTCAAAACCCTCCTTGGAGCCACCCAAACTTTCGGTGAGATTAGGCACGGGAGACGTCACGAGGTACCTCTTGAAAGTGCCGACGATGTTCTTCGGTGTGTTCTATCGCTGCTCTGGGAGTGGGTGGTCCATCCCGTGGTTCGTCATTTGAAACTTGAGGTAAGAATATCCCGCCAGAAACCCCCTTTCGCACTTTGGTACTCATTTTACGGTGCAGAAATCTGACTCGCCTCCGCGTGTGTGGTGGTTCCCCACTGGGCCTTTTGCTTTGCTCCCGCTTCATGCAGCTGGCATATACGCATCAGGCACGAACACGGGAGCCGTCGAGAACATATCAGATTACATGGTGTCGTCCTACATCCCAACGCTGAATTCTCTCCTCACTCCTCCACCTGTGCCGAATGTGGATCCATTCCAGATGCTAGTCGCCATACAGCCCGAGACACCGGACCAGGCCCCATTGACCCAAGCCCGCGAAGAAATGCGTCAAATCGAGAGACACGTGCCTGCCTCTTCTCTCATCAAGCTAGGCTCTGTTGACTCTCCGCCGTCCACAGTAGCGGCGGTTCTCTCTCATCTTTCTCGGTCATCGATCGCTCACTTCTCGTGCCGTGGAATCCACAAACCGTCAGATCCACTGGAGAGCGCACTTCTCTTAGATGATGGTCCTTTGAGCGTTTCTACAATCATGGCACAATCCCTGCCACACGCATCCTTGGCGTTTCTCAGCGCAAGTCAGACCGCGATGGGAGGCGTGGACGCTCCTGATGAAGCCATGCACCTCGCAGCGGCAATGCTGTTCTCCGGGTTCCGCGGAGTGGTAGCTACGATGTGGTCGGTGGCATTCCCTCTCCGATTGTCCTGAGCTTATCATTGCTTGCCGTACGATAGGCCAATGCATGACATCGACGGGCCAAAGATCGCAAATGAGTTCTATGCTCACCTCTTCGAAGGGCATGAAGATGGCTCGGCCCCCGACACTACGGAAGCTGCTCGTGCACTCCACCTCGCCGTCAGAAAGCTGCGTTCAGAGTGTAACAACAGATCCTTCATGCGTTGGGTGCCGTTTGTTCATTACGGACTGTGATGAATCCGCGCGAGGCGCACGTTTTGGGCAATCATAGTAGGTTCATACGGACAATCGTGTGTGCATTGTTCCGCAGCGTTTCCCTGTCTGCTAATCCTCTTCTTTTCCTCCATCACTGAGTTCAATTCTTGCGTTGTTTGTTCATCGTCGCGGTAATAACATCTTGATTCTGAACATGAACCATGTATTCCAATGTTCTATAAACATCTTGTGACGCGTCTGTATATCGGATCTTCGTTATAGGGACCCAGCCCTGTGCGATACAGCATAGGTCGAGAAAAGAGCTCGATATCAACGGCCAGCAGCAATGGGTCCGTCGAGGGTCCAATGAGTCGGATAGCATTGCAGCGATGAACGCTTCGGATGATGCTCTGGCAGACTCAAGTTACAGATGCGTTCATGCACCCCGAACGGATACTCGCGAGGGCGAGAAAACAAGTGGTACCCGTGTCGCTCCACGCAGACGTGGCCTTGATGCTGTCAAGAGCCTGCGCAAGGGCGAAGGTATATTGTGCCGACACGTCTATCCTACGCGCCGATACATAAATATCACGCACGTCGCCTGGCAAGAGTAAACCACGAAGACCACATCGACGCTCTAGCGGTCCTCTGGAAAAAACCAGACGAGGCATGTACGGCGGGCGCTCAACGAGACGAGGTGCTGTCAAGTCCCCTTGAAGCGCTTGTACAGCTGTGGGACGGGGCGCCAATGGTTGACCGCGCGGCTCGGTGCGTCCGAACACCATCAAAAACTGGGCGGTGGGGCTCGGGTCGACGTCTCGAGTGCTCCGAGGCTCTAGACAGGTCGAGCGCCAATTTCCACGGTCAGCCCTGCAGGTGGCCCGTCGACGGCGGTGCGCCGCCCTCGCCTACGACGGCCGGCGCCGTGAAGACAAGAAGCGCCTCCGCAGGATCCAGCCGCCCCTCCGCCCACGGCGCTCGCAATGCGCCCCGAGCTAATGTTCGCCTCGTCCAACAGTCCGCCGACCGCTATGCCGAAAGCGCCGCTCGCCGCGCGCGGCCTCGAACGGCCGTGAGCCGGCCGCGCAGGACGGGCGCGTGCACGCCGGCTGAAGTGCAGCCCCCTCGGCACGTCCCGCCGTGCTGGCGTAGGTACATGCGGGGACGACGAACGAGGGATCGGCAGCGAACCCGCCGGCACGACACGAGCCGATGTCGGAGGGTGTGTCCGATGACGAGACTTGTGGACCGCGGGATTTACGTTGTGCTGTACCGGTCGGCAGGGCTGCAGGCCCTACAGCATAGTCTAGACATGGACAAAAGTCAGGCTCGCCGTAGATGGACTTTGGTTCTCGAGAAGGCCGGTCTAGGTATGCTGGGGATGACGTTGAGCGTATAAGCGTGTTTCGAGATACGGCCGCTGGCCCTAGAGATCGCTCGACGCCGGACGGGCTCTTGCGGCTGTCGAGCATACAGTATGATGGGACGTTGCAGGAATTGGTTCCGTCCTTTGCAGTGACGTAAGTGATCAACGCTCTGTGGACTGCAAGCCGTCAAACCACCGAACAAAGCGCAAGGAAGGCGGGTGTTCAGTCCAAGCCTTCGTAAACGAGACACGCGTACGTGCGTACACGTCGCGATGGACGAATGCACCGCCACGAGCGCGCCCGAGTAGAACGCGAGCCCGTAGCCGAGCGAGGGCCAACCCACGAAGCGTAACTTGGCAGAGCGAGCGACGGGGATCGAGAATCGCAGCGCGGGCTCGAAGGTCGGCTGGATCATGGCAGGGTAAGCACCGCGGCGCTCTGGCGACGCAGTGCCTCGCGGTACATGAGTAGTGCGCGCGCAGCGAACGGCATCATTGCCCGCGGCGGGCGCAGGCGCGGGGCGCTGCCGTCACAGCACCCCGCGACCCCGTTCGTCGTCGTCGTCGTCCGCGGACATGCGCCCGGCGCAGCGGGCCCATACGTGCGCGGTGCACGCGCACCGCGGGGGCGGCGATCAGTCCAGGGTTCGCGAGACGAGGGGAGGAGGACGTGACCCGGCGGCCGCGAGATCGTCGAGTCATCGATCAGGAAGCTTCGGCCAGGGGCAGATCTGGGCACCCGTCAAGACAAAGCGAGGATTCTAGCGCGGGGCGGAACACAGAATGCAGGGTCGAAAGGAAGGGCAGGGCGCGGGCCAAGGAGAAGGAGAGAGGTGCGACGGGGACGGCGAGGAAGAAGGGGCTGGGGACAATAGGAACGCGGAGGGCGTCCCTAGCCGGCGACAGGTGCAGGTCTCCCAGCCGCTGTCGAAATGTTGGCTGCGCGGAGTCGCTGTCAAGTCAGTTCAAGCCAGCATCGGCGTGATCCCGTCGCCGAGCACCGACGTCGCTGCCCGTCGCCGCCGTGGCCATCGCGGCTGTGATCCCGCCTCTGCGCCCATGGCAAAGCCCGCGCCGAACCGCGCCGAACCGAACTGCGATTCATGACACCCGCGATGCCATCGAATGGGGCTGGGCCCGCCAGATCGAGCAATGCAGATTGAGTTGGCGTTGTTGTCCTGGGGCGACACGAGCGTTCCGAGTCGGCGAAGCGCACGCCGGGTCGAAATAGGAGGCCGCACATCACCGCCTACTGGCTCTGCTGGCCCGCGCGCTTCGTCTCGTGCAGAGGGCCCCGGGACACCCCTACACACCAGATCACGTAATATCGTGGGAGCCCACGCCCGGCGCTGGGCATCCGCGTCCGTCCTTCGAGATCGTCACCGCCAGTTTCGCCACCGACGCCGGCACGCTGCGTCTTCGACCCCGAGGGCCCGAGCAGCGCGCACCCACAGACGCCAGCGCTTGATCACGCGGATCGCAGCGCCCCGCGCGCACATCATCCAGGTCCCGATACGCCGTTTCGAGCAAACGCACGCACGAACGCACGAACGAACGAAGCAACCTGAATCAACATGTCCGACGCCCGCGCGCTCCTCCAAGCCCGCCGCAAGGAATCCGCCGCGCGCGTGTCGCACCCGTATGCCACGTACACCGCCGCGGGGCAGCTCCGGTGCGTCGTGTGCGGGACCGCCGTGCGCGGCGCGTGGGAGGGGCACATCGGGAGCAAGGCGCACCGCGTCAACGCCGTGAGGGCGCGGGAGGAGGCGGCGAAGAAGCGGCGCATGGAAGAAGAGGAGGCGAGCGCGGCGAAGAAGCGGAGGGTCGCTGAGGAGCGTGAAGAGGAGGAGGAGGAGGAGGAGGGTGATGAGGAGGAGGGTGGGAGGCAGGAGCGAAGGGAGGAGGAGGAGGAGGGTGGGGAGGAGGGCGCGAAGCCTGGCGGTTTTCCGGCCGATTTCTTCTCGGACCCCACGCGCGCGCCGCCTGTGCGCGATGCCGACGAGGACGAGATCATGGAGGACACTCAAGCCGCCGGCGGCGACTCCGCGTCCGCACCACCACCACCAGCGACAACAACACCAGCAGAAGCAGGGACAGCACTCGACGCGGAGTGGGCTGCGTTCGAGCGCACCGTGCTCGCCGCGCCCGCCGCAGAGGTGACAGACGACGACCGGCGCGCGGCGTTCGCGCGCGCGACCGTCTTCGCGGAGCCCGCACCCGCGGCGCCAAACGAGGGCATGCCCGCCCAAAGTGGTGCGGCGGATGGTACGGCGGCGGCGACAGCAGCGGCGTCGGAAGCGAAGGAGGAGACGCAGGAGGAGCGGAGGCAGCGCATCGAGCGGGAGGAGCGGGAGCTGATCATGGACCGCATGGTCGAGGAGGAGCGCGCGCAGGAAGAGGCGGACGAGCGGGTGAGCGCGCTCAAGGGGAGACTGGAGATGCTGAAGAAGAGGCGCGAGGCGACCAAGGCAAAAAAGATTGATCGGACGTTAGTAGGTTGACTGGACGGACGATCCATTTGTTGTCTCTTTCCGCTGTTATCATTTTGAGCGATGCGGTCGGGCAAGTGTTGTGTACAAATGTAAAGTATGCGTTGCCTCGTGCCCATCCCTCCATCAGGTCAGGCCGCAACCTCCTCCTCTTCGTTGACAAGCCCGAGCCATTTCCCCCAGTCCATCCCCTTCTTGTGCACCATCATCAGCCCCATCACGACCGGCAGATACCACAGACTATGGTGAAACAACCGCCGCGCGTGGTGCTCCCCGCCCTGCTTCCAGAACCTCCACGACGCCTGCACGAAGACCGCGTTCGGCACGAGGCTCGTCAGCGCGAACGCCCACGTCGTGAGCCCCGACAGCGGGACGAGCACGGAGCACACGCCGGTGAGCAGCAACGCGTGGCGCAGCGCCGTCGCCGCGTTCCGGCGCGGATCGAGCACGGAGAGCATGTAGTACCCGCCGCGCGCGTACGCGCCGCGCACGACGTACGAGAGCGAGTTGAAGTGCGGGAACTGCCACGCGAAGTGGAACAGCCCCAGCGCGAGCGGCGCGAGGGCGAGGCCGTCCGCGGCCGCCGCTATGCTCGCGAGGACGTCGCCCGGGGCGCCGCCCGAGAGGAGGGCGGCGGACACGGTGTGCAGCGCCTCGGAGGACGGCAGCAGGGCGCCGCCGCACGCGGCCCAGCCCATGAGTGGGGGGATGGCGCCGACGACGGCGCCGACCCAGGTGTTCCAGATGGTGCGGCGCTTCATGTAGGTGTATGCGCCCGCGTACAGCGCGATGTTCGCCGCGCCCAGCACGGCGGTGGTCGGGTTCACGACGGCCCAGAGCAGCGCGGGGCCCGCTGCGCCCGTGAGGCTGGCGAAGGCGGCAACGTGCAGGGGGCTGAGCGCGCGGCGGATGAGCGGGCGGGAGCGGGTGCGGGCCATCTGGGCGTCGAAGGGAATTTCTTGGAGCTGGTTGAAGGCGTTGGCGGACGAGGAGCAGAGGGCGGTGCCGAGGGCGGTCGCGAGGAGGACGGGGACCGAGACGGGGGCGGGGGAGAGGGCGACGCCGGACATGGCGGTGAGGACGACGAGCACGGAGAGGCGGGATTTGGATAGCTGTACATAGAGGTTGAGAAGGCGGGGGAGAGTCAGGGGCGGAAGCGGTTTGTAGGCGGTGAGGGGGAGGGAAGGGTAGGGGTGGGACGAGGACGGGACGAGGGCGGGAGGGGACGATGGGGGGTGGTGGGTCTCTGGGCGCATGGCGTCGGCAGACCATTGCTCGTTGTGGAAGAAGTAGGAGGTGAAGTCGAGAGGCCTCGCCGAGGTGGAGGAGGACAGGCGCGTCAGGGCCACGGGTCGCAGCCGTCCTGGTGCGCGCGGGAGAAGTCGTGCGGACGAGGCGAGGCGGCGATGTTGGCGCCTGCAGACATTGAATGCCAGCATCGTCCTGGGGAGCTGTTCGTGAACGGACAGCGGGGAGCGTTCACATCGCGGATACGCACCTTGGAGGAGGAGAATGCAGCCAGGCAGGCCGTGCCGGTGGCGGCGAACGTCGCGGCATGGCGGGGTTCCAATTCGTCGTCGCTTCTGTTGTCCCCGTCTTCGCCCTCGCCGTTCTTGTTGGCGTGGCGTACATCCCCCTCTCTCTCCTCCTTTCTCTCTCACGACGCACAAAATCCCTGCTACACTAAGTCCCCTCTCCCCCTCGCTCACAAAACCGGCCCACTCGTCGGCACATACACACCACCCGACTCACAGCGACAGCGACAGCCCAGCATGCCTGGCACCCACCTGCTCCCCCCGAATCTCCTCAAGCTCTTCGCCCCGCGCCCACCGCTCACCTATGCCCGGCCTTTGGACAAGGACATCGACCGCGTCGTAAAAAAACCCGTCTCGCCCGTGGGCCCGCTCCTCGTCATGCTGCGCGAGTCTGCGGCGCTCGCAGAGGGCGAGGGCATGGAGGAGGGTGAGGAGCCCGCCTTCACCCACGCGGAGCAGACAAAGCGCCAGATCAGGAAGGAGGAGCGCAAGAAGCGCAGGACGGAGGAGTTCAAAATCGCGAAAGAGAGCTGTACGTGCACGCCCTTTTTCTCATCTTTCCCTGTGGCGTGCGTTTGGCAGGTCGCGCGCGCTGACCCTCGTCGTCTCTGTCTCCTTGGGCCACAGATAAACCCTCAGAGGATGCCGAAGCGGTCGGAGACCCGTACAAGACGCTGTTCATCTCCCGTCTGGTGCGTTCATTCAGCTCTCCTACTTCCCGTGCCACACTGACGAAGATCACGCTGCACTCTCATAGCACAAGGGTGCATCTGAGAGCGACATCCGCCGTGAATTCGAGACGTACGGGACCATCGAACGCGTACGCATTGTGCGCGATAAAAAGGGACGCGGGCGAGGCTACGCGTTCATCGTGTACGAACGCGAACGTGACATGAAAGGTCATTACTTCACTCTGCGTCCTTCTCTTTACGTATCACGAACCAGCGCTGACTCCCGCGTGGCTCACTTCTTACATCCTTTCCTCTTGCGCCTCATGTTTCTCAGCTGCCTACAAGGAATCCGATGGACTGCACATCATGGGCAAGCGCATCCTCGTCGACGTCGAGAGAGGACGCACCGTGCGTGGATGGAAGCCCCGCCGCCTCGGTGGCGGCCTTGGTGGGCGCCCCAAGCCCGTCGAACAGGCAGCGGTCAGCAGTAGCCGAGGCGGATTTCGAGGCGGGTTCGCGGGCGACAGAGGTGGTGGACGCGGTGGGTTCAGCGATCGTGGAGGTGGGTTCCGCGGAGGTCGTGGGGGTGGGTTTGGTGGTGGTCGTGGTGGAGGCGGGTTTGGGGATCGTGGTGGAGGAGGTGGGTTCCGTGGAGGCGGAGGCGGAGGGTTTAGGGGCGGACGCGACGATTTCGGCCCGCCGCCTCGCGGTGGAGGATTTAGGTGCGTGGATATTCCTTTGCCCTCGCGAGTGGCGATGCGATCCCATCATGCTCACATCTTGTCTTTTGGCGCGCGTCCCTCGCCGTCCCCTTCTTTTTTCATATTTTCATTTAACCATCTTTATATGTCCATGTGTGTGCACGATCACTCTCGATGTGCGTGCGCGTACGTATGCAGGGGCAGTCGCGGAAGTGGAATCGGCTTCCAAGGCGGAGGGGGCTTCAACGATGGGCCACCCCCCAACAGGTATGGCGGGCCACCCGGTGCCGGCGGGCCTGGGGGCCCGGGCGGATATGGCCCTCCCGGTGGTGGCGGGGGTTTCGGGGGCGGAGGCCCTGGATACGGGCCGCCGAGCGGGAGAGGAGATTTCGGGGGTGGGTACCGAGGAGACCTCAAGCGCGAAAGTTCCGGGTTCGACGAGAGGGACGCCAAACGGCCACGGTACTAGACGATGCGACGAGAACAGGACGGTGCGACGCGGCGTGGATCGGTCGAGGTATGCTGCTGTATATGATGCTGCCCTCCGTGCTCGGCGCGTGTGCGTATATGTTTGCGTGGGCGTGTAAGTTGCGGGTTTGGTTTGGCTCGGTACCATGATTTTTGCTCTCCTTTCTATCGCTGTTTCGGTTTCAGTTTTTTCTTTCTCGTCTCTGCTTTCTCCCTCTGCTTTTCTCGTTTCATCAGCCACCCCCCCCCCCCTGATCTTTGCTCGGTCGTCTCATCTCGAGCCGCGCGCTCTGTGTTTATGTTTGCGTAAGTATTATGGTTGCCGGACACGTTACACGGCGACGGCCTGTGATGCCGAGGCAAGTATAGTACGACATTTCCGTTTGGTTGACACAGACGTTCGCACAGGAACAGAGAACCGAACCAGAAACCAGAAACAGAAGCGAGAAACGAAAGCGTGCAGGAAAAAGGTGACATAATAGCAGGTGACCTTGTTACAACGTCGCGGTGCTGTCTGTCTGCTTGTCCGTTTGATCTCTCCCCTCCCCTTGGATCCGTGACCCGCCGAACATGTCTGCAGCCGCCTGTCTTGTCCTTGTCCTTGTCCTTGTCGTGTCTTTTTTTGTTATCCCCTTTTCTTGTTCTTGTGGCTGTCTTTCGATCTCTTACCTCTTGTCCTGTCAAGGCAGGCAGCTTCTTGCGTTTGATGCCTTGATGCGATCAGATCATTGTCAGGCCCCCGCCGTTAGAGGTTCGGGGTGGGATCAGGATCAGGACATCAAGGATCAAGGATCAGACCGACGCCCAAGCCGCCGCGGGAAAGGAAGGGACCGCGCCGACGCATCTGGTATATCGGGCGCACATGGGGCTGTTTTGGGGCGCGCGCGATTACGAAGACGCGGGTTTGGGCTTTGTCAGTGCTTTGTCATCGCGAGCTGCAGGCCCGGGGCGCGTCCGGGTGGACGGAATGCGCAGCAGCGATTGGGGCCATCATTCCACGGGTGCCTTTGAAGAGTGAACAATGCAAGCTATGCTGTATGCGCTCGCGCTCGCGGTCGTCGTCGTCGCGCCATGGCGCCCGGCGCACGATGGCCATTGAGCGTCGTGTGCGCCTTGGTCTCCGCTCGCGCTGTGTGCCGGATCGTGGGATCTCGACAGGGGCGTCGACGGGGTCGGGGGGGAGATCGGGGGTGGAATGCATCTCTGTGCATCTGTGGCTGGGCGAGGGACGGCATCACGATTCGCGATTCGCGATTGGGCCGAGCGTGCAGTATGGGATTTATTGAGATCCCGAGAAGCTCTGGCGGGGGAGCGTAAAATGTAAACGTGAGTATGTAATGTTTCAGGTGCCTAGTATTGGGAGTGCGCAGGAGACCGGGAACGGCCGGGCGTTGCGGAAGCGCAGTGTGGGCGCGCGTTACATGCGTACGGTGCTAGTACATACAGTAAGTGTGTGGGTGAATGGGATTCTCAGGGGACGCGAGCGCTTGGTGGGAACAGCGAGCGAGCGAGCGACACGCGCGTCTCGGGATCAGTGGGATGATCCACGTTGTGCGCGGGGATGTCAATGGGAGGTTGACAGGTCTGACTGCGAAGGCGTGATGGATCGTAGCAGCGGCTAGCGGTAGCCAATAGGGCTGCCCAGGCGAGGGGCTAAGAGGAGAGGCTGGCCGCGATAAATTCAGGCGCCTGCTGTGCTGATAGACACACGCGGACGTGATCCTGCTGCAGACCGCGATGGCTGCAGCGGGTTCATCACTTGTTGGACGGCGGGGAGGCTGGTAGTTCGAGGGTGGGGATTGAGAACCAAATACGGCGTCGGGCGATAGGATCCGCTTCCGAGTCGGGTGTGCAGGTGTGGTGTTGCACGGGGGGTTCATTAGGCCAGGTGTGCTCGCCCGCGGCGAGGGGCTAGCGGGATCTTGTTTAATTAAACTGCGATGGTCGGCACAGCCCTCGCTACCTGCTGCTACCGTTCGAAGACGGGAATCTGTGATTCATTCGAAAAAAGCGAGAGGAAGGCAGCGGGGACGTGCACGTGATTGCGAGACGTGACGGGCCCCACTGGAGGACGTCTCAGGTCCGGGGTCCGAGCGACGAGTGATCGCTGGCGGCTGGCGCGATGGTCTCAGCATCCCCGCGTCCGCTCTTGCCACGCCGCCGCACACACACACATGCGGGCTGTGCGCCTTACTAACGTCAGACAAGCGCCCCGCCGACCCTGACGCTCAGCTCCAGCTGCTTCAGCCCAGGCTGATCGCAATCGGCGCCATCGCTGCACTGTGCCCTCGGGCGCTTTTGCGCTGCACGATCGCCCCGGCGCGTCGCGGGTGGTGGCGTGTCTGGCGTTTCCGGGGGAGCATGCACCGGACGTGTCCTGCTGCTGGCTGCTGCTGCTGCTGCTGCTGCTGTGACTGCCGCGACCGCCGCCCGCACTCCCTGCAGGCGCGCGTGTCGGCTCATCAGACGGTTGCAGCGAGCTGGGGTGGGGTGGGGGCTGTCTCAGCTCGCAAGGGCAACTGCAGTGATAAATTCATTGCTTGCTGGATCGCCCCGCGACTGAATGGCTTGGTGCTGGTCGGGCTGTCGGCACCGCCTGCAGGATCGTGTTCGTGGGTGGTGGACTGAACGTCGGGCCCCGAGATGATCCGGGACAGGAAGGAGCTCGGTTGGGACGGTGGGTCATGCTGGGCGCGGGGCCCTTCGAGTCGGTTTCCTTGCCAGCGAAACGAATCTCGAACTCTATGGCGGCGGGGGGCGTTCCTGGCAGATCCGATCTCGTCTGCCGTCCCCTGTTCGAGCGCCCAGTCCAGTCCAGGCTCCGCTCCTGCGAACCGACGGAGCCTTGTCTCTCCCTCGCCATTCGCTCCGCTCGCCCGCACAACACACCTCTCTTCAGCGCCAGCCCCCTGCCCTCTCCCCTCCTCATCCTTTCTCCGCCCATCCATCCACCAGATTCAGCCCCCGACCTACCCTCCTCATTGAAAGCCCCGCCCTGCTGCTCTTCCCCCCCGCGCCCACCTTTGCCCCCCCCCCCCCCCAATCCCACTGACGTCCCGTCCGAACCCTGCGTTCTGCTCGCTACCGATCATCGGCTTCCAAACTTGACTCACCTGCACACCACCCTCGCCCCTGAAACTCACGCCTTGACCCACTGACACCGCTTGCCGCCTATTTCCATTATACATCTCATACCTAGTCGTCCCGTCGCCGCGCGCTTGGCGCCATTGGCCACCATCCTACTCTTGCGCCGTCCCCCTCCTCCCTCCTTCACTCCTACCACCACCACCACCACCACCACCACCCGCTTCCATCCTGGCTGTATCACTCTTCCCCCGTCCGACTTGGGATTTCCCCTTGATGGATTGTGAGTCCTCCGACCCCTTCGATCTAAATACGCGTGCCCTGCGCGTCGTGCCACCGCCTAGCCCCCCGCTAAATTCTTCGTCTGACATCGGCTCCTGTCCTCCCGCCCTAACAGCCATGGACGCACGCATCGAAAAGTACCCCTCCCTCGAGGCGTCCCAAAACCAGCTCCTCCCTTTGCTCCCCCCACCACCGCACTCGATGCCATCCTCCTCGCACCCGTCCCCTCGCGATAAATCGCCCCTTCCCGGCACATCTCCTGACCCAGGCAGCAGCGCCGCCGTCTCTCCCTCCGCGCACGACCACGACGGCGACGACGCGGCCTCGGAGCCCATCTCCGAGCCCGCTGGCCGCCGGCGGTCGACCTCGAGCACGAAGAGCTCGGGCGACCGCGAAAAGCGCAAGCGGTCGCGCGTCACCCCCGACCAGCTCATCCACCTCGAGCGGTTCTTCTCTGTCGACAGATCCCCGACCGCCGCCCGCCGCCGCGAGATCAGTCAGATGCTAGGCATGCAGGAGCGGCAGACACAGATCTGGTTCCAAAATAGGTACGCGCGCTTCCTCTTCCCCGTCCCCCGTCTGCGAGGGGGCGCCGGGTTTGATGTGAGCGGTGTATTGATTCGTCGCGTGGTTCGCTCAGACGGGCAAAGGCGAAGCTGTTGGATGGGAAGAACAAGACCCATCTTCCGACATCGCCCCCAGAAACGCCCCCAGAATTGCAGCCGGGTTTCCAAGCAGAGCTCCACAGCCTCATTCACGAAGATGAGGGTGCGTACGCTCTCCCTTTTGCCGTGCGCTCAGCTCCAGCTGATGACCCTGCCCCACTCTCAGCCGTGACCGTCATTCCCTGCACGGACCTTACCATCGGGACGTGGCGACGGATGGCGACCACGGTGGGCAAGCATGACCTTGTCGCGTACCTCTGCGATGCGAAGCGCTGTCTCACGTGGTTCATCCACTCGGCGGGGCACGGCTTCAAAATGGAAATCGCCTACGACAGCGTAGTGAGCACCGAGTTCGCCAACGCCGCGCCCGGCGCCGGCCTCGCGACGTTCATCCTCGCGCGCCCGCCCGCGTTCTTCCTGGAGGCCCCCGCCGTCACGTCGTCGCCGCAGGGCGACCGCTGCGCGCTCCCGGGCACGCGCGTGTGGAAGCGCTGTGCAGACTGGACGGAGGGCATGCAGGCGACCAAGGTGCTCCGGCACGAGCTCGTCGGCTCGGCGGTCCAGCTTGCGCACGTCCTCGCATCTTTCCACGCCGGCAAGGCTTCCGGCGAGGTCCGTCTCCACGAGCCCGCGTACACCGCGGCCCCAGCCTCTTCCTCGAACCCCACGTCGCCGCCATCGCTGCCCCTGACATCTTCCTTGCAGCAGCAGCAGCAGCCGCCACAGCAGCAGCATCTCGACCTTGACCTCTCTCCCGCACTGGCGAGCGGGCTCAGCGCGCTGCCGACATACTATACACAGGCACAGGACGTCTTCGAACCGTCGCACGTGCCACGGCGCTCGTTCTCTGGCACCCCGCTGCTCCTCGCACCGAACCCGCCCGACTACCCCGCCGCAGCCGCGTCGCCGAGCATGCAGCCGTCGTCCTCGTCCTCGTCAGGCCATCCATCGCCGTACACGCGACACGCGCTATCGAACCACCCCTCGCCGTACATCCAATCGCCATCAAACCACCCCTCGCCGTATGCGTCCTCGAGCAACCCCTCTCCCACACCGTACGCTCGGTTCCCCGGCCTGCAGCAACAGTACCCACAGCCACATCAGCATCAGTACGCTTATGGACAGGGCCCATCACAGCAGCCCGGGATGAGCTTCTCGGCGCCGGCGCCTGCGTCTGCGTTCACGGACTTTGCAGAGCAGCAGGCGCAGGCGCAGGCGCAGCTGCAGGCGCAGGCACAGGCGCAGGCGCAGATGCTCGAGTACACGCTCCCGCTCTCCGCCCGCGCGTTCCCGAGCGCGCCGGCGTACTTCTCGCCGCATGCGCCGCCGCGCCCGCTCTCGCAGTTCGGGACCCCGTCGTCGCCGCTGCTCACGGCGACGGCGGCGCCGTTCGCGCCGCCCGACGCGGACCTCCAGACTATGCAGATGCAGTACGACGCGCTCCGGCGGCCGTCGCGGTGATGTCTTCGACGCGGGAGCGGTCCGTTTATGCCCCTCTCATCATGATTTGACCGCTCCGTCGGCGTGTTTTCTGTCCGCGGGCTCCCCCGTGCGATCCCGCTTTCGTCGCCTCCTCCGTTGCATTATTAGGGCCTCTGATACCCCGTGCCAGACCTCCTGCCCACATTTCTCGCTCGCGTAGAATTCGTTTTCTTTCTCTCTTTTTCTTTTACGAGTCGCCGGTGGTCTCTGTCTCCGCGTTTTTCTGTTCTTTTTTTTATATTTACGACACGCCTACCGTTCAATATTCACGTTTATCATGAGCACCCGACATCGACGTCGTTCATCCCGGACTATACACCTACTAGGCATGCGGATGCGCCTGTATATATGTTACATTACTTGCGGTCCGGGCGCGTCCTCGGGCGCGCGTTATTTATATCGTTCTATGCGGCGAGGAGCCCCGGATCTCAGATCGGGGAGTCCCGTTGTGTTCATTAGAGTTGCTTCTGCTGCGTGCGTTCGCTGTTTATGGGACGCGTATACGGGATGGGGAAAGCGCTTGGCTTGTGTAGGTAAGGAAGGCGAGACAGGCGGCTCGGTTGGCTGTCAGGTTCGATGTGAAGAAGGAACGGCGGCTCGATTTTAACGTTTAAGGATACGTATCGGTGCGCAAACGGCGCTTTGGATTCGCCGAGTCTGAGCCGAGGACTCAATACTCAGGGAACGATTATTTGCGGCCATCGCGAGGCTGAGATTGGGTGCTTAGATAGACAGTGTACGAGGATGGGAACCTGGTCTTTTGAACAAGGCGGGACGCCGAGGCGTGGGGAAGCGGGAGACTGGCGGTGGCGTATTTAAGCGGTGCTAGCGGGTGGGAGGAGGACGTAGTATGCGAAACGTAGAGTAGCGATCTCTAGAATTGATTGTCTGCACGCTCCTTTGCTATCCGGCTCGTGTAGGCTCTGCTGACGATGTTGACTGGGACGCCGCGCGGGTGTGAGTGAGTAGGCGGAGCCGGGATGGCGAAATGACAGGGACTCACAGGCTTCCATGTACCGATCCAGACACCGTGCCAGACATGTCTGTAAGAGAGAGAGGGGGGGGAAGGGGGGGAGACGGGCGTCAGTGGACGCGACAGCAGCAGACTCGTGTGGGAGGGGGCGCGTCACCTCTTCCGAGCCAGACAGGGAGGTGGACGGCTTCGTGACGCACTTGGCGAAGCACTTTTCGTTTGCTTTCTGCGTACGTACAGAGACGGGGGGAGTGAGCGGTGCGCGGGCAGGGGGGGCGGGACACTGTGGTGCGCACGTTCATCAGCTCCTGCGCGTTGACGAGGGCGAGCTCGTTCCGGACGGAAGCCATGACGGCTTCCTTGCGTGCTGCGGAATCTACAAAGACATGTTCAGAGAGGACAGACGCGAGCGGCCACGCAGGAAACGCGAACCTGCAGGCGAAGCTGGTGGTAACGAGGATTTGAAGAATTCAGCCATGGTCGTCGTCGTCGTCGTCGTCTGCGAAGCCCACAAATAGCTAGCTGGCAGCGCTCGCGGAACTGAAATTCTTCTTGCCGCCTCGGAGCACGTGATGCATTTCAAGCCGTCCAATTTCATCATGCGTCCGAACTCTCTGCTGTTGCGGTGTGTCGAGGTCAAATCCATCGTTCCGCCAGCGACGTAGCCGCGGCTCGCGTTTGCCGACTTCTCGAGATCTCGAGAGGAGGAAATTGAAATGGGTGCGGGGGCATCGCGCGCGCAGTCGGACAGTGCGGGGGCAGGGGCGGGGGGTGTAGAAGATTACTACGCGCTGCTCGAGGTCGAGGAGTCTGCGACCGCGGACGAGATCAAGGTGCGTTTGACGCACAACACGCCCTGGCCCACATCGCCCTCACCGCTCACCCTCCCGGTCTCGGATCCTGACGGACGCAGCGCGCGTTCCGCCGCCTCGCGCTCCTCCACCATCCGGACAAGAATCCCGATGACTCCGAAGCCGCGACGCAGCGCTTCGCGGCGCTGCAGCAGGCGTATGAAGTGCGTGCCGAGACTTCGTGCTAGCGTGGCTTAGCCAGCGCACGTATGACCCAGAGCTGATGGCGTGGACAGGTCCTGAGCGACGAGCAGGTGAGGTGCTCCCTCTGCGTCGTGCCGTGCGACGAAACCCATTGAACACCGCGATCGCACCGAAACAGGAGCGAGCATGGTACGACTCGCATCGCGCATCGTTGGTCCCAGAACCGGACGTAGAGACCGTGTTTGAGGACATCAAGAAGGGCACGACCCCTGCTCGCGCGCGCGATCGCGGCTTGAGTGTGCGACATCTAGCACCCTTCCTCAACCCGTCCATCTGGTCTGCCTTGGACGACAGCGACAACGTAGGCTGCTGATTTTGACACGCGTCTATGCATCTAAAGGGGTGATCGATCTTCAAGGGCTTCTTCACGATATACCGCAATCTTTTCGCCCGCCTTGCCCACGATGAGGCGCCATACACGGACGTCGAGTTCCCCTCGTTTGGGGACTCTACATGGACATGGACTGCACCCTCCAAGGACAAGCAGATGGAGGCCGCGCGGACGTTCTACAATTACTGGCTCAATTTTGGCACCGAGAAAGATTTCACTTGGTGCGATATGTACAATCTCTCTGAGGCTCCAGATCGTCGTGTGCGCAGGTCGGTGACCCTGATACATAATTTGTTCGGCGTTTCTCATGCATCGCGTAGACTCATGGAGAGAGATAACAAGAAAGCTCGCGACGACGCGCGCAAGGAATACAACGAGACAATCCGAGTACGTCCTCTGTTTCACACAGATTCCAACACGATCAAACGCCTGTGATTTACATGATATACGCAGTCTCTCGTCATGTTCATCCGCAAACGCGACCCCCGGTACAAATCCCATCTCGCCCGGCAAGCTCAGCTAAACACCCCATCCCCTTCGAAGCCTACGTCCGGCGCAGCAACGCCCACTCAAAAACGCTTTGCCCCACCGCCCCCTTCATCTTACGTAGAACAGGACTGGCAGAAGGTCGCGGACGCACCCGCGAACGACATCGAGTGGGCGCGGGCCGAGAACGGTGGAGACGAAGAATGGGAATGCGTCGCCTGCGGGAAAACATTCAGGAGCGAAGCGTCATGGGACAGCCACGAACGGAGCAAGAAGCATCTTAAGGCGGTAGAGACGTTAAAGCGGCATATGGAAGAGGAGGAAGAAGAGCTGGGGTTAGCCGGTGACGGCGAGGACGAGGACGAGGGCGAGGACAAGGGTGAAGACGAGGGTGAAGACGGCGAGGCGGAAATTAATGCGGATGCCCGAGAGATCCCAACCTCAGCGTTGCCATCGTCCGAGCCCCAAGACGAATTCATAGCTGACGAGTCACCGCAAGGAAGAAATTCCCCAGAGATCTCGGACGGTGCGGTTAGCGAGCCAGACAGCTCCCCGGCTCAGAAGCAGAAACCCAAACGGAGGAAAAAGGCGAGGAGCGCGCTCCCTCCCGACGCACCCAACGGCAGCCCCCAGCTGACGATGTCAAAACGGGAGATTAAGGGGCAACCTAACCTGAGCATTGAAAATCCGGGACCTTCGCAAGGTCTTGCGGACGTAGAAATTCAGGGTCGCAGGGAAGCGGACAGCACGCGTTCGCAACCAACAGAGCCTCCGCAGCCGTCAAAAAAGGAAAAGCGGAGGGCGCGAGAGGCAGCCAAGAAGGAGCGGGAGGCCACCGCAACTACCGTTGTAAGCTGACTTTCCTCTCGGATGCTTTACCCTGCCTTTTATCGCGACCCCCACGCGGCGTGTTTCACGGATGCGTTTCAAGACGCCATTGCCATTTCTATACTTATCGGCCGCACCAGCTATCTATTCTCGCCTGGTTTGCTTTTCCGCTCCATCTTTTTTTCTGGGTGGTGTATCAGGCTGCAGGCTGACGCATTCGCTTCGCTTCTAGCAACGATGTAACGTGTGCTCGAAGGAATTTGAGAGTAAAACCAAATTATTCGCGCACATCAACGAGACCGGGCACGCTCTGGCCGATGAGTCAACGCAGCGCGGGCGGATACAGAAAAAAGGGGCGAAAGCGCGGCGATGAAGGTCACAGTCCTTGAGGTCCCTCGGTTCAGCTGATGGGCGCTTGAGTTAGAAGACAGTCTATAGGATTGGGGCACCCATGGTACGGATTAGGCTGGGAGTAGCTTGACTCGTGATGGAGGGAGCCAGCTCACATCTGCTCACATGTGTCGCGCTGTGCAGTCAATTGTATCGATGGCCCGACGTGCACTAAAAAGATCAATGTATCCGCAATAGGTATTATTACAATGCAGCAAGCGCGTGTGTACACTGGCAGAATCAAACATCAGGTCTCAGGTCTGGAGAACATAGCACAGCTTGATCGTGAAAACTGAAGAATGACATTGATGTGATCAAAGATGCGACCGAGCCGCCAGGCATCAAGAAATACATGCCAGATGCCGCAGATACTCGCCACGGGTGGCATCGTGGCTGTGTATGCCGTGTCCCTACCCCATGAGCTGCGATACGTCTTCGGGAGGATACTTTGTCTGTGAGAACGTGAGCAGCCTGGAAACCAGGGGAAAGTAAGGCAATCGCCGATCAACGCCTAGTCCATATTCGTCGACGGATGGGATCACGCACCGCTTAAGGCTTTGTATGTACTTTCGACTAACTTCGTCGTTCAACACGTGTGCGACCTGGTCTGAAGAAATTTTTTCGCGAGCTGACCGCTCATGGATGCTATAAAATAATTTGTAGAATAAGTACCGGTTCACACGGACCGTCATCAAGGCTTCAAGAAGAACGATGGTATGTTCGAAGGATATACGTACCCAACCATGGTTACACCGATAGGCCAGGGAGCATTGCCGATGGAAAGGCGCAGGTACGAGTCGTTCGCGCGTTGATACTGCCTCTTCTGCATGTGGTGCACAATCTCTGCTATGCGTGCGAGGACATCTGATGGGAGAGACTGGAAGTGAATGGGGGGTCAACACTGCACGTTGCTCGACTGAGGAGAAAGAGGACAAACTCGTGAACGGATGATTTTGAACAACGGTTTGAGATACTCTGCTGATTGGACCTGCGTTGCCGCCGCCAACTTCCCCTGCGTGGAGCGTTTGATGTGTTCTGGTCAAAAGTCAGTATGCCGGTGGGTTGTCAACAAAGTCGGGTTTCGCACCTGGTCGTTCAGCTAAGCTCTCCTCCCACTCCTTCAACGTTCGTTTGAGAGCAAAATAGATTATAGGATACAGCTTGTCCGGGTCGGTCTTGATAAGTCCCAGATCCAACACACCTCCCTCACCTTCTGCGTCGCCCTTCTTCTTCCCCTTTCCTGCATCGGAGGCAGAGGTTCGGTCTTTCAGCTCTCGCTCTGCGCTCTCGACGTCCTCAAGCGCCTTGCGAAAGTCGTTTTGTCCACCCGCACGGTCGTGTCCCTTTTCCTCGATGAGCTCAAGGGCGCGGAGTCGCAGGCGGCGCTCCTTGTCCGACTCACCGAACAAGCGGACAGGCTGGCCCTTGGCGCGGAGACGACGAACTGTCTCGTCGTTGGAGATGTTAAATGTCGTCGTGATGGCCTCCAACGTGGAAGCGTCAGGTGGAGGTGAAGCGGTCAAACGGGATGCACTGGGATGCGGAGAAGAGGTCTGGGAGCGGGAGGCGGGGGTCTGGACTCCAGCTACGTGTTATTGTAAAGGATTGCAGGCATGGAAAATGATAGGCGTACTTTGGCTTTGGGAGTATTGCGTTCTGCCTCCTCTTTTGCAAGGCGTTCTGCCTCCCGCGCTTTGCGTTCCTCTTCCTCTTTCAACCGTTCAATATCGCCCCTGCGCATGTATTTACTGGGCTTTGACGGCATCTCGTCGAGTGCCTTGCGTTTGGTCTGAATAGCAGCTTTGAGAGCGTCCATTTTGTCCGAGAAAAATGGACAGAGAGATGGGCAACTGAGTGGATTGTCGAGAGTGGGTCTGGAGGCTGTCTGGAAGGTCACACAGTTACATAATCGTCCATCCGACGAGTTCCGACGACGTCTTCAACCGAGCGACCACACCTCCTTTCCACCTTCCATCATGTCTGAGACCGACCTCCAGAGGTACGCCGCTCTGCTCTCGACGTCCCATTCGACCTTAACATTCTCCTGCTTTTACAGCAAATACGTCCTTCAGACGGCTGGGTTTGATGGTCAGTAGGACTGTGACGCTGGCATAGCATGCTTGTCGTTCATGCTTTTTTCTAGCCCGGTTCCCGTACACCAATCAGACAAGGCACTGGTGAGTTGTTGCTTGTTGGAGCACGCCAACGCATGATTAATGTGTCTGCAACAGCTACCAAAACTACACCGATTACTTCAAGTGCATATCTGCAAAGGGTGAGGACTTCGCGCCCTGCAAGCAGTTCAAGCGTGCCTACCACTCTCTTTGCCCCAGTATGTTCGTTCTGCTTCGCCTTCTCATCGTCCACTAAATATGTTCTTCCTCACCAGATGAATGGGTATGGCTGGCTTCTCCTCTTGACTCGATCGACTGACCAATGTTATATGTATAGATTGGGAGATGGGATGATCAGAGGGAGAATGGCACTTTCCCCGCCTCCCTGGAGCCGTGATTCTACTACCACGACACTCGCTCTAGGTCAATAGAACGCTTGGTGTTTCGGGGCGATTAATCATTACTAGCCTTTCACTTTTCATCGTTTCCAAATCACGCGACTGAGCAACTCAGGGCTGAGCTATTCGTCTGGACCTGAGGCTAGTTCACACAGTGTAAAGCTCGACTTCATCGACTTCATAAATTATCTCCAAAGAGTATTACACGTAAGGTCGTTGCGCGTCTAGATGGTGCTGGGCTATAGTAAGTAGGGGGAATCCGGGTTTATCTAAATGCTAGCTCTAAGGGTATCCGAGGGTATATGCGAAGTTTGGGATTGTGTTACAGGAAGGTCAAGAGTAGCGCCTCAGTATCGAATACATCGACGCCCAGACCGGCGGGTACTGTCGTCACACTGAGATCGCCCGAAACACTCCCATCCGCCGTCTCGTATGTCTGTCCTCCCCATGTAATACCAGCCGTGGCGTTGGCCAATCTGTAGATAAAGTTAAAGACGATCGTGGAACGGAGGAGTCACGACCATCGAGACGTACGGAATATTCAGCCGCTTGACCGTCATTTTCGTCGTCGTATCTATATCGTCAAATTTCAGGACGACATTCACGGAGCCCCTTTCCCCTGCGCTGCCGGTATATGCGCGCAAATTGATGAGGACTGCCCGCGCAAGAGCCCCGCCGTCATAAAACGCGTAGCCCGACACGTGGTCAGATCCAACGTCCAGTTCGACAACCTGCGTTGCACCAGAATCACCAATAGCTTCCGCCGCGATGACTGCTGCATAGTATGCGGGCTGGATGTGCGGCGGCAACGGACGAGGCAGTGGGCGTGCGTCTAGGATGGAGCGATTGAGAGTGATTGGTTGGATCTGAAGTTGGTAAGATTAGAGATAGTCTAAGGTTGATATACGAGAAGAGAACCATCATGTAGAACATACGCACAAAGTTGTACTTGTTCCCTACGCCGTGATGGAAATACACCCGCGATATACCGATCTGCGACGCGAACAGAGCATAGTCCAGCGCCCAAAGAGCCGCACCAGCGGTATTGCTGACTCCCGGTGCACCATGGCACGAATAGCTGTTCGTTTCGCCCAATATGTAATCCAGACCCTGAGCGTGCACAGCAGCGATGTCGGTGCTAAAGACAGTAAGGTTACTGCGGATGCTCGACTTTGTCATGAGATCCTGCAGAATACCATTGCTGCCGCTGCAGAAGGAGCCGCTGTAATGATGTTGCGAGACACTGCAGCCGCGACAAATTCGTTACATTCGGTACGAACGATCGAGAGTGTGATTCATACGTGGTAAGGAGAGATCCAGCATCGGAGTTGAGGATGCCTTGCTTGAACATAGATTGTGGAGAAAACCCAGTGTCGGTGTGCGTAGACTCGGCGCACGAAATCCCAAGGAAAGGAACGGTGAATCCTAGAACGTTGCGCACAGCTAGTGACACGTTAGTCGCAAAAGCCGTCCACCTATCGAGTGCAAGCGGTTAGTATCGTCATCAGCACATGTCAAGACAAGTGCGCGCAGCAAACACACTCTTTGACATATTCCGCAGGATTCCAGTACCAGCGCAAGCCGTGACGCAAATACAAGTCCGGCTCATTCCCAATCTCGATTGCCTCTAGCGCCACACCTGCCTGCTGCATCTCAGGCGAAGCAAAGGCCTGCGCGAGTGCTGTCGCTTCCAAGTATGCTGCGCTCAGGTTGTTCATGCCGAGGTTGACGCCCCATATAACCTGCGTCCCTGTGTATGGTTGGCGTCGGGATCAGGTATCCTGCACAGTACAGAAGCAATCTACATACCTGCGGGTAGCAATGACGCCAGACGATAGAAATTGTCCCCAACTACGATTTGCGCAGCTTCTGGATATGGAACGACCTGACTCGGAGGTGGAAAAGTCGCATCCGAGAACTGGAACCCTGAGTTCAGAATGGACTGAATCCTACAAGGAAATCTGCCCTCTTATGCTAACCTGGATAGCGGAATTGAAGTCGGTGTGGTCCTCGGAATCAGCACCAATCCGCACCCTCGCAGGCTCTCCCGTGATCATCTTCAGATTGTTCAACAAGTTGAAGAAGAACTGATTCTTGTTTTGAGCCCCGCTCCCGACCCAATCGACCCATCGATCCTGCTCTATCGAGAACGAGACATGCGACTGCGAGATGACGGGGGCGGATGCGGGGGCGGAAGTAGGGGTCGTGACAAAGACGGACGAAGCAAACAGGACGGAAGAGGTGGACAGAACGCGAACGGTGAAGAGCAGCAAGACCTTGATGAAGTCCGGGATCTCCATGGCTGGCAAGGGGCGATATGCAAGGATACCCGCACGGCGGGACGAAGGATACGCTGAGATCTTTTATACGCGACACAGGGTCATGGCGCTTCGAGCGCGGAAACTGGATTGACCGGCTAGGATGGGCGCAGCGAGAAAACACAGTGATCCGATGCCATGCGCTGCCGGCTTGTGGCATATGTCTAGCTGAGTACGAGAGACCGTAAGTGAAATGCATGTGGAGTGTATAGGAGACTGGGGATCGCCGCCACGACGTCACCACAGCCGACGACGCAAGCCGATTGAGCGATAAAAATAAACAACGCTCACCTCAAAGCGATTCACTCCCCCAGGCTGAAGCACATAAAATTGTTCAGTGGTTGTTTGAGAGGTCATTTTCCGTGAGGCTGTGAGCTGCTGTGAGTCATGATCGCAGGTAGTGTGCTGCCGGAGCGACAATCATGATATGTCTGCCTGCACTTGCTGATGCTGGAACGGGCAATAGTTGGCACTATCCACTGCCTAGATGTTTTCTCAGAGATCTGTGTACTTGGCTAGAGGACCTCTAATAATGCTCGAGCGTGCGAGCTGGAAGTGCTCAGAGAAGAGACTCTCAGGCACAGCGATAGATATGAGTCATCACAAACCAACCGTACGCGGCCGTACGCGGTCTGCACGCGATTTCGGCGGACAAGACCAGCATCTATACCACTACTTATCACTCGCCGACTACTTGAAAAGGTCTGCAGTAGCGCACTCTTCCGTTTAATGTAATCATAATGGGGCTAATCGTCCGAACGTTGGATGCTGCGGTCTGCGGTCTTCGTCGGTGCGCAGATAGGCGCCAACAGATGTGGTCGGTCTGAGATATGCCCAATAAAAAAGAAGCGCAGCTGAAGTGTTCATAGTAGTGGTTCAATGCCGCCAATGACCTACACTCGATGTAGGAGACGGAATCAAAGGAAGAGTGTGTTTGTTGATACATATTGATTAATCCGAGATGACACAGTATTCAACGGGACATCATCGTTCTCCCACTATTATAGATGTTCATAAATTTCGAGCCAAAGAAGAGCGTTTAGGACACACCTGGCAGTTTTCCTGTCTATGGTCGCTACTTCTGTCTTCGCTCTGTTCAATACCTTCTGGAATTCGGCAACGCGATGCCGCATGCGTGAGTGCATGTACGCTTTAGAGCATTTGATGTGGTAGTGAAGGTAGTCACGAAAGAGTTGGATGTGGGAGATGGTCGATGACGCGACAGTGGGGTTGTTGAAGTGACGAGGGAAGAGGATGAATGTAACATAGCCAATATCATCTGAGTCTCGGAGGCCCGCAAGGTTTCGAATTTCAAGAGGAGGTTCGCGATTGGTGTAGAATACTTGAGGGGCGTTCTGGATTGTAGGTAGACGTCTTGCATCGACGAATTCCTGAGATTATCTTGATTGAATCATTGACAATGGTTTTCGAATGCAAACCGGCGCACCTGAAGGAACACTTTGCCGAAGATGCGGTCTGTCTCTTCTCGGAAAACAGTTGAGAAGATAACGGTGACACGATCGGGAGCGGCTTGAATATAGATCGCCTCCTCATCGCGATAGTGAATCTGCAACAGTTCGCCCTGCCCTGATCCTGATGACTCCAATTGCTTCTGCGTATTGAATGCGAGCTCAAACGGCGCAGCCAACGCATTGCGTTTCAAGAGCGAGATAGACTGGATGAAATTGACGCGCTCCTCTGTACGTTGACATGGGACAAGGTTTGGAACCACATCACTCGTAATGTTGGGAGACATGCTCACCGCCTTCAGGTGGAGCCTTCTCCAAATCAATTTCTAGACTGACGTTGTAGTCTGGCTCAGCCTGCGCCTGCACCAAGGACCCATATTCACGCTGGAGCACTTCCATTGCACCGAACTTGACAAGCTCATCCCAGCAGCGGATGTTCATAGACAGTAGAAGAGAAGTCTTGCGCTCCGGAGTAGACAGGCGGAATCTGACGCCATCATAGTCGACGAACTGAACATCCAAGGAGCTTGGTCTGTACCGACGAAATGTGATCTGTGGGGTATCACCGCAGAGCAAGGCTTTGAACTGACTTTGTGAACTTCTCTGTCAGGGTATTTTGAATGATGACACTGTGGGACTGAGGTCACCATTAGCCCGAGCAACAAATCTCCGAACGAGGAGAACTGACTTCAAGGAGGATCATATTGTATGGATGAAGCGAGGCGGCAGTGCTATATCGCTAAAGTGACACAAGAGTGAAGTTAGGCTGCCACAGTGGCCAAATAACAGTAAGCAGAGCGAATTTCCAGCTTCCCACTCATCTCTCAAAAACTTTGTCGGTAATCCCGTCAAATATTTCTCAAAAATGGGTCGGATACGATTTCCTTGTCAATGTGCACAACGATGCTGAGAGATGCTTCATGTAGCTCCGAAGAAAGGACAGAAAATGTCTCTGAATGAGTTCCTGGGTGATAGTGGTAAGCGATTCGACTTCCGAGATCAAACGTTTGTAAGTCCCTCACATCCACGTTCGCAGCTCTAGGATCATGGGCAGACGAAATGGATGCTTTGCCTACCGCTCGTAAGTTACTCTCGATTTATGATGTTACGAATCGGGTGTAAACTGATTGAAACGCTTCGTAGCTGCCTTAAGGGCAGATGGCGACGGGCCTGGACGGAGAGACGATTACATGTCCAATAGAGGTATGTAGACTCCTCGCTCAGCTCCGTGTCATTTTCTACGCACTGATGTCTTTTGTGCTTAGGGGACAGTAGGCAGATGGGTCCGCCCCGTGAGGATTTGCCACTTCCCACCCAGCCCCCGTACACGGCTTTCATCGGAAACCTTGCATTCGATCTGACCGAAGCTGATTTGGAGAGCTTCTTTGGGACCTTGAAGGTGCATCTCAGACTTCTATTGGCTTGAGGAACGCTCTGTAATGCTCGCATCTCAGGTAAAATCTGTCAAGGTGATAAAGGATAGGGAAGAACGGCCGAAGGGCTTTGGGTATATTGAGTTCGAAGACTTGGAGGATCTGAAAGATGCCTTAGCTAGGTCGGGCTCGGTGCGTTTGGGCTCTCGCAAACAGACGTTTTGTCTCACACAACACACAGGCTTTATCAGGTCGAACGATCCGGGTGAGCGTTGCAGAACCACGTGAGTTTATTCACGACTTTCCCATTCTCTGTTCACTCTGCTCATCGGTCCTCCGCTCATGCAGCGAAGGAGCGTGGCGGGTTTGGAGGGGGCTTCGGAGGTGACGATGCTAAGTTTGCCGGCAACTGGCGGCGCGAAGGCCCGCTTCCCGACCTGCCTGACTCTCGTGACTCTTCTCGGCGCCGCTTTGATGGCCCTCCTGGTGGCGACCGCGAGCGTCCCCCTCCCAGTCTCTCTGATAATGCTAGCGATTGGCGCTCGAGTCGCGCTCCTGCCCGCGCTGAACCAGAGGCTCCGGCAAGGCGCAAAGCTCCAGGCTTTTTTGGTGCATCGGATGGACCTAGCGCAGCTGACAAGGAGGAGACGTGGACTATTGGTGGTAAATTCAAACCGAGCACGAACGGAGAGGAAGGAGGGACAGGTAGCAAGTTTGGGCGGTTTGCAGGGCGGGGAGATGGGCCCCCACGGAATGATCCTCCTGCTGCCCCCGAAAGTGACTGGAGAAGCACGCCAAGGGCAGCCATTTCCCGGCAAAGCACATCTCGTACGTTCATCAAAATTCGCCGATGACTTTTGCATAATTTATGAAATCTCGACTTGTACAGCCAACTCATCTACCCCACCTACCCCTCAAATGGGTCGCCGAAAACTCGAGCTTTTACCTCGCTCTGGCAACGTCTCCGTGTCTCCTTCTCCTCTTGCTTCCCCCAAAATGCCCCATAGTGCAACTAGCACTGCCCCGCGCGCCAATCCGTTCGGAGCAGCCAAGTGCGTTGACTCAAATATCTCCTTTTGTCTAGCTTCGAATCAATGCTTACTCCTGCTTACTCTCACATCAATTGCAGACCTGTTGACGTCAGCGCAAAAGAAAAGGCTGTTGCTGAGCGTTTGGACAAAGAACGTGAAGTGACAAAGGAACGTCTGGCACATCAACAGCCCATGTCTCGTACGAGCTCACGCGCCGGCTCCGACCGTACCGGAACGCCCAAGATACCGCAATCAAACTCTGTACCTCCCTCACCTCGAGCGACATCAGCAGTAGCCAGCATCCGTCCCGCTTTCAGCTTTGCTGATGCCGCTGGTGCGAAGAAGGCTGCTGCCGCAGCCGCGGCTGCGGCTGCCTCGGAGTCCAGGGAGGAGCGCGAAGAATCGGAGCCCAAGGATGAGAGTTCTGTAGTCAAAGACGTGACAGAGCAACTGGGTGAAGTCACTATCTGAGTCAAAGGATCAGGAAACAGACGCGTGCATTAATATATCCATCTTCTGTCTATCTTATCCCTCTGACACTTCAGAACGCAAACCATCCACCCCTCCTCTCCACTCTCTGCCATCGTGCTGTCTTTCGCTCCCCCTCTACCATGCGCTCGTGTTTGTGGACTGTTTGTTCCCATAATCATCTAGCCCTCGTTTCATCCTCCACAGCTTTTCCACCCTCAGTTGTCTGTTTTGATCGTGTATCTCAGGCTGTTCAAGAGAGTAACATTATATGGTTATGGTTTAGTCTTTTTGTCTTGTTTCAAACATGTCTCTGTTGCTCATGTACATGCTATACATAGCTAGACAAGAAAAAAAAGCATTTCGCTCTAATTTCGCTCTGTCAAGTCATAATCAGGCTGATATCCTGTCTTAGCGACTGCTGTGAAGTTCAGGATCGACATATTTCATCTTCCCTCGACCTATCAACGAAAGAATCAGCGAATGGCGTCAATGAACTGGGGATTCCGCACCCTTGAATCGCACACCGCCAAATGACTTCTCCGTTTCACGCTCATGCAGCTTCGCAAGTCTTTCGAGCTCAGTCTTCCGTGCTGCCTCAATCCGTTCGTTCTCCTCTCGTTCTAACCTTGCATCATACTCTTCTTCCGTCTCCTTCTTCTGCTCCCCTGCATCGACAACTGCTGGGACGCGTTCAGGAGACCTGGACTGGCGGGTATCCTTACGCTTGGATTTATGTTTTCGTTTTCTCTTTTTAGCGCCGTCAGAATCATCTGGAGAACGTGAGCGATGACGGCGTTTATGTCGCTTGTGGTCCTTTTCGCTTCCTGACTCAGACTCAGACTCAGAAAGGGAAGTGAGTTTAGAATTTTCCTGCTTGGCTGCTGTGATGGAATGTTCAATATGTAAGAAGATCACTAGACACGAGTACGAGTTAACTCACATGGAACAGGTTTCAGTAGCTTGCGTAGCTCGAGTTCACCACAGTTAGATATCGTCACGGGAACAGTCGGACGGTCTTTTGCGTCCACAGGAACTTCGGCGATTTTTTTGACCACGTCAGCGTAGCCTCGAATGATCTTACCGAATACGACGTGCTTGCCTATTGTGATATAGCAATTTCTATTAGAGTCTGGGAGGAATGAAGACGCAAAGCAAGACAGACCGTTCAGATGGGGGCAATCGCGCAGAGTGATGAAGAATTGTGAGCCGTTCGTATCGGGGCCTTTGTTGGCCATGCATAGCAGTCTAAATAGACATAAGCCGTGCTGCCATCGGCTGAATTCGAAGAAGTTGGGGCACGTACGCCTCTGCGTCTAGAGGACGTGTCAAATCTTCGTCCGCAAACTGGCCACCATATATCGACTCGCCACCCATGCCGTTTCGTTTTGTGAAATCTGTGGCACTCCGAGCTGTCAGGAATTTAACTTCACAAATCATGCTGCCATACCTCCACCCTGAATCATGAAGTTGGCAATGGAGCGATGTATGATGCTGTTCTTGTAATATAAAGGTAGACCGGAACCGTGTGAGACGCCCTTTTCACCTGTGCATAAGGCTCGAAAACTGATATCATTGGGAAAGTTCATTAGAACAAGGCAAGGATACATCTTACTTTTCTGCTGTCTTCGGTGCTGTATCGTTGTACAGCTCGAATATGATGCTGGAGGGCGTGAGCCAAAAATAATGGAGCAACTGATGCTACGCACCGTCCTATGGGCTGATGGTCGACGGTGAAATCCATGAAGACTCGCGGTCGGGCCATGATGAAGAGGCACTTCGGGAAGAGAGGTTGTCCAATGTGTTCGAGCAGCTTCCGAAGGGAATGAATAGAAACGGGTCAAGCTCAGTAGGTCAGGGTTAGCCCTAACCCCAACTCAAGGTGCCTAATTGAACTTGCCTATCGTCTCCCTGCAATCTGCCCCGAATGATATTTGACCGCATGCCGATCGCTGGCAGGAGCTGAATTAACGTCTGTCCTGCGATGCGCGATTTCAACGCCGTTGTCCTTGGTGGTGAGCATCTCATTTCTCCGTATTCTCCGTTCAAATGAGGTGGTAACTCGCCGGTTTCTAGCCGGAGGTGTGGGCAAGTCTGCTTTGACTGTTCGGTTTGTCCGTGATGAGTTTGTAGAGAACTATGACCCCACTATCGAAGGTGCGCAGCTGTATGCTCCCCCATGTCCTTAAAATGATGCCAACCCGAGCCTCGTCTATTCATCTAGAGGAATACCGTCAAATCGTCGAAGTTGATGGAATATCATCCTCAGTACGTAAAACCCTCTTCTCCTTGATCAGGCTTCGCTTTTCCGCATCGTTCAACATGCATCAGTGGCTGGTTCGCATCTGAGTTCTTCCCCTCGCGAATCTCGATACTGGCGATGTGATCAAACATCCCTATGTTAACCAGACTTTTATCTGTACGCCTTCTATAGCTCGAAGTCCTCGACACGGCAGGAGCAGAACAGTTCACTGCTCTTAATGAGGTCTATATCAAGGTGAATAGCAGCTCTGGTTGCTTATTTTTCCTCGTCTGAACATTGGCGGACTGCAGTCAGGCCGTGGATTCATCCTTGTCTTCAGGTGGGCTTCGAACATTGCGAAGGGATCTTCTGCGAAGACTATTCACCCGCTGTTCATTCCAGCTTAATACAAGAAGCTACTCTCATTGAAGTTGACAATCTGCGTCAGCAGATATACAGGATTAAAGGAGAAAATACTGTGGGCCCCGTTCCATGTCTGCGAGCGAATCTTGCTTACTAGCTTTGCGGCCCGGACTTCTAGGGCGTGCCTATCGTTGTCGTGGGCACGAAGTCGGACCTCATCAACGAACGTGAAGTGCAGAGATCTACTATTCAGGAACTCGCGACACGTTGGGGTCTCCCTTTTTACGAAACCTCCGCCAAGAGGAACTGGCATGTAAGAGATGTCTTCGAGGAACTTGTGCGGCAAATGCGTGTGCATTATCCCCCAGAAATTTCCAAGAAGAAAAGGAGAGGCAAGGATGGGAAGTGCATCATAATGTGAATGAAGGCCGTCAGGACACTTTTCTCTCCTGATTTCGTCCAGTGGTTCATGACGCTGAAGCGCTGAAGCTTACTTGTACATTCTACAGTAATTTCTTAAACTCTTTCTGCTGTCTCATTCTCGTGTATAAGACATACTACATACTTCTCTAGAAGCGCTTGTTAATCTCTGTCTTTCTTGGTTTGTTGGAGGATAGGACAGAACTGCACGATAGCTCTGTCTACGATTATTGGTATATATCTCGGCTTGTATTGGTCAGTGCGCCCAGCATGTGGGGCACAGGTCCGTGGGACCCGTGGGAATATATGGGGCTCTTATATAACCGGCATCTCCGGGTTGGACCAAATTTCTCTCTTTTCCTCTCCCTCATCATCACTTATAGACCCTTCACGAGTCGAGCATCATGGTAAGTTTTTCCATCCTTTCATCTGAATCGTGCTCAACTTCATGATTTCCTTTCTCCGAGCAGAGTTATTACGGCAACAGTACCAGCGGAGGTTACGGTGGAGGTCACAGCGGGGGTTACGGCGGCGGTGGAGGTGGAGGCTATGGCGGTTCAGGCGGTTCATACGGTGGCAGGGACAGCGGCTCTTGGGGCGGTGACAAAATGTCAAGTCTGGGCGGTGGGCTGCGCACGATTGACTGGGCTGCCCAGAAGTCGTCGCTTTTCGAAAAGAACTTCTACACAGAAGACAAACGGGTCACCGCTCGCAGCGAGCGCGAGGTTGAAGAGTTCCGTCAACTCAAGGAAATCAGAGTGAGTATCTGATTTTTTTTATCACTCGCCTCGCTGACGACTTCAAAAAGATTCAAGGCCACAACGTTCCTCGACCTGTGACTTCTTTTGATGAAATTGGGTTTCCTGATTACCTCATGACCTCCATCAAGGCGCAAGGCTTCACCGAACCTTCCCCAATTCAATGCCAAGCGTGGCCGATGGCTCTGTCTGGTAGAGATGTTGTGGCCATTGCGCAGACCGGTAGTGGCAAGACCATCTCGTTTGCACTTCCTGCTATGTTGCATATCAATGCGTACGATACTTTCTCCATCTATTGCTACTTTCGTTGACACCATTTCTCTTAGTCAACCCCTGTTGAACCCCGGCGATGGACCTATCGCCCTCGTACTTGCCCCTACCCGAGAGCTTGCAGTACAAATTCAGCAAGAGTGCACCAAATTTGGGTGCGTCTTTTTCCCATTGCTTGTCTTTGCTCTGTCTCATTGTCCATTAGCTCGAACTCTCGCATTCGTAATACTGCCATCTATGGTGGTGCCCCTAAGGGGCCCCAGATTCGTGACCTCCAGCGTGGCGTTGAAGTCGTCATCGCAACTCCCGGCCGTCTCATTGACATGCTCGAGACTCAAAAAACAAACCTCCGCCGTGTGACTTACCTCGTGCTGGACGAGGCTGATCGCATGCTTGACATGGGTTTTGAGCCCCAAATTCGGAAAATCATTGGCCAGATCAGACCTGACCGCCAGACGCTGATGTTCAGTGCGACTTGGCCGAAGGACGTTCAAAGGCTGGCAAGCGTAGGTCTTCTCTTCACAATTCATTATACATCTCTCATTGGGCTTTTAGGATTTCCTGAAAGATATGATTCAAGTCAACATCGGGTCGATGGAACTCACTGCGAACCACAACATCAAACAGCTTGTGGAGGTTTGCAGTGATTTCGAGAAACGCTCGAAGTTGATCAAGCACTTGGATCAGATCAGTGCCGAGAATGCGAAGGTTCTCATCTTCGTGGGCACAAAACGTGTCGCTGATGACATCACGAAATACCTTCGTCAAGATGGCTGGCCTGCGTTGGCCATCCATGGTGATAAAGAGCAGTATGTGTTTCATCAAAACTCCACAGTCGTTTTTTTTCTAACTGAATCTCAGGCGTGAGCGTGACTGGGTCTTGGGTGAATTCAAGGCCGGCCGGTCGCCAATTCTCATCGCAACTGATGTTGCATCCCGTGGTCTCGGTACGTTCTCCTTGACTGATGCAAGCGCTCCGACTACGTGTCGAAGAGCGATGGGTAACAAACATTCCGTTTGCCGTTATGTTATGGACGGCGTCGGCGCAGACGTCCCATGTGCGGATGGTTCCTGGTATGATGTGGTTCCCCGAGATCCGGGGAACTTCTGTGTTTGTCTTAACATACACTTCGTCAGCCAGGTTCTAGGGTTCGTGTCTGGAGCATGAGACAGGCCGAGGAAGGTCACGCACATCAACAAGCGAGGGGGCTCCCGATCTTTGCTAAATACCCATGGCCCGCTGGACTCTAGTACGACTTCCTCATTGGAGGAGGGTCGTACGTAAGTCTTATTCCAACGAACATTTATCTCGTTCTTGGTACAGCCGCGGTCGTGGAAAGAAGCAGTGGATTCTTGTGCCATCGTTGATCCCCTCGATCCATTGGATAAATGCGTGTCAAGAGCTCTTGCCTGTCTGTAGCTTGGATGCGATACGCCTCTCGATCCTGTGTGTCAGGGTGAGGCGGCCCGTCGGACGGTGTTTGTCATCTGTCTTTGACAACCATGTTGAAGCGCTTGTATTGAGGCCGATGCTATGTTATTGACGAATCCTTTCTGTTGCATGTAACGTTCTCGGCTTGCAGACGTCAAGGACGTAGGCTACGTCATCGTGAGCGATTGATTCATTGTTTTATATATTGCTTGCTAACCGTCGAGTGCAGAATTATGATTTCCCAAACAACTGCGAAGATTACATCCATCGCATTGGACGCACAGGTGTAAGTGCTATAGCTTCATTGTTGGTTATCTATAGCTAATATATATCGCATCATAGCGCGCTGGTATGAAGGGCACTTCCTTCACTTACTTCACCACAGATAATGCCAAGTCTGCCCGTGACTTGCTCAACATTCTGCGGGAAGCCAAGGCTGACATTCCGCCACAGCTCGAAGAGATGGCAATGTACGGCGGTGGCGGTGGAGGTCGCAGTGAGCATACCGGAGTTCTGTCTTACTATCCTTGCTCACATCTTTTTGCAGGCCGTTTCGGAGGCGGTGGCCGCGGCCGTGGTGGTGGAGGCGGTGGAGGGAGGTACGGAGGCGGAGGCGGAGGCGGAGGATACGGTGGCAGGAACGAACGCTGGTGATCAATCTCACCATCCCTTCTCTTGATATTTCCGTCTTTTTATCGCGTCGGCCTCTGGACCTCAGTCTTTTGGCGAGTTAGGTTGGCCTCCTGCTTCCTGCCGAGCCTCCGTGGTGATGTCCGATCGTGCTACGACTACCGTTGGTCTTTGGGTGATGGACTCGAGGGTTTGCTTCGAATCATGTTTTCATAGACTGACATGGCACTCTTATACTCTAGAATATGTTCTTAATAGCCAATGCCATGTATTGCTCTATGCATGTTTCCCTTTCTTTCGTCATGGTTCGTCCGGCTTCCTGATCCCCAAGGGGTTCCGGTCATCACTTGACCGCATTCGACAATTGTGTGCATAAGCAAAGGTATGAATATGCCATATCCTTCACTCCTCTCTCCATATTGTGCCGATGTTTGTGACGAGGCAAAGGTTTGATATCGGTGGTCTTAATGCCAACGTTTACTCAGCGGGGGGTTTAATGGCTGGGGGGCGCGACTCCCCACTCGCAGCTCTGCTCATGATCCATGGCCGGGTATCGTCATCTGAGGCACAAGACATTGATTCCACTGCTAGAACAGCATTTGTGTGGACGGACAATAGACGAGTGTTGGACGGAATGGCGCAACGAGACTTCATCGTGATTACTCTGGTGGGCGTTGTTCTACTATCTCACAGTGACCTCAGTTTGTTGTGTGCTCCGATGCTGATACTTACCTTTGCGATTGTAGGACCTGAGAAACCATGGTAGTAGGACGGTAGACCCGGAAGCCAATAAGCCACAGAGTTTTCGCTACAGGCAAATTTAGTTCCTCTATCGTCGTTGCCGTCTGCCTCATGTTACTTACCATCTCTCCAGCATGAACATGGTTGCCATCGAAGGTACTGGGTTCGTCCAACTCAAGTGGCAGGATGTTCTGACGGCGATCTTCCTTTGCATGGCAGTTGGCACAGCCAGAGATATATCCTTTGTGATAGACTTCCTGCCAGCATTTCTCTTTCCCAACGAGGAACGCAGCGTCACCGAGTGGGCTGTTGCTGGTATCAGCTTGGGCGGCCAAACGATGTGGCTCGCGTTCAAAGACGGTGCGCCGCTCAGCGTCCCTTTCGTCCCATCTGGTAAAACGCCCTCATCTGACTGTTTGTGCTAACAAACATGATCCGCGCAGACCGGCGCATCAGGACAGGCATTTCCATCCTCGCATGTCCGGATAATTTGGCGGTCATCGACGTACTGGGGCAGTCAGCTCATCGCAAACTCGTCGACCCACCGGCTGCAATCCCAGACTCCATGGTTTCGTTCCTGCGCATGCACGACACGGTCTCCTCCCCATATCGTTCGCTCGGCCCCGAGAACCCGTTTCTCGGGAAGAGCTTGCTGGTCATACAGGCGGAGGATGATCAAGTTGCGCCGTGGGCCCTGGCGAAGGAGTTTGTGGAGGGCCTCGAGCTTGCGGGTGGGAGGAAGAAGGTCGTGCATTTCCCGGGGAAACATCTATATACTGAGAAAATGATGGTCGAGGTGATCAAGTTCTTCTGGGAGGAGGTATTGGTCCAGAAGACGGGGCCAGAGCCCAGGTTGTAGATGCGGACGTGCCTTGCCTCTCGAAACTCAATAGATCAGTCGGATATAGTTCTAGATACACGAGCAAGAAATATTGTTACAAATGCGCACACCAAGTTTTACAAATCGCTGGCACCATGACGCCAATCACAGAGCTGGCTTCGGATCAGTCACCAACGCCTCCTCCCAGAAGAACTTGACAAGTTCAGCCTTCATCCTGTCTGTATACTCATGCCCTGCACTCTCCTCAAGTACGACCTGCTTTCGCCCACCCTCACCCACATGTAGTGCCTCCACGAACTCCTTCGACGCAACCCACGGGACAAGTTTGTCGGCCGCGCCGGACAGTACGAGGATCTTCTTGCCGAGGAAAGGGTTTGCAGAAGCCTCGGAAGCGCGGATGGACACAGCTGCAGGGTCCTCTCGCCGTATGATGGAGAGGAGAGAGGCAGGGACATAAGGCGGGGCGAGAGTGACTCCGGCGTGTTCGGCACGCGATGCGAGGAGGGCAAGGTAGTCGGGGCACCCGATGACGGGAATGCCGATCTTGACGCGTGGATCTGCGCACAAACGAGGTTTGGGCGCCTGGTCTCTTCAATGGTGGATGGAGGAAGTAGGGTGGACGTACCGTTCTTGAGGGCGATCCAGGTTGAGTGCCCGCCGAGGCTGATGCCCGCAACAACCCATTCAACGATGGTGCGCTCGTCGCGTGGGAATAGATATGAGGGGAGGAAGTCGATCAAGAATGATACGTCCCTGGCTGTCCCGGCTGCAAAAACGTCAATAAGAAAAAAATAGGCGGTACACGGTGCGGCGAATACTCACTTTGAATGGCATACATGTCGACTCTGAAGACGAAATCGAAGCAAGTGAGCACTGGTCTGAGTTTCGGAAAGGTGGAGGGAACACGATACTTGCGCATGACGCTCATTGTGATCCTCAGATTTCTGGTCTTTCTTCCATCCCTTGTTACCGAGTGCGTCGACTAGTCTATGTCCGTGATTACGGTGGTCCTATGCCCCTAGGTTAACAAACATATATATCTGACGACTGATGATGCCCTGGGGGATGGACGCGAGTGCGAGGACAGAGGACTCACGAAGGCGATCACGATGAAATCGCGCTGCTGACCAGGGTGTTGTTCTGCCCAGTCGAAGGCAGATTGCGCAGTCCCTCCAATGTAGGGATCGTCTGCGGAACCTGTCCTTCCATGAAGAAGGAAGAGAGCTGCGATCTCCTTTGAGGCCCCAGAGACAGAGAGCAGGTTGGGCTTGGAGTAGATGTGGACGAGAAGCCCCCCGACGTTGTACGTATTCTTTACAATCGGGGTAGACATGGTACACTATCGAGTATGATGGCTGTTAGCGCGAGAAACCGGCGTTGAACAATCGGTATCCCCCAGGACTCGCCTATCTTCTCACAGTAGATGTTGCGTGATTGGGGCAGAAATAGACATAATTTGTGTCACTGATGCTTTATGAATCGAAGATGTAGATGACCGAAGCGGAAGGGACACCCACATTACAAGAAAATTCGTGTCAACGGAGAGAATGGAGCATAAATTTCTGAGAGGCATGCATGAGGACAAACAAGACGATCGAGATTCAGTCGCGACTTGCCACAGGCACTCCACAGGCGCATCAAGTGCCTCTTGCTTTCTGGACCCACAACGCGTACACCGGCGGGGCGCATTGCTCCAACTATCTTTCTACTCATTCCATGGCATCCGCGGTTCCACCAACAGTGTCCAATGAAGCCACGGAGCCCGCATATGACTTTCATGAGATGCGCATAACGAACCACGGTAAAATCAATGCATGGGTGGACTTTGCGCTTCAATTCTTCGAGGTGAGCAGTGTCATTTTGTCTTGGCACCCTTCTTCGACTCAAACATTCTATGTTTCACGTCAGGCGAACGAGGCAAAAGCACTGGTATTGCATACTCTGCCCGTCAAGCAGGCAGCTGCACAAATAGAACCGACTACTAAAGAGGATACGGACGAGATAACCGCGCAAGCGTCCGCTACGTCCAAACCGGGACCCACGAGAAACGTTTCTCTTCCAACCACAACGATCCCTCGACTCATTTCCGTCGTAGAGATCATCAAGCGAGAGTATCTGAAGATGATGAACGAGAAGATGTGGCCGGGTATGGAGGGATTGCACCAATACAATGAGATCGGTTGTCTGGAGGACATGGATGAATGGAACGTTCCGATCCAAGAGCAGAGTGTGGAAGATCGAGCGAGCGAGTTGATCTCAGCATTGGGAGGAACGAAAAAGTGAGCATTAGAGTGCGCCGCTACTTTTGACGGTATGGGCTGACTGAACACGTTGAAGTGTGAGGGAGAAAAGGACGGCATACATGAAGGTGACCCTATGCCGGCAAGAGATCCCGAACTTAGGCGGGAACGGTGCAACGTGAGCATTTGATTGGGAGGTTGGAGGGATGGCGCATGTTGAAGACTGAATTCTACAGGTACCAGCGGCCGATGAAGCGAAAACTGACCAAGTCGGCGAAGGGAAGGCTGAAGAAGCGATTGAAGAAACAAACCGAGAGGGTAGAGGATGACTAAGCGTAGTTAGTCTAGCACATACTTCACTTCGACTTGCAAAGTCTCTGTACGGTGTCCACGCAACATGCCTCGTCTGCCTCCCCAACTATCGCGCCTCCTCGCCAGCATCCCCGCCACGTTCCAGCGGACATCGGCCGCACCGCTCGTGTCTCCCTTGCTCAAGGCCTCGTCATCACACCTGTTCCCATCATCTATTTTCCAACGGTCCCCTTCTGCCTTCCTCGGGCCCATTGTGCCCTCGTTGCTGGGCACCGCGCACGCGTCGCCTTTTTTTACGCCACTGGCGCAGCAAGTGCGCTTCCGCGCACGGGGTAACGAGTACCAGCCGTCGCAGCGCGTTCGGAAACGGCGGCATGGTTTCCTCGCAAGGAAGAGGAGCGTGGGCGGGCGGAAGATCCTGGCGCGGAGGAGAGAGAAGGGGCGGCTGTATCTGACCCATTAACTGTGCGTCATTCCATCTTGGTCGTTAAGTCTGTCGTGCATTCGCTAACTGTGCTGCCGGGACAGTGCGATGGGGTCGGTGGCCTTCGTGCTGATTGTGGTAGAGCAGACTTGCCCTACTGTGTGCGTTTCCTTCTCTTGAACTTGCCCTTCGGAGCTGCTCACCACTTTCACGATAGATTGAACGCGTTCGTCGCGAGGTTCACTGTGTAGGCCTAGATACGGCAAAATGGTTCATACCGTCTGAGAACAAGTCCATTCACAGTAACGTTTTGCGCTAATAAATGCATACATCACACGTTCAGTATCAGATGCCAACTTCTGGACGCATGCATTCAAGATATCCCAATCCACATCTAGACACATGCAAGCTCCCCTCGAAGAACGTTCAACAGGAAAGAATGATCAGGTGCAATTGCAGGACTTGGCTTGAGAAATTGCTGGCACAACAAATCTACCTCTTCGGGATGGGGACAGATGTATCATAATACACCTGTGCAAAGCCGTCATCTCCGCCCAATGCCTTTTGAATCAAGGAGCTCTATCTCGGCGACGTAGGCGCAAACCACGGAACGCTGAGACGAGAGCAGCCGACCTGTTCTGACAGCGACACCCATTCAAACACATGTACTCATTTCAGACGGCGGTTCCGGAAACGACGTGTTAGACGTGTGGTGTGAGAAATAAAGCAGTATCTAGAAGAGCAGTGTCGTCCAATAACAGCGACAAGAAGCGTAACACCAGGATGCCTTTGTGCACGCACAACAAGTGCAGCTGTCAATATGAGCGATTTCAGACAATAATCATCTTCCGAAATCGTTTCTCACCGCATGAGATAAATAGTTCAATATCAAGATATACAGATGATCTCTGCGACTTCTGGAACTATATAACGTTCCTCGTCGACGGGGCTTGCCCCGCTCGCGTAGAGCTGTCTCTGTGATCAATGTCCTCGTACGCCGGCGGCGCCTCTGAACCCTCTGGGGCAGCACCAACCTCATCGTGTGGGCGAGGCCGTTTCCGCGTGAACACCCGCAGCGGCCGTTGTCGCGGAGGCGACGGAAGGGATGCTACGGGTGTTGAAGCAGACGCCGGGCTCGCGCCGCTTCGCGCGTCGGGCCTGGGCATGTCTGACGCGGACGGCCAGGAGCTCGAAACAGCGGGACTCTGCAATGTGGAGTCGGCAGTGGGATGATCTTCGCCATGATGCGAGCCTGAATCGATTGTGGAGGGAATTGTTGAAGGTATGGGAGCAGCTGTAGATGTAGGTAGACGAGGAAGCTTTGAGGGGCCCGGTGGAGGTGCGTTGGTATCTGGGAGCGTTGGGTCGATGCGGAACGGATCAGTAAGGGATGGCCTGTGGCGAGGTGCTTGGGACAATAATCGTGAGGAGGGACCAGGGCTTAGATATGGGCCTTCGTCGGCAAGGAAGTTGCTAATGTTTCGAGGGTATGGCTGGTGTCTTTGGCGACGGAGGAAATTGAAGAGTCCTCCAAGGGCGAGGATGAATGCAAGTCCACCAACGACTCCACCAATAATAGGCGCGTGGCTGACGGATCTAGAAGATTTTGAAGTGGCTGAAGTGTCAGTGCCTGCGGGGGATGCAGAACCGGCGGTGCTTGATGCAACTTGAGCATCAACCTGACTTCGATCCAACTTCGATCAGCGAATGCCAGTGACTTGCGTAGACCTGCCGACCCCAAATCGAGACCACCCACCTGTACATGATCTTGTCTAGCAGTATCAAAGAAAACAAACCGCCGATCCGACCATTCTGTATCGTGAGATTGTGGAGCCCATTCGGAAGGGATTCGTTCACGTAGACAGGGACATTATAGTCGTAGACAGTGCTGCCAGTGGGCTGTAGTCGGTATGTCCCTACAAGTTGACTGTCGATGAAGAACTGCAAATCGGTATTCCCGTCGGGTGAAGAAGAGGTGTGTGTGATAATGCAAAAAACATAAATTGCGGTGCCTGGTCACGAAGAAGATTTGGCTTAGATTGAGACAGCTGAAAGTAGCGAACGCGCACGACGCACCAGTGAACGGAACATATGCAGCGGTCACTGTATTGCTCGAAGTTGGATGAAAAGCAGAATCATGCCAAGTGCCATCAAATGCCTGTGCCGGATCGGGATGCGCGGCGCATGTGTTGCAAATCTCTGCAGAGCCATGCCAAAACGTAGAGTTGGGGAGATATTGGATCAGGGCGCCGGTCACTGGATCTTTGCCCGAGTCGTCGATCGTGACATTGACGAGCTTCGCAGCCGCACAAGCGAAATGGAGAAAGGATGAGAGCACGAAGCAAAGGCGCGCCGCCGACAGTGGTAGCCCGAGGAAAGGCATAAGTTAATTAATGTTGGGTTGACGGTGATCGAAATGGCTATGGGAGTGGCCACTTGGATGAGCACATTAGGGAAGGAAAAAAGAGAGTGAGAAGGTGGCTAGTATATATGGGATCGAATGATGAGCAGTTCGTGCATCAGATGCGACCAATATGGTATCCGACTGAGCTATTCTGGAACGCGCACTCAAAACGTCGCGAGATGATGTGCAGGTCCTAGGGAACATCAGTGCTTTGTGTTTTGGATGCGGGGGGATGGATCGTGGAGGGAAATATACTGTCCATTGAAGAGATGATGATGAGTTCATGGACTTGGAAAGGAACATGTAGCATCTAATAATGACCGTGAAAATGGCAGCCAGACGGGACCAGGTTGCGCCCGAGAGGCTGTGATTAGTGGTATGATTGATAGTAGTATCTGAGAGGGAAAGAGAGAGGCAGTGATTCCCGTCAACAGCCAATCCGTTGGCCCTTCGGTCCCAGGATGAATTGACACGAAAGTATGGCCTGCAGCTCAGTGTTTTCATTCCAGCTGGTGTGCTCACCTTCCGACGCACGCTTGGGCTCGAAAGTATGACATTATTTATCGCTGAAAAATCGAGCGCTTAACAATGGATGGTCGAGGTCGTTACTCACACTCAGTAAAAACAGAAATTCAAGTGAACGTCATGTCCAGTCACGAAACTGGGCTTTTGTCATGTATCCGTCAAGAAAGCGGTGGAGAAGTCGTGTAAAAGTCGTATGCAATTCTAGAAGTTTCTGACTTTTGCATGACTTTCTGCGCCACGTTCTTGACGGATACAGTGATCCACCGGTCCTTTGGGCACCACTGCTCCTTTGGGCAGTTTTGCTCATGGAATGGACCTCCATTCTGCAGACAATAAAATTTAGTAAAATTTAGAATCAAATCCGGAGGCATCGAAAGCTCCGGTTACATGTCTTTTTCATAAGGTGGCGTGCCCATGGCATACGAGGATGAGCCTGTTCAGAGGGGTTCTTTTTGGCATTTCCCGTTTTCGGCAAGCACCGGTCCTTTGGGTACCCCCTTTTTCACTCTGCAGGTGGAAGAAATCATTGTCATTGTCTGGGTCTATAACAAAATGTATTCTTAGGTTTATTTAGGATGTCATGAATGAGAATAAAATGGGTGAAATTTTTGTCTTGTGTGAGAGGAGGGACATTGCATTTTGCTGCCCAAAGGGCTGGTGGATGACTGTACTCGCTAGTTCAAGCGAGGTCGGTAGTTTCCCATGTGGTCCGGCTAGGGTTCCGTGAGTAATCCCTGAATTGCTAACATGTTAATAACTTATGTTATTAACATTGTTATTAACACTGTTATTAACAGGCCCCCTCCAGGGGGGCACAATGCCGATGTTAATAATGTTGATAATGTTCGAAATTGTATATAATGATCAGCATTTGAATTTACATTGAAATGTACATATTTGGGCAAGGGCCAGGTGGAAAAATTGAAGGTTGTGGCTGTACAATTATGTCTTCCCTGCAAAATAATGATTTTGTCCGGGAGTGCAGAGTCTTGGACTGCATCGGTTCCCGCTCTGGACATTCCGTTACCCATCCCCCCCGCTCGCGCCATGTCCACCGAGTCAAACGACGTCAGCTTTGAGACTGTTCTCGCGGAACTGCATCACCTGCTATTGGGCATACCCCCGGAATCAAATCTGCCTTTCGTGGAAAATTCTCAGGACTCACATTATGCATGCTTCCTCAACTTTTCTCTGGACCCTGATCTGATGGAGAAGATCGAAGATGAGGTCGGGATATCCAGTGAACAATTCAAGTCAGTTTTCGGCTGGCAAACACGGTCGACCGGAGATGGAATCATACCGGAGCTGGTGACTTCTTGTTATTAACACCACTTTCTTTATTAACATGTAAATAAATCGATTTTTAACATGTTAATAATGCTTTATATACAATCGTTATTAATCTGTTATTAACTCATGTTAGAAATTCCTCGGAGAGGCAAATGTTATTAACATTTGTTAACAACTGTCCGTGAATTACTCACGGAACCCTAGGTCCGGCATGTTACTCCTTTGCGGTACCCTTTACTTTCAAGTTTGTTACCTGTGATTCCACTCATCTTCAACTGCTCAGCTTCAAAGAATGATCATAGGCCTTCCTCCAAAGCAGGCTCAAAGAGGCAAATTTCTTGAATTTTCACATGCACAAGTGGCCTAACTGATGCATGCCGAGAATCTGGCCGGAGGACTTGAAATTTTTTGGTTTTGTGGGCACAGACACGTAGGCCAAAATGGGGAGGAGATATATTTATATTTGAGGTTTTGAAAACATACATTATTCCAGATATTCAGCAAGAATTTGAAGCAGGACAAAGTAGGAGGCAGTGAGTAGGAGTAACGAGTACAGACAAAGACTAGAGTACGGGATCACGTGAGCACCGGAGACCAACTGCTGCGTTCGATTTTTCAGCGAAAAATAAACTTATACGAAAGCGTCCAGGAGTTTGCCCGGTGCTAGCTAGTTCCTACGGTCACGGGGCCTCCAGAATAGGCAACCAAACAGCGTCACACTCGCACTCGCCGCCGAACGGCTAGCAATTCAGTGTTCGGGCAACCTGTCTCGCTTTCATCTAGCCTGCAGCACTCAGCATGGACAAGAACACCGATATCACGAGGGCGGACAACAGCGGGTTGGATCACGCCGATCTCTCCCATCTCACCCACCTCCCCCTCCTCATCCAAAAATCAGCGCCCGTCGTCCTTGCACGCAATGCCCTCCAGCTCCCGCTCGACGACTCGGACGACCCCGCGTCCGTTGCATACGGCGCTGACACCGACACCGACACCGACACCGCCTCCCCTCGGGGCTCCGCCGCCATCGCGAACACGCGAGCTCCATCGACGACTCGTCGGGCTCGGGCGTCTCTTGCGCCACGCGCACACGCATGGGCAGCGATCCCGTCCCTCGCGCCCAAGCGTGCTCGAGAGAGCCGCCAGGCGTGCGCCACGAGGACGTAACCAGCGCTCGCGGGCCGCCGGTCGAACGCGAGATCGCGCGCGCGGCCGGACCGCGACCGCGTCCCCTCTCGATCCTACGGAACGCGGCGCCGTCCGTGCGCCCGTGCGACGGTCGAGCGTCGAGCGGGGGCTCTGCCCGCCCCGTCTCCCCCGCTCCGGCTCGTGCGCGCGCGACTCGATCGACGACTCGGGCGTCACCGGTCGCGGCGACCGTGCTTGGGCCTTGTCTGTGTATGTGCCGCCGACGGCGGACGCGGCGGACGCGGCAGAGGCGAAGCAGGGGGCGGCGGGGCGAGTGCGGGGGCGGGGCGCCTGGGCACCTGGGCACTTACTCATAAGCCGCCGGACGTTTCAGCTCTGGACGGACGTACGTACGTGCGGACGGGACGCGCAAACTGTAGACAACTGCGTCGTGTGAAAATTCCTATCTATTGAAACCGCGAGACCTGCGGACGAGCGCCGGATACAGAGTGATCGCACAACAACAACAACGGCGACAACAACAACAGCAGCAGCAGTTTACGTCGTCCAGCACGCGAGCGCCTCCCGACGCCAACGCCGACGTCGATTTCCGAGCATAAAAGCACAGGTTCCGTGGCCGCCCAGCCACTACGACAAACCATACAGCTCCTTGACGCGCGCGACCGTCTCCGGGTCCCCGGTATTCTGCGCGCCCGCCGTCGACGCGGTCAGCACAGCGCGCGCGCGAGCAAAGAACCAGAGAAACGAAGAAACAAAGGAGGATGGGAGGGAAGGGGGCGGGACTCGCCTTGGAGGGGTCGTCGCTGAGCTTGACGCACGGCGCGCCGTCCACGGACGCGAGCTTGATCACGATGTTCAGCGCGCGGCTGCGCACGCGCTCCTCGCCGCCCGACGCGGCGCAGAAGTCGTTCGTCAGGAACGTGCCGATCCCGAACGACGCTGAACCCGGGTAAAAAAATCGGCACGCGCAGCGTCGGCGTCAGCGTCAGCGCCGCCAAACGCCGTCGACGTCGACGTCGACGGAGACGGAAACGGAAACGGAAGCACGCACGCGCAAACCCCTCCGCCGCGCACGCCGCGCGCAGGGCGAGCGCCTTGTCGACGTCGAGCGCGTCCGAGTACACGATCGCCTTGCCGCGGTGGTCGACGCCCGCCCGCGCGTACGCCGCGCGCGCGCGCGCCGCGAACGCGTGCGGGTCGCCCGAGTCCTGCCGCAGGCCGCGCCAGCGCTGCGCGCGTGCGGGGTCGCGCACGAGGTCCTGCGGGCCGTCGGGCGGGCCGTCGGGCAGGCGAATGAGCGGGGCGATAGGGTGATGGGGTGATGGGGTGCGAGGGAGGAGGGCCGACGGCGTACCTCGAAGAAGACGTCGGAGGAGAACGTGTCGGTGAGGGCGACGAGCAGCGCGTCGGGGTAGACGCGCTCCCAGAGGTCCATCGCGGTCGCGTTGGCGTGCGCGTACCCGCGGAGGGCGGCGACCTGCGGCGGGGCGCGGGGCGCGGGGCGCGTGCGGTCGACGGGCCAGTCGGCAGGGGTTCGCGGGCGGATCGGATCGGTGAGAGGTCAGGGATTAGAAGTCAGCGGTTGGGAGGCTCGGTGTGGCGCGGGGGGACGTACGCCCATGACCCACTCGCTGGGAGGGGGAAACGCGCGGCGGGGCGCGGGTGAGCGTGCAGGAGGGCAGGAGAACGGGGAATGGGGAATGGGGGACGGGAGATGGAGGGACGCACTGCGCGATGGTCCCGATCGGCGCGATGCCGTGCTTCATCGCGAGGTACACCTGCCGCGCCGCAGGGGTCAGAGCCGCGCCATCGAGAGGAGGAGCGTAGCGCGCGCGAGCGCGGACGCACGTTGGATGTCCCCGCGAGCTTCCCGACGGCGTCGGCGGCAGGGGCGGCGGCGAGGTCGCGCTGGGCGCGCACGAAGGCTGCGACGACGGTGTCCTGCACGGCGAACGCGCGGCGCCTGCGCGTGCCGAACTCGCTGACGACGCACCCCGCCGCGAGGAGGCGCTGGGCCTTGGCGTACGCCAGCTCTGCGATGGGCGGCATGCGGGCGGGCGGGGGCGGGCGCGTCGAGGCGAGACGAGGCGAGGGAGTCAACAGAGGAGGAAAGGGGAAGAGAGAAGAAGGGAGGAGAGAAGGCAGGGAGAGAGGGGGAGGGGCGACGCACCGTCCTGGCCGTCGAGGGACCAGTCGGTGTCGGCCGTGCGGTAGTATATCTCGCTGAGGGTCGCCATGAGCGGGACCTCCCAGCAAATGGCGTCGACCCAGGGCCCCGCGACGGCGATCTCGATGCGCCCGCGCTCGTCGGGGTCGCCGCTCCCTGCGCGGTTCCTGTCCGCGTCCGCGAGAGTGTCGGCGGCGGCGGCGGCGGCAGCAGCGGCGGGGACGAAGGCGACGGAGACCTGGGCGGGGTCGAAGCGGTAGGCAGCGAGGTAGGACAGGTAGGCGGGTGTGAGGTACGGGCACGCGTGGGCGAGCCACGCGCGCTCGGCGGGGGTCAGCGCGAGCTCGGAGAACCCTGCGTGATAGCGTGCGCCGGGGGTTTCAGCTCAAAGCCGCCGGGGGACGCGGACGAAGACGGAGGGGCGCGCGGGGGCGAAGGGGCGAGGAGGAGGAGGATGGGACGCACGGGAGACGGAGCGCGCGAGGCGGGCGGCGCAGGCGCGCGTGAAGAGGGCGGCGGGGTCGCGGTGCGTGAAGCGGTATGTTGCGCGGGCGGCGGGGAAGGTGTGCAGCACGGCCTGCTGCATCGTGAGCTGTGTGCGTGGGCGTCAGCGGGTGTGAGCTGCACGGGCGACGGACGGACCTTGTAGAGATCGGTGTCGAGCAGCGAGCGCGGGAGCACGTCCGCGTCCATCGCTGGCGTGCAGGCGAGAGACGACGGCAACAGATATTCGATGGATAAGGCGATACCCAAGTCAGCCGTCGCCGCCGACGCGCCGCAGTGCACGTGCCCCGCTCGTCCTCCCTTCCTTCTCCACCACAACCCCTACAAACAATGGTACGCCCGCCCGCCCGCCTGGCCTCGCCGCGCACCTGACCCCACACAGAGCTCGCGCATCGAGATCCTCAACGACGGCGGCTTCCGCTCCGACGGACGGCGCCCCGCCGAGCTGCGCGCGACCGCGTTCGACCTCGCCGCCCACGCGGGCGCAGACGGCGCCGCAGCCGTGTCGCACGGCCTCACCCACGTCCGCGCGGCCGTCTTTGGCCCGCGCGAGGCACGCGTGCGCGCGCAGACGCTGCACGACCGCGCGCTCGTCGTCGTCGACGTCGCGTTTGCGCCCTTCAGCGCCGGCGAGCGCCGCCGCCGCCCGCGCGGCGACAAGTTGCGTCCCCGTCCCTCCCTTTGCGTCCCCGTCCCCGTCCCTCCCTTTGCGTCCCCGTCCCCGTCCCCGTCCCCGTCCCTCCCTTTGCGTCCCCGTCCCCTCCCTTTGCGTCCCCATCCCTCCCTTCGCGTCCCTCCCTCCAGATCCCGTGCTCACCGCGCACACAGACGCGCCCTCGAGCTCGCCGCGACGCTCAAAAGCGTACTAGACGCCACGATCCACACCGCGCTCTTCCCGCGCGCGCAGATCGACGTGCACGTGCACGTCCTGCAGCAGGACGGCGGCGTGCTCCCCGCGTGCGCCAACGCCGCCGCGCTCGCGCTCGCGGCCGCCGGCGTGCCCATGCGCGGGCTCCCCGCCGCGCTGTCTGCCGGCGCGCACCCCGGCGCGGGGCGCGCGGCGGGCGGGGCGCTGCTTGATCTGAGCGCGCTCGAGGAGGCGGACGTGCCGAGCCTCGTCGTCGCGCTCGCGCCTGGCCCCGCGACGGCGGCGGCGACCGCGAGTGGGCAGGAGCAGGAGGGGGGGCCGCGGCTGGCGCTTGTGAGCATGGAGACGCGGCTGCACGTGGACCGCTTCGCGGAGGTGCTGCGCGCGGCGTGCGAGGGCGCGGTGGTGCTGCGGGGCGAGATGCGCGCGGCGGTGTTGGAGAAGACGCGTGTGCTTGTGGGGGCTATGGATGCGGGCGCGGGCGGGGCGAGGCTAGGAGGCGGGGGAGGCGGGGAGGAGGAGGCGGGGATGGGGATGGAGGAGTGAGAGCACTGGGGGGTGTTTTTTTTTCATTGTCTTTGGTGGCGGTGTGTATGACTATGACTAGGGGCATGCGAGTAGGAAATACAAAAGCCGTAGCATGTGAGATACACTACATCTACGCTCACGACGACATGTTGTCGCCGCCGCCGCCGTCGCCGTCGCCGCCGCCGTCGTCGTCGTCATCGACGCGCTGGACGACGACGCGCCTGAAGCACGCCAAAAACTTATCGCCGCCGTTCCTCTCGACCTTCTTCCCCTCCTCCGTATTGCGCATAACAGCATCCAAGACCGCGCCCCACCCCTCCTCCCTGAGCCTCTCCTCGGCGACGGCCTCGAACAGCGGGCTCTCCCGAAAGTGGGCCGCCATCCAGCGGTGGAGGTCTGCGACGTCCGTGACGGTGAAGGCGACGGCGCCGGGGCGGAGGGCGTACGCGTACTCTGCGAGGAGGGTGCGGGAGACGATGCGGGCTTTGTGTTTGCGGGCCTTGAAGTGGGGGTCGGGGAAGAGGAGGAAGAGGGCGCGGAGGGAGGCTTTGGGGAAGTAGTTGGGGAGGAACTTCATGGCGTTGGCGCGGACGATGGAGATGTTTTGGTAGGGGCCCGGGGTGGGCGCGGCGGCGACATCGTTGGGGGCGGCAGAGGCGCGGAGGGCTGCGATGCGGTCTTCTACGTACTGGGAGACCTGCACGCGGATCTCGAGGCCTGCGGGGGTGCGTAAGCGAGCGTGGACGGTGCGCGGGAGAAAAGACGGACCGAGGATGAGGGCGTCGGGGAAGAGCGGGGCGAGGGCGACGAGGAGGCCGCCGAAGCCGCAGCCGATGTCTGCGAACTCGGGGGTCTTGCCGGTGGCGGCGAAGGCGGGGTAGTGGGCGGCCCAGTCGACGGCGGCGGGGTGGGCGGGGTAGGCGAGGGCGTGGTCGGAGAAGGGGTTGGCGTGTGCGCGCTGGCGGTAGTGTCTTTTCTGCGGGGTGCGGGGTGGGTCAGACGGCTGGGACGGAGCACGGCAGCGAGGACGGGGCACGGACCTGGGGGAGCAGGGCAGCGGTCGAGTCTGCTGGCTGACGCTTGCGTTTGGCCATGTCGATGGGGTAAGAGAGCGACCCGGCCCTTTCCGTTCCCGCGCCCGTTTAAAAATCCGTCGCCGCCTCGCCCGCTCTCTTCCACCCCCCGTGTCCAGTCCCTCCCAGCCCACCCAATGGCCGCCCCCATCCGCTCACTCCTCAAAAAGGTGCGTCCGTCCTCACCGTCCTGGTGCTCACGCCCACGCCCACGCCCACGCCCACGCCCACGCTCACGCTCACGCTCACGCTCACGCCCACGCCCATTCAGTCCGTGTCGCCCATTGCGCGCTCGGCCCGGTTTGCCTCGTCCGCTGCCAGCCAGCCCACCCTCAAGGACCGCCTCGCACAGCTCATCCCCGCCGCCCAGGAATCCGTGCGTCCGCCCTCTGTCCCAGCCACGTCGAACCAACTCACCCACTCTGCCCCTCCAGGTCAAGGCCGCTCGCGCAGCCCACGGTAAAAAGTCCTTTGGCCCCGTCCTCGTCGACCAGCTCTATGGGTCCGTCCTCCACCTACTACACCTCGCCGCGTGCTCTCATTCACACTCCCTTCTAGCGGCATGCGCGGTCTTCCCGCTCTCATCTGGGAGGGCTCCGTCCTCGACCCCGGTTCGTCCCTTTTCCACCCTCTCCTCCCTTGCATCACCTCACCCCACCTCACCCCACCCCACCCCACCCCACCCCACCCACAGAGGAAGGCATCCGCTTCCGCGGCAAGACCATCCCCGAGATCCAGGAGCTCCTCCCCAAGGCACCCGGCGGCTCAGAGCCCCTCCCCGAGGGCCTCTTCTGGCTCCTCGTCACCGGCGAGATCCCCACCCAGGAGCAGGTCGCCGGCCTCTCCCGCGACTGGGCCGCCCGCGCCGCCATCCCCGAGTTCGTCGAGGAGATCCTCGACAGGTGCCCCCCGACCCTCCACCCCATGAGCCAGTTCTCCCTCGCCGTCACCGCCGTACGTGCCCCCCGCTGCGCTTCACAGTCCGCACGCTCGCTCACCCGTCTCTCCCGCAGCTCAACCACAACTCGGCCTTTGCCAAGGCCTACGCCGAGGGCATCAACAAGCGCGACTACTGGGGCCCCGTCTTTGAGGACTCGATGGACCTGTGAGCGCCCACACGCTCTCTCGAGCGTACCCCCCGCTGACCCCGTCCGCCCCCAGCATCGCCAAGCTGCCCAACATCGCCGGCCGCATCTACCGCAACGTCTACGGCCAGGGCAAGCTCCCCCCGATCGACCTCCAGAAGGACTACTCCCACAACCTCGCCACCCTCCTCGGCTTTGGCGAGAACCCCGCCTTTGTCGAGCTCATGCGCCTCTACATCACCATCCACAGGTGCGCGCGCGTCTCCCCCCCTTCGCACGCACGCACTGACGCACGCACAGCGACCACGAGGGCGGCAACGTCTCCGCGCACACGGGCAAGCTCGTCGGCTCCGCGCTCTCGGACCCCTTCCTCTCGTACGCGGCCGCGCTAAACGGGCTCGCAGGCCCGCTGCACGGCCTCGCGAACCAGGAGGTGCTCGTGTGGCTCACGAAGATGCAGGCGCAGCTCGGCGCGGACGCGGACGACGCCGCCGTGCGCGAGTACGTCTGGGCGACCCTCCGCGCGGGGCAGGTCGTGCCGGGCTACGGCCACGCCGTCCTGCGCAAGACGGACCCGCGCTACGTCGCGCAGCGCGAGTTTGCGCTCAAGCACCTCCCCGAGGACAAGCTGTTCAAGCTCGTCGCGCAGGTGTACAAGCTCGTGCCGGATATCCTGCTCGAGGCGGGCAAGGCGAAGAACCCGTGGCCGAACGTGGACGCGCACTCGGGCGCGCTGCTCACGCACTACGGGATGCACCAGATGCAGTACTACACCGTGCTGTTTGGCGTGTCGCGCGCGTTTGGGGTCGCCGCGCAGCTTATTTGGGACCGCGCGCTTGGGGCTCGTGAGTTCCTCTCTTCCGTCTCTTGCGTCTCTCTCTCTGTCCTTTCTTCGCTGTCTTTCCTCCCTGTTTCGTCTTTGTTTCGTGTCGCGTTTCGTGTCTCGTTATTTTTTTATTTGTGGCCTTTGGCGCGCGCTCTTTTTCTTTTTCTGCATGTTTTTTTTTGGCTGGCGTTTCGCTCGCGGGCGGCTCGCGCGCGCGTTCTGTTCTGCGCTTCGCGACCGATGCGCTCGCTCGCTTACTTGCTCGCTTGCTCGTTTGCTCATTTGCTTGCCCCTCGGACCCGACACGATCCGACCCGACCCGACGTGACGTGACGCTGACCGCACGCGCTTCCCTCTCACACAGCCCTGGAGCGCCCCAAGTCGTACTCGACCGAGGCGATCAACAAAATGTTCGCGGACAAGAACTGAGCGCGCGCGCGTGCGCCCTCTCTCTACGTCCGGTTGCGTCTTTTCCTTCCCTGCCCAGGGAAGGACGGAGCGGAGCGGAGGAGAGCAGAGTAGAGGAGAAGAGGGGAGGGGAGGAGAAGAGGGGAAGGGATGGGAGAAGGGGCTATAGATACGGATACGGATATGGGATGTATGTGGCTCGTTCTATAATACGCTTATCATCCTCTTTTTTGCGTTGGTCGTTGGGTCTCGAGGCTCGGAGGCTCGGAGGCTCGGTGGCTCGGAGGCTTGTATGCTCGGAGGCTCATATGCTCGGATCCCAAGGTGGGTTGCGCAGAGCGACTGTGGATTTCACCGCGGAGATCGTGGATACTGGCGCGGGCGGGGCTGACTAGGCTCTACCGCGCGCCCAGACGGCGTAGGTTGGTGTTGTGCGAGGCTGCGCTCGCCCGGGCTAACTTATAAGGAACCGGAGCAGCAACGGAGGGGGTCCTGGCAGTCTACATCGTCCATCGGGCCATCGTCAGTTCGTACACACATATTACACACACCCCTCCCGTTCAGCCTGAGAGAGAGGAGGACGTCGTAACTGGGATCGATATGAGCTTGTCGCCATGAGCTTGTCGCCATGAGCTTGTCGTCGCTTACTACAGACCCGTATATATTCGTTCGTTTGTGGATGTCTCTTTCGGCCGCCAGCGGGATTTGTTACGACTTTGCTCACCGGTCGCTCGCTCGGGGATGTTTCCAGGCTCCGCCGCCGTCGGGGTGAGCTCGGCTCGGGTCGCCTCGGCCCGGGTAGTCTGCCGCCTCCGACTGTTGAGAATATGCGCAGTATGCTCGTACATCGAGCGTCGGTAGGGAAAACGCTGAGAGCTGAGGCTGGGGATTCTCCAGCGAAGAAGAGGGGAGAATCGGGGTCGAATTTATTGAGCAGACGCGTACAAGGAAGGTAAGGGAGGATTCATAAGGCTACAGCAGCTACCAGTTGAACGATCGTCCACAAGGAATACATATAGAGTACAGCGACGAGAGGGGTTAGAGCGAAATAGTGCAAGTCAGCGGAGAATATTAGAGTCAATTTATGTAATCCCATCCACTGTGATAGGGCTGGGTGTGCTCGAGAGATCTCGAAGTCGAAGACTCTACTGTGTTCGCCGTCGTCATCTCGTATTGAGACAGGACGTTCAGATAGTCCTCGAGAATCGGGCCCTCGAGGTCGAGTTCCGGGCAATACGAGACCGAGGTCGTCAGATCGTAGCTCTGCTGTTCGTTCCCATACGAAGGGGTGAAGGTGTAGAACGATGTCTCGGGCAGTGGCTGCGTGGTCCCCATAGACAAGGGATAGGCCGGCACAGGCGCAATATCGAAGATCTCAGAGGAGAGGTCGGTGTAATCAGGGTAAGCAGCGTCCATAGTGGACTAAAGGGCTATCAGAAAAATGAACAGCGAGATGTCAAGGCGAAAACGACGCACCAAGGACACATCATAGGCCCAGGAGGTAGGTCCAGCTGGGGAGTCAAAAGGAATCATCGGCTCGGTGAAAGCTGCAGTCTCGACGTCGACAGTGACGCCAACAGAAAGCGGTTCACCGTTCTCGCGCTCACATCCAAACATGTTCACAGTCGACAGATCGGTCTGGTGCTCGGCCGCATCAACGGCCCTCGCCTCATACTCCACTTCACCCTCCACCGCCTGCCCCAAGCTCGCGATGTAATAGTCGTGCAGCATTGCCGTCGCGATGATCTCCTCCTCCGGCCTCTCCTCCCGAATCATTCGCGCCAGCACCTGCACCTTCTCCATCTCCGCCTTCCCATTCCGCTTCGTCCTGCGCTTCTTCCGATCCCGAGCAACAGGCGTGAACTTGTAGTCCGGGTACTTCTGGTCGTGCGCTACCTTCTCCGCCTCCGACGCAGCGAACCATGGCTGCCTCTCCGCCATCGTCATGTCGCGCCACATCTTCCCTGCCATCTCGCTGAGCTTCCGATGGTCCTTCTCGATCATCATCAGCATGTCCCTCCTCTGCGCAACGAACTGCTTGCGGAACAGCATGAAGGCGTTCAGCGGACGCTTGATTCGGTCTGGGTCATTCCGCGCCAACGCCTTGTGCCCGACCTTCCTCGGCGCACGCTTCGCCTTCGTACTCTTGCGTGGGGAACGAGAGGGAGAGGGCGACAGGGCATCGCAGACGGTCGACGACGGTGAGTAGACGAGGGTAGCACCATCGGAACTAGCAGGAGAGAGAACAGGAGGGGGTGGGTGGGTCAACTGGAGGTCGTGGGAAAATGGCTCTGAGGGTGAGGAGACCTGGAGAGGTGTAAAGTCCGACAAGGGGACGCCGGACGAGGGGGTGAAGGTGAAAGGGTGATTGACGTCATAGTCGGATCCCTCAATACCACTGTACTGAGTCTCGAAAACGACCTGGGAGGAGGAGGGAATGAAGTTTGCGGGGTACGGAGAGTACATAGCGCTCTTTGGTGACGATAAAGCTTCATTTTGGGCTCCTTTTTATACCGCTGTCCCGTCGACGTCGCGCACAGCGAGCAGAGGCCTTCGACGAAAGTTACCCTTCGCTATAAGAACAGCGTGACTTTGAGAAGGATGGTTTGGACGGAATAGGCAATTGAATTTCACCTGCCTGTCCTCGCCTTCTGCCAGCTTCGCCCAGATATCACTCGTGCAGTACATAGCAGCACGGCACGAGGCGCACAGAACCGCTTGGCACGGATTATTAGGTGAGGACGATGGCTCGTGTACGTGGAAGATGGCCTCTAGCCGCGTGACCACCACTGGATCCAGAGAGTGAGAGTAAAGCCCCTGCAACAAAACATCTCAGCAAACTTGGAACTTGGAAACGGGATCTATTGAGTGTGGGGTTCCTCAGATGCCATTGAATGACATGGGGCTCGGGCAGACTTACGCTGGCCCTGCGACGCGAAAGAAACACGCGTGTGCTGTGGTGAGGGTTATACGTGATAAGGCGATGGGGTGAGTCCCCAAACGAGAGAGATCAGGTCAGCGCTATGACATTACAAAAGCGTGGGATGTGAACAGCAGAGAGATGTTATAAAAAAACGCAGTTCATGGTGTGGCGAACGCACCTGAAGCGCTACGAATGTGAGTTAGTAGTCGAGAAAATCTTCAAGACGTAGGCCTAAGATTGCACGCTGTATATTGACTGTAGGAGCAGTGGAGCATGTACAACGATCCCCACAGGATATCCTTCTATATTTTCATGGGTGGTATCGATGCCTGGCAACGTCATTGCTTTGTTGTGCACAAACCACGAATGGCTATGTGCTCCCGTGACGAAAGCATTTTTTCACACTATCAAATGTGTCCCACACGTTGAAAGAAAAAAAAGAGACCGGTATCGCAAACGGCGTGTCGACGCAGTCCAATTACCTGAAAGTCAAGCTTGTTTACGCGAGCAGGAGGAAATGGACATTACTATAGCTGTGGCAAGGATGACCTCACTGGTAACATCGTTCGAATCGTGTCCACGACCCATAAGTAGGTTATGGATGGGGCGGCTAGATGATTTATTTGAATCATTGAGGTCGCGGGGACTGCACTCAGACAGCAGACATCAAACGGTGGTTCACGCGACGTTCCCACGCCCGACCCGCGTCAGACACCGTGCGGCCCGTCCAAGTCGACGCTCACAGCAGCCGTGAGCCTCACCCACTGACCTCGCAGTTTCTCGCCGATGTCTGGGCTCAATCTGAACTCATGGACGGAAAATGCGTCTCGCCTAGGGATGCGCCTTCAGGAGACCCTCTCCGAACACACCAAAGACCTTGCGCTCACGCGCGGCGGCGGCGCCGCGTACTTTGACACTGGCGAGGACAAAGTGCGTAACATACGCAAGCAGCTCGACTCGAACAGCGACCGCGAGAAGCTCGAGGCCATGAAGCGCCTCATCGCAGTGAGCAAACCTCCTAGCCCGATCTCAACTCGCACCATGCCTGACCCGCCCGTCCCAGATGATCTCGAAGGGTCGCAATGTCTCCGAATTCTTCGCCCAGGTCGTCAAGAACGTCGCTGTCTCGAACATTGAAGTCCGCAAGCTCGTCTATATTTACCTCCTCCGCTATGCCGAAGCAGAGCCCGACCTTGCCCTCCTCTCCATCAACACCTTTCAACGTGACCTCGCGGACAGCTCTCCCCTCATCCGTGCTATGGCCCTCCGCGTTCTCTCTGGCATTCGCGTGCCTAGCATCGGCGCTATTGTCGTTCTCGCCATCAAGAAGTGCGCTGCCGATCCCAGCCCGTACGTTCGCAAGGCCGCGGCGCTCGCCATCCCCAAATGCTACAGGTGCGCACTCCCATAAACTTTCGCATGTTCTCAGGCCTTCTCGCCTGCACAAAGAAGTCTACAATAGCACTGACTATACACCCTCCAGCCTCGATAGCTCCCACCTCCCCTCCCTCATCCAGGTCCTCTCCACCCTCCTCCGAGATCGATCTCCACTCTCCACCGGCTGTACCGCCGTCGCCTTTGATTATGTCTGCCCAACTCGCCTCGACCTTATTCATCCGCACTTTCGCCGTCTCTGTCGTCTTCTTGTCGACGTCGATGAATGGGGTCAGATTGACCTCCTCGATCTCCTCGTGCGCTACGCTCGCACGATGCTCCCGCGCCCTTCGCTGCTGAGCGATAATAAGAATATGGGCGAGGAAATCGGTCAGGAGGAGGAAGTCGATCCGGACCTGGTGCTGCTGTTGAAGTCGGCGGAGCCGCTTTTCCAGTCGAGGAATCCTGCGGTGAGACTTGCTCTGAGTCCTCGGACCAAGTTGTAGAAGAGCTGTTTTATTCTGCGCACTGACCTTGTCCATCGTTCTCGTCTACAGGTTGTGCTGTCTGTATCTCGCGCGTTCTACTACCTCGCCCTGCCACCACACCATCACAAGGTAGTGCGTCCTCTCCTCCGGCTCCTCGGCTCCTCGCCCCAAGTCGAGCGTGTCGTGCTGGCGTACATTCTCTCCATCGCGCGGACATCGCCGGTGCGTCGATCCTCTGCTTGCTCACCATGAACCACCGTTTCCTGCAACAAGTCTCTCATCAACATATCAAATTCGACAGCACCTTTTTGCGCCTTATTACGCCTATTTCGTCGTGCGCGCGGACGACAGTGTACACGGCAAGGCCGACAAGGTACGCCTCCTGGAGCTGTTCGTCAACGCGGAGAACCACCAGGCACTGTTGCGCGAATTCATCGTGAGTGTGCTCTCGCCCATCTGTCGCATGCCTCAAAATCGTGTCATTAAACTTGGTCGGCACGTAGGACTACGCAGAAGATGTGGACGACGCGCTCGTCGCAGGCGCGATACGTGCGATAGGGCATACAGCGCGCGTAGTGCCGGGGTCGACGCAGCAATGCCTCAACGCGCTCTTGACGTTTATTAAGAGCAGACACGGTAAGTCCTGACCTTCTCCCCATGCGATGTTCATTTTTAGTATATCATCTGTCTGTCTCTTACCCCTCTCGCATCGCGGCAAACAGACGTCGTCGTGACCAACGCTGTACTCGTCCTCAAGTCCCTTGTCCAAGCTCAACTGCACCCCTCCTCCCAGCAATCGACTTACAACGCGGCGTCGGCGTCGGCGTCGGCATCGCCGCTCACGATCGTTGAGCGCCTCGCATACAGAATCGACGAGATTCGCCACCCTCAGGCGCGCGCGTGCGTGTTGTGGCTCGTGGGGCAGTATGCGGCAGACGGGACCCAAAAGGGGTCGGATTCATTGCTGGGAAGGGGGGGGGAAGGTGTCGAAGGCATCGCATTCTGGGCGCCGGATGTTTTGCGGCGAACAACAAAGTCGTTTTGCGAAGAGGTGCGTCTCATTTTTATTTGTCGTGCTACGACTCTGTTTTTGTTTTGCAATCACTGCGGGCTCCACTGTATATTTCTTGCATGCTTTCCCTTGTTCCGGCACTCACGCTATCATGGCCCGCGCTGTTCACCCTTCTCTAGACCCCATTGGTAAAACTGCAAGTCATAACGCTCGCCGCAAAGCTCCTCGTCCTCGCGCCGGCAGACCGCACGCTCGGCCTCCTCGCGCGCTATGCCTTCAGCCTCGCCCGGTACGACCTCAGCTACGACGTGCGCGACCGCGCGCGGATGCTCCACGCCCTCCTCTCGGGCATCGTGCCGAGCCTGCGCCTCGAGGGCACTAACGGCAGCGAGGATGGCGCAGACGAGGACCAGGAGGACGTGCACGGCGCACGGGGCGGCGTCGTGCTCCGGCGCGAGCAGATACGCGTCGTACTCTTTGAGGGGAAAGCCGGCGTGGTTGAGAGCGACGGGGGTCCAGGTAAGCCGGATGCCCCGCCTTCTCTCCATTCGGGGGCGAATGGGTCGTTGCCTTGGGACACGATGCTGATCCTGGTAGTGTATAGATGACGAGCGCGCGATGCTGGGCACGCTCACGCTCATCACGGGCCGCGACATGCGCGGCGACCGCTTGCTCCCCGACTGGCTCGAGCAGGGCGCCGAGCCATCCCTGCGCGATGCCGAGGACGACGTGCCCGCGTCCGCGCCGGCGCCGACGGCGTTGGGCAACTACGCGACGCCCCGGGCGATGGCGGCGGCGGCTGCCAGTGGGCCGGTGGTGTTGACGCCTGTGACGTCGGGAGGGCCGTCGCCGGTGGGGAGCGTGCCGAAGAAGGGAGCGTGGCAGGATCTAGATCAATTCTATGCGGAGGAGGAAGCGGAGAGTGAAGAGGAGTCAGAGGAGTCAGAGGAGGAGGGCGAAGAGGACGAAGGGGGCGAAGAGGGCGAAGAGGAGGAAGAAGGCGAAGAGGGCTACAGTGGGTTTCGTCCCGAGGAAAGCGAAGAGGAGGACGATACCGAGGGAGAAGACGAGCAGGAGGAGGAAGGCCAGGAGAGCCGGCTGCTCGACCCACGGCGATATTTATGATATCCAACTGTGCCCGATTGCCATGACTCTATTCCTGGTCTCGTAGGGAGCAGGTCTCATCCTGTTTCATTCCAGCTATTTCGTGATGTGTCGCCTGAAAATTCATTCGCAGTGACGAGGTGTCGGTCGTGAGTGTACATAATAGCGGTAGAGGCTAGGCCAGGACTGACACAATCTGCATTGCATGGAGGCATGGATTGAGGGTCGGTCGCTGGCAAGCGAGAGGGCTTGTACACCGAGGGAGACCGGTCTGGAAAGGGCAAGTTAGCAAGGCAGGACAGACCTACATGCACCAGACGCTTTCCGCTTCCTGCTCATGTCAAGCCCGTGGGGGCTGATGATGACCATGGACATCGTGAACACGAGTACTGGTTGGGAACTTATATTGTTAAATTGTAAACCTGTATGTAGTAGCAGGACAATGTATTTGGCTGTGTTCGAAGTTCAAACTCGTTCCACGTTGCCCCTGTCGCGAGACGCCGCATGCTATGCTATGCTACATACGCTATGGCTATTGCGATAATTTAGGAATAGGTGTCGTACATAGTAAAATGTAAGCTCTGAAATATAGGAGGCAGGTCAAGTCCGCAAGGGTGAATGTACACAATCAAAGAATGGGACAATCATATAGAGGCCAGTCAATCGAACTCCCATTGGGAGCATACAGCGGAAATGTACCACAGTGGCACAATCTCCGGGTCAACCCTGGCGGCTTTTTACATTCGACCTAATAATAGTAGACATTGTTCATCTGTGGGCAACTCCTTGCAACCCTCGATGGAAAGATTGTCGAGCATACACAGAAGAAAAGGTGTTCCAGGTGCATTCAGCACACTCTCCACATACACTGGCCAGCCAATTGTCTCAGTTAGACACTTCACAGCCAACATCTTGACCTTATGGCTGATGACTCCAAGTTGGGCGATAACTTGGATGTCAGGGTTGCATGACCTGGCCAGTGTAAACATCTTCTCCAGAGATAGAGAAAGGCCATAGAAGAGATTTGGAAGAGTTCTACCAGGTTTGGGTGGAAGAACCTGAGGAAGATGACACATGGGTGGAGCCATCACTACTTCATCCATTGACTGTAATAACAATGGTAAGATAGAGTATGTGCTGTGATGAGGGTGACTGACATAGCATCTGGAAAAATCTCCTCTCTTAATTAGACCTAATTATTCAAAATGCTAATCTGAGCTAATTAGAATATATTATTCATAATTAAATTTATGATCAAATTTACAATTAAGTGGATGTTGTCTATACTACTATAGTTACATTGAAATCTACAGCCTAATTACAATTTTACACTTTCTAAATCCCAATTGTGTGAGTGCTACAATTTTACTTTTAGTTTATTATTTATTCTCTATTAGTTTAATATATCATTATCTGGTACATAAATCAAAATATCAAAAGCCCTGATTTTTGGGTATTTATTAACCACTTTATATATAGAATAGATAAAAGATAAATATGTAAGAAAATTAGAAATATTAAGATTGTCTTATTTATACTATGACATTTAGGTTACCAGGTAAATAATTTAGATCTTGTGGCTTAGTAGTTTAGAGTAGTAGTCTAAGTGTATAGGCATAAGATTATTAGTTCAACTCTGATGATAGGCAAGTTTATTACAAAGTATAACTTTGATTTGATTAGTAAGCTTTATACATATTCTATGATGAAAAGGTATAGTAGTAGTAGAGGAACCATAGAACTAGGTTAATGGATATTTTTCTAAAAATCTATATAATAAATTAGCTCTAATTAGCTTCAATTTGATCTTATAATTTTAGGATTAGAGAGGAGATAAGCTAAAAATCCTGAATGGTCATTGGCAAAAATCTAGCTAGATTTATATTTAACTATGGTTAATTTAATATAGAGCTTTTCTCTGATGTTGCCCTTGGCCAGAGTTAAACCTATAATCTTATGACTATACACACTCTAAATAGATGCTCTTAGCCACTAAGCTATAAGGTCTAAACTAATATCTTGGTAATTTAAATATGTTGACATAATTTAGGCAATCTCAATATTTCTAATCTTATTACTTACTTATTTTTGATTTAGAGCCTGCATTATTATACTTGAGTTATAGGTTTTGAATAAACTCTAAAATCATAATCAATATAGTGTTTATTATAGATTTGACTATAAAGATAATTATAGATAATTATTCATAATACATCCTGATTATCTTGGATAAGCATTATTAATAATTAGGTATAATTTGGATCTAATACAAGGAGGAAGAGGGTTCCGGATGCCATGCTGTTAATCCCTAGACAAATAAAAGAAAATAAACCAAAAAGTATAATATAAGATCTGTCAGCAATATATGCTGCTTACTACTCTTGCAATAAGCTCTATAAGTCATGTTCCTTACCTAGCTTGCAACTATAGCTTATAGACTACTTGTGAATTATGACCTAGCTAATTACACTTACTGTAAGCTGACCACACTTGCTATAAGCTACAGCAAGTGACTGTTACCCACTCCTTACAAGTTCCCTATACTGATACATATGGAATAAGACCTAGCTAATGATACTTGCACAAGCTATCATCTTACATTACTTGCCATCCTTGCATCCCTTGCCCAAGTACCATAAGCACTCTTTAAGTTCAACAAGCATATATGCCTGTTTACTAATATATACTAGTGTTAGGTGGGCCTTCAAATTCATCCAGTGTTCCAGAAAATGCCACTGAGTCTTTTAACAATGATTTGGCTCTGCCTTCCAACTACATATCATCTAAACCAGCAGTTTCCCATAATATTCCACATCCTACTGAGTGACTGTGGAATCTGAAGAAAATGAACATCAATTATGAGGATCAGATCCCCAACTACACCACATATAGGTGTATATGGGATGAGCACACTCTAGGGAATCTCAAGCTTTAGTTTAACGAGAAATCTTGCAGTAGTGTTTCTAAATGGTGACTGGAGACTTCATGTGAATATAATGCAACAGAAATACAGAAGTAAAATCTGTTGCATCTCGGTTGTTCCCAATAGTGTTATCCCATACCCATTTCTCTCTGTGGCCTCGGCCCTGTGTCGCTTTCCTTGATTTTAAATTAACATCCTGGAACTTCTCAAGCTCAGGGGGTCCCGGAGGGCCATGACACAATGCAACAGAAACACAGAAGTAAACTCTCGAAGCAGTGGAGAAAAGAGCGGCAAAAATTGCTGTCATAATGCCGTTATTGGGGAGAGGTCAATCCTGAAAACTGCTAGTTGTACCGATCATCACTAATATACTACCAAAGTCTGACTATGAGATATTGGACTTTGCCTGAGGAGAAACGGAGGATGAACCACTACAAGACGAAACTGTCGCATTTGACAGAACATACGGAGTTGCTTCATTTAATCACTTCACATAGCCGAGATACCCTGTCGGTCGACTTCGCTCCGGCGCGCCTTGTCTTGTCTTATTACAGGATTACAGACAAACAACACAGTGCGGCTACAGACAACCCTCTACAATACAACATTATCGGGGAATCCGTAGTACAGAGGCTATTGAGCAAGAATCAGAACCAGCAGGCCGGAGAGCAAGCGGCAGGAAGCGAGAAAGGCGCACCGTATTGAAGACATGGTAAAAATGCCCTCTACGGCCAGGACTGTAGTATTCCATCGGGAACCACTGCAAGCGCGCGCATACAGTCAGCGGCAACTCCTTTGAAGCCTCGGCGAGCGAGATGCGATGCGAGAGGCAGACGCGACGTACGTGTTCCTCCGGCAGCTGCTCCTTCCAAGCGCGCAGGTATCTGTCCTCCTCGGTGTCGTTGACGACGGCGTGGCCGTACCGCGGGACGACGAACTGGCCGATCTGGAGCTCGGTGTCCGTGATCGTGCTGCGCGAGACGCGCGCATAGGCCGTGCGGTACAGCCCGCGGTAGAAGATGTATTCGCACCTGTGCACACGGTCGTGATAAGCATTCCCGAGACTCGAGTGTCGTGCGGTCTCCGCTGGCGAGACTTGAGCGTCGGTGAAGAGGGCGAAGGGCTCACCAGCGGTCCCAGTCTTCGTGGTCGATGTCGTGCACTTTGCCGTCGGTGACCATGATGTCGTACGGTGCCGCTACATCGCATACAACGATCAGGGTGGTTCCGTATAGAGGGGGAGATGGCTTCGCTCACGACGTAGAGCCTTGGGCTTCGTGACGACGTAGCCGAGATAGATGAGAGGATCGGGGTACGACGCAGCCATTATACGCGCAAGCTCCGTGGCTTGCAGCTCGCGGTCCAGCGGGGTCTCCTCTGAAAAGCACACCGTCAGCCAGACGCTCAAAGGAAAAGTTCCTTCGCGCACGACGGCGACGCAAATATATATATATCGGCACCCACCTTGACCGTTGTGGGCAACGAGGACGGTGACGTTTGTTCCGTATATGTCCAAGATCGCTTCGATGGCGGGAGCAAGCTCGCCATCGGGAGAAGGCAGCAGGTGGTGCGTGGACTTCAAGATGGGGAACTGCCTCGCGGACTTCAGACCATGCCCTTGCGTGGATTGCGGAGCGAACGCACCTTGGACATCAGGACGGCACCCCAGGTGTGTTGATTTGGCCCCGGACCGATGTCTACATACTTTCGTCACTAATGAGTGTTGCATCACGCAGAGGGAAGGCAGGGACACCAACATATCCTAACTCTTTGGACATGAGGCGTGATCTACAACCGCGCATACAACCGCGCACGAATATCAACATAGAACCAGAAGTGCCATCAAAGCAAAGCACGCACAGATCCCTATTTCCAAAGACCGGCCGCTGTGTGCGTTCAATCGCATCCGACGGTGCGCGCACGAGGGTGGTGAGTGAGGCAATAAATCAACAGGATCGCTGAGAGAGCGGGATGGTACGCACGTGCAGATCGGTCTCCAGTAGGCCGACGACGTCGAGCTGCATGTCGCGGACGAGGTCGCGCATGCGGCGCTGGCTGTCCCGCCCCGCGTCGTCGATCCCGAAGTGCACGGTCCAGATCCCCGCGTTGAGCAGTCGCGCGCGGGCATGTGCGGGCGCGGGTGCGGGCGGGGGAGAAGGCGCGTGGGCGGTGAGGGGCGCGAGGAGACCGAGGAGGGCCACGAGTGCGAGGAGGGTATAGGTGCGCGTGTGGGTTGCGCGCTGGAGGGCGGGAAGTGAGGGCGTGAGTGGGCGGGTGAGCGATGGCCAGTGGAAGGCCGGTGTCAGGAGGATCAGCTGCGATGCGAGGACGCTACACGAACGAGGAAAAATAAAATATGAATCCAAATCAGTCATTCAATCAGAAGGAGCGACTACTTGCGCCATACGTGACATGGCACTCACAGGTCTGTGCGCTCCCTGAACGACCACGCGCCCGGCACGAACGCGTACGCGACCGTAAACGTCCCCGAGAACAGGAGCACGACCCACGTCGCCCACGCAGCCACGAACACGCGCGCGGTGCGCCTCCCAGTGCCCCCTGCGCCCCGAGCAGCCGCACCCGCGGCGCGCAGGACCTGCGGCGCGATGGACACAAGGAAGACGGCGTGCGCGAGCGCGCCGAGGTAGCCCGCCCAATCTTTGCACGCGTAGAGAACGCCGGCGCTCGCCATGCCGAACATGCACCACGCTGGATGAGCGAGGAAGCTGGCCAGACGAGGCGAGGACGCAGAGAGAGCGAGGGCGACGCCGAGCGCCTGCGCGACGAGCGTAAGGGGCGCGTGCGCGTGCGGATGCGGCCCGCTGAGCGGGTATCCGGTCCAAGACCACGCGACGAGCGTGCTCGGGTCGGTGAGGCGCTCGTGGAGCGCATAGAGGAGCGCGCCGAGGGCGAGGGCGGACGGGAGCCAAGGTCCGGCTTTGGCGTTTGCGTACGCATCTGCGTTTGGGCGCGCGGTGTGCTTGCTCGGTGTCTGTTCCGTTGAAGAAAGTGAGGACGGAAGGGAGAGCGCGGGCGGGTAGGGAGACGACGCGGGCCGGGTCATGAATTCCACGAGCGCGAGCGCGCTGAGAATGAGAATGGACTTGTGGTGTCCGCCCGACTTCTCGTCGACGATGGGCCACCCTACACACGACACGGTGCAAATACCAGTGAACCGAGCTGTGAGGAAAAAAGACTGCGCGTCGGACACAAACCTGGGTTATTTCCGTTATTCAAGTGCTTCGAGAGCGCCGAGACGAGCAGGCCCAACAGAAACACTGTTTCCACCCTTCAGTACGTCACAATCTTAGCGAATGCAACCGGCACGCACCGATCCCATGATGCCCACCCCCCTCCACCGCCGTCTCCTCCCACTCCCCCGCCCACCTTATGACACCCGCCGCAGTCCCCATCACCACGCCCCCGAGGCGCGCCCACACGCTCTCCGCGCCCCAGCTCCCGATCCCCGCGCCTGCAACGATAGTAGCAAGCACCGCGCGCCCCAAGCGCGTGCGGCAGGCTTCGCGCACGCGACGCGACGCGAGGAAGACCGGAGCGAGCGTCGCGAGCGTGGAAAACTCGGGTCCGGCAAGCGCGAGCTTCCAAACGGAGAAGTAGAAGAGGGTGACCGGGAGCGCGGTCAGGACGGTCCATGTTTGATAGGCTGCTCGTGGGATTCGAGTATTGTTCAGATTAGGTTTTGTGTTCAACGAGGCGTTTGGACATTCGGTCAGAGGGACGTGAGCGTGCTGTGTGCGGCGGTTCGAGCGAGGATGAGAACGTACAGAAATATACGTCGGCCAAAAAGCTGAAAGCCGGGCGCTGGGCGGAGAGGAAAGTACCGAGCGCGCGCGATGCCTCCGGTGTGCCTGCCACCTCTGGAGCTGTTGCATCAACAGACTCTACCTTTTCACTTACCAGCGCAGAGGGAGCAAGGCCGTCTTGCGTGTTCTTGGATGCAGATGCGTGTCTATATGTATGTGGTATGGTATACACGCACGGCATACAAGAAGGGCAAACATAAGAACAGAAGTGCTCGATGAGCACTGCGCCTGAGAACAATCACGCGAGACGGTGGGCGTGGGCGTACGTTTCGTCATACGTCCCTCCATCTCCATTGAAGTCAGTAGGCGCCGCCCCGATAGAGATCTGTCCGGCACGCATACAATCAGTCCCAGCTTAACTCAATCGAACGCTGCGCACTCGGAAGAACGAAGGAAGGGTGGGGGTGGGTGGTTCGGCGTACCTTGAGGCCACTGTCCCGGAACTCGAGCTCGGCAGTGGCGTCGTAGAGCACGTCAAAGAGGATGAGCGACCATTCGAAGAGACTATAGCGCGTGTATGCTGTGTGTGCACGTGTGCGGGCACGCTAAAGTGAGTACAACAAAAGCAGGGGAAACGAAGGGAAGACTGACCGCCGGGGACGTGGTGCACCTTGTGTTGGATGAAGAAATATACCATGGGGATGAGAGAAAGCCAGAATCTGCACGGGCAGCGGTCGGTCTGTATGATATTTATGATGCGAAAGAAGGCCACGCCTGACTCACGATGAAGCAATCCAGATCCTACAACACACCGAAAAAAACGCGCGCGCTTGAGTCTCGCGAAAATGACAACGCGTTATTTTGAAGAAATTTCCTTACCTGCGCCTGCGCGCCCTTCCAACTGCCAACCTTGCGTTCGCCCACATCCAGGGGATATTACACACGATGTAGATAATCATGAGGACGTCGTGTGCGTCGTGGTCATCGCTGGACGTGATGTAGACCCATCCGCCGCAGCTGAGAGTGCGGACTACGCCGGTGACGAGGAGCAGGGACGGGAGGGACGAGGACGGGAATTTGGAGTGAGTGTGGAGGTAGGTGAGGAGGAGGACGATGAAGCGCGGGCCTGTGGGGTGCCGAGCCACGTGTGGGTGCCGGAGGAGCTTGAAAACGAAGCGGGGACGTACCGGAGTTGAGAGCAATGAGGATCTGGAAGATGTTGCGCTCGGGATACCAGTCTCCGATTCTGCGCGCCGCGTTTGGCACACGCAGCACGTGTCGCGGCGTCGACGTCAACCCTACGAAGCGGGCATTCACGGGTGGAAGGCACTCACGTCGCGGACACGCTGGGGAACCATTCCTGGGGCCATCCCGCGACGCCGTTCTTGACAATCTTGCGGAAGTGGAGGGTGCAGCCGAGGGCGAGGGCGCTGGCGAAGGCGGCGAGGGAGAGGACGGTGTGCGCGCGGGCGAGGGACGCGGCGCGGAGGCTGAATATCGCGGGGTATCGTGCGGGGTCATCGGCTTTGCCGGGCGGCATCTTCAGCGGCAGGCTGAGTGCAAGTCTGGGGAGACGCTGGTTGTCGTCTCTTAAGAGCGAGTACAGGTGGTTTTACAACAGGAATGGTCAGCAAGAGGGAGAGGATGATGGCGTTGGACGGCCTTTGTGTATATAAGGCCGAGCGTCTAGCAGGGCCGTAGGCTGACGCACCGCGGCTGTGGTCATCCAACCGCCGGCATCATCCAGTCCGCCCTCTCGATGCCTGTCGCCTCCGCCAGCACACCCACACCCATCCAAGCCCTCTCCAGCGCTCGCCATGCCCGACCACAACGCCCTCCTCGCCCACATCGTCGCACAGACCCGCCAGAACGTCGAGTTCCTCATCGCCCAGAACGAGATCCCCCGTGCCGCAGGCTACGACATCCTCGCAAAGCTCCCTCCCGCCTCGTCCTCCGACTCCTCCGTCCTCGCCCTCGCCGACCAGACGAGGCGCCTCACCATCCCCGAGCCCTCTGTGCGCTCATCGTCTCCATCTTCCATCTCTGACTTAGGTCCGCCCGCCCGCCGCGGCATCCCGCCTGCGCCCTCGCGCCACCCCCGCGCCAAGGCCCTGTGGGGCTACAACGAGAGCGGCCAGGTCAGCTGCCCCTAGCTCCCCTCACCACTTCTCGCCCTCGCCGAACGCGCTCGCTGACCATCGCGATCCCATCGCGCCATCAGGAGCAAAACGACCTCTCCTTCCGCGCAGGCGATATCGTCGAAATCGTCGCCGAGACCAACGCCGACTGGTGGACCGGCAAGATCAACGGCCGCCAGGGCCTCTTCCCCTCCAACTACGTCGAGAAGCTCTCCGACAGCTCCTCCTCTTACGTGTCCCCGCCCGCGTTCTCCCCGCCCCCGGACACCCGCGGCCCGCCCCAGTCCTCATACAGCCCCGCGTACCCTCAGTCGAGCTACCAGCAGCCCCCACCCCCGTCTTCGGTGTACCAGTCCGGCCCTCCCGTGCAGTACCAACAGCCCCCACCGCCGCAGGCGTACAACCCGTACATGGGCCCGCCGATGCAGCCGCCGCCGCCGCAACAGCAGCAGGTAGTACAGCAGCAGGAGGCGCCGCAACCCAAGCCGAGCAAGTTTGGGGGGCTCGGCCAGACCGTAAGTGTGGCCGCATCGGGTCTTTGTGCTTACGGTACTGACTGTCGCCATTTCTTTCCGTGCAGCTCGCAACGTCGGCTGCTGGCGGTGTCGGTTTCGGTGCAGGTGCGTGTCTTGTAATTTGCTTCATTTTTTTTTCGGCATCGTTTGTGGATTTAGGCGACTGACGGCGCTCTTCATGGACAGGATCGGCTGTTGGCAGTGGCCTCATCAACGCGATCTTTTAGAGCATCGCTACCCGTCTTTGGCATGATTGCCCCCTCGCTTGTTTGTACCTATATTTCCACGCGCCCCATCGTGTGTAGATCTTACTCTCGTTCTCGGTTGTCTGACTCTGTTCAATTCTTTTACATGAATTGTGTGTGGAATACACAGTGGACAGTTGGTTCCGTTGGATTTTTCACGTTTGATCAGGCTCCTGCGCCAGCCCGAAATCGGGCTTACACAGCTACTCACTTCAGAAGAAAGTACCTTTTGGACAGCGAAGCCGGCAGCCGGCAACGACTTGCCGTGCACACAGCACACAGCACACTACACTACATGCACACAGGAGCACGACCGACGACTCCTCTGTCACATATCGCATGTCTGTCGCGGGGATCCGTCTTCGATCCTCGCATGGAAACGGTGCGGTTCATACTCGTGGAGGCAGACATTCCGAATGTTCCGCTCTGCGGCGTGTAGCATGTGCACCCGATGAGCGCTTGCTTGCCTTCGCTGCTGCTGTGATCCGCGGTGCGGTGGCGCCGGAGAGGCAGAGTGGCCGCAGCGGCCGCCTTACTCGCGCATATGAGTGCTTTATCCGTCTGCGTCGCGAAGCCGGGCCTGGGGCTTTTATAGCGAGCCCGCGTCGGTAAGCACTGACCTTAATCCTCACAGAACTTTCTGGGCAGCAGCACTGCGTGGTAACGCCATGGTCGAAGTCCAAGATCTCGCCATGATGCTAGCGGACCGTCGTACGTGTTCCTCCTCTGTCCCGTTCCCTATAATTTCCATTTGTCACCTTTGTTTTTCTTTTACAGAGGCGCTGGACAGGTCCATGCACGTCTTGAGCGGCTTGTACATGTGCGTGCGTCACCGGCCTGCAGATGTGAGGCACCGTGCTAACGCGCTTCTTAGATGGGAATTCTTCATGACCTTCGACTACGAGTGGGCCCTATATCGACGCCGGATGCCCTTCAAGTGGACCATGCTGGTGCGTCCAACACACCGTGTGCACAGTCTTCTGTGCGCCGCTGATCTTGTATGGATTGCTCATGCGCAAATGCAGCTGTACATCGGCTCGAGATGGCTCACGCTCGTTTTCGTCGTCTGTGTCTTTATCCTGTTCGATCGGGCCACCGAGATGGATTGCGACGTGAGCTGCTCTGGATTTCGGTTCGCGCTTCTGCAACTGACTCTTGCTCCGCGAAAATCGCTCATAGGCGGTGTTCAAACTGCTCATAGTACGTCAGTTCGACGGAGAGCCCGGAAGCATACGTGCCGTGCTGACCGTCGCTGACAGGCTACCTCGTACTCTGCCTTGATTTGCACTTCTGCAATGTCTGTCCTCCGCGCGTGAGTGTTTCGTTCGGCCCTTCTCGCCAGGGCCGATATGACTAGATGTTTGGTCCAGCATCGCCATCTGGCGCTTTGCCACGGCCGTGGTCGTCGCCACCGCGAGCATTCAGCTCCTTGACGTGGCCTGGGGAATAATCGGTGCGTCGCACGCGCTTGCACACTCATCCCATCGCCCCCTCCATGCGTTGCTCAAGCCCTCACGGTCGCAGGCATCACACGGGTAAGTCCCTCGCGTACGGACGATGACAGCGAGCGCAGATATGCTGACGTGCACCGGGGCGTGCGTGCGTGCGTGCGTGCGTGCGTGACATTGCACAGGCGCGCGCGGCGTGGGACCCCGAGCTGGGGCTTTGCGTCGTGAAGGACACGGCGCTGCAGCGCGACACGATGCTCGTCGACCTCGCGTGCCAGCTCTCGCTGCTCGTGATCATGTTCGTCGGCGTCCTCCGCATGCGCGCGGAGAATGGGCTGTGGCGCGTGCTCTACCACCAGGTGCGTGCTCGCATTCCGCCGTCAGAGTGTCGTTCGCTTCGCGGGCCGCTGAACGTTCTTCTCCCCTACGCGGCGGATAGGGCATGCTGTGTCTTCTGCTCGCGGTGCTCGCGCTCGTGCCGTCGAATGTGCGTCACCATCCTTTGAAGTGAGCGCGCGCGACCATAGTCGATACTGAAGCGCCCCTGTGCGAACAGACTTTGTTGATCTTGAACCTCAATGGTCAGGGGGATCTCCCCTTCTCGACGACTGCGCGCGCTGATCTGTTCGCACACTGCTTGCTCGGTATGCATGCATGCATGCAGATTCCATGAATCTAGTACGTTCCGTCCCTTGTCATATTCGCTGACCGCGCGCAGGCGCACTCGATGCTGAAGTTTTGGGCACAGATTTCGCAGACCCCGCACCGTACGTCGCGCTCTTCTTCGTTGAGCGCGCGCGCTGACGTCACGTTACGCTTCCGGAACTGACCCGCGTGCAGTTATGATCATGTGAGTGTCGCCAGCACGTTCCTCTCCCGTGGCGAATGCGCGTGCGAGCTGTGCGCTTTGATGCGTCGTCTAGGGTGATCAGCACAGCGCGCATCTATCGCTCGCTGAACGAGTACTGCGCGCCGGGGCACGACCTGTACGTCCTGCACCCTCCGATCACAGCCACCGCATAACCTTCCCGCGCAGCACGACGGTGACCACACTCGACTTCCGCACCATGGCCTCGATGGTCGACGGCGCCCAGACCCAGACGCTCGACCTGCCCGGCGCGCACGAGCGGCGCAAATCAAACTTGGACAGACGGCTCGGCGCGCAGCACGGCGGCTCGCCGTTCGCGTCCCTGTCGGCGGTGGGAAGCGACAAGCCGCCGGATGTGGAGGCGCGCGGCGCGGCGGAGCCCTGGCGCAGGCGGAACGTGTGCGTGCAGGTCGGCGCGGGGGAGGAGAGTTTCGGCGTTGATTTCGTGGACGAGTGGCGGCGAGAGAGCTAGGGGCCGTCGGGCGGTGGCAATCAAGGTCGTTATACGCTGCGGCTTGCGCGTGAAGGTGGACGGCTATGGAATGATGTCCGCGCACGGTTGAGCCGGGACTGTCTCCGGACGAGAACGCATGGTTCGGAGGTACCATAACGAGAGCAACGTCGCTCACAGCTTCAGCCTGCCACGATCCTCCGGTTGCTCTGTAGTACGTCCGTATCTGACCTGAGCTCTCGCCTCAGGGTCATACATTTAATAAATAAAGAGAGAAACACTCTGCTCGGATGCCTCGGTGTGCGAGGCTGCTGCGAGCGTCGACGGCGGACGGCGGGCCGGACGCCGTGAGTAGGGCGTGGGAACGTCGGTCCACCACCGTTCAACAGACAGCGTTCAATGTTTGCCAGTCCACACGACATGGATAGTTTGGATTAAATTTTCTAGTTGCCACGGCACCAGTTCGGACGGCGTTACCACAGGGACCCTCTTTGATCCAGCTACAGTAATGTCCATTTCTCATTAGCTGCTCGAGTCAATAGACTTGACTTCCTTTCCACGTGCGCTACACCTGTGACGGACTCAAAGAATACTTTCGCCATGGGGGCAGATAATAGCCAGCCATTCATGGTAAGCAAAGCAACGACATTGCCAGGCATCGACGACTCCCATAGCAATACAGAAGGAAATCTTGTGCCTATGGCCTGAAAAACCTCTCGACTACCAACCCACATTCATAGCGCTTCAGGTGCGTTCGCCACACCATGAACTGCGTTTTTTTATAACATCTCTCTGCCGTTCACATCCCACGCTTTTGTAATGTCATAGCGCTGACTTGATCTCTCTCGTTTGGGGACTCACTCCATCGCCTTATCACGTATAACCCTCACCACAGCACACGCGTGTTTCTTTCGCGTCGCAGGGCCAGCGTAAGTCTGCCCGAGCCACATGTCATTCCATGGCATCTGAGGAACCCCACACTCAATAGATCTCGTTTCTAAGTTCCAACTTTGCTGAGATGTTTTGTTGCAGGGGCTTTACTCTCACTCTCTGGATCCAGTGATGGTCACACGGCCAGAGGCCATCTTCCACGTACACGAGCCATCGCCCTCACCTAATAATCCGTGCCAAGCGGTTCTGTGCGCCTCGTGCCGTGCTGCTATGTACTGCACGAGTGATATCTGGGCGAAGCTGGCAGAAGGCTAGGACAGGCAGGTGAAATTCAATTGCCTATTCCGTCCGAACCATCCTTCTCAAAGTCACGCTGTTCTTATAGCGAAGGGTAACTTTCGTCGAAGGCCTCTGCTCGCTGTGCGCGACGTCGACGGGACAGCGGTATAAAAAGGAGCCCAAAATGAAGCTTTATCGTCACCAAAGAGCGCTATGTACTCTCCGTACCCCGCAAACTTCATTCCCTCCTCCTCCCAGGTCGTTTTCGAGACTCAGTACAGTGGTATTGAGGGATCCGACTATGACGTCAATCACCCTTTCACCTTCACCCCCTCGTCCGGCGTCCCCTTGTCGGACTTTACACCTCTCCAGGTCTCCTCACCCTCAGAGCCATTTTCCCACGACCTCCAGTTGACCCACCCACCCCCTCCTGTTCTCTCTCCCGCTAGTTCCGATGGTGCTACCCTCGTCTACTCACCGTCGTCGACCGTCTGCGATGTCCTGTCGCCCTCTCCCTCTCGTTCCCCACGCAAGAGTACGAAGGCGAAGCGTGCGCCGAGGAAGGTCGGGCACAAGGCGTTGGCGCGGAATGACCCAGACCGAATCAAGCGTCCGCTGAACGCCTTCATGCTGTTCCGCAAGCAGTTCGTTGCGCAGAGGAGGGACATGCTGATGATGATCGAGAAGGACCATCGGAAGCTCAGCGAGATGGCAGGGAAGATGTGGCGCGACATGACGATGGCGGAGAGGCAGCCATGGTTCGCTGCGTCGGAGGTGGAGAAGGTAGCGCACGACCAGAAGTACCCGGACTACAAGTTCACGCCTGTTGCTCGGGATCGGAAGAAGCGCAGGACGAAGCGGAATGGGAAGGCGGAGACGGAGAAGGTGCAGGTGCTGGCGCGAATGATTCGGGAGGAGAGGCCGGAGGAGGAGATCATCGCGACGGCAATGCTGCACGACTATTACATCGCGAGCTTGGGGCAGGCGGTGGAGGGTGAAGTGGAGTATGAGGCGAGGGCCGTTGATGCGGCCGAGCACCAGACTGATCTGTCGACTGTGAACATGTTTGGATGTGAGCCCGAGAACGGTGAACCGCTTTCTGTTGGCGTCACTGTCGACGTCGAGACTGCAGCTTTCACCGAGCCGATGATTCCTTTGGACTCCCCAGCTGGACCTACCTCCTGGACCTATGATGTGTCCTTGGTGCGTCGTTTTCGCCTTGACATCTCGCTGTTCATTTTTCTGATAGCCCTTTAGTCCACTATGGACGCTGCTTACCCTGATTGCACCGACCTCTCCTCTGGGATCTTCGACATTGCGCCTGTGCCGGCCTATCCCTTGTCTATGGCGACCACGCAGCCACTGCCCGAGACATCGTTCTACACCTTCACCCCTTCGTATGGGAACGAACAGCAGAGCTACGATCTGACGACCTCGATCTCATATTGCCCGGAGCTCGACCTCGAGGGCCCGGTTCTCGAGGACTATCTGAACGTCCTGTCTCAATACGAGATGACGACGGCGAACACAGTAGAGTCTTCGACTTCGAGATCTCTTGAGCACACCCAGCCCTATTACAGTGGATGGGATTACAGCAACTGACTCTAATATTCTCCGTTGACTTGCACTATTTCGCTCTAACCCCTCTCGTCATTGTACTCTATATGTATTCCTTGTGGACGATCGTTCAACTGGTAGCTGCTGTAGCCTTATGATTCCTCCCTTACCTTTCTTGTACGTTTGCTCAATAAATTCGACCTAAACTCTCCACCTCTTTTTGAAACGAGAACCCTCAGCCGCCGGGTTTTTTCCCTATCGACGCTCAATATCCGAGCAAAGAGTGTATATTCTCTATGTGCTTCCTGAGCGATGCTACGTGTACATAGACCAAGCCGGTTACCCCCATCGCGCGATATCAGGTATTTCGAATATCTCTCCTTTGGGCAGTCCCTCTAACAACTCTTCTAAAGTGTCAAGATGTTGCTCGTCGATCTTATGTTGTTTGAAAATTGTTTTGTTCTCCATCTCGAAGTCGATCATCTGTAAACCTTGGACGTGTATGGTGAAGGCAAGCTCGCTATGCCGCCCACCTGCGGATCTGAATCCGGCGCGCGAAGGACGTTGTACCAGCGAACCCGCTCATAATTCAAGATTCCGAGATACGTGAGCTCGTGGTAGAGGCTTTTCACCTCATTTCTATAGGTAGGATCGAATGAGGGTGTCAATATGCGCGGTCAAGATGAGATTTGGCAAGTCATACTGTAAACTCACGTAAGATCATCAGTCATGGGCTCGTTGATCAACAGCTTCCCACCCAGCTTCTCCAAAACAAGGATGTAAAGTGTTTCATGCTCGCTGAGAAGCGCTCGGAGCCGGGAATCCAACAGAGGGTCTTGCCAGTTCAAGGATAGCCTAAAATCAGCAGCGCTGGCTGACTCACTATTCCGTGGGCGAAGGAGGGACTGCTGCACGGCGGGGATCTTTGCGGAGAAGAGACCGTAGCACCGCAGGACGGCAACGCCTTGGAGGCATTCCATATCCTCGTAGAACCAGGCCGAGCGAGCGGGGTTGGCGCAACGCTGTTGTCTACCCATCTTCAGCACCAACTGTGGAGGCCTGTAACCGTCTTCATTCGGCAGAGCTTGAATTTTGACCTCTGCCCATCAGGATCTCTCACTTCTTGAGATTTAGTCCCATATACCACGCCACTACTTCCGTTACCAACGCTCTCATCGAGGACACAAGACAGTGTGAGGTTGCCGTCAGGAGGTAGTGCTGGCGGCGGGCACTGTGGCTGTTTCCGTTCGAGAGATAATGCGATGGGGAAAGAACTTCCCCCGATCCGAGTGTTAGATATGGGTGAACAAGATTGGACCACTCTTCTTTGTTGATGCGATGAAGGGTTAGGGGGGTTCCATCTTCGCCTTTGAAGGCGCCGGTGACAACGAGGATATTAATGCCATTTGTGGGCTGAACAACAGATGGTGAGCAGCATTCGTAATGATAGATATGAGAGTAAACGGTTCAGTTACCAAAAGGCCGTTTGTCTGAGGGATTGGAGCCATGGTAGGGAGACTGAGGGTGTGAAGAGGGCAACAAAGGCATTATGGGGTATGATGTGTCGCATTGGACACGCTACATCAGATAGAATGGACTTCGTGCCGACGTTCGGTACGTACGAAGAGCGACAACACGCTGACGGCAAGCCGACATGTGTACGTGTTTAGAGCGAGTGCTCAAATCGTCACACGATGTGTTGTGCAGGAAAGCCATGTATGAAGTCACATATACACCTATGGCATTTCCCTGCAACATCTATCAACCTATATTGACTAGATCGATATCTTTATGTCTGGAGTCTAGCGAGAAAATGAGGAAGCTTTATCTCAAGGCAACTCGTATGGCGTTCCACTGAGCAGGCTACTCAACACGTCCTCGAGAATGGGAAGATGTAGCTGGTCAATTTGACTTGGTGTTGCGTTCGTTGATTTGCCATTTCAAAGTCGACCATGCACCACCCGTAGACCTTGGACGTGTAGGGCGAAGGATGCCTGGGGGTGCCACCGAGCTGTGGATCCGGCGCACGGAGGATGTTCTGCCAGCGGATGTGTTCAAAGTTCTCGATTCTCATGTACGAGAGCTCGTGATAGAGGCTCTTCAGTTCTTCTCTGTAGCAAGTGTAAATGAAAATTGCATGCAGACAAGTTTGAAAACTCACGAGAGTTCATGGCTGACTGACTCTACTAATAAAGGCAACCGCCCTCCAGTCGCTCCAGGACGAGCACGAAAAGCATATTCCGCCTCCAGACGAGCTCTGCCATTGCCTCGTCGTCATCGTCGGGCGTTGTATTTGGTTTCGGGTTGTAGTCGCCAATGTACTCCCCCTGCCACGGGCGAAAACCCGACCGGATCTCGCGGTCAGGAATCTTGACGAAGAAAAGGCCATAGCCCCGCGGGATGGCAACGCCCATCTCCTCGTAGAACCAGGCCTCGTGCACGAGATTCGCACACCGCTCTTTTCTGCCCATCTTCAAGACCAACGGCAGAAGTGCATGACCATGACCTGCGCCGTCTGCAGGGGCTTGTAGGTCTAGCGATTTCGTGCCAAAGACGACACCGCTACTTCCATGCCCGATACAATCGTCAAGCGCACATGACAGCGTGACGTTGCCCTTTGGCGGGAGCTTGAAAGACGGGCGCGCCTGTGGATCGGACAATGGTTGGGTACCTGTCTATCTTCACGAAGTTGTCTGGGACATCAAAGCGCTTGAGCTCGAGGACGTACTCATCGTGGCCGACGACAGCGTTCTTGATGATAAGGGTGGCGATGGCATTAGCTGGCTAGAGCAAACATGACGACAATGTACCTAGAACTACCTAGAAGCTTGCCGCATTCAGCTGCTTACCAAGAGGTCCATGCAAGCCATACTCTGGACGTTTGATATGAGAAAATTGGTATGCCGCCGTCCTATAGTGCAGCTGAACAATATAAAAGGTTTCTAAAGGAGCTCCTGCATGATGCAGTCGTGCATTGCATGCATAGATCGCGTCTGGGTCCATGAGTTGAACTCATTGAGTTCAGGTTGAGGCTGGTAACAAGGCGTCGACAAACTTTCGACAAGCGCTGCGGCTAGAGCCGAGACTCCTTTGATTGATACTGTCATGCAGAAGAGGGCCACGAATCCATCATGTCAATAGGGCATGACATATCTTGCCAGCCTGCGCTCGGGTTCCACCTGTAAATTAATATGGCAATGCTGTGGGGAGAGGTAGGACATCTTTGAGGTCGAGTGGTCGATCGCCGGAGAAAGTCCCCAGGTGCTTGTTTATTCAGACCATCATGACTTGTGCGATATCTGACAGATATCTTTGTAGGTAGGCTCCTTGAGGGTCGGCTGTCCGGAGTGCCAGCATCATCAATGCGATCATTTGTGTAATGTACATCCTTCTCCGTCGTGTGTCTAGGCGCCGTCTCTTGACTATATGATTCTGCTTGATGTTGTGTGAATGGTGTGGACAATCATAGTACAAGGTGTTTGGGGGCTTGTTCTACAGGCCTCTCAGCTGCAGTCTGTAATCAAACTCTACCGCAAAAGTGAGATCATCATCAGTATGTGTCGTTCGATTCTTTGTGTCGGTAGTTGCAACGACAAAAATAGCTGGACTAAATACATCAGGTAGATGATACACGGCGAACGGGTGATGCTGTGAGTCTCACGTTGTGAGTTCCTTTCTGATTCTCGCGTCACATCACATCCTTTTTTTTACTCGTGGTACAGCGTATGTGTAACAACGCTTCACGAGCGACCTCGATACGACGGGCTAAACTCAATCAGAACCCCCCCCCCTCCCCTACCCAATATTTCGGCGCATATATCTGGATTTAGACACGGCATATATGACTTCCGCCGAAAATGTCGAACATTGGGTATGCGTTGGGAGAGAGAGATGGTCCCCACGCTTAATGATCAACGATCGTGTGTCAGGGCTAAGTGAATGAGTATGGACCGCATCAGACGATGAACAGCGACGTCTAAACAATCTGTTCATCAGGGAAGGCTTTGGCTCTGCCCTGCTTATAGGTAGCATCCCGCTTCAAATGCTGCTTCTCTCGTTCTAACTCTGAAGCAAGGTATCATGGTCAACTTCAAAGAGCTTGCGACAATCGCTGCTGAACTCCGTGAGTGTTCCGTCCACCTTTGGCCTCTTTGTTGACAAGGTCTCTGTGTTTGAATCTACGCCTGTAGAGGCATTTGACCGATCTCTGCACGCCTTTAGCGGTTTGTATATGTACGTGCACATTCTTAGGCTCTCGGGAGATCAGCGCTTACGCACAACAAGTTGGGAGTTTGTCTCGACCTTCGATTACGAATGGCAGTTCTATCGACGAAGGATGCCTTTCAAATGGACTATCTTGGTGCGTCCGCAAATCGCACAAGCCCCCATCTGCACCATTGAGAAGCACTCCTTGGTGAACTGCCTTATACACACAGTTGTACATCGGTGCAAGATGGCTCACGCTCGCCTTTGTCGTCTGTGTCTACATCCTATTGGATTCACTCACCGAGATTAACTGCAATGTATGCCTATTTCACGCCTTTGGAACTAAGTGCTGATAGTTTGTTCAAAGGCGGTGTTCAAGTCACTGATAGTACGTTGATCCGACGAAGAGTTTGTAGGACATACGATGCTAAATATCGACGACAGGCCACCTCGTATTCTGCCCTCGTCTGTACCTCTGTGTTGTCCGCCCTTCGCGCGCGAGTCGTTCACCTAATTATACGTACGGTTCAGTTTTGATTGAATTTGTTGTGCAGCGTTGCTATCTGGCGCTTTACCAAGCTCGTCATCGCCACAGTCATCTGCATTCAACTTTTCAATACATCTTGGGCTATTCTCGGTACGTATGCTCTTTGATCTTATATCCATGCCTGCTCAAGGTTTACATATCTAGGTGTGACAAGAGTAAGTACGAGACTGTCGATCGAGGGCGGCACGAAGTCTACTGACTCCCCCTCCCCTCTTCTGGAAAGGCACACGCGGAATGGAATCCCATCTTGCAAATCTGTGTTATCACGGACACGGTGCTTCAGCGAGACACGATGATTGTCGACCTTGCATGCCAGCTCTCGCTGCTCGTGATCATGTTCGTCGGCGTCCTTCGGATACGCTCGGAGAACGGACTGTGGCGTGTGCTGTACAATCAAGTGCGTTTCATTATTTGATGCTCATATCCACGCATAAGGTCATTCATCGAACGAGTCTCTTCCATGACAGGGTATTCTCTGGCTTCTGCTCTCTGTGCTTGCCGTCGTACCGTCCAACGTGCGTTACCATCTGGTTGAAAGTCAGGATCTCGACAATATTTAAAGGCTCTTGGAATCTAGACTCTATTGATCCTGAATCTGAACGGTATGGACGATTCCTTGCCTCGACATAGAGGTTTCTGATTGATCTGTATGCTGCTCACCACACAGATGTTATGAATCTAGTGAGTCTCGCTCACTTCGGAGTTTCATGTAATCTCAAATTTCGTGATATCGGCACAGATTGCACAAACCCCACATCGTACGTCGCAGGGGTTTTGAGGTTGGAGATTGCTCACACATCTTACTGACTGACTCGCGTCCAGTCCTAATCATGTAAGTACTCCCACCGTAGTTCTTCCTTATGCTTAATATTCGTTTCCTCCCAGGGCGATTAGCACCACACGCATACATCGCAAGCTCAACGAGTACTGCGCGCCGAAGCCAAACTTGTGTGTCATCCTTTCAACACCACCTTTGACTTCATAACATCCCCACCCAGCACGACCGTGACTACCATCAATTTCCGACCCGTGGCAGCGACCGTCAATAGCGCCCATCCTCCCGAAGCGACCTCTGTGCGCGAGAAATGTAAATCGGACGGACCGCTTGACGACCCTTCCGTTGATTCCCGCCCTCTGTATGCGTCCCTGTTGGTGCACAGAGACTCGCTTGATATAGAGTCTCGAGGAGGCGCAGAATCCTGGCCGAAGCGAAATGTGTCCGTCCAGGTCGGCATGGGAAGGGAGAGCTTCGACTCTGATTTTGTGCAGTGGCAGTATGAGGGCTGATAACTGTTATGGTTGATTGATATATGGTCTGTATTCTGCCATTACTTGACATCGTGATGGGGTCTGTACTTATTTCTTTTCTGTCAGATTCTCCTGGATAGCGTGGGAGAACAGGGTGCAGGAACATTCTGATAGACACCTCTCAGGATCACAGGCTGGGCCAGCCCTTCTGCCTGCATTAGTATCTATGTTCTTGTTAGCGGCATACCTGAAGCTTGTATTTATATTTCTCTTTTTGTTTTCACCGTCCATTTAGACTAGTGTACAACAAATTTTCCTGCCAAATGCGAGTATTCTTGGACAGGATGCCGCCCGTTACGATTCCTTTCTGATACTTCGATGACGATCGCATCATACTTGTTAAAACCGGCTTTCACGACATTCAAATTTTCGTCGGCCCCAAAGATGAACAGATCGATTGTGCTGGTTTTCTTAATCTTCACCTTGACCCGCGATCGTTGCTCTGCTCACACCCATTCAATACTCATCATGTCTTGCTTGTGGCAAGGCTATCCTGAGAAACAAGGCGCTTGTCAAGAAAATAAATTGGAGAAATCATCCTACCGACAAAAAGAAAGCGCCAGTCATGGTCGGACTAAAAGTAAGCCACATTATAATAATACTAACCCGCAGGCACAACCAACCAAATATGCAATTGAGACAAGGAGATGTTAGGCACGACAACGGGCACACTTTGCGGAAGTGGATTCAAGGTGAATGCTGATGTGAAGTAAGAAACCGAACTGACTCTTAGGCGCAGCATTAATCGGCATACAAACACAGAGGCGTGAAACTGCGGGCACGTCGAACGTAAAAAATCTTGCGCCAACACCGCAATGCCCCAAAGACCGCGTTATGACGTCGAAGATGAATCTTCTTGAATAGTACTAGACGCCTCGAGGATTGATCTCTCTCGAAGCCACCGTAGATGTTCCGCGCGGTGCCCGCGGACTTTTCTGCCCACGAGCATTATCCAGAAAGGTACCGCGATCTGCATACCGGCTACATCAGCCACGAAAGCCAGAAGAAAGGGGAGTTGCACGCACGAAGGCAATAAAGTCGAACAGGGCGTCGAGGAGCCAGTTCCGCCGGGGGGCTGCTCCGCGGCTCGACGCGCGGAACAACTCCGTGATGAAGTTACCCGTGATCTGGAACTGGCCGTTCTTGACACCTTGTAACAGCATGGCCCCAATCAACCACAGGTCCTGATGATGCACGTTTCCGGCTCGGTGTACCTTTTAACAGAATACGCGCAGCCTCTTCTGGCGTGAGCGGCGTGTCGTCGGCTTCGAAATCGAGAGTCAGCCGTGGCTTGGTCAGGTTTTCGACCTCGTAGCCGGGCGTGTACATGGTGGGCGGGAAGTAGATGTGGACGTCGATGTCGTAGAGCATGAGCTCGACGGATAGCATGTCGGCGAGGCCGCGCAGAGCATGTTTCGCGGGGACGTAGGAGCCGTAGCCGGGGAGCGTCATTAGGCCTAGTGTCGAGGAGATGAAGACGAGTTTGCCTGTGCGGGATTGCTGCACCATAAGTTTTGTGACGGCCTATGGAGGGGTTGTGTTTTGAATAGATGGATCGACGGATGGAGGGTGACGAGGATGCGATTTCCGTAAGGATTGAGGATGACAGTCCGAGAACTCACGCGTGCTGTCCATACTTGAGCCCAATAAGAGGTTTCCATCCCCTCCTTCAGCTCCGCATCCGTATACTCCAGAAAGAACTTCGGCGTCGACGATCCGGCGCAGAGGAACACCGCATCGGGTGCGAGACCGCCATGAGTCGAGATGGCGTCATGGAGCGCAGCGCGGGATCCGTCTGGGGTCGAGAGCGAGTGCGAGAAGGACTGCAGGATCTGAGAGGGGGATGTGCGAAGTTTCTGAGGCGGTGTGAGTTATGGCACTTGCCGTCAGAGTCGACCACGCGAATGTACCTCGATGTCGGCCAGCGCATCGGCCAGCTTGTTCTTGTTGCGGGCAATGATGGAGACGTGGGCACCCTGAGCTGTTAGGGCTTTTGCTAAGGCCAGGCCGAGGCCAGAGCTGCCACCCGTGATGTACACATGCTGCACAAAATGCCATGGGTTCAGGAGCAGAGCGTTAGACAATTCAGCATACCTTGCCATCAGCGACCCACCCGTCAGATCTCCAAAACATGCCAAGCTGTTGACTAGGAACGATGAAACAATTATGTCGCTGCAGAGAATCGACCCGTGCAAGTCCGACTTCGAGGGTTTACAGGGAAGGTATAGACCGAGGAGAAGAACGAAGGCGGTCACGTTGAACACTAGCGACTGAACAAAAGCCAATGCGATTGTGGTGGGACCATGAAGCTGTTACCGTTGTAACATATCACCACAGCCCACCCCGACCACCTCCTTTTGTTGTGGGCATACGTACATAGCCGCTGCGCTCGAAGGGGGATTGATACGGCGGTGACATACACGCGACGGCTTCCGAACTGAACGTAAGAGGCTTCATCATCGTACCCTCTGTCTGCCTTCTGCACATTCCTCCACCATCTCTTGAGTCTTCTTCGACGTGTCGTTGTGCTTAGCGCTCGCGCACACAGCGTTCTTTCCCCTCCCCTCTCTCCTCTCTTTGCCATCCGACCCGTCTCTTGAGCCATCCCACTCCATCCCCGCCGCCGCTCTCACTGTTCGCTCAGGACCATGACTTCAACTGTACCCATCACTATGCACGATAGCCCTAATATTCCGGAGGGCGATAGTGGCCCGCCGCAGCACTTGTCGTTCGGGAGCGACCCGTTCCGCTCCCCGCGTCCAGGTCCGTCGCCAACGTTTCTTCTATCACCTTGCTCTCTCCCTGCTCATGCTCACACACACACCGCACGCGCTATCTGCGACCACGAAACCGAACACGCACACGTTCGATGTCCCTGCGTCCACGTCCGATCCGAAATCCCAACATGAAACGCGAAAAGGCCACCCCAACGTATTCTCGCGCCTGCAAGCGCTCTTCCCCGCCTCGCCCTCCCTCTCCTCGCCCCTGCCCCCGCGCACCCCGAGCCTCGGCACCGACGCGTCCAACAAGCACGCGCACGCGATCCCGCCCCCCGCAAAGTCGCTCAAAGTGCGCATCATCACGTGGAACATGCACGAGTCCCTGCCCAAGGTGCGTCCCCGCTCCTCCGTGCGCCTCCGCGCCCGAATCCCCTCTTGTTCTTCTCTTCTCTTCCCCACGCCGCTCGTTCTTCTCCCTATATGCTCGCCGTGGCGCGCGCGTCCCGCGGTGATCCACATTCGCCTCCGGCTATGAACTGACTTGTTCCCCGTTTGGAATTCGTGCTGCCGATGCGCCCGACGCGCGCACTTAGGGCGACCTTCGCGAGCTGCTCGGCGAGGTCCCGCCGTACACACCCTACATCCCTCTCGACGATCCTGCCGCATTCCCGTATCTGCCTGCCGAGGCTGAGCACCCGTACCACCTGGTCGTCGTGTGCGTGTGGCCCGTTTCCCCTTTCGCATATTATGTGCGGGCTGATATGAACCCGTGATCGGTGCATGTGTACATCAGTGCGGGACAGGAATGCCCGAGCCTGTCACGTAGGTCGTGTCTTCGAGCGTGAGGTGCCTGTAGCGCTTATGGACGCGCTGTGTTTTCGTATTATAGGCTTGCCTATGGCACTTGGCGCAGGATTCAAGCTCAAGGAGAAGGAAAAAGACAAGGAAAAAGATAAAGATAAAGACAAGGAAAAGGACAGGGAAAGGGACGCCGACAGAGAGGAGAAAGAGGCGTTTAAAGACAACCTGAAGGATCTCCAGCACCGGCTCCTCAAGCACGAGCAAGACGAGCACGCGCACACTGCCAGCACCTCCGGCTGGACGTCGATCCTCGAAGATTGGTTCTGCCACGGCGTGCACCCGCACATGCTCGCGGTGGCTCGCGCGCCGCTCAAGGACGTCGGGCGCGCGTTCTCATCGGGCGATGTCAAGCGCCGCCACACGACGTCGATGCCGACCAAGGTGTCCGCGACCGCGATGGCACGCGCAGGGAGCCCCGCGGCGCCTCCTATGCCCGGAGAACCGGTCCGCAGCTCGAAGGGTCCATACGAGATGCTGGTGAAGGAGCGCATGATGGGGCTCTACTTGGCTGTATTTGTGCATCGGGACGCAAAGCGTCTCGTCACGGGTGTGTATTTTCTCCGTTGCGTTGCGCGACCAGCACTCATGTGTGTGTTCCTTGTTAGGAACGTCACACGCTGCGGTTACTGCAGGGCTGATCGGTGGCAGGGTCGGGAACAAGGGCGGCGTGGGTGTGAGTCTGAACATAGCGGGCAGCACGATTTTGTTTCTGAATGCTCATTTAGCTGGTGCGTTTTCCTTTGGTCCGTTCAACGATTTCCTCGTCCTTACTCTATTGCCTTGTAGCGCATGAAGGGAAAATTCTGCACCGCTTGGCCAACTTGTCGAAGATCAAGGTGGACGACGCGGTTTTTTTTGAAAACGTCCTTGAATGGCTGACTGCCCGTCCTGATGTCATGCAGAACGAACTCGCGGTGGACGCGTTCTTGAAGTACGATGATCCGCGCATGGTGGCAGAGGGCACGATTCACTTCTCTTCGCATTATCAGGATGGCGGGGCTGATGCGCATCTCGGTCTTCTAGATCTCACCGACAAGTTCGACTACACGTTCCTCTGCGGGGACCTCAACTTCCGCCTCGACATCTCGCGCCTCCACGCAGACTGGCTGATTTCGAAGCAGAGTAACTGACACCGTGCTATATGCGTCGAGTTTGCATTGATATCCTGTTCGCAGAATACGCCGAGGCCCTCGCCTTTGACCAGCTCTATAACCTCATGCGCAACGGCCAGGCGTTTGTCGGGTTCAGGGAGGCGCCCATCAACTTTCCACCGACGTTCAAATACGACGTGCTGCGCACGCTCAAGGGCAAGCGCAAGGGTTCGACCAGGGAAAACACGGCGCCTTTCGAGGAGGCGTCCGCGCCGCCCGCAGACGTCGCCCCCGTGGAAGCGCCGCAGCCCGAGAGCAAGCCGAGCTCCGACGGCGAGGAGGAGCACGACAACGGCGAGGCAATGAGCATCATGTCGTCCGGGACGTCCTACTCCAAGAAGACGGTCGACGACCACGAGCCGGACGAGAGCGACGACGAGGACGACGAGGACTTCGACGTGTCGCCGCTCAAGGACGCCGAGGCGCGTGCGCAGGAGCTCAGCCGCCGGCAGAGCGGCGCGACGCGCATCGTGAAGCGCATCTCGAGCACCGCCGCGCACAAGGCGAAGCTCAAGTGGAACGAGCTCATCTCCCCGGCCGCGTCGCCGCAGTCTGCGACCAAGTGGCCCCGCGCGCCGGGCAAGCGGCAGAGCGCGGGGCAGGCGATGCTCGGCCCGGACAGCTACCCGGCGTCGATGCCGTCGACGCCGGTGGTGGGCGGCAGAGACTACCCGAACGTGCCGACGAGCCAGAGCGCGGCGGACCACGAGGCGCTGCTGCACTCGCCGCTGTTCAAAAAGAGGGCGAGCTCGACGAAGTCGGGAACGCGGCGGTTGAAGGCCGCGCTCGAGGAAGACAAGGGCGTGTACGACTCGTCGAGCAAGCAGCGGGTCCCGAGCTGGTGTGTCTTCATTCTTTTGCCAGCTTTATATTCGGTGGCTCATGGATGGGACGGCAGGTGCGACAGGATTCTCTGGAAGTCTTCCGTGAAGCCTCGTCTGGATGACGAGGACGAGGATCCGACGCAGCATCGCACGCAATTCGGGCAGCTCTTCGTCAACGCGTGGCGCACCATCGCGTCTCGCAGCCGTAGGGGATCAACGACATCCTCCCGCTCTATAGAACTATCCCCCTCTCCCTCAATACACACCTATGACTCGGGCCTCCCGCCAATATCTCCCAGCGACTCTGTCGCTCTTGCTCGTTCGGTCTCGGGGACTCCAAACCTCTCCAGCCCCTCCCAAGGTGCGCGGCGGAACAGGCGCCCTAAATCCGTAGAAATCCCCTCCACGTCTTCCCCGGACTCGCTCTTCCGCTCGCAGTCCAGCACACACCTAGACCAGTCCCTCACCTTCACGCCCCATCTGCCTCCTATATCATTCACGCCTCCCCGTCCCAACAACACGCCGAGCGTCCCCGTCCGCTCCTCGACGTCACCAGAGCTGACGTCCCCCACACCCTTCCCATTCGCGCCGATGACCGCGTTGCCGCGCCAGAGCTCCGACACCCCGCCGCCGGTACCGCCGAAGGATCCGGTGCACATCATGTCGACGCCCTACCGGTGGCGGTTCCTCCCCTTCATGGGCCGCGACTCCACCTCCGGCTCGCAATCGGGGACCCCCGCGCTGTCGGAATTCGGCCACGGCCGTGACGCGCCCGGTGCGCCCGCGCACAAACCGAAGCGCGGCGAGGTCGTATGCTTGAGCTACCAAACGCTCGACGACCGAGGGATGCGGAGGCTGGAGGGCCGGAGCGATCACAGACCAGTCATCGGGAGCTATGCGATCTATATCTGACGACTTTTTGCCCTCGCCCATACATACCCCCTCGCGTGAACCTGGTGTTCTCCACGTCGCATCTGCTAGTTGCCAGTGCCTATAGAGGGCACGTCGTATCTTATTCGCAGGTAATCCATGTTAGTCGTACGCTGTAATATACCCCGCGAACGTTGCCGGGTCGAGAAGGATTTACTATAGGGTGACGTCTATAGCATATACGGCATCACCACGGGGATTCCATAAGAAGAGGTCTGCTGATCGACAGACACTTGCACTCCTTAAGATATTTTCGTCCGCAATGAGTTGGACTTGGGCGATGAGAGATGGTCTCTTCGCTAGGCCAAGTATCGCGGTCGAATGCCTCGGTCGCGCCGACTCAGCGCTTCTGCGAGCCGCGGGCCGTGTTAGGCCCTAGACCACTCCCCAAGTTTGCCCGAGGCTTTCTTTCCTCGAAGAGGTGCGAACATAATCGAGGAGTCCTTCTTACACTCAGAACAACTATCTTCTGTGTTTTGTTGCCATACTGCTTTGAGCTCAGATAGAGATGCGATAATATGTCCGACTCTCATAGAATTCCTGACAACCGTGCACCTTCAATTCCTAGTGATTCTCATCAGGTAGGATCATCATCATACAACATATGATCTAGGCATGTTCAGGCAGAGATCGTGACCTCGACCTCGACACCAGGCTCCAAGCTGATGCTCGTCTGTATGCGATGTGAAAATCAGGGTCTGGCGGGAGCAGGTGGGAGGAATCACGCACGATCTGCTTGACGATCTCGCTGGAGGAGTGCAAGTCGATCAGGCGCTTGTGAACCTTGAGCTCATAGCGATCCCATGTCTTCGAACCCTCACCACAAGGCTATAAATTATACGTAGGTGACATATTCACAATGACACAGAGAGCAGAGCACTCACAGTCTTACGGGTGGTGATCTTAAGAACCTTGGTGGGGAGACGCACGGGGCCCTTGACGCGGAGCTGCTTGTCCTTCGCCCGGTTGATGAGGTCGTTGGAGACTGTAGAAAGCAGATGCATCAGACGAAAAGCGACAGATTATGAGAGCGGTAGGATATCCTTACACTTCTCCAAGTTCCGCACGTTGCTGCTGGTCAACGTGATGCGGATTTTGTGCAATTTAGCGGCGGGCACAGGGGCACCGGTCGCGTCGTATTCCTTTTCACCCTTAGCGACGTAACTCATTCTGGAGACAGAGGTGACTGGAAAAAGTGGAGGATAAGGAGGTTGAGTGCAGAGAGCCGAGGACGGGAACGCACCTTGAGGGTCGTACTGGTTCGATGACTGAAAATTAGAGTTTGCCAAACGTGCCAGAGGAAGGTTCTCGGTAGATGCCGATAATGCCGACAGATGCCGAACTATGACGTCCACTCCCAGATTCAAACGTTCAACATCGATTCTAGCAGCAGCAGCCGACAACAATGCAAGGTTGGTTTTGGCGCCGCGGCTGATAAAATGACATTCAAACTTACATACATCAAGGATTCAACAAGTATTACCCCCCAGATTATGACGGTGAAAAACACAAGAGTCTTAACTCGTATCGGGGTATGTTGGGCACAGACCACAGCTTAGACGGTCATTCTGACATCAACAGGTAAACATGCCTTGGGCGACCGAGCTCGCAAGATTGACCAGGGAATCCTCATCACCCGTTTTGAGCTGCCTTTCAATATCTGGTGGTACGTTGCACCTTCGTATTCCCTTAACCAAATCTCTTTGACGGCTTCTCGAATAGCGGCACATGCAACGCTCACATCGGCATGGGCGTCCGATACAACGCTGAGAAGAAGAAGATCGGCAAATATTACTCTACGCCCATCTTCTCCTTCCGGTGTAAATGCCACCTCTGTAGTGGTTGGTTTGAGATTCAGACAGACCCGCAGGCATGTCTCCATCTGTAACACTTCGCTCGCCCATCCATTCTGAGCGACATGCTCCCAGAACACTCGGTACGTCGTCGTCTCTGGGGCGCGGCAGAAAGACGAGGACTGGGATCCGGAGGAGAACGGTGGCTACGCCATCCATGGTTCGCAGATATCGCGCCCTCCGTGGATGGCCTCGCTCCGCTCACGCCGACCGTTTCAGATACCGAAGGAAAAGACGTAGCCGTCGACCCGCTGATCGCGCTCGAGAAGTCGGTAGACTCGCAGAACTTTGCCACCAAAGTGCAAGCCCCGCGGATCGAGCAGCTGCAGAACATGTCCGAGCACTATAACGCCGATCCATACGCGCACTCGCTGCGCCTGCGGAAGCGCTTCAGAGAGGAGAAAAAGGTGGAGAAACAGAAAGAAGAGGCAGACAATAACATCAAGGCGCGATATGGGCTGCCATCGGAGCTTTCACTTTTACGAGACGACGACACTTCCATCCAAGAAGCAAGTGACGCATGGGCAAAGGCTAGGAGCGACCGGGTGAGAGAGGAAGCCAGCAAAAGACGAAAGCTGGATCTGGACAAGCCACTGCTCCCGTCGAGTGCGAGATCGGCATCAGGCTCCAGGAAACAGTCAGGGTCGAGCTCCAAGGTCAAGCTATCCTTGCCAAACTCATCGTCTGACATGGTATCGTCCCTCCGAGCACGTATACTGTCTAACACGAGTCGCCAATCGGGCGTCTTTTTGACCAGTATTCCGCAGCCGGGAAAGAGGTTTCCAGACGAGAAAGCGGCTGGGTTTCTGAAAAAGAAAGGCTGATTCATGTACTACCTTTTCATACCGTACATCTTTCGCGGCATGGCTGAATGATCTCTTGTACGCAATGCTGTATATCTTGTGCAGTCCGCAACATGGATTCCTTCACGCGATCGGTCACTTATATCGTGCTCGTTCGGCCGACATCTACGATTGTCCAGAACGCCTCGGTATCATAACAAGCCAACAAGGTAGAAATACAGAGAGCAGATGAGATATAATCAAAAGAGAAAAGGCGATAACTATGAAGAAACAGAGCGGCATGGGGATGGGGGGCAGGTCAAATGGGAGATGAGGGAGTGAAGCCGACTTCATGAACCCAGACTAGTGATACGGTAAAATAATTCAGCAAACAATTGAAGAGAGAGAAGAACAACGGGATCACAAACAAGATAAATAAAGGACAGTAAAGATAGAGCACAAGAAATTCAAATCCTTTCTATGAAGTCGAGATCGCCCAGGGTTGTTCCGTCGTAGGCATCGGGCCATCCCATTTCCACCCCGTGGATTGATAATAGGCAGCCTCGCCTCCATCAATTTCACTCCAAAACCCAATGTGCAAAGGGTCAGGCTCGTTCAGGTCATCCAGCGGCGCTTTCGCATTGAAGAGCTGAGGTGACGAAGATCCTTGGGCTCTAGTATGCCCCAGAGTTTCCACTTCTGAACCAGATCCGGGACTAGGATTGGTGGAGGTAGTCTGCACGAGGTCGGGCGTCGCAACTTCACACGATGACCAATCAACGAAGTCCATGCATTCGTGCAGTTGCGCAGATGACGGCGATGGCGGAGCTAGGAGGGTGTCGAGGGTATCCAGAGTGGACGTCGTAGAATCCACATAATCAGGATATGCAGTTTCAACGATAGATTCCAACAAGGTTCCGATATGGGACTGAAGCGCTCCATCGCCGCTAGATTGTGCTAACCTGAGCAGGTCGTCAATCTGAGCCAAGTATGATTCCGACTTCGCTGGATCAGCAATGGCGGCATCAGCAGCCTCCTGCCTCTTCTGCTGGACATCACTAAACTGTTCCTCTTCGGTTCTAACTCGCTTCGGAGAGGGGGCTAGAGGTGGCGCCTCGTTGCCCCCCGCGTCTTCTTCTCGAGCACGCTTATTCCCTGTTTGTGTTTCGCTAGAGGAGACTGGAGTCGCTGGAGTAGGGGGTGCGACGGATAAGGACTCGGCAGGCACAGGTGCTGTAGCCTTCGATGTCTTTCGACGAGCCGCAGGTTTCTGCTTTGGAGTTGCCTTGGCTTTGGGTGACTTCGGCGTCTGAGGGGAGGTAGCCAGGAGAGACGGTGTTGCAGCCTGAGCCGTTGGAGTGGAATTTGATGGGGGTGTAGGAGTTGAGGCTGTCACTGTTTGTTCTGCTGCAAGAGACGGCGGCTGCTTGCGGCGATTTGCAGGTTGCGAGATCGGTACTTGGCGAGGAGGCGCAGTGGTGGGAGGGGTGGGCTGTTCAGGTTCAGGTGGAGCGCGAACCTGGTTCGGGTATATGTAAGGTGGGTGTTCAGAGCCGCCGAAGCCACTCATACCCCCAAAGGGACCAGCACTGGGTAGCGGAGTGCCCAGGGCAGTGCTTATCTCCTTAGTGAAGGCATTGTTTGCGTTTGTCACCTGGTGGAACATGTTGCGCACTGTGGTCAGATCCAGTACATGACGGGTGTCGTTTTTCTTAGCTTCGCTGCTCTGATACCGTGCCGTCAGGCACTGTATAGAAAGACGTGTGAGACGATATATGACGATTATGTTCAACTAGACGACGTACAATGACCGCAAGCTTGCGGACAGCCATTTCTTGTTTAGTGATCGCAAAAAACATGGGCATTCTCGGCTCGAGGTCTTCGACGCCTTGCATCAATCGTGTCAAGGCCTGATTATATTCAGAGAGCTGAATATCCGGGATGGAATGTGTAGGGAAAATCTCGAACTCTGATGAAGACCGATCGAAAAGGAAGGCGAAAACAGATACAGACGTCAACAATTCGTTGGCCTTCGAGGAGGCAGTGACTCACTCTTGGTATTGGTCCAGTGGTCAGTAAAGTTCTTGATGAGTCTGCGCGCCTCCTCCACTTCTTCTGCTGTCGGAGGTCTTGGGTTGGGTCGTGCATTGCGATCCGCTGGCAGTAATTCTGCTCGTAGGCCCTGAGAAGCCTGAACACCGCCCGTTTGTGCCGACATGACGATATTACCCATGCCCATCTGGACTGGCATCTGTGACGGCGGAATCTGTGAGCCAGACATATCCATCATTCCCGTAGGCACACCGGACGCGCCCGGAGTCATATTCTGTTGAATCATTGCGGCTCGGCGCTGTTGCAGTAGCCCCATGTTTGCGATGAGACGCTGCTGCTGCTGCTGCTGCGATAGCTGTGTTTGCTGACCAGGGTGAGATAACTGTCCAGGCTGAAGCACTGGCAGACCATTGCCCGACTGCAGGTTCTTCGTAAGTCCACCGCGGAAGGCTTGCTGGCTTTGATAGGTACGCCGAAGCTGCTCGCGGTTGCCTTCGACAAACCGAATGAAGTCGTCCGAGAGGCCCTTGCTTCGCATTTCCGCCTCGGAAGTGTGAACGTAATGCATAACCATGTTCCACATCATGGGGTTCTGACTTGAGGTAGGCATTCGATCGTTCGACATCTGCGGCTGAATCTGAGAATGCTGCTCCATGGATGCCTGCTGAAGCTGCTGCATTTGCTGCTGCTGAGCGTTTGATGCGGCTTGTTGCTGGCGCCGCACAGTGTGTTGCATCATCGCCTGACAGACTCTGTCGAAATTCACAAGGTATTGCTTGTAAAAGAGAAAAAGATGCTGTGCGGTAGCGGTGGTCGACTTTGCAGGCTCAGAATTGACGGCGGGGATTGCTGCGAAGCCTAAGCGGCCACCCACGGCTTGCCAGAGCTGATTTCGGGAGACCTGAAGCCAAGCCACGATGTCAATAGACTATACAAATGGACAGAAGGAACCAAAGACGAACGTTTTCCCACCCTCCTAGATAGCGAACGGTATCATAAAGCTTGAAGACGTCGATGGGGCGTCCGTCGATGTTCATGAAGCGCTCATCAATCTGCACGCCTTGTGATTGCCGATAACGGGCCCATATCATAAGGAACTGTTTTTCATCCGGCAAAATCTCCCTGGGTTGCGCGGAGGACTGAGCTTGAGCCTGAGCCGGCTGCGAATTCCGGCCTGAGGCCTGTTGTTGCATATCGCTCAAAAACGAGGTGCCTTGTTCCATATGTGGCGATGGATGAGTAACATTCGATTGATGCGATGGACTGACGCCAGCCAGCATCTGCTGTTGGGTCGGCGTTGGTATGGAGCGTGGAGGATGGGATTGCGCATGAGTGCCTGGACTCCGGTGGATGGACTGAGCTGATTGCTCGCCCGGTCGTTTGGTAAAATGGTCGGGAGGATATCCCTTCTCCATCAGCCACAACGGGTTCGTCAGGCCATTTTGCAAATACTGCGGAGGCAGCGGCTGCCCTGCTTTACTGTAAAAAAGAAGAAAAAGGATATCGCATCGGTGAACGTAGACAATATATCGTTCAAGCTTACATGGTCCCATCAGGGTTTCTTATGGGGATGATATGCTGAATGATACGCTTTTGTATCGAATTCTTTTCCTCATATTTTTTCCGTAGATCTTGAGCCCTAGCCTCCGCCGCGACTCCACCGCCGGGATTGTTCTTCAAGTTCGCGATTTCGTTTGAAAGCGCCGTCAGATCCGACTTCAACCGCTCATAAGCCTGCTGCAGCTGTCCTTGGCTCATCTTGCCGATCTCCCTCTGACCTTGAACAGGTCCATTACCGGGTTGAGATGCAGACAGAGCGGGGGATGCATGAGTACCGGATGGACCAGGCATGGTAAACGTTCCCTGTTGCTGCGGAAGCTGCATCTGCGAGGCGCCCATGTGAGGCTGTGACTGCATGAGCTGTTGATTGACCCTCGAGAGGTGATTCTGCCCGTTTTGCGGCTGCTGATTGTGAGCAAGGCCCATCAGGGCTAGTTGACGAGATGCCTGCGCAGGATGTCCTTGTAGTGCTTGCATGAGGGGATTGGAAGCGGCATCCTGTGAGTTAGAAGTCCGCATGGCCATAGCAGCCTGCATCTGATTCATGTTCGGGTTATGAGTGAGACCGCCATTGAAGTTAGGTAGCTGCTGTTGATTGTGCGTCGGATCCTGCATGGGCGCGTTGGACTGGAGCGAAGCAGGATTCATGTTGAAAGGTTGCTGGAGCTGTTGATTCCTGAGCGCCGCTTGCTGCCTCATCATGGATATGTGAGCGTGATATTCTGCAGCCTGGAAATTCGGTCAGCGCGAGTAAAAGCGTTAGTGTTGGCCATAGAGCGAAAAGAAGACCAAGCGCCACTGATGACTAAGCGAAGGTTGGTCCTACAGTAGCTCCCTGTGGGGAGCGCCTGCAGAGAGAATTGGAATGAAGACCCACGAAACAAATATCGTAGTCATAAGGAGCATAATTTCTATTCAAGAGATAATCATGGAGAAAATGGAGACGGCGCCAAGCACGTGAAGATTTTTTTGGGGGGAGGGGAGAAACATAAGAAAGGAAGAGAAGCGTACCTGTTGCGGATTGATACTCTGGCCATTCAACATGCCTCCACCAAACGTATTCCGGTGTTGTTGTTGCATCTGCTGCCATATTCTCCCGTGCTCGGGGTTCTGTAGACCGCCGATGGTGGCCTGCGCGTCTACTTGCTGCATCTGCTGCTGCTGCTGCTGTGAAAGCATCGCAGGGTTGAATCCAGGGTGGGGCATTCCATAGCTGGCGCCATTGAGGCGATCCGCCATCGCTCAAGGGGACGAAGAGATGAGGAGGTGCAGAAAGCTGTCGCGGAGGTAAATGTGGAAAGGGCCGAGGGTATGCCTCCGCAGTAAGCGGTGAGTGCGTCTACGATTGTTGCGACCTGTACAATGAGCACAAAGGGAACAACAACAAGGAGGGAGGGAGAGGGGCGACGATGGGGGTGGTGGTGGGAGGGAGAAGCGAGGCGGGAGAGATGTGACGGCCACAGCTGTTATCCATACACTGCAGTCCATGGCGGAGTTGTAATTCCTCTTATATATCCCTCTCCATGTCACGCCTGACTTATTGAGCTTTTATTGCTTTACTCGTTCCCCAGCATTCTGACTCCATCTGAGCACCTACTCAACAAGCACTACAGCTCTGGGCATACAGCAGTCGTCTATGACTGAACGAGGACCCTCTCCTGGGTCCAAGAGTCAAAGCCGGCCGTGAGGCCATTTGAATTGATTATGTAATTATTCAAGCCGTCGCCTTCAACGCTCTCATGTTTTCAGCCTCCGCAGTGCGCACCTGAAGCCATCCTCAAGCGGCTCGAAGGTTTGTCTCTGCAACAAGACAATTGTCTGCTGAAGACTTCGAGACTGGCATGACTTCACTCCAATTTTTCTTCTCCCATTCTTGACAGCTCCTATAAATCTGACACAGTATTGATACGTGTTTCATCCTGCATCATCGCCCCGCAAGTGTCCATTCGGAAGCAGGCTCGGAAGGAGGGATTTCAGTCAGATCTCATTCAACAGCCGGAAACCATCCATATATTATACGGGCTCTCTGTTTTCAACAACAGTCTTATTTTCGAATCTCTCCAGAAAACGTTCGAGCCTTTCGCTGTACCGCCGCACTTCCGGCCCGCGCTCGACACACCAACCCGTCATCTGCATTGGCAACTATATAATCATTCATCACGGATCTTTCCCTCACGTCTATGCCGCCGCCTCTCTACCGTACAAGCCACATTTTCTGCTCATACACACGCACAGACCTGCTCATGCCACAGGGGGCAATACGGGATATGGGACGTGACTCGGAAGCCGACCGGAAATGACCGGTCGTCCATTCTCATCCGAACGCACTCTACGACCCTCCGTTAAATAGCTTGAGGTGCACTTATATGTACATAACAGTGCCCAAAGTGTCGCTCTGTACGTTCTACGCTTCATTTCCTTTTACATCTGCTGCGGCTTGAAAGCTTACTTAAATCGCTAGTCGTCTGGCCCGCGCTTCCTCTTGTCACCAATCAGCCACCACTGATCTCATCCGTTTTGGGTTTCACCCCCCTCGACGAACCTTCAGTCCGTTGTCATGGCTGCATCTCCTTATTTCACCCTCTTCGCTCACTCAGTGAACAAGTGACCTGCCCAGGTGCTTTTGTATGTTTACAGGTCTGTCCATACTTCGACATCGTTCATCCAGCTGGCGCTGCGGTCAACCGACCAACCTGACCTGGCCGTCGGCCGCCGCATTAGCGCTCACAGGGCATGCTAACTGACTCGGCACCCCGCTCTGCCCTGGAGCGATGATGCATGGGCGGAACACCAGCAAATCAGCTATTTCCGCTTCAACCGCCGAGAGCGGTTCCTTACTCAGGCTACGCGCCTCTTGCCAAAATGCACTCAGAAATGCTGCATACAGTATGTTTGCGGATCCCGGAAGGGGTTGGTGAGTTTCGCCTTCCGGATACATGGCGCTAAAGGGACTCAGCCGCCTTGTGATGTGACCTTAGCCCACTTCAACTCCCCGCCTTCTACCCGAGGTAAGGTGCACGACGCAACAGACAGCAGACGACGACTCAGATGGTTTCGCGGTACGTGTCGTGCTCACACACCGCCCGAGATATACCCACGTCGACAGATTTTCTCATCTGCGCGAGAGAATCCGAACGGCCAGTTGACCCAGGCGCTTGCTTGCTTCATGTGGCGCCCCTCTTTCGTCTAACACGTAAGGACTTAATTTACGCGGAATAAGTCGAAGTTGAAAGCTATTTACTTAAATTTTATTTGCCAATTTGATTGTTCTGAGCAACGAGCAACGGGAGGCAACGGGGGAGTCTGCTCAAAAAGGAGACCTGGGTCCGAGACAAAGGATCGTAAACGTGAGGCGCCCCTATTCTCCCCTATTGAGCTACATCGTGCTCGGCATTCGGAGCGTGGGTCTCGCAGCCTCGCACGGTCGTAAGAAGGCGCTCCACTCACAAAAGATTTCGTGGGGGCATGCGATCTTGTGAGAACCATGACGGTTCGAGCATCCCTCAGCTGGGAAGCAGCGTCGAAAGGGCAATGTCCAGGATTATAACGAGGGTGACGTATGCAGAGAAACCCTTTGTGAACTCTCGATACTCACCTAAACATTGAAAGTTCGCCGGGCTGGCGCAAACAGCATTATTGCACGGATGAATGTCATCGCAACAGTCTGATTGAAACGACGACCAGTCATTCGACCAGGAAAGAACAGAACAATGTACTTTTGTTAGCCAAACGGTGGTTATTAGACAGAATGCTGCTGATCAACAGGTAAAGTACGGTGTGTACGTATCTAATCGACTCAGTCGAGCTCAGTCGTACTTACTGGATGCGTCGGCTGACAGGCGCCCTTCTGACGTTAGCGGAGATTTTAAACCTATGGCAACGTGGAAGGGAATACTTAATGGACAATAGGTAATGATAGAGCGAGGCCTGGTGGAGATGAAAGGCGCATGCGTAAATAATACAACACGTGAGAGTCACAGATGAAAGAACAGAGCGCGTGACGGACTGTAAGGTGCATGTCCGAGAGAGCAAGATGGTGCTACGGGCATCTGGTTTGTTACTCAAGTAGGGAGTGTGTATTGTCCGAAGGCGTAGAGGCGCGGGAGCCCTGGGGGTCATTGAGCCTCGGTGATAGCTCGTCAGCCTTGACCACGAGCGCAGGTCCCGCCTCCAAGATGACATCGCCGTCACTCTCGTTACCACTGTCCGCTAGGAGATCCTCATCTTCTTCGTCGGACAGGAGCACTAGTTGAGGAGTCTTTCCCTTCTGACCCGGGACGACCCTTGGGCCCTCCGCCAAAATGGTATCGCCCTCGACGCTCTCAGCCGCAGTTTCTTCCACCTCTTCCTCAGGCAACGCGAGCGCTGCTGTCTCACGTTGGAAGACGTAGCGTATACCGACAGGGATCAACACGCCCACGACGACGGCCGACAGTCCGAAAAAGTTCCTCCACGAGATCAGGTGGAAATCGTCGGCACTCGTCATCTGGTCGAGTCCTCCGCCAATAGTCGTATGAATAACTGAGACGCCAAATATGCCCAAGAAAGTGCTGATCCAAAACGGAACGATGCCAATACCGACATGGGGGCAGATGACGTTGACGACCCAATGCGGGGGGAGTGGCGCTATGCGGAGGACGATGAGAAAGGGAATTATGTTGGCGCGTTGAGCGTGGATTTTATCTGTCCACTTGTCTAGGCGGGATTGAATGCGCGGAATGGTGAGGAGGGCGGGGCCGAGAGCTGCCGAAATGAGGTAGCACAGTGTACCGCCCGTTGCGACGCAGGCACAAGCGAGAGGAAGGGCGCGTGCAACGCCCCACACAGCACCTCCGAGGATGGATAGATACATTGAACCTGGTAATGAGAAGGCTTGAAGGCTATGGGGGGTGATCGCCGAAGGCGAAGATTGAATGACGAGAGATCCGGAGGTAAAAAGTCCGGACGCACAAGAGGTATGTTGTTACATAGCACACAACGATGCGGTACGGGTAGATGTCGCGGTACTTCTTGAGAAGGAGGTTGAGATCTTGCAGCTGAGCGAATGACTTTGGGATACGGAGGAAGGGCCGATCATCCCTGGATGAACGCGGGGATCAGCCAACGAGAGAGGGAAGCGGGACACAGGGGCGCACTCGTCTAGGGTCGGAAGGGCGAGCCAGAGGGTGCCGCCGAGGAACAGGGAGCTGACTAGGAAGATGACACCCATCTTGAGCGCCGCGTTGAATATGATTCTGCGGGAATTATTGTGCACGGTGGGAGAGAGCGGGGCGGTGCCATAGGAGGGCTCGCGGGGGGTGAGGGGGGAAAGGAGGGGGGCGGTGTCGCCGTCGCCATTGTCGTCGTCGTCGTCGTCGCGAACGGTCGCCAGGGTGTACGCGGACGCGTTTGAGTGGACTGTGTCGTTGAGGCTGCGAGCGAATGACGGGGACATGATGGAGGGACGTGCACGGCTGGGGGACTGAGATGTGATGGAGTGGGACGTTCGGTGACGTTCGGCACACGGGTGACTTTGTGTGACCGTGTGACCGAGATGGGCCGGAGGACAAAGAAAGGATCAGGGCGACATGAACGACGCCGACGAGGTATTATTTCTTGAACATGACCCACATCCTTCCCCCTCACCAGGATCTCAACATCGCACCACACTCGTCTCTCCAGTCGGCGCTCCAGATGGATCCTGCAGCCCAGCCACAGCCCCCGCCTCCTGATCACCCTCAGCCCCAGCCTGCCGCCCCTCCATCAGCCGCCCCCCCTTCCAGGAAACGCAAAAAGACCGACTCGAATGGCCACGAGCCCTCCACGCCCGCTGAGCCACGACGGCTCAGGCGATCTCATGAAGCCTGCGCACGCTGCAGGAGCAAGAAAATCAAGGCAAGTCCCGACGGGTCCACGGGCGACACCGCCGGCAACTTCCCGACCCTTCGCTAATTTCACCTTGTCTGCCCTCCGTTCCCGCTTTCCTACAGTGCGACTCCAAGCATCCAAGATGCACCGCCTGCGCGACCGCAGGGACCCCCTGCCATCAAGAGGACAGACACAGGCAGACGCTCACCCCCCGTGGATACACTGAGCGCCTCGAACGCCAGCTCTCCCAATGCGACGCTCTCTTGAAGCGCCACATGCCAAACTTCGACATCAATAATTTGGAAGACATCTGCGCCCGCGAGGGCATCGACGTCGAAATGCCCATGGCCCAGCCTGCTTCAGCGTCTGCTGCATTCCAGTTTGCCCCTCCAGGTGAGAAACTCTCTATCTCTTCCGATCCAGTCCCATCAAGCCTAATCGCATCTGCAGGATCGTCGCCCCCTAAGGGCTACCCCCCCTCCTTCCCCCCTCCGCCTCAACACATGCTTCCTCCTGGCTATCCGCACCCAATGCCAGGGTACTATGGCGGGCCGCCCCCTGGCTCACCGTATGCTCACCACCCCCACATGGCCATGCATCCACCTCCAGGATTCAACCCACACATGGTTCCCACATTTGTTCCTCCTCCGCCTCCTCCTCAACTTCCGCACGTGCCGCACGCCCCGCCTGCACAGCCTCCCCGCCCCTCCTCGTCGGGCGGGGGCGACATCAAAGGACAGGACCCTCAATTTAATGACATGTCTAACACTCAGGTACAGCCGCGCCCAGCGTACAATTTCTGTCTGCGACCCGCTAATCGTGATCTATTGCCCACAGGCGTTGGCCAAAAACTTCGGGGTCTCTCAGGCCATCGTGCAGGATATGAATTTAGGGCCACAGCCCTTGGACAAGGAAGACATCGCCGTCGGCTCGAACGCCCTAATATCCGGCCGCGATCGTGACATTACAGAGAGTGCGCTCCCGCGTGATGCTGCTAAATGGGTTCACATCGCTGTCCGACGGAACAGTGTTGCTGCTCCTCCGGTCCCGTCCGCCACCACGAGCCCGACGCAATCCGCAGCCACCCTGGCCACCCAGTACTCGGTTCCCGTCTGGCTCCCGAAGGACCGCGACATGGTGCGGACGATTTTGGATGTTTACTTTGAACGACTCAACCATCATCGGCCTGTGTTCCTCCGGCCCGAGTTTGAGCGCTCACTTGAGGATTTATACGCGGGCGAGGCCGTACAGCATGACCCTGGGTTCATATGTTCGGTCTATCTTGTGCTCGCGTTGGGTACGTTGAGCGAGCTTAACCATCGCGCGTGTGGATTGGACCAAGAGGCAAAAGCGAGCGCAAAGAGCGGCAGCTTCTCGAACCCACCGAACGTGAAAAAACTGATGCCGCCTGAGTGGCCAGAGCATGAAGAGTTTTTCGCGCGCGCGTTGGCCGTGAAGTCTGAGTTGAGGGTCACTGTCAGCAGTCTCCAGGCGCTGATCCTCCTCCAGTGGTACTTGTATACCGAGGTCAGCGTTTTGTGATCTCATCCGGGATCTACAATATCTGACTTTCTTAATAGCGACAAGGCCGTACGCTTTGGCGTCTGGTTGGAAGCCTGGTTCGCCTTGGAATAGAGCTCGGCCTGAACCACGATCCGACGACGCAAAACATCTTTGACGAGTCCGAATGCCAGCTGCGTATCAGGTTGTGGGGCATTGTGCTCATGCACGACCGTGGAACTTCTATCTTACTCGGCCGGCCCTTGGCGATCGCGCCTTACGATACTAACACTCCGCGCCCCATGCCGCCGAAGAGCGGTCGGTCGGACTTGAGCGAGCACTTCTTGCTCAGCCATCCCATTGCCGAATTGCAAGCGGACATCATCAATTCTCTGTACACGCCACAACGCCAGTCCGCTGACGCCATCATGCGCCACACGAGTCGTATCTTGAAGCAGATGGTCGAGCTCAGGAGGCAACTGCCGGAGGGCTACAAAGACTTCTTTGGCGGAACTGAGAAGTGGCCGCTCGAGCAGAGATGCAAGCTGGTTCAGGACATCACCGCAGACCAAGGCTTGACGTTGTTGAAGATCGGCATCTCCAGGATCTTGCTGCTGAGAGCTTTGTTTAGCAGCAAGGAGCTGCCATATGCCCAAAGGCACAAGGCCTTGGTAGACGGTAAGCAAATCATTTAATTTACGTGATATGTGCTGATCATACCTATGATTTATCGCAGCCATCTTCGTGTCTCATAATATCATTGTTGTTCACCATCAACTCATCCGATTCCCCGACATCGCCTTCTTTGTCTCTCCCATTCCGCTGCACATTGCAGCGATGGTCATATTGTATGGCCACATGTCACGCTGCGAGAGTTTATCTCGCCAAGTCGCCCTCGAGGATGTCTGGATGGCTCTCGACATGCTGCCCTCATTCCGCTGGAGATGGGAACGCAAGGATTTGAACGGCGGGCACCCTCTCATCGCAAAGCTGGCGGAGAAGGTGCTCGACGTGAACCTGCACCAAGTCGGCCCGGCGAGCCACCCCGTCCTGCTGAGTGAGCTGGATTGGGAGAATGAAGTCATGGGCGTTGCGGGAGGCGGCAGGGATGGGAGCGGCGCCACTCAAGGATCTCACGGGGGACACGGCGGGCCGAGCTCGGGCGTGCATCACACGCCTCCGATGTCGCACGCTCCGTATGGTGGCATCGGGAGCACGTATGGTCCAGGTACTCCGTTGAATGGGAACATGGGCAGCGCTCATGGTAGCCCTCGTTCTACTCGCACCCTGAGTACGGGCGGCGCGACGCCCGCGCCTGGAGACCAGAAGCTCGCCGAGGTGCCTCCGGGTTTGTTCTATCCGTTCTACCCAGAGTCGAACGTCGTGCCTCCGGAGCAACCCAACAACGGCGGTCCACTCAGCACCAGGCCTGGTGTGAGAGCAGATGGGGGAGCCGGGGCCGCTGCCGGAGCGACCGCGAACGGAGACTACACACAGCTGTTGGCGGCCGCGGCGGCTCAGCAAACGGGGGGACAATGGGGGGCTTCTAATCAGGATAGTTATATGCTGGAGGAGAAAGATGTCGGTGTGAGTGGGGGCGTTGGGGTTAACATGTGGATGCCCGACCAAAGGACGATGCAGGGCTTTGCGATGGGCCCTCCGGCATGAATCCAGTTGTTTCGGGCAGATGATTGCTCCACGAGATGCTGCTGTTCGTCTCTTTTATAGTAGCGGACATTTCGATCAACATCCCTTTGTTCTGCTCTGGATGGCTGGCTTTTACCTCGGCGCCTCGCGTTGCTGGCACAGTGCACGCGCGTGAAGCGTCCCTTTATGCCCGTGATGGTCATGGACGTTCAATTGTACAAAGTTGATCGTTTTATTATTTCTTTCACACTATGGGCTGGTTATATTGTGCGCTTCCGTTCCTCTTGCTCTTGATCTAGCCTCTTGTCTTGAACCGTTTGCTGTGTATCGCTCATCAGTTTATCTCATAGCCCTGTAGTCAACTCCTTTGACTCTCTTCGACTTCGTTTTTCTTCCATTAATGCGGGTGGGGCTGCCTACCCTCGCGTCGTACATTCCACCTATGCTTGTCGGCATTCCTCCGGTCCTCCCGATTCATCACGTTCGTGTTCGTTCGTGTCTGCTTAGTGCCTGATTATACGATTATGAATATCTCTCTTTTTCTTCATTCCGCTAGCTACTTTCCGTCTAGTCCTTCCCCGAGACCGGATTTGGCTTGTACTTTTCTGTACTGTTTTATTTGGGACGTAGCAGCAGCCCCTAGTAATCGGATCACGACCTTTTAGCTGTAGGCCCCTTGTTCACACCTCTGGGGCTGCTGTTTTTTTGCCAGAGCATGTATTTATAACTCACGATACTGGAGGGCGCCCGAATTGGATGGAGCCTTCATGTCGTTTTGTTTTGGTCGAGCTGACTCGCTGAGGTAGTCATGAAGAGACGTTAGGTTTGGGACTGCTAGTACATATTGATATACATGTGCACTGAGCACGGTAAGTTCACGTTTATGGTGTCTAGGATGTGAGCATAGCATGGGATAGCGAAGTAACGACGGGGAAGGGGGGAGGGGGGATAGCGTGACGTGTATGAGGGACTGTAGAGAGATAGGCTGGGACGTAGAATAGATAGGAGGAAGAAATAACGACCATCGAAGAGGAAGCACACCAGATAAATATGATCAACCCGAGACATGACATATAATATATCCGAGAAAAAACGGAACAAATGAGAGAGATGCAGAAAAAGGGACGAGGCACTGGATAAACGTTATTGCAGTGCCGTCTCCATCCGCTCCAGGACCACGACGAGTCCTTCGATGAGCACCAGCATGCGTCGAGGAAGCATCTGAGCACTCTTGTAGTCTCGCTGCTCTTCCTCGTTCGCGCCCCTTATTCCGCTGGGCCCGTTATCTTCGTGTTCGTGCCACCGGCGCCTTCTTGCACGACTACGAGAGCGAGCGCGGCGATGTCGGTCCACGGCGTCTTCAAGAGCAAGGGGGAGACCGAGAATGATGCGGACGAGACGCAGAGTCAAGCGCGCACGGGGGCGGATGGATAGATATGATAGCCGGGACAGGGATGCGTGGGTTTCGAGAAGATGGGAGAGCGTCCCGAGGAGGGTGTGTGTGAACACCCGGCAAGCTGCCGCGATAAGATCGTCAGTCGTCAGCGAGGGAGAAAGCACAATAACGAAAGGGCGCACTCAGGGCTCGTTCGCGGATGGCTTGGAGCGTGAGAAGAACAGACTCGATGCCTTCTTCTCCGAGTCGTAGCGATGGATTGATATCGTTCATCGCACCTATCGGGTAGGAAATATGATGTATCAGGTATCGTTCCTTGCCGGAATACCATCCAAAAATACTCACGCAGCAGAGTGTGTACCAGCTCCATATCGCCGTCCAGAAAGTCATTGAACACGCCGATGACGACACTCCTCAAGGTCTCTTCGGCACGCATGCTAGAACTCGAGCCCATGCTTGAAAACTCTTGCGCGCCGGGGTGCGAGTCATAGAGGCGCTTCGAGGCTGGGCTGGACAAGACGTCATAGGCGACGGAGACCTTCTGGAAGGCGAGCGTTGCCTCGGGGTTGTCTGGGAACTTACTGCGTAAAATGCCGAGAGGTGAGAAACACATGCCGGCACCAAGTGAGGAAATATAGACACGGGCTCCACAACATGTGGACCCTGAGAGATAGAGATAGAAGATGGAAAAAAACATACTCAGGGTGACAGGCTTTGCTGCGCGCGATGTATGCTCGTCTGAGCTCCATCTTGTCCAGATTTTGGCCGCGCTGCACGCCTAAAATCTTGTACAGGTCATTTTGGGCAAGGATTTCGGCGATGGCAGCACGTCGCTGGCGCTGCCGTTGTTTGGATGGTTTCGCGTGTGAAGAACTCGACGAGCGGGAGCTGGAGCGGGATGAGTCCTGATCCTCATCCCATTGAATGTGCTTCGAGTGCGGCGGAAGCGGCTCCTCCTCAACCTGCTCGTCGTCAATGGGCAGATAGAAGTAGTCGGACGCTGTGCGATGCTTTGAGATGCTATAGGGCTGGCGCGACGGTGGGAAACATACCTGATGAAAGGACGTATCTAAACATTGGTTGAGAGGAACGGGGGGAGATTGCGCAAGAACATCAACAAGGGGACAACGGCGTCGACGACGTTAATGAAGATCGCAAAACATACTGCCATGTGATTCTGTTTCCATTCGATCACGTGCTTACTTAATCCCAAAGAAGTGTCGAGCCCTGCCCGCCAAGTCCTCGGACCAACAGATTCTCTCGACGATGCGGAAGGTGTAAAAGACTCAAACTGCCACCCTGGTCAAACGAGATGCAGAGACATTATTGCGGGCTGTAACGCGAATGCATAGGACCTGCAATAGCAGTGACAACCCTTGGGCAGAGCCATATTAGGCCTTTGCCGAGGGAAAGGTAACCACTCAACGAACTTCGCACGGTGTTCCCTGGCATTAAGTATAGCGGAAGACTATTCTGGGCGGCGAGCTGTCGTAAGACAACGCGCTCTAGATATTGGAAGCAAGTGGAAGTGCTCGAATCACAATAATCATATGTTAAAATACAATTCAAAGCTCTATCGCGTCTATTACTTACTTATCATGCGACATTGGCTTCGAGGGCCTCTGCAAGCTTTCGCGCCGCTCTGCGGACCTCACCTCGTTCACCCATCATGGTAAGTCTCACCACGTCCCCTGGATCTCCGCCATATTCCCCAGACAGAGCATGCAGCTCGTATCGCCCAAACGCCCAATTGAGGATGCGGTATCCTGCTGGTACGCGTACGAAACCCTTGACGCGATACACGGTCTCTTTAGACAGACGAGAAAGGCCTTCTTCTAGCTTCTCCTCGTCGATAAGTCTTGAATCACCAGGGTGATCTGGCTCGGATTCAACTTTGTCACGATCTGCGTGGTTGCATGCATCGGAATGCACATGGCCGTTCACGGGATTCTTCGCTCCTCGCCAGATGGTAGCAGTTTCTACTTCATCATGATGTGATGAATCTGTAACGACGTTGGCAGTGTCCTTGGTTCCGTCAAGGAATAGCTTGGAGTCCAGGCCAAAGATAAGCGATGGGTCGACGCCTGTTCGACCTTGACATTTGATTTTGGGTGTAAGATCGTTAAGGGTATTGAGATGTTCTAAGACGTCATCTAATGCACGTTCAGATACATGTTCCCACTTGTTCTGAGTGCATGATTCCAGCATAAAGTTAGTTAAATGTGGGGAAAGGCAACGTCAGGCGTTGAGAGCTCACAATGAGAATGACATCTGTATATTGTGCTTGCATACGAGCGGTCATGCTCGTGTCTTCGTAGCCTGTGAAGTTCTCTGCGTCTACAACCGTGACAATTGCATCTAGAGCAAGTGCTCGATTCGTCTCGCGCTCGAGCTCTCGGATCTGAAACGCAAGGGTTGCGGGGAACGCGGAACCACTAACCAATTAGACACCATCGTGAATTTGAATACAGGATCTTAGAGGAAATGGACGTACGAGCATTCGATGATTATGCGATCAGGGCTATGTTTCTCTGAGTACGCATCAGACGACACCGTCGATGATGAAGAATCATGCATAATACATACCGAGAATTTCGAGGAGAGCGGTCTTCATTTGACCAACGAGCACACAGCACCTGCTCTTCCACTGGTGTCAGGAACGTGGGATTCGCCAAATATGAGCGTGCCCCACTCACATGCACCCATTCAAGATCTCACTGACTGCCGCCAGACTACTCTGCTTCGCCAGCTGACTGTCAACTAGGACATCGTCATGATGTCACTTCTAAATGAATACGAATATGATCAAAATACCTTCGATGTCTCCAAACTCATTCTTCAGAAGTACGGTGCGATAGGTAGAGGGCAGCTGAGGGAGGAGTGAAAGGATGATGGATGTTTTTCCTGCGCCGAGAAAGCCTGTGAACACGGTGATGGGAATGGGTGCTGGTTTCAGGTCAGAAGGCATTGATATTGTGTCTCTAACACAGAGGGGTCCCGTGCTATGATGGCTTAACAAAAGCGGACGCGGATGGCAGAGCGACGGAACTGGAGAAAACAATTATTAGGAAATTAGCGCACGTGGTAGCGCGTCAAGCCGCGACCTGCTGCTCAGCCTCCTCCTCACCTCTCAGCTTGACTCGCTGCCTCACGATACCTCATTCATAAGCTCCTTGTTGCAAGCTGCAACATTATACTTTCCTGAAGGCATAAAAAATCTCTGAGCGACTGGGCCACACTGGCCTCTATATAACAATATGAACGTCGGTCAATTGGCTGTGCAACCTCCGTCTCAGGTTCAGCGAGTTGCGTCGGACGCGGAAGATGTCTCGTCAGAGGTGAGTTGACGGTCGCTGTTGATATCTCTAATCACAACTTCGGTTCGCTCAGTTTCTGTCAATACGGATGCTCAACAACCGCGCCCGTGTGAGACTCTCAGAGCCTCTCGACCTCACTCGTTTCCCCAGTAAGGCGCAGCTGCTCACTGTGGCGAGTGGTCGAGGATGGTTTGTAGCGATCAAACGAAGCTCATCCACAGGGCTAAGTGCTTACCTTCACATCGAATGCCGCGTTTTGTGTTTTGACCACATTGGCTCCCGCAGGTCTCATAGCATCCACCGTATCTGACCTCCGCGCTCGTCTTCTATCAGCAGATGGTAAGAATGACGAACCCATCGCTGTGAGCAGGACTGTGCCGCTGCCACAGGGAGTAAATCCGAACTACTTGGTCTTCGCGTCTAACGAAAGCAAGCTGCTGGTGGGCCTAGCTGAAGGAGCCATCGTTGTTTATGATGCCAATGCTATCTGTTCAGCTGGGACAGAAAATATTACCCCGATACATACCTTTCCTGCTACGACCTCTACATCAGCGCGCCACATTTATCCAAATCCAGGAGACCTACCTGACCTCGTCGCTGTTCTTCGGGAACCGGATGGCAACCTCAACACGCAACTCGTCGAGATCCTCGATGTAACCGCCTTACAATCCGTTGCAGGGTGGCGAAGTGGCGGTACACCCCAAACACTACCTATGAGCAGTGCGCTGATTCTAGATCTATGTAATCGGATTTTTACTGATATCCTGTTCAGTATCGTGGTCGCCGAAAGGAAAGCAGATTGCAATTGGCATGCAAAGCGGTGATATCATGACGTTCAGCCCGACGGAAGTAAATCAACCTAAAATGTTCATCCCCAAACCTCTCTCTGCTCGAAACCAGAGCGCCATCCACACGACGTGGTTAGCCAACCCCACGTTCTACACCATCTATGCGCCTTTGCCACTCACCGAGGAGACCGACCAGGCGCACTTCATCATATCGTACGACGGCAAGCGTAACAGTGCTTCGGATGTTGCTGTCCCCATTTCATTCTTCTCATCTGGTCTTCGACCGCCCGGGGCATTCACCGTGGTCCTCAGAAACTGGGGTCCCGCTAAGATTATGCTTATAGTCGGTGATACCACGACTGCCGACATCGGCGTCATTGTCTCCGTCGCCAAATCGGCGACTGAGGACAAATGGCAGAGACTTACCTTGGATGATGTTGCCACGCCGAGTATGCCTCTAGGCGAGGAGGCGTCGGAGACGACGATGGTCGGGTTGGAACTGGACCTCAAGAATCAGCAGCGATACAATCATACTATGCCCTCTGGTGAGAACCTTGAGGTGCCTCCGCCGCCTATCATGTTTGCATATGCAAGCGATGGAACAGTGATAGCTTGGTATCTAATCAATACGCAAGGCATCTCCTATCCTGGTATGACTACAGATTCAACTGCTACACCCTCTGCTGTCTCACAGCAATCTGCACAACCTGTCCAACCTGTTCAGCCCGTCCAACCCGCTCAAACTGTGAGTGCGTTTGGTCAGCCAGTGCCATCTGCATTTGGACAGTCATCAGGCTTCGGCGTCCAGCCTGCGTCGGCGTTCGGTCAACCTGCGTTTGCACAACCCTCGGCTTTTGGACCAGCCTCAGGATCTGCATTCGGACAGTCACCCGGTTCCGCGTTTGGACAATCAAACACAGCCTTTGGCCAGAACAACACGGGCGAATACAGAGCATTTGCGAACGTGGGTCCCTCCGGCTTTGATACAACTTCGACGTTTTCTTCCGCACCTACCACGCCGGCGCAGCCTATGGTCTCAGAATCTACAGATTCGATGTCTACTGACGCGGGTCCGGATTTCGGAGGACTATCATTGGGTGCAAGTTCGAACGATACTGCACCAAAGGCTGGATTTGGCACTACAGGTCTGTTTGGCGTCACTTCTCAGTCAGCACCTGTGCCTAGCCAACCAGCGTCCGCATTTGCGAACTACATCAAACCGTCTGCTGGGTTCGGTGCATTCTCAAACTACGTGCAACCCCTGGCTCCAAGCAAGCCTCAGGTCTCTGTGGAACCCCTGAAGGCCTCTTCGGCTTTTGGACAGACAGGTTTCGGCTCCCTGACAACAAGGTCTGTATTTGGGCAGCCCGCGTTCGGGAAGCCGGCATTTGGACAGACTGGGTTCGCTAGCTCACCGATGTCGACGACGCCTCAGGCTTCGCCGATGTCCGCCACTTCGTCGTCGGCATTTGGGAGCGGGAGTGGGGGCGCGTTCGGGAATTATGCAGGCGGACAGTTAGCGTTTGCGGCGGTTGCGCAGAATGCGACGCCTACTGTACCAGTGTGGAAGACCGCGGCAGCCGACAAGCCTACTGGTGGGTTCAGTGCTTTCGGTGGTAGTGGAGGCTCGACAGTCTTCGGGCAACAGGCGCCTGCTGTGATTCCACAGGCCACTTCCTCGACACCTCCATCAGTGCCGGCGCAGCCGGCGCCATCGACGACAGCATTGTCAAACACGCCACCGCCGGTCATCGCGCTCGAAGGTCCTACCCTTACTCGTCCCACCGTCCCCGCTACTCCAGCTGCGAGTGCGCCCCCTGTCACGTCAGCGACCAGCACGACGCCGACCACACCACCTCTCGCTGGGGCTTTTGCCAATCTTCAGGCCGTCCCCGCTCCATTCGGCAACATGTCAAGTTTCGGTGGCACCTTTGGAGTTTTCAACAAGGACTCTCCTTTTGCCAATCCCAAGCCCGTGAGCGGAGGGGCAGATTTCGCGCAACGCATGTCGGCGTTCAGCACTCCTGCACAGCCGACGCTAAGCACTTCGGGGAGCGCGCTTGGGCAGACCTCTGCGTTTGGAGTGCATCAATCTGCGTTCGGACAATCTTCTACTCCTCCGGCGACAACGACGCCCAAGGCATCGCCGTCAACTTCGGCGTTCAGCGCCTTCAGTGGGCAACAAAGCGCGTTCAATCAGTTCGCGGGTCCGCAGAAATCGTTCAGTGACATGTTACGAGAAGGAGAAGACGAAGACGGGAAGGGCAAGGGCAAGGGGAAGGCCCCCGTTTTGGCGCTCAGTTCGACGCCCCAAACTCCTGTCAAATCGGTGGAGGAATCGACGAGCACAACGCCTGCCAAGACGCCCCCACCTTCGTTGTTGGCGCAGCAAAAAGGAAAATCCAAGGAGAGCTCGGTTGAGCCTGCGGAAAATGATGCGGAGAAGGCGAGCAAGGGAAAATCTACCGATGAGGTCAAGAGCAAAGCAACTAATCCGCGCGTCAAGATCTCGGCAGACGAATCTTCCCTTTATCTATCTGAGAGTCTCTCCTCTCTGTCGTCGTCATTCGTGGAGGTTGATGCCCTTAAGGACCTCGAGGGTGACGGCGATGCGGATGCGGATACGATCCGAGAACCACCCTCGCCTGACTCCGAAGAAGGCGAGCTTGAGCGCGTAGACGATGGGATCGATGGTTTCTTGTCTAGCCCAGAGCAGTCGGAGGGACAATATGAAGGTGATGAAGAAGACGACTCGGGTGCTGAGGAGCTGGGACGAATCACGGAAGTTGAAGAGGAGGCCGAGGAGGCGGATAAGGACGCGACCCAAGCCAGTCCATTGACTCCCACCAAGGTGGCTTTGCCGCCATCTAGATCTCCTTCTACTACACCCAAGCCGCAGACGCCATTCATCAAACTTGAGCCAAGCACTCCTAAGCTCGACCGAGCCCAAAGTACTACCCCACCTGGCTCACCTATCAGGGACCCTCCAGAAACGCTTTTCCCACCACCTATCATTGCTCAGCCATCCCCGATTGTACCACCCCCATCACAGATACCGTCGTTGACCTCATTGAACATCGGGATTGGGCGACCTAGCACACGGCCTCTCCGCAGCTCGCCATTGGCGAGCACTCCGCTCTCAGGAGTGAACCATGATGAGGAAGGCAAACGTGAGTCTGTTGGTTCCGCGAAACCGAGGCCAGCTTCGCCAAAAATACCGTTTGGTCAATGGGCCGCGTCTGAGTCGAAGCCTTCTTCTTTTGGTCAGCAACTTAGCTCACCATCCATCGTAGAATTACCTGTAGGAAGCTCGTCGTCCGAAAAGAAATCGCCGCGCCCCAAGACACCACCGCTCTTGTCTTCGTTTGGATTTGCAAAGCCTGTTCAACCAGTAGCCACGAGCTCAGCGGCTGCCAATGCCCCACTTCCTGCAGGATTCCCACCTCCGATCAAGCCTTATGGACCCAGTCTGATGGGGCCGCCTGTCCTTCCCAGCGGGAGCCCATTCGGGCAGCCGGCGGTAGCGCCTGCGTCAAAGCCTTTGGGAGCCCCTGCTCCTCTGTTTGGTCAGGCGCTCCCAACAGCACAGAAAATCGTGCCTCCACAGCCGCCAAAAGCTGAAGAAACCCTTGAAGAAGGGATTCAGAAGGAGTGCGCTTATCTGGTTGCTGGGTTAGCCAAGGAATTGGAAAGTGTGGGTGGATTGATTTCGTCACTGCACGAGAATGATTGCTGAAATGCGACGCATCATGTAGCTACGCCTTCTTGCGCAAGAGGCAAGCAAAAAGAGGGAGGAGCTTAACCAGCTGAAATCTGCTCCTTCGTCTGGTAAAGGTGCCAGCGTTACTTTCGATGATGTCTCTATGCTTGGGAAATCGTTGAAAGCTACGATGAAAGAGATTACCGAATTGGAAAATATGAGGGAATCGTTGAAAACTTCAATCCGAGAAGTGCAGAGTAATATGTTGAAAGGTTCGGCTCTTAATTATTTGCTTGTCAGCGAATTGTTCACCTTTGGCCTCTTTAGCGAAAACGAGGAAGGAGGAGATTATTCGGTTCGACAAGGCGAAGTCGGATGTCGAATTTACCAAGATGCTAAAGACCAGATCTCTTGGTCCAGAGTATGTGGAGTCTCAGACTCAATTAAGACGCGACATCCGGGTATGTTGTTTGGGTTTCAGGCTTTTGATGGAGATCTAAATTTACTCATAGGCCATGAAAGAATTGATTGAGAAGCTGGAAGGTCACTTGCAATCGTCGAAAAGAAGGCTCAACCAGCTTAGAACAGGGAAGCCAGGAATCAAGTCAGTCCATCTCTCTATGTTGATCTCAATCCTCCATACTGAACATCCACATGGGGCATCAGTCCACCTTCCTTGGACACCATCAACAGGACGTTCCGAAACATTGATATCACTGTTGAACAACAGACTTCTGATGTCAACAATCTTGCTGCTAGGATCGCACAGTTGGATCTCCAGGGGAACCTTGGATCACCCATCCGCGACAATCGCTTGCCGGATGATGTTTCGAGACGCCCTTTGAATGTAACGCCACACGTCGCATCTTCAACGGCAGCAGCTCTCAATGCGGAGCGCTCAGCGCATAGGCTCAAAGAGGCTCTGCTTAGAGTCCGGAAGGAGCCCTTGTTGAATGTCACGGCGGCCAGCGCGCCACCTGCTCCGCGGAGCTTCGAGACTCCGAAGAAGACAACTGGGACGAAAGACTTTGATGCGTCATTCAGCCTCAGCGATTTTGAGAAACCTCTGCCTGCGCTTTCACTCCCAACGGAATTTCCCCCATTCTCAATCGACCCACACGCGTCTTTATCGTCTGGTTCGTCAAGGAATCGAACGAACTGGAAAAGTCGACACCATCATGAGCATCCCCAGATTCCTGCGAAGTCCGGAGGTGTAGGAACATCAGCTGTCCCTCCTGCGTTTGATTGGGGGCCATTACCTGGTGTCAAGCCGATGACAATTTTGCCTATGGACGTTAGAAATCATTTACGGTAACAGTTGTATACGCTTAACGTTGTTCACGTCTTCATACATTGTGTACATTTGCCATGTTGGTCATGATTTGTGGTTGTGATACGTGTAAATCGTTATGTATCCTTGTGGTTGACAATGACTACTTATTGTCCTGAGGTTGCATGTCAGAGTGTCAACTCGCAGTTTTCTCGTCATTCTCTGTTCCAGCTGATTCTTCTCCATCAGAGAATTGACCATCTTCCTGCTCGTGCAACTTCCCGTTGATGCCGTTGGGTTCGGCTCCGACGCCTGACTCGTTTGTGTGCTCATTCGGATAGTCTATGATCGACTCGAGATGTGCAAGAGCAGCCTGCATGGGAAATGAAGGAATCAAACGGGTGCATAGGTCTAGTACGGCGCATAACGGCTATTATTAATGAAATCGCTGCGCACCCTGCCCACTTCGCTCAACTCCTCGTCTTCGTCCCCAGTGAACGTTTCAAAGCTATTCGAATCGATGAAAGCGTCGTCCCGATCGTCTTCCTCATCCAAAACGCTGGGATGAAGAGATACACAGTATGATAGTGACTCATATATTGCTTCAACTGGTAAGGAGAGATGTGAGTAAGAATTGGAAAGAAGAAATCAATGAGAACATACGAGATGAAGGGTTTTGGGTTTTAATAAAAAGCTCGCGCAAGTTAGGGATCCCATCATTTAGTTCAGGGACTGAAGGGTCATCAAGTTGGCAATAGACTGAGCGCCTTGTTTCGTCAAGAGAGAGAGCGTGGATAGTTATGAAAGGGTATTCGACTTGGAAGCCTCGACCAGTCGAAGATAGAAATACAAGCGCGCTGGGAGGCAAGTTGGTGAGTTCGAAGAATGGATACTACATGACGATGTACCTGTCTATAACATACAACGTCCCCTGGGCCCCGTCCTCAGCAGAAAAGTCTTCAACAGGGGGAGTGAGAATAGCGGATACATTCTCCTCTTTGTGGCGCAGAACCGACGGTATGTCACTAAACGATGCGGGCGTAGATACAGTGATCTGTGCATGCTCCTCCGGTGAGATATAAGGAGGCAAAGAGGAGATCAGAGTAATGGGAGGCATTTTAGATCGCACGGCAGAGCTTGCAGAGCAGAAACGGAGAACTGGCCACATATCTACGCGAGACACACGTGATGCATTATATACACACGTCTTTGTCTCCAATTATGGACGCGCGGCGGGTGCCTTGACAAGCTGATCGCAACTTGGGTTGCACGAGTCATATAGACGCTGTTCGGCCTCATGATGGGAACCGGTGGGAGTTTGGGAGTGCAGATATATAAACACTCACAATGAGTCTGCTGTGTTCCTCGTTCAACCTCCTTATCATCACCCATGGCCACGCCTACAGACCCTCAAGCTGCAGCACTTCTATACCACGTTGTTGCTCAGATGCAGCAGAATGTAGATTTCCTTGTCTCCCAGAACTATATCTCGTCTGCAGACGCCTCGAACATTATTTCTAGGCTGCCATCTAGTGTTCACGGGGGGGCAGCATCTCCGCGAGGTATATTGTCTTCGTTTTCTGTGCGAAAACGTAGCGTCCCATCGACCCCTGCGCGCGCCAATCAAGCGCGCGCGTTGTGGGCGTATAACCAAGGTGGACAGGTGTGTGTTCATCAATATTAGCAAAACACTGTCGTGATCGGTATCTGATCGTTAATGGCGTCGTTAGGACCCGAGTGATCTCTCGTTTTCTGAAGGGGACATTATAGAAATTGTTTCTGAGACCAACGCAGATTGGTGGACTGGAAGGGTGAACGGCAAGGAGGGATTATTTCCCTCTAACCACGTCGAAAAAATCGCCGTAAACTCCCCCGCGCCGCCATATAACGTGCAGTCTGCCGTTGGCGCTAACCATGCATTTGAGAAGCCTGTATATAAGCCTTTCATGGCCGCGCACCACGGGATCGACCAGCCTCCTCCGCCTAACGGCTCGACGAACTCAATTGGTCTGCAACAAGCGGCGGGACAAGAAGAAAAAAAGGCCAAATACGGCGCGCTCAAGAACACAGTAAGTCCGCCAGCATAGCAGTCGCGAACATATGGCTGACCTGCTTTTCGTACAGATGGCACACTCCGCTGCCGCTGGCTTGGGCGCGGGAGCAGGTAAATCTCTTTCTCACATCTTCCAATATATACTGATGCACCCTCATCGCAACCTAGGTATGGCACTCGGCGGGGGGCTTGTACGCAAGATTTTGTGAAGCGTGGTGCGAATGCTGGCGGGACCATCTTACTGCTGAAGCCCAGGTCACATTCTAACTTATTGTCTATACCCAATGTTGTGTCGTTTCCAGTGTATTGGTTAACACATAAATCTTGTGTCATTCGTCAGAAAGTTGCAAATCCGACTGAGATATCGGTTTTCGATTCGGGGCTACAGACTAGTGCTGACTAACACCGGATCACCCTAACCCTCTAGCGGGACTGCATCATGCTTGGCTACAAACAACACTTTTTAGTCGCTAATCCTTGCGACGAGCTCTACGACTTCACGAATTCGAGGCAGTGCCAGAGCGCACAGGCCGCATAACATAGCCAAGTCATAGCCATCGCTTTGATATTGTACACAGCCTCCTTCGCATATATCATCAGACTCTCGCACACATCCGACTGGTGTTGTCTACCACACTTCTCCTGAAACCCTATCTTGATTCGGCCAAACACCTCACAGACATTCGAGGATAAACAACACGCATAACCCATCGGTCTCAAGCCTCATCCAGTTTTGATAGCATGTCGTTTTTGGATAAACTGAAGGACGGCGTATCGAGGGTGCTTCCGGACAAGAACTCCAGCCAACCCATGTCGACGTCGGTGTCAGGAGGAATTGGGAATGGGCGCGGCGCAATGGGTTTTGAAGACGATGTACGTGCCACCTTTTCTTGTTCATCTCCGTGTTCGGGTTCTATCTGGTTTCATCGATGCGCAGCCCATCCTGAGCGCGAGGAGAAGTTGCAACTGTGTTACGTAATGCTCTTCTACCTCGACGTTCATGGACACGGCGGGAGCACTTGTGTTCATCCTCTTTGTTCCGCTGCTATGGATGATATGGATTGTGGTTCATTTGTTTCTCCTTCGATTGGCAGTGGTTCTTATGATCGACTAATGTTTTCTCGTCTGGTGTGACAGATGATCGTCTCAAAGCCGGCAATAATATTCCACACGTCACAAATATTCTTCAACTTCCTTGCAATGTGCTGTTTTGCTAGTGTTGCTGCTTTCCAGGCGCGTTGGGGTGTTGGACCATGTGTGTCATCTGACTGCTTTCTGTCGATGTGTTGCTCACTATATCACGAAAATCTCAACAGCTGGGCTGTCAGGATTTGCTCTCTTTGTGTCCATATCCGGCATGCTCCTTTCCACATTCATGCTATTGGTTCCAGTCGTATACGAAAAATATGACAAACTCATACGGCTGGCCCGGGCGTTGAAAGAAATTCGCGTTGGCTTCATTCTTGTCGGGGCAGGCACCGCCTTCAGTCTCCTTATTGCGTACGTGTTTCCCCTGTCTTCTTATTCACTCGAACGTGATGGCTCAGCCTTATACTACCATAGTTTTATTACGACAATCTCCGCGTGGACACAAGCGGGGTGTAAAAAGGCTGCTAATGACCCCAACGCCGACAAAGGCGATGACTTCACGAAAGGTCTGGATGGGTGGTGTAGTACTAAGAAGGCTGGAGCAATCTTCTTCTGGCTAGCTTTTGGTCAGTCATACTCTAGAACCTGATGGTCATTGGCTGACTCCACATAGCGTCTTGGGCTGCTTCACTCGGCCTCGCCATTTATGACTGGAGGTCGGGCAAATCGACGCGACCACGTGATCCTCCCTTTCAACATCCCACCGAGTACGACGAAGGCGGGGATGGCGACGAGGAGTCCGCCTATGACGTGATTCCCCCTCCTCGGCGTCCAACATCGGACAACGCTGCGGGGTCGCCATTCGCGGACACCAATCGCTATTCTGGCACCTCGGCCAGCACCGCTCCTTCTGGAGGATTTAACATGCCTACGCCAGCTCGACATGATAGTCCAATTGCTGCTCAACCGCGACCAAGCATGGATGCTTATGGCGCATTCTCTGATCCCGCGCCGACTGGATTTGGCGCTCCTGCTTCTGCCACAGAAGAACCCCGCATTAGCAGGACCATGCAGTATGCTGACCCATATGCTGCGGTACGCGCGACTGTCGCGGGGGCCGGCAGCGGGCCTCCTAGCTACTCATATCAGGGCTACCAATGATCTGTAGAACACTGCTGATTTGAGAGGTTAAACATCTATTCTAGTGTAGTTGTATGTTTTTTAAACCTAGGAAGATCTCCACAGCTGGACTTTCGCGCTTTCGATATACTCCTTTGCCATCTTTATACTCCTTGACGACTTTTATGTTGTGTACATGCCTTCTTCCATATCTATGACACATTTGTAGTTTGCCTGGTGGGCTGAGACAAGGCAGCTGTGTGTCAAAATTGGCAATTTGAATGTCGCGACGCGTTTGTTTATCCTTGTTTATCCTCCTCATCTTGAACCACGACGAGCCTGTATGCCTCCCTCAGCGCGCAACCCGCCCGCTCAATCTGGAATATTTTCCAGTGTTTTTGGATTCATATCTCGAGAGGTCGAAAATTTTGTGAGCAGTGCAACTGGTGCACCCAGAGCAGAGGTGAGTAGGCCTCATGATTCACAGACCTATTGTTCAAATTTCAAGACATAGGAGTCTTTGAAGTCAAAACCTTCGGCACGACGGCGACGTCGCATTGACAAAACATCGAAGGCTTCCGCTTTGAGAATTCATAAACGGCAGCATGAGGGGAATAGTACTGTCAATCAGAAGAGGAGGGTGAAGGGAGAACGACGGGACCGCAGGAACTCTAGGAATCTGCCCGTTACGATTTCCTCATCCGAGCAGGAATATTCGGATGCATCCCCTTCTCCCTCGCTTAGGAAACGCCCTTCACGAGCACCATCATTGAGAAGGTCGCCGTCACCTCACTACGACGCCACGAACAAACAAGGTGTGTGCAGCTTTTGCCACACGCCCCCTGGGCGTAACGCTTACCTGATTTCAACACCTCCCTAAGCTTCGTCGGTATCAGAACGTCCAGAACTTTCTATGCCACCGGTTCCTCGTGCTTTGCAGCGCTGTCGGTCCGAGACTATGCCAGGGTCATTGTATCCCCGCTCTCCGTCTCTGGAGCCTGAGCATCACATGAATGGAGGGGATGATGCTCATAGGAACTTCCGCTTTGAATCGAACACGTCTCGCCATCGTTCCGGCAATCCTAGCAACACTCGTTCCGCGCTATCCTCTCATATCGAAATGCCTGAGGCCGGTCCCTCCAGCCCGCGGAGCCCCATATCTCGAAATGCAAGCACGAAAAATCCCAGCATTTTGAGATCACCGTCACGTCCTCGCCCTGGCTCGATGATTGACGATGCAGTGCGTAGATTTAGCGACGACGCTGATCCGTCTCTTTTACTTCCATCGGTTCAGTTATCTCCGAATATGCATAGGAATGGTCGTTCCAGGATGGCCAAAGGCAAGGCAAAGGCTATCTCGTTTGAGAGCTCAGACGCAGAGCGGTCACCTGAAAGCTCAAGGTCCGCATATGACTATTCAGAACCAATCCACGGAGATAGTTCTGGGGAGATTCGAGTGCGTGGCAAGGAACGAGAGTTGATCGCTGTGATAGAAGAACAGAAGGAAAAGGAGCAACACTGGGAAGGTGGCCCAGATACCACACAGATTTACGAGGATAGACTTGATTTTCAAGAGAAGATCAGGCTACTTGAAGAAGAAGTGCGCCAGTTGAGAGAAGAGGTGAGATACCCTTTTCATATTTGTTCACTATCTTATACTTTGCATCAGCTAGCTAAACGGCCGTCAACATCGTCAAATACACATGCAATGCCTCCTCCCCCTCCTCCACCTCCACCGTTTCCCATGACAAGTATTCGTGCGCCCACTTCATCCTCAGCGGATACAGAGAGTTTGTTCGCCAGTGTTCGTGCAAGCCTTAGACATGCACCGACGCCTGTTGAAGCGCCCATCAACTCCGTCGTTTATGGTGGCGCACCGCGGATGAGACGAACCGGCCAACCCACTGTAAATGTTCCATCGGACAAGATGGCTGCATTTTTAACAGAGATGAAGACTGTTCGATTGCGCAAGGTAGGGGGAGGATTGACTGAAGCTCAAGGATCTGGATCTGGAGTGGGCGAGAAGCGTAAGCGGGACGGGTACAGCGCTGAGGAGGTTCAAGCCGTCAAGCGCCGCCAGACAATGGCTCCCGTCGAGATCACAAGACAACACTCATCAGACCTTCTGTCACGATCATTCAGTGGACTTCCTTCCACTCACAGCCTACCTGGTCCTTCATCACTATCTCAATCGCTGCAATCATCCTCTGTTCGCAACTGGCCTTCGGTGACAGGTGATGGGGCTGATCTTGCTACACCTTCGTTGACGTCTGATGGCGACCTCGATGGGGAAAACAGCCTGGAGGAAAGGTTACCGCCTACGCCGCCCATCATCCCTTTGAACGAAATCCGAGGTCCCATCCGTGTGCCCTCCATCAACAAACCTCTTGGCGGGGAGGAGATCTCGGATATCAGCATCTTGTCTTTCAGAAACGAATCATCTACATCTCAACACCACGTAAATCTTCCACGACATACTCAGACTGCATTCGACAAACGCGTCCCAGGCTCTCCCATGCCGGCGGATACACCCAAAAAACCGAACCCACCTGCGCGTACTCGAGCCCAATCAACACCCCATCCGAAGTCCCTGATCGTAGATTCCGATGATGATGATGATGATGATGATGATGATGATGACGGCATCCGTGATGACGCTGATCAGCTTGCGGCGGAAGCCGCGGTTCCTGAGCCTGAGCTGCGACCTTCAGCCAAGGGAAAGAGGAGAGAGAAGGGACGAGCTGCACCTGTGGCCAAGTCTTCACGTATCCCAGTCGCATCTGCCGGTAACAAGACATCATCGAATTCGTCACGCAGCACTGGTGTCACCTCCGCACGAAACGCTTCAAATCAAACTTCTAATAAACGGCAGCGGCGTCGTACACTGGATGAAGAGCTACGGCAGGCTGAAGATGTGTTGCAAGGCGAGGGTTTGAACGGCGTAGACCTCGAGGATGATGAATTGCTAATTGGTGTGGGTTCGCGAAGCAAGAAAAAGGGATTTCTTGCGCATGGCGGTGCTGGCGGACAGCCAGTCTTCATGGGAGTGGGGTATGTTGAGGGTGTAGAAGAGATTGAACCTGAGGAGTGGGTAGAGCCTGTGCGGAGGAAAACAAGGAAGGGGAAGATGGCGAATTAAATTCCGCGGGTTCAATCTGCCAAGATTTATTTTTATTTTTTGATTTGCGTTTGCGTTGAGTGCTCTTGAGCGTCGATGATACCCGTAATCAATCGGCCCCGACCAGTTGGTGGTGCACAGTCGTATCTAAAGTTGTATTTCTGTGTTTTTTAATCTGTCGCGAGACGTTTCCCAAGATTTGTATATTCAGGGACTCTTACAATTCGGATTCAGATGTTTTATTAAAAAAACCACGAAATATCTCGACAAATCAAGGCGGACGAACGGACGAGAACAAGAGCCCGCTCTGTCATGCAACATTACGCAGACTGAGTATGAGCCTATATACACCAAACAGGGGCATAAATATGATCACTGCGATATGGAACACAATATGTTTGATAAGCGGCGTATGTTCGATTTGGTGGTTGACCTAGAGTGTAGTCTGGTGACAACAGATTAACCCTCTCCTCATTCACTCATCTAACAACCACGAGTCACTGAGCAGTTCCCTGGCGGTTGCTCTCTCTTCCGGGACGAGTCGCAGACAACGGCGTAGATATAGCTCGGCTGCTTTTGCGTCCGCACTCCCTGCTTCTAAAAACGATAACTCGTCGAGAAGTCTCCCGAGTGGCCAGGTGGGTTCATTGTGTGTTGTGAAATGCGCGAATGAGCCTGAAGCATAGCAAGTCGGTCAGGGGGCAGTTAAGCGAGAAAAATACCGTGTCGGAATTGACTCACTGTCTTCCTTAAAGAATTTATTCTTGTGATCGCATTTAGATAGAAAGGATGGGTTGAAGGCTGTACCGAGCGCTTCCGTCATCCGTGCTAAATGATCTTCTTCCGCATCCCATTTTGTTCCATTAGCCCCGAAAATAGCCAGCATCCAACCAGTAGCTCTGTGATCTGCGACCAAAAGAATCCCATCTGTGAAAGAGACCCATCACATTATTCGAGTAATGCTACTGACGAGATAGGCAAAATCTCATATATCAGCTGATGCATTCCATGGATATCCCAAAATGACCTCAGGGGCACGTAAAGCGTTTGGCTGAATGCGCTCTTGGAAATGACGATCTGTCCAGTGAGCTGACGAGCTATTAATCTAATATGATAGATAAGGCAAGGAACAAATTACTGACAATGTCCAACATCTGCTATGACAGCCTGAAGATAACCTTCACGGATCAGAGGATCAGTGGACAACGACAATCCTTGAGAGACGACCGGGACAATAGCGGGGGAGATTTTGGTTCCACAGTCATATGATACGGATTGGGTGGCTACTAGCTCATGAGCAATGATTGCGTTGACATCGATCGGGCGGAATAAAATATCATCATGCTTGATGTCTATACATTTAGCTCGGGATAACACCTGTCAAAGAGGAGCTAGAATGTAATTTGGCTGAATGAACAACACCACACTCGTCGTGTAGATATTCGAGGCCACAGAGGACCTGCTTTGCCACTCTTTTGACAATGCTGACTCGCAGTGACGACAATCGCCATCGTCTCCGTTTTTGCGCAAATAATCTAGACTGAAACCAAGGACTTCTGTGACAAGACATAGGTGAGTGCCGTGCGGCCCTTTGAATTCAGATGAGTCATATAAAGCAAGGTTGTGCTTGAAACCATGATGCAAGGGTCGAGCAACCATGATCTTGATCAAAACTTGCAATTCATCCGACCTCTGCTCAGCACCAGATATTGCTTTGGTTGCTTCACATGTCAGGATTTTGAGTGGAACAAAACGATCATCTCTGTGCATCAAGGAACGCCGATTGAGTGATTCTCTTTGAAATGTCCAATGAGGTGACACACTTTTTATCCTTTGCTAGCCAAACACTCGAGTATTGACCCCACCCTGATTTTCGTATAATGCGATAACGACCTTGTTCCAGCGGATGCCCTAGCCTTGCAGGAAAGTAACCGAGATTGTCGGGACCCCCTTCTCGAAGATCTTCCTCGGGAAAGCCGCTCACACTTCCCGCAGAGCTGCTGATAGCACTTCTGTCCACGGATAATGAATGTGACGGCATGATACGTGAAGCTGCGTTCAGGTGTTGTGATCCAACCCTACAGAGAGAACGTTGAACGAGTGGTTGTGCGTCATGGACGAAAGATCGTAAGATCAATATTCGAGAAGCGCGTTCCTGACGGAGTTCTAAAATCGGACATCGAGAAAGCAACCTGGAAGATGGTGCGTAAATCGCCGAAAAATTCAAATGATCCAAATGATTGAGACATTAGTCTCAGGAAGTCCAGCAGTTGAGTACTTTAGGACCTCCTCAAGCAGTCGGCCCCTGCTGAGCTTTGTCTGTCTTCCCTTCAGCCTGTACAGACATCAAGGGATCATCGCATTCAGCATTGTCACGACTGGTATGCACTTCATGGTATAATGTACACACCTGCGGACGGTTCACACCCTTGAGATAACATGCGGACTGTGACATGCATATGTACGACGCGTGAATAGGCTCACTGTGTCGAGATTCGATTGCTCCGCGACGCCTTCTCATAGTGAAGGGAGAGAATAGCAAAATCAATTCATCGATCGATCAGGAAAAAACCTCGCATTCAATCTATGATCCTGATGTCCCTTGAGCATGTCTCTCTGCCTGTGAAATAAGATGTTTCGCTGATATCGTCTTCCGCCTCCTTGCGTAAGTCCGCCTGCGTTCTTCAGCAATGAGGTGATAGTCGAAGACGTCAAGTGACGATGAGTAGGAGACTATTAGACACGGCGAAGGCAAGGACAAAACCTGGCAGAAATGACAGCAGAGACAACCTTCAGAATTGAGATCCACGACCATGCCATCAAGCTCAATAAATATGTCCGGACAAGCCGTGTCAATGCTATGCTTCTGTATTGGTACGAATCAAGGCAGCAGCGACTTCCATTACATCTATAGATTTTATGCTGGTCCCATATTCGTTATGATCTAGGTTGAAAGGGGAGAATTCTATAGGGATATCAGAGCTCTTAAATAAGAGTCACAGAGGTGATGACGGATCTGTAAATTGTGATCAAGTCCTCGCTCCATCCGGCATAGAAACTTGAGAGGTTTGATATCCTATGACGCTCTTGCCATCATTTTCAAGGACGAGACGAACAGATGCAAGTCCAGATAATTGGCCAGGGGCCCAACGCTCGTAAGCAGGCTCTCGTTCATATGCAATCTCAGCAGTGAAGATCTGCAGAATACGAGTCAGGACAGGATGCCAGATCCTTAAATACATCGATGATACCAGAATATCCGATGTCAACCCTTTAATCGGGGACGCTGTGGTCCTAAATCGATGCATGCGATATAAGCTGTCGCCGAGGAGCGCAAAATGATTGTCGGATGTGTTCTAGATGATCGAATCAGAAGTGAGATGGTCTTTGAAATGAGAAAGTCCCCACGTGAAGTTCAGTTTCATATGGCCAGTGCTCGCCGCCTATTGGCACAAGAGATTCCTTCCTCGAGATGGTGGGGTCGAGGAGTCCTTCGAGAGGGTGATCAAAGATATGCTCAACCTCCTCGTCAGACGCTTGAAGCTCATCTAGCAATGATGCATCGTCCAGATACGCCACTACCGGTGTGACCAGTAGCCTATATGGAGAGAGGAACGGCCTGAGCGTGCATACTGTATGTACGTGTGGCGATTCAAGAGGCAGTCTGACTTCCTCATTCGCTTCTCGATACTATGGACGGACGAGAAACCCTTACTTGAAGGGAGATGCATGAGGACTTTTCGACGTACCGCAGTATGTATGGCATCACGATCTGTCTCGTCAACTTTGCCACCGGGGAGAGCAGTCTGACCAGGGTGAGATCGGAGAGACTTTGACCGTGTAGTCAACAGAACTCGCAGCTCGCCTGCCTTGTCGTAAAGAAGGATCAGCACTGACGCTAGTTTGGATGCCGGATAGGTTGTTCTAAAGAGAGACAGCAACGCCCAGCATAGTATGATTCAGCTTGAATGGAAAGAGGACTCGATATTGTATTATATTATACGAACAGATCAACCTGTTCTGGTTGGTGAGATTGCAGTCGTTCAAGGCATGCCCTAGACTGGTCTGAGAGCCCAGTAAGAGTCGCCACAGGTGCTATCGAGTGATCCATAGCGAGCAAGCCAAGCTTAAGTAAGGTGACGCCAGTGAGCGTCAGTGCCAAGACGACTGTTTGTGCTTGTTGTCCAAGAGCTTTTGATCCTAACACGAACAAATCGAAGAATCGCGTCTCGCCCTGTCTCGCCGGACATCCGGCTCCCGACACAACTCGGATGACCAGACTTGCAACGCATGTCTATCCTCTTCAAGAACCTGCGCGTGCATCAGATTTTTGGAGCCAATACTGATGTCGGAAAGACAGTGCTTACTTCGGCTCTGGTTCGCGCTTCCGCGGCCTTGAAAAACCAGGTGTTCTACCTGAAGCCGGTCAGCACCGGGCCTATGCAGGATGCAGACGATGAGTGAGCCTTGTTCTTCCTACAATTTCTGTATGTCACTGATCTGTACATATTGTGTTCAGATATATCTGGCGTCACGCAGGCGCGCGCAAAGAACTCGTTCATACTCAATGTCTTTTCCGCTTTGACGAACCATTGAGTCCGCATTTGGCTGCTAAAATGGCAGCAGAGAAGGATGGCAACGTCGTAAGCTTCTTGAGTCTGTTTTCTTGTCTGATTATGTACTATAGAAATTTAGATCACGATCCCCTCTGACGAAACGTTTGTGACTTCCGTCGCGAGCCATATTCGCCAGTGTGCATCTCAATCGTCTGCAGGCGCACACATGTACGTCGAGACTGCTGGAGGTGAGGAATAACCTCCACAGTGAGTGGCAGGGAGTTTGCACCCCCTCACATGCTCCTAATGATGTCTAATGTCTCGTTCATAGGCGTGCATAGCCCGACGTTGTCTGGCACCACACAACTTGACAGTTACAGGCCGCTCTTCTTGCCCACCATCTTGATCGGAGACTCAAAACTGGGTGGTATCTCCTCGACAATTTCGTCATACGAATCGCTTCTCCTGCGGGGCTATATCGTGGACTCCGTGTTGATATTCAAAGACGAATACTATCGCAACTGGGAGTATCTGGCATCGTACTTTGCCGAACGTGGAGTCAACGTCTCGGCATTTGATCCCCCGCCTCCTCGGGAAACTGATCTGGAAAAGAATTTCGTTTCTACGGAGCAATATTATGGATCTATTGTACCGGGCGACAACGAAGGTGGTTTATTCGAGGTACTCCGCGTTCTCGATGATTGCCATAGTCAACGAATAGCCGAACTAGAATCCATGCCTAGTCGGACCCTCGATACCGTTTGGTGGCCCTTCGTTCAGCATGGCCTAGCCAAACATCCAAAAGACGTCAATGTCATTGACAGCGCGTGGGGTGACTACTTTTCTGTGTATAATGGCCATAAAGGCGCTTCGCAGCTATCCATCCAAGGTGCTACCCACTCTGTCCTGACTCCTCAATTTGATAGCTCGGCATCATGGTGGACGCAAGCCCTCGGGCATGCGCATCCGTCCCTTACACTAGCCGCCGCGCGCGCTGCAGGGCGGTACGGACACGTCATGTTCCCCCAGGCGACGCACCTCCCAGCGCTCAGACTGTCTGAACGCCTCGTCAAGGACGGGCCAGGAAAAGGCTGGGCATCGCGCGCGTTCATCTCTGACGACGGATCTACGGCAATGGAAATCGCGATCAAGATGGCGCTCCGCGCCTGGTCTGTTCGTGAGGGCAGGGACCTGGTGAACACGGACAAGAAGAACTTGGGCATCATTGGCCTCAAAGGTAGCTACCACGGCGACACCATCGGTGCCATGGACGCGTGTGAAGAAGGGGTCTATACGTGCGAATGGCATCAAGCGAAGGGCTACTGGTTTGATACTCCTTCCGTATCAGTGCGTGGAGGGCGGACGGTTATCACGGTCCCCGAAACCATTTCCCAGGAGGGACAAGTGGAGGTTGAATCTATTGCTTGGGCTTACGATGTTGCAAACCGGCTGGAGACCCCCTTGGCCGATTTATATCGGAAACACATCCAAGGGAGCCTGCAAAAATTGCGCGAAAAGGATGGACCGCCATTTGCTGCCCTTGTGCTAGAGCCGCTTGTGCTGGGTGCAGGCGGCATGGTATTCGTTGATCCTCTATTCCAGCGAATCATGATCGATGTCGTCCGCGGCTCCTCGCCCTCACCTACTTCCTCGAACGAATGGTCCGGCCTCCCTGTCATCTTCGACGAAGTCTTTGTCGGCCTCTACCGCCTTGGGCTACAAAGCACCGGACCTCTCCTTGGTGTCAACCCCGACATCTCGGTCAATGCTAAAATCCTCACGGGGGGTCTCGTGCCCCTCGCAGCCACGCTCGCGACGGACTCCATCTTCCAGGCATTCCTGAGCGACAGCAAGATCGATGCCTTGTTGCATGGACACAGCTATTCCGCCCATGCCGTGGGCTGCGAAGTCGCGAACGAGGCACTGAACATCGTGGAAGGACTTGCGGAGGGCGAGGCTTGGAATGAGGCTCGGGAGATGTGGAGGGGCTTGACGCCGGAGAGGGAAGTCGCGAACGTGTGGAGTTTCTGGGATCCTGGCTTCGTCGATGCCGTATCCAACCTTAGTGCGGTCAGCGAAGTGATGACACTGGGTACGGTGTTAGCAATCAAACTCGTGGATCGCCACGGCGGTGAGTGTCATCCATGACATGCATCTGATATCAACGTGCTGAGCATGGGGCGTGTTCAGGATATCAGTCGCACTCGGCAGAGACTGTGCTCAAGTCGTTGAACTCTGCGATTCACGGTAAAGATGGTGGGTCGCCTGCGCCCGGGGGCGCGCAGTTTGGCATGCATTTTCGGACATTGGGTAACGTTGCGTACTTCATGACCAGCTTGAATACCTCGCCCAAAACCATCAGGTCCGTAGAAGATGGCATATGGTCTGTCCTAGAGAAGGCGAGCACGTAGATGTGTCAGAAGTCAAATGAAATCTGAAGTTTGAACCGGGGATTAGAAAGCTGTTGAAAGCTGTGTTTGTGAGTTTGTATTCCCCTGAGAGGAGCTTGCTGGCTGGGATTTAGGAAGATGCTGCAACGTGTCGCTTCGCACGACACCTTGAGCGAGGACGTGCCGATAAAGAAAGGAACGTGACATTGCCAGACACATGCGCGAGTCCGTAGTGGGAAAAGATCTTTTAGGTAGCATCCCATCCCAGCCCCACCGCCGTGTGAACACCGACCGCTTGACCATGTACCGTGTGACCGTGCGCACTCAACCAAGGGGTACGCGAAAGAAGGTACATATATTACTTCGTGAAGGCACGGATAATCTTCGCGGAGATGTGGAGGAAGAAGATGGATGCGATGAAGGACAGCGAGAGGACAAGGACGATGAATGGGTCTCTGTGGGTTTGTTATGTGCAAGGTTGCAGGGATGGGACGACGTCAGTGTTCATGTCGCTCTGGTGAAATGGGATGTATATGACGCACACTCGGAGGCCTGGTGAGTCGTCGGTGTAGAGCTTGAGCATAGTGTTGGAAGACCCGCCGGCACCCGCTGCACGCGATGAGTTTGGCTTTGAAACTTGCGAGGCGCCAGCGCGACGACTACATTCCACAGCGCAATATCGTGACGATGGTCAGTACTCGTCCAAGACGGAGAATGTAGCGAGGGATTTCATAACCAGCACACGTACCGAATCTGTGCACCTGGTGGTTTCGCAACTGCGTTTGCGCCGGCGGTGCGGGGGGTTGCGGGGCGGGCAGAGTCAGAGTCAGACTGCGAAGACATTGTTTGTTTTTTATAAATTCCTGTGCAGAAACACGTCGTAGAAGGAGATGAAAGAGGTGCTTACCATGGTGTGGGCGAAGGTTGGGTTGCTTTGCTGGTCAGTTAGCTGGCATTCCTCGATTGGGGCAGGAAGGACCCCGGGAACTTCATACTGACACGTGGACCTTGAGCGTCGCTGGCTGACTCAGCTCAGCCACGGCGAACTTGACCTTCTCCTGTGTTTGACCTCTATCCTCAGCTTCGACAATGTCTACGACCGTGCTTGTCTCCACTTTCTCGCCTTTTCCGACCCTTGCATTTTCCGCACCATCAGAGACGACAATTGATGAACTTTATGGCGTTTTATCGACACGCTATCCATTCCTCCCTCCAACATCCGACCTATTTCTCGCACCTCACTCTCGAGCCCTCTCAAACGGCTCTTCCACTCTCTCATCACTCCATTCCCCCGATGAAGCACTGGTATCGCTGAGGCTTACGCCTCGCATGCGCGGTGGGAAGGGAGGTTTCGGGTCACAATTGCGTGCAGCTGGTGGACGGATGAGCAGCCAGAAGACGAGTAACAATGACTCGTGCAGAGATCTGAGCGGTCGGAGGCTGAGCACTATCAAGGAGGCAAAGAAGTGCGCCTGTTCTTCTCCACTCGTTGGTTGCAGATCGATTGACCCCTTGCGTTCGCATAGGCTTGCGGAGTACCTTGAGCAAGAACCCGCTCGAAAGAAAGCTGCGTCCGAGGCCCAACGCGCCAAGCTTGAGGCTCTTGAGCGCAAGCTGGGACTTGGCAAGAATGGTGGCCCAAGCGGGAGCGGAGAACCCGAAACACTTGCTGGGAAGAAGCATCGGCTTGATGACACGGAGTATCTCGAGCAGAGCAGAGAAATTGTAGACAACGTCAAGAATGCTGTAGCAGCTGGTCAGATCATTTCTCTCATCACTCTAAATGAAAGTTAACCTCCAAGATTATTGTAGGATTCTTGAAGAAGAAGAAAAAGGCTAAGTTTGCTCAAAGCCCAAACGAAACGTCCCCGAAGGACGTCACAACTATCAAGCCTGTAACAGCATCTTCAACTTCTTCACCAATCCCTCCCGCTGTTGAAGCATCCCCCACTATTGTCTCTGTCTCTGACGTTGCGGCTGTTGGCGCTTAGGGAGGCGTGCTGTATCTGCTATATTATTCTTCTGATGTGGGTTCTGTCAGTAGCTTGTTTGTAAAGATATGACCACTTCGTTGTCTCCGGCAGGTAGATTACACTATTTTTTTTGTTGATATAACTTCACATTGCGCTCGCAATGTGCGTCTTTCTGTCATATTCCCAATAAATGGAGGCTTCCTTGGGTGTTACTGAAGCCCCCTAGGATGGAATCTTCTTATCTGGTCCCAATGTTATTGACTCTTGGCGGATCAGATCTTTGTTATTATTCAAGCCCTCATCCTCACACTTTGAGCGGACAGGTCAATCCAGGACGAGTCATTCTGTTTTCGATACAGAAGCCAGTCCCATCATCTCGTCACAGCTAGTACACACTGACGCGCTGACGGCTGCTTCGAAGTAAACAACATTGATAATTGAGAAAAAACTATGCTACAGAATTATCAGTACGATTTTGTAGCTACGGTCGTTATCTAAGTATGTGGTGCTAGTCAGAATGTGTTGATACAGACTCTAGGCGAACTAATGGAAGCCAGTTGATGACTCCACGCCCATATACAAACGGCCATACCTCCTATACTCTTTGTCCTGCCTCTTCGAATGTCTGAAGCACACTCTGCAATTTTACGATCATCTCATCCCATTCTGCGTCCTCATCAGAAAGCGCGGTGATGGCACCGCCTGCACCGATCGTCCATTCCTCCTCTTCCACATCTTGTGCGTCTTTAGACGCATGTTTGCCGCCATCGTGTCCGCGTGGGGTAGGATAATCATACCGATCGTCGTGTTTGAAACAGCTGCGAATGACGACAGACCAGTCACCTCCGCCACTTACGCACCAGTACCCGAAGACACCTGAATATATGTTCCGTTCATTATCTTCAAGGGTTTGCAAAATTTCCACACTTCGTTTTTTGGGTGCCCCAGTCATACTCCCTATAGGTGCAGGAATGGTATCAGACAGCAACTCGGAAATACGTGACATCCCACTCGCAAAGTACGTACCTGGAGGCAGGCTCCTTCGGAGAACCTCCCATCCTAGTTCGCCCTCAGAGTCCAGATCGGGGCCATCTGCACCCTCGGATAATCTTCCCTCTATGACACTCACGAGCTGCCACACAGTCTCGTATTCCTCTACGCTGCAGAACTGCTTGACCGTGACGTCATCCCCCACGACCCCGTGCAAGTCGTGGCGGATGAGGTCGACGATCATCAGGTTCTCTGCCACTTCTTTGGCGGAGCCCTTCAGCGCCTGTTCAGCAACTTCGCGGGTGATGCCAGGGCCTTTGCGGACTGTCCCTTTGATTGGACGGAGCTGGCACAGAGTGGAGGACGGACGAGAGAAGGAGAGAAAGCGCTCCGGGGACGAAGAGACGAGGGTGGTAGGATGAAGCCGAAGGTAGCCAGCATGTGGGGCGGGATTACGATGCTGAAGGAGCTTGTAGAGGTCCCATGAAGTTGATGAACCGGAGTAGCGTTTCCAAGACGATACGCGGATACGTGTGAGGGCGGTGAGACAGAGCTCATACGAATCGCCAGCAAAAAGATGCTCCTTCGCCAGCGCGATACGAGATTTGTATAAGGCTTTGTCGGGTAGCGTAACACGAGGTGCATCGAGAAAGATGGGTCCCGTGATGGTGTTTGAAGCTTTTTCAGAGCAGCTGTCAGATTGGCTCCTCAATTTCGCAACCGTGTCTCTCAGCCACGCTTCGTCGTTTGCTTTAATTGTTTGAACGTAAGCCTTCCCGGTCAACATGTCCTTGACGACGCTCCGTTCGACGAAAACGAGATTCACATCCGGAGGTCGCCGCTCGGTACTATTGACACAGCCTCGCGATGGTAAATGTACGCCGATTGTGTTGACGCCGATCTCGTAGCCTAGATAACCAACAAGCCCGCCCCAAAAAGGAATTTCGGGGGCACCACCACCTATCTTGCGGCAACGAACAAACGAGGCGATCCAGGACCAGATATCATGGCTTCCCAAAGACTCCAAAGTAGATTTACTTCCTCTGGTAAGGCGCACATGCGCCTCGCCTGCGACGTAGGTTATCCTAGGCGAACCGGCAGTTAAGGAACCAACGATCGAGAATCGGCCTGGTTGAGCAGCCGATTCTAAAATAACAAAAGGTGAGGCTTCGTCACGAGCACCGAGGAGCTCACATAGAGAGGACACGGACATCCTTGGTAGATCTATAACCGAAGTAGCAACTGTCGATGTAGTAGGTCCTCGTGGGGAGCTGGGAGGGGAATGCGGACGCAGGTGAGGCCAAGGCGGACCGACCAGTTGAATGATCTCCGGTTCAAAATGCCGAACCATTCGCGCGAGAGTAGCAAGCCAGACCTGTGCCAGGCACCAGAAGTTGCGGAGCACATCAAGACCACCCCCTGCGGTGCAGATGGATTCCGGATGATATTGGACGGCCCAAAAGGGTTTTGTCCTATGCTTTACGGCCATGACAACTTGTCCGTTTTCAGCACCGTCGTCGGCCCATGCAAGTCGCTCTATCTCGCCATTTTCGGGTAGCTCGACGTGGAGAGAATGATAACGTACAGCACATGCGACCCCAACACCTTGAAAAAGATCAGTCCCATCGTGATGTATTCGTGAGATCTGTCCATGTTTGACAACATGTAGTCTCTTCAAACTGGCCCCAAATTCAATGGCAAGACTCTGGAGTCCTAGGCAGACGCCAAATATTGGGAGCATGATGTCGTCTGAGATTTTCCACAAATGTTTGACTATCCCAATATCTTCCGCATTCTCTGGAGATCCCGGCCCCGGCCCAACGATCACGGCAGAGAAGTAAGGGAGGACACTGGACAGCTGTTCAACAGAGAGAATGTCGTTTTTTATGATATGTACGTGACAGCCGGGAATGGCTTGACGACATAGCGCAGCAAGGCTAACAAAATACTTGAGTTGGTCTGTGCAAGAATCGAGAAAGGAACAAGTACAGACTTGTGAGTGAAGGAATCGTACGAATCAACGAGCAACAAACGAGGCCCGTCACCGATAGGGATATCTAGGCAGCTCATGACAAAATATGTTTAATTTAAGTAGTGCAGGAAAACTTGGAAGCCGATTGAGAAGCCTAAATTCTATAACGTAGCATCCTAAGGAGAGATTACGGCGCAACGATGTTGTTGGAGATGTTCTCTGTCCCTGGTCGGCTCAAGAAGTGTTGGAGTATCAGCGACTGCGAGCAAACCAGATGTTCCCGCCCTCTAAGCTGAGGAGGAAGGAAATGATGACGGCCCTATTTCATTCCCCAAAAGGCGTGGAGGTATATCTCAAGGGATGGAGTGCGGCGAACGCGTAGATGGGAGTCCGCAAAGAGGCAGGGTTGAAGGAGAGGAGGTGGTCAACTGCCAGAGGCAAGCCATGACTCGGCCCGCGGCAGGATTCGGCTTGGCGAATGTCACGCCGTGACGCACGCGTTTTTGGCAAGTGAGAGCGCCGAAGTTGTGTGTTGCGATGGTCCCTATTTTTCCATGCATAAATCTTGGGTGCTTCACATAGAACCCATAGGCATACGTGATCTGCATTGCAGTGTGTGAGCATTGCGACGGCACTGAGTCTCCTTTTAACGAGGTTGAACTTTATGAATAGACAAACATCGCCCTCTCCATGACGTCTATGACATCCCAAGATGCTTTTCGACAGGTATTTTCTTCTCCATAGAACTGACCACCGATCGTTGAGTTTGATCTTTGTTTTCAAGCTGAAAACAATATGCGTGCCTCTGCTGGAACACTCGCTTTTGACACCGACACAAACTCCTCGCGTGCTATCCCTTCTATCTCGTTTAAATGAGATGCTACAGGAATTCCACTTATCAGGCTACACCCTGGAGTCGCCTATGGTCTCGTACGCTATGTTTCCTCTGACATCGATGCTACGTCGAAACCGCCCTTCAGCGATTCCGGACCAAGTCATGGAGAGATTGTTTGACGCGCTCTGCTTGCTGTGCGAAAGCTGGTGGTGGGACTGTGATATCCGTGCATGGGAACAGATCTTCATGCTATGCGGGGCAGTAATTGGAGGCATCGAGAGCAAAGAGAAAATCAGGGCTGACGAAACGAAGGAGGCCGCCGTTCGATGCCTTGTCGCCCTCACGCGGGATCGAGGAGACACTGAAGATCTCACACTATCTTCCACTCACCCTTCTCCCGCCCGCGACATCTTGACTCGGTTGAAAAATCACGCAGAATCTAGTCACTTCATACCCATTCTAGGCCAGACCATAAATTCTTTAATCATCACCGCAGGATCCTCACACACAAATCTTCAAAAGCAATCTCTCCGTGCTTTGCACATCCTAATCACACACTATTCTACCGTCGGATTTGTACCATCCATTCTCCCTGGAGTCGTGAGCGCGATGACACGGATCTCTTTGGGCATCTCATCGTCCAAGGGATGGACCAATGGCGACATAGTTGTCGAAGCACTAGCAGTCATGCAAGAGGTAATCATCAGATCTATTGGTGATGACATCTGTCTAAGGGAAGGTGCGGTGAGGGGCATCGCAGAGTTAGACAACCTTGCCGACCTTTTGAGCGACACGTCAGAAGCTCAAGTCGACAGTAAACCTTTTTCGGTCCATCGAACTTCGACATGGTTGCGCGCTACATCCTCCCAGCTGCTCATGGCTCTCAAGACTCTCACACCCCTTGTATCCCACCCGACGCCGGTTGCATTGCGTGCTTTCTCCGTGTTTTCTATATCCATTCTCGCTGCCACACCACTTTCCATGCCCCAAACACAGCCGCTCCTACTTTCGTTTCTTCTATCTTTATCGCAATCACAGTTGCCATCGGTATCCACATATACTCGACAATCTCTCAGCCGACTTTTTCTTCAACCCTCGGAGATCCGACACTCCCTTCTTCAGACGCTACTACAAACGACGCGTGACAATCTCGCTACCCTCCCTCGGCTGGTGAGTTCCCATTCGGATGCCAAAGTTGAGCATGTCGCAGGTCAAGTCGAAGCTGCATGTCTTCTCGCTATTACCGACACGACCAAGAGTCTGGCTTTGGTTTCTTCTGGGCTCGGAAAACTACTAGGGCCGATGGGAGGTATCGAGAAATGGGGATGGCGTCTATTGTCAGTGTTAGAATTCGACGCACCAGCAGTCACCGTAACAGGCACTTCATCAGCGCAGCTTCTGCTTGAGAATGATCCAGGTGGTTCTGCATCAATGGTCTTCCCGGAGATAACCTTGAAACACATAGCGACACGATCTACGCAAGACGCTTTGGAGCGGATGCTTCGTGCTTTAGGGCAGGCGGCAGGCGGCGAGTGTCTCTATTCCGTGGAGTGGTTTTTAAGCCTAGGTAGGAGCAGAGGAGACTCTAAAGGAGCCGCTTCCCTATGGTGTGCTTGCCGACTTCTAGAGGGCGTTTCTGGTATCTGCCTTTACACTTCTGACGTCGGTGATGGTGTGCAAAGGATTCAGGACCGGCGAGTACGACAAGTCGTTCGTGGAATCGCGAGGAGCATCTCAGACTTGTGGGACGTAGATGATTTTTCGGGCCTTTCTACAGAATTACCGGAAGATTCTCAGGACGAAGTTGCTGTCACTGAGCATATCAAGGGGTTGATCGTCCTGGATCCTTCGCTGCAAGTTGGTACTGCTGGTGTCCCTTCACTTTCTGCATCTGCAGGCCGTTCGACTTCCCAGCCTCAACTGCATAAAGCTCTCTCACTTCACTTGCTCTCCCTCGCGGCTGGTATCATGGAGGCACGGTTCGCACCAATGCTTCTTTATACTCTCTATCCTGTCCTGCACTCCATCGTATCGCTCGATCTCCACTTATCCACTACAGGCTTGGCTGCCCTCAGCTTCATCTCTTCTAGCATGTCTTTTGCCTCGCCAGCCAATCTCCTGCTCTCCAATTTTGATTATGCGCTCGATGCAGTTTCGCGTCGGTTGACTCGTCAAAGGCTTGACCTCGACGCGACAAAGGTTCTCGCTGTCCTCGTGCGCCTTGTGGGCCGCGACGTTGTTCAAAAGGCAGGTGATGTCGTCGAAGAGTGTTTCGATCGGCTAGATGAGTATCACGGTTATAATGTCATCGTGGAAGGCCTTGTCGATGTCCTCGGTGAAGTAGTCAGAGTTATCGAAGAAGACGACGAGACCCATGTCACCCGCGAGGAGGACCTAGTTTCAAGCTCTGTATCGCCTCCAAATAGCGGACGGCTGGAATCTTTCGTGCTTTGGTACACACACAGGCATGACTCGCAGAACGTAGAGGAAGACAAAACTGATTATGGTCCTGCTCCTCGGATGGATTGGGGTGCGGGAAAGGAGGCAGAGAAAGAGGATGCGGATACCAAGACAACTGATCCTAATGCTGAGCCTCCTGCAACTCCTACCCAATCACTGACGAAGCAAATCGTTTCTCGGTCGATGTATTTCATCACTCATGGATCGCCACTCATCCGGGCACGAATTCTTACCTTACTGAGTTCCTCTGTCCCTGTCCTTCCGGAGTCTGCCTTGCTGCCGTCCATCCATCAAGCATGGCCTTTCATTCTAAACAGGCTGGCGGACACGGAGACCTTCGTAGTAAGTGCCGCGGCTATGCTAGTGGAGTCATTATCAACCCATGTCGGATCATTTATGTTTCAACGTATCTGGGACGATGTCTGGCCGCGTTTCAAACTGCTCCTGGGTAAACTCAATGAGGCCGATTCGAAAAGCGCTCTCACGAGGCGGGGAGCGGCTTCTTCTGGGACAGAGTCGGCCTACACGCATTCGCATCGACTATATCGGGCGATCTTGAGAACGATGACAGCGACGGTCAAGAATGTCCAGATGAAGGATGCGGCGACATGGGAGATGCTATTGGCCTTTCGGCGGTTCCTGCACCGCCACGCACACGAGGAGCTGCAAAGTTGCGCCAAAGAATTATACATTGCTATCGCAGAGAAGAATGAAGATGCGGTCTGGTTAGTTCTTTGTTCGACGATGGGTGCCGTGGGCGGTTCGCTGGCATTTTTGACAGAGGAAAAATGGGACATCAAAGGCAATGTAATGCATATTCTGCCATCCGATGCCTTCGACGGCGACGTAGCATAGGCTTCAGAATTGTGATGTAGGTTATCTCTGTAATTTGTATATCACCGGGTCATCATGACGTCTCTTTCACAGCTTCCTGAGTCTAGGAAGACCTCCCACGTTCCAGCCAAATTTCGTGAATCCAACCAACGTACGCGATCCGACTCCCTGAGGACAGCTCGGGCAGTGCTCCGCGGCGTTATTCCCATCTGTCTTGGTATCCACTCCCCTTCCCCGCCGCTAAGCTCAACCAAGGCTCAATCTACGTCTATCTTCGCCAGCTCTGTTCTATGGACATAGTTGTCTAGCTGTGACTGGAAAATTTCAGACTCTACGATGCGACCAGGTAAAGCGTCAACGACATGGGCACCGGGTCGGTCCTGTGGGATCACCGCTTGCAGTTGACATTGCTCAGGCGCTTGTTTGCTACCGTTAGTAAAAGATATTAGTCCGTAAGTATCGTCTATGCTTCAACACCGCTACTTACGTGTTTTGCTCACATAAATATGTCTTCTGCTGCGAGAAGTAGATACAGAGACTTAATACTACTCAACACAATTATCCGAAACCCGTTGTCCGAAACCCGTTGTCCGAAACCCGTTGTCCGAAACCCGTTGTCCGAAACCCGTTGTCCGAAACCCGTTGTCCAGGATGAAAACAGATGCAAGTCAGCTGGCGAAAATTTGTCCACGTTGATCCGGGACCGTAGTTTGGGCACAGCTATGTCATAAAATTCGTATAACACCCTTGGCTGTCCACCCATACCAGTACAGGTATCGTACACGGGGATCAACAAGATTCCATTCCACATGTAAAATTTTCATTGTTGCAAATGCGGTCCTACTGGCGCCGGGTTAGCTGATATCTTCGGCCTTCCTAATGCTAGGTTCCTTTTCCGCAGCTCGCACGACCATTCGAGTAACGTCAGCAACATCGATTGCATCAATTTGTATCAGAGGCTTGTTCCTAAATGAACAGGCCAATGCATCAGGTGTCCTCATACCTGGCGGGCAAGATCCATTTCACTAATTTGACATAGCTTCAAGTCCTCGCGACCATTTTACCGGTCATATTAGTGCTCCCAAAGACAGCTAGTGTGAGTGGCCAACTGAGCCCGATGCCCTATTACACAAATCTTAGCAAGGTGCCAGGATTTGGGCTAAGATCTACAAACAAAGAGTATGATCAATGAACATGTCCGGCCACAGAACAATATAAATACGCGGCGATTTGCTTGCACCACGACATTGCCCTTTTCTCGGCCTCCTCATGTTCAGCATGTATCATCTATCACGACTGTGAGTTCCTTAAGGCTGGTATCCTAGGTTGCTGATTGACACCATTTGAATGTAGAGTACCTGAGGAGCCGTGTTATGACAAGCAGTTCATTCGTACAACCATTCAGCGCTTCATCACCCTTCTGATGAAGATTGAAGCCATAATGGCCCGGCAATGTTGCAGTGAACCCAGCGCAGCTTTGAAAAAAGTGCGGAAAACTATCGACTTGCTGCGTGCCGTCGATGTTTGTATCATGTCCATGGAGGACTTTGCATCTCCGGACATGCAGGAGGTATTACGAACCGGCAAGTTGTACTTCCATGGCGTTTCTCACGCATCTGATCTGGGCTTGTATGTGTGGACTTGCGGTGCGTAGGATGGGCGCACATCAAGGCCAGGATCAGGACCGCAGGGCGCAGAAAGCCAATGACCATACCCCAGACAAAGAATAGACTGACATGTTGTTCCCACCAGTGTCCACTGACGGGATCCCCTGCGCCCCCGGTTCAATCAGTTGAATATACCTCTCTGTTCCATGACAGTTCGACAGGAACGCCCCAAGGCACCTTCTGGTCGGGATCATCCTTGTCTCCGATGCAACCACCCCCTAACCCTCCCCCAGTACAAGCGCTGACAATTCCGTCTTACTCGCGCCCAGCTGCGCATCCAGGGCTGATCATGACAGTGCCTACATTGTCTCGCGGGTTCCCTTGTCGAACAGAAACACCATTTCCCCCGCCTGCGAACCCCCCCTCTCTTATCCCACTTGCTCTCCCGCCCCCTTTCATCCCACTCGCTGCCCCTCCTATGTCCGTCGATGCGAGTTCAAGCAACCACAACCCATATCCTCTTCCTGCTGATGTACCTCCATACCCTCCACCATTGTCTGACTTCTCGGACCCTGGATGGCGCCCAAACCCAAGGCGCCCGCCCACTGGCGACCCTCGTTACCTCATCGACTCATCGCACACCGCCTCGTTATCCTACCCGGACGGATCCGCTCGCATACCCCACCCTCCCAGCAGTTCAGTCCATAGCAGGTCTATGGCGCCTGCTATACCACCGTCCTCGGGCACGCTGTTTTCCGGCAGCGTGGGCTGCAAGAACGCCGACGAAACACCTTTGGAAATCTCTGAGCGCCTCATAGATACCCTTCTCATCGCAGTGAAAGTCATCACCGACTATGGTCCGCGTTGACCCGATTGCTCAATCTACTACTACTAGTGCCTCTGATATCGCATAGAAGCTTGATTCATTTTTCACCATGTTCGTGTTTGTTGGCACCCTTAGCACTCTATACCCACCTGTATTGATACAATATTACATTGCGAGCCGTGGACATACAACTCCCGGCACCGTCGCCTAGATACAAACTTTTGTGTGTCTCGAGATCCGTCTAAGCATCAGCCTCGATGGATTTCAGGATGTACCCCTCCAGACCTCCACAGATCCACAGCTCCTGCACGCTAGCGCCCACAGGCTTGATCTGATACGTCTTCGGCCCGCCCTCGAATCCAGCGACGACGACCTTCCCGTCCGCCATGCCGACCGTGATTTCCAAGCCGCCGTGCACCGTCAGCGCCCCGTCCACGCCCCCGGCGCCGCGCGCGCCGCCCCGCGCGTACGCGCGCGTGAGGTCCGCGACGAGCGCGGGGCTCTCGACGCACACGAGCCCGTTGTTGATCGCGTTCCGCTTGAAGATGTCCCCGAAAGAACCCGCGACGACGAGCGGGACACCCGCCGCCTTGAGCGCCGTTGCGGCCTGCTCGCGCGAGGAGCCCGTGCCGAAGTTGTACCCGGCGACGAGGACGACGCCGCGCTGCACGCCGGGCCCCGCCGCCGCGTGCGTGCGCACGCCCTCGTCCTTCAGGAGCGAGGCGACGAGCCCGGCAAAGGCGGGGTCGTAGTTCTCCATCACGACCTCGGCCTGGCGCGCAAGCGTGATGTCGTCCTGGTACGTGTATTTCCCGGGGTAGATGCCGTCGGTGTTCAGGTTGTCCTGGGGGGCGAAGAGCAGGGTGCCCGCGAACGTCGAGGGGAAGCCGGGCACGAGGGGCTCGCTCGCGGGAGGCGCGGCCGCAGACGCAGACGCAGGCTGCGACTCGGGCGTGGAGACGGAGAACGCCGGCGCCCCCGCGGGCGGGAGCGAGGCGGGGTCCAGCGAGTCCGGGCTGCAGATGTATCCCCTGACGGCGCTCGCGGCAACGACGGCCGGGCTGGCGAGGTATGCCTGCGCATTCGGGTGGCCCATCCGGCCCTTGTAGTTCCTGTTCGTCGCGCTGATGCCCACCTCGCCCTCCTCCAAGAGCCCGGTCCCGAGGCCGATGCAGGGCCCGCAGCCCGCGGGGAGGACCTTCGCGCCGCTCGTGATGAGCGTTTCCCAGTCGCCGAGGCGCTCGCTTTCCTGCTGCACGGCGGAGCTCGCGGCTGCGATGTAGAACTCGACGCCGGGTGCGATCTTGTGGCCGCGCACGACGGCCGCGGCGGCGGCGATGTCTGAGACGCGGGAGTTGGTGCAGCTGACGAGGTAGGCTTTCTGGATCGGGATTTTCGCGGACTCGAGGACGGGCAACGGCGTGGAGACCTTGACGCTATTTGGGCCGGAGACATGTGGGACGAGCGTGGAGAGGTCCAGGATGAGGTGCGAAGCGTATTCCGCGCCCTCGTCGGAGGAGAGGGGTGCGGCCCGGAGAGCGTCGAGTCGACCACGGTTGATACGCGGGTGTTCGGGAGGCGGGGGGATAGAGGCATCGGGGGAAGGGAACGTCCTGCGCTCGATCTTGCTGAGCGCGCTCTCGTACCACCGCAGCGTCACGTCGTCAACGGGGAACAGCCCTGCGAGCGCGCCCCACTCGGTAGTCATGTTCGCGATGGTCAGGCGATCGTCGACGGACAAGGCCGCGATGCCGTCGCCAGTGAACTCGATGGCGGCGTTGAGCACCTCGTCCTGGTTGAACGAGCCGCACAGCGCGACGATCACATCCTTGCCCGTCACCCCAGGTGCGAGCCTGCCGCGCAGCTCGACGTTGACCATGCGGGGGATCTGCCACCACGTCTTCCCCGTTGCCCATATCGCCGCGGCGTCCGTGCGGACGATGGGCGTGCCCACGCACCCGACGCCGCCGTACATGTTGCTGTGGCTGTCCGACGCGACGGTGAGCGTGTACGGAAAGGCATAGCCTTCCTCGACGAGAACCTGGTGCCCGATCCCGCGACCGGCGGGGTAGAAGTCGATGCGGTGCTGGCGGGCGAAGACCTCGATGCCGGCGTACTTGGCGAGGTTCTTCTCCGACTTGTTCTGGACGTCGTGGTCGAGGGTGAACACCGGCTGCGATGGGCTGTGTATGCGCTTTGCGCCGATGGACTTGAACCTGGCGCGCGCACGCTGTTATTGCGAGCGCATGTGTGGTCACTGGAAAAGCGGGACGCACTTGGATATGACGGGGCCTGTGTTGTCGTGGGTCATGACATGTTCAGGGCGGATCATGACATAGTCGCCCGCTTTGACGAGCTTGCCCTCGGGCAGACCCACGGCGTACTTCTGGACGACCTTCTCGATGATCGTCTGAGGGACCCTCGCGCGCTCGGCCGCGGTCGCGAAGTGCCTGTGCGTGTGGTGGCGGGTCCACGGAGCGGCTGACCTCCAGAACAAATGCATGGTTTGGGCGCGCGGCCTTCTTGGAGGGGAGAGGTAGCAGACTGCAGACCGCCCTTCCGCCTTTCAAGTGTGTTCAAATGGAGACGGAGGTGGAACTTGAAGCCTGCGCTCCGAATCTTAAGACCTCCGATAGGCCGACGACTTTTCACCCCTAACCCTAGTTCGGTGTTACAGAGTGCGGCATCCTGTAGCGTACAACACTAGATACAGCCCTCGCGGCATCGTCAACTCAACCCACGGCCAAAAATCGGGCAGCATCATAGCCCGACGCTCCACACTCCACGTCTTGCAGCAGGCACATCTCGAGACCCATTCTCCGCTTCGCTCTTACCGAACCGTTCGGCCAAGACACTCAGACGGGACCGGAACTCGTCCGCGCCGATGTAGGCCCCGCACATGCGGCGGGTGCCCGTGAATGCGGATCGGCCATGGAGGACACGATGATTGTCGACCGCTGTTGACAAGGGGTCATCAGCACGCGAGACAACGCGACATCAGCGAGCGGGCGTACCGACGGCGGTGCCAGGGGCGAGCTGCACCCAGTACTCAGAGTCAGGGCTCGTGAGGAACTTGTTCCACGTCCGCATGGCGTCGTACCACTGGAGCATGCTCCCCGCCGGCACGTCGCGAAGCACACTGCGATCGTCATTGTTCCACCGCACAGACTTCAGCTCGCCGGTGACCGAGTCGTGCCCGAGGACGGGCCGCGTGGCTTGATAGAACGTATCTTCTTCGCCGGCGGCGTGCGCGGGGACGGGGATGGTGGAGAGCAGGTGGTAGACGTCGGGGTGCAGCTCTTTGAGGATCGAGGCGACGTAGAAGCCGTCGACGAGGAGCGTCGCGCCGCCTGTGCCGTCGGTGTGCGAGAGGAGATGGAAGAGCTGGACGCCGCAGGGATCGGTCTGTCGTGTGTGTCAGTATCAAAGAATGCGGGGGTGGAAGATCGGACGCACGAAGTAGGTGTTGTCGGTGTGGGCGCTGAGCGCCATGTTTGTGTATGCAGTGTCTCCGCGCGCGAGGTCTGCCGTGAAGTCCCAGAACGCGCCATCTACATCGCGGTGTCAGCGCGCGGCCTGCAGTACAGTCAACACTGATAACTCACAATGCGTTTCTCGGATGAAACCAATGCGTCGTGACAGCTCTTCGGTCGCCTCTGGTGTTTCGGGCACACCAGAGACGAAGCAGAAACCGAACTTATGCTGTTTGACGGAGAAGTGTCAGTCATCAGGCCTTGGGTATGAATCGAGGCTCTCTTACGATTCCGCTCAGCCACTTGTACAAGCCGTGTCCATCTTCCGCCATGACCTCTTCGTACGGGACAGTGGGCGGATCTTGGACGATTCTTGACCCCCAGAGGACCTTTCTGAGAGGATGGAAACATCGGCACGGAAAAACGGCCACCATTGGATAACGTACTCATCTGCTGCCTGTGTCACTGGTGGATCGTACCGATTCTGACGCAGCCATGACCAGGGGTACAGAGATACATGAGGCTGAGATGGGGATGGCCCTTGAGAGAGAACATCATAAATCGAAGGCCGGAATCATATAGAGATGTCGCGCACAGGTCACTTGCAGCCCCTCCGGCTTCGGCTCGACAGACGCGGGCTCTAGATCTGGAGGGATCTGAGTTTTTGATCATTGATCACGACCGCGACCTCAATTCGAATGAGACTGAGCTTGCCTCGAACGTGTCGACCAGGCGCTGCTTCGTCGTCGGGTGGAAGCAGTCGGCACAGCGGCAGTGGTCTCGCAGCCAGATATTGTGACTGGCGGAGGGTAAGGACCTGGGGGACTCAGCGCGTCGAATTATGGGGCTCACAATCTGGACCAATTGGCACCATCCCAGTGGATGAACACCTCCCTCTCGTTTGCGCTGCTGGTCGGGAGCTCGGGATCCCTCGTGGGCGTCTCGGCGATCTCAGGCAAGGGCGGCGGATGAGGTTTTCGGGCTGCCGCGAAGGACGCGGGGCGGACGAATTGGGTGTGATGCCTCTTTTGACATGGTGCGGCGGTGGGCGCGCTCTGGGAGTGGATTCGGTGAGCTGATCTTGGGGGAGGCGAGCTGCACGCACGACGATGCTCTTCTGAGCGGTCAGGGCCTTTTTTACGGCGCTGGAGGCCCTGAGGAAGGGTGCTGAGGTGTTGTGGAGCCTGAGCATGTCGCGGCGGGTGTTTCGAATGTCGGCTGGTGTGGGGTCACCACTGTTCTACCATTTATGGAAAGTATGTACATGATTCGACTTTTCAAAGAGGTTGCGATGAAACTCCCCCATGTATGGGAGTTTGAGGGCAACCGGGACAGAGAGCAGCCTACAATACAGTATTTGGTTGTTGGACACGCACGGCAAGCATCGAGCGTCAACGGGGACGTGTATTGGAAGGAGGAAGCCAGCTGATCGGCAGAGGCCGGATTTCGGCGTCGGAGTGTCGGCCGAGGGGTGACTCGCCCAGCTCAAGAAAAAGTCGAGTTCGCACGTTCTCGTTCTCCACCTCCACCAACAAAAATGGCCTCCTTCGCCGCTCGCTCCTCCCAAGCCCTCCGCGCTGCATCCCGCCGTGCGCCTCGCGTGGCGTCTCAGGTTGCCTCCAAGCCCGCACAGACCGCAGCCTACTCCTTGCTGGCGCGCTCTGCCGCTGCTGCGGCCCCCCGAAGGGCGACTGTCGAGGTCGGTGTTTACGTGGCGATCCAGGTCGCTCCGCTGCAACGAAGTTTGCCTGAGCACTCTTTTTTTCTGTTGTTTTTAGGCTGTCCGTGGTCTGAAGACTCTGGACTTTGCTGGTCACCAAGAGGTCGTCTACGAGCGCAGTGACTGGCCCTTGGCTAAGCTCCAGGACTACTTCAAGAACGACACCCTCGCTCTCATTGGCTATGGCTCTCAGGGTCACGGTCAGGGCCTCAACGCCCGCGACAATGGCTTGAATGTCATCGTTGGTGTTCGGGAGGGCGGCGAGAGCTGGAAGCAGGCACAGGAAGACGGCTGGGTATGTCTACGCGCACACGTCTAAAATTTTGATTCTCATACTGATCCACCGTAGGTGCCTGGCGAGACCCTCTTCTCCATCGAGGAGGCCATCAACCGTGGTTCCATCATCATGAACCTCCTCTCCGACGCCGCCCAGTCGACCACCTGGCCGACCATTGCCCCTCTCATCACCAAGGGCAAGACCCTCTACTTCTCCCACGGTTTCTCCATCGTCTACAAGGAGGACACCCACGTCGTCCCCCCCGCTGATGTCGACGTCATCCTCGTCGCCCCTAAGGGCTCGGGACGCACCGTCCGCACTCTTTTCAAGGAGGGCCGTGGTATCAACTCGTCCATCGCCGTCTGGCAAGACGTCACCGGCAAGGCCAAGGAAAAGGCGACCGCCCTTGGTGTTGGTATCGGGTCTGGATACATGTATGAGACGACGTTCGAGAAGGAGGTGTACTCTGACCTCTACGGCGAGCGTGGTGTGGTGAGTTTTGGACACGCATTTTGCACGCCGAATTTTCGCTGATTCGATTCTTTTAGTTGATGGGTGGTATCCGTAAGTCGAACGTAATTAGCCTTTCGGATAGGGTGCTCATGCATTACCTGTCTTACAGAGGGCATGTTCCTTGCGCAGTACAAAGTCCTCCGCGCCAACGGCCACTCGCCCTCCGAGGCCTTCAATGAGACCGTGGAGGAGGCCACACAGTCCCTCTTCCCCCTCATCGGTGCCAAGGGGTACGTGATCTGTTCTTGCCTACTACTTCGTTCCATTTCGCTCATTTAGCTTTTCCGCCAAACAGCATGGACTATATGTACAACGCATGCTCCACGACCGCGCGTCGCGGCGCGCTCGACTGGGCCCCGATCTTCGAGGCGGCTAACCGCCCCGTGTTCGAGAAGCTCTACGAGAGCGTGAAGAACGGCACGGAGACGCGCAAGTCACTCGAGTTCAACTCGCGCAGCACCTACCGCCAGGACCTCGCGAAGGAGCTCAAGGAGATCGACGACCAGGAGATCTGGCGCGCAGGTTCGTTCGTTCGGCTCTCCTTGTCTGCCTGCTTTAAGGCATCGTCGCGTCTGCATGTGCTGATATCTCGTTCTTCGTTCAGGCAAGACCGTGCGCTCTCTGCGCCCCGACTACAAGCCGTGAGAACCTCGAGCGTGATTGTGGATTTCTTTGGCATCGTAGTTTTCGCGTTCCTTCTTTGTTTGTTGTTGCGACAAAAGCACGCCCGTGCATTGCTTTCTCTTGATAATAATCTCTCTTTTCCGATCTGAACCGTCGTTGCGTGATTCGTGTCATCTGTCATCACAGATTGTTCTATGCCTTGGTCGTTGAATATTGAGCTGAATTGGAATCGCAAATCCTGGTTCGGCTCTCAGAGTTTCGGTATGGCCGTCTAATGATCGTCAATCCGTGCACGCCTGTTGACCCTCGATTCTCATCGTTTGCAGGGACCGTCAGCAGTCTCACGTCAAGAGTGATTGCGCAGGTCTCGATAAGGGAACGTCGTCGCCCGCCTCAGTCAGCATCTGAATCCTGAACGAAACGCTGACGCCGATGCTACTGCAAGTGGCGAACGACAGTTGCGGCTTCTCGCCCAAACATCAGACAGGTGATGGTTGACGACATCTTGCGTTGGCCTGCGCATGCATGCTGCTAATGAGGCATTGGCGCCTGTGTTTTGGACATATATATAAAGAGAGAGGAGGTGCGCACCTACAGAACTGGGTCCGCGCTGCTGAGCATCTCCCTCGACACACGTATTGCACGCTATGGCCTTCAAGACTTTTGCGGTCGCGGGAGCCGGGAACATCGGTGTTTTCCTCGCGGAGGAGCTTTTGAAGCAGAAGGCGGCTGGGAACGCTGAGGAGGTGCTGGTGCTGGGACGTCTGGTGCGCTTGCTCGCTCGATCGATCTTACCACCGATTTGCGCCGCGAAGATTTACGCGCGGGCATCTTGTTCTGTCATAGGGGAGCAACAACGGGGCGCTCGCGAAGCTCGCGAAGGACGGGGCGAAGGTCGTGCTCGTCGATTTTGCGAACACGGCGAAGGTCGCGGCGGCGCTGGAAGGCATCGACGTCGTGCTTTCTGCGATCACGTTCAGCGCGATCGCCGAGGCGCAGGTGCCTCTCGCGGAGGCGGCGAAGCAGGCCGGCGTGAAGCTCTTCCTGCCGTCCGAGTACGGAGAGAAGACGGACACGCTGGAGGGCGGGATACTGCTCCCGAAGAAGCTGTTTCAGGATAAGCTGAGGGCGCTGGGGCTGCCGTTCGCGCTCGTCTACAACGGCCCGTTCCCAGATTTCGTCCTGACGCCGTGAGTAGTGCAGCCGTTTCGTTCGCTCGGTGACAGCGTCGGGGTTTTTTTTTACAAAGGATGTCTGCCTCTTGATGCAGGTTCATCGGGGTGGATTTCGAACATGGGAAGGCGGCTGCTGGGGGGGATGGCAGCAATCCTGTGTCTTGGACGGCGCGTCGCGACGTCGGGGCATATGTGGCATACGTCCTGACACATTTACCCGCCGAACGCCTCAATTGGCGAATTTTCAGGATCGAGGGCGATCGCCAGGTGAGACGACGGCCATGGTTGCACCGCAGAATACATCTGGACCTAATGGCGCTTTATTATCTAGTCCTTCAATGAAGTGTTCGCGGCCTACGAGGCTCGGACTGGGAAGAAGCTGCAAATCACTTACCGATCCGTCGAGGAGCTGGAGGCGGCTCTTAAAGTGAACCCGTATGATTTCGGGACGGTGCTGCAGCTGGGCTGGGCGAGGGGCGAGGGGATCGTGGGGGAGAAGGGCGAGCTCACGAATGCGGAGTTTCCGGGCTGGAAGCCCAAGAAGGCTATCGATGCCATTCTTGGGAATTAGAGACATCGTCGTCTGTCTGTATCAGCGTGGTTGTGAACTGTGATATTTCATGTATCTCACTCAGATGCAGCGTTCCAACAGTGCCCAGGTGAGAGTGTGTATCGCTTGCCCTTGCGACGGAGATATCCTCATTTGACGGCCAGGTTGTAGTTAGAACCGCGACATTTCGTCTTTGAATTTAAATGGTACACAAGTTGCACAAGAACTTCCTCCAACACCATCTGATACTGTGTCACACCATTGACCTTCACCACAGCAATTGACATCCGATCCCCTCAATTTCCCTTCCTCAAGACGTCCACCGAGATGGTACCGAGCGCGCCGCTATCCAAGTTCTGGCCGCTGTACTCGATCATCCACTTGGAGTTCGAGCCGCTGACCGTGAACGTGTTCCTCTTGGTGCCCCAAGGGCAGTCCCAATAGACGTGGCGAATAACCTGCTGGGTAGCCACGTCGACGAGGTCGAACGAGCCCGTGGTGCCTTCTGCCGCATCGGATCTGCCGCAGGCGTTGATCCTGAGCTGCTGGTCCGCCTCTACCACCTTTCCCTCGATGGTACTCTTGTTGACCTCTGTGTCCTTGTCACCTGTAGAGTCACGCACATCAGCGGTATGTCCCGTCAGGAGAAAGCGACGCGTGGAATACCCTCGGCATGGAGCTTTCCCCAGGAGGGGTTGAGATTCTTGATCGAGAACTTTGCCGCGCCGACGTTGCGGATGATGATGATGACCCACTGGGCATAAGCCATGATGATTGAGATGCGGGGTAGGGTTGGCCTTTGGAGGTCTCTGGGTAATCGATGCAGAAAATAGTGAGCATGGGGGCAGGCTTCATAAACCGCGAGCTTAAGGGTGGGCTACGCTACGTGCAGTGGGTTCCATGCATCCTGTTGTTGGGACACGAATGGGCGTACCCCATGGTGATTGTTTCGGTTTCGCGGTGTATGAATATGGAGCCCAGCTGTCCGTGAGTTTCGATCGATCCCCGGTTTACCTCACGAACTAGTTTAGGCAAACACTTTACTTATCTGCAGGACGTGCTCCATGTCACTCCTCTGGGTGCCAAGATAATAGCAGTCCACGGGATACCCAGCGGAACGAACAAAGTGCCAATGTGACGAATTAGGCTCGTCAGGCTATTTTCTTTTCAGATCACAGGTTGCTGATTTTGCTTGTGCTCGAACAGGTCGACGACGATGATCCCCTCTCAGGCGTCGTCATGAATGTTTTCAAGTGATTTTTACTAGCACGACGCACACCAGCGGACATCTGGTGCATTGCAGTACTCTGAGAGCTCGAGCTGTAAAAACAGCGCGACAGACAAACAGGGCACCCCTCGTTTCGTTATCGCTTCCCACAGAGCCGTATTGACTTCCGTGTGGACATGCTCTCGAGTAATTTCATTGCTGAGTTCGACTTCTACATATAACATATCAACCGAAGTGTCAATCCGTCACGGCGCACCATTCCAGTCATCTGACAAGCTGTTTTTTCTGCGGCGAATGTTCCATCGCCTCTCACTCACCCTAGCAGCCCGAACTCATCTCGCTAAAAGACGTAAATTGCTCGAAGTACGAGCGGAGCCCAATGTCTGGCTTGAAACTCCGCGCGGACGAGCTCGCGGGTAGGCACGCGTTCCACCCGCCCTGCCTCCGCAACACCCATCGGCGGCGTATACTATCGTTGTGGGTTCCCGGCACAGAACTGAACATTTTGCTAACGCTCTGTCGCGTCGCGCATCACGTCGCGCTATGCTTGGTGCGCGTACCCACTATCTTGCGCTGCGGCGCCACCTGAACTACCTGGAGGCTGGTGATGTATGTGTGCTCGAAAATGCGTAAAGCATACGCACTGCCTTATTAAACGGTGCTGACCTGCTGCTGCGACTTTCTTTTGCCACTTGCGCATGCTTCTGATCGCTACATTGCGTTCACAGCTGGCGTGCGTGGGTAGTGCAGCACGATCACGCGATGGTATGTTATGGCCTCGAGGATGAAGAGAACTTCTATCATGACATTCCTGCTGCCAAAGAAGCAGCTATCATGCTCGATGCTGCGCGAAATCGCGGTGGGGAGCTTTGTGGAGGTCAGGGCGGAGGTGGAGCCCGCCCTCGTGCCCATGCATGCTCCTCGAGGATGGGAGGAGGAAGTGGGTTCCATTCATCCTGTTCACAGTACAAGAGCAGTCACTGGAATATAAGGCGAACCTGTCCGCAAGTCTCGACCAGTCACCTCTCACGACAAACAGGCCGCATTCCTCTCACTAGTCCTACCCGCTTCAAACGACTTGGAGAGGCTTCAGATCTCGACTCCTATTTTTCTTCGATGGATTATCCGATTGTTACTGTGCGTCATCTCTCTCAACGCTATCGTCCGCGGCGTGGCTCAAGGTGACTACGTTCAGGACGTGCTTCATGGCAGCGTGCGTGCCAAGGTGTCGGCAGCGATTGCCGGCGATACCCTCAACGAAGTCAACAACGATCCTGTACAACGAAATAAACTGGTCAGGCTGTAGTGTTCAGATCCAAGCTCGCTGCATTATGCTGATCTTGCTTGCAACTTAACAGATCGACAATAATAATCTCCTCTCTGGTGTCGTCATGACGTCCGGCAGCCCAGTCATCAGCTCTCGGAAGCTCATCGTCCGCCCAAACATTCTCAATACTACCATTGACAACTCAGCCGGCATACGGACGACCATGGTTGAGGCGGAGTTCAGCAACACGCTCATGGAATCTAACTATACTTCCGTTGCGGTCAAGGTGTCGACCCCTTAGTGAGTGCTTCAAGTTGATGTTATTGGCGCAATGCTTACTAGGCGACCGCTGGTAGCGTTGCTGCTTCGGTGGAATACTCCGAGAGCTCGAGCTACAAGAGTACTGAGACCGAAAAGACGGTGTACTCCTCGTCTTGTTATCGCTTCCCGCAGGGCCGTATTGATTTCAATCGACCTTCCTCGGGCTCAGGCAGCATACTGCTCTCAACTGAATTCACATCTGAGATCAATACCGCTCTCGCCAAATCATCCCTACTTGAGAAGAGGGAAGCCCTCTATAACATATTTAACGAGTATGGTCATGTTTTCCGCAACCAAGTCACGATTGGTGGGGCACTCTCCGCACATACACAGGAAACTTTTTCTAGAAGCGTACGCTCACCTCCAGTTTATCATATCATCCATCAACTGATAGTCAGTTTGCTTGAATAGGAGAACGAGGACGAAGTGAGGCAAGATATCAAAGTTGCTCTGGAGGGCGAGCTGAAAGGCTGGGGTGGCAGCGCCTCGGCTGGCCATGGCAATAGCAAGACGACCATAACTACCAAGCAGGGAAAGAATCTTGTTACCGATTATATTGTCACTGTACGTTCCTCCCGTACAAGCGGTGAAATCTTTGCACCAACTACAACTCTCGTCAGGGTGGGGACTACACGAAGATTCAAAACACTGCCGACTGGATTTCTACTACGAACAGGCCCGAGTACTGGCGAGTCATTGAAGTCACTTCAGTCATTCCTGTGGTCGACTTGCTTCCGGAGCAGCAGAGTAGTCAGGTGAAGAGACTGCTCAAGCCGCTTCTGGGAAAGTAAGCCTTGTCAGAATCTCGTTCATTGCGCCGCTTCCTTACTGCTTACCATAGATGGGTCGACGTAGAGAAAATGCAGGGCTTCGACCACCTACCGATAGCCATCTATCGACCCATCTCTATCCCCTCCGGTTGGTTCTGGCTTGGACACACTGCCGATTCCAAAAAGGCGCTTCTCGTCAAGCCGACTCTGCCAGCCAAAGGCGGTCGCAATTTCGTCCTCAGCGGCGGGCATGCCAATTCCTCTGGTGTATCCACACAGCTCCTTGCCGACCATGCTCACTACCAGTTTCTGGCAACCTACTTTGGCCAGCTGGATTTTACCCAGAATCCGGGGGCCTCCATCCGAGCTTTAAGGCCTGATATTGCACTCCTAGGACAGTACACCATGGTAAGTGGTTACCACCGATGTGGAGCGCACCACGGCTGAAACAAACACGCTGTTAATCAGTATGGCGATTCTATCGACACTGCTGTGTATGTAACGGTAAGTCCAATGCATTTTTTGCGTTTCCACTGCCGCTGTGAACTGGTATCGTAGCGTCCGATCAGTCCATTATCTCCGGAAGACGAAGGTTTGGACTTGCAGTCCACGGTTCGCGTCAAACTCGTCGGAATGGGCAATGTTCCAAAGCCCAAATGGGTCCTCAGGAAGGACGCGGTACTGTTTGACTCCGGCGAGGAGTGATGTTGTTCGCGATTCAGTTGCTGTGCACACGTCAATTTTGTACTCGGTATGATTTCGGTTGCAGAATTTGAACACGAATTGGGCGAAGCGCAGCTTTAGTCGAAGCGGAGCCCTCCAGATCCGCTTTCTTTTCTCTGATACCTGGCTTTAGATGATCACGATGTTTTGCACACTGGGCTCAACCGTCGTCAAGCTCGGAAGCTTTGCCAGTGTCCCCGTTTTGTGCTCGGTACCGAGGTTTTCATTGACCTGCCTCTTTACTATAGGGTGCTTGAAATTCATCATGAACATCTACTACTGGTGATCCGCCGCGCGGAGCTCTTCCTACACGAGTAAAGCCGCTTCGGAGGTCATCCATAATTGGACACCTTCATAAGATCCACTTTCTATCAATACCGCTGAGCTTTTCTCTGGGTCATGAGTCGCCTGTTCCTTGAACAGCTATGCAATAGCTATATTCCTCAAGCAGGAATCACGCTTCGTCAACACTGTACTCAGAATCTTGAAGTGAGCAATACCAACCCTCGCCATTTCCTCCGCATCGACTGAAAGTCTCCGTCTGATAGGTATGTGCCTCTGTCACTGACGCTCTAAAAAATGCTGACAACCTTGTGTCATCGTTGAATATGTCAACTTCATTATGGCTCAGGCCAGCTGATTTTTATAATATAACAGACGACCCATGTATACACAGCAACCCTCTTTCTCTTTCCCTCCACATTCAACCCAAACCCACTATACGATCCTTCAATCAAATTTACGGAATACACCAAATGTCCTCGACGGACTCCGAAATTCGGCACCTCATGGGCATAATCTTGACTGATGCGGTGGAAGCCATGATACAAAGTGCGTTCTATGGCAGGTATCCCGTTTCTAGTTGATGGGCATATAAATTGACCCGGACGTACTCTAGGAATCTTCGTGGCCCTCATTTTCTTCTCGACCCGTACCCTCGTGCGCGCCTTGGCTCACAGCAGTAATAAATGGTATTGATCATGAGCAAGCTAAAGGAATCCAAGACAAGGGCGAACATAGTCATGTTGGCTATAACCCTGTGCATGTTCGCGAACTCGAGCACTGTCTGGGCGGTGGACTTGGCGGGCATGGTCAAAGTGATCACGACCATTCAAGTGATAGACCCGACAAGTCCACCCGAGGGCATGCCCAAGAAATCATCCCACCCGCGCAGTGCTTTGTACGAGGTTACTGAGCTCATGCTCGCGATGAACGTGCGTAATTTGCATGAACCCGTTTGAAGAGATTTTGATCGGAAACTCCATGCTTCCCCAGCTTACTCTCAGCGACTATGTCGTCGGCTATCGGGCATGCGTGTTATGGTAAGGTAAAAGGCACATCAAGATTTTATTTTTGGGTTTTCTGCTAATCAATGGCCCGGGTGAGTACTCAACGAGAGATTATCCATGACTCAAACCATGATTGTGTATGACAGCGGTGTTGGTCATGTTCTCAGGATGCACTGTAGATCTCATTAAAGGCGACGCTCTTTGTGTTGATATGCTGTTTATTGGCTTGGGGATATCTCTGTCGACCAATGTGATTGCTACATCTCTGATCGGGACCACTGCTTGGTGAGTACGCGACAGACGTATCTTCCTTGGTCTCTCAACCACTGCCTTCGTGAGGAGACACAGGCGATTCATCACGGATAAGCTGGGTCAGAACAGCAGGTGAACACAGGTCGAGAAGATCTTGATCATCCTCATATAGTCTAGTCTGCTTTATTGCTTGGTTAGTGTGAGTCTGGGTGGTATATCGAGAGAGAGAAGTGCTATTTGACGTTTCGGCAGGTGATGCTCATCGCATCTCAGGTCATGTACCTTCCTCGTAGCGTTGACTCTTCGAGCCGATTGATGTGGCCGACAAGCACGCATGTTGCGGTGAGCTCTTTCCCTGTTCTCCTCACGCCCTGACATGACAACGCTGAATTTGGCGACCAGGGAATCTATCCTACCGTCATTCTCCTCCTCATCTCCCTCAAGCGCACAATATGGGACGCACTCAGCCTTTCACCTCAAGCTACTCTGTCCGGAATCCGCTATGCGTCTATAGGTGTCACAGAGGAGGCGGAAGATCGGCAGTGCCGGCTTTCCACATCTTGTTGACGTTACGACCTCCTCATCATGAGTACAGTAGCTATCACGTGACTTATCTTTCTGTTTCCTCTTTGGCTTCGGACTCGAGTAGCGGACTGATTATATTTGCGGATGCCGAGACCTGCACACATCAGGGCTCATGGACGTCTTATGTATACGGACCGCTGAGGTGAGCACTCTCGTTACTTACAGAACTAACCTCGTAATGCTTAGTACGTCGCACCTAGTTTTACCGATTCGTTCCCCAGGTATAGATGATTGAACTTTCTTACCGATCCCCTAAGTCCGCTAATCATGTACTACATCTACTGAGTACATACCTATCTTTTTCGGAATTGAGGACGTAGCACTTCACTGGCTACACTACAGAACGATTAAGTGCCATTCTACTATTCCACTACACAGCACAATGACAGCAAAGACTATTTTAACATATCTGCTCGGGCAAAGCAAGGTAAGTAACTACAGTGCAACATGCAAAGAAGTGTCCGAGAGAGTCCTTCGAAGGGCAAAAAAAACACGAGTGCTACTAAAACAGTGGTGAAGGGGGTCCGATTCTGTGTCCGTGTCAAGGTGTCCGTGAAGCAAAGCTCATTCTGTCGTGAAGGTCCGAGTCATGATTGTATTATCCGTTAATCTGCTCATTGTCATTCCGCAGCTCATTTGGTGATGGTGAACTGCGGGCTGAAGTTGCCAGAATCGCCAAAGACTGGACAAGGACAGGGCGGTCAGCATCCGGAAGATCGAAGGCGATCGCAGGACGTGAATACTCACGGACGAGTGAATAGTCGTCTGCAGGATTCACATCGGGAACCGTGACCTCGATCCGCCCAAGGAGGATGTCGAAGCCAGAAGCGAGAGTGACTGCAGAACCGCGACCATGCATCAGCGGCCCATCGCACGCAATCGAGAATCACACGCACCGTTGTTCCAGCTGTACTCGCCCTTCCTCAGCGTGATGCGGCCGTAGCGGTTAGTGATCTGGGCAGGGGGATCTGAGGTGTCCCTGCGTTGATTGAATGCGATGAGCGCCCGACGAGGCGATGCAGACCGGCATTGCGCTTACCAGGTGACATTGTGGCGGTTTCCGACCTTCCACACCGTCCCGGCGTGGGGGTACAGAATAGGGGGGACATAGACGTCCCGCTTGGCCAGAGGGGCGGCGGCCACGAGCGAGACGAGAGTTGCGATGAAGACGAGGAAGAAGTTGATGAGGGAGTTCGTAAGCTTCATGATGAGTATTATTAGAGAAGTCGCGGGGGATGCGATTCGAGTGGATACGATTCTGTGAGGGCGTCGAGGGGCAGAAAACCTGGAGTGAGTGGCGCAGGCCAGCGGCTTTTATAGCGCGAGCAGCGGCCGGTGGATCGAAGCCGGATGAAACTGGCGGGCGTTCTGGAAAGAGTCACCGGGCTGTCCACTCACAAAGCAAGCGCTCGACCGATCGGTCCGGACACCGCCGCTCCGGCCCTCTCCGACACTGTCTCCATTTGCGGTGCTCTCGGTGGGCCCCAGAACGTTTCAACCGTCTATGAACAGTTTCACACTCGGCGTGGCGAGGCCTCAATGATATGCGAGGCTATGTCCCCAGCCGAGAGGCTTGTGTCATGGCAGACGCTCATCCCGATTCCCTATCCCCCATTGCGACGACGTCCGAACATGTTAGCAAACATGGAGCATTCATGATACCTGCATCATCAAGAGGGACACTAGAGTGCATTTGGAAAACTCTCAGCATGCTATGTAGCACCAGGCTCGTAACCGACGCATATCAGTCATCGCACTTTACTCCGACCCCAACTTTGTGGGTGCGAGAGCTGCGAGGCATCTCGGCCTTGAAACGGACCGCGTAGCTCCTGTTCACCACCCTCACAAGCCCGACTTATACTCCTCGACGCGCACATACTGGACCGAGAGCGCGATCACGCAGAGAACGGGCCCAATGAGGAGATTGCCGGCGAGGAGGCCGGCGATGACGGTGCCCCACTTGTAAGTGCGATGGACAAGATCCGACCGCTCGCCCGAAGCAGCAACAGCAGCGTCCTCCGCAGCGCAATTTACTGAGGACGTTGAAGAAGAGGAGAACAAAGGTGAGTGACGATACAGATGAAGACAACTTCGACAAGTCATTCAACGGACTTGGCCACATGCACGCCGCGCATCGTAGGTGTCTGGCAGGTTTCCGTGCATATTTATAACTCGACCGAGTAGGCCTGGAAGAGATCGAAGCAGGCATTGTCAACATCCCTGCTAGAGAGTATCTGTATGTAGTCAGCTCGCCTGTCCCAACCTGTTTGCTTAAGTCTGCGATGCAACAACCACCCGACGTTGCATGAAGCTAACTTACCTCCTATAGGAACCGACCGCATGGCCTACGATCATGACACCCGATTCCGAACCGCCCTACACTGGATTAAGTGCTGTAACAATACCGTCGGGCTCAGTGAATGTCACCTTCAACCGAAGGCAGCTTTCCCCTCTCCACATCATTGTAAAATAAACAGAAAACGACGAGTCCATCAAAACGACAAGTCCATCAAAACGACAAGTCTATCACACGACTTACTCGAAGCTAGACACCTCGCGGAGCATATCGGCGGAACATTCACAACAATAAATATTCCGTTGCAATCATTGTCTACAGGCGATTTCGAAATCGTTTGTATGACATGCCTGAGTCGATGACACTGGTCAATGGGGATAAATTTTCGTCACGAATGAGTCGTCCACCGTCGCTCATCTCTGTATAATATCGTTCGAATCAAGATGACACAACACAATTCAAATCATCACGCACCTACACCCCCCATGTGTTATATCGATCAAATACGCGAATGTTTAGAGGCGCTTTAAAATCCAAGCTGGCCAAATCCTCACTCGCAATCATATTGTCAGCAATCACGAGGTTGACACTATCACAGAGAAACGTCTTCACGGCGAAAGTGTATACGGGGATTCTCAAAACGCGTCCTTGTCTCGCCCTTCAGTGAAAGACGGCGCTCACCTACTTCCGCAACCCTCTATCGTTTAATGCTCAGGGCCAATAGCTATTCATCAGATAGGAAACTCAAGCCTCGCGTAATTCTTCACCGGGCGCTCACTTGATAGGATTGAGAAACAACGTCTGAGAATGTTTCTCTTGCTATTGAAGGACAGGCTAAAAGCAGAGGACCCTCATTCAGAGAATTCGGGTGAGATTTATCCACAAAGAAGTGAGGTGGATAGAGTGTTGCCGTCATGTACCCTCGGGCCTCGTAGTCACTCTAAGTTTGACGGAGGTGAATACCCCATGCGTGGAATTCAGCATTTCGGTAGTCGATCAACGTACCTCCAGTAGCACTTCACACAAATTCTGTCCACCAACGGAGATGATGGTGAGACAACAAGAACCGAAAGTCCATGGCGGTGAATGGTCATAAACAAGTTGAGAACAGTCGGGACCCGGGAAGCCTTGATGACGTGGACAGATGATCTTATCTGATATTACCATGACGCACGATGTCCCTTCCCTTTCCACTCTCACTCAGGTCTCAAAACTCATTGAAAGATGTCATATCTATCCACATACCTTAGCCGCTCGAGTAAAATCCTACGAGACGGCACATCTCGAAGTCGGTAGTGCACACAGCTTTCTCGTAGACACAGTCACTGACATGCCGAAACCCTCTCCTGCCAGTCCTGCGCATGCAAGGCGCAGAGGCGCCCTCACGCGCGCCGCTCACGCTTTACACTCTCAACTCGCGGGAGGACCTTTCGCACTACGCCACGGGATGCGACGCAGACATCGGAGGCACTTCGTCGGTGCACCTCGACCTCGACGAGGACCCTGCGCACAACACGTCCATCGGCAAACCGGCGACAGCTAAGTTCTGGGGCGACATGCGGCTAGGCGTCAAGGCGGGACTGGAGGGAAAACTTCGGGGTGGATACGCAGGGTTCCGCAACAGGGTGAGCGGTGCTTCCCAGCTCTCGACACACGCCATTGACTAGACTATTTCATAACAGCACCGTCCGACGCTCTTTGGAGAACTCACGGATGATGTTTCACAACATCACTACCTCGCCTTGCGGCTGCGCGTCGCCGGGCATCCACGCACCCGCAACTCCTATTTCGTCAACATCCAGACGGACGGGCCCATCACATCCGACCTCTGGCAGCACCGCCTCTACTTTTCGCGCACCGACGGTGGTTGGGAGGACATATTCGTACGTCTCGTGCCCCTGTTTCTCTACCCGCGCGCATTTTCACCGTGTTTTTCCGCTGCGCAACGTTTTCCTGTGCTGCAGGTCCCTTTCAACGCGTTCGTGCTGACCAACACGGGCGAGATCGCCTCCGACCAGATCTCCATGTTGCGTGAACGCATACGCACCATCGGTATCTCGCTATTAGGTGGCAACTCGGGCGTCGAGGGACCTTATGAGCTGGGCATCGATGAGATACGTGCGGTCAATGAGGAAGATGTAACAGTCCTGCCAAGTAGGTGCCTTGATCCCCCGCACTCGCGTTCAGCGCTGATTTGGCCGGCAGAGATTGAGCCTAGTACAGAGGGAGAGGGGGAGCGAGGCCCCTTGTGAGCTCTTAGGAAAAGCTGAGGGTTCCCTCCTTGTCCGATCCGTATACACCGTTTGTGTTTCCGTTTGACAGTCGACATTTGACATTCACATCGAAATGGACGACACGCTGTCGGCTTGGTGCGAGAGCACGTACGTTTCTGCGTCTTTGATTCCCGACGAATCATTGAATGTGTCAAACTTATGAGCTGCTTATGCAGAGCCGCACTAATCTTGCATTATCGGGGCTGTCTCTCAGCTCACATCTGAATTTATTGACCGAGGTATGTGACTTCTCAGGAATGGCCAGGGTCATCATCTTCCATGCTACCGCGATGCGGAGTGGCATTGGTGTAATCGATTTAGTCCGTTGTGCCGTCTACCATTTTTATAGCGGCATTGGGTCTACGAGCAGGATGTGCTCAGATCAAGGAACACAAAAGCGTGAACTAGGAATGGTCGCATAAACTCCACAAAACGCAGAGAGCTATCGAGGCAAGGAACCGCGGTAGAAGGAAGCAAAGCAGTATCTGCACTAGCTTTTAATGTGCAGCATGGACCAAATCACAAAGCATTAGGCCAAGTCCTCTAGTGCTATGAGTATCACGGAATGAACAATCAATGCTTTTGTCCATTCGAAGTCATCTGGTTAGAGGCCTGACGGAGAGCGCATCCTTGTCCCAGCTGCCTCTTTGTCTGAACGTCAGTCGGATAACCCAGCCTCACATTTGAATGTCAGAAGGTTCTTTGGACAGGTCTCGCGGAATGGCCTTCCCTTCGTCCTTTCGCATGCTCTGTAACTTACACATGTTTGCTCGAAGCTGTTTTCACGTCTCTCGTATTGTAAATCGGCCTGCCTTCTCGGAGGATGGGTGTCTTGCAATATCATAATGACTTTCCCTTATGGTGACAGTCCGCATGCAGCTACATGAAATTGGGATATCCAATTGGTGTCCGTTGAACAACGCGTGCTCCGAGGCCTGCAGCCGGTATACTACTACAGGTATAAAAGCTATCAGAAGGCCGGACAGGAGAAAGAACACAACCGTTTAGCCTGAGATGCTATAAAGTTATGGGGAAGGGCAGCGAGTTCAAAAGGCAATGGTAGGTTCATCGTGATTGGCTAGAAGTGGCAATCAATTTGAACGTGGAGGCCCTGCCAATGGGGATCAACCGTGTCCATTGAGCGAGGTACTTTGCGGGCGCTCGGACTCGAAACAACGGCAGTACTGAGAGCCAATCAGGCTGGGGAGCTTCTCGTGCAGTGATCTCGGATCGGAGACTAGATAGATATGCGGCCAATAGATATTGATGGCTTTGTGAATATATCTTTGAAACTCCAAGCTCCGGCGGGATGTGGTGTGATGGTTCCGCACACTACATCTTCCAGACATCGCCTGGCAGGGCGCGATACACGAAGATGGCGTCGCTACAGGAGCATTGAGCACGTCACGGAGGCAGTGGTTCCATTCGCGGCGTAAAGGTCGCGAGACAGACCCGTACAGCAGGACGAGTCACCACAGGCGTAGTGGATCAAGACAGAATGATGGGCGCATATCGACAGACATGAGAGTGATTGGGCTTGACATAGACAGAAGTTGGACAGGAAATCCGCTGTTCCCAGAGTCGTGGAACAGTGGTTGTTCGAGGTGAGATGTTCATCCCAGTGCAAGCAGGCACTGATGGAGATGCGCGCGCATGGATGGAGATCGGAGAGAGCAGTGATGCGTACTGGGTGATGCTGGAAGAGGTACGGGGCTAGAGCACAGGAGCACGAGAGTGATGCACCAATGGCGCCGTGGGTAGCAAGACGCTGGAGCAGCAAGGCACGCGGCGAGGGACCCAAGGACGGCAGCCAGTGGACTTGGAGGCGGAGTGATGAGATCAATTTCCGTCGGCGCAAAGGAGGTGACGAGCCCGGGGATTGCCGAGGGATATTAGGGGATGTGACCGCTTCCGCTCGTTTCGCTGCCCTCCGCACGGATATTAGCCTCCCTCCCTCCCTCCCTCCTCCTCCTCCTTCTCCCCACAAATACCCCCCCCTTTCCTCTTTCTTGCCGTTTTTCACTCAGCAGAAATGTCTAAGGTGCGAGAGCGCACCCGATCGGCCCCTCTGGGTCCCAGATTCGCTCACACGTTGCGTCTATCAGGCTCAGTTTCTGAGGGAGTACAAGCTGGTGGTCGTCGGCGGCGGTGGTCAGTTTTCATGGCCATCGATCTCTCACTCTATGCTTGATGCTGAAGGCGCCATCCACCTCACTCATAGGTGTCGGCAAGTCGGCGTTGACTATCCAGTTCATCCAAAGTCATTTCGTCGACGAGTACGACCCTACCATCGAGGGTACGCAAGTTTCGCGCCTCCCTGGTTCTCATATGTCTTACTCACCTATTCTCTATAGATTCGTATCGGAAGCAGTGCGTCATCGACGACGAAGTCGCGTTGTTGGACGTCTTGGATACGGCTGGCCAAGAAGAATATGGGTAAGCGTCGTTACTGCCGCATCCATCGTTTCTTCCACACTCGCGCCGGCGAAGTTTCGAATTTTTTGTCGTATCTTGGGCTCCTCGGGCTGCCCACCGCGATATGCTCGTCCATCAGTTCCCATGCTCTGTCCTTCGATCAATGCATCATCCCTTGATTGAACATTTTCTGTCTGGATACCCCAGTCTCCCACTCGTCTGCTTTTCCCTCTGTGAACACAGTATTGATATTTCTCGACTCACACAGTGCCATGCGTGAGCAGTACATGCGTACGGGCGAAGGTTTCCTTCTTGTCTACTCGATTACGTCGCGGAACTCTTTCGAGGAAATCAGCACGTTCCACCAGCAGATCCTCCGGGTGAAGGACAAGGACTCCTTCCCGGTCATCGTCGTTGCGAACAAATGCGATCTCGAGTACGAGCGTCAGGTTGGCATGAACGGTACGTGCGGGCCTCTCTTGATCGGGAAGTGACGGGCGCTGATGACGTCCCTGACCTGATCTCACCCTGTGCATTGGCTCCGTTCCTGCGCCCTTCTGCTCGTCGGTCGTAAATGACAGAGGGTCGTGATCTCGCGAAGCACTTTAACTGCCGGTTCATCGAGACGTCCGCCAAGCAGCGCATCAATGTCGACGAGGCGTTCTCGAATCTCGTCCGCGAGATCCGGAGGTACAACAAGGTATGGGTTTGATTCTGATTCTCGTACGTGCGTCACTGATCCTAGTGTGTTACGCCATCACAGGAGCAGCAAACCGGACGTCCCATGCAACCGAATGGACCTGGTGCTCCCGGTGTTTACAACCACCCCGACGGCATGGACCAAGGCTCTGCGGGCTGCTGCTCGGGCTGCGTGGTCGCGTGAGCGTTCCGTGCCCCCGCACACATTTGGCATTGCTATCCTTTACCGCCACTTACCTATCTTCTCTCACCCCTTTTATTGCGGCCTCACATGCCATCCCTGTTCATCGTCTCTCCTTCCCTTATGTTTGTCCCGTCTGCTGCTCTCCGCACGTTCATGTACGTTCCTCGTTGGTTCCCTTATTCTTTCTTGGATTTTCCCTTTCTTTCCTCCGTTTGTCACGTTCGGTATCGGTCCCTCGGCCCTGCTCTGTACGTCCTCCTACATACACGGTTTCGTTCGCCACATCAGTAACCCACGCATGCCTCATGGTCCCTCCACATTCGCATCCCTGTTCCCTATATCTCCTACCTACCTAGGATTTATCGTAAGCCTTGCCGTTGGACACCCTCGCTCACTCCATCTGCGTTTATTTCCGCGTGCACACTCCGTCGAGTCGCGCATATCTGGGTCGGATCAGTGATCGGGACTTGTGAGTACGTTTTTTTATTGGTGTGCCGAGTCCAAGCCAAGCGCGAGCGCCTCGTGTATTTATTTTACGACGTCTTGTGGATTTCGAAGATGGCGTTGTTGGGTTTTGAATCGACGCTCGGCCAGAGACACAGTGACCACACGATCAAATAAATCTTGAATGTATACAGTACCTCCTGAATGTATCTTTCTTCCGCGACACGTCGAGTGCTGTTACATCCACTCTTTGTCATGTTATAGAGTTCTTAGCAAAGTCCCTGACGCGCCCAAACCCACGCCCTAGTCCCACCAACCCCAAAATTGGTAGATAACTTCTGCATTCGAAGATGTTCACATTCCCTCCACCTGAAATCCCTACATATGTTTTATATTAAAGGTAGCGAAATCCAAGAAACGGTTGCTACACTCAGTGCAGGCCAAACATCGCACTACATGCTGAGACCAAGAAAACTAGCGAACGACAGACAATGCAATGAGCGATACAGATGTGCGTGACAATGTGGGATCTCCGTAAGCAACGAATAGAAAGACAACATGCAGATAATCTGCGAACAAAACATGGAAAAACGAAGGTAATAAATAACTACACACCAATACATCGAGTATAGCGTGGAGATGCAGGCACCCAAGATAGTCTCTAGAAACACGACAGATCTTGATAGGATACAACGACTGGACACTGTCCGCCTAGACGCAATCTTCCGCTAGGATGGACGTCCATTGGAAGGCGACGACATCGACGTCGCTGCTTTCCGATAGCTTCCCCTTCCCCTGGCCTTCGTTCAGATGAACCCATACGACCGCGCACTTTCCATGGAGCTTCCCAAACTCGAGCTAGACTCTGTACGCACGCGGCTCGCCAATCTAGGCCCCGACGGCATGACCGCCCTGCCAAACTGCGGCCGAGCGGCCTGCACCTGCCGCATGGTGGCGTACGGGTCCGCCGCGGCGATCGCGCCAACCCGCGCCGCACTCGCCGAGGCGCTGGGCTTGCGAGCGTGCAGGCCCGGCACGCTCTGTGGGGTGGGGAAGTCAGTGGAGCTGACGGACGACTTGCGGGACATGGAGCCTATCGAGCTCGGTGTGCCAGGGCGCAGCACCGACGGAATCGGCCCTGCTCTGCTGTCGACGGAGGACTCCCTCGCCAGGCGCTTGGAGGGTCTGCGCTCTGTGCTCTCAGACATTACACGTGCGCCGTTGGAGGACGCGGCGCCCGCGACGAGAGTCGCGAACCCGATAGATGACAAGCCGCCTATAGACTCCGGTGTCATGGTGGCGATGCGCGCCCGAAGCTCTGAACGAAGCGTCTGGCTCACGGTCGGCTGGCGAGCGAGGGCGGGGGTGATCTCCGATGTCGGGTCAAGGTTCGAGAGCTCGGAGGTGTTGAGCGAACTGCCGCTCTGCGTGCTGACTGGTGAGACGTCGAGGATTGTCGAAAGTCGTAGCCGCGGTGGGAGCTCCGACACGACACTCAGCGATGACGATACGTTCTGGGTACGGTCCGGGTCACGATCAAAGCGCGATGAGGCCATTTCGAGGAGTGAAGGTCGCGGAGAGACCTGCGGGGTTGGACCGGCTGCGGCATCCAGATCGCTCGCAGAGTCAGTTTGGTATGCGGCATGCCTATTAGGTGTAGCTGTCTCATAAAGTGTGTCAGGTGTGAGCGGAGTCCTAGGTGGATGTACCAATGGGGGGACATGATACGTCTTTGTGGGCGGGACACCAACCGCGGTCATAGACACAGAAGCCTGCAGGTACGGTCTTGATGGGGCATCCGCCACCGGAAGGTCTGACGATCGGTTCGAACGTATAGGCGATGGTATGGAAAAGGACCCGTCTGATCTAGTCGGAATCGAGGGGACCATTTCATCCGGCATGTCGAGGGATCTGGAATAATACATGCTGATCAAAGAGAGACTTCGCTGGCTCGAAACTGCTGGCGATTCGTTTGGGGTATCCTGTTCACCTGGAGAGCCTTTCATCAAGATGGGGATGGACAGCACCGGTAGAACTGATGGCGATGGCATTGAAGGTCCTTCAGCGGGTGCTGAAGGGTTGGGCGAAGGGCTGGATGACCGAGGTGAGTCGATATTAGGTGCATATCGATGAACAATGTTTGTGGCTCGTCTGGGTAACCCCCCGGACGGTGTCATGTCTGCAGCGATATTTGACACAGTGCTCGAACGCCTAGAATGAGAGGGGGACTTGCCCTTGCGGGGGGCGGCAGTCAAACCACGAGTTTGTGGTGTTGTTGTTATATGAAGCTGGGGAACGACAACTGGATTCTGTTGAATGAGCGCAGGGGGGAGGGGAGTCAACACATCCTCATCTAGCGTGATATGTGGTGAGATCGCGTGCTGAAGAGATGCGGCGGACACTACTGATATTGAACTTGCGGCACTCAGAGTGTGTGCGTGCCCGAGCCTGGATGGCGGTGCGAGCAAACGCGCGGAAGAAGACGAGCGGGAATGAGAGGTGGCCCAAGGTCTATCATGGGTGAAAGGAAGAGAGGACGACGATATTATAGATGTCCTATCGTATTTGGCAGGAACGCGCCTCAAGCTCTCAAAGCTCTTCTTCGGCGGTGAAAAGTGCTGGGCGCCCCCCAAGAAAAGGGGTCTCAGTGCTGGCTTTTCCACCGGCGATAACCTATTGTCAGGGGACCCGAAGCTTTCAACGTCAGAGCGCGGCGGTGGAGATGAGGATGTCCCGATGGCTGGCCCCAGTACGCGCAAGACGTTGTAAAGAATAATAACGTTTACCACACCTGTGAGCGATGGTCAATTGGGGTCAATTGACTGAAGAGATGCTGAAGCTGACCGAGCAACAGCTCCAAGATGTACGCAAAGGACAAGACTCCGAATGATACATGCACATCAGATATGTCCATGAGCTGGATGATGGACGATGGGACAAGAAACAAGACGAAGGCTACAATCGATCAGTCTGAGGCGCGAGGCATGAACAAAATTACAAGACAGACCAACAGGAAACCTAGGGCTTATATTCAGACAGATTCGCTGAAACGCAATCTTGTACGTACCACAACATGCTCCGCGCAATGGAATTTAGGAATCGTTGGTATCCTTCCACAGAGTCATGAGTAGTCCACCGAGACGGGGCGTCCAAGTTCAGCCTCAGTCCTCCGTTGATAACTAAGGTCCCACGGAGGATTAGGAAAATGAGCGAGTAGATGACCGTCGAAAGGAGCGCGGCAGTGAACATCTGAGAGATGTTCAGTGCTTCTTATCAAGAGGGCTACAATACGGCATACCGGAAGCAGTCGAAGAATTAGCCTCAATGTCGGATAGGACTCTGTGATCGCACACATAGCGCCAGCACTCCCATACACCGGACCTGACTTGATGTTCGAAGCAGACGAGGGCCCTACACCTAATTGGCGCGCGTACGGAGTCAGACGCGAAACGTGCATTATATGAAGCGGGCTATACCAATCGCAATCATTCCTATCAGTCCGAGCATCAGGAAAGCAGCTATTAACCAATTGGGCTGACGGTGTCGGAGAACGAGGGTATTGAAGGTGTGAACACCCATAGCCACGATAAAGTAGGCAGAGCCAAAACCGCCCATCCCGGTCAGGACAGCTGAAGAAGGAGAAAATCGTGAGGGACCCAGATACACCGCTTTCGGTTCGTAAATCGTCAATACCTTGTGCAATGCATAATGTCCCTAAGTTGACGATGAGGTGTCATCGAGACCGTAAGTAGGAGGGCGAAGACTTACCTTGAGTTACCCCGCCGTCCATCAACCAGCGCGCACTCAGAATACCGCTGATACTGCTAAGTAAATAGCTGCCAAGCAAGCACGCTGCAAACTGTCCGAGGTGTGTCTTGAAGAAGAACCCGGACCGAGAGGGCCTTCTGCCTGCCCCATTGTTGAACAAGGAGATGATTATGACCCATACCATATGAAGCAGTACAGCTGAGAGTGCCAGTGTCGAGATTACGGAAATCGCGAAGACAGCCTAGTTTCCATTTGTTGAAACACATACGCAGGGACAGCAGCGTCAGCATTACCTCGGAAGTGCTGTCCGAGGATTAGGAACTTACCCCCACACCCGTGCTTTGTCCCCGCTCGAATGGAATGAGCGGTCCCGTACTCATGACGAACTTGTTGCGACGTTGGTGTAAAGAGAAGACGGAATGAGAAGGGCTGGTCTACAGCAAGAAAGGTGCTGTCCCGGACAGACTTGGAACGAAGTAGCGGAGAGCAAAGGCTATCCCGCGCCTTGTCGTCGATTGGCCGTAAAGGAGGGAGGCTAATGGGAACCAGTCCTGAAAGTAGGAAGACTGAAGAGAGGTGGAGAACCTGAACCGCCTCAAGTTTGCGGCTCTGGGATGGACAGGCGACATCATTCAATTTCCTCGGTTACGTTGAGCTTGTTGATGCGAGTGATTACTTTGATGATGGCCACGTTTCTGCGGCCAATATCCTCGCGTGCTCATAGGCTCCTCATCTGAAATTTGGGAGCAGAATTAGCGACAGACCCGCGACGCTCCTCGTTGACTTATACAAATTATTCGAGCAATCGCTGGAGGCTAGTCGAGTCAAAACTTGAAACTCGTCGTCTTCCGGAAAGCAGTAGCACACTGCGTTTCAATCTGTCAAATCGTTACAATACATTTCCAGTGCAAACTTCACAATACGTAGATACAGGCGAAGGCCAGCCTAGAGACGCCATCTTGGAAAATGTCATGATCTTTTCAGGAAAAACTTGGCGATTCCCTCGCCATCCTTTCCCTTCGTCTTCCCCTCTTTCTTCTTCTTACGCTGCTTCCCAGGGGGTTGATCCTGGATACGCAACCCCTCCGACGACCCTGTATGACTACTATTCCCAGGCTCAACAGCTCGTGACAGGTCCTGTGCAAGATGGAAATCGTCATGCTCCATCCGTAGTCGAGTCAGAGCAATTTCGCGTTCGTCTGGCACATCCTCCTCGAGACGGATCCGCTTGTGACACCTTGGACAAACGTACGGGCTTGATGTGGAATGCTGTTCGTCTAGTTCGCGTCCTACATCGAGAGGCGAGTGTTGTTGTGGTTCTGTCGACGCTCTTCGTTTTCGCTTGATCCCAGCAGCGGAGCCAGTGTCTGAGCGAGAAACAGGCTTGGAAGGGCCAGCTTGGAAAAATCCTTCGATATTCTGTTGTCCGTTCTCTCCGGCCTCTAAGCCTGAGAAGCCTAGAGCGACATTTGTGACGTTAATCGCTGTGTCTTTGTTGTCGCCCATAAGCTCCTTCCAAAGTTTGTCTCCGGCCGCGGCAACGACGTCCACCGTCAAGTCTCGAACGAATGGAAAACCCGCTTGCCGAGAGCGGGAGGTTTCATAACCTGCACAGATGCTAGTGAATGAATACACAGAAGAGTCATTGCCAAGGATATTACCACGCCTGACGTGCAGAACAATAGATTTTGGCCAAATTGAAGAGGATGAACTCCTCGCTTCGTTCAATCGCAAAGCCAATTCCGCGGCTAGAACACGGAGCCAATGTGGACCTTCTGAGATTTTCGTGATTGGTTGAGGAAGGTTCTTGGATGCCATCATACTCTTTGCCATTGGGGGTTTTTCCTTCACTGCATCAATGTTGAGGGGGCCCAAAATAACACAAAAGGGGAACACCCTACCTTCAGTCCTATCTATGCCGCTGGAAGAAGGTTAGGGCCTTGATCATGACATGGTGACGAACAGCGAGTATCTTTTGATGGAGGACGGGCTTACCGGAGAACTTCGTAGACCCAGATAGATTCTTCTCCAAATCTGCCTTGCATCTCATCTGCGTTGTATGCGCTGCGTCAGTTGAAAGCCATTTCGTAACTACCTCCCAGCAACACCGACTGACCTAAACTAATCAATCTACGACACTTTAGGTATGAACCATCTGACTCTCCATTTAAGCAAGATCAATTGCTTACAACAGGCTGTCCACAGTGGAGGCATCATAATGTTCTGCTATCGCTGTCCCGAGCTTACCTCCCAGGAAGCGGATCTGGCGATTGGACAATTAGCTTCATGCTACCGACTAGCAAGGCATAACAAACCTTACCTTTTGAAAAGGCATGGGCTTGAGATAATTGGGTATTGCCGCATTGCGCAGTATGCTCTGCGTCCGCTTTGTGAATTGAACGTAGATACGATCAAAGGCGGAAGCAAACCTGACTATCAAATTTCTTGTACGAGGCTGTGAGCTGCATAAGAATCAATCAGTCCTGGTGGGCGCAAAGTCGACGTCAGACCGTAGTGTAACTCGCCTTGGCCAAAAATTTGTTCCGTGCAATGCCCTGGGCAAATCGGAACACCGATGTCAAGGTTGGAAGGGAACCACAAGCTGCTTGTGTAGACAAACCGCAGAAGTGGTGTATCCCAACTGGTCGCGCACGGCACCCCGTATCTTGTCCATCATCTCAGCACCGATAGATAGGGCCATGTCGTGCCATGTTGTTTGCGTCTCTTCAGTGTCTGTTATCCCCTCGGCAGTTTCTTCCACTTGATCCGAAGCGGATGTTGATGATGGATTTATAGGTATCACTATGCCCTTTCCTTCCCATGATATTGGTGGTGGAGGGGGGAGCACGGTATCTGATCCGTTAGGCGCGTCGGGGGGTACCGTAGCAAGGTAAGGAAATCGCTTAAGCAATTCTTCGCGGATGGGCTGCGTGAAATCAATGAAAGCTTCGTCAATTGAGGCCTTCTCTGCATCCTTCAGTCAGATAAAGAAATCAAGGTAGTAGGATTGTGGCTTCCTCACCTATCTCTCCCCCAGGCAGACCTTCTTTAAAAATACTGATGATCTTGGCACTTTCACGTCGGTAATAATCCAATGAGACCTGAGTGGCATCATGTCTCCAACGTGAAACACCAACATAGGCGAATCTCTCGCTCACCTATCCAAACGTCGACACCATGCCGTCGACTGTCAAGGCTCAAAGATGCAGGAACGCGTACCTTGTGCGTCGTCGTATCCACATTATCCCAGTATCCCGGCTCCTTCTCACCTTCCTTGTAAGTTGCGACGTGCACCACAATCAGCCCCGGGCATTTCTTCACCGCGTCTTTCCACTTGCTCATCCGTGTGATCCCGTATTTTCGCGCTGGATAGTTGACTGCGATAAGCGCCTCCCACTGTCTCACCACCAGCGGGAGCGAAGGGTCGACTCCGAGCCGGCGTTGTTCACAAGCGGCGTAAAATGCATCGCTGTCGCATAGTGCTATCACGCGAAGAGGATCGCGCACGCCGAGGGCCGATGAGAGAAGATGACGGTAGGTTATTGGGGGGTTCAGATCCTCGAACGCCTTGGGTGTGATGGCAGCGGCATTTGTTCGCTTCCACAACGCCGAAGAAGGTTTGGACATCGAGATGAGAGCTGGTCAATAAATCATTAACTTACGAGAGAATAGATGAGGGAGATGACCGCTGTGAGTCTGCTGTGCGGCTGCAAGTCGTGGATCAAAGAGTGAGTATCACGTGAATCGACGCGTCTCAGGCACAGTTTGTTTAGCTGGATTTTGAACGCGACTCTGCTCCCCGGTGACCCCATAGAGTGGGTATTTCTAAGACACCGATATATTATAACCACCAAGATTTTGGAAAAAAACCTCTTCGGTACAATTACAACACAATGCGACTAGAGTACAAAACACAACAAATGAGACCAGATGCTACTTCTTCTGTTCGTTTACCTTCGCCATTACCCTCGCCGCGAACCAATATTCACCAGATTTAACCTCACAGATTCCACATCGAATCACGCGATCTATCTTCCCTCGACTGTAGCCTTTGCACCAGTAGATGCTATGTCTATCTCCAGCAAATCCTGGACAATGAATTTTTGATTAGTTCAGCGGACATGCTCGAAGGGAATTGAACAGTTGAGAACAAACCTTTCCGGCCTTCAGTTCCTCAGGAGTCGGCATCAACCCCAATCGTAGCAGTTCTGACGCCTTTGAGACCACAGGATCGTTCTGCATGCTAAGGCACGACGTCATACAAGGTCACGAAGGAGAGCCCGAGTGGCCTACCTGGCGACAGCGACGGCCTTTCCGCCCTTGAAATAGTACGCGATGAACTTCATCTCGCTAGGGTCTCCCTTGACGTGGATATCATCATACCCGGCGCCGACGCCGCAGTAGCGCAGCTGCTGGCCCTCTAAGCGACGTTATCAGCTGCCAACAGGGTCACAATGGACCACCGACACGAAAGCGACAGAAGGAGATACGCCAACGCACGTGCGCTCCAGAATACGGGCACTTTGACAAACGGCTGTGGGTGTCCTGCAATCGTCTTCCCGACTGCTCGCCCATGATTACCAGCAACCTATGTTAAGCATTTGACCGTATCAAATATTAGATAAGAATGAAGCATATCCGCTGCACGCACATTCCAGTGTTCAATCCTCCTCGGCTCCCCGTCAATCTGTGGATATGTTGCAATGTCTCCCACCGCATAAATATTCTGCTTTCCTATGACCTTCAGATGATCATCTACGCGCACACTCCCGTCTTGCTCGAGCGCCCACCCGCTTGCATGTAAGTAGTCCGTCGCAGGGCGGACGCCGACACCCATGACAATGACGTCCGCCAAAATCACCTCCCCCGATGCGAGGATGACTTCCGCAGCAAGATGGGGTGCAGATGAGGACGCACGAATCGACTGCACAGAAGTTGAAGAGTGCAATATAACACCTTGAGATTCGTGAAACTAGGAATCAAAAGTGAGCAGTGAAGACAGCCCCGCAAAATGATCAAGTTACCTTCTTGAGACCCTTTCCAACTTCTTTCCCTAAGACAGCTTCAAACGGATACTCCTCCATTCCAATAACATGAATGGACTCGAGTTTACGCTTCGAAACAGCGACTACAAGTTCCATGCTGATAAAAGAGCTGCCTATGACAACAAGTTTTTTGCCTTCTTGACATGCTGATGTGTCGCATCGCATCGCATCACATTAGTGCACGCGATAGAGGATGATATTTTGATCCGATGGACGAAGACGACTGACCAGCATCAATCTTTTGAGCATCTTGGATGCTTCTCAGCGTAAATACGTTCTCAAGCGAGGCCCCTTCTACGGGAAGCCGCCGTGGAATTCCACCACTTGCGAGAATCAAAGTTTCGTATGGTATCTGTTCCTTCTCGTCAAGTATCACTTTCTTTGTGGCTTCATCAATAGAGGTGACAGTCTGCCGATGGCAATAATAAGACCAAAAGAATTTCGCGAGTATTTAAGAACCTACTGCGTCCGTTCGAAGAGTGGTATTATATTTGATTTTGAGATCCGCAGGCGTACGCCATTCGATCTTCGAAGCATCAGTAATAAGAGCCTTACTTAGCTTGGTCCTGTCGGTAATGGACTGATTCAGATTCTCGGAGGACAAGTATACAATGAGTATAATATTACCTGTCGATAGGAGCGTGCTTCTCCTTTGATAATACGGTGATCGGACCTCTAAATCCATGCTATGTCGTAGACGCATGTATTAAATGGATTTCCTCGCACAAGTAAAGTCAAATGAGAACCTACTTCTCGCAGACTTTCAATAGCATGAAATGTTGCGGAACCGCCACCAACGATGACCACTCCAGGGCCCCCAACATCGCCACCCGATGTGAGAAGCGTCGGAGGGCGCGACTTCTTCTCCGGCGTCGTCCGAGCAGCGTCGGCCGTTACGTATATCTTACCGTTTGCAATGTGAGCCTTGAACAAATGGAGGGCCTCCGGGGCGGGTGCGTCCTCTATGCAAATTCAAAATGAACTCCATTTCGAGGAATTGTTCTAGGATAGGGGTAAGGACTGTACCGATGTCTCCGGTGCATACGTTGAAGCAGGCTAGACCGCACCTGAGCAAGGCGTCTAGTGCATAGAGAGAGAGGGAACCCTACCTCCGTGCCAAGGGCTACGCGACGGCCATGCTCCGAATGAGAAAAGCTTGGATATGATGAACAGTTGAACACCTCACCAGACAACTCTTCCATCGGCGGTCAGCACGCCTTTGACAAGCGGTGCACCATAATGGGTGCAGAACGCGCTCGTCGCGTGAATCTTATCTCCCAGCCTCGACAACAGAACCTTTCCGGACTCGAACTGAACCTCTTTCCTGGCCGTCCCCGCGTTCTGGTTAGCGCCCACGTGTCGACGAGCCAGAGTTTTGATTCCGTTTTGTCTTACATTTGTCCATCTTGAAGCTCGCTTTCATTCAGCACGGCTAAGGTCTTGACGGACATTGTTCGGAAGGGTGAATTCAGCGATATATGGGAGGAAAGTCGACGAAGTGTGGGGGAAAGAGAGAAGCGGAGCATATGAGAGGAAAGCCCTCGCCCAATCCTGCCCAATCGCAATGATGTTTTTACATCTCGTTATGACGTCACTCCTCGAACCCAAACCTTAGGTTAGGCTAGGTTAGGGCCTCAAGGCCTCATGGTTCAAACAAATACTTCCGATTTCCGATGGGGTATTTCAAGGTGCAACAGGGTATGTTCTGTACTTTATATATACAGTAACAAGTCGTCACACTATCTAAGACAGTACGGCAAATCCGAGGACGATGCAAAGTATAGATGTTGAAGACATTGACGATATCGATGATGGAGCGCCCGAGGAAGGTCTGACGATATCACCAAGCTTATGTCAAACTCGCAGGGAGGAGCATCTATAGAAGATAGACGTACGTGGGACTGGAAGCCGTGCTCGATCCGGCTGCCGAAGTGGAAGACACACGGTTTGGATTCCCCACTTGCCCATTCCCATTGAATGCTCTTGTCGTGTTTGACTGCAACGCCCAAGTGATCCCACCGCCGATATGGGCGAGGAACATTTTATCCTGATTGTCTGTTAGACTTTGCGCAAGCAGAGAATGCCGTCTCAGCTGACCTGCCAAGTCTGATTGAGATGTCCCAAGCTGGTATAGAAGCTTCGTCCTGCAGTTGCGCCGCTCTCGACACCAGCTCCATGTTCTTGATACCAAGCTGCGCGCAATGGCACTGAGAGAAGGTTGAAGAACGGAATCGAGTAAGAACATACCCGTCGGATGTGGGGTGCCTTGATTGAACTTCCGAGGGCCAGGGTCTGCCAGTCAAAAGTCAGAATGCGGAGGTAGAGACAAATAATTATATGATTATTGAGAGAGAAGTGTACATGCCTGTATAGGAGGACTCGTTTGCCGAGAGAACAACCACGGCACCCACCGATCTCGGGTCAGACTTGAAATTGTACCTTGAGGAAGGAACGGAAGGATGACGATACCGATCAATCAGACGGTTCTGGCATCCGGAGCTTGATTGACTCACATTTCGTCTTGGATATGCCATTGAGTAGGCAGCATACTTGTACTGGGATGCGAAGCACCGATCACGTCTACAGTCTTCATGACGAGTCAGTCTACCATATGATGATATGACACACGCCTCAGCATACTTACTGCATTCTGGATCTCGGGGTGGTAGTCAAAAAACGCTCCTTGAATGAGATCACCATGAACACTTTATGATCCCAAGAAGACGCTGGCTCAGACTGACCAACCTCCTGCCCGTAGAATGTAGTGTTCCTTAGACAATCTGACGCCGAGTGAATCGCGACGAAGTTGCCACCGAGATTCAAGTATTTCTGCAGTGCCGCCTTGCCATCATCATCAAGTACTGCAGACAACGAATACAGTCAGTTTGAAACAGTTTCTCTGTAGAATTACAGGTCCAGGGACAGACCTTCGCCTGTATTCATCAAGAACAGGAGTACATCGTAATCTGCCAATCTGGCGTCCGTAAACCACCCTTTGTCCTCCGTCGCATCGAACACCACACTAAGATTGGTGCCCTGCGCAATGAGTGCATCTCGCGCCGTAGGGATCGAGTCGTGTCGAAAGTCTGCAGTCGCGGAGTAAATAAGGCCACGTGCGGATCCTGCTTGTTCCTGTGCGAGGGTGGGCGGCAGATATACTAATTCAAAGAGTGTCCATGCAAGAGAGAAGGAGAAAGAGCGAAGCATCATGACGGGGATAGGATGTCGCAGTAGTACTGGTCGCAAATTTGGTCGTGGCATTACTTAGTGGGGAGCATGGGACTCTCACATTTGCAAATTGTGCCACAGTCCGTACACGAGTCGTGAGCAAAGATGACCTTTGGACACCAGTCGATGGACGCATGACGGCAAGGCGCCGATGTCCTTGCATTATAGGATGAATATATAGTTCATCGTGGGCGAGTGTGGGTAAGCAAAAGTGAAGGTAGTGAGTAGTGCATTTCTATGTATAATGTCGACATTAATGGGGAGTGATGAGCTAACGAAGTAGCAGAGATAAACAAAAACAATGAAAGACACTGATTCCCAAATCGGAATTGACGTGCCTCCGTTCAGCGACCGCGTCGTGAACATGAGATAGCGAACATCGTGCTCATTGCGTCCGACATTCGGGCTCAGCACCGCCCTCGTCATCATCGTCCTCCCATGCTTCTTCATCCGCACCCTCGCCGAACTGCGATGCAAATGCAAATCCTTGATCAAAGAAGTCCGAATCCGCTGGAAACGACCGTGCACGCACTTCGACCATATCACTCTCTTCGTACTCTGCCTCGTCTACCACAGCTGGCTTGGGCTCTACATCTGTCTTCTTCGGGGGAAGAAGCGCTTCAAGAGCCTGTCCGAGGTTGTGACATAAATTGCAGTGCCATTGAATGGCGATGTATATGAAACGTACTGTGCGGTCGATAGTCTTCATCCACTGCTGATCAGGCATCTCGATGTCGAGGATAACGTAGAGATTTCCTCGTTCATCTGGGGTCTTGTAAACCGGCATGCCTTCTCCATGGAGGACGATAGATTGCCTCGGATTGATGACTCGACCCGGTGGGCTCGATACTCGCAATCCCCGCCCGTCCAGATGGTTCACAAGGATGCGATCGAACCCGAGTAGCGCCTCGGAGAGTGTAATTTTGACAGTGGTGGCCAGGTCGTTTCCCGACCGCTCAAACGACTTATGCTGTTGTGCTTTGAGAACAAAAATCACGTCTCCTGCGGGAAGACCAGGCTGTATAGGCGGCACATGAGCACATGTAACATCTTTGTCCTGGAGGATAGATACCCGCACCTCTTGATCACCGGCGCCTGCCATTATAATTCGCTGGCCGTCGGACATACCACGTTCCACAAAGATTTCTTGCCGTGTCTTCTCCTTGACCACCTTATCCCCTTTGCACTTCTTGCACCTGATAGCAACGTCAACCGAGCATAAGGAGCAGGTGAAGAAAGAATAAGCGAGGTATCCTCGCGTACCTATCCTTCTCTCGCAGCTTGTCTCCATGGCCTTCACATTCTGGGCATACCGCCCGGGACGTGCCTAATTGTGAGGGAGCAATTTGAGTTTGCACATATGTCCATCCCTTGCCATCGCACTTCGCGCATTTTTTAGGTTTCGCGCTACCCTTGGCCCCTGACCTGCGGAGCTTTCAACATCACCCTCACGTGCAGGCAGGATTCGACTCACCCCTTACACGTCCCACATTCAACCTCTTTCTCCATCATCATCTTCACACTCTTACCGTTGTACAGGTCCTCAAGCGAGACCTCGTACGGTATCACAGAATCCTGTCCCTTCCTCCGTCTGCCTGGTCCACCCATGCCCCCGAAGTCGAATCCCGTACCGTTGCTGTTGCCGAAGAATTGCGCGAAGAAATCATTTGGATCCATCCCTCCTGCTGGGCCTCCGGGGCCATGACTGCTGATCCCTTCCATTCCATGTGCATCGTATGCAGCCCGTGAGTTTGGGTCACTTAGGAGCTCGTAGCTGCGCACCAGGCCGAGGGGTGAGCCTTGGACAAAAGGCAATAGTATGTGACGCACGCAGCAGCCATCTCCTGAAACTTCTGTATGGCTTCCGGGTCATTTGGGTTCTATACAGGTAGAATTAAGCACATGTTTTTCGAATATATGACTGTACACACCTTATCCTAATGCACGACACAGCAGGTCAGAACATCTTGACATATGAAATGCAAGTGGCGCAGGAGATACTTACCGGGTGGAGATCTTTGGCCTGCACAAATATAAGGACTCAAAGACGCAATATCACAGAGAACTATAAAGACCTTTTTCCGGTACGCCTTCTTGATTTCTCCTACGATAATCACAAGGCGTCAGCACCCGTACTCGGACAGCGCGTATAACCAGCACCTTCGTCGGCTGTTGGGCTGACACCTAAGATATCATATAGGTCTGTTTCGACGGGCACTGAGTGTTAAGACGTTAGGAGCACATATGCATAGCACACAACAAGGACTCAGAATTAAACTGACTTTCGAGTGGAAATGTGGGGGAGACGGAACAACTTCAGCTCGCCGGCGCCACCATGCACGAAAATGGTAATTCTGTCGGAGTTTCAAAATTTGCATACAATAGCCAATCGAGGCATTTTCTGAACGACTCGTCTTCCACCATCTCTTCCCAACTCGAGACATCGTCAACCTAACTTGTGAGTGTACTCTTTTATCTTCAAAGTTATCGTATGATGTTTTCTTTTAACTTATCTACATTGCCTGACTGGACTCTGTTCGGACTTGAAGAAAATCAATTCATCTGACTTTCCGCCTATCATTCACTTTCCCTCGAGACAAGAGCTCACGATCCTTCTTTACAGGACGCTGTTCATGATTGCTAATAGTTGTTTGGAGGGACTGTCAAACAGCATGTCGCCTTCATAGTTCCCTCACCAGAGCGGACGCTAATGTCCTTCCTGTCTACATAGCTACATGCAATGAATTTTTACTTTGAGGCTGCTAAGACGCTCGATCGCCTAAATGCTAAACAAGGCTCCGTGAAGTCAGTTCTCAGCACTTTGCCTGACAAAGACCGCAAGCGCACCGCTGCCCTTGTCATTGAGACGCTCAAGTGTAAGACTCACTGTCGTCGCCGTCGCAGCGTGTGTTTGACCTTCTTTCATGTAACAGACAAGTCAGCGTTGACAGATGTGATTGTCGCGTCCAGGCTACTTGAAGAAGAGCGAAAGATAACTTCACGTAGCCTCGCACTGGTCTTGGTGCATGATGTTCTGCTTTCAAAAGGCATTCAAGCTGGCGACGGACCTATCAAACAGGCCATTCTGCGACATAAGACAAGGCTCCACGCCGAGTTCATTAAGATCAAGATAAAAAATGGTGCAAAAGCCAACATTGAACTAGCGCAAACAGGCGATGCTAGAGCGGGTAAGCACGCTTCATCAGTCGACTTCTTTTCGCAGCCCTCTCTTACAATTGACCCTCGCTAGAACAAATGCCTCGCTACGTTCGCGTCAATACTTTGAAGACTTCATTAGAAGAGACTATCAAATCGTACGTTTCAAAAGGCTATGAAATAGGCGATCCACTCCAGGCAAAGTAAAATATCCACATGCGCGTCATGTATGACTCAAGCTGATTTTGTTGTGTGCAGGAAATTCGCAAAGGATCAGCATATTCCAGACCTACTACTTTTCCCGCCACAAACACAGTTTCACGAAGATCTTGCTTACACGAGTGGCAGGATCATCCTTCAGGATAAAGCTTCGTGCTTCCCTGCTACGGTCCTCGCCCCTCCAGCGAGAGATGATTGTGTCGTCATAGACGCGACAGCAGCTCCTGGAAACAAGACTTCACATCTCAGCGCACTCATGCAAAACAAAGGGAAAGCCAGTATATTCCTCTTGACTTAAATCGACGTCAGCCCTCATGTTGTCCTTACACTTTCCAGCTATTCGCTTTCGAACGGGATCGGAGGAGGTTCTCTACTCTGAAGACCATGCTTGATAAAGCAGGCTGTCGGAACACGGAAGCCCTGAACATCGACTTCCTCACTACAAATCCCGAAGACATTCAATTCGCCGAAGTCACCCATATGTATGCCGTTCTATATCATATCCCCTATTTTGATTGCGATACTGATATGAAAGCCTCCTTCAGTCTTCTCGACCCATCATGCAGTGGTTCGGGCATCGTCAATCGCCTTGATCATCTCCTCGAACCAGGTATGAGTACATCTTCATCATCGTCAAATCAAATCAAACTCAAATCAGTCCGGTCAATAAGAGGAAGTAAGTCAAGAAAACCTGGAAGGAAGACTAAACAAACTTTCATCATTTCAACTAATGATGATTCGACATGCGATGAAATGTACGACCTTATCGACATCGTATCTCATGGTCCCTTCGCTGACCACCAATCTTCCCCACAAGTCCCTTCTGTTCAAAAAATCGTGTACTCCACCTGCAGCATCCACGCGATCGAAAACGAACACGTTGTGCAGGAAGCTATAAACAGCGCGGAGGCCCGCACAGGAGCGTTCAAACTCGCATCTCCTGATATGGTCCTCCCGAACTGGCACCGCAGGGGACTACCGGACAAGCTCTCCAACCCAGGTCGGCGTTTCTTCTTTCCCTCGTTTGTGGGAGTACAGTATGCTCATATAGCTAGCCGTGGTGATATCAATCTAGTGGACGCCGCAGCTTTGGTGCGCTGCTCTCCCGGGGAAGATGCGACAAACGGCTTCTTTGTTTCGTGCTTCGTGAGATGTGACAGCTCGATGACTGATCCCACAGAACGTAAGGACCCGAAACACCCCTCCAAGAAAAGACGTGTCATGGAAGGGAGTGGGGATAATGCGTTGTTCGAGCAGGGAAAGGGTCGGAGGCATAAGAAGAGAAAAACGAAAGCGGGGAACGCGTGACGGCCTCCCTTCGTTCCGCATGCAGGGGCTCACGATATACCTTTCCTTCCAACGGCTACATACATCACACATGAGTTTACAAGCTGCGCTCACTTAATTAGTTTTTTTAAACGTGCCGTCGACATAACAAACACACAACCAAGTCAACTAAGGGTGAGCTACAACGCGAGAGTTCACAGGAAGGCAACCGTGACGTTACGTGGATGGAGTGGTCAAAGATGAGATGGATTTACAGAGGGGCTTCCGTAGAGCGGGGTCAACCTGAAAATGAGTAACAGTCTGCGAAAGAGAGAACCAGGAACGCTGCCGACCGGCCTGATGTGAAATACATAGTGCTGCAAACGCAAAAGCCTTCGATGCTCCTGAGACCGATGAGGTTTGATGGTGGTTCGTGTTCTGAGCTGTGAGAAACGCATGGAGAACGAGCGTTAGACAGGGGAGAGAGTAAACGGTGATTTAGTGCGCTGGGGTGCTGGTTTGCTGAGCGTATTGATTCTGATAATATTGAGCGTAGTTGTAGTCCTGGGGTTGTTGATATGGCGCTTGCTGCGAGTAACCAGCCCATGCCTGTTGCGCGTTCGGATCGTAGCCACCAGGAGCCCCACCGTAGCCGCCATAGCCTTGTTGAGGTGCTCGATAACCGCCCTGGAGTGCGTTTTGGTTCTGATTCTGGTTAATGTTTGAGACCCAAACTTCGGGCCTACGCCAAGGAGGAATGTTCGATCCGCCGCCTGTGATGTCATGCCCACCTGCACCTCCGCCCCAGGGGCCTCTTCCAGCATCGCCGCTAGACCCCTTCCCACTCTCGCCTAATTCAGCCATCAGACTGGCGTATTCTGAATCGAAGCCGCTCTTGTTCATGTTCGTAGGCGGGCCTCCAAAGGCGGGGGCGTTAGCATCCTTGTTGACATTGCAGTCACGGGCCATATGGCCGGCGCTGCCACAAACTCGACAGATGATGTTAGCTGTGAAGTTACGCTGCTCCGGACAGTCGTACTTGCGGTGGCCAACGCCACCACAGTTCTGGCAAATCTGGTTTTCGTCATCACGGAGAGTACCATTAAGAGCCGCGAGTTCGCGCAGCTGGTTTCGCTTGTGGTCGTTCTGTCCCTCGGGAGTAGATGCAGCCTGGGGACACAAAAGCATCAGCTCACATTCATCCATTGATAAGGAAATGAGTGCTCACAGTCTCGATAACCCTGTTGATCATCTTGACACAAGCAGTAACTTTCTCGTCTGTATCAGCAAGGACAAGGCAATGCAAGTCTTCCTCTGCGTCCTCGGCAAATTGATCTGGGCGAGTCTTGCCTTCCTTGACACTACCCTTTCCCCTGATGCTGATCTTGGCCCCGCTTTCCCTTTCCATCTTCTTCAAACTATTTCCGCGGGGACCGACGAGAAGCCCGAAGAAATTTATTTCCGGAAACTCCTTGACGGGAATGTAAACTTTTTCGGAGGGGCGCTGGGAACGCTTCTGCTGATGATACTCGACCGGCGGGCGGAAATTGGGGTCATTCTTCATAGCACGGTCGACGAGGCGGATACGCTCGTCTTCTAATTTTTTACGATAGCGGACCTCGCGCGTGTTGGTGCGGCGACCATGAGCATCGTAGGTAGGCGGGGGAGAGGGGGATCTGATGACGTTGAGATCAGTACATAGTGGCAAATTACCAAGCCAAGGCTTGGTTATGTAGATCATTTACCGCTCGCGTTCCGGGGGTACGAAGTCATTAAGCCTCAATTTACGATTAATTTCTTCCAATCGAAGATGAATAGCGTAATTATCGAGCTGCGCCTGGGAGACGCCAGCCGCCGAGATGGCAGTAGGTAGACCCGGTATATCGGTCTTTGCCTCACCCCATCGACTGCGTTTTTTGCGGGCGCCATGATCAGCTAGTGGGGCGGGTCAAGATGTCAGGGTTGTCAGTGTTAGTATGAGAAACGAAAGTCGGAAGCGAATGATGCCAGAGGCGGCATTGAAGATCAATGAGCTGTTAGACCGCCTGCGCACTTGGAGCAAACGATCGATGAGGTCAATCACTGGTTCAAGCGACTTACCTTCGGCGGGTATATAAGACGGAGTCTCTTCTTTGACCCTCCGGTCTTCGTTTTGAGCGGGCCGCGGGTAAGCAGACGGAGACGGTTGGGCTAATTGAGGGGGAGCAGTTTCCTCTGCCGGGGCAGGTCCAAAACGACGGCGGTTCCCCAGCGGGACTGAAGTAGATTATTAGCGAGACGAGCCGCGCGAAATAAATGGAAGACAATACCATCATTAGTCCCTGTGATCTGGCGGGTCGCGGGCCTCCACATGTCTAGATACAAGATAAGAGTTGCTGGTGGGGACGATGGGTCGGGGAAGAAAGAAAAGTGGACGAAGTCGACGTCGACGATGTGGACGATGCAACAAGACTTTTGGATCTCCGAAGCTGAGTCAGTGTGGCGCGTCAAGCGATGACTGAACCAGAGGCTCCTCGACATCCGACTTCACTTGTCGTTTTTGCTCCTGTTCCTCCCAAGTATACACCTACCGATAGAGTCCCGAGCTTCACACCTACACTATTCAAAGGAGATTAACTGTATGTTAGGTAAACGCAATGTGGGAGGTAAAGTGCATGGCCTTCTTCATCTGCAACGTCGCTCAATTCTGTCCAGAATATGCTGATTCCTCGACCTCGAACAAGAGGCCTAGAAAAGCACGAGCTGATGATGACTATATTGATGTCGACGACGACTTGTACGAGCAGAATGCCACTCAGTCTTCTCAGGTTCCACGCGGGGCCACAATCAATCTGAGTGCGCTCACTCGGAAGCTAGCTCAGACACATCGGGTGGGAGATGGCGACGGGCCTCCACTAAGTGCCCACCGCCGTCAACAGGAGAACCTTGTATCCCACATCTTTAGCGACCAGGACTTCTCCTGGCTTCATCTCAAGCCCGATCACGCATCGCGTCCTCTCTGGATCAGTCCTGAGGATGGCCATATCATACTGGAGGCCTTTTCGCCCATTGCAGAGCAGGCACAAGACTTTCTCGTAGCCATCAGCGAACCTGTCAGCAGGTGCGCATCGCCCGCGCTGTCGTCATGTAGATACGGTCGTTTATTGTCTCCAGGCCAAGTTTCATTCATGAATACAAGCTTACGTCGTATTCACTATACGCCGCCGTCTCTGTTGGCCTGCAGACTGAGGACATCATAGAAGTTCGTGCACTGGCATATCCGAGTGTTCGCGCTAACCACTTGCATCTTAAAAGGTCCTCAACCGTTTATCGAAGGTGAGCGAGCGCTATATGAGCTAACAAGTACCACTTCATCAACACCTCAAAGGTCCCGGTTCCGGAGGCCATCATCACGTTCATACGCGAATGCACGCTCTCATATGGCAAAGTCAAGCTTGTACTCAAGCACAACAAGTACTTTGTCGAGTCGAGTCATCCCGAGACTCTTCAGCTGTTATTGAAGGATTCGATTATTCGGGACGCCAGAGTTGTCTCTCGATCGAATGAGACTAATAAGATGACTACCTTTACCACGGCAAAAGCCCCCGTGAAGGGAAATCTGGTCATCCCAGGTACCAAAGATACCGAGAAGAAGAACGACGATGCCTCCAAGACCAGTAGTGCGTCCGTCGGTAACGGGAACACAGACGCAGAGCTATTCACATCAGTAGTCGGGGTTGATGGTGGTATGGCCCTTTGCTGACGTGATCACTTGGTTGCTCATGTGGCTAATCGATCATCTCACCAGATGAAATTGACGAGGACGATGACAACGTCCACGCTTTTGAGATCGACGATGCAAAGATTGACGTGAGCCACGATCTGTCCTCAGTTTGATATGGTAAATTTCGTTGGTTATTCACTAACTTCTACTCGCCCGCTAAGGATGTGAAAAAACGATGCAACGAACTGGAATATCCAATGCTCGAGGAGTACGATTTCCGAAACGACACGATCAACGCGAATCTCGATATTGATCTCAAACCGGCGACAGTCATCCGTCCCTACCAGGAGACTAGCCTGAGCAAGATGTTCGGAAACGGGTATGGAGACTCTTGTCATTTGTGTGTGTCAGCTCTTATCGATATCCGGTGACAGTCGCGCGCGATCTGGTATCATTGTCCTGCCTTGCGGCGCCGGGAAGACCCTGGTGGGCATCACAGCAGCCTGTACCATCAAGAAGTCATGCCTTGTCTTGTGCACATCTTCGTGAGTCCGCTGACGCCCACTTTTCTGCACCGCGGCCGAACAATGAGCCTGACTGAGACTCAAACGTGTGGTTCAGTGTCTCCGTGATGCAATGGAAGCAACAATTCATGCAGTGGTCCAATGTCACAGACAGACAGATCGCCGTCTTTACAGCTGACCAGAAAGAGAAGGTAGGCCACCGTCTTTACGCCGACCCCTTTGCGCACGCTTATGACCCCCACAGTTTGCTGGGGAGAGCGGGATCGTCGTTTCGACCTATTCCATGGTGGCTAACACGCACAATCGATCATATGAGTCAAAGAAGATGATGGAATTCCTCACTTCAAGGGAGTGGGGATTCATCCTCCTCGACGAGGTCCACGTTGTGCCAGCGGCTATGTTCAGACGGGTGGTTACCACCATCAAGGCGCACTCCAAGTTGGGCTTAACGGGTTAGTCTGGCGATTTGTTATCTGATGTTACTGTATTTGACAGTGTATGCTTTTTCCAGCGACGTTGGTACGTGAGGATGACAAGATCGCGGATCTGAACTACATGATTGGGCCTAAGTTGTACGAGGCAAACTGGATGGACCTCGCAGCCAAGGGGCATATTGCTAATGTCCAGGTACGTCGCTGGTGCTACCGTCTCAGAGGTGCTAGACTGACCTGTGAACGGCCAGTGTGCGGAGGTCTGGTGTCCGATGACGCCCGAGTTCTACCGCGAGTATCTCCGGGAACAATCCCGAAAGCGGATGCTTCTGTACTGCATGAATCCTAAAAAGTTCCAGGCTTGTCAGTTTCTGATCAAGTATCACGAAGACCGAGGCGACAAAATCATCGTCTTCTCGGACAATGTCTTTGCGCTCGAGGTCAGTGCCTAGACGGATTAGCCCGTCTCGGAACGAACACTGACCGTGCCTCGCGCAGGCTTATGCAAAGAAGCTCAGAAAGCCGTACATTCACGGCGGAACTGGGCAGGTGGAGCGGATGCGAATCCTGCAGTTTTTCCAGCACAGTCCCGAAGTGAATACTATTTTCTTGTCTAAGGTAAGCAGTGGTAGGCGGTGATTACAGTATAGAAGAGTGATGGCTGTGCTGCAGGTTGGGGACACCTCCATCGACCTTCCCGAGGCGACATGCCTGATACAGATCTCCTCGCATTTCGGCTCACGGCGGCAGGAGGCACAGCGATTAGGTAAAAAGAATTGACCGAGTCATGAGGTCACCCTGCTGAAGTGAAGAACCATCCCCAGGTCGCATATTACGTGCAAAGCGCAGGAACGACGAAGGCTTCAACGCGTTTTTCTATTCGCTGGTGTCGAAGGACACGCAGGAGATGTTCTACAGCACGAAACGGCAGCAGTTCTTAATCGACCAAGGATATGCTTTCAAAGTGATCACGCATCTGGACGGACTGGAGGGAATGCCGGATTTGGTGTACAAGTCTCGGGACGAACAGATCGAGTTGATCTCTTCTGTGCTGCTAGCGAACGAGAGCGCGGCGGAGCTGGGGACGGACATTCGCGCTGGCGAAGGGGACCTTGCAGGGACCATCACTTCGAAAGATTTCGGGGGCCCGCCTGGCAAGTTCGGAGCTGCGCAGCGGACGACTGGGTCGTTGACGGCGTTGAGCGGGGCGCAGCACATGTCGTACGTCGAACAGAACAAGAGCGCGAACAAGAAACTCGCGCGGGAGGCGGCGCCACGCCACAAGCTGTTTGCAAAACGAGATCGGGAGGTAGCAGCAGCGAAGAAGGAAGCCCGTGCGTCGGGGCGGGCTGGGTGAGGTGTGGAGAGGGCGTGCCTAGGTCTGTCGGAAATTCGGCGGGCATAGAGAGTGCTGGAAGGGAGAGGGAGATCTTGATCAGTGTACGGGCGTGGATTATATATTATTGCTGTGCGGTGTCGCTAGCAGGTCATTGTGATCTCGTCAGTGGAGAAGGGGTCGAGGAGAGGAAGAGGCCGATAGAATCAGAAGGCAGAAAACGGGGTAAGCGAGTCGGAAGAAATGATGGGTTGTTTGCTGGGCGACGTCGTCACGGCGTCGTGACGGTCGCACCCCAAAAAAGGAAGCTGCAGTGATCGACGCAGCTAAACGCGGCTGACGCTAGTTCCTCCAAACGGACTGCACTCATGTCCTATATATGTTCACACTCAGCCCCCCTGCAATTCAGCTCCGCTTCCTCCTCGCTCTCCCGCCTCCCGTTCCTCTTTGTCTCTCTGCTCCATTCCTCCCTCCACCATGTCCTCAAAAAGAGGCCGCAAGCGCAACGACAACCTCCCCCCAAACCGCGCTCGCGACGTGCAGCGAGCCTTTCGTGCGCGTCGGGCCGCACACCTAGAAGTGCGCGATCTCCAGATCTCCCCTCGTCCCCTCGCCCCCCCCTCCCTCCGTGCTCATCGATTTTTTTTAAACACTCTTCAGGCCCTCGAGCAGCGCGTCTCAGAATTGGAGGACGAGAACAATACCCTCCGCGCAGCCCTCAACCTGCCCCCCGCCAATCGCCCCGTCCTCGGCAAGGGCCCCACGGGCAAGGATAAACCCAAGCCGTATTCTACCTCTGGCTCGCGCAACGCGTCGGGCACCTCCGTCCCTCCCGCGCCGACCAGCCGCGGTGGCTCTTCTGCCGAGTCCCCATCGCCCACCAGGACAGACTCCATTTCCCCCTCGACCATCACGGCTAATATGCGCCCGTCCCCGCACTCTGGCCATAATGTCGATGCTGGCTCGTGGGATCAGCACATGCTCCTCGGCGACGACCAAACCGAGTCGCACACTTCTCCCCCATCTGCCGGCTATTCCCTATCGAGTATCAACGCCCACAAGCCTCCGCAATCGCAATACTCCTTCCCCAGCCCCTCTTCCTCCCGCAATCCCCTGTCTAATTCGATGTACATCCCTCCGGTCCAACAGAACACCCAAAACTTTGCGCACACAGCTGACCGTCCCATGGGAGACGCATACGGCAACCCGGGTTATCCTCTTCGTGATATCCGCGAGGAGCCGCAGCACTTCTCATACACTCAGTCGCCGTTCTCGCCTACCGATGGCGGTCAACGGCATCACCACCCTCCCGCGACGCCTGCCATCCACGCTGTGCACCCTCCGCCGCGTGATCACTCGGGGACCCTTCCGTATGGGCATGGGAATAGGCGCTCCGGCAATGAGCCTCAGAGCTATCAGAACATCGTCAACCACCACTACCCTCACCTGCCACCACCCCAGTCCTCTACCGGCGCGCTGCGACGCCTCTCCCCGCCACGCATATCCGATCTCTCCCACCCGACCTTACGTCCTCCTTTCAGTAATGGCGGGGATTGATCAGATCCGGCCCTTCGATTTATCAGCATCCCGCGACTGCAAATGTACCGCACCGTTTCCTCGCACGCGCACACACCTCGTTCCCACCCTTTCATCCCTCCAAGCGTCCCGAGCGCCTTTACCATTAGGCCGCTTTCTGTATCATTATTCTCTCGAACAAGCTCCTACGTTCCCGCTATGTTGTTTTACCTCTCGCGGGCGTTTACTAAGGTATCCTGTTCCAAACGGATCCCTTTAGACTAATGACGCCACCGCATGGACACTGTATCATTCTCAGGGCGTCTCGCTTCCTTTTGAGGTCGTGCGGTACTACTTACTTCGGTCTCTACCTAGTACTTACCATCTACCTGATCCCCGTCGGAACAACCACATCTTTAATCGCTTGATCTGCGTGTCGGGCCATCGAAGCACTTATGATACGGTGTTATTAATTTGCAAGTACGATACAATGTATGTTCAAAATGTGGGGTATGCAACATGCCCTCATGCTATCCTCCCACTCACAGATACCTAGGCATCAGATCAGCCCATCAAAACACTACCCGGGTCCGCCGCGTCGGCGTCCCACCGATCACTTCGCCCTCGGAAATGTCGCGCCTCGTTGTCATCATATGACTGCATCCAAGCGGCACCAGTCAACGCAGCCATCTTTTCCGTACCGTTGCTCCAACCAGTCGTTGGCTTTCTTGAAGTGGCCGTTCCCTAGAAACCCTTTGTGTGCGCTGAAGGGGGAGGGGTGCTGATTGAAGGCAAAAGACCAGGTGAGCATGTGCACACACAATAGAGACGCCCACAGGCATGTGTGGAGTCCACTCACGGCACTGGTCAAGATGAGATGTTTGTTCTGTTGGAAGAGGACAGCGCGGCACGCGAGAGAGGGTCAGTAACCGATCGATCGATCGACTTGGCGCAGACGTACCTTGCTCAGCTTGGCGACTCGCTTTGCAGCCCAAGCACCCCAGGCGAGAAAGACGACACCGCGGCCGTGACCTGTCTTATCGTCAGCTTTCACAGAGGGCAGGTTTGCGCCGCCGTAGCGATCGACGACGTCGACGACTTTGTCTGTGAACTGCTCCCAGCCGTGGTTCGAGTGCGAGCCAGGGGAACCCGCTCGGACCGTCAAGCACGTATTCAACATAAGGACGCCGTTTTCGGCCCACACTGTCAAGTTCCTGCCACGGACAGTCATGAGCCGAATTGAACATGTGATTGGACGCGCAGCGCAAGACCACGGCCTCTCGAAATAGGGAAGCGAGTGAAGCTCCGCCCCATTGTTGACACCCGCCTGGCAGAGCAGCGCACTCACCCATGCTTCGGCGGAACGAACTCCGGATACTCCGCTTGTATTTCCGTGTATATCTAGAGTGCCGACTAGGATCAGCACTGTGGAGCGGACAGGAGAGAGGAGACGCGATGGCTCGGCACGTTTTTCAGCGAGGGAGGAACAGAAACGTTGGGAGGAACAGAAAACGAGAGCCCTGCGATGATAGCGATGATCAGGAACGGAAAGGGCGGAGGGTGACCAGGTACTGACCATGCGCCTGACCGGCTCCATGATACGGATCCTGGCCGATGATGACCACCTTCACCTTTCCGAGAGGGGTAAAGTTGGACCAGGCGTAGATGTTTTTGGCTTGCGGGTCGTCGAGGTGAAGACCGTGATGCGAAGGAGAGGAAGAAGAGGAATGTACTTACGCGCAGGGTATATTTTTAGCGACTTCGCGCTGTCATCAGGACCTTTGACGCCTTCGCCCCAGAGGAACTCTTTCAGCGATGTGAAATAAGATTTCTTGATTTCATCTTTGAGAAGCTTAAGCCTGTGGAGAGATATGAAATGATGGACGTGTTTGCGGAGCAGGCGCAGAAGCTCACCAGCTCTTCCCCATTGTCTCGTATTCGAGCTTGAGCAGCCTCTTCTGGTCATCGGTGAGAGACTCGATGAATGCGGAGAGTGAGAATGGTATTGAATTCAACGGCTGCAGTCCAAAGTTTGTCGCCGAGGACACCGCCTTGGAGGACACGGAAGCAGATGACACGCTGGAGCTGGTGAGTTTCTGTTTTTTGTTGCTAGGCCCGGCGGTGCTGCCATTGGACGAGAACATGTCCATCAACGTGCGCTGACGCTTCGCAGTAACGTTGGTCGTCTTTGTCTTGTCGACCGTCACCGTCGCGTCCTTGGGGTCTGCGGGGGACGCGTGGACGGCGTCATTCTCGTCAGTCTTCTGTGATGAGACCGGTGTTTCCAAGTCCTCGAGATAGACGACGCGTGGTTTTGAATCCATGAGGGATGTGACACGTCGCAGGGCAATGCAGGACGAGTCGGGATCGTTGTGTATTGACGCGTCGAGGACCAGCGAGGTTGCGAGTCAAGAACGGCGCAACCTTCGCGGACCCTGAATAGCTGTTAGCTTGGTCGTATTTGGCGTGTTTCTCACCGCTTCGGGGCTTCTCTTCCACGTGCGAGGCTGCGCCTCGAAGGCTCGAGCTGATCTAGACAGCTCCCGTTTGACGTGTTGGCCACCGGGTGGGACGGTCTTGAAACGCTGGGCCCGCTGCCCTTGGGCCGTGGGCGATTCGTCTCCTCCCCTGTGCCTCCCTGCCCAGGTATCGCGTCCCTCGCTACCTCCGCCGAAAAAAAATATTCTCGCGAAACCCTCCCTTACTAGCCCAGGAACTCTTCTCCCTCCTAACCTGACTCGTGCGGAGTCCGCGCTCCACGTGCCATGCCATTCGGGGTATCGGGATATCACGCCCCTCTGGCCGTGCGTCAGGCCTAGGAACTGGGGCCCAAAACCCGATGCGGACACGGCCGGTTCACGCCCGTCGGACCTCAGCTCAGCGTCCTTGCAGAATTTCCAAGCCTCGATGTGGACTTCGTCGATCTCGTCGAGCCAATCTATGCCACATGTCGCTCAACCGAGTCCATAGCCTCACCCATTTCTTTTTAACCTGACGGTCATTCCTTTACCGAGTCGATGTCGTCAAGGGTCCCGTGCCAGCGCAACGTCCTTGCAGCACTCGAGAGTGAGCAGGCGCCATGCGTGCTCCGTGCACGCGCGCATTCCGTAAATCGGCCCTTTTCTGCGCGTTTACGTTATGAGGTGCTGTGAGTGTCCGAGGATACCGTTCCGACTAGGGTTGTCCCTGCCTGCCGCTAGTTCAGGCGTCGCGCGTGCGTTCGTCGAGGGAGACGGCTGTGCGGTAGAGTAAGTGCACGCATGCGTATTACGCGCGCGGAGCGGATGCGGCGGACGACGGAGGATAACGGATAACGGGGGTGCATCAGGCTGCTAGGTGATCGTGTGTTGCTCAATCCGATCCCCCTCATCGTCGCCGACACGGAAAAATAACGTAGATAGTCTGACCTGACCTGTGACAAGGAGACGAAGAGACCGTGCGTTGACGCGGACGGGTTGAGCGTGCGTGGATACGGACCACACTGTGACAGCCTGGGACTGTGTACTCCCGATTCTCGCTGTTCGATTGGTCGGCGACTCGAGATGCGGGGAAAGCACCCTTGTCAAAAGCCTATTCTTGCTCGAGAAATATCTCGCGCGTGAAATCGACAAATCGGTAAATAACATTTGATATATCTGGGGATGGAATTTGAGTCTCCGATCGCGATTTCATTGATTTTTAATTGCGGTCAATGAAGAGGCTTTGAAAAGCAGAAAGTGCGCGACTGGGTGGGCGGCTGTGGGCGGACGAGATTCGAGGCTCGGTGGCGGTCCACCTGCGATGCATGGGCGGCCGCAAAACCCCAGCAACGCGAGTCGGAAAGAATCATGCATGCATCAGGGACTGTCGACGGTCGAGAGATATGTGACGCTATGTGACATGTGTGTGACTGGGCGTTGTGACGTTGTGCGTTGGCGGCGTTGGCAGTTGACAGTGTGGTGTGTCCTGGCTCAGCTGTAGTAGTAGTAAGTGAACGCTCCAACCAACTCACTGGGTCATCCCTTGGCCCCCTCCGCCTGCGCCATTTCAAACCTACCCCGCTCCAAGTCCTCTCCGTCGCCCCCGCCGTCAACACTGGCTCCCTCCCGCGTGGACACTCTGCGCAAGGCTGCTGCCGGCACCCGCGCTGGGCGGCGGCGGCTGAGCGAGCTTGGTGCAGATGCAGCTGCCAACGCATCCCAGACCCTGGACTGGAGCACAAGCTATCAGGCGGGCTCATCCAGGTCAGTCACGTCTCCAGACCACCTCGTCCGAATGTCGGGCGCCTGTGTCGCGGCCGATGCGCCCCTGCGCGCAGCTATCTTGCGCTCCATCGCAGCCTCTGCCGCGGTTGACCCGTCGCTACGCTCGCCTAGCGCCCCCTTGCCGATAACGCACCGCCCTCGTTCATCATTGTTGTTGTGCCCCCTTGCTGATCCCACGACAGCCCTGCCTCTGGTGCCAGTTCCGAAGACGACGACAGTGACGATCAGACCGTCGTCGACCAGCGGAGCTCCCACCAAGAGCAGCGAACTAGCGCGCAGGACGTGCTTCACAAAGCCCCCGTTCTCAATCGTCGCCCACCAAGCCCTGTACACCACCTTTCGAGCTCTGACGGCTCCAAAGGCAGCGGCAAGGCGCGCTCAGGCCCCCGCTCCTTCACTCGTTCCAGATCGCCCGCCCCTCAATCCGTTCATTCCAACGGCCCTGGCCTCCCCCCACGCACCCCATCCCCCAGCGCGTTCTTCAGGGCGCGGCACATCCCGACGTCCGCTTTTCGGTATGTGCTCCCTGGAATGTTGTCTCTATCGTTCCACGTCCCTCTGTCATCGAAGGTGTGCCAGCTCGCTTTGGACGCGAAGTACGCGGCGGAATGCTCGTCTTTGCTCCTGGCGCTCGGATGCGTTGCATGGAAACTGTCCGAGTTCGACCCGGACTCCCCCAATGTATGGTTATCGATAGGTAGCCGCGCCTTTGCCTCTTCGCCCGTCTACTCTGCTCATCGTCTCGTAAAATAGAGCTTTTACTTGTTATTTTAGCATCGCTTATCTATGTCTTCTGCACGCACTTCTCCATTTCGACGTCCCCCGCTCCGACGAAAACGCAATCTGTGACATCGCCTGTTCTACTCCGTTCTGCATCCCCTCGTTTCAACGAAGCCCGCGAATTCAAGCGGGCTTCTTCTCACCTTCCTGTGCCTCCCAAACCGGTCTTTGGATACGTATGGATGACTGTGCCCAAAAATTACAGGTGTGACATCGTGTTTACGTTTGCCGCGATACGAATGCAGCGCTGATTTTCGCTCAGAAACTCTACGGACGACGGTATGCTGTCCGGACTAATTCTAGGCCCTCTCATCGCCTCCTCCCTTTTGTACGCCTCGCAGAAAATGCAGGCCTCGGCAACCTCACCGGACATGCTCCGTTCGCCTTCCCATTGGTATATCGAGCCTCCTCCCGTGCTTTCCAATCTCGGAAAGCCGCTGTCATTGCTCCAAGCGCTCGTCCTTTCTCGACGGAACGCCGTCAGCCTAGCTACGCTCTGCTCCGCGATCCTTTTAGTCCACGTCTGCGCGTCGTGGGGGTTCGAGGCCCTCTATCGTCGGCGCACAAACGTGGCAGAGGGGGAGCGTGCCTCGGTGCCACGGAGTGAAGCCCGCAAGTCGTGGCTATATGTGCTCTTCACGTCCGCGGTTTGCCTCGGCCTTCTCGCTCTGCGGTTCCTGTTTGAGCGGGCGCATCTGGGCGTCTGGCAAGGTGCCTCGTTTTTTCACCCTTGTTTGACGGACGATGGCTGAACATTCCTCATCCGTTTATACATAATCTTAGCGATGTCCTACTGGGAAATTGCGTGCGCGTCGGTGTTTTATCAGTTGTCGCTGTACATCGCCATCCGTCTCGCGCACCGTGGGTTCACCCTCGGCGAGCTGTCGTTGGTCGTCTTTGGCGCGACAGGTCTATATATGGAGCTGGTGAATTTGACCATAGCGAGGGCAAGTCGGCTTCACTGCATGTCCTGTTCGGGCGTAGAGCTCATGTGTGAATTGATACCGACACGACGCTCAGATATGGCCTGTCACGACCCCTTTCATCAAGACGTACCGTCTGCCCACGCCACTGTTGATCTACCAAATTGCGCTCATCCCCGGATCTTTGCTGACCGGGTTCCTGCTCTCGCCGCTGCTCGTGCTCTCGCGGCAGATCGCCCAGCGCCCCGTGCGTCGCCTCCGCTTCCCACATGAAAAGCAGGCGCACCGCCGCGCGCTCGCTGCGGGCTTCTATTTGGGTGCCACGCTCATCATCGGTGGGCTTATCGGGATGTGGACCCGCTGGTGCCTTCGAAACCGCGACCCGTGGCTGTGGGTGGTCTATTGGCTGCTCGAGGGCCGGAAGCAGTGGACGCGGCCCGCGTTGCTGGTTTATTGGGCGCTGCTGGGCATCATCAGCGTGGCGGGGTGGAACCGCCAGCTGGCGCGCTCGCGGCGGTATCGCCCTCGGAACGCCATGGGCGGGATGGGCGATGGGCAGAACGGGGGCGGCGGGACGCCCGCGAGCGAGCCGAGCCGGCCGTCGACGCCGCCGAGCTCGGCGTCCGCGATGGGGCTGACGTTCGCGAGCGTGGCGATGCCGCAGCTGCCCGCGTTCCCGCACGGGGCGAACCTGGGCGCTGCGCTGGGGGCGAGCGAGTGGCTGGACGCGGCGGACCGGCGGGTGCCGACGCTGGGGCTGAACGGGCGGCGCAAGTTCTTCCACGCGCTCGCGGTGGTAATGTTCCTGCCGGGGGTGGCTGCGGACCCCGCGTTCGCGCACTTGGCGTTCAGCGCGGCGTTTGCGCTGTTCGCATTTGCGGAGTACGTGCGGTACTTTGCGCTGTACCCGTTTGGGGCGTCGGTGCACCTGTTCATGAACGAGTTCCTGGACCACAAGGACAGCGGGACGGCGATCTTGAGCCATTTTTACCTGCTGACGGGGTGCGCGGGCTCGGTGTGGTTCGAAGGGTGCGTGGTGATCAGGGGGTGGCAGCGGACTGACGCTTATTCATTTGTTTATCTTTATTTTTTCCAGATCATCGCGACTTCTGCTGTATACGGGTACCCTGGCTGTCGGGGTCGGAGATGCAGTGGTACGGTCTCCTTTTTTCCGCGCGCGGTGATGGACACGGGGCTGATGATCCGGATTGTTCGCAGGCGTCGATCGTGGGGAAACGGGTGGGGAGGCACCGGTGGTCGCCGACGACGTCAAAGACGGTGGAGGGGAGCGTGGCGTTCACGCTGTCGGTGGCTGGGTTTGCGTGGGCGCTGGGGCTGTGCGGGCTCGCGGAGGACTTTAGCGTGAGCGGGTTTTCTCTCTCTGCGCGGGCGCGGGCGGGGAAACGGACACGCGACTGACTCGGATTTGGCGACAGGTGGTGCGGTACACGGTGATTGTCGGGCTGTCGTCGGTGCTGGAGGGGCTCTCGGGGCAGAACGACAACCTGACTGTGCCGGTGTACATGTGGAGCATGCTCGTGATCGGGGACGTATAGGTAGATGTAATTGCCTTTGTAGCAGTGTCGTCGAGTTGTGTGTGGGGCGGGGGACAGGGGCGCGGGTTTGCAATGAGATCAGTTACTCTGCGTGCGTCGTCAGAGGGGTGACCGGAGGCGCTGCGTGTGTGTGTGTGCCTAATCGGGAAGATGATCGCCCTAGGGAGGGCGAGTGATGACGGGGTGGCCGGGGGCGTTGCTGGAGTGCGTGGGCGAGCCGCGGCCCTGCTGGTTCAAGTGCAAGCGAGCCCCGCTCCACTCCCGAGCACGCCATGGACGACCAGCAGCGTCCGTCCCCGTCGTCGCCAGCACCGAGCGCGTTCGCGTTCCCCGCCCTCGTCCTCAACGACGTCGCCATCCCGCTCTCGCTCACCGCACAGCAAAACGCAGTGTCGCTCGTGCCCCACGTCCACCTCGCGCACGCCAAACGCGCCATCCGCCGCCCCCTCCGTCCGTCCACCGCCTCTGCGGTCGAGGAGAAGCACTTTATCTTGCCGTCGTCCACGCATGTATACCCCGCCAGCGAGGGAGACACGCCGCTGCTGACCCCGGGGTCTGACCACGGCACGGCTGACAGATCGTCCCTCGAGCCTGATCGAGGCGGCGGCGGGCTCCAGGCGTCCTTGGCCGACAAGCCCGTGCCTGCCCCGTCCTACAGCCTGCGCGACAGCCCCCCCAAGCGATCAGATCACCGTACGTCCCAGCCTACGACACCGTAATATTCGCACCCTCCCTCACGTCCCGCCCCAGCGTCCTCCAGATCCCCCTTTGATGTATCTCCCCCCATCGAGTCTGCCGCCGCATCCGAGTTCTCGCTCCTCCAGCGCATCTCAGAGGCCGCCACCAGCGATCATGACTGGGCCACCTTCGTTAGCGCGTACGCACTCGGCGGCTGGGACCCCCACAAAACTCCAAATCAGCCCAGATCGTGCTTCGAGCCCTCGCTCACCATCTCCGAACCCTACGCGTCCCCGAAGGACCTGTCGTCCGCAGAGTTCGCAACGCTCGACCGGCCGCGGCTCCCCACCATCGCTGCGCGCAGATCGACCACGACAGACGTCTCCCATTTCCCTCTAGGAGGCAACGGTGCCGTGCCTCTCCAGAAGCTCACTTCACGGGCCATACTCCACGACCATCTGCCACAGGGGAGCAGCGCCCTCTCTGTCCCCCCTCCAATCGCCCGCGCCTCGTCGCTCTCTCGCCGCCCCACCGTCCCCATATCCTCTTCCTCAGCATCGCGTCGTCATCGAAACCCCTTCGCAGATGTCCGCTCCCCATCAATCCCACAGCCCCCGACCCTCTCGCTCGGATCTCTCCCTGCTACGGTCCCGCACGCAGACAGCACGACCACCGCAGCCGCGATGCGGTGGGCTGCGGCGCGCGTGAACATTTCCCCTCTCGCGCTCCCGTCGCCGGAGCACGAGCTCACGGACCCCATGCGCGGCGCAATCGCAGTCATCCCAGGCTCGTATTCCCCCGAAATGCCCCCTGCCCAGGGTCCACTGTCCCCCGGAGGACGCAAGTCGCGCTTGGGCAGCTTCTGGGAGGGCACGCAGGACGTGGACAACGGTCCTCCGGCGAGCGCGTCGCCCTCGCCGCCGTCCGTCAACCATTCCTCCCCCAGCCAGCTGCACGCCGCCCTCAACGCCGCCCTGCCGATCGCGCCGACGCCCACAGCCGCACCGCCGACACTTCCGCAGGGAGTCCCGCTGGCCACGGCTCCAGTCCAGCATAGCGTACAGCAGCTGGACGATTACTTTGGCGACACGCCCCTCGTGCAGGCGTCCTCGTCGCACCCCAGCCCAGAGCAGCCGCACCCCATCCATTCGGGGACCTCGCACGTCCATCGGCAGAGCACGGTCCCTCCGTTCGACTCGATCGTGCAGACCGTCCCTGCACTCCCGCGCCGCGTGTGCCTCACGCGGCAGACGTCGTCGCCGCTGCCCAACGCCCAGCCGGTCTTCGACTCCCGCCCGGGGACGCAGCGCTCCGTGCCCGATGCGCTCGCCTCGCTCAAGGCGGGCCGCGCGGTGAAGGAAGAGTCGATGTTCACCGAGTTGGGGTACCTGACCGCGCCGCACCCGCCGGACGAGCTCGAGCGGCGGCGGGCGCTGTACCAGTTCAACCTGCGCAACACGGGCGCGGACGTGAACTTTGACCGCATCGAGCGGCTCACGAAGCTCGTGTTCAACACGAAGACGGTCGCGATCAGCCTGATCGACGGGAACGAGCAGTGAGTCCGCGGCCCGTTCTACTGCATTTTATTTCGTTTGACAGCGCGTTGACGGCCGTGGTGTGTTTGATCCGTGGAGGTGGTTCAAGGCGGAGTGTGGGTGTGGGCTCCTCTTGGTGATGCGTGATAGCGGCTTGACTTTTGGCTCTGTTTTGCAGCTGGTTTAGGATTCGATACGTTTCCGCGGACCGGGTCGATATGCGCGCACGCGATCCTTCAGCGGTAAGGTGTGCGTCCTCGGGGGTATACGTCGTGCTCACATGGACGTGTCTGTGCGGACAGCGGCGACGAACCCACCGTCATCCTCGACACTCACGAAGATTGGCGGTTCGAGAAGAATGTAAGTTTTGATCCCTTGGATTTCCTTTTCGCGTTGATGGACCGATGGCATCGGTCACACAGCCTCTCGTCACCGGTCCCCCCCACGCGCGGTTCTACGCAGGGGCACCGCTTCGGACGCAGGACGGATTTAACGTGGGGACTTTGGCGATCATGGACGACGTCCCGCGGCAGGACTTTAGTCCTCGGCAGCGGCATACCCTGAAGGAGTTTGCTGTGCGTCGAATTCGGTTTCATGTTTGAATGGAAGCGCGCTCAACTGGAGCTGACAGGCCATCGCCATGCGCGAGATGGAGTTGTGGCGCGACAAGGCGCGTCGTCCTCATCTTCGCCCCCCCTGTGGTCACGGCTGACCCATCCACAGATCCAGCTGCGGATCCGCGACCGCATCCAGACATCGGTGCGCCCTTCCCAGCCCAATACGGCGTTGCGCTCACTCATCACGTGCTCTAGATGGAGCAGTTCACGCGCGAGTGCTTGGAGATCGACACCGACGCGGGCGCCGACGGCGACGCCCGCCCCGCCAAGGCGTTCTCGATGGACAAGGTGTACGAGCGCGCGGCGAAGCTGGTCAAGAAGACGCTCGACGTCGAGGGCGCGATTGTGATGGACGTGTCGCACGCGGACGTGCTCGAGACGATCAGCGCGGAGGGAACCATGTCCGTCGTCGTGCACAGCGCGGACGCGCCGGAGGGCACGCGCACGCACATGCTCAGCGCGGAGGAGTACGCGCGCCTGTACGAGACGTTCGTGCGGTACCCCGACGGGAAGGTCTCCGAGGGTCTCGTGCCCGCGCCCCTGCGGCCGTTCATCCCGACGGGGATACAGTACGCGCTGAGTGAGTCGCTGCCGTGGGTTTGCCGTGGCGAGCATCAGACACCTGACGCGACTCGCTTCGTTAGGCGTGCCGATCTTCAATATCGACAAGCGGCCGTTCGCCATGCTGTGCGCGTACAACTCGTCCGAGCAGGGCAAACGCTTCGTACGTCGCGGCATCTCTCGGCTGCTGTTTGTGCGTCTGACGCAGAGGAACGCATGTGTAGCTCGAGGGTCACGAGCTGTCTTATTTGCGCGCGATCGGCACGTATTCGATTATTTGCTCGGCCTGTGCGACGCTCATCTCAGCATTACAGGCGTCATCATCCTGTCCGCCGTCCTGAAGCGACGGATGACCCTAGCCGACAAGGCAAAGAGCCTGTTCATATCAAAGTGCGTCCTTTATTAATCATGATATCAGATCGCACGCATATATGCTCATGAACGAATGTGTAAATGAATGAATGAACGAACGAACGAATGAACGAACAATCCATTCCCGCCGCCCAGCATCTCGCACGAGCTTCGGACACCGCTGCACGGCATCTTGGCTGCGGCCGAGCTGCTGGCTGACACGCCGCTGAACCACAGCCAGATATCTTTTCTGCAGACAGTCCAAGCCTGTGGGACGTCGCTTGTCGAGACCGTCAACCATGTGCTAGACTTTACGAAGCTGAGCGGAAACTCCAAGGCAGGTGGCGTCGAGCACGTCATCCGCCCTAGCAAGTGAGGCAAAAGCCTTTATTCTCCGTCGTCGTCAGTTTCTCACGTTTTGGCCTTCAAGGGTCGATCTCGTGCAGCTGGTCGAGGAGGCGATCGAGGGCTGTTGGATTGGCCATCGAGCCCGGATGTCGTCGCTGAACGACTCGGAGATCGGCAGCCTGTACTCGCCCCCTCGGCAAGACCGCAGCTTTGCGAAGACGCCCTCGAAGCACGTCGAGATCGTCGTCGAGATCGGCGAGCGAGAGCAGGTCCGTCTCGTTCTTTCCTTCTTCCTCTCGCACAGGTCGTGCCTCGTCGCTCACATCGGCGGGACAGGGCTGGATGGTGAAGTGCGAAAAGGGCGGCATCCGCCGGGTGCTCATGAACATCTTCGGCAACAGCCTGAAGTTTACCGTGGTAGGGTTTGACCTTTTGGGCGGACAGCTGTCGCAGGATCGTTTGCTGAGGGATTTGATGAACAGGACGGGTACGTGCATGTGATCCTCCGACAGCTGCCCACAGCGCCGGACGCGGCGCCGAGCAAAGTGAGAGTCGAGCTGTCCGTCGTCGACACCGGAAAGGTTCGAAGACACACATTCATTATCTTTGCGTGTTGATTTTGACGTCGTGCGATCAGGGGATCAGTCAAGACTTTTTGAAGGTAACGCACAATGCTTGACTCGTCTTGCATCGGCACGAATTGAGCGTGAGCCTTGACATCGACAGAACCAGCTCTTCCACCCTTTTTCGCAAGAAAACCCTCTGCAAACCGGCACGGGTCTTGGTCTCGCAATCGTAAACAGCATTGTTCAATCCAAAGGCATAGATGGCAAGGTTGACGTCTGGAGTGCAGAGCACGTCGGGACTGAGATCAAGGTCACGTTGCCGATCGAGGCTGCGGAGGACGATGAAAAGTCGACGATCATGGAGCCTCTCACGACCGACGAACCTTGCACTGTCTCCCTGTCCGGCTTCGACGACCAGCACAGGGGTGTTCGGCTCTTACGCGAGGTGCTCACCAATTATATTGTGTCGTGGTGGGGGCTGCAGGTGGCGCCCTTGGACTCGCGTGGCCAGATCAACGTCGTGAACGAGGATCTCACGCCGCTGGTCCACGCGATCGAGTGCAGGGATCCGAGCCGACCGTTTATCATCCTCACGACAGGCCGCGGCGACGACCAGCTGATGACCACCGTCAACGAGTACGAGCGCATCGGCGGCTTCTGTCGAGTGCTGTATAAGCCGGGCGGGCCTTCGCGTCTGAGAGCGATGCTGAAGCTGTGTTTGTATTCTCTCAAGATCGGCCAGCAGACGTCGGCCAGCACGCCCGTGCCGGAGGCCGCAGCGGTCGCCCCGCATCCTCTGGAGAAGGCCATGTCCCCCGAGGTGTTGGTGTCTGAATTCAACAGGCTGTCTGTGCAAGGACTGGATAACCTCCGTCGGAATTCGGAGGTCATGTCTTCGGGACCGAGCGCTCTCGCGAGGCCCGGGTTGGGCATGCGATCTATCACCGCCCACCCTGTAGCTACGTGGAATGACATGCCGGTTCCAGAAGAGGAAAACGCGGCTGCTCCTACTCCATCGCCGGGAGTTCGGCCTAGAGCGCTCAGTCATAACATGCCCAGCCCGACCATCTCTGTCGGCTCGGGGGGCACGCTTCTCAAGTCATCTGTCGGGTCACTTGAGGCTAGGGAGCGCGTCCGCGTCTTGGTCGTGGAGGACAATAGCATCTTGCGTAATCTCCTGTACGTCAATGTGAAACCCACGCTGTGCGATTAGCTCCCACTGACGACGACGACCGGTCCGCAGTATTCGGTGGCTCCAAAGCAAAGTTAGTGGTATCGCTAGCGTGGTGGTCTCGAGGCGATCGGCACTAAACCGCCATTGTTAGGGCTATGAATTCCGCGATGCTGTGGACGGCCAGGAAGGGGTCCGTATGTTCGAGTCAGAAGAGCGTTTCGAGTGCGTAATCCGAGCTACGGCCGCTTGACGATGCGGGCAGTAACCTGCGTTTTTCTTTCTTTCAGTGTCATTTTACTCGACTTGTCCATGCCAATCCTGGACGGTGCGTGCGATCTCATCTTCTGGTGGGGATATCGACTCAAGTGACTTATCCCCAGGCGTCGGAGCTACTGTCGCGATCAGAGGCATTGAAGCGATGCGCTCTGAAAAAGACCACCCTGCTCGTATACTAGCGCTGACCGGCATGTCTTCCCTCGAGGACAAAAGAAGAGCATTCGAGGCCGGTGTTGATGGATAGTATGTCATCTCTGTTCTTCGCTTCCGCTCGAAGAAGCTGATCCGGGTCACATCCTTCTCCTAGTCTCGTTAAGCCCGTCGCATTCAAGACTTTAACTGAGATGTTCAGTCAACTTGGAATACCATGACACTCACCGTACTATACTATAGATTTCGCACCGTCGAGGCCCGCGTTTGCCGGCTCGCCTCGTCGCTCTCTGCCACTAACTCGTTCATCTTACATCTGATCGCATCCTGCGCGCTGTCGTCTATTTTACTCTCTGTCGCTGTCTGCAGGTTCCCTGCACCGTCCCGCTCTACACGCCCGGTATCTTCCTTCTTTCCTTCGTCTGTCTGTCCCTCTCGCACTCTTGCTCTGCACCTCGATCTTCTCCCCTTGCATCTCCCCGGTCACTTGTAGCGCTCTAGTTATCATATCCGTATCTCACCCCTCTTTTTAATCATCTCTCGTCATGTTTAGGTGTACGATCGTTCCTGTTGCTGCTCGTATTTGTGTGTACCTTTTCCAAGTTTTGTAGCCTATCTTTTGCGCGCGTAGGAATCGCGGGGGAATCTTGGTGTGGCCCGATATCACTCAGGAGTCTGCGTCCAGTGCATGCGACATAGGTTGTATAAGTTAGAGTGATGCAAGCGACGGATGAAGTAGACTAGGTAAATTATTAGATAGCAGGTTGGAATGCACATTTTATACTGCTTTGTCCATCAACCCGCAATATGTAAACGAGCGAAAACGCGAGCGCATCATGAATATCGTAGAAATGCACCGGGACAGCACAATCCCCGAGAGTCCAAATGTCTAAGAACCCCAATCAGAGACTTATTGATCAATCGCTGTATCTCGCAGCGAGAACCTCCTCTTCCCTAAGCGCTGAGTCTTCTTTGAATCGCACGGGCACATAGCTAGGCGACGCGGTGCGCGCCCGCGTGCCCACGCTCGTGGCGCCGCGGCGCACGCACATGGACAGTGCGAGGATGCAGATCACGATGCCCACGACCAGGTTGCCCGCCAGCAAGCCGACGATGACCGGGCTCCACTGGTCCATGCGGCTGACGAGTGTCGAGAGGCTGGAGTCTCCAGAGTCGGAGGTGGTGACGGCATTCCCCACCGACTTGTCCAAGGAGGAAGAAGCACCAGACGACGAGGAGGTATCAGGAGAGCTTGTTCCTCCCGCGCTGCTGTCTCCCAATAGCTGTCTGATTTCTTCAGGCGTCGCCTCTGGGGGTGACTGCGAGAGGGTGTGGAGACGGTTCTTGAAGAATTCCGTCCCATCTTTGACGGGGTTGGTGAGAGGGAGGAGCTGGATAAATGGATTTTTGATAACGTTGCCTTTGCTATCTGAAACGCCGTAGTCGAACCTGTGTATTGAGGGCGGTGGCGATCATCAGCTGAAGTCAATGGAACAAGCGGAGTTGGCTAACAATGCGTAGACATTGCGCAAAAACGCGTCGCCTAAAAGCATATCAAAGCCGGAAAATCCAGTGGGATCTAAGGCATTGGGCTGGTAAGTCCCACCACACAGAGTCCTCGTCGTGTTATCTGACAAGGATACAGTCATAGGAAGTGTCAGATCGAGCGGGTTGATCGCTATCTCCTGACCGCTACACACACGCATTCAGAAACGCCGACAACATACTGCGCATTCAGCGATGTTCAGACGCACCCAAGAACAAGACGAACGTCGGCCGTCGATGTGCATGGCACTGCCCATATGTTTGTTTGTTCGGAGAAGATTGCGCCCGGTATGGAGCCATATATGAAGTCAGATATATACTTGGGGACCAGCGCGTTGGTTGCGCCTGTGTCAAGCACGGCGACAGCTTGACCCTTGGGCACCCCTTTAGAGCTCGAATTCAGTGCGAGCTTCGTCCCGTTGATTGATATGCCCTCGACGATGACCGCCCATCGCGCCAGGTCCAAGTCTCCACCCGGGACTACTCGGGGCTGCCGCGGCGACTTGGCAATGTGCTCGAGGCCCTCAAGATATTCGCTAATCGTGAACGCCCCGTCGGCTTCCTCGCCCTGGTCGCCCTCACGCCCCAGAAGGATGGAGAAGAAGTTGGGCAGCTCAGGATCTTGCATAAAGATGTTAGCAATGGCATTCTGGCCCAACACCGTGTCGTTATGGTTGGCGATCGCAACAGCGTTCGTGATGGGAGATGTACGAAGGCCGTTGAATGAAAGACCAAAGATACCACGAGCTCCTAGGGGGAACAAAATCTGTTCAAACAATGTGACCTTTCGGAGATCGGGTTTGAGTGTCTCTGATAGATACAAGACAAATCATAGACTGACCGACGTCGCATTTACAAACGCTGCGGGTGTACTACTATCAGCTGTTTACACATGCAATACACACCGTGCATTACTCGCCTTGAGATTTGACAGAATAATTCCCGAAGCTGAACGGCGCGAATGCGATGGGACCCTTCGCCGAACCCGTCCCATAGGTCAAATTCACCACTCCTGCATTGCTGAGCTTCAAGTTCTTGAGGGGCGTCTCTGGTAACACCCAGAGATCGGTCGACCCGGTGTCAATCTGCACAGTGATATCTGTCCGGGTACTCAATCACACAGTCCAGATAGAAAAGAGGTATTATGACGAACTCTGTCCGGCTATCGTGACATTGGTCAAATACTGCGGCGAAACGTCAGAATTCCGTTTTCGTCTTTAGTGAGGCCTCTTACCAACAGGTTGCCCCCGTTCATAAGATCGATGGCATCAGGATCGTCTCCTGCTCTCTGGGTGGGATACCTCATCGCAGCGGAAAACCCATGAGACGAGTGCACATCTCGTTTGAGGATAGGTAATTTGATGCCCAGCGAGGGCAAGGCTGAAAGGGCTACGAGGCCAATAGAAAGGAGCGACGAGCCCTTCATAATCAGTGCACGAGAACAGGAACAAAAAGAGAGAATGAGTATCACTACCTTCACCAACATACAACTTTTTTATATGACTTTTGGCGAATCGCAAAATCAAGAGCGCCGGCACGTCGAGACCTATTCGGGAAGATCAGGGCCGTGCAATGGAGTATTTGTGAGGAAGATTGGCGAGGCTTGCGGGCGCTTGTCGGCTAGCAAAAATGCGGTGGAGGCGTTAGTGAGCATCTTGCATAGATGATCGATCTGCGCACGGGCTATATAAATCGACAAGACACAGCTGATGCAGAGCCATACACCAAAGAATGCTGGAAAACATACTGATTCTACTGTAAATTAGGCTCTGAGAGATGGTTGTCTACACGAGGAGATGTGATATCATACCGACACGGCACCTTAGCGCGCATATCGATGCCCCGAGGCGGTGATGTTGATGAAAATTCGGTAGTGAGCGCACGCAATAGCATCAGCGCCGAGGCACATCAACTACCTTTGAAGAGCCAGAATCCGTAAGACCCTACCTCAAAAGTCTGAGCCATAGCTTGGATGGCAATGGTGGTTGAGGCCTAAAAATCGATCAAGACAAGAGCTACAACGATGGTGGGAAGAAGCGACATGCGCTCCCCATCATATTTCGGTATACAACAGAAGAAGAGGGAGCTTACCTTGATCGCGCTCTGGCTTCTAGACATCCCTCGCCGGTCGCAGATTTGGGAATACCGAACGTATTATGCCTTTGGGACAGAATCAACACAGCGTTTCAGGAAATGCACTGCCAGTCAGGGCCCTAGGCGGTGAATTTGGCAGGAGAGCCATCGGAAAGCACGATTCGGCTTGGTGGTTTATGACAGAAAGCACCTTACAATTGCGAGCGTGTTTGTTATCATACCGGATAGTGCTGTGCGCTGATGTTCGAGCGCCAACGCGCATGCGAATCGGGGCACTCTCTAGAGTGAGCACCTTAATACAGCGTCGACGTGAGGCTTTAGCACGAGAGCGGGTAGCTCAAGGTAGCTCAAGCATACGAAGGCAGTAGTGGGGGCTGGTCACGAAAGGTCACGGAGGGCCAAGTTGAGAACTCCCACGATTGATCGAGATCTCGAGCTCTGACCTCCAAAAGATAAGATTAGATCTGGCACCGTCATCTCAACCTCCACCGCCATGTCTCCAATCCCCTTCATCCAACCCATCCTCGCTGCAACCTTCCACTATCCCCTCAAACTCTGTGCAACGACCACCTTGACCACCTACATTCTCTCCCTCGTCACTGGCAATGTTTCTCAAGTTGACCGCGTCTGGACGTTCTTGCCGACCATCTACACCGCCTACTGGGCTCTCTTTCCTCTCTGGTCAAGGCAGAACACGGTCGCGACATGGATCTTCCCTTATGTGCCCGCAGAAGTACCTAATAATCTTGTAAGAGCGTTCAGTCCGAGAGCAGTGCTGATGTTTGGGCTGGTGGTGAGTGACCTCGTAGCTTCAATAGGGGTGTCCCGCGCTTCACACCATTGCAGTTCACTTGGATGTGCAGGCTGTCTTACAATACTTGGAGACGCGGCTTATTCAACCTGTAAGCTCTTGTGTATGCTCCTTAATTAACTCACAAATACTCATTTCTCACTAGTCAAGACGAGGACTACCGATGGGCTGTTCTCCGTACCAAAATCCCAACGTGGCTCTTTCAATTCTTCAATCTCACGTTCATCGGTAAGTTTCTCACCACCACCTCATGTCTTCAACAGTCCATGAAGTTCCGTTGTGCAGCTATAACACAAAACATCCTGCTGCTCCTTCTTGGCCTCCCAACCCACCGCGCTCTCATGAATCCCACGCCCCTCACCCCGACTGACTATGCCCTCTCTCTCGTTGCGCTTACCCTCCTCGCCCTTGAATTCACCGCTGACAACCAGCAGTTCGCGTACCACGCCTTCAAAGCCAGCGAGCCTGGTGCCTACGACACGCGCGCGCAGTGGCCGGGGGCGCGCCTAGGCTGGACGGAGGCGGACAAGAAGAGAGGGTTCGTGACGCGGGGGCTGTGGGCGTGGAGTCGTCATCCCAACTTCTGGTGCGAGCAGTCGTTCTGGGTACGCATCCGCAACCGCGCTTAGCCGTCTTCTGACCGCTCACGTTTTTGACGTGTGCTATTCAATCCTCATTGCAGGGCGTGATCACGCTCTTCCCTCTCCTCTCCTCGCCCACTGCCCCTCTCGCGCTCGCTGATTTCTCGTCCACTTTGTACGCGCTGGCCCCGCTCGCTCCCGCCCTCGCGCTCTGCGTTTTATTCGTGTCCTCGACGGGATTCACCGAGGCTATCTCGCTCTCGAAGTACCCGGAGGCGTACGGTGCGTACCGGAAGCGCGTTGCGATGTTCGTACCGTGGGTGACGCCTGTGTGGGGCGCGCTTTTGCGGGCCGTGAGCTCTCCCGAAGAGGTCGAGAGAGTAGAGAGGTTGGTGTGGGGGCAGGTAGACGAGAAGGAGAAGGTGGAGTGAGCGCGCACGATTTGACGTGGTTATGGACTTCCGACGTTGATGGACAGTATACGTCTCGATGTTATTTCTTGTGTGTACGTAGCGACGTGCAAGTATTCTTTCAATTCCAGTCTAGTCGTACGGAAGAATATATAATCCATAATGATGTGAAGGATAGCAGGTGCGAGGACAGCAAATCGAAAGGAAAGCACAACAAACAACAGATCGGGACTATTCTACAGAGCTGCCTGTCGGGTGGCCGTAATTATCTATGGTATCGAATACGAAGGTCACCCGCAGCGAAAGAAATCAGCCACAAACACGCCAGAAGAGCAACAGCCAAGAACAAGACAGCGAGCAGAAACCGCGGCGCACGAAGAATCTTCCAAACAAGAGAGCACAGTCGCCGAGTATCTTGTAGGCCTTCTTCCAGGCATTCGCGGAACACAGTAACAAGATACTGCGAAACGCGTCAGCGGCGAGATTTCCGTGCAGCGCAGATGCTTACATGGTCCGAAGAGCTCTGATGTCGTCGGCGGGTGGCTTCGCTCAGGAAGAGTTCGTCTTTCAGAGCTCTGGCTTCTTCTTTGGCAGCGGGAATGCCATGATAGAAGCCCTCGTCGTCCTCGGTGCCATAACACGCCATCGCGTCATCGTTCTGCGCTGCCCACGCCTGCCAATCTGTGAACATGGCCATAGATATCACAAAGTCACACCAGTCGCAAAAGGGATTTACAGCAACCAGTCAGCACCATCAAACAAGGCAGCGCGTGTGCTTTACCGAGCTGGACCGGATCTCCGACGAGGGCGCCGTGCTCCTTGACGTACCGGCCGACCGCGTCCTCGCGGTGGTTCCGCACGAAGTACAGCTCCCGCAGATACGCGTCGAAGCGCGGCGAGCGCCAGCTGTCGTCCATGCGCCTCGGCCTCGCACTCTCGCCATTTTGCCGGATGCCGCTCGTGTTGGACTTGGCGTCGTAGAACTTCGCCCTCACGTCCTCGAAGAACGCCTCCCGCACGGCGTTTAAGAACACGAGCGCGCGCTCCATCTCCGCCCGCACCTCCGCCTCCGCCTCCGAGCCCGAGTCGGCAGCGCGCGTCCCTGCGACGTCGCGCATCATCGAGCACACGTACGCCACCAGGTAGTTCAGATGGCGCAGGCGCGGCTGGTACGCGCGCGGGACGAAGATGGCGGGGACGCGCTCTGAGGACGGCGCGTTGTGGTGCGCGGCGCGACAGAACACAGGGTGAGCGTTCAGTGCCGCGTTCAGGGGGGTCACGCAGCGATAGCGCACGCTGCTGATGGATGCTGCGGAGGCAGGGTGGGCGTCCGAGGGATAGGGAACGCGTTTGGCACGCATGGGATGCCGTATGTTGGCCATTAGCTACCATGAGTACGTCGGAGCCTGTTCGCGAGTGAGTTTGCGCGGAGTCAAGCGGCAACCTAATATAACCTGGATCGGAGTCCATGGACGGCACGGCACTCTGTCTCCGATTACCGACACAGAAAAAAGAACATTCGGCCAAGGTTGCTACTGCAATCGTTTGTACTACTTGGATGCTCGAAGGTCCCTTGGGCCTTGCCACACCTGGACCAAGATCAGCTAGAAGCTAATGTCTGGATATAGGGAGCTGGTGCTACTGATCTCCCGTTTCCTCTGTGACATGCCCAGCCGCAAAGTGGAGGCTAGATAGAGTAGCCTGAGGGAAACCACTGAGTGAATCCCATATTGTGTGCTTGAGGGCGACGAGGAGGAGAATGGCGATAGGATATATACCCTAGTGGCCAATTAAGCGTTGTCATGCCAGGGCTCGAAGATGACGAAAAAGATACTCGCCGCGATATGAGTGCTTATCGGCCACATGTGTTGGCTTAGAGGGTTATGACCAGGAAGGCAAATAGTCCGACAGGAGGTGAGTATGACCTGCCAAATCGTCAAGAGCTTGTCTCTCAAAATATAGCACTCGGACTCACATTGGCCAAACAGTAAAGCAGACTAGACTCTATGACGAGAATTAAGATCTTTTCGACCTGTGTTCGCCTACTGCTCTGTCCCAGGTTACTCATGAGGGATTGCCTGTGTCTCCTAACGAACAAAGGTACTCGTTGAGAACTAAGGAAGATACATTGTTCACATACTCACCAAGCAGTGATTCCAATTGAAGATATAGCAACCACGTTAATCAACAAAGATAGCCCCAAACCGACATAAGCCATGATATCACCCATATCATCACAAAACGCGATGTCTTCAATGAATTTCGCAGTGCATCCTACGAAAACGATCGCTACCGCTGTCATTCCAGAGCGTTGTTTTCGTTCCATGAAGATCTTATTGAGTGCTCACCCACACCACTGCTTGACAGAAAGAAAAAAAAAGTATTTTGCACTTGCTACCCTGCCATAACACGCATGCCCTCCAAACGACGACACAGTCACTGAGAATGAGCTAGGAAAGCGAGAATTTTGACATCAGAGATACTTCAAACGGATCCATACAAGCCACGCACATTGATCACGAATACGCACTGAGCTGCATTGTACAAAACACCGGATGATTGATTTAATTCAAGTGCTATGCTCTTAGGAGACCTTGTAGGGTCAGATAAATATACAATCATTTCGACCATGGAAGCCAGGTCTAGCGCCCAGACAGTGCTCGAGATCGCGAACATGCACAGGGTTATAGCCAACATGGCTATATTTGCCTTTTCCTTGGTTTTCTGTCGCCTGCTCATTGTCAATCCCTTCCTCCCTCAGCAATGAACAGATATTTTAACGTACAAAAAAGTGTTTGTCGAGAAGATAATGAGAGCCACGAAGATTCCTAGAGCAAGTCCAGGTCATTTTCTGCGTCTAAACAAGTGGAAACGAGCTACTTGCCATAGAATACACTCTGAATCATAGCTCCCACGGTTGCATTATTTGAGATAGCGCCGGAGAGGTGCCAAAATGCGAGGTCAGTCGAGGACATTTAGCATTCGGTGGAGTCAACCAAGCAGCATATAGTGAGTATGAGTTGAAGGGGAGGATTATGGTGTATACATGGAAGTTTGTTGGTCAGCTGTCCTGAATCATCGTGAGGTTGATGTATCAATGATGGCTGTCAATGTCTGCTAGAGCATCAAAAATATATATAGCTATGCATATCAGTCGAATAATGCGAGTGTACACAGAGCAAGAATTAAGGAATATTATTGTTGACTTGACCCTGAGCCTAAACGGAGCAGAAAATGGACGCTTAAATACTGTAGACCTGTGTCGAAGAGGCAAAGATTCAGCCTATTTTTGGTCTAAGGCAGTAGGAAGCATGATGCAACAGACGACCGCGACCAGAAATACGTAGCGGGTATTAGGGTCTCCATTAAGATAACCAACGTTTATCGAAGAGAGCGCTTGAAGAAAATTAGCCTTCAAACTTAGACTACTGTCTCGCCTGTATGGTTTTCTAAAGACTGGATGACGGTGGAAGGTCCGTGATCTCTTGTGCCTTCCACTGTGTCTCGTGTGGAATTAAATAGGATGGACGATAAAAGGCTGGGAGTCATGCCACCCAGAGAATCCCATGATATGCTCTCGAATGTGACGAGGAGGAGGAGGAGTGTGGGATAGATACCCTGATCATGAATGACCAGTCAGCTCCTTCGAAATTTCTAGGTCAAGGTTACTTGCGGAAATATGTGTGGTCATCGGCCACAGGTATGTACCTCCGTCGAAGTCCCCAAGACCGGGCCATATGAATAAGCAGGCGAAGGGTATCATCTGGTATACTCATAAGGGACAATTGCCTGGAGAACATAAGGTCAGACCCACCAATGTCGAACAATACAATACATTGGACTCGACCAAAAGAAGTAACATCTTCTCGCCCTGCTTTCTTTCACTGCCGCGTCCAAAGGTGGCCCTGATCATCAGCCTGTGTCTCCTAAAAACAGCGCTGAGCATTGAAGGCCTACTCAAATGCCTGCTGAATGACTGACCATGCTGTGATGGCAATCAGAAGCATTGATGTGAAGTTTGTTGTGAAAGAAAGCACCAAACCACCATAAGAGGCGTAATTGCATAGCGTGTTGTTTTTGAAGATTTTACCAGTGCATCCAATGAACATGATCGCTGAAACTGACAGAGTAAAGTCAGAATAATTGTTATTAACGACACGAGAAATATTTCTCACCTGTAGTAGCTCCCAGAAAACCCAATATTATGACGATCACGATCTTGCTACCGGCCCAGAGCAAGGACGCCCGCCAGACCATAACGCTGTCGCTGAGGATTAACTAAAAAAAGTTCAGCGAGTGATAAGGGATTCAGTTGTCCGTTATGAAGTGACTCATACATTGACCACAAACATGGCCGCGGCCGATCCGCTCAATGCATGGAATCTGCCCTCTGATAACTGCCCAGGACCGGAAAAGGTCTCGATGAAGCTTGCCAGCGACAATGCTAAGACACCGCTCGACATTGTAAACATGAAGAGCGATATGAACAACATGACTATGTTGACTTTGGATTGTAATCCCTTCCGCCTGAAGGCAATTCATATTCACCAAAGCACCGAATGTGAGACATGGAGAGCTCACATAATTGTATACGTTGTGATGATTATGAGAGCCACGTATATACCTAGAGAATAGACGAATCAACCTCTATGCACTCGGGGTGTGAGCGAGATGCGCGCCATAAACCACGCTTTGAACAGAAACCTCGATGACAGGCCCTGTAATGACATGTCGAACGTCGAGGCCAGTGGCGGACATTCGGTGGGTTTCACTTGACGAAGCAGATGCGAAGGAGGATGTAGGAACTGATCACACAGTCATCCTGTTATATGGGTGGGTGAGTGAGTCATCATTACTGTCAGATTGCTGGAGAATCCACATAGCGTACGGCAGTGCACGAGCGGACAGAGAAGAAGAGAATGGATGATCATGATGATTTCTATTTTAGGAGTAGCCGGTGGCTCCAGAGACGTCGCTCCTTCCATCCACAGACAGAGAAAATGGTGAGGAGTTGTGAGGACAAGGGTTGTCATGCCAGACATATGGGAGGGGCGGAAGTATCCCTCTAGGGACAAAGCAGCTGCACAACTTGTTTGAATCGAAGTTGAGGGGCAGATGACTCAGAGCCCGGAGAGGACCTGTAGCCAACAAAAAATTGAAGGTGTCCCGATGTAACCTCCGGAGCGGCTATAGTCATAGAGGAACAGTTCCGGGAGGCGAAGTATCAGTACACGTCGACGAGGATTCTCTGAGCACATTATAGCAAAAGGCATATTGATGGATGCTTCGATATGAAAGCAGAAGAAGTGTAACGACACTGGCAAAAGGTCCTGGGCTTGACACCGATTAGGCCCGGTGTGTACGAGCTTCGAGATCATCTAACCACAGTTGTAAGAGAAAATATAGCGCGGTGCTGAGCAAGTACGCGACCTACTAAGTCAGAGCCTCATCTATATCACCGACAAGGATGCACCAGTCGTTCACACATCAGCTAGCCAGCTGATCACGTCCCAAAATAATCCTACAAAAATGTTTCATTGCACAGTACAAGTATGCCTTGCGAAGCGCCGCAGTGATTCCGCAAGGACATGCACAAAATTAGTATACATCAAGAGTCTTCTGCAGAGGTGCACTCTATACACCGAGTATGTAACGATGTTCCTGCGATGACATCACTGGCCGGCTACACGCTGGCTTTTGTATGCGAGAGATGGAGGCGGGAGGGCTGACAAGGTGGCGAGGGGGTGTGAATGTCGAGGTATGTGTCCAATGATATGGAAGAGGGTGGAGGGCGGCGAAACAGACACTCATTCCGTGACGGCATGCTGCTGTGCACGGTGTTCGCGGAGCAAACGATCCAGCGCCTCCTTCTGTCCGACGGCAAGCTCACCGGACTGGATACCGGAGTGATAGACACGCAGGAGCGAGTCGACGTCGTCCATGGATTGTGTCCGGACATCAGCGAGCTCCTTGATTTTGGCGGTGGCGTCTTTGATCTCCTCGTCGGTCAACTCCAAGCCTAGCTGCTCAACACGAGACTTGACCGCGTTCCAACCGGTTAGACGGTGTCTACGATTGAGAAAATCAGAAGGGAATGCTGATAAAGTTGCATGACAGGCCTACCCAATGGAAACGTAGCGGGTGAGACCGAAGTCCTCGGGCTTGAGGATTTCGTATGTGCTAGGATTGTTGAGGATAGCCTTGGCATGGATGCCAGCCTTGTGAGTGAATGCACAGTAGCCACTAAGACATGATATTAAAAAAGTGTATAGCGCTGGATTGGAGGGTGACATACGTGATGGGGTTCATGAATGGAACGTTGACCTCGACGGCTTCGGCGACGAGGTTCTCGATTTCACGAAGTAGGGGAAGATTGTACTTGGCCTTGACATACTCAGGGTTGGCGGCGTACATGCATGCAACGAGACCGCCAAGGGACGTGATACCGACGCGCTCGCCAATTCCGAGAACGGCTGTTTTTCGAACAATTGTCAATGATAGATTGAGGATGGATTAACTTGACTTACAAGTGTCAATATGAGTAGCGCCAGCCTCGAGTGCGGTATATGCGTTAGCAATGGCTACATAGGAAGAAACACTAATTAAACGATGCCAAAATGACAGGAAACCATATTCGACGCACCCATGCCTGTATCGTTGTGCAGATGGATCTCAATATCACATCCCACGACGCCACGGAGAGTCCGCACGAGGTCATATACTTGTCTTGGGTTGGCACCACCGACGGTATCCGCGATACCTACGCGATTGACACCGATCTTGTCGACGGTCTGGTAGATAGAGAGGAGGTCGACAAGGTCGGAGCGAAAAGAGTCCTCAGTCGAGAAGCGAACTTCAATGTTCTTGGACTTGACAAAGTTGATGACCTCGATGGCAGTCTTGGTGATGTAGGTCATGTCCTTCCCGTGAGAAAACTCGCGGAGGAAGGAGGAAGTGCCGATGACGACGTCGACACCGTCGACACCTATTATAGAAAGTATTATTAGATAGATTTACGTGACAATTCAATCGACAGAGAAACTGTGGGCGTATTACTTACCAGTCTCGACGGCGATCCGGGCATCATCCATATGACACCGAATATGTGTGAGGATTTTGGCCTTCAAGCCGAGCTTGCAGATGGCCTCGCAGTCGAGACGCGACTGCTCTGACGCAGCGGGTGAGGTGAGTTCGATGTACTCGACGCCAAATGAGTCAAGAGCCCTGGCAATAGCAATTTTGGTCTTGGTGTCGAAGAAGGCGTTAGCAAACTGCTCCCCCTCTGCGGACACGCCGATGAGTATTCTCGTGTCAATACTAGAGGCAGAAGGAGGATCGGAGCATACCTCGGAGTGTGGATTCAATGATCTTGAAGTTGGAGACATTGTTCAGGAAGTCGGCAGCGCGAGGAGCGTAGGGGTTTCGACGCTGAGCCTCAGACACATGGTGGGCGGTGCCGTTAGTGCCATTGCGAGTGTTTTCAATACCAACCATTTCACTGGTACCGCTGGGAGGGGCGCCACCGTTTGCGTGAGGGCACATTGTTGTTTTGCGGGAAGAAGGAGTGGAGGTAAAGATTTATGGAGTGAAGAGGTTTTTGAAGCTGAAAAGTGGAGGTCATAAATCTTCGAGTCATGCCTTCTCGGCAGTTGCCGTGTCCTATGACGCTCATATCCCGGCCGAAACTACGGATATCACGGCCGAAACATGATAGGCTGCTATGTCGTGAAGCCTCCAATGGCAACAACCAGTGCTGCGTTGGTGATTTGTCGCTGATTCTCAATTGGTGTACAGTTGCCAACATCAAACGGTTGAACGCTGTCGTGGAAACTAAACTTGAGGAAATCAAATCCAGCATGAAAGGCCACAGATTGCCATTTCGCATGATTGACACCAAGTGGTCGAGGATAGGGCGATTGATATTAGTTTTGTTCTCCATCGCTCATGGTTTCACTATGGTTTCTGACCGCTCTCCAGGATAGCTCCCTGTGAAATATGAGGTCAACTAGGTCCATAACACCCCGCCCTCTTCGGTACCAGCCAAGCTGCTTTAGGGGCTACGCAAAGTGGTGCGCAATCTTCGTCGCTACTGTATACTATGCGGAATAGATAATGCCAGGACTGGCTCATCTTCCAATTATGGGATTGCTTGTCGACGCGCTAGCGCACAAGATAACCATGAGAGGCCATATATATATAAGTGCTTAAGAGGGTGGTTGGAGGCGCTAACATTAGGCTCGCTGGCTCGATGCAAATGCAGTGGTTTTGAGTTCTAAGCTGATGGTAGACTAGATTCAGGTCATAAAGATGATTGTATGGAGAACCTGCATTGACCGAAGTGTTGCTATATATTCCTTGGCATTCGAGTGAAGTTAGAATACGAATCGGACCTACATTAACTAATGTCCAGATTCATCTGCGGATAGAGCACTGGACTAGAAAACGGCTCACGCTTGAAATGGAGGTGCGAGTAGTAGACATTGGATTAAAAAACATCACCCAGATGACTATTGTTCAGATCTTCAGATAAGGTACACAGGTGAATCGAGAGAGAATAATGCAGCCTACGATTATACAACACGCTTCTCGCACCTCGTCTCATCGTGCACGGCCTCACAATTCAGATCGCAGTACGGCATCGCGCACTTCTTACATTTGTATCTGCCCCAGTAGCCGCACACTGAGCAAAGAAGACGCGGAGGCTCCCGCGGCGGGGCTGTCACTGCGGTGAGATACGTGGGTATGTGAGCAGGGTGATCCGCTATGCGCTAGATACGACGGTGAAAGATAGCAAGGGGGAATGACAAAAGGGTGACCGACCGATTCCTCTACCAACTCGGCCAGTTTCTTCCTGTAAAGAACAGCAGTACGGATGTTCATCGTGGACTTTTTTCGCTTCGCTCCCGGTCCAGTGCCACTGATATTGCGCTTGTCGGAGATTGTCTGCCGAGCACGGCCTTTGGCGGTCTTCCCAGGGCCATCCTCGTCATCTTCGATGCCCGCAGAGTGTTCAGCATAGTTCGACCTCTGGCAAACCGAGTAAACAGGAGAGATCTGATGGATCAGAGAACGATGCGCACCTCCAGTTCAGCCAAGTGCCTCTTCGTGCGTTTTGCTAGGACATCCGCGCCAACCTGGAACTGGGCGGTAGAATGTGCCTGTCTCGCCGCTGCAGGATGCGGAAAAAGCAAAAGATATCGTATGATGAATGACAAACCTCCCGAGCAGGATATAGCTAAGAGAGCACAGACGCTGGTGTCGTCTGGGAGCCATCAGCCCCCGTAATCATCGGCCGAGCAAGCAAAGTAGTATAAGTAAAGCGAAGGGGAGGCGATGAGAGCGGTTGCCTCGTTTGCTGATCTGAATTGCTCAGTCATCTCGCCATCGGGTCTCACGCCCTCCAACACTCGTATTTCTCCACGTTCTCGTTCCACCCTCTGTACACTAAACTTCACTCCGCATTCCAACAAGGGGGACGTTTGTATCGTCTATAATTCTTATTTTTGCCATAGATGCCGCCCCAAATCAATTCAAAGGCGGAGGGCATCTTGATCCCTTCGCACGACCTCCCGACCCCCGAGCCCGAGTCACCACTTCGCCCCCGCCAACCCTACCGCTTTGCGACTCTCTGTGCCACGGTCGAAAATCCGGACCGGAAAGACCAGTACGGCTCAAGCTCTGTGCCTATCTACCAGACGTCCACATTCAAGGGCATCGGCGGAGAGTATGATTATACCAGAAGCGGGAATCCGACCAGAAGTCACTTGGGTCAGTCATATTCTTGATTACTGCTATGGATGTTGGCTTTCGACGTACCCATGACCGTACGATGAGGCGCTGTCTTTCTTTGATTGGTCGGGTCTTCAGGAAGGGGGATGCATTATGAAGTGAATGCAGATCAACTACTACATCTGGTCATCGACAGCAACGCGCTCTCGTGGAGGCTTCTATCCCCGTGAACATGAATCACTGATTCTATGTTTTCCGTAGAACATCACATCGCGAAAATATCATCTGCTTCTCATGCTTTCGCGGTCTCGTCCGGCATGGCCGCTCTGGATGTCATCCTCCGCCTCCTCAAACCCGGAGACGAAGTTATCGCCGGTGATGATATTTACGGCGGAACCAACCGTCTTCTCGGATATGTGAGAGAGCACGTCGGTGTTATTGTTCACCATGTCGACACCACAGATCCCACCACACTTCACGCGCACATCAAGGCAGGCAAGACCGCCATGGTCCTACTTGAGAGCCCTACCAACCCGCTTCTTAAAATCGCCGACCTTGCGACGATCGCTGCAGATGTGAAAGAGCGCGCCCCCGACGCGATCATTGTGGTCGATAACACAATGATGAGCCCATACCTCCAGCGGCCACTTGAGCACGGTGCGGACATCGTATACGATAGTGCGACGAAATATCTAAGTGGACACCACGATCTTATGGCTGGGATCATCACCTGCAACCGTGATGACATTGCCAAGGTTGGTTTGAATCTTCATGTATCTATTGATGATGGGCGCTGACGAGGGGCTTCGGTCTTCAGCAAATGGCATTCGTGATCAACTCCATCGGAAACGCGCTCACACCTTTCGACTGCTTCCTTCTCCTTCGTGGTGTCAAGACTTTGGCCATTCGGATGGATAGGCAGCAGACCACTGCTATGAGTGTTGCCAGCATGCTCGACCGTTTGGGGTTCAAAGTGCACTATCCAGGTCTGGCCAACCATCCCGGCAGAGAAATCCATGAACGCATTGCAGATGGGTATGGTGCCGTGCTCAGCTTCACGACTGGAGACAAAGCCTTGAGCGAACGCATCGTCGGCGCCACCCGCCTGTGGGGTATCAGTGTTAGCTTCGGATGCGTTAACTCGCTGATCAGCATGCCATGTGTTATGTCGTGAGTGGCTCATTTCTCGTTGTCTTCGTCGTGTGCACGATCTCACCCTGCCCATGTACCCGTAATCAGGCACGCCTCCATCGACGCTGCAACGCGCGCGGAGCGCGGTCTTCCAGAAGACCTCATCCGCCTGTGCGTCGGTATCGAGGACCCCGCTGACCTCATCGATGATCTCGAACGCGCACTGCTCGAAGCTGGTGCGATCACGGTCTCCGCCGGTGCGGACGAACAACAGTTCGTGAGGGCTTCGTTGAGGGAAGGCGTTTCGATCAGCCGTGCGGTTGAGAAGCTGGCCTTCAACGAGAACAAGCGCCCGCTGGAGAATAGGGAGTGGTTCGTGAGTGCTCCGGGCAAGGTCATCCTTTTCGGAGAGCATGCTGTCGTGCATGGTGTGGTAAGTGCGATTTTTGGATTGGCTGAGCTTGTTGGCCCTGAGAGCTGATGTCACGATGCATGGAAACGCCCTACTGACATGTTCCGGTCGTTCTATTGTTGTGTAGACTGCTGTGGCGGCGTCAGTGGACCTGCGCTGTTATGGACTAACTTCGCCACGGCATGACGGCAAGATCTGCGTTAATTTCGCCGATATCGATGACTTTACCCACGAGTGGGTTTTGGACGATCTTCCGTGGGATGCCGTCACCTCCATACGTGTGGGGGACAAGCACCCCGAACTCCTGGATCAGAAGCTCGTAGAAGCTATCATCAAAAGGGCTTTGCCTGATGATATTGAAGCTAAGGCGAAGATGGCCGCGGTTGCGTTCTTATACCTTTACATGGTAATGGCCCACGGTGGCGAGAGGTGAGGGCATAATACCACCATTTAGTTTGTGTCGTGCTAACTCAGTTTGATTCTAAAGGCCCTCATTCGATTTCTCTGTGAGATCCACCCTGCCTGTCGGCGCCGGCCTTGGTTCTTCGGCGTCCTTCTCTGTTTGTGTAGCCACTGCGCTGTTGCTACTTCACCAACGTATCTCCCTTCCCCCTCTTCCTCCCCCTGCTCGCGAGCCCGACACGAATGATCCGGGGCATATTCATATTTCTCACAAGGGCCGAAGGGCCCTCCCTACCGACATTGCCGAAGAAGCCAATCTGTGGGCTTTCGTGGCCGAGAAAGTCTTGCACGGAAACCCTAGTGGGGTTGACAATTCCGTGTCAGTGTACGGAGGCGCTTTGGCCTACACTCGTCCGGGCTTCTCTCGTAATAAAGGCGGAATGGAAGCCATTCAAGGGTGAGTGAACATTAAGCCGTATTCCCCGGTTGAATTTCGCTTTTGTATTAACACTGTTGGCCGCCACAGATTCAAGTCTCTCAGGTTTTTGCTAACCGACTCCAAGGTCCCGCGCGATACAAAGCGCCTGGTGGCAGGCGTTGCTGCGAAGAAGCTTCAAGTTAGCTCTTGTTCCTCGATCTGGCATCGTTGTTGTGGATGTGCTGATTAACCGTGAATCTATCAAATGTCACAGGAGCCGGAACTTGTGGATCATATTCTAGATCAGATACAAAGTATCATCGACGAATCTCGACGTGCCCTGTTGGACCCTGAGCTACCCAGGGAATCATTGCTTTCAGCGCTTTCTGTAAGCCTTTCAGGGCAGCGTTGATGAATTGCTCTGATACCATGTGTCCGACCAGGCATTGATTGACGAGAACCATGCTCATCTGGTCGCTCTTGGTGTATCCCATCCTGTGCTGGAAAATATCAGGGCAACGACCGCTGCGCCACCGTACTCGCTTAGTACGAAGCTCACTGGCGCTGGCGGAGGTGGATGCTCCGTTACACTCGTACCTGATGGTGAGTCGCCTGAACTCAAGGATTATGAGCGCCAATGCTTAAATTTAATCCATTCCCAGATATCAACGAGGCTGTCCTCCGCGAGCTTATGGACTCCTTAACAAGCAGCGGCTACGCAACGTATTTGACATCTGTCGGGGGGAGTGGGCTCGGAGTCTTATCTCCTTGGACCGACATTTACCGAGGTCCGGTGACTCCACCGGAGTCAAGGGATGAGATTGCGGAAGGTACAGCTCAGGACAAGCACAGGGACTCGCTCCGGAAGGCGTTCAATGAGCAGTCGATCACGAAGCTGACGGAGTGGGCGGATGGGAGGGGCAGGTGGTTGTACGTTTAATAGATTTCGGCGGCTTCAAACCGCGAACGCATAGATTGCACATTACCCGGTGCTTTTACTATGCTGTGTATGATATCAGGGACGACGTTTTCGATGGCGTTGCGCTGTCATCCCAATTGTGTTCAAGGGTCGTTCTCGGCGTTTCCGGTAACTTTGATGCAAACGATAGCCATGGCAGATGAATGTTCAAGTCGAATGGCCTTATCGCTTCGAGAACTACAAATCAGCCAAACTGCATATGTTTGATGCAACGAGTTAGAAGGGGCTACGACGGACGCGCCACATAATAAATCTCGAAGATCTTGAAGCTTAAGTGGCCAGACTCCTTGAAAGGAAAAGGAAACATTGAAGCGATGAAGTCTTTACAATATGTTTACGAACTGCACGGTGTTAAACCTATTATCGATACATCTTGATTAATTAAGTGCCCCTCGACTAACCCACGAAAAATGTAATTATAGAGGACATTAAGCGCAGAAAGGTAAGGTGAAAGATGATAGAGGCAGAGAAATCTTTGAGACAACGGTGTTCACCTATCCGTGCCGGTGATGCTGTCAGCTCAGGCTGCAGGGCTCAAATGAGGTGAGTGAACGTACAAATTAGGCTTTGCACGGCTTGAGAGTGACTAGGCGCGTGCGCTTGACATCATCGTGCCGAGGACCGAAGTAACGATTGGTTTCGAAACTCCACTCCAAGTTCCCGATGGGCCAGTTTTGCAAAGCTCGGACATAGAGCGCGACGTCAGCATCGACTGCTGCGCCGAATGACGGCAAACGGCTCCTGTCTGTGAGGTAGCGTTCCATCAAGCCCTTGTAATATTCTCCGATGTAGTCGCTAGCGCCCTGCAGGTCGAAGCCCCGAGAGTTCATGAGGACGGTGACGATGTTGTTTCCGGTGTGACCCATGGCCTGCTCCATGTTGTAAGAGTAGACGTCCTGATGAGAAGCAACGTTTCAGCGACGATCAACGCAGGACGTCACTGAGGAGGCTCACATTCGAACAGCAGACCATGTCTGCGGCTGCCCAGTAAAGGTTCATGAAATTCGGATCTTCGAAGACCTCATCGGGGAGGTCGATGCCGAGCGTATATTCGAAAAGACCGAAGCACAGGCGGATTGCACTGTTCTCCCGACGCAAATGTTTGTAAGACTCTTCATCGAGAACTTCGCCACGTTCACGGTACTCTGCCTCCTTCGCCACACAGTCAATATAATCTTCGCTATGCTTCAAGAATCGACGAAAGGAGTTGGGGCCTGATGAACGGAAAAGGCGTGCGCGGAATCTGGAATCATTGTGAAATGTAAGGCGAATATCCATGGATGTCATTGCAAGCACTCACTCTCGCGTTATCTGAGCCAGTTTTGAACCGTCATCCCATTCGGGGTCGCGCATGACATTGAGGTAGACCTCGCCCGTGCGCCGCGCGTCTGCGCCGTTCTGTTCGTCGCTGATTTCGTCGACGACAAATAGAAGATTGATAAAATCGCAGCATGTGCGGAATTCATCGTAGCCAGCATGTGGATAAGTGTGCGAAACGAGGAGTTCGTTGCAGCCTTGGATGAAGAAGGCACGCTTCCTGTCGGTGAAGACATTGAAAGAGTTGATCCAAGCCCTTGATTCGGCGGCGCCCCGCTTATAGTGAGGGTTGGTTGACCCCTTGAATGGCGTAGAGAGAGCGAGAAGATCCGGAAGATAGAACTGGCTGGTGATAGCAGGCATTGTCGCAGCAATGAAGATGTGTATAATCAGCAAAGAAGAGCGGGTGCAGTCGAAAGGAGGATGGAAGTGTAGTGCTGGACATTGTGTTGCACCGACTTTTATACACGAGACGTCCAGCTGTATGGGGTAAACACCAGTCAGACGTATGTTTTACAAGTCCACTGTCGAGATTGGATCTGCATACCAAATCACAGCTTGACACCCGACGATCTCAGATCCACCTTCTGTAAGAGTCAGAGAATTATGATGTGAGCGCCACTTCCTGAATCCCGGACACTCAAGGTGGATCGAGTCGGGGGTGGACCCGTGCCTGTGTCCGCAATAGTCTACGCGAATCGGTCATGGAACAATGAAGAACGTGGAAAACTGGCGCTCTTACCTCTTTCTCTGCGATAGAGGCGGGGCTGCTAGCATCTCAGGGGTATTGCATCTGTTCCACCTCGAAAGTTTGGCAGAGCTGATGGAGACGGAAGACGGATGAGCCGTCACAGCAATGTAGTTGTGACTGTACCGCATCAATTGATAAATCCCTAAATCGCCGAACGAGTCCCCCTGCGCAAGTCTGAATAACTAACTATAAAGCAGAGTAGTTTATCCCCTCGTATTTGATTGCCTTTGCAGGAGTTTCGAAAGGGGGCTGTGCCTATAAGCGCTGAGCGCTGAGCGAGAGCATTGGACCAATGTTGATGGCGTTAAGAGGGCGGTACTACGGTGGCGCGGGCTCGAAACCTCCGGATTGAATCGTAGAGGGGTTGAACTACACATCCGGATAAGTGTAAGTTGTTTGTAATATCGCAGGCATGGTACCAGTGGCGTCTACAAATCGATGCGCAACTAAGCCGATCCCGTTGATAAGATATCCTCCAGATTTAAGACTCTCACCGTGCACTCACCTGGTTTCAAGTAAGCAAAATCACCAAAAAGGAAGGTGTACAGCCTGTCCTAAGACTCCGTCTATGACGTAGTCACATTTTCAGGCTGAGAATCCGGTTAGGAGGCGCCCGGGTGCTAGGAATGTAGCATGCAGTCAAAGACGCTGACCACGGATATAATCTGAGCAGTGCCGTGAGCTTAACTGGTTTGGAGACAAGGAAGAACTACCGTCTGTGCCATCGAGTTTCGTGATCGAGCTCAAGAAAATGAGGTTGAGATGAGTGATATGCAACAATTTTGTCTATGCAGGGACACCGTGAATGGCCGTCAGTATAGCTCACGAGATTCGAATGATTTTGAAACATAATTATACATATGATTCACCCTCGCTCAGCCATGTTTCGCGACATGAAGAATTCGCAAATGAAGGGTGTCGAGACCTTTCTTCCAGGTGGAAGGCAACCTGTGACAGGGTGATGCTAAGATGTGGAGACAGTTGAGAGGGATGAAACAAACGAACACTGACACCGCACGCAACCTACTTGAACTTGAGACAGATGGTCATGTCGGTGTCAACGATTGTTGCAGTCCGAATGCTGTGCGAACTTGACTTGCACAGCGTCTACGGGAATCAAAACGCAGAAGAGTGCTACGTCAATGATATAAAGGACCATGCAAAGAATCTACATCTGTTGGACATGACCAGTGTTTGAGTACTAACAGGAACATAATGGTGGCGCGACCCACAGTGAACATTGTGGTGAGATATGGCCCTGCATCACTAAGTAACAGGGGCTTGAACGTTGTTAACCGAGAACTCGAGGCATGATCCTAAAAGACTCTCATAAAGATGCTCCAAATAATTTTGATCTCCAGGATATTGTTGGTATCCCCAACAAAAATGCTACGGCACCGCCATCATTGAGCATCCACCACTCGGGACGAGCTGGCTGGCACCTGCTAAGCGCTCGTAGATACTTTGTGAGCGCTTCCTGAGAAATAAGCCTGAAACAAAGATCTTTATGGGCCGAAGATAAGATTTCGTGATGATGTCACACTTGGCCATGTAGAGACTGGAGCAGTTTAAGATTTGCGCAGATAATTCTGAAGGATTTCTAGAATCGCTGAATATGCAGTTAATATTACGAACCCTCACCTCAGGCCTTGAGCAGAATCACCTGAAGAAAAAAGACAATGATAGAAGGACTTCTCAGTGGATATGTCTATGAGTCGAGATTTTTTTTGTGCTCGCGGTTCATAGCGAGCGCTAGATCCGGTCGCTGAAGATTTCTGGCGTTCACCCTGCATAGCTGTGCAGCGTTAGTGAGAATCTATGCTTAATGAGCGCAAAAGGCTTTTTGCACCCCCCAAAAGGAACCATTCATGCAAGCCCTAAGATGGGGCGCCCTAGCGGAAGTAAAGAAAAATGGAAGTGCCTGTCGAGGACGCAACGGGGTTTCACGGAGAAATATACCAAGCATTGAGATTAATGATAAGATTGACCAACTCACTCACTAATGTTCGATAAGGACATCCAATTCTACAACAGACCGTAGAGAGGATAGTATGGTCCTCGAAAACCTGTGCGTGGTGATGGTGGCAAATAGTCTACACGCGGAGTCGAAACAGAGGCAGTACAGGAGACTAAGATCGACGGGACCAGCAAATTATGCGATCTAGAATACTAGCCCTACGCAGCATCGAGCGGTGCTCGAAGGGAGGCATGGTTCAGAAACAGATGCGATAGCTGGCGTAGCGACCGCTCGTCTCACTCGGCCTGGTAATTTTGACGACTTGTCCGCGTCGGAGACCATAGTATCGTGCGATGGGATCTGCGATTTGGATACGTGGTAGCTGTGTTTCTTTCAGGCGACTATAACACCAAATCACTCGCACATCACGTCTATGGCAATCAAGATGAAAGCACACGCACTATCGGTCCAGGAGGAGTTTTTTTTCATCGACGGTAAGGACCTCGTGGCGAGGTACAAGCCTGTGATGTGTGATGTTCACGAGAAGGTCGGCTTCGGCGAATTCTTCCAGCTTGAATTTGTTATGCATAGCAAGGATAACCTATCCATATATCATAAACGCATATTGTTGAGCTGGGCGCAAATCTGCGGACCTTGCGCGCGGAGGAGGTCATGGTGCCCGGAAAGATGATGATACCGCGTTCAATTTTTTTCTCATCAAGGATGCTGAGGAGTCTGGAATGACGTTAAAATGAGGGGTTCATGAGCTGAGAGAACGGTATACGGACTTTCGCATTGTTTTGACGCCAACACTCTTTTCGTCAGAAAAGAACACGAATATCTGATCGCTGGAGTTTGTCCGTGAATTCGTGAAGAAGTTCAATTGATTTCGACTGCGGAGATGATATTTAATGGATGGCAGATGAGTGAATTGGCAAGCCACACGCACTCGACACTATCTCCGCTGTTCGCATACAGCGACTTAAATGTGGCCAAATCCATGTTGATTTCATCGTCCGAGACTTGGAAGCCCTGTAGAAGGATAAGGATTGAGATCGTCATATTATACATTGCTGGGATTTACTGACTCTGTCCTTGACGAGTTCGTGGATCGTTCGATTGACCTTCCATAGTTTTGCAGCGTCGTCGCCATCAGACATGGCAGGAGAAGGTCAAAAGTGATTCGGACTCCGCACGCGATTCTCAAACGCGTCTTTCATTGTTCGAGGTCGTTCCTCGATTTACACTCTTTCCTCAAGGCCCCAATGGCTCCGTCTATACCTCCACAAGCACCGACACTCGTCTTGACGCCGGCATTGATGGTACGAGGACTGCCTTTTCCCAGTCAATCTACTCAGCTTCTGCACAGAGCAAGCTAAAGCCCGCAAAAATATTCAAGACCGCAGTCGACCCCGCAGCCTCGCCAACACCAGGAGGTCGGTCACCGCCCAACCAAGGGATTCGACACATAACTGGCATCTCGTTTGACGACAGAGGGGACCAGCTCATCACCGCTGCAGAGGACGAGACGTTTCGTCTATACAACTGCAAAACCGGAAAGCAAGTTCTTTCCACGCGTTACCACCCATTATAGCCTGTTCCAACTGAAGCAGCATTCCAGACCTATCAAAACACTATTTTCGAAGAAGTATGGTGTCGATCTACCCCGTTTTACGCACAAAAACACAGCCATCATACACGCGTCGACGAAGGAGGATGATACCGTCCGATATCATTCTCTGCATGACAACAAATACTTGCAATATTTCAAGGGCCACAAGCAGCGTGTGATCTCACTTGAGATGTCTCCCGTAGATGATACATTCATGTCTTCATCTATGGACCACACCGTGCGACTGTGGGACCTCCGAGCTCCGACATGTCGCGGTCTGCTTAACCTTCCGGCACCCTCCATAGTTGCCTATGACAGTAGTGGTGTCGTCTTCGCCATTGCTGTCAACCACTACTCCCGTATCCTTCTCTACGATCACGCCAACTTTGACAAGGCACCGTTTCTTACCATTACTCTGGAGGATCCGACGCTTTCGCTCGTCAGCTATCCGCCACGCGCCATCTATATCACATCTATGGCGTTCTCAAGCAGCGGCAAGTACCTTTTGATTGGCTGCTCTGGAGATGCGCACTATGTGATGGATGCGTTTGAGGGTCACCTGCTTGCGAAGCTAGAAGGGCATGTGGGGCTTGAACGGAGGCGATTAGATGCCCCACAGGGCATTGAGCCCCAACGAGGATGCAGTGGCGAGGAGGTGTCGTGGACACCTGATAGCAACTACGTATTAGGCGGTAGCTTGGATGGACGGGTATGCGTTTGGGACTTGCAGAATTTGCAGACAAAGACCGGCGCCATTGATTTGAAGGCACCACCGTTGCGATTGCAGCCTATCGCAAAGATGGATGGACATCCTAGCCCTTCTCGGTGTCTCAAGTTCAACCCTCGACTGGCAATGATGTGTACTGCGGGTGCCGAACTAGTACGTCAGGTTCTGTGCCCAAATCGAGGTGGTTCTAATATTTAATTCGTCAGGCGTTTTGGCTACCAGACCAGTCTGCGGATGTGGACGAGGTGGCAAAGGAATTGCTTAAAAAGCCTCCTACCTGATGTATGGTTCAGTTTCTTTGTTACTGCTGTTATGTTATCTTCTTTTGTGTCCACTGGATTTCTCTGCCTGTATGCGGAGGATATTGCAAATATAGCACGTGGCGCTGAATTTGAAATTGTGTGATGGGACGTGGCGGATTGAAGCCCGTTGCCAAATAACAACTCTTTGGTCTTTTCATCCCGGTCTACCACTTTCTAAATGGTCAGAATGCGCGTCTGGTCCTTGCTCTGTTTTTCTGCTCTATTAGTAACATGCGTGTTTGCTGTTGAAGTTTGTGCGTATACTTTCACAATATGGCCTAGTGACGTAGAGCGACACATCGGAGGAGTCGTCTGAACTGAACCTTTGCATGTTACACCAGCTCCGGTAGAGGAGGCTGCCGACTCTACAGAGCTGGAGCTCATCATTGCCACGTCATTCCCCGAGAGTAACCCATTCGGTCGTGAGTGATTTCATCCATCTCCAGATGCTAGGGGTCTCCTTTCGTCTTGCTAATTTATCACGGTATGGGGGTATAGATATAGTCAATGGCGAAACGAACCAGCTGTTCCTAGAGATAGAGAACAAATCTGGAAAGAATATCACGCTATTGAACGTTGCCGGCGAGCTCCATCACCCAGAAACCGACAAACTGATCAAGGCGGTACGTTCTTGCGGTCGCTGTCACCTCGCACACGTAGGGGCGTGTCTCATGTGCGGCCCTGTGATCATTTTCAGACGAACAACTTGACATATGGCATCAACTTGATCGAGGGAGCCAAAATTCGTCTGCCGTATTCATTCTACAGCGAGTAAGTTGACTGTCATCTTTAGCGTCACGGCGTCTGACGGTTCTCCACCCAGGTTCAAGGTACTTGACGCTGTTGCTAAGTGCAATTCACGGGGTACTGATCAACCGTGCAGACAGGCGACGTGAAACTCAACCTCTGGCTTGAGCACATCACTGACGTACGATTCCCGCTCATCGTGTATCTTTTCCCGGCTTACCTTTTTCTTGCATGTAGGGCGCGAAATATCGTGTATCCGCATACGATTCCGTTGTCACCATTGTCGAGCCGGAACTCTCTATTTTTGATTTGAAGCTGTGCGTCTAAGCAACTTAATGCGTCGTTGCATGTGCGTTCTCACGCTTCCCGGTTTCTTGCTTCCCTTCTCTAGTCTGTCAACGTATGCCATGGTCATCGGTGTTCTGTCTGGCCTCGGCTATTTCGCATACATCACATTCGTACCCCAGCAGGCCAAGAAAATCCGCAAGCCGACGATCTCCGCTCCCGTGAGCACCGTTATCGCAACCGGAGCCGGCGGATACGAGGAGGAGTGGATCCCCCAACATCACCTCAAAAAGGGCAAAGGAAAGAAGGCTGGGGCCGTGAGCAGTGGGGATGAGCTCAGCGGTGCTGAGACGAGCGGAGCTGAGGGCAAGAGGAAGGCGAGGAAGTAAACAATATCACTATTCGGGGTGGAATTGGGAAACCAAAATTGCATGCTATAGATATCTAGTGTGGACCGCTCTTCGCGTTCAAACCTTTCTGCTCATCCGCTTTGCAAGGTGATGCATGTTTGTACATAGGATTTCCTTGTGCTAACATGGCACACAGCAACTGGGTGGGGGTGGTACTCAGTGAAGAGATGGAAGGAGCCTTAACGTAGCCGATCTACATCATGCATCGACCTGCTTGTAACCCTTGACCTGGGGTGTGAAAGAGTAGCCCCACCTGTCAGCCGTGTCGGGACAGAGAAACGAGCGCGAAGACGATACGTACCCTGTTCTCCCGGAGCAGCGTGATATACTTGTCAGAGAGATCACGGCAGGATTCATAGTGGTTGACGCCCTCTATGCGGTAGCACTCCTGCACCTGGTCGCGGACGATGCGGGCCTCCATGGCGCGGATCCATGACTCGCGGATGTGGGCATCGCGGGTGGCGACGCGGGCTGTTGGGTAGCAAAAGCGCAGATGTGCAAGCGTGAGTTGGCGTCGAGGAATGAAAAAAGTGAAGTAGCGAAGACCTTGGAGTTCTGCAATTCTGGACTTGTCGGCCATGGGTACGCTATGAGGACGTGACAGAGAGCGGAGGTGGTGGCGTTTGCCCTTGTTTGCTCGCATTTTACTAGTATACTGGGTGACCTCAATATCAATCATCCATGCATTCATGTTCGATCCTTGAGGCCAGTCGAGTACTCTCACAAAATCCAACAACGAATCGTAGCCTACAAAATCCTAGGAATCATATCGTGTAGGGAAGATCAGAAAAAATATAACATAGAACTCATGCATTAAGAGGGAATCGAACCCCCGGCGGGTCGATGGCAACGACCCAGGTTACCACTACCCCATTAATGCTTGACATGGTGAAGGACACAAAGGGCTATGGCCCTGCTCGAAGGCAGAATCACATGGACGGTAATGCACCGGCGACCGATCCCACCAAGGTAAGTTTGGGTTCAGGTGCGCCAACGACCACGGACATCTGCTCACCTTTGTCCTCTTCCACACACCCGCTAACAAATGTCCACCGCACAGCCCATTCGTCTCCCTGCAGGCGCGCCCACTCCGCTGCTCACCCTAACCCGCCGTAAGTCCCCCATCACTCTCTCACCCGACGCATCCGGTCCCGACCACCCAGGCGCGTTGCATTCTACCGAGCTCAGCCAAGCACACGGTCTGGCAGATCGAACTTCACAACGGCGCTGACTCGCGACTCACGCGTGACCTCGTCGAAGGCGCGCTCAAGCCTGCCCTTAACATTGTTGAGCGCGAATGGCGCGCGGGATGGCGTGCAGCTGTCGCGTCCAAGGCGAAGGACGAGGGTGCGGGCGCGCTCGTGATCGTCGGAAACAGGGCGCAGGATAAGTTCTTCTGCAACGGTGAATTCCTTCCCGCTGTACGAGGTGGGCGCGCCGGCTGAACAGCGGATGTACACAGGTTTCGACTATCAGAGCGTCATCTCAGATCCCAATTGGTTTGCTGGTACGTGTTCACGCAGGCGTCTATTCTTTCCTCGGAATGTTTTTGATGTACGCGAATTGGACCCGCAGTGACATTTGACCCCTTGCTTGTGCGGCTCTTGACGTTCCCTAGTAAGTCACGCGCGCGTCTATTGATGTTGATGCTTCGGTGCTGAATCGCGCTCGTTTGCCAGTCCCGACCGTCGTGGCCATCAACGGCCATTGTTTCGCCGCGGGATTCATTTTCTCTCTCGCATGTGACTATAGGGTGATGACAGACGGATCCAAACGGAACTCTTGGGTGTGCATGAATGAGGTTTGACACCCTCCCACCTCAAATCTCCTTGCAATTCACCCCGAAATTATGTCCCGTGGCAGGTACACTTCGGCGCTCCCTGGCCAACTTCCTTCGCGTACCTCCTGCGGGGGAAAGTCACCCGCAGCACCATCCGCAGAAAACTCGCGCTCGAGGGACACCGTTTCACGCCGAAGGAGGCGCTGGACGCGGAGATCGTTGATGAGCTCGTCGGCGGTAAGACAGAGGACGTGCTCGCGCGCGCATTGGCGCTTGCCGAGAGCAAGGCTCCGCTCGCTCAGCAAGGCGTGTGGGGGCTGATCAAGGTCGGTGTCCAACGTGTTCGGTTTCGCCGTGTGATGGTCGCTGATGTCACCGTAGACGGAAGTGTATCGGGACGTAGTTGAAGGCGGAGAGAGGGACGTCCGGACCGTGACACTCGCCATGCACGACGCGGCCGCGAAGGCGAGACTTTAACGGCATAGCCATTCACATTGCATCTGTAGGATTTGCAGAATTTCAGCGGGGAACTGAATCGTTTTACATATTGTACAGTATGGTCGTAGAGACTTCACGAGAGGTATATCAGCCAAGGCATCAAGAAGAGAATACAGCACAGATCCCCGACCGAAAAAGGTGGTCGCATCCGAGCTCCGTCTGTCTACAGCAAAGCTTGCGAATACAGGAGCATGGGTTAGTCGTATCCACCCCAAGGCCAGAAGACGGGCACCGTCCTAAAACGGAAGAATATACGTCAGTGTCGCACTCAACGTGTATATCTCAGAGCTGTCATGGAAGGTCAGATATTTCACTTTTTGTATTCCTTCCATTTGGGATCTTGGCCGAACTTCTTGTCGCCCGATGCCTACATCCGATAGAGCGTAAAACAAATGGAGTAGATCAGCGGTAGCAAGGAAGACACGCACCTCCAAGGGCGGGACGCCGGAAACCTGGTAGAAGTATACACAAAACATGAGAAGGACGGGGTGCAGATACAGCGAAAGGGCTCAGACATACGTTGCGAAGGAGCGTGTAAGTCGTGATCGGACTGATGGCGGCCAGCGCGAAGGTGTACGCGGGGAAGTAAGCTGTCTGCAGAGATCCGATGGCCAGCATCCATATGCCAGTCCATATGCCGACCTCGCCGACGTAGCTATGAATCGACAGAAGTGAGATTTTGGATCTAGATCAGTATCAACTATGGTGAAAATCACTTCGGGTGTCTGCTGAGGCTCCAGAGCCCGATAGTGATGAACTTGTCGTCGTGCTGCTTGTTTTCCTTCTCGTGGCGCCAGGCAGATTTTTGGCGGTCGGCTATCACCTCGAAGAGGAGGGAGGAGCCATAGATGCCGATGGCGGCGTAGTCCCGGAGGCCAAGGGCAGGGTGAAGGTTTGAAGGTAGGGTGTTGACCTGTACCAGGAGCATGAGAGAGCATGTGGATTTGTATACTATTTGACGCATACCAGGTAGACTGGGAGGCCAACCAGGAAGACCCAAGTGGCTGTAAATTGACAAGAGGTGGATAGATAAAAGACAAGTGATCAAATTCAACGGATACCTTGCGCCATCCAGAACGCAGTGAACTTGGTTGGCTGGTGCTTCACCTCGTCAAACCTAGAATCTCCACCAGCTTTGATAGCCCTCTACTCACGCACAGTGTTCGACACACCGAATCCAATCAAAATCAAGACGACCTCGAGCGGCGAGCGGACGCACCTGCACAAGGAAGCTCCCGAGCCGCACACTCCAAATTCCCAACGCGGCGCTCAATAGCAGCTGCCGGGGCGCGAAGCTCGAAAGAGATGGAAACGGGGCCGCTGCGCTGCCATATCGAATCTGTGCTCGGACAGCTGGATAGTAGAGCGAGATGAGCGTGGTAGAGATAAAGCCCAGGGCGCCGCCGAGGTCGTAGAATTTCTCGTTGGCTTGAGGGACAAATATTGCAGCGAGTGCTGCGTGCGAATACTATGAGTATATATGCGGGGTAAGGTTGGTATTGTGGGCGTACCGGCTTGGAGGCCATAAGCACTGCCTAGAACAGGGAGCAGCCTCGAGAATGCGTTCATGGCGGGCGGTCTGAACTTGGAATTGTTTTGTCGCAACGCGCGAGTCGAATCTGGAAACAAGTTGTCTGCTAGGCAATGACATCACCTACTATAGTCACGATCGGTGACGTCGTCTCTGATTAGACCTCTTGCTACCTCTTGTCACTGGGATCAATTTCAGTCATGTTGCTCGAGTCTCATTGTAGTCCTCGATCGTACGTTGGACCCAGTGTCGCACGAAAACAGGGTGACATTCTACTTCGTTTCTTTGCTCGTTCAAAAAAACAAAAAAATCGTTCATTATCGTGGTATCCGTTACAAGCACGGGCTCGACTACAAGAAAACATATCCAAAAGCGCACAGTCAAGCCCCCATGTCAGTGGTATCAAACTTCCTTGACCGACGCGGCGCTCTCCTTCTCCGTCTCTGGGAAATCCTGAGAGTTCTCGGTACTGCCGATGCCCATGAGTGTGGTATCCCATCCGTGTGCCTCAAGGTATGCACGGAACTGTCGAGCAGCGAGACGGATCAGCGATGATGGCTACAATAGGATGTTAGGTATTACCTCCTGATCCTCCTTGAGCATCCCGTCCTGGGTGAGAGGCTTGATGCCGAAGAACGTGATGAGGGCACTCAATACAGCAAGACCTGCCAGAGCGCGATTGTCATTCCGTGCATATTCGGCTTCTCCGACCGCAGAGACAGTCAAGAAGAGAACGTACCGCTCGCAATCCAGAAAGGTCCGGTGTTTCCCTTGGTCGTTGTGTCACCGCCAAAATCAGCGATGATGGGAGGGAAGGCTATATAGGTGCGCAGGAATCAGAACTGGGTCGGGAGAGAAACCGAATTACCCACCCCAAGTCCCGACGAAGGCTCCAACTTTCCCGACAGCGGCAGCCAAGCCATAGAATTGACCACGCACGGCCGTTGGGCCTGTTTTGGCGGCCAGCAGACCGAGACAGTTTCCAGGACCTGAAAAAGACGATAGCGCTCGATGAGTGGCGATAAGGAAGACAGAGAGGTAAGTGTGCGTACCCAGCTCTCCAAAGCTTAGGAAGATGCCGTATACGACCTGGGAATGACAACAATGTCAGTGAATTGGAAATAATTTCGAGGAAGAAAATGGATACAGCAAAGGCCCCGATATGGTCCGTCAATCTGGACGATGCTCAGGTCAAAAGCGCAAATTAAGAACGATCTCGTCTGCGTACTGTTTGTAGAGCCCACTCATGATGAAGCCAATGATGGCTTGGAGTAATAACCCTGTGATCTGGTGAAAATGATCATTGGAGCATGGTGACTTCGGTCAGAATCAACATTGCGCACCATGGTATTCTTCGGTCCCAGATAATCAACAATGAATGCGCCACCAATGGTTCCTATGACATAAATGTGAGTAAGTGGGTATATATCCGTAAATGTTCACTATCCCACCTGGAATGTAGAAGAGGCTTCGTGAGGTCGATACGTGTTTGTATGAGAGTAAATATGAAATTTACTTGATGACTACGTTCCACCCGAAAACAACACTCAGTGATGTGGAATTATTGGTGATGCTGTAAGGACCGAATCAGCTCTAGGATATGACGCGCCCTGACCGTTATTGCTTACTTGGAAACCACGGTCGAGGAGTAGATGGAGAACTGGTCAATAATAGGTGTCATTGAAGCATCGGAAATCGCAGATCTATAGCCATACCGGATACCTTTGATACCCCGCGGATATTGAGTGAAAATTACGGAAGAAGGTATCAAAGTACTCACACAATGAAATCATAAATGAACCTTGAATTGCGTTTTTTTAGAGCCCGAACTTTGGGAACTAGATGAAACCAACGCACCAGGTTGTGGAGATGGCAGCCAGACTCTTCCAATATCTTCTTATGATTAGTAAATATGGGATCTTGGTGTTCTTCATCGAGTCCTTTTTGAACCGAGTTGGCTCTTCCATGTTTAGACGCCAGATGAATACCGCAACAGCGGGAATAAGGCCTAAGCCAAGAGATAGACGCCATACGGCACGGAGATGGTTTGGACCAAAACTGTAAAGTGCATGAATGGATATATATATGTTGAGCAGATGATGTAGGAGGACACTTACATCCAATAGAGAACGAGAGGGACAAAGGCTGCGACAACGAATCCAAAGTCGATCATAGTATCTGAACCAGGAATTAGACTTGAGGTATATACGAAAAGAATGGACTAGCTCGCGTACTTGTCGCAAGAGCAAACCATCTATGCTGAGCCTTCTTGTTGATCCCTTCCTCCTCAGACTGCTCGGATGCGGCAACTGACCCACAAGGGTATTCAGCGCCTACGCCAATTCCAAGCAAGAAACTGCGCGCGTAAATTTAGTCCTGTGATATCGGGTGGAGCTAATGTCGACGCACCGGCAGGCGCTGAGCATGGCGAGCATACCGCCGAGACTGTGATGCGCGCCTGAACTCGCGGCAGACAGGCCCGAGAACAGTGCGACGATGCCGGTGGCAAGCATCTGCCATTCCTTAGCGTGACAATCAAGAGCACCGGCAGACCACATACCATGCCGAATTTGCGACCGAGCTTATCAGACAGATAGCCGAAGACGAGCATTCCGACGACGGTACCGGCGAACGCGACACTGGTCAAGGTTTTGCTGTAATTATGACCATTGATGGCCTCCTTGCCGTAGATCCGGGTCAACACTGTAAACAAACCCAGTCGGCCCGCCTGGTTCGAGCAAAACAAATGTACGCACGCGTATTTACTGCGGAGTGTCAGAACACGAAGGACAAGGTGGAATATGAGGGATTCACAGCCTGAACGGGGTAACGCGCACCTGAGCCAATGACACCGTTTGCATATCCTTCGAGCATATCGAACATGTGTTAGGCCGCTTGCTACAGTCAGAAAAGATATGCAAATACCGTCTGAGAAAAGTGCGGTCCCAGCACTGAGGTGGAATGAATGATCCGGGGCTAAGCTGAACACAGGAATTTCTGAATGATAGAACAATGCGACACGTACGCGAAGATAAGGGAAACCTTGGACATTCGCGACTTGACTGCAACCATCGTGTTCAACAAGCTTGTCCGAAGGGTGACCTTACCCGGTTGATAACGATGAAGGCGCGAGGGAGTGGACGGCGCAGCGCTAATTTCGACAGCGGGGTGGATTTATATATTGAAAGGTGATACGGAGTCCAAACGTCATGACCACCCATGCGCCTGCTCCTCTGCGTCTGATTGGTTATCGGCCGAGTCGAATTTTCAAGGAACGAGGCCTCAAATAGCAATCACCAGACACGCTTTCAAGGGCAGAACATCCATTGGAACCAACAAAGAGGCTCGAAGAAAGTGCTCGAGCGCAAGTGGCTTCGCGTCGTGGGGCTTACATACGTCCGCCGCCGGCCCCTCAGTGCCGCAGCGCTCGTTTCCACACTGCCAGCATGCACGTTCTCAGTACGTCCCCCCCCTTCGTGACAGCGCTGAGGGCCCTCCCAGAACTCACACATCCCCCATCCTTTCCCAGAAGACTGCTCCCCACGGAGCATTGCAGACACTGGCTAGAGATCCGCCCGTGCCCCGCGGTGATGGCGGCGACGCTGCGACAGAGAGCCTGATTAGGCCCCCGAAGCTCCTATGAAGATTTCCCCGTCAAAGTGCCCCTAAACAGGTCAGAAAAATGCTAACGTTTTCCCGATTTTGCCTGTGAAACATGCTAAAACCGGGAAGGGTTGTCATGTTTTGTCATGTTTTGTCACGGCTATTTTGAGACAGTATAAACTACCCTGCGGCACTGATTTCTTCTCGCAAACAACAAAGAATGAGTATATGAGATATATAAGGTGCATTCTCAGGCTCTGGAATCTGACCACTAGGAACCACAGGTGTTGGCATAGTCAGAAGAACCTTCTTCACCTTTAGACAAGTAAGAGCTTTTTATCTCAGCCCTGCTATTGGTGTTAAACACATTCAGTCTCACTGCTATCTAACTACAGAGTATTGTGCCAGAAAAAAACTGGGCTCCTAAGCCAATACCTACCTAACTGGGCACTGTAGGTTAGAATAATTAGCAAAGCCCTGTTATACTCTCAGGCCTGCTGGGGCTAATTCTCTTAGTATATTGTGTGCTTACCTTTTTGTATTGTGTGCTTACCTCTTTGTAGTACTTTATCTTACCGTGGCTCTATTTATCCCTCTTCTACCATCTCTAGGACTTTTGATTGAATAGAGATCATAAACAATCAAATCTTGAAGATAGTAGCAGAGTATGATTACTAGGTGGGTTATATAGAAAGGCCCAGCACTTTTCTCCCATATCAGGAGTGAAGTACTTAGGAACCTGGTTTTTTTCTAGCATAATACTCTAGAGAATTATGCAAGACCCTATAGTGCATTGGGTCCAAGGTGTTATGATCATGGTCTGCCAAGGCTCTTTAAGGTCTAGTCTAGTTGGCAACTAATCATAACAAGCATTAGGTAGTGCTATCTATGGCACAGACATTATAGTCTAAGAGATTATCCTTAGGTCATTGACTCCTAGCAGATATCATTATTACTAGTTAAGCATTAAGAGATATATTCTAAGAGAAGAACCAAAGGAAGGTCTAGATGCTACTCTACAAGGGAACCCATTCCATCAGAACTCCTAGATTGAAAGGAGACAATTAAGAAAGCACAAAAGTAGGTGCTGAGAAAAAGCAGCAACCATTGGAGAATTCCTAGAAAAAAGTATCAGAATTCTTATGATTCCCCAAAGTAGTATAAAAGCCCATAGAGACGGGGCGCCCCTTGAACCTGAACCACCACATGGTCCAGTTTTCCCACACCTAAACACTGGGCAAGGGTGGGTCTCCTACCCACACACAGGATGACTATAGTGCCATGAGCGGGTGGCTCGTCCTAATTTTGGTAGTACAAGACCCTCAGAGAACACCTGGTGCCCCACATGTGTAGGAAAGAAGGGGCTCGAGCCCGTCGTCCACCGTGGAGGTGACACCCACATGCCACCCTAACCAGGGCAACATCGCCAACCAGCGTCAGGCAACCATAGCATAGTAGACACCACAGAATATGTACAATTCACAACATGAACAATAAACATGCTAACACTACAAGGAACCATTGAGAACAAAGTCCCAACCACACACGAGAAGGACATCCCCACTTCCGTGAAAATCATATGATGGAACGTGGATGACGCTGACCAATAACCATCCATAACTGACAACCCCCCCTCACTGACAAACCTCTCCCCTCACAGACCAATACTCACATCGTATAGAGAACCCATAACCAAGCCCACTAGTTGTCAAATGGAATGCCAACACGGTGGAACACAGAGCCAAATCACGCCCGAGTCCACAGCAGATCCTCATACGGGACCCTCCCAGTGCAAGACATGTCTGCCAAGCACAGGGGACGCTCCAAACACGGCGATCCAGCACACCATAACCCACACTCCAGCCCTCCAACACGAACATTAGAATAACATCAGGACAACCTGCCACGTGACTAAGCCACAACAAGTAAGTCGACTATACAGCAGTGGGTCGCCCACCTCGGCATATCCCGAGCAAGAAAAAGCGCTGATGAGCATGCACCCGCGCTAGGGTCCGAGGGAGGTATTCGTGAAGCTTTGGGGAGATACCGAACAGCGCTCGACAAGTACCGAAGACGCCGACTATTACCGAACACGGTCGGTCCCTACCCGACCGACGACAAGCCACCGAAGGACGTTCGGCAGCACTTGGGTCAGTTCGCCCACACTTCACGTACTTACCATGACCGCATAGGAGTGTTACGATAAGTGTTTACGAGATCGGAGCCAGTATTCCGTATCGGCCGATGTCCTCCGTGAGTCGGTCGGTCCTTATCGTTTATCTTCCCGACTTCCGCATGGTCGGTCAAACGCGATCTTGCACCATTGCTTGGCCACCCTGGTCGTACGATACCTCTTCTTTATTTTTCATTGGCTCTCCAACGCCTGTTCCTGCTACCTACGCTCGGGCGACGGATCCCGAACGTTCGGGATTTCGACATCACTGATTACCTTTTACCTTATCACCTTCGGAACCCATATGGACATCTCACCTACCTTCTTATCTTCTCTGATCGCTGGGGCTTGGCGCCCATTCGACATCTACTCTCATTTCTTGTTTAATATTTTACTTAGGGGCTCTGTTTACTATAAAAACCTACATACAACTCTGGAATAAACCAGCTTTCGCACCCCACAGTTCAGAGCTCATTCGCACTCGTCTCAACCATCGAAATCGTCTTCGTCGACTTCCGAAAAACTTGTCATCCTCGTCGTTCGGCCTCATTCGCGTTCGTACTCGTCTCTTCGCTCGTACCCCCCCGTCCTCCCTCGTATATTGTCAGAGTCCCGTGTGGCTCTTGAAGCACGTAGTTGTCGGTCGCGACACTACCTTCTCATTACCGACCGCATCGCCGACACGACCGACCGAACGTTCGGTCGGTGTTCGGCGCAGTCCCGAAACCGTTCGGGCGCTATAATCTCACACTCCCCGATTGCTTCTCAGTACGCCTTCAATTTCTAAAGTCATCACTTACAATTCCTTGTGTATCAGATACTAGCTCCAGCACCCCTGCCTTAGAGGTTGTTTTAGTGTTGTGCTCGGCACTTAGAGCCACCTCTAGCGTAACATTTTGGAGCCCACCGCGAGGGGTTAGTATTCAAAATTACCTCAAGGAATCTACGTCGCTCGTCCCGACCAACAGCGGAGCGCGAAGAACGACAAACAGTTATCGATAGCTTCAATACTCAGGAAACATCTGCCGACCGAAGTTTGTTCGGAGACGCCGATATAGTCCCAGAACACTTATCCCACCATCACTACCTTGATCTCGAATCCTCGCCATCGCTCTCACCACCACCCGACTCCACTTTCTTCTTAACCCCACCTTCGTCGCCGAACCGATCGTTACTCCCACCGATTTCCCCTATCCTCGACCTTGCACTCTTAGAACAATCACCCCCGTCTCCTATCCCATCTCTCCACGACTCCATCTCTCCGTTAATCCCACGCAGCCCCGTCTTCTGGACGCCGACCATCCGACCGACTTCACTAGAACGCTCCTTCGAACCAGCGACTCCATCCCCGATCACCTTAGAAAACAATACCTTCTCCCCCACCTTTGACTTTCTCACTATGGCGACCCCATCCATGCCCGCTCGTGGAGATCGAACGGCCCCGACCTTTGACCCCCATCAACCCCGCGAATTGAGACGATATTTCTCCGATCTGGACTTCCACTTCGTTCGGTCTGCGGTAGTGGACGAACAAGAAAGAAAGAAACACGCTTGCCGATTCCTAGATGTCGACACCTGTGAGCTTTGGGAATCGCTCACCACTTTCACCGACGCCACGAAGACCTTCAAGGAGTTCTGCGAAGAGGTCTACAGGCTATACCCTGGATCGGAGGAAGAACGCAAATGGTCGGTATCGGATATGGACAAGCTAGTCGGCGAAACGAGCAGGGTCGGCATCTTGTCTCTCAGCGAACTCGGCGACTATCATCGGCGATTCCTGGCGATCACGGTATTCCTCCTCAGCAAGGCACGGATCTCGGTCGCCGAACAAGGACGCGCCTTCGCTAGAGGATTCCAACCGGAGCTATGGGCAAGAATCTCTCAACGTCTACAACTCAAGTTCCCCGATCATTTCCCAGACGACCCATACAACCTCCAAGACATCCACGACGCGGCCCGATTCGTCTTGCACGGCACCACGTCCGCCTACAGCACGATCCCTACCGACATCTCTCGAGCAGCCCCCGCCGCGCCGCCCACCAACGCGATCAAGGCCGAAGACCTGGCGACCATGTTCGAACGGCTCACCGACACCTTTGTCAAGGCCATCACAGCTCAGGGGACGACCAGGCCAGCCGATCGACCATCCCGACAGCCAGGACAAGGCGGCGACAACTGCATGTTCTGCGGCAGTCCCGAACACTTCATGCGCGCCTGTCCCGAGGTCACCGAATACATTCGGATCGGCAAATGCAAGAGGAATATCGAGGGGAAGGTGGTATTGTCAAGTGGGGCATTCGTACCGAGAGAAATCACGGGTAGTAACCTGAAGGACCGAGTTGACGAATGGCATCGCAGGAATCCAGGCCAGTTGGCGACCGGACAGATGATGTTTACGGTAAACGCGGTGCCGACTCACCCGATGACGATAGCCTCCCGTCACGATTCACCCTCATTGCTGGATGTCACCCCGACTTACCAACTCACCGACGTCCAGCGAATCGCGAGCCTCGAACGCGAACTATTCGCGCTCCGAACGCGGGGCGCAAGGGCACGCGAAATGGCGCAGGCAGGACGTTCGGCACCTACCCCTTCACCGGCCCCCGAACGACGAGCGAGGACCGAAACTCCCGAACCCGAACCCCGACCGACCACCCCGACTCAGCGACCGCCCCCGGTACCAGCCAAGGACGATGCTCCGATCCACCCATATGCCAAAGCCCAGGACGCCACCTATGCACCGCCACACGACCGCAACATGGGAGCCCCGGCGAAGATACCATCGGCAAAGAAGGACGCTCCGGCCTACAAAACCACGGCGCCGATCTACGACGAGAAGGTAGCAGCTGAGGTCTACAACAGGGCAATGGCCACTCAGGTGACGCTTACCCAGCGCGAACTACTCTCTCTCTCCGCCGAAGTCCGTTCACAGGTCAGGGAAGCCACGTCGGCACGCCGATCGCCTGCCAGAGACGCCAGCAATGTTCGGACCTTCTACCAAGATGCCGATCTACCCTATGCCATCGACGACCTCGAACCACCGACTCGACCGACCGTCTCCTCCTTCGTCAATGTCCTGCACCAACCGGAAACACCCCCGCCGGGCGCGATCATCATCCCCGACATGTACGAAACGTACCTGAAGAATCTACAGCCCGGTCAGGTTCCTCAGCCATTGATAGTTGCTAAAGAATCGTCTGCCCTAAGGTCTATTGTTCCCCTCGTCGATCATCAGCAGGAAGTCGAATGCGTCATCGACCCGGGTTCACAAGTCATTGCCATGTCGGAAGGCATTTGCAACGAACTGGCGCTCATCTACGACCCCGAAATCGTCCTCAATATGCAGTCGGCGAACGGCGAAATCGACCGATCCTTGGGCCTGGCACGCAACGTGCCATTCCTCATCGGCGACATCACCCTGTACCTCCAAGTCCACATCATTCGGAACCCCGCCTATGACGTTCTCCTCGGTCGGCCATTCGACATCCTCACCGAAAGTATCGTCAAAAATTATTCAAACGAAGACCAGACGATCACCATCAGCGACCCGAACACGGGACGACGAGCCACCATTCCGACGATCAGACGAGGACCCCCTCGAGTCCTTCACCGAAGACAAGCGGGTTTTCGCGACTCAATGAATTGATCCGAGATCAAGGAGAAGTTGCACTGATCATTTCCACCGATCATGATACCCCCAATTTCCCACTTATCGAAGCGTCCTCAGATTTCCATTCTCCATTTCCCTCTCGTCGCGATCTCTGTCTCAAGTACATTATGGCCTCCGATTTGGGGCCCGAAAATCATCTCAAAAACAATCTCGATTCCGATATGTTGTCCTTATTCTCCTCATTCGTTCCCGGTTCTCTCCATTCCACTAATAATCGCCGACCCGGTCGCCATTTTCGCCGCCAAGCGCAAGTACAAACCGGTCGCACAGAAAACACGACCAGTCTTGGCCGACCTCCCCGAACAGTTCCGAATCGTTCGGAACATCCTCGGTGACCCTCTCGCTGCCCTTCCGACGCTGACACCGAACCCCCCACCCTTCACGCCGACCGGCAGATACACAGCCGAACGACGCGACCTCATCGACAAAGTCCACTCGGACGACTTCCTTTGGCCGGCCGAACGACAGCTCATGCACCATTTCATGTGTCTACAAGAGATGGGATTTGCCTGGGACGATTCGGAACGCGGACGTTTCCGCGAGGATTTCTTTCCTCCAGTCAATATGCCGGTGGTCGAACACAAGCCCTGGGTTCAACGCAACATTCCGATTCCACCAGGCATCTACGACGAAGTGTGCCGACTTATCAAAACCAAGATCGCCGCTGGAGTCTATGAGCCGTCGAATTCGTCCTACCGATCGCGCTGGTTTACAGTCGTCAAGAAGACGAATAGCACCTCCACTGGCACCAAACTCCGAATCGTTCACAGCCTCGAACCCTTGAACGCCGTCACCATCCAGCATTCAGGTGTGCCCCCATATACCGATCAGATCGCTGAACAGTTTGCAGCTCGCGCTTGTGGCGGCATTCTGGATCTCTATGTCGGCTATGACGAACGAGGGCTCGCCGAATCATCTCGCGACTTCACCACGTTCCAGACCCCATTCGGCGCCCACCGACTCGTCACCCTGCCCATGGGATGGACAAATTCGGTCCCGATCTTCCACGACGACGTCACCCACATCCTCCAGCCAGAAATTCCAGACACCACCATTCCGTTCATCGACGATGTCCCGATTCGGGGCCCACCGACCCGATACGAACTTCCGAACGGCGGGTTCGAGACACACCCCGACAACCCCGGCATACGACGATTTGTGTGGGAACACTTTCAAGGCCTCAATCGGGTGGTTCAGCGGATGAAGTACAGCGGAGGAACATTTTCGGGACACAAGGCGACACTCTGCGCAGCTGAAATCACGGTGGTCGGCCATCGCTGCACGTACGAAGGAAGATTACCCGACGAATCTAGGGTAGAGTCAATTATGAAGTGGGGACCTTGCAGGGATCTCTCAGATGTTCGGGCATTTTTGGGGACGATCGGTGTCGTTCGGATCTTCATTCGGAATTTTGCACACAGGGCGCATGCACTGACAATGTTAACACGCAAAGATTTTCCATTCGTGTTCGGCCCAGACCAGATAGCGGCCCAGGACGACCTCCGGTCGGCGCTTCTCGAATCGCCAGCCCTTCGGCCGATCGACTATGGGTCGGCAGCCAACGTCATCCTCGCCGTCGATACCTCACAAATCGCGGTCGGCTTCCACCTCTGTCAATGTGCGCTCGACAATCCCCGGGTTCGGTACTATGCCCGATTCGGCTCCATCACCCTTAACGACCGCGAATCGCGATTCTCCCAACCCAAGCTCGAACTCTACGGCCTCTTTCGCGCCCTCCGATCGCTCAAAATGTACCTCATCGGCGTTCGGAACCTGATAGTCGAAGTAGACGCACGCTACATCAAGGGCATGCTCACTAACCCGGATCTCGAACCCAGCGCTAGCATCAATCGGTGGATCGTCTCCATCCTCACCTTCCATTTCACACTTGTCCACGTCCCCGGCACCTCTCACGGCCCCGATGGACTCTCCCGACGACCACCACAACCCTCCGATCGACCCGAACCCGAAGACGACTTTGACGACTGGATCGACAATCTCTATGGCTTCCTCCATCAGATCAACAACACGTTCCCCACCTCCAACTCAACTTCGACCACCGCCATCTTCACCTCCTCGCTCGTAGGCGACCCCTCGACCGATACCGACTCCGACGACGAAGGCCCGACCATCGACTATTCGGATATCCCAAGATCGCAGAAAGCTTTGGAAGCCGAGGAACGCCTATGGTTGGTCCGCGACTGGCACCGAACATTGGTTCGGCCCCCTTCTCTCTCCGACTCCGAATATGCCACCTTCCTGCGATATTGCACTGAGTTCTTCATCGCAGCCGACAAGCTATGGAGAAAAGACTCGCACGGTCGACACAAGATCGTTGCAGCCCCCTCTAGTCGGATCACAATTCTCACTGCCGCCCACGACGACGTTGCTCACAAGGGATTCTACGCCACGACCGCCTTGGTCGCCGAACGCTTCTGGTGGCCGCACATGAGGCAAGACATTTCCTGGTTTGTTCGGACATGTCACCTTTGCCAGATTCGCCAGACTCGCAACGTCCTCATTCCCCCGACCGTCGCCACGCCTGCACCACTTTTCGCAAAGATGTATATGGACACTATGCATATGCCGACCGCTGGTGGTTTCAAGTATCTCGTTCAAGGCCGCTGTTCGGTATCGCACTACCCCAAATTCCGCATGCTCCGACGCGAAACAAGCTCAGCCCTCGCCGACTGGATCTTCGAGGATATCATGTGCCGATGGGGAACACTGGTAGAGATCGTCTCCGACAACGGACCAGCATTCGTCAAGGCGCTCGACCAGTTAGCGAAAAAGTACCACGTTCGGCACATCCGTATTTCGGGCTACAATTCCCGCGCCAACGGCATCGCCGAACGACCTCACTTCGACGTTCGGCAGGCTCTGTTCAAAACCGTTGATGGAGATCAGGCCAAGTGGAATCGTGCAGCTCATTTCGTATTCTGGGCTGATCGCATTACCGTTCGGCGCCGAATGGGTTGCTCGCCATACTTCGCAGCGACCGGAACCCATCCCCTTCTCCCCCTCGACATCGCCGAAGCCACCTACCTCCTGCCACCGCCGACCACAACCCTCAGCACCACCGACCTCATCGCCCGACGTGCCATAGCCTTGCAGAAACGCCGATCAGACCTCGCCCACCTTCGCAGCTCAGTAGTCGGCGCCCGTGTCCAGGCCGCCGTCCGATTCGAACAACAGCATTCGGCCACCCTTCGCGACTTCAATTTCCACCGAGGCTCGCTTGTCCTGATGCGCAACACAGCCATAGAGAAGGCACTCAATCGGAAGATGCGTCCACGGTATTTAGGGCCATTGCTAGTAATTTCTAGGAATCGGGGAGGGGCGTATATTTTGGCCGAACTCGACGGATCGGTCTTTGACCGGCCAGTGGCGGCATTCCGCATTATTCCTTATTTTGCTCGCAGGTCTCTGAAGCTCGCCGACATTGAAGCCCTCCTCGACATCTCACAAGAACGCCTTCGGGCCATGGAAGAATCCCGATCGAGCAACGACGATGCCGAAGACAACGATGCCGACGAGGAGAATACTGACACCAGCTCCATCCGATCAGCAGAAGACGACGATGCGGGGTCGGCGACTTCTGACTAGACCCACCCTCCCACCCTTCGCTCTCTTTGGTCGGTGACTGGGGACAGTCATGATTTCAGTAGGGAGGAGGATGCACAGATATACCCATTCCTTATTTCACCTATTCGTCACAGACATGGACTGACACCCAAGCATTTCCACATCTCTTAGTACTTTTGCTGCCGACCGATCGCCGACCGAATAGTCGGCACTCATTTTCCCCATCACTCCTTCAAGTACCAAGCCGCATTGAAGACTTCTTCCGATTTGCGCAAAACCATAGGGTTTTATGCCTGTGATGACATACTGAGGCTTCCCCTAAGATTCCAGTTTATTGTCTTCATTTCTGCCGAACGCTTCGCTTACAAGTACATTCACACACAGTCATTTCGCCGACCGATTTCCCGAGACGACACCTCTAGTCTTCGCCGAACGTCACATTTCATCCAGGACAGTTTTTTTTTCTTTTATTTACATTCTAACTACTGTACAAGGGCCTGAATTCATTCGCTGGGTACAAAATCCCCCGACTCGGACATCGCCGAACCTTCCGACTGCGACGAATCCTCGACCATCACCATGTCCGAAGTCGCAGGACCCGAACGCGCTTCGAGGGACTCTAGCTCGGCCTGCCACATCGCGATCGAACGCGCCAGAAAGGCACGCGAACCCTCGGCAACGGCAATCCGGTACCGAATCTCAGAAGCGATGCCTTGCGCAACGGTCGGCAACAGACGGGAAGAGTTGGAAAGGGAGGGAATGACGGACGGACGGGAGCGAGGAGGATGAGAAGAGGAAGGGACAGCCTGGGTGGTCACCGGCAGGCGCTTCACCGGCTTCCTGGTCCGAGCGGCTGTACAAATCGCGATGAGCCCCTCCAAAACTTTACCGAACGACAACTTACCTTTGTTTTGCGCGATGCTGTCCCCGACCGACCGTTCGGGAACAAGCACCTCCACCCTACGTCTCTTTGTTGGGCGGGATGGCCCCTCCTCCACCGACTTTTCGATCGACTTCGCCTTACTAGCCGACTTCGCCTTCCCGGTAGACTTCCCCTTCCCCTTCGACGCCCCCTTTCCCTTGTCTTTTGATGTCCACCCAGGCTGGAAACTGCAACCCTTCCGCTCCCCGGCGCATTTGATACACGATACTTGGCCGGGCCTCAGGTAGCAACGGAACGCCCTGGTGGTGAAGTTGTCGGCGCAGCGATGACAGGCATAGTCAGCCTAGAAACGAAAGAAGATCAGTATCAGGACGAGGCGGCAAGAGGGAGGGGACGTACCAAGACATCACCAGGAAGTAGTCCAGGAGGATCCTCAAGAACCTTACCAGCGCCGTTCCGTTCCACCGGGGGACGAACCGTCGACATTCGGCCTGTGCCAGGACCTAGAGGAAGCACAACCCGCCCAGCAGTCGGCGTCTGTTGGCGCGCGAACTCGACGATAACAGCAGCGGCCGATTTCTTGCCCTTCGCATCGGTCGGGGCGGTGGACGCGACCAGATCCACGCTCATTCGGTTCATAGCGGCGGTCGCGGAGGCGAGTTCAGGATCGGCGATTGGAGACCCGGGACGAGAAAGCGAGTCGGCGACGGAAGGAGCGGGATGGGAAGAGGACACGACGGGAGCGGAAGGAGAGGGAGAGCGAAGAAAAAGGGGGAAGGGTAGGACGGACTCTGCTTCTAGGGCGGCCATTTGACGGTCCCCTTCTTCCGGATCCATCGATCCATCGAACATGGCCTCCACCAAGGCCTCCCGGCGCCGCTGACGATCATCTTCGGCGATACGCAAGGCAGCAGCAGCCCGCGCTGCCTCAGCCTCCTCAGCCTCGCGTTCGGCAATGGCGACCCGTGCCGATTCCTCCTCCAGGGTCTGTGCTTCGGCCGCTTGTCGCTGTTGCTGCGTCGCAAAGTGCGCCGCCCGTTGCGGTAGGATACGCGTTCCCCAGGCCAGCCAGTCATCGGTGGCCATGTGGTCGAGGCCATGCTCGGCCTCGGCGATCCAGTCGGCGAGTTCGGGAAGGTCTTGCCCACGCGCTGAGCGATCTAAAACAGCCTGAAAAGACGTCAGCGAGCAGCAGGGACAAGAGAAAAGAGCCGACTTACCACTCGCTTGGCGAAACCTCGCGCCCAGGCCTCGTAGTCCTCGTATTCGGCGGCACCATCCGGAAGGGAGAGCATATACTCTCCGAGTTTCGTCTTCAGGGCGGAGAGGAGGGCTGACATGTCGGAAGAGACGAAGGAATTGAGCGGTAGGCAAGCGGCGATGAGGGACTTGGTCGCTGGAGAATCAACGATCGGCACGTGACTGTGGTCACCTGACAAAGCCACGAGCCACTGCGCGCGGCAGTAATTGCGATACGCGCCACCGCGCCTTGCCGACACGCTCTCACGCCACCGTCTAGTTGGGACACGCTAGGCTTTAGCCACTTCCTCACCTAATCAGTTGCCACGCCACAGGACTTTGCCGACTCAGCCCCGGTCTCTCTTGCGCGCCGACCCGGTTCTTTCTACGACATCTCTTTGCCGATTATTCACCTGTGCCACATCCCTCCCACGCACCCACTCCTTTCCACGCCACCGCTCATAGCTGATCTTTTTCCCACGAAACTTGCCACACCGCTCCATTTTCCACGCCACAGCTATTCTTTCCACGCTATCGCTTGTTACCAACTCTTTCCCACATCCACGCCACCACATTTTCTACACCATTTTTTTCCCGCTCCGACTCATAGCCGACGACCACTGACTGAGGACAGTCAGGATTTCAGTAGGGAGGAGATGATGAGCATGCACCCGCGCTAGGGTCCGAGGGAGGTATTCGTGAAGCTTTGGGGAGATACCGAACAGCGCTCGACAAGTACCGAAGACGCCGACTATTACCGAACACGGTCGGTCCCTACCCGACCGACGACAAGCCACCGAAGGACGTTCGGCAGCACTTGGGTCAGTTCGCCCACACTTCACGTACTTACCATGACCGCATAGGAGTGTTACGATAAGTGTTTACGAGATCGGAGCCAGTATTCCGTATCGGCCGATGTCCTCCGTGAGTCGGTCGGTCCTTATCGTTTATCTTCCCGACTTCCGCATGGTCGGTCAAACGCGATCTTGCACCATTGCTTGGCCACCCTGGTCGTACGATACCTCTTCTTTATTTTTCATTGGCTCTCCAACGCCTGTTCCTGCTACCTACGCTCGGGCGACGGATCCCGAACGTTCGGGATTTCGACATCACTGATTACCTTTTACCTTATCACCTTCGGAACCCATATGGACATCTCACCTACCTTCTTATCTTCTCTGATCGCTGGGGCTTGGCGCCCATTCGACATCTACTCTCATTTCTTGTTTAATATTTTACTTAGGGGCTCTGTTTACTATAAAAACCTACATACAACTCTGGAATAAACCAGCTTTCGCACCCCACAGTTCAGAGCTCATTCGCACTCGTCTCAACCATCGAAATCGTCTTCGTCGACTTCCGAAAAACTTGTCATCCTCGTCGTTCGGCCTCATTCGCGTTCGTACTCGTCTCTTCGCTCGTACCCCCCCGTCCTCCCTCGTATATTGTCAGAGTCCCGTGTGGCTCTTGAAGCACGTAGTTGTCGGTCGCGACACTACCTTCTCATTACCGACCGCATCGCCGACACGACCGACCGAACGTTCGGTCGGTGTTCGGCGCAGTCCCGAAACCGTTCGGGCGCTATAATCTCACACTCCCCGATTGCTTCTCAGTACGCCTTCAATTTCTAAAGTCATCACTTACAATTCCTTGTGTATCAGATACTAGCTCCAGCACCCCTGCCTTAGAGGTTGTTTTAGTGTTGTGCTCGGCACTTAGAGCCACCTCTAGCGTAACAGCGCTGACAAGAACCCATCCTTAAAACGCAGAAAAGCTCGAGTAACACACCAGAATCCCCCAATAGCCCGAAGGATGTCCGAAGAAGCCCAGACGATCAGAGAAACTCCCGAAAAATTGGTAACAGCAGTACGGAAGTCAGTCCTTGCCAGACCCGCTGCCTCTACCAAGACAGCGAGACTTATTAACAAGCAGAAACTGGGGGATAAAGCCAACGGAAGTAAGAGCCAACAAATATTGACATAGAGGTTAATTCACGCCCCAACCAACGCTGAGCAAAGCGATACTCTCCTTGACCCTAGAGACTCTGAACCATGGAAAGCGGTAGACATAGGGCAGTGGCCGGCTGATGCCATAGCATACATCAAAAAACTACGCCGTGACCTAGCTGCTCATCCTCACAACCGGGACAAGCCTAACACGACCTCTCCTCACATGAAAGCAGATGTCCAGATGACCGAAACAGTGGCACAACCGGAGATCCCACACGCCAAACTGAAGATCACCTCCCGAGCGCAAACAGTGCCCAAGACCCCAACAGGCTCGAGGCTCCTTTCACAAATAGCAGCAGCATCCACCCACGCCCCCACGATTGCATCCCCTAATGGCCCAAGGCCTGCCCATGGCGCCATTTTCACCACAGGTCCCTTCCCCCCTATCCATTACTCCCACCCTATGGCACACATCGACAACATTGACCCTAACTAAGTCACAGAATGGGAGCGTAACTGGACCCCAAGGTTTCTGGCATCCCCTTCGAAAACGATGCGCGGAATCCCTCCAACCACAGTGCCACAGCAGAACTCATTCAGAACACGGTCAGAGAGGCTACAGGAGTAAACACACTGAGCGTCGTAGTGCTGGTAAAGTCTTACAAAGTAATCTCGACCTACGACTTGCCAAACACGTTCTTAGTCTACAAGCTCACCCCGGAAGCAGTTACAACAATGATTGAACACAAGATCTGGGTGACTGAGAAGCTCACCTTTTACGCAATCCCTCTGGACCCCCACCATCCCGCTCCACCTCTTCGCCCTGGGAGAGTTCACGACCATGGACACAGACATAGTCCGAGAAATTGTACACGACCACTGGATGAGAGAAACCACGCTCAATCAGATAGCGAGAGTCATTGACACCTCCACTGAAACAACCAGCCCCATCTCGGAGGAAGATGCGAGCGAGTTCATTGACTCACTAATAGTCAAACACGTTGATACGCTAGTGATGCCTCTGAGTGCGAAACACACCCAAGAAACACCCCTACAAGCGCAGGTAGGCAGGAGCTAGTTCTAGTGTGCAAGGAACTATAAGCTGTGCAACAACCAACAAGGGAGCATACTAAAAGTGTTCGGAGTGTAGTGAACAAACAACTCCAAAATCGAAGTATTCAGTTGGTCAGTCAGTCGGTAGGTCGGTCAGTCAGTCGGTAGGTCGGTCAGTCAGTCGGTCAGTCGGTAGGTCGGTTGGTAGGTCAGTAAGTCGGTAGGTCGGTAAGTCGGTTGGTCGGTTGGTTGGTTGGTAGGTTGGTCAGTCGGTTGGTCGGTTGGTCGGTTGGTCAGTCGGTCGGTAGGTCGGTTGGTCGGTAGGTCGGTTGGTCGGTAGGTCGGTTGGTCAGTAGGTCGGTTGGTCGGTTGGTCGATGTTTGATCGGGATTAGATTGGGACGCAAAGAGAAGGGAATGGGTGCAAGGCCACACTGGACACTAGCAGAGGATGACAAACTAGATGAGAGGGAGAGAGCAAGACGATGAGGGCTCTGGCGGAGGGCTGTGATCGAACGCAACAACACAAACAAAAGGGCAAAATGCGAACAAGGATTGGAAGGCAATGGCTCAAAGTCTCATGGACACAAGCGCACAAATGGAATCGGAACAAGGGGGGAGCCAAAGCTGATGTATTGCAAAGCCATAGGTGCCCTTTTATAGTAAGTCCGAACAGGTACAAGATAAGGAGATCGGCAGAGGCATAGAGCAATCGGAAATGCGTGCCAAGAGTGATCAAAGGTAAAGAAGATAAGGGAGTGATGTTGCAAACAATATAAGATAAGAAGCAATAACTCTAAAGTCTAAATAAGTGGAGAGATTGCCAAGGTGAGTCTACATGGACCTGGAGATAAGAACCACATGCCACATGGGTAAACCATTTAGAAACTTGGGAGCTCTGAAGATAACAAAGGATAGGTCAACAGAAGGCATAAGGATGATAAGAGATAGAAAGACAGATCCGTTCTGAGTCAACAAAGTGTTCGGCCGCCTCCGATTCGGGACACCGAAGCCGACCGAATGTGCCGACCATGTGAAGTGTACCGAACCGATCGGCGATCGGCCGCGACAGTCTGTGGGAAGCCCCTACTGCTGAGAGTGATGATAGATGGATAGGATGACTATGAACAGCTCCGAACGACTGTGCGGAGGTCTAAATGCAAAGTCGGCACCTGACAAATGGCTGAGATCGCAGAACGGATCGGGATCGGTCGGTCCTAAGTATGCCGAACGGTCAAAGAATACTGAAAAGCTGCGAAAAGTGGGGTATTGGTGCCTAGAGCATACCCATGCTCATCAACGTTGACACCAGAGCGTCCGGGGGAGTCCTTATGACCAGATTCACTATCTTCGCCGACAGCACCGTCCTCCAAGAAGACACCTACTGGTACAAAATATGGGAAATTCTAAGCAAGATCTCTTACACCTCCCACATAAATGGAACCGGCACAATACTTAAAGCGCTACACTGCAACATCTGCCACGCGGTGGACCATCCAAGAGGACTATGCCCATTCCCGAACCTCCTGGGATGGAAGGGACCCAAACACCGACCCGATGCCCACTCCTCAACGTAGCATGTACCAGGAGGAACATACTTCAATAAGAGATTTATCGTGCCAGGAAGGGGCAGAGGAGTATAAACACGGAAGGGCGCACACACGGACGCTACATACATATTGTTTCTTAAAAAGCTAACCCCACCCACAACACACCCCCACTCATATTTAACCTGCTACCTTAAACTGCTGAAATACGAATCTGTGAACTGATACCACAGCATGGCATCCAAGAGAAATCAGAGTGACGGGCACCAATCTCGGAATGGCGGGCCATAGCATGACACATCAGCCGAAAGGCACGCTTATTGGAGTACAGGGTGATGATGATAATACAAACCCAAAGTGCTTTCCCAAATATACTGACCGCAGCAGCGGGACAGGAAAGTTAGCACCCACCCTTGTAACTAGATAAGACCTAGGTGGTGACCTATTTAGGTCCGGACGAGCCGCGGCGAGAGCCTGAAGTCTTTCACACCCACCCAGTAAGCCGTCCGAGCCCGACACTGGGAGGGAGTACTGACAGGTCCAACCGAGCTGGTCGGACTACCAGACGAACCCACGAAAAAGTTGTAAGTGGGGTATAAACGTGACTGCATCCTCAAATAATAATACACAACCTATAACGGGAGTTTCATATGGCAATGGTTTGAGCTTCCTCGGGCACGGAAGGGGAACACCACCAACTGCCGTGGATCCCACAGATGATGTGCGCGAGGAGAACGGTGGCGGAGCCACACCAATGGCAGGACAGACACAAACATTACTGACGATAAATAGCACCACACTAGGACACAACCGATCCAGGCAGAGAATTCAGAGAAACATGAAAGCAAATATCACAATTGTAACTTTAAACATGAAAGGACAAGCGGCAACAACCCTTGGCCCTAGCCCCATATCCAAGTGGGCAGAAATTAGTAACCTGATGAAGAAAAACAGAATAGGGGTCCTTGCGCTACAAGAAACTCATCTGATGGATAAGCATCTCGATGAAATCCACAAACTACATGGCCGACAAATATTAGTGTTAAACTCTAGCATGGGGACAAACATGGGAGGAGTCGCATTCGTATTAAACAGAGAAATAACAAACACACAGAACATAGAAATGACGACAATTGTACCAGGTCAGGCACTACTAATAACCCTAATGTGGCATCAGACTAGTAAAGTCACCTTGCTAAACATATACGCACCTAATGACTATGAGTCACATCCGCTCTTCTGGGACACTATCCGCACGCAAATATTGAACACAAATGCAAGACCAGACATAATGCTGGGGGACTTCAACCTAGTAGAAGACCCAATTGACCGGGCCCCAGCGAGACCGGACAGCGAAGAGGCAACAACAGCCCTAAGAAAACTGAGGTCTGCTCTGAATCTCCAAGATGAATGGCAACATACCTTTCCCACTACTAGGCAATTCACTTTCAGGTCCCACACAGAAACCATGTCGCGACTCGACAGGATATATGCTGAGACTTCACACCAAACCTACCTTTTCCAATGGTCATCCGGACTAACCAACGTCCCAACTGACCACGATATGGTCTCAGTGAGATATGCCCCAAGGGATGCACCACAAATAGGACAAGGGCGATGGACCTGGCCACTATACATGATAAATGACGCTGAGCTACTAAACACAGCCATTAAAAAAGGGATAGAGCTAAAACACAAACTCACAAGATAAATAGCCTGAAAAAAGATCTAGCAACAGCGGCAAATGAATCAAATATAGACACAAACCTGGGCGCCCGCATGAATGAAGCCATACTACATAGTGAACTTGACTACCTTGAAAAGAAGAGACGGTCCAATGCGCGAAGTAAAGCACAAGCGCAATGGTCGTACAAAGGCGAAACTATAAGCAAGTATTGGTCCAAAATCAACAGCGCCAAGAAGCCGAGGGAAATCATTCAAAGACTGCACATACCAAACTCATCACCACCCAAGTACACATCCAACAGCATTGAAATGGTGGACATAGTAAGGAATTACCACAACAAGATACAAAACAACCCCCAAACAAGCCAGCAAATGCAAACTGATAATGACAGGATATGCCAGGACGTACTTCGGGAGATACCAGAAACACAAAAACTCCAAAATGCTGAAAACTCCCCTTTGAACAACCTCGTGTCCAAACAGGAGGTAGAGAGAGCAATACAAGCAGCAAAGACTGGGAGCGTAGCAGGGATGGACAGAATACCCTATGAACTCTGGAAAGCGTTGGCAATAAGGCACAAGGCAACACAGAATAAGAACAAAGAAGTGCCCTCGTTTAATATAGTGCAAACACTCACCATTGTATACTGAGATATACAAGAGAAGGGAGTCGATACAAACTCTAACTTCACCTTAGGATGGATGTGTCCAATATACAAAAAGCATGAACGCAGCACCATTGAAAACTACAGGCCAATCACTCTCCTAAACTCGGACTATAAACTACTCACGAGAGTACTAGCGATGCAACTAGCGATGGTCATCCCATTCCTAATACACAAAAATCAGGCAGGGTTCATAACAGGAAGATCGATATTTGACCAGACCAGGCTCTCCCAATCAATGATAGACTACGCCGAGGCAACAGAAGAGAACGGAGCAATAATAGCCCTAGATCAAGAAAAAGCATACGATAAGATCGAGCATGAATACCTGTGGGAAACCCTCAAAGCTTTCCGGCTTCCTACCCGGTTCATACAAACCCTGAGATCACTCTACACAGGAGCCAAAACCAGAATCATGATTAATGGTGTACTAAGCCAACCCATGGATATATGAAGAGGTACAAGACAGGGTGATCCTGTGTCAGCCTTTACCTTCGACCTAGCGATAGAGCCGCTAGTGTGCATGGTTAGAAACTCGGAGAAACTAAAAGGCTTCCAAATACCTAACATACCTGAAAATGTTCTCATCAACCTCTTTGCGGACACCAAAACAATATACCTAGCTAAGAATGACCAATACAAAGACTTGTCAAATATCCTGGACTGCTGGTGCCTTGTGTCAGGAGCAAAGTTCAACATAACAAAAACGGAAGTCATACCCATAGGATCAGAAGAACATAGAAACAGAGTCATCAGCTCTAGAAAACTACACGAGGACAATAACCCCCTCAACCAAGACATAAGAATAGCCAACAATGGCCGCGCGATCCGGTCGCTGGGAGCCTGGATAGGAAACAAAATAAATGACATGACGCCATAGGAGCCAGTACTAGATAAAATTAGAACAAACCTTGAGAGATGGAAACTTGGCCACCCAACACTAGACGGCAAAAAACTAATTGTACAGATGATAGTAGGGGGCTTCACACAGTACCTATCCAAGGCTCAGGGAATGCCAAACAGGATAGAAAAAGCCCTTGTTAGTATGATACAAGACTTCATATGGGATGGAAGCGTACCAAGAATAAACCTGGACATTCTATCAAGACCTAAAGAAGAAGGAGGGATTGACCTCCTGGACATCCCAGCACGCAATGAGGCAATACAAATTATGTGGCTAAAAGCATACCTAGACCTCATAGAGAGAAGACCGACATGGGCCTTCATAGCTAATGCATTAATTAACCAAATAATACTACCAGAAGTTACAAGCATGGAACAAGTGAATACCTTTTTACAAATGTGGGATGTGCCAACACAAGGCCCAAGGGCACACAACCTCCCTAAATACTTACTACGCATGCTACAAACAGCAAAGAAATACCACATAAATTTTGCGGCTCTAAAACTCTCCAAGGAACTGAAAAGCCAAATGCCAGTGTGGCACCATCTTGGATTGACCCCCAATCACTACAAGAAACAAAAAAACAAATGCTTGCTGGAAAATCACGCCATACCAACCATAGTTGACATGGTCAAGTTGGCAAGGCGAACGGAAAACCCTACCTATAGTGAAAGGAGACACCATCCAAGAAGTACTTGTGCATGCAACCCATGCAAAGACGACAAGAGAAGAGGCTGCCCAAACCCAAACAAATGCAGCAGAATGGCACACAAAATCCTAAAGGGGCTGCACCCTAAATTTGATCCAAAAATCACCCCAGTAGACGATGGCCTAACGCTCACGCACCAAAGGACAGAGAAGAATAATACAAACCGAGCACAAAAAAAGGGAGAGATCTTATTTGACCCCTCAGTAACCCTGCAAACAGAGTTGGTGGATGGCTTCAGAATCTTCACTGACCCGACAAAAATATCACCTAACCCGGCACATAGACTAGTCAACACCCGAAGAGGCATCTCAGTAGATGAGGAAGCCATAACAGCCTTCACTGATGGCTCATGCATAATCAATGGCAAAGCCAACGCCCAAAGTGGGGCAGGTATCTGGATATCTGAAGGACACCCCAAGAACCAAGCCATAAAAATTGCCAACATGTCCCACTCGAATCAGTCAGGGGAACTGGTTGCAGTACTTGCGACACTGATAGACGCACCAAATTATGCACTGGTACAGATCCAAACGGACTCCAGGTTTGTAATAGACGGGCTGACAAAGCACTTGAAAGATTGGGAAGACCGTGGATGGTTAGGCATGCACTACAAAGAACTATTTAAAGCAACAGCGTACCAGTTGCAGCTACAATTGGCTACAACATCCTTTGTCTGGATTAAAGGACACAGCGGAGATATGGGGAACAAAAGAGCAGATGCTCTAGCCAGGAAAGGAGCAACAAAACAAAACTACAATGAAATAGACCTAACAGTCCCCCCTGAATTTGACCTACAAGGAGCTAAGCTTGCAACGATAACACAAACAATGGCCTACCAAGGAGTTCTGAAGGAAAAGCACAAGAAACACACTGACCAAAAGACAACAATGATGCGGCTAGACATAACCCAGTACGCAATTGAACGGATAAACGGCAACTTGGAAGCAGACCAATCTATTTGGCATAGCTGCCAAAGCAAAGATATTAGCCTCACCATACGACAATTTATCTTTAAGGCCCTACATGACACACATCACATAGGACAATATTGGGACCACATACCATAATACGAACACCGAGCAAGATGCACCAAATGTGACTATCCAAATGAAAACCTGAATCACATTCTACTAGAATGCCCAGATGAAGCCAGAACAACATTATGGAGCTTCGCAGCGAGACTATAGCTGCATAATGCCAGCGACTGGCCTGAAATACAACTAGGGACAATCCTAGGGTGCGGACTGATCAGAGGAAAACCACCAGAAACAGAGAATGAATGCGACAAACATACCAGAAGGAAACTCAAAGGCAAAGCACGACTACTGAGAATACTACTATCTGAAACGGCCCATCTCATATGGGTACTGCGCTATGAGAGGGCGATACAAGACAAACAACACTCCCCGGCCTCAATACAAAAAAGATGGCTCTCCGAAATCAACCATCATCTTAGCACGGACAGAGTGACAGCAACTAAGCTAGACTGAAGGCCTAAAACAAAAAAAAGTCTACACAACCTGGAACCCATTGATCACCAAGAACACTCAAGAACAAGTAGAATGGTTGGACGAACCTGAGGTTTTAGTGGGTATTGGACTGCCATGAAGCCTGGAAAAGGGCCTATCTGGGGTCCCGAGCCCCACACTGCCCGGCACAGGGCATGTGTAAAGGCATTTTTTCTTCCTCGACCAAAATGACCTAAAGCGGGGTAATTTCGCTATAGCAATTTACGTAGCGCTGAACCAATTGTTAGTAGCTACGCAAATACATTGCTTGTCAAAAAAAAAAAGCCCATAGAATAGGCTAAGGATCTTTAGTCTATTCTCTTTATTCTCTACTATCATCTAATAGTAGAACTTTTGTTCTTGGGCATTTTCCATACTATTCAGTTCAAGTACTGTTGTCTTCTAGTATTCTCTGCAAATAATATCTTCTCTTATACAGTCATATAGTTAAGACCATTATTCTTATCTTCCTTGTTATGTGACCTAGGGAAGAACCTCCTACTCTTGGGGTTATTGAATAAGTAATTTATAATACAAGGTTATAAAGTATTTGCAAAGCCTTTGCTTGGGTCTTGGAAAATGATTTGTATGTTTTGGAATTATTACACATGCTGATCTAGGCTTATAGAAGAAAAGTTGAGAGCTTCTATTATATAGATGTCTAAAAAAGCATACAATTAGAGACAAAAGGGATTCTTGAATATTCTATGACAAGCTGACCAAAATTTTTAAATTGGTAAATACTATAGAAATCCCAATGTTTCCCTAACCAGACCCAAACTGCCCTCAAAAATGCTAACTACCAGGAAATATGGTATGATTTTGACCTAGAAATATGCTAAATTCAGAGAAGAATTTGACCAAAATCAGCCCTCAAATATGCTAATTTTTGGGGAAACCTTCATAGGAGCTTTAAAAGGCCTGCCTGATTTTATGAATGAGCCCTCTTATTACTAGATCTCTTAGGTAACAAATTTCTACCTAGGTATTGCTGGTAAGAACTTATTATACTATGGTTGTATATATTTATCAATTATATGCCTCTCAAATATCAGGCATCTGGAGCCAGTGCTGGTGTGTATCGACTTTGCCAATATTATCCATTAGTCTTTTTGAGGATATTCTATACAAGTAAAATGATGCTGGATCTTCAAACACTAAACACTGGCATTATCACTATTCTCAGAGTCTACACAGTTAGTGCAATACAAGCTGCCTTCTTATCCATGATCTCTTCATAACTTGCCTTACCTCCAACACTTATTAGGCATACCCTTCCAAAGGATTATGTATTTATGATGCTTATGAAAATGAGCCCACTTTTGGGCACAATTGACATCATACTCTTTTCAATACTACAGACATCCTTTTGTCTTATCTAGAATGAAGATTAAAGTCTTTGTTTCTTCAACACATGAAGGTGAGTAGATTAATAGGTATCTTTGATTGGCCTTATCACTTACCACAATAAAACCCATATACACCTGGTAGATTTAGTAAAAAAAGAACAATGACTAGAGTGTGTGTTATTTTGTTCTTGCCATTTTATTACTGATAATTCCATGGGCCATCTTTTGATGCATGAGTTATTAAAATGTCAACATCAAATATCTAGACTATATGATCCACAACTTTTAGAATAGGGACATATGTAGAGTGTTTGTATTATAATCTATCATAATACAAAGATGTGGGGCCAGCCTGGTATAAGCTCTGCATATAGTTTTGGGGTCTATAAGGCTGACAATTATCCAAACTATTAGATGCTGTACCATTATCTTGCTGTGAATCATCATCAAATCAGACTTTTGAGGGGAAGAGAAGACCTAGACTTTCTTGCTAGAAAGTTTTGTGATTTCTGAGTAGCAGATGTCTTATACTTAAGCTGTGTCCAGAGTTTTTGAGATTCATCTCAACAGCCAAGTCAACATCTGCATTTCCTGCTTTGGCCTCCCTTAATTAGGATCAAAACACTAGTGTATGCTCTACACTTTGTTTTATTTGCCTACTTCTACCCTTAGAATCTGTTCTAGCCCTGGTCATATTGGTTCTCTTATTCTTCTTTACACATAAGAGCCAGCATCATCTAGTTTTTGCACTTAATCTCACTGCATGTATCAGTGGAATCTACTTGGCAGTCCTAGTTGTTGTTAATAAAATAGGGACCATTCTTTACCCTGACAAAGTGGCTTCTCAAAACAACTTCATTGTTATCATAACCTTTTCATTCTTCTTTGCCCTCTTTGTTAACTTGATCCTTCTTATATATCTACTTGCCCTCTTTTGGTAACAAACTATGCCCCACTACATGTATATTGTGATCATGGCTACTCTAGTCTACCTCAAATATGGTTGACTTATCATCATTATCTTGTACATCAATTTACTTGCATATCTGACTGATCTGTAATGGAATATGATGTTCATGGCTTTATTGATGTGGAAATGCAATCCCTGCTTGATCAGCAAGTATGTGTTAAAGATGGTGGATAATTGATATCTTCATTTCTTCTTATAAAGAAATTGACTTGTTCTTACCAAATTAATAGTATAGCTATGTCTTATTTTGGTTTATATATAAGCTACACTAGTTTCAAGGGGCTACTAAGAAACAGGGCATAGGGAAAAGCTGTATCTTTATGATCCTTATTTTTATTAAATCACCTAGTATATGCTCATTGGTTTTTATTAGAAAATCTTTTAGCATGCATCTGCTCCTTCCTTCTAATTGCTCTTGGAAATTCTATATTTCTGTTAGTTGTTTCTTGTACCTTAATTGCATTTTCTTATTAGACTGATTTCATGCCTATAATTCCCTCCACAGTATTATTATGAACATTGTCCAACTTATATTCACTCTATATGATGCCAACTTTAATAATAGTTTATACATCTTGCTCTCCAGAAACTATATTGCAATTCTTGAAGTCATGTTTACCACAATATAGATGGACCAACAGAGCTGGAATAATAGTGGTACCAGAGTTGAAGGGTCCAAGAATGCTGACCCTTTAACATAAGATCTAGTCCCCAATAAAAGGTTTTGGTTGACAATTACCTTTGGTACTGCTTCCTATATTATACTACATAGTATTGTGGGAGCAGTGGAGAATGATATTCTACTTTATGAGAAGCTAAGCACTTGTCATATGTCAAGAGACAGGTCCAAACATAGTGTATTAGAAATATGAAACAGAAGATAAGAGGAAAGAAAAGAAGTGTAGAATATTCTGTACTATCACTATGAGGTAGTTATTTATACATGAGGGATATATATGCACTATATTCTAGTGCAGTTATATAGATGAGTAAATAGGTGGTAAGTATTAGTTGTTAATATAGAGATGAGTGCTTGTTGATAGATCAGAAAGGTATAGGGCTTGAATAGGTAATAGTAGCACTATATGTGGTATAGTTATAAGCATAGCTTATGAAGAGTGGGTTACAATTGTGACTCATTCAGATTAGGGGCCATGTAATAGTGAGGTGCTTGTGGTGTACTTATGTTCTCAACTCTTTTATAAAAGCAGACACTATGTATTTGGTATAGATAACTACCAAGCATATATTAAAGTTTTTTTTTGCAGTACCTGGTGGCACAATCATTTTAATAAAAGGAGTTAGAATTCATGTTCACATACAATAATTATATAGGTATTTTTGGTATCACCAAAATCTCTGTCCTTAGGCATAGCTTGCCAATCCTAATTGTTAGGGAAATTAGGGAAGTTTTGAGATAAGTTACAATTGAATTATAGAAACAACCAATCAGAAAAACTCAATTATTACTTAATAAGCTTAGGGTCCTTTTTTGGCCATTTCAAGATAAATTAAGAGCAATAAAATGCTTAAGATCTCTATTTTAGTTAAGATTTTGCTCTTAATTTGTCTTAAAATGGGTAGTTAAGGACAGTAAGTTAATTCAGTAATTATCAAGTTTTTCTAATGCCCAAGATATATGCCCTATTTGTTCCTAGTTTCTTTAGTAGACTAGTTAATAGTCAATGATAAATTGATGGGCTAGATCTTTTTAGAAGGAAAAGAGTTGCTTGGGAAAATCTACCCTTTTTGGACCTGTTATCTGAGGACTTGAAGAACTCTTAAAGCTTAAAGCTTCAATATTGAAGAGAACACTAACTCTTACCAACTCTCATTAGCTGTTATTATAACCAAACAATCAATTTATTTTGTATCAATTGCTGGCAAACCTTATATAAATACTATAATTGCCAGCAATTATAAAAAATTATTGGCAATTGTCTATAATTGGCAGGTAATCTCTTATCAGCAATTGTTAGCAATTGTCATTAATCAGGCACCATTAGCAAGATATGTCAATTGCCAATAATTATCCACAATTATCCACAACCATAGTTGCCTTTTGATCCTGCCCAATCTCAATAAGGGCCCAATAGATAAAGACAATGGATTATTTTTGGGTATATAAGAGGAGTTCTAGGTTTTATTTTATTTTTATTTTAGAATCCTGTTTATTGTCCTATCAGGATACTAGAACCCTATGCTAGATATCATTAATTACTATAGACTTGTCCCTTCTTTTTGCTTACCCAATCATGTCTCTAAGCTAGCTTCAGTTGTTTGGTTGATAAGTTGAGAATCTTGACAAGATGTGGTCATATAAGGACATAGGCATGGTTGAGTATAATGCTTGCTTACTTATGTGAGCTTGCACAAAGATAAAACATAAGGCCTATGAATTGGTGAGAAATTACCTTGGAAAAGTGAGTTGAGAAAGTAAATAGGCCAATGGTGAGAAGTGTTAGATGGCATCAATAAAAACCAGTCTGCTAGACTAGAAGAAGTATAAAACCCACCACTTCTTTTTAAGCTGAGACCTCATATATTCTGCATACCTAATTCCCTTCCAAGAATTCTAAGTTACTGTTAGCTTTGTCTTTGAAGAGATGTTGAAGGTAATCATTGAGAATATCACAATATTCTTTGGGCACATGATTGTCTTCTCCTATCCAACAGATAACTTGAGGAGGGATCTAACTAAGGACTTTATATGCTATGAGTCCTTTATATATCATAAAGACAAGAGAGTAATATGAGTGGTGAGATAAATCTAGTGCTTTATTAGACTAGGTATAATTTCTCAGATCTAACAGAGTTCATAATGTGTAAGCTAGGAAGATAGTCAGATGCTAGATATAGTATAGAGATTAAGTATATACAAAGTAAACAAGCTGAGCTTCTTGGGAGCTCATCTTGGCTATTAATATATACAAGCTATTTAGGGCTGGACCTGGATCTGGTCTGTGCTTCTAAAGGCTAATCTACCTAATAGGTATTAAGATACTAAATGTTATAATCTAGTTTATTAGAGGTTTTTGACCATCTATTCCAATAACAATCATCACAACTACTAGGTGGCTCCAATCATAAAGTGTACATTATAGTATAAGGTAATATCCTTGATTATTGACTTCTAGTAAATATCATTATCACTAGTCAAGTATCACAGAATAAAGATATAGATGGCTAATAGTGGGCTTATATACACATACTTACAGAGAAACATAAGCCATTATTATCTTAGTAGAAAGGAGATGAATAGTAAAGCACAAAAGTAGTAGCTGAGAAGAAACAGTAACTTAGCAAAATACCTAGAGAATACATATGGCATTCTTACATTTTTCTAAAGCAGTATAAAAGGCCCACAGACCAGGCTGAGGATCTTTAGTCTATTCTCTTTATTCTACCATAGTCTCCCTACTGTAGTCCTCATACCCTTTTATCTTCCTATACAAGGAATCTGTTAGGTAGTATAGTTTTCCAACTATACTCTCTCTATTATTTGCTCCTATATCATTATATAGCTGAGATCATTGTCCTACTCTCCCTTATCATGTGACCTAGGGAAAAACCTCTTATTCTTGGAGTTATTAGATAAGCAGTTCATAATACTAAAGCTAATTATGATCTATAAGTCATTGATCTGCAATCTGTCTATTTATAGTAATTATAATCAAATGTTCTGTTTGCATTATTAAGAATCAGAAACTAATCTCAATTGTCATCAATAAATATTCATGCCAAAGTATGTGAATAGATAAGTATTATAAGTATTTATGTGTCACTATGTCAATAGTAATCAAACACAAGTCACAGTCTGTGTTTAAGTTATGAGCATATCACTTGACTATTCTCCTAGGTCATGTGTAAAGCACATATTAGAACATGGTCCTAACAATACTATGCTACACTACTTATAACCCTAGCTAATTGTTAGCAATTGTTAGATATTATTGGGTCCTAAGCTAGGCTGTAGACTTAAAGATTGCTGGCAAATGTTGACAATTGTTAAGTATTTGGGCAGAGTTTTTAATGGGCTAAAAATTAGTGAGTCTAGTAGAAAAGAATTGTCAAAGTGATGGCTAGATGTATTGCACCCAATGTCAGAAAAAATAGTTGGGCATTATAATGCCAAGTCTTGGTATCATAAGATGTTAAGTTTGGCGTTATAATTTCGATAACTCAATTTATCATGTAGAAATTAGCCCGGAGGCCATTACTAAGTCAAAACTAGGAATAATAATCAATTGCAATTCTCATTGTGATGGCATCATAATCTATCACAATGCCCTGACTCATTTCTCATAATGCATTATAAAGTCCTGTGACATTAAAGCTTTATGATACATTATAAGGGCTTATCATCAAGGTTTGCTTTTTCTGACAAATTGCAGCAATTTGCAACAATCATATTTGGGCATTGTTACAAATTGCTAACAAAAGCCGGGGATTGCCAACAATTCCTGCCAATTAGCAGGAATTGCTAAGATTTGTTGAAAGATAGGTGATGTTGAGGTAAAAGTTTTGATTTTTGTCCGGGTTGGTCCCTCATAAAGATGCGCAAGCTTGATAGTTTCTTCCGCGAGGCACAGTGTTTTGAAGGACTAGGAATTTGTACGACCCCTCCCCCTTCTTACCTGATTACCTATCTAACGGTCTCTACAATATATTATTCAGTAAACATGCCACGTCTCGTCCTTAAGCCCTTCACGTTCTCGAACGGCTTGTCAGTACCTCTAGGAGCGACGTGGTCGGTTGCTATGCGCCCCGCACACTATGATGAGGAGAACTATGCTGATGCTGCCCTGTTCAACCCTCTTCGATTTTTGGACCGCACTGAAGATAATGAGTCAGAATCTAGACACTAGATGGTTCCTACTAGTACTGATTTCTTGGACTTTGGGCATGGCCGGCATGCATGGTACGTGTTTCACTGCTGGCGGTGCGGTGAGGCTGAGTAGTTTTTCAACAGTCCTGGGCGATTTTTCGCTGTCCACGAGCTCAAGACTATGCTTGCAGAAGTCGTGCTGAATTATGATGGTCGGTTCGAAGGCGGTCAGATGCCTTCGCCGTGTTATATTGGGAATGCTTGCGTTCCTAGCAAGGGCAAACTGATGTTCAGGAAGCGATAACGATAGCATTATATGTAAGGCTCACCATTGTTTCACCCTTGATCACAAATGCTTGCGTGTTGACTTGCTTCAATATATATCGCATGAGCCAAACTAATGTTTCAGTTGTGCAGTATGTGAAACGCCACGACAGAAGCTTGTAACTTGAATAATGTGAATTGCTTTATGTCATGTAAGTGGAGTATACAGAAAGTTGTAAATTTGACCACCATTTTCCGATCGACCGAGGTCAAAGACGCCGACTGCGGTTGGGATAGGTAAAAGCAACACATGCCTGAACCAGATTAATGCAAAGCATAGCTGTGTAAGTGATAGTGACAGCAAAACAAACGGATACACAAGGCAATTCTAAAAGTTACACCAAACAAGCGGTATAAAGAGTACTACCATACGGGATGAGTGATATGTATACATGCACCTATAGCCCATCATCCGGTTCACCCTCAGCGTCCATATCATCATCTTCCCCCTCAGCGTCAGCTTCCGCATCGAGATCCCCACCCACATCCATGGCAGCACCCTTAGAAGGTTCCAAACCTACTACTGCAGCGGCGTAGACAACTTGTGGACTGGAAGGATGCGGATCAACACCCGCGACGTCACCATTCAGTTTGTTGTCCAAGGTCGTGTCTAATTTGATAATTACGTCCACGTCTGGGTCTGGGTCTGGGTCCGCATCTGCGTCAGCATCAGCATCAGCGTCTGCGTCCACCTGCATGTCCACAACGAGGATGTCCTCCTTCGCGCTCCCCACGACCTCAACAACGAAGACCGTGTCGTCGCTCGGGGCACTCTGCCGACTGGCACCAGTGACTGTGAATGGCGTCCCAGAGTCTGGGTCCGACTTCATGTCTTCCATTGGAGAATCCAACACGGGAGCAGATTGGGGGTCCGCTGGAGGAAGGCCCTGATCTGACTGATGCACGTGAACGTCGACATCGGCAATAACGCTCGAGCATGAGATGGGCGAGTCGTCCTCGGCAGTCGACCCGGTCCCGTTCAGCCCTGGCTGTTGGGGCGTATTGTCAGGCGTGGCATGATTGAGGGACGGTAAAATGTCAACATCATCATCCATCTCTGGAGAAGAGTCGATCCGCTTTCTTTTCCGCGTTGGGATCCTGCTGCTCACCGACGTAGAGCGCAGCACCTGGGCCGTTCCTGACCTCGATCTCAATATCCGTATGGGAAGACTTTCCTCCATGGCGAGTTGCGCGGCTAATGCCGCATCCTGGTCAAAGCTATCCTTCTTCGCTTGTGCACGTGTCGATATGAATGGCGTGGCAGTTGAAGAAACAATAGGACGATTGCTCGACGAGCGCGTGCGTACGGTAGGAGGTTTTGACGGGCTCACGCTCGAACGCAATCGTGGCGTGCCATTCGTGCGTTCGTAGATGGGCGAGACGTCCGCATCGAGGTGTCCTTGGCTGCGTAAGCGACGGAGGGGAACAACTTCGGGTGAACGAGTTGGTTGTTTGATAGACGAGCGTGAAGAGCGTCGCGTCGCAGCCGGCGATGCGGGCAATGCATCTTCTTCAGGTTCAGCCGATGCCGACACCTGTGTAGCCTCGTCCACTGGGAGAGGATCGTTTGCGGTAGCAGTAGCCAAGGCAGGAGTGTTTTCCACGTCGGCCAAACCACCCTCATCAGGCTGATCGATCTTTTTGAATCGTGACAACAAGAAGGGTTGCCACCTTAGCTTCTCCGGCCTCAACTCCAGATACCCCTTTGCTTTCCACTGAGCCAGATACGCACTGACATCCATCCGGCTCCAATGAATATCGTAGTGGGAAGGAGGGGTGAAGGGGCCTCGACCCAAGTCCTCTTCCTGCGTATGTGTACGCGCAAGATTCCTGCGTGCCACGCCGTTTTTGCGACCTTTCGGGAACTTGATGGATTGCCCTGGTAATGGCTTGGGCGGAGCAAAGCTGGACCCGTTTGAAAGCATGTTGTGTTCTTCCAGTGTGGCACAAACATCTTCCACAGTCATACAGGTGGCGCGGCTGATGTCTAAAGTTAATTTGAATAAGCTGAGTGAATACGCGACTCTCGTGCATAGAGCATACCCTCCAAACGGACTCTATCTGGCGCTGAGTCAAGGTAACGGAAAACAGCCAACTTCCAGTAATTTTTATATCCTAACGCCCCTAGCCCCGACAGTGGCTTCTCTGGCGTTCCGCATCGACGCTCCTTCTTGGACAAGAGGTAGCCTTACCGAAGCTCGAATCAGCCATTTGATCTACGTAAGGTCAACTAGGTACTCACTGAAATCGATGAGCAAGTTTCCCCACCCTTGCCTCTGCCGTACGGGTAACGTCATTATGCAGCTCAGATTGTAGTTCTTCGGGCACCGTTTCTCCTTGCTGAAATATCCGATGAAGTGACACCCAAATTCGTCCACCTCAGTCATCACGTAGAAAAGGAAAGGTTCGACGTCATAGAAAAGAGATTTATGGTCAAGAAACATTTTAGAGAGCAGACAAAGATTTTGACAATAAATCTGCGCAAGCAATACAATGAGCGTGAGGGTCGGGTTCGAGGGATGGTAGAAAACAAACTTTATTTCGCCGACCATCCACTTCGAATATGGATACAGTCCCGTCGCGATAGATTTCGTCCCCTGGGGGATGTCGAGATTTACACTTCATCTAAACAGAGGTTTATCTTTTGCGTTCTTCACTATTATAATGAGGAATAGTACTGACTCGATGCCGAGCTGCCCCGAAACGGCTCTTCATGTACTTCAAACAAAATTCGCAGATCCAGAGCCGGCCCTCGGGTATATTGGCATACTCCTCGGGGAAGGGCGCATCAAACCATGTTTGTATGTCAAAGAGCCCGAAACGAATAGTCCGGATTCGGAGGCTGGGAGGCTTGGATAGCAAAGGCCCAGGTGTAGAGGGAGAGGGAGAAGTGGAGCGTGCGGGTGTCATCGCAAAGGATTGGAGGGACAGAGCCATGGAACGGAGAGGGCGTGAAGAGGGACCTGCTACTGGCGTCTCAGGAATGGCAACTAGCTTGGGTAGCGCCGGGGTGAGTTTCTCCTGTAAGAAAACGCTGTAAGCACGACAGTTATGGTGAAGGTGCGGATGCATATTACCTCCGCGGACTTCCTGCTGCTTTCGAACCTGAGCTTGTCTCTTACAGTTATAATGGTCTTCGTCGTGTCTCTCTGCACAGGGTTCAAATAGTCATCAAACATTCCTTTCTGCGGTTCTTCGTCGCTGCTCTCTTCCTTCGCCTTGCCTTTGGCACTGGGAAGCTGAGAAAGACGTAGTTTCACCGATAAGTGTGGCGGTTGTGGCAGTGTGATCTTGAGACGGGGCCGTTTCACAGTCGAAGGTGAACCGAGACTTTCAATTTCTCGATCCCTGTTAGCACGGGATGAGTAAGTGGATTTCCGACGCGGACGCGAGGGGGCGACAGGTGTCTCATTTTCGACATCGACATCGGACTCTTGCTCAGTCATTAGTCCTGCTTTGATTTTTGCCTTCTTTTTACTGCGAGATTTGTGGATTGTAGACTGAGGTTCGGAGCGAGATGTAGATGTGACAGAGGACTCTCCGTCAGATGGCTCAGTTTGTTGGGATTCGAGTTCAGGTTTGTGTTCAAGTTCAGGTTCCGGTGGTGCTTGTTCCATGGCAAGTTGTTCTTCTTCCGGAGGCGCACAGATTCCTGACGGTGTTTGCGTGCAAGCTGGACAATACCACTTCCCAGGTGGTGACTCCTCTAGTGGTGGCTGCAAACAGTCCATGTGCCAGCCTATGCTACGAATAAGGAAGGTAAGATGTGTGTGACTCAAAGAACGGACGGACCTCTATCGCAAGAGTCGCACAGCAACAGTCGATCCTAGGATATGGGCTTAGTATGGCGGTAATGTATAGAATGAGGTATACTCACGTCGCCGCTCTTCTCTTCGCATATCTCGCAGGTCTTGCATTCGCTGCATTGCCAAGGATAGGTGTATAACACTTGTGAAATAGATTCCAGTTCCATGCAAGTGGGATGAGCTGTAGGTATGGCTCAATACCAGCACATAGGAAGTCTAAAAGTATTACACACCACTTCGCCCACAATCTCTGCAGCTGACCATAAGTTCCGGCTGTTTCTGCTTGTTCTGCTTGTCGTCACCTTGACAAAATCCACATTCTTCTTCTCGACGAGGTTTTCGTTTGCGCTTCAAATGTTTGCGAGAGGGTGGCGCCTCTTCCGCAACGGGGAAGAAGGCAGGTGGCGGAGCGGGTGCAAATGGATCGCCTTGCGGACCTTGAGAATACTCTCGGCGAAGAGGTGGAGATTGAAGGTGGATGGAGTGAGGGTAATGGATGGGCTAGGAAAGAAGATGGATCAGTGTCAACAAGGTGGACAGGCATACTAATTAGCGGGAGCGACGCGTCGCGTCGCGGTGCGAGATGGGAGGTTTCAAGTCTGTTTGGGAGAAGCACATGAGCTACGCACGGAGTTCTCTACGTCAAAAGGCGCGTCCGAGCATAGCTGAAGCGCGGGATCAATAGCGGGGCCTGCGAGAGCTGGGTCGATGGGAATATCGTCAGCGTTGCTTGCTGGAGTGCCATACTCGTACGACGTCTCGCGGTTGAAGGTCGGGTGTTGAGGGAACGGGAGCCCAGGCATGTTGACAACCGCGAGGGGGGTTGAACCTAAGGGACCTGAGGTGCGCTCAACGTTGAGGAAGCGTTCGAAAAGACGGGCGTCGTCGTGGAGAACGTCGCCGGCGGGTTGTCCGTTATTTGGTCACACAAAGGACCCCGGGCACTGAGCTCTAAAACAATATCTATTATTTCCAGCCCTGCATCTATTCGCTCAGCTCGCGAGGTAGCACGGTATATACATCAATGTCAGCGCAGCACGCGGCGCGCTTATGCAGAAAGCCTTATGAAGCCGTATCAACGGCTGCCCCCCTCGATGGAGGTGAGCTGAATCAGACCCATCATTGACTTTCGCTCCAAGAGTGGCTCTGCGGCCCTCTGACACTGTCGATCAGCGGGCGACCGTGACTTGCGTTACGCACAAGCCCCCCTGTGAGCGGTTGGCTGGAGCGATCTGAATATGCACGGTGAAAGCGAAGGGGAAGACGGGGCTGGAAGGAGCTGCGGGCTGTGGCTGGACGGGCTGAGAAAGGGCTGAGAAACGTAAAGTGGGGTGCCAGGACCAAACAAGGACCAACAAGCTGGGATTGTGTTCTCATTGCTGGCCTCCCTGACTTGCCTCCGCTCGCTCTCCCTTCAATCTCTCTCCCTCCATCCCCCCACTCGTCCAGACAAGCCCCCTCACTGCATGCAACAATGCAGACCGCAGTCCAACATTTTCCTCTACATCTCGCGCCCCCATACTCCAGACAATCCATTAGTAGCGCCGTCAACATGAATTCAAACGGTCTCCCCACGCCCCCAATCGCCACCCGCAAGCGCAAGCGCGCCCATCAATACACCGTCAGCTACTCCGAAGTCCACGAGGTCGATAGCGAGGGCAGACTCAGAGAAGTGATCGTCATCGACGACACTCCCCCACCTACGGCTTCTCCCGCTACCACTACTCACACCAACGGCTACTCTGCATCCTATCAGCCCCCAACATACACGGCACCGATAAGGACAAGAGCCCGTGCAGCCGCAGAGGCATTGGCACTCTCTGCCAGCACCTCATCCGCCGTCATCTCAGCCCCGGCAGTCAAGAAAAGAAGGCGGGACAACGGCGAGGACGCAGGTACCATCACTAGGAAGCCAGCACCTTTGGCAGCCCATGCTGTACCGAATAACACATCTTGGGCTCCTGCCACTGGCGCGGACGTATGCTCTGTTCAATGGGTCTGGAGTGATGAGTTATGCTGACCGCATCGCTTCGTAGTCATCAAAGTCTGCTGCTCCGTGCGACGATAAAGAAGGTCACTATATTATTGTCCCCGATGACATTATTTATAAACGATGTGAGCACCCACAAGTCTGACTGGACGACGTTGAGGCTCAGACGTAACGCGATTGCGTTAGATCGGACCGTCCGATTACTGGGTCAGGGCACATTTGGCAAGGTGGTGGAGGGCGTCGATGTCACCAACGGTCAACGAGTCGCGATCAAGATCATCCGCGCCATCCAAAAATATCGAGACGCAAGTAAGATCGAGGTTCGAGTCCTCCAGAAGCTCAAAGAACGTGATCCTATGAATCGACAGTAGGTGTCGAGCATTTTGCTTGATCGCTCGATATCTCACCCACCGCTGCTACAGCAAATGTATACATCTTTTGCATTCGTTCGACCATCGGAACCACATCTGTCTCGTCACAGAGTTGCTTGGGATGTGTGTATATGATTTTCTCAAGGAAAATGACTTCGCCCCGTTTCCTCGACACCACATCCAAGACTTTGCGCGACAGCTGCTGGGAAGTGTTGCTTGTAGGTTGCCCTTTCTCCACACCAGATTGTTTTCAATGTTCATTGTCTCTTGCATATAGTCTTGCATGACCTGCATCTAATCCATACGGATCTCAAGCCAGAAAATATACTATTGGTGAACAACGGTTTCAGAACGGTGTCAGTGCCTGTGGCCGGTAAGGTAGGAGTCCGATATCTCTCACGTGCTATTCGTCTGTCATGCTGACTGAAGGACAGCGAAATGGAAAGACGAAACGTATCCTGGATTCGACGGATATTCGGCTTATAGACTTCGGATCAGCTACATTCAATGATGAATATCACTCGACCGTTGTGTCGACAAGGCATTATCGAGCGCCTGAGATCATACTCGGTACGTAGTACTTGACGATATTGTGCGTCGATCTCACCTGGACGCCCAGGTCTTGGCTGGTCATACCCCTGCGATGCATTCTCGCTGGGCTGTATTCTGGTCGAGTTTTACACTGGGATCGCCTTGTTCCAGACACACGACAATCTCGAGCACCTAGCGATGATGGAGATAGTCATGGGCAAGATGCCTGATCGCCTCGCTCGTCAAGGTGCGAGGTGTAAACCGGAGTTCTTCAAGGAGGGCAATAAGCTAGATTGGCCGAAGCCGAAAGCCTCTAGGCAAAGCAAGAAGGATGTGCGAGCGACACGCAACCTCCATGTACGTCATTCGCTCTTGCAGTGATACTGACTTATGGATTAACAACAGCCAATTCAGGACATTGTTCCTCCAACGGACACTATCAACCGACAGTTCTTGGATCTTGTTCGCAAACTCCTTGCTTTTGATCCCAACACGCGTATTTCGGTGCGGGAGGCACTCAATCATCCGTACTTTGCGCAATCTGTGCCACATGAGCTCTGATGTACCCCATTGTATGTTCGATACTTCCTATTCCCATGCTTTGTCGATGTCATTTTCCCACTCTTAGTCCGCCCTCACCCTGATCTCCTCTCCTCTTTTCTGCGCCATGATGTCATTTCTTTGATCTCGTATTCCGTCTAGTTGGACGGGGGGGAATTTAACCTGTGTTTCGTTTTCGGTCTCTGGCATTGAATCATGTACCCTTACTCGCTCGTTCGCCTACCGTCCACGTCTGCAATAATGCACTTGCATCTCTGTCTCTCCCTGTCGGTTACTCGCCCATACATTATACACCTTCATTTGCTGCTGTGTCATCTCGTACTCCTTCGCTTTCCTTTCCTGTTTTCCTCCCCTCCTCCTCCGCTGTTCTGCGTAATTTCGTTTTACTTGGTTCAAATTTCCTCATGTCGATGTTCGCATTGGCGTGGCTCTGTTTATTGTGGATCGTAGGATCTCCCTTCCACTTTCCTCTCTCATCCTGATTGTCACTTATATGTGTACTTTTCCCTGTCTCAGCCATCCTAGATGAGTGAATCGAAGACACTTACCCCGTCGTGGGTATATCCAAGTGCCTGCTGAGGAGGATCACGCCGACTAGATAAACCTGCAAGTCCAGGCCCTAGGCTCTCGAATCTAAATCAGAGCATCGCAAACGTGCGCGGTGGAACAGCAACTGCGTTTTGGGCTGTCAAGGGGTTACCTACATCTGGTATTAATAGATGGAAAGGTAGGTATGGTCTCACGAGCTGTAGTGGCATCACAAAGCTCCGTTGTAGGTCATCGGAACCGGTTGTTGCGCATACGGGACTGACATAGAAGATGAATGCAAGATTCTCGGTACATATGTACAGACTCATGGCTCTGGAGTCTATGTAAAGATATCCTGGAAAGACGCATCTATCAAAGATTTCTGAGACAGCAGAACAGATTTGACCTACCAATTCGACCGATCGTCTCATGCCTCGGGACAACGCCTAAGCAGTGGGACTCCAGCGCCCAGCATCCACCGCGGCGAACGCGGCTTGCGATATGAGCCTGGCTCCGAGCATAGCACCAAGTAAATCTCTAGTCCAGACACAGCAGTTATTTGTTCTCGACGCTTTGACAAGGACGACGTCGCGAGCTAGCTTGAGGGTCTCGTCTCGCTGTGCGCGCGAGAACTTTCCCAACACGAACAGCTCGTGCTTGATTTCTGCGGACGGGCGAATCTCGGCGAAGGGCGAGTAGTGTCCATATCCACCGACCCCTCCTGTCAGCTGAACGACTTGCACGACAAGGCGCCCGTCGACGACAGCATTCGTCCATTAGAGTTGCACATGTCGGTCGCCGACTCCCGAAAAGGACAGGCCATTGGCTTGGACGTAGACTTCTTTTTCCGAGTCGTCATCGGGATATAACGTGTGTACGCTGTTCATGAACCGAGGGGGGGTTAGTCATGATGGCAGCAGTTGGATATCGCGGTGTTTGAGAGTCCGCCGTATCGCGCAGCATGCACAATGGTAGCTCGAAATTCGAAAATCGCGTCGCGCACACGGATGTGCGGCGAGCGGGCAACTAATACCCTCTCCTAGCTTTTCAACTCAGCGCCGGGGATGCAGCCTGATGCAGCGTTCTGTTGCCGGAACACACTTACGTTGTGCCTTTTCAAGATATCAGTGTTGCAGCAATACAAATGAATCCTATCCTACAAGCCAGCAAAGCCAGAATGAAAACGTGAACATGGACCAATCTATGCCCTGCGGACTACGTGTGCACTACGAAAGCAACCAATGACCATCGAGAAGCGCGCCCCAAATGGGACTCAAACTCAGCAACCAAACAATCAGACAAGCTTAGCAAGCGCAAGCGTGTTCTTGCCGACGTCGGTAGAGAAGTACGCGTTCTTGAGGAAGACATCGCCCACCAACCACTCCTGCGCGCCCCCGATTTGACCAGAGGAGATGCCGGAGACACAGTCACCTGTGGGGTCGTTGGCGTTGACCGGGGAGAAAGCAAGGTCGCGGGGATCGATCGCAAAAGAGGTTCCGCCGAATGAGAAAGCGATGGAGGTCGTAGTGGTGCATGGGATCGTGAAGCCGCCTTGGCCGTCAGACGCCGCACCGGGGATGGCCTTGTGGACAGCAAGGGCATCGGCAGGGGGAGCGACGATGAGGGTTGTGCCGGTGTCGAGGATGGCAGTACGGCCTGTGAGCCCGAGGTCCTGGCCATCGGCAGTCACGGCATCCATGCTGGCTTCCCAGAAGCCTTGTTTATTCACGTTGGCTAGATTGACGAGTGTGGCAGAGTCGAACTTTGAGGCATCCAAACCGCCGAACGTGATCTCTCCGTCGTTCTTCTGATCCGCGAGACGGGAAATTTTGTACGAGGTGATGGCTTCCGTGACAAGACCGGCTTTGGCCAGAGACTCGATGGGGGTCAGGGTTTGTTGTTCCGAAAGAGTCTGATGAGAATAAAGATCAGAATAGAGACAGCGGCATGACAGATGAATCAAGGCGTACACTCTGTGCAAGGCCCATGAGACCATCAAACGGAACGGAGTTAGATGCAAAATCATTGGTCTCCTGGAGTGCAACACCGAATGTGTGCGCCGCGAGTGCAAGACCGGCAACAGTGATATCATCCGTGACGATGTCGCCCGCAACCGCGCCAGTGCCGTAGGTTACCTGGAACGGTGCGTTCGTGTCCTTAAATGACGAAGATGACTTGGCTCCCAAAAAGACGTGGTTACCCTAGGGACGTTCCAAAAATATGATGCCAATCAGCTGGCTGCTATTTATGAAATAAAGCACATGGGTATACGCACGCATCCGCCACCAGCCGTGGATGTGCAGCCTTCGGCGCCGACCCAAAGGTCAGCGGATCCGGAGTCCATGAGCAGCTTAAAATCACGGGGTGGAGTGCCCATTTGGACGGTAGCAATATAGCCGACATCGTTAGCCTCGATGTCCAGACCAAGGGAGTTGGCGGTTGCAGGTGTGTTTGCCGCAGTGAGGCCACCTTGCTGAGCGGCTTGGATGTCGATCGGGGAGACACCAGCGGACGTTGAGTTGGAGCCTGCCGCACCTGCAGCATTATTTGCAGCGGCGGCTGTGCCGGCACCGGCAGCGGCGGCGGCGGCGGCACCGGCAACAGCAGCGGCCTTCTTGCCACCCTTCTTGCCCTTGGCCTTAGCAGCGGCAGTAACAGCAGCACTGGAAAAGGGAATTACCAGTCAGTAGGACAAAAAAAACCGACAGCTCGGACCCTCACGTCTTGGCACCGGTGAGTTTGGCCTTCGCGTTGTTGATCACGGCACTAATGCCCTTGCTGATACCGCCCAGACCATTACGGTTGTAACGCGTCTCGAGGACGGAGCGGCGCCGAATGTCTTCATCTGCGACGGTCATGCGTTTAGCGATGGAAGAGACGAGTTCCTCGCTGGAGGGGCCGGCACGGCCGGTCATTCGCGCCAGACGGCGGTGTGACCGGTTGATGTGCTGCTGGAGGAGCTGGAGGAAGACGAACGGGTTCAAACAGACTATTACGAATGGACAGGGAAGACGGGACACGCACGACCTGGGGATGGACGCCGTCCCTTGGGCCATGGACTCGTTTGAGGGGGAGAGTTACCATGCCACTGTTCTGACGCTTCAAGGGAGCCGCATCAACGGCGGAAAGGGCGACGAGAAGGCTTGCCAGAAGCAGCGTGAAGGAGAGACCGAGCTGCATGACGGTGACTCAAGATAGGACGGTGGAGAATGAGGGACCTGAATGAAGGGGAGGGGAAATCCTTAAAAGCCTGCGGTCTAGCACAGTGAAGGGAAGACTGGGATAGAGGAGAAAGATGAAAAGAAAGGCTCTGCCTCGGAAGAGAGTAAAGGGAAAGAGTCCACCAAGCACAGGAAGGTGATGGGAGGAGAGAGAAGAAGGCGGGGGAGCTTATAAAGGATGGGCATGGCTGCGGAGTGAGTATTTCCAGGGGCGCGGTTGTCCTTGAGTGATTCTTGGACGAAACAACGCGGCGGAACCCTCCTCAGCTCGCCAGAGTCGTTGTTGTCCAGACAATACGATCTCTCCACGTGCGGGGCTACCGCGATCTCACGTGCATCCACGCCACAATTGTTCCCATCTTGCCTCTGGTGCGGTGCGCTTGACAGTCATATGCAACGACATCTGTGGCAGGCGGACGTCGCCCGTCCCGGCGGCTGATGGGTTTCTTTTTTGTTTGATGTCTGTGTGAATGGACGAGGAATGGGAATGGAGGGTCCAATGCGGTCGCCGGACGCGGGGGGCGGCCGGGCCGAGATATCGGGAGCGTGGAGGGAAGGGGATGGATAGCACCGTAGCCGGTGAACACTGGAAACCAGCCACGATGTCTATATCAGTCCGCCTGCGGGTGCGGCCTCGAGCATCGTACGCTGGTCGGCCCACGTTCGCGAACATTTACGCGCGACTTTGTGGCAGCTGAGCTGGGCCGACGCAGGCTGGAGCGAGGGCCACCGAATGTAAGCAGGCGCCGGGATGGAAATTCCGAGTGGTGTGACTTTTTGTGTGCTGCAATAAAAAGTGTTGCTGGCGGGATGGAGAGCTCAGCTTTCCGTCGTCCTCCGCGGTGCTCTCCTCTTCTTCACGATGGACCTCGTCTTGACCATCGCCGACGACTACCTCCTCGACGCCGTCTGGACCCGTCTCCACCCCGCTTCTTCTGCATGGCCCCGCGAATACATCCCTCGCCAGCTTCTCTCCCTTTCCGTCATCACCCTCCTCGGCATCTTCTTTCTCTATTTCACCTTCGCCGGCCTCTCTTACCACTATATCTTTAATCACGACATGATGCAGCATCCTAAATTCCTTAAAAATCAGGTCAAGCTTGAGATCCAATCTAGCATACGCGCTTTCCCTATGATAACTCTCCTCACCTTGCCTTGGTTCCAAGCGGAGGTCATGGGCTACTCAAAGTTGTACGATGACGTGGATCAGTATGGCTGGACATACTTCTTCGCGTCCATAGCAATGTGAGCCTCGGATTCCCTTTCTCGTCTGCCTTGAACTTAAGTTTCATAACCTCCGCAGGTTCCTGCTTTTCACCGATTATGGCATCTATTGGGTACATCGCCTACTCCATCATCCCTTGCTCTACAAGCACATCCACAAGCCGCATCACAAGTGGTTCAGTGCGTCTTCATCCCTTTGCCTATCCTCCCTTCGATCAAACTAACCATTCAACAAGTCCCCACACCTTTCGCGTCGCATGCGTTCCACCCTGTTGATGGATACCTCCAATCTGTCCCTTATCACATGTTCATCTTCGTTTTGCCCTTGCATCGGATACTGTATCTCGGCTTGTTCGTTTTCGTCAATTTCTGGAGTATCTTCGTGCGTCCATTTGTCCGCCGGTTTCCGTGTTCGAATTCCTTATTCTTGGCAGATCCATGACTCGGACATGATCACTGGACACCCGCTCGAGACGGTCATAAACGGACCAGCTCATCACACTCTCCACCATCTCTATTTCACTGTCAATTACGGCCAGGTCGGGCTCTACTTTTAGATTGGTCGTTCTCGGTTGCAGTGCTAACTTTTTGTTGTCCAGTACTTCACTTGGGCTGACCGCTGGGGCGGTTCTTACCGCCAACCCGCATCCGAGCTCGACCCTCTGTTAGAGGTGAAGGCGAGGCAGGAGGCGGAGCGCAAGGTCGCACTCGGCAAGGAACTCTAACCAGATCCTGGTGCCTTCGAAGGGGACGCGAGATGTTTATGAGCTCACCTATACAGTTTATCTATCTGGATTGTGCTTACAGCCAGGGAGGGTTAAAATGCTCCCTGAAGCTACTAATTAGACGATTCATATAATCGAAGGACAACGACCCACTTCATATATTTGGACGGGGTTGGCTGATCACACTGAGAAACAATATCTTTCTTTCATCACAATTAAGTCAGCAGTTCAAGTGAGCCAATGGCGCGCAACGAAGGTTTTTTCATCCACGGATACACTACATGACTAGGACTTGGCCGCAAACAAGCATACGAAGGGCAACATTCGGATCCGTGATGGTTGATACAATGCACAAAACAGGGAGATGCGACAAGCAATTATTGGAGCCGCACTGACAGGAAAGCTGGAAAAGAATACATGGCATATTTACCGCTTTGCAGGCCTCTTTTTTACTTCATCGTCTTTTATCGCGTGTAACATGACTTTGTTCGGGTGTCCAGGCGTCGCGCCCGAGAGGCCCTTGGACCAGTCGTAGGAGACAGCGTAGGCGAAGATGGTGCCAGTGCGATTGAATGCAGAAGCGGTGACTGGACCCGGGCAGGGGTCGAAGGCTGTGAACATAAATCATGAATCAGGGCGTTGTGTGTATAATAGGACGCGCATGGAAACGTACTCTTCAAGCGCGAGCGCGCATCCTTGTCCCAGTAGTTGATAGTCCCATCAGAGCCTGATTAGATGTCGCCGTGAGTTCAAGGATAAATTCACAATTTCAGAGGCATTCCGCACCACATGTTGAGAATGTGCCGTGCACCGGGTGGAAATTGATATCATTCACAGCAAAAACGAGAGCTTGGTCCTTCGTGTTGAGCCCTTGATCTCGACGGTGGCACTTGAAGGAAAAGTTATTCCTGCGAAGAGCGTCAACGATGACGAGAGAGGAGGGAGCGTGTGCAGACAAACTGAGAGTCTTTGTCGTCCACGTATCTGGGAAACAGGTTGTGAGATCATGTCGAGAAAAGATCTGCGAAGGATGCCTACTGAATTGCGACGCGTCCTTCAACAGTACCGACCGCGAAACCATTGCTAGATGGGAAACAGGACACCACTCGGGTTTGCCACTTTAGGGGAGAAATCATGGTCTAACCAAGAAGTCAGAATTTCGGCGACAGGGGAAAACAAAGCGTTGTAGACCTTGTATGGTGTGACTGGGCTCGAGGACAAGTTGAATATTTGGATATGCCGTTCAGCTGTGCCAACGACGAGAAGGGGGTAGGCGACATCGAACGAATAGCAGCGCTCCGGCAGCTGGACTGTCGAGATAGGATTCGCACTTCGCAAATCCCAATACTTCGGCAAACATTACGTGAGTTCAAATTTCGACCCAGGAAGCGACCCATACACACTTTGAGGGTCTTATCCCAGCTGCCCGTCGCAAGAATGCCACCCTGGGGAGTGTCGATCCATTTCACGACCTTCACTGGCGCGTCGTGTTGAGCCACCTGCTGCGACTGTCCACTCTGGATGTCGTACAACCTTGCAGCGTTATCGCATCCACCGGATATGATTTTGTTTCCTTCCTAAGCATACACGGAAGGTCGCCGCAGTAAACGTCAACGTCCGTCGCATCAATGAGCACCCCTCACGTACCTTGTTCCAGCATACACTCAAGACGGGACCTTGATGTCCATACATTGCCTTGCCTTGGGTCTGTCCATTGGCTCCTACCTCGTAAATTCGAACATTATTGTCCCAGCTGCCCACAGCAAGGTAATCTGCTAGCGGAGAAAACGAAAGTGAAGAGATGGAGTCGGGAGGAGGATCAACAACTTCGACATCCTTGTCAGTTGTGTTCGAAACGTTTGTAGACGTCGATGCCGCTCCAAAGAAGGACATAGTTGTGTGAAACAAGATGGGTAGACCTCTGGGAGAGGAGACAAGGTCACGCGACCGTGGCCAAGCTCCGCATCAAAACGACAAGCCTGGGACTCGAACCCAGAATCTCTAGCTAACCACATTATAACCGGAAACTAGCGCGTTAACCATTACGCTAGCCTGCCTAAAAACTAACTAATTAAAAGACATATATCTGGGCATTTTTTGAATCTATACTACCACTTGATTGGGGTTTTCCCATACTTATACTGCTACTAGTTTTTGTCCCTGACTTTATATTAAAATAACCTGTTGTATAGTGATGCACTTATAATAGCTTTATATATAAAAATATAATATAAAATAGACAAAAAGCTAGCTTTACTAGAATATTAAAGGACTTTTGTGAGTTGTGAGACAAAGTGCAAGGTGTTATGATTATGACTTATTGGGCCTTTATGACAGTCTATCTGATATGGTCATTATAACTATTAAGTGGCCTTATGGCATAAGGTGTACACAAAGATACAGGGATTGTTCTTTGGTCATCCAATTCTAGCAGACACACCCATTACTAGTTAAGTATCACAGGGTTATTGTATGGATAGCTGATGGAGGCTTACATACTTACTCATGGACATAGAGCTTCTTGTTTTCCTTGTCAGAAGAAGGCAAGCATAGAAGCAAGAGTAGTTATTCTTGGAGAGTAATGACTTAGAGAATACCTATGGTATATATATATAGGATTTTTATGCTCTTTCCTAAAGTAGTATAAAAGGCCCATAAAATAGGCTAAGGATCTTTAGTCTATTCTCTTTGTTTAGTACTGTCTCTCTATAGTACTACCTTGTTCCACTGTAGTCTTCAAACTATAGTCTTGCAATATTATTGACTTTTGTGCTATATATATAGTCAAGATCATTGTTCCACTTTTCCTCTTTGAGCAACCTAGGGAAGAACCTCCTACTCTTGGGGTTATTGAATGAGCAGTTCATAACACTAGAATAAACTCTTCTGCCCCTACCTTGCTTGAACTCTAGCTTGCTGCCATACTCTCTCTCACAACCTTACTTAGTGGGGAAATAGACCCTTATTAAGAAAGTATTGCTGCATATACTCTGGAGCAAGACCTAGGCCAAGACTAACCCCTCAGTGCCATATGTATAAACAACCAGTTTCATCACAATAATTGCCCCATCTGATAAGAAAGGAATCTTTGGTTCTATATAGACACCAATACAAATGTCCTACCCAATTATGCTCATATAAGAATAGGCATTACTACTTCACTTACCCTAATGGAACAAAGGAAGAGTTTTTTTGGAACAAAACAGAGAACCATTGAGACCTATTACCCCAGTATAGAGATCTGACACTGGTAATCCCTAATAAATTGGAGCAAGAGAAGTCTATTTCTCATTCAAACTCTAACTCATTACCAGACCAAACACCAATCAATACCTGAAACCAACCACCCACCAACATATCAGGACAAGCATCAGCTTCTACAAATACCCCTTCTATAACTATATAACCTTGAAGAGGAAAAGTCAAACTCCCAGACAATTACATAGGTGACTATATTGAATCTCAGAAATTCATGCTCCAATGTCTCCTTTTTTCATAGCAGAATCTGACTGGTATAAGACTGATTAGAACAGAATCTCCCTCATGCTTTCATGCATAAAATATGGCACAGTAAGAGCCTGGGCAGAAAACTTTCTCCTCAAAATAATAAGAGCAGACCCTCTTATAGGCTTGGGCACTTGGGCAAACTTCTTGACAAAGTTCAAGTTATAGTTTAGAGAGATTAGCAAAACTGATAAGGCATGAAGCATGCTCATGGCCTTTTCAGAAAAATGACAGTTGATGAGTACTCCAACCAATTCATTCTGATTGCTGCTAATGCCGATATCTCTGAAAAAGAGCAGGTTCCCTACTTCCAACGTGGCCTAGACCTACATGTCATAGATTATAATCTATGACAAAGAAGCTTAGCTAGATAACAACATCCAAAGTTGGGTTAATATAGCATGCGAAATAGATGAATAGCTTAGAGCAAGGAGTGCTCAAAAAGCCATCCTTGCTAACTCTACCTCCTTTCAAAGTGACTTCTTGAACCACTTCCACCTCCAACCCTTACTCTGCTATAACTCCACAAATGCCCCTTATAGGATAAACAACCAAGTTATAGATATGAATATTGATACTATACAAAAGTGAAATGCCAAAAGCCAAAAATGAAAATATGAGGGCAAGCAGACCATTTTGTATTATAACCATGGAAAACTAGGGCATTATAGCACTGACTGCTAACTTCCACACAGAGGCATTCAACCAATTTGAGGAAACTCAAAGAGATTTGTGGGAAAAACAGGGAGAACAAACCATATGGTTAATATTAAAAGTAAAGATGACATAGGACCCACTCTGGGAAACCAAGTAAGAATATATTGAGGAATGGAGGAGGGGAATGCTTATCACTATTACCAGTGGGTACCACAACCTAGTCATTCGATAGAACATCCAAATGCTTCTTCATTCAGATTACTCATACTGAACCATTAGTGACACATCATATTGCCTGATGGATAATGAGAGGACTAAGGTATTGCTTATACTGCTTGAGTCAGATCAGTCCTTAGTGAACTAGGTAAAGAGGAGCAGATCGACATTGTAATAAGACTCATAGAGCATTTTTCCTGACCTTTCCCTCACCAGTGAAGGTAAGAGGTCAAGCAAGGCTCAGATTTGAAATAGTAAAATATATTCATATTAGAGGAATAAACAGTTGTATCATCACTCTCATTTACTTAAATGTGCAAGTTTTAAACTGGACTCATTATGCTGGAGCAAAGATGGCCATCAACTTGGCATATAAAAGGATCATTGTAAATAAAGTATGGGTCAAGAAACATAGATTCCCCACATACTTGCTCAACCATCCCATTTGTATCTATAACATTGATGACACCATTAATAAAGCAGGTCTCATTTGATCTGCACTGTATGTGAACCTTATAATTTAGGATATCAATGGATAAACATACACTAAACATGTTCAAATGTTATTTCCAATCTGGGGAAAGACAACCTTATCCTAGAAACAGATTGGCTGAAATACCATGATCCCTCCATTGAGTGGAGACAATATGAAGTGAACTTTGATCAGTGCCCCCAAAATTGCCACCAGCTGTATGGGTTCACCAAGGCAAGAAAAGAACTGCCATAGAATAGCCAGTTAACAGGTGACAAGACACCATATTATAAGCTGTGGATTAACTTGCAACAATGCAATGATGAATGTCTCTAAGGGATATTGAAGGACATAGGTCTACACAACCACAGCAGGATGTTTGGTATCCAACTGGTAGCCTACATCAAAAGGAAAAGGCTTCTATGGGACATAAAGAAATATGCAGAGGAGAAGAAACAATATGCTTAAACAAACCCTGAGCTATTTCCTTTACCAAATGTACAAGAGCCATCTCTCTCAAACAATTCCTCAAGCATAGCTATTATAGAAAAACCCATTATTTGGAAACTAGCCCCAGAGCCATCAGGTTTTGCCAGCTTTAACCAGGACCTAGAAGAAGGGATTGTAGTTACTAACCTAAAAGAAAGGGTTCCCAAGGCATACCACAAATATCTTGACATCTTTAGTGAGCAGAAGTCACAACAACTTTTAAAACACACTTTCTAGGATCACACCATTGATCTTAAAGCTATGTTCAAACCTCAAATGCCCAAGATATACACGTTGAGTCCTAAGAAACATGATAAACTGGGAAAGTTTATTAAGGAACACCTTGCAAGAGGAACTATTCATAGGTCCACATCACCTAGTGCCACCTTATTCTTCTTTATAGGCAAAAAGAATAGAAAACTGCATCTAGTACAAGACTATCACTACCTCAATACACACGCCATCCCAAATGTTTGCCCCCTTAAACTAATCTAGGAATTATTGGATGTAATTAAAGGAGCCATAATATTTTATTAAAATGGATGTACGATAGGGATATAATAATATATGCATTAAGAAAGGAAATGAGTGGAAGGCCACCTTTATAACCCCTTTGGGGTTATATAAACTAACAGTAATGTTTTTTGGCTTTACCAACTTTCCTGCAACCTTTCAAGCTATGATGAACATGATCTTCTGAGAACTCATCATAGCCCACAAAATAACCATATACATGAATGACATCCTTATTTTTTCCAAATCAATGGCAGAACATATCCTCATTTTGAATCAAGTTTTCTAAATCTTACACAATAATGAGCTTTACCTGAAACTGTGGAAATACAAGTTTTACAAAGAAAAACTGAACTATCTCAGTTACACAATCTCTAGAGACTATGTTGCTATAAAGGACTCTAAAATAGATGCCATAGAGGATTGGCCTATCCTATGCATAGTCTGTGATATTTACTCTTTCTTGGGATTAGAGAACTTTTACAGATAATTCATCAACAAGTTTTCACTTATCACCTGGCCCTTACACAACCTCACTAAGAAAGACAAAAAGTGGAACTGGACTGACAGGTGTCAAGAAGCTTTCAAACACCTAAAAAAAGCCTTTATTAGTCAACCTGTCCTAAACTACCCAGACCCAATGTGCCCCTGCAGACTTGTGGTAGATGCATTACTGATTGCCTATGGAGCCACACCCCTACAAGAAGGCAAGAACGGTGACTGGCACCCAGTGGCATACCTCTCTGGTTTGTTCTCACTAGCAGAACAAAATTATAACATCTATGACTGCAAATTACTTGCTATCATCAAAGCCTTGGAACACTGGATTTATTACCTCAAAGGATCCTGACACTTTTTGAGATCTAGATAGATCATAAAAACCTGGAATATTTCCAAACAGCCCATAATCTATCATAGGGACATGCCTGTTGGAGCCTTTATTTAAGCAGATTTGACTTTACACCCAGCCACAAAGCTAGGTTAACCAACCATTTAGATGCTCTGTTTAAGCATCTAGATCTAAGTGAGGAAGTGGAATCTGATAATAAGGCTCAAATTTTACTTCTAGCTAAACTTTTCAACAATTCAAATGAGACATTGGTAGAACCAAACCAAACTATGCACATAAAATCCATGGAAATCACCTCTTCGGACCTTATCTCCCTCATCTGACAGTTATGTTCAGAGCATGATGTATTGACAGATATGGCCCTTACTGAGTTGCTATGGTGATATACTAGAGGTGTATCTAAGTGCCAAGCACAATACCAAAACAACCTCTAATGCAAGGGGTGCTGGAGCTAGTATCTGATACACAAGGAATTGTTAGTGATAACTTTAGAAATTAATGGTGTTGTAAGAAGCAGCAAAGAGTGTGAGATTATAGCACCCAAATGGTTATGAGACTACACTGAACACTAACTGAATGTTTAGTTAGTCATGTTAGGGATTTGGTTGGTAATAGAAGGTAGTGTCGCAACCAACAATTACATACTTCAAGAGCCATATGGGACTCTGACAATATACGAGGGAGAACAAGGAGTATGAGTGAAAAAATGAGTATAAATGCAAACAAGGCTGAATGACAAGGATAACAAGAGTCGACAAGGATGATTTTAATAGTTGAGATGAGTGCAAATAAGCTCTGAACTGTGGGGTGCAAAAGCTGGTTTATTCCAGAGTTATATGTAAGTTTTTATAGTAAACTGAGCCCCTAAGTAAAATATTAAACAAGAAATGAGAGTAGATGTTGAACAGGCACCAAGCCCTAGCAAACAAAGAAGATAAGAAGGTAGGTGAGATGTCCATATAGGTTCTGAAGGTGATAAGGTAAAAGTTAATCAGTAATGGTGAACTCCTGACCATTTGGTATTTGTTGCCTAAGTATAGGTAGTAGGAACAGTCATTGGAAAACTAATTAAAATAAAGAAAAAGTAATGTATAACCAGGGTGGCCAAGTAATAGTGCAAGATCATGTTTGACTGACCATGCAGAAGTTAAGAAGATAAGCAATAAGGACTGACTGACTTATGGAGCACATTGGCTGACATGGACTACTGGCTCCAATCTTGTAAATACCTATTATAACACTCCTGTGCAGTTATGGTAAGTACATGAAGTATGGGTGAACTGACCCAAGTGCTGCTGAACATCCTTTGGTAGGTTGTGGTTAGTCAGGTAGGGACTGACCATGTTTGGTGTGAGTTGGCGTCTTCAGTACTTGTCTAGTGCTGGTCGGTAATGAGCATAAGTGTTCTCTAGGCACCAATACCCTACTTTTTGCAGCTTTTTAGTATTCTTTGACTGTTCATCATGCTTAGAACCAACCAATCCCAATCCATTTAGCAATCTCAGCTATTTGTCAGGTGCCAACTTTGCATTTAGACCTCTGCATAGTCATTTGGAGCTGTTCACAGTCATCCTATCTATCTATCATCACTCTCAGCAGTAGGGGCTCCCTGTAGACTATCATAGCCAATTGCTGATCAGTTTATTATGCTTCACATGGTCAGCACATTCAGTCAGCTTTGGTGTCCCAAATTGGAGGTGGCCAAACACTTTGTTGACTTAGAATAGATCTGCCTTTTGATCTATTATTGCTCTTATGCCTTTTGTTGACCTATCCTTTGTTATCTTCAGAGCTCCTGAGTTTCTAAATAGTTTACCCATGTGGCATGTGGTTCTTATCTCCAGGTCCATGTGGACTCACCTTTGCAATCTCTTGACTTTTTTTTAGACCCCAGAGTTATTGCTTCTTATCTTACAGTCAGTGTCCATAATATCACTCCCTTATCTTCTTTACCTTTGATAGCCCTTGGCATGCATTTCCAATTACTCTATGCCTCTGCCAATCTCCCTATCTTGTACCTGTTCAGACTTACTATAAAAGGGCACCCATGGCCTCACAATACATTAACTTTGGCTTTCTCCTTATTCTGATTTCATTTATGTGCTTGTGTCTATGAGACCTTGAGTCTTTACCTTCTGATCCTCATTTGCATTTTGCCTCTTTGTTTGTGTTGTTGCATTTAATTGCAGCCTTTCATCAAGTTTGTCATCCTCTGCCAGTGTCTAGTATGGCCTCACACCCATTCTTTCTCCTTTGCATCCTGATCAAATTCTGATCAAATACTAACTGACCAACCAACTGACCAACTGACTGACTAACTGACTGACTGACCAAGTGACCAACCAACCAAATATTTTGATTTTGGACTATACTCCAAACACTTTTAATATGCTTTCTTATTAGTTGTTGCTTAGCTAATAGTTCCTTGCACACTAAAACCAGCTCCTGCCTACCTGCGCTTGTAGAGGTGTTTCTTGGGTGTGTTTTGCACTTAAAGGCATTATTATTGTATCATTGGTATCTCCTTAAAGCTTCCCAAATACCTTCCTTAGGCCCTAGCATGAGTGCATGCTCATCATCTCCTCTCTGCTGAAATCCTGACTATTCTCAGTCAGTGGTTGGTGGCTATGAGTCAGAGTGGAAAAAATGGCATGGAAAATATGGTGGCATAAAAATGCCATATGTAAACAGGGTGTGTGGTATATAAATGTGGGAAAGAGTTGGCAATAAGTGATGGTGTGAAAAAAATAGCTGTGGTGTGGAAGATGGTGCAAAGGCATGGAAAATGTGGTACTGTGGCAAGTTACATGGGAAAAGAATTGGTAATGAGCAGTGGCATAAAAAGAAGTGGGCACATAGGAGAGATATGGCAAAGGCGAATAATCAGCAAGGAGATATCATAGAAAGGACCAGATTGGTGCACAAGAGAGACCAGGGTTGAGTTGGCAAAGCCCTGTGGCATGGCAACTGATTAGGTGAGGAAGTGGCTAAGGCCTAGAGTGCCTCAACTAGACACTGGCATGAGAGTATGTCAGCAAAGAGTGGTGGCACATATCATGGTCTCTGCTGAGCACACTGGCATGGGGCTTTATCAGGCGACCACAATAGTCTACTAATCATTGATTCTCTAGCAACTAAGTTCCTCATCACTATCCTCTTGCCACTTTGTCTCTTATATTGTCCCTTATCCCTATCCTGAAGGCAAAACTCACCAAATACATACCCTCCCTCCCAGATGGTGCTGCCAAATATAAGGATTACAAGGTCTACATCTGGAAAAACACCCCCTTGTATTAGCTCCGGATTATATCTAATATTATCTAAAAGCATCTAAAAATGTTAATAGCATTTAAAAGCATCTAATTTCCCAATTGGGAGCAACACATTGTGAACATTGGATTGGTTTCTAATTTCATGATATTAGCACTAATTCTATACTAAGAATTCTTTAATTATTAGTAGGAAATAGTAAGTATTACTGCTCTATCAGTAAGAAGGTAAAGATGTGGCACATTCTATACTATTTCAGCATATTACTCTCCTTCATATATGCCTACACCATTATCTTGTAGCTCTTTTGCTAACTTTCCAGCTGCTTTTATAAGGGATATAGAAAGAGAGAAATGTGCATTGATGCCCCCAGCCGCATTGTTGGCAGCTTGGCAGCTGCCATAAGAGGCTATGAAGACCTAGGTACCTTGTCCTTGCACACAAGATCATTAAAGTTGTCATTGTTGGCCAATGCCTACTACTGGTCATTATAGGACACAACATGTGGGTTGGGCTTAGGGATATGCTATATGCAGCCTTATAGACCTTGTCTATTAGTACAGTGGCTAATACTATCTTGTGCAGCCCACAATCATTATCCCTATTGATATTACAATTTTTAGCACTATTTATATTGTTCATTGCCTTGTTATATAGAAGATGCTCAAACTTGGTGTTTTCCTCTAGCTATTAGGCTGTGGAAAAGACAGTCATATTAGTATGTGGTGCCAGAATGATATATTTGCCTACCATATAGGAAATATATGCACTAAGCATATTAAGATCACCTCCAACAATCTTGTGCTTATTTACATATAGGCATGCCATACATATACCCTTGTCCCCACTCTCTACCTCACTAGTGGCTATTTGGAAAACCCCTTTCTCTTATTGGATCTTAATTATTCATAATCATGTTTTTGATCAAATTTACAAATTCAGGTAGCATTGTCTATACTAGTAGAGTCCCATTGAATATTACACTCAATCATAGTTTTACACATTCTCAGTCCTAATTGTATAAGTGCCATAATTTATTTTTATCCTATATAAAGTGTATTATTGATTTTCCATTGGTTTATTATCTTCTTAGCTAGTGTTTACACTAAATCCTGAAAGACCTGACTTTTTAGGTATTTATTGACCTATTTATTAATAAGATAGAGGAAAGATAAATGTTGAATAAAATCAGAGATATTGAGGTTGCCTATATTATGTTCACTTATTTAGATTACCAAGTTCATATCTTAGAACTTGTGGCTTAGTGGCTTAGAGCATCTGTCCTGGGTGCTTGCATACATGAGGTTGTTGGTTCAACTCTGGCAAAAGGCAAGTTTGTTGTAAGGTATATTCTGTGTTTAGGTATTGAACTAGTGTTCTAATAGACATGACTCTATAAAAAGGCTATGAGAACTGTGATGCTTGATTTATTATGATTTTTCCGACATTTCAAGTTATAATCAATCCTAATAATTCCTAATTTAGGAAAATTATGTCTAATTAGAACAGGTTTAGAAGGGGGGTAAGCTAAAAATGTCTAATCCTAATTGTTCTCAATTATGCATAAATAGAACTAATTAGAGCTTAATACAAAGGGGTGGTTTTCCAGATATAGGGGCAAGAGTTTGACAAACAAGTGGTGAGTTAGTTCTTCCTCTTGTCTTCTGCTGGCTGCTGACACTTGATAGGCTGTTTTCAACTATTTGGCATGTGGGCAAGACATGCCTAAACTCACTGACTTTATCTCTGAGGCTGAATATGGTCTTAATCCATTGGCCACTGATGACTGACTAGTATGGGGAGTGCAAATCCTGCCACAGTACACAGCACATGTCGTGTTGCAGCAACAACAGGCAGCTAAGGAACAGGACCTAGTAGAGGAGAGGGAGTGTGTTACCATTGCCAAACGGGAGGCTGCCAAAGCTAAGATGATATGAGCTGTTGTAGCTCAAAAGTTGGCTGAAGTAGATTGTGAATGGTGCTAGGAGGTACTGGTGGACATGATGTTTGATGGCTCACTTAATCCTAAAAAGGGTGAGCATCAATTGGCTAAGCTCGAGTCTGTCGTCCCTTTCCCTCTCTTTCTTTCCTCTCCTTCTCCCGGTCCCACCACCTCATCTTATTATTCCAACCCTTCTTCCAACTCATCTTATCCCAATCCATCTGTTGCTGATTTAGCACTTGTGTCTGCTACTAATGCCCTAGACCAAATGAGTATGGGTCTGGTTGCCTCCATCACTCTGACAAATGCAAAGGGCAAAAAGACGGCCACAGTTGTTGTTGAATTTGCTCACCAATAGAAGCTGCCTCTCAGACACATTGTCCTTCCTCTTGGCCCTGAAACAAGCTAAATGTCGACAGTTAGGTCCCCTGTGGAGTGGAATGGTGCTGGTAAGATGCTTAAAGATCTTCTAGAGCTGTTACCTGGTAATATACTGGTAAGTTCCCTCCCTCTTGCTACTGCTTCCTATTGCTGATCATTTTTTTTTAGGCTAACTATGCATGTCATTACTGTTTAACTGCCTTCCAGACCAAGGCATTCCAGTGCTACTAGCAACCTGGGCTGGTGTCTGGCACTAAGTGTGCCAAGGAGTTAAAGGGGTGTAGCTTCTAACCCAGGTGGATTCTGATAGAGAAAAAGAAGGGGAAGTCAAAAGAGAAGGGGAAAGAGAAGTCAAAGGAGAAGGGGAAGTCAAAGGAGCAGTCAGCGCCAAAGTTGGAGGAGAGGGAATGCCCCTTGAAGTGTCATAAGGTAAAGGTGGTTGTCCCCATGCAGTCAGTCAGGGATAACATCGCCTAAATAAAAGGTGAGTTATCTTTTAGTTGAATTGAAGATGAGAGCTCATTGTTCAGTATTGTTTGGTGCAGCCACTCACATCCAAAAGCTGGTCTAGTAGCTTCTTACCACTACTAAGGCCATTCCTACTCCTACCTGCCCTTTTCATGCTTGTTTGGCTGCCTTACCCACTTCTACCAACTTATCTCATCTCTTGCCCATTATCACCCAAGGTATTATGTCTGAACTTCAGTATCACATTGCAGTAGCTGAGGATACATGTGCTTCACTGGCATGCTTGGTTACAATGTGGCAGGCTGAGCTAGAGTCGCTTGAGGTGTAAGTGGGTCTATCCATGTCCTCCAATGTTGTCTTGGTTGAGAACTTGTTGAAGGCCAAAAATTCAGGAATGTTGGTGTCAGATGATTTTCTTCCTAATAAGTAGTTCCTAGTTCTGTATGTGTAGTCCAAAATATTTTATAGAGAAATAAAACTTGTCCTGAGTCAAATGTAATATTTTGGTAAGGCCTGGAAGCAATGTTTAGTAGATCAGTTAGTAAAATGTTTATATGAGGATGTGCTTATAAGCAACATGTCTAACTATAGTAAGGAAGAATAAGTCAAAATATTAGGGAAAGCCTCAGTATGTCATCATAGGCATAAAACCCTATGGTTTTCAATATAACTTGGTACTTGAAGGAATGATGGGAAAATGATAAGCTGAATATTCAGTTGGCATCCGGTTGGTGGCAAAAGTACTAAAAAATGTGGAAATGATTAGGTGTTAGTCCATGTCTGTGACAAATAAACAAAAATAAGGAATAGGTATATCTGTTTATCCTCCTCCTTACTGAAATTGTGACTGTCCCTAGTCACTGACTGAAGAGAGTGAAGGGTAGGAGGGTGGGATCTAGTCAGAGGTTGCCAAAGCCATATCATCATCCTCTGCCAATTGGACTAAGCTGGTGTTGGTATTTTCATCATCACTGTTATCTTTAATGTTGTCATTGCTTGATCAGGATTCTTCCATGGCCCAAAGGCATCCTTGCAAAATCTCAAGGAGGGCTTTAAGGTCAGCAAGCTTCAATTACCTATGAGCAAAATAAGGAATCACATGGAATACTGCCACTGGCTAATCAAAGACTGATTTGTCAAGTTTGGCCAGAATATATGCTCCTCCTCAGTTCCTAGAAACTACCAGCAATGGTCCCAAGTAATGTGGTCATATCTTTCAATTGAGCACCTTTTCTATAGCTGTGTTGTGCATCAGGACAAGTGAGCCTTGGTAGAAAATAAAGTCATAAAGGGTGGCCAAATGCTGCTGCTCGAATTGGATAGCGGCCTAGACTTGGGCACTAACTACTGCACTGCAAAGGTGGGTGAGGTCTGATTGGTGTTTCTACAAGGTGATGGCACGTTAGGCGATAAAGTTAGTGGTACTAAGAGTTGTGGTTAGTGGTAGTAAAAGATAGGTGGCTTTGACAATGTCAAGTGGAAGAAGGAGATAGGTGCCAGTAGCTGCAAAATATAGGGAACAACCCATTCAGTGCCAAACAGTAATGTGATCAGCCCAGAATATGAAATGAGCTATATAATTCCACTTGGCCTGGTCTCCATCAACTGCCTTGAACAGAGCCTGCCAAATGTTGAAGTGAGGTCATTCGGCGATGCTGTTTCCATAGGAATTGTAGCCTAAAATGCAGATGTGCTGAATGTGGTACTTCTTTGCTAGCTAGTCGAGTGCCTTGACAAATGCCAGTCTATTGTCAAAGACAATCTCTACTAGTATTCCCCATTGGCACAGGATATTCTTGAAGATCCAGTCAGCAGGAGCTAAGCTTGTTTTACGTTGGAGCATTCAGAATTTGAAGTAGTATGATACTAAACAGCAACCTTGCACAAGATACTTGAAACTGCCGGCGGTTGGCATATGTATGGTGTCCATATACATTTTTGTGAAGAGTAGTGTGGGCATGGCAATAGTTGGGAGAATGAGGAAGTTGAAAGTCTGGCGAATCTGGCAAAGATGACATATCCAAACAAACTAGGAAATATCTTGCCTCATGTGTGGCCATCAGAAGCACTTTGCAACCGAGGTGGTCATGGTGTAGAAACCCTTGTGAGCGATATCATCATGGGTGGCCATAAGAATTGTGATCTAACTAAAGGGGGCTGCAATGATCTTGTGTTAACTGTGCAAGTCTTTTCTCCATAGCCTGTCAGCTGCAATGAAGAACTCAGTGCAATATTATAGAAAGGTAGCATATTCAGAGTCGGAGAGAGAAAGAGGCCAAACCAATGTTTAGTGCCAGTTGCAGACCAACCATAGGCATTCTTTGGCTTCCAAAGCTTTTTGCAATCTTAGGATATCCAAATAGTTGATGGTCAGGCCTTTGTTGTCAGAGTCGGTATTAGTCAAGGGGTTGCCTACAAGCAAGGAAGTGAACATCTGGAAAACCACCCCCTTGCATTAGCTCTGGATTATATCCAATAATGTCTAAAAGTATCTAAAAATGTTAATAGCATTTAAAAGCATCTAATTTCCTAATTGGGAGCAACACATTGTGAACATTGGATTGGTTTCTAATTTCATGATATTAGCACTAATTCTATACTTAGAAGTCTTTAATCAGCAGTAGAAAATAGTAAGTACTACTGCTCTATTAGTGAGAAGGCAAAGATGTGGCATATTCTATACTATTTCAGCATATTACTCTCCTCATATATGCCTACACCATTATCTTGTAGCTCTTTTGCTGACTTTCCAGCTGCCTTGAAAAGGGACATAGAAAGAGAGAAATATGCATTGATGCCCCCAGCCACATTGTTGGCAGCTTGGCAGCTGCCATAAGAGGCTATGAAGACCTAGGTACCTTGTCCTTGCACACAAGATCATTAAAGTTGTCATTGTTGGCCAATGCCTGCTACTGGTCATTATAGGACACAACATGTGGGTTGGGCTTAGGGATATGCTATATGCAGCCTTGTAGACCTTGTCTATTAGTACAGTGGCTAATACTATCTTGTGCAGCCCACAATCATTATCCCTATTGATATTACAATTTTTAGCACTATTTATATTGTTCATTGCCTTGTTATATGGAAGATGCTCAAACTTGGTGTTTTCCTCTAGCTATTAGGCTGTGGAAAAGACAGTCATATTAGTATGTGGTGCCAGAATGATATATTTGCCTGCCATATAGGAAATATATGCATTAAGCATATTAAGATCACCTCCAACAATCTTATGCTTATTTATATATAGGCATGCCATACAAATACCCTTGTCCCCACTCTCTACCTCACTAGTGGCTATTTGGAAAACCCCTTTCTCTTATTGGATCTTAATCATTTATAATCATGTTTTTGATCAAATTTGCAAATTAAGGTAGCATTGTCAATACTAGTAGAGTATTATTAAATATCATACCCAATCATAGTTTCATACATTCTCAGTCCAAATTGTATAAGTGCCATAATTTATTTTTATCCTATATAAAGTGTATTATTGATTTTCCATTGGTTTATTATCTTTTTAGCTAGTGTTTAAACTAAATCCTGAAAGACCTGACTTTTTAGGTATTTATTGACCTATTTATTAATAAGATAGAGGAAAGATAAATGTTGAATAAAATCAGAGATATTGAGAGTGCCTATATTATGTCTACTTATTCTGATTATCGAGTTTATATATTAGACCTTGTGGCTTAGTGGCTTAGAGCATCTGTCCCAGGTACTTGTATACATAAGGTTATTGGTTCAACTCTGGCAAAAGGCAAGTTTGTTGTAAGGTATATTCTGTGTTTAGGTATTCAACTAGTGCTCTAATAGATATGACTCTATAAGAAGGCTATGAGAACTATGATGCTTGATTTATTATGATTTTTCCGAAATTTCAAGTTATAATCAATCCTAATAATTCCTAATTTAGGAAAATTATGTCTAATTAGAACAGGTTTAGAAGGGGGGTAAGATAAAAATGTCTAATCCTAATCTTTCATAATTTAGTATAGTAGAGCATCAATTATAGCTAATTAGAGCTTAATATAAGGGGGTGGTTTTCCAGATAAAGATGGCAGTTGTCACATTTGAGTTGGCAGTGGGAAATGTGTTGTTGATCTGATAGAGGAAGCTATAGAGATTATCGATCCAGTTGTCAAAGTTGTCTTTAGGTTCAGGCCGATTGAAGGGTTATGGCATTGAGAGAGACCATTAGGGCTGTGAGAGGTGCCAGGGACATGGACAAGTATGAAATAGAATGTGAGAATAGAGATGATACACTGATTGATGCTAGCGCTAGGTTTGAGATCTGGGTTAGTGAGCATGCCCTTGATGTAGCATGCATCTACTTTGACTATCAGATTCTGAATGCCAATAAGGTACATTTTGAGCAATCGGAGGGTATAGAGGAGGCCGTAGAGTTTGAGCTTAGGCTGTGAGAATTGTGATTCATGGCCATTTAGAGTGATAGAGCCAAATTGGGCATAGTACTAAACCCATGGATTGTTGAGCACACATTGACAGAGGTGGAAGCTGACCATGATTTGTGAGGTATTGATGGCAAGGATGATGTTGGCTGCTGACCCATAGTTAATCAGCCAAAGGGCTGGTAATTTGAGAAGTGCTGAATGGAGGCTGTCCTGGGCCACTATCTGATCTGGGCTGAACAGATACAGAAAATCTTTGTGCATTAACATAGTCAACATATGCACTTTGTGTTCAAAATTCCAAATGAAGATTTGAACAACACCAATCATCCCCAGAAATGCCTGAACATCTGAGAGATCCCTGCAAGGTCCCTACTTCATAATTAATTCTACCCTCAATTTGTCTGGTAACCTTCCTTTATACATGCAGCAATAGCTGACCACCATGATTTTGGCCATGCAAAGTGTCACCTTGTGTCCCAAAAATATTCCTCTGCTACACTTCATCCACTGAACCACCTGATTGAGGCCTTGAAAGTGCTCCCACACAAATCATCTGATGCCAGAGTTGTTGGGGTGCATTTCAAAGCTACTGTTTGGAAGTTTGTATTGAGTCAGTGGGCCCCAAATCGTAATATTGTTGATGAAAGAAATAGTGGTGTCTGGGATTTCTAGCTAAAGGATGTGGGTGATGTCATCATAGAAGATCGGGACCAAATTTGTCCATCCAATGGGCAGGGTAATAAGTCAGTGGGTGCCAAATGGGGTCTGGAATGTAGTGAAGTTGCATGAAGATTTGGCAAGTCCTCATTCATCGTATCTGACATAGAGATCCAGAATGCCACTGCAAGCATAAGCTGCAAACTGTTCAGCAATCTGATTAGTATATGGGGGCATACCTGAATGCTGGATGGTAACAGTGTTTAGGGGTTCAAGGCTATGAACAATTTGGAGTTTAGTGCTAGTGGAGGTGCTATTTATCATCTTGATGACTGTAAACCAATGTGATCAGTAGGACAAATTCAATGGCTCATAGACTCTAGCAGCAATCTTGGTTTTGATAAGTTAGCACACTTTGTTGTAGATGCCTGGTGGGATCAGAATATTACATTGAACCCAGGGCTTGTGCTTGACAACTGGCATATTGACTGGAGAAAAGAAGTCCTTGTGGAAATGTCCACATTCCAAATCATCCCAGGCAAATCCCATCTCTTTTAGACACATAAAATGGTGTATTAGCTGTCATTTGGCCGGCTAAAGAAAGTTGTCTGAGTGGACTTTGTTGATAAGGTCATGTCGTTTGGCTATATATCTACTGGTCCATGTGAAGGGTGGGGGGCTTGGTGTCAGTGTCAGAAGAGTAGCAAAAGGGTCACTGAGGATGTTCTAAATGATTTAGAACTTTTTGAGGAGGTTGGCCAGGACTGGTTGTGTTTTTCAGTGCAACCAGTTTGTACTTGTGCTTGGTGGCAAAGATGGCGACCAAGTCAGCAATATTAGTAGAATGTAAAGGACCAGGGATGACTGAGGAAAATAAGGATAACATATTGGAATCAAGATTGTTTTTAATATGATTTTTAGGCCCCAAATTGGAGGCCATAATGTACTTGAGACAGAGATTATAATGAGAGGGAAATGGAGAATGAAAATCTGGGGACACTTCAATAAGTGGGAAATTAGGGGTATCATGATCAGTGGAAATGATCAGTGCAACTTCTCCTTGATCCTGGGTCAATTTATTAAATTGCAAAAACTTGCTTATCTTTGGTGAGAAACTTGAGGGGGTCCTTGCATAATCATTAGAATGGTGGCTTGTCATCCTATGTCTGGGTCACTGATGGTGATTGTCTGGTCTTCATTTGGAGAATTTTTGATAATACTTTTGGTAAGGATGTCAAAGGGCTGACCAGGGAGAACATTGTAGGCAGGGTTTTAAATGATGTGGACTTGAAGGTACAGGGTAATGTTGCCGGTGAGGAATAGAATGTTGCATGCCAGGCTCAAGGATCAGTCAATTTCACTATTTGCTGACTGCATATTGAGGACAATTTTGGGATTGTAAATGAGTGCCAATCCATTGTAAATGCCTTCTGACATGGCAATGACTTGTGAACCCAGATCGATGATGCACTTGACTTTCTGCTGATGATCAATGAAGGGAATGATAAACATTTAGGGCAGATGATTCTTTAGCAACTATCAATGGCTAAGAAACCTGACTGGGCTGTAGATTCTTTGGATACATTTTGTACATGCTGGGGATAATGATCATGCTAGGTAGGAGTGTTTTTGGTTGGTGCAGAAGGAGACGGTTAGTTGAGTCAGTAATTCAAGGTTATCAATGGCATAGGGTAAATCAGTATCTTGGTCAAAGGTCCAAATATTGCTGGCATCTTTGGCAGGCAATCAGTGTGCTGATGTGGCTTTCTGGACCTATGAACAGACTTTAGTGGAGAGAGAGTAGTTTGTGCTAGGTAAGCATCACCTGAGTGGCTATTGCTCTGTTGTAGACCTCAGCTGCTACCTTCTTGTTGTAGATTGGTGCCATGGTTTTGTAGGCTGGAGCATCCTTCTTTGCCAATAGTATCTTTGCCAGGGCTCTCATGTTGCATTCATATGGTGGTACATAGGTGGCATCCTGGGCTTTGGCATATGGGTAGATTGGAGCATTATCCTTGGCTAGTACTGGGGATGGTCACTGAGTCAGGGTGGTTGGTTAGGGCTTAGGTTTAGGAGTTTTAGTCAGCACTCGTTGTTTGGGGGCTAGTGAAGGAGTAGGTGCTGAATATCCTATTTACATTATTTCATGTGCCCTTGCACCCCATGTTTGGAGCATAAATAGTTTGCATTTGAAACTCATGATTCACTAGACATCAGTGGGTTGATAAGTTGGGGTAACATTTAGCAATGAGGGTAAATTGTGACGGGAGGCTATTGTCATCAGGTATGTTGGTGCCACATTTACCGTGGGCATCATCTGTCTGGTTGCCAACTGGCCTAGATTCCTATGATGCTATTTGTCAACTTGGTCCTCCAGGTTATCACCTATGATTTCTCTAGGCATAAATGCCCTGCTTGACAATATAGCCTTCCTCTCAATATTCTACTTGCATTTGCCAATTTGAATGTATTTGGTGACCTCAGGACAGGTAAACATGAAGTGTTTGGGAATGCCATAGAACATGCAGTTGTCGTTGTCTTGTCCTAGCTGTTGGAATAGTCAATTGGCTGGCTTGGACATTCCCTGAGCTGCAATAGCCTTGACAAAGGTGTCAGTGAGCTATTTGAACATGGTCGCCAAATCTTTGGCCTTGATTGCATTGGTGGGTGGCATGGTAGGGGCTGCTCAAGAGATATCAGTAAAGGTAGTGCTATAAATGGCCATGGTGCCATGCAAGATGAATTGGGCTATATTGTGGATGTCTTGGAGGTTGTATAGGTCATCTGGAAAATGGTCAGGGAACTTAAGTTGTAGACATTAAAAGATTTTTGCCCATAACTCCAGCTAGAATCCTCTAGCAAAGGCACATCCTTGTTTGGTGACCAAGATTTGTGCCTTATTGAGAAGGAATACTATAATCGCTAGGGATTGCCAATGATAGTTGCTGAGCTTGTTGAAAGACAAGATGCCAACCCTGCTTGTTTTGCCAACTAGCTTGTCTATATCCAATATCAACCATTTATGTTCTTTCTCTGATCCAGGGTACAGCCTGTAGACCTCTTTACAGAAGTCCTTGAATATCTTTATAGTGTTGGTAAAAGTGGTAAGCAATTCCCAAAGCTCACAGGTATTGATATCTAGGAATTGGCAAGTGTGTTTCTTCCTTTCTTGTTTGTCTACTACTGTAGACCAAACAAAGTGGAGATCTAGATTAGCAAAATATTGTCTAGTTTGCAAGGTTGATGGGGGTCAAAGATTGGGGCCATTTGATCTCCACAAGCAAGCATGGATGGGGTTGCCATAGTGGAAAAGTCAAAGGTAGGAAAGAAGGTATTGTTTGCTAAGGTGATTGGGGATGGAGTCACTGGTTCAAAGGAGCATTCTAGTGAAGTTGGTCAGATGGTCAGCATCCAGAAAATGAGGCTGCATAGGACTAATGGAGAGATGGAGTCATGGAAAAATAGGATAGGAGATGGAGGTGATTGTTCTAAGAGCACAAGATCAAGGATGAGGGAAATCAGCAGAAGTAGCAATCAGTTTGGCAATAAAGATAGGGTTAAGAAGAAAGTGGAGTCAGGTGGTGGCGAGAGTAATAGCAAGGATTTAAGGTCAAGATATTAATGGTGGGATAAATGTTCTAGGACTATATTGGCATCTCCGAACAGACTTTGGTTGGTAAAGGTTTCCTAAGTGTTAAAGCTGTTGATAACTATGTGTCATTCTTCATGCTCTGCTATTGGTTGGGACAAGTGATGTAGATTCCTTAAGGAAATTTTGAATACTAACCCCTCATAGTGGGCTCCAAAATAATATGCTAGAGGTGGTTCTAAGTGCCAAGCACAATACTAAAACAACCTCTAATGCAGAGGGTGCTGGAGCTAGTATCTGATACACAAGGAATTGTTAGTGATGACTTCAGAAACCAATGGCATACTGAGAAGCAACAAGGGGTGTAAGATTATAGTGCCTAAACAGTTTCAGAACTATGCTAAATACTAACTGAACATTCAGTTAGTTATGTCAGGGATTTGGTCAGTAACAAGAAGGTAGTGTTATAATTGACAATTACATGCTTCAAGAGCCACACGGGACTCTGACAATATATAAGGGGTATAAGGGGTATAAGCAAAGAGACAAGTATAAATGCAAACAAGGCCAAATGACAAGGGTGACAAGTTTTTGGGGGTCAATAAAGACAATTTCAATGGTTAAGACAAGTGCAAATGAGCCCTAAACTGTGGGGTGTGAAAGCTGGTTTATTCCAGAGTTGTATGTAGGTTTCTATAGTAAACAGAGCCCCTAAGTAAAATATCAAACACAAAACGAGAGTGGATGTGTTATGATCACGATCTATCAAGCCTTAATGGTGGTCTATTCTGATATGATCATCACAAATACTAGGCAGCCTCACAGGTTGAGGCGTATATCAAGGTACAGGTAATAACCTTGGTCATCCACTCCCAGTGGATCACCCATTGTTGATCGAGTATCACAAGCCTTATTGCAGCAGGCATCCTTTCCTGCCTTACAAACTACTCACACGCAGGGCATGGAGCTCCTAGTCTTTCCTGGCCGGAAGAAGACAATCTGAGAAGCACAAGAGTAGTCATCCTAAGAGAGACAACTTTGGAGAATACTTACAGATACATATTCGGTATTCTTACACCCTATTTCCTAAAGTAGTATATAAGGCCCATAGAGTAGGCTAATGGATCTCCAATCTATTCTCCTTTGTTCTATGCAGTCTTCCTACTGTACACCACTGCCCCTTGTATTCTAGAATACAAGATGTCACAATATACCTCTGGCTCTTATGCTACACGTATAGTTGAGACCATTGTTCCACCTTTCCTTTACAAGTGACCTAGGGAAGAACCTCCTACTCTTGGGGTTACCAAACGAGCAGTTTGTAACACTAGAATAGACTCTTCTGCCCCTACCTTGCTTGTACTAGCTTGCTGCCACACTCTTTCTTACAACCTTCCTTAGTGGGGATAATAGACCCCTATTAAGAAAGTGTTACTGCACACACTCTGGAGCAAGACCTAGGCCAAGAATACCCTCCCAGCACTAGACGCATCGATAACCAACTCTGTCATAACAATCGCCCTATCCGGCACAAGGGGATCCATTGGCTCTACGAAGATACCAATAACATCACCCCACCAAATTACAATAACTGCTCATACCGAAACAGGTGTTATTATTTCTCATTTGACGATGGAACCAAGGAAAAACGCCTTTGGAACAAAACAGAGAACCATTGGGACCTACTGCCCTAATACAGAGAACCGGCACCGGTAATCCCCAAAGACTTGGAGCAAGAAGAGACAGCCTCTATTTTTTTATCACCAGAACAAACACCAATCAATACCTAAAACAAACCACTCGCCAACATATCGGGACAAGCTTCGACTTCTGCAAATCCCTCTCCCGCAGTAGTATAACCCGGAAGGGGAAAAGTCAAACTCCTAGACAACTATACAGGTGACTGCATTGAATCCCAGAAATTCATACTCCAATGCCTTCTTCTTTTCGCAGCAAAATCTGACTGGTACAAGACTAATCAGGACAAGATATCCCTGGTGCTCTCATGTATGAGATACAGCACAGCAAGAGCCTGGGTGGAGAATTTTCTCCTTAAATCAGTAGGAGCGGACCCTCCCACCGATCTAGGCACCTGGACAGACTTTCTAGCAAAGTTCAGGCTACAATTTAGGGAAATAGGCAAGACCAACAAAGCGCGAAGCGCACTCATGGCCTTCTCCCAAGGAAGGATGACGGTTAATGAATACTCCAACCAATTCATTGCTACCGACACCAACATCTCCAATAAGGAGCAAGTCCCATACTTTCAATGTGGGTTAGACCCACGCGTCATGGACAAAATCTATGACAAGGAAGTCCAACCCAAGGACAATATCCAGGATTGGATTAATACAGCCTGCAAAATAGATAGGCGACTCAGAGCTAGAGCCACTCAAAAGGCCATCCTTGCCAATTCCACCTCCTTTTGAAGCAACTTCCTGAACCGCTTCCACACTCAACCCGCCATTCGCTATAACTCCATAAATGCTCCTCAAAGAATGAATAACCAAGCCGTCAACATGGACATCAATGGCACGAAGAAGTGAAATGAGGAAAGCCAGAAGAGGAAGTTTGATGGCAAGCGACCCAGATGCTCTCACTATGGACAACAAGGGCACTCTAGTGCTAACTGCTAGTTGTCACACAGAGGTGTTCCACCAGTTTGAGGAAACTTGAAGAGATATATGGGTAAAACAGGGAGAAGAAACCATGTGGTTGATATTGAAGGAGAAGACAACACACCTGCTATGGGAGACCAAGCAGGAGTATATTGAGGAGTGGAGACAAAGGATGTCCATCGCACTGACCAGAGGGTACTATGACCTGGTCCTTCAATGGAACGTCCACACTTTACCTTACCCAGATGACCCTCAGCAAATGATCAGTGATGTACTATGCTACCTGACAGATGATAAGAGGACAGAACCCTCAGTCATACTGCTAGAGTCAGAGAAGTGCTCGGAGAACTAGGAGAGGATGAGCAATGAGAAATTGTAATGGTATTTGCAGAGCATTTTCCTTGACCTCTCCCTCACTAGCAAAGGAGAGAGGTCAAGCAAGACCCAAGTTTGACACAGTCAAGTGTATTCACATTGGAGCAATGAATGATCACATCATCACTCCCATCCGCTTAAATGTGACAATATCAAACCAGGCCCAACATGCTGGAGCAAAAGCAACCATTGACTCAGCTTGTGAAGGGGTCATAGTAAACAAAACATGGGTTAGAAAACACCGCTTTCCCACGTATTCACTTAACCACCCAATTTGCGTCTGCAATGTCAATGACACGATAAACAAAGCAGGTCTTATCTGGTCAGCACTAGACAAAAACCTCAAAATTCGGGACATTCAGGGGTGAACACATACAGAACACATTCAAATGTTTATTTTGAACCTAGGGAAAGATGACCTTATCTTAGGAACAGATTGGTTGAAATACCACGATCCCTCTATCGAGTGGAGGTGACAAGAAGTACACTTTGATCAGTGTCCCCAAAAATGCCAGCAACCACACGGGTTTACTAGAGCAAGGGAAGAGCAACCAAACAATGGTCAGCTATTAATTGTGGAGCCACAACACAAACCACGAATTAACAAGCGTGAAAAATAGTGCCTAGAACACCTCTGAAGGCTATCAGAGAATGTTAGACTCCACAACCATAGCGGAACATTTGGTGTCCAATTGCGAGCCTACCTCAGGTGGAAATGACTCCTACAGGACATAAGGAAATATGCAAAAGAGAAACACCATGCCCAGGAAAACCTCAGCCCATCTCTTTCACCAAACAGGGGAGAACCTGACCTCCCCGACAAACCCTCAGGAACATTGGCCACAAGGGAACCAGCTATTCAGAAACTGGTCCCTGAACTGTCAGAATTTGCTAGCTCCGATCAAGACCTAGAGGACGAGATTGTCATCACCAACTTGAAAGAAAGGGTTCCCAAGGTGTATCACAAATATTTGGACATTTTCAGTGAACAAAAATCTCAGCGACTCCTGGAGCATACTTATTAGGACCACACCATTGATTTGAAACCCATATTCAAGCCTCAAGTACCTAGAATTTACGCCTTGAGCCCTGAGAAACACAACAAATTGGGAAAATTTATCAAGGAACATCTCACAAGAGGAACCATTCACCAATCCACCTCACAAAACGCAGCTCCTTTCTTCTTTATAGAAAAGAAAGATGGAAAATTGTGGCCAGTACAGGACTACCGCTATCTAAACTCGCGAACCATCCTAAATGTTTGCCTCTTTCCACTAATCCAAGAGTTACTGGATGTAATAAAAGGGGCCACCATTTTTAGCAAACTTGATGTGCAATGAGGATATAACAATATACGCATCAAAGAAGGAAACGAGTGGAAAGCCGCCTTCATCACTCCCCTGGGATCATACAAACCCACAGTGATGTTCTTTGGACTAACCAGCTCGCCAGCCACCTTCTAGGCCATGATGAACATGATCTTCAGGGAACTCATCATAGCCCAGAAAATAACTGTATATATGGATGACATCCTTATTTTTTCCAAATCCATGGCAGAACATATTCACGTCCTGAACCAAGTTTTCCAGATCTTATGCAACAATGACCTTTATTTGAAGCCAGAGAAATGTGAATTCTATAAGGAAAAGCTTCATTATCCCGGGTACACAATCTCCAAGGACCACATTGCCGTGGAAGACTCCAAGGTGGATGCGATAAAAGACTGGCCAATCCACGCACAGTTTGAGACATCCGCTCTTTCTTAGGTCTAGGAAATTTTTACAGGCACTTCATTGACAAATTCTCACTTATCGCATGCTCCTTACACAACCTCACCAAGAAAGATGCAAAATGGGATTGGACCCCAAAATGTCAAGAAGCCTTTGAATAGCTAAAGAAAGCCTTTATTAGCCAACCTGTGCTGAACTACCCAGATCCCATGCACCCATACTGATTAGTAATGGATGCATTACTAATTGCCTATAGAGCCACCCTCCTACAAGAAGGAAAAGATAGTAACTGGCACCTGGTAGCCTTCCTCTCCGGATTGTTCTTACCAATAGAGCAAAACTATGACGTTCACGACCAAGAACTTTTGGCCATTATAAAAGCCTTGGAACACTGGAACCACTACCTCGAAGGCGCACAACATCCCTTTGAGATCTGGACGGACCACAAAAACCTGGAACATTTTCAAGTGGCACAAGACCTATCACAAAGACATGCCCATTGGAGCCTTTATTTGAGCAGATTTGACTTTACGCTCAGCCATAAGGCAGGGTCAACAAATCTTTCTGATGCTCTGTCCAGGTATCCAGATCTAAGTGAGGGGGTAGAATCTGACAATAAAGCTCAAATTTTACTCCCAGCCAAACTTTTCAACAACTCCAACGAAACACTGGTGGAACCACCTCCGACATGGCACGTAAAAGCCACGGAAATCACATTTTCAGACCTTATCTCCCTCATCCGACACTTGAAATCGGAACACAATACCCTAACAAAAGTAGTTCTCACAAAACTCCCACAAACAGGTCCACAAGAAATGAAAGGATTATTAGGACATTGGACACATGAAAATGGAATCATCAGGCAAAATAGCTGCATATGCATCCCCAAGGACAACTCGATCCAAAGACTCATCGCCAAAATGCATCACGACACGCCAGCCACAGGCCACCCAGGCAGAGCCAAAACATTGGAAATTATATAGCAGCACTACTGGTGGCAAAACATGACCAGATTTGTCCACAAATATGTGGACGGATACGTCATATATCAATCCACAAAGAATCTGACGCATAGGATGCATCCACCCATTCACCCTCTAGAAACCACCAACGTTCCATGGCAATTCATCTTAACAGATTTCATCACGGACCTACACGAAAGCAAAGGTTTCGATTCGATCAATGTGGTAGTGGACCAAGGACTGTCAAAGGGCATAGTCATCACCCTATGCAAGAAAACTATCACAGCAGAAGAAATGACTACTCTCTTCCAGAATAATGTTTTCAATCAACACGGGCTACCAACCAAAATAATTTCCGATCGAGGCCCCCAATTTGCAGCGAAGTTCACATGGGAACTCTGGAAATGGCTAGGGATCACTGCCGCTCTCAGCATGGCATATCATCCCCAAACAGATGGAGAGACGGAACAGGTAGATCAAGAGATCGAGCAATTCCTGAGAACCTTCTGCAACTACCACCAAGATAACTGGGTAGACCTTCTGCTGTTTGCTGAATTCTTGCATAACATGTGGAAATACTCAGCCACTGGAAAATTCCCCTTTAAAGTGCTATACAGCTTCAATCCTCCTTATTCAGCTGACACGGCACTAGAAACAAAGGTACCCACGGTAGCTGAACACGTTAGGGTGATCACAGAAGTACAGGAAGAAGCCACGGCCAGCTTACAAATAGCTAGCAATTATGCCAAAAGCCAGGACCTCGAAAAGAAGCTCCCCTAATGGAAACAAAGAGACTAAGTATAGCTAGAAGAAACCCATATCTAGACAACACATCCTAAATTCAAGCTCGCCCCTAGGAGGTATGGCCCTTTCAAAATTATAGCGAAATTAAGAACCCTGGCATACAAACTACAAATCCCTCAACATTGGAAAATCCATCCTGTTTTCCATGCTACCATGCTCACTAGGTACAAGGAAACGGAAGCACGTGGGGGGGACTTTGCAAGGCCACTACCGGAGATACTAAACAATGAAGAACACTATGAGGTTGAAATAATCGTGGATTCAAAGAAACACGGATGGGGAACCAAGTACTTGGTCAAATGGATGGGATATCCCAAAGCAGATAACACCTGGGAACCCTATGCCCTCCTGAAAGGGACAGTGGAAGAAGCCATGAAGAAGTTCCATGACCGATACCCAAATAAACCCCGTCCGGAAACATCCTAGGAGTGGAGAAAAGAGTATAAAAAGAATAGTGAAATGACCCTAAGCAGGGCATCTTCCCTACTCTTTTCCATCTCACCACTTAAATGCTCCTCCACGATAACCATGATGCCTCGTCTCCATCCAGAAACTCCTCCCCCGATGTCATCTTTATGGTCTCCAATCCAGATGTCAGATGAGTGGAAAGAGAAACAAGCCCTCACCAATCTGATGTTGGATGAATTGATAGAGGAACCAGTCCTCACTGCCTAGAGCCCACCATCACCATCCTCACACCAAATCTCAACAACTTCTCAGAAGACAATGCTGAAGACTACACCAAATTCAAGGAAAGGGAAGGAACCCACCAACTATTGCCAAGGGAGAGTTCCCAAAATGCACCATAGCATGAAGGCTCTGATGACAGAAAATCGCCGGGCCCTAGCAAATCACCAGCTGGAATTACACCTCCTATTGGAGTCACGCCAAATATTGGAGCTACAAGTCCCTTGGGACTATGAGCAGAAACTGGAACTCAACATTCAGGCCATAGAATGGCTAAATCAGTATCAGTTTAACCAGGAACTGCACAACCGTCAATACTGGCTAGTGGACAGGTTCCTGGCCCTATGGGAGAAACTATCTATTATCCAAATTCTCACTCTAGAGAACTGAAGCAACATGCAGATGCGCTCCTCCAGCGGAATACCATCTTTGCGGTAATATAGATGGCTACTGCCATGGCCCTCTAACTTCTTGCTAATTTTTCAGCAGGGCAACCCAGGAACAAGAACAGCAATGTACCCCGACGACTGGCCAATGCCAGTTTACAAATCAGAATGCTAGCCCTCTAGACTCACCCTGACACTGCCTCCTGGTGCAAAGACAATGATGGACGACCATGAACTCTCTTCATCCACCCTGATGAATTCTTCTAGTATGTCAACCGAGAGCTCCTTCCAGCTCTCTTCTTCTCAGGAGAACTGGGAAATGTCCAACCAAGTAGGACCAACCCATTCCACATTGTCACTTGGAACATACCACATCTCGGGGAACATCCCACGCCTATACCAAATCCAAGAAGGCCTTTGCACATGGTCGTGGAACGCCCTCCTCCAAGACAATGAGGGGTTCATACAGCACATAGCCATCCCGTGACCTCCTCCTCTCACCAGATACAAAACCTTCCTATACCCCAGGATGGTACCAACGAGGAGGAACCGCCAATCTATTGAAGAAATGAAGAAAGAAGGGGTCGAGGAAGCTAGGCAACCCTCCAATGTGGAACAACCGTTGGCAGGGGTATTCAACACCGGTCTGGAACACCTCCTATTAGTGCTCAACTTTGTGCAGATGAGGGACAGAATAGCTAAAGTAGCCGCAGAGCTTACCACACTGATTCAGAGGCTTAAAGAAATTGCTCATGGACTTGATCCAAGCTCGATGCATGGGACACTCTAGATGATCTTGGAAATTATGACAATGTGGACCCCTGTTATCGACCCGACAAGGAAGGCAATGGCTATCAAGGACCTTTTGATTACTACTAAACACCAACAGGGCAAGAAAGAGGGTAAGGAAGTTGAGGAACTCCTTGACCCAGGGTCCAAAATAACTTAAAACTAGCATCGTCTACAACAACGTAAAACTAGGTTTGTCCCTCAAGACATTAAACTGTACACCCTTGTCCAAAAGAGACATTAAACTACCCCACATCTGGAATGACATCAAAACTATCAGACCTGTATGTCCTAAAACTGTGAAAAGACAAGAAGGCAGAGGAAGTACCTGACCACCCGTCCGAGTTCTGAGATGGCAGAACCATGGGCATGTAAGTGGGCATAATTCCACGTACGACCTACAGTGGAATTCTTTTACATCCTTGCTGTCAAATAGTTAATCTAACAGATGCACCGAGCGTCTCATTTGGATCCTCAGTTTTACAGGGTTTTTTCCGCATTAGGGAACCCTCTACATGGCAATCTACTTGTGTATTAGGTGTCGACAAGCCGGCTCTTCGTCCTGGTACAATGAAGATGCGCATACATAACTGGTTGCAAATCCGAGGCCAAGAACATTATGATGCATAACTCGTTAAGTGAACCCTCACAGTCAAGGTGTGACTGGTGTTTTGGACGTCCCACTTTAGATCTCTAGTTTTACAGGATCATTTCCATATTAGGGGATCCTACTGCTAATACATAAGATAAGTAGAGTCTAGGCTACCTTTACTTAACACGCTTCCTCCAAGGAATGCGAGGCCATAAAATGATATCCAGAACAATGTAAAACTACCAAAGGCTTGGTCCACAATGACTATAAACTACTAGGGTCCGCAATGACATTAAAATAGTCCTCGTCTAAAATGACGGAAAACTACCCATGTCTGAAATGACATTAAATTACCATCAACCCAACAAGCATAGTTGTATTCTGGTAAAGCACAGACCTTCAGAAGGATCCATGTCACAGAACCCTGTCTATAAGTGGTCAAGAGCGCTTCGATGTTCACTCACTTTTCGGTAAAAGAACAGTGTCTTGGTTCAAATCCAAGCGAGGGGTCTAGGGACGTAGAAGAGCACACATCTCTTCATAGCACACCCAGTCAAGTCCTAGAGTCGAAGTACAAGAAATTCTGCTCCAAGACCTAGTCAGGAGGCAACTAGGACATGTGCCTCGAGTCAAGAATCTAGTCGGACAGGCTAGATCACATAACTCCCTTTGGCTCACATTGCAGAAGAACGACAAGAGCTGGCTACTCGTTTAGAGAAAGTCTATTCCACCAAGCATCTGAAAAGATGTTAAACTACTGTCCCTTCATTCTAGGGATTATCTGGGAGCTGGAATTACTACTCCAGCTCCCAAATGTCCAAAATGACAATAAACTACTTGTCCCTTTCCGCATAGGGATCATAGGATATCATTTCAACTTGTAGGATGGTATCATGTCTGCAATGATGGTAAACTATTTGTCCCTTTTTGTACAGGGATCGTAGACGATGTCTGTATCTAGACAAACATCATCTGGTCCGGAATGACTTTAAACTATTGTCCTCTCGAGAATGAGGATCAAAATAGATATCTCAATCAGATACCATACGTCCAGAACGATGATAAACTACCTGCTCCTTACCACATAGAAGTTATGATTGGCAACCCTGGGTCCCAATCATCCGCAATGATGCTAAACTATTTGTCCCTTTTAACATAGGGATTATTGGCTGACATCATTTTTAATAAAAATATGCCTGCTAACGTCCGAAATGATGGTAAACCACCTTCATCCTCAAAAGGCCAAGACTATCGTGACTCAAGGGACACAGTCAGACAATAGCAGTTGCTTAACTCACAGCGTTAAACTGAGCAGTCGCCTAACTCATGGCATTAAACTGAGTGGTCTCACAATATTGAGACGTTACAAGTTATCTAGTTTGATATAGTATAAACCATTCCCATCATGCCTCAGTGAAACCTGCACGGGTAAAGTCTGGTCTAGGGCCCTATGCACACAACTGACGAATGATCCAGCATGCAGAAACATCTTTCCCCACAGATACTCCATGTTGATGATAAAGCAGGTCCGCAATGACCTAGAAAGTAAACTACTAAGGGGCACCGGGTGCCTCAATATTGTCCGCAATGACGGTAAACTATGGACTGTCCGCAACAACATTTAAACTACCATCATGAATATATCTTGCAAACCCAAACAATATATCAGTTGTGGTCTAGATGTTTATTCATGCATGCAAATGGACAGACTTGGAGAAGGAGTTAGACTCCTCCTTGCTCCTTGCTGCATCCTTCTAGTCTAATTTTCTTTACATCCTTGCCTCGAACCCAACACTACATATGGTATTCCCCACCATAGGCCCACGTTTGTGACAAACAAACTCTGGATGCCGTAAACTGCCTCACTAGAGATAAGTCCACCATATCAAAATACTGCTTGGAATTTGATTGGGTGCCCTCACCGGAGATGAGCTTACCGTATGAGAGCAATACTGCTTGGCTGTCAACTTATGCTTAGCATAACCTTCTGGTAGTCTAGAGAAGTAGGCCTAAGCCTTCATAAAACGATCAACCTACTTGTCCGTGGACACTGCCCATCGTCATTGAGGAAACAATAAATCATGAGGATAGACGACTATCCTGGAAACACTGAGATTTGGCCCTTAGAGAAGGAAGAAGAAGATAATGATGACATGAATCAGAACCCACAACTAGAGTTTCTACTCATCCACACACCACTTGCATTCATACGCCTTTCTTGATACTATCCCAGGGAAGCTAGGGTAAGACCACGAAGCAGTTAACCCATGGCAGAATAATCCTCACGGGTGAAGAAAGAATATCCTAGTGGCCTGAGGGGTGGTGCCCTTGCATTATGGCCGAGAAACAAACAGCTCAATAGAAATGAAAAACTCCTAGAGGATCAAACAATGTAAGTTGGTCTTTCTCCCAGAAAACGAAGTCATGTCCCGGAAGTTGCATCCGGAGACCCATTGTTGGATCAAGAAAGCAAAATCTTATATGAAGTGGTGATGACGTGCAGAGCGCAGTCCTACCAGGTGAATAGGACGTAGAAAGGGGGTATTATTATGATCATGACCTATCAGGCCTTAACGGTGGTCTATTCTGATACGATCATCACAAATACTAGGTGGCCTCATAGGTTGAGGCATATATCAAGGTACAGGTAATAACCTTGGTCATCCACTCCCAACAGATCACCCATCGTTGGTCAAGTATTACAAGCTTTATTGCAGCAGGCATCCTTTTCTGCCTTACAAACTACTCACATGCAGGGCATAGAGCTCCTAGTCTTTCCTAGCTGGAAGGAGACAATTGGAGAAGCACAAGAGTAGTTGTCCTAAGAGAGAGGACTTTGGAGAACACCTACAGATACATAGTTGGTATTCTCATGTCCTATTTCCTAAAGTAGTATATAAGGCCCATAGAGTAGGCTGGTGGATCTCTAATCTATTCTCCTTTGTTCCGTGCAGTCTTCCTACTGCACACTACTGCCCCTTGTATCCTAGAATACAAGACATCGTAATACACCTCTGGCTCCTGTGCTATACGTACAGCTGAGACCATCGTTCCACCCTTTCTCTATGAGCAACCTAGAGAGGAACCTCTTACTCTTGGGGTTACCGAACGAGCAGTTTGTAACAAGATGTCAAATAGGTGCCAAGCCTTAGCAATCAGGGAAGATAAAAAGGTAAGTAAGATATCCATATGGGTTCCAAAGGTGATAAGGTAAAAATTAATCAGCAATGGCGGAATCCCAAACATTTGGGATCTATCATCTGAGTATAGGTAGCAAGAATAGGTATGGGTGAGCCAATGAAAATAAAGAAAACATAATATATGATTAGGGTGGCCAAGCAATGATGCAAGATCACATTTTGACTGACTATGTGGAAGCCAGGAAGATAAGCAATAATGACTGACTGACTTATAGAAGACATCAGCTGACATGAAATACTGGCTCCAATCTTATAAACACTTATCATAATACTTTTGTGCAGTCATGGTAAGTACATGAAGTGTGGGTGAAGTGACCCAAGTGCTGCCAAATGTCCTTTGGTGAGTTATAGTCAGTCGGGTGGGGGCCGACTGTGTTCAGTAATAGTTGTCATCTTCAGTACTTATCTAGTGCTGTTTGGTGTCTTCCCAAAGCTTCCCAAATACCTCCCTTGGACCCTAGCGTGGGTGCATGCTCATCAGCACCCCTTCTATAGCTGTGTTGCATATTAGGATAAGTAAGCCTTGGTGGAAATTAAAGTCACAAAGGGTGGCCAAATGCTGTTGTTTGAATTAGATGATGGCCTGGACATGGGTGCCAACTACCAAGCTACAAAGGTAGGCAAGGTCCAATTGGCATTTCTACAAGGTGATGGCATGCCAGGCAATAAGGTCAATAGTGCTAAGAGTTGCTATTGGTGGTGATAGGAGATCAGTAGCTTTGGCAATGTTTAGTGGAAGGAGAGGATAGGTGCCAGTTGCTGCAAAGTATGAGGAACAACCTATTCAGCACTGAATAGTAATGCAATCAGCTCAGAATATGAAATAAGCTGTACAATTCCACTTGGCCTGATCTTCATCAACTGCCTTGAACAAAGCCTGCCAAATGTTGAAGTGAGGCCATTTGGTGATGCTATTTATATAGGAATTGTAGCCCAAAATGCAGATGTACCAAATGTGGTACTTTTTTGCTAGCTGGTTGAGTGCCTTGATGAATGCTGGTCTGTTGTTAAAGATGATCTTTACTAGTATTCCCCATCTACACAGGAAATACTTAAAGATCCAGTTAGCGAGTGCAAAGCTTGTTTCATGTCAGAGAATTTGAAATTCAGGGTAGTGCAATACCAAACAGCGGCCTTAAATGAGGTACTTGAAACTACCAGCAGTTGGCATATGCATGGTGTCTATATACACCTTTATAAAGAGTGATGCAGGCATGGCAATGGTGGAGAATGAGGACATTATGGGTCTGGCAAATCTGGCAAAGGTAACACATCTGAATGAACCAGGAAATATCTTGCCTCATATATAGCCACCAGAAGCATTCGGTGACTGGGGCAGCTATAGCATAGAAACCTTTGTAAGCAATATTATTGTGGGCTACAGTGAGAATTGTGATCCAACTAAAGGGGGCTGCAACAATCTTGTGTCAACTATGCAAGTCTTTTCTCTATAGCTTGTCAGCTGCAATGAAAAACTCAGTGCAATATCGCAGGAAAGTGGCATATTCAGAGTTGAAGAGAGAAGGGGGCTGAACCAGCATTTAGTGCCAGTTGCAGACCAACCATAGGCATTCTCTGGCTTCCAAGGCTTTTTGCAATCTTAGAATATCTAAATAGTCAATGGTCAGGCCTTTGTCATTGGAGTTGGTATTGGTTGGGCAGTTGCCTATAAGTAAGGAGGTAAAGATGGTGGTTGTCGAGGTTGAGTTAGAGGTAGGAAATGTGTTGTTGATTTGATAAAAAAAGCCATAGGGATTATTGATCCAGTTGTCAAAGCTATTCTCAGATTCAGGTTGATTGAAGGGTTGTAGTGGTTATTGGGAGAGACCATTTGGGCTATGAGAAGTGCCAAGAACATGGAAAAGTGTGAAATGGAATGTGAGAATAGAGATGATCCACCAATTGATGCTGACACTAGGTTCAAGATCCAGGTTAGTAAGCATGCTCTTGATATAGCATGCATCCACTTCAATTATCAGGTTCCAAATGCTGATAAGGTATATTTTGAGCAATTAGAAGGTGTGAAAGAGGCTGTAGAGTTCAAGCTTGGGTTGAGAGAATCATGATTTGCAGTTGTTCAGAGTGATGGAGCCAAATCAAGCATAGTAACAAACCCTAGGATTGTTGAGCACACATTAACAGAGGTGGAAGCTAACTGTGATTTGTAAGGTATTGATAGTAAGGATAACATTAGCCACCGGCCCATAGTTGATCGGCCAAAGGGCTGGTGATTTGAAAAGTACTGACCAGAGGATGTTCTGGGCCACTATCTGGTCTGGGCCAAATATAAATGGAAAATTCTTGTGCATTAACATAGTCAGTATGTGCAAAATTCTGAATAAAGATCTAAACAGCACCAATCATCTCCGAAAACACCTGAACATCAGAGAGATCACTATATGGTCCCTACTTCATAATCAATTCTACCCTCAATTCATCTAATAACCTTCCTTTATATATGTAATGATAGCCAACAACTATGATTTCAGCTGCGCAGAGTATCACCTTGTGTCCTAAAGATGTTCCTCTGCTATACTTCAACTACTGAACTACCTGATTGAGGCCTTGAAAGTACTCCCACATAAATCATCTGATGCTAGGGTTGTTGGGGTGCATCTTGAAGCTATTATTTAGAAGTTTATATGGAGTTGATAGACTATAAATTAGGATGTTGTTGATGAAAAGAATAGTGGTGTCAGGGATCTCTGGCTAGAGAATGTGGGTGACATCATTATAGAAGATCAAACCTGAATTTGTCTATCCCATAGGCAGGGCGATAAGTTGGTAAGTGCCAAATAGGGTCTGGAATGTGATGAAATTGCAAGATAATTTGGTGAGCCCTTATTTGTTGTACCCAACATAGAGATTCAGAATGCTGCCACAAGCATGAGCTGCAAACTGTTCAGCAATCTAATTGGTATATGGGGGCACACCTGAATGCTGGATAGTAATGGTGTTTATGGGTTCAAGACTGTGAATGATTCAGAGTTTGGTCCTAGTGAAGGTGCTATTTGTCTTCTTGATGACCATAAACCAGTGCGATTGGTGGGAAGACTTTGACGGCTCATAAACTCTAGCAGTCATCTTGGTTTTGATAAGTTGGCACACTTTATCATAGATGCCTGGTGGAATTGGGATGTTGTACTGAACCCAAGGCTTGTGTTTGACTACTGGCATATTGACTGGTAGAAAGAAGTCTTTGCAGAAATGTCCATATTCTGAATCATCCCAGGCAAATCCCATTTCTTGCAAACACATAAAATAGTATATGAGCTATTGTTTAGCTGGCCAAAGAAAGTTGTCTGAGTGGACTTTGTCAATGAGGTCACATTGTTTGGCTATGTATCTACCAGTTGGTGCAAATGATAGGGGGTTCAGTGTCAGTGTTGGAAGGGTAGTAAGAGGGTCACCAAGGATGTTTTGAACAATTCAGAACTTTTCAGGGAGGTTGCATCTAGAAAACCACCCCTTTGTATTAAGCTCTAATTAGTTCTATTTATGCATAATTAAGAACAATTAAGATTAGACATTTTTAGCTTACCCCCCTTCTAAACCTGTTCTAATTAGACATAATTTTCCTAAATTAGGAATTATTAGGATTAATTATAACTTGAAATTTCGGAAAAATCATAATAAATCAAGCATCATAGTTCTCATAGCCTTCCTATAGAGCCATGTCTATTAGAACACTAGTTCAATACCTAAACACAGAATATACCTTATAACAAACTTGCCTTCTGCCAGAGTTGAACCAACAACCTCATGTATGCAAGCACCTAAGACAGATGCTCTAAGCCACTAAGCCACAAGGTCTAAGATATAAACTTGGTAATCTAAATAAGTAAACATAATATAGGCAACCTCAACACCTCTGATTTTATTTAACATTTATCTTTCCTCTATCTTATAAATAAATAGGTCAATAAATACATAAAAAGTCAGGTCTTTCAGGATTTAGTTTAAACACCAGCTAAGAAGATAATAAACCAATGGAAAATCAATAATACACTTTATATAGGATAAAAATAAATTGTGGCACTTACACAAGTTGGATTTAGAATGTGTAAAACTATAATTGAGTATAATATTCAATGGGACTCTACTAGTAATGACAATGCTACCTGGATTTGCAAATTTGATCAAAAACATGATGATGAATAATCAAGATCCAATAAGAGAGAGGGGTTTTCCAAATAGCTACTAGTGAGGTAGAGGGTGGGGACAAGGGTATATATGTATGGCATGCCTATATATAAATAAGCACAAGATTGTTAGAGGTGATCTTAATGTGCTTAATGCATATATTTCCTATATGGCAGGCAAATATATCATTCTGGCACCACATACCAATATGACTGTCTTTTCCACAGCCTAATAACTAGAGGAAAACACCAAGTTTGAGCATCTTCTGTATAACAAGGCAATAAACAATATAAATATTAAAAATTGTAATATCAATAGTGATGATGATTGTGTGCTGCATAAGACAGTATCAGCCACTGTACTAATAGACAAGGTCTATAAGGCTGCATATAGCATATCCCTAAGTCCAACCCACATATTGTGTCCTATAATGACCAGTAGCAGGCATTGGCTAACAATGACAACTTTAATGATATTATGTGCAAGGCCAAGGTACCTAGGTCTTCATAGCCTCTTGTGGCAGCTGCAAATCTGCCAACAATGTGGCTGGGGACATCAATGCACATTTCTCTCTTTCTATGTCCCTTTTCAAGGCAGCTGGAAAGTCAGCAAAAGAGCTACAAGATAATGGTATAGGCATATATAAAGGAGAGTAATATGCTGAAATAGTATAGAATGTGCCACATCTTTGCCTTCTCACTAATAGAGCAGTAGTACTTACTATTTTTTATTGCTGATTAAAGACTTCTTAGTATAGAATTAGTTCTAATATCATGAAATTAGAAACCAATCCAATGCTCACAATGTATTGCTCCCAATTGGGAAATTAGACACTTTTAGATACTATTAACACTTTTAGATACTTTTAGACACTATTAGATATAATCCGGAGCTAATACAAGGGGGTGGTTTTCCAGATGTGGCCAAGACTGGTTGTGTTTTCTGAGTGACTGGTTTGTACTTGTGCTTAGTGGTGAAGATGGCAATTGGGTTGGTGATATTAGTGGAATGGAAAGAACCAGGGACAACTAAGGAAAAGAAAACAATATATTAGAATCAAGATTGCTTTTGAGATGATTTTTGGGCCCTAAATTGGAGGCCATAATATACTTGAGACAGAGATTGTGATGAGAGAAAGATAGAGAATAGAAATCTGAGGACACTTTAATAAGTGGGAAATTGGGGGTATCATGATTAGTGGAATGATCAGTACAATTTATCCTTGATCTTGGATCAATTTATTGAGTCATGAAAACCTGCTTGTCTTTAGTAAAGAACTCAAGGTGGTCCTCACCTGATTGTCAGAATGGTGGCTTGTCATCCCATATTTGGGTCACTGATAGTGATTGTCTGGTCTTTATTTGAATAATTCTTGATGACACTTTTAGTGGGGATGTCAAAGAGCTAGCCAAGGAGAATGTTGTAGGCTGGGTTTTGAATGATATGGACCTGCATATATAGTGATGTCACTGATAAGGAATAGAATGTTGCATGCCAGGCCCAAGAATTGGTTAATTTTGCCATTTACCAACTACATATTAAGGACAATTTTGGGGTTGTAGATAAGCACTAATTCATTGCAAATGCCTTTTGACATGGCAATAACTTATGAACCTGGATCAATAACACATTCAACTTTTTGCTAATAATTAATGAGGGGAATAATAGACCTTAGGACAGATGACTTTTTAGCAACTATCAATGGCTGAGGAACCTGACCAAGCTGTAGATTCTTCAGATACATTTCATATATGTCAGGGATGATGATCATGCTAGGCAGGGGTGTTTCTGGTTGGTGCAGGACATTGATAAAGTCAGTTGAGTTGGTGGTTCAAGGTTGTCAATAGCATAGGGTAGATTAGCATCTTAGTAAAAGGTCTAAACATTGCTGCTATCATCAGCAGGTAATCAGCATGCCGACATAGCCTCCTAGACCTGTGAACAGACTTTGGCAGAGAGAGAGTAGTTCGTGCTAGGTAAGCATCACCTGAGTGGCCATTGCCCTATTATATACCTTGGCTGCTACCTTTTTATTGTAGATCAGCACCATGGTCTTGTAGGCCAGAGTGTCCTTTTTTGCCAATGGTATTTTTATTGGGACTCTCTATTAAGTAATCACAATAGCTCCAGATCTGTGGTAAGATAAGGCAAGTCCTAGCTATAGGGCAACCACTACTATAAAAGAATCCTTGCATAAATTTCTCTAAATTGTTACTTTGACCTTACTGATCTTTTCTTACAGATTAGAAAGTAGGCATTAGACTGTACTAGAACTAGTCAATGTGCACATTATGCAAGGATATAAGTTAGCATATACTATGAGATGTCTGGAGGCATGAGGAGACCAAAGCTTACTAGGAAACTGCTGCTTTTCTTAAAAAATAGGTTGCTATATAAGGAGCTAAGGCTTTCTAGATATTAGAATGTATGCATATAATAAAGAAGCCTCTTGTGGAAGTATATTAAGATGTTTTCTTGGCACTACTGACTTCCTAGTCTTTACTACTAGGTCTTCTAATTGTCTACTCTATATGGCCATATTTTTAGAAGATCCTAGATATGCTCCTTTAAATCCCTTCAGATATATACTTATTAATAATAATTTCCCTCTTTTTGGTATGTTTTTTTGCTTTAAACAAGTGGTTAGCTTATTATGAACTTAATCTACTTAGAAGGACTATTTACTAGTATGTATCCTATATACAAATGTCAAGAGGCAAAGAAGAACCCTGTTTGGTATTATAGCCAAATAAAGTGGTAAATACTATCTTATGCCTATATTTTTAGTACTACTACCTCTACCTATGTTATAGATGTGTATTCTTAATGTTCTATATAACCTGCTATGGTCAATATTTTCTGATCATCAGTAAAAAGCTCTATATTAAATTAACCATAGTCAAACATAAATTTAGATAGATCTTTGCCAATTATTATTCAGGATTTTTAGGTTGCCTCCTCTTTAATCCTGAAATTATAAGGTCTAATTAGAGCTAATTAGAGCTAATTTATTATATGGATTTTCGAAAAAATAGCAACCAACCTAGTTTTATAATTTCTCTACTATCACTATATCTTTAATTATAAAGTATTTATAGAGCTCACTAATTAAACTAAAGTTATACCTTGTAATGAACTTGTCTATTACCAGAATTAAGCCAATAACCTCATGCCTACATATTCTAGACCAATATTCTAAACTACTAAGCTATGAAATCTAAGTTAATTACCTAGTAACCTAAATATGATAGTATAAATAAGATAATCTCAATATTTCTGATTTTCTTATATATTTATCTTTTACCTATTTATATATAAAGGAGCCAATAAATACCTCTAAAGTCAGGGCTTTTGATATTTGAATTTAGGCAATAGACAATAATATAGTAAACTAATGTAAAATAAACAATATACTTAAAATACAATCATGGCACTTATATATTTAGATTCGGAATGTGTAAAATTGTAATTGGGTTATAGATTTTAATGAAACTATAGTTGTATTAATAATATTATCTTACTTGCAAATTTAATCTTAAAGTTGATTATGAATAATGTATTCTAATTAGCTTAGATCAGTATTTTGAATAATTGGATCTAGTTAAGAGAGGAGGTTTTTCTGGATAATGCCTAGATGTTAATTATTGCTTAGGCAATATTTAACCTGGGTTTTAATGGCCTTTTCTTGGTCTTTGGCCCAGAAACACTATCTAAGATCTCTAAGATCTCTATAGTATATATTAATATGCTTGCAATAGCTCTCTATATAAAAACACACAATAAAATATACTAACAAATATTAGTAGGCTTGGAGCTGACTTTTCTAGAAATTAAAGAATCTTTTGTGAGTAGTGAGGTAGGGCATAATATATATATATGAGGTCAAGTAAAGTTATGTAAGATGGTGCAAGGAGTGTACAAGGATTTATAAGGTAGCTCACAGTGATCTGAGATTACAAGATGTGCAACTAGTATAGGATAATGTGTGATACATAATTTTAGGTTATGATTGACCAAGGTAACTTCAGGGACAGTGACAAAGGCCCTGGCAAGAGATACAATAGTGGTGCAAAGCTAAAGCAAGCAAGGCAAAGACAATGGCAATGTTAAGTGATATGAGTGAGATTCCTTTGTAAAGTTAAACTCTAAATGGAGAGGTATTTGGTATTAGTGTATTATAGAGTTGTAGGTAGGTATTTATACTAGAATTAAGGTAGGTAAAGTAAGCATGAGGTTATAAGGTAAGATAAGAATAATATTGCACTAAGATAGTAAAATTGAAAGATAAAGCAAAACCATGTATAGAGGTGCTCACGGGCTATGAGGTTTTGTCATACTATGGTTAAGAAACAAAGCAATGTTTAGTAAAGTGGTATAGGGAATAGACAAGGAAGACTTTGTGAAGAATAAAGAAAAATGGATTACAAGACCTAAAATATCCCATAGGCATGTGCAATAAAGCTTACTATAAGAAAAGTACTATAAAAATAAATATTAAAGCTCTTTCATAAAGTAATATGAGGTACATGAAGTTGGAGCTTGGCAGCATTAGTATCATTGAAGGTGCCTTTCTAACTGGCTAAGCCATACATAAGGACAATCACAAATGCTATGAGATACTGCTAAATATGCTGCAATAAAGACTAAGTGCAATAAAGACTAAGCTAGCCTGCTATTATGGATATATTCATATAAAGACCTTGGTGAATACCATATAATGCTAAAAGTTGATCTAAGCCTTAAAGGAAGTAAGTAAATGCCTATACTAGGGCTGCTCAAGGCTTTGCAAACTTGTGCAATCAGCTACAAACAGAGTGCAAAAATGGGGGCCTTAGCACTTAGAAAGGTAGTATACTCATCATTTTCTTTTTACTAAAATTCTGACTGTCCTTAGTCAATCTTATGCTATACTATGTGACCTAGCAACTAAGTGAATATGTATATTATGTGTATCAATAAGGCCTAGTGGCATCTAGGTATGACATAAGTGAGGAGTCTATTATAAACAGGTGGCTAAGAGCTAGTGGCTACTATAGGAGTAAGTTTGGTAGCAAGCAGTAGTACTTGTGCTCATGAAAAGTGTCTAAACAGCAATTGCCAAGCTGCCACAATGTCATTTTTGAACATGGCTGTATGTTAGCTATATGTCTAACAAAAATATAACAATTCTTGAAAATATACTAGTGCATAATATGTGATATCAACATCCCATATGTTAAAATATTTGAGGAAGTGAGTTAGTTTAAAGCTTTTGTATGAGATCTTTCTCTATATAGCAGAAAATAGACCCTTCTGGAAAGAGTGGTCAATCAAAGATGATTATGGATTACCAAAAATTGAATAATATTTGACAGACTTCTCTGTGTAACATCTCAGCTACACATCTCATAAGAAAGTGAGAAAATGCTGTATCAACAAATGGTGTCTTGATATATACCCATGACAAGTTTACCATCTAATCAGTCAGTGTAGAGCAGACCTATTGAAGGTCAGTAATATTTGAATACATACCGTCTATACCAATAGAGTTATCTTGAAGCGATATCCATGATTTCTAGTGACATTTATAGTAGTGGTGGTCTGTAATCATTCAAGGCCCTGATCATTATATTGTTGTATATGTTCTTGGAGAAAAACAGTCAACATAATCAGCTTCTCCTGGCTTCATATTCTGTGCATAATAAACAATATATATAGAGAAGCCTGTCAAATATTCTTAGATTTTTAGTTATTTAGAACCATCTTTGATTGACTACTCTTTCCAGGAGGGTCTATTTTCTGCTATATAGAGAAAGATCTCATCACAAAAGCTTTAAACTGACTCATTTTCTCAAATACTTCAACACATGGGATGTTGATATCATATATTATACACTAGTATATTTTCAAGAATTGTCATATTTTTGTTAGACATACAGCTAACATACAGCCATGTTCAAAAGTGCTATTGTGACAGCTTGGCAATTGCCATTCAGACACTTTTTGCAGGCACAAGTATATAACAAAATAGCTGAGATAGAAACTTACAAGGGTATTGAAGAGAGAGGATAATACAAGCACACTAAGCTAGGGAATAATGAATAATGATATGCTAGCAATGGCTCTACATGTGAAAACATACAATAAAATATACCACTAGACATGGAGTAGACAGGAGCTGGCTCTATGGTATAAGGAATGGTCAGCCTTGGGAAAATAACCAAAGGACCGGTGGTGTATAGTCTGAATTAAGGAGTGTGATGCTCTATAATGCTCTATAATGCTCTGTAATTATTATAAACTGCTTTTTCAATAACTCCAAGAGTAGTAGGTTTTCTAGGTCATATAATAGACAGAGTAGAATGAAGAATCTACTATATTACAAGGGGATACAGAGAATATAGGAAGGGCCTATATGTAAAGGTATAGGTAGAATGAAGTAAATAGTGTAATGACTGCCTAAAAACAAAGAGAATAGACTAAAGTCCCTTATCCTATCTTATGGGACTTATATACTACTCTGGGATATGGTCTAGGATGATCTCAGTATATTCCCTCAGTCTTTCTATAACCACTGCTCTCTTGTTAGCATTAACACTTGTGCTGCTCATTCATATCTATCCAACCTAGTATGTGATAGTGTATATACCTGTGTAGCCCTAAGCCCACTATCATCACTCCCTTTTTTATTCTATAACCCTGTGGTGTCCCTTTTACCAACAATAATATAATCCATTAGTTATACTAGTCTTTTAGAGGACAATAACAGGTACCTTGCTATATATACTATATGGTGCTGCCTAGTATATATTGTGCTGCTTTTATCAGTATAGATACCCTAAGACCCCTAATAGGTCAAGTCGCAACAATATCCCCTTTCTATATTCATATGCCTGGAGGAACAACTTGTGTAGTTTTACCACCTTAATGAATAGAAACTCATTGATATGAGTGTCTGTGTTCATCTACTGTCATATTTATTCTCAAATACTAAAGGCCTAAGGTATGTGTTTCTAAGATAATAATCTTAAGTATTGAGGAGGTTCTCTATAGTTGAGGGGGTTTATGGATATATATATGTTGATATTTGCTAAAAGCTTGGGCCTAGTTAAACTCTTCTTGACCCTATCTTTCACAAACTCTAGCTTGTTACCACACTCTTTCTCATAACTTCCCTTAGCAGGGATTATAGACCCTTATCAAGCAAGCATTACTTCTTAACACTCTAGAGCAAGATCTAGGCTAAAGTTATCTTCCTAGCACTAGACAAATTAATAGACAGTTCCATCACAATAATCACCCCATTTAACAAAAAAGGCACTCTTTGGTTCTATACAGACACTAATGCAGATGTACTGCCAAATTATGACAACTGCTTATATAAAAACAGGCACTACTATTTTACCTTTGACAATAAAAGAGAGGAAGAGTTCTTTTAGAATAAAACAGAAGACTATTGGAATATATTGCCTTAGTATAGAGATCCTAAGCCAATAATCCCTAATAACTTAGAGCAAGAAAAAGTCACTTCTTATTCAGACTCCAGCTCATTACATAATCAAATACCAATCAACATCTAAAACCCACAAATTGTCACTAATATATTAGGACAAGTGTTAGGCATCACCTCTTCTACTCTTATATAACCTGGAAGAGGAAAAGTCAAGCTTCCAGAAAATTACTCAGATGACCATACCAAATCTTAAAAGTTTATACTTTGTACTTTCATATATAAGACATGGCATGGTAGGTGCCTAGGCAGAAAACTTATCAGCCAAAATA